CCCCCCCCCCAATCCAATACGCCAGCACTCGACTACCAGGCCAGTCTCGTCCTGGCCTCAATTTCGGTGGTGTTGATGACAAGAACACTAGCTGCCTAGCCGAACATTCTGTTTCGCCATTATCCTTTGCTGTGTCCTCAACTAAGCCGACTCCTTCACTGAGGCTTCTTTTGAGCAGCAGCACCACCAATGTACTTTCGGACGTCCGTGGCATCTACCGCCTGTCGACCAAGCCCCTTGATGGTTTCCCAGGCCTGTCTGGCAGCAGGGGGAACATTGGGGTTTTGGACTTGTTGATCAATATGGGCCGCCCCTTGCGAGAAGGCACCTTGGATGAAGGAACTCTGGTGGAATCTTGCTCTCAGAAAAACGGTGTAGATGCCCAACAGAATCCATGATCCCTTGCTAAAGGTCACGGCTGAAAGGACCAAGCGGAACCACAAGAGAATTTCCAAGGCAGCCACCAACATCATCGAGCTGTCATAGTATTCCTTGACAAATCTTCCAATGGCGGTCGCAAGAGGAGATTGAGACTTGGACGCTCCGGGAGAGGTCGGGGTACTCCCTGGGGCCACCTTGGGAGGAGAAATGGTGGGGATAATGTTGGTACGGGTATAGGTTGCGACATGGAAGATCGAGTAAACAGAGAACGGCAAAAGAGCCAGAGGAATTTGTCTAGAGTAAAGCCAGACCAAGCTGATGACTAGAACTTCTTGTCAGTTTGTGGAATTCCGACGGTCAGAATCGTACACATACGCAAGTATTGCACATTCTCGTCGGAGAGCAAGAGAATGGCTGTGCGACCAACTGGGTCACCTGGCTTCACACGGGCACGATAAGCCTTGAAGACCACGATTCCGTATGTTGCAACGGCCGAGACAAAGGCGAGTCTGTAGGTAAAAGCTGCCCACTTGGAATTGTAGTTGAAAGTGAAGTAGGAGAGGCCATAACGAAACACCGAGAGCAGGAGGGTAAAGTGGCCGAGAAACCAGGCACTGTGTTGAAGTCAGTCAGCCAGCTCTTCTCAGAGATGTTTAATGGATCCTCTTGCTCACAATTGCAGGGTAGTGGCGAGTCGAGTTATCCGTTCGCCGAGAGAGGCATTGGGAGGAGGTGGAGGAGGAGCCATTGCTTCAAGCTTCTGAGGGAGTCAATGGAGGGGCGGTCAAGATGCGAGGAGGAGATTGTTGTTGAAGAGGCGAGACTAGAGTATTTGGGTGGTGAGAGGCGGACGAGAGGAGGACAGCTATGTACGCAGCAACGAGGCGGTGGCTGCGGGCAAACGGGCAATGTGTAAGAAGCTGTTTGAAGCAAGAATATTGCAGCTGAGGAGGAGAGGAAGAGGGAAGAAGATGGTGGGAGTAGTGGTGGTGGTGGTGGTGGTTCCAAGGTACCCAAGTTGGGCGGAGAAGGAAGAGAATTGGCAGGTTAAATAGGTACAGTAAGGCAGTAAGTTAGCAGGTTAAGGGACCTTAGTAGGTTAGTGCTCATAGGCGCTGTGCAGGGCGTCGAAGCACCAGCTACAGTGTATTTAAGTCCACTGACTGAACTAACTAGTCAGTTCGAATAGTTTAGCTGGCACTATAAGCTACAGGTGGCTTTTTCACGCGGCGCAATGATGTCAACCCCCTCGACGCCGCAATCCCAGCTGCGTCCAGCAACCTCGAACGACGCAGCCACCTCGATGACCAGCACGACCTTCACTACGTCAAAACTGCCCACTATTTGACCTCGGAATCTTCCTGGCCGCCGACATCATTCCATCATTGATCATGATCTCCTTGCGCCGCTTGCCTCATGCACATGTCAAAAGCCTACCTGCCTGGATGTCCGTCCGTCCTCTCCTCCTATCCCACTTCACACACTCCAGACAGCTCCTTTCCAAGGACCGGATAACTCGTTTTGACGGATCATACTTGCGATAGCCTTCCTGCCAGCCCGGCTCGCCTATCTCGGTACCTTATCTCGTCATTCGTACCATTGATCGAGTGCCCCAATTACTCGTAGAGTTACAGTACCACTCTGCGCAAAAGGGAAATTCGTCCAGTGACCCTACAAAACATACGACAGAGTTTTTGGCAGCCAGCACAGACCTAGAAGGAGGCCAACTTTGCTTTCTTTTTATCAAAGCATGCTTATACCCTTCCTACCCGGAACACAGAATACTACCATATGCTCAAGGAAATATACATGATTGCAGTGAATGAAGGTCCTAAGCCCTTCCATCCACATAACTACCGTGGTGACTTGGATTTGCTAAACCCGGACCAGACCAGACTTTTTTGGCATTACGCGCAATCCAAGGACTTTCCCCTTTGAACGTCGCCCTCGATTGGAGGGATTCGTGTATGTGATTAAACGTAGCGACTGCAACAGCCCCAGTCTGTCACTTGCTTTCAGACAATACCAACTGAACCTGCAAGAATATAAAAATGAAGGTGGTGTCAGAAAACAAGGTATCGCCATCGTCGTCTCGTCGCTGAGCTGAAGTGCAAATAGTTGAAAAGGGAGGGCCAGGCCAAACGTCGGCGAGAAGCTGGTTGCCGTCACCTAACGGAGTGAGAAGCCCTTCCTCTTGCCCTCCTTCTCGATAGGTCGACCTTGTTCGATGCGAGTTTTCTTCTCCTCGAGCTCAGCACGTTGTCTCTCCAGCTGTTCTTTCATCTCGCGATGGCGGGCGAACAGCTCTTCCTCGCTCTGCTGCAGCTTGCTTTCCTTTTCTTGTACCTTTTGCTGGAAGACCATCTTCATCTCTGCCTCCATCTTGGCAAGCTTCTGTTCGTGCAAAGTCCTCTCTTCCTCTTGCTTCACGGCGGGGTTGACCTCCTTGAAGACACTCGGGTCTTGAGAAACACCCATCTGGATGAGTTTGTCGGATCGGTAGTTCTCGTACAAGACGTTGTTGGTGTGTTCCTTGAGTTCTTCCATGTGTGTTCGGATCAGCATTTGTCGAAGCTTGACAAAGTCGCAGTGCTCCTCGTTATCCACCTCGATGATACCCCATGGGTAACGACGGCCGCGCACTTTTCGACCTTCAGGGTTGGTCACTTCGTAATTGGCACCCACAACGGCGAAAGGAACCTTGGACATGATCTCTTGGTTCTCGGCAATCGTCTCTTCATCGTCAAGTTCATATCTTGGACCTTCGAAGATCTGGATCGAGTGGTGGGAGATGTCGGCCAGGATCTAGCTAGGTTAGCACACCACTATTCTACAGTCAACACAGACTGGAGGCTCACTCTTTGCTTGAACAGTGCCACCTCTTCATCCGTCAGGGTGTCAGCCTTTGCAATGACGGGAATGAGGTTGACCTTGGTGTGTAGGCGGCGCATGACTTCAATGTCCAGGGGCTTCAAAGAGTGGCCCGTAGGCTGAATGAAGTAGACACAGGCGTGGACTCTGTTGTCAACAATGTTCATCCGGTTGACCTTGTTCTCGGCCTCGAGGTATGCATCGTATCTCTGCTCAATATTTTCCACAATAGGCCTCCAAGAATCGTCGTTGTTGACGAAATCTCCAAAGCCGGGTGTGTCAACTACTGTCAACCTCAGTCGAACGCCATTCTCTTCGATATCGGCACTGATGGACTGAATGGATACAGTCTTTGGGATAATGTCCAGGCTGGGGCCTTTGCGCTCGCGTGGCGGGTAGAGAGAAGTGTTGAAGAGGGTGTTGATCAAGGTAGATTTTCCCAGTCCAGATTCCCCTGAGACATGTCAATCCCGGTTGCGCAACACCATCTCCTCGTCTTGAACCTACCGACAACCATGACGTTGAAGTTGAAACCCTTTCTGACACTCTTGCGGTGCCACTGATTGGGGAGATTGGCAAAACCGACATAGCCAGTCAGTTTTCTTCTAACCACATTCCTCATATCATTTGCGGCCGCAGCTGCGGCCTTTGGATCTTTGGAGGTGACAGTCTGTGCAGCGTTGGCCCCCATGGGGTTGCTTTCCTTGACATAGGGGGATGCCGGTTTGCCATTAGGAACGCTGGGGGAAGGAGAGTTCCGAACACCGTTGGGTGAGACTGCAGCTGTGTTTGGAATCAGGTCAGCCATATTCGTCTGGGAAGTAGTAACTTGAATTGTAGGCAAGGTGAAGTGGAAAGTTTGTCTCTCTTGACGATCAGCGACATCAGACACCTTCGAGTCCGCGCCTGGGCTGACCGCACCCCGGAACACCATTGCCACCATTTTCAGAAGTTGCGGTCATGCAAATCAAGAAAGATGTAGATTCAGAGGCCCCAGAAGGCTTGCAGAGAGACGGGAGAAAGACGTTGGATGAGGAAAGACAAAGACTGGAAGAGCGACGAACCCATGTTTCAAATGGAAGAAGTGTAGATGTGAAGACACGAGGTGAGAAGTGAACCAAGGCAACTGCGACCTGGAAAATGTCAGCATGCGCACACACGAAATGAGGTATGACAATCATGCGACGGGATGCGATGTCAGTTGTGCCTGCGAGGCAAGGGGCCCCGACGATTTTCGGGAGGCTTTGACATGCATGGACGGAGAGGGAGAGTGCGGACGTGGACATACAGGGTGATCCGGGCGAGAATCCTGCCGGTGATGGCGATGCTGGTAGGCCTTTTCGAATGAACGAACGTGAGAAGGAAGCAGAGACGCTCGACACAAAGAGAAGCAAAAAAAGGACACGCGGAGGAAGATAGACTGCGTTGTCTGATGGATTCGCAGGATGTTGGACCGTTGATCTGTCTGTCTTTCGCTGGCTGCACTCAAGCAACGGTTGGAAAAAGGGGATCACGCCAAGTCTGAATTGGGCAGACCGCACTAACTAGTACTGGCCGAGTGCGACGCCCGCCGCTGATTGGCCAAGTGCCCCCGGAGCTTTTCCAAGGTTTAGAGTGGTTTAGAGTCCGCCGTCCCATCTGCTGCACATCTACTGTACCAACCCCTGATCCTTCCCCGGCCCGCCCTTCAAGGGCGGCGATATACGAGTACGGGGCCCGCCGCCTGATCGACGAGCAGAAAAAGTGTATTAAATTACTAGTTTTGTCCGTACGAGGACAGCCCTGAAGAGCCGAAGATTTTGTGCATTATAGTACAGTCTATGTGTCTGTCATCGCCTGCCATCCAAAGAGCCTCGCCGCAGCTCTATTTAGGGTATCTCCAATATCTATATTTCCACGGCAAAAGGACGCAGTCTGTACCCAGAGTGCTGCAAATGTACACAGATATATTTACATCACCCCGGATCCTTCATCTGATCGTATCCGCTCCAGCTGCTTCAACAAGTATTGGTACAGGACAAGCATGGTTCCGCTTTGGACGCTTGTCCACACAAATCGTGGGCCAACGCCACGAAACAAGCCCGGCACGCCCTCTCGTTTGTAGATGAGCCGCAGCCCCGTCGTCACCGAGGAGGTGTCCAACGTAGGAGCTGTATGAGGTACAGTTCGAGGTCCCGAGTGGATCAACCGTGTCTGTGACTGTGAGGTCGGAGGGTTCTTCGTCATCTTCTCGTGGTGGGCTGCTTGACTGTGTTTGGTATGGTTATCTGGGGAGATCTGGGTTTGTATTCTTGTCTTGACCACGTCCAGCGGACAGGTCATGACACCCGCGAGGCCACCCGCCGATACTGCAGTCAAGACTTCCAACCCAAAGCCAATGTCACTCTTTCCACTCCATTTCTGTGCGAACTTGCGCTCTTGTTCGTAGAATGCGAATTGCAACGCTGAAAATGGGAGGTCCCTCACAATGGTGGCCTTGTATCCCGAATAAAGCGCTCCAAACCCTTCTGTTCTCGCTATCGTCTTGGCCGCATCCCAGGTAGATTTATAGTTGTATCCGGAATGGAAGAAGGGATTATTGTATCGCCCTTGGAGTTGCAGTCGGGTCTTGAGGACTTCGGAGGGGACATAGACAATCGACGCTGCGAAATCGGCGAGAAAACCTATTCTTCGTTAGTCACTGAGCCGTTTGCCGGGCAAGCCAGCGATCATACCGCTTGCAAGGTATGCAAGAGACGGGTTCATCCCTCTATCGAGCATGTGTCTCTTGCAGTATTCATAGGAACCAAAGAACATAACCGTGCCCGGGAACGAACCCAGCATGGCCGCCGTGAACCCTCCATAGAGGCCTCTCCTGACGCCTTCTTGTCGAAAAATCTTGACGTATGAATCTGACAGACTGGAGTATTTCGGAGGGAAATGAGGATCGCCTTGTTGTCTCGTCTTGACTGTGTCTAATGAGTGCATGAGGATGTCGCCGCTCGTTCCACCGATTCCACCAGCGAGCATTGACTGTGCTAAATGAGCTAAACGAACAACACGAACACAGGGTAAGGCAGCCATACATGGAGGTAAGGGGGCCTCTTCAGCTCATCGTCAATTTCCTCCTCCGCCAACTTCTCCATTGTTCGTTGGCGTTTAATCTGTCGTGCGCTGTCGATCTCAAATTCTGACTCGGCGGAGCCATTGCGTTGAATTTGGACAGAGTCTCTGCGTGTGCTATCTTGAGAGAAGAGGTTGGAAAGTCGAGAGGTTGCACTCATTGTAGGGCTTCATGCCCCGTGGAATCAGGAAGAAGACGAAAATCAGACAGGAAGGAAGGAAAGAAGGTAGAAAATACGTGCTGATTGAATGCCTGGATTCCCTCCGCATATGAATCTCGCCGCAGTTGAGGAGACGAAATTCTTTCGGACTTTAATGAGACTTTTGCTCGGCCGTTGCAGCGCAACCGAGCCTCATACTCGGCCCTATTCGGCGCCGCCCACAGCCTCGCCGGAGGTAAAGGGCTTCACACGATTCCCACGGGAGGAGACTTCATCTCTGTCACTTCACTCTAAAATTTCTCTATCTACATAGAGGCATTCTAATACTAACCTAAAGAGCCTAGCCTTTGACGGCGACGCCATCCTAGAAGATCACCCTTCCCTGCTCGATGTTTCAACTGGCGGGGACCTGCTTGGTATTGGAATTGCTGACGAGCATTCTGTTGTAAAGATAGCTCCAGTATATGATGATACTTGGGCAACCAACACTGGCTTTGAAGATCTCCAAAGTTAAAGATCCATGTACCAGCTTTGGGGATCTCACTCCGACAATGTCAATACATCTCCTCCGTCCAGCAAGGAAATGTTCTAAGAAGATTCGGCGGAGCACTCCGCAAAGATCCAGAAAGAAGGAAAACTTCTGTCCCGATCAGTCTTTGAAGTGTCTCGTCAGGTGCCGAAGGTCTAGCGTACTTGTGTTTGAAGGGTGTTGTGCAAGGAGGTCTGGGACCTCTACTACCACACCATTCTTCTCAACTGTGATGAGACCAAGTTATGAGACTTCGGACGCTCTTCGCTCTACGGCGAGCCTCTCAGAGTTGGTTATGAATGCAGATCTCGACCTTGGGAAGACTGTTACGGAGTACCCCCCCCCCAGCGCGTGACCAGCGTACCCGTCATTTACTCCCAACCAGTCTGTCAAAGGTCAACGATTTATCTTTTCCATTGAAGGGTGACTCACTTGGCTCACAGTCATCAGCGCATACAGCTTGATGAAGTCATGGCACCAGCCCCAGAGAATTGCCACCGGCAGAAAGACGACATCCCTCCAGTTCTCGCAGAAAAGAGGCAGTCTCTTTGCTATTTTGGCAAACAACCACCAGATGAGGAACCATGCGACCCATCGCCACTGCTTTTCATCTGGAGGAGCGATTCGCAGCCAGAGTCGCCAAAGCATAATGTCGGGAGGGAGGCCATAGTTCACGAATCCGGACAAATACAACGAGTAGGTGCCCCAGGAATACCTCCTTGGTCCTGATCAGAATAGCCCAAAGATGGAGGGAGTTACCTACCGCCAGTTTCTGAAGTTCCGTAAACTTCTCCAATTACTCCTTGGATTGCTCCTCTGCCATCGAACAAATCTCCAGAGCTCGGGCAGACTCGTACGGAATACGGTCTCAACTTGGCACTCTGGGTGGCATTGGACATTGATGTCCCAACCCTTCTCCAGTAAGTGACGTGTCCAGTAATTGTCATCATCAGCATTCAACTTTTGACCGTTCCATGTCTCCGATACAAACCCCTTCAGGAACTTAGGGTCTTCCACTATGTCCGACCGAAAGCCAGCCAAGCGTCCAGATAGACAGGAAATTGAACCATCTATCGTCAAGGTCGCTAGGTTCTCAAAATTTCGACGTGCAATATAGTCAGCGAAGATCCAGTTGATTACGCGTTCCGAGACTGATCCAGCTGCCAGGCGTCTAACTCGTTGGGAAGTTCCAACACCACCCACCTTGTCTCTCTCGAAGGCGGCAAGCATCCACCGAAAAGTATTCTCGGGAAAGGCTATATCGTCGTCTGCAAACACGATGATTTTGTGTGCTTCCTTGCGGACCCGTGGAACACGAGCGATGGCAGTGGCAAGTTGCTCCCGTTTATTGGCAAAAGGAGTCTGAGATACGTGGATATGTATATCATCATGCCTCTTGATGATTCCGTTCGACAGCGTGGTGACCAGGTCGAATGTGTCAGGAGGAGTACAGATCGATATATGCTGAATTCCAGCTCGTACATGGCATTGCAACCCCTCCGAGAGAGCCTTTAGCTCTTTACCCAATGTGGCAATCACGACCGTCACATCGGTGGGCGCAAGGTTCGGGTTTTCTGGGATACGGATTGGTTGATATCTCAGGTACGAGACACCCTGAATGATAAGGCGGAGATACTTAAAGATGCTAAACAGGTCATCAACAGGGTCACTCGCGGCTGCGTGTATGGACTTACAACAACACCATGAAATAGAGCAGGGCTCGATCGTCCATCGTTGGCGAGGCTGACTCGGTAATCTTGTCGGTCGTTAAGCAAAACCACGATCGACAGATTGCCATGGCCCAGGGCAAGAGTTCTCAACATAGGGCTCAGGGAACAGAAAGCATTATCATGGCGAATATATCAACGCCGCGTTCGGCAAACACACGTCGAGGAAGGCTTAACAAGACGATGTATTTACTGCATACGTGGGCAATTCAAGCAAACTTGTGCTACATCGTCTGCGATGTCTGTCATAATATGACGATCCTTGAATGTGGAATGTCCTTGAATTTGCGAAATACTCTGACATGTTCCGGATGCCGTCGCTGCCTCATTACAGGGTTGTCGTCATTGAATCACTGTAGAGTTTCGACTCTGTGAGGCGATGTGAATGGCAACCCCTGGTTTTGCTGAAGGGAGTCATCGACCTTGCCTTCCAGATCAGAGTCTCTCGTACCTTGAAGCGAGAGTGTGATCTGCATCTTTATTCAAACAGAGCCATCGCTTGTCCGGTGACCTCGGCAGAGTCATATTGCTTCTCGACATTCACGGCGATGGAATTCTTAACAGGAGAATACTAACGTGGACCAGCGTTTGACGTTATTCATTACTTTCTGCAACGTCACCGAATAGCCCTTCAGCTCCGTTTAATGAACAAGGTTCATTTCACTACCGTACATGACAAAGCAAGATCCTGCCATGGAACATATATATACAAGGTCTCGCTCAGTCGACAGTCAGAAGCTGCTCCATGAAAGCCCCAATCTCTCGTTCACGGTCGACCAAGTGCACCTCGAGGATCCAATGTCTCTTGTTACCCTTTGCGTCGGTCTTGCTCATGGACTCGCCATTTCCCTCGGTGATGTACAGTGCGATCTTGTCGTTGGGGATACGCTCATGCGGAAACGACCCGACTAGATGTCCGGCGATCTGGCCCCCAAATTCCCACCCGGCATTTCGTGCCTCGTTGCAGGCTATTTCATACAGTTGACCCCCTGTCATTTCGGGATTGTCGTGGTAGCGTGCCTTGACCGTGTTCCAGACGGGATCCAGGGAGTCGCGCAGCTTCTTCTTCACTGGATCGTCGCCCAGGACGAAAGTCCGGCCAAAGTCAGCCTCCCACGCCTCGAATACGGGGCCCAGGTCGACGAACAGAATATCGTCGGGCTGGATAATTCGGTCGGGCGGGTTCTCCGCATACGGCATGAGTGTGTTGGGACCGCTGCGGACAACTCGCTTGTGCCAATGCGTGCGGACGTTGTGGCGTCGAGAACCGAGCTCGTGGATCTCGTTGCTCAGGGTCTTTTCGCTTATGCCAGGACGTATGAGGTCTCGTTCTATCTCATGGAAGAGCTGGAGTGCCATTTCCTGTGCCTGCATGAGGTGGTTTGCGCGCTGCTGCTCGGTCAAGGTGGACATGTCCGTCGCCATGGCTGCAATTTATTCTCCTTGAGAGGGGGTTTGAGCTTATGAAAAGAGCACCCGGACCTTCAGGAACGGTTTGGATAGTGGCTCTGCCGTGATGGCTGTGGACAAGAGAAGGTGATGACTTGCGAAGGAGCTTGACGTTCGAGTATCTCTTCGGTAATGTTCGGGATGAACTACCGGAATCGGAGGGGCGAGGGCGAAATTGCGGGGCAGACGCCTCTAGCGGTAAGACGAACTTGCTCAATACCGTATGGTACAGGAGAAAACGATGTAACATACCAAAACATCTGACCGAGAAGAACACCTACAGTACCTATATAGCACGCCCTTCGCCCGTCTACCGAGTTGTGTTTTCTGACCTTCACAAGACTGAGCCACTTCCCTCCAGTCAGCAATGGACGACTCCGAGCATATCGCTTCCAAACCTGACATGGGTCGCGCACAAGTCGTCACGTCCGACTTCGCCCAAACCATCTGCTGTCCCTACCACGGTCACCTTGAAAAGGCGACGGAAACTTTTCTCTTTGAACATCTCAGACGTTGTGGATGGACCGAAGAACAATTAATGGCATTGGACAGGCGTTATAACGATGCAGAATCCCAAAGTTGCATTCTATTTGGAGAGGAAGAGTCACACGAGGAGAGGGACTACAAATTGCAACGCAAGCTGCAGGATGCGCTACAACAGCGACTGCTCATTGCCAGAGCAATGGGCGCTACGCAACCTCATAACGACGACTGTACCGACGAACCCGGACTCCAGCAGGGGGAGCCGTAAACGAGGAAGGAGAAGGGAGGGGGGGTGGGGTGAAAGTTGAAACTTGACTGGGTCGGTCAATACCACATGTAGCTAGCGTTTGTTCAACATTACATTGTTGATCTTCTTATAATATGTCAACCAACCGTCAAAGTCACTTGTTGCACGGAATGGTGCCCTCTGTACCTATGCTTACATGTAGTTTCTGTATCAATCCATTTCCAAGATGTACGCGACTTGATCTGAACGTTCCGACGATGAGTGTTCCTTTGCCCACCAATTGCCATGATACGTCCACCGGGCAGCTGCTTTGCTGGTTCGGACTTAGGACATCTGGCATGTAACAGTAGATATGACGGAACTGCAAGATATAATGTGTGAATGGGGGGGGCTTTGCTGAGCGCCAACCGTGAGAAAGGCCATCGCCATGATCCATATCAACACCACGCGAATGCTACAGACATCCACGTCTATGTTTGTGGGCTCCTGGTGACGAGTGCAGCAGCTCTGAGCAAGCATCACAGGCCCTGTGGGCGTGTCTCACTGTGTCCTCAATCCAGTCTTTTGAGCTTTGGTGTTTATAGTGCTCTACAAGATATTGATAGAGCATAGTACGATTGGATCTATTCGTGGTTTTCCTTGTCCAATTTTCATGTCTCGACTTGTCAGACACCAAAACCTATCTGTGACTGTCTGGATTTGCGACGGTAGAGTAGAATATACTGTCGAGGAGGATTCGCTTGTGTGTCCTTTCGACAGTTTGCCCTCCAAGCACCTTCGCCTTCTACAGGTATCCTCTCTTCTAGGCGTTCAGGTACAGGGCGACTCTGCCATACTACAGAGGTCCAATCATAGGCTTTTCCAATGTCCCACTCCCCATCATTTTGTCTAACCGTGAGAGGTTGAAAAGGTTCCTCGTTCTCTGTAGAAGGGTTCCAGGGGAGGCCCAGACTATATATGTGTCTAGCTATCTATAGGTAGCCAAGGAAAGGTCTGAGAAGGCTGGTGAAGCCTATAGTGAGGCCCTCGCCTACTCTAGTTTCTGACACATTTTCGTAGTATGTTGCACGTACTATTGGTCCAGGCGTATACAAAGGGGTATGACAGAGTCCCAATAGACCTATATGTGGGTTATAGTACCAAGTCCACAACTGGATGCAACTCTGGCGTCCTTGGATTTGAGCCGACGAAGATTCTATACTTTCAAGCCCTCCATTGAACAGTTTCTCCAAGTTCCCACACTTACGGGGAGAGAAATTAGCATCTTATGAACTCGTCCAACTGTAAGTGAAGTGATCATCCTCTGCTTCGTCTCTGTTATTCAGTTCCCGACCTCCGAAAGACTGCCATATTTCGACGTGAATCTCGACGCAGGTACTCCCCCCCCCCCTTGTTCAGCTTCTAGGTTGACTCGGACTCGTAGGTCGGTGGCGCAGTGAGCGCAGTATAAGAGGTCCAGGCTTCTCGTCCGACCGCTCAAGCAGCCTACTCGAAGCAAAAACGCGTCTATAATTACCGCGCAGATTCGACGCTGAGCGTGACAGCAACCGAATTTCTCGAACTGATTGATTGCAGGCAAGAGCCTTTCCCAGATAGAACCAGCAATGTTGTGGATCGAAGTTGTCTCCAACATACTCGGTGGTTGAGCTGATAGGGATACAGATAGTTGGTAGACACCGTGAAGCAGAAGCTTCCCCTTGACAACTCGAGCGTCGAGATTCTCCGCGTGCTGATACCCCAATTCACCGCTCCATTTGCAATTGTGGTGTAACTCTGAAAGATGCGGACCGTACTGCGGGCCTTTTTCATATCCCCTCAGAAACGCATCCACTTTGTTTCGACAAAAAACATGAGAGCTACAGTCCCAGCACCGGATTGGGCCAATGTCAGCCGCCCTATTCTGATGCTTGTTGGGACAGCGGTATCGTGAGGACTTTTGCCAGTTGTATAGGAAATTGCAGCAGAAGCATGCCATCATCTCGGGTAAGTCCTCCTCCAGAAGCAGGAGGAAGCGTCGTTTTTCTCCGAAGTCGTCCCAAAATTTCGGGTCGAATTTGCCAATGAGAGCACGGTGATTCCATTTCGAGGTAGTACTTAGACAGGCGATGGAGCTCTCTGGCAAAAACGAGACGACATGCAGTAGAATCTCCAGCGGTAGCGTCCCCAAGGTCGAGTTTCGTATTTCCGTCGGTGGCCTCTCCAAAGTCGAGGTCGATGTGGATTCCATTCGCACTGGGGGCAAAGGCTTGAACATGATTGCGAGGCAGCGTCTAACTCGTGACGAGATCCCGTCTTCCGGGGGACGAAGTGAGTACTTGGTTACGTCGCTTGATATAATATTTAGGTACAGGATAATTGGAATTTCATCGACCGCCGTGAGCTTGTTCCCAATATGTCGGAGCGATGAATCTCAAGAAGATAAGTAGGGAGTCAACAGGCTTATAATTATCACAGGTAATCAAGAGAACCAAGAAGGAACAGGCTGCACCGGGCGGCTCCATTATTCAGCCTCAACCTTCGGAGCACCAGGGGTCGCAGCCTTGCCAAGCCAGGCCCTACCTTGATAGGTGTGGATATTGACAAGTGTATTGGTGGATATCCATGGCATATTTTCTTGTACACTGACTCACCGTCCTCCTCAAAACTCTCTTGTGAACCAACACCCTGCGCCTCTTTTGCGCCTTATGAACCACGACGCAAGTTACTCGCTGGTTGGCCCGCTGCGGTGACGCAATTGGCCACGAGGGAGGTTTTTGGCTGACTACGAGAGACGGCAATCCAATAGCTGAACCTCTTGAGCGCATAGGTCCTCCGACTGGAAGTTCCCTGGTCAGTCGCTTACTCTACCTCCCGAGCAGACTCTGTGAAGCAAGTGGATTCCTTCATGTGACTTAAGACCCCGCCTGAATACCTACCTAGAGAAGACCGCTACAAGGCAAAAGAACTGTGTGACCAACAGATGAGGCGAACTTTTGCCAAACGAGCCGAATAACGACTTACAAGACCCATTCAAGAGCATCGGGCATTACTCCGAGGGACGGACCAGTGTCCGAGGTTCACGTCGGAGGGGCTTTTGAGTGCTAATCAGGGTCATCATGGCTGGGGACAGAGCCATTCTCAGGTGAAGCATCACGCAGGTCTATTCATATATGCTCATTAAAGTGATGTGCTGCTGTGATTCCTTGACGCGAAGTATATTAGCGATCAGGTAGCCAGATGTATGGTAGAGTACTACGGAATGCTGCCCGAGGGAAGCAGACTGACAGAAAATGCGACTACGACAATGTGATCCCCCGCAGGCAGGATTGAAGTGCGAGGGAGAGGGGAAACCACCCGAGCCCGACTCTGTACACGGAGGACACTCCCGATGTTGGTGCACGAAAACAGCCTTCGTCGTCTCGATCAGGCAGGTGAATTACTCCTCATGGAACGACGAAGAGTAAACGCGTTTGTACTTTGGCATACTTTGTACCGATGTCGAGAATAGTGGCAAATGTGCGACGAGTGGACGTTATTGATTCAACCAAGGGGTACGTCAAAGTCTATCTACTCGCATTCACCTGGTCCGTTTAGTCGTGACCATCACTCCTTCAAAAAGATGGTATCGTTTGAACTGCTGCTTTCAAAATTCGAGAATGCCTTAATTGGTCTACTACTGTATCAATCTATGGAAAAGGCTCGCTCAATCAACCATACACAGTTATACGTAACATGTACACGCCATGGCCATAGCCATGACTCTCTCTCTCACACACTCTCTCAATATGGATTCCCCCCTCACCTCACCCGAGGACTTCCATTGGACCGTTACGATGACGATATGATGGGTCCTAGAGGAGGGCGACTCGCGGCCAAGTTACACTGGCGGAACAATCGGACCTCGTCCTCTGCAAATGCCCCGACGACAGTGTGCAAGACCCCATGGTTGTTGAACAAGACTAGGTCACCCTCTTCCCAGTCATGCGCGTAGACGTACTTGGGAGCGATCGCGGGCCGTTGCATGCTGTGCACTATCTCGCGAACCTTTGCCAGGTCGTCGATCACGGTGCCGTCTTTCAGATGGATCTTGCGCACCACGGAAGGGTGGATCTGTAAAGCGAACCGGCCCGTGACGGGGTTCTTCCACACCATGGGAAGGATCTGGGTATCGGTCTCATTCTCGATGGGAGGCAACTCGTCGATGGGGACTTCCTTGCCTTCGGAGACCATCCCGAGGCCGTCCGAACGGGACTTGGTAGTCGAGATCCAGACGTACGGATGAGGTGCGTACTCGACTTTGGACGTCAGGGCAAAGTCTTTTTGCTCGAGAGTCAGGTTGTCGAACATCTTGTACCCGGACACGAAGGCGGTGGTGCCGAGGGGGACATCGAGGACATCGTCGGTCCCGTCGTCATACAGGACCGTCTGTCTCCTGCCGCCGGGCACCTTGACGGCCAGCAGGGATGTAACGAGCGGCGGGTTGAGTTGGCCGTAAAGCGCGGCGTCAATATGCCATCGGTAGAAGCGGGTATAGTCTAGATCCTGTGCGTTCGGGATCACGGTCTTGTGGAAGGTTCGATGGTGGGGATGTCGCAGTGTGATGTTCTTCAGGCCCTCGTACTCAGGCACGAAGCCGTTGCCGATGACCTGGACCTCGGGCTGGTGAGGGATGGTTTTGAGGTCGGGATGGAGGACGGAACGTTTGGCGTCTATGGTCCTGCCATGTCCGTATGACAAGGCCGCCGGATCGAAGCGGCGAGTCAATTCGGCTTGGTCTTTGGGGGTCAGTTTGCCTTGCGATTTGATACAGAGGACGTTGTGCGTATAGAGGGCGTTGTGGAGGACGGTAAAGTCTTCCTCGGACATGTGTGCTGGGTCGATGTTTTGGACCAATGCTCCTAGACCCGGGTCGGAGGCATTGATGGGCTGGACGATGACGCTTGACATTGTGGGTATGTGTTGGTATGCTTCGCTGCTCTTTTTAGGTCTGTATGACTGCGAAGTGAAGTAGTCCTGTGAAAGGAAGGAATGACATTGATTGATGTGTCTGCATTTATAGACATTCTGCAGAGACTTTGTTATCGGACAGCCAGGCCGCCATCGCAGGCATCGCAGGCGCATGCGTTGACTGACATGTTCGTAAACGGACAACAGCTCGAACAAGGCCATCGGAGGCTGCCATCGCAGACGTGCTTCGGACCAATGACCTGTGGAATTTCTTCTCTGGGCGACCTTGGGCTCTTTGGGCTCGTACAAAGTAAGTGGGCATGGTGAGAGGACGCGCAAGAAAGATAAGGAACTCACTTACATGCGTGCTATTGAAAAGGGCCTTTTCATTGTACGAAGACCCACTCGCCGGCGAGATCCAGCCTCGGGACTTCGGTCATCGCCGCCCGTTTACGGAATGCGAGAGCGAGAGCGAGCTTACCTCAGCAGCTCTCACTGTGTCCGCGTACGAGGTAGACTACGTCATGGGATGAGATAGATAAAAACATTTGCTTTCTTGCCTGACAAGCTGGAAGGATCTGCCTTGGATGCTTCATAGGCTTCTTCATGAGGTAGACGCAGATTTTCCTTGCGTAAATTGTAAGAGGAGCTCTTGTCTGCAGACGTTGCCTGAATCGGCTTCTCGATACCTACATTCAAGGAGCGCGAGCAAAATGCAATAGTGGTGGGTAGTCGTCACTGCAAAGGACAGCCTGGTGCCCGTGCGATTCCCCGAGAATATGAAGCTCTGAGACCTGAACTTCGTAGGTATAGTTTCGGGCCTCGTTCTTTGATATTGCTGGACTAATGTAAGAGAAGAGCAGAATCAAGGTCTCTAGAGATATGGTGAGCCTGATGCCGGGCACCTAGGTACAATTGGGGGTTCTGGGCCCCTTGTGATTGGCACCACGTATTCATTGCGTCTCGCTTAGAAGGCACTTATAACCCTAACCCTTAAGAAGCCCAAAGGGTCGCCGCCTAACTACAGCCTATAGATACTCCCCAGGCGGAAGGTTCGTTCTCCTTTCTGCTCACCACCGCCATCAACCTTCTTGTCTACAACTCACTCTCAAACCCATCCTTCATACGTCCACTGGTTTATCACCTCAATATGCCTTCACCAACAGACAATCTACCAATCTACATCCTCTCATCCATCGTCCTGCTCGGCGCTTTCTCCAGATTCACCCACGGTGTGTACACCCCGCAATTCTATGCCTTTCAAGAAAATCACGCTCCCGACGATGGATCTTTGACAGCCACCATAACTCCCATAGTCGACACTCTGGTTGGACTCAGCCTGCTCTTTGGGAGCCGTGTGCTTAGACTTTTTGCCGCGTCCCTGTCCGTCGTGTTCTTTACGCTCGGGCTCGGTCTACAAATGCAAGCCGACAAAGCCTACGGCCCGGATGTAGCGCTTGTGGTACTGGGCATCGTCGCTCTCTTCAGCCAACTTCGAAAGTAAGCTTGACCGGGGCGGTATGAAACAGAGCTCAAGCGATGCAGCCATGGTCCGTCACTCCCTCTTCAACCCGACTTTCCCGGCCCTCCTCAAACCAAAGGCCGCGACGAAAGCGCACAGGATCATGGCGCCAAACATGGCCCAGAAGCTTGCTCGGTAACCCTTCAACAAAGCCGGCGGAGAGGCCTTGTCTCGATATCTTGTATCCTCTGTGACAAGATTGGAAATTACTTGCATGGTACTCAACCCCAAAGCGATGCCAAACTGGGTGACGGTGCTAAACACCGCGCCTGCCAGAGCTTGCGTTTGTTCCGGGAACCCATCGCTGATAACAACCAAGCCAACGGTGTACAAGATATCACCGGCCGTCGGCTCCAGAACCTGTGCAAAGAACGCACCCCGCCAATACTCCAACTTGGGACTGATCAAAGCCATTAGTAACGGCGATCCGGCTGTGCAGATCGAGGCGACCAGTACGAGCCACAAGACCGGGATTCGGTCGACCAGCAAGCCTGTGGACAAGTTAAGGATCGTTCCAAAAATGAGCGAAGGGAGGAGTCGGAGCGAAGCTTGAATTGCAGAGAGCGACTGCACCTCCTGGAAAAACAGACTGGAAAAGAGCTCCATAGAATTCATGACAGCCGAAGACAACAGCACAGTGACACACACGCTCGTGAAAGCGCGGTTCTTCCAGATCGAGTTCGGAATCAACGTCGGACGCCGTTTCTTCTCCTGAAATCTGATCCAGAAAGGAAACGCGGCCATCAAGACGACACTCGTGGCCAACAGCGCAAGAGCATTCGGTCTCTCGATGCTCGCGCTGTCCGCACTCAACGTCCTACACACCCAACGGAGTTAGCACCATCGTTTTGGTTTCTCTTTGCTGTGTTTACAACTTTGAAGGGGCGATAGAAATAGCAATAGCCAGCAATATCTATCTGTAGTCGTTTGAGCAGGGCCCTGCCTGGTTCACTTACGCAAGGACATAAGACAACATTGCCAATCCGCCACCTGCAATCATGGCGCCAACCCAGTCCACCTTCGTCTTGAGCCGGCGTAGCTTTCCCGTCGTCGATGTGTGCGCATCAGGCTCCAGCACAAAGAAGCCCAAGGCAGCGAACGCCAGGATTGCAGCGCCCGGGATGAAAAACCCCGTTCTCCAACCCGTTGTGTCGACAAACACCCCGCCCAGCACAAGGCCAAACGAAAAGCCTAGCGGTTGACTGAGGCCTAGGCACGAGAAGGCGATATTGCGCGGCTTGCCGCTGGGTACGGTCTGAGTCACCATGCTCACCGAGCAAGGCCAGTGCAGGGACATGGCGACCCCCATGAAGCCGCGGAAGACGACGAGTTGCACGCCCGTCTTGCTCAGGCCGCACGCCAGCGTCGATATCCCAGCAGCGACGACGCCTGTGAGGTCGACGACGCGGCTACCCACGACGTCGGCGACGGCCCCGGCGAGCAGGAGCGCCGCGCCGCTCGTCAGCCCCCAGATCGAGGTGGGCCAGAGATACAATTCCTGAGAGAGGACAATGTCCTGCGCGATGGCGGGCAGTCCGACCACGATGACGCCGTTTGCGAACGACGCCAGGAAATTGATGGCCGAGAGCTGGAAGATGATGGTGGCAGTGTGGAGGCCAACCCAGCGCGAGGACGAGGACGAGGACGTCGCCGTGGCGGTGGTGTGTTCGAGCTCGCCGTGGTCTCTAGCTGGAACCATGTTCACGTCGACGGATCCATCTGGCATCGCGGCGATAGTGTTGCCCGAGGCTAGCGACAAAGAGGCGCTTGTGCGTAATGGTCGTGATGTTTGGCCATGATGCACCGCGGGCGCGAGGTCGCTCAGTAGAACCACGGCATGAGTAGCTGTTGTGGACATCATTCGACCGACTATCTACTAGATAGGTAGGGAGTTGTTGTCGTCCGGGCGTACGTAAGGTATCTCTTTGATGTAAAAGGGACGATTCCGAGTTCTTTCTTCATTTACTGCGTATCGCTGGAGATAGAGCCACTCCCCTGAAGGTTCTGTGTCAGGTATCAAGATAGTGAAAGAGGCAACCACCGTCACCGACTGGCTATATACTGTACCTACCTGGGGTACTAACTACTGCAAGATCCAGGCGCCCTACGAAGGATTACTCTCCTCCTAACTAGTTAGATGCCGTCCAAGTGGGCCGGTGGGCCGATGGGCCGGACCTGTATTCGCCGGTTGGTGGGCGCGTACCTCCGACTCTCACTCTACCATACTGTACGTACATACACCTATTCTACCACCTATACCTACAGTACGTGGTAGTACTTCGTACCGAGGCGTCTCACCATCACCAGCATATGAGTTATGTTCCCTCACCCACTGCAAAGGTTTGAGCTCGAATTTTCCCGATCAACCGAGCTTCATTGCACCGGCTGCGCACGTGCTGGGGATCGCCCAGTCCCTTGTTCCCATCGCGTACTTTGCGTTGCATTTCCCTGATGATTGAGACCGTGCTCTCTCAGACGGCAAACTTCCTACGCAGTAACAGGCACCTGGACTGGAGACCGTCACCTCCTGCGACCTTGAACTGGTTTCTCATAACGTTGCAGAGATATCCTGAGTAAGCCGTGGCCAATGCCCGGTCACATCAAAATGCAGTCTGCGGGCGAGTGACTACATGACCCGGGAGGGGAGAGGATCGCTGGAGAGGATCCTCCTTTCAGGCTCCATGTATGGCGTCTAGTCCTTCCCCCCCCCTCCCCCTCTGGACACGGCTTCATGTTTTGCCCTGGACCATTCGGGGGGAAACCCCCTCGTTATTTGGTTGGGGTCTCGGCATATGTGCGGCACTTGAGACTACGGGCTATGGACCTGTGTCGAGTGCGAGAAACGCTCGTTAGCAACGCCTAAGCTCGGGAATGTCGACTGCCTGTCGAACACACGACCCCTGGGCCTTCTATGGACCAGAGACAGGTCATGGCTCGAACTGCCATCTATGTGGACTTTGTGGCGTGCGGCGGCAGTCCTTGGCTCCTTGTACACGTAAGTCCCAACAAGGCTTCGCAGCTCAACATTGCCCAAGATATGTATGCTTGTATACCTGGGTAGGGTGCTCGGCGCTATATGAGCTAGCTGTCAATGGGCCCTATAGCAACAGACGCAGACATACAGTGGAAATGATCAAGTGACCAGGTGCATGTTCCTGCACAGGACCACCACGAAAGCATTGTTAGGAGAGAAAAAAGCGAAATATCCAACAAGTCCTGAAACAGCTACACAATGAAATGTGTGACTTCTGGCTCACCGTTGCAGTACCTTCTTACGAGAGTGGAACGATCAAAGTGCAAAATCCAACATGTCGCCGCTGTGCAGATGCATGATTACTGGCGTTGGAAGACAAGGCAATCCATGCGTGACTTTTTGCCTCAAAAAGAAACCCGATGTTTTATACATGGCCCCAGTCCAGCTTCCGCCGCGCTAAAATCCAGCCAAACCCACCTGAAGAGTACTACAACAACATCTCCAAAGGATTTTCTACCACCTTCTTCAGTTCCCGGATCCATTCGCCACCAACAGCACCATCGACGACTTTGTGGTCAAAGCTGGCCGTGACGATGATTTGGTCATCCCATTCGGTGATCGTGCCTTCTTCGGTTTCGAGAGGAACGGGCACTTTACGAGTGGTGCCAACTGCAAGAATGCCAGCCTGAGGTGGGTTGATAACAGCGGTAAATCTTTCGATGGCAGGGTTCATGCCCATGTTGCTAATCGTGAATGTGCCTCCTTGGTATTCTTCAGGCTTGAGCTTGCCGTCGCGTGCTCGCTTCCCAAGATCCTTGACTTGTGCTGAAATGGCTTGAAGGCCAATACTCTCTGCGTTCTTCACGATTGGAGTCATGAGACCGACAGGAGTGGCAACAGCAACACTGACGTCGACAACGTTGTGTTGGCGGATCACTGTTTGCCCATCGATTTCTCGCCAACTTGAGTTAACGGCCGGGACCTTCTTGCAAGCAACCGCGCAAGCCTTGATCAGGAAGTCGTTGACGGACAGCTTGTATTTGCCATCCGAAGCAGCATTGAGCGCTTCCCTGAGCTTAAGCAACTTCGACACGGATAGTGTGGTTGAGACAAAGTAGTGGGGGTTTTGGTTCATCGAATCCTTGAGCCTCGTAGCAATGGTCTTGCGCATTGAGCTGGCTGGAATGTCCTCGTAGGTAGGGCCTGCAGCGGCGGCGGCAGGTGCTCCTGCTCCCGCCGAAGGCTTGAATTTCTCGATGTCTGCAACAGTGACTCGGCCCCCAGGACCCGTACCCTTGACAGACTTGATGGGAACGCCCTTCTCAAGGGCCAGTTTCCTGACAGCTGGGCTCACGGTTGGCTCTCTGTCTAGGACGCTCTGAAGTCGTTCGCCACTTGTATCGGCCTCAACAGCTTCGGGTGTAGCCTCGCTCGACTCCTTCGCGCCCCCAGATGGTGCGGTTGCTGAGCCGGAATCTGGCGACTCTGTAGCCTCGGAAGCCTCCTCCTTTGGTGCTTCCTTTGGAGGAGCCTTCTCGCCGCCGGCGTCTTCGAGAGTAAAGGATTCGAATGCGGAAACGTCTCCACCTTCTTCGACCATAACAGCAATTGGCTAGAGTTCAGTCAGCAAGCTTATCGCTCGTTGCGGGTTCTGGGAATCTTTACATTGCCAACCGCAACATCCTTCTCTCCAGACTCCTTCAAAATCTTCGCCAGAACACCTTCCTCTTGGAATTCAAAGTCCATCTGAGCTTTGTCCGTTTCGATCTCGACCAGGACATCACCGGGGGCTAGAGTGTCGCCGACGTTCTTCTGCCAGGCACCGATGTTTCCCGCCGTCATTGTGGGTGAGAGGGCGGGCATAGTGATCACTGTATGGGGAGGGAAGGCTGGACGTAACAATGTCAGCACTCGCAATGTATTTGATTAGACTTCGATTGAGATGACTGCGCACATTTGGAGGCATAGTAGCGACCAAGAACTGAGAGACAAGGAAACGGCTGGGATCTGGTAGGAGTTGGTCAGTTCCTCTAGCTACACTTCCGTTTGGACACCTGACGCACCCTGCCGTGTTCTGTAGTCTTTGCAAAGCAGTGCGGCTGATTCGAGCGTTGGGAGAAGTCTGCAGGAGAAGCCTCGACCCCGAACGAGCGAGGAGTGTTGAGGTCGCCATGGTAAAGGCCAGCAGCTGCACAAAATACTATCGCAAGCCCCTATGCAACCGGGCAAGGCAAATGAACGACAGAGGAAGAGAAGAGAAAGCCCGACAGCGAGTTTGGTAGAGAAGACAGACTGTTGGCGGCAGCTTCCCAAGAAAATAACTTGTCGGGCGCCGGAGGGAGAAGCTCTCTTGTCGGCGTTGGGAATTGTTGCCCGGAGCCTCGCCCGCCCATAGGCCCGTTGGACACGCTGGCGGAGTTCGATGGAACCCAGCTGCAGGGTGCACGAGACTTCGCTTCCCTGTGCCCCTGCTCAACCGTTCTTTTCGCGTCTCAGGTCCCTGGACTCGAACCCATGAACTTTATGCTCCTCTGCGGCATGCGCTTAGGAGAACAGGATATCTGTACACTGTCCTCTGTCCGGCTCCCCAACACTAATCTGGCAGCCTCGACGACTGCGATGTGCCCGATGTATCTGACTATCCTACGACCATCCTGATCCCTCTCTTGGCTCCAACCCGAGTCTTTCCTCACTTGCCGGCCAGATGTCTGGCGTAGAAAGTGAGCAGCATCAGCCCGAACCCCTCCCAGACGAAGACGGCCCGCAGCGCAAGAGTGTCTCGGACGAAGAGGTGGAAGAGACCGAGCATGGCCACCCATCAGAGACACCTTCTGAGGCCGCTGTACATCCTGCAGTCACAATAACGGTTGAAGATGCCGATGCGGAAGACGATTCTCCAGACGAGACAACGCAGGACAATGCGGGTGACAATGAATCGCAAACCGACGGTACAACGCCCACTGAGTCTCATGTGGATTCCGGCGAAATACGTCACTCACAGGAGCGGGTAGATGCCTGGACTCCTGATACTGCGATTCCGTCCAATGACTTAGAGGGTGCTGGAGAGAGCAAGGAAGACTCTCTGTCCCAACCTTCACAAGATGACAGTACCGAACAAGCTCCGCAAGAGACAGTCCCAGCCGTCAGGCCGACGAGATCAGATTCGAGGTCTACGGTGGTGTCCCGGGCACTACCTGTCACTTCGACGGTCTTCGTAGTCAGTGCACTGGAGACCATCGGGGCAGCGAAGGAGGTGCGCAAGAACAAGGAGTTTACAGAAGCTGTACAAGCAGCTTTGGCAAACATCAAGAACTCGGAGCAACCAGTCAACCCAGAGATCATCTTTCAGCCTTTGCAGATGGCCACAAAGTCGTTTAATGTACCTTTACAAGTCACGGCACTCGACTGCATCGGCAAGCTGATCAGCTATTCTTATTTTGCGTTTCCAGCTGTTGCGACCAACCATGCTGGTGACACCGACACACCGCCCCTCATTGAGAGAGCAATTGAGGCCATTTGTGACTGTTTCGAGAACGAAGCGACCTCGGCTGAAATCCAGCAGCAGATCATCAAATCCTTACTTGCAGCTGTTTTGGATGACAAAATAGTAGTGCATGGTGCCGGACTACTCAAAGCTGTCCGCCAAATATACAACATCTTCATCTATTCAAAGTCTAGCCAGAACCAGCAAGTCGCGCAGGGATCTCTTCTTCAGATGATCGCAACTGTGTTTGACCGAGTTCGAGTCAGATTAGATGTGAAAGAAGCGCGTCTCAGGGAGCAAACCTCCAAGTCTGAAGAGAATCTTTCCGGGGATGCCTCCGTGTTCGAAAACACGTCACTGAATGGACTAAATGGACAATCGGATACCCCTGATCAAGAAACCCCTCCCCAGCTCTCGGACACGCCTGTCCAGGCGCCTGAAAAGCTAACCTTACAAAGCTTCGAGAATACTAAGCATCTTGATGACGCAGTTGTGGCTGATTCGGCCCCAACAACTGTGACGCGAGCCAAAAGAACCCGCAAGAATACTCGGTCTAGTTCAGGTCCTATTTCGCGAACGAGTCTCCAGGAAGATCGTGAAGAATCCGAGGAGGACGAAGACGACATTTACATCAAGGATGCGTTTCTCGTTTTTCGATCACTGTGCAAGCTCAGCCAAAAACCACTGAGCCACGACCAGCAGCAAGATCTTCGAAGCCAAAATATGCGCTCTAAACTTCTTTCACTTCATCTTATTTATCATGTTATCAACAACTATACGACGGTATTTACGTCGTCTTTCTCGGTTATCAAAAGCGGCAATAATGATGAAAATACTCCATTCCTACAAGTGGCCAAGCCACACTTATGTCTCAGCCTTTCACGAAATGCCTCCAGTTCGGTCCCACGGGTGTACCAAGTCTGCTGTGAGATATTCTGGCTTTCTCTGAAGCATCTGCGCGTTTTGCTCAAGAAAGAGCTTGAAGTGTTTTTGAAGGAGATTTATCTAGCAGTTCTGGAAAGGCGGAGTGCGCCTCAGTTTCAGAAGCAGATGTTCATGGACGTCTTGGAGAGATTGTCGGGCGATCCCCGTGCTCTGGTGGAAGTCTACCTCAACTATGACTGCGACCGCACTGCACTGGACAATATGTACCAAGAGATTATTGAACATCTGTCGAGAATCTGCAGTACTCCAGTGCTCATCACACCAGTCCAGCAACACCAATACCTGGAACACCAAGGGAAATCATCTGCTGCCAACTCAGAGTGGTATTCTAAGGGGTCATTACTCCCTAATTTGACTACTTCTGCCCTTAGTCATCCGCCACAAATTCCTTCTCCGATACCAGTGGAATATGTCTTGAAGCAGCAATCACTCCGGTGTCTCACTGACATCTTAACCTCACTCGAAAATTGGTCCAGTCAGGATCAGCCGCAGCTGACCAACGGATCGCGCTACCCAGCTTCAAGAGGCTCTTTCGAGGACTCGAGAGAGTCTCTTGACTACGGAGAGAAACCTCCACCGTCGCCTCGTGCCCCCGGACTTGCCCCGGCTTCGGGTGTCTCAACACCTGTTGCCGAAGACGACCCCAATGAGATTGAAAAGATCAGACAGAGAAAGTCGGCCTTGAATGAGGCTATACGACAATTCAATTTCAAACCCAAGCGAGGCATCAAGGCCCTCATAGCCGAGGGCTTCATCCGAAGCAACAGTCCACAAGATGTGGCAAAGTTTCTTTACGCCAATGATAGACTCGACAAAGCCATATTGGGAGAATTTCTAGGCGAGGGTGACGAATCGAACGTTGCAATTATGCATGCATTCGTTGATCTTATGGACTTCAGCAAGAGAAGATTTGTGGATGCTCTCAGGCAATTCCTACAAAGCTTCCGACTTCCTGGAGAGGCTCAAAAGATTGATCGTTTCATGCTGAAATTCGCGGAACGCTACCTGAGCGGTAATCCTAATGCTTTTGCTAACGCGGACACGGCCTACGTACTGGGCTATTCTGTAATTTTGTTGAATGTCGATCAGCACAGTACCAAGATGAAAGGCCCAAGAATGACTGTGGAAGACTTTATCAAGAACAACCGCGGTATCAACGATGGACAAGATCTGCCTCGAGATTACCTGACCTCCATTTACGAGGAGATCGCCAGAAACGAGATTGTCCTAGCGTCCGAACGGGAGCATGCTGCAGAGTTGGGAATTGCGACTGCTACTTCGTCCACTGGACTTGCGTCAAGAGCTGGTCAAGTCTTTGCAAACGTCGGAAGAGATTTACAGAAAGAAAAATACGCTCAAGCCTCGGAAGAAATGGCTAACAAGACGGAGCAATTGTACCGAAGCCTTATTCGTGCCCAGAAGCGGTCTGCCGTCCGTGAAGCCTTGTCCCGGTTCATTCCTGCGACATCAATCAAGCATGTCGGACCCATGTTCAATGTTACCTGGATGTCTTTCCTATCTGCATTTTCAAGTCAAATGCAAGATGCGCAAAACCTTGACCTTATCAAACAGTGCCTCGATGGGTTACGACTAGCGATCAGAATATCTTGCAGGTTTGATCTCGAAACCCCGAGAGTTGCCTTCGTTACAGCCTTAGCCAAGTTTACGAATTTGAGCAACTTGAAGGAGATGGTGGCTAAGAATCTGGAGGCTTTGAAAGTCCTCATTGATGTTGCACTGTCGGAAGGCGATGTCCTGAAGTCGTCTTGGAGGGAGGTTCTCATGTGCATCAGCCAGCTTGACAGACTTCAGCTATTGTCCACTGGAATCGATGAAGGTGTCATTCCTGATGTCACTCGAGCCAACATCCCCGCACCCTCAAATGCCAGAGATAACAATCGCAGTCGAAGGTCAATGCAACCTGCCAAACGTCCAAGACCCAGATCATCACACAGCTTCCGTCCAGAAGTTGCAGACGAGACAATGTCTTCTGATATGATCCGCGGAGTGGATCGAATATTCACCAACACTGCCAAGCTGTCATCTGAAGCCATTGTTGATTTTATCCGGGCTCTGAGTGATGTTAGCTGGCAAGAGATCCAATCCTCGGGTAATAGTGATTCTCCAAGGACGTATAGCTTACAAAAGCTGGTAGAGATCAGCTATTACAACATGACCAGAGTCAGGATAGAATGGACGCGGATATGGGAGGTCCTAGGCGAGCATTTTAATCAAGTCGGCTGCCACAATAACACCGCCGTCGTCTTCTTTGCGCTTGATTCTCTTCGACAACTCTCAATGAGATTCCTGGAGATTGAGGAATTGCCTGGATTCAAGTTTCAGAAAGACTTTCTGAAACCTTTCCAGCATGTCATGGCAAACAGTACGGTCGTTACAGTCAAGGACATGGTATTGAGGTGCCTCATACAGATGATACAGGCTCGAGGTGACAACATCAGATCTGGCTGGAAGACGATGTTTGGCGTGTTCTCGGTTGCCGCCAGAGAGCAGTACGAAGCCATTGTCAACATTGCTTTTGACTACACTACACAGATCTACAACACTCGGTTTGGTGTTGTGATCTCGCAAGGATCGTTCCCGGATCTGATTATCTGTCTAACCGAGTTTTCCAAGAACCTGAAATTCCAGAAGAAATCTCTGCAGGCCATCGAATTGCTGAAATCCACAGTCCCTAAGATGCTCAAGACTCCTGAATGTCCGCTCTCTCGACGCCACGGGCAACCACCCCAGCTTGATGCTTCAGGTGTTGTCGCAGGGGTGAAGCAACCGACATCACAAACGGAGGAAGAGCAGTTCTGGTATCCGGTACTCATCGCTTACCAAGACGTCTTGATGACGGGAGAAGATCTGGAAGTTCGGTCAAGAGCTCTGAGTTATCTATTCGACACGTTGATCAGATACGGCGGAGACTTTCCGCCCGAATTTTGGGATACCTTGTGGCGTCAAGTGCTCTACCCAATATTTGTCGTGTTGCAGTCCAAGTCGGAAATGTCTAAAGCTCCCAACCACGAGGAACTGTCCGTTTGGCTGTCTACCACCATGATTCAAGCCCTCCGACACATGATCACTCTTTTCACGCACTATTTCGACTCGTTAGAGCACATGTTGGACCGCTTTTTGGACCTCCTGACCTTGTGCATTTGTCAGGAAAACGACACAATAGCCCGGATTGGCAGCAACTGCCTACAGCAGCTGATTTTGCAGAATGTCACAAAGTTCAGACCCGAGCACTGGGCGAGAATTGTGACTGCCTTCGTCGAGCTATTCAATCGCACTACGGCTTATGAACTCTTCTCCGCCGCGGCCACAATGTCCGATGCTCGGCCAACACCACCGGCTGAGGGAGGCGACGGCCTGAGCATTTCGGGAAGCACAATCGTCGCAACTCCTACAGAAAATGGAACACATCTCCCACCGGCCCTTTCCAGTCCACCCGCGGATGCTCACAGGCCTGTCGTGACGCCTCCCGAGATTTCACAGTCAGGCACATCAGAACTAGAAGACTATCGACCACATTCAGATATGCAAGCACCTGCTCCAGTAGTGACGGTGGCACGTCGTCGCTTCTTCAACAAGATCATCACGAGCTGTGTCCTCCAGTTGCTTATGATCGAGACGGTTGCCGAACTCTTTTCCAATGACTCGGTATATGCTCAAATACCTTCGCCGGAACTTCTACGCCTCATGACGCTGCTGAAAAAGTCATACCAGTTCGCAAAAAAATTCAACAGCGACAAGGATCTGAGGATGGCGTTATGGCGACAAGGATTCATGAGGCAGCCACCCAATCTATTGAAACAAGAATCTGGATCCGCCAACACGTACGTCAGTATCTTGCTGAGGATGTACCATGACGAAGGCGAGGAGAGGAGGTCAAGCAGAGACCAGACCGAAGGCGCCTTGATCCCGTAAGTTTTTTCCTTCTTTTTAAGTCCCCATGCAAAAGTGTATTATGAAAGTTTTGAGGACTGACGGACGGTCGTTTTGACACACAGGCTATGTGCGGACATCATCCGTTCGTTTATCCTGCTCGATGAAGAAACTCAGCAACGAAACATCGTGGCCTGGAGACCTGTCGTCATTGACGTGCTAGAGGGTTATACGAACTTCCCCAAGGAAAGCTTTCAGAAACATCTCGATACATTTTACCCTCTTTCCGTCGGCCTGCTCGAAAGGGAAATCAACGCGGACCTTCGATCTGCCCTTTGGGGCATCTTCCGTCGCGTCGGCGAGCTCCAGTTCGGCATGCCCGAGTTTGTCATGACTCGAGGCCGAGAAGGAAGCGTGAGTTCGATGAGGAACGGAAGTATCGGTCCTACACCTTCAAGTCCGGGCCATTCAGTGTCATCGTTTGGTAAGGGCCGGAGAGGAAGCAGAGCAAGTCGTACTGGTGCAGTGTGATGATGGCGATATCTTCTATCATTTGTATTGAAAACATTTGTATTAAACAGCGTCAGTTGCACCACGATGACACTTGTTTACTTTGGGGCATCGACATGATTTTGATTGTAAATGTAGATGCAACCAATAGATGGCATTGGCGACGCGACGGTGTATTATGAGCCTCGGGTATATTACATATATGGGTATATATATGTGTGTGTGTAACTATTGTGTCTGTTCAGATGTCACCTCACACCTCCTCGACTGTGTGACTCTGCACCTGTACTTTTTCTTCTTCCGCATGACAGCTTGCTTCGAGCGTCAGTGTGTGTATACACTGTACACTGTACGCTACATGCTATATACCCTGAAACGGACACCGTCGAGACGTGGGCCTCTTGGTTGCCGTCGCTCCGGACCACAAGTCGATTTTCTTCACGCTCTCTGAAGCTTTCCGAGTCACCTCCTCCTCAGTACGATGCGACTGGCGAGGAGGTAGGTACTACCTACCCAGGTCAGTTGAAGCGGTAATCAGTTTAGGTGTTTAAGTAGACGTGTCTGCCGGGTTACCTGTGACCGTTCTCGCAACGGCACAGACAGGTGAGCGTGTACACAGTTGTGCATACGTATCGTGGACACCGTCGGGCGCTTGAAGTGACGAACGAATCAAACGCATTGATTGATAGAGGTACTTTGTAAAAGCACACAGGGTTATCATCATCATCATCATCAAAGGCGAAGGAATGGCAGAAACCTCCGTTCCCGATGCAAACCCCCGCGCCCGTTCTTCCTCGTCAATTAGAAACACCAAAAGCCGGTACAGTACATGAACGCGCACGAACCCCCGGGCCAACATACAGACTGTAGTGGGCCAAGGTACATACCGTAAGCAAGAAATATATTGTACAGACGCTGGGCCCGTGTCTTCTTCTTCTTGCTTCAACAAGCGTAGTCATAATAAGCTGAGTACCTAAGAATGTCCACCGACCCACACGACCATCACCATAACAGGCACATACATCCCACACCACGGCACATGTACCGAGAGGGCCATGGTCCCGGCGTCGAAGAAACCGAAATCAAGTGTAGATACTCTGTGAGTAGCCAAAAAGTCAGTACAAAATATGAGTGGCATAAAGTGAGAGACGAGGAACAAGGTAAATAAAAAGTAAGCAAGAAACCCACCTCAGTGTAAGAATTGACCTGTAGTCCCCTCTCGGCCATATTTTCCTCACACAAAAAGTCCAACGGCATCCAGACGAGGTGGCCTCGAATCTTGTCGAGTTCCTTACGAACCATTTCGGCTGGCATGTGCGGGTCGTGCAGGTGACCCTGCTTGACGGTCTTGCGGGGCGCGAAATTGTCATAGTCTTTCCACGTCTTGATGTTGACGTCCGGGTCTGCACGGAAGAGATGTCTATAGACGTCGGTGTTGACGGTGGCCTGGTTGGTCCATTTGTCCCAGACATCGTCGCCCAGGGGGTCTGCGACAAACTCCCACTCTTCTCCGCTGTATTCTTCGTTCATGCACACAGTCGGAGGCTGGGCGTTGGGGTCCTTGGATGCGTCAACACCCTGGGCTTCGATCATACCCAGGTGCTCGCGCCAGAGGTGTCGGCGAAGCGTGGCGGCGTGGAAGCCCGCCTGGTATGGTTTGCCGTCCATGGTCGACTCGATGGTGCGTGTGTCAGTCATGACAATGGAGAGTTCGCTGTCATGCGAGCCGAGCTGGGACCTGTCATTCAAGTTACTCGACCCGCAGATGACTGTGCGGTCATCGACAATGAGGAGTTTGGCGTGGATGTACAGCTCCTCTTGGACAAAGTTCGCTTTCTCGTCCTCGGGCTCGCCTTCCCATGGCTCTTCGGTCACGAGACCGCCGCGAGCCATGGCATCCTCAGCGATCGAGTCAGCCGACGTTACGGGGTCTTTGACGTCGAGTTTATGCCGAGCAGCCTCAAATTGTCGTTTGCGGTCGATGATGCGTTCCTGTTCATCCTGACTGACACCAGGGCCGGCACCGTGGGACTCCCCTTCCTGTCTCTCGCCTTCGTAGCCGTGGATGCCGGGGCCCATGATCTCTTCGGCTTCGGCGCGCTGGAGCTCCTGGTACGAGACCCCGGATTCTTTCTCTTGCTGGATCAAGGCTGGGGTCTTGTTGATACGGTCGTACGCACGTAGATTGAAGACAAAAATGTACTCGGTGGGATCGAAACCCGCGGCCTTGATTTGCCCCATGATACTGTGCTCGCCGCGGTTGATAGACTTGTATTGGTAGTCCATGATGGCTCGGGTGCCTATGGCCGCGTCGTCACGCAAGTCACCGGCAAAGCCTGGAATGGCAGGGATAACTATGATAACTCGGAATTTGCGACCTTCTTTTCCAGCACGAACGCATGCATTGACAATCGCGCGGCCGATTGTGTTGTGTATGGGGAATTGTTGATCACCAGTCGCGGTAATGAAAAACTGGTTTTCAATGTAGACATAGTGCTGGGCGTTCTCGATGACTTCCGCGTAAGCGTTCTGAATGCTATGGTCGTTTAGGATACCGCTCGACCAGTCATCACTGCTACGCACAACTTGTGCGTGCACACTACCCGCGTTCTGGAGTCCTTTGCTCTCGAGGGGGCTGAGTGGGTGCTCGATGTACTCGCCCACGGGATGCTTGGGGCGTTGGATGGAGATCAGATCTTCATCAGGATTGGAGCCGTCAGCTTTAGCGCGTGTAGTCATGCAAAGATAGTCGACCCCTTCAGAACGTTTGTACTTGTCGCGTTTGATAAAGTTCCATCGGAGAACAAAATGTTCTGCAATATCGATCACACATTCACCAACTAGGCCCATGGCCACATCGTGCCAAGGCATGCGACCATAATCGGTCTTGTTAAGTTCATTGTTGTACCAGTCTTGGACGGTTTGGAAGTCCATGATTCTAGAGGGGTCAGGTAAATATTTCGCAGAAACATTATTTCGGATCACTTACCGGTTGTTGTTGAAATCCTGGCCAGGGAACAGTTCGTTTACAACACCCGACGGATGGACATCTGCTAGGAGGTGCTGACGAAGATCCCATCGGCCGAAGCATAAGTCGAGGCCACCAATAAAGGCCAGGTGGTAGTCAATGACGATAAACTTCTCGTGGTGGGCCCAGTAGAATGTCATATCTCCCATATTCTCAAACACATTGTGATCTGGATGTCGCATAACGTGGATGTTTCCGTGGCCTGGAGTGCCTTCGGGACAGAGAGCTCGAAGGGCATGCTTCGTATGGGCAGAGTTGCAAGTCAGTGCCTGTTGCACCTCCTTGTAGACAATCACATAGACTTGAACACCTCGCTCAGCTGCTCGCTTGATGACCTGGTCCAAACGCCACTCTTGATTGAAGAAGGCGGGGCGGCGCATGAAGATTTCTGGCGAAAGCCACCAGTCGGCAATGTAGATGGTCTCTTTGGCATTCTCGATACCAACCGAGACAGCCCAGAAGTAATCGCGGCCATCAACATACCACTTGATTTTGTTATTGTCTCGCTCGGGGAAGAATGATTTGAAGCGATGGCCGTCGCAGATGGCCGCTCTTTTGCGATCGGTGGCCTTTTCATGCTCCTCGTCATGGCGATGATTCGGATTGACCAAGTTCTTGAGCTTGCCTATCTTGTGCTTGAGATGGATTGCTTCAATTTTGGCATCGTGAAGCTTGGTGTCTGTGCAGGGTTAGTGACCTGGGGGGGAGCATCGGACAGGGTTATTCCGCTACTACTGGTGCTGACCTTTGAGCTTCTGCCGGAGTGACTGCATATCGACGGACTTTTCAAGCCTGGAGTCTATCGAATAACTTGTATCCCTTGACCTTCTCTACACCCTGTCAACCCACGAAATCAAGAATTAACTAGAATAGAAATAGGCAACTCCTCGCGAAGGCAGCAAGGGTGAGTCCAGGCGCAACCAGGCGCTGCTGAGGGGTAGAGACAATGAGGAAGCGTGCTTCAGCAAGCGACCGATCAGGCTGACTGTCGTTGAAGAGGCGCGTGTAAAAGTAGATTTCAGGACTCGGGGCTGGAAGAGAACAGAAGGATAATGTTTCCTGGCAGTCAAGTGTGTCTCTCGGCCTTGTCAATGTCAGCGTCGGACGACCGTGGGACTTGGACCTGGACCTGGACTTGGTTCTTCTCCTCTTCGTGCGCATTTGCCCAGTCGCTGGACGTGGAGGTTGCGCGAATGCAAGATTCAGCCCACCACTAGCAATACTACGTCATCGACGCCCCTCCACCTGATGTATCTGGGACCAAGATTTTCCGATTCCGGTGCCGATGCCCGATGCCACCAACTCCACGATCTCATGTGCTCGTACATTGTATACCTGTACTATACATAGGTGTGGTGACTGGACAAAGCTGGTTCTGTCTTCCCAGCTTGTCCACATAGACTTCTTTATGCCTTCTCCTGTGTCCCTTGCACCGCAGGCAAGCGTTCACTCCAAAGAACGGGACATACGGCCCGGGAGGTGTCAGCCATAAACGGTCCCAGATTGAGATAGTCATGTATCGCCCATCTATGTTCCCATGATACTATTACATCCATCCAAAAGAACCGTCAAATTCCCAAACAACCTCGTCGCGGGCTCCAAGACGAATATCCTCGAAACTTGGTACTTCGCCAGACTCGTGATATCGAACCAGTCTGTCCATATCCTCATCGTCCATATCGTTAAAATCAGCAGCGCTCCATTTGTCGCACACCTCACTCATCCATGCCATTCTTTTGCTGATGTCTCGACTGGTTTTCCCAGACGCAACCTTACGCAGTTTTCGTCTGAGTTGACCGACTCTCTCGATGCTGGCTCCTGTGCCTTCGGGAAGCATCTGGCCGATCTGTCGTCGGATGGCGGCAGCCATTCTGGGCCCGTTGCCGTTCGTTGAGACCATGATCTGGAGGGGACCGTCGCGATGAACACTGCCAAAGTAAAAATCACATTCTGGGGGGACGTCTGCGATATTGGCGGGCACTTTCATCTGCTTGCAATATTTCCAGATTCGTGTAGAGGCATCAGGGTCGTCGATGGCTGTCAACACCATGGCGACTTTCTTTTCAGGTTCGAGATCAAGAGGTAAGAAGACGCGGTCAACGTGCTTCACCTGCCCATTGTTGACCCGGTATGCCACCTCTTCATTGAGCCCCTGACGAGGACAGACAACCGTGACTTTGGCGTCAGCATTAAGGAGGTTGACAATACGACCAGCAGCGACCTGGCACAATCAGCTTTGCGCCACGGGACGATAAACATGCTAGAAGACTTACTTCGCCGCCGCCTACAACTAGGACTTCTTTGCCCTTGATTTGCCACGCGAGAATCAGGGATCCCCCTCCCTGGATCTCTGGAAACTTTGTAGACATGATAGAAGCATTATGCCAGGGACCCTGAAGTGAATAACATGAAGACGAAGAAGAAGCGAGGTAGTTGAGAATGCATGATGCAAGATGCGCCCTTGACCCGGAAGTGACCCTAGCCACTAACTAAGTTAATAAGATAAGCGTTGGTGAGTGGTAGGCAGATAAGCTACCTAACAGAGAATGTGTTGAGACTTTGGGGAGTCTTATAGGGCGTAATGCACCTATAAGCCAGCAAAGAAGTCCCTCAATTGTTAGGGGTGAGTGCCTAGGAGGGTACCAAAGTTCTAGGCGACATTACGACAGCTTATAGGCCTTCGAGCCTACCCCGATAGGCTGCATTAGGCAGGGAAAGCCTATAAAGCTCAAGAAAATTATTCTCACTCAGGAAGGTGACGCGACTTGACGTTTTACCCACTGCAGTCGCCGATAAGATAAAAAAGAAAAATAAAAGGTTCAATCACGTGACCATTTGCTCATTTCTATCTCAGATCTCCTTTCGCAAAGACAAAAACATGGCTCGTTTCCGTGCGCCGAGTATGGATTAATTGACCAAAGTCAAGCCAAGTGTATTTAGCGAACTCCAGAAAACTGTCACTCGTGTCGAGGTCTGGCAACGGCTCTGGTGATTGTCGCCGAAAGCCACCATGAGAGGAGTCAAGGTCTTCTCTGGGAGGTCTCATCCTACCCTTGTCCAATCGATATGCGAGAGACTAGGGACTTCACCAGCCAACGTCGACTTAGGGAACTTCGCGAACGGAGAGATCAGTGTGCAGATTGGCACGTCGGTCAGGAATGAGGATGTCTTCATCGTTCAGAGCGGCAGCCGCAACATCAACGACAGTGTCATGGAGATGCTCATCATGATCGCAGCATGCAAAGGTGGCTCGGCTAAATCAATCACTGCAGTTATCCCTTACTTCCCATACTCTCGCCAGTCCAAGAAAAAAAGCCACCGTGGTGCAATCACGGCAAAGATGCTTGCTAACCTGATGGTCGTTGCCGGGGTAGATCATGTCATTACAGTCGACCTCCATGCCTCACAGATGCAGGGATTTTTTGGCAAACCAGTTGACAATCTATTCGCCGAGCCTATCATTGCGCGCTGGATCAAGTCCAATGTGCCTCGCTGGCAGAAAGCCGTGGTTGTCAGCAAGAACGTTGGCGGAACCAAACGAGTCACTTCTCTGGCGGATGCTCTTAAATTGAGCTTTGCGCTGGTATCTACCGATAGAGACCGCTCGAAACCATCGCATCATCACAACAACATGATGGATAGTACCATATTTTTTGATGCTATTGAGCCGCAATCTTTACGACTAGAACATCGACAAAATGATGGAGAGGATGGGGAAGAAGCTGATTCCATTCTGGAGGATCCCTTCCAGGACACGACACGTCGCGGCCCACTTCCTCACCGCAAGAAGAGCTCCGCTAATAAGAGCGGCACGAATCGCCTGGGTCGTCCGAAAGCAGTCACCATTACATCGAGTCCGCTGATACAATCGACGCGAGTCGAGTCATCGCCCGCACCTGAGACGCCTGACGAGCTGACCCGAGCTGATACGGCACCGAGTGCGCGTCGTCCTTCAGAGTACGAACCCAGTGAAGCGCTACACGACGAGAGAGTCCGTGATGTGAGGGTGGGCCGGTTGATACAGGGTCACCTTGTGGACGACGACCACCTGTCTTCAGCCGTTTCAAGCTCAGCTTCAGTCTCAGGCGGACACGGCGATCGTAGTTCACAGATCCTGCAGGATGGGCCAGACGGTTTTGGCTACGATCCCATGACTGCTTCTTTTGTGTCTACCACTTCGTCTTTTCAGCCAGAGCATGCCCTTGGTGGAACCTTTGACGCTGCGGCGACGTCGGATGAGGAAGAGGAGCAAATCAGAAACCCTGATCTCGAACATACCATCACCCTGGTTGGCGATGTCAGGGATAAAACGGTGATTTTGATGGACGACATCATCGACAAGTCTGGATCCTGGATTGCGGCCGCGGAGACTTGTGTCAAGATTGGCAGCGCCAAAAAGGTCTACTGCGTCGCCGTGCATGCCTTGTTCGGTGACGACTCTTTGGAAGAGCTGGAGGAGTGCGACTACATTGACTACATCGTCGTCACCAATACCTTTCCGATTTCTCCCGAACGTATGCGATCTTCCAAGAAACTGATTGTTATTGACATGGCGAATCTCCTGGCAGAAGCAATCCGTCGGAATCATCACGGAGGTAAGTTGGTTGAACACATGACGGTCTTTGACCATGACGACTAACTCAACGAGTCACAGAGGACATGTCAAGTATGTTTCGTCTGCATGAGTAACTACTCTCGCGTAGATGACCGATTGTGTAGAAACTCGAACCCTTTTTGGCAGTACAGCACACACTCAGCTTCATTGTCGACTCGGACAGAGCGTTAGTCGCGGGTGCGGTGTGATGACGCGCTGTCAACATAACACCCCTGTCGAGCTGCAGCAGCCGTTGGCCGTGGTGGACACCCCGACGATCAACCCAGGGTCGAATTTCGGTTTTGTACCACACGGAAGCAACACGGAATGCATGAATGTGGGATAGGATAGCGTTGATGTGACACAGGGTTGCAGGGATAGGCATCTTCATCATTAACACGTACATTACGGGGTAGACGGCACTAGTCTTTCGAACTACCACCCTTCTAGGTAGTCGGAACTTCAAAGCCCAGAAGTATTGCTTCTATCTCAATGATTCCCAGTATTCGATGGAGTTTCGAAATCTCAGCTCGAAACATCCGTCACATTGAGGGATCTGCTCGAGATACTCCCGTATTGCGCGATAGTCGATATGTCACCTTGACTCTAATCTCTCTTGTTGATGGATGTTGAGCCCACCGCCATCACGCCAGGATCTAAGCTCGTGCACGCCCTGTGGGCTCCTCTTGTCTGTTGCTACAATACAAATCAAGATCCAAGAGAACCATTACTCGGGCCAAGTACTCCGTGCTCCGTGGCATGCAATGCAGGGCAAATTAGTGATGTATTTGTACTGTACGGAATGCTTTGTGAACAAGGGTGCTGAAGCGGACCCGCAGCTATGGATTCGCTAAGCCTCGCCCGCAAACCCATAGTCTGGACCTAGGTTGTTTTTGTTCCACAGCCCTGCAAGTGATCAGCTTCTTTCAAGTCCTTGTACGGAGTACCAGTTGCTGTACAGCACGCCGGGTCCTGAGCTTAGAGGCTGGAGATGGGCAGGGGAGCGATCCTTACTAAGATAGGCTCCTCAGCTCCCAAGCTCCATGTAACATACTAGCCTCCCGGTAGGTCGTTATTGGATTGGGGGGCTTTTTTGAGCCTCGCGATCGCGACCCTTTGAACCACGATCGTCACGACGCGAAGACCGGGGTGTGTAGATCGAGCGAATAGGTGTTGCCTTGTATCGCTTGATTTCGCGAGTCGCCTTACAGTACGTTTCTGTATGCGTCTAGAATCCTGCTTCCCACATCCCCCCAACACTTCCTCCGATGGAGTCGTACTCGTTTACTGAGTTGGAGGCTGAGACGTGCTCGATGCGCTCTCCGGAACAATTTAGTCTCAAACAACGAGGTCGGTGTCAATTTCTACTCGTGAGTTCAAGGACCTCAAGGCGGTTAGTGTCTCCCCCACGGCCTCGCAAAAGCTGGTCCACCACACACGGTACGATAACAAGTCAAACTGTAGAACGTTCTACATGTCGCAAGCCCCCACGTCAGCGTTAATGCTCAAAACGACAGCAAAGAGTCGGCGTGACTTGCTCCCAGGTACCGACTTGTTGGCCTCCTCGCCACTACCGTATTATGCTTTGACGGCGTGGACGGGGTTCCCGGACTCGCCATGCAGGGTTCTAAAGTACAATACCATGTTCCAGGTCGTGAGGCCCATACTGTACGAGCTGCTGTTTACGGCGTCTTCGCCAATTCCTAATCCACGCGGGCTACTAACTAGTTAGAGACTTGTAGCCCTGAAGTCTCACTACCTCAACATCGCTCACCCCCGATAGAGTGGGTCCCTTGCCACAGAGTCACAACATGCCTTTGCCTGGTACCTCGCTTGATGCTTTTCCCTGGTCGAACCGGTTCACGGAGACAAGATCCGCGCGCGGACCTCCAGGGATGTTCTGACCGCCTCGTACCAACGCAACACCTTCATCCTGGTGGGAAAGCTGTCAGCCTCACATCCGAAGCAACAACGGCAAGGTCCGCTAGCTTTCTTAGACCTTCGGGTGGAAGGCATCCCGCGGAGCCGTACCTTTTCTCTAGGTTTCAATTCGGGCCCATGATCTAGCCAGTGAGGGCGATGGATCTTGGTCATTACCCGGTGTTGAGACCCGCGAGCGTGCTACTCTCGTTAAGAGATTTTGAAAGGTCCCCCGTACTGTACGGTCGTACCTCATACCTAGCCGGGCAGAGTACCCAGGGATGTGGTCCCGGAGTTCACACATGCCAGCTGTTGTTGATCATGCCTCATCCGGTATATCACTCCAGTGGATATCCATATGGGTCCGGGAGAGAGAAAAGTCTCGCTTCACTTCTACTTTTCCAATTTTTGTCCCGTCACACTTTAACGCCCTTGCTCCGTCAACATGTCACATTCAGCCTGCTCGTATTCCTGGATCTTTCTGATACTGGTGCTTGTATGAGCTCGGCTGGCGGGTGTCGACCCCGTCTCAACAGCGCTCTGTCGTCGTCATTGAAGGGTATATTCCCTAATTAACCTGGCGTTGGCACTGGCATCGAGCATTGAAATAATGAGGCAAAGGTGACGGTGACGCTGTCAAACTCACACACGCCCTCTCTCGTTCACACTCTTCTCATATCATCACTCTCAATCACCATCAACTATTACTGTCACTCGTGTAGCCAACACTACTTAAGCGCTGCTGCTGTCGCTACCTGAACACCTACCTCATCCTTGATAAGGAATCAGAGAGCGTTATCATACTCAGAAAACGAAGAGGAACTCAACGCTCGCTAAGACGAGAAGCCCATCCCTGCTTGATCCATCCTTAGATTTCTACCTCGACGCAAGATATCCTACCGACTACATACGGATTCACTACTCGTGAAACGAAACAATGGCCAACAACCGACGAACCAATACTGATGTAAGGTTGAACACCGGTCTTTTTGATCTGACCCGCTCATACTCTTTTGAGTCCTCTGGGTTCCCTTCTCTTGCTCCTTTTCTTCTTCCTTCTGTGAAGTTAAAGAGAATTCTAACAAAACTGACTCTTCTTTTCATCCTTGGTAGCCTGCCAACACACGTCTCAACTTTCGCTACACCCAGAAGAATTGCCCCGGCCACGAGTACGTCGGCAAACTAAATGAAGGTGGTATGACCCCGATGGAATGGACCTGCCACCACTGCGCTTGCAGGACGAAAAAGGCATGGGAATGCCAGAACTGCGGCTTTCTCATCTGCAACCCTTGCTCGATCTACAGCACTCAGGTCACCGGCAAACTGGCCAAGGATCAGCCCAAGTATATTGGTCGAAAATATGGTTGAGTGATGTTAGATATGTCATATTGCCATTCGTCGCTCTCTTTTGCTGACCTGACGAGTACTGCCGACGTGCATTATCAGGCTGCTGGCGGCGGCGGCGGTGGTGGTGTTGGTGGTAGTGATAGTGATGTTTAGATACGGCCACTGGTCTAGATTACTGCTTTTTCTTTTCTTTTCTTTTCATGGAGAATCCGGATACAAGCTACAACGACACCGGCAACGATACAGGATACGGTGCACGGAGTTATCATCATCTCTGGGTTCTTATTTGGTCGGATGCCTTGTGGCTGTTCTCACCTCACCTCTCCTGGATCAGCATCTCCGTCTCTGTGTGGATTTTGTTTTGGGTGGCCGAATTGTCAACATTCAAACGACTATGGGAGTGCCTCTTTGTTTTTTTTTATATGCCGACAAATTTGAGCGACTTGGTCAAAGAGAATCGACTACGCTCGTCCCATTCTATTGCCTCTGCCTGTTCACAGGAGGGCTAGCATACGCTGAGACTCCATCGACGGACGTCAAAAAGCAGACCTCCTGGTCCAGATACTCCTTCCTGGTTTCTTCCCACATGAAAATGTTAGCTAGATCAATCAACGAAACTTCACAGTGTTAGACTCGGCCATGTAAGATTACTGGCAATCTCACATGGTTATGTCATGTTATGTCATGCTATCGTCCAAACTTTCACGCTGTCGGGTCCTTGCTCTGGGTCACCTCATCTGTGGCCGGATTCGGTGTCCAAAATGTAATAGACAGATCCAGTGTTTTCCTTGGTCGTTTGGTTCCCATCGACATCATCACGACGCAGTCTCCTATCCGTACGGAGACAACGTACAGGCACAGAACGGTATCGACACGGTTCGATTTCGACAAAGTCTACTCTCGTTACGGACCTTTGGAGGATATCACGGAGCCTTTTGTCTGGTTACACGCTCCTGGGAGCTTGCGAGGAATCAGGGCTCAACTATGTAGATAGTATGACTATTGACAACCCTGGGTCTAGATTGTCGTTGTCGATGTCGGTGTCGGTCGCATCAGATGTTCCAACGGTGCGGCACCGGTGAGTACCCTAAGCTACGTATCTTTTTCTCGATTTTGGACCTCGAAGGATCCGCGCTCGTCCCAGGCTTGTTTCAAGTCGACTGGGGGGGGGCGGAGGACATAGACGGCCGCTTCACTGACACGCCGTATCTGTATGAGCGGAGACGAGTATCTAGGATACCCTTGGAAACCGACACCTACTATTCTTCTTCTTTTTCTTTCGATTCGTTCCAGCTATTCTCGTTACGGACTTTGCTGCAAGCTACCCGAAACACATGACACTTCCGGTACAGTTGAACTCCCGGTCAGAAAGTCAGCTGATGGAACGTCGAGACGAGGGGCACGCGGAAAGGTGTACGGTGGGCTTGATTTTATTTTGGGGTGGCGGACGACTTGCGACGAGCAAGTGCAGTGGGTGGTGAGACCGAAGGATCCGCAATGGCAAAAGATACTGCGTAACGGGAATGAGGACGACAGTGAGCCGCCCCAGAAAAGGAAAAAGAAACAAAGAGACATGATATGATAAAGAGTCTCTTGTACCTCCGTATTGCATGGCGACTCCTTGTGTGGAGGTTCTTGAATTCGTACGACGCACGGCACACCCTTGGAAAATGATGAATCAGATCCCCACCGTAAGTGATCCTACGTGGTGTAGACCGTGAATAGGTACTGACAGAGTGATCCCCGGGCGAGAAATACCAAGTGTACTCACTCGTAAGGAACCGAGGACGGATACTCTCCTCTGATCTGCAAAGGTCATTTTTGTGTAGGAGTGGAGTAAATAAGTAGATCGAGCAGACAGACCGAAGAAAAACATTGGAGATCCTCCTCATTATATATATTTCACCGTGCAACAGATGATGGTCGCTATTTGTTTCAATCGGCCACTGCACACCTTCACGAGCCGTTGTAAATCAACCGGCCTCCTTAGGTATGAACTTGATCAGTGGAGGTTGGTGTTTGCCTTTCTGTTGTCAAAGATGAAGAGTACATTTCGTTTCAAGACCTAAAGCAATCGAGGAATCCCCCGGGTCTTATACCACTATCTTACATCTGAACAATGCCTGTAAAGAGAAGGTGGCAATCATTGCAAGCTCAATGGCTACATCGATTAACCCTTTGATAACAGCCTATTGCAGTCTCTAACCAATAGCCCCATTTTCAAGACGCATCAACGATACTATGTATTATGAAAATTCCCTGTCCTCGAGGACAACCGGCGCCACAAGTGTCCAACTGTAGATCCCATAACATACCCAGGCACTGATGATTTTGATCCAACTTGCCCAGTATGTACGTCCAACAGGAGTAAAGTCGCTCGAGTTCTCCGGGTCCATCTTCTGTGTCAAAAGCGTCGCCACCCAGCACGTTGCCATCAGGAAAATAACATGGAAGAGACTGTAGTTGTATTGAGTGCCTTGACGCTCATCGTCCTTTGAGTTCACAGTGTTGTCATCTTCTTCATCAGAGTCCTCATCTAACGCCGAGGCAGGCAGGGCTCCACTCTCCACTGCAGCCCTCATAATTTCGCGACGAGACGCAGGTTGTTGAGTGACCAGACCGTGCTCGTATTCATCTTGACTGAGTTGGACATACTTGTTCTTTCCACCGTTTGTGCCAATGGCGAACCCTTGCGTGGCTGCCCTAGTCGTCGTGTAGGCGATTGTAAGCATAGTCACGATGGCACCAAGGACGACAGTAGTAGTCCTAGCACCTCGAGCTCTGACGAGTGGATTGCAGTGCTTGTCGTCAGGTTCCATGCAGACAGCCGAGAAGGTGAGATAGGTGCAATAGGCTGCGACCATGGCAGATTGAGCCAATCCTGCTTTAGGATTGGCATCTTGAATGGCTGGCTGGACGCTGAGGATAGTGATGACAATGATCATAATCAGGTTGATAGTGATGGCAGTGATGTTCATGCTGCATCCACTGCTGGCGAAGAAAATGTACATGACGATTGTCATGGCGATGGCGGCCACGTACATGCCCAAGCTTGACCCCATAAGTAAAACTTGCCACAGTCTGTAGTTGGGACCGTCGCCTTCGTCAATCTTGTCCTGGCAAAGTTCGGCCCAAGAGTGTGCGAGATCGACCAGAAGAATAAGACCCAACAAGACAAATAGCATGGCTCCGAGATAGGCGACATAGTTTCCCCAAAGGAGAAAGAAACCTTCAGGTATCAAGAACGAAATTACCACAAAGGCCAACCATGCCAGGATCTTTGGACCCCAGAACCCATTTTGTAAGCCTGCCCTTGTATCCTTTGTGCTTCGGACGCCAATAAGAAGGACGGAGAGGATCAGATGGAATAAGGCAAGCGCAAAGTTGATGCGTTGAACTGCGAAATAACCATAACATTTAGACGAACCACACTTGAAAGTCATGTAGTCGAGCGTGAGGTGCTCGAGTTTTCGGATGGCCCAAGGAGTGAGCATTATCCAGGCCAATATACTGTTGACCAAGAGGATCATGGCATAGGCGATTCTTGTAGCAATCGATGATCGAAACTTGGACATGCCGCATGGTCCACAGAGCATTGAACAGGACGCCGCACCGCAGCAAGATGCGCCCACCGACCACACGGTGGCGGCGGAAGGTAGGAGGAGCGCTGGAATCGCAAGGACGCCGCCCATCGTGAGAGACGATGTGCTTCGAGGAACTAACGATGGTAGTTGCTGATTGAGAGAGTTGGCCCCAGGCCGATCAATATACGCTCTACAATGTGGAGGGTTCGGAGTATCGCTGTCAGGTCGTGGACGTTCAATGGCGTGTAGAGTAGGTAGAAGCGCAGGCGACGGGCAAGTGAATCAACCAGGACTCGGCTAACACGGCGATGACGTTAAACGCACTAGCATCAAGAGGAAGGTGTGCCGAGTATAATCCAGCATCTGATTGGATGGATGCTCTTAGTGGAAACACCCCAATATGTCCGACACTCGGGACTTTCAAGTTGGTACATTGGTTGATGCTCAGGGCGTTGACAGCAGCAATCGTTGCACCGTTATCTCGCCGGCTCTTCCACCTCTTGTCGAGCGTCAGGAGTAACTTCTCACTTTGTGCAGGATGAGCTGATCCTCGAGTGGCGTCTGCAACCATACACCATGATACTGTCTTCAGACCCTCCTACGAGGGCGCGAGTCTTGTCCGTGATCGCATGTACGACAATTGCCCTTGCATGCGGCACAAACGTATGCTGAACCCCAGAAACGCAGGAGATGGCCTCAGCTGACCATGTGCACAGTATGGATACTCAATATGGGGCCCAAGTTTCGCTACCCACCTCAAGTTGTCTGCTACCGATAGTAACCTCATTGTACGAAGCGAGATGCACCTCGAGAGGAGACCTGGGCTGATGTATACATAACAGGGAACTATTGGCAACTTGGGCATGTACGCGTTCGGCATTCCCTCTGGAATCATGGTAGATGCAAAGGGTCCCCGCTGGGGTGTTGCGTTGGGTATCTGTCTGTTTGCTGCAGGATACTACCCGATTTCTCAAGGTACGACCAACCGGATACGCCCGATGAAGGATGTGCATGGGTTGACAACAGGACATAGCCTACAATGCTGGACCAGGGGCATACAGCGTGGGCTTGATATGTCTCTTTTCTTTCCTCACCGGAGCCGGCAGCTCTTCTGCGTTTACAGCGTCTCTCAAAGCCGGTGGGTATGATTGTCCAGACCAGTCGACATATCGTTAACTCGCAATAGCCGCACTGAACTTTCCTGAGTCTCGGGGAACAGCAACAGCCTTTCCGTTGGCGGCTTTTGGATTGAGCGCGATGTTCTTTGCAACAATTGCACTGCTCATCCCCGCCGGGACCGAGAACTTCCTCATTCTGCTGGCAACAGGCACGGTCTTGATGCCACTGCTTGCTTTTCCCTTCCTTCGTGTCATTCCCCACCATTCGTACCATCATATACCTCAGCAAGATCGTCAAGCGATGCACAGGACCCGATCGTTCGGAAGCCATGATTATTCCCCTACTGAACAACCAGGTGCGGCACATCCCACAAAGAACACCCCATCCTCGAGCAGCACAATATCTCACAAGCCCGAAACGACCCCCGGTTCAGGGGACGAGCATTCCTCCCTCCTCTCCAGTTCCGATGCGGATGATGTAGAAAGTTCCAGCCACCCAGATTCTGACAGGAATCATGAGTCCCCTCATTTAGACATCAGGGGTTTCGCACTTCTCCCATTGCCTGAATTCTGGCAGCTTTTTTCCATGCTCGGTCTCCTGACCGGCATTGGCCTTATGACTATAAAGTAACGTTTTCTCTGTGCAACCCTGTCTCTGGCCACCTGCTGATCAATTGTCTAGCAATATCGGCAATGATGCACAGGCACTTTGGAAGCACTACGACCCGTCGGTCACACCGGCGTACATTGAGAAGCGCCAGGCGATGCACGTCTCGATCCTTTCGTTCTGCAGTTTCGCAGGCCGTCTGACAAGTGGCATCGGCTCCGACGTACTCGTGTCCAAGCTTGACCGCTCTCGCTTCTGGTGCCTTTTCGCCTCGGCGGTAACGTTCTGCGTTGCGCAGATCGCTGGCACTGCCATTTCGACACCCCGTTTTCTCGTCATCCTCTCGGGCCTGACGGGTTTCGCGTACGGGATGCTCTTTGGCGTCTTCCCTAGTCTCGTCGCGCACTGCTTTGGTGTGCACGGCATGAGTCAGAATTGGGGAACAATGACCCTCGCGCCCGTGATATCGGGCAATATTTTCAACATATTATACGGCCGCATATACGATAGCCATTCGATCAAGAACGAGGCCGGCGACATGGAGTGCCTGCAGGGTCGAGAATGTTACCGATCAGCCTACTGGGTGACGTTCGTGGCGGCGGTCCTCGGCGTAGGATGCTGCCTTTGGAGTATATGGCACGAGTACCAGATTCACCGCGCACGCCATGGCAAGGAGCATACCGAGCATCATGAGAGAACAGCATAGTGCGAGCATTTTATTTTTACCTTAAGCGATTCCCGGAAACTTGATCCGTGCAGAAAAGAGAAGTGTCTTGATCATGACCTGGACAATATGTAACAATTTGGAGGCTTAGTTCTGGAGATATGTGCACGCGTACATGAGTACATACCTAACTGCTTAGTACATACCTGAGATGTGTGACGTTGGACACAACGTGAGAAACTAGCATAGCCAAACTTTGGAATTAGAGATAGAAAGTATACACACGTATGATGATTGATTGTCTTGGTTTTGGCCTCTACTACTATGAATGGATGCTTTGATCGTCGGTCGTAGTCATCACCACTCTTGTTGTTGCTGATTGATTCGAGAGTTTGGCCCCAGGCCGACCAATGTTCGCTCTACAATGTGAGGGTTCGGAATCATCTCTGTCAGATCGTTGGAAAGATCTCATAAGAGTAGTGGTTCCAGATCACAGGTCTTCACAGTGGGCGAAACTCCCATGCGTAGAGGCAGCGTTCTCGAGATCACGGTGGGCGTGTCACTCTGAGGAGATCGAAGGTCGGATTGTAGCAAAAAGACGCTCGTACAGATGATGGCGTAGGTTCTGCAACTGTAACAGGGTATCATGTCTATTGACTGAAGTGCAGCTTCTGATATGGCGTTTGTCCGTCGACTCGCATTCAGTATGAATTCTTCGGCTGGAGAGAAACGTCTTCATAGCGGGCAGGCGAGCGTCGAGCAAGAGAAGTCGCGTCACGTCTTGTCTTGCTCCGCAGTAATCCTCGCAACCGCCGCCGCTACAGATGCTTCCTGTTGAGCGGCGATCGGCGGGCTCGTGGCCAAATTACTCGGCGTGGCAGGAGTGTTTGCTGGGAGGATCTCCATCTCTGCAATCTGCTTCTCTAATTCTCGTATGCGCTGTCTGAGTAGTTGGTTTTCTCGTGTCAGCATCGCCGTCTCGGCTTGGTAGAAGGCACTTTCGTCGCGGAAGCTACCTCTCCTCCCGCCTTCGATGGGGGACGAGGGCCAGTCGCCGCTGGCTTCTTGGCTGGGCAGAGGGCGTAGTGCGGGCGAGCGGCTTGCGCTCGAAGGACCGCGGGAGGAGAAGCGTCGGGTGTGTTGCTGTGGTACAGCAGGGTGGACCGAGGGGAACGAGATCGAGCGTTCCGAGGCCGGGGTTTGGTCGTCGTCGAGAACGGCCAGGCCACCGGGACCGGGTTGTGCAGACGGGTGTGACGAGTCGGTGGTGTTCTGGCTGCTGCCGCTGCGCAGGGCGTCGAGTTGTAGTTGTTGCTCTCGAATCATCTGGAGCATGCGGTTGACTTGGGCTTCCTGCTCTTGTTCGAGTTCGTTGTGGATCTCGCCTAGGCTGGGCTGGCGCTGGTGGTGAGGGTCGCCGGTCGCTATGGCTGAGCGGCCGCCGATGGTCTGAGGACTGGCGGAGGAGGCATAGCTGTGGCTGAAGCTGAGACGAGGGTCGCTGCTCGAGAGTTCGCCTGGACTGGGCAACGCGGGGTCATTGAGGTTCAGGCTGAAATTCAGCGCGGCTTGGGAGCGGCGACGGTCGGAAGGCATACGGCCTAGACGGGGAGAGCCACGGGCACTCACAGAGGAGCGTCTGGAGGACTCGTTGGCTGCGTTTGTGATGGCAGCCGTGGCTAGAGATAGCGATGAGGCTCGAGGAGAGGGCGTGTCGTTGCGGTTTGGCGGCGAGGAGGCCGTCATGTTTCGTGACTGCATCGGCGAGGAGGACATGGATCTCGAAGGTGGGAGGGAGTTGAGGTCTGGAGGAGCCATACAGCAACAGGGGACAATGAAGAACTACAGTGATGTTGCGAGTACACGTAAGTATGTCAGGCCCGCGCAAGATTCCAGGCTTTGAATACCTGACAACGCGTGGTTGTTGTCCGCAGTGGAGGAGGCGACAAGCGCAAAGATGATCGGGCAAGTGACGGGAACAATGTTTAATGCGCCCGGTGTAAAGAAAGAGGACAGAAGATTATAAAGATGACAGTTCGAGGTACGACGGGATGTTATGCAGACAGTCTTGTTCATCAGTCAGTGAGCGATATTATGTATGATGAGATGGCAGTGCTGTGTAATCTGATGTGGTGTCTCCAACAAGCTGCGTCACAGTGGAGGACGAGGCTCGTATCCGACTCTGCCAGGAGACGGAGACAGTGGGCAGAGATGAGCTCACGTTACCTGAATCTTGCTCACTGCTTGACTGGAAGAGAGGCACTTCTGATGCAACGCTGTCGACTGCGTTTAGCCCATCAAGATACAGTAGATATCTCGGTGGTGTTGATCGAGAGCGTGAGCTACGTCATGGCGGTTAAATGATGCTCCGTAGTATCTCCGGTCGAGCATTGAGTGCTTTATGGAGATGCGACGTGTGGTAGATAGGCCCCCGGTTTACCTGCCCCAGCGCATTTTAGGCGACGCTACGTTCCCCTTAGCGGCCCCTAGACCGCTGCCCTGTCTAAGACGCGGTCTCGAGAGAGTGAGTAGGTGAATAGTGGGGAAGCTGCCCGGCCGCACTCTCATTCACGCTCTCACGCGTTTAGCTACCGAAATACGTGATTAATGACAGTCTGCTGGCTTAAACAAACGACGCTCAGGCCGAGATCTCATTGCGATAGCAAAGTTGCGACAGTCGCATTGTATCCTCCCTGGCTGATTACGACACCTCAACAAAGCCAGCGTCTTTTGGATAATCCTCTGCCTTGACTGACTCTTCCGGCGACAAATGAACACCTGAGCAAATCCCTGTCCCGAACAAGCCACTTTCCTCTCCCGTTCCTATCGCAGTCGAGACCAGTGCGACCTCCAGAATTGCGAACACAGCATTCAGCCTCAACATCATACGTTAAGAACAGGAAATTTTTTGGTCGCAGTCGCAATCAGAACGGATTGTTTGTCGCGATAAGCGAGGGCTGCCTCTGCCGTGTCCCCTTAATCGAGCCCCGATAGCGCGAGTGCAGTTGCGCCCGATATGTCCCAATAAAGAGCAACACACATAACTTTCCAGACCGCAGGACAATCGACTGTCTCAAGCAAAACAATGATGGCTTCAGGAGGGTTGCAACAGGGAGTTTATCCACAACCACCTCCTTCTTTCCCTCAACATGGCCACTCCAGCTCCATGAACGCTTCCTTCCCTCACCCTCCTCCCATGGGTTACTCCGAAGCTCACTCTGTAAATTCCACACCTGCGCCGACTCCACCACCGCCGAGGCCTGCATCGCAGCACCAGCAGCACCAGCAGATGGTGTATAACATGAGTGGCGGTAATCCCATGGCGAATGGAGGTATGATGGGCGCTCCCAACAGCTTTGGTGGGTATGCAGATCAAAATGCTTATCCTCCGCAAGCCTTTTATGGCAATGGCAACAAGCCGCAGATTTACACCGTGAGTGCGCATCGCTTTTGTTGGGGAGAACCATGTGTTGACAGATAATCTTCAGGCTGTGTATTCAAATGTCTCGGTCTTCGAAATGGAGGTGAATGGCATAGCTGTCATGCGACGCCGCGCGGATTCTTGGCTTAATGCCACTCAAATTCTCAAGGTTGCAGGAGTCGACAAGGGCAAGAGAACCAAAGTGCTCGAGAAAGAAATCACCGGCGACCATGAAAAGGTACAAGGTGGGTATGGCAAGTACCAAGGTACCTGGGTGAATTACCAGCGAGGCCGAGAATTCGCACGGCAGTATGGTGTAGAGCAAGTCCTTCTTCCCCTTCTTGAATACGACATCACTTCCGATGGTATGCCCGGTATGAGCCACGGAATGGAGACCCCGACCAAGGAGCAAGCCATGGCGGCACAACGCAAGAGAATGTATGGCGGCGACGGACGACAGATGTCGCAGACATCAGGAGGCACCTTTTTCAAGAACATGTCTAGCACGGCTGCCAATGCAATTCACGCTCTCAACAGAACGCGTCTCGATTCGCCCAATCACATGGACGGCCGCCGGTCTGTTGGTCCTCGTCGCCAATCTCAGTCGCAGGCATTCACTTACGGGACTGACGGACTGTACGGCCAGGCAAGCCAGCAGAGTATGCCAAGCATGACTTCTCAAGACAGTTTTGGTACCAACGGGGCCATCATGAGCCAAAGTGCGAGCTTTGCAGACTTTCCCGCTCCAGATGCCCAAGAACCACCGCGTAAACGTATTCGACCATCACCTCAATCATCATTTCTCGCAGGCCCCTATGATGCTTCGCTCGACATGTCACTAGTCGACGGCACTTCAACCGAACCCAATGCGTCCTTCTTTTCACAACCAAGCCAGTCCTTCATTGCACCTGACCCTCTGTCGTACGGACTGGAGCCTCTTCCACATCCTACTGGACGGATCGACGAAGAAAAGAGGGAGCTTCTACTAGATCTCTTCCTTGACTCAAAGCGTACGGATTTCGATGACCACCCTGCATTCCTGCGGCTCAGTGGTGAGGAATTTGAGTTTCCAATCGATGGCTCGTGTAATACTGTATTGCACTGGGCGGCAACATTGGCACGAATACCTCTGGTACGAAAGTTACTGGAAAAGGGTTTCAATATGAGGCGTACAAACAGTGGCGGCGAGACCGCTTTGATTGCTGCTTGTTCTGCACGAAATAACCTGGATACCAGCAGCTTCCCGGAGCTTCTAGAACTCCTCGGACCTAGTATCGAAGTTAGGGATGGCCGAGGTCGGACAATACTGCACCACATTGCTGTGTCGTCGGCCATGAAGGGTCGAGCTGCCGTTGGCAAGTACTATCTCGAGTCGTTGCTCGAATACGTTGTCAAACAGGGGGCTTCACAATCATTGTCATTCGAGTCCATGAATGGAATGAATCACGACAATAAAATGACACTGAACAGATTCATGTCTGAAATCGTAAACGCACAAGATAAGGCAGGTGATACGGCTCTGAATCTGGCGGCTCGGACAAATACCACGACTATCATTGAGCAACTGATTGAAGTTGGTGCAGACCCTCACATTCAAAACCGCGGAGGACTTAGTCCAATGGACTTCGGCGTCGTTGGTGGCCACGTCAACAATCAGACATTGGACCAGACCATGACAATGTTTGAACAACCCTCTGCGGCAAATGGTCCGCCTCAGAAGTCCTTCGAAGATGCTCAAGAAGGACTCATGTCTTGTACGTACTCCGCCTTTATGTATTGAAACGTCGAGGCTAACCAGTGGCAGCAATTCGGGAGATCTTGTCCCAATCAGAGGCCGACTTCACGTCAGAGATGAAGGAGAAGAAGGAGATCCTTGACAAGACGAATGCCGCTTTGAAAGAGTCGGGCACGTCATTGGCAGAGGAGCGACGACGTCTCGAAGAAGCACGAAGTAAGGTTCGCGAAAAGGAGGATCTGGAGCAAAGAATCAACAATTTGCGTCAAGCAACTGCGAAACTGCGAGCAGAGTTGAGTGAAACTGACCCGCCAACCGCGATACAAGAGAACGTGGTGATCGGCGAAGCGGATAAAGGCCTGGACCTAGATGGCCAGCTTCCAATGGTCGCACAACTGTTTGCAGATGGCGAAACCGACCCTAGCACTATGGCCCTGACACAGGAGCAAGCTAATTTCCTGGGGTGCCTCGAACGCGCGGAGGTGCTATCTGGACGAGCAAAGGTGTATCAACGACACAATCAACAACTCGAGCAAATGGCCAAAACTCTCAAGGCTCGCAGTGGTGAGTTGGAAGAGCGATACAAGAAGATTGTCAGTCTGTGCATTGGCCAAGACGAGGACAAAGTGGACGGCTTGTTGGACCACCTCGTGCAAGCGGTCGTTAGTGAACAAAAAGAGATGGGCAACGATTCGCAACTCGGACGAGTGAGAGATTTCCTTCGATTGGTGCAAGGATCAGCAAATTGACGGACGAGATGATGCCTTTTGAAGAAGATGACCTCCAGGGTACCACCGGCTGGCTCGCTCGAGTGTGCGAGCAGTGGTAGTCTGTACCATATTGTATTGTATGTGCACAATTTGCCTATCCACTTGGATAGGAAGCCCACTACTGGCAGACATTTTGACCGATGCCAGGATGAGAATCGAGATACGGAGTGCATGCATGCCAGCCGCTTAGAGCACTGGCTTTTAGTACCAAGCGCACAAGTTACATAGCCCGTGTCTCCATCGAGCTACCAATCTTAATTGCAGGTTACGCAACTGAACACCTTCGGCGGCACATACAGTACGTACTGTAGGTTGCTCGTAGTGTGAGTCGTCGGTCTGTCGTGCTCCGATCCCGATGAACTGTCGCGGTCTGTGTGTACGAGTGTTACGTAGGTGCAGTCGAGAGTTTAACCCGTGGAGTGAGGGAGTGGTATGCACGGCCTCACCAGCCATCGGTATCAAAGCGCGTGCATGGACATCCCAGCCTCGCAGTCAGTTGCCAGTGCACAATGCCTACGGTAAATTTAGAACGAGCCTCATTGACGTGCCCAGAGCAAAAGATGACAAGACAGAAATGGTAGTTGTATGGCGGTGAATTTTCCAGTACTCGTAGACAACGCTCGTACGGACATGCCATTGGATCTCGTCGACGCTGGTTTGTTTCACACCCAAGATGGATCTGTTATGGGCGGTTCCTGGCGAGTCGTTCAAGGCCAATTGATTCCTGACTTAAAGTCGCGGCTGGTTTCAAGCCCTGACAAGCGCGTCGCGGAGATGGAGCGATAGGCGGATACACGGAGATACACCACAATGCGCACTAGACGCCCCCTTTTCTCCTCCCTTGCAACGCCTCGAACCAGTGACGGCCGAGTAACTCAGCAAAGACAGGAGAGAGACCCAATGGAACGACGAATCCGACTTCACCCTGGACCCCTGCCTCAACCGTCATGCACGCCATCATTCCAGCTTCCAGTGCGAATTGTGCCAGTCGGGGGTGTCTTCGTAGGTGGCGTTCAGTAGGTGGAATGGAGCCCCCTTCTCCCTGATCAATTCATCACCCACCTGAGGTGGCGTGCGAGTCTCGTATACGGAATCGTCCTGAGGAAACCCAACGCCTCCGACCGCACGGCACTGCTTCATCACCCTCACACGACATCAATCAAGCGTCTAGAGGCGGCTCTACGTGTCCAGTAGCTGGCTGTGCTGGCCGGCCCTTCACAACAGACTTAGTACTACTGAGTCTGCTCACTACATGTCTTTGGTTGATCGCGAGCCTATTACGATAGTGCCCTGTCCGACAACACTAGGGGAGTACAGTGCGTACATAATACTGGATATCTCAGCCCCTGTCTGGTCTGGCTCCTGGCCCACCTCCCTGGCCGCGGCCCAGCGATTCGCTCCCCCTCACTTCGTTCTTGTCCATGTCAGTCCGTCTGCGACGCTTTCCAAGACGACACTGGAGCCTCGCGAGACTTTTTGCACTGCAGACGAGGTGCTTGTGGCCTGCGTTCCCTGTTTCATGCTATCCCCACTGGCCATGGGGTCCTATGTCGAGTCCGAGATCGATCACAGCACGTCTCCCGACGTCTGGGTTGGCCGACTGTGCGGACACTCGAACAGAGCGAGACCTTGTCAATCCACAGACCCTCCCTGGGATGGAGCTGTTCCCCTACAGTAGGTGTTTTATATCCTTCCCAGCCCCTCTGTCTCGACCACGAGACTCGTAACACTCAGACCACATTCTCTTTTGCACAGGCCATTTCTCTCTTTGACCCCCTCTCAAACTGCACACTCACCTTTCTCTCCCGGTGAGCTCAATACATTCATTCGGGGCGATCGCTGGCCGTGCCTACATTCCTTTTCTTCAGACCCAGCTGTGCTTGGTCTGTTCACCGGTCTCGACGACCTGCGTAGAACAAAACCACAACGATCATCCTCTTCCCAACCTCTCGGTTCAATTCGATCGTGAAATTAAATCATGCATTTGACCAGCGTCATTGCATCTGCCTTGATGGTGATCGCTCAGGCGGACATCACCTCGGCCAAAGCCATCGCGCATCTTCCCAATGCGCTGCGGAGGAGGATTTATATGGACGACCTCGAGAGGGACGTAGCAAAGCTTCTGCGCCGAGCACCTGAACCACAAAAATCCGGCTCGGTCATCAACGTTGCGGCACCGACCAACATGACGAACGCAACAATTGCGACGGCCTGCACCGATGCGCTGAGCAAGATCACCAAGGTCGATAACCCGGCTGGTTTCGGGGCATGCTACAACATCCTTTCCTACGATGCGAAAAACAAAAACTTTGAAGCAGATCTTAGATTGTACCAGATGTTCAATACCTCTGGTGCCTTTGCTGGCCTCCAGGCCAGCGACCTCCAGATTGGACTCGTCTATCCCTCGAGCACGACATTTCAGCCGTTGACGAGCCTGAGGCGGACAAGGAGGTCTCTTGAGGGACGAGCAGCGAACATGCCAGAGATTCAGCAATATTCACTCGTTGGCAATTTCGACTCTACCCTGGACCTGAATAAGTTGAACGACACGCAGATCATGTCCCTCATGTGGCCCGACATCAAACTGAACGCCGTCGATGCCGACCAGAAGATCATCAGCGGGAACATCACGGCAAACGACGGCGCCTGGTTCGTCACAGGCCAATTCAGCGGCGAGTTCAAACCCGATTTGGTCACCGCTGCTGTCGCAAAGAAGGCCATTTCTGTCGCGAAACCTTTTGTCCTACCAGGCACCCACTGGGGCATCTTTCCTATCGGATTCATCGTCACCATGGTATGGACTGTCCTGTTTTTCATCGCCTACGGATTGGGCACGCTCGGGCGCATTAGGTACCGAGATGCGTACCGCAAGAGAAAAGCAGCGCAAGCCGGCAGGACAGGGAAGCGGATATAAGATATTTTCTGGATTTCTTCAGTTAAATTTTCAACCCTTGGACAAGAACGAGCATATCTGATCCGTACGAGAGCCTGAATTTTCTGAGGCGGTGTTGGCGGCGATTTTTTCTGCGGGACATATTTTGTAAGATACCCTCATTTAAGAAGCTGATTGAAGTTTGCGTGTGTATAGGTGTGTGGTCTTGAGGCGATTATGGATTCTGTGTATCAATAAGCGGCATTGCAATGGTGTTCTGGCCGCGAGGCGACAGAACGAGCTATGATGAGATGGATTGAAAACTGCTCCCGTACCTAGAAGGCTACGAGTACATGCCGCACGCCAGTGATAAATTACCTTATATAGAGAACGAAAGACACGTGACTGACTTTTCCCCAATTTATCTGCACCAACTTTTTTTCGACTCTTGATTCTTCGTTAAACGTGCCCCCCATACCACGCACGTCTTGATTGTTCTCATATCGCATTTACGGATTAATGACTTTCTTGATTTCTGTTGGGGTTTGGAGGGTTCAAAATGCAGTGATACCCATTTCGTTGTGTCGTTCGGGGAAGTAAAAAAATCCCTTCGGCGTACATCTGGGCTACAAGCGGGATTTTCTTATACAAAAGCCTTTCGTCTCATTGGGCATCAGGGATTCCGTTCAGCTGATATCTGAGGCTCGCAGGACTTCATCTGTCAATCGGAAAAAGCGCCTTGTTTCGTTGAGAGGCCCGGGGAAGAATCAGAGGGATTCGTCTGAAAGGCTGGTCCGTTGGTAGACGAAGCTCTCGAACGTCACTCTACCCATCTCCAACGCACAGACTCACACGCAACACCAACATCGATTGCTAGTTACGAGATTGACGCTAGGCGGTTGTCTACTGCGTAAGCTTGAACGACCGCAGTGCTACACCCATCACACTGCAGCCATGGACTACTTGTTTCCATACCCCAAGATGGGTGTATCATTTCTGGAGATTCTGCATGACCAATTGACTCGCAAGCTACTTGGTTTCGATGCAGTGCACGCTGAAAAGACACCATTCATCTCGGGAGTCACATCAAGACTCAAGTTCCTTCTCAACGATGCAACGAATCATATCTCGTTTATAAAGATTGGATATACCGCTCTCGAAGCATTTCTCCAAGCCAACGTTACAGGACCTCCCTTGGACTTTAACACGGAAGAAGTTATCTTCCCCGAATCGTACAGAGACGAGACCTTGAAGAGTCTACAGGAAGAGCTCTTCCAGAGTCTGTCTGTGGACGGCAGCCGCCCGTATCCCCTGACACCACATATCCAACTTTTCTGGCTGGCCAAGGTGATTCTGTCGAATCCGATCCTCGCCGAAGCAGGTTTCAACGGCCGACGAGCCCGCGCGAGAGTCAACTTCTGGCATCAGAAGCTTCTGCCAGAAGAGTCTCCCACGCTCCGAGACGAAATCTATGCAGACACGGAGATTCTGGAGCAACAACTTTCTTCCAGACTTGTGAGCCAGGCCGCATCCAGCGAAGAGCATTTTGTTCATTTCCTTATCGAGCGGGCGGTGGCACGGACATACTACGGGGATGATGCCCTTGCTCGAAGTGACCTTGCAAGAGCCGCAACGATACGAAACTTTCAATTTGTCCTCACCGGAGCGCTTGGAAAAAGAACAAAGTTTCAGAACCAAGAAACAAGTCAGCTTGTGGTCCTTGCAAAGAGCAGAGACGTCGAGCCCCCAGAGGAGAACGGCTCGAGGCGTCCAGGTGAAAAAAGAGGTTCTGTAAACGAGGGCGTGTCGAGATCCCAAAGCGCACAGACAGAGTCCTCAGGCGACAAGGCTTCGGCCACTCCTTCTATCCCTCCGCACCAAGAACTGCCCGATCCCTCCTCCTCTACTACCCTGGCTACCAAACCTGCAGATGTACCTCTGAATGACGACACTCTTCTCGAGAAGATCTCCTTTGGTCCGTCACAACCCATATTACCAGAAACGATGACACATACCACTACCGAATCATCCTTACCTCCATCCTTGTCTTCTCTGGATCCATCTAATCCCAGGCCCCTCCACCCACTCGACAGCATAATTCTCCTTGCCACGGCAAGCTCCATAACGAACACGTCGCCTAAAGACGGGCTCGTACGCGAAGAGACGCTCCCTTATGCCACGCGCGTTCTGGATGGCGGCTCCTCAAATTGGCAAGTGTATACACAGGCCCTCCTCGTTCGGAGCAGGATCGAAGGCTACCGTGCCCGCACCACCGAGAGAGGCCTGCTGCAACTACAAGCCCTCGTCGACCAGATTATTGCCGAGACCACAGCGTCAGCGCCTCCCGAAACCACGAACGACGACTCTACAACCGCAGCTATAGATTCCACCGGTGGTGAGCCTACCACAGGTGCGGTGACGACCTTCTTCCCCAAACCTTCTTCATCCGAGGCTGCCTCTGTCGCTGAGCGTCTCCAATACGTCTATCAGCTCTCGCCTCCCTTACGATGGGAACTCGAAGCCGAGCTCGCCGCCCGCTGGACACACCTGGGCGGCCTCAAGACCGCACTGGAGATATACAGACGTCTCCAGATGCACGCCGAAGTGGCACTATGTCTTGCGGCGACCAATAGCGAAGGCGAAGCGATCAACCTGTTGAAGGACTTGCTTTTCGAAAAGGCCGAGTCTGATGGGTTCGACGAAGAGGACTCCAAAGCCATGATGCTTCGCTCCCCGGCCCCCGCGGATGCACCGAGATTACTCTGCATCCTGGGAGACGTCACGTCGCATCCAGACTACTACAAGCTCTCATGGACGGTTTCAGGAAACAGGTACGCCCGCGCCCAGCGATCCCTTGCACGTTTCTTCGTCAAGAAGGGAGACTACCCCAGTGCAAAAGAGGCGTATACCCTCGCCTTGGTTCTCAACCGACTGGATCGTGCAAGCTGGTTCAGTTTGGGGTGTGTCCAGCTTGAGTTGCAGGACTATCCGGGGGCAATCGAGAGTTTCACGCGGTGTGTGCAGCTCGAGGACGACGATGCAGAGAGTTGGTCGAATCTCGGATTGGCACTGTTGAAACTACCAGCTGAACAGCAGCAGCAGCAGCAGAGTAACGGCACAGACGACACGGCGCCGCAGACGCGAGAAGCTGCCCATGACGAAGAGAAGGAGGAAGAGGGAGACGTTCGGGCTGCTGAGGGCAGAAGAAGCGGCGATAATGCCCCCACGGGGAAAGTCGACCAGTACATACATGTCCGCGAAGCACTCCGAGCCCTCCGCCGCGCCGCGACACTCAAGCGCGACGACGCCAGGATCTGGGACAACTACCTCACCGTGGCAGCCAAGATCCCACCCAGCGCAGGGACGCCTTGGGCTGAAATCATCCAGGCCATGGGGCGCGTGGTCGACCTCAGAGGGAAGAAGGAGGGTGAAGGAGCCGTCGACTTGAAGATTCTCAGGGTCCTAACGAACTTTATCACACAGAGTTTTTCGTATCCGAGCACTTCTGACGGTGGTGATGGCGGTACGATCAAAGACGACGAAGAGAATGCAGTGGCAGCGGACGAGCCAGGCACTGGTGCTACTGTAGGTGGGGGTTTGGGGGCAGAAGCAGGGGCAGGGGTAGGTGCGGATGCGACCAAGGGGGGTGACAAGGGCGACGGACACGGCGACGCCACAACGACGAAACTACCGTACCTAGCCCGCTCCTTTCTGGGACTTCTCGACACGCACGTCGCACCCTTGGCCACCGCCTCTCCCGCGCTGTACGAGATCTTGTGCGACGCGTCCGTCTGGAGAGGGCGACCTTCTCAGGCGCTCCTCTACGCGGAAAAGTCGTGGCGCTCGTTCCTGACGGGCGTGTCGCTCAGCGAGGAGTTCGACGACGTCCCCGACCGCGCGTGGGACGCCGTCGTCGACAAGACGCTCTGGATGGTCGGGAAGTACAGGGATCTCGGACCGCTCGAGCGCGAGAGGACAGGAGGACAAGTCGAGCCGAGGTGGAAGTTCAAGGCGCGCAGCGCGGTGAGAAAGGTCCTCGGGCGAGCCAAGGCCCGAGAAGGGAGTAGAGGCTGGGGGAGGCTGAGTGAGGAGGTGGTTTCGTAGGGGAGGTGTGAGAAAGAGAGCAAAAAATGTACATACAGACGAACGATCGATCGAACGAACACAACTTTTACGTACAAAAACTGACAAAAACTGACACAGAGGAACAACGTTTCGAAAGGTACCAATCAATATTGACCTGAGGCAATACATGACAAAATGAGGCGATGAGATAATTCCCAAAACTGCCATACGGGGCACTCTACCTTGACCATATCATATCACTCTCCACTATCACAGATACCTTGACTACCTTGACCGGTGGGGACCGAATGTGCATGTATGCACAAGCCGCCACTACCACTACCGATCTCCCATATATGTATATTGTATGCAGGCCGGCTTGACTGGCTTGACCTGTTGAGAATTCCCGAGTACACGAAGTCACGCAGGAAGTAAGTTAAGTCATACTGTACTGATCAGGCTCCTGAGGCCAAAAACTTCCAGCACACACACTCGAGGTTCATTGTAGAATAATTTTTCTGGCCAACTGCCCGACTACCTGCCCGACTACTCGACTCGTATCGTTGACGCTTCTTTGCTAATCATGAGACCGACGACGTACGAGCCGTGCTTCGACATCAGGATCCGTTCAGTAGCTTCCTCTTCACCCAGCCACAGAAACTCTCGAACAAGACCGAATCCGAACCCTGTAGGTGCCGAATGTGAAGACTCGTACTATTCTGACGGACAGCGGCAGTCGTCGCAGTCGTATTCGTACCTGCAGTACGTGTACTCTGACTAGTCGATGTAGTAGTTGTTGAGCCAAGTCCAGACCCCGATGATGATGATGATGATGATAATGATGACGACGACGACGACATTGATGATGATAGACACAGTCTCACGACGAGGGCCGGTTCAGGTTCTTCGTCGTCGTCGTAGTCGTCGTCATCCTCATCTGGATCTCCTGGCGTACATGTCGTATCTTTCATCTCCTGATCCCGATCTTTTAGTAGTTTCTTCCGTCTGGCTTTCCGACTCCAGACATCACCCTCTCTACTCATCAAGATACCGACGCGTCTCGCTGGGCTGTATTTCCACAAGACGTCCAGTTTTCCAATCTCGGCGATCATCCTCGTCTCGGCCCCGACGAGGTCACCTCCAGGAAGATCGACCAGCATTTCCGTCGGAGGTGGCAGGTACTTCTTCTCGACCCCGCTGCCGCCGCCGGCGCCGAAACCACCGCCACCAACACCTCTCGCTACGGCATTGCTCGGTCTCAAACCGAGCCAACTCCAAGCCACGCACCACCTCCTCGTCTTCTGGCCCTGGACGAACTCGGTGACGGCGTAGTTCGTGCACCCCTGGCCGCGCAAGTGGTCGACGATGCAGCCGACACTGGACAGTTTCCCCAGCATGGCGCTGGACCATTGGATGCGTGATCGGCTCGCGGGCCGTTTCGATTCATCGACCAACCTGGCCACGAACGCGACTTCGCCACCGGGCGTGATCATCTCGACGGGGGCTCCGGTGCAGCTTGAGTTCGCGGGGCGGGATTTCGAGCGTGCAGATTCGAGCATCGAGGACTCCGATTCGTAAAAGGGTGGGTTCGTCATGAGAATGTCGATGCTGAGTTCTTGATCAACACGTATCAGGAATTACTTACTACGTCGTGCGTCCGCATAGAGGAAAGCTTCTTTGTGCTTTTGCAATTACAAGACGACAAAGGAAAAATGAAAAAGCCAAACGAAATCGACAAAACGTACCGATCAAATCTCTCAATCTCAGTGCTCGGGATCAATTGGTCGCCGCTCGCGTCCGTGTCGAGCTGCTTGATACGGGTCTGGAGATTATTTGTCGCAGTGTTCTTCAATGCATATCTTTGATTCTTGCCGTCGATCTCGGTGAACAGAAAGAGCCATCTCGGCCGTTGCCGGCACGCGAGAAGGGGATATATCGCTGACGATCCTGTACCTCTGAGCACAGTTCATACAAAGGTTACGTGTTAGTCTGTGATTTTCAATGGAACAAGCAACTCTTCAGAAAGGTGGCCACCGTAGACTTTAGATTTAGCCGGGATTATAATACTGCGCTGCGCTGCGCTGTACGTACATGTCAAGTCCGATCACCTGTCGATCGGGGTCGAACCCTTCATGGAAGTCTGGGGATGTGGTGTCGAGAAGACGCTGGATGAAAAGGATGTAGTTGAAGCTATTTCTCGGCACGTTAGTACGCAATGAACATCCCTTGCAAGTGACATGAATCGCATTCAGATTCTTCTGATTGGGGAAAAAAAAAAGAAAACCACAGAGGGACAGGGCATTTCAGCGTACCGGTTCGGAACCTATTTTAGAGCAGTCAGAGCAAGAATGCAAACCCCCCGAGAAGGGGGAACAGGAGTCAACCGGTATTAATACGCACAGGAGGGCAAAGTCTGTCTTCTGGCAAGTCGATGACAAGGTTGAAGTCGCGGTGTAGAAGAGCCTTGGTGAGTTGCCTTGGAGAAAACAAGGTCAGTGCCGTAGTTCGCACTCCAAGGAGCCGGGTCGCCGCCTCCAGCTCAGTGCCTGTTGTCCTTTCTCATACCTCACGCTTTCGGGGTCCGAGAAGTCCAATTGACGGTTGAACTTTAGCCTGTGTCGTCCCAGGGGCGGGCAATGTCAGTCTTTGAGCCCTGTTGGAGACGGAACGGAGAAGAAGAGGCTGGAGATCCATCTCGGCACGAAGGAGGACCATGTACCTTTTCGCAAAGTCGGGATACTGCAGTGCCAGGGCGGTAAAGTCGACATCACGCCTGTAGATGTCATCTGGAGCAGGCATCGTGAGAAGTAGTCACTTCGTTGGTGTCAATGAGGTTACCGCGGACATGTGGAAACGTGCTCGGAAGGCTGGCGCTGTGAGAACCATGATTTAAATGGCTGGCTTCATGGCAAAAGATGCATCGATGGTTATCAGGAAGACCTTAACAACAAGAATACAGGTATCCAACGGAGGCAGTCGTAGTTGTGTATAAAGCCTACAATACGCACATATGCATGTAGGTAGTAGACTAGATGAGCGAATGGAATATTTCAAATGACACAGTCCTGCCTGGATCGGAGGATCTTTATTCCCGGATCAACACCATAAAGGTAGTAATACTCTCCCTGTGTACTGCACTCGGACTGCTCAAAGTGCAAACATACTTATACTTGTACTTGTACGGTATCTAACCTCGAGGGCATATTTTGTCCCAACGACGTGCATGCACCAGACATGCACCTTGTCAAAACGGGTGCCAAAGGGGGTATATATAGGCACTCCAAACCACCTATCGAATACCAACAGCAATGCCACTCAAACGCCGGTGATGTTACCAAGAGACTCATAACTCATCAAGGAGAAACCTTTCTTTCTGAACCATTGACGTGTCCAGCAGCTGTACATATAAAGGAGACGCAATCAATTCGCGAAACAGTCAGACTCTCATCTGCCCTTCTTTTCTGCCTCTGACCTGCAGACTTAGTTCTTCAACACAGCTTCATACAGACTCACGGCAGCTCCTAGGCCGGAGCTGACCAGGATGGAGGAGTATCCACCTAGAATGCTTTCGTTGACTGTTGCCACGGTGAAATGCTGGTAAAGACCAGCCAGGTTGAAATGCTGGGCGTAAACCACGTAGGCAATCAATCCTTTGGCGAGATTGAAGATGAATGGGTCGAACTGCATCTGCGTATTGTGCTGCAGAGCGGCTCGACGGGTCGAGTAAGAATGGCTCGGGTGGGCCTTCAGTGGCAGATTGATAAAGTACGAGATCAAACCTGGAAGGATGAATGATGTCAAGGCCCAGAGAGAGAATGGCGACCAGAACTTGGAGTCTAGGAGCAGGAAAAGATCAGGCACATTGATTGGCGTCTTGGTTGATTTGATATAGGGCACGGCTGGCACTTCCGCCAACAACTTGTTGGGAAGAATCTGGGCGCGAAGTCCGTATGCTTCAAGCAGGATGGCCAGAACGGTGACGGTCAGAGGCGACGAAAGGTAGTCGCGTGCCCAGTCGGCCGCTTCGTGGATCTGTGTCTTCTGGTAGGCGTGAGAGATGGATGTGCGAAGGCGACGCGTCTGTTGATCGATCGCATCCGTGACCACGGCTGGAGATGGTGGGATAGGGATTTGCGCTGTTAGGATGGAAGAACGACGCGCAATCTCTTTGGCCGGTTGTTTCACGAGAGCCTTGACGGGCGAGTCGGTGTCGGTTCTGCATACAATTTTTAGCTTTGTCGCGTGTCCCTGAGCATGTTATTCTTACGTATCCTCGGCGGGAGCAACAGTCTTGCGCCTGGATTTTTTGGGGGGCGCGCTGGTCTCTTCATCAGACTTGACTGTGTCCGAGACCTTTTCCGCAATTTTCTTGACCGGCGATCGCGAAGTGCTGCCTAGGCGCTTGTAATACTCGCTCAAAGACGGCTCTTTGCTGTATGTGGTCGAGTTTGCGCGTAGATGCTCGTCGAGGGCGACTTCGAGTTCGGCTTTCTTGAGACTGGCATAGCTGTGGTCGCATACACGTCAGCAACGATACGCAATGTAATTTGACAGGAAAAAGACGCGTCCAATGATTGAATGATTGCGCGGGTTTTGGCTCACTCTTGCAACTTGCTCGTCTCCGCGAACTCGGTCAGATCGCTTTTGCGCAGTTTCTGCAGATAAGGTAGGGCTGACATGATTGCCTGAATGCAAAGACACAGGCTACGCCGGCACGACAAAATTGATGTTTGCGGATGTTGGTAGGATGATGAGCCAGAGGATACTGGAATGCGACAGCGGAGGATGTGGAGAGGAACAACAACAGTCACACGAGGGGGAGGCTGGCTTAGTGAAATGGAAATAACAAGTGGCTGGGGGATCGCGCGGAATGGGCGCTGGGTGTTGATCGTGGGATGCTTGATTCGGCCTGTTGCCTTGCTGGGCTGCCCTTTGGGAGGCTCCACGGTCCGAGCTGGGAGGGAAAAGGTAAACAAGTAGACAGCCGAGGCGGCCTTAGCTCGTCACCACAGCTACTTCGAGGCGTAGCTCGACAATATACCGGGCGGTGGAGGCAATGATTGGCTGTGCCCTGTCGCTGGGTAGTATCTGTACTGATCTCGCGCTCGAATCGAGGTGATCGGATGGGTACTGGGTAAATTGGACGAGAAGACCTGGTGTTCACCGAGAGCACACTGACTGGGAGTCGTTCCCTACTGCTGCTCGTCGGGCGATGTGGGATGATGCGAGAGGGACGAGGATGGTGAGCGTCACAGTGACTTATTAGTCAGTCAGGGCAAGTAAGTCGAAGGAAGCGCTAAAGGGAATGTAGCGTCACCTAAAGTCTGCAGGGGCAAGTAAGCCGGGCATATTTTCACTCCATAGAATGCACATTCGCATATACAGAGTACTTTGATACTGAATACCCATCTGCACGGTCCTAGGTATCGACCTTAGGTTACAAGGTGTGTGTAAGTGACTCCAATTCATACTCCTCAGCCTATAAGTCCTTGTCGCGTTGAAATCTCATACGACGACCCCGACGACGACCTCCTCAGACAATGGAATGACCACAAACCCAGTCCACCTCTATCGCTCCCTTCTCCGGGAAGCCACCTATCTTCCCTTACCACAATGCCGTACATTTGTCAAAGATCACATCACCGCCTCCTTCCGGCGTTACCTGCCCAAATACGCCAACAGCGATGCACCCAAATCTCGCTCCGGTAACCCCATCACCTTTGAGCGGCAGACGAAGCTCCTCCACCGAGGCCGCAAGTTTCTGTCATCCTTGCGCCGCGCAAATGAGGGATACACCGCCCACGTCGAGAAAGTCCTACGGATGACGTATGGCCGCGTCGGACCGCGACGATACGCCCTCCTCGAACCATGGCTACAAGTACCGGCGGCATCTCTAGATGATACCGCTCAAGAAGACCTGCGTCAACCATCTGAGTCGAAATCAGGCTCGAGCCCCGGCACAGGGACCGAGACCGAGACCAAGACCGGTACAGCTCATCATAGAGGAGAATCAGGCGCGAGCAACTCGAAGCAGGAAAAGAAGGGGAACCTCAAGACACAAGCACACGCACAAGCACAAGCACAAGCCAAGGCAACAACACCCAAGGCGGCCGACAAGGCAGCAGAAGAACTAAGCATCGCAACCCCCCTCTCACCCCGTCGCCAAGCCTACTTCTCCTCGCAACTCGCAAAGTACAACATCTCCCCCAACATGCGCGCCCTCCTAGTGTCCCAGGCGACAGAACAGTCCAAATTCGACCGCGCCAACCGACCCGCCGGCAAGATCAGACCGACCTTCAAGCCCCCGCAGACCACCACGATCTGGGGCGCTCCCCTCCCACCCAGCCGCGTCAAGAACCTCAAGCGCGAATGGTACCACGCCAACCTCGCGGCCGCCCTCCCGCCGCTCCCTCAAGCAGAATACAACGCCGTCCACGACCTGGTCAGCGGCAAGGCGCAGTTCCCACCCGTGCCACGGCGCAGACCGCGAGCGCGGCGCTCCGAGGCGGACCGGGGGCGAGAAGAAGCAGACAGACAATCTGTGGTGATCCTCGAGGGGCCCAGGCCCGGTGTCCGCTTCAAGGACTACACCCATGGCCGTCCGCATAAGATGACGCCGCGCCTGCTCCGCCACCTTCTCTCGCGCGCCGTGCTCAAACAGACACCCTTCGTCGTCAAGGCCACCACCGACCCTGGCAGGACCAGGACTGTGACTGTCTCTGACCTCGCTTTCCACTGGGACGACGCCTTGACCCGAGAGCGCTACCAAACCACAAAGCTTACTAGCTCGATAACTCGGAGACAGTGTGACCTACTATTCGGAACATGAGCATTGGTCACCTGCAGTACAAGTCATGAGTAGGGAAGGGTGAGAAGGCCTCACGAGAGAACATCATGCATGGTCCCCATCACTAGACCTCGACAACTCTTGACTATCAATCAATTTGTAGAAGTAAGGACAGAAATCAAGTCCAGCATATAAGACCGCATTTATTTTCTGGAAAAAGGGGTATCAAGTGTATAACACTAGAAACAATCCGCCGCCCATCTTCGGCGCCGAACTTGGTCGCTCGCAAGAATCACCATGTGCCTTTCCGGAGGCCAGTATCCCGAATCCTGGTGTACATACTATCAATTCAAACCCATGCCTTCATCCCTGTGATGCTGTTGAACGCCGTACTTTCAAGCCAATGCCGTTACCATCCCTCTATTTTAGTTCCTCCATATCGCTATGCGTAGTTAGAAAAGCAAAAAAGCAAAAACGCTTGCTCGTCAGTCGTTAGTTCCGCTGTTGATCATGGAGAACCTCCCAGCATGGCACTGAGTGCAATGTACCACGTCCGAGAAGCCCCTCCATCGATCCAACTCATGTCAAAGTTGTCCTGCGTAAAGAAACTGTACGCTGCACTCGGGTTAATGTTGGCGAAATTTGCGTATACGATACCTGATAGTGATAAGCATCATCATAATCATCCCCAACGAGTCTACCGGGATGCTTACCTTTCCACCCTCCTGAAATACCAGTGGCGTCCCTCACCGCGCCATCCGCAAAGTAAGTAGTCCATTCTTCAGCCACAAATTGCTCTGCAGCACATTAGCTCCAACACCGAAAAGTAAAGACGGATTAAAACGTACGTGTTCGTGTCAGAGTCGAGAAAGGCATCACCGGGATCATATGGATGCTATATCGCATTAGTCAACGGCTCCGAAGATGAGACCTGACACGACTTACCCCTGGATATAACTCAAGTCGTTTCCAAAGTAGGTAGTATGGTCCGCTTTGTTTTCAAACAGAATCCCTGTAACCTTGTTGCCAATGAATGCTGCTGGCTGATTGACGTTATCAGAGGTCATGAGGAAATAGTTCTGCAAGCTGCGTGCAAGCACCGACAGCATCAAGTTACCACGAGCTTCCATAGAAGCATCGCCAATGGTCTTGCCCCACATCTTTAGACCATAAGCAAACATGGAATCCTCGGAAGACGATTCTTCGTCTTTGCCATCTCCGGAAGCGAAAAGCCCCTTGGCCCATGAGTGCCCATGGTACCAATCAAAAGATCTAAAGACCGGGAAGTACTGGTCCAGCGAACTTGGATTGGACACATCCCGGGCCAAAGCATTGACATAGTCCTTGTTTTTGATGAGCCATGTAGGGTCCAAATAGCCGATGACAGCAGCAGCATGGAGGAAGTAGCCGTAGTGAAAATGATGGTCGTTGTAATAAGAATTGCCAAAATCGACGCCATCATCACCGGTAACGTAGCTTGCTGACGAGACGATGCCCTTCCAGTCCGTGTCGTACAACAACGGGTACTCTTGTTGGTTGTCGGAGAAGACTTCGAAGCAACTCTCTAATTCAAGCAGCGCAGTCTTAGCCAGGTCTGCTTGATCAGCAAGATCGTGCATTGTATAGACCAATGTTGCAAACTTGCTCAGCGCCTTGCCGGAATAGTACATGCTGTTGAGGTTCGTTTGAGCTGACATGTTTTGAGAGGCCTCCGTGACAGAGACCTGCTGAATGGCCGCGACAGCAGCGGCTGACAAGTTCATAGTTGATTCAGATGAGTCTGCCGGCCTCCAGGGTGCAAACCCGAGCGATGTCGGAAGCTCGTTCTCCTCCAGGACCCAGTAATCTGCGATTACTGCCGTAGCATTACCAACGGTAGTGGTGGCTAGTGTTAGGTTCGTCACAGTTTTTGGACTGGTGGCTGCGAACGACTGGACGTGGTGAGGGAGAGCAAACATAACAAGGGTCGAGTTCTCTGAAAAAGGCCCGGCTTTTGTCCATGACAGGCTGTACTGAGCTTTTGCATCTTGGGCGTGGCCACCCACTTGTCCAGCTGTGGGCCACGTGCCTGCAGCGTCATCATAGATGAAGTCGAGACCATCACTCGGCAATTTGGCTACTTGCACGTCACCGTACCAGTTCTCGGGCCCTTGGAGCAACGTGCTTGATGCGAGCTTGAAATTAGGATTAATGCCATTGGATGGTAGGGCGTACAAAAGCCAAACTTTACCATCCTCTAGCGTGATTCTGTACTTGAAAACGCCTGGTTTAGGCTCTCCAGCGGCTGAGACACTGCGGAAGAAGACGCTGCTCTGGATATTGGGCTGTAGGTTGATGTATTGGCCAGTGATAAAAACCATCCCCTGTACGACAGGCATGGTCAGGATCGAGGTTGAGCCAGTGGAGGGCTGCAGATGGACATTTGCCGAGAACGCCAGCAGTGAATCAGTAGTGAGGATGGTGTTGCTTTGAAATTCTGCCGCAGAAAGAATCAGGGATTGGATGCCTAAGGGATTGATGTAGTAGGAGTCTGGCGAGTTTGGAATAGCCGTGTTGGCAGGTCCGAACACCTTCTGGCTTTGTTCAACATGCGAGATCGCCATGCCCCAACTTTGAGCGTTACCGCTTCCTTTACTCCAAGCCAGAGTATATGGCATCAAGAAAGCCGGAAAGTTCTGGGTTCCCAGAACAAAGTTTTCGTAGAATTTGTTGGTCTCGATAGGTCCAGTGGCATTGGTGATACCCAACCGCGGCACAGGATGGCCTCCCTGTTGCTGGATGTTTGTTGGTGGTTGTCCGAGGGCAATTGGCTCAAATAGGTCCTGGCCATAACAGCCCATGGTGAGCAGGCACGAACTAGAAGCCGTAGGGAGAGTTGGAACTTGTGTGTCCGTGGTCAACGTGGTCGCTAAAGTCCCAGTGATTGTGGAGGACGCTGACAAGGTCGTTTCTACAATCGCAGTACCCGTCGTTGTTATGACTGTCGTGCCAGCGGTCGACGTTGCGATCACTGTTCCACCGGAGGTCACGGTCGTGTTCAAAACTGTCACCGCAGTAATAACAGCGGTGGTCTCGACCGCTATAGTTGTCACAGTTTGCGTTACAACCACTGTCTCAAACGTCGTCAAAGGCAGAGTGATGGTCTCGGTGAGGGTACTCTGAAAAGCGGATGCCGTTGCATTGCCAAAGCTAACAGTACTATTAAGAGGCTGTATAGTTGCCGAGGTGACGCTTGGGATGCTGGTAGGAAATGGCTGTACCGGGGGATGACCCGCTGTCTCAAGAGTGGTAATGACGCTCTGTTCTCATCAGCAAAACATCACATGGCGACGAACAACAGGCTTACTCCAGTAGGCTGCAAGGATGATTGATTCTCGAGGGTGCTGGTAGGGATTTGCGAAGAATTTAGGCTCGTCAGGGTGAAAGTTTGAATACTCAGGTGAGGATCGCCGAACGTATATACTGAAGATGACACTTCTTCGTGAGCCACACCACCGGGCTGACTCGAAGCAGTCACTGTTGCGGCAGCGCTCGACGTCTCTGTGGCAAACGTGTGGGGTGTGTAGATACTCGGAAACGGGTTTCCATTAGAAATCGAGGTAAACAGGGGAGGTCCGACCTCGAAAAGACGACCCTGCGCACCTGGAAACAGAGACCACATGTCAGTCTATATGTCATGCCCCCTCAAACCGAATTGAAGGAGGATGGTTGTACTCACTGATAAAACGAGGGCCGGCGGGTAGAGCTCCAGCGAGAAGTACCTGTGAGAGTGTTAGCAAGAATGGACAAAGTAATCTGGGCATAGTGAGAGGGTGTAGGAGTTTGGAAGCAGGATTCGCTACACATGTAGCGAATCGAGCGCGGAGAGCAAGAGGCCAGAACGTGGCAGTGATTGTAGTCTGCACCGGGGAGGGAATGCAGAAGTGTTCAGTATTTCAGACACCAATAGTGAACGCAGGATATTTCTTCGGTATCTGGAGGTATTGATAGACACGGCGCAGATGCAACTCGTAGGATCTTGGATGTTCACAAAGGTGTAGATGTCCTAGAGGCATTCGAGGCACTCGTGACACTGTATTTGTCCTCATGGTCTGTCGCAAACGCTGGAAGCCGGTGACGGCCGGTGGGGGACAACAGACTTCCGAATCGAGCCAACGCAGAAAAGTCAAAACTCGAGAGGGAGTCAAAGCGTACCAGGATTAAAGTTGTAGACACGGGACTTGACAGACGCACGGACGACGGCATGATCCGGGAGTCCACGCAACCGTGGGCTCGGGCTCGCGATGGAGATTCAGACAGTGGCGTGGTAAGTGGCCGCTGAGGGTAGCAATAGCGATAACGATAACGCAAGAGGACAATATAGGGTCAGGACGGTGATGTTGGCTGAGAGGTACTTAGGAAGAATAACGAGGCTGTCGACGACGACGAGGAGGAAGAGAATGATGCTTGGTTGCGGCGGTTGGTGGAAAAGAACTCGATCGTCTTTGCACTCGCCGTTGATGGTCTGTTCCTTCCTCCATCGTCGATCATCTGCTCTTTCCCATCGCTCGGGGCTGGAACAGGCCATCTTGCCATTGCCAGACCTCGCGATCGATGACGAGAGGAACAACCGTGCTGGAAGCATGATGATCTGAAGCCCAGAAGAGATGGGGGAAGGTTCGTCGCTCAGACCCAAGCGGTCGGTGCCAGCAACGTGGCTCTGTGTTTGTGATGATGGGATCGCGATGAGAAGCTCACGAACTGCTGAGGGTGGATGAGGTGGTTGAGGTGGCTGAAAGGTTGTTTGCGAAGTGTCTCGCGTTGATACGATGGGAGAATTTCGGCCCAGTGTCAGATTGAGGAATCTTCGTCAATAGCGGGCGCCACCATAACATCCAACAGCACCGGACAGACTTATGCACACTTTACAGGAAGATACAGCGAGGTTTGGATCTATAAGGGGATTGATTTGATCATGCCAGTAAGTGCTCCTCGGGCTCCATCACCCCGTCTACACATCCCTGCGCTAGGCGACTCACTACACCATTGGCCGGGCCATGGGTCGAATGATGCCTTGTTTCGTCAGGATCCTTGGTTTGGTGGCATCCTGGAAGGTACTCTTCGTAGTCCATTCAGGCCCAAGGGGCAGCCGTAGAGATCGCTCGTATTGCTGACGCGACTCGAATGGATGAGGCAACTCGGTGGCCAGATATTTTCCGTTGCGCTTCACACGCTTCTCGTTGATGATCACACGTTCCAGTTTGGCATCTTGTCGCTTGTCCTTGGAAACGCCTTTCACTGTGGTAACAGACCGCCCCTTTGCTCGTTTCTGGGCCTTCTTACTGATACCCTCGCCAGCCCAGCTTCCCCATCCAGGGAGGCCATTGTCAATTACCTGGTCGCCCTCCTCCTCTTCCACCTCCTTTTTCTCTTTCGCAAAATCTTGCTCCACCTCGTCGGGACCGGCAAAGATGGCATTAGCGAGAGCAGCATGGTCGTCTTGCTCGTTTTCGGATTCGGATGGGCTAGTGTACCCGTCAAGGTCGGTGTGCGGTACAGTAGTCTGCTTCCTAGGTATTGCCGCTTCTCTGGGGGCCCGCTGCTGGTCAGTGGGTTTTGCGACAACGCGTCCAGATGTAGTCACCTTGTTCGCTGCCTTGCCGGGGCCTTTGGTCGATAAGGATTGTGGTTGCGGCTGCTTTGAGTTGAGTGGTGTAATGACAGAGTTAGAAGTCCGCACCTGGGTGGCTTGACCCATGTGTTCCTCGCCATTGTCATCATCATCTTCTCTCTCAGCATCTGACTCGGGTTCTTCAAATTCACCCTTCTGGACTGAGGGTTGAGAACGTGGCACTTCAACCTGGCCTTGCACGCCAAATCTGCGACGTCCTTTAGGCTCTTCCCAATCGGCTTCGGAATCCTCTGATCTGCCCTGCGCTCCGTCATCTTGCAAACTTCGTTGAAGTCTACGGAGTTCTTCATCGTTCGCCGCTTTCCTCGAAGCTTCTGCCTTCTTCATGAAAGCCATATTGTTAAGGCGAGATTCCGCGTCGACAGGATTGTCATGGCTGAGAGATTGGACTTTTTCTTGCAACCGAACTCTTTCATCCTCCGAGTCCGAGTACTCTTCAGACTCTGACGATTCGATTTCGTCGTCAGCGCCCAGTGTCTTGCCCTCGATTCGTCTGCGTAGTTCTTCGTCGCGGCGAGCAAGGTCTGTAACGCTATGTCGAGCATTTTCATCCCAAGCAGCCCTGCCTGTGGCCTTGATACTCTTTGCCCATTTGCTTTCCCGGTGACGCGCTCCCATTCGCTCCTCGGCACGCCGGCGATCGTTCTTCTCGCGATCCTCGTCAGAATCAATCAAGCCTTGTGCGGCCAGGAGAGACCTGTGCTCCAGCTCGGCCTTCTCTCGTTCCTTGCGGTGTACCCTACGATAAGACTTACTCTTGATTTTCTTGATTCTTCGAGCACGAATTTCTTCTCGGAACATGAGGTCTCTAGCCTTTCTCAGCTCAGCCCGACGTGCCTGAACTTCTTCAAGTGGGAGCTTCTTTTCTTGGAGTTCTTCATAAGCTTGTTCCTGGTCGTCGAGTGATCGCTGCTCTTTGGACATCATGCCGCTTTCCTTCATGATTTCTTGAATGGTGGATTCCAGGACGGTCATGGGTTGAGACTTGGAGGTCGGCCCCAGTTGTTTGCTCACCAATTCACCACTTGCGGCAGGATCGACTAGTGGGAAAGAAAGATGCTCCGCACGGCGATTCTGCTTGACAGTCTCAACCCATTTACCCAGCTCCTTTTTCGTCTCGTCATACGCGGCAGCACGGTCAAGACGATCTTGCTGGCGTTTTGCCAATGGTGGAGCGAGCTTACCAGGGATCCCGTCCTTGTAAACATCGCCCCCCTGCTCCTCGTTATTTTGCAGTATTTTTAGTGACTGTCTTTGACGAGGATCCTTGATATACTGCATCATATCTGCGGCTGATATCTTCGAACCGCTAGTCCCAAATTGCGACGGCCTGTCGGGTAAATTGCTGGGAAGTCGTTGCTTCCTCGATGCAGGGTCCGACCGGCCACTTGAGAGTCCTTCGACGAAGCTCTGTAATCGAGAATGATCACCATCCTCATCGGATACAGAGAATAGGGATTTTTGATCATCATCTTCTGACTGCGAGTCCGAGTCTGCGTCGTCATCGGATGTCGAGTCCTCTTCGTCCTCATCGTCACCGCCCCGGCGAGCATGAGTGCTTTTCTTTTTCTTTTTCTTTCCAGTTGTGTCGGAACCAGATTCGTCGTCCATATCCCATGCCGTAGCAAGTTCAACTGCATCATCACCCAGATCATCACTTTCTTCCTCTTCATCTTCATCCTCGTCGTCGTCATCATCACGCTCGCGCTCCTCTAAATCATGAGCAGCAGAGCGGTTTCTGTTCTTCTTTGGCTGGGCAGTTGTGCTTGCGCTGCCACGGAACGAAAAATCTGCAAATCGCTCCTCATCACTGGCCCCAAAAGCATCCTCGCTGTCTATATCACTGTCTTCCTCGTCGTCGTCAACCCCTACATGCCACCGGTTCCCTTCAAGGTCGGAACCCTCATCTACAGACTCATCTTCATCATTTGTAGCCACTTTCCTCCTCTTTGACGACCGTTCATCAAGATCTGCTCGCGTATGTGGTTCATCTGAATCATCCTCGACCACCCCAAGTCGATGTTGTCTGATTTTCACAGAGTCTGGATTCTCTTGTTCTGCAATCTCGAGGGCATTTAGTCTTCGGTTCTGGGCTGGTCTCTTTCTGGTTGAAGTTTGGACCTTGCCATGTTGCAATGGTCTTCCGTGCGCTTGTCGAGGCATAGTATCCTCACTGGGTTGTTCAGCACAACTTCGTTGAAGGATTGGACTGGGGCCGAGTTTCTCAGAATTATTTCTTGATGGCGCAGGAAAAGTTTTAGAGAATCTTATCTTATCGCCGTCTCTGGACCAAGACTAGTACAGCCTTGCCCGCTGAATAACGTGCCAAGCTTGCAGCCTTGTCGCATGCTCCCTTCGCGTCAGGCTCCATGTCAAGTTCTACGCTTCTATCTTGTACCAAACAAACATGGCACTCGTTATATCTTAGGAGGGATGTTGCGGGATCGGGATATCGTGGCGATCACTTTGTTTTTAAGGTTCCATCAACAGTGCCCTCCAGAAGAACAAACTCGATCCTGCGCCTTGCTTCTTCAATGATGACCAGCGTTTACGATATCAACAGCTCCTAAAAAGGGATCCCAGCCGCTTACAATCCGCTAATTTATCTTCTACCGGGTCAGGCTCCAGGACTGCGCATTGTGGGGCCGACATCAAGTTCTGATCCTCACGCAAGGCAGCGTAGGATCATAGCAGGCATCTTCCATCCAAACCTACAACTCCACAACGCTAACTATTCAGAGAAGAAAGGATACAAGTGAAAGGTACGCAAATTCAACCTCCGCAGATGGTAAACGGCAACCAGCGCGAGAACAGAAACTTCCAAACCCCGACGACCTTTCGCCGCAACACTCGCCATACAAACAAAGCACCGAGCAATAGACCGGAAAATCCTACTGCTGGTGATCGTCGCGCACCAGTCAAGTCTAACTCATTCCTCAAGTCCCTCATTGAGCCATAACGTCCATGCCAGCAGCCCTTGATTATGGAATCAAAGCGGAGGTTCTCGGTGGAGGGAAAGAGCCCTTGCTTGTATCTCTCTTCCACATAGTCGCTTACGTAGCCGGGATCCATTTCCTTGGTCTCGTTGAAGAAGGGCGGTGACCCTGTCTCAATTTCGTAGATTGTGCAACCAAATGCAAAAATGTCTGTTTCTATGCTGATTTCAGGCAGGGGCGGCTCCGGCGTTCGATAGTTGTAGAGGTCATATATCGCCAGTGGTTCGCTATCGTCTATACCCGAACCTCCAAAGTCAATCCATTTGACGTGTTCCTCGTTCGTTTCATCTTTACAGATAATAGCATTGGTTGCATTGACGTCTGCATGGATCACATTTCGCGAATGGATGTATTCAAGTCCGCAGGCAAGTTCGGCAATCCACTCACGTTTCTTTTCGATCGGGAGATCTTGAGTCCTCAACACTTGTCTGAGACATGTTCCTCGTTCCAGGTAGATTGTCTGGCCTTGGATGCGGAGCAATCTTGCAATGTACGGGTGTTGCCCAAGTCGTTCGTAAACGTCCCGCTCTCGCTCGAAATAACGCGTATCGGTTTTAGAATGGTAGACTTTTGCAGCTTCACTGCCAGATAATTTGATCCCGACAGAGAAGCCTGATAGATTGTTGGACATTTTCTGATTTGGTCCAGGAAACTTTAACGCTGGGAATGCTACCCCCTTGACCTCTTATTTATTTACTCGCCTTGACGAGGATAAATCCGATTTGAGAACTAGTCTCTCGCCTGACCTTCTACATCCAGCTGTACCTGTGCCTGTACCTAGCAAGGGCTGGCTAGACACTTCTCATCCCCGGGCAATACACCCCCCTGACAACAGCAAATTGAAATAAGCGTCAGGCGGCTCCGCTTGACCTCGACATCCTTGGTCTTGAACCCCGTATCCTCCTTTCATGACACAGGCTCTTCTTCTCTCTGGCGCAATTAGTCAGCTCAAAACGAACGCCTCCCAAGATGTTCCCTTACAATTTCAATGCGGGCACTGCCAGTGGACACCCCGGAATCATGGCATGAAGGACACGGGCCAGCGGCAGGTGAAGACCCAAAGAGCGCATCACCCTCTCTGGCATCTGTGCAAAAAGGTTCTGGCTTGCGGGCTTTTTCGCAACGCTTGTACGTGCGTTCCTCGACTTGATGCTTTGGTCGGCGAGAACACCTTTTGAATATACGAACATTTTTGGTGTATTCGCACATATCCGCGGTTTTTGGACGAATCCGAGAAAGCTGGCTCTGGACGACAGGCAGAGTAAGGTTTATGATGGGAGAGCGAAGGTGTGCTGCCTGACTTCTTCGTATACCTCGGAGCTGGCCTCGCTTACTCTAAACCAGGAGACAACGTTGACCGTGGGATTGATTGTTATCTCGATGCTCATTCGGTACCAACATATCTAGATTTCTGCCACACAACGCCAATTGGTCGATGTTACCTGTCCGCCTCACCGGTTGTGCCAACGCATTGCCAGGGAACTCGCTACTGTCCAACCGTGGGAGAGCAGGATTCATTCCCAGCAAAGCCCCTGTTCCTATTGCGCCCCGGGAACCCACCACTGCGTTATGGTCGTCTACAGATTCGCCCGACCCCGCCCTGCTTCGACTTGTGTCTCGCCACTCTCCAACCTCTCCTTCAGCCAAGGAATCTCGTCCAGAGAATACCGATAAGCTCTGAACAAGGCGTTCGACTCCCCAGGAAATATCTTTGCCGTTGCCGCATCTGGATATGGCGCAAAGTGAGGATTGACGTACTCCCAGCAAACATAGCCGTCTTTTGTTACCTCAAACACACGACCAAAGGCACTCTCACACAACAAGGTGTTGCCATTTGCCAGCCTCTGAGCGCTGCCCATGAACGGTGTGAAGAAGTATACCATCTGTGAGCGGTCATGGTACTCCCAGACGATCTTCTTGGTCTCACGGTCCACTTCAATGGCACGCGTGTATTGAATTGATTCTCCCGTTCGAAAGGCCCCGTTGTCGAAGATGAGGATATTGCCATTGTCTAGCTCGGTGGCATTGTGTTGCTGTGCCAGCACGTCCGATCCGAGTTTCCACACAATGTCGCCTGTAGATTTCTCGATGATCACGACCGCGGAGACTGATCGCATAGACGCCAGGATGTGCTTTCCATCCCGCATCGGCAACACGGCGTTGATCAGAGGATAATGTTCCCGAGTGTAATGTGGTTGTAACGGGTAGTCCTCTCTAGGTAGGCGCTCCGAGACCTTCCACTGCCACACCAGTTTGCCGTCGGCATCGACCTCATTGATTGTGTCTGCGTAGGTTATGCCGTCGATCTCGGAACCCGGCACACCACCGATGACCTTTGCTGATTCTTCAGGCGAAAGAGCCTCAAGGCTGGTGTAAAGCATTCGACCATCCCCGTAGTGATATTGGTCATGGTGACCAAAGGGGTCGGTGTACTGGCGAACCACTTTCCCATCGGGGGCCAATTCACTCATGATACCTCCGCCGTACTTGTTGAAAAAGGGGAATGGATATGGCCCTCCATCCTTTGTGGTACGCTGAGACGGGCGAAGCGTGTTGACCGCGAGATTACCATTCGGCAGGATCCTCGCATGGCGTCCAATTCTTCCCGGGAGTTTCCACGAATGCACTTCTTGACCGTCGATGTCGACCAGATGCGCAGTGTCGCTGGTCAGTGGACAGAAAAGGGTGTAGCCTCCGAATGATCGTTTCTTGTCGACACCGGTCAGACCGATGCCTCTTCGCTTCAATGTGTTTTGCTCCATTATAGCGTGGGTGCTTGCTGTTTGATCCTGCTGTGATAGATACCCTCACAGTCGCTATATATACGGATTTGACAAGATTCCTTTGATCGGTCTGCCCCGAAAATGAGCTTCAGGCGCTGCGGTCTGGCTTCGAACTCATGTTGGGAGTGGCCGGCTTCCTACGGCATGCCGGCGGCAAACTCGCCTGTGTATCAGCGCCAATCGGATGCGCGCTAGACGCCCACATCGACTCTGGAGCTCGATTGCAACATCGGCGACTAGCACAGACTGGGCGGGTAGACCGGCGGCATGCCGGTGGCATCTCCTCGGACTGATAAGGACGGGCATGTTAAAGTTAACACCTCCCGCAGGGACCTGGAAAGAAGCCCTACTATAGGTCGATATCAACCAGCACGCCATGATTGCCAACCATGATCTCTTCGAGGTCTCACGAGAGGCGACCACCATCATACGAGTTCGAGAGATATCGAGGCAGTATCAAAATGCATATAAGTCAACAACATTCGCCAGGGTGTATGAGAACAATGCAGAAGGAGAAAACGACCTGAAAACAAAAGTCGAACGGCTCCTGGATCTGAAAAGCACATCATAACAAGGTCGCCAGGCGGTCACATATTTCCCCTTTTATACATATACTGCCACCACAATGGGCGCGCCGTCCGAGATGAAGGCCGAAATACAGCCCCAGCACTCGTCCGGCGACACGTTGGTGCTTTCGGAAGACGCGCTCAATGTGCCCGGCTACGAAGCCGACCTCCAGTACGACGCCGCTGAGGCGAGAAAGGCGCTGCTGAAGGTTGACTTGCTCATCCTACCCTTCATCGTCCTCTGCTTCTGTTTCCTCCAGTTCGACCGGACCAACATCGGCAATGCTCTCACAGACAGCATGCGACACGATATCAACGTCGGCAATTCGCAGATCAACACGGCCCAGACCCTCTTCATCGTCGGCTTTGTCGTCACGGAAATCCCCTTCAACATGATCTCGAAGTATGTTGGGCCTGAACGCTTCCTGCCCGTCACGATGTTCTTCTGGGGCATTGTGACATGGTCACAGATATTCATCAAGGATGCTTCGGGTCTCTGGGCGGCCAGGTTCTTCGTCGGAGCTCTAGAAGGTGGATACATACCTGGATTCGCGTTGTACATCTCAAAGTACTACACCAACCAGGAACTCGGCCTGCGCTTCGCCATCTTCTGGGCATCCAACAGCTTCGCCGGTGCTCTCAGTGGACCTCTGTCAATTGGACTCCTCTCCCTCCGGGGGTCTCACGGCCTTCATGGATGGCAGTGGCTCTTCCTCATAGAGGGTATCCTGACCTGCTTCCTGGGAGTCGTCGCATACTTCTACCTCCCCCACGGTCCAGCCAGGCCCAAGGCCTTCTTCGGCAGGTCTTTCATCAACTTCTTCACCGACCGGGAGGCGAAAATCTTGGTCACGCGCGTTCTTCGCAACGACCCTACCAAGGCCCTTCGACACGGAAAGCCCGTCCTGCCCCAGCACATCCTCGAGACGTTCATGGATTGGCGACTGTACGGCCACCTCGTCGGTGCCTTCTTGTCCATGATCATGATTCAGCCCATGAACACCTACGCTCCTTCGATCATCAAGTCCCTGGGCTTCAGCGGGCTCCAGGCCAACGGGCTGAACTCCGTAGGCAGTGTGTGTGCCCTTGTATGGTCGGTCTCCCTTGCATTCAGCAGCGACAAGACGCGGGAACGCGGGTTCCATATCACCGTTGGATACCTCTGGGGAGCGGCAGGTCTCTTGTGGCTGGCGCTGGCACCCAGCGGCGTCGGAAAGTGGGTTCTCTATGGTATGTCCAAGACGTGTCTCCATGACCTTCCTTCCTCAAGTCAAACGATTTCTGACGTTCTATTAGGCGGCGTTGTAATGACCCAGATGGGCATGGGTTCTGCTCAAGCGATCAGTGCCGCGTGGCTTACGTCGAAGATGCAAGACTACAAGCGTCCGATTGCTTTGGCGGCTTATGTGATGAGCATCCAACTGGCCGGATTCCCCGGCATGCAATTGTTCAAGTCGCACGGTCAGTCAATTCCCTCGATTCCAATTTCACAAATCATACAGAGACTGACCTCCCGAACAGATGCTCCCCGGTACAGGCACGGCTTGATTATTGCGGCGTCCTGTGCTATTTCTGGAGCGGTGGTGATCCTGGTTTGGAAACTGCTGTATCGTCTGTTCGATCATGGCGAGGGTGGTGTCGAGACACAGTACGGAATGCCGACGACCGAGAGAAGGACGGCTTCGGAAGTCTAGTCATATCAAAGACCAGAGTTGTGGCCTGGTAACAAGAATAGTGGTCTCCTGATTGGCGGATCCGTGTAACGTCTTCGCACTCAACAAACATTAGGACCGGTCGATATTATTTATAGCTACTTACTTCATCGCCATGCTGGAAACATCCTTGATGGATCCTGTCGCAAGAGGACTGTCCCTATTCGATCACAGCCCCTTTCTTCCCGTTGAATCTAATACTAGAAAGCTCTCAAGCTTATTCGGACCTTGCAAAAATGTGTCTGCTCGCTCTCACTTCCACAGCTCTTTGAATGATGGCATCTCCTGCGCCTACTCTACCTGGTTCAAGATTCGCCCTGGATGCACCAAGTGCCAAATCGCACTATAGAGCAGCAACTCTGCGACTACAAACCCCCAGAACCACCCCTCAGTCGTCCAGAGTCGTGAAGCTGGCTTCGCATAGATCTGGACCGTGTGGAAGACATTCGTCACGACGATGAGGCCAAGCAGGACCACGACCAGGCCGACTACTCTGACCATGTCACGAGCGGGGGTAGACGTTTCGTGACTCAACCGACGGCGTCGGATGTACAGCCTTGTGAGCCAGACGTTGAGAACTATGAAGAGGAGCATGTTGGGAAGCAGTTGAAGAAAGAGGGACGCTTTGATGAGGCGTAGCCCTGCAGTAAGCTCGCCGGCCGAGCGGCCGTTGGGGGAGAAATAGGTGGCGCAGCCCTGCGCGGTGCAGGCGATGATGGCAGAACTGAAGGTGGAAAAGAGGACGGGATACAGCCGCGGGTGGATTCGAGGGACGAGCGCCGGTGAGTAGGCGGCGCGCTCTTTCCAGTCCAGGTGAAGAAGAAACTAAAAGCGCCTTGTCAGAGCGGAAGATGAGAGGGTGAAGGACACATAAGACGTGGGGAAAGAAAAGATAGATTGTTCACTCACTGAATAAATTGGAATGACGAAGAGGTAACTGTTTGAATCTTCCTCTTTAGTTTGGGACCTGGGCTTAAACAGGACAAAAGACACACCTACGTCGCGGTGTAAAAGAGCCCCTCGATGGGGCTGACCTGGTCAGAACCATTGAACGCCGAGACTTCACGACAGATGAACCCGCCCACCATCAGGCCGGCCGCCAAGGGAAGAAAAACGGTGCAAGTCCATGACTTGTACTTGCTGTTACACGTCACACGTGCGGTGTCAGTCAGCTCTCTGGAAGAGCCAGGGTCGGTGGCGAGCGGTTGACTGTCAGACTTGCCTGCTTTGATAGACGTGCAAGAGAGAGGACAGGAAGAAGAGAACGGCCAGGGCGGACGAGGCGCCTTTTGCCACGTGGTGGAGGTACGGATTGACGGTGACTGAGGAATGTGTTAACCTGGAGCACCGCGAGTATGTATACGGGTGAAGATGAAGGATATCCATACATACCTTGCCTGGACATTTTTCAGCGGGTGGAAATTTTGGGCAATCGAGCTGTTGTTGAATCCCAAGGACCTTGTGTTCTCCAAGCTATAATATATACGCTCCCTCTGAGAAAGTTGACATGAGCGCCTGACCTACACGATAGATAGATAGCCCTTGCAAGTTGTTTGACATGCCAACGGCCCAAGGCGAATTGCCAGTCGATGTCGCTAGTGGACGACACGGCGCCCCGAAACGCTCTCTGACTGTGGAGTCAAGGGTCAACGAAGAGACTGTCAGGAAATGCTCGGAGGTGGTGTGAAGTGCGTTCACTCTCATTCGCGGTTTGCACCGTTGTCGTCGTATTCCCGAATGCGAACACGGGGTGCGCCTTACCATGAGCCCGAGTGTCTGCCTTGTTGGGCAGAACTACCCCGCAACATCATGAAGACCGATCATCGAATGCACCATGGAATTGCGTTGGTCGAATTCTTCCTCACCTTCAGTGACAGTGCCCCCGGAAGACTCAGAGACCCCTTGCGGCTCTCCCATGATCTGTGATCCTGGCGGCTTCGTGGTGTGCAAGAGCGGCATCACCCTGTTTCCCGACTGGGGGTGAACCAACGTCGGGCAGACAGGAAGGGCAAGGCGAAAACGCTCAAATTTACGACCGGTATGTTTAATTCAACAGTGCGCCACTATGGCAAGACGTTGTTGCGAGCTCTAGGGGGTGAGCATGAGTTGACTGCAGGAGCTGAGAGTGAGGGTTGATGATCACCTCGTGAGGCGTTTACTTCCATGGTGTCAGGGGCTCCAAGATCGGTTCTTGGTTGGAAAGGCAGCCTCTCAAAGGGGGCGCATGTTACCACCGATAGAGGCTTGATCTGATTCCCATGCTATCCATCCTGCCAATATGAGGCCTCATGTCCACTCATTTCGCAATCTGCACAGGCTTGGTCAAGCCCAGGCTCTCTGTCAATCGCCAAGAATCATATCGCCCTCCTTTAAGTGTGCATACTTCGCTGTTTCCCTCCATACAAAATCCCGCTTTCGAGCATCTTTCGACTCGGCGCTTGTCTCCATCCGCTCCGTCCCGTCGAAATACAAGTCCTTCGGCAACCCGGCTGAGCTCGAGCCAAACGCGGCTTCTAGAACATCGGCTGCTGAGCGCGGTGGAGGACGTACCATGCGGCCGTTGGGATACAAGTAGACAATGATGGGATAGATGATCTTAAATACGAGCACACGTATAACCCACGGCGCATGGCGCTGGAAACCTGTAATCATGCCCCCGGGGTCGACGCCGAGGACACAGATATTCTTTAGCTCGGGGTCCTGGTCGAGTCGTCGCTGCAGCTCGTGCATCATCATGACCAAGAAGAGTTTTGCAGCGCCGTAGCGGCGGAACCCGCTACGCCAGGACGAGTCTTCCTCGGCCGAGCTCCAAGCGCCCTTGGCAATGGCCTCGAAGTCGGCTTCGTCGCGGACGAAGATCTTGTACCTCTCTTCCTCGAAGGCTTTCCCGCTGGCATTTCGCTCGTCGTTGGGACTGAAGTGTATCCTTTATTAGCTTCGTCGAGGCTCGAGACCGAAAAACTAATCAGCAAATACCCACTCGTGACTTTGGCTTCCAACTACCACGATTCGACCGGCGTCCTTATCTATGCTTTTGAGCAAAAGAATGGTGAGTAACCAATGGCCGAGATAGTTTGCCGCGAAGGTGACGTCGAGTCCGTCATCAGTCCATGACTGCTTACCAAACTCCAGGAAGCCGGCATTGAGGATAAGGGCACGGATCGGCGGGATTTGGCCTGTGGAAACGCGAGCCTGATGTCTGTTATTATTCGGCTTATGCCGACACTTGAGACACCGGAATCTGGATCAAGCACGAAGAAAAGGGGGGAATAGTGGGTGAATTATAAGTACGTGACTCACATTAATACTCTCCGCAACCTGCCGAACGTTGTCGAGCTTCGTTAAATCGAGCGAGAGGACGTCGTTCGCATGCGACGACGTGCCGCGTGCAAGGGTGGAGGTGAGAGCAGGTGCTGCCGTCGCGTCTCGGACGGTGTAGAGGCCGTGGTAAGCCGATAGCTCGGGTTTTGTAACAATCTTCTCTACTATCGCACTTCCGAGCCCGCCGTTTGCCCCAGTGACAAGGATGGTCCCCTTGACGGCCGTCATTTAAAACAGTGACTCCCTGAAGCGTTGAGGTATCGACTGAGTGTCCGAGAAGGTACATATGAAGTACGTAAGCGGGCAAGGAAACGAAAGATGGCGGAAGGAAAAGTCGATGAAGATAATATAAGCCGAGCAGTATTGTTTAGGCCCCCAGGGAGCAAGTGAAGTTCAGGCAGGCCACCTAAGGCAACGCGCGGCCAGTAGGGTCTACACTCCCTCGCCCTCTACGCGTCCCCTGAGACGCCATGTTTGAGGGTAGCACAGACATAAGCACTCGATTTACAAGAGAACCGTGCATGGCCTGGTTATTTCTGAAGGGACTGGTTCCGGTCGCGGTGAAGCCCACACGGGTAGGAAGTCAGCCTGGGACAGGGAATCAAGTTAGAGTTCTTGGTGTCGAGGAGAGCCACCGTCAAATTCGGCGGGAAGCTTCCTTGCATCTTGCGTAGAACAGAACTGTTGTAGTATCGCTGTGAGCTTAGAGAATGAGCTGTATTGTCGCTGATGGGTGAGTATTTATCATTATCACCTGGGGTTCGCCCCGGCGGGACGAGCACAGGGCGGCATCACCTTGTTTCCCGATTTGGGTGAGCCATACCTTGGCAATGTCGCCATTTTAGCAATCCTTATCTCTCTCCCTCTGACCTCTGTCTTCCGCGACCATTGGATTTGTCGTCATGTACATCCCTCAGGCGAAAGGGGAGAGCTCGTCTTTATGCTTCTGCGCACATATGTATGGCTAGACCAAAATAATGCCGCCTTTGCGGGCCGGCAGAGCGTCCAAAGCATGCGATGCATGCCGCAAGCAGAAAACGCGCTGTTACACATCCGACAACAATAGAGGCGTCTGCCTTCGTTGCGAAACACTGTCACAACCATGTTCACTCGAATCTTCTCCAAGCCAGCAGTCAAGACGCAGCAGCATAGACAAATCATTAGCCACCAGCCGAGATCTTGCCGTGGATGCAAGGCTTGAACGCCTGGAGAACACAGTACAAGCTCTGGTGGAGAGGCTTGATCAGTCTCATGGTGTTGCAAGTGGTGTCAGTCCTACGACCTCGAACAGACCACAGCCGAGGCTTCACGCCCAGAATTTGCCTGAAGAAAAAGACTCGGCGCCAGTGCTTTTGATCCGCGATGCCGCTGCCGCCGCCGGTGTCCGGTCGCCTGACCAAGGTCACACTCTACCGAAGCGTTATTCGGATGTTATATCTAGCGGTCTGGTGTCATTGAAAACCGCACACACCCTGATGTCCTTGTTTCATGTCCACTATGGTCGTTGGGTCAAATTTGCCGAAGACATAACTACCGAGACACTATTATTGCAGGTCAGGAGGTCACCATTGTTACTATGTAGTATTCTCTTGATTGCGGTACGACACACCACACAGGAGCTTGCAGACTCCCTGGCGCCTGCTTTGTACGAAGAGGCGAAGAGCCTTGTCGCCCCTGCCCTCCTCACGGTGCCACAATCCACTGAGTTCTTCCAGGCCGCTCTCATATTGAGCCTTTGGTCCACAACAATCGGACAAGTGCCCCTGAGTATCGACAGCTGGCTTTTGACTGGCTACGCGATCCAGCAAAGCCTGGCTAGCCCTTATTTCAATCGGGTTTTCCAAGAAGAGCAGGACTTGCACGTAAGCAAAGCTGATCTCGATGCGTGGTGCATCTGGAACCATCTGTGTGTTGCACATCTTCAGTACTGCGTTGGCACTCGAAGGCAGGCACTCCTGAACCAAGCGCAAATCGACCAGTGCCTTCGTTTCCTCGAATCTGATAACGTCACAAACTTCGAGGCAAGAATGGTCGCTGAGGTTCAGCTCTACTGGATCATATACGACAAGTGCTACGACTCCGACATTGACTCGGCAGACACCAAGCGAACCTTGCAAGAGTGGCAGCGGGAGTGGGCGGTGTTGTTCAATCAACCACGCTCCCAATTCCTCCAGATGGGTTTCCATTTTGCTCATCTGCTTGCCTACTGCCAGTCACTGAAGTCGACCCACGCGGTGATGCGCCTCCCGCTGTTGATTGAAATGATCCAGCTGTCCAAATCCATCATCAATCTTGCCATGGATACAACGGACGAACGCACAAGACACTTGACCGATCACATATATCACGTCATAACGTTTTCTGCACTCACATTGTGTCGGCTCGTTCATACTTATGAATCCAAACTTCGGGCAGCTAGACAAGACATTGAGGCTCTTGACCATCTTGTAATGCGGCTCATTAGCTGGTTCAAGACGATAGGTCTCCCGTGTCATGCTGCGCATATACTTGGCAACGCTGTTTCTGCACAATTCAAAAAACTACGCCCGGCCTTTCAACCCGAGCTCCAACTTGCAGGCCATGACTACCTAGGAACCAATGACGGCACGTCCTGGTCTGACCAACAAATTGGCGCAATTGGCAACAACAGCTTCGTGTATCCTGACTTTATCGGATCCGAGTTGTTCGATGTCAATGCTTCGTCCTGGCCCCAATGGGATATGATCTTGTCTGATGCTGACATGTCTGTATGAGTATGGTGGACAATAGAAAAAGGAGTAGCTTGCGGTGGAACCGATCATGTACAATCAATGACACCGTTACTGTAGCTGGACTGCTCTATCAATCACTGTCGCTAACCTCACAACCAACACCCTGGTTTCGTTACTATGATATTTATGTGCAATTCGTCGAGGCCCATTTCTTCGTCACCAGCTGGCCGGCATGACCTCCATGTCTACCAAGCGCATCATCACTATCACTGGCTCGTGTATGTGGACAGCGTGGGCGGTTTACAAGCAATAGCATTGTCGGCATTCTTCGGCCTCGAAAGACAATGAGCCTTCTCATACGATGCGTGCTATCTTGTCGAGTGGCCGCCTTCGTCGCTTCTGCCAGATGTAGATAGTTAGTAATGTAAGCTCGTCGAGGGAAAGGTGTTGTCGGAAAGGAATACCTCGGGTGGGGTGTTGTTAGTTAAAGCAGCAAGGGAAATATCCCAACCTGGTCGGGGAACAATTTATTTCCTCCGCCGTTGAATTCATCAACCGAAGCTACGCCATCCCCCAGAAATCAATCAGCCAGAGCACTCTACTTAAGCTACACTCTCTCTACGTCGAATTGAAGCTCGTCAGAAATGTTCCAACCTTCGCCTCAGCTTTGCGCCCGCCTGCGCTTCACAACCAAACAAGTTGGACGGGGCTTCTACCGAGGAAACCGGACTGGCTCGAAGGGTGCACACAACGACAGAGGAGGATACATCGTTGACTGGCGAAAGACATCATTCTACAATGTACCAGAGCTTGAGGGATTCAGCGTAAGTCTACCTCGATCTCTAAGGGAGTCTTGAATTATGCTAATCATTACACCCAACAGCTTGCGCCCTATGTGACACTCGAACTGCCTGAGCCGCCTCGAAAGATCACGCGTTTTGGCTCCACGTACACCCCCAAGAAAGTGGACGGGCTCGAGTTTCTACACGAATGGAAGAGATTGAACCCCTATGAATACGAGCACATCGTCAACCACCAGCGAGATCAGGCCGAACAAGCCGCGACGCAAGCAGAGGTTACGGTTCAAGAGAGCACGCAGACCAACAATGCAGGTCAAAACTCGATATAAGCGAACAGTGGAGGATGAACATGTCCCGACTACCACCATGGTGCCAAGGCGCCTTGCACTGTCGATATGCCGTACGGGATACTTCCTTGCATCAGGTTCGGTGGCAAGTCTTTTCCGCTCTCTGGCATGCTGTGCCGTAGCTCGCCGAGTACAAGCTCCCGCACCGGTCAGAACGAGAAAAGAAGCACCACGGTTGGACAGGATCAGTGCCAGACGACTTGCTGGAGAAGGGGGGCTGACAAGCTTCCACCGGGTCAGTCCTTGCGCGAGACTTCCGCCACCGACAAGATCGCTCCTACCATCTCTTACACCGTCAAGCTCTATATCTCAGAATGACGCATACCGTGGTCAGAGACAGACACTTACTCGACTCTGACCCGTCGCTCTATAACGTTGTCTGGAGCGCGAACGCATGTAACCAACACAGCGTTTGCTGCACATGCTCGCGTTCTCATGAGATCCGGCAGGCTAGGCTTGCCCCTACCGATCCATATGGAAGTCTGAGCGAACAAATCGTATATTATCTATCACAAACCAAGAGCCAGCTTTTGCGTCGTCGCCGGGCCTCATCGAAGTCGGGATACTACACTTCATGTCATCTCGTGGGACGTTGGATATAACTGTATTCGGGCATCCCCAACAAAAGTTTCCACATATCTAGACTTCAGGCGTACTGACATGTCGAGATGCACTTCAGTTCCTTGCCCACTGTGGAGATTGTGAGCATCAAAACAATGACGTATCAAGGTCGGAATTTTGTTTTAGTACTATATTTTGAGGCGACTCATTCACAGAACCTCCCCACACACGTGTATGTTTTGTAATTGATACATGATTTGACGATCCAAGGACGTTGCCAGGTATCGAGGATTAGTCCTGATGTCTTGTGACAATCTCCCACATGTGCATTGATCTGATGGTCGTCTCCATGCGGCGTAGAGCTAGACGTTGTAGGTCGTGTACCGCAGTCAATCGGCGAAAGTGGCAATCCGCCATCGTCTAGACGATCAGCGACATACATGGGCATGTCACGAGATTGCCGGAAAACCCGTCGATGCGGTCCTTCTTACTGTCGTCCACCAACCAGGCTCAAGAGGCACTGCAAGTAGGTGTTCCGGGAGGACCGAGAAGTGCTTTCCGACACCATTTTCTTCTGTCAATCAATGTTCATCCCCGTCCACAAGCTGCTCGAGGCGGATGCGAGACATGTAAGGTCGCCCCGTCGCGGAAGAGGAGTAAGGGGAGGAGAGAGTAGGCACTGGAGGACGTCGAACAGCAGCGACGGAGATCGTAGTAGTAGCTACGTATTTTTCATCGCCGTAGAACGCCCTGGCTTCTTCCATGGTCGGCTGGCCCCAGCCAGGACTTTGAAGGCGTCCTCCTCAAAGTCGATGTCTGGGTCACTGAGTACTACTGGACCATGGGGAATTTGAACCTACCTTTCGGCGTTGAAGAAGAATCGGGAAAAGGCCCGTTCGTATTAGTCATGTAGACTCGGGCGGGTACTTGGTGGTGGTGGTTGTATTCAAAGCAAAAAAAAGAGGAGGACTTCAATGACAATTCTGCCGCTTCGAGCTGAGAGAACGTTATCAGCCGGTCAATGAATCATGTATCTATATAGATATCTATAGATAAGATATACGGCGAGAAGCTCACACGTAGTACACATGTGAACGCTGTAGTAGTAAGTAGTTCAGGACCCGATGTGACGTCCATGGTTAGTCAGTATTGATATTTTGACGACACTGCGAGATAGTATCCCCTTAGGGACCCCTCCCCATCCAGGTGTGGGAGTTGGTGTCTGCCTCACGTACCAGTGTTTGTATAACTCGGTGACGCCGCGAACAACTGAAACGGTCAGCCAGGTTCTACGGTGGACCAAAAAGCCATTAGGTAACTGCAGTTTTACCTAAACCGTAGTACTTACTTACTATACTGTACTAAGGTCCCAGCCCACCCAGGTGAACATCGAACCGTCACAGATTACCTGGAGGGTGTATTGTATACACATCAGCTTAGCTACACAACGATGCTTGATGCAATGTCGAGGCTTCTCAACAGAGGGACTCTGTGTTTCCAGATCATGTCCCCGACCTCCGGAGACCTCGAAGTTGGGGGACCAATACCAGATCTTCTACATCCCTCCTCCTGAAGCCCACTTTTTCTTGTCCTTGCTGGCGATATCCGTCCATTGCAGGATTACGACAAATACTCAATTGACATTTATCTCGACACCTGCAACAACTTTTGTTTGATCTTGGTGTTCTTGGTGCTAGTGAACCCACGAATTCTGAGGGTTTGCACGATCCGAAAAGGAGGTCAGAACTATGGGGCAGACACTAAAGGCCACTCTCCACCGCCGGAAGAGAACAGAGTCTCTGTGTTGGCGAAGTCCAATCGATCAATTCCGGTGTGGATGGCACTGGCAGGCCGAAACACCTGCTCGCGGTACGCACCATGCTCCCGTCAAGAAAGGTTTCTAGAAGCCAGATATCTGCAGGCTTCGCGACAGACCTGTGCACTATACAACCCTATTAATAATAGTATGAGCATGGGGTCGAGCTTGTCAGCAACCGAAGTGGTGATGTCTTGGGATCCCAACCTTGAAGTCCCCGGTCTCGATCTACCGGTAATACTACCGTGTCGCATGGCCCGGTTATTGATATTTATGTCTTGCCACATTCTTCATCTTGTATCGCGTATGTCCGCACATGCTGTTTTTCCAGAGCAGGTCGCCCTGCAGCATTTCAAATCCAACGATCACGCGCGATCAATATGAGACATGATCGTTGCGACTCTGAGAGATACACTGCCAGCCAGATTCGCCGTTGAGGAGGTTAGTTGAAATTGAGGCGAGGCAACGGACAAATGTAACTACTGATCGCTTCGAAACGATCTAGTTAGTACGTAGCTTCTCCTACTAGTTAGTATATCTAGATCCTAAGAATTGCCTGGTGGGACTTGGTTGGTGGTCGAATCATGCTACCCGAGTTGGACTTTTGATAGCACGAGTATCCCGATCTAGTAAGAATCGAACCCCGACGGTCCAGATTACTAGTACCTCGCCTCTTCGACGCCTAGTTGAGAACTAATTTAGATCTAGATTGGAGGTGGGCTGGGAATCGATTCCAGGCTAGGTCTAGAACAAAGTCCAACATAATAGATATATGTGTGGTCTTGGGATCGAGCGTTCAACTGGGCACATATATGTGTACATATACTACCATCTCGTCTCTGTACGACTCAAATCGAGGCCTATTAATAGCTTCTTGTATATATACCTCTTTGAAGCGATTTCAGCTCATTAGACTGATACATTTCTATGGAAGGCCAAGTGCACCCTGTAGTTCTATATCTAGATAGCCGAGGTATCGATCTCAATATAGTCAACACTCTCTATCATGGTACCCCTTGAGCTCCGAGCTGGAACTGTGCCAGAGAAAATCAGCGACGCGTCGACAACGATTGACAAAGGTGAAGAGATACGTGACGTATACATAGTAACTACGCCCCAAGTTCAATCCATTGGAAGACTTCGTAGGGCTAGATGAGCAGGCTAGCTCGCTCTGAACCGGGGGTTCGATGCAGTCTGATCCCAGTCCCGGCTAGCCCAGTAGTACTTACTGTACTTTGAAGCGACTTGACTTCACACTTATTCAAACTCCGATATAGATTCTGAATAAATCAGCTATAGACCACTAGTACACTTATCAACACCTAGCGGAAGACAAGATATACTCGTAGAGACTCTACTGCACTTGTACTAGCTAGTATCGAGCTCAAACTCAGCCAGGCACCTTGAGAATAATCTACCGCGACAAACCAACCGAAAGCATCAGTAGACTTGAGTCACGATTGAGGACGCCTATTGTACGCCCAATTTGATCTTAACTTGGCATCAAAACCGCAATACTAAAATTTCCCCGTTTAGCTTAGCTTCTTTTGAAAAAGTTCCCGATCTAGAGAGAAAAATGCTCCACTACATTCATTCCCGACTAGATAATCTCTGCGTGGTGTTTGTAGAAACCGCTCTAGAGAGGCCAATCTTCGAGATAGAACATTAGAAACGCTCTCTCTCTCTCTTCTTCATCGAGAGCAACAAGCAGTCAATCACGCGACTTTCCGAGTAGTCAATCACCCACCCCTCCTCACACAGTACTCAACAGTTGAGAAAAACTTGCCCTGACTGAATGGAGTGTCAGTCCACTACAAGTGATGCCCCGTTAGACCTTGTCCACCTCCTTCTGAAAGGCCTTCTTGAAGACTTGTGCTTCTAAAAAGAGTGAGGAGGCGAGAGGGACGGTGAGAGAGTGTACGAGTGAATAGACCAGGTTGGGGTGATGAGGGGAGACAGGCCCAGCAGTCCGGACTGTCATGACAAACAAATTGTTGTCGAGGGGAGTATATTAATCCCCCGACCAACTAGCAGGAGTGTCAACTTGTTGTCAAGGAGTTAGGTTTATTTCTTCCTCACTGCAAGGAAACGTTTCTCTCTACTCAACAAGGAGTGCATCAGTGATAATTTGTGTAGCTTGAGATGTCCCTCTCTCTCAAGGAAGAGCTGACAGAGGACTGACTGACTTGGCGCAGGGAGAACTGAATTACCTGGTACATTTGAAGCACGTCTTCCATTACCACATACTCCAAAGCTTTCAGTACTCCTCTCTCTCGAGACAGAGTCTTTTCCACTTCTCACGCTCATAATTGTACCAGTATCTAAACATCCAGCCAACCAAACTACAATTACCAGTTTGCTGCTTGCTGCACTCACTATATGCTTGAGTTCCTTTTCTCAGCAGGATTGAGCTTGCGCCGTGAGAATACGTTTCGTTCCCAACCGTCCAGCTCATCGATGTGCGTCTCCCGGACCAACTCGTAGTGCCCAAGCCGAGGTAGCAAGACGGCCCAGATCAGCCAATACACTCCGCCAGCGGCGATGATGCCCATGCCAACAACACAGTGCAGATAATACGGGAGACTCTTGTAGACGTTCTGACCGTGGTCAGGAGGAACGAAGGGCGCCACGACAAGGTAGATGTTGCTGAGCAGAAACAGCAGAGCCACCGGCCATGTGGCACGGAACGGGGGGGTCCAGTTGAATTCTGCGCGCTTCCAGTACAAGTAGAGCAGGCCGGCGGCGACGAAGCAATTGACGATCGACAGAGGGTAGGATATAACACTGTAGTAACTAGTCAGCTTTGCGCTAGAAAGTGTGAGTGGTACAAGCTTCGTTTGCGCGTTGGCGATTTGGACGCCACGGCGTGCTAGCAGACTGACTGGACTTACTTTAGAATGAAATTGTAGGCATCGCCTGGCGGAGGCGCGAGCATAATAATCACCGAGACCAACCAGTGCTCAAAGAGTCCGGCCAGCGGTGCGTTGAAGGGCTTGTTGCTCGCCCAAAAGCGTGAGAAGGGCAAAATACCTTCGCGACCAAGTTCCTGAACAACTGTTTTATTATCGTGTCAGTACCGAGCTATTACTAGTGATGTAGAACAACACATCAATTGGGTGAAAACGTACGTCGACCTTGTGAGAAAATGACACTGAGGACATTCCCAAAGGCAGACAGAGCCACGAAGACTGAAAGCGCTCTTTCTGCTCTGTGGCCGAAAACGTTGCGGAAAAATGAAGCTGCAAGAATCCGGCCTGAGGTTGCGATCTCCTCTTTGGAAACGGCAGCGAAATATGAGATCTGGAAGGGATGCCCGTGGTTAGTATATGTGCAGTGACGGGAAAAGTTAATTGTGCGACTTACATTCACCAGCATGTAAAGTACCGAGACGGCGATGATAGCTGTAGGTGCGGCTCGCTTCAGTGTTCGGATGGGATCCTTTGTTTCGCTCAAGGCGTAATTAGCGTTGCTATATCCAATGTAAGACCAAATGACATTATAAAGCGCCGTCACGACGCCATAGGCGCTGCCCGTGGTACCCTCGAAAGCGTTGTCGAAGTTGTGTGGCTTGGGAACTTTGAGCGCTCCTCCAAGAGCGGCCCAGCCTGAAACGACAATGAGCAGTACTATGACCAGTTTGAACACGCCCAACAGGTTCTGCAAACGTAGGCCCCATTTCAAGGCACAGCCATGAATGAGAAAGGCTGCGGTAATGCAGGCCAGGCCAACACCTCGTTGGTTCCATCGCGTGACCTCAACTTGGGCGGCGTGAAGAATGTACTCTCCGAACACGACCGAGTTTGAGCCAGCCCAACCGAGTAGAATGACATAGCCGGTGTAGAACCCCGTAGCTAGGTATTTCGGCTTGCGGTAGACGAATTCGAGGTAGTTCTTTTCACCGCCGTTGCGTGGGATGCCGGTACCAAACTCGAGGTACACTGCCATGCCGCAGGAAGCGATGATCATGCCGGCGACCCATATGAACAGGGTGAGTCCAACGCTCCCTGAGAGGGAAAAGATGGTGCTGGGCGTGGCGAAGATTCCGGTGCCGACCATGCGATTAAATATGAGAAAGAAGGCGGAGATGGTTCCAATTTGACGTTTGGTCTGAGAGATCGTGGGTTGCAGTTGGGATTCTATCCATGCGTTCGATGATTAGTTTTCAGAGAATACTGCGAAGAGACTGGCTCTGTGTACAGATCACATACCATCGCCCGGACCAGCTTCAAATCCTCCCTGGGACGAGTCTTTGATGGCTCCTCCAGAAGCTGTTTGAGGACCAGAATTCCTATGGGTGACGTACGAACGGATCTTGTCCAACATGTTGAACTCCAGCAGTTGCCGGTAATGGTGTGTGAGTAGTAAGTGGTAGACATCCTCTTCTCGTCGCCCTGGAGAGCGTTCCTATACATTTATACCACAAATCACTCATCACAGTCAGCCACCAGAGCCCATGCCATAAGCTCTCGGCCAAAGCCGAGAAAATCTATCGACATGGCACCCTCGAGGTTGCATTGTGAGACACACCATCGCTGGTTCCTGAATGGTAGGTGTAGTATGCGGTGTCGAAGGGACAGGGTTTTTCAAACCGTCAACAGACATAGTGGGCTGACTCCAGACCGTTCAGCAAATGACATGTCGCTTACTCTTGAGCTGTCTGGAGATTTGCATATGTGATGATGTTCATCGATCGCGCAATCCTTGGTACAAATTTGCCTGCACTTTGTCCAAGGGAATTTTGTGGCTAGTGTTGCTTCGCTTGACACAGAGAAACCGCATCTGCAAGGCTGAAGTCGTAACAAGGGTATCCACGGCCGAGGGCAAACGTCGAGAAAAGTGATGAACTAGCTTGTTCAGGCGAGTCACATCCGTGGCCAACCGATTGTCAATTTGAACGACAACTGCTTGTGGGAGGATCCCGCGATTGCGTGATTGACCAGGGGGATGATGGAGTTGCGCCCAGCCAGAAATTTTTTTAAAGCCTCAGAAGGGCGAGGACTTTGATTTTTTTTTCCCTGCCTGGCACAAATAATATGGCGTGTGCACGGTATCTTCTTTGGGAAAATGGTTGAAGCATGTCGCAACACGGTGAAACCGGTTGTGTATATCAATGGCACAAGACAATTTGTAAGACGAGAGAGCAATGAGCGGTAGTGTTCGAGAGCGATCCATGTGGTTTTTGATCACTGTGACACAATGATAAAGTACTCGCCACATTGACCGGAGGCGCCGTGCTCGAAGAACCGGTGAAGTATCTCTTTGAAGGCAAGCTTCGTCAGGAAAGACTGCGCTGTGATGTTGAATATGGATCGAGATGTTTGAACTCGGGACATTCGACGTCTCGCCGGTTGCTGATACGAAAGCATATTCATAGTTGACCAGAGTAAGGCTTCTGCTGTCTCAATATCGCAGCAAACTGTCGTGGTGCTATTTTAGCCAAGATGATTCTGATTCTGATGACGAATGATTGAAAGATTCTGGTATGTTTCAGCCTTGCTGCTTTCTATAGCAGGTGATTTGTCTAGCGAGGCTCATCTTCGGATCAGCCTCAGCCTCATCCTGAGCAGCCGGTGCTCACTCTACTCATCCTCTTCGTCTGCCCTGATCAATCCTGTTTGGTCGTCTCACAGTCTGCCTCTTGTGTTGGCAGTGTCAAGATGCAGCACCCACCGCTCCCCAAGCATCCGTCTTGGACCCCACCCCCGGTGCAGCTCTACACCAGGCAAGACTACGACGGGGGAGACATTGTCACGTCTCTGAGCCGGAACGAGCTTGGGGAATACGTCTTTACCATCGGCTTGCTCTCGCCCGACCCTTCAAGCCACCAGACCGCCCATGGCCATGTATATCTCCCCAGCCGGAGACGGAGAAGGTGCGGTCCCCTGGATCGACACGACAACGCTCCCGGACATGGTGACCATATGGATCGCGCGCACCGCGTCCAGAAATATGCCCCTACAGCAGCGAAAAGAGGAGTAGTCACGGGCCGTCCACGTCTTCAGCCACATGTCGGACGTCTACGCCGACATATGGTCCACGCTGCAGGGGCGCAGCTTAGCGACCCCGGAATCAAAGATACTGCCCGCGTTGACTCCACCTTCTACATGGCGACGGGGGGTCCAGAGAAGCTCACGCCCGAGATGCCGGGCTCCAACTGCGTCCTAGAGCGTCAGATGCGCGCCGCGGACTGGTGCGACGCCGATGCCAACTTGCTCGACCTCAAGCTGGGCTCCCTAGAGAAGTACTTTGCCAGCTTCCTCGACGCCACGCGCGCGGTGAGGACTGTACCTACGAATTCGTCCACGCATCGCAGGAGGAGCTGACGGGCGTGCTACTGGGGCCACCGTCGAAGGCTGAGGTTCCGTTGGTCGGTGCGGGCGACCCCCGGCTCGGGGAGGACAGACGTCTGTACGCCAGCCTCGAGCCTTCCACCAGAACGCGCTCCGTGGCCATCTCCCACGTCTGTTCCGACGGGCTGGGCAATAATCTTGCCGGTGCCATCCCGCTGTGCGAGTTTGAGCGCCCTCCAAGCTGGAGGGACCAGTTCGAAGGTCTTGGCGCGAGTGGGAGTAAGTGAGTGTAACCTCAACGTTTCAAAGTTATCGTGATATTCTAGTGAAAAGGTCATGTTTGGACCTCTGGCTGCACTCGTACTGACCTTGGAGTCACCGTGCGCACAACGACGCAAATATCCTTTGCGAGGGAGGGTACATGAGTGGAGGACTGGATCGCTCTCGACTCCAAAAGCGACTCCCCCGAATAGTCTCCAACGAGTTATCCTGGGGTAGTACATTAGCCGCCGAACCTTTTGACTGTCATCCAGTCCCAAGCGCCTTCTCAAGAACCAATACGATGATGAGGAAATCACTAGCATGATGAGGCCGAGCCAGAGCCTTGGGTGTGATGGAATGTCGAAACCGCACGTGCGACGGACTAGTTGGCGTCTTCTGCTTCTCTGGTTTGTCTATGCTACTCACTTTCTACGCCAACCTCTATGGAACTCTCAGAATTCACCTAGACTCCTCATTTGTGCGGCAATGGATCTCCGTTCAATGCCAGCGGAGACACGTCTGGGCATCCCAGGTTGGGGGTTATATTCATCTGGAGAGTTTACTAATAGACTCCGCCTATCGAAAGCTCCCACCACCATTTGACCAGTTCGCCATCTACACGGCACAAGAGTCACACACGTGTACGCTGGATCTCCGAACATCTGGTATGCCAAGTACTCTATCACTAAACAAGGAGGTCTTTGGAGATTTTTCGACAACGGTTCCATGGGCACAACCGATCGCCCACATTGAAACAAGCAAGGCGCGAACTCATCATGAGCAATACTAGCAGTCTCTGTCCAAGCACCAGCGAGCGTAGTATCCCCAAGCCGGGAGAAATGCATAATGTTATGTTATAACAACAGTTCGTGGACTTGCGATTAACGATGCATTCTCTACCACAAAATCCCACGGCCCAAAATGAGACCAACCCTTGCACTTCCGCTCCTTTGCGCCTGCGCGGTCGCCATACCGTCGCACGAATCAGCTCATATCGGGAGATCCGTTTTCGACGTCGATGACAGTGGCAATGACACCCAGCAAGTCTTTTTCGGCCGGTTCATCTCGACCCCTAGCCAAGATGTCTTGTCTATCGAAATGGGGGCGGTCCTGGTCAACAGTTCGGACGGCCGCGGGGTGATCGAGAAAGCGGTTTGGAATGTCACTGACGTTGAGTCTGCTCTGGAGCAACTCGGCGCAGGAGGCAATGTCACTGTCGTCTCTGCCGCAGACGATGGATTCTTCTTTCCAGGCTTCATTGGTGAGTCATTCATATACCATTGGTGCCGAGTTCCTAACCGCTGACCTACTTGCAGATTCACACATCCACGCACCTCAATATCCGAATCTCGGACTGTTCGAGGGAACACTACTGGACTGGCTTCAGAAATACACCTTCCCGATGGAATCTTCGCTGAGCACGACACAGTCGCCCCTCTACGCAAACTCGTCAACTCCTCCTGACCCTTATGCCCGGGCCAAGGAGGTCTACACTCAAGTCATTGCGAAGACGCTTGCTTATGGAACGACCACAGCCTCGTACTTCGCCACCATTGACGTTGAGGCCACGAACATTCTCGCGACGCTCGCGTATTCCATGGGTCAACGGGCCTACATCGGGCGGACGTGCCAGGATAATCAAGAGTACAATCCTAGCTACTATAAAGACGAGTCCACCGCCGACGCGATCAACAAGACCTGGGCCTCGATTAACTACATCCAAGGACTCGACCCCAGTGGAGATCTGGTCGCACCGATTATAACTCCGCGCTTTGCCCCCTCCTGCACCAACGAGTCCATGACCGCCCTCGGCGAGATTGCCAACCAGACCGACCTTCGCCTCCAGATGCACATTGCCGAGAACGTCAGGGAAGTCGCCCTGGTCGCCGAGATGTATCCCCAGCAAAGCTCTTACGCCGGCGTATACGACGCACACAACCTCCTTACCGATCGTACGGTGCTTGCACATGGCGTCCATCTCTCGGACGCCGAGATGGATTTGATTGCAGCGCGAGGGTCGGGGGTCAGCCATTGTCCCGCAAGCAATTCGGCGCTAGGGTCTGGTCTGTGCCAGGTCCGCAAACTGCTCAGTAAGGGCGTCAAGGTCGGCCTGGGTACCGATGCTGCAGGTGGGTACAGTCCCAGCATGCTCGAGAACGTTCGACAAGCTTTCCTCGTCAGCCGGACCCTCAGCTACTTGGACAATGACAACAGGACCCTCGACGTCCCCACGACTCTGGCGCTGTGGTTGGGTACCATGGGCTCAGCCCAAGTGGTGAGCATGGACGGCCGCCTTGGAGGATTCGAGCCTGGTATGCTATGGGACGTGCAAGAGGTTTCTCTTCACTCTGACGGTCCCGTGAAGATCTTCGGCTGGGAAACATGGTATGAGCGAGTACAGAAATGGGTTTGGAACGGTGGGGAGGAGAACGTAATGCGAGTATGGGTCGGTGGACGCCTGGTTTCTCGGAGGGACTGAGAGAGCGAGAGAGAGATACTTGTATCTGGTGACACTAGTCAGTACTAGGTCAGATCTTTAAATACTAGGTACATTCGGAATACCCACAAAAGTACCTCCAAGCCCGTAGCCGACGGCTCCCTGTGATACAATACCACCAGTCTAGCATTTTAAATACCGGGAGAGCGAGAATTGAAAGTCACTTCTTCGCAGAGGCGACAGCGCTACTTACTCTTTAGTCAGTCTCTCTGCCTCTCGTGCTACTACTGCTAGGACAAAGTGAATGTGGCCTACTGCCACTGTACTACTTACTACTTATTAACTCGCGAGAGCTGAATGTACCACCACACAGACGTACGGAATGTTATCGACTGGATGGACACGAGATATCACGCGATTGACTTGACATTCCACATGTCCACAGTACTAGTGGTAGAAGTAGTACAATCGGTATCGACCGAGATTACGCCAGGAGCATGTTCTTTGGTAACTAATCTGAGATGGTCGAGAATACCCTGCGGAATAACCAGCCATTGGTTGGTTTGGTACCCTTTGATCTCTGTCACCAGAGCTTTGAAGCTTCGACAAGCTTTTTTTCCCGTGTCGCCCCTCCACCGGTAGTAGCAGTGGGCCGCTCCGTTTGGCTCCAAGGACTTACAGTAGGAGTGACTCGTACCATCCCATCCTATGGGATATAGATCTTCCCTCTATCGTTTCCACATTTGTTCAGAATGAGGTACCACCATGCAAATGACGCGAGAAGTCGACAGTATTGCGCCTCCAGTCGATGCGGCATATTAATTATATGGCGACATGAAACTTTTTTTTCCCATCTATCTGGGAATAATGGTAGTAGTTAGTAGTCTACACCGTACGTATATATATGTGCGTATATATATATGTACGTAGGATTAATCCCCCAGGCGGCTACTGGCGATTTATTATACGTATCTCTTCTACTACTAGTGTACGCGTAACAAGACGAAAATGGCGACCAAAGAACAACTTCGACCTGCGACGACGACCACTTTCAACGTGACTGAGCCTCATGTGTCTGAACGGGATGCAGACGTGACCTTCAAAGTACTGAGTCAGTACGGTGGTGAGCTCGCTCAGAGCCTTGACCGTGAGGGGGAAAAGCGGCTGGATCGAAAGCTCTACTTCATTCTCGTACCGTTGTTGGTGTTGATCAATCTCCTGCTCTTTGTCAGTCTGGCGCCTCTCACTCAGTCCTTATTCAACGAGCAAAAGCGATGGGCGGCAATCCATCCATATGCTTGCAAAGTACTGACTGACTGACTGACTGACCGTACTGAATGATGAAATAGATTGACAAGGCCACGTTGGCGTACTCGTCCATCCTTGGTCTCTTCGAAGAGACCGGGATCGACGGCGGGAAATATAACAATCTCAACACCCTCTTCTACGCTGGTAAGTGTTACTGTGTAATATACTTGCTGTATACTTAAGTATGACACCAAATGTATACTCACTGCCGCTTCAAGGGTATATCATCGGTCAGGTCCCCGGCCATTATCTCATGCAGCGCATCCCGCTGTCGCGCTTCATGGCCGGTGCCACGTTTCTCTGGACGCTGATAGTGTTTCTACACTGCACCGCCAGTTCCTACGGCGGCCTCATCCCCCTGAGGTTCTTCCTGGGAATGGTCGAAGCCCCTGTCGTCCCCGCGATCGAGATCACACTGGGCATGTTCTTCGTCCCGGCGACCCAAGGTCTCTTGCAGCCCCTGTTTTGGATTTCGTGCTTGGGTGCGCCTGTGCCCGCCGGCTTCATCGCCTATGGCTTGCTCTACACCCATTCGGCGGTGCTACCTTGGAAATTCTTTATGATCATCACAGGGTCAATGACTTTTGTAAGTGACAAACTTCCTGTCGATCCACTCCCGTATGAACTTCAGTACGTACGTATCTATCGCATTTCATATAGCACTGACGGCGAACTTCCTTTTCCCAAGCTCCTCACGATCCTCGTCGCATTCATCTACCCCAACAATCCGGCCGAGGCACGCTTCCTCACGGTCCAGGAGCGCATACATCTTGTCCACCGGATCCACGCCGCGACGACGTCCAGCATCGAACACAAGCAGCTGAAAAAGTACCAACTGCTCGAAGCCGTCCGCGACCCGGTCTCGTGGCTGTTCGGACTCCAAGCATTTACGCTCATGATCTCCAACAACATCGCATACCAGCAGAACCTGCTCTTTGTGTCCCTGGGCGTGTCGAACCTCGGGTCGACCCTCGTCTCTGCTGCGTCGGGCGGTTTCAGCGTGGCGTGCTGCATAGCTGCGACTGTATTCCTGCGCTACATTCCCTGGCGGAAGGCCTACGTAAGTCCCGCAAAAGTTCTCACATACCAGTTCAGTTACAAGTCACTTTTTTTTTCTCTTGTTGCTCTCCGCGATAGTCACACAAATCTAACCAAAAGGATGATGACTCACTAGTGGTCTACGTTTTGGTGTCTACCCGCCGTCGCAGGCGGCATCGGCATGTGCGCGCTTCCGTGGCACAGCAAACTCAGTCTCCTCGCGTGCCTGATCCTCGCGGGGAGCACGTTCGGCATCACCTACATCATCGCGCTGGGCTGGACGACGAGCACCGCCGCCGGGTACACCAAGAAGCTCGCGCGCAACGTCTTCTTCATGGCGGGATACGGCATCGCCAACTTGATCTCTCCGCAGATCTGGGTGACGCGCGACGCCCCCCGGTACTATCCCGCCTGGGCCGTGCAGATAGTCATCAGCTGGACGGGGACGCCCCTGATACTGATCATCATCCACCTCGTCCTGAAGAGGAGGAACGAGGAACGGTACGCGTGGATCGCGGAACAGGAAAGGTTGGGCAAGACGAGGACCGGCATCATCGATCGTGTCCGTGAGGACGGGGAGAAGGTTCAAGTCGAGGTCGACGTGAGTCTGTTGGACTTGACCGACGGAGAGAACAAGTACTTTATTTATCCACTGTGAGAAGCGCGGTAGCGAATATACCACTTGTGTACTAGTGTGATTGTACTTTGCAAAGTTTTGGTTACTAGTTACTAGTCAGTGGTAACTAGCCAATGTTAATTACTACAACGCTGGTAAGTGAATTACTGATCGATCGATAGTGAACTGAATTCGAGCTACAAGTCCGCCGACTAGTCAGACTGTATTCGACAGTTCGCAATTCATTCCGAATCTGTTTGCCCTACTATATTATAGCATTTGATCGGTTTCTGACTGAGTTGGACCTCAAAGATTACTACATACCTACTACTGCATAGTAGAAGCTCCGGCGTGAAGGTGTGCCAAGCACCGGCTTAGCACCCCTATATAAGGCTAGATTCACGTGAACCAAACGAGTCCATCGCGTTGGCTTAGGCTGCCGTTCAATATATCTCCCGCTTGCCTGTGTGCTTTTCTTGATGCGAGTTTTACGAGTGATGGACATATTCACGACGACCATTACCTCTTTCTTACACATTTGATCTACGAATCCATAAATGGTTGTAAAGAATTCTCCGATGACGCAAAATCAACTCGCTGTCAGGTTCGAGCACGACACGTCCTGGATTATTTCCTACCTTTGGGCTAAGGAGGATGCGTCTCGAAATTTGACGCTTCCACCCGATCAGCAGATCATCTTGGATGATTGTGTCCGCAACCTGGAAGGTCTACTTTCCAAGGCCATCCATCACTCTAGGGGCGAGGATGAAATCCAAAAGGTGGTATCGTGTCGGGATAAATCAGGTGGCTCTAGAGCGAATCGTACTCGCCTGTCGCACGGCTAGTGGCCGCAATTGACGCATAAAGGTCGCTGTTATAGGCGTCTAGGGCCTCCGCAACTGGATCCATGTCAGCAACTCTCTAGGAAGAAGGTTCATAGAAGAGGAACATATGGGAGATCAACACCATGGGAGACGCGTGACGCAAAAAAAGGCGCAACTAAGGGGTGCGCGACGTTAATACTATAGCCGTGGCAAGTGTATCGACGCTGTCCGTCTCTGGACACTGTTTATTTCAAGTCCCTCGGCAAAATAGAATCAAAATTGCGAAACTCTGTCGTCGAATATGTGTTTGTCCCTTCAATCGAAAACTTGAAGCTTTGCGGCAATTATTATCTCGTATTGTGTGGTGCAGAGCTTCATTGAATCATAAAATGGACACTAACGCGTTGCCCTCATGTGCCCTGGCTCCTTTCCAGTAGTGAAAGACCAGGCCTGGCAGCTAACATGTCCACTTCTTCTTGTTGAATGGACCCTACGTTTCGACGTTGAAGACTAAACTGCTTGACGGCCGGGTGAGGGACGATGCCTGTCCATCTGCCTGGCTGATTGGGGGTTGCCGAAAGATCGTCCGAGAAAGATACGAGGTGCAGGGTGATACACAAGTACATATGTCCCTTGAACCATTGCTACAGTTGTCATTTGTCCGCTATCAGCCGCACAATGACCGCCACCGGGCCTACCGCGACATTGTTCTAATGCGACTTCAGATCAGATCTCAACCGTTATAATTACAAAGGATAGTATCCATGGAGTGGGTCAAAATAAGATTCAGGAGGACCCGAAAGCACGTTCTTTGACAGTCTCGACGCGACTCCATGTCGACTCCTGAATGCTTCTCAAGACCCGTATACGGAGTTACCAGCTACTTTCAATGCCACATGGGGAAGCATCCCACCATCAAGTCTCAAACCGCTTCTAACATCTCTGTATTCAAGGGAAGACTTCCGCGTATACCCATGCCAATTTCATAACCCGGAGAAGCGCTACCGGATTCCGGACACACAGAAATCTCCCAAGGATGTCCGCCCCTGGGGAATTCGCACACAAAAACTGGAAGATGTCGGCCCGGTATCGGTCTTTAGACACGCGGCGATGGGATCTAGGTGCTCAAGATGGTGGTGCCAATAACAACACCTTGCTCGCACAGTCTGATCTTCTCCACATGCCATGACCAGTCTTTTGGTCGGTTCATCGCGCAAGTATGAGAATAGCTGACAGCCTACGGCGAACCTTCTCCTTTACACGTCCTGGACATGTATGACGACTTTTCCTCTTGCTCTGCCGGTTGCAACACGCTCATACGCCTGGTATTGTCAGTTATGCCCCTGCATGATTCTCGATCAATATATTTACCTTGATGGCGTCCCCCATTGCCCACTCACTGTCAACTAACCCACGAAGCATTCCTGTCTCCATCAAGTCTGGAACCTTCCGCAAAGATTCTGGATCAATGTTTCCAGAGTGGAACACGTATCTGCGAGGTATGCCACCAAGAACTACCGGCCATCGTTTCCTCAACTGTGACATGAGGACAAAGGAAAGGATACCAGAAACCGAATTGAGTACGCCACCACTTTTGTGGATCACGTCCATTTTCCCACCTGGGATGAAGATTCCGTCAGGTTTAAGGTAGCGAGCACATTTAAACCACAGGCTGTCGTCGGTCCCGGCATTGTCGATGATAGCATCGAAAGGAAGTGTTGCAAATCTCTCGGCACAACAGTCGCCCAGGCGAGGGTGGGCAGTGTAGTCGATGACCTGCGATAAGTTTGTCAACGACTGGGCAGTCGTTTGAGCCTGGGGGGGGGGGTCTTTTCGCTCGGCACAACACATATGACGCTTCACGACACAAGACTACTCACCTCATCCGCGCCCAGTCCTTTGACCAGTTCTATATTTGCTGCCGAACAGGTCGACACGATCGTCCCCTCCTTGCCCACGAACGACCTTACGATCTGTATAGTAGTTGACCCGAGGCCAGATGAGCCAGCAGTGATGAGGACCCTATCACCTTGTTTCAAGCCTGCCAGCTCGCAGAACTGTAGTGCAGTACATCCATTTCCCGCCACACCAGACGCCTCCTCGAAGGAGATGTTTGCAGGCTTCCTAACTACCTGGTCGGCTGGAATGACAGCGTACTCGACAAGCACACCATTGTATTTTTCTCCACCTTTGAGGTAGTCCCGGGGGTTGGGACTGCCAAAGACAGCATCACCAGCTTTCAGATGGCGTACGTCCGAGCCCACAGCTTCGATCACTCCTGAGAAATCAGAGCCCGGAATCCATGGATTGTCGTTAAAGTGAGGGATTATGCCCATGAGGGCCGCGAAGCCCTGGAATGCAGATACACAGGAGATCTTGACCAGAGCGTCGTTTGGTCCGAGCATTTCCGTTGTCGGCTTCCGGAGGTCATCGCGAAGTTTTAGTACTTGTGAAGGCCGTCCACGAGACGTAAATATCCAGCCGCGCATTGTCGCTGTTGAATTAATTCCTTGAGATATACATGCAAGGAAAAATACAACGACTAGAAATAACAAGTGGCACAATGTGTGTAAGGAGTCGTCTAGGCGGCTGTATCCTCACCATCTGTATATGGAGTACTAGTAGAGGTCTCCTCGTTACAGGCCCTGATACCTTTCGTGCGTCCTTCGGCCGAATGACAGTGGGGCGAAAGTACGATCAGGCTTCTCTGGGCCGCAACTCCGCCGTGGCACCGGCTGTCGCGAGACAAAAGGCACATCAGAAGCTCCTTACAAGGGGCCTTGGCATGTCGACCGACTGTACTCCGTACATTGCGTGTGCTAATGAGAGTAGCCAATCTCAGTTTCATGTTCTCGAAGGCGAAGAGCTGCGCTGAGACGCTGCGAGAGGCTTTGGTCGATATTTAGAAACAGGACCCCACTTTGAGACCGGCCCCGCGGCCGTTCCATCGCTCAGTCACTTACCTCCCTACCTCTTTCAACTACAATGATACTAAAAGCAGAGTCTGGTCTTGAGTGGGTTCAAACACCCTTTTCCTTAGTGCCTCGGTGGACGATCGAACCCGACATCACATCCATAAATCGAACGATCCGAGGACTATCAGACTACTTCCAGCAAGAAGTGAGCGTGTCATTCCTGACTCAAGGCGCATTCAATAAAATCTACTCCGTCGAATCTGACAATCACCCACTCATCATACGTGTCTCCTTACCAGTTGACCCGCAGCACAAGACACTGAGCGAAGTCGCGACGATTGAGTGGACACGGCGACACACATCCCTCCCCGTGCCGCGAATTATTGCGTACAACTGAAGCCGAAAAAAATCCAACCGGGTTCGAATGGATCCTTATGGAGAAGGTTCCGGGGAAATGTCTGGCGGATGCGTGGAGGGGCATGGAGTACGAGGCGAAAGAGAGACTTGTCAGGCAGATGGCGAGTTATTCGAGCGAATTGTTCAGGAATCAGTTACGGGGTATTGGGAATATCTATCCAGACTTGTCATCGCCACACAGCAGTGCCCCTCCAGAAGTCAAAAGGATCGTTTCGATGCAGTTCCTTTGGGGCAATCATATAATGCGGCAAGACGTCCGTCGGGGCCCTTTCCACTCGAGCAAGGCCTGGGTATCTTCCCTGTTATCTCTCAGTGAACACGATTGCATAGGTGTACTGAACAGCAGCGGTGGGATCAAGGACAGCGACATTGAGGACGCAGAGAGGACATTACGCATCGTCAGGAGGCTCAAGTCTCACATAATCGAATTCTTCCCTAACGATGAATGTGGCCAGGGGGAAGATCCAGAGCCCTCTATGCTTTATCACGATGACCTCTCCATGCGCAACATTCTAGTCAACGAGAAAGGCGATCTTGCAGGCGTGGTGGATTGGGAATATGTTTCGGCGCTACCACTGTGGAAAGCATGCTATTATCCCTTCTTCCTACAACGCCGTCCTAGAAACGACAAGCCTGATCGGAACAAGTATCGGCAAGAAGAGGATGGAAATCCTAATAGCTTGTACTGGGAACATCTGATGGAGTACGAGCGGACAAAGCTGCGCCGGTATTTCCTCGATGAGATGCGACGGTTGGAGCCCAAGTGGATCAAGGTTTTTGATTCTTCTACAGCGAAAAGGGACTTCTATCTGGCCGCTGAAAACTGCGACAACGAATTCCTTGCGAGAGATATCACGGAATGGCGCGATGACGTTAGTGCAAGGAGAGGAATAGTACGCAGTTTGCGTGATAGATTCGACGAATCTTGATTGTTGTGAGATGATCCGTGCTTGACACGTCAGCCAAAAGACCTTGGGGGTTGAAATCTTTCATATGTCTTCGATTGCTCCGGCTCTTGACTCGGGTGTGGAGTAACAGAATGAGGTCTGTTCGACTTCGCTTTCCTTGGCCACCTTTTGCGGCAAGCTACAGGTAGTCGGGGGGTTGCCGCATACCCAAATTCTGCGGCAAGACTACACAGGTACAATAGTCACACTTGACCGCTGAGCTAATCAGCGAAGAGTCCTACCCACCTACCACCCTAGGCTGCCGGTCGGTTTCTCAAGCCAGCAATGAAGGATGCATGAGGGTGTGCAATCAACATCCTGCTTGACGGTCAGTCGGGTCCACCTCTCGACCTACATTTGCGGCCTCAGATGGTCGGTGTTGATGGTGGTGCTGAATGACGCCGAGAGTTGCCTTCTATCTCGAGTGCTTCATTCGTCGATGAACGGTCCTCACACCACTTCTGCAGACTACTTGTAGCACAAAGGATATCCACATGAGTAGGATCTGAAGACCAGATTTCGATTGAATAAGTTGCCGGAGTCAAGCAGAATGCTAAGAGAATACGACAGGTCGAGTGACTTCTTCCACCGCGGCTTTGATGGAAGTATACACGTCGTCAACGGAGCCATTTGCATCGATCTCCTACGAGTCAGCCATTAGTAATGCATTACTCTCCAGTGACTTACCTTCCAAAAGGGGCCCCTCCTTCGTAGGTACTCTTCTACTGCCGAGTTTTCATGAGAGGATGTTCGTAGACGTTTCTTGATGGCATCGTCATTATCATCAATTCGACTAGACGACTTCGAAAGTTCTTTTAAGCGATGCAGCAGAACTTCTTCAGAGCAGTCGAGAAGTTTTAAAGGCGCGGTCGTGAACAATATTTATACTGTAATCCAATCATGCCGAGGCTTTGCGGGTCACGTGTAGCCTGGCTTGCCTGCACTTCTGGGCCGGCAAGCCAACAAGGCGCCTTAAGATCTGGGTGCCATCTCCCAAGACAAAGGTTCTTAAATCGATCTTCAACACAAAGACCGATGGGCCACACCCGCCGACACAACGCCAGCGTCCACCGCTAATTACAACAAAATCTCGCACAATTACAGCACTAGTGACAGATGCTGAAATTCGGTCCGCAACGTGGATCGTCGGGCACTACGGGGCCAGGTATGGGGTCTGCATTACCGGATCCAACATCGTCAAATTCGCGCCCGCCATTCAAACTTCACGGGAGATCATAGCAATGAAATTCGTTCGACAGAAATGCCCGGATATTCCGGTACCAGAGGTCCGTGGTGCTTGGGAGGTTGACGAACAAGATGGCGAAAAGACAGGCTACTTCGCTGTGTCTGTGTTACCTGGATCTATACTCCGTGACCTCTGGCCCACATTGACCGACGGCGAGAAAAAGACGGTTCTGGACGATTTGGCGGAGATTCTAGTACAACTACGATGTGTTCAGGCTCCAGAAAACTCCATGATTGGAGCAGTTGACGGCATAGGACCGGCTGCCGATCTCAGAGCCGGTGGCACTGTACTTGGAGGTCCGTTTCCCTCGGAGTGCGACTTCAATGAATGGCTACTCTCTCTCATCCACCCCGAATCACGGCAACATTGCTCAGATTTCTTCGTCGAAACGATTCACGGCTGCCTCGCAGGCCTGAGTGCCCATCAGATTCGATTTTCGCACGGAGACTTAGGAATGCATGACATCCTGGTGGAAGGTGGGAGAATCACAGGCATAATCGATTGGGAGTACGCAGGCTGGTACCCGGAGTACTGGGAGTACGTGAAGATGATCCAATTCTCAAGGGAGAAGCAGTTTTTGTGCTGGTGCCAACAGTGTTGGGACATTGGTGGTTTAAAGGTGCGCTATGACAGAGAGTTCGTGGTGGACAACATGCTAGACAGTCAAGTCAGACACGGGGCAAGAGTTATCAAACGGCCAAGATAATTATGGTCAGGACAAAAAGAATTGAGCGGTAGGTGACCGCTCAAAAATCAGGTATGCCAATTTACCTGCAAGCTACGCGCCGGATCATTCTACCTCCAGACTCTGCACGAGCTACAGGCCTAGTGCGTATATCAAATCGTTTATTGAGTGATCAGGTGTTGCAGACACCGGGCGGCTTACCGAACGGCTGGACAAGACGCTTTGGTGGATCGTAAATGCTCCCCACCGGTGAGCTGAGTGGCCGGCAGCACGCCGCAAGGTTCTTTGATCAATCGGCTGCTTCGGTCTGAAGTTTCATCAGCAACATTAATCGCCTTGGTGTGGTGACGTGAGGATGTTTGGGATTACCATCGGCCGCTAATTGCGAGGCCAGCTAGGCAACAAGCGAGCCCCTGCGGCCAGTATCGATGATGTGACATAGACATGTATGTGTCCGTGTGTGTGGCATCTCTACAGTACTCATCAGGAACACCTGGGTCAGTCAGCCAACGAGTACAATAACAAAGGTGATGTGGCATTCATCGACGTCTTTCTTGACTCGAAAGGATCTAACGGATCAGAGCAGGTCTACAATGCCCAACCTCAGCATTCATATATTTGTCTACGCCGAGCCGAGTCTCAGGCCTAACGAGGCTCACGTCGCCTTGTCTGTCTATCACCCACGTTCAAGAAAGTATAACATCTATCATGGATTGAGGACGTCGTCACAGAACCAGAGATGAAATTTGAACGACAAGCGAGAGATCGGGACCCACGGGGCTCCACGACCCCCCATCAAGAAGTACCTTTGTCCAGCATACCAGTGTCCAAATTTGAGCAGCTTGATCGTGTTCTTCGGACCACTGCAGTCCCCCGGCCAAAGCCAACGACGTGGAACTGCCAGACATGGCTACGACAGGCAATAAGGAACATGGAGTCAGAGAACCTTGTGCCGAGAGGTGCGGCGAGCGAGTACTACGCCCGGATGATGTCCCAGGTCAATGCCAACACCACACGTGCATGACGTCCGCGAACAGAAGAGGAGAATACGTTGCTTTTTGTGTCATGAGACTCCTCATTCAGGAGTGATTGCTGTTCGCCGTCTCCACATAACGCCATATATTCAGCACTTTCTCGAAATACGCCTGGGCGGGCGTTACCAAATTTGTCGACGTATAGGATCAGGCTCGTTTGGAAAAGTATACATTGGTACGATAGTCCTCGGAGACGCGATGAAACATTGATCATGACTCAGGGCGCGATGTTCCTACGGGTGACGTGGTGGATATCAAACTCGAGCACCGTTCGATTGCCCCACCGCTCCTCCGCCAAGAGATCGACATCTATGAGGAGTTGATTGGACAGCCCAGCGTCCCTCGAGCGTTCTGGCATGGCTACCACTGTGATTTCCAGGCGGTGGTGTCTGAACTTCTAGGACCCAATCTGGAGGATCTCTTTCGCTACTGTGACAACAAATTCTCACTCAAGACAACATTGATGCTGATGGATCAACTCCTCCACCGGGTCGAAAGCCTCCACGCGGCAGGATACCTCCATCGCGACATCAAGCCTGAAAACTTCCTCCTAGGTACTGGCAAGCAGGGCAACATTGTCTACATGACCGATTTTGGGCTCTCCGCCTATCGGAGAGATTCGCACAGCCAAGTCACGAGTCACAAGCCGGCAACCAGCCCCCGGATTTCCTTGGTTGGCACCTGCCGCTACGCCAGCATTAATGGCCACTTGAACGTCGGTAAGTGGTGTGGATATATTCCATCGTTGATTCGACAAGCTAAACTGGGCCCCATGCAGCTCCATCACGACGTGACGACTTGGAGTCGCTGGGGCATATGGCCTTGTATTTCTTCATGGGTCCCTTCCCTGGCAAGGTCTGAAGGCCCCCAGCCGGCAGGAAAAATATAGGCTTGTTTCCGAGCGGAAGCGGACGATCAAGGTAACCGAACTATGCCAGGGTCTACCCGCGGAGTTTGCGACCTACATAAACTACATTCGTGGACTGAATGACCAGGACAGGCCAGATTACAAGTACCTCAGGAGCTTATTCGGTCGGCTCTTTCGCCACAAAGGTTTCGAGCATGACAACGTGTTCGATTGGACGATTCGAGAGTTTGAAAGGCAGTCAAATATGAATCAGCAACGTCCTGTGCCCTGTCCTAGCGATTGGGGAGCAAATGCCGAAGCGAGCCCTTACAGGCAGACGTGACCGAAAGAGGAGGTGTCGAAGCAGAGCTGATACGAAGGAATCATGGCGTGACAACGTCTTTGACTAGACGATTCGGGAAATTCCAGAGGCCGGAGCCTGACAGCCAAAGAGCCGTATACGTCGAAAGATATGGGCGAGGGCGAGGAGCAGAGACCGAGTGCAGGTCTAAGGCAAGTCGTCGAAAGAGGAAATGATACTGTATCCTCTAACAATCTCCGTATACATCTTGAAATCCTGGTGGCCGGATCCTAGGGTCCGTGCCTCTTGCGAAACAGGAGGGCGGCTTGTCATCGGCAATCGAGAGCCAATCATTTCGCGGGCAGCAATACCGGCAGGGAGGCAGGAGAATACTCCAGGGGGCAGAGGATGTGTCGAACGAGTTCCCAAGAAAGGGCCGTAAGGTCCGGCTGGTTGCAGATCCGGTCGTACTGGTCTATGGCCTCGTCACGCTTAGGTCAGGTCGTGGGATATCCATGTAAGTTAGCTATAACAGTCGGCAATCTTCCCATACCACCCACTACAAACTCGGCAACTTACAATCATCACAATCACCACATCAGAGATTCCTCAGCTCAACACACGCCAAAAAAATTGCGTAAGCTTTTCAACCCTGATGCTTCACATTTTTGACCGAAGAAGTAGATATTGGACTATTTTAATCTCATGTCTCTTCCGAAGAAAGACTTGGTCAAGCTCATTGATAGTATAGCTGACAATTGGGGCTCCATTCGCAACAAGCTGAGCGGAGCAGAATGCTGGGCGCCGACTCTATCCATCACGAACATCCAAAAACGAGGCGGCATCTAAGCGCCGGTTGGACCAAGGAGAAAAGCTTCCCAAGAACGACGAGAAGGATTAAGATGAGCCCAGTGACAGCTAAAATGTCAATGTCCAGGCTGAGAACCAAGGATCAGCTAGTCACCATAAACTCTTCACAGTCCAAGTTAGACCGAGCAACACCAAAGAAGAGGTCAAGGCAAAGCTGAAGAATGTAGCTCAATCCAACGGGCTTATCTGACCTGTGCATGTGATCAAATGGCTACGTAGTCTCCCAGTCAGTCAGGTTCCAATGACGAAGCCGGTCATTAAACTCTAGACGTTCCTGTTCACTCTCCAAAGACTCAACGGTCTCTTCTATCACAGATTTAAGGTTATCTTTCCGTTCTGTAAACTCATCCGATGGAACCCAACCCTCTTCAGCGACTGGTATGTTCCTGGCCTTTAGGAGGTCTTGAAACTCGTTGTAACGCCGTCCGTCCTTCTGATGCTTGGTCAACTCGTCGCCCTCGATCTTGATAGGGCATTGCTCGGCATCATTTCCATCGCGAAGGAAGCCAGACAGATGGCGCTGAATTCGAAGGAGCGTCTCCCTCAGGAGAAGGGCCTCGACGTCTTGTCTGAAAGGGATTCGGGCGAATACCTCTACCTGCTTTCGAATAGGGGATAATTCTTCGTCCTCCAACACCGCAGCAAGATCGGGAGCGCTCTTCCTGAGGTCGGCCAGGTAATACTGCTGGAGCATTGATTGGCGGTACCTCTCCCAAAGCTCAAGCCTTTTTGCTTCCGGCATCGCCGAGAAATTCTCTGGGAGTTCCAGAAGAAGTGCATCGCGTTCCACATCGATAAACTGGGGCATTCGAACCGCCAGGAACAACGGCAAGATGTCGGTACCCTGCCAATTGACGATGCAGGTAATCTTTCCTTCCGGAGATACAAACAAATTGCCAAAGTGAAGATCTTTATGCCACATTAGCGGTGGATGTTGGTCTGTAGAGCGTGGAAGAATATGTGGTATTGCGGTGCAAAGTGTTCAGAGCATATCAGCTAACGCTATGGCCGACGTGTTGCTTGCCGTGTTTATCGGGAAGGAGAACGCTCGGTCAGCGGTCATGTCTTTGCTTCGATGCATCTCGATTTGTGCCAGTGACGAGTGTGCAACAGAAATGAGATAATCTTGTGGAGTACACCCTGACCGGTTAGCAATCAAGCAACCGTGAAATCCTCAACAGGGACTTACAGGGGCCACAATTCACCCCAGATGCTGTAAGCGCTGGTTCGATGAAATGTTGATGTGCCAATGGACCGATGCAATACGTCGGGGTAGAAGTCGATATCACTGAGAAATGCCGAGAAAAACCAAGTTTGGCTGCATCATCAAGAAAGTACAGACTCCCATACACACTAAACATAGGTTTGGTGGCAACGAGCCGCCTTTGAATAGACAGCACTTCATCCACGATAGCGAGTTTCTCTGGTATTTCGAGGTGAGACCATACGGTGTTCAAAGCTCTCCCCTGAGCCTCTTCCATGATGATGTATTCGCAACCGACCGGGTTGTCGCTGTTGTCGCTCCATGAAAACACCTTGGGCACCGGCACTTCCAACTCGGACCGTAAGAACTCAAGTGTGGCAACTTCGCTTGCCGTGACCAAACATCGCGGGTCAACCGGATCAGGGATCTTAACTATCAATCGCCGTTCCCCAACAACGGCGAGGAAGACTTTATTGGAAGCGCCTTCCGCGAGCTTCTCAAATCGAACAGTAATACCAGCTGTTGATCCCGCTGCCTTGATTATGACATGTTCGAGAGCCCTGAGGTCGAATTTCTGTGTGTGTTCTTGTCGCTTACGACGCTCGTTCCACGGCCAGCGACCTGTAGTTGGGAAGAACAGATCCGAGGTGAGGGAAGAATTGAACCGGGTCGTTTGCAACTTATGAAAACTGTGTCTCACAGATAAAAGTCTTCTCCTTGAAAACCACATCGAGCGGATTAAATGACGGAGTAAATTGATCCCCTTGCAAAATCTGCGAACGATTGTCAGTACTACTGAGTAGGACTCACAACGAGGTCGACGCATCTCATGTTTCGGTTGACACCAGAATTGCGCCAGCCTCGAATCGGCGAACAGTATTACATTGTAAAGACGGTCATTGGCAACGCCCGCAACTCAGCCTGTTCAACACCAGTCTACATGAATTTGTCAAGGAGGTCGTCGACAAGCTCGAAGATCTTGCCGCCGTAGTTTAAAAGACAGCCATTCCGTCCATATATATATATATATATACCAGGTGGCCTGAAGAGACTGGGACGAGTTGTATATTCAGCCGGATTCGTGAGGTGCCCGGTAGCCTTCGAGCTGAAGCGGAGGAAGTAGTCGCATCTGCTGGGATTACTACAGGAGGCACACTTGGACCCTCGCCAACCACAAAACTGGATGGAACCATAGTTGGAGTAGTCAAAATCTGTGGGCATTTCCAGAGCTTTACCATCCGCGCGTCGTCCTTTCCCATCGTAGACGCTATGATTTCGTTAACGAATCGTTTGTAAGTCTTTGATTTCCGGTAGTTGCGTCGAGGCGTACATAGATGGATGGCGAAACCCCACAGTCGAGTAATTAATTACTCGACCTTGATGTAATACTCTCGGTTCTTTCATAAACCCGTCGTGCCGATAGATACGATATAACTTACCTAGGTGCTACCAGAAGCCTAAGTATTTTTGAAAAAGCGCTTGTCCTCTCATGATGCCCTCTTGGAGGACTCCCGTCGAATGGTGAACACCGTCATGATGCGTGCGGGCATATCGCATTCATTACACGCCTGCACGTAGTCAAGACTGGCACTGCTGTACACGCAATCGTAGAGCCAGGATATTATTCTCCAGCCACAGACAACGACCATGAATCAAATTTAGATTACAAGTTCTCCAAAACTATATCGGGATCCCGACAACCTCATCGTCTCCTCGTCCATCCGGGACATGATCCCCATAGACCGTGATCGGAATGACGACGTCGAATGTCTCGCAGTCCAAGTTCTCCACAGCAACATGGATGATCCCGCGTTCATCTCGGACCACTTCGTCTACCAGGTCGACAGCGGCCGGAGCCCGCGCTTCACCCTCACCCATGCTCCCACCGCCGTCAACACCACCACCACCATCATCATCGTCATCGTCACCCTCGGAGGTCTTGACGGTCCCAAATTCGAACCTGAGGCTCCACTCGAGGTTCACGCCACTGGTGACAAACGTCGGCGTCGCCGAAGCTGGAATGCTAGGCGAGAATGTAGCCCTCCGCGCAAACAGGATGTTCTCCGACTGCGCACTGTAAGTCTTTTTCGTGGCCCTGTTAATTGTGGCGGCAGACCGGACAGCAAGTGAAGGGCTGATTTTCTCCGTCGATTCGAGGGTCGACCTGAGCGAGGCGCAACGGACCTGACTGTCCGAGAGGTCGATGACAGCCGTGATCGTCTCGCCGAGTCTGTGCAGCGGCCTGTCGATGACGACGACGGCAACCTTGAGTCCGTTCCGGGAGATTTCGAACCGGTTCGAGCTGGACGACGCAACATCGGTGCTCTGGTTACTGTACAGAATGGCGCGATCGATGGCCTGCAACGCCATTGAATCCGCACCAGTGTAGTGGCGGGGGTTGTATGCTTCCATGGTGGCAGTGCTGGATTTGCGGCTCACATTGCGCTCGAGAAGCTTATCGACGAACGCAAGAAAGTCGGCACTAGCTTTCTCATGGGACTGCGGCGAGGGTGAGGTAGGAGTGGTGGACTCGGTATTGTGAGAAGGCAGGGGAAGGGAGAGGACGGATCTGGTGCGTGCGAGGTCTTGGAGAATGACGTGAGGTTGCATGAGGTCGTGGCCGAAGATTTCGCCATCATAGTCAACGCCCGAAAAAACACGCACGGGCACGTTGACTTGACGGACTGCGTGTACCTCCGGGCCAGCCTGTACGCCCACGGTGAGGTTGTACGAGATCTTGATGGATTTGCCGCGGTAGCTTGATGGCAGACCCCGCGGGAGAGGGTATTTGTACGTATAGCTTCGCTCCTCACCGGGCTCGAGATGCATGTCGACAAAGAGGAGCGATTGAGGAGTGGACAGCAGGGGAATGGCTCTAGAGTTGTTGATGGCCTGCATCTGCTTGACGCTGCTTGTGTCGTCGCTGCTGAGTAGGCTGTTTAGAGAGTTGCTGAAATCTTTGAGGCTGAACGCCGTGCCTAGAAATCCACTCATCGGACGGGGTTTCTTCATCCCCACTACGCCGCCACCAGCTTGTCCGCCTAGGAAGTCTTTGCTCTTGACGTCCTCGAAATGGGATTGGTCAATCAAGGACGTGTCGAGGGTGAACGTCGCGTTCAGCTGCGCGTAGCCCATGAGCAAACTGACAGTTTGAGGTCTTTGTTTTGGCCTTAGCGGCGTCCGTGGCAGGACTGAGATGGGTCTGTGGTCCGAAAAGACAGAGGGTTGCTCAGACATGAGCGTTTCCTCTGAATGATTGCTGAGGGAATAGAAATCGCCGCTGCTTCGCTCACTTGTCACCTGGCTCGACCTCGACAAGACTCGTGCCGCATCGTCATCACCCGGACTTAGAGCCTCTCGGCGGGTACCAGGGCTAGCTGGGAATTTGAAGTCCGGCGTAGGCTCACGGCTTCGACTTTTGGCTGGCGACCGTGGACTGCGCCGAGCGCCTTGTGGCGAAACCCCCGGGGGGGCTTTGCCGGATTGGCTCTTCTTCCTTGGAAGCGGCGCTTGAACTGGGTAAGCTTGCAAGGCATATAATGGCTATTGATAATAATAAGCTTACCTGGCTGAAGTTGCACGGTAGATGATCGTTGATGACTTGGTCTTTGCTGGCGCGCCCGGCTATTGGAGGATGATAAATCTGGGTGATCGTTGTTGCCGAGAGGCGACGTTAACGACATGATTGAGACTGATCTCTGCTTGAATCCTGGTCTATCTGTCGAAGACCGAAGATCGGTCGTGTTTAGCGGGCTTTGCAGCGACGCGGTAGCTCGATGCAGTGCTCGACCGTTGGACTGAGATTCCACGTCTGAAGCAGACCGGCCATTCCGGCCGAGGCGTAGATGAGCATGATGTTTCAACGCAAGAGCGGCAATTTGACTGATGCTTTCGTGCCGACTGCTGCGCTTTCTGCCGCTGGATGGTGTTTGTGGTTCGGCGTTGGCGACGTTCTTGAAGGTGATGGTGCACTTGAGTTCTTCCCCAGCGAACACAGATTGTTCCTGGAAGCGAACGATGACATGAATGTCCGAATGCATACCACGGCCTCTCAGGCTTCAGCACAGCTTGATTGGGGAGAAACGTCGCGTGGAGTATTCGATAGAAGACAACGGCGTCAGGGACAAAAGCCACATCGACGGTGAGGTCAATGGCTTGTTGTGGCTAAACATCGGCAGCTCAAGGAACGGGGAAACAATCTGCCGAAACTGGGATTCGGCAAGACGCGACAATGACAATCATCAGCACAACACCGTTCAAACGATGCTTAGTAGTCTATCATGTGAACAAGTCTCTTGTTGGTACAGTGTCATGCAAGGCGTCATCATCAGCCATATCTATATATTCCACGTGGACTAATTTGGACGACACCTCCAGAAGTCTGCCAGCTATGATGACAGCATCACCTAGAGCGTCCCAAATAGCCACTTCGAGGTCTTAAACCTCTCCTCGCTGTCGCCAGCTGGCTATCACCCTCCCAGCTCTAGATGGCACCTACGGAGTGCTTCTTGTCATGCACTTCGCACACTGTGCGTGGACCTGACCTGAGCAGATGGGACGCTCTCATGCGCAGCTTGGTTAAGGCTCTTCCACATGTGTTTGTAGCATTGACGCGAACCGACTCGCTGCATGCAACGGTGCTGGTGTAAGGTGCTGTACCATGGATCGCTGCCGAGATGTTGGAAGACACCGAGTATTGCTGGATGGCGGTTTTAGTGGTGTGGAAATGATGAGGTTTCTCAACCAGATCCTTCAGCCAGAGACCGCTACCTGAGCTGCAAGCTTCTCCGTCGTTCTGCCTAGTCCATTGTTGGCATAGAAGTCCATGGGATATGTACCATCGCCTCGGTCCCACCCTTGTTGGCCACCTAATACCACTAGGGCTTCGTATGGGGTCAACAGTGGCCGAGGGAAAGCATATCCCCAATCAATGCTCAGTCTCGGACAAGCAATCTGAACCCAACAGTCCACGTCTTCGAACAATGCCAGCTTGCCCGGAAAGATCTCACTAAGCAAAAGATTGATATAAGGTATGCCTTGTTGGGTCAGGTAGTTTTGTATCATGGTCAGCGTGTGAGGATTGCCTTGTCGGCCCAAGGCTCCCAGAATCAGGCCCCATTTCTTTGCTTTCTTTGCAACACCAATTGCGCTGGACCGCATGTCCAGCATTTCTTCATGTGAATACGTCTCGCGCGTCAACTTCCGAGAGTAAGGGTCATATCGATAGGCTGGAATGTCAGGGTTTGCTATCATCGCAGCCTCAAGGTGGAAACGACCGTCCCCCAGATATAGGATCAAGTCAACATTTTGGTCTTTAGCAATTTTAGGTGCAGTACACCCGAGAACCTCGCCCTTGCTGAGCGGCATAACTTGAGGCACGACCAACTTCAGCCCTTCGGCTTCGAGGGCAGGTCTGATCGTATGCAGGGTGGCATGAAACTGTATTGTACCCACCATGGCGATTGTCTTGCCAGGAGAAATGTTGCGTGACAGAGTGCTCACCAGATGTTTTGTGTCAATGGAGATGTCTACAAAAATGTAGAGGGTGGCTATCTTTGTTGCCGACACAGGTATTAAACAACTGTGAGCGTAGTGAACCAGGAGATCGCATCCCAGTGCTCTTGCGGTGTAGTCATCAATACAGCATGCACCATATGTTACATCTCCCATGATCAATGTTTCAGTGCCAGGACAGAACTGGGTGAGAATGTCAGAGATGGTAGTGGCAAACATCAGCAAGCCTTCTGGAAACTGTAGAGCGACTCTCTTTGCCTCGAGTGTTCGTATCCGATGAATGGTCTTGGGTATCTCGAAACTGTAGTTGTGAGGGAGCAAGGCTATTGCAGCCTGGATGTCTGGGTCGTCCAGTATTTCGGCCGGGATCTGGTTCAAGGCTCGAGGTGTTTTGCGCTGACCTGCCTCGACATTAGCAGCCAGTATCGGCACGACCGCAAGGCTTCATACTTTTCACGACGATTGCCGCAGTTTCCTCCACAGAGCCATTGGCATCCTGCCTTTGTCTCGCCTGTGCATCTGCGGTTCTCCTTCCGACAAACCTTCTCTTGGGTGTCCTATTGGTATTGCCTCTCTCCTCCGCCGTTGACGGAAAAGCACCGGGCATTGGAGGTTCGTCCATCTCTATTGCTCGGGCCCCAATGCAGGGTTCCCGCCGAATTAAGGCTGTCTCTCGATCTTGGACAATACAAGACTTGTCGGTGGCATCGTGAATTTCGTCGATGATCTCGTCGAAGTCTCCAAAAAAATCGCCGCAGGCTGGTTGGCGTCGCCATCGGAATGCGGAGAAACTCAGTCCGATCTGGTTTGGTGATGGCGTCATAGATTTTGTTGTTTGCAACTCGTATCACAATGCATCCAGGCACTCGACACGATCATACTTGTACTCGTACTTGAGTCTCGGACAGACTAGTTGAGATTCAGAATGCGATAAGACCCGGTAGGTTGCAGTCAGAGGCGTAGGATCTCGCCATCACCGAGTCGACACCCCTTGTATTCAGCCAGTCATGCCTTTATTGCAATCTCTGCTAGCAGCGTCCAACTTTCGCAACCCCTTCTTGAGAAACCTCGTTCCATCCGTTGGTCTTGCATTCAGTATCCAAGCAGCTGTAGCTGTGCCCTCCATTCTCGGAGGCTCTGAGCGCTTCTACGACCTTTCTGGCTCATTGACTTATCTCTCATGCACAGCCCTGAGCCTGTACCTCCCCGCCCTGCGTGCAAGAACGGCAGCAGCACTGGCAGGACAGCCAAAACCAGCATGGCCTAGCCTTATCAACGCTCTTCGAGGCACAGGTGGCCCTTATGGCTTCAACTGGAGACAGGTGTTCTTGAGCGCCGCCGTAGGCTTCTGGGCTTCTCGATGTAAGTCTGCATCCTCGAAAGGGATCTCGATCATGACTGACCGCAAGCAGTGGGCGCATATCTCTTCACCCGTATTCTCTCTGACGGCGAAGATTCCCGTTTCAGAGATATCCGCAACTCGCCTCCCAAGTTCGCCGTGGCTTTCTTTGCACAGGCAACTTGGGTGTCGCTCTGCTTATTGCCCGTGCTGGCCATCAATTCGTTACCCGCTTCAACCTTTGCTGCTCTCGGAGGAGCCATTTCCATCTCAGACTTGGTTGGCATTCTGCTCTACATTGGGGGAATAAGCTTCGAGGTTACTGCCGACAGACAGAAGAGCAAATGGTCGCAGGAGAAGAAGGAGAAGAAGCACGACGAGGATTTTCTCACCAGAGGACTATGGAGCAAGAGCCGCCACCCAAACTACTTTGGAGAAAGCACCCTATGGACAGGCATTGCTACAATGTCAGCTGGAGTTCTCGCATCGAAGGCGGGAGTAGCTGGGATGGGCCTGGCCAGCGGGATGGCAGGGAAAGCAATCGCGCTTGTCACGGCAGGGATCAGTCCTGCGTTTGTGACCTTGCTGCTTTTCAAAGTATCTGGGATTCCTCTCAGCGAGGAAAAGTACGATAAGAAGTACGGCGACCGCGCGGACTATCGGGAGTGGAAGAGGGAAACGCCCATGTTCTTCCCCAAGCTGTAGCATGCTGAATATCTATTCTCTGGGCATCATGAAAGCTGGCAATTTGAGACGACTCGTGGGTAATGCCATGTTCCGTAAACAAACCATGGATATTTCGAGGTCTTGTCTTTGCCGTGGAGATGGTTGATCCGAGGATGCTGTCACGGTGGTTTGAAGTTTCACCTGGTTGAGCTACAACCTACAGGCGTCATCCGACGTGGTTGTCGTAGATCTGTCCACTAAAGAGACATTTATTGCGGAGAAATCCATAGTCCCGACCGCCACATATTGACTCTGAGTGATGGTAGTAACAACTCGTGTCCTCCAAGCTACCTGCACCATACGTCCCTACGCAGACACCGTTCATATAGACTCCTCGAAGGGAAGCGCGCACACACTCACACACACACAGAGAGAGAGAGCGTGCGTGTGAGGGGGACAGAGAGTTGAAAAAAGGCGTCCTCGGTGCCGTGGGAGTAGTACCTAGGTAAAACCTACCATGCCCAGCACCAGCACCACGGCGACGACGACGACAAAATGGTCACAACATCCGGCTTCACACACGCACCCGTGTCGCGGTTCCTGATCCTGTGCTCCGTCGGGGCGTCGATCCTCACGTCGATTCTGGACATCAAGCACCTCCTCGCGATCAAACCCTCGCCGCACCTCTGGCCGTACCTGCAACTCTCTCGCGCGCTGACGTTCCAGCTGTCCTACACGTCGTCGACGGAACTCCTCTTCTCCACGGCGCTGCTGTACCACTTCCGCGTCCTCGAACGGGTCTGGGGAAGTCGGAAGTACGCCAGCTTCGTCGCCGTCGCGTTCGCGCTCAACGTGCTCGTCCTGCCGGGTCTGACCGTCCTCCTCAAAACCGCGAGCTTCGGCGTCTACAACTACCTTCCGGCCGGGCCGGTGGCGGTGGTCTTTGCCGCCCTGAGCGCGTGGGCGGACGAGGTCCCTCGCCTGTACCGCTACAAGATTGTCCTCGCGGGGGGCACCGAGACCGAAGCGGAAACCACCGCGAGGTCGTCACAAGGTGCGGCCGGCGCGGGCGGAGCGGGCGGTACCAACGGCGTGGTTCTAAGCGACAAGAGCACGACGTATGTTCTCGCGGCGCAGTTGGCGCTGAGCCAGTTCCCCTACCAGCTCCTGCCGGCCGCGGTGGGCTGGACCGTGGGGAGCGCGTGGATGGGCGAGCTCCTGCCCGCTGGCCTCGCGCGGTGGCGGGTGCCGGCGTGGGTGGTCGGGGAGACCAGCCCTCGCAAAGAGCGCGGCCAGTATGAAGGCCTGCGAAGACGGTTGGAAGAAGAGGGTAGCTCGGCGGACGGCATGAGGAACGTGAGTGACAATGCCCATGACACGCACACTCAGGATGAGAGGAGGGGGTTTGGGAGGCAGGTCCTGGGATATTTCACGGGATCTTGACTCGGGCTGTCTTGCTCGTCCCAAGTACACGGAGGCAAAACATCTGTGCTAATATCGATAATCCTTTTCTTTGGACTCCCCCGATGCGAGTAAAATCGATTGCTCTTGGTGTGAGGTAGCCTTTGACACTGAGGTGTATGTTGCGTCGTGGGCCAGGTCACGGGAATGGGTAGACACAAAACACAAAGTCGAGCACATTCACACTGAACTGGCATGAGGATGGAAAGAATGACACAAAAGATACCTTATAGAATACATTGTTACCCCGGTACGTGCTACGAAGCGCACCATCGAAGCCCAGAGAACCCCAACCCTTTTGAAAAGTCTTCCTAGTGACGGATCCTGTAGAGAAACCAACAACTTCTGCTCTAGGTGGTCAAACAACACATGGGGACCGTGTGATTGCTGCGGAATTGCTGCCACCAAGGAAGCAGTCATAGTCCATAGGTGGAAAGGATCGAAGCGTCTTGGGTATAAAGGCAGGTCTGTAGATCCCGCAAATGCCATATGAGATGCTTTCACGGGGGTTTTCCATGAGTGCATCGCCATGGTATGGTGTGCTGGAAGTCGGCGGACTCGATCCAGCTTTCTGTGGCCGATAGATCAATCGGTCTATTAGAACCTTCACTCTATATATGGAGGGTCACGTCGCAAATTCGGACGACAGCTGCTGGGAGCGGTAGTGAACCGTAGAGTCATTATCCCCTTTGCACTGGGTCTTCGACATACCGGGTAAAATTTTTGTGAATCGCCTCCCTCCAAGGGAGTATTCTATTCCTCATCTTCACCCATTCGCCAATCCACTCGTCTGCTCTTCAAAGGCCTGTCTGTACCTCTGCACGGCATTCGCAAGGCTCTTGATGATCGGGCCGAGCAACTGCCTGACCACATCCCCACCGCCTTTGATCGCAGTGTGGTCCAATCTGTGCCGTCTCCCAGTTCTCCTGAACCGCTCTTCCAGAGCCATCTCTTGCGCCCGGACGTGTTCTCTCTTCTCCTTCTCCGCGTCGTCGGCAATCACATTGATCCTGTCCAAAGCGCGGTTGAGACTCTCTACGAGACTGGCGATTTCGTTGGCACGATTAGGATCACCGGACAAAAATGCGTTCCAAAACTGTCGAAGAAACTCAATCGTCGTGGCCTGGGTCAGCGTCAATCGGTCATAGATGGCCGTGCTCAACCCGTTGGCCTGGTCAACGTCGCTTGTCTGGTCTCGATGTGCTTGAATGAGAGACATGATATGCTTTGACGCGAGACTCGATCCGCTTTCTGCTCTTGAGGCATCATCGTCCATGTACTCATCTTCGTCTTCGAACGTTTCGATCGGAACGACGCCTTCCCCGGGCCTGGGAAAATGAGTCGCCAACTCGTTGCAGATTTCCTCAATCGCCTTGCCAGGGTCAAGTTTCCGGAACGGATTCGAGCTTGCACCGTTGGCAGTCTTCTCCGAGTCCTTGTCGGCGAAGAATCGGCTTTGGTCGCGGATATTCAAGATGATCCGCTCCTGCTCCGGGTCCCCGCTGAGATCGCGAAGTCGGAGCTGTTCATACGCTTTTTCCGTCATGCCAATGGGCGCAGAGGCGTCGACATCGTTAGGCCGCACCGTGGCCATGAGCTTTTCACTTAGAGCATTCAATCTTCGTATAATCGGGGCCTTGTCCAGCGCGGTGGCGCGCAGTTCGTTGTCCGGACGATTGCCCTGGCGCTGGCTATGGTTCTCCTCGTTGCCTTCGAGATCGATGAATTTGGGGATATGCATCTCCGCGCTCGTCGCCCTCAGGCCTGTCAACTCGGGATGATTGAGGTACTCCTCGGTGTCGAGATACTTGTCCTTTGATTCCTTTGACGGATCGAACTTCAGTCCCCGGAGCTTCATATACAGTTGACTCTGAAAGAATCGAGACCAGAACTCGACTTCCGATTTGCACTTGTGTGGCACAATTTCGTCGTAGATCATGCGCATAACTGGGTACTGCTCGAAGATAGCTCGGACGTGATCTTGAGTCAATGATAGTTTCGTGCCGCCGTCCTCGCGTCGCAGTTCCGAAAAGACATTGTACTTCCCACGTCCTTGGTTCTGGGCGATCGCATGTGCGCGGAGGAGGTGGACTCGTGACGACCAGAATTGAGCTGTGAATTGGGTTGTTGAAATGGATTCGGGCTTGAGACTGAGTGCTTCTATAAAAGTTCTTTGCAGGGTTTGATCTTCTTGCATGAGTGACTGCTGGAGCCTCACATCAGATTTCAGCCTCTCATCATCTTCCCAGAGGGTGCTGCCTCGCCCAGCACCGGAGACTGTATTTGCAATAGTCATAGCGGCCGACTGCCCGCTCGAGGCTGCCGTAGCATTTTGTGCGGCTTTCTGCGCCTGGATCACATTCGCTAAAGCGTCCTTGATCGCGTTGGCTTCACCTCTGGGGTCACCTTTGGCGGTAAATGTGAAGACGTGGGCGACTGGTTCTGACTGTCCTGGATCTTGGACGAAGACCTTCAACATAACCTTGGGGCTTGATTCAGGCGTTTGTTGAAGGTTGGTGATGTTGGCCGCGGATATTACCAGGCTCGGTGCAGCGTCTGGTGGCTGAGCTGGCGTCCATGACACTGATTTACGATCTTTCGATATAGCTAGCAGCCCAGGCTGCTTTTTGTAAGAGGTCTGTCCCTGCGGTGGCGCCATGGCTGACCGGGATGCAGGGAGGTTGGATTCAAGAATAAGAAGAGGAGCGATCCGCCGTTCTGACGGATCGAAAGACAACCCCGAGCTGCCAATGGCGAGATTTTCTCATGTCGCCCGCAGTGGCCTGTCGACTCAATCAATTCTCTCCAGACTCATGCTCGACGAAGGATACAACAGAGTCCACAAACTCGTTGAGGGAAGATTGAGATGCTTTCAGTATCGACTAATCTGTTTCCGCTGTACTGGCAAATCCTTGCAAAACGAGAGATATGCACGTTCGGTGAACATGAGTTGAAGTCGACGTTTGAGGCCAACATCATGTCTCGGGCTCATGCCAAGCCTCGACTTGACAGAAGCGGCTCTGCTCTACGCCGCTTTAGCGAAATCACGTACGAGATCTGGGACAACAGCCTTTCTTACTATCGGATTCGAGTCCTCTCTCACGTCCGCAGAATCCTTCGATTCATGACATGTCCTTCAAGAATGAATGAATCTCAGCTTTGCAAATGGCAGGACAATCTGAGCTTCAACTACATCCCTACTGACACTGCGTACAATCCGACATCCCCGCGGCTCTGGCCGGGCTTGTTGCTACTCTCGTTCTTTTCAGACTTGAAGAGCTCTCAGGTTCCATCCACAAGAGTGCATAGCTCATCTGTGTTATGGCAGCACACAGAACGCAAAGCAAGAACGACAATAATCCACGGACAGCCTGATCGGTATCAGACAATGTTTTCTGACAATGATGGGACAAGGCCTGTAGGTTTCCACTGGTTTTAGAATCATGACTTGAGACAACGGTGGAGTCTCTACACCATCGGTACCTCCTATTAGTGTCTTCATCTTTCTTTTGAATCCGCGCAAATGGTGTTTGTGTCTAGCATTTCGGATTTGGGGGCATCATGCTGATCACGAGGGAGTCAAGTCATCGATGGCGTGTACGGCAGCGTTTGAGAATCGGCCATCACCAAAGAATGACCAAGGAATCGTCGAGCTTTCTCCATCAGTTGCCATATCTGATGCAATTCATTCCTGGAAGGCCGCACATTGATGCGAAGTTGAGAACAGCCGTTCAGCCAAAGTATCCTAAGAGGGAGATTGAGTAGGCGCGCGGGCCTGGACACTGGCAAAATGTGCCTGTACGCCTCGTCAATTTCCCTAGGAGCCCTGCCCTGGACCTCGGGAACAGCTGCCTCGCCGCGAGGACTGGAAGTTGGATTGCAATACTTGCATTGGTGGGTTGGTCAGAGTGGTGTTCTTGCAGAGGTCAAATCCCCAACAATGAAAAAGCCCTTGTGCGCGAAAAGCGAATCGCTTACAACGGGACAACACAATGTCGGCATGTACCCCACCGGCCGCCTCTGGTATGGTCCGAGTGCGAAAACAAGCAGGCAACATTCCAGCCCTTGTACCATTTCCAAATCCGGTGACCAAGGAGAGAGGGCATGCTGCCGTTTGCGGATCAAGCCTTGATGTCGAGACTGCATTGTCTTGATGCGTATTTCAAGCCTCCTGCCACAGCGCCGTTCAATGGCAGGTTGTATTTCCTCATCGGAAAATAACAAAGTCGTCGAACCAAAGGGTGAAGATTTGACTTTTGAGCCAAAGAAAATGCCGCCGGTTGATAGCAAAACCCAGGAGCCTCCTATCAAACATGATTACAGGCGTCCAGACCTTCAATACACACATGTCAGACGGGCTCAGTATTTTGAAAGGAACCGTCGCCCCCCAGGTACAGCAGACGACTGTCGATGCCTCGCGAGAAATTGCAAGACGGAAGGTGAATGCGAGTATAGGGCCAACGAAATCCACTCCAGAACGTGCAAGAACGACACTGTGCTGTGCTGGGCATGCGGCTGGACGCGACTCTATCAAATGTCGTCGTACTCGCCACGACTTAATGTCATGCATGTCCGCCAGAACATCGGCTGGTGGGATCTCGGATCGCATTGGGTGTTGCGCGACTACCCTGACGACGACACAGCGGGCAATGAGTATATGACCCACGTGTATCTACGTGAGCAACTGGGCGACAAAATTCCCCTGGTAAAGGAGATGCACCTGTTCCCAGCGGGTTCGGTAAACTTCACCGTAGAGTCGCGAGCCCAGGGGAAGCAGCTGATGGAGGTCTGGGAGAGCCTCTCACCCCAACAGATCGCCAACTACCAGGATCAAATGGTAGACATCCTCAAGCACATGCGGCAGCTGACGGCACCACGGCCACAAAAGGTCAACGGCGACAGGCTGGGGAACTGTCTCACCGGCATAACCATGAAGGGGCATGCCCCTTGGTGCTTGGACATCGGGTATACCAACGAAGAGTGGATGGAGATTCTTGCCGGAGACATCCGCTACAACCTCGCCCGGAAGCTGAAGATTGATGACCCCAAGGTGCTCGAGGAGAAGTTCCAAGAAATCAAAGACAGTGTGCCGGACGGAGCACCCTACGTCATGACGCACGCGGATCTGAATCTCACCAATATCATTGTCAAGGATGACAAGATCGAAGCCATCATCGACTGGGAGATGGCTGGATTCTACCCGTGGTGGGCAGAAGTATTCAGAGTCGGCAGATCCTACCCCCCCGCGGAAGAGTTCTTCAACGGTGTCTTCGAGAGAGTCGACCCCAAGTTGAGAGAGGATTACTGGGTACCCAAGGTCTTCGGCTGGAAGTTCTTCCAGACCATGGGTTATTACCACCACGCAGATCACGAACCCTCCGACCCGGACGCACACACCGGCGGCTACTTTCGCGGTCCCTTCTGCAAATGCCACCCGGACCCGGGATGGATAGACCCTGTGGCAGTCGGAGTCAAGTTCAAGCATATTGCGTGGGATTGGAGGAAGCTTATGAAGAAGACCAGTGAAGAAGGAAACTGAACTCACAGTAAAACCAAACCGTCAAAGTTGCCCTTTTCTGAACCTTGGTCGGCCACGGGATACGGTCCCTGCATTTGGTCCCTGGAAACAACGGAAATCCTCGGCACGACGCAGGCATAAGGCGTTCTGGAGTAGGTCGGAACCAGTTTTTGGAATTTCTCATTTTCGACACTGTCACTCTTTGCTAGCAATACAAGACATGACGATTTCCCACACCTGCTCGGCACTCAGCCCCCAGTTGTGTTTCTTCTCTCTCACGACTCACGGGCCCTCCTTGGCCTCCCGACATCCGGCACCTTGATGTCCACGTTCAGCTGCTTTGCGAGTTCAAGAACCGAAGGCCTCAGGCCATGTCACGAGCAACGCATCCCAACTCTGGAAGCCGTGACACCGCTCTCGTCCAAGTGGTCCATTTTGTTCAGACCTTGGCGTAGCATGTGAACTCTGGAAGAAGTTAGGTTCAGGGCCATTGTGACAAAAGGGTCGGAACAAAAACACCAAATAAAAAGGGCAGCGGGGTGTACTCACTGGAAACCACATCTCCTTTCTTAACCCACTCTCTCAACTTCCCTTCCAACCGTTCCTGGGTGCCTCTGGTCGCTCTTTCGGCGCGAAATGTTTCCTCGGCGCATTTTTGGACTTCTTGTTCGCGAGGTCTTGTGAAAATCTTGATTTCTGGCGGCGTCTCGCAATGGAGAAGAATGTTGTAACCCCCGGTAGCGATATGCACGAGGCCCTCCCCAACACTCTTCACCAAGAGGAACTCCAAGGCGTCTTGACACACGAGTGACAATTGTTGGTCGGATGCCGATATGCCAGTAGATGTCGAGCTCCTGTGAATCACAGTGTTCTTAGAGAGGTCCCTGGTTGGCATAGTCGGGCCGTCACAGTTGCAGCATGATTTGCTTGTCGAGGCGTTGGTGGTACCGCACAACACACAGATATTGGGGTGCGCTGGCGCTATTTTTTGCTGTAGATGCGTTCGAGGAGATTTGTGCGATTGATGAACAGGAGGGAGATGTCCGTGGCAGAGGGATACTCGGTGCTGCTGGCGAATAGGGTTAGAGATGGAGAGAGCGTCAGGCGACGACCTTTTATCCTGCGTGGACACGTATTTAGCACTGCCTTCCGAGACAACGGTGGCCTGTGAAGAGAGACTCTCTGGCCCCTGTTTGATTCACTATGTTTGCCACCTTCTGCAAGGACAAAGTAGACAAGCAGCATAATACCCGGCAGCAAACCCATGGCTGGCGAAGAAGAAAGCCCCCGTAGAAGTATTACACAAGGCACGAGGTAAAGGAACAGAAGGGAGAAGGCAGAAGGGACAAGCAATTGCATGATTGCTCCGAGACAAACACAGCCAAGATGTCTTGAAGGAAAAGATTGCTGCCGGGCTGGGGACCCAAACCCGAACTTTGAGCCTCTGACAATCAAACGAGAACAAAGCAACACACCGATTGACCGGCCGGACATTGTATCGGTTGTGTCCGAGGTCGCACGAAATTATCCACGGTCTAGGTCTTCGCCGCCGAAAATGAAAGAGTGCTAGCAATCTGGCAGGCTTTGCCATCCGTGCGAGACAATCTCAGGGAATCGCGAGGCGATGATTCTGGAAAAAAAAAAACGAAACCGATTCGTGAGAATGAACTCACCCGACGGAGTTGCATCCCATTGGCTCACATCCCGTACAATCGTAGGTCATCCATGCGGATCTTTCCTTCGAAAACGGTGAGGACAATGTGTGAAGGCGAAGAGTTGAGCAACAAACTGCATCAAAAGCCCCGTGTTCTGGCGGCTCATGTCAATGGTCAGTCCCGGGTCAGGCTCGGCACACGCGCGCACACAAACCCCCCATGGAACGTTGGTTTGCGAGGACCTCAGATACCAGACAAGTACCCAGACTCGATGGACTTCGGACCAGGAGCGAAGTCAAAGTCGGGCTCACCTTGAAAGGGTCGGTCAACTGGAGCCGTGACAACCCTTGACTTGGCGATCAGGCTCCGACAATATAGTAGAGACTCGTACAATTCGAGTAGTTTGAACCGCGGGGGGGTGTTTTTTTTGTGGCCACAGGTTCATCAGTTTCGTTCGGTCCCAGAGCCTAGGTGGCCTTTGTTACCCGTCGTACGCAGAGACTGAGACGATGGGACCTCGGAAGGAACACATCATGACCAGATCAGCTCAAACAAGTCCACTCTTCCTACCTTATATACGTTCTGTTGGGACGAAATGGACAAATATGCTCCGTCCGAATGTGGGAGTGGCTAGTGGCACGCATGGGAGAGTCTCGCGCGCGGACACCGGTCCAAGTCCCTCGCCAGAGGTATCTTCCTGCCACCATCAGTACCAGTATCAGGACGTACGCATCGGGCGGGTGTGATAGTTGTCGCTGTATGTTGATCCGCTTTTGACTTGCGGGTTGTCGTTCATGCCGCGATTGCTCTTGGAGAGGGTGATGGAACAGCATGTCTGTGGAGGGTACTCTGTACGTCGGACCCCATATAGTTGTAGGATGCCATGGGCAATGTCGATGAAACAAAGCCATGGAAGACCGCACACGAACTACTCTGGAGAAAGGATGAAATGGTAAGACGCAGGACTGTAGTATGAACAGGCGTCGAGGCCGAGACCCGCGCTAACTATGTTGATGTTGTACAGTACGTACAATAGGTCGCTAACTTAACTGAGTTAGTTAGTTAGTGCTTTGGCGGGCGCCCGCCGGGGGGCCCTCGAGAAAGGGGGGGAGGCTTGGCGCGAGCCGAACCTTGAAAACCACCAGACAACTTCGAAATGTGTGTAAAGTAGGTACCTACATGGAGTACAACATGTACAGAACGCCAACCAAAAGTACCTGTAGCCAAAGTTTTAGCCCATGCTGCTTCAGGTACAGTAGGGTGAGCGTTGTAACGCATACCTGGGTTGTTAAAGCACACACATGCCCAGGTCCTCTTCCTTCCTATATGTAATCTAGGGCCTTTCAGGGCTATCCACCACCACCACCATCATCAGCCCTCACGTCTTGAGCACGGTCGAATAGAATCCAGGGCTCTATTGCACAAGAACGGGTGGTGGCTGTCTTTGCGGTGTTATCTGTCGAAATATTGTCTCAGCCTAACTAGGGTGGTTTTGCCTACTACCGTAGTAGTTACGTAGAGTACCGAGCGTGTGCGTATTAACGTGACCAGGTAAACAAGTGCCTGGTGCTTCTCTTCACGACCGAGAGCCGCCACATTACTGTAAGTAGTTTATGTGGACACAGGAGCTCGAGGAGGGGGGCTGTACAAGAACTTCGTCTCCTTGGTAGGGCCGTTATCTGTAATTATCCATTTTTTCTTCTTTCTCTTCTTCTCGGCCTGTCGTAAAGGTGACCTCACCTCTTCTTGATGTATACGTATATTAAAAACAACACCCGGGCCCCTTCCAGTTCAAAGGCACCGCTGCATGGCCGAAGCGCTCCATCTTCATCAACCTGGAGTACAACGCCTCTGCGTTTTCCTTGTTCCCCTGGGCGACGATCAACATGCTCCTCCTGAGGTGTGGCATGTCCTCGATGGCCTCCTGGACACATTGGACCAACCACTTCCCAAGTCCCTGGCCGCGCCATTCCGACGAGACGTAGACGTCGGTGAGGTAAAAGAAGGTGACGCCGTCGGTGATTCCTCGAGCGAATCCAATCAGCGGTGATGCCGCTGATGATGGTGATGAGGAAGAGGAAGAGCTTCCACTGGAACCACCACCAACATGAGACGGTGCCGTCGTGAGTCGCTGACGCCGACGCTGATGTTGACGTACCCTCTCGGCGATTTCATGGAGTGGTGTACTCGCCGGGTCTGGAGGTGCGGTACCGTCACTGGCTGACGATGGTGATACGGGAGGCGACGGCGGCGACGGCGTGGGCGGATACAAACCAAAACACAACGACCTGTCGACCATGGTCCGCATGTCTGCCTCGGGGAGGGATTTGGCCCAGTACATGTCCTCTGAGTCGAAGGCGCGTTGGAGCGTGGGGATGTCGATGAGAGACGGGTCCGTCGAGATCAAAAACCCATCCCGAGTCCACGTCCTGTGTCGGGGTTTGGTGTGAGGTGTGGCGGTGGATGATAGAGACATGTCGTCGTATTCTATGTGTGTCGGTCCGTCTGTCTGTCCCGGGATTGGGTGGGGGGGGGGCGCCTCGAAACCAGTTCCTTCGAGTTTTTGAAAAAAAACAAAAAAAAAAACACCTCTCTTTATAGGTATGTGTCTGAGGTAAGTAACTCGCTCATCGGTCATAAACCACGGTCACATACGGGCGCGAGCGCGAGTACCTCTTTGTCATTTATGACTCTTTTCTCCCTTCTTACCTTTCCTGTACGAGTAAAAAAGAGCCGTTTAAAAGTTAGTATTGGCAGCTATTATCAGTATTTCCACCAACCAAAAAACTTTGGGGGGGTCCAATATGAAAGGCAAGATACGAATACGAGAGAACCACACACGACACTACACTACACTACGCTGTCCACGCTGGACTGGATGTCGTCCGTCACCACTTTGTCTGTCGTCGTGTTCCTCGTCCCAAATGAGTCTACTGCGAGTCCAGGGCACACTCCTTCACTAATACTGACGGTAGCCGCCGTTACCATTCAACAATGGGGCATATCATCGGGTGATAACAGTATCGCACGGTAGTTCTGACTCAAGGTATGGAGATTTGATCTCTTCAGGACTGTAGTACTACATTTCTCACCAGCTGTAGTAAACATTCATCTTGCTACATAAACAAACAAACAGACGGCCCGACAATTATGGTTGTTGCGTCGTGCGGTGTGGTGATGGTGAGGGTACTGGTACAGGTATATTAATATTAATTAGACAACACCACCACCTATACCGGTTAGGTTCATGCCCACCAGAATCATCATTTTCATAAACGCTCAGACGCAATCAGAAATTGAAAATGGAAAACCAATTCACAGCTCCAACTCTGGCAACGGCAATGACAATGGCACAAACTTCTTCCCAGCAGGACCAAAATACTTTGCAAAGAGACCCACCAGGTCGTCGTCGACCAACTGCATGTGGTCTCCCTCCAGACCGATAAAGTCCAATCCACCCTTCTCGTCCAGCTTCTTCAACCCGATCCAGTCCTCCTTGTAGATGGGTCTGTCCCTCAACTCGGTCACGGCGTTGCTCGTCAAATTGACCTCGGCGAACCACCCTGTCTCCTTGGGGATGACCGTCCGGTCGCCGTTGAACAGGATCATGACAAACTTTTCCAGCGCGGCCAGGTTCTCCGCGTACGTGGCGTTCTTCTCCTCGCGCTCATTGTTGATGTCGGCAAGAAAGTTGGAGTGCTCGAGATAGTTCTCGTAGTCGTTCGTGTCGCGGTAGTACTGCGCCGGCACGAGCCGGGACTGCACGAAGTCCGACCACACCGTGCCGCTCTTCAGGAGCGAGTTGGCGATGTGGCACATCCAGTCCCCGGAGCTGGCGCATTTCTGGAACTCGGCGATGCCGTTGTGCTGGCTGCCGAACGTGAGGAGTGACCTCACCTTGGGGGCCCAGCCGCCGCAGCGCTCGACGTATCCTCTCAAGAACTGACCTCCCTGGCTGAATCCGATCGCGTCGATCGCGGGCGCCGTCGCCAGGATCTTGTCTCCGGCCAGCGCGTGGCAGACGAAGTCGAGCTCTTCGGTGACGTTGCCGAAAAACGACGCTTGTCGGTCTTCCGAACCTGCCGCGCCCGTGGCGGAAATGAGGTATGTGTACGTCCCGGGATGGACCTGTTCAACCAGGGTGGCGATCTCTTTCAGTCCCTCTGCGTCTGCCGAATCGCCCAGGCCGTGCCAGATCACCACGGGCAGAGGAGTGTCGTCGGTTTCTTCGCCAACAGGCTTCGCAGGAAATGCGCCAAATTGTGGACCGACTCTGGTGAGTGTAACAACTTGTGTCTTGGGAGACTCTTTGGCGACTTCCGGGGTGATGGCGAGTTGAGGAGAGAGTGGGATCTTGTTATCGTCGGGCAGGACTTGCAGGAAGTCCTCGGCTGTTGATGGTGGCCAAGCGAAGGACAAGGCTGCAGCGGGGAGAGCCAGAAGGGTGGTTATCGACTGGAGCTGCATGATTGTAATCGCGAGCAGTATGCAGTGCGCACACGGCAGGTTATAGAGATGTGTCGTCTGCGGTCCCCAGGTCCAAGAGGGTAAGATGAATGTATAGCATGTGGGAGGTTGAGGTTAAAATGTAGTGGCTGCGGAGGACATCGTAGCCAGCCCGGGATTTGCATCGGGATGGAGCTCGAGAAAACCCATTTGTCTGACAAAAGAGATTCTCTCGATGTCAGTGGGAAATTCACGTGTCGGTCGGGGTAGTACTTCAAATGTGACCGTCTGACTGATGCCTATTCTTTTTCCTGCTGACTGCACCCACGGCGGCTGGTGACACACCGCACTGTCGTCTCAGTGGAGGTATGGCATGCGAGTCAGTGCGAGGTATTACTTCCTAGGTACTTATACTCGTGGCCTCAAGAAAGACGAGGCTGCATAGTACTCTTGAATACCACTATCAGCAAATCATATACTACAGAATGTACTCAATCCCTCCAACTGCAACAGTAAATGCTAGAATTCAACCACTGCGCCTTGAAGCTTCCCTAGTCATGACCAACAGCCTAGTATATACCGCGGGAGTCTTGAGACGTGTTTCATTTCGATCTTCATCACACGTTATAATCATTGCGAGCAGACACCTAATCACGTCTGAACAGTTGCACGACTATGAAGACCAGTTAGCATGGCAGTCCGTCACTCGAGGGGTCATGTCTTCCCGTCTGACTTACCAGTAAATGCATCTTACATTGGTTTCTGGGGAGTTCGCCACCCACTGATCAAAGCAATCAACGTGAGCAGAGTTTCGACAAGTCGCACAGCGCCAACTGTCACTGCTTCGATTCATCGTTTGCAGGCAGATGCCACATTCATTCGCAGACGTGGAATTTCCTGCTGGGGCAGTAGGAGACAAATTTCGGACTGGTGGTGATGGAGACACTGATCGTCTCCGTCGATGTGTGCGTACTGAGTCTTGTGTGGATGTTCTCGAGGATCGACTTGGACGAGAAGTGGATGATCTTGGGCTGGGCACGGGCTCGTCCTCGTCGGTGTCGCCATCGTCGTCACTGTCACTTTCAGAGGCATCGTCGTCACTTTCACTTTCGGAATGATCGTCATCGCTTTCGGTTTCTGAATCATCGTCGTCACTTTCAGAGGCCAGCCTTCGCAGATAGGGGGAGTCGCGATCAGCGCCGGTGGCTTCATAATGCTCATCCAACAGCTCTTCAATAGCCGTGAGGACCCTTCTCGACCTCCTTGTGCTGAGGCGGTCGGAAAGTTCAGCGAGCAAGTCTTTGGTTCGACATGAGTCGAGCACTTCTGTGGTGCTCAATTCGCGACGTCTCCCACCAGTGCTAGTGCTGCGTTGAGAACCTCTCCCGTGGTGAGAGTTTTGATTTCTTCTGGTCTCGATAGGAGCTTGTTCTAGGATGTCTTTCCATGCCTCGGCTTTTTCCGCGGCTTGATACTGATGCCATCTTTTGCAGTGTAGGAGGCCGGCGACTTTTTCCAACTCTCCGATCAAACGGTTTGGAGAGCGCCCATCGCTCATTTTGCGGACGATATCTTCTAGTCCAGCCATGGCTGCAGAACGTGAACTTTGAGCCACTTGGTTGCCACATGTAGGTTTGCGTTGGCCATACCCGATGCAGGTTGCCTGTTCAAGAGGGTCTCTGATGCCCAGTTGTCGGCAGAGGCTGGAGGTAGTGATCATGATGGGAAAAAGACTGAGTGTATCACCAGTGAGAATGGAAATAATCAAGACGGGTGTCTGCCGATGCTGGAATACGAGAGTTCTTTGATGGCAGAACAGAGCTGAACCTTTTTTATATTTGTACCAGCGTCCAACATCAACCTGGTGTTCTGCAGCTGCAATGACGCCAACCGTACTGAGGGTGGTCCGAAGCGCCAAATCTGCAGAGGCCAGGCATACACAGCCACGGGGGCTTGTGACCTGGCGTTCATTGTGCTTGGTTGCTTATCAGCGGATGATCGGCTCCTGTGTATGCAAGCTCCGCCACATTGCGACGCGACTCCTATAGGGCAGCTGGCCATTTCAAGGTCCTTTTGCAGCTTAAGCGGCCTCTCATGCTGTGGCTTCGACGGAAGTAAGCCTTGTTCAGTTAGAAGAAGCATGTAGGTGCATCGCAGCCAGACGAAGGGGCATCCTCATCCGTTCTGCCGCGATAGGCTTGTGGCTTGGCCCAACACCCACTATCGGGGGCGATCACAGAGGTCTTTGCAGTAGTTGGACCATGGCATGTGCTCAATGAGAACCATTTTCTATTCTTCAGACGTAGTGCGTATGAGGAAAGCGATAGTTCCGAACGAACGATGCAGGCTTCCCAGAAAGGGAGTGTATAGTCAGCTGTATGAAGAACCAGACACTTGAAGTGCAAGTGCAACAACCGAAGTAGACCAACGAAGTAGACCGTAGGACACCCCGTGGATCTCTGCATGGCCTGCGGATTGTTTGGTGAGGGATGAGCGGCTTCGGGTACCTTCGACAGCTAGCCAAGCACATTCGAGCTCACCCCAACCTCATCCTGGCCAAAGTAGTGTGGTGCATCCACTCTACCAGAGCCCTGGCCGGCGGCTGTGGTACAGATTGCGCAACTCACTAATTCTCCTAGTCCTCGCTCTCGGGAGGGTCGTTGCCGCCAGGTGCTGTGAACATGAGACATTGAGCGTCTGAACCGTCGTTTCTCACCGACACATCTTGACGCAGGGAGGGCGGCCAAAAAAAGCCCTGCTCGCTCACCCACTTCTAATGGCTCAAAATCCCTCACTGTACGGATACAGCAGAGCCTGCAACATCGCACGGCAAGCAGAAGTGTAGACGATAAAGATAGCAAAGGATGATGCGCAAGGATCGCCAGGCGAAAGGACACAAAGCAGCGCTACCCCGGGTCTTGGCAGGCACAATTCGCTTGGCCTCGTCATCAGAAGCTGGAGGGACATATTACAAGGCAGCCCAACGTGCCTTGCGAAACTTGAGCAGGGGAAAATCCAGAGGAATATGTAACATGAGCAAATTGACAAAAGATTGTAGCATGATTACTACATTATTTTAATATAGGTATTAGTGTAGCGCGAGGGTGCCGGTGCAATTCTACAGTGACGCATCAGGAATGCCACTAACGCCAGCCGTAGGGATATCGCATCTAAACACAACAGCCTGCCTTTTTAGTTCTTGAACGCCTCGTATCTCATGAACGTCGTCGAGCCAGGGCCAAACCCTTATCCGAACAAGCCCAGCCCGTCTTCCTCGGCCACCAATACGCGTGCCTTCTTCAGATCTTGCGTCCATTTTCTGGTGACATGTAGCCACATCTGCCGTTCATCTGACCGTTTTTCATCAACGTAAGCTTCAAGGGTCGGCTTAGTCTGCCACTCTTCCCATGGTCTGCCGTCCCGAACCAACATCTCACCAGTCAGATGCGGAAACTCAGCCCTGGCCTGGGCAATGGCCTCTCTGTCCGCCTTCATACGCACATTCTCAAGTTGACAAGGTGGACAGGGGTGATCTTGATGAGGCAGGTGTGTCGGGAGACCCATATAGTGAGGTGGCGGATAGTGGCCTGATGATGCGCAAGAGAAAGAGAAGCTCTTGAACGAAGATGAGTTTGTTCGAGAAAACATTCGTCCAAAGGCAGCGCACTCGGCCGGCTGACGGGCAACGCCAGGAAGAGGAGCCATGACCTTGGAGCTGGTCCTCGATATGGGTGAACTTGGCGGAGAAGGCCCTGATGAATTGGAATCTAAGCTTCCAAGAGTCGAGGAGCAACCATCCCGGGGAGATGCCGGTGGAACCGACCTGGCGGACATCTTGTTTTGGCAGTTGTAGCATTTGTATGGCTGTTGCGGCAGCTTGAGGCCAGTCGTCTTCAGTATTGGACAGGGTCCGACGTTGCACACCTCGAGCCCCATGAGAATGCCATGTCCACAGCAGAACCGTAGAATGTGTGCCTTGCACATTGTGTAACGAATACCGGCGCGTCACCGTATCAGAGTAGTCGTCGAGTGGAGAGTGGAGAGCCAAGTAGAGAGAGGGTGTCCTCCTGGTGCTGTACCTATAGAGACATTCCTAGCAGAGCAGTATGCGCCATTCGGTAAGCTCGTTTGTAGCAGCGGTTTCTTCAGCAGCAAAGCGGAGTGTTCATGTGTCGACGCACAGAGGACCTCCGTGTCGTGTCCAGCACCAGAACGTATACGAAGAGATCAGAGTTTTGGAAGTTTGCGTCGTTACGGAGAGCGTGAGAAGGAGAGGCTCGAGGGCGGGAGGTGAGGCTACGCTGCCATGGAGAATATCGATCGAGGAGAGTTGTGCGATTGATGAACAGGAAGGATATGTCCGTGGCAGAGGGATACCTGGTGCTGTTGGCGAAAAGGGCAACTCGGGGGTATCCTGGCCTTCAACCGTTGAGAGCGAGATTGAGTCGAGCGAAGGGAACCAGCCAGAGGCAATGTTTATGCATAAGAACGAACGGCTCGAGCGGGTGGAAAACTGGGTCGAGGGGAGCGGCGAGGTTTTAGGTGCGGCTACTAATGGTGGAAAGCATGGTAGGTTTCAGAGGTCGCAACAGGAAAAAGAATGCATTGTTCGATCTTAGCCCCGAACACTAGAAAACAGGATAGCGAACGACGGGATGGAAAGGCAGAGCAGCAACACGGTCGAGAGAAGGAGAGACCGATCATGACGAGTATTTTCGAACCCGATGCATGCAGGGACAAGAAGCGAGAAATTCTACGAGTACGAGGGTGGGATGCGCGAGGGAGGAGAGAGGGAGGGGCAGCGACGAGGGTGGGATTTGCGCAGGACAGACACCTCGCTTGCCGCGTCCCTCGTCATCCTCTCTCACTCCTCTCGCCGTCTCTCCCCCCAAACTAATAAGTTAATTTTGCGCATGGAGCATGGACTCCCACTTCCTGAGCTAGGCTTCGTTGAGGCGCCCGCGCATCTCCAGCGAACTGTGGTTCATCGGGATGGCGACTGTCAACCCAAACCTTAGACGCTGCCCTGCCCATCCGCCTCTCTTCATGTCCACTCCTGGTTCATAAACAATCGACACGCTTTTGTTTGTCTCCTGGGGAACTGTCACTATGGCCAATATAATACACACCCTCTCACCACTGCGACCTCGAGCTGATTGACGAAATCAAGCCCCTGCAGATGTCGTACTTGCACTAGGCTGTACACCCCGAAGTCCGCAAGTCCCACTCCTGTGCCTTGAAATTGCAACATCGAGGGACCGGTGGTCACGACTTCATCGCGGGTGAAAGGATTTCCTTGCAGCTCATGCAAGCCTTCGGAGGGGACAGTACACGCTGAGATCCGATCACACTCTTACTGCAACAGGTGGAAGTCAGCAACCATCTTCCCACGCGGCCAATAATATATCGACAGGTAAATAACCACACGCTGCTGGAAGGGACTGACTCTGCTCCTCAGATTACTGCTCGTATCTCCAAAGAACGAGTAGAATCTTCCATCGTCCGCCGCGTGTTCTCGGACTCTACCGGAGTAAGCGAGGCCGAGCTGTCATCCATCCCTGCTACGGTTTATTCCACCAGTGCCATGCATGGGCACATGTTTCCCCAGAAATGCCATGCCCGACATCCCACGAATGCTGAATCAGAGTTGACATAATTGGTGAGGTCACGTCTGCATCCCTCGTCAGGCCACCGTCGAATGCGAGGAGTAGTAGCCGAAGAGCATCGGATGACGAGGGTTTGGCAGACCAGGAGCAAGATGGCTGTGCTGATACCCAACTCTGCGATCACTCGTATCTCCATGGCAGTCGCTGATCTCCAAAATTGAATGAACTGCCAAAAGCCCTCGAGTGGGGGTGTATGTATGGACGACAGTACTTGCCCTTTGCAAGGGCTGTCTTCAATTGGCCCCCATCAAAGAAGCGACGCCACCACGTGAAGAGATAACTACCCGGTACGCTATAAGTAGAGTTCGGCGAAGCTTCCGTGCTACTCCGTCCACCCCAAGTGTATAGTACAATAGGCCACCACTCATGACGTCCGGATCAAAGGGACTCGCTTGAGAATGAAGACAAACGAACGGCGACCATAAGGAGAGGTCATAACTCTATGACTTGGAAATGAGAGAGACGCCCTTAAAGAATGACAACAGACAAGGACGGCCGAAATTCATCTATTGTGAGTACTAATAAGCAAAACTACCGATTCTCCACCATAATCATAAGACTCTAGTCCGTGTTGTAGTACATTTCAATGCTCTTGATCAAGAGAATGTTGTCGCTAGACGGAGGTCCGACTGACCAACCTATATTATCATATCAAGACGATTAGTTGGCGGTAATAACTCTAGACATGGTAAACTACTCACCTTTATTCCCGTTGGCCCAGTTGTTCCAGACCCAAGGTCCTGACTCGCTTGGGACATTGGTCGTGAACTTCTTCTGTAACTTGCCGTCAAGATAGAATGCGGTATAGTCCGAGGTCCAATCGATTCGGTATTCGTGGACCGCTGTTGTACAGTCTAAAGGCGAAGTTCCAGTGGCCTGAGTCTCCGGTTCGTCTTCCGGGTCCACAGCCTGATTGGTATAGTGCATAGGAATTCGTTTACCGGGTCCATTGTTTGAGAGAGATGACGGATCTGTTAAATATTCAATGTCGATCTCCTGAGTATCGGACCGATAAAAGAAAAACCCTATACGTGTTGTCAGTCAGCGTACCTTCGCCGGGTCCCAAGAGATTAAAGCTGCTAACCATGACAAGTCCCCGGCACTTTGCTGAGTATAGCTCTTGTCCGAACACTACCATGTAAAATATTCTCTTTCACGGTTGTGACTTCAGCGCTGCTCAGCGCCCAACCATTGTGTTTGTTGGGCCTTTGATGTCCCGGCACAGTCAACGCTAGCATTCCATCCATGATATGTACATTTGCAGGGTCGAATTTGGGGTTGTACGGAACTTCAGGAGATGGGCCACTCCCCCTCTGGTGATTGCTATAGTTGCTGATCTGGAGTCCGTCTGGGAAACCATTGCCGAAAGTAAACGATGCCCGATTGTCAAAGATGCCTGCTTCAGGGACAAGCCATTGGTTACCGACTTGCACAACATTTGAAGTCTGGATTGGAGCCGAAGTGTTAGTAGTAGCCACGGACTTTGTGCTTGAGGAGGACGATGTCCTTGATGAGGATGCTGTGCCTGGGATTGTTGGTGAAAACGATGCTCTGTCGGGGACACTGGTACTTCGGGACGCGGACGTAGGCGAAACACCAGAAGCTGGGGACGCACTTGGTGAACTCAACGGATAGGGCGAGATAGTAGTGGTGGGATATACAACGACTGATGTTGATGAGGTGTTTGTGATGGATGGGGCTGAAGGGGTCGTGGTGAGTGGAGCTGGAGATTGGGTAGATCTTGGAAAGCTTGAAATGCCCGGAACGGTAGAATATCCAAAAGGAGGTGGTGGGTAGAACAAGTACGACCAAGGGGGACCGACTATGTAACCTTTCCGCACTTCCCGGGGCTCTCCAGGCTCGATTCCTGGACCATCGCGCTCTGAAAGACGGTTAGCCGAGGTCACCACCGCGAGGTTTCCAATGTGGTCACAACTAAACGCGTTGACGGCGATGAGATTCGAGAGGACCAGAATCATGAATGCCAATGGTGCTAGGTGTAGAGAGGAAAGGATGTTTATTGCTTTGATATATGTCGATATAGTAGATATCGGCACGGTTTCTTCTGTGCGAGGACAATAGGTTGATCGAGTGCTGGTTTCAGATATGAATGATAGGCTGGGAGAATAGATGCCGTCCTTACCGACATCTGGGAGTGGTACTGGCAGTGGCGGCGGTTGTTGTAGATCCTCGCCGGTGGTTGGTTCTCGAAAGCAGCCGCCGCAGAGCTCTTTGATGCGCTCTCTGAAGGGCATTGCGAAGGTATGGCGGTTACGGTGACGGTGACGGCGATGATGAGGATGAGGGTAATGTGAAAAGAGTATCTCCTGCGCAAAGTTAGCATCTGTCATGTCGGCGAGCTCAACAAGACGCCTAACAATGCTCTAGGGCGCGGCTTGCCGCGTTCGTTCACCCTCTACCCTCTCTGGGGTGAATGTCGTGTTGGAGGGTTCCGCAGCGTAATGGATGCGTCGTAAGGGTATGGTTGAGGATAGGATTGGGCCAGGGAGGAGTTTGAGGTATTAGTAGCAGAGACACAGATTGAAGTTCCTGCTGTCTTGCGTAATGACTGCGCTGGCAAATCTTTGGTTCTGCCCGCCACTGGCCAGCAGTCGCAATGCGTCAAACGTCTGAGATGCCAGACCAAATCCTCACACCTGCCATTTCACCTCGTAGCCAAATACTGTTCTCCGCAGGGCCTCGTCACCGGGGTCGTTCTCGAACATAACCCTCTCCATGGTGTGCTCCAAGATCTTATTGACCACGAATCCATCCTTACGCGCAATCTCAAAGAAATCCAAATCTTTCTCCAGAAGCCAGGGGCGATAGGGAGTGAAGAACACCAGAGCCACCGAGTCACGGCCGTATCTCAAGCACTCACGCAGAGTTACCAACAGTTTCTTATGCTCCGAGTGGTTGAAGAGGATATCGGCGAGGATCAGGACATCGAAACCACCACGGTCACGCTCCAAGTGAAATTTGAGTGATTCAGCAGAGCTCCCCCAGAGGAAACCTTGTGCTGTGATGCGCGACTTGTCAGCGAGGACTGAACAGTGCTCGATGTTGTACTGCAAATTATCAATCAAATCTTGATCTGGGTAATCTGTCACAACAACTTTCTCAGCCCCTAGAATGGCCGACACCAGACTTGGAAGTCCTGCTCCAGCACCCAATTCTAAGAACGTCTTCCCCTGAACCATGGAACTCGAGTTGTCTTCCAGATACCGGGCAACTACCTGACCGGCGTTCCATAGCAGATGACCCTTGAATGGAGTTAGCCACGCACAGACTGTCACATACTAGCAAAGTTATCACACCCAAAGCGGACTATGTCCTACGAGTCGGAGGTTGATGACCTGCCCAGTCTTCAATGTGTATGTAGTGAAGGTGGCAGGCTTTTCCGGTTGATAAAAATCCTCTGGCTCCTGGAAGATGTCTAGAGAGGCAGCATCATCCTCTCCTTCACTCTGCGACATGATCAGATTTAGGCACACGGGGGGACTTGGAGAAGAAGGCCCTTTGTATCACCAGCTCGAAGTCGACTGCGCATCTCACGGAGGCCAGCACAAGTCGCAGCATCGAGACGTGTTGGAAACAAAGAACAGCCTTGGCGTGTACGAGTCACGTGATGGATGAAATGCGACGAGCGTCGTATATACGAATACGAGTACAGTAAGTAACATACTCGCACAGTGTCTGCAGACCGAGATGGGACGTCGAATAAGTGCTCCATGCCAGGCTAGTGGGCTGACCAGAGCACAGGGCTCTTTGTCTAAGCAGATCGCTTGTCCCTGAAACGGGCACCTTGGACGTTCTCGTACCTCGGCGCGGGATTCTGGGAGCTGCAATCTCAGGCGTCGAAGCTGTGGTACTGTAACGTCATATACTGCCTGAGTTATCAGACCATCCTCGCTATGAGCTCGGGGTACCTCACCCCGAGGCAGAAACTGCACGCAGAACAAAGTACCTTGTACCTTGTACCGGGAAATTATCGGCGTTGTCATGCCTTTGTTTCCGCATCTGCCCGGGAGCGTCTTCGGCTTCAACTTCTGCTCCTCCAACTGCCGCGAATTTCCCACTAGAGCCGCAGCGCAGTCTTTGTCGCCTCTGGGAAAAAAGTGCTCGTACTACTGACTACAACACATTCTTCAGCCGTGGACTGATTATCTACGCCATTGTCTTTGCTTTCCCTTTTAACCGTCCGTCCTTCAAGCACTGACTCTCTCCCTCCCAGAGTCACCATTGTCCATTGCTCCCGACAGACATCGGCCAACCACAGCCGGCCCCGCACGTTCTCTCCAGGCGTCAGAACATCCCATCTTCGGCCTCCCCCACGAAATCTTCCATCGGTTCATATCGGCCACCCAGCAATAATCCCACCTCTTCCCCGACAGCCTTTCAATCGCTTGCTTTTGTGGCAGCGTAGACGATACGTGCCTCGGCCATTACCCCCAGTTCCTCCAGAGTCTTGCCAGCAGCACCACTTGGAGAACCGTCCAGGTTTTGACTTCTCTCCTCAAAGACAAGCCTGTCATCCCTCCCACCCCCCCGGCAGTTTCTTTTCTTCCTCCGTATCGCCTGCGCCCCTACACAAGACTCTCGCTCAGACTCGGGTAGAGGATTCCGTGGCCGTTTCTTCGCCGCTGCTGCCTACAACCCGTTCTATCAGCCTTCGCTCTCTAGCCGCGCGCTCGCTCTGACAGAAGATTGCCCGGGTCGAGAAAGGAAAGCCGCCTGCTCAGCGGCTGGGTCTGAAACAATCCAATTCCGAGCGGACGAACCAAACTACACGTGCAAAATGAGCAACTATCCAAGAAGAAGCGCGCGGATATCACATCTCCAAGAGCAACATAGAAACAATCTTCCATCGCCTTCATTTGCACGCGGATTCTCGCAATCTTCAAGCACATCGACAAGTTCGCACCCAAGTCCTGTCAGTGACGGCCTTCAAGCTGCGGAACCGCAGCACCCACACCTATCTCAGCCTCAGCACCAAATGCAGTCGCTCTTCATGCCCCTCCATCAACAACAGCAGCAACCGCACGCACATGCTCCTTTACCTTCGCCATCGACGGCAGAGTTGGAGCCCTTTTTCAGTCGATCGCATTCGCAGTCAAATCCATACGCTTCCCAGCAATCCCACCTCAGCTTTCAGGCTCAGCAACGACAACAATCGTACCAGGTACCGTCGGAGCAGACGGAGCAGCATCAGATGCATCCTCAGCTACATCCACACACCAATTCCATGTCACAGGAGCACCCCATTCATGGACAAGCGCTGAACCCAGGTCAATTGCCGCCGGACTTTCTTGCCGAGGCAGCCAAACGCGCCCAAATTGCCTGTCTCATGAGAGACCTTGGTGACGTCTCGCTCTAGACAGCAGCTGTGGGAACTCATGCACCACCATTCACGATATAACGACCATACACACTAATCGCTTACATACATACACTTTGTTGTTCGCAATTGGCGTCCTCAATCGGGCCATAATTGGAAATACGACAGAAGCCCTTGAGAACTCTGAGAAACAATGGCATCCTCAAGAGTAGATTCTAACTCATGACTTGAGAACCAGGAGACGCCCTTTCGGAATTACAACAAACAAGGATGACCGACATACATTGTCCTTTCCTCGGAGAGGGTATTCTTATCTCAGCTCATATTCATCTCATTCCAGCTTGTGACGACCTTTTTCACCTACTTATTCGGACTCGATTTCACCTTTCTTGCTTACTAGTTATACCCTCCCCACTCCGGTTTATCCGATAAACATGTCAGTATGTCCACTGCTTGGAAAGAAACAACAATTCAAAGCTTGTCCTTGGATCACCCCGTCCTTTCAAACGGATACACAACAATCGGGCACCCTGTCTCTTTTCTTTTTCTTATTTTTGGAGTGTTTCCTTGGGGTATTCATCATTGAGAATGTTTTGGAAAAATCGGCGCATTATCACTTTCTTGATCGAACTGAGAACTGGTTAGCGAGGGCTCCCAGACGATGCATTGCTTGGTGACCATGGAGTATGGCGACGAGTCAGAATATTCATTGGGGGGAGTTATGCTTGTTGGACTTTTCCCTAATAAGGAAGAGCCAAGTTGGGAGGTGAATACTACTTTTTCTCCTCCAAGACAAATTGTTTCGCTTTTTCTTGCTCTCTTGGACCAAAGTGGAATCGGAGTTGGGAATTGGATTTGAAAATCAATCGAACCCGAGGACGATTAGAAGGTTTTGAATCTGCGCAACGCAAAGTGGCATAATGGCACGAGAATAGGACCTGTCCTGAGGTATAGCGCCTATATCTCGATCTTGAATGTAGCGAGGCATTAGCGAATTGAAATCAGAATTTCCCAGTAAGAACAGAAAGAAAAGAGAGCAGGAAAGTGGATAGGTCGTCTTCATTTATCATAATTCTCAAGGGCGTCCCCCTGATCCCCCCAAGTTCATGAGTTGTGACCTCTTCTTGGGGTCGCCGTTGTATGTCGTAATTCTCAAGGGTGTCCCACCCCCGACACCCCCCCCCCCCCACAAGTCGTGTTGATCTATGAGAGACAAGAGAGTCAAGCAGCCTTGAGGTCGATCTATCGTCGTCGTCAACCATCATCGTTCCATTCGTGCTCGAGAAACTCAATGAAACCTTTGACGACGCCCATTCGGCCCTTGACGTACCCCTGTCCGTGGGCAATCCCGCCGCGCTGCATCTGGGTATACTTGCGTCGCAGGCGTTGAAGCACGGGCTGGGACAAGGCCACGCTGGACGGGACGTAGATTGTCGTTTCGTAGGACGTTCCTTCGCCGGCCTTTTCCTTGTCCCCCGAGGAGCCCTCCGAGACAGATTCCGAACCCGAGCCCGAGGTCACGGAGGATCCCACGAGGCGGTCAGCGGCACCGGCGCCAGAAGAAGCAGAAGCAGTAGCAGTGGTGGCCGGAATCACCAGGTTCACCGTACCGCAGCAGTCCGCGTCCGCGACGCCGTCTTCCCTCGCGCGCACGAGAAGGTGCCTGACGACGTCCATGGTCGCATTCTCGAGGACCTGCAGAGCGTCGGAACCCGTTGCCCTGGGAAGTACGGTCGCGGCGTGCCGTCTCACTTCTTCTTGCTTCGGGACCGCTTCGGGAGCGGTGTGCTGCGAGAGCTGCGAGAGCGCCTTCTTGCTCGTGGGCTTTGCGGGAGGAGGGAAGATGGCCGTCCAGATGTCGTGGCTGGGCGGCGCGGTGTCTGCGGAAGGAACCGTGAAGAGAGGTGTGTCCCAGCGCGAAAACGGCGAGGGTGGTTCGTACCGCATCGTCAACGAAGTCAGGGTTGACGATGAATACGGCTGTGAGGACGTCGGGGGAGGCGGGACGATCGTCGTACTTGGTGGCGGAGGACGAGGAGAAGAGTTGTTCGGCTCCAGAGAATTTGTCGTCGTCGTCGTCGTGGCGCCGTTCGTGGTCGTCTGGATTTGCGATCCGCGGTTATGATCCGAGGTCTTGCTTATATACAGGCTCTTGAGAGTCATGGTGTCGTCGACTTGTGGTCGCCGTCGCGGTCGTCGTGCGCCTTCATCATCATCATCGTCGTCGTCGTCGTCGTCGTCAAGCCCACCACCGTCCATACTTGATGACCTCGACCGACTTGCCTTCTCGACGACCCTGTCGCCGTATATTGCAGTGTGACTCTCGGGTACGAGATCGCCCATGACGGTCTCGCCCTGTCGACCGCTTCTTGATGGCCCCTGGGGGGTGTTGTTCTTCTCATCATGCCCAGGTTCGTCCTTGCCCTCGTCGTCTCGGCCCCAGACCCTCAGGCGTTTTCTGTTCCACTTCTTGCAATCATCCTCCTGCGCGGCGACGTGGACCACGCAGCACCGTGTACCCGCCGCTTTCGCCTCGCACCACAGTTGATATCTGTACCCCTTGATGTAATTCAATCCATCTGCAATGACGATGTTGTCCCGCGACACCGCTCTCTTGATCGCCGAGAACTCTGCCGCCCGCGCTGTCTTCTCTTGGGCGGCACTGTTGTATATTTGATCTCTCAAAGGCTCTGTGGATTTGTTGTCTTCTTGGTTGTCGAGAGGGGTGTCTGCGGAAGCGTGGTGAGAAGAAACAATCTGTACGGTCCTCTTTGCAGATGCTGGGTCTGAGGCAATATAATTCTCGAGGTCGGCTGCGATCTGGCGGGCTCGATGAGTCTTGCCTGAGCAAGGGAGGCCAGTAATGATGATGAGCTATGATCATGGTGAGTGACTGTTTGTCTTGGATGACGGAGAATCGTTCGTCAACTTACGGGCATGCTCTACTGGATCTCGAGATGTCTGCGATCTTTCGAGGAGAGAAAAAGAGTTGGAGACATTTAAATCGCCTACAAAAATTATCTCCAAAGCTTCTCGCGGGGCAGAGCGACTCGAGGTATCTATCAATCAGGGAACGAGTTCACAGGCATCCTTCAGAGGCACTCGAGTCAGCTTTGACAAGACATCCCATATTCTCGCAATGGCATACAAAGTACCCTCATGCCCTACCTACTACAATCTCTAAGCTACTGATGGAATCCGAAACATGAGCCTTCGAGGCTGATTACATCTAAGCATTTTTATAACACACACACCGACCAAATGATAGCTTCCTCCTACTCGTCGCCAACTCGACGAGTAAAACCGGTCGTTCTTCTTTACCCATATCCTCCATGTGGTTTGGTCCGGAATAATACAATGTCCCCGAGTTCCTTGGGTGGTAATCTGGCTTTTTCCAAGGAAACGATCCAGGGGCACCCTGACCCGGAGGGCGTGTCCTATCCAGGGGAAAAAAAACAAGTATTCGAGTGACTGGTACACACGCAGCACTGATTGTGATTCCAAGTCGATTAGATACAGTAGTCAGCATGACCCCCATATACACGGCACTGAGACGAGTTCGTTTGCATGTCGAAGAGCTGAATTGTTCAGCAGGCGAGCTAGGTCCACCCTCGGCGCTGATCCGAGTGGTTGCAGTGGCAGAACAGTAGAAAAGGTCATCCAGGTCCGTTGACGGGTAAAGATAGATTCAGAGATTGACTAAAACAACAAAACAAAACATTCATCCGGGATAAGCCTTGGATCGCGAAGGCAAGCACTGAGACGCATCGGGAATCGTGGTGGAGTACTGGACCTTTCCCAGACTCATCATCTTGGGATCCTGAAGTTGAGCAGAATACATGACGGGCGCATTGTAACGTGCCTGGTTGACACGGCCATATCGGGAGCTAATGGCGGCACCTGCCATAGCTTGAGCCTTGGAATAAGCCGAAGAGGCAGATCGCTTCATTGCGGCCGATGTGGGTGTTCCTTGGGTCTTTCTCCTCTTGGTTTGTTCGGTGGTGCGGTCCTTGGTAGTCTCCTTTTCTTCATAATCATGAACACGCCTCATGTGGTCTCGCTGGTTCCAGCGGCGAGGAAAGCCATTCCCTTCTCTGGATCTGTCGCAGTCCAAGAATTTACACAAGAAGGGATTGAATCCGTGGTTGTGGAGCCCATGGGCTTCCCGTTCATGCCTGAAGAGGCAGGCGTTGGAGGAAAACCTGGCATCCTCGCATTCTGGCTTGTCCGTGAACCGGCATCTGTAGGGCCTTAAATGGGAATCCAAGTATTTGCTGCACATTTTAGAGTCAGAAAAGTCACTATCGTGTCGATGCTTTGAGATGACTTACTTGTAGATGCACTTTTGCTTCGTTGGCTTGTGGGATTTGCATTGGTGCTCCTTGACCATGGGACAACGGAAATATCCATCTTCGTCCGGCTTTGCATCATACAGGGGATTGTTCCTGACCTTGGCTTTGTCTCCGGATGGATCCTCATGGGAAAAGCGGGTGTCCGTGGAAGAACTTCCGGAATCACTTGTGGTGCCATCACGTTCCAGGGCAGACCGGATTGGCCTTGGTTGGATCACTATACGCTTTGGAATACTACGTAGAAGTGGGTTAGCAAGTCGAAGGGCCATTGTCACGGAGTGAGCTGACCTATAGGCGGTGGGTTTGGACGTAGCAGAAGCCCGGTAGAGAGAAGAATCCTCGTTCGCCTGATATGGATCTTCCAAGAATCCCTGAGTGGATACATAATGTTGGTGGAATAGTTCCTGGTGGACTTGCTCCTCAGGTGGTGGTGTGAGAGGACCATTTGCCAGCGGCATCTCCGTGGGATAAGAGTTGTTCAGCATTCCGGGACTATACGATGACAGATCCGATGGCACATATCCATGGTTCATGATATCCTGGGATTGAATTTGTCCTGGGTATTGCGACGACGAGACGAGATTCATATCCACGAAATTGTTGCCTGACAGCGCATCTTCTGTCAAGAATTCATCATATGCTGGGTCGGCATCATACCCGCTGAGGCTGGAAGTCACGGAGAGGGGATAAGAAGTCTCCGGAGCAGTCACAGAGGGGTAACTCATTGCTGAAGTCGACGAAATCATAAAATCATCACTGTCAAGGTACCCGGAGGGTAGCACTGCATCATGTTGTCCTGGATAGCGATGGCGCGTTGACGCGCATGTTGAAGCCAGCGTGAAGTTTGGATTGATAAAATCATCCACGGAAGCAGAAGTGAAAGCCATGGGTTCCTGATATGATACTCCGGAGTTCCTGGGTATCCGGCTTGAGGATCCTTGGTTTGAGGACAGGTGAGTTGGGGATTGTCTGTTCCCTGAGTGCATTTCTTCCAAGGCCTTTGGTAGGAAAAAAATCTGTCGACACGGGGAAAGTCAGTACGCGGAGAACTACACGAAGCAAGTTTTGCTGCGTTGAATAGGAAGGTGGGCAAAGAAATGAGTGACGGATATAGTTCCAGCCAGAGATTCGAGCATCGTAGGTGGTATCGAGCTTCCAGTCGCATCCGGGAGGAAGGGGGCTATATCCTGTGGTTGGTGCTAACACAGAGCGGTTGCGGCCAGGTAAAACAATGCTGTACTGAGGATTGGAACTGTCCGGACCTTCAACAGCGAGCTTCAAAACAGGGTTCCAAGTCGACCATGGTTAGCCGATACGAGTCGTCGCGATGTTGTTGAGATGCGCACGTGTTGCGAAAGGAAAGCCTGATGGCCATGACAAAGAACTCCATGGGATGGTCGCCGATGGGCTGTACTCCTGGACATTTCCTGGATAACAAACGAGGTTCCTGGGCACTGGATTAGAAGCTTGGAGCTTCGACTTCATTTCTGGGGCCTTGTTGAGCACAGTCGTCAATAGGTTCTTCCTTTGTGATGCATTACAGTTGTCCTGAGTCCGGCTGAGAGTCTCCTGTTACAGCTTGCCGACAAACATCATGTGAGAACAGGAGGCAGCTGGAGGTAGAGTCCTGGGAGATTTCCTGGGATGATCCTGGGATAGTCCTGGGATAGTCCTGGGATAAATTTGCCTGGGTTCCATATGGATTGTGCCACAAGGGCTTCCCTGGGATAATCGGCCACAAGTGTTGAATGTATGCATCATTTCAGTTGCTGAGGACAGCCCCCATCGTACAATGGAGGCCATCAACTCAGTGAGCAGAACGCACCGTGATTGCTCTTGACGAGCTGGTGGATGTTCTGTTGGCCACAGAAGTATACTCTGAAAGCCGGTTGGGGGAATCCTCTGGGTTGCGGATATGAAAAACAAGACAAAAAGGAGAATGTAGTACCTCAAACGCTAAATCCCTGGGTTGTGTTGATGTTGTCGTCTGTCGGCTGAAATGAGAAAGAGCAAGCTCCGGATCTAGTCTCCTGGGATATGGTTTCGATGAAGAAAAGAAATCAAAACAGGGGCCTGGGATTTAGATATGTCCGGATCCTTGTGGATTGTCCTGGGATAACAATAATCCTGGATATAAAGTGTGGTGGCCTTGTGTTGTCGATGAGGTGTTGAGAAAGTTTGGGCGAGAGAAAAAAGGTTGTCGAGATCACACTGGTGACGAGGTGCTCTTCACGTCTGTTTGCAAGAAGAAGTATGAGGAGGAATATTGGATTGATGGAGGGTGCTGGTAAGGGGGATGGGTGATGAGATGATTTAAAGGAGAGGAGGGAGGTGAGCGGGAAAGGCGGTGGGAAGGATCAGAGGGAAGTGGGCTGAGTTTGCTCGAAAAAGCGGGCTCAACCAGCGCGGATGCGAGACAACAAGTTGGCACATTTGCATCGAGTCCACCCAAGCCTCTCATTTCTCTCAGTCACACTGCAGGTGGTAGAGAGGAAACAGGATCAGATGCTCAAAACCACGCAGTTTGCCCCATCTGCGTGCAGCAACCGGCTGCAGAGAAGCGACTGGGATATCGCAGTCTCTTACCTATCAGTGCGTCACGGCCCCAAAAGGCCCGCCCCGAAAAGGCCGCCAACACATCTAGCTTCGACCTAGGCTTCCTGGGCGACAACGAGTCAGCGTCATTGTCACATCGGTCCACCACAGTCTCATACGTTGCTGCTACCATTCTGTGACTAGGGTGGACGACAACATACCAGGTTATGATCAACAGGAGGTAACCATTCGTCTGGTGCTGACTTGGTCGTCCACGCTTCGCTTGCACCAGCTGCACCTTCGCTGCATGGCCAACCACTTAAATTGCTGTGACGGTGGTGAAAGCACGCATGCTGCATTTTGGCAATGATTGACGTGGCAGCTTCTCGTCGCTCGATTATGCTCCTCGTGACCCATCCTCGGTTCGTGTCGCGCATCGACTGATGGCCTCACATTAAACGGGCGTCGGCACACGCTGTCAGCATCGCGCAACGGACGCTCACACTCGCAGCGCGGCGGAAAGTACTTTGCAAGTATGGATGTGCGAGCTGTGCTGTGCATATTGGCACAACATAGCCTCAGCCGCAGGAGTCTGGCAGGCTAGCCAGAAGAAGGCAACCATCAAGTTCAACTCTCCAATACTGTACAGTAGGCTGTAGCTGACGTCGCTCATGCAAGTGGTACGCCAACAATTCGGCATTGAGACAAAGGACATGGTTTGTACTACCGTCGGCGGCGCGCTTGTCAGGGCCGTCTAGAGTCTCTCATCAAACATCAAGGCACCAGTCATTCCACAACGTGCGTGAATTGAGGTGTCAGAGCTCGAAGATCTGGCGCTCTGTCGCCATTCGGCGTTTTCGGCTGTCATTCTCATCCGTCATAGCCTATGGAACAATTTGATAAGCCGGAGAAGTACATAGGATGTATTATGTATAGCAACGCCGGGTAGTTTAAGTCGTGCGCGTGGCACCATGGTTCGAAAGATAGAGAGATTGTGGGTGCCTAGGTGCCAACTGGCGAATGCTTCTCTGTGACTACGAGGAGAAATGCCCTCTAAGGAAGGCTAGCATTCCTGGTCACCGTCTCTATTCGTTGATCGACCCTGGTGCTGGGAAACCCCGGCGATCTATTCTTCCGATCCGAAAATGCCAGTACAGCCAACCGGTCGATTCGCTTCGTTCTGATCGACGGGCGAGCCATCAAGCGATCGAGTTCATCATTGCAGGCGAGGATTGGCAGAAGGATAAATATCCGACCGCGTTCACAAGTACCTGTACAACGTACCTGCGTAGACGAGGATCAGCAAAAGTCATCTTCGTATTTCAGAGAGTCTCGGGAAGTGCAGAATTTAGCCTCCAGAAGAGATTCAGAAGTTTTTGATGATGGTAATGGTTTTCGTTCAAAGACGGTGGTCTCAGTTGAACTATGCTTTATTTTTGGTGTATTCATCACTTGGAGGGTCTAGACTTTGATACAATGGCAGTACCGTGAACGTACCTGTGTTCTGGCATTTGCAGCGGGACTTTTTGCTCTGTTGCACAACCTTTTGTCACACACCTGGGATTTGCCAGTTCGTTTGCACTCGAAAGTGTAGCATGTTCAAGTCCGTTGAGAAATCATGGCACGGACGAGATTCCCCTTTTGGTGCCAGGCGACGGTCAACCAACAAGGGTCTCCATGGCTCTGTCGACAGGATCACAACGTGTCTGGGGGGAACCGGCTGCAATCAGAAGTGAGTGGCCGGTGTAACGCTGAAAGTCACCGTCGATGCTAAGGAGGTCTTGAAGAGTTCAGAGAATTCAGGTTTGTGGTCGGGACTGTTGGTGCCAAGGGTTGTAATGACGGCAATTAATATCCACGGCTGGTCCGGCCTTTATCACTCTATCCGAATGAACTACCACAGTATCATGGGTTTTTCCCATCCCACCGAGTCTCCCCTGGCCTAGTGCGTCTTCAATCTCGACTAAGCATCATCGGCATGGATGATCCCGTCCGTCAAAAGCAGAACAATCATCCCTTTGTCCACATCATTTTCCAATATCTTGGTTGCGATGGTCTACGGAGTAAACGTACTTCTCCCGCCAAATGTGATCTTCTACCGCTGTGTTCCGTCTAGAGACACATAGTAGACGCAGATCATCATGTTTTAGATCGAACTCTCTGGTACCGAGTACTACATCGCACGACAGACGGCCCAAACTCTTTCGAAATCGCGTCGGTACAAGGGAGGGTCCTTTGGGCAGCAATGAAAGCTCCATCAACCCACCGGATGTGACGAGGCTGAGTCGACAAGGCTCTGTCGGCAATTGCCATCGCCTAATCTTCTTCCGGTACTTCTAAGAGAGTTCACGCGAGGGCAGTAAGTGACGTCAAGAGGACTCTCTCTCGATTTTCCATTACCCAATGCGACGTGAAAGGACCCCGTTGATGCGAAGAAATCACTCTCAGACCGCCGGCCGCGTTTGTCAAAGCTCCGCCCTTCGTTGCAGAGATTGCTGAACTCGTGGTACTACTGCTCAACCCATCTATCTCACAAACTGTCCAGGGTGGTGGTTGATACTACTCGCAAGGACGGCTGGATTTTTCTCTCCATTGCCCGTGGCTCGTCTTTTCCCACTGCCTAAATCTCCCCCGGGAGGGATGTCGACTCATCCTGGTGGCGCGCAGCCCACACGACGTCGAAGCTCCATCCACCAGAATGCAGAGAGCGAAGCCGCCCTCGCAAAGCTGGGGTACGTCAGCGAACTGCCCCGAAACTTGAGCATGATGTCTATCTTGGGACTTTCGTTCGCCATAATGGCCGTTCCCTTCGGTCTGAGCACGACTCTCTACATCACCCTGACCGACGGACAGTCCGTGACGATCCTGTACGGCTGGCTGTTTGTGTCATTGATATCCCTGGCCATAGCCTCGTCTCTTGCCGAGATATGTTCCGTATATCCTACCGCCGTAAGTGCTTTCTGCATAACCGACCGATGTTACCACTGCGCGCTTCGTACTCTTGTGTGTCCTTGTCCTTTCATGCTTCGTGCTCCCTCTCCCTCTGTGAGCTCCTGACGTTACCCGCCCATCCAATTCACCATGCGAGCTTTCTTTCCTACTTGCAAACTATCCTCCCCAACTGACACAAATTTTCTCTCGATACTCAGGGCGGCGTGTACTACTGGTCCGCGATGCTCAGCACGAAGAAATGGGCACCGATGGTCTCGTACATTGACGGGTGGCTGACTCTCATCGGCAACTGGACGGTGACGCTGTCCATCAACTTCAGCGGGGGCCAGCTGATCCTCTCGGCCATCACGCTGTGGGACGAAGACTTTGTGCCGACGGCGTGGCAGACGGTGCTGATGTTCTGGGCGGTGATGCTGGCGTGCATGCTCGTCAACATCTTCGCGGCCCGGTACCTGGACCTGATCAACAAGATCTGCATCTACTGGACGTCGGCTTCGGTCATCATCATCCTCGTGACGCTGCTGTCGATGGCCGACCGGCGGCGCAGCGGCGCCTTTGTGTTTTCGCACTTTGATGCCTCGGCCAGCGGCTGGCCGAGCGGCTGGGCCTTCTTCGTCGGCCTGCTGCAGGCCGCCTACACGCTCACGGGCTACGGCATGGTGGCGGCCATGTGCGAGGAGGTGCAGCAGCCGCACCGCGAGGTGCCCAAGGCCATGGTCCTGTCGGTCGCCGCCGCCGGCGTCACGGGCGTCGTCTACCTGGTCCCCATCCTCTTCGTCCTCCCGGACGTGCAGACCCTGCTGGGCGTCGCCAACGGCCAGCCCATCGGCCTCCTCTTCAAGACCGTCACGGGATCCGCCGGCGGCGGCTTCGGCCTGCTGTTCCTGATCCTGGGCATCCTCTTCTTCGCCGGCACCGGCGCCCTGACCGCCGCCTCGCGCTGCACCTACGCCTTTGCCCGCGACGGCGCCATCCCCGGCTCCGCCGTCTGGTCGCGCGTCAACCAGCGCTACGACATCCCGCTCTGGGGCCTCGTGCTGTCCACCGTGGTCGACTGTCTTCTCGGCCTGATCTACTTTGGCTCGACCGCCGCCTTCAACGCCTTCACGGGCGTCGCCACCATATGTCTGAGTACGAGCTACGGCATCCCGATCCTGGTCAACGTCGTCCGCGGCCGCAAAGCCACGGTGCATGCGAGCTTCAGCCTCGGCCGGTTCGGCTTCTTCATCAACATCGCCACGATCTGCTGGATCGTCCTGGCCGTCGTCTTGTTCTGCATGCCTGTCGCCATCCCCGTCACCGCCGCCAGCATGAATTATGCGTCGGTTGTCTTTGCCGGCTTTTCGGGCGTCGCTATCGCCTGGTATTTCGTGAGTGCCAGGAAGAGCTTCACAGGCCCCCCTGTGGTGAGTGACGCCGGGCCCGAAGAAGGGCTAGCTGTTGCTTCTCATGTTCAAAAGCCCACGGACGTCGAAGACGCAGCAAATCAAAAGCATACAGTAGAGCCCAAGACCACTTGACGGGCCATTTATGAGATAAGCAGGCGGGAATTCCCCAAAAAAATTAAGGCTTTTCATTACTACGATTCCGATCCATGCAGGGAAGTAAACGATCCATGACTGCTTCAATGTTCACTGTTGGTACTTTTGAGAACTTTTGCCAGCCACCTTAACCTCATTTTTTTCATGTTTCCTTGAGCATGCTGTTGAATATCCCGTCGAGCATCCTGTTTAGACACGTATGGGTTGGTCATTTGTAAACGACTACACCTCCAGGAGCAACTGTCACCTGCACGACGGATCTGCCATTAACCGACTGCACTGCCAGAGAAGTGGGGATTTGTTCCGCCCCTGTCTTCACGACCAGACTCATCGTGGCCCTTTCAGGATGAACCTCGTGGTCTACAGTGACCCAGACCGACAGTTGTGCGCTTGCGTCGGTGTTGATTGCGATCAGAACTTCCTCGCTCGCAAACAATCGTGACCAGGCAATGATGGACTGCATTGGGGCGGCACCAACGATACTCGGATACCCAAAGTGTACACCGTCACCGGAAATTTCTCGAAGATACTGTCGGCCTCGACGAACGGTGATTTCCTGCTTGCGCACCTGAGCAAGCTTTGCAACATCCGCCCAGGTGGTGCTGGCCTCGTCGAAGAAATGGTGGTCTTTGCTGCGAAAAGCTCCAAATTTCCCTCCAAACATCGCTTCTCGGATATACTCGTCGCTGCCACCTTGGCCGTCGAAACCTTGCTCAGTGCCGTAGTATATGCACGGAATGCCGAGAGTGAACAGGTTGAGCGCGACAGCCGCAACGACTAGGTCGGTACCGTTGCCTTCAGAGCAGAAACGGCCCTTGTACCCGCCGCGCCAGACTTGGTCATGGTCATCGATCATCGTCACGACCTTGTCTCGAAACCACGTGTGACTACCCTTGTTGAGGTAGAGGGCATTCCTGAACAGATCGAAGTATTCGTTTGGGTTCGCTTGGCCTTTGGGAACACGCCAAAGCTTTTCCTGGACATTGCCAATTCCGAGCGCTGCATCCAACCCCGTGGCTTCAACCGTTTCGAATGCCCGGGATCCGGTGATCTCCCCCATGAGGAGAAACCTGTCCTTGCCCAGGTACTGTGCGAACTCGTGGATGACGCTGGCGAAATATCTTGTAGGCCCGTCGCCCATGTGCTTTACCGTATCAATACGATAGCCATCGATATCGGCGTATGCAATCCAGTATCTGTAGCACTGGCACAGAGCTTTCAGCGCATCCGTCGCAGAGAAGTTGTCTGGGTTTGAGACTCCAAGTGCAATGTCCTTGAGATCGTAGAAGTCGCCGTCAAGGTACTCGGGAGACCTATCCCAACCGTCATCGTTGATCTGTCCCTTTCTGGTAAAGTTCGCCTTGTCTTGCAACTCGGTGGGCCAAACTGCGGCGTCAGGGAAGGCGTCAGGGTACTGACCGGGATCGATTCTGCCCAGTGGGATGTTCGGAATTCTGTTCCTGTCATAGAATCCCTTGACGTCGAAGGTGTCACCGGTGTAATGGGGATTGTCAGCAACATATTCAAACACATTGCCGCTGTGGTTGAGAATTATGTCCAGAATCACGTAGATGCCCTGCTTGTGTGCGGCAGTCACTAGGTCCTTCAGCTCTTCCCGGGTGCCGAATCTTGGGTCAACGTCCAGGAAATTCTGCACGCCGTAGCCATGATACGTTTCCAGCTTTGCGACCTGTTTCCATATGGGACCAATCCAAAGGGCAGTCACACCAAGACGACTGAGATAGCCCAGCTTGGTCATCAAGCCTCGCAAGGTGCCACCGTTGAATACAGTCCCGGCACTTCTCCACGTCGCTGCATCCGCACCGGTCTGGATAGCATCTTCATAATCTCCTCCCTCGTACTTGAATGTCGAGCCGTCCGAGACAATGGCGCCAGAGTTGTCCTTGTAGCCCTTCTCTGCGTTGTTGGAGAATCGATCCGGGAGCAGAAAGTAGAGGACCTGGTCGTCCCACTCACCTGGAGAGGGATGGAATGTGTGCTTCGGGGGCGCGCTTGCGAGAATCGACTGCACGTCTGAGTCGGCAAGGCTCTTTGGGGACGGCATCGTATCGACTGCCACGTAACGTGGGTTCTTCTCTGATCGATAGAAGAGGCTCGGGACTGCAGCAGTGATGCACCGAGTATATATAGCTTCCACCAGGGGAGAGAGAACTCGAGTCACGATGTCTGGCGTCCACTACGCCAGCCACGATTCCATCACACTCTCATCGTCTCGACTCCTCGCGTGCAGCAATACGAATGTTCAGCTCGCATCCGATGGCCAATCAGGCGGAGCTTCGGTCAGGCTGAGAACGAACCGCAGGGGGAGAATCTAGAATAACCAGAGCCCCCAGCCAATGCCGCATCCAGATCCTCGTATCCGTGAGGACGGCAGAAGAAGTTCACCGCCAATTGTCCCAAGCGAGACCGGGGGTTGGGCCTGGAACAACTGGACCAACTGGAACGAGAGTGAGTATTGTAGACTTCAGCTCACCATGTGTCCAGGTCATCGTTTCCGTCCACTGATCGTCTTGATATATCATATAGGCTGGTCAGTCGAGTCTCCCTCCCGCGACAATCTGGGCCGTTACGCTCTACAGTGGCTTGACTTCCTCCTGGGGACTCGGGAGTAATCAACGGAGGAGATGAAGGTTTATGCCTGCGGCACTCTGTGCATCATTCATTACGGGCCACTTAACTCTGCCTCTTTTTTCGCAATCTGTTTTCTCCCGCGATGGGAATTTGTTCTAATCAAGGCCGCAGCCCAGTATTAATTGTCTAATCGGTAGTGGCCAAAATTGTCAACGTCTAAAATCTAGCCATGTTCGACGAGATTTCGACATTCCATCTAGTTGCTCTTACAGGCGGCTGTATATTTTCTCAACAAAGGCTCTGGGCACCAACCCTTGTACAAATGCGGTCACAGTGGTAGGTTGATGAACGCGAATTATTCCAGATTTAGGCCATCAAACCTTTGTAAGTTTTTCGAAGTTTTCATGGCGATTTTGTCTTTCCTTTGGGCATCAGCATTTTTGTGCATCCTTTGTCACGCTCTCTGCTGTTCTACGCCGCCCCAACTTCTCCCTTATAATAAAAAATCTCCAGGGTATATTTGATCCCCGCGATGAGAAACCAAAAGGCAAGTAAGTTCGTGGTCTGCTGCTTTGTGAGCAATGTTTTGAGTACCTGGGTATTCTCAGACTCGTCTTCTTGTTACCTAGCTTCATTCGACGGTATATCGGAAAGGTGTCGACCATCTGTAAAAACTCCCCCTCAACTAGTATCTAATCAAATGTTTCTTCATCTCCAGCCAGCTACGTGCGCCATGCCAATATCCCCTGCTGCCAGATATACATCTCCCAAGGACGTTCATCGTCATCTCAAACATGCCACAAGCCGCCACCAGAGTACATGTACTCTTCCGAACCAGTAGATATGGTAGTACAGAACATATCGCCATTACATCGTTTGAAGATCCTCAACTTTAGTCCGCTGAATCGGCATCGAAATCCATATGCCGCTTCTTGAGCGTACGCATACCAGCGCCGCCACGTCCGCCACCGACCGTGCCAGTCACTCGAGATTCGAGTTTGCTGAAGGGACCACGCCTCTTTTTGTGTGCATCCTTAGCACGTCGTTTTTCAGCTTTGGTTTTAGCACGTGAGCTCCATTGTGGTGCTTCCGTCTCTCGTGCGCGTTCGCCTTCCCGCGGTCCAGTAAGGAAGGCCAAAACAGCATCAGCTCCAGAAGCACGTCGTCGGCGCTCTTGTCGCTTGCTTGGGGGTGAGGGCTGTACGGCTTTGCCTTTGTCTTGTTTGCTCTTGATCGCATCACCCAATTCCTGCCGCGTGACTTGCCGAGAGAGTGAGTATGTGGTAAGGTCCGTTGCAGAACGGCTAAGCGCCGTATCAAAGCCCATCATGTGCCTCTTCAGAAGGCGGAGGAGACTCTCGCATAACCTATCAAGGATCCATTCGGACTCGGTTTGCCCGCTGAGCATAGGACTGCTTTCCTCGAGCCAATCCCAATCAACCACGCCGTCTGTCTCTTCGTCGAACTGTAGCTGCTCGAGACCGTTCCGGGTGAACCGGATAAGCCTAGTGAACTCAGCCCATTCCTCGTAGCTGTAACGCTTGCGTGGCGCGTGCTGTAGATCATCTGCGGTCTTCCGAATCGCCCATGCTAAACGCTGGGTCAATTCGGTTTCATTGAGCTCTTCGGCAGCAAGCTCCTCGATGCTCACAATGGGGGAAGCATCTGTTTCATCGGGCCCGACTGGTAGACCCTTTTTTCGTCGACGCTTCTCCACTCGTTTGCTCATCCATTGGTACAGCCAGGGATTCGAGTTGATGCGATCATGCCAGAAACCCTTCTTTGGCAGAACTGTCATATCTCCAAGAAGGAAAGTGCCTCGCTTGAAGCTAGAGATGACGGTGTCGCCCATATCAGAAACCAGGATCGTCATGGTTGGTACTGCAATCAACGACCATACCACAAAAAAAGGCTTGCCAGCGTTGCTCTTGGGACTGAGATCGCCATATCCGATGGTGAGCAAGCTCACATAGCAGAAATACAAAGCTTCGAAATAAGTCAATCCTTGGGTATTTTGCTCCGCCTGCCAGAAGACGACCGCGCCTATACACCAAAGAACGCCAAAGGCAATCGTTGACACGAAAAGGGCGAACCACTGCTTGAACTTCTTCGCGTCTTCCTGGATATCGCGCATAGCGTTGAATTTATCTCTCTCTTCTCTCATAAGAATGACTTTGTGGCCTCTGGTCCTTACTCTCCTGAGATCGTTGACGGGCTTAGCCAGCAGCTTCAACGTAGCATGAACAGGTCCTTTGTGGAAATCATGTTTCAGAAACTGCCGAGGGTGAGGTAGACTTTCGTCGGCCTGTTTGAGAGTCTCAGCAGTCGTATCTTCAAACCCAATCTGCCGTGCAGTAATCTGCTGGTCTTGGTCGTTGTCTCGACCTGTCGACAAACCGGTTTCCAGACCGCCATGTGCTTCACGGTCCAGATTCCGTTCGATCCGAGGGTCAGGTATCGGAGCTGAGATTGAAAGCTTTCTACCATGGTTCAACTCAATCTCAACTTTCTTTTCAAGATCTTGTCGCCGATTATCCTCTTCCGCGGTCTCGACAGTGACAACCCTAGAGAGGGTATTGAGACGTCTGTTCTCGACATGCTTGCGGAGCACATTGACGGTGCTTAGTTCTCCAGCAAATTTGGAGATGGAGCTAACCATAAGACCCAAGATGATGATACCACCTACCGAGAAAGGAAAGACGAGACCTCGCCCGAGATTGCTCGTCGGGTAGTAATCTCCAAAGCCGACAGTTAGGATTGTGACATCGCAGAAGTAGACAGCATCCGGATAGCCCCAACCTTCGATCCTCGAGAAAACACCTCCTCCGCCTGCGAGCCAGATGAAGAACATCATGGTCTGCAAAATGAGGTTACGTTGTTCGTCGGTCAAGGTAAAGTGTTGCGGATAGTGACCCAGAAAGTAACCCCCCATGTTGACCATCAGGATCATGGAATTGAACATGTATAGGCAAGCAGCAATAACAGCATTCCAGAAACCCTGCGAGTAGACTTGGTCTTGACCCGGTGGAACATATACGTGCATGGACACAGTAATGCCGATCAAGATAGCTGCCGAGACATAAAAGAGAATGATGGTCGCCGGAAGCGCAACAATATAGCGAACACGTTTTGTAAAGTTAAGGAGTAAAAAAAGGTTTCCCACAAAGCCGCAGACAAGGGAGGCAATATTGAGATTGATACACCATGCCGGGTCCGGGTAGCCAACCGAAGTGGCTTGGTAGTATATGGGGTCATCTGGATCGACGACGTTGTTTCTCCAAGCGACGACCAAGGCTTCGATGGAAATCATGTTTGCCATGGGAGCGAATGTTGCGGCCAACAGAGGTATGGCAGTCGAAGCAAACCACCAGTCGGTGGGAAGGTCATCATCAGCCGCCCTTAACCTCAGCTTTGGTGCTTCAAGATGTCTTCTGTGATGACGTTTGCGCTCTCCTGCGCCATCGTTGTTACCTTCTGAGGCCACCGACTGATTGCTCTCTCGTGGCCCATCCCACTCTTTACTCAAGCTGTTGTCACTTGCATTTGCCGTTCCAGCGGAACCGGTGGAGGAGTCGGTACCTGGAGGATGCACCTCTCTCTGTTCTGCGTGATCGTAGCCCATCGTAGGGGGGTCAAACTTGTTATTGGGATTCGGTAGGCATAAGGGACTGGTATCAAGCTGCTGTTACAGCGCAGACAGCTGGAAGTGTCTGGAGTCTCGAAAGGGAAAAGGCATCGTGAATCAGCATGAAAGCTGCCGGGAGGACTGGAGGAAGAGTGGGTGAATGTACAAAAGAAGGACTACCAGTAGTCCTGGACACGGTGAAGAGATAAGTTGAGCGATACCCCCAGAAGCAATATCTCGTATTTCCTGAGAAGGCCCAAGAAGCAATATTCTATCTCGTATCCTGATGGTGAACGAGGTGGAAAGAATGCGCGCCGCGGCATGTGCGGAAGCGAGTGGCTTGCGGTATAAGCATCGACCACCAACACCCTCCACCACCACCATCGCCGTCGCCATCGTCCAATCGGTAGACGCCCATCGCTCCCTCTCGCTGAGATGATCAACTCGGCCATCCAAAGTCGTGCATCGCGAGGATGTTGGGGTCCCCGATTAACGGCGAGACCGCAGCCCGGTGTCCTGCCCCTAGACCCATCCAGTTGTTAGTGCGAGCACAAGACCTCGTACAGGAACAGCGTATCTCGATTCTGGGCCTCTTCAGAACCACGATAAGCTCGCAGAAGCTTTTAGCTAAGGTGAGTTTGCAGGCTGGGGTCTACACCTCAACCTCGAAAAGGAAATGCTTATCTAGGTGACATACTCTGGCCAAGAGCATCCTCCTCTCTAGGTTTCGACCATGCAGGCATACGGCACAGCCTCAACAGCCTGTAAACCAGGATATCAAAACCATGTTCAGGGCTTTGGATGGAGTTCTGCCGCCTGCGAATCGTCTCTTATTACGGCACTCCGCCCTGCAAGATGGGAACAGACTCCCAGAATCCCAAGAAAGACAAGGAACATTGTGAACGAGAACAGTGGTGAGTGCAAATATCTTCTCTCTCAGCATCCACAAAGCCAAGTAAGTTCAAGACATGGCCAGAGTGATTCCCCCCTTGTATCGTCAACCTTCGCAGATGAGTCCCAGAACCAAGAGATACACAGGTCTCAGCGTGCAAATTAGGACAGCTTAGCAAAAGCAAGAGCATGATGTTGAGAGGATGGAGGGGGGCCCTTCGAATCGCTCATAATTATGTATCTCTGCTGGATCGCACTTTTGGTCCAAATGTTGTCTCAAAGACTCAACAGGGCCAGCTCAAATACATGATTTATAACGATTCGAGACTTCGCGCACAGCAGGGCAACAGCAGGGCAACAGCAAGCATGTCCTCACCAACGGCAACTCGAGATCGAGTTGAATCCGAGTCCGACTCGTCCGAGCGTGTTGCAGATACTGATACACCTAACTCCCTCGACTTCTTCCAGCTTCTATCCGCCATAGTCGAGGAATTCGAGCGACGCAGACGCCAGTGGCAGCCTCGATGGACCGCTTGTAAGCTCAAGAAAGCGTTTCTCCTCCGTCATCATCCTATATGGGTGACCTATCCCCCGAACCAGCTTCCCCGACACATACAGCCTCTTACACAGCTCCGAAAAATTGCACAGGGCGGATTCGGCGCAGTCTATGCGCATCCGGATCAGAACACCATCCTTAAACGCGAGCTCAACCCCAGCATCGACTCTGACGCCGTACAACGCGAGCATCACATGCATCACGGCGTCTTCGAGGCGATGATGAAATGGAACAACATATCCTCGTTCTTCGTCAACGTCCAAGTGCCGCGCGACGGTGCTTTCATCTCTGCCCCATCCAGCGACTGGGATGACGGTCTCCAGCTCCTCTTCCCAGACAAAAAGATGCAATGCCGAGCTGACATGATCCAAGCCGAACGTATTCCTGCAGTACCCGCAGGCGTCCTTGAGGACATTATACGTATATACTGCCACGACCCCGAGACCTGGCCAAGTATAGCGGCCTCCACGGAAGCAAAAGACTGCCTTGTACGGATCTACCTGGGCGGCGAGTCCATTCATTCGCGAGCTTTCAACATCGGGAACTTTTCCCTGCACATAGACCAGTTGGAAGCCCTGGATGTCAACACGCTCAAAATCGCCGGCCACTTCGGTCGTGCTCTGGCGGTAATACACTCTCAAGCCGATCTCGACGGCCGCGGCATCGAATTCGTGCTCGGCGGAGCACGGGATGAGCCTGACGGCTCGCAAATCTGGGTGTTGGACTTTGATCAATGCCGACCTCTCCATGCACCCCGCGGGGCTGGCGACGCGAGTCGACAGCCCATGGTCGACAGCACCGGAAGTGTGCGAGCGCCTTCGGCGTCCGAAATCCAGCGTACGGACTCGTGCATCGACGCCTTCTTCGAGAACGATCCGTACTTCCCCCGCCCGGGCTCCAAGCGCCCGGCTCTCTGGAACACCTTCGCGCGCAACTACGACTACATGACACGAGAGATCGCCATTCGAAGCTGGGCCAGCGCCGAAAACCGGGTATGCTACAATTTCGTGAGGTACAAGCCAAGCACGGCCGCAGAGTTTGAGTTGTTGACCATGCTTCCCAAACCCGAAGACGACCAGATTCGGACTTACCGACCCGTCACTCGCGCAGCCAGTCTCTTTCTTTTGGGCGTTGAAGAGCGTTACTGGAACGGTACCAAGAGCTGCAAAAAGGCCGTAGAGTCCAGGTTGGGTCCGGAGTGCCTCGTACACGATACCTAGTACCAAGTGCACAGTACCCAGTACCGGGTTGGGACCAGCCGTGCTCGCTCCATGAGTGCTCGAGTCGATACGATAATATGGCTAGACGTATGGAGACTGTAGACGACATCACTACTTAAGTCTGGACGCGGCCCAGCCTCTCCACTGAAAGAAAGCTGGACGTTATCCGAAAATTGTTCGCCTGTGGATAATCGAGAGGACACTTTGACCTGGATGTAACTGGGCCAAACGACATAAGGGGATCGTCTTCCATTGCCAGGCGTCACGGGCGCTCGCTGTATGTCAAATTGTCATTCCTCGCCGTTGACGGATCCCCTTTTGCGCAATGCGCCCGGCACCAGCCTCATATGATCAAGTATCACCGCGAATCAGATCTGTTGTTGTGTGCGATAAACATGTCATCGACGCACAGGATCGAAGATGTCTGAATTTCTTTCAAATCCTCCTCCCTTGAAAACGCGGCCCGAGAAAAGGCGGCTTGAATGATTTAAGCTTGTCAGTATCAATCAACATCGGGAGTTTTTGGGATGTGCCCACTCGGCCCAGGTTCGAAACTGTGCATTGTCACGAGACAAAGACACTGTATGTCCCCCCCCTGTCAGCGCGCCGTCTGGTCTCCTTTGCCACACCCCGTTCAAAAGGGGAGGGAGAGGATTCGCGTTGCGAAAGAGGTACGAAGGACGGGCGCGTGCTGGGAGTGCGATGAAGATGTGTGGGTGGTGGTGGTGGTGTTGTGGCAGGCGAGGCCTTGGTCAAGGAAGAAGGTTACCGCCGGACGAGGAATTGTCTTCAAGGCCGATGGCCACACGACACTGTGAAACGACGTCCAGGGGCACGGCACCCATCGCCACCACCACAACGGGAAACCTTGTTATCTGTTTAACAACAAAAAAAACAACAAAAAAAACAGCAAAAAAAACAGCAAAAAAAAAACCCAAAAGAGAGAGAGGAAAGGACCCTCGGAATGATTATCAATGTTAACTGTACTTGGGAAACGTGACCGGTCCTAAGTCGTACCTACAGAATAGTGATACAATTTCTCTTTGGCAGATTGAATAGCAATAATGATAATGATAATGATAATGATAATGATAATAATAACAAGCAAAGAAATGAAACAGACACAAGAAACAAAACAAGAGATAGGCTGCAGGATTGATTTATACACGCCAGTCTTAGCGGCTTCCAACTTCAAATCTCACCTCACACACTCCCAATATATATCACAATCTGGGGGGAAAAAATCATCTTCTTTGAACTTGGAGACTCAAACTGAAAAACTACCCAGACAAGAAAACATCTAGCGTACACCTTACTTCCGCTTCTCTCAATGGAGCCAATCGCCGGGACACCAACAAAACATACAGTCATCGCTTGCACATGGGATATCGAACAAAGGGAAAATTCATGAGTCCAAGTAAGTAGGTGAAAAGTTCTGCTAAACACGGTGCTGCAGGGATGGTCATAGCATCCCTCATATCTTCCAAATATTGTTGTACATGTTGTCCGCAAGTCATTCTTTTGGCGACGACTTCCATTGATATTCCGGCCGTAGGAAAGATCGCTTGGTCCTTGATCTGGCTGTCAGCGGGCTCACCGCATTTCTCGATAGCTGCTGGGTGGATATCCTGCCGATGACGGGTAAGGCCCATACGAAGGAGGATCTCTCGGAATGGAGTTGGGATCTCTGGCCGTCGATGGATGTGGAGGTGGTTGAAATCCAGTGCTAATGGACAAAGGAGTGTTATACGAGGGAGCACCACCTCCGTGCCGTGGGTCTCGATAGTATTCCTCATCAGTCAAGGGAACTGAGCTTGAGTATTGTGGTGGTGGAGGGCGTCCATCGTATCCGGAAAGAGATTGCATTCGAGGCCTGTTTTCTCTAGGTCTTGCTCTCTCACGCTCCCTAGGGTCATATGCAGCCATCCTGGCAGCGTCATATCGATCATTGGCCAATCGCTCCCGCTGCGCCTCATACTCCTTGTACCGTCTGGCATCTTCGTATGGGTCATTTCCGCTGTACGAGTGACGTGACGAAGCATACGCTGAGTCGGCCTCAGGTTTTCGTACGTATGGAGCAGATCCACTTTCCTTACCCATGGAAGGAGAACGATGGCGACCGGGCCTGGGTTGTTCCCGTTGATGATATGTGCCATTCGACCGGTAATGCCGAGGTGTTTCTGTATCCATAGGTGGAGGTGGAGGTGGAGGCTTCTGATGGATAGCTACGGCAGGCACACTCGACCTTGGATTGTCACTGTAACGGTTCGTGGTCGGAACAGAGTTCGAAGTTGCTATCGTAACCTCCGGCGGTGGAGGTCCCGGTGATGCTTTCGTTTCTGTGGCTTCGCTGGGTCTTGAAACACTTTCGTATGTCTTTCCTCCCCCTGGGGCTGCGACATATGGCTTGCGTTCGCGCTCGATGGGCTGAGGTGTAGGGATGTCTTCAGTGTTTTCTACTGGGCTATCCCCAATGTCAGAGGCATCGCTCACGTAAGGCTGTCGCGGAGGCCGTTGTTCCTGACTGGCGTGGGACAATGCTGGGCTGGGGTGAGATGCACTTGGCAGCGGTTCCTGTTTTTCCAGCGCCGGGCTCGGGTGTGCCTTTTGTGTATCATCACCAGCCTGAGCCTGATGAGGAGTTTTGGTATTAGAATCTGTCGCACCTGCTGCGCTGCCCTGTCGAGAGGCCAAGTTGACGTTGCAGTGTGTAGCCATAGCTTTCTGTAACCTGTTCGCTGTCTCCGTGTCAGGATGGTCTGGGAAAAGGCGCCTTGAGAGCTCTTTAGGAAATCGCTCTTTTTTGTCATCTGGGTTGCTAATGGGCATGTCCAGCGCCGTCTTCGCCAATCTTTCGAATTCCTGGTCTGGATGGGCTTTGAGAAGTATAGTCGCCCATGTTTCGAAACCTCGTGGTGTTAGACCCGGAAGGTCTGGTCTTTCGCTCAGTTTCTCTTGGATCAGATGGTGCTCCGCTTGAATCTCTCTGAACATTCGAGAAATGGAGGATGTCCTGTCGTCAAAGACGATTTTCCAGGGATAAATTTCGGTAGAGAGTCTGGTTGACTCGTAGTACTTCTGCATCTTGGTTGGGGTGATGACGAGGCTGTTCTTGGGCTCATAATTTTCGATCAGATGAACAGCGATTCCACGAAGGAATTGTCCAAGCCGAGCAGTGGCCCGACCTTGCTCATCGAACAAGGTGCCCCAGACACGTTCCAGGGTGGTAGCGTCCCCACTAGTATCGACTCTCTTGGGGCCCTTCGGCCGACTCTTTCGTTCTTGGTTATCATCGCTGTGTGACTGATGACTCGCTTGACTGAAAGGTGAGATTGATCTATTCTCGACGGGAGAAGAGCTACCCTGTAAGGCTGGCTCCTTGGACTGTGGTGGCTGTGGCGGCGGTGGAGGGGGTGGAGGAAATTCAGGAGAAGCGCCACTCATCCCTGCGTCTTCCGAGGTGCGATGTGGTGTGGGAGGAGTGTAGACCGTAGCTCGGTTCAGGGGAGGAGATCCTGCTGCCGACGAGGCTGCATCCGTCTGGGAGGTCGGTCCTGGTACTGCTGCTGGAGGGACGGTGGTAGACAGGTTGATAGCCTTCAAGTGTTGGAGGACATTCGTAGTAATCTGTGAAGTAATCTGCTGCAGTAGCTCTGGGGAGATAGATGCAGCCGAAGCTGCGCCTGCATTGTCAAAGGCAGAAGTGATGGCATCGTTGATAGGTTGTTGAGCCTGATGGTATTTCGCGGCTTCGACGTGGTGGGAGTCGAGTGAAGGATTAGAAAACCCTCGTGGCCTTGTGCTTCTGCCGTCACTTGATATGGAATTGCTCATGGCTGGATGGAGGTGCCTCGAGCACCATTGTCGCTCAGACTGCTACTATTCGAGCGTGGCAGGTCACTGCGTCGCTACAAGATTCGGGTGAGAAGGTTGTATTGCTGAGTGCCCGCTGGCTGCAATTTGCGAGGAGGATGAGGACGAGAGCTCTAGACGCAAATGTCTCGGATGGGTCGTAAGAGTGTATGTAGTCCTAGTAGGATGGGCGAGGTTGCGAGACGAACTGATACCGTACAGAAGACGAGGGAGGCATGGAAGATCGCGACGCTTCAGCAGGGTTTCGGTGGCATGGGCGGGAGGAGGCTAAAGAGAGAGAGGGCCGTTTCGTCATTGTCGTCTCTTAGTCTAGATCATGACCGGTGTGGTCGAATTTGCGGATGATGGCTACGAGCAACTAACTCCAGTAGTTGTTAGTGGCCTCCAAACACTCGTACTCGTTTGTACCATAATTACAGCGACTGATCACTGATCAGCATGGCCGGTGCGGGCCAGACGCACGGGAGAAGCCTCATCGGCGACGTCTGTTCCTCGGGTCCCGTCTGTGCGCACTGTACGGTCCCTTTGGATGGTAACAACAAGTTCCAGTTTCCAACTATCAGCTAATGAGCCTCGCATTCCTCACCAAACCAAGCGCCCATTGCCCAAAATCTTGAATTTGTTGGTCTGTCCACGCCTGACCACCACCACTCTACGCAGGATGCTGTGAACGGCAACTTTCTGGGATCCCCTCCCCGTTACGAAAGTCCACACTTCGCCTGGAGGGACGCAAAGCCAATGATGGATGTGGTGGATTGTTTCGACACAGGTCAGCGATCTCGTGGTTGAGCTTCTCGAGGCAACACTGTGCTAATGGACTCCACGACCGTCTTACCACTCTTCGATGATTTAAAAAGGCAACAAGGTCTCCGACGTCATTGTACAACCCACATACTTCAAAGTTGGTTGCGTGGTCCTGACGGATGGTCCTACAGACTACGGTGCCCGGCCACGCCAACCCGGGCTGCATCTACAACCACCAGAATGTATATGCGTGCCACTGAGATGCAAGTGCCATAGCCACGGCAGGGGGGTCTCCATGTAACCTAGCGACGGCTTGTCGTTTAGTGCTGCGAACTGCTGGAGAATGCCTAAAGCTTCCAGAAATAATCCTCGTGTTGCACCCGCTCCCTCTTGAGTTCGAGCGAGAGCCTTGGATTGGAGGGCGCTCATGTGAGTATTTGAGCTCGGTGTGCGCATGAACCAGGATATACCTTGATTCTCGACGAACTTCCACTCAACATTTGTCCTTGCCGAGTGCGCCAGTAGTTAGTGGCTGTGTTGGCCTTCGAACTGCCGCGCTCAACCCACTTGGCCGAGTCCTTTGCGCCTCTTTTTGCTGGTCGACGCTTCACTTCGGCAGCGCTCCATTCGCAATGTTGCAGACCGGTCACAATTCACTTGACCTCCTTTTCGATTGAGGCCGTCACAAGGTCCCGCTAATGAGGCATTTGACATCAAGCTGAGTGTCGTGCACACTCACAAGGCGTTGTTCCAGAGTGCGGGCAACAACATAAGGCGAAATCCTGATCATACGAAGGATGGGTGTACAAAATGGAAGAGCTCAAGTCACACCAGTATGCTCTTCGATAACATCCATTAGATAGTCTGGTTTCTATCTTCGCGGATACAGGCTCCAGTAATTTAGGCTGTGCAGTTCCATTGTGTGCTTCGGCCTACTTCCATGTCCCAGAACTCCCCCTAAGGAAAACCCAGCTACTCTTGAGCCAAACTCTGTTCACACCATTAGCAGCCACGGTCTGTGTGGCCCCTTTCTCATTCCTTCGACTTGCAATACATGACAGTCACCTGGTTGATATCGGAGTTGTTGCGGAGACAGAGATTACATGAGATAGACGAGTGATGCTGAAGACTTCCACTGTCGTTAAGTATCGTGTTGAATTAGCCTTCTTCAAAGCTCCCAATCTTCGTCGGCGTCTGACTCCTCTTGTGTTCCAAGCTCTGCTTGAGCTTTTTGGATCTGCTCGCGGTCGAGTTGATGTCTAGCCCGTTCCGAAACAGGAGGCTTATATGCTCCGACCCTGTCGAAGCCTCTATTGCTGATGACCGCCGGATACTCTGAGGTGGAGTTTGCCCATCGACCTGGAAACTCGCTACCCGCAGACGAGGAAGATCCTCGAGAAAGTTGACTATCACCCCATTCTGATTGTGCTTGACGCGGGACCCTGACTCGACCGTCTGTTGTGAGTGACTTTTGATAGCCTCCTTGGGAAGGGGCAATGGATCCAGTAGCACTGGGAAGAGAGGACCCAATCGATGACATCCCACTCAGCGGATCGAGACGGTTTGCTCTCAATTCCAAACGAATCTGCTCCTCTTCAGCAGACTCTTTGAGGCCAGGGAGGCGGTCTTGGATTTCCTGTTGACAATTGATACATTTCTGGGTTTGTCAGCATTTCCTTACATTAGACGTGGCTTGTCACTCACAGCTTCATCGGGGTTTCTCCGCTGCTGTCCAGAGAAGAAGTCAATTGCTTTTGTATAGCCACATGACGTGCATTTCAACTCCATCACATTCCCTGCGGTGCACTCATGGCATCTTGGTAGCTTTGCTGGGGGCCCGCCCCGACGAGCATGGAGGACTTCTGATTGGAATTTTTTGAATTGGTTGTTTGAAAATCTTGAACGAAAGAGTTTCCTCGAACAGTTGGCACATTCAATACTGTACAAGTGTAAGTAAGCGGGCGCAGCCATAGGTCGGAGAGAAGGACATACATGTTACCAACATCCACGTTGTTAAGGCTAGATTGATCAGCATTGAGAGCCATGTTGACTTTGGATTTGGAAGTCGTGACAATGCAGGAGAGGGAGAATAGTGGCCAAGCTGACAGAGAAGAAGGACAGTGGTTGAGGCGGAAGAAAGGTAATGGTCGCAAGATGAGAAGGATGGTGGTTGGCAGACAGTGGTCAAGAGAGAAGATGACGCTCGTCGAGACAGAAGAAGGATAGTGGTTGAGGAGAAGAAAGACAGCGGTTGAGAGAGAAGAAGATGAAGTAGAAGTAGAAGAAGGGCACTGGTTGGAAAGCGCAGGCTAGCAGCGGTGAAAGGGCGAAAGAGTGAAGAGTAAAGAGTAAAGAGCAAAGTGAGTGAAAGAGTGAAAGAAAGAGGAAACTTACGAGTCTTGCGTCCTTTGCCAATGAGGCGTTTGTTTGCGAGGCATCTGGCAAGGAAGGCACTCAAAGAACAAGTTGCTGTGAGTGGGACCGAGTATGCTTGTGAGATGAAGAGATCTATTGAAGCCGCGAACCTTTGAAGCTTTCAGATATAGCTGGTGGATTGAATCGTTGTCTAGAGATGCCTCAGGCCAGAGCAAAGAAAGTCCAGGCGAGAGGTTAAGTCAAGTTGAACCAAAGCCTGTGGCAAGCTCTATCGCAACAGACCTTCAGTAGAGCTCCCTCAAGCTTCAAGTCTTGTTCCAGAGAAAAGAATCAAGATAGGCTGGCCCTGGCGGATTCCAGTATCACTTTCACACTTTCGCAAGGCTGCCAGGCGGGGGCGGGGTGGCTTGAGTGAGAACCCGGCAATGCCGACCTCCAGGATTGCATAGGCCTCAAGTCGATATCATTGTTGGGATACTGTCGAGATGGGATCCAGGCTATCTATTGCTGAAATCTCGCACAGAGTGCTGTTGCTGAAGTGAACGGAGATCTAGAGACATGCACTAGGAGACCTACAAAGTACCTGTACCTCAGATCTGATCGCCAGATTTTCTTGGCAGAGCATTTCGTAGCGTTTTTCTCTGTAAATGACATGCCCTGTTTGCTGTGCGATAGCCTGTCGCCTGTCGCCTACGAGTACCTGTAGGCGAATCTGTATGTACGGAACGATGCAGCGGATGCACTTTGCAGGGTGGTCGCACAGCGATCGCAATCCCTGCATCTTGCTTCACATAACACAAGATCTGGTCACTCTCGAAGGATATTGGTGGATATTCAGCCCTGGAAGCTTGATCGCAGACAGGAAATTTGGGGCAAACACATGGGCGTAGTCTTTGGAGTGCAAGACAAGGGCTTCTCTTATTCAAAACCCCCCCCCTGCGCGTTGCATTTCGTGATTTTGGAACATCCTGTACGGGTGAAAGCACCAACCAGATCAAACCTCGTCCAAGGGTCAGGTGCCGTGACGCATTTCAGTGATTGCACGAGCAATCTCCTTCCAGACTCCTTTATAATTTCTCCCATGGAAGAGGCCGCGGCTTCCAAACATCCAGAAGCATGGCCTGTGGATTCCAAGTACAGGGGGAGGTGTCGTCAGTGTCACAGCATGCCGCATTATAGCCAGGCGGAAACGGTAAGCAAACAACTCCACACACAATCCAGATCACAGCTCCCTACGGCGGGCGAGGTTCGAGCCAATCCAAGGCGGATTGGAGATTTGATCAGCTACAAACTGCACCGTTGGCCGGCACCAGCAGCGCCCCGACCCATCGTCCTGGTTGCCGCGACAGGTAAAAGCAAGGACGGAAAGCAATGCCACTGGGCTAAACCTGCATTTGGCATCGCGTGTTTGGGGCCTGAACCAGGAACAAGTGCAGTCGTCATGATGATTTTAGTTCAAGGGGCGAATGCCGGCTGCCCAACTGTGATGTCGATCGCTTCATGATGATCGCAATGCTCAGGTACAGCTACAATGCTCTCTTTGGGGACACTCGGCCCTCTCGGGCGCTCTTGTCACGATATCAACAGAGTGGTATCCATATTGATGCGGCCTTGAAAGACGTTACGTTCTGACCAGAAGAGATCAAGGTTGTAGTCGATGTTCCAGTAGCCACGTAACATACCAGTTGGTGGCTAGTGTGTCCAACGCGAAACGGTCATCAGACGAGGGCCAGCAAAACAGGGTCTGCACCAGGAACCGGCTGGTGGCTTTCTGCCTGGACGGTGGTTATTCGCCGCAGGCGCGATTTGCTCGAATAGGTTGGCCAACTACTGCTATCGTTCCTGTTCCCCGTGAAATGACTGCTCGTTTAGCTGTCTTTCACCTCGCAGAGCCAGTAAGGAGGTCGTTCTCTGGCAATGTGACAGGAAGTGACCATCACAGTGCTCAACTGCCCGCGAATGAGACAGGAGTGTTTCTGCCCTCGATCACGGCCTGGGGTGTTGTTGACCTTCACTGCTCGCCTAACTTTGAGAAATTGCAAAAGCGGTGTTCTGTCATTTTCTGGCGAAATGTCTCGACAGCCAACACATGGAATTCCTCGCAGGTACCCGGGCTCACCGCACTTGCGATCGGCGAGCCCAGCTGGGCGGTGAGATGCGGATTCTTGTACTGCAAGGACGGAGTTCCTGTACAGTAGTATTTTTGTGCCCCGGGTGGTCTAGTGGCGGTTGCCGGAGCGCGAATTGCCAAAAATGAGTGCTAGAGCGGCGGACTAGCAGACACACCCGTCTTCCGCAGCTTCTGGTGCTGGAGTTGAAGGTTTCTGGCGTGCAGGACGGGCCACGCTGACGGGACGGAATTGCAAAGGGACTCACTAGTTCTGTGGTGGCCCAACAGGCTACCAGTCTTGTTCTGTGTTGTAGAGCTGGTTTTTGAATTGTACGGAGGCCAGTAGCGGCCCAGTGGCGCTATTATTGAGAATCAGGTATCCCCAGTGGCAGTCCATGTCTGCAGCTTGGCCTATTAGTGAGCTCTTTTCAGGCGTCTGGCTTCCCGGGGCGGCGTGGCTCCGGGCACCTGCACGCACTTGCACATAGGGCTGTAGGCGGTACTGTACAGCACACCAGCTCCAGTGAGCCTCACTTAGCCGGGCCACTCTCCCTTCCCTCAGATGCCCTCCTCCCTTCCTACAGGCCCCGCAGAGAGTGTGTCCCAACCAACTACGAGTACCACCGGCTTGCTGTTTACGAGTTGCTCTGCTTTGCTTGCTTGCGTGTAATGTGTGTTGCAAGGGTGCTTTGCTGACATCCATCACTGTTGTCCCGACTGGCCTCTGACACTCGTCGCGCACATTCTGAACAGCCGCAGTTGACTTAATTTCCTTCTCTTGCAAGTCACCACCAGCCCTCACCGTCTTCGCCAGAACAGCAGCACAAGACATTCGGTCAAGACTACAGTCTCCAAGAAACTTCAGATCCTGCGTCAGCGCAATTCGCAGACCCTCCGCAGTTCAGCCTAGTGAGCCTAGAGGTGATTAAGTCGATTGTGGCGCGCCGGCCCTGCCACTTCCGCTACCTTTCTCACACATCTCCCCTACGGAGGACACCCCTTGCCAATCCGATACAAGCAGGAACGCGCCTCCCATCTACCAGCAAATTGTCCGAGCACTCCCATCAACATAACCGAAAACATCTGTCACCTTACCCACTACACTACCGTCCTCACACGCCGCAGCCTTGAACCCGAACTGCTCGGTGCCAGTGAAGAAAGGGGAGGACTTGTCTATCCACTTTCCCAGCACGACCCCTTGCGGGTCTGCTTCCGACAACCACTCCTCCCGAATTAGCTTCCCTTAGCTACCTGGAGCGTTGTCGACTTGTTGGATCCTGTAATATCCTCAGCATCATTTCTCGAAGCTCTACCCGACTTGTCATTTACCCTCCCTATTCCATCAACTCACGCTCGCTACAGACCTGTCGACCTTGACCTGACGAACGTTCGACCAACCGCACCACCACGACTGTCACGCAGCCTGGGAGAAACATACGAGCATTCGACGACGAATGTACACACAAATGACGTTGTGAGGCCTCAACGATCCCTCAAACAGGGCCTCCGGCAACCTGGTCGAGACTTTTTGGTTGATATTTCTATTGTGGATCAGACAAGTTGATCGTAAGACGTTGGAAAGACCATATCCGGACCGAGGCCATGGCTATTATCGACTATAATCAAAGGGCTTCCTCCTTCAGCATGGTCGCCTTGGAGGACAGGTTCGAGGTGATCAAGGAGATCGGAGATGGCAGTTTTGGAAGCGTACATCTTGCCAGAGTAAGGGCAAACGGTGCCAATGTTGCTCGGCGCAATACGATGGTAAGTGAGGGAGATCTGGGTAGGGTGTATATCCGCTAACACCCCCCCTAGGTTGCGATCAAGACGATGAAGAAGACGTTTGAGTCTTTTTCACCGTGCCTGGAACTCCGAGAGGTCATCTTCCTCCGAACCCTGCCAACACATGCTCACCTCGTCCCTGCTCTGGACATCTTCCTCGACCCGTACAGCAAAAAGCTCCATATCTGTATGGAATACATGGATGGTAATCTTTATCAATTGATGAAAGCCCGCGACCACAAGTGTCTGGATGCCCGAAGTGTGAAAAGTATCCTTTACCAGATCCTTTCGGGCCTCGAGCACATCCACTGTCACCACTTCTTCCACCGTGACATCAAACCGGAAAACATTCTCGTCTCTTCTTCCGCCCCTCACGATTCTCAGTCCTCATTCAGCAGATACTCTTCCCTTGTCACGCCTCCATCCACCCCGCCGACATATTCCATCAAGATCGCAGATTTTGGTCTAGCTCGAGAGACGCATTCAAGATCACCATACACTACCTATGTCTCCACGAGATGGTACAGAGCTCCCGAGGTCCTTCTACGGGCGGGAGAGTATTCCGCTCCTGTCGATATTTGGGCTATTGGTGCTATGGCAGTTGAGATCGCAACCCTGAAGCCCCTCTTCCCCGGAGGCAATGAAGTCGACCAAGTCTGGCGGGTATGTGAAATCATGGGTAGCCCTGGCAATTGGTACACCAAGTCTGGCACCCGTGTCGGGGGCGGTGAATGGAGAGAGGGCACAAAGTTGGCCCAAAAGCTAGGCTTCTCGTTCCCCAAAGTAAGTCGTAACATCAGCCATGTTGCTCGTTCGTTCTGCTGACTGTTACAGATGGCCCCTCATGCTATGGAGACGATCCTTCAGCCTCCCCAGTGGCCTTTGGCGTTTAGCAACTTTGTAACTTGGTGCCTGATGTGGGATCCCAAAAACCGGCCAACTTCAAGACAAGCCATGGAGCATGATTTCTTTACAGATGCTGTTGACCCGCTCAGACCCAAGTCATCCTCAAGGCTACTGGGCCGGAAACACTCAGATCTCAGTTTCAGGTCCAAGGATACTGCCGAAACACCTACCATCACGTCCAAACCTTCCTGGTTCCGGAGATCACTCATCGCACGGGAGAGCGCCCCTGCTGTTCCTCAACATAACCCTGAGTCCAAAGTGGTACAACAACAAGAGCCTGAGAGTGTGGTCAGCAGACTCCGACCCCAGGCGAACAAGCGTGCAACGTGGACCAATGGCACAAATCCTATCGGGGCAGCACCAATGCCCATTTTACCTTCCATTCGACCCATTTCGCCCCTGCCGAATGCTGTTACCGCCCAAGCAAGTTCCGCCTTTACTTCTCAAACAGAATCGAAGCCTAGTTCCAAGGCAACGGAGGAGAAGTCGAAGAAGATTGGCAGGCAGCTGTCGCTTAATTCCCATGGCAACCACTACGCGGATATTCACCGACAAGAAGCCGAGCGCGCATTAAATGCCAACAGTGGCTTGGTCTCACCACCTAGCGGCCAGAAGGAGAGCTTCTTCTCGCATTTACGGAAGCGAGCGAGACGCTTCTCTGGCAGACATGGCTTGGCATCACCAAGTGGTGATGATGTTGAAGCGAATGCCGCGAATGTACCATGGTCAAATAGGTCCTCTCTCATGGTCGATAGTGTCATCCCTGAGACCAACCAAGACTTTTCGGATCTTGACAAGATCCTACAAAATGTGAGGTATAGTCTGGATCGTGAAGAGGCAGAAGCGGCCTCGAGGAGCCATTCGAACAGCAAGAACAACCAAGGATCCTTGAAGAGGACTCACTCCGTGCCTCGTTCAGAAGGTCGACGGTCCAGCGAAAACCCCACACCAAATGCAACCAATTTGACGACTCGGGCACGGCGTCCTCCCGTTCAAGCCAATCAATACGAGACGCCTGAGGAGGCCGACGAACTGCTGGATGAAGCTCTGAGGTCGGCCAACCGGGCCGTGAGACGCCTAGACCAAAACACGAATACAAAAGAACAGCCACAACGACAGGTTCTGGCACAAAAGGATTACCATCGACAGTCACTACCACACATATCGAGCAACCCTACCCTTCAAGGTGCATACTTGACACCATCGCCATCCGCAAAAAGAAATGGTGTGCAATTCAATGCAACGCCAGCTCAACCTTTGAATATTACCAAGAAACGCAACGACAACGAGCATGTAAACTCCCTTTGGCCGACGCCGCCTTACGAGGAAAATGAATGGGGAGCAGCGGCTGCCAACTCTATTTTCGCAGCTGGATCGTCTATCTATCGATAAAAAGATTTCCCGACCGACCACACTCGCTTCAACCCTGAAAAGTTCCTCGTCGTGACTACCTGACGAAAATCGTGTTCCTTGATATCCTGTACGAAAAGACCAAGAGTGTTGTCGCCTATGAAGGTGTTTTTTTTTTTTGAGTTATTTTGGCGTTGACAGCCTATCACGGCTTTTTTTCCCTCATCCTTTGGGCAACAGTAGGTTGCTACTCTCTCGTTGCCTGTTGAGTTTTCATACTGTCCTGTGAGCTGCGAGCTCAGCATATCTGGTTGTTGCATTGAATCTTGGAGTCTTTTGCGAGAACGAATCGAGAGTTTCTTGGGACCAGTTTTTGTATGGACAGCATTTTGGGTTTTGCCGGTGGTGATATTGGCGACCTTGGCAGCTTGAACAGCGACAAAAAGATTTCCATTTGTTAATCCTCCTCATGAGAAAGAGGTTGTACAGCTAGATATATCAATATGTATGGAAAGGACTACTGGCGAAATAGGAACAGTACGTAGGGCCTATGCTGGGATTTGCGTTAGATGGCTCTGAAAAGGGGACATTCGATGAATCAACCGAGATAAGCTCTCCTTTTCGCTTAGTCTTTGCTTCTCACTATATTGTGGCCTCTTTCTCGCGGGTGGGTTTACTCCTCAAAGGAAGCACCCTGGGATATACGGTCTGATGGACGGCATGTTTCCTGAAGCACGATAAGTACCAGACGGGATGAGAACGATGCCCTGTAGCGGTAGAACGAAGGGCAGAACCTAAACTCAGGTGGTCCGCAGCTACCCAGCGTCCAGACATGATGGCAGGCTGGTGAGGCCGAGTTGGGATCGTGCGAGGGCGACGTGAGGGTGTCGAGTCGTGCGGCTGACGGTTTTACGTTGACTAACTAACTAGAACCGGGCACGGTCGGGGGGGATCCCTGCCAAGACTTTTTTTGTAACTCTGTAGATGCGGAATGCTTCACCTGCGGCTCCGTTGAGCTTTATCCCGTGCCTGAGGTACCGCAACGTCGACACTGGGCAGGCTCTAGAACCGTTCGGACCGTTGTTGAATCCGCACCCCCTCCCAAATCTTGCTGCTCAGATCTCTTTCGTCTCTGGGCCTGATATACTTGTCCGCCCGTACCTCTTCACACCGGGCTACGATGGCGTCGTCCCGCGGCGCAACTCTCTCGCTGTGCCAGTCATGTCTGCGCAATGCTCTCCGTGGCGGTCGCAGCAGCACCAGCACCAGCAGTTCCTCGAACCGAAATCATGCGACCCTCCAATTCCACCGGCCTTCCTCCTCGAAACACCAACTGCGAGTCAGGACGAGCTTGTCGTTCCGTAGACCGGCGTCGACCGACCAGAAACCGCCCGTCGTCCTCGAGCAGCCGGACAAGTTTCGGCCGCCGTCGCACCCTTCACGACTGAATGCTCGCCGAAGGACGCCGGGGGCTTATAACCAGGGCACGACGGCTCAGGAGAAAGAACAGCAGAAGACCCGGACGTATCCGCACATGTTCCCGCCCAAGGGCTCGTTCATGCATTGGTTCTTGACGGATCGGTGGATTCACATTTGGATTACCATGGTAAGTACGATGGCGTGGTGTTTTATTGTTAGTTTGTGGTGTATATGTACATGTGTACATGGATGGTTGTATATCTGTGAGGGTGTGAAAATGCGTGTGGGTGTATATTATGTTATTGTTTTTTTTGGGGGCATCTGTGTACATGTCATACGACGGCCCTCTCGCTAACGGTTGACAACTTTGTGTTCTTCCAGGGAACTCTCACCATCCTGGCGTGCATCACGCTCACTCAGACCTTCGTCAAGACTTCCCCTTACGCGCACCTCCTCCCGCCCATCTCGACCCTGCCGTTCCACCCGCTCGAATACATCCGCGAGTCCATGGCCGTGGTCAGGCTCCACATCGACTACACGACCGCGCAGGCCAACGAGAGCAGGCAGCAGAAGATCCTGGACGCGCAGAAGCGCAGGCTGTACCGCCGCGCGCACGGCATGGAAGACCTCGACGCCCAGGAGGAGCAGGGGATCGACGTCCGCGGCCTGGTGCCGTGGGACGACGGCTTGACGAACGCCGAGCGCGAGCGCGGCGGCAGGGAAGAGGCCGTCACCGGCAAAGCCGTCATTGAGAAGGGCGGACGGCTCGGTGACGACGTGGACGAGTTCGCGAGGAAGATGAGGGAACGGAGGGAACGGGGAGAGCCCGAGGAGTTGACCGAGCACCAGCAGCACCAGCAGCCGGAAAGGAGGAAGAGGAAGCTCTGGTTGGGTATCTGGTAAAGAACAAAAGAAGAAACGAACCTTGAAAGGTGCGAAACAAGGCGACTTTCTTTCTGTATTGCCAATTTAACCTTTACTCCGCCCTTCATTCTCAATTCCCGATATCCAATGCTCGGTGTTCCCTGGACTCTGGAGAACCAAACGATTTGTGCCCAGTAGTATTCGTCCCTTCGCACATGTAACTCGGGATCAGGGACGTAAAGCGTGTATCGTGTACTAAATTACTAAAGCTTTGTAGAACACACCTGTACTTTGGAGATGTCGACAACCGTATAGGTTTATTTATGTTTATATTTATGTGTGAGGTACTTCACAAGATTCGGGATAAAGTATATGCCATCTCTTGTACAGCATCTGATATCTCGTCTTCTCTACCATTATTTACGCGAGACCAGTGCCTGTAGGTATTAGCGTACCGAGGTTTCTGAAGCATGAGCGGGACACCCAGCTCCTTGTAAGTCTCATGAAGTCGCCCAATCACTCCCCCTTCTTCCATTGCTGTAGACATAAAACCATCCAACGACCTTTCCTTACTCTTTTAGAGACTCGATTGACTGCGTTCCAATATGACACGAGTGGATGTTGCTCTTCATGTCCAAGATCGTTGGCTTCTTTTGAAAGGGTCGCCGCACTTCGGCGCTAACAACTCCTGGGAAAAGGTGAGTAAACCACACACCAGCGTATGTCGTCAACCCTAGCGATCGGCCGGGTCATAAGTCGAGGAAGAGCGAGTAGTCTGGATTTTTGACACTAGAGAAGCGTCGGTCGGGAACAAGGCTTCTCTTGTCTGGTAGCCGTCGGAACGAAACAGGACGATAGGCGAGAAGCACGCATCGAAAACCCGCTTTAACCACCACTCATTAGGTAGTTACAGTTCTGTTGTCATCAACACTGTCATGCCAAAGCAAGCATATTCAGATTATGCCGACATTACCCGCAAGTGACGTGCCCTTTGAGAAATGGAGCGGATGTGCTTAATATCTGGTCTTCCACCCAAATGTGAATGTTTCCGTTGCAGCGCAGAGTCACCCGTTGGAACTCTCCCGCCACTGTGCGAAAAGGTCCTTCTGCGGCCCTCCTTGAACGGGTTGCAAGGCTGTCATAGCGGCATGCCACAAGACGGTTCTGAGAAGGTCTGCAAAATGTTCTTCGTTTCGTAACATCGTCTACTCGCGAATCATGTGTCCCATACGACCAATCTTGGTCTCAAGATACTTTTCAATCTCTGCTCCTCGAATTCCCTTTGCCCCTGACGTTCGCCATGCGATAGGTATCATGGCGACTCTTTCCCGAACACGAACTTCCTTGTTAGGTCCTTCGACCGCTCTGACTTTGTCGGGGTTGTTCGTCAGGAGTCTGATACCTCGTTCCTCAGCGGGCTTCTGTGCGTCGCTGTCGGTTCCGAGTCCAAGATCCTGAAGAATGGCAGTCGCCAAGCCATATGTCCTCGCGTCGGCAGGGTGTCGAAGTAAAAGATTGGCTTCGACCGTGTCATTCCCCAAATCTTGCAGATTGTATGCCTTTAATTTTGAGGCCAAGCCAATTCCTCGTCCTTCCTGTCGCAGATACACAATGACACCTCCTGGAGAATTCGGCAGCGACATCAACCGCGCCGCTTCGTCAAGCTGCTCTCCACAATCGCAGCGAGCAGACCATGCGGTCTCACCGGTATAGCACTCCGAGTGTATGCGAACCAGAGGGGCTTTTCCTGGAGCCTTCAACTCTAGAGATTCTAGTACAGGCTCGAGACCGGTTTCGCCCCTCTGAGGCTGTTCCAGGTTCTGTTCGTCCTGTGTGCTTGCAGGTGGCTGCACCGAAGCAGTGGCCTCCGCTTCTAAAACTGCTTCTTCAGCGACGGTTGTGACGTTTTTCAGTGCAGAGCCACTTCTTGTACGTTTCCCGAGTGGTCGCTTTGTCGGCTCTGCGTCTATCCTCGAACTTGTGCGTCCTGGCCGAAGTCTCCCAACGTAGGCTCCTCGGATCATGCGATCCATCTCTGTCTCTCCAGGTCGTTCGGCGTCTAAAGTGCGACTACGGATGTTATTGCCAAACACGATTGCGAGATGCTCTTTGTTATCTGAATCGTTCTGATACAAGTGTAAAAACATTTCTGCGCCAGAAGTGGTGGGTATTCTAGCTCGCACCAAGCATTCCACGTTCGGTAGCTTCTCTACCAACCGCGGCTGCTTTGTAGAAGGCTCGTCAAGCGACGTATCGACCGGGGTCGATTTTGGTTCGGCATGGAGGTGACGAGACGGCGTAGAAGCTCCTGGTGTTGCGGGTGGAGTAAACGCAGGCGATATCAGGTTGTTTGGAAGCCCCGGAGTCCCAGGTCCATCGTCATGGAGATCTGACCAGTTACTCAGATAACCTGCCGAAGGTCGCGGGACCGGAGAGATCATGGGAGAGGCATGGGAAGGGAGTTCTTCGGTCGCATGGGCCATGGCGGCAGCGGTAATGATAGATCTCCTGCTAGGTGGTAGTATCAAGACAACAGCATCTCGGACGTCTGTATTAAACTGAAGCACATGGGATAATGCGATACTGTGCTCTTTGTAGGTCTGCCGGGGCCAGTGTCGGGAAGAGGGGACGATGGCAATGGAAGTGGAGGGAATTGTTCGCAATTTTGATTGATGGGAGGAAGATATTGGATGGACGGACGCTGACGAAATCGGAGCCTCGGTTTGCACTCCGCACTTTTTTCCACTTGCTTGGTCATTCCGCGCCTGGAATTGGGTAAGCCACACACACGCAGCGAGACACAGCAACGCCTCAGTTCAGTCGAGACGCAAGTCCCGTCACTATAGTTGTATACATCACTAATCATGCCCACGACGAGTCGTCGAGACCTCCTCTCTGCCGCCCAAGCATTTTGCAACACATTCGCTGAACAAAAACCACCCGAGGAGATCTTCGGCCACTTCTCATCATCGGACCGTGTTCTGGCGCTTGAGCATGGCTTGCCGCAGCTCGCGCCCTTCCTGGGCCGAGAGTTCCGGGGTCAAGATGGCATTCGGAAGTACTTTCAGCTGCTGTCTGAAAAGTTGAAATATGAAAACATGCGCTTCAGCAATTTCGTGGTCGACCCAGAGACGTCAAAGGTATCATGTCGCGGAGAGGCTCGGTTTGTGTGGGCTGCTACCGGGCAGGGCTGGGACGAAGTCTTCACCTATGTTCTGGAGTTTGATGACCAGAACAAGGTCAAGGTATATGAGATCTGGGCAGACACTGGCGCCGCCTATCTAGCTAGCAGAGCGGAACTGGAACAGTGAAAAATAAGTGAAAGTAATATTGTACTGGTAATCATCTGGGGTGCAAAACCAGCCTTTCGCGGTATCAAATCGTCAGCATCATCAAAGTCATCTCATCCGAGGGTCCAAGACAAATCCCGCATCGACAAGCATCTCCTTATCATCCTCGTCGAATTTGAGGCTATACGTAGTCTTCTGAAAGCTCTTGACCTTGGCTCGGTAGAATGTATCCGTGTCCGGGTACTTCGCATACACATTGGCGCCAGTCGGGAATTGGGCAGTGGTCTGCGCGGGTTGCGGGATGGGTACAAGATCCCTGGCTGTTGCTTTTCGAACCACCTGTTTGCCGGAAGGGTCGTCTTCCGGGTCTCTAACATCGTATTGGATGCTGCCAGCACGTTAAAATTTGAGGCGCAAGGGCTCGGAGAGACTCGACTTACGGTTTCTTGTCCTGCCACACCTTTTTGATGATACCATGAATGCCAACGCCTTCTTCCTGTTCTTGCAGCTCCTTGGGATATTTATAGAATACTTCGCTCCCAGCAACAAGTTGACCAGCACGTTCTGCTTGGACTCCTTTATGCATTTCGACACCATCATCCTTCGGGACTGCTGCGGCTCGGTTTTGGCTAGCCGTGCTGGAACTGCGCTGTGTGGCTCCCTTGACGCGTTTCATCATCTCCAAACGACCTTCCCCAGGGCTCGGACCAGGTGATTCGACCACCACGTCTGACTCGACGACTGGTCTTTGGTGCTTACGTGATTTGCCTACTCCGTTTCTAGGAGCAGGTTCATCCGGAGACTTCATCGTCGCAAGGACAGCGAGAAGGTTGATGATGTCCTCGTCGTCCTGTACCTTCTTTTCGTTCTCTGCGCACTTGAGCATTTCCCGGTACAGAGCATCGAGTCGTCGGTGGTTATCAGGGGTAGAATCTGGAGGATCAGGTCATTATCAGGCCTGCTGTCTCTTTGCAAGCATACAAAAAGAAAGCAGCAAATGCAAACCATCCATGTGAGTCTCGATCCGACAAAGATGTCCCCGGCAACCTTGTGGGAAGATACTAGCATCAACAAAGTAGGAGTAAGGGCTCACTCACGTCCAGCTGCCTTGATGTCTTCCTCCAGAGCCATAATCTCCTGTCCTATGCGTTTGGACTGATCATTGTAGCTTTGTGCTTTCCTCAGACCCTCGATCACTCGACTCAGATAATCGTTCTCAAGATCTGCTTCCTTGCCTTCGCGGCTGGTCAACCCACGCCCACCCCGTGGTCGGCTACTCATCTTGTTTCCTGTGGCGATAGAATACAAGAGATCCGGGTTGATATCAGCGTTCCGTATAAAATATAAATCTGTGAGGATTTCGTCTATTACTGTCCTGCTTTATGGATCCAGAGACGCGTTCAGAATATGTTGAATCGTTGATCTTGTTAATGCTGCGCTTTCAATGAAGGCGTCCCTGTGTCTCCACGTAGTTGGATAGCAGAATATACCAGAATTCAGCTATTGCAGACATCCTTCAAGGCTATAAAATTTGCGCATATGAAAAACCAGAATAATATAAGAAAGTACAAGTTTCCTGGTTCATCAGGACCTGCTGCATCCGAGCAGAGGGCTTGGACGATGGCGGTATCTTAGTGTGATTGGCTGAGACAGTGTACGTTACGGCACGACTTCACAAGGCGCAGATTTATACGGCGGAGTTGAAATTCACCCTGCGTATCGCCCGATCTGGCCAACGGTTCCGACACGTTGGCATTGGGTGGCAGCGTCAACAGGAAAGTATGACTTCAAGCCACATAGACCTCATTCACCCCCAAGAAAGATTTTCGTTCCAGGGACAGATATCGTGTTAAGAGCTAGGCAATCACAAAAGTCCACTTCAATTACACACTCTGAGGGAAAACACTCCCAAAAGTCATCAAAATGCAGATTCCTCTCATTCGTCTGCAATGCGGTAAGTCACACACATCTCATGTACTACCACCTCACGATGGACTAACACTTTGGAAGGCTGCAACAGCTACGACTGGGGTGAGTGCTGAATCATATACATATATTGCCGCCGTGCTGACCGCCACAAGGAAAGAAAGGTAAAGACTCAGCAGCCGCTCGTTATGCCGCGGCCACCCCTTCCGACACCTTCTCGATCCAAGATGATAAGCCATACGCTGAGGTGAGCTCTGGTGTATCAAGCATCTCGCGAGTACAAACTCACATCCACAGCTTTGGATGGGTACCCACCCATCTCTTCCCTCCAAAGATCTGTCTACTGGCCGCTCCCTCTTGGACATGGTTTCCGACAACCAAGCTTTGATAGGCACCGATATTGCGACGAAATACCAGGACAAACTGCCCTTCCTCTTCAAAGTGCTTTCCATCGCCAAAGCTCTATCCATCCAAGCGCATCCCAACAAGAAACTTGCAGAGCAACTTCACGCTAAGGACCCGAAGAACTACCCGGATGACAATCACAAGCCTGAAATGACGCTCGCCGTCACTCCTTTTGAAGGCCTTTGCGGCTTCCGCCCTCTCAAGGAGATTGCACACTTCTTATCAACCATTCCTCCTCTGCGATCCCTTGTCGGCGAAGAAGCCTCGGCGGCTCTCGAGAAAGTGGCTTCGAACCCCAACGCCTCTGTGGCAGAGTCCAAGTCCGCTCTGAAATCCGCTTTCAGCACACTCATGAAGTCGGACCGATCTGCAGTGGCATCCAAGTCCAAGGAACTCGTCTCGCTGGCAGAGTCTGGTGACATTACGCCTGGTCCCAGTGTCAACACGGCCGAGGAGCTGTGCGAACTCGTCACACGCTGCAACGGTCAATTCCCCGAGGACATTGGTCTATTTGTCCTCTTCTTCCTCAACTACGTCAAGCTCTCACCAGGACAGGCCATGTACCTCAAGGCTGACGACATTCACGCCTATATCTCCGGTGACATCATTGAGTGCATGGCTTCTAGCGATAATGTCATTCGCGCGGGCTTCACGCCCAAGTTTCAGGACGTCAACACTCTCACAGACATTCTGACGTACGACCACGATCCTCCTGAGCAGCAGCTCCTCAAGCCGACAGATTACCCCTATGTGAAGCTCAATCAGATCGCGTACAGTAGCGGGAGCGAGAGTCGGTTGTACGACCCGCCGATCGAGGAATTTAGCGTGGTACGCACCGTCCTCAAGAAGGATGGGGCGAAAGCGACGTTTGATGGCGTGGCTGGCCCTAGCATCATCATCTGTACGAGCGGTGAAGGTAAGATCAGCGTTGGTCCCAAGACGGAGGAGCTCAAGGAAGGATGGGTCTATTTTGTCGGTGCTACGGCGGAGCTCGTGCTTGAGAGCGCCAGCGAGGAATTGGTCACCTTCCGCGCGTTCTGTGAGATTGACGCTGGTGCCAAGGGGAATGGGCATTGACTATCTGGGGCCAATGCCAGTGAAAGAAGTTTGCTGTGAGACGCCAGGCTGATGAGCAGGTGGACGAAGGAATTGCACTGTGAGATTGGTCGATGATGGGCACACGAGCATCATGAGAATATAGGTTAGATATTGGTAATAGAAAATCGGGACCCAACAGTTTAGATGTCTATGGACTAGGTGTAGACTGTGAGTGGACGCTTCCCAGTCTTCTACTGTAAGGCACAATTGTCCCTGTAGATACCAAAAGATGTGGCGGAGATTCTGTAAGGTAGTGATCGGCCGATATGTACCAGAGGCTGAGGGTGATGAAATGAGGAGAAACGCAAGGTTTCACAGATGATGCCGGTGACACCACCGGATGGGCATTCCTGATTTGTAATGCCAACGTCCAAGGGCGGTCACTGGGACTAGATTTCAACAATGTTCATTTAGCTTGAAAGTAATCATTCTCATCGAGACATCACCAAAGGAGTTGTCGTCAAACTTCCATATCTGAGAAAAGTATATTGACGAGTACAGTTGAGTCGAGTTGACGGTCTCGCTTCCAACTTGTCGGCTTCTATATTGCGTTGCAGCCCGAACTACACTGTCAACCCCCCTCGAAATGGCACCAATCCGCGTAGGAATCGTCGGACTGTCCAGTAAGCCAGGAGCCTGGGCGACGTTGGCTCACCTACCTCGCCTGGCGTCATCGCCAAACTACCAGATCGTGGCATTGTGCAACTCATCGTTAGAATCGACCAAAGCAGCCATCAAAGCACACAACCTACCTCCGACGACGAGGGCATACGACACCTACGAGGCGCTCGCGGCAGACCCGGACGTCGATCTGTACGTGGTATCAACTCGAGCCGACACCCACTACGACGTGGCGATGCCCGCGTTGAAGGCCGGGCGCAACGTCTTTGTAGAGTGGCCCCTTGCCGCAAACACCGAGCAGGCGAAGGAGATGGCGGCGCTGGCCAGGGAAAAGAAGGCCAAAACCATCATCGGCCTGCAAGGGCGCATGGCACCGAGCGTGAAGAAGGTCAAGGAACTGATCGACACCGGCGCGATCGGCGAAATACACAGCGTCAACTACCAGGGGGCCATCCACGTGTGGCAGAACAACGCGGCGAGCGACCGGTACCGCTACTTCATGGACCGGAAGATAGGGGGCAACCTGCTGACTATATATGGAGGACACGTGCTAGACTCGATCCTCTATGCGGTCGGAGAGCTGAAGCCGGGCAGCTACACGCCCATGGCGGTCAACCTGAGGCCGAAAATGCACGTCATGAAGAGCGACGGGTCGCTGTCGGAGGAGCTGTACGACAAGAACACACCTGACCAGATCCTCGTGCAGGGCAGGTTGGACCGACACCCTTCGGCCGTGTTCAGCTTCCACCTCAGAGCTGGGGACCGGTTCATCGGCTGTCCGGGGTCGACGTGGAGAATATACGGGACCAAGGGGGAACTGGCGGTCGAGTTTGCTAGCGCTGGCCCGCAAATGGCAAAGGCCATCAGTATGCGCTTCTCGAACGCTGAGAAGGGCGTGGTGGAGGACATTGTCGTCGACGAGGGTGGCGATGAGTGGACGCAGTTGCCGAGCCAGGGCCAGAACATCGGCCGCCTGTACGAAGCGTATGCCGAGGGCCAGCCGTATGGAGATTTCGACCTCGCCGTCAAGAGACACGAGCTGATTGATGAGTTCTGGGCCAGTCTGGCACTTTGACGGCATTTGGTGCAAATGTAAAAGCAACGCCCCTTTTAGCAGTACTCGCACGAGTAGTTGGAACCCGGTACTTGTAGAGGATAAACATCTTGCCCAACGAGGCTAGGAAGAAAGAAAAAATACAAACGAGTATTCGGGTGGCCTGAGGCTCAGCCGGGGCGACCGGCGACACGCCGGCTTTCATTCTTACCTGGGAAATATCCATGCATGATGGTTACATGATGTCGGGATGACCTTTGAAGCGTCTGCTACCACCCGGTTTTGCGATTACACCCTACAACAAAGATACGTAGTGATGACGGGGGCTCAGCAGATCGTGTGTCTTGTGGTGCTTGGAGGTAATTGAGTGCACCCAAGCTTGATTTTTGGCACGGGCAGCCGGTGTCCCGGGGGGTTGATAGAGGAGACGTCATGGATGAATTCAGGTAATTAGGTGGTCGGGAACAGCTGGGTACGAGCACCTGCGAAGCTGCATGCCTACTGGGAGAACTCGCGTTCGTAAGGGAGGTATCTCGGGTCCTTGTCCAGCTGGGGTGTGTTTCTGGCTCATTCAGCAGCGTCCCTTGTTGTATTGTAGGAGGATGCTATGTACAATTACTACTTTCATTACTCCCTACCTCCAGGTATCTATGGAGCACTCTTTTATATGAGAAATTTATTCTGGCAGATCGGATGCGAGTCCCTACGCAGCCCGAAAGTGCCCGAACAGGCTCAGAATGACAATGGCCCGGCGGTAATTGGACGGAAGCGCAGAGAACGAGCCACTTTTCGGGCGCCACAGTTGATTCCTTAGAGGCAAAAGCAGAGCAAACCACAGCAAACCACAGCAAATCTAAGCGCAAAACTGGAAGCCCATGCAAGCTACGAGCAACGGGCGATTCGATCCTGGCGCCGTCAACTCCGTCATATATACATTTTTCCTTTCCCTTTCTTCCATCTTTTTTTCCTCGCCATCTGCTCCTGAGCTATACAACGCCCTCACCACTCCTCAGATTGTCTTTCATCACTAGTCTCTTTCACGTAGACAGCATCACCACCTTTCAAAATGGCCAAGGGAGCCGAATCATTCAGCCAGGGTAAGTTGTCTCTCGTCCTCTTCACAGCAACAACAGCTTCGCAGCAGCTTCACGTTTGTTTGTTGGGGCCCTCATTCACTACGAATTCACCTGTTCGTCACTGGAGGTGCACTCTGGCCTTCGGCTAGCATGACTTCCAAGCTCGACGATCCGATCGGACCTCTATCGCGACACATGCTCTACCGCCGTCCCATCCGCGCACGTTCAACGCAAGATCGTACCGCTTCTGAAAGCAAAGTCTCACCTCTGCTTCGAAACAATGCCGATCTGGGATTCAGTGTGTCCGCAAGAGCTTGCAGAATTAACATGGGCACCCCCGAGAGACAAACAAGCTGAAGCTGCTGTGAAGGAGGACACGTCACGCAGTGTCGAAAACAAGATCAAAGTCGAGAACACAAGCTCACAAAGTTTCCCTACAGGTGACGCCAAGAAGGGTGCCGGTCTCTTCAAGACGAGATGCCAGCAATGCCACACCGTCGTCGAGTCAGAAGGCAACAAGATCGGTCCTAACCTACACGGTCTCTTCGGTCGCAAGACCGGTTCAGTCGAGGGTTTCTCCTACACCGACGCGAACAAGCAGAAGGGTATCACATGGGACGAGAACACTCTGGTATGTCTATGTTGTTTTGTGGTTTCTCAAGAGCACCAATACTGACGAGCCGCAGTTTGAATACCTCGAGAACCCCAAGAAGTACATTCCCGGCACCAAGATGGCCTTCGGTGGTCTCAAGAAGGCCAAGGACCGAAATGATCTGATCACGTTAGTTCACCACAACGTTGTCAATCTTTGTTTTGTTTTTACTGACCTGTTTTGTAGTTGGTTGAAGGAGGAGTGCTAGACGGCGCAACCTCTCTCCTTTCGCGCCCCAACAACCATGCGACGGAATCCATGGTCTCAACTTTTTGTTTCTGCGGCGGAATGGTCGGCTGCTGTATCATCAATAACGGCAATGGCGCACACTGCCTCGTAATCGGATCATGAAACTGGGGTTCCGCGCTTGCATACCGAGACCATGATGAGAAATCCCGGAGAAGCCGGTAGATGAAGCTCTAATGTACATAAACCATCCTTGTTTTCCTTCATGCGCGTACCTGCGTTTTCGCATGCGACAATGGCAGAATAGCTGCGAAGGATAGACAAATCAAGCAACTACTCTCTGCTCCTGCATATCTACCTACGTACTCGACACGTCCCTGGTCCGTGCAGGCAGTCCTCTTCTGCACACAACCACGTTCTCAGCCGGATGTGACTTGACTTTCTGCTACGGAGTTGATCAAGGCTAATCGCTGATAAGCCAGTGTCGGTCCTGTACCTCCACTGGCGGACATTTCTCAGTTGGGCTGACAGTGACTAACTAACTAGAGAAGCGACCCGTCGGCCGCCCTTGCATCAAGAATCCCTGTTCTAGACCGGTTCCGGCATATCATTGGCGGCCGTCGTCCCCCGGCAGAGACATGCCAGCTGTCCCAGCCTCCAACATTTCGTTCTTGGTTGATCTTTCTTTGTTGCAGACAGTTGCCCTACGCGGACTCGTCTCGCACTATGCTCTTCGCAGGCAGACAACGTCCCTGATCAGCCAGAATCACCGACCGTGTTCGAGAAAAGGCTGGGCTGGCGATGGAAAGTGTCCCGCAGTCTCCAGACATGGGCTTTTCTATTTGGCCTTCTCAAACATCATGACTTCAATGTATGGAGTAGCTGCGATCTCCCGTTTGAATTGAAACAGTCAATGCGCTCTCTTTCCTTGTTGGCCTCTCCCCTTGTATCCGTTGCCTGGTGAGCCGTGGCTGGTACAAGTACAAAACCACCGCGGTGACGGCTGGCCGTTTGGTCGACCGCCCCCCATACCCCTCCTTCATCCAACCTCATCTGCACGCTGTTGTTCTTACTTTATACCCTCCTAGTTTGTTCTTGACATGGCTGCCATGATGCCAGCGCCACCGTTCGACGAGTTTTACGCCGCAGGGATGAATGACGATGCGCATTCGTTACAAGCGTCAATAGAGGACTTTGAGGAGCAGGAGCGCCAGTCCCCCCTCTTCCCCGATTTGAGGTCAGAGCGTGAAGAAAGCGAGTTTGACGATAGGTTGAGTGAAGGATTGCCGTGGTCACCGCCTGGGTTCAAGAGGAGGATGTCCAATGCGAGTAACTGGTTCCGGCAAGACCCATATGGACAATACAGCCTAAAGCCTTCCATAAGCCCTTCGCGATCGCGCCAGACAAGTCCAGAGATATACCAAGATGCCACGGACGGCGCTGGAGATCCAGACATCACGATAGCGGTTAATACGCCTCTGCCTAAAGGCACAGATTCACCCAGTCGAGGACAGTCTCCAGAGGTCGAAGCGCAACGAAATTCAAGACATAGTACTCCAGAACAGGAGGATGTGGCGCCCACAGAACCAAACAATTGTGAATATAATCTGCACTAAGGAGTGACAGTGGCTAATTGGCTTATAGATGTTCGTTTGCAATTCCGGGCCGAAGTCCAACATCGCGAACCGTTTATGCCCTTTTTCAATTATGTTCAGAGAAAGCTCGACGCCATGACCAAGACGAGATCGACGACGCTCTTGTCGGTCATGACCACTCTGTTGTTTGCTTGTCTGTTGCGCATCATTGTTTCGCCACCCATTCCAGCGCCGGTGCCGGATCTGGTCAAGGTATCGACCTTGGCCAAATCTTTTGAGCCGTTGATCTTTTATTCCGAGAATGGCTACTCTCAGATCATTGCGCTACAGGAAACAAGCGTGGCTGTATGGGATCTCGGAGAGTCGGTCAGAAGTGCCAATATGACCTCTGCACCAATCATTGTTCGATCTCTGGACGAGCTGTCTGAGAGCTTGAAGACTTTGGGGCTTGAGTTGACACGGTTCTTTTCCGATGTCGATTCTGACGTGGACAGTATCCTAATAGTGATGGACTGGGCCAAACGAGAACTGGAAGGGGTGGTATCGGGACAAGGCGTGTCGATTTCAGGGGTAGTGTTTGACCACCTCCACGGCATTTTCAACCGAGGGGGATTGCTCGAAACGTCAACGGGACCGACAACATTGGGCAAGTTGCTTACTGATATATTTGGTTCCAGTTCACCGCAAAGAATGAGAGCAACCCTCACAAGGACCTTCCACGAATTTGTGAATGTTCTTGAGGAGTCGATCAACAGCGAACTAACTCATTCGGCGGCTTTGTTTGCACTGTTTGAGTCTATTGACAGACAATTCTTGAACCTGCAACGAACGGTGGTGAGAGAAACCGATACCCAAGAGCGACTTGAGAACGACCTTCTGTCGTCTTTGTGGACTAGAGTTGTCGGACCCAATGCCGCCATCCTGAGAAAGTTCGAGAAGAACAAACAACTGTTGTCGAGTGTACGAGCGAGGACCGTCAACAACAAGCATTTGATCATGGAACATCATGGTCGTCTTCAAACCCTCAAAGTCAACCTGGAGACATTGCGGAGGAAGCTAGTCAGCCCACTTGTTAGGAGGAACGATTCGGTCAGCATTGACAATGCTGGCGTTCTTGATCACCAGATCAGAGGTCTTGAAGGGACTTATGACTACTTGCGAGGAGTGCGTGAGAAACAAAAAAGTAAATTGATGGAGATGGTATATGGTGCTAAAGCAGGAAGACCCAAAATCATGGGGACAAGTGGCCTGGAAGGAATTGGACTAGACAGTTCATGATATGAATTGCTGTCACTTCCCGGCCTGAAATGCAGCAGCGATGAAGAGAAGAAAATATGATGTATGATATTTGTTATTATAATGCTTTTCAAGTCCATAGCTCAACAATGTTAGCTGGGTGCTGTGTAGATCGGGACTCGGTCAGTGCGTGCTTGATACCTGTAGACTACTGAGTACCTCGAGTATCTAGATACCAAGGTAGAGTGTCTCGTAGGGAGGAGTGTCTCGCGGCTGTTGGCTAATGGTGACAACGTAGCATAGATGAAACAAGAACAATGAGTTGCCTGCTACCAGGGAGCACTCACTTCAACAGCTCGATCCCGTAGGTAGTGTCTCGTGGTCGTACTCCGTTCTCGTAGTGTACATATTCGTATCGATTATCTCCCTAGAGAGTACGGAGTAACTCCGGCTCAACTCTGCGGGGAACGCAAGCAAGTATTTTTCAGTTGCGTCGATGCTCGCGAGATACAACAGAGTGGAATGGACTGTATTGACATTCAGAGAAAAGGATAATTGGCAAGCAGAAAGTACACCAGGCCTCGTCGGCGGTCTTTTTCTTTTAGCAGTTTCATCTTTTCATTCTCTCTAATTACGACCCAGGCCAAGCGTCCCGACCACTCTCACCCTCTAATCTCCACTCTTTTGGAATCAACTGCAAACATTGAGGAATTCCCACACGGGCGCTGCAGCATCTCACACACACACACTCTCTCTCTGTCTCAATAGACCGCCGTCCTTGTTCTACAAACGTAGCAAGGTGCAGGAGCATCAACGATACCAACAAAAACAACCACCTCCTCCTCCACCACCACCACCACCACCACCACCGCCATGCCCTCATTAACGACATCCCTTCCCTTTTCCCCCGCAGAGCTCGCGTACCTACATACTTCGCTATCGTCCGTACCACCTCTCAGACCAGATGCGAGATCTCACGCGACGGACTTTCGCCCCCTCCGCGCCGAAACTGGCGTTTTACCCGCGGTCAACGGTTCCGCCCACGTCGGATTCAGCGATGGCCGAGAAGCGATTGTCGGTGTGAAGTTGGAAGTCGAGAAGACGGTGGCGCGTCAGAATATTGTGTACACCACTGCGTCTACGAACGTGGGGGGAGGGGTACCAGGAGACGACGAGACGACGATGGATGTTGACCGAGAAACCCAAGAGAAGAAAGACGACGGAGGCGGCGGCGGTCAACCGCAATGGCTCAGCACAACTCTCACTTTGCCCGGTCTGCGAGACGACGATCCGAATCTGGCCTTTCTCGAAGAGATGCTGCGTGAGCCCCTGATCGTTTCGGGCCTGGCGGATAAACTCGTCATCAACTCAAAGTGGCACTGGCACGCGTACGTCGACGTGCTCCTCATTTCGCCGAACGGGCTCGCGAGCTACCCCCTTCCGCTGCTCAGTGCGGCGGTGCACCTTGCGCTGCGCGACGCGAGGGTGCCAAGGTTGAAGAGCGAGGGCGAGGAAGACCCCGTGGCCGACGACGACTGGATGGCCAGTACGTTCCTCTACGACCGCGAGCACGTCCCACGACCGCCGGTCACGCTGCTTGTCGTCGTCGTGGGCGAGAATGTCATTTTCGATCCGAGCAGGGAGGAGTTGGCGGTGGCCGATGCCGTTGTTGCCGTGAGTGTGGGCAGCCCAACACAGCGAAAGGCCCCTGGGGACGGGGAAGAAGAACAAGAGCAGGAAGAAAACCAATACAAGGTCCTCGCGGTGAGAATGATAGATACACCTGCGAGGGATACGATGAAGGGTGTACCGCTTGCTGGGGAGGCCGTTGAAGGTGTCGACGTGCCAGGGGTGTGGAAACCGAGACTCGGCGGCGTCAAGAGAAGCGTCATCAAGGATGTCGTGAAGAGTGTGACGAGGGACGGTGTCGCGAGGGATGTGTTTATGGGTCTAGATGGGTTTTTGGGTCTTGAAGCAACGTGATATGGGATACTCACGGTTGATACTTGAGACTGAAGAAGACGTGGGGAGGAAAGATCTGACCCATTCACGATGTACATGGCATTCTCTCAAGCAGCACCAAACGCAACGACAACAATGTCCATGGTCGCGTTGTCTGGAAATGACTAGCTGGACATATTTGAGATCGGAGGACCGGACGATCACCAGCCGTACAGCCAGCAATACGTGATCCAGTGGCTGAGTTCAGAACCAGAACCAGAACGAGTACTGGACATGAGAGATCAATGGCATAGCGCCGAGATGAGTGAGATTGGGGACGAAGGGGCGGTCCTCCTTTTGAAGTCAGAGTGCCTACACCTCTCCGGTGGTGTACATCTGGGCTACGTGGATGAACTTGAGGTAGTAAATCTCGAACGACCAAAGAAATCCATTATCCTTGCATCATCATCAATCATTACATTAGGTACGTTTCCAAAAGTGGCATGGTACGACGTTGTGGTCCGCGAGAAGGCCACAGACAAACAAAAGTTACATTTTTGACTTTGTACGCAACGGTCGACTGAATAGATATCATGTTATGGTGTGGGGGTAAGAGGCTGCTCTTACTCTTTTGAGTGTATAGATGGATAGATAGGTACTGATGCCCGGTGAGCCGGGTTGTGAGTTAGAGAGAGCAGAGTGTTATACTCAAATACTCATTCATAGTCGTTCTCATTTTTTTTTTCATTCTCATGCTCTCTCACCGTTCAACACGCCAAAACTTCCACCCTCTTCACCGACGGCGCCGCTCCCGGCCTGTCTCTGGGCACCACCCGCGGTCCCAGCCGACGTGTTCCGCTCGACGGGCCCGGTGTTTCTGGCCTCGAAATCCCGCTCCGCCAATCTCCCGGGGTCATGTTGTCCGCCCACGTCACCCACAAAGGTCTTGGTCTTGGGCATGCCGTCCGTCTTGTCTGCGTCTTCGATGTTGGTGCCTTTGGGCTTGTACGTGCCCGGCGGTACCGCGGCGCCGGTGACGGTGGCCGTGTACGTTGGTGCCGGGTCGACGTGGGGACGGACACCCGCCGAGGTGCCCGAGTTGTCCGAGTTGCCTGAGTTGCCACCACCACCGCCGGCGCCCGCACCGGTAGAGGACTTGATGTTGGGGTCGGGTCCCGTCCTGCTCCCCGATGCGTATGTCGATGCACCAAAGTCGCTCGCTCCGGCCGGTACTCCTCCTCCTCCTTCTGCGGCACGACTGGCACCCCCGCCGCCGCCGCCAGGACCGCCAAAGTATCCAGACTCGTCATGTCCACCGGGGAACTGAGGCTTGCCCAACGCGTCGAGCTTGACGCCCGCCGGGCCCCTTTCGTCCGCTCCGAGGCTCGACATATTCTGCTTCTCGCGCGTCGTGTTGTCGGGAGCGGGCTGCAGGACTCGGGCGCCGGACGTGTCCGTGGTGTTGAGCGTCGACGAGGACCCCGTCACGGACGACGCAGCCGCGCGCTCGTTTTCAGAGAACTTTCCGTAGTTGTCCAGTGACTCGGCCGCGAGAGAGTCCGCCGCCACGGGACCGATTGGTTCCTGAGGTGCTTGGGACGGGTGAGGCTGGGGAGCTTTGGAGTTTGCGGTGAATGACATTGTCGGGTACAGTTTAGGTGTTGGTTGTGTTATGGTTTATGATGATGACTGATTTCCGAAAGACTGGAAGAAAGACTTACCGCATTTAACACTTGATGATTCCCGACAAATGGGCAGATGACTCGGAATCGAGTACTTATATCGATCGTCATAAGCCCCCGAGAGCATTCCATCATAGATACCTCACTGAAGAATGTCCCTACCTGCTCGAGAGGGCTGTCATGGTGCAGACGTGACATCATTTTCGCAAGGGTTCCATACATGAAGTCATGTTAAAGGAGAAAAAAAGGGGCCGAAGTTGTATCGCACTCAACAAAAGGTAGCGAGTACCCACTGAATAAGCGATCATCACAATTCATCACCAACCACTAATTCGGAATCTTGCGAGATTGTTCGTGTAGATTCGATTCCATGTTCCGATCAGTACCATCCAATCATATGAAGAACCCGACGTCTTTTCATCGATGGCTGCTCGAGCAACTAATCATAAGTATGAGGACGAGTACTGTAGCTGTTGGAAAATAACGGCGCCAAAGCCCTTAATACTGCGCCGTACCGCAAAGTCCCAGGAAGGCGTGAGCCGAGATGTGTGGCCGTGACAACAATCGTTGCCTCAGTCGTAGGTGATTCACGTAGGTACGTACTTACAGACAGCCACGATCATCACCACAAGGCACTTTTGGTCATTCGTAACAGTACGATGTGTATGGTATGATCACCCTCCGCCGTGTCCGCTTTGATTAAAGTCTCGATATGTGTATGAGTACGAGTACTCACTCGTATTGCTCTGTCCGAGCAATCTCGACGAATCACACCGGCCTACCTTCATTCACCGCGTGGTCGCCTAAAACACAGCCTCACGAAGAAGAACTCATACTTAATGTTCGCCGCTCTTGACCTTGTATCGTTTCATTAACTACAGCTACAGGCGGCGCAAATTGTCCTTTCGCACACATCCTCTGCACGAAGCGGTGAGTCAAGGCATTCTTGGTTACACAGTGCTACCAGCGTCGACGGCGTTGCGTTGAAGACCTGGAGTATTCTGGGCTGTGCTCAACTAGCAGACCTTATTCAGCTGAGCTACAACGAGTGTCCATCTTCAGCCCCAACACACACAAAAATATGAGCGTGGAATGTCAAGATATTAAAGACGTTGCCAATACAACGAGGCATACCTGACACGAGACCGTTACCGCTTGTGATCCAAAGATTAAAACTCTACCCATCAATGGCCGAACAGACAGAGCCGCAGCAACAGGAGGATGGGCAAATTACTCCTTGTTCCAGCTCTACCATTGAGCAGCAGGAGCCTGCGCAGCGGCCCAATTTCCTCGAACTATTCGAGCAGCTCAGGCCTGAAATCCAGCTGATGGTCAACAAGCGCAAATTTGTTCTTCCCCTTCATATGATTGGCGATTCAACGCGAGCCAACGAATGGTTGATGAAAGCAAAATGTGGGTTTGGACTCGCACATCAACGACTCCAGATCGCCACGTCAAAGAAGGCCGAATTTCAAAGACTCATGCGAGAATATTTACAATCATACAACTGTCCTACCGCTCGTCTGGAGCTGTGGGAGGACATCAACAACTTGAATTTTGCGCTTGCTAAGTGCATTGAAGCCATTATTACGGCTCAAGATTTCCTGGCAAAGTTCGAAGCTCAGCAAAGGAGTTTCCAACCAACACGACCACCGCAGCAGCTCGTCGAATGGCAAAGTCATCGCGGAGGAGCCGGACTTGGCACAAGCAGCGTCTCCTCCAACACTGGAGGGGTTGTTCTGGGCCGAACATCTCCGCAATATGCATCTTCCTTCGTCTCTGCCAACGTATTCGAGGACATGTATGGACCACAAGCACAAGGATTGATGCAAAGCTGTCCAATCCAACCTGGAGACAATTTCGCTACTTCTTCAATCCTTCCGACGTCCGCCGAATTGCACGTTTCACCATATTCAAGACATTCTGCCGCTACAGTAACTCTGAACCGACCTCTGCGGCCGGAGACAGGAAAACTTTGCCACTTCTGTCGCCATGACTACTTTGGACCTGTCGCTTGGGCAAACTTTTGGGACCTATATAACCCTGACTACCCTCTCTGGGACTACTGCTTCACCATATCATATGTTGCTCTTGAAACATCCGCTACTCAGTGTTGTTGGCTTTGCACCCAATTATACGATCAGATTGTTACCAGGGAGAGGGACAGCCTGTTCGATGTGAAACTTACGTTTTGGAGTGGCCCCAAGAACGGCGGATCAGCTGAGTGCAGTAGATGTGATGTCTACGCGTCGTACCGTGGAGCAGATGAGTCTTACGCCAACAGTTTGGCCGGTCATTTGCAACTCCGCATTGCCGTTGCAAAAGGTATGTTTCGGCGCCCGTTTGGAGCTACTAAATACACTAAACGAAGATATGATAGCTGATCCATTCCAATTCTTTGCAAAGGGAACACTATCCAAAAGCTATTTCACAAACTTCGATGCTTCGACCGCTCGTGGTTGGCTGGATGAATGTGGCAGAGAGCATGAATGCTGCAAAGGTTCTGAGGATCATACCGTACCCAGCAGATTGCTTCTCCTTGATCCTGACGAAGATGTTGTCTACTTCCGAGAAATGCCACAGCTAACATCGGCTGCGACGGAAAACCGAGTCGAGTACGCTGCGCTATCATATTGCTGGGGTAGGACGCACTCCTTCGTAACTGTCAGGTCGAATATCGACAATCACTTCCAAGGCATGGATATTTCAATGCTTCCCAAAACGTTTCGGGACGCTCTCTCCGTGACGAGACTATTAGGAATTCATCTGCTCTGGATCGACGCCCTCTGTATTATGCAAGACGACGAGGTTGACATGGCAAATGAGCTCTCCCGGATGAGGGTCTATTACCAAAATGCAAAGGTGACGCTGGCAATTTTGCGAGCTGAAGACGTCGACGAGGGCTTTCTAAATCTTGCTAGCTCACACAACCCAAAACACGTAAAGTTGAAGAATTTGCAAACCGAACTTGCACCGAAGTGCTACGTACCATATTACGACAAGCTGGGGAGGAAAGGAACAATCGACTTTGAACCGAACGAATTCATTGATGAAGGATCCACGTTTTACGATGAGCGAAGAGAACCACTTAACAGAAGGGCGTGGACGCTGCAGGAAAGATGGCTTTCTCCTCGAGTAATCTCCTTTCCAAGCTTCGACGGCTTCGTGTTTCAATGCAATGCATCAGAGCGATTCGCAGGAGACTACTGCTTAGTTGACTCTGTTGAGAAATCGGATGAACCCGCAATCCGGAGAAGACTCCAGCTCAGGCTCAGTGGACTTGATGCAGAACCTCGACAAGACGAGGACCCGGGCGACGAAGCGTTCGAAACGTTCGAACTGGTCAAAGCATGGCATTACATCGTGGAGGACTACTCCAGCCGAAGACTGTCAGAACCCCTTGACAAGCTCAAAGCACTGGGAGGACTTGCCGAGCTGTTCCATTCCCAGCACGAAGCTATTCTCGGGCCTTACGCTGCAGGCCAATGGGTCAAAACGTTACCCTTGGCCTTGCTCTGGATGGTTAGTCCGAGTGAAGACGTCGCCCCGGCACCTGTGCAGTATCTGGCGCCGTCTTGGTCCTGGGCATCGGTCAACAGCCGGGTTTGGAACGAATTGTACTCTGTTGATGTAGATCAACAACCAATCGCAGACGTAAAAGTAGAGATTCTGCGCGTTCATGTCGAGCCTTCTTCGAAAGTCCCCTTCGGATCCGTCCAGAATGTGTGGTTGCGATTGAGAGGACCAGTGGTGGATGCCAAGTGGCATATCAATCCTCGTAAGGAGGGGAGAATCGACGTGGCGCTACTGGACATGGACAGTCCTCAAAAAAGATCACATGCGGCGGTCAATGCCCGTATAGGTCGAATTGGAACTGCTGAGCTATGCGACGACGACGAGGATGAAGACACGTACATGGACGAGCCGATTCCCCTCGGTCGCGCATCTTGTGACACTATCGAGGCACGACTGCTCGTCCCTTCAGAAATCAAGGTGCTCTTTGTCGCCTTCGTTCATGAAAGCGTTATTCATTGTAGCCCCGCGCACGGCTACGGCATTATCATTAAAGAAGTCGCTCCAGGTGTCTTCAAGCGTGTCGGATTGTTTGATTTGGATGAACGCCAGCATGAAAATTTCTTCCTGGAACATTCAAGAGAAATGACCCTATGTCTTGTCTGAGAAGGATCAGGTAGCTACCAATGTACACAAATGGGTACCAGCGCAAAAACAGGATTGTTATTTTTCGGAAGGCTCTGATCAATCTCATTCCCTTCCTTTAAACAGAGGCTCTGTACTGAATAATCGGCAGGCCATGATTCCTCTCCAAATTGTTGCGCTTTGGTGTCCGACTATGAATGCTACAGCCTCCTGCAGTCTCGACTCCAACGTCTCCAATATCAATATGGCATCTCATGTCTTTTGCAAAGAGTGAAGCTCCGCAATTGAAAGGCCTTCATACGGCAAACTTGACTTCGTGCATTCATTCATTTCTATCTCTGTCTTGGACCCTCTTCAGCCTGATCATGCAGATAAGAAAAAGGCCATAAGTCTTAATTCGTAAGCACCGGACCTACATACAATTACCACTCCAGCTGACCTATCCGCCTAGGATACTCGTGTAACATGTTTAAACAATCAAGACTTAAAAAAAACCTGGTATCATGCTGGAAGACTTAACATCAAAGACCACCACCGGCCCGGCATGTATGTCACCCTGTCTCATTTCAAGGCCTTGCGGGCAAACGTCGGTAGAATGAAGCTGGCCTTGTGGATTTCCTTGTTGTAGTACTTGCACAACTTCTCTTCCTCTTCTGGGCTCCATACTCGCAAGGGGTTCTTGACATCTCGGTTGGGGTCCTTGCAGCAAACCATGAAACCAATCTGGCCCGACGGGTATGTTGGAATGGTGGTGTAGGCGTACTCGACAACAGGGAAAACTTCCTTGCAGTCTTTCTTGAGCTTGGTGATGAGAGGGAGGTGGAGCCATTGGTTCTCAGCTATAAAGGTCACACATTAGCCTTTGAAACGTCTACATTCTGGAAGTGGTTGAATTGGGGGATAACAGAGAACTCTCTTTCTGGGGCATAAGGGGGGCCAAAAAAAAAAAGATTAGGTGCGCACAACCTTGGGTAGTAATAACACCACCGTCTTTCAACGCTCCGCTGAGCAGTTCAAAGTATGGCTTCTGGAAGAGCGACTCTGCGGGACCTTCGGGGTCACTGCTGTCGGTGATAATAACATCGAATTCGTTCTTGCGGTCAGCCAGGAATTTGAACCCGTCTCCGATGTGGACCTCGACGGCGGGGTGCTGGAATCCAATCGACATGCCGGGAAGGTATTTCTTGCTGACGCGGGGGACGGCCTCGTCAATGTCGCAGAGAATGGCCTTCTCGACGGACTCGTGCTTGACGACCTCTCGCAAGACACCGCCGTCACCACCGCCGATAACCAGGACCGACTTGGGGTTGGGGTGCGAGTTCATGGCCAAGTGTGTGATCATCTCTTGGTACGAGAACTCGTCCCGCTCGGTGCACTGGATGACATTGTCGAGGACGAGGACGGTGCCGTGGTCGCTGCTCTCGAAGACGAGCACGTCCTGGTACTTGGACTTTTCGTGGTGGAGGACCTGGTTGACCTTGAGGATCATCGCCTGGCCAGGCCACATGTCGGAGATTTCTCTGAACCAGCCATCTGCCCATCATCGGTCAGCCGGCGTGTGCCTTCTTCTCTTCAACGGCGGGATCTTCTCTTGCTTTACCTTTGATGGTCGGGTGAGTGATTTCGGACATGTTGGGTGTGTGGGAAAAGAAACTGCGGCGGGAACGGGGGACAAGACTGCGCGGGGTCAATGGAGATGGACGAGGGAGTCTGAAGGACGAGAAAAGGCGTGCGCGGGTAGACAGGTCGATAGATTTTAGAGAAGAGAAGAGAAGACTTGAGTTTTGTTTTCCCCTTTGACTGTGACCCAAGAGAGTCGTTCGTTTGGAGCAAGTGGAAGTGCAAAGGTGCAGGTCCCTCTTGGTGGTGCGTTTGCGTTTGCGCTTTTCGCCGACCCGAATTTTTTTGTTTTTTTTTGGGCTCGAGAGTTGCGGGGCTCAAAATTCGGGATTCGTTCCTGAGCGGCGCCCAGGACGGTCAATGGTCGCCTCAACCAGCACCAGCGACATCACAGGCCCCGGTTTTTGGCCTGTCTTCCTCCCACAGAGCCTCTTCTTACTTCCGCTGGTTGCCGTATTGTACCGCTGGATGCAAACGACAGGGATCAGCTGAGCCTCTGAAATTCGCATCCAAAGTGGTGGACTCCGTATCTGCATCAGAAACAGCTATTCACGTTTGCTACAACAGTGCCGACACCATCCACCCGCGAGTAGGGGGCATCACCGCTTAATACCAATCTCGATACCCTTCGTGCCATCCATGACCCTCCTCACTTTGTCCTGGTCGACCTCCTGTTTCAGCTCCCCCAAATACCAGGTAATATCACTGCCGTCCTGCTCGCAGACATGGAACCCGTTGCCCATGAAACTCCACATGTCTTCTTCCTGGTCGTATTCAACGTCAAAGTCTTCCCAGCGCGGTTTCTCCAGCAGCCGTAGGAAGTGCAACCGAGAGCCTGGATAGATGGCTGGCTTGCCGTCCTTCTTACCACCCTTGAACCACGAGCTGCATGGTCCGGTCCCTGGAAAACCTTGTCAGCATCATTCCAACTTTACTCACGACCGTATCAGATCACTCGGCGGTGGGCACTACTCACAGGCTGTCCTTTTCAAGAACGTGTCGGCATGTTTCATGAAATGCTCCACCACCTTCTCCTTGGGCTGTATCGAGCGGATGTTTTCAATCTGCATCTTCTCAATGACTTGGATCGTGTAATTGACGTAAGCTGCGATTATAGGGAAGAACGACCCGTGGGCCGATGGGCAGTATGCACCGCCAAAGAGGATGTAGTTCGGGACCCCGGCGTACGCCAGACTCAAATATGAAGGTACGTGTGGATGGGGGTTGTCCTTCCATTGTTCGGACTTGTTGACTCCATTGACAACGAGTGGGAATCGTGGCTTGTACGAAGTGTCGAACCCGGTCGCGCAAATGATAACGTCCACCTCTTGTTCATTGCCGTCGGGGTCAATGAAGCCCTTTTCCGTAATCTGGCCGAGTTGCGTGGTGTATGCGGTGGTCTTGGGCCCGGCAAGGCATTCGAGGTATCCATTTCCAGGGGTGGGTCGACGACAGCCAACAAAGAAATCATCTGGCATGATCTTCTCGAGCAGTTCCGGTCGGTCTTTCAGCTTGGTTCTCATCTCCTTTTCAGAAAATTCGCGAGCAGCCTTCTGAGCCGATGTTCCGTTGATGATGAACCCAAAGCGCTGATTGAGTTCGCCCTCGATCATCTTGCGGTACGCGAGGTACTCGTCCTCGTTCTCGAACATCTTACGCTGTTCTTCATTGTAGGCAAAGTTCGCACCGTCCTTGCCAGCAAAATTCTGCGCGAACCCAGCAGTGATCCAGATCTTTGTTCGGACCCACGTGTACACCCTGTCGACCTGGTCGTAGATGTTTGGGAGGATCTGGACTGCAGAGCTACCGGCGCCGATCAGCGCCACTCTCTTGCCCGTCAGATCTATCCTCTCGTCGTACTGTGCCGAATGGAGAAGAGTGCCTTTGAAATCCTGCAGACCCGGGATATTGTCGGGCCACTTCCACTTGTTCAATACTCCTCCTCCGTCGACGACGAAATCGGCGTGGTCGTCGAACTCCCGACCAGACACGACATCCTGCACTCGCACCGTCCACCGTGGTGCTCCAGGTCCAGTAGCCCCGTCGTCGTCCTCCCCCCACGACAGCGAGACGATCCTGTGCTGCAGCTTGACGTACTTTTCGATAAAGTTGTTCTCCCGCTCCACCATCTTGATATACTCCCATATCTCCCCTGACTGGGAATAGTACTTGGACCACGGCACCGGCCGCCACGGGAACTGGTACGCGACCGATGGAATGTCACAGGCGCATCCGGGGTACCTGTTTTCGTACCACGTGCCGCCGACGTCCCGGTTCTTCTCGTAGCAGACGATTTCGACGTTCTTGAGCTTTTCCTCGGCGAACTTGAAAAAATTGAGCCCGCTCATGCCCGCTCCGAGCATGACGACTCTCATCTTCTTCCGCGTCCCGTACAGCTGCTCGAGGATCCTCACGTCGTCTGGTGCCGGGTTGTTGACCACTTGGGGACGTTCCACGCGCCTCGAGAGCTCCGCGTCTGTAGTACTCCCGTCTGCTGGAAGATGCATGCCGCCGTAGCCATTTGCGACCGTCGACGGGGCCATGGTTGACGCTCTACTGGACAGGAGCAGAGACACAGGCAAAAATCCGTTGGGAAACTGTGGTTTTAGTGACTATACCATCCACTCACCAATGACTCGAGAATCTAAGCCTTATATAACGAAGTAAGTGCAACTGAATACCTGCAAGAACCTCGGTGACTGACTGTCCTCTCCTCACGATGCATTGTCAGCCTGAGCAGTATTTAGTAGTCAAGTGCTTCTCGATTACGACGGAGTCACGAATGGGGTGGCAAGGAGTACTAAACGAAGGGTCTCGACCACTCTCCGCATTGGACCGTTGGGGAGCCGAGGATGAAACTTTTGGATATTGAACTCGCCCCTGCTACAGCCCAATAGTATCCGCTTCGGCTTCTCGCTCGATTAGGAAAGCGACTGCGGTCTGTTGCTTGCCAGAGTCGCCGAGGCTTTCCAATGTTGGACGGACTGGGTCAGTCTCAGCGAGACGGTCACGACGCATTCTTGGATATCTCGAGGATGGGCTAGACTCTTGGAGAAGGTTGGCACGGTTGAACGGAAGCAGCGTCATCGCATTTGACTATATCGCTCTAACCGGACAAATTGCATTACTGAGTTCACATGCCTGGACTAACAGCTCTTTAAATACTAACAATCAAGTTCCTGCTGCCACGTTTATCTCGTCTTGAAACGTATGGTTGAGGAGAGTGCCCACAAGAACAGGCGTTATGTATCCCACCAAGCCTGGTGAAGCCAAATCCGGAGGTGAAGTGCCCCCTCACACCTAGGCAATCCCAACGAGAGGTATGGCACATCCTCATCACTACCACGGATGTTGCTTCTCATTCGATGTGAAGGTGCCGTGTTGGCCGTTCTTGTCGGTGTCGACGATCAACCGGCACGCTTCGAGGACACCCTCACTAGGTACGCCTCCAAGTTCATGGAAGCCGTTGAGGTTGGTCGACCGAAAGCCCGAATCCACCATGTTGACCTTGAAACCATCCTTGCCGAGTTGCACTGCGTATTGGGCCCCGATCATGTTCATCGCCGCCTTGGACGTGAAGTATGGCTTTGCGTCGTAGCCGTAGAAAGGCTGAGTCGAGTCCAGGCAGTAGGTGATGGATCCAAAGTTTGAGGACATGAAGAGAAGCCGCGGGGCCTGCGATTTCTTCATCAGCGGGAGAAAGGCCTCCGTAACGCATGCTGCGCTGATCGCGTTGGTTTCGATGACCTTCGTCATCTCTTCGCGGAACGACAGGCCCGGGATCATCATGATTCCGGCATTGTTCAGCAAAACATCGAGCCGACCGTATTTGTCGCCAATGTACTTGACGGCTTCACTTATGGAGGAGTCGTCGTTGACGTCGAGCTCAATAGGTTCAACCGTGGTGCCTTGCGCCCGGGCTGTGATGCTGTTGGCCGCTTGTGTGCCCTTCTCCAGGCTTCGAGATCCTAGGAAGATGTGGAAGTTTGGTTGTTCAGCGGCCAGTTTCTTCACACTCTCCAAGCCAAGGCCCTTGTTTGCACCGGTGATGAAGACGAAGGTGGGAACGTTGCTGGAAGACCCCATTTTTGGCAGTTGGCTTTGCAAAGTCGGTGTAGCGTCTGAGGGTCAATAAGACTTTGTCGTTGAGACAGTTAAAAAAGAAGTTAAGGACTTTTTCAGTGCAAGCTTCCTAGCTGTTGGACAAGTGTAGTTGTCGAGCAAGAGCCGTGTCTCTTTTATAGATGTACTTGAAGGACATAGTTGTTCGTTAGATTTGTCGCCGCTCTCCACTCAGACTTACCAGCTTCGTGGGTAACATGATGATTCTCCTGATTGATTTGAAATCAAAGAATAGAGAGCCTGAATGAGTGAGATGATTTTATCGCTGGGGCAGTCTCGTCAAAAAGCATTGATTTCAGGCGTTGCAGAGGCCTCGTCTGGGCCGTTGGATATCAATATTGCCCGCTTGGGTTAGGAGCGAAGCTCAGATCGGGCGTTTCATATGCAGCTAGCGACTAGCTCGCGAGGGACCCATGCGCGCATCATTTTCTGTCTCCGCAATACGAAATCCTCCTTACCATAAGACCACAGGAGTTTGTCATCGCCCATCATCCACGACTTGAAAGATGTGAGTGCATTCCTAAGTCCGCCACCGGTGTGAACTTGCCAGTATTGGATGCGTTGGAATGGATCGTCCTGGCAGAATGGCTGGCGGAATGCCGCGGAGACGCAAGGCTAACGGTTGCCGTACATGCATGTGAGTCGGACCTCTCTTCGCGAAAGACGACATCCACAAGGAGCTGACGTTGGCCAGAATGAGGCACGTTAAATGCGACGAAACCAAACCCAATTGCAACCGGTGTTTGAAAGCACGACGCAGATGTCTCGGATACCCGGTGACAACAGATGCCTCGCCCGTTGCTTTTCTTGTCATGGCCCAAGGCTCGAATCGGCCGGAATGTGATGCCAAAGCCCGACGGGCCTTTCAATTCTTCTACGAGGCCTGTGCCTCTTCTCTTTCGCAGCACGGGAACACTGCCGTCTGGACCAGAATGGTATTGCAGACCAGTCATTACGAGGAAAGCATCAAACACCTGGTGATAGCTGCGGCGTGCTTAGGTCTATGTCGACGCTTTGGGGTGTCTTCAGCCGACGAAGAAATCACGTTCCTCTTCCACCACGGTAAAGCGCTGGCGCTGCTGAGCCGCGGTCAATGGCACAACCCCTCCGTTATCCTGTTGGCATGTCTGTTGTTGGTGCTCTGCGGGCAGCTTCAGAACCGCGACGACATGGCGGCTCAGCACGCAAAAGCCGGCAAGAAGATTCTGGCATCTTACTATGGGGAGAATTCTCATCCCGGGACGGGAACAGACCCGTTAATCGACGAGATCGCCATGATTTTTTCGAGACTGAACTTTGATGTAAGAGACGAGAGTCTTCCCAACGGCATGTCAGAACTCCTAGCACTGCCTGAACCGGCGATGGAGCTCTCCGCAACAAGGTCGCAGTATGAGCACCTGGATTCGCAGTCCAGTAGCCTAATGCGCATAAGTGAGCTCAGCGATGATTCCGCATCAAGGCTTAGTAGCTGATTATACGCCTTGTACACGCGTACAATGGTATAATGGCAGAAACAGAGTCTTGTCGAGTAAACGTCCCGGTAACTATCTAGCTCTGACGGTCCTTGCTCAGCCTCGTCGATGCGGATGGGTTTGCCAAGTCTGGTGAGTCTGGAACAACCCTTTTCCGGACCCGCTTGCGATGACATGCGGGCGCAGCCTCATGTTGCCCCGGCCATTTTGCCATCGGCCTCAACGTTGTGGAATCTTCGCTCGACAACTCTCCTTACTGCGCCTCGTTGACAAGAACTGCTTGTCTTCTTGTCTTCTTGTCGAATACGTATCCCGCTGCCGCCGGAATATAAAAGCCCTGTTTTCATCATTTTGCCTCCCCGACTCCCAAGCCTAGAGCCTAGCGATTCTCCGACGACCGCCTTCTCTCCACCGTATATACATACCTCCGTTGCCCTTCCTTCAACCATATCATTGCCTCCACGCATCGCCATCTACACAGGACGTCAAAACATGACCGAAATTACTCGACAGACACCGTCACCAATCCAGACAGCAGGTCTGCCCACTGACTCCCCTCCCGTCTCAACTACCTCCTCCCCAGGGTCCCTGTCAGCCAAACGCAACCGCTCTGGTCTCTCGCTAGACTTCTCCTCCCTCCCGCCGATGTCACAGCCTGCACCGCCCTCCAACACTCTCCTGATCACCCGTCTCGAAGACAACAAGATCTTCCATCCTGCCTCGCTGGCAACGATAAGGCAACACATCAATGAGATCGCCCCGCTCAACTCCTTTTCCCCGCTCAAATCCCTCTGCCGCATCATCTGCTCCTTCTACGATACCGACTCGGCGATCCGCGTCCGTCAAGCTATCGACGGCACTGCCATCCTCGGATCTAGCGTTGCGAAGTGCTACTTTGGCGAGCCTACCCCGATAGGCGACGAGAAGAAGTACCTGGACCGTCCAGATGCAGGACGGTTGTTCTTCATTTCACCGCCACCCAGTCCGCCGGTGGGATGGGAGATGAAGCATGAGGATCCTCCTAACAGGGAGGTGCACGCAGAAGATCTCGCCTCAAAGCTGCAGAAGCTAAGTGGCAAATTGGGAACCGCTACCGCTACCGCTACCGTTGACGAGGAAAATAATGAGGATGGAGAGTCGAAGCCACAGTATTCGGCCGAGGCGTTGCAGAGGTTGAAGGAGTACAGAGCACGCGCGGCGCTGCCTGGTGGTGTATCAACAGACAATTCCGCGAGTGCGCCGTCACCTATCAAGCACCGGAGTCGGAGCTCGACGCTGATATATGACCCGAAAGCCCACGGCGACAGCCCAGGGCTACCGGCTGTGATGCTGGAGGCGGAGGATGAGTCTGATGTTGAGCTTGAGGATTCTGGAACCAAGATCATGGCGCATACTCCCAGACCACCGGTCGAACTGATGGAGCATTGATGATCTCGCATAATTTATCGGCATACAAGGCGCTTTTGGAGCATCGGAGAGTTAATCGAATAGATGACAGGTCCTAGACTAGCCTGGATGATAAGGAGTTCAGGTTTCGGATTGCATTGCTTCCGGCCTTGACCTTGTGCAGAGGTTGGGTCATGGCTCGACAGATTCAAAACTGTATATGTACAGTGGAAATGATGATAGAGAGGTGCCTGTAGCACATCTTCAAGGCTAGAATTCGTCATATGTCCAACATCTATAATGACTCGACCCTTGTTTATCTTCCCGGGTGCCGAACCACACATACTCACATGAATGCGCAACGCCATGTCACAAAAAGTAGTCAAAAACTAAACAGTGGGCTCCTCGATGCCCTTCCACCGGCGATAAAGTTTCTTGTGTTGCTCGAAAAACACCATGGTACATATTGTCTGTGGACCCAAACGTATGAAACTCGGCACCCACCCGCGGAACACCCACAGCATGCCTTCCTTCCTCGCCGCATCCCTGAGAACTTGCAGGATGCTCGTCTTCGCGCCCGCACTCATGACTCTCGTCTTGACCACATCGACTGGCGAACACAAGGTGGTCGCGACGAAGCCGGCGGCAAGAGACGCCGTAAAGTGTGTTCCGAAATTGTCCGACATGCCCAATCGTCCAAGACAGAATTGCTTGAAGACGTCGTAGCTCGCAAGTTGCGAGGCCGTCATCAGCAGGGCTCGGGTCGAGTTCGCCTCCACTCCGCGGAATAAACTGGCCACTCCTTCTTCGCGAGACATTCTTATTATCCCGTCAAGGGCGTGGTTGTAGTTGCGGCGGTGCGCGTGCGGTTTGTTGCCGTCAGACTGCATGCGCACGTTGAGGACGTCGCCCGGGTTGCCCGCGATGCCACCCAGCAGGCCTGCGACCGAGGACATGAGGACGAGTTGGAGGAGCGACGGGCGCGGTGCAGGGTTCTCGGGGGTGGGCGCGGGAGCAAATCTCGTCTTGAGGTCTTCGTACACGCCGAAGCGCACGGTGGAATAGGTCAGTTGGCGCAGGAGGGCGCCGGAGAGACCGGCATAGAGTCCCAGGGGTCCGTCATGCCGCAGAATATGTGTGAATGTGCTGATGGTGGTTGTAGGCGCAGAAGACGGGCGTGTCTGCAGGCGTACCTTGACTATAGTATAAGTTTTGAGTCAGCATCGGGTTCCGCGAACTGTGCGCAGAAGGGTTCGGGCAAGGCGCGGAGACGGCATACCCAGGTCTAGAGGATGGGTGACTACCGCTGCCATTGAGGCAGCGCTGCCACCGAACCAGAAGGGGTAGTGTATGGCCGCATTTTTGGTTTGCTGCGGCTTAGGCTTGGGAGAGGGCGTCATCTCGTCGACGTTTGGTCGGGGAACAGGTGCTGGTGTCGACATGGCTCCATTCCCAGGATGCCTCTGGACCGGATATGTACAGGGAGAATAAGAAGGGGCCCCGTGAGGGAAAGAAGAGTCTCAAATGAGCGACACGGCCCTGTAAATGAGTGACTAAGATAACAGCAATAAAGATTTGAAGCCGTCGAAATAATTCCAGTCAGTACGAGACTTTTGCCCGGTGACGAAATCTTCCTGTTCCGAGATGTCGGTTATATTAAACGCCCGAGGCGTTTGTGTGTCTGACACAGGATGTTGTACCTCAGTCTGCACGGGGAACTCGTTGTCTGACAGTTATTTTCCTCTTCGAGATGCGATATCGGTTTCGAGATGCAGGACTAAGCCGCACACAAAGCTCGTTGCATTTTCGTTTGTAGACAAACCCTCCGCATCTGTCCGCAATTACTTTGGCAAGCTTCCATCAAACAGACTCCTCGTTCTCCTGGACCATGCATTGATCAAACAGGCTCGGCAACTCCCATCCGATGCAGCTCCTCAGGACTGGTGCGTTCCTGAGGGCAGCTCGTCTCGCAAGATTCACCGTCGTCCAAGGCCGAATAGCTCCTTCGGCTACAACCTACACTCGCACTCCCTTACGATGGTCGAGCTCTCAATCTGCTGCTGAACAACCGCAGCAGCAGCCCTTCCCTGAGCAATCGGTAGCGGATGCCAAAGAGGTAGATCCTGCAAAGACTGCAGAGTCAAAGAGCGATGGACAAACCGGGCAACAAAAAACTATTGCAGGGGCACCCTACATCTTGGACAACACCACCAATGTCACGGACTCGATCCTCAACTTGGTCGGTCGCAACCTCTACGAGCACCCAGACCATCCAATCTGCATCACTCGGAAGCTTATTGAATCATGCTTCCCTGAGCCCGACTACAATCACTTTGTCATGTCCGACCCCGTCGTGACGGTCAGGGACAATTTCGACGTGCTAGGCTTCCCAGCTGACCATCCAGGCCGGTCGAGGACTGACACGTACTATGTGAATTCTTCCCATCTTCTTCGCACACATACATCCGCCCATCAACATGCTGCCTTTCAGGCCCTCGGTTCACAAAGACGGACAACGGGATACACCATCTGCGCCGACGTCTATCGCCGTGATAGTATCGACCGCTCCCACTTCCCAGTCTTCCATCAGATGGAGGGCGCACGGGTATGGAGTCTCGATCCACGCATCGACTCGCGATATTCTGCGCAGACTGCTCGGACAGCTAGGATAGCCAACCAGCTTAGAGCTATGCCTGCAACATCTATCATCGTGGAAGACAACGCGACAAACTTCTCTACCGACGTGAACCCCATGCAGCCGGAACATGACCCAGTTGATGTAGAATTGGTTGCCTCCCATCTGAAGCGCAGCCTTGAATTTTTGATGGAGAATATCCATAACGCTGCACAGCAGTCCCTTCCGCAATCGGCCCGCACGCCCCTACAGGTTCGCTGGGTCGAGGCGTATTTCCCATTCACGAGCCCGAGTTTTGAACTGGAAGTCCTCTGGAACGGTGAATGGCTGGAATTGCTTGGCAGCGGTGTTGTCCAGCAGTCTATCCTCAACAAGGCTGGCTTGACGCGCAGCATAGGATGGGCATGGGGCTTAGGTATTGAGCGATTCGCCATGCTTCTGTTCGGCATACCTGATATTCGTCTGTTTTGGAGTACGGATAAGCGATTTCTGCAACAATTCTCAAGTGGCAAGATCAACAAGTTCGAACCGTTTAGCAAGTATCCTCCTTGTTACAAGGATATCGCCTTCTGGATCAATCCTGCTCCAGCAGGCGCCAGCCCTCATGGAACAACTCCTTGGGGGTCCGCAGCAGCAGCAGGTGGAGATGCGACGAAGGCGAATCCCACAGAAACACAGCCAGCGGCTTTCCATGAGAACGATATCATGGAGGTAGTCCGGGATGTGGCGGGCAGCCTGGCCGAAGACGTAAAGCTCGTTGACGAATTTATCCATCCGACCAGTGGAAGAAAGAGCCTGTGTTATAGGATCAATTACAGGAGTCTTGAGAGGACCCTGACGAACGAGGAGGTCAACAGGTTGCATGATGAGGTTGCCAAGCGAATGAAGGCTCAGTTTGGCGTTGAGTTGAGATGATTGACCCTCTGCTCATCTTCTATACTCCGCCCATTCTTGTCTTTCTTCGTAGCGTCGGACAGAACAGCATCGTGTCAAAGCTGGTCCTCTGCGGACCCAACCCATTATTTGAGGAAATTGTACAACATTTTTTTCTTCAGCTGAAAATGTTGCAGCGTTTCTCTAGTAAGTCTGGCCCCCTTTTTGTTTTTTCTCGGCTTGTTACTTGGGTTCGATGATGAATTGCCAAAATTTAATATGTTTCAACCCCATATGACGGTCTTTTCGACTGTTTGATTCTATTGTGCAACCTCTTACCTCAATCTTTTCTGAAATACCCCAAGATTTGTTGAGCTGTGCTGTCCATTACACTTGTCTCTTACGCCATGCGAGACTGGGGCTAACGGAATCATCTCTATCAATAGGTTCAGCAAGCGACAAAAGGTGCGTTGTAGGTTCGGATGATATTGGAGTGCATCGAGCAAAGTGTACGAAGATCAATATCAAAATCATGTATCTATAGATAATAGTGTACAACCACCTAATTTTGCCCAGCCGAGGGTCCAGTGTAAGGAAACCAAAAGTCCCAGCTCAACAGTGTCAAAACAACAAAACATGGCAAGTCATCAAAGTGTAGTGGATGTTCGGGGCGTTGCTCCTGAAAGGCTATATTTACTGAACCAAGACGGTTTGCATATCTAGATACCTACCGGAGTTATCAAGCCAGTGTCCGTATATAATCTCTTCTCTACCGTACGTCCTCTTCGCTGCCAATTCGGCGGGCATGAGAGACGTTATGTAATACTGATACCAATGAGATACCTCCTCATCTTCAATGTTTTATGTTCGACGTCCGAGGTTCTATTGATTGATTGATGAATTGCTGATCGAGTAGATGAGCTGGATTCAAATGAACGGTTGAATGGGGAAGAGAACCATAATGTTTATGTCGCTGCTTGTTCGTAGGAGGAGATTTCTACGGTGTGCGCCGCGGGGGTATGTTTTCATGTTCGCATGTTCGCATGTTCGCATGTGGAACCGAATTGTGCTTTTATCACATACCTCTTTCTCCATTCGGAAAGGGGGAGCAAGGCACTCCACGAACGCACTCACGTTCACTACTCGTAGTCGAACAATAGGTGACGGAGCTCGAGGAGGACGGCCCCGAGCCTTGGTTTGTGAAGTAAAGATTTTGTTTGGAGGTAGCATTCCTGCGTTCGTGAGGTCCTGTAGCAATTCGTGATATCCCAGCGCCGGCCGTTTGGACACTTCCCCCCCCCAGCTGGACAACGGCAGTTCAAATCACACCGGCACATTCTGGCGAGCGATTGCTTCCCGCTTCTCTCCTTTCTCCTTTCGGGTCGAGGTGGTCCATCCTCGCCAGGTGTACGAGCGGTGTACTGAGTACGTCGTCACCGAGATAACGACCGACGGTCCAGATGCAGATGCGGAATTTGATGCATCATCTCTGCAAATGATAATGGCTGTTCCTCCATCATCATCGTCGCAGGTCTTATGTGAGCGGGCCCGTCTTTTTGCGTTGGGGTTCCGCCATGAACCTCTCGACGATTCTTCTTCCCCTTGCATTTCCAATCACTGATCTCTTGACAATACTTCTCGATATCGTCCATAGAGAAAAACAAAGACGTATTCCCTAACGTATGTCGACCTTGCAGATTGGATTGGGCTTAGCGTATATGAGTGTGTTCTTCGTCACTGTGAAGTTCACGCTAGGCCCAATCCTCTTTTCAAGGTCGACATTGTCGACCTTGAAATGTGCTTTAGGCCTAGCGCGTATGAATGTCTTCTTGTCACTGTGGATTCACGTCGACCTTGCAGAGTGCTTTGGGCCTAGCGTATATGGACGCCTTCTTGTCACCCGGGGCCACTACCGGATTGCTACTCAGGTCGCGCAAGCAATGGGGAAAGAACCAAGTCGCCTTTTGCACGAGGAGCTACAAAGCCGGACTCTCAACGGACTGTCTACAGTCGAGCAGGTAACTTAAGGAGGGAGGTTTCCGGCCACGACTAAGCCATCTAACTTGCTGTAGTTTATACAGCAGTTCCAAAAGGGCACTTGATGTGCCGATGAGGTGCTGCTGCTACCACTGCACTAGCCAGTAATCAGAATGTCCCCCTGTCTCTGCCACTCGGGCTGAAACTATTGAGCTGCTCCCACGGTGTATGGTGATCCAATTCGTCCCTCCTGCTTTCGTGCTAGGCCTAAGTTGCTGTTTGATGCTCTCCGGCGAGAGAATTGTCCCATCGTAGGCAGGTACAGTCGAATCGAGACGAGGTCTCGTCCGTCGTGTCTCTTCTCGCGACTGCACTGCCGACTTTGCTGCTGCTGCTGCTGCTGCTGCTCCTCCTCCTTCTTCATTTAACGTGCATCGCCTTCCTTCTTGTGATCCTGCCGTAGAATCAAGTCTTGAACTGCTCTTCTATTCTTTGCTCTTCCTTCGTCTCTCCCCATGAACAACTCAGCTCAGGAATCTCTCAACAACGGCCTTTGCATCGGTATCTGTGGGTGCATGGTTCGGTCCTTTTCCCTTCTCCTATCTTCGTCATCCTACTCCGTATACTGTCAAATCGGTGTTCACGTTGCCTTGTAATTGTCTGCACCTGCTTCGTCGTACATCGTCAGGAAGCTTTCGAGAACCTAAGCCAGGTAAGCACCACAAGACACCAGAACAGTTCCTTATGCCAAAGAGCACTTGACTAACAATGCCCTAGCCTTGCTCCCTCCAAGATATGCCTCCAGTCCGTCGATTTCCATCGTCTCTGTGCAGATCACTTGCCGTGTTTGAAGTCAGACATGCCTGTTGACACTCTAAGAGTGCCATCAAGAGCCGGGATGCATCATCCTCCAAAGGACACAAGTCTTGGTGGGTTCAATTCCCACCAACCGATGAAAGTGTCGAAGGATCTCTGAACCCTAGGGCAAGGATGAAGCACAGACATTGGAGGCTGACCCTTTTTTAGGTCTATACTTGTCTTTGGAGTCAGAAATAACAGTCACATTCCATCATCCTCCCAAGAAACAAGTCTTGGTGGGTTCAATTCCCACCAGCCGATGAAAGCGTCGAAGGATCTCGGAGCCATAAGGCAAGGATGAAGAACAGACATTGGAGGCTGACAATTTTTCTGCCAGCTCGGGTCATTTAATACCTTTTGCCTTGGCCAACGTTACAGGCAACACAACAATGCCGAGCTTCAACTCAACAGCATGGTTTGGTCCTTCCCAGGCGGGGGGCGGGTTGGGGGAAACGCTACAGCATTTGTCTTGCCTTCGATGACACAGACTGGAGGTTAAGATTTGTTGAGCTTGCAGGCAAGGACCAACTTCATAGAGATTGGCTAGGTGTCATGTAGGTTTGTAAAAATGTTTGGTTCAAAGTGTTGAAACCTCCGTTCCAGTAGCGAGGGACGTGTGGTAGATTCCCAACGTGGCAACTCTTGAGTCGGTTCCGCCAAGTCACCCACCATTCGTTTAGAAATTGGCGATGTCAAGACCACCGAGTCAAGCAGACGATATGATCTTTGCGATGGATCCTCCCATTTTTAGGAGATGGCAGGTGTTAGACTGGTAGGTAGTAAGGGAAGTGAGGTTGACGTTCTTTACATGGGGTGGTGCGGGAGTAAAGCGGCGTGATAGTCGGTGTTAGTCAGGGAACTAAACCCTTCTTCAGGAATGACAAGCCCGGGGTATACACAGAGTACATATCTTAGTATCACAGTATAGCTACACACACTATCCGAAACACAGGCACGTCAATACTCCCAATATCCCCAAACAAAGACGGGACATGTTAGCCGTCAAAAAGTCTCTCGCGTGTTCGTGTCCATGGCAGCCGCCGCAATAGGAGTGTATCGCCTTTCTCTTCTTGAGTTGGTCAACGGAGAGTTCCTGTCTCTGAGAGTTCCAGGTCTTTTAGTTCATACCTCGCGGACAGCCAAGCTCATAGTAAACAGCAGAGAGTGAGAGTGTCGATGTAAATTAATGATTGTCTTTACTTTTGGTACAAGGAACAGACCGTACACAGGATTCATGCGTATGTCGTCGATCATAGGGTCATATGGTGCAGAACCTGGATGATTTTGCTTTTGTGTTCTGGAGATGCGGGAGTGGAAATGATGTCGTCGTCGTTCCAACCGCACAGTCACGCTGGGGTTGGGAAGAGGGTACGTGTGGTGTCGGAACTTGGATGAAATTGCAAAGCATCATCAAAGAACGTCTCATGAGTTCTTGACAACGCCGACTTTTGCGGCTCTTAGGACTCGGCCGTTCAATTTGTAGCCTTTGCTCTGAGTGAAGAAGACCTCGCCGTCCTGCTTGCCTTCGACCTTGGCGAAGAAGGTCGCCTCGTCGGTGTTGGGGTCGAATTTCCGCCCCTCGCCCTCGAGAGGGTCGAATCGTTCGATGCCATGCTTCTTCAACGTGGACATGAGAATGCCTTCCGTCATCATGAGACCGGCGTGCAGGTCGGTCAGATGCTTGGCTGCTTCCGAGGTCGACTCCGACGCCGCGGCGGCATTGGCGTCGGATGAGGACGTGTTTGACGTCGTGGCGTTCGCGAGAGCTTCTTTCGGCACGGCTGTCAGAGCCCGGTCGAGGTTGTCTATCGAGTCAAGGAGGTCTGTGGCGAAGCGCTGCAGGGCGAACTGCTTCGCGGACTCGGTCTCTCGTTTCGTCCGTTCTTGCAGGTTGCGGTAGTCGGCGACAGATCGGAGGTATTTGTCCTGGTGCTACAGTCAACAGTGCCCTCGGGGATTCCAGATGGGAACGCCATCGGCAGGTACCTTCAAGTCAATGATTTCCTTCTTTGCCTTCTCTAGTTCCTGCTTCGCCGGGTCTTCTTTGGTCTCGGGTGTTTTTGTTTCTTCGGATTCTTTATCGGCTTTCTTGTCCGCGTCCGTCGACTGCCATCTCCGGCCTGTTCTGAAGGAGTATGACGCCGGTAGGCAGGGTCGAGGAGATGCAAAGGGGGCGGAAGAGAATGGCGAGCGTCGTACTTGAGACGGTGCTATTAGAGCCTCTGAAATGGAGCGAGATTGTCGCAGGATCTGTTTACGGAACATGGTGTCAACGGTATGAGAGACGGGAGGAAACAAAGACGAAACGACAAAGTATGGTATGGCGAAATGTATTGCTTGGTGAACTTGAGACTTGATTCAGCATTGCACACGACTTCGTTCGAGCTCCGATCGATAATTTTCTAGAGCTTCGCCGTACATGCCTGTTGTGGTTAGTGACCGAGGCTGTGGCGACGAGGCTGAGAACCCTGACTCGGGGGGTGCCCGGGAAGCAGCCTCAGCGCCTACACGGTACGAGTAGGGGATGAAACCAAGACGGCTAAACGAAGGCATGATGCCGTATGATTGTGCACAGGTTCTGCTTGCAACAGCTACTTTCAGGGGATATGATTTATTGAGGACAAGAAGGCTTTCCCCAAATCGAAACGAGCGTCACTGAAGGCCCACGACGTTCAAATCTACCTCTCTCGGAGCTTAATGCTCGTTGCGCTGATTTACGCCATACTCATCCTAGAAGAGAACAAGAGCCGAGTTTTCAAGCAGCTTGGGTCCGGTCGCAGAGATTAGCTCTGCGGCTATGCCCTTTATCGTGTCGGGATTGTCAATTTCCCAGTCTTCCCAGCCTCGGATGTCCTGGAAACAAGTCACCTATTCCGGTCATGATAAGAGTTCTTGAGCAATTGTGCTTACCTCCAGCTCGACCAAACTGTTTCTCACAACCAGCTTCCAGTGGCCCAAGTCAAGGTGTTTCACTTCTTCCTTGGTCAACGTTCCCGGGATGTTGTAGTCGAACATGGAGCCTTCCGGGATCTCTGCATCCTCCTCGTCGCTTGGTGCGTCGTCAAATTCAAGATCTTTATCGTCATCGTAGATTTTTGATCTTTCTTTCGTGGTGGCAGTATGTCCAGCAGTACTTGCTGCAGTAGGATTCTTAGCTATTGTGTCTTGAGCTGGGGGACTGTTCTCGGCTGCTGTTTGCAGGTCGTGCGACAATGACACATATGGTCTCCTATCGAGTTCTTGACGATAGTGTTCATCAAAAAGGCACCACTCAAGGCTCTCCGGATCTAAAAAGTTATACAAACTGACCTGCCATGGCTGGGGAAGACTTACCAAGTATGTAGGTAGGACGAAAATTGACCTTGTACCGCATTTTGACACATGAGTGAATGTAGTAGCCTAATGCATGGTAAGCCAAGCATAGCAGTACGATCGAAAACTTACCCATGTAATAGTACTCGTAGCCTGATTCTACAGCCATAGCAATTTCGCGAAGAGCACTCAGCTTGCCAAAATCCCATTGCTGATAATCAGGATCATAACTACGCCGTCAGTGGCTGGGTAAAGTTTGGCAAACTTGCACTTACAACAAATAGACCGAGCTGACAGCATGGGGCAGTAGGTCCAGGACTGCCACCGCAACTAGCTTGCCATCTAATCGATAGCACTGATGGTAAGATCCTAATTTCAGGGTTCTGCCGTTAACCTTGAGGATCTTACGGTCGAGTCCACTGCAGAGAAAACGAGTAAAGTCCTTCTCTTTCCATCTCGACGGTGGGTCTTTGTGTATCTGCATTTGATATCTAAAGAATACGTCGTACCTAATGGAGGTTAGAGGAGCTGGACGATGGATGGTTTGCGTACTTTTCCTTTGTGCAGCTGTCGCCTTCGAGATTCACTTCGAACTTGTGAGCCGGTTCAATAGGTTTGCCAGTCTTCTTGTTCACTGGGCGCTGTACAAGGTTGTATTCAGCTCTATGCACAGCTGATAACAAGTCGAATTTGTCTCGATTTTTGCGCTTCTCTCTGAACATGTCAGACCGAGTCAGCGGTTAGCAAGGGTACAACATACTCTCGATTTTGAGGACACAACCTCGCCGCCTGACGCTTGTACTCCGGGCCGAGTATGAAGGCATTGAACCGGTTTATTGCCTGACGGTGATCTTTTACGGGCTTGTACTCAGACGCCTTGAGTCTAGGTTGATCAGCCTGCGGCTATTTCGACGTAGATGGACTTCTGTACCGGATGGTGTAGTGCGGACAGCACGACCGGACCAAGTCTGGCTTATAGTACAGAGTGCCTGATCTTCTCCAGCCTCTGTCCATCAACTCCTGATAGTGATCAACTCGCATGTTGTCACACGACATATAATATGAGGCGCCTAGAGGGTCTGTGAGATTCTACGACCATGATCGCCGGCAGTTCCCTACACATCTGCAGTCCGAGTACGGAGGGGTTGACTTACTTCCAGTAGCATTTTTGCAATAGCCACAGGAGTTTTTCCTTTGGTAGCCTGGAATTCCTGATTAGTGCACGCTGTTACTGCTGACACCACGCTGTGCGACAAGGCTGGAGCGAGGCGCAATCCCATCCTAAGCAATGTGATAATCCGCCTTGACTCACCTAGTGGCTTTAACAGGGAGATTTCGTTTGTCATGGCGTGGGCGGATTGCTTCCCAACGAATGCTTGACTCCAGGTGGAATTCCGGTCAAATATGGAAGATCTACCAATCCCATCGGCCTAAGAGACTTTGCAGCAAGACAGTTACTGATAACCTGAGGCGTCTGGGACGTTTTCCAGGCAAGGATCGAGTGATATCACCTGACCGGGGCACCAGCCTGATGGCCTGGGAGGCACCGGCGACTCGAGAATGACGAATTCGAAGTTAGACTGATATCAATATGAGCCAACACACAGGCATCGCAGAGTGGGATATGAACACAAGATCCACTGGGCAGCCAATGAAGGCAAAACTCGGCGGCGCAAGACCCCTGCCAGAAACCCCCACAGAGGAACAATAGGCGCTCGCGTGAGCAGCACGGATGGCGAGGGAGGTGGTGGGATGTCTGGCTTGAAGATGCGGCGCATAGACCAGTGTTAAAGTCGTAGCTGGGCACGTGTGTGCTTGTCGTGTGCTCCTCGACGGGACGAGCTGATGCGAGCTAGGAACCACTGCAGGTCTTCGCTGGGGCAGCGAACCAGACTGCGGCCGGGAGTGCTTGGGGGGCAGTTGATGTGGCAGGTCGAAGTGGGTGTCCGTAAGGTGTACAGGTAATTATGTCGGAGCTTACATATCTGGACAATACCTGGCAGGCACGAAAACGACGTTACCGCCGCTACTGCTATTTCTTCACCTCGTGTCCACCCCAGAAACTAACCTCTTCCAACTTACCTAGCAAACCGCTTTCTACAAATTATGGCTGTTTCCGATCTCAGACTGCTGTGCACGTCAACTCTACTCCCTCAGCCCCGTTCTACACGGGACTGAAGGCCTCGAACCGTCCAACTTGCGCTCTATCGCAAACCGCTTCTCTTTCAGCGCAGTCATGGCTCCTCTGTGATCCTCGCTCGCCTCTCTTCTCTTCACCACCACCCGAGCAACGTCCGCCTGCATCGGAACAGCTCGAAAGTGTTCCCACGTGCTCTCTCACCGTCTGTTTCCATCGTTCGTTTGTCTACTACCTGGCCCCGACCCAAAGTTAGAAGAAGAAACATCGCCTTTCCTTTCCTCAGCCGGCGGCAGGTCCCCGAACCTGTTGTCTCTCCACCATGGCTAAGAACCTATCCATGACATCTCGTACCGGTAACGGTAATCAACGTGAGTTACTACCCTTGTCCGTCCGGACTCACCAAGCTAAGTGTGTGTCAGGTTACGGCTCAAAGGGCGAGAGACTGGTTGCCGGAATTGTCCCTCTCTCCCCAGACAAGACTCAAGTCCTTCTCATACAATCCACGCATCGGAACAGCTGGGTACTTCCCAAAGGTGGCTGGGAGCTAGACGAGGCTACCGCATCCGCAGCTGCTCAGAGGGAGGCCTGGGAAGAAGCCGGAATCATATGTAGGGTCGAGAAAGACCTAGGACATATCCCCGACACGAGACCAACGAATGCCGTCAGCAAAAATGCTCCAAAAGCAAGCTATCACTTTTTCGAGGCGGTTGTCACCGAAGAAAAGTCAAATTGGCCCGAAAAACACAAGAGATCTCGGCAATGGTATGCCTATGCTCAAGCTGTACAGCTTTTGCAGACGCGCCCGGAATTGCTGGAAGCCCTGCGACGCAGCTCGATGAAAAAGTAAAAGCATACAAACCGAAACAGGACCGAGAAGGCAAGGTCGTTATCTTTGCATTGCTCCTGTATTCTGCTACCATCAGAGGCCGTATTACAGTGCCGAAGCCTGGAGGAGCTTGGCGGATGTTGACCTTACGAGCATTAGCTCAGATATCAATAGACTATTCATGAGGCAGTCGTCCCCTTGGTCACTGTCCAAGAATGAGAGAACGCCTGCCCTACGCCTGCATTCTCCTTACATCCTTCCCATGAACTTCCGGCCCCGGAGATCAAAGGATATGTGGACTAATGACATTCCCATCAAGCACCATGATACTGATGAAAAGAGCATTCTGATCTAACGAAGCCAGCGAATATATCCGCTCCTATGTCACCTATTGTCGACGTACCAGCGAGTGCATATCTACGAGAGGCTATAGGACCAATCGATGTAGATGTGACCATTGCTCCAGGCTTTGATCACGTCGATCTATACGATTCCTTGCCTTCCGGCCATCTCTCCTCATACATGATGTACTGGTCTGGATTCCTTTCGCAATTGGAAAACCGTGACTACTACGCGGCCGCGCGGACTACTGTGCAAGACGATGTGCTTGGAGCTTTTTGTTATCAACTACTGCGAAGAGATTCTGGACGGTGCTTTGCCATCCTGTGATTCTCCACCATCCAAACAACGCAACCAGACAATTCTGAGTCTAACAACAGAACTTCAATGTCAGGCCCTGCATACCTAGTTACAGGTGGAGTGCATCCACATATCGCACCCAAGATTTGTAAACTATTCTAGATGAGCATGGCTAACTCTACGCTGACCTAGGTAGGCCTTCAAGGAATACCCTTCCTAACAATATTGTGGCCCGCCCTTAACCGGGCTCTGGTCGATTCATGATGTCTTGTTCACCTTGCTCTGACCTGGCTGTGTACTTGTCCTCGCCAGAGCACGTGAACTGTTGAACGGATCGCTCATGGGCCGATTGCTCCAGGCTCAATGGCAGCTCTATCAAAGTCATCAAACGAGTCTACTCGGCATTCGTGACGGCAGACGTTTCTGATTTCAACCTCTTGGTGCAGAGCTTAGTCCATTGCGTGAGGCCATCGATCAAAGCCATGCAATATTCTGGAATGAACCGAGCCATGCCTTGTGATGAGCAGAGTGCGGCAGCGCATTCGGCTTTTATTTGCATATGTGCATCGCGGACGTCTACATTAGTCATTCACAGCCCGTAAGACTGCGATGTATGAGAATGTAAAGACGGGGCACATGAGTGTCCTTGGTAATACTTAGTCTACATATCGAAGTACGGTTTGAAGGGCCGCAAGGTCTGACAACTCGACAATCCATCAAAGCCAGGTATCCGAGTGCCCTGAGAAATCCGGCATGCAGTTCAATGTAGAGTCTGTGACCATCTCCGCTCTTTAAATATTGGACTGAAACTGAAACTCAGAAAGAGGCAATTAAGCTACGAGCTAGATCTTGACCTAGGATTGCTAATGCGCAGTAATGCTTGTCTGAACGGTCTCATGTGGCTCTGTCCAGGTCGTAGGACTCTACAATTCGTCAATGTCAGTGCAGCCAGCTCCTCACATCCAGGTTGTATTTCACGTAAATGTTCGACGGAATGGAGGGCAAAATTTGAGCTGCCATTCATGTCTATATACAGTGCTTGCTCTTCTTTCACCTCAAGCGACCCTGTACTCCACCATGACTATGGAGCGGCAAATGTGTTTAATGCTGCAGGTCGACTGGGAAGTTTCCAGCTTCGCGTTGATCGTCCCATCTGCTGACCCAGTAGCCGGGGCAAAGCGAGCGGTATGCGATAAAGAACTAAAGCAATTGTTATCATGTGCTCCCTCTTGTTCGTAGAAGTCTTTTCAAGGGCGTCATCGTACCTGTCTGCACGGTTTGAAGTCCTCGCCCTTTGCTAGGATACACTTGTGGTAGTCGACATAGTTTTGCCAGCAATGCTTTGTTCTGGGAAGCCTCATTAGCGGATCACGGTTGGATGTACGGATGGGACGATCGGAACGTACTGGTTTTGGTTGGGGAATCGAGCATCGTAGCCAGCTGTGTTCAACGTCAGAAATGGCCCTCAGACGCAAAACAGCATATGCCCAGCAGGGTAATCCGTACCAGTAACGAACTTGAAGGGCTTGGTGACGTTTCCTCCAAGCTCCTCAGGGTCGGGAGTCTCGATTTCGACCATGTTGGCGGGTGGTTATAAGAAGTGTAGCTGGTAGGCGAAGGGGTGATGGATAGTGGTTAGAGGAAGAGGAGACTGGTGTGCGAAGTCAAGGGTAGCTCGAATGTTTGGGACGTCGAACGATGCATCACCTGAGGGAGCTTTCAATTCGGAGGTTGCAGAATCCCGCCAAGGCCAGCAGGTATGGCGGCACTCTGATTGGCTGATGGCCCGGGCCAGAGCCAGAGCTTCTTGAGCACCTGCGATTTGAACATCATTGAATCTCTTCGCACTCAGACCGCGCATTCTCTGTACACTCTCCACTCCTCCACGTCCGCCGCGATGAACACCGCAAGACTCATGAGACTGCAGCCCTTGCGGGCAGCTGCTTTCAAGCAGCCAGCTCTCCGACAGCCCGTCCTCCGCCAGGCCCCTCTCAGACAAGCCAGACCATTCCACAACTCCCGGGCCATGTTCAGAACAAAGGTGAGTGCTACAGGACTCGAGAGAAGAGCTGTACTGACACACAATCTAGGAGGATGACCAAAGTGGTGGGTGATGAGCAATGGAACTGACCCCGTGGACGGAATTGACCTGGCTTCTTGCAGCGCACACCATTACCCAAAGGCTTCGCAGCCTCAAGAGGATTCCCCCAGAGCTGATCCCTCTCGGCGTCGTCATCTGGTATGTTTGAGCTGCATGTGGCGCCCGTAATTTACCAGCAGCTTACATCTATGCAGTTTCGCCGTCTTCGCCGCTTGCTTTGCTATGACCAGAAAGCTGCTTACCGACAAGACTCTCCGCCTGCACAAGTCGGCTCCGAAACAACATTAGGTGCGAGGCAAAAGTAAATTGAGAAAGGTGCTGCTGTTTCAGGAGATCGAAAAGGAAAGCTTCCAGACTGTGGAGCAGGGAGAAGTCCAGACGTCAAGGATGTGTATATATTGAATCAGAATGCCGACGGTGATTTCTTTGGACTGCTATTCTAGTCTTCTGCAGGGCCCCATCACTACTCTTCGCGTGTCCAACGTAGACACTCTGGCGAAGGCTCCAGAGCCATGCTTCTGATGCGTGCGTCCACCCGACCCAAGCTGGGAATACCGTACCCTGGACTGTCACCGGTGACGCTGGTGTCTGGCCGAGTGACTTAGTTTGCCCAGATCAAGTCTCGGTAGTCAAGGTCTGTGCCTTGTCCGGTCTTTCTTACCGCTACCGAGTTTCTCCTTTACTGAGGGGTATTGGGTCTACTTGTAGTTTCGTTTGCCTCGTGGAAGTCAATTTTCCACATTGGCGCCGGTTCATAGCACAATGCTTCTCTCACTCAGGTTTTGGACCTGCCACATCAAGTCCTTCGAGTCCCTGCATGGGATCCTCGGGACGTTCGTTTCTGGACTGCTCGACAGCCTCCCTGTCTTCATTGGCGGCACTGGCATATTTGGCAAGATACCCTTCCTACAAAGTATTAGCGTCTGGTCATCACTTCTTGCCATACTAAACTCTAGCTCAGACATACCTGCTCCCAGATGGCTGTAGTGCTTCCCAGGCCAGCGTCTCCAGTTTCCTTCCGGTCAGGTTTCGCCAATGCCACCTTGATAACTCGCCCATAAAGTTCGCTCTGGTCCATGTTGTCGATGGCTTCTTTGGCATCCGCTGCTTCTTCGAACTCGACATAGCCAAAGCCACGGTGCAAGTCCTTGGATGACGGGGCCTCTGGTTTCGGCAGCGTGATGTCGACTATTTCGCCAAAAGGAATAAATGCTTCGGAAAGTGTAGCAGCCGTAACGAGCGTCGTGTCCAGCCCGCCAACGTAGACGGTGCTATTTGGCCTATTCGATGTCTCGGCCATGATTGCAATGCCACCACTGCCCTCCGCGAAACGTAAAAGCCTAGAAAGCAAGACCCGAAAAAGAATTGAACTTTCAACTCAGCGGACGAGGAAATTTCGATATCACGTGGACAGGGAGCGTTAGCGCGCGAAGCCTCGACGGCCCGCAATGTTCAGGGATGACGCTCGGGCCAAGCAAGGAGGACATTTGGTGACTTGTTGCTTGTTGAATCTGGAGAAACGACGGTGTCCAGATCAAAAAGTTGCTTGCACTTGAAGGATGATTTGAGTCGAAGGGACACTTGTTGATTAGCATTTCGGATTTAGCTTCTGCTTGTGCCTCGATTTCGACTACTGCATGATTCACTGATACTTTGTTTCATCGTTCTCTCCTCTCTCCCTCCCACACGAATCCGACCGTCCATCATGGTGCGCCTCAGGGAGATCCCGCGCACCGCGGCCTTCGCGTGGTCTGCCGATGCCAATGCACCTTGGATAGCGACAGGAACAAAATCTGGCGCTGTTTCAGTCGACTTCAGCAACCAGACCTGCCTGGAGCTCTGGGATCTCGCCCTCGACAGCCTCCAGCAGGGTCAGGAATTGCAGCCGGCCGTCACACTCCCGACATCGTCAGGGTATGTAAATTTCCAACCGGGCGTGTGATCCATTCTGACGTGCTGTAGGTTCCACGACCTCGCTTGGACGCCGGCACAAGAAGGTCGCAAGAGAGGGATTATCGCAGGAGCTTTCGAGAGTGGATCTCTCGGACTCTGGGATGCGGACAAGCTCATCAACGGTGCTTCTGATTCAACCATCTTCGACAAGCCCATACACACAGACGCTATCAAAGCACTACAGTTCAATCCAAAGATCCCAAACTTCCTCGCTACGGGAGGCGCCAAAGGAGAATTGTTCATCTCCGATCTGAACCACCTCGATTCACCTATAAGACTAGGAAACCCTGCCGCTCGGGGAGACGACATTGACTGCCTGGATTGGAACAAGAAGGTCTCAAATATTCTGGCTACCGGGAGCAGTGGTGGCTTCGTGACAGTATGGGACATGAAGACGAGAAAGGAGAGCTTGACGCTCAACAACTATCAACGAAAGCCAGCCAGTGCGGTTGCTTGGGACCCTGAGAAGCCCACACGATTGATTACAGCTGTGTCTCTAGATCAAGAGCCGGTCATTTTGGTTTGGGATCTCAGAAATTCGAATGCTCCCGAAAAGGTGCTAAGGGGACACGACTCAGGAGTCTTGTCCGTTTCTTGGTGTCCTCAGGATCATGATCTATTGCTATCCTGTGGCAAAGACAACCGGACGATCTTGTGGAATCCACAGTCCGGACAGGCGTACGGTGACTACCCTGTGGTGACGAATTGGACATTTCAAACTAGGTGGAATCCGCACAACCCTAATATGTTCGCGACTGCTTCCTTCGACGGCAAGCTCCAAATCCAGACCTTACAAAATACAAACCCTAGCAACACCGAAGCCGACCAAGGTCAAGTTGGGGACGGAGAAGACTTTTTCTCGCGGGCCCAAACACAACCCCAATCATCGTCTTTCTCGCTACCCAAAGCGCCCAAGTGGCTCGAGCGGCCCGTCTCTGCCTCATTTGGCTTCGGTGGCAGGATCATAAGTGTCCGCCAAGCAGATCCAGGGAAATCAAGGTCTTCAAAAGTTTGTATCAGCAAGTTCGAGGTTGATTCTTCTGTTGGAAGTGCGACTGAAACCTTTGAAAATGCTCTCAAGACTGGGGATCTCAGCTCATTGTGCGAACAACGAGCCTCAGCAGCAAAGACGGAGGAAGAGAAAGCTGACTGGAAGGTTATCGAGACTCTCGTGTCCAAAAACCCAAGAGAAGAACTTGTGAAGTATCTTGGCCTTGCAGAGACTTCGGAAGAGGTCGCAAATGGTGTCGAGGAAAGTCAAGATACTGGGACAGAGTCTACGGAAGCACCAGTCAATGGTACTGCCAAATCTCATAAGCGATTTCAATCTATCTTTGCTAGCTCGGCAGATGGTGATTTTCTTTCAGAACTTGCAGCAACCAAGGGCACGAAGACTAACAATCCTTTCCAAATTTTCACTGGTTCAGAATCACCAGCCGATCTCAAGATTACACGAGCATTGATCCTGGGTAAATTCGAAAGAGCACTGGATGTCTGCCTTCAAGAAGACAGAATGTCTGACGCTTTCATGATCGCTATCTGCGGGGGCGAGGCCTGCATCAAGAAGGCCCAAGAAGCATATTTCGCAAAGCAATCCGATGGTCCCAACTACCTCAGATTGCTGGCCTCTGTTGTCGGCAAGAATCTATGGGATACTGTGCATAATGCCGAGTTGTCGAACTGGAAGGAGGTCATGGCCACTCTTTGCACATTTGCCGACGAGCAAGAATTCCCTGATCTTTGCGAAGCTCTTGGTGATAGAATTGAAGAGCAGTCCGATGATCTGTCGCCTGTCGCCCGGAAGGATGCTTCGTTTTGCTTCTTGGCAGGCTCTAAGCTGGAGAAGGTGGTTGCCATCTGGATCAAAGAACTTAGAGAGCACGAGGAAAGCGGAGCCGCAGACTCAGACGCCACATCGGCCTTCTCCCTTCACGCTCACGGCCTGCAGGATTTCATCGAGAAGGTGACAATATTCAGGAAGGTCGTTAACTTCAAGGACGAAGAATTGGCCAAGCCAGGGGATTGGAAACTTGAAGCGCTCTACAGCAAATATCTGGAATACGCCGATATTGTGGCAAGCTCTGGCCAGCTGGAAGTTGCTCAAAGGTACTTGGATCTACTCCCTTCAGCATATCCCGGTGCCGATGTTGCGAGGACTCGACTGGAGAAGGCGAGGAAGAAGCCAGTGGCCCAGCCTGCCGCCACCACGGCAAAGAACAAGCCTCTCCCTGCGATGTCTGCATTCCAACCACCAACATCCACCTTCACTTCTGCAACTCCTCCCGTGGCAACTTCATACGGCAACGCTCAACCTCAACCTTCAAACCCGTATGCTCCGCCGTCAGCTACCGCTGCACCTGCCAATCCATACGCTCCAGCTGGCGGCTATCAGCCTCCCCAACAGATGCGCGTGCCACCTGGTCCTCCTCAATCTTATGGTATGCCACAGCCGCCTCCACTGCAACCCCCACCACGGTTTACTCAGTCTCCGTCAATTCCACCACCGTCACAGAATAAGAACATGGCGAATTGGAACGATATCCCGGAAGGCTTTGTGAGACCTCCACCATCAAGAAAATCCACCCCTAGCGTGCCGGTGCAGCCTGTGTCCAACCCATACAGTCCAGCCCCTGCTCAGCAACCCTCGCCTCCTATAGCAACCCCTTTTGGATCGAGACCAAGTAAATCGCCTCTACCCCCACCACCAAAGGGCTCAGCACCACCCCCCCGGGTGTCTTCACCTCTTACCGGTGGCCTGCCACAAACTCCGATTGAGAGGCCAAGTTCCTCTGCCGGTAATGCATACGCACCCCCAGCCGTCACCTCGCCTCCAGTGGGACCGCGTATAACGTCACCTCCCATTCCCAGAGGCCCGTCGCCATACAACGCACCACCCTCGCATGGCCCTTCAGCTCCGAACCGCTATGCTCCCGCTCCTGGCTCCCAACCGACAGCAGCCCCTAATTCGCGACCTGCAATCGCCCCACCGCCTCAAGGCTCGTCGTACACCACCCCACAGCCTCCAGCGAACCCGTATGCACCGTCACAGGCACAGCCACAGGCTCGTCCAAGCCCTTACGGCCCTCCTCCAACTTCTCAAACCCCACAACAAACATCAGCGCCACCCTTGCCTACGCCATCGCAGCAGTTCATCTCTAGCCCTCCGACGGGAGGTCCCCCACAGCAAGCCCAACGCCCGGGTTCTGGAGGGGCTGAGAAGCGTGCTGCTGCCCCTCCTCCAGCCCGCAAACATCGTGAGTTGCAGTTCTTGTAGTATCAGTCGATGACAGTTTCTAACTACCTTGCGAACAGCCAAAGGTGACCGTAGCCATATCCCGTCCAATGCACAACCAATCTACGAGATACTCACAGCAGAAATGGCGCGTGTCAAGGCTCGAGCGCCGGCCAGCTTCGAGCCCCAAGTGCGTGACACCGAAAAGAGACTCGACATCTTGTTTGAACACCTCAACAACGAAGATCTGCTTAAGCCAGACACGGTGAATCAGATGGTACAGTTGGCAAGTGCCCTGCAGAGCCGCGACTTCCAGACAGCGAGCGACATCCAGATGGATGTCCACACGAACAAGGTCGAAGAGTGCGGCAATTGGATGGTTGGCGTGAAGAGGTTGGTCGGTATGTGTCGGGCCACCCCTTGAGGTGATGTCGATGCGATATGAGGAATGTGATCACGGACGGTGTGCCATGTGAAAGTGTCGTCCTCGGGGAAAAATGTCGAAATCCCACGTCGATGACATGGGGAGGAAGGGGGTAAAGCGTTTACATATATCTCTGATACAGTGATAGAAAATGACGAAGATCCGAGTATGACGATTGATCTACCTTAAATTTAAACAAAGAAACAAACCAACAGAGTAGTCGCTCTCCCGCGCTTGTCGTAGGTAGAAGAATATGGAATACATAAATCGTATTGACAATTATCTATGTACGTTATCCACCTGATCTTCCAGCGCCAGGCATGGCGAACGGAGCGGCAGGTCTCGCCGTGGGGAAATTCCTCGAGCTCAAGAAGGCACCCTTGAGGGCGCGGATCTCGGCCCTGAACTTCTGCGCCTCGTTGTCCGAGCCCCTTTTCGTCTTGTTCTTGTCCTGCATTGCGCCGCTGCCGCCGGGGCCTCCGTAGCCCGTACTCGTGAACGAGGGTGTGCTGGCGGTGCCGAAGTCGGTCTGGAAGGGGTTGTAAGTGTTTGACATCTTGTCCAGCACGGCCTGCATTTCCGTCATGGTATCCTTCAGCCGGCCCTGCGAGTAGCGCGAGTCCGTGGAGCTGAGGAGCGACGAGAGCGTCGAGTGCAGAGAGCGCAGGCGCGTCGACTGGCTTGCGGTCGGGTCTTGGGCGGACAGGCTGTGATGGTCGTATGGGTGGGATGTGAAGGACGGGGAGCGCGAGCGGGGCGGCGACGTCTGCGTCGCGATGTCTCGGTGGAAGAGCTCCGTCGGGTCAGAGTCGGAGTAGGAGACATCAGACATGGCGTCTGACGAGGATTTGAGCTTCGAGGAGGAGGAGGTGGTGGTGGTGGTGGTGGCGGCATGAAGAGGAGGGATGTACGGTACGTGCGACACGGTCGACTCGAGTTTGGCGTTCAGTTGGGCCAGGTCGGCGAGGGCCGTCGAGGCCAGGTCGTGGCGCGCAGAAGTCAGCGTCTCCAGCATCGGCTCGACTATGTATGTCGAGGCCGCGTATGTGAGCGTTGCGAGCCCCGCGAAGCCGTAGGCTGCATTGGCGAGCCGCGAGAATGTCACCAGCGGAGGAGGCTTCTGGGGTTGGAGAAGAAACTCGGGATATGTTATTATAGGTGGCACGTCGCGTTTCGAAGACGAGGACGCCGCAGCGCTATTTGAAGAGGGCGAGGGAGTGGTAGACGCCGTGGTGGTGTCGGAGTGTGGTGTGGTAGGTTGTGTCGTGTCGTGGACTGTCTTGATCTCGCTGGATGACGGGTCGACAGAATCCTCGAGGGATGACCCTTTCTGGTCCGACGAGAGAAGTTGTTCTATTTGATCTGAGGTCAAGCCTTTCTGTTCTAGAAAGGCGACTTTGCGCTCTCGGGGGGCATCTCGGATTGAGTCGTCTTCGAGGAATTTGCGGGCTTGTTCGACGACAGGTAGATCTGACGAAGTCGAGGATGAGGTAGAGTCGTCTGTCTCTTGATTGGAGCCGCTGGGCTGCTGCGCATCCGTGGCCGACTTTTGTTGCCAGGCCGGTATTGAAGGGCCTTTCCTGGGGCCCGTATCTGCCATTTTGTCGCCGGTCGAGGGTCAAAGGCGAGAGCACTCGAAGGGAAAGAGATTGAACAGCATGCGCCGAAAGGGCGATAACCACTCGATGAACGATGAGACCAGCCTCGGCTCATGGGGACATGGAGAGCCAATGCAGAAGTAGTATAGTTGGCACCGCCACAAGGCCAAGCACGGTCAAGCCACATCAAAATAAAGCACCCGGTCCTCGTCTGGAGTGTCGACGTTGCTTTATCAACGGCAAGAGGGTGTTGGGGTAGAAGCTCGCATTCTAGGACATCTATCGCATCCTATCAACCTCGCTGGAGGCTGATTCAACGCACTGAATGCAACATAGCTGGGAAAACCGAACCTGAAATCCAAAGGTACAACGACCAGCAAGACCTCAACCAGGGATCAACCGCCACGAAGCAGAAGACCGGCTGCCGAGCCCAAAAGAAGCCAGGCCCGATAGCCGATCCCTACAGAAAATGACAGATCGCAGCCGACGCGTGCGACGTCAAGTCAGCGATGTAACTGACGACATCTCCGACGATTCAGAAACAGGTAGTGGTGAGGACTACGACCCTCGAAAAGCAGACTCAATGCGCAGAGCAGGCAGATATGAGTGAGTAACCCAATTTTTTTCTAAGTCGCGCGTTGTTGTCAGAGTTTGTGAAGTGCTTTGTCAGACGCCCATGCACGAAAGGTGATGATCGCGATCAGAAGGAAGACTGCCTGTGATCCAAATCCCATTGTACAGTCACTGGTGGTTGAATATGGCACAGGAAGCAAGATCATATCGCACGTGCAGTTCAGACAGTCACCGCTTTCAATTTTGGGACATGTCAACCGCCTCACTCGCCTCCCACACGAATGGCCTATGAAAGAAAGAAATTGTCCTTTGAAATAAACCGCTCTCACAATCCTTCCCAACAAGAATCGTGAATCTGCGTTTAGCCTTCGTTGTTGCTAAAATGGCTTTCATCACACTCTATTACACTGCAGAGGCTCGACGAAGAAAAGCTGACCTCGATGCCAGATCCTCAGCGGCTTCCAGCCAGGCGTCGTCCAGGCCACGCCGATCTGGAAACTCGACCTCTATCTCATCAGCATCTGTTCAACGGGGATTCGGCTCCCAGGAAGACCGACGACATAGTCTCAAGTTGACAGTGAAAGCGCCTCCCAGCAAGCTCCGCGAGGTCATGCGCGCCAATGAAGTCGAGACACTGAAGGACACACTTGGTGGTGGCCAAGTATTGGATGGTCCCCGATCGAGCCGCAGATCAACACTCGCCGCTAGAAGTAGTGCCCGTGGCGGCCAAAAACCAAAGTATACCGACTTCGCCGATAGTGAAGACGAAGATGACGATGACGAAGAAGAAGAAGACGACGAAGACGAGGAGGACGAGGAGGAGGAACAGGAAGAAGAAGTCGAGGAGGTAGAAGCTATGAATGATTTCGACGCACTCGGCGCAGAGGCAGAAGGAACCACGGACGAAGACGAGGATGTTGAAATGGAAGATGCGCCTCCTCCGCCCTCGAAGAAAACCGCCCCGCCGAAAGCGCCCAAGATCACACTGAAGCCACCGGCCAAGAAAGCCGATGGTAGACAGGGCAAGCCTAAGTTGGTTGTCACCCCTGCCAAGGTCGGCCCTCTCAAGTCGGTTGAGGACCAGGAGATGGAGGATGACCCAGGCGACGAAGAAGTCGAAGGCTCTTCTGACCTGTCGGACGAAGACAATGACACTCCTGCCAATGCCGAAGACGAAGATGCGGAAGGTGAGGAAGACGAGATCGAAGTAGGAGGAACTACTCTTCAAGCCGAAGATGACGAAGAACTCGACGAGGAGGACGAGGAAGACAGTGATGGCAGCCTCGACGATAGTGACGACATGCCTGGGTCCGGTAGTGCGACTCCAGATCTGAGCAGGATGACCAAGAGGCAGCGAGGCAGACCGGAAGATCAAAATACATTGATGGCTCTGGACATGGCACCTCAGCAACGAAAAGTGAGTTGTCTCGAAGAGATCGACGCAACAGTGTCTGTATTTCGCGACTGACGGCCATCTAGTTTTTTACCGACGAGGAGAAGGCGATGAAGAAAGACGAGCATGCCAGAAAACGCAAGGAGCTGACCAAGCGAAAGGTGCAAGAAGAGAAGGCGGCTGCTTTGAACCGTTTGGTGAGTTCACCCTCGGGGGTGCGATGACGATCTCAACAGAGAGCCCATGCTAAGTCACCACTCTAGCTCAAACCTCAGGTGTCCAAAACTCGAGGAGCCGCTCCAAAACCAGAAACTCTTGCAGCCGCAGCGGCCGCGATTGGATCGCCATACGAAGAGGAAGACTACGTCAAAGCCAACCCTCTTTACACGAGGTGGATCAGCACCAAGGATGGTATCAAGCTTGGTGTCCCCGATGCCTGGCTGGGCAAGAACGTTGGTAAATACTTTGGACCGCTTCCTCCGAGCAATGGCCCGCTTGTGCAGGAAGTTGACTAAGCTAAGTCGACCAAAAAAATGGCATGGGAAGACGATGACAATTGGGCAACAATGGTGGTGCTGCGACAGTGGCACTCAAGTTTTGATGGCATGATTCGGGCTGTACCAGCATGATCGGAGATGTTGATCCAAGAAGAGTACTGTCATGAAAATGGACATGGATGGCTTGAAACCCGTCCGACAGGTAGGTTCCTTTAGATACACAATAAGAGCGGTTTTGTTACTTGACATAGATGCTGCAGGGTCAGGCGTTTGCAATTAATTCATAAACACGAATGTGATCTCATCCTACGGCGAATAACTTGAGAATTGATTGAAATTGGTTGGAATTTTGAATTCGTATTATCTTGCGTCACGGACTCGAATCCATTGTCGACGTCTGGTACCTAGCTACCTATGTCGTATAGTATACCTGAGGCTTTCAAGGTTTGGATGGATTTCCGAGAGGGGGAGAGGGAGGTACGGACTGTTGTGTCAGGTATCAAGGTCCCTAGAGGGCAGTATTGTACAAGCTCTGAAGCATACAGAGACATAAAGTACGTACTACCTGCGATTCCGAGTCCTGGTCCAGATAGACCGTTGGGCGTGGTCCTGGTCCTGGTCTGGTCCTGGCTCACGTCAAGCAACGTCCATCGTAACGCAGTGATTCCCCTTATGAGCGTTGCAGTACCCGACAACGGTGGATGGGGGGTTGGACCCCTTATACACCACCGGTACTCTGTCATTGTGACCTGGTGAACCAAGTGCATCTGAGATGTTGTGCGAGTTGTAACTAGCCCGGAAATCCAGGATAGTTCAGATCGACCGAGCCCTTGAGGCACGAGACACGAGACGCAGTGACATAGACGTTGAACGCGCGTTGATTTGAAGGAGGACTTCCAACATGACATGGCATGGCATGGATGACGTGGGAGAACAAGCACCCACTCGCGGCACCATCTGATTGTGATTGTCGATGTAAGGATTTTCAAGTTCACCCGGCGTTCTTCGGGCCAGGGGTGACCTTTTCTTTTTCTTTTTCTTCTTTCTGCGACACACGTATCAACACTTCAAGTAAGCATCAGATTCCAATCCCAATCTTGAACGCCCGTTCCGATCTCGGTGCCATCCGTGCTCAACATCCCCGCCGCGTTGTCGCTTGGCGGTTGGTCGACGTTGCCCATGCCTGCCATGGCCGCGTTGCTCAGACGGTTGATGTAAACGTCGTACCCGTCGATGGCGGTATCAATCTCCGTCATCCACGGATTGAGTCCAGCATCACTCGAATCTCCGGTGGGGAAGGGAGGGAAACCCTGAGCGAAATTCGGCTCAGTGGCGTAGCTGGACCAACTGTCCTGTCGGGGGTGCGGTTGCTGTTGTTGTGGTTGGTTGTGGTGCGAGAAAGATTGACTGCGCTGCTGCGTCACAAGACTCTCGCCACACAGCCGGTAAATGATGTCTCTGCACTTGGTGGCGCTGGAGTTGAGGTTGGTCATGGCATTGATGACGTTCAGTGCCGTGATGACTTGTTTCCGCCAGGACGGCGCGTCGGCGTGTCCGGGAATCCGTCGGAGACAGTGGATTGGGATAAGCGCTGCTTGTAGTAGGAAGTATCTTGTTGAAGGCACGGGGGAGTTAGTTGGATTGTACAACTAGAAAAAAGAAGATGGGAATGAGACAGCAGAGGTCTAGCTTGGTGGTAAAACTTACAGTACATACCAGGCCGCCAGTCTGGTGTGAGTTCCTGTCGACCAGAATCGGAAAATACACGAGATGCATTCCTCTGCGGCCTTGAAGCAGCGACTCGTGGCGATTCGTTCCGCCGACGGCGCCGTACTCGCGGGCGAGGAAGACTTCGGGTCCGACGAGAGACCGTCCTGCGTCCATCGTATCAGGAATGGTCGATACATTATGATCCGTAAAAGACGGTAGCGCCAGCGAGCGATCCCATGGCCCAACAGGTATTCGTTGGACAACGGTAAGTCTCTGTCGTTGTAGAACTCTGGTAGACCGGCGAGCCAACCTCCCACGAGTTCGTCATCAAGGGATATCAACTCTGCCGCGGATGGGAGAGGATTAGAGATCAGTCGATTGTATATCGGGATTGTACGCAGATGATACTGTGACTGAGTGGTGATATACGTGTAGAGTGTCGTTTCGTGTACTTCTGGCGGGAAGGATGTGGAGGTAGGTTCAAGGTCCTGAGGCGGAAATATGTTAGCTGAGCTTTCATAAAGGATTTGTTCAGGATATAGCTGAACCAACCTGTTCATGGATATTGAGCGGGAAAGCCGTCTCGACGCCAACTTGTGGCCAATTCAGTGGACGACCATAGGTTACTGTTGCGCCGACGTCCAGGACACACAACGACCACCATACCCTTCGCCTTACCTCCTTCTTGAAAGGAGTCGCCTGCCAGCCGTGGAACTCTTTGTGGAGGCCCAGCGAGGTCGCCAAGCGCAGAGCAATACCACCGTAGTTGTACCCGCTGTTTGGCCTGTTCCTCTTCTGTAGATAGGTGGCAGCCATGGCGAACGCTTGGACAAGACTGAGACTTCCTGTCTCCAGAGACACGATTGTCAGATTTGCCTTGACGGCGTTGAAGAGTGTGGCGTGGGTATCATCTGTCCCGCTCCGAGAAACAAAGGCGCCAAGGGTGGCTACCAAGTTGACGAGAATATGGAAAGTGTTTCCTCCGGGCCGGCCACTCATCTTGGAGTACTGCTGACGAAAAGAGGATTGGTGAAGGATTGGAAAGGTCGGATGGTAGTAGGCAAAGTATGCGTCGACCATGCTGTCAACCACTTGGCGGGTGATTAGTGGCTGCGTCTGGAGCCACGAAGATGGCAGACTATTGTCCTCTGGGGTGTCTTTCATCAGCTGCTCCATCGTCTGCCTACGCTGTTTATGAAATTCACTCTTGTCGTCTGATCCTTCGCCGGCGTTGCCCATCCAGATCAAACGGAGGAGCGCCGCCCCCGACACCGATCCATAGAATCCAGTATGTGAATCGTCTGTCGTGAGCGTCGCCATACCGTCGGTGATTTTGGGTACGTCTGAGTCTGGATCGTTCTGGAGAGTCGATGCACCACCTCCTCTCAATTCCCCCAGATTCCAGGAAGGATCTCGCTCGTCCCATTCAAAGTCATCGTCGGCACCTGGGAGGTTTTCGAAGGCAGCACCGCTCTCGCTAGCTGGACTCCTGGAAGAGTCGAAGACATGAAAATCGAACTTCTGGTCTGGGTCCGGGCTAGCCGTGGGGACAGGCTGATTTGACGGGTGGTTTGTGGTATCCTTCTGAAGAGCACTCCTCGACCCAGGGAATGCGGCATCGTTTGAGAGACTGGATTGAGCAATTGGCCTCTGAGGAGAAGCTTCAGGTCCATGTGAGACTCCATGAATGAGCATTTGCGACAGCTCGGCTTCAGTGAAAAAAGTTCTGAGCAAGGCTTCAGCCTTCTCCAGCCGCTCTTCCACCTCTGTGAGATGTCTACGAGTTTTCTGGATCAGCAATGCCTCTGGAGAGAAATTGGGGGCACAGATTGCTCACTTCCTCGTCAGTGAAGACCGACTGTGTTTGTCATAGAGACAGTGTCGATTGTATCGCTGACACACAGAACACACTGGCATCTTGCCATCACATTTTCCCTTGCGGCGCCGACACTCGCGACACGACTGGCCAGCATTAGGCTGTAATTTGTCGCTCTTCGCCACGTCGGCCATTTTGCGACTTGTTCGTACGATTTTCGCTTACATGCAGAGAGAACTGATCGACCGATTATCCAGGATGAGACTTGCTGAGGACTGAGGATACACTTGTACGAGTACGAAGCAAGAAACAAGTGGGAGAAGTTTACACATCCGACGCCATTTAAATCTGAGATACAGCGAAAGATCTTGGGTGCCAAAACCCCGCAACGGAGGGAACGGGTCTTTATTGTGCGAGCAACTTTAAAATATGTGGTGGCCACACGGGGTCCAGAATCGACACCTCAGAACACCAGGTCCCTGTTGCCAGCGAGCATTTGATTATTGGATGAGAAACGACCATGTACTCGCCCATATTGATCTTCCCCGGCGGGCACACGGCGGACTGCATTGTCCAGACGCAAAGTACCTCCTCGTGTGCCAAAGGGGCCCATATGCCATATTCTGACAGTAAAGCATGATTCAACTGCAGGTAAGCGAGTGCTTTGTTCCGCCATAGGTCACTAACATCCGCTGCCTTGCTTCTGTGACATGGGGTGCATTGGTTGGGCCGAGTTCCCCGTCGATAACCCAAAGAACCGGTGGCCCCGGGGCTTCGGCTGCACCCAACTATCCGCCTTGAAAGAAAGAGACGGGGCGCCCAGTGAGCCTGGTCCGGGCACCAGAGGTCTGGGGACTCGCAACTGGTGGAATAGTGCTTAAAACCGACACGATTCCGACGAACATACAAAGTATTCTCTATGTTGTATATTTTCCTCACAACGTCACCCGTGTGTCCAGGCTGGTCTGCGGGATTGATGGTTATCTCCGGCCTCAAACATGTATAGCTGCTGCAGTGAGAGTCTATTTAAGAAGGAGAAAACATCCAGGCCGTCGAGGTGAGTTGACTTGGAAGCCAGCAGGCATCGGCATCCCTGAGTCTATCCATCCCCGTCAATTTCCTGTGCAAATCGCTGCCACGCACCAATATACAGAAGATCATCATGGCGACGGGGGATTTACCCAAGACTCATCGGGCTCTCGTCCAACGAGTCTATGCTCAGCCGTTGCAAGTTGAGACGCTTCCCACTCCGCAGCCGACGCCCGGGAGCGCGGTTGTCAAGATCATCGTGGCCAATGTGGTCGGGTACATGAAAAACATCTACAATGGCGCTCGCAAATACTCATACCCTACTCCCCTCGTTGCCGGTACGAGCGCCATTGGCCGTGTTGCGGCCGTGGGCGAGGACGCCGTCTCGCTCAAACCGGGCCAACTAGTGTTTGTGGACTGTACCATCCGTGGACGTGATGACCCGGGGGCCATCATCCTCTCTGGCATCGTCGACGGCTCGACCGAGGCAAGCAGAAAGCTCATGCGTGACGCCTGGCGCGATTCGACCTACGCCGAGTACGCGAGGGCGCCGCTGGAGAACTGTTTCCCAATCAACGAAGACCTGCTGTGCGCGAATCCTGCGGATGGCGGCCTCGGGTACGATATTGCGAGGATATCGTACATTTCTGCACTTCTTGTCCCGTATGGCGGGTTGAGGGATGTTCGACTTGAGCCTGGAGAGACCGTGATCATCGCCCCGGCCACGGGCGGGTTTGGCGGGGCTGCCGTGCTCGTCGCGCTGGCTATGGGAGCCAGAGTGATAGCGATGGGACGAAACACCGACGTTCTCGCTAAGTTGGAAGGGCTCAGTCCACGGGTCAAGACCGTCAAGATCACGGGCAGCCAGGAGGAGGAGGTCGCTGCTTTGCAGAAGTTTGGGCTGGCAGACGCATATTTCGATATATCTCCTCGCGAGGCTCAAGGTGCCACATACTTCAAAAGCGCTATCCTGTCGCTGCGTCATGCAGGACGCGTGTCTTACATGGGTGGGTTTCTTGAAGATGTGCCTATCCCGCTTCGGCTTCTGATGAGGAAGGATATCAAGCTGCATGGCAAATGGATGTACAGCCCAGACGACGTGCGTTCGCTTGTCAAGATGGTCGAGATTGGTCTTTTGGATCTTGGAGCCGGGAGTGGGATATCGATTACGGGCGAATTCACGCTCGAATGTTGGCAAGAGGCTTTTGATGTTGCAGCGAACAATGCGACAATTGGTCAGATTACCTTGATTAAGCCATAGGTGGTCCAGCTAGGCATGGAAGATATAACTGAGATTCACTGCTTGACTTTGATAACTACCTTGCCGAAATGGCCGCCGCCATACAGGTACCTGAAAGCTTCCTTCGCTTGGTCGAACGGGAATACTCTGTCAACGATAGGTTTGATCTTGTGTTGGTCGTAGAACTGCAGCATCTCCTCGAACCGGTCCTTGGGTCCATTCAGAATCCCCTTAAAGGTAACATTCCGTCTCAATGCGAGGACGTTGGCGTTCAATCGGTCACCTGGGTCGTCCTCTTTGCCGGACAGATAGCCAATGGCGTTGATCAGACCGCCGAACGCTATACAGTTGAACGATTTGCGTAATGTTTGCGCACCTCCTGCTTCAAGGATGATGTCAACACCATGGTTGTGGGTGAGTTGCATGACTGTGTCCTGCCATTCGGGATCAGTCTTATAGTTGATGGTGTGAGTTGCTCCGAGTGATTTGGCGCGTTCGAGTTTCACATCCGAGGACGACGTGATGATGGCTAAGGACCAAGTCAGTCTCATCGGGGCTATAGCCTCTATGGTCGGGGTTTCATCATGGGCTGCTTACTCTTTGCACCTGCAGCGTGTGCAATTTGCAGACCACTGACCGAAACACCGCCAGTTCCTTGAAGCAAAACTGTCTCATCTTTGCCGCCTGGGTGGCCTATGGGCCTCATGCCGTTGATAGACATCCAGGCCGTGACAGCAGCAATAGGTAATGTGGAGGCTTCTTCATCGTTAAGGTACGATGGGGCTTTTACGAGACCAGTTGTTGGGAATACACGATACGTTTGCAGGACTCCCTCCAGAGGTAAACCAAGTCCCGAAGTCATGTCTTTGGCAGTGATCTGTCCTGTGAGATGCGTCTGGGTGAAGGTAGATAGAACCCGGTCGCCGATAGACCACGGGCTAGGATGAGTGCCTTCGCCGACAGCGACCACAATGCCGCACATATCGGAGCACGGAACGAGCAGAGATGTTGCGTCGACAGACTTGTGGTGGTTGTAGAGACCCATGGCCACTGTCGTCCGCCAAATGTGTCTCAGCTACTGGTCGCCAATTTTGCTCGATCTGGAGATTGATTGATGAGCGGCACTTACCTTCTGTGTCGCGATAGTTGAGGGAGACAGTGTGTATCTCCACGAGCACTTCATCCTTGCCAGGCTTTGGGACAGGGTTTGTTGTCCTGCTCAGGTTTTCCAAGCCATCTTGTGATGACAGCCACTGCTCATTCTCTTTGGGGAGGCCCATCTTGACCAGGGGAAACTGAGTTGAGATTGGAATTGGAGTGAAGGTCTTACACTTTCGTACATATCAAAAAGGATCAAAATTTCTTAGCACCAGTAGTACCAGATCTTGACTTGCCATGCTGCATCTTGTCGATCTGGTTCGAAATTTCGTCAGATATCAACAGTGGAACTCGGCAATCTCCGCAATATGACATGCACGAGATATTGCAATTCTTGCAACTCAGACGTGGAATGATCTTCTATGATCCTAGTGCTTTGTTCAGCTGTCCGCGACATGATTGGGATTAGTGATACTCGGGCTGCTTATATATCCTGTGCTCGAGTCTGTTGATGGTTCTGAAGGCCCCGAATACCTTAGGTAAGCACGCTGCCCGGAAAATAAGTTGTTCCAGACTCCACGTGAGGGGCAGTTGAAGATTTGTGCGCATACGGAGCATCGTATCCCAATATCCGCCAGGCCGAAGATACCTTGCACATTGATATCATATCTTACATGATCACGTTGTTGCTGATGAAGCAGTATTGGTACCGGCAATGCCATCATACACTCATTCTTCATCCTCATCCTGTTTGACGGGTTGGTCGAGGTTCGCGACCTGGTGCCGAGCCAGCCCAAGCGTCTCGCTCTGTTGACTTTCCTCCGGTCCGTTCCCGACTTCGCCCAAGCCAGTGGGTTTCTTTTCTTTTCTCACACCATCCGTTGGTCCTCAATCCCGCCTCCTCGTGACTCTTTGTCCAGCATGGATAATTGCTGCTGACCAATTTCCTTTGCATGGTTATATCTGCTGTGACCGTCGGAGCTGCCACGGCTGTCTAAGTTCTCTCTTTTGAATCGCCAGCGCCTCCCACAGTCTCTGCGCGCCACAGCCCTCGAGGCATTGGGAATTGGTATTAGCTTACCTCGGTGCCCTCAGCATGCTTCCCCCTGTTCCTCGACCAGCAGACTACGGGGTCTCCCCTGACAGAGGCTTCCTCCCTACCGAAAATCCCATACAATGCCTCCCACATCCTGTGTACGACCGCTGGGAGCGGATCATGAACAACTTCCAGTCCCTCCTCCTCTCCAAAAGACTGCGGACTGTGATTGATAGGCTACCCATTATACCTGCGGTCCATCTCGAGACGGAAGCCGAGTGGCGCAGAGCATATAGTATTCTCACGTTCATGGCCCATGGCTACATCTGGGGCGGAGACAAACCATCAGAACGATTACCACCGTCCATAACCTATCCGCTGCTCCAGGTGTCAGACCACCTCGAACTCCCTCCAGTCGCAACATACGCCAGTGTTTGCTTGTGGAATTTCAAACCCATCTTTCTCTCCGAAGACCTCGACCTCGACAATCTCTCCACACTGACCACCTTCACTGGCTCGCTAGACGAACAGTGGTTCTACCTAGTCAGCGTGGCTATGGAGGCAAAAGGTGGGCAGGCCATACCGATCATGTTGAATGCCATCCAAGCCGCAAGAGACGATGACTGCGCAACGGTCACAAAGAGCCTACAATCATTTGCCCAGACATTGGATGAGCTTGGCACTCTGCTGGTCAGGATGTACGAAAATTGCGATCCGCACGTCTTCTACCATCGGATAAGACCCTTCCTTGCAGGAAGCAAAAACATGAAAGATGCAGGCTTACCTCAAGGTGTTTTCTACGATGATGGTAGCCGTAGAGCAACATGGCGTCAGTACGGCGGTGGCTCCAACGCACAAAGCAGCATGATACAGTTTTTTGACATCGTTCTGGGCGTCGAGCATCGACCGACGGGTTCCAAAAAGGATGAAACGTCAGAGTCGGAGCTCGAGCAAGGAGCGGCCCCGCGACCTCGACATAACTTTATCCATGAGATGAGGCAATACATGCCCGGGCCGCACAGAAGGTTCCTCCAAGCTGTTGAAGGGGTTGCCAACATTCGAGATTATGTCGAGAACAACAAATCCAACAAGGAGTTGTGCATTGCATACGACGCATGTTTGGCGATGCTAAGGGCTTTACGGGACAAACACATTCAGGTGGTGTCCAGATATATCATCGTTAAAAGCAGAGAGTCTAGAAGTCTCAGCAGGACGCGTCGAGAAAGCAGCTCTGATCACGCTCCGATGGCGAGAGGAATCGCCGCAGTCCGCTACGACCAGCCCGGTACAACCGACCAGGCGCAGAGGAAGAAGAAGATGCGCGGTACAGGAGGAACAGCCCTCATTCCGTTCCTGAAGCAGGCCCGGGACGAGACCGGCGAACCAGCAATAGACGAGTGGGCGAGAAAATTGCTCACTGGTGGCCGACGTACTGCAGCAGATGCAGAGATCGCACTCGAGAGCAGGCTCACAGCTGCTGATCTGGATGCTGATGAGCCTCAGATTGTTGGTCTGGCTGGTGCTTGGAGTATGGAAGACGCTGGCGGCGGTCTTTGTTCCTACTAGACTCGAGAGGGCCACAGGACAGCATTACGGCATTGCATTTCATCAGGTACTCATGGATGGGAGGGCTCATTCCAAAAGTTTAGCAATGCATACGGACATTCATGAACTCGGCTCAGAATACTATGATTAATGAAAGATGTTAATGATTACTATCATGCCTTTCGGGCGAGCGTAATACTATCTGTGCTTACTGCTAGTACTCGTAGATACCTGATGTACATGACAAGGCTCGGAAGCCGAGTAATGCCGGTGCACGTCGAGAGGGTCACTGTCTGACGTGGGATATTCCTGCAAAATGCTCCTAAATAGGTGAGAATATGGAGTATTAACTTTGGTCAGACGTGGTTGACGCGGTGTGTGATTCGTGATCACGCGGGTCGATGATGGATAAGGCCGGAATCAGGAGGGGGAGTCAGAGTCAATCAAATGATGCATCCAGTTCTCCTTCACTCACTTCCGCCTCCTGATATTCCGTGCCCTCGACCACTCGCATCACAATTCCACCTCTTCATGCATGGACTAATACTCGCTGTGTTGGCTGGTCCACCGCATCGCTTTCTTCCTGCCTCGCAAACAGATCCGAGGGCGGGCGTGTTGGGCACTCAATACTCGTCCAGGATATCCATCCACTAGCCTCTAGCATCCGAGTTGACCTCATTGCACTTCGGTGCTAACCTGACGCTGCGAATATGCAAGGACACTGCTCTTCGCTCTGCTGACTGACTGACTGTCTGTCCTTCTTATCTCCGTACACACAGTTGACAGCATCACTCTGGTCCTCCTCTACGGAGTACTGTACCTCGTTTTCACAATGTCATTCCTGCGCAGGACCGCCGAGACGTCCACCCTCTTTCCAGTCTTCCCGACTTATATCTTCCCCTCGGTTCCCTTCCGGCGCAAATCTCGTCAAGCAAGCACCGACAGCGCCTCCTCGGTGGACTCTGCAGTGTCGAGTGTACCCACCGTCTCTTCTACTTCGTCGAACCCGTTCCCCAGATACCCTACCCCAACACCGATCCCTGCAGCGTCTGCATCCTCTGTGATCGTCGCACCGGACGACAAGTTTCTGAACGGCCACAGCTCACACATTCAGTGCGCGAAATGCTCCACGGATCTCTGTCTCACATCACAAATCATCAGCAAGGGCTTCACAGGCCGCCATGGGAGGGCGTTCTTGGTCCAGGGGACCACGAGCCACATCCACACCACTGCGCCGGCGCTGCCCAATACGTTCCAGAACAAGGCGATCCCTCGAAACCTGGTGACGGGCCAGCACATCGTCAGTGACATCAACTGTGCCATCTGCGGCAGCGTGCTCGGCTGGAAATACGTCGAGGCAAGCGAGGAGAGCCAGAAATACAAGGTTGGCAAGTTCATTCTCGAAACCAAGCGCATTCGAATCGGCGTGTCTTGGGAACAAGAGGAGGACGACGCGACCTCCAATAATCAGACATACGACGAGATCTTCCCCCTCCCGCCGCGTGATCTCAAGAGGCTCGTCGACAAGCCCAGCACCGGGAGTGCTGCTGCTCAAAGTGACGACGTAGAATTCGATTCGCAGGACGAAGACGAGTGTGAAGATCTGTTTGCGGGGGTATGGAGCCCTCAGTTGGCGACCAAGAGACGACAACGGAAGAAGGAGAGATTTGGGATTGGAATTGGAAGACGTCTTCCACAGGCCGCCGGAAGCAGCAGCTTGGTCAGTTTCGGTGGCAACAGCAGCGTCGACACTTTGTCGTGAAACGCTGTTTCTCACTGACTGACTGACTGACTCAAACTTTTATACGCGCTGCTTCCACTACTGATACAGCGGACGGCAGGGCCGTCAAGCTGCAAAGCGCCCAAGAATAATCCTGTCGCTGGCACTGACATTCTTCCCTCGAGTCGACTTGTTGTTGGCTTCACCTGGACCTACACCTACACCTACCTTACCAGGCCCCGTACGATGTCGATGTCGACGTGGCTTTTGATGATCACATAGATATACCCCTTCCCTTCTCTTTCCCATCCCCCTCCCCCCAAGAATTCTTTGGCGTTTGATCGTGCTTTTTTGGTTTATTGATCTATTGATTTTGATTTTTGGTGTTTAGTTCATGTGATACCCTCTCCTTCATCATCAAAGTTGGAGTTGTGACGTTATTGGATACGCGTTGTTGTGAGATGATGATGATGCTGAATGAGACGCAATGGAAATGAAACGTGACGGTTGCGATTTCATTGATTGAAACTAGCTAGACAGGGGGAAATGCACATGTATATTCAATGAGGAGGAGATGCGCGGTTGGTACTTGGTACATATCCGCCGAAGCATCAATGGAGTTAACTACCGACCGAGGCACAGTATAATAACATACGACACTGGTACAACGTACTACCTTTTCCAAGTACTACTCTGATGCCCCGTACCATGTACTTTATCCTAAGATAGTTCCAACTCACACCACGTCCAAAGGGGAGGACGTCAGTATACCGGACTCCAGCACTCCTCTGGTCGTGTGGATGATCATATCGCCTAGGGAGGGGGAGACACGGGATGCAACTACGGTATCCTCTTGTCTATGTCCATATCAATCTCCATGCCCATCTCCATGTCCATCTCCATGTCGGCATCCATCCTCCTGTCGTAGTGGTGCACTGATGCAAGCGCTGGAGAGTATTTAGTCGGTACAAGCTCCGTCCCATCATCATAATAAATGACATCAGACCGACCAGACGCCTCGAGCACGAATGAAAAATGATTCCCTACTCCTATTTCTTGAAGTGGTGATGGCGACGACGATGACGACGATGGAAGTCGTATTTCTAACTTTGTTTTAGACTGGTCCGGGCAATAGTATCTCTCTACGTCCCTCTCGGCGCTCACTGGTTCACGGGTTGGAAAAGACTGTGTCCTTATATTCCCCATCCTTCTTCACACGTCGGTATCGTCATGCTCATGCTCATGCCCACACTCTCTCCTCCTCCCAACCCTTTTGCTTTATATAAAAATGGAGACTCCTTTTCGCATCTCAAACCTCGGCACTGTGGACGTGATGATGGTGATGGTGATGATGCTTGAGCTTGTCCCCATCATCATCAACACCAACACCAACAGCGGCACCGGCACCGGCAGCACCACCGTTGGCCAAGAGTCCTTTCTTGCCCTTTCCGAATTTACAGCAGGCCTCGTGCCTTCGCAGGTTGTCAAGTCTGGGAAAGCGCCTTTTACAACCCAAGCCATGAAACTTGCACAGCATGTGTTGATGCTTGGGTCTGTGCGTGGCCATGTGTCGTTTGAAGTTGCTCCCCTCGCCATTCAGGTACTGACCGCAGATGTGGCAGTACATTTTGTTTCCCTGGTGGCAGGACGCAACGTGGTCGTCGCGCACTTGTTTGTACATGAAACTCTTGGCGCAGCCGGGGAAGGTACATTTGAAGGGTCCGCCTTCACCGGTGGCGGCGTTGACGCTGGACGCCGTAGATGCGGAAGTGCTCGCGGATGACCTCGAGGCTGAATTCTTCTCAGAGGAAGACGCCGACGACGAAGCGGCGGCGGCGGCAGCCAGCATCGGCGCGAGATGTTTCTTCGAAATGTGGCCTGTCAGCGCGGCTTCGGAGGTGAATGTTGCCGAGTCGCAGGATTGCCAGGCACACTTGGTGACCCCTTTGACTAGGTGTACTGCCTTGAGGTGCTTTTTCAGATCGGTGGCGGAGGCGAACGAAGCGCCACAGACCGTGCCACATGGCATGAGCCATTGGCACGCACGGGAAGTGGGCGGGGCAGAGACTGCGGAGAGAAGATCTGATGTTTTGGACAACGGCGTCTCTGAAGGTTCGGGTTTGGGTTGTGGCTCCGGTTTGGTGACCGGTGACGGCGGAAATGCCGCGGGCGTCGATGAGAGACTTGCAAGATCCGGCAGAGACAGTTGTTGATGAGCTGTCGCAGGGTGGCAGCCAAACTCCATTCCGAAAGGTGGAAGAGGATATTGCTGCGCCATTCCCGGTGCGCCGCTGCAGAGTTGGGCTTGGGCGATGCTGTCCCAGTAAGGCACTGTATTGCCAAAACATTGATGGTGCATGGGCACGTCGAGAGGCGGTGCCATGGGCTCGGATTGCATGCTGGAAAAATCGGGCGACTGGAAGTTGAGCAATTCGTTCTCGTCGAACTGAGGTGCCGGTTCCGACACTGGAAGGCTGTTGTCACCAAGCAGCGGGACCGAGAACGAAAGGCCCAGCGACTTGTCCTGCTCAAATTCATTCCAGTCAATACAATCGAAGCAAGAGAAGTCACATTCATCACAGGTGTCGTTGCAGATTCGCCCATTGTACTTGTGGTCGATCTGAGCGTCGTTGCAGTCCTGACAATTGTTGACGTATTGGTCGTCAGCCTGGTGATTGTACAGCTGATGCTCTTCTAAACAATCGTCACAATCATCAATGCAGTCCTCGCAGTCCATGGGGCTCGGAGAGTTGTGGAGCGACGCATTGCGGCTGCTTGAAGACTCAGGAATGCCAAAGCCGTCGTCCGGTGTGGTCTCGTGAGTCACTTGATTCATCGCGCCCAGAGGTCGAAAAGCAGGAGGCGCCTCTTCCTCGCCGCAACAAGCAAACTTGTGAGCCTCGGCGGCATACCGAGCAGGGCTTCTAGAAACAACCTGACCTCTCAGCGGTGATCTGTAATTCTGACGACCGGCGAGCCGGGATTTTGTCGGGAAAACATCAAGTGGGTTGACAAAAGACTGGTGGTGGAAGTCAGAGGCCATAAGACCCTGAGGTGATGTTCTACCCATGGTGAAGTCTTCCCAAACGGACGGGAGAGTGGAGGAACACGGAGTTGAACCTGTCAAAGCGAGCAAAAGTTCGCTGGCTATCTGTTCCGATGGGCGCGGGGGGTTGGAAGTCGTCGTTTCGGCGTTGAAGAATTGATAATCGTGCCAAGACAAAGAAAACACACTAGTCCATATCTGGCTAGACACAGCCTGGCGACTGTGCACCTTTGTTGAGAAGTGCAAAGGTAAGTCAACGATGAGAATTGGTCAATTGATTGACTGAATACCCAATTTGCAGCAAGGTAACGTATATCGCGCCGCCCACTATTCCTGAAATGATGCGGGAATGGAATACAAGAGGGAAGACAAGAGGGAAGAAGGAGGAAACGGACTTTGGGGAAGTCAATCTTTGCTGCTGAGTAGCATGGTATATAAGTAAGGTTAGGTTATCTCACATAGGGAGACGTTGAAAATATATGGGTTACTTTTTGAATTATTCCTGCGAGCATCTGCCCTGGCGATAACGTATGTGATCACAAATTTTGACCTAGGTAACCTTCACCTTTCAAGTATGATGCCTCGCTTCACTTCATAGCGTCAGCCCTGACAATATATACCCAAGGACAACCCAAGAGGATCACGGTTCTTTGGCAACACATACCTCTCTGTACAGAGGCTGCCACAAGACCACTTCCAGGGGGCCCGTGGACTACTGAATGGACCATGGCTCGGCTACTCCTTGGCTCCATCCTTGTCCTTGACCTTTTTGACCTCTTCGCCACCATTCTGCTCCGTCATCTCGACGTGCTTCCGCTTCTTCTCGTCCATGTCCTTCTCCTTCATGCCCTCTTCGTACTTTACAATCACGTTCTCGTCGTCATCGATCATGTCAGACTGATTGTCCAGCCCGGCCCACTTGACGATCCCGTCGCCGCGGAACTCGGCGACGCGCTGCGTATAAAACATGTGGCACGTCGGCTTGAATGCCTCCCTGCCCTTTTTCGTGTTGATGCCCTTGATCAGCGGCGGGAACAGGAGGATCATGTTCCGGCCCTCGTCCATGATCGGCGACCGGCAGTAGGCGCAGGACACTTTGCAGGGGAGGTGGTGCGAGATGTCCTTGTTCGTCGGGTCGTACCAGCCTAGTTCATGGTGGCCCTGGGTGAAGTTGATGTCTGATTTGTGGAAGATGGCGGCCCACTGGAACGGTGCCTAATTTTGAGTGCACATTATTCCGAGCAAAGGTCAGTTACATGCGCGTGTCTCTTTTTATGTGTTGCAAGGCAAGCAAGCGACGATGGTCTGCGGTAGATTGGGTTAGGGTCCTTGTAAGTATGCACTTACCCCGTGTAGCCTCTGGCATGTCGTGCAGTGGCAGTACTTTGCGGCCAGCGGTTTGTCTCTGCCGAGTTGGTACGTGACCCTTCCACAGTGGCAGCTCCCTTCCCACTTCACGTCAAAGTCCGGACCGTCTTCGTGCACGCGGTACGGTTCGCGGAACTTCCATTGGTCTTTGTCGCGGTGCGTGGTGTCGCCCGCTTGGAACTGATGAGGTTCTTGTCCGTCAGAAGGCATGTTCGAAACCCGTCTCGGAGATGACGAGGCCACCTGAGGTTGAGAGCGCTTGAGGACAGATGACGAGGGTCTGTTGCAACAGTGGGAAGTATGGTAGGGCTTTTGGGCAGGAGAATTGATGGCTCTAAAATGTGAGTAGTAGTGTCGCGAGGGCTTGAGAAATACTCGTATAGCAGAAGACGTTGGCTTCATGAGGGGTCTAGAAGCGCCACCCGCACAGACAGAGAGAAAGCATCATCAAGAAGTCGAAGAAGGGAGAAAAATGAAAAATTGATCGAACACACCCCAATTTCAGATTCCATAGTCATCCAGCCACCGACCCTCGTTGCGTCCCTGGGGAATCAAGGCTCGTATCGAAGATGGCGGCGGATCTGTCAACCGATGATGTTCTGCTTGGATGCGACGTCAGTCTTACAACGACAAGTCCAAAGGGCTGTCGTAATCGAACAACAACAACTGACATGCGAGGAATTCACCGACTTCTGTCGAGCACGCAATGATGCTATGATTGATCTGTTTGCTAAATGACAGCGTCATCCAACTGCGTCAAGCCTCGTCGAAGTAAGAATAGCTGAAGCATCTACTCGATTTGCTCCGCATGAAAGGAGCATCTTGTGTGACATCATCAGCAGTCACTCAAAAGGATCAAACTTCCCCGGTTCATTCCACCAATAAAGTCGCCGCCCTGATTCTGCTCCTGATACGAATACGAGTACGAGCACGAGTATACCTTCATAACACACTTGCAAGTACCGCAGTCAGGTCCTCGTACACGGCGGAAAAAGCCAGAGTAGTCGAGATTTCATACCAATTTCGTAATCGTTCTGATATCATATCATCCGGATGGGCCTAAAGAACCCATAGGTATCGTGCTATTCGAGGTCCGCAAATGTGCCCTCGATCCACGGAAGAGGCTTTGCCAGATGAAGGCCTCACTAAGAAGCAGCTCGATGTCCTTCTCGTTCCATTCCCTGGTCGGGAGCGCTTGTAAAAACATCAATATCTCTTGAAAATTCATCTTCATCAGTTGGTCCGACCATTTGACCAGAAAAGCTGCGCAAACGTAGAGGTGAAATTGGGAGAAGCCGTTCTCTTCGGCCTAGAGGAGCGCCACTTTAGCAGAAACTCAGCAAAACTGGACTCATCTTACCATATAAGTATCCCACATCCTAATCACGTTCTTGATGCTCAACTCCCTCATCAATAGGCAGTTCATCCACCGAAAACTGAACTGCATGTACTCAACATGCTCGCTTTCGAAGTGGCTGGCCAGCCCAGAATCGATCCTCGTTGTAAGGTCCCGCAGCGCAGCTACCTGCCGGTGAATGCCGGGCTGAGCCACAATGTAATTATCTTGAATGCCGTCCAGTAGCTTCGTCAGACACCAAAACGTGTCTGCTTCAACTGCATCAATGACAGGCCTCGGAAGTTGTCCAGGATCCATGCCGCTTTCGATATCCAGGTCTGTTATGTATGTTCCAAGAAAGACCTGCCAGAAGGGTGTCGCCAGGTCGTTGATTCCTTGTACGTATCCACTGGCAGGATGTCTGATGGCCCAAACGTACAAAATTCGCTCGAGAGACCTTTGGGTGGCTTCATACTGGTAAAGCGGAATGTGTGGGTTAGTCCTGGGAACATCGATGCTGATCTGATGCCAAACAGCTTCATCAAGGCCTCTTCCTCGGCCTGTAGTCACAGGGGGCTGTGAACCAAGCCCAGTCAGACCCGTACTCGATCCATTACGATTTCCCACGCTGCCAGAGTTGAAAGCTTGTCGTACTGCGTCGAGATACTCTTTTCGCTTCCGTTCTAAGGTTGTGACCCTTCTTTCACTATTCGTGGGCAGGTGTCCTAGTAGAATCTGCCACGTTATTGCCCGTACTTCCTCAGGTACTCCCGACCATGCGGCGGATCGGAGATCTGGCAACGACACTGAGCTGGCCTGTAATATGCGCTTGAACTTGTTGATCCGTGAGATTCGTGTGCTGTGTGCTTCTGTCTCTTTTGGGGTCGCATTGCTTGCCAGCACGGGATGATTGATAAGATGTAACGAGTTGGCCGGATCCCGTAGGATGTCTTTGTATTGTGGGCGTAAGATCTTTCCATCGCCCTTCTTCGCGCTGGGATATGACAATGGGTTTCGTTCTTCGGCTATGTCGAAACTGCTGGATCTATGCAGCTGGGGCATGGGCGAAGGTGCTAGCGTCGCACCAGACGATGTCTGGTGAATACTCGGGTAAGTGACGTGTTGTGCTTTCAAAGCCTTGTTCTTGATGCTTCTCTTCCGGCGCATGCTGGCTATGCTAGGTAGTCCAAATTCGTCTTCATCATCTTCATATACAAGGTCGTCATCGTCGGCCTCGACGTCCCCGTCACCAACAACGTCCCAACTCTCACTCAGTACCGAAGAGGTATAACCCGGGTACGCTTTTCGTTCTTGTTCATGGTAACCCCGTCCGTCTGCAGGAGATGTGTGCGAAGATCTCGATGGATGGTTCGGGGGGGATCTAGGGTTAGAGCCTGAGCCTATTGACCTGCAATTTGTCAACTGGCAGTCCGTGTTCGAGACGGTGTATTGGACCCAGCCTTACAATGAATCGAACTTGAACATGTCCGCGTGCGAGTAAGATGCGCCTATCACTTTGTTGGACTTGCCCGAAGCCTGTCGGGAGGATGACCTGCTCCTCCAGAAGGGCGACGAGGGTCGTCTTCCACTTGTTAGCATAATCTGCCGACGGGCGAATTGTCCGTACTCTGATCTGTCTGTGCAGAGTGAGTTGGTCAGCCCAAGGAACAGAACCCAGTACAACGTTGAGAATCAAGTATCACGAACCAACCTGAACCATTTCCTGCGCCAGTCAGCCGAATGTATCAGAGGGGCGGATGTTCATTGTTTACCTGCAGTCCTGGCTTCTTCTGAGCCATGGTGACACTCTGGTGTTCACCTCGGATAGATAGAACAACTCTGTTCTATGAGGGCTTTCTCTTGAACCCTTTTCGCATGTAGTGGAGAGAACATGCTTGCAGACTCACGAAAAGTGCTGCATGGCTCTTCTGTCGTGTATGCCGCGACAGGCTGTCCTACGGTCTACGGGGACTAGGTGAATCGGGGCGGGTGAGGCCACTGCGGCGCCAAGGTCCGTATGGATTAACGATTAGCGCCTGACCCCCCGATCGGGAAACAGAGCGATGCCGCCCTTGCGTCGCCCCGGCTTCGCGAGCCGCCCGAGCGATTGCCCTTGACTTACCGGTTCAAGGCGCGATATCCTGGCGGGACACTACTTTAAGGGCCACGGTGGCTTCGATAGTGCGACGGAGTTAGTAATAAAGCAGCAGGCTTCTCAGTTTTATTGTACTCGAGCAGATCGCAGTCACATTTTACTCCCACGCGACAAGCGTGAAGACCTGGGGTATCTTTGCGTCTTCCCGATCGTCTTTACCGTACAGGAAAGACAGCCCGCACGCAAATGAACGAGTCACAAAGACCTGAGAAAATTCTACCCCCTGGACGACATCTTGAAAGGTTATGAAGCTCAAATGATGTCTGTAGAAGCTGGCCGAAGTGATGCTCGACAGGGAATTCTCTCTACGTTGCTAGGCGGACCAGCAAGATAGCCCCTATTTCATTTTCATCGCCGCCAGTACTCAACTTCTCCTGCAAAGGAACATCAGAACAACGTCAGAGCTTTTCTGCGGTTGGTATCATGATGTCCGCTACAAGCCAATAATGAACATTGGCAAATTCGTCATGATCACTCTGCCACAATCCAGGCGAGTTGGGCGGAAACTGGCTCCCCAACGCCACCATCCTCTGGTCCCTTGGACTCAAAGTCTTGATGGTATCCATATTGCTCAAGAAGGGATACGCCCCTTCGACAATGAGGCACGAACTCTGGAACCAGAAGGCGAGCCCTCGTCTCTTCTCGTTCAGTATTCTGTTCGCACTGCCGCCATGACACACCTTACCGCTGCTCAACACGTCGTCGACGGCTTCCAGTGTTCCAATGGCCGGCCCAATGCCGTCGTTGAAAGTCTTGAGTTGTAGAGGAGTCAAAAGGCCCTGTATCGTTGGGTTCGAGGGTACGGGCTCGTACAAGGTTCGTCGAAGCAATACCGTCATGGCTACCAGCGCCTTGGGGCGTCACCCTTTGGCGCTCGTCTTTACATCTTGGCGTGAAAAATATTAACATACTCGGTCAGAGGCTGAAATCGCAAGCCTCTCTCTCACCTTTCCTTTCATTACCACCACCATGACGACCTCGCAGAGCCCGTCGATCTTGCGCCAGCCTGCTCGCGAGTGGACCGTAGATAATCTCAACTTTTTGCAGGTGAATGACCCGCAACCTTTCACACTTCTGAGTAATATCGCAGCAGGAACCGTCGAAGGTACGTGATATATATGATCTCTGCTAGAATGATGAAATCTGACTTGCCACCCCAGACATTGCAAAACTAGAATACCTCTCGATTCCCACGGAACATATGCTCGACTTCTACTCATACATTTCTCAATATTTCAACCATCCTTTCCGTCAATTCTTCACCTATCTTGAGCATGTTCTCGAAATTCCGGATGATCCCCGCATACAGATACGACTTTTGCGGTCTCTTGTAGACACGCTGTGGTGTCTCAAGAATAGGCGGTTTCTACTGTATGAGACACTTCTAAAGTAATGAAAGACTAACTAACAACGAAATAGGTTTCCCCAGATATTTGAACGGCTGAAGATTGGATGTCAACGAATTAAATGCGATGGACTTTTCGAGCCACGCGAGCCATATGCGTCGAGATTGATTCCAGTGGTGGCATTCTTAGTAAGAAGCGAACAAATTTCTCGAAGAATAAACTTCTAATTACAGACTGCAGGCGTTGGAGGGCTCTGAAGACGACAGGATTCATGAGATCCAACAACTTCTCGCCCAAGCAGTTCTTGCCTTTAAGTATCGACCCAAGATGGATGAATTTACGAGCTTTGTGATGTGCTCAATCGGAGCGGCGGTATATTTGGCTGGGGCCTGTGTCACTCGAGCCTATTTCGAATGTCTTCGAGACGATCAACAACCGAGACAACGTTTACACGTTCATCACTCCCCCATCTACGATCTGACGACTTTAGATGGTAGAAAGGATATATCACTACTTCTACTGAAGATGCTGAACTATGTGCACGACAGAGACCATCCATAGAAAAGGTCAGAGATGCGAGTAAACTCAATATCTCCTCCCGGGCTGATAATGAATACGAGTAATCATCTTCTCTATATCGTTGGATGGATGGATGGATTGTTTTGTTTTGTTTTGTTCTGCACTGGATTTTGAAAACCACTCCTTCTCTCCTCACCATGCTGCCACCACGCATGCATGCATGCATGGTTGGACATCTCTCGAGTAAAGAAAAGCTATGGTACACGTACAGACACCCCTCAACGCATCTCCTAGCACCACAGCACTTCCGCGGCTTGCAGATCGAGCAAATAATTTCAACAAGGAAAAGAAAAATAGGACCCATATGATTGTGTCGATTCCCATTCATTGTCAGTTGGCAAGAATTCTTAACCTGGCTCAGCCTAGCCTAGCCCGTTGTTGTCATGCACAAGAAAAAGAAAATCAACTTATCGATGTCGCTCCCGTCGAGACACAATCTTCCCCTAGACCTTTGTGATCAATTCTCACCTTTGCGAAAGTCTGGGGGTGGGGGGTTTTTTTTGGGAAACTTCATGCGACCAGACCTCAGAGAGTTAGACCGCCTCTGCAGTGTCCCCGAAGTATCGTTGTGAAAGATAAACAAAACCAACCCGTAACCCAGAACTCTCCACAACCTAATCAACCATCAACCTTTCTTCACAGGAGAGCCACGCTTCGCTGCCGGACCACTGGGAGGATTCTATCTTCCATACGGATGGTACCGACCCCTGCCGCCTCGGAAGCCACCACCGGGTTTACCAGGGTTTTTGGGGCCTGTAGGAGCATTCGCCGGGGCACTGGGCTGACCAACCCCGCCGCCCGCAGGACCCTTTGGCGGCTTGGGTGTGTGACCTCTGACTGGTCCAGCAGAATTCCGTCCCGCGTCGGGCTGAGGTACGTCGTCGTACATGCCTTCCCATGACTGCGGGCCGCCGCCCTGGAAGTTTTGGTTTCTCGGACCTTGAGGATATCCGCCTCCTCCTCGTCGGTTTGATTGATGCTCGTACTTTTGCTGTTCGAAGGCAAGCTGTTCTTGCGCCGAGAAGCTGCCACGCTGCCCGCCGGCCCCCATTGACGATGGGCCCATGGGTGGCCGGTTGCCTCCTCCCATCTGCATAGGATTCATGCCACCTTGCTGTTGTTGTTGTTGCATCTGCATCATTTGCTGCATCATCTGGGGGGTCATCCCTTGCATGTTCATGTTCGAATTCTGCGAGTTGGGGCTGTTTCCGCCTTGCATCTTTTGCATCTGCATCATCTGCTGCATCATTTGAGGATTCATCTGGTTCATGCCCATGTTCCCCATGTTGCCCATGTTGCCCATCATGTTGGTAACCATTTGCTGCTGCATCATGGCGAAGTACTGCTGCATGCGTTGCCAGTACTGTGCCATCATCTGCGGGGTCATGCCGGAATTGTTGCCCATCATGTTTGGAGCTGCGCTCTGGCTGGGCTGGCTGGCGTTGTTACCGTCGTTGCCACCGAAGCGATCGTCTCGTCCGAACTTGCCCCTTCCTCGGCGTGAGAAATCGTCGTCTTCGCCCATCTTGCCTCGAGGCTGGGCTCTCTTGACCTCGATAGGCTTGCCGAGGATTTCCAATGGTTGGTACTCGAGACACTTTTCGACCGCAGTGTCGCTGTCGAAAGTAACAAATCCAAAGCCTCGGGGCCGACCGGTATCTTTGTCCATCATCAGTGTAGCATCGACAACTCTTCCGAACTGCGCGAAGAAGCTCTCAAAGTCCTCTTCGGTGGCATCCTGGCTCACTCCACCAACAAAGATCTTGGCCGTCTTCTCTTGTTCGTCTCGGGGGATGGCACGCTTGGGGTCGATCTGGAAAGGAGAACGTAAGCGTCTGTCCTTTGGGGGTATCTTCTGGCAAGGGGAGCCAGGCTTTTCCTGTCCTCCTTTGGGGCTCTTGGGGATAAACCTTACAATTTTTCCATCTAGAAAGTGCTCCTTGACCATGACCGTGTTGACCGTTTTGGGGTCTTTGAAGGTCAAGAAGCCAAAGCCTCGTGAGCGGCCGGTGGCGCTGTCTCGCATGACGGTACATTCCTGCACTTCGCCAAACTGGGAGAAGTAGTCATGAAGAGATTCTGCAGCGAGTCAGATACTTCATCGAGGGAGCTGGGAACAGTCGTTCGCGGCGGTGGATGAACATACGATCAGTCGTTTCCCAGTTAAGACCACCAATGAACATTTTTCTGTAGAAAGGACCCTGTTAGCTATGAACTATGTTGATGTTGAACAGCGCACGTAGGGAAGACAATAGATAACAAGTAGCAACAAAAGGGGGAGTGCGCGGAGTGTCCCAAGAGGACAGGATGCAGCTTTAGTCATCGCTTGTATAGCGCCATCGTAGTCAAGACGCAGAGCTGTCCGCGTTCATAAACTCATACATAAACGACTGAGATGAAGGGCAGCTCTATGTCAATGATGACCAAGTAGCCTTGTCGAGCGAATGCTGTAGACTCTAGCCGTGTCGACAGATACGTGATGCCGAATGTGCGAACGTGCACAGAGACGCCAGGTGATTATCGCCCTCTCGCGAAATTGTTCTGCCTGCGCCATGCTACACGTTGGCATCATGTTCTTGTAGAGGGAGTTCCGCGCAAGTCTGGCATTTTGTTGATTTGATAAACGTGTCGACTTGCACCACACACTGCACTGTTGCAGCTTATACTGTCTCTTCGACGACTTGTCTATCCTCTCGCAGGAATCAACTCGATCAAGCGAGTAGAGATTGTTTGCTTGGTGGCTGGTTTGACATTCACAGATACTCTTAAGCATTTATCTCCTGCCTGAGTATGGAAGTGTTACTCTGCTCTGCTTGGTATAGTATCTCGTTGTATGGCAGGATCCCATCGTCCTCTTCCGTCTCTGCTGCGTGGTATCTTTCTGAATTGCAATCGTACGGGCTAGTTCGTAATTGTAGCTAGGACTGGAGGCTACCTTCAGGTTGTTGAGCTCTGTTTGTAAACCTCAGATCGGATTTCCACAGCCGAATACCGCGGTCCTCTCCTCTCTGCTTCCAGCTCAAGTGCTCCCATGAGAACAAGCTCAACATCACAGCTTGACTGTTGTTTTCAGAAATGGTCGCCTCGTTTCTTCTTTCAATGGTACTAGTCAACCCGAAACAACCACCACGCCCGACCCAGCGATCATCATTCGACGCAACTGGCGCTTCCATCCAGTATTGCTGGGGCGTAGGATCAACGTTGATCAGGTCTGACCCATTATTGGTGCGACGACGGGAGCCATGCACATAGAGGAGCCAGTACTTGGGCACCGAATGGTCGTTACTCACTCCAGGGTCTCTTACGAATCTGGATGACATCCTCCTCTTGTTGTACAAACACGAGAAGGGAGAAAGTGCAAGATGAACAAATGCACGAGGGACATGACAATAACTTGGGCAGTGGACAAATCAAACTTACCCATCCTCCTTCAGAGTGACATTGTATTTTTGCTCCTGTGATGGTTCTGCCTTTTCTTGTTCTTGGGGGTCTTGTTTGAAGCTAGACTGAGGCTCCTCGAAAGCTGAGTTATCAGCATCGAAGGCGGCCGGGTCATAAGCAGTTTCGGGTTCTTCTCCGTAGCCTGGAACATCATTCTGTTTCATAGGAGTGTCGGTTGCGAGAGGTTGTGAAGGGACTGGAGCTGTACCGGCGGCTGCGGCATTTTCATCACCATCGTAACTAAAGAGTCGGCGTTAGTAGTGGAAACGCTGGCACAAGCTGGTGCGCCGAATGGCGAGGTTCGAAGTGAGCAGACTTACAGATCGGCGAAGAGATCCTCCTCAACTTCATCTGGTTCTGCCATCTTGAGATTCACTGAATATCAAGAGTTGAAGGGAAGGAAACAAGAGCAATGAGCCTTGTTTTCAGCTCAATCGACTGCGCGAATGAGGGGAGGACGAGCAAGGGTGACAACTCGCGAAGGTTTGCGGAGACGCACAATCAGAGCGACGAGATGGTGAGAGCGACAGAGGATATGATACAAGGCGGGACAAATGGTTTGAACGACGCGATGGCTGCGGAAGACGTGTAATAACACAAGTCGCAGTGAAGGATGCAGGGCAGAACCTTGAAGTCATCTCAAGGTTTCCTGGACTGTCGTTTGATATCGGTCACTGCGCGGGCTTGGCGGGCGTTCACGCCGCTTTTAAAACCAGCACGGCGCCATCCTCGTTCATTTTCTCTTCCTTTCTCTTTCTTCATGTTCTGGGATAGTCGTGAATATGACTTGAAGCTCAAAGCTCGAAATCGTGCTAACACTCTGTACGCCATTTTTCGCTGGGACTGAGATTGCCAGTTCAAGCGGAAAACAGTCCTTCTCAAGTTATGGAGATTTGACAAATGAATGACCAAATCAGCAATGAAACTGAGGTTCGAGGACAGACAACTTGGGGATCTATCATCTGCATTCATTGCTAGCATCTACTCGGCCTGACTGGATGTGGCTGTCTGCAGGCACTTTGGATGAAAAGTGTTTCTTCATCAAAACTCAGGACCAAAGGTATGGGAAAGCCCACTATCCGGTACGCTTTGCTTGAGGACATCGATCTGGATGTGAAAATACTTGCACTTTTACGACTCTCGGCAAGCCCAACTAAAGAGAATACTTCCATTCGAAACGAGCGGCATTCCTGTTTCTTTGCTGCGTCAACACATCAGGCAGGCGTTTGAACGAGCTGGGAACCTGTACGCCGTGTATGTGTTCTCAGGAGGTGGGCATTGATAGCAGAAACTCCCTACCTCTTGCCAGGCCATGGCTTGCATCGACCACAACTATCAGTCACAGAACAACCAAGCCGCAGCCCAGCACATCTACTATTGTATCCGTAGTCAAGGTGTGTTATTATCGGCTTGAAGTTGAGCCGACGAGTCCGGGTGTGTTAGTGACTTTAGTACCGTTGAGGCGTTGCTGAAGTCGTAGGCTCTTACGACATGCATGTAGAATAGTAGGCGTAGAAAGTGAGGAAGCCCTTCGCGTCCCAGGCAATTACATACCTGCTACATGTGCCTTCCGTACCTTTAGGTTTACAAACATGGCGTGAGTAGTGGGACGGGCAGCCCTTTAGTTCCAAGTCAGGTGAGTCGCGATGCTGCACCTGGGCAGAACAAGCAATGGTCGAACGGCCCTGGTAGAGGCAGTGCTTGCGGGTCGCCTTCTGTTTTATTCTGGGACTTCTCTCGTACGTAGTGCACGGTCGAGACGGAGGAATTGTCTTTCCGTTTCTGGCGGGGTATGTTTTGCTATCCCAGGCTGCAACATTTAAATTGATTCCTACCCAAGAATATGGCAGGGTAGGAACTTGTCCCGGGTGAGTGATATGAGAAAGTTGACTCGCAGGTGTTTGCAAGGACAAGTACAACATCGTCGTGTCTACAACATCGTCAAAGCATCGGAAAGACTGAGACCTACGTCCATCTTGTGTCTACGCTGAATGAATACAACAACACCATCGCAATCAGATTGTTGTACGGCATTAGACATATGGGTACACAAGAGACAAAACTACATACATAAGGTACATATGTGCTGATCTGTTTCTCAGGAATCTGGTACTCGGACATCGCTTTCTGTTTTTCATTCGACACCACCCTTGTGTGCAACAAGGATCATAAAATCGTAACTATTTGAACCTAGGGAGGGCACTGTTCGTAATCATGGTCAATTTCAATCCTCGAACGGATATTCCACCACTCACAGACAAAGTCATACTCGTGACAGGAGGCAACATAGGTCTCGGAAAGCAATCAATTCTCGAATTCGTTCGCCACCAACCAAAGGAGATATGGCTTGCAGCGAGAAATCTGGAAAAAGCCACGGCCGCAGCTGAGGACATCAAGCGCCAAGTACCTGGTGCGAACATCACGTTGCTCGAAATGGACCTGTCGTCGCTTGAGAGCGTCAAGAACGCGGCGGATCGGGTTCTCGCCACAACCGAGCGACTGGACATATTGATGCTCAATGCCGGTATCATGGCGGCGCCGCCGGGCACGACGAAGGACGGGTACGAGGTCCAGTGGGCCACTAACCATCTTGGACACGCACTTCTCGCGAAGTTGTTGGTGCCCCTTCTCGAAAAGACGGCGAAGCGAGCAGGAAACGGAGACGGTGCAGGTGGTGGCGACGTGAGGATCGTGTGTCTGTCGAGCCGCGGACACGTCTACGGGCCCAAAGGAGGCGTGTCGTTTGAGAGTCTCAAGACGGACGGGGCGACCCTGGGCGCGTACCAACGCTACGGACAGAGCAAATTGGGGAATATCCTCTGGGCGAGGGAGATGAGTAGGAGGTACCCCTGGATGAAGGTGGTCAGTGTGCATCCGGGCGTCGTGGGTACGAACCTGTTGAATGGCGCGACAGGCAGTCCGGCGTGGATCAAGGCTGTGTTGGGCGCGAGTAAAGCCGTAGGGTTGACGGCTAGTGTCGAGAAGGGTGTGAGGAACCAGCTTTGGGCCGCGACGGCCGACGAAGACAAGGTCAAGAATGGAGAGTACTTTGAGCCCGTGGGCGTGATGGGAAAGGGCAGTAAGGAGAGTAAGGATGATGACTTGGCCAGGAAAGTGTGGGAATGGACTGAGGCAGAGCTGGATCGGTTTCTTGCATGACGCTGGTTGGGTAGGTAGGTATACAGTAATAGTGCAGAACCATCGAAGCAATCATATCCTGTCCATTTTTTACGGTTCATGGAATTCTCTTGGCAGCCTTGAAGACCATCGATATCAGAGAATGGACATAAAGTCTGATACTCTACACCTCAGATCAAATAAAAAAGGCAAAGCCACCCACGGGTGCGTTTTGCCCTTTATAGCAGGGCCAATTACTATTGAGGTGCCTGCCTGGGTGGGCAGCGTGGGGGAACCCGAAAAAAAAAGGTTTACGAGGGTTGAGTGGTGTTGCTGCCAGCGAGAAAGTATTGCCACACTCACTAACTATTTAGCTGCTGGGGCCCCCAACCTTGTTCAACTGCTATCCTCATATCCCCTGGCAGTGAGGAATTGAGGCATTCAAAGTTCTTCATGGTCTCGTCTGTGAGTTCCGATACGATCTCTACCGCTACGCCACTCGACCACTCGTATGATGAGGGAAAGTTGACTTGTCAAATTCATCAAGAGCAAGTGCTCGGTGTCGGCGCACCTAACAGATTGGACACAAGCACCTGCTAAATCCAACTCCAACTGGTACCGCGCTTGACTCGGAATGTACGCCAGAACTACCACCACCAAAGTATGAGATAGCCAGATGTAGAACCCCTCGAGAACGCCATACCTTGCAAATTAGGCACCTACGTAACAACGCTCTCCACACTCCAGATCCTATGTACTGACACGAGATGAAAGGAAATACCAAAAGAAGGTCCATCTACATCGTGGCCCGAAACCATATCATGGAAGCACCCTACTCCGCCCAAAACTCGTCCAGTCCAACCCCCGCTCGCTATGCTGCAACAACACAATCATATCAGGTGGCATCACATCATTCTTGGATGACCATAGGAATCATACCCATCTCCGTGCACTCCTCGGAAGTCGGACTCAGTTCTTCCAGATCCTCTACTGCCACAGTGATCTCGGCACGTTCAGCCTTCTTCCCCTTTTCAGGCATTGGCTTCCTCGCCCAACCGATCAGTAGCTTCCAGCCTGACCCATATTCCTTACCTTCTTCAATCATCTCGTCAACACCCTCGAGCCAACGGGCCTGTTCTCTACCAGACTCGGCTCGAACCTTGACCAGCCACTCCTCCCACATCCTAGCACCAAGCAATCCAGTCAAGTCTGCAACATCCTCTGTGCTCCCGACAGGTCCCTGGACAGCTTCCACGTCCATGTATTGCTTTACGATCTTGCTAATTGTTGACACTTCGCTGATCGGCCGCGGCGCTGGGACAAAAGGTTTGGCTCCTTGACGCCACGAATGCCATCCACCAATGTAGCCGTGGACGCTCTCTTCAACTTCCTTTGGAGGTTTTCGGCCCATGGGCACGAATACCCATGCTCTCTTGACGCCAGTGAAGCCCTCTTTTTTCACTCTGCGCAACCAACTTCGGGCTGCTTCGCGTTCGTATCCTCGGCGGTGCAATTCGAAGCCAAATTCAACAGACATGGCATCTCCTCGTGGTCCGGCATGGGCGATTGTCGAGTCCATAATCATATAGTCAATGAAACCGCCCGGCTTCAACACTCGCTGACATTCACGCAATGCCAGATCCCATTCGTCAATCTCGGGAACACCTGGCACGGGATTGTGTTTCAGCAGGACGTGAAGTGACCGTGCCGAGATGACGTCGAAATGGCCACTGCGGAAAGGTAATTGCCAAAGATGAGGAACAGAGACCGTCCGATGGTTTTTGGGTGCTTCAGGTTTAGGCTTTCCTTGCGGTCTTTGCGATTGAGATTGCTCTTTGGTGATGACTGTGTAGATCTTGACATTGGGCCATTCAAGAGCCGCATGCCACGCCCATGATGCACATGATGTACCGCCTATGTCGAGAATGCGAATCCTTTTACTGCCAACGCAATTAGGATGGTCGAGGGGAATTGTGGACTTCGTCTTGAGGCGTTGACATGCCGCTGCGGAGGCAAGGAGACGCCCTCCATACATCGTTCTCAGGGCATCAATTTGCCAGCTGGATGGTTCGATAGAGGCAAGAGCGAGCTGCTCACGCTCGGCAGTCTTGAACGCTATCTGTTCGGAGGTCTGCTCAAAGATACCTGTGGCTCGAGGGTTCTGACTGAACGGGCCTGCATATTTTGGTCTCTTATGCTCTAGGAGGATATGTTGACCTAATAAATTCGTGATGTGTTGTTCTGGAAGAGCCACGCGGAAGGCTTGTATAGCCTCTAGCCGGGAACTAGCATGGATGAATGCATCGCGTCGTTTGCGATTACTGAGCATATAGCGGAATGCATTCAAAAACACAGCTTCCTTGGTGTCTGGTTCCGTACTGGACAGCTGCTTCTTCGACGGCGCGACAGCTACAGCTGCATCAACGTTGACATTGTCCGAGAACATCACTGTCCGACGCGCCGCAAGGTCAGGTTTAGCTTTCTCTTCTTCGCCACCCTTTTTCTCATCTTGATTGTCGTTAGGGTCGGAGTCGAGTATTGCAGATAAATATCCGGTTTGAGCGGCAAGCCACGACCCCGTCAAGTGTAGGTTTCGGCTCGCGTTGTGCTTAAGCTCGTCGAAATACTTCTCGTCATACTCGAAGCTGGCCTTTCTTGGATCTTGTGGTGGCTTCACATCATCACCTGGGCCGTAGAGATCATCGTCTTCAGATCCTCGACTTTTTGCTTTTTGACCTTTGGGACTAGTGTTGATATCAAAAAGTGCCTGTCGTGCGGTGGGTGGACCTTCGGTCAAGTTTGTGTCATCGACATCCAGAACAGTTTCTACCTCGTTACTTGAACTTGAATTGTCCCAAGGCCGGTTGTAGAATGTTTCGGCCGTGGCAGTATTTGGTATACTTGGAGCTCTGGACTTGTTCAGGCACCAGGTATGACGAGACCCACTCTGCAAAGACGAGAAGAATCCTCCGGGAGACGGAATACTGAGTTGAGTAAAGCTATAGTCGGATATCGGAGTCTCTCCATCTGCACTGCGTGGTCTGTTTATGAGGTGAGGATCTAACAGCTCGCGCATTTCTTGACGTCTTCCGGGTTTCTTTGATGAGCCCGATCCTGAGCCTGAAGAAGTCGAGAGATTTTCCGCACTCCCATTGCCTGCCAGGCGCTGAAGGATTTGCAATGCATCCGGTGGTAGACGGACACCAGGATCTGACCCGTTGGATCGTGGTTTGACTTCCTCGAAGGTTTTCAACTCATCAAGTGTAGGCATTAAGGGTGAAATATCTTGTGGTGTGGCCCCAGGTACTTGAGGAAAGCTGACGACCATCTCCGTCCACGCTGTTGCTGTAGGAGAGAGGATATTGGAAAATGAGTGGTTGGAATGGGCTTCTGCTGGCGAGAAGATTACACTGTGGCCATCGTCGAGTGCAATTTCGAGATGCTGTGCATGGACTGCAGGTGCACTCGGTGAGACACCCCAGCTCGAACCTTGTTCGACCTCAAGCTGCCTCAGGTCTGGGGTCACCGGAGCGCTCAACCCTTGAACACAGGGAGACTCAGACGCGGTACTGTTGCTGTCGCCCAAAGAGGGTGGTGCATTTGCTGCAGGTACAGATCTTGACAGGGCTGACAATGTTGTGGGAGAGAGGCGAATCTTTGTGGCTGGTGACATGCCGTAGGCTATTTCTTTGATCGGACTGCTGTCCACTGTACCCCAAGAATCGCGAGGAATGATCAAGGCTGGATACCTGTTTCGACTTGATCTGGTACTGGAACAACTGCTCCTGCTAGATTCAGAGGCGAATGTGGTTGGGTCGCTGGCAAGAGATGGACAGTCATCACTGAAAACTGTCCCTGCTTCGCTGTCGGAGGAAGAACTCCTGACTGAGTTGCGTGGAAATCCATCGCTAGCGCTGCTAGCTGGAGATGGCTCGCACGAGGATACTGGTGACGCGGCGTATGTGGTCGTGGCGAGAGAGCTCTTTCGAGGAGCTACTGTAAAGAGCTGAGGATTCCAAGCCGCAGGACGACCGATGATCGTCGAATCACTTCCATCTCCTTCGCTGTCACTTTTCACCCCTTGACTACCATCTTCCTTCTCTTCGATAATAGTATTAAGCTGTCGTCCGCGGGCCAGCCGAGGCGGGGATTGGTAAGTTGTCGACGGTAAAACGCTCATGCTTTCGGAAGGCCAGCCTTCACAAGATATTACGTAGTTGACAGCTGGTTTTTGTCAAGTATTCATCGAGGGCCAGCCCGGTATCTTATAGCGAAGTAGTATTAAAAAGCTCGTAGAGCGTCGCCGATCAACGGTCGGACGCGGAAAACGACAAGGTAAGGAGCGAAAGTAGAGAAGGCCGGTATCAGCCAGCAACTCCAGCGGCGATGAGGTATCAAGCAAGAAGAGTATTCATGGGCATATTGATGGGTAAGAAGATGAGTACGCAGAAAGCCCGCTGTGGAAGCGCCGTGAAAGTCAACATTGGCGCCCGTTGAAACCTGGAGGGAAGATTGCTGAGCGGCACTGCCATGTCACGACCACATTCACGGATTGAGCATCGGTACGGCGTCAAGTGTTCTCAATTGGAGCAGACGGTGGTGGATAAAAGCCTCGACGCATAGCCGAGAGCCTGAAGAGACATCTCGAGCCAATTGCGGCGCCAGTCCAGCTGCAACCCGTCGAAATGAGCCGGGAGGCGGCATTGATGCTCGTTCGATAGTGTCGAGACATGTTGGCAGGATGTTGGAGGGAACAGTGGGATGGTTGGTCGAGCGACATTGAGGGGAGAGCTTGAGAAGTCTCATGGTTGGTTACCATTTCATAGCGCCGAGTGCCGGGCGCTTACCCCAGCGCTACCAAGTAGGCCACTATTTATGGCATCACACCGTATCTGCAGATGTTGGCCAATGGTGAAAGATGAGAGGCACACGGATTGACCCTTCATGATATCAGTCTGAAGAAGAATATCGGCCTGTAGCGCCGCGCTCATCGGCTGATGAACAGCAAGACATGAGGTAGATACGAAACAGTGATGTTATCGAGCCGAACATTGTCTATATCAACATTATGGTCCACCGTAATATCTCTACGGTCAAGCGATAGACAGTCGAAGAAAGAATTGGCCTTCCACCTATCAACTGCAAGCCTGGGAGTATGAAATACACTTCGTAGTAGCTGTAATCACCTAAAGAAATACTCGGGCGATTGAGTCCTGTTCATGACTGTAATGGCCTGATGTTCTCCGCCATGCTTGCGTGGTGCCAATACTCGATGTGAAGAGGCTACTCCCAGAGCATCAAAAGTCACGAAAGGGAGTGGTGAACTCAGCCTGCTATCCAAGTGCAGCGATAGTATTACTGTGCTTCTGAAAGAAAATTCTTTTAGAGAGTGGTGAGGTTAAGGATCACTAACTGTCTTAGCGCCAATTATTATTGGCCAAAACTTAGTTTAGCTCCCGCGAAATCTTGGCGGGGCGCTACACATTAAAACTGTTCCGCAGGCTATCTTCCTATACAAAAATCCTCCATAACAGCTTCAAACTCACCAAAACAGCCATGTAAGTCATCTAACATCATCAAATACTTGTTCTAACCCGATTAGGTCGCACCGCAAGTTTGAGGCTCCAAGACACGGTGAGTTTTCCCGAGTTTTCCGAGTTTAAACGACTTTTCAGCGCCTCAAAAGAGTTGAAAACGACGCTGCAAGAGGACAACGTTGAGTTCCAGGCTGACGCTGTGTCAATAGGGTCATTGGCCTATCTCCCGCGCAAGAGAGCCGCCCGTCATCGAGGCAAGGTCAAGAGCTTCCCGAAAGATGATAAAACCAAGCCTGTTCACCTCACCGCCGCCATGGGCTATAAGGCCGGTATGACCACGATCGTGCGCGACCTCGATCGACCTGGCGCAAAGATGCACAAGAAGGAGGTTGTTGAAGCGGTCACGGTTATCGAGACACCACCAGTATGTCAATGGCGGAAGGGAATCCGAGCGAGGGCTAACACTGGGCAGATGATCGTTGTCGGTCTCGTGGGCTACATCGAGACTCCTCGCGGCCTCCGATCTCTCACCACCGTCTGGGCTGAGCATCTCAGCGACGAATTGCGACGACGATTCTACAAGAACTGGTACCGATCGAAGAAGAAGGCATTCACCAAGTACGCCAAGCAACACTCGGACAACAAGGGATCCTCGGTCACTCGTGAGCTCGAGCGCATCAAGAAGTACTGCACCGTTGTCCGTGTCCTCGCACACACCCAGATCCGCTCGACTCCGCTGAAGCAGAAGAAGGCGCATTTGATGGAAGTTCAGATCAACGGTGGAAGCGTCGCAGACAAGGTCGAGTTCGGCCACGGCTTGTTCGAGAAGCCCGTCGAGATCGACAGTGTCTTCGAGCAGAACGAGATGATTGATGCCATTGCTGTCACCAAGGGTCACGGTTTCCAGGGAGTCACCAGCAGATGGGGTACCAAGAAGCTTCCGAGAAAGACACACAAGGGTCTGCGCAAGGTCGCCTGTATCGGTGCATGGCATCCTTCGCACGTCCAATGGACTGTCGCTCGTGCCGGTCAGATGGGCTACCACCACCGTACCTCTGTCAATCACAAGATCTACCGTATCGGCAAGGGCAAGGACGAGAAGAACGCAGCAACCGAGTTTGACGTTGTCAACAAGCAAATCACACCGTATGTTCCGATGTTTGTTTTTTCCACTTTTGTATGTCTTCTAACTTGGTCTGCAGAATGGGTGGTTTCGTCCACTACGGTGAGGTCAAGAACGACTTCGTCATGCTCAAGGGTTCCGTTCCCGGTGTCAAGAAGCGAGTCATCACTCTCCGAAAGTCCATGTTCCCTCACACCTCCCGCAAGGCTCTCGAGAAGGTCGAACTCAAGTGGATCGATACTTCGTCCAAATTCGGTCATGGTGCTTACCAGACTCCTCAGGAGAAGAGACAGTTCTTGGGCACACTCAAGAAGGACTTGGTTGCTTCCTCCTAAGCTGCCAGGCTTGAGTGGGGGGCTGCCAAGAAGCAAGCTAGTGATGTTTTTTTATGCTCGGCGTGGGACTGATCGAAGAAGATAGCAATGTGACAATACCAACGTCACAGTGAAAATCGATTTCAATGACTTACAATAGGCACGAAGCCTGCCCTGTGTTCATTCTTCCAACGTGTCATATAGACTCGCAGCGTACTCCAAACCTAACTAACTACAGAACCAAAGCCTGTGCATCGAGACGTATGAACATATCAAACCAAGATCCTCCTTGTCTGGATGACTTCCACAAGTCCTCTAATGCCGATCGTATCGACTTGACGGCGTTGAACTTGAGGTTGCTGTACACGACATCCAACTTTTGTAGGATTGCCTGTCGACTCGTATCGGTGAAAGCATGCGCGCCCGAGACAAGAAGCGGGAAAAGTGCGCAGTTCAGGGCCTTCGACTGTGGCGGCATGCCCATGATACAGTCGAGGCAAGCCTGTGCATGTTGTTGCACGACGTAATGGTTCGCCGGCAATCCGCATACGGCGCGATAGAGATATAGATTGGCACTATGCTGAAAAGCGCGCAAGAGGGCTGCAGACGGTACCAAGTCCGGGTCGAGCGATTTCCGGTCCTCTCCCTCTTCTTTGATGTCTGTCAACTCGACCGGACTGATTGAAGCGTAACCGGGTCGTAGGTCGGCTTCAAATTCCTTGATGCGCTGAACGGAAAGTTCCTGCTTGCCGAGCGAGACGAGGTCATGGAAGGCCGCCAACTCGGACAGTTTTTGAAATATGGATGCAAACGATTCCATGCCCGAAGGTGTCTTTTCCCACCACACGGCGCTCGTGTCCATAATCCCCCACGTGTGGGCTGGGAACGAAGGCGGGGTCCCGTGCAGTAAGGAATTTGTCAAGTCTGTGGTAGCGAACTCGCTAAGTAACACTGCGAACCATCAGCCAGAGATAGTCTATGCAGCCAAGAAGAACTCACTCTTGACAGACGTGTCCCCATCAGACATGATCGCCGAAAAGCCACCTAGAGAATTGATAATGGCTCTCGCGCCGGCATGGTGGCTCAACGTCGAAGAATCGGGTTGTCTGCATTCGACAAACCCGTCGGAAAAATACATCAACAGCACCGCGACAAGGACAGTCGACAGTGGCATACCCTTGCTGTCTGCGGCATCGGCAAGCTGTTTTCGTACAGTGGTGATGCAATGCATGCGCTTATTGTGGACGTTCTCTTTGCTATGCCGTCCGTCGAACAACACACGATGAGAGTCGGCCATAACACATGTCGCCAGCAATACCGACCTGTCCGCCATGGCGAGAGCGATGGGCGGTGGGCATGGTTGAGCTGATGTCGAGAACAATGGCCATACTCGCGAACGAAAATAGTCGATGGCGCGCCGTTCGTTGATGGCCAGGTTGTATCCGCTGCTGCCGGGCAACGAATTGTGATATAGGCAGAGTTGATTCCCGACCGGCGAGCCTTTGCTCGGTCTGGCGTCCCATTTGATCAAGATTTTGTCATAGCTGCATTTCGTCCCGCCGATGATGCACTTCCTACAAGCTGGCTTCTCAAGGCTGCATTTCACTCTGCGTTGTTTACAGGCCCAACATGAGCCCTCAACTGTGCGTATCCTCTTTGGTGGCATGAGTGGCGCGAAGGGCTTTGGTCACATTGACCGGTTCGTAATCGAAGTCACGGATGATTTGCACATGTCAGCAATGGTTGGAGATGATAGAGTCTCACAGGGGCCCGACACTAGAGGCGAGCGAAGTCCTCGTAAGATGGTGATGCTGGAGTTGATGACTACGAGGGCTGTACATACGGAGAGTAGATACCGAAGCCTGCCGTGCAAGCAGGTGAGTTAACGCTAACCCTATCTAGGTATAGGTATATTTAGCACAATCCACGAAGTTCCTTCGCTCCGCTCAAGAACGATGTTCAGTATGCACGAACATGAATCTTCGTTCGAGATCTTGAATACGCCATTTCCCTCGCGATACCGACTTCTTTTGCAAACCTCGAGTACTCGCACAAACCCAGACTCCCCACCAAGTATGTAACTATATCCTAGCTGGATAATGGTCAGGATTATGAGAAAAATGTGAACCCTACGAGGTACCAAAGCTTGTGAGGTTTGGCCAATCTGTTTCAATGACCTGGTCAGTATAGGCTCAAACGATATCAAAGACAGCACAGACATACCAAACACTGTGTGTGCCGGATTCTTCTTCGTAACAAACACTTTTGTGCCGATGGATATCTCACGCCCTCGATCACCGTCACGGCAGAATCCGTATCTCCCAAAGACAGGAGAGTACTTCGCTCCCTTGTCTACTCGACGGTCTTTGTTGAGCTTCTTCCATACTTGACCGCGATCATCCTCGCACGCTTTTCCCGTTGCGTAATCGACGGTGATGCTCTGACAGCGATAACAGTTGGCCGTCAATGCCATTTTGAGCCCGCCCCCGAACGTAAGCTCAGCCCAGAAGTCCTCTGCAAATGCACCTGGGCTGCCAGACACGACAACATTGGGCCGGAATTTGGTCACATCCATCTCTTGACCTTCTGCGAGCCGAGAAGTTACCTGATCATTGGACTCTTTCGTTACCACAAGATACTGCCCGATATCATTAAATACGATTCTCTCGGCAGGCCGACCGACGAAAGGAACCCGCGCAAGAACACGTGTGGACCACGACGCTTTTGAAAGGGCTGCTTGGCTGTGCGGCGCAAGTGAGCCCAAGACAGCTCTCGAATACTGGCCGATGTAGACGAGGCGGACTTCGCACTCCAGATGAAGCGAGAAGAACGTGGCGAAGTCATCGCCCATGTCATAGGCCTGCGTTGGGCTTCCATGCATGTTCACCGTGATGGGTTGAAGGTCGTTCAATCCCGGCCGAAGAGGGAAGCGAATCTGGTTCTCTGATCCTGCCCATGATAGACGGGCCGTGCTGTCTTTATGGTTCCAAGTTACGACCACCGTGTCCCTTCCATCCTGCTTTTCGAGATATGTCGCAAACAGGGCGAGGCGCAGAGTGTACCCAATGAACATCGTCTCGAAGTTTACGGACTTTGTCTCGGGATCGCGTTTCACTTTCTGCAGGCAGAAGGTCCGATCGCCTTCAAAGCCAAATTCACCTACTCTTGCCTTGTCCAGAGAGCATCCTCGAAGACCTTTGACTGGATAGACGTACAACTGTATACCTCGTTCAACTTGCTGTTCCTGTCATGACGCCTCGCAGAACTTACAGCATCTACTGTCAACTCATCGTCTGGTCGGCCGGTCATACATAAACCAGACACTCGTGACAGCAGCAAAGCCAAGATGCACACTCCCGCTCCGATAAGCGCATTCTGCTTCGCTGTCGCTGAGAGATATTCGAGGCTTTGTCCTGCTAATTGTTCCATGTCGAGTCGAACTTGATACTGCAAATGTCTCTTGTTAACTTGGCAGAAGCAAGCATCGACTGACTGAAATACTTTGCATTTCGTCCATTCCAACTCAGTGGGGATGATCTGTTTCTCCATCTCAACTGGGTCTTCAGAGCACAGGGCGATTCTCCAATGACGTGCTCCAAATGTTGCCGGAGAAGCTTTGGACTATCTGATTGCCTATCTTCGCCTAGTGCCGTACGGAGTAGACCTACCACTGACTCGGTATTCATACCAATTCGCTTCCCTCTTCGGCCGGGATTGAACGACCTTCAACCCATCACGGTGAACATGCATGGAAGCCCAACGCAGGCCTATGACATGGGCGATGACTTCGCCACGTTCTTCTCGCGTCATTGCGAACGTGGAAGCCTTGGTGCTATCCGGGAGTGTAGCAGGCAGAGTGACTCCGAAGCAGAAACCGAGTCAAGAGGGCATTATAAGGCGTTAGTCCCAGTCACATAGAGACACAGAGTCTTGAAGTTGCATTAGCCGCGCTCAGACGGCGCAGGTGACTGCTGCTATGAACCTATGGAGCCCGGGAGCTCAGGAGACTAATATGATGAACCCATGTGGCTCATGGGTGTCATAAACGACGCTCGAATCAGCCCAGAGTTCCTTCTTTATGTACACCTGAAAGTACTTCTCTGTGTATAAGTCCGTTCCTCCGACCACCCGTCATCGGCGACACCCGAGCCAGTCCAGAGTCCCTTGCTTGCATTTGAAGATATTGCAAGTGTATCAGCTCATTCCTTCTGCAGTGTATGATATCACCGAACTCATATCCAGTTTAAAGTCCCATGAATTCAGTGTTTTCTGTAGTCTGCCGAGCCCGTTTTCTGCCCCGCCCATTTTCTGTGGTGTTGTTTTACCTCGTCTCAGGCTCAACGCTGAAGGAGATTTGTCGGTTGAGTGAGGACTGCAATGGTCTGTGCTCGCCTCGTGGGTCTTAAACTGACTTGGCCTTTTGGAGGAGACACCTTAGTACAAGGCAGGTGTGTTTCTGAATGTCTGCGAAACCTGAATCGTCCAAGAGGAGACAGGAAGCTCACTGGAATCTGTTCACGGTGTCTGCTTCAACGACTTCCTTGATCACAGCGAAATTGAATGTATCATTGTCTGTAACGCGAAGTCGAATGCGGACGAGGAACACTCGATGTCATCTGCACTTTGGCTGACCGGAATGCGTCTCAGAGTGACAATGACTGTGGACTGTCTGTCTCTCGTTGGTTGTAAGCTGTCTTTCAACTGCAATTGTGGGCAAGGCTGAAAACTAAGCTGGGAGCCTCATATCAAGACCATTGGCACAGTCTTTGACTGCGTGTGTGGCGAATGTGCTTTGCGGCTCTCCCTATTTCCAATGCCGTAACGTGAACAAAATCAATCATACCGTTCCAGCCTTTTGTCCGACGACAGCAAGCTTCGGTCAGCTCACGTACTGAACCGACCACCAGGTCGAGCGAACCCGCTTTTGGAGATAGGGAGGACGCAAGAACAGCCGCGAACTGTCCTCGGCGCGGAACTTGGTCAACCCGCCAAACCACAAATATTCATGTTGGTGTCCTTCTGGCAGATCAGGTTTTCGTGCGCATTGTCGTTAGACGTGAGCGCAGCTGAGGTTGCTGCAACAGTCTCTGCTGCGAGATGATTCAGCGAAATTCATTAAGGCTTCTCGACCTTATCTTACAAGGAAAGTGCGGTCTGGCAAGACCGTGTCTTCGCCTAAGTTGCTTTAGTTAGTCAGATGATTAGTCATAGAGCACGTGATCGTACCGTCTTTGGCGGCCGGCTTCTCTTCTGCGAGACCGTTCAGCCAAGTTCACCAGACATACACATACACTGACCTTCTTCCGGCCCAGGGGCCACAGGTTCCTCTGCAATTCTGTTCAACGAAATTCATCGGACATACTTTGTATACTGACCCTCGGCCTCCTCGTCGTCGTCGGCGGCGGCGGCGGCTTCGGCTGCGGCAGCTGCTGCTACAATCAGTCAGTACTTGTCGATCTGGAGTCACAGTATCTGATACCCTTCTTGGCAGCCTTGTTCGCGCGGCGCTTCAAAATGGTTATTAGTATGTATACTGATCCATGTAACGAGTCACTACTTACGCGGCGTTGCTGCCGCCGGCGCCGCTCGGCCTTCTTCGCCTTCTTCTCGGCGGCGGCAGCGGAGTTGTTGTTGTTGTTGGTGGTGGTGGTGGTGGCAGCGGCAGGGGCCTTGCAACGTGAGCATTATGCATTGTGTTCTCAAACATAGTCAAAGTGGTAGGTACTTACAGCGAAATTAAGATGGGCCGAGACCCGGCACAAAGTTGTATACGTTCGACATTGCTGAAGAAAGAGAAAGGAAGAGTGCGGCGGCGGTGGTGGTGGTGGCCTTGCAAATGTGAGCATTCTTCGTTGTGTTCTCAAACATAGTCAAAGCGGTAGGTACTTACGGCGAAGTTCAAAATGGGCCGGGAGCCCGCGGAGAAGTTGTAAATATTAGATATCCTTGAAGAAAGAAAAAAGGAAGAGAAACGAACAGAATTCAGAAATCTTCGTCTGCGGAAACCCGCCACTGCAAGGCGGTCTCCCCATCTGAGGGATGCTGTGAAAACAGCTGTGCTTTATTCCTTGGTGGTTGTGATTGACGACCACCTCGGTGTAAAGACCGAGGGTCATGCCTGCCAATTCGCAAGCAGCCAAAGCAGCCACCATAGTCGGGGTTCAGTAGCCCCTTCCAGGTCGAGTCACAATGTGGTTGAACTGGTCCCCTGTCGGAATCTTTTGATGGCGAGCCAGTCGCCGCTCTGGAAACTGCTTTCTCTCTCTTTCTTTTCGGCATTTTGCCGTGTGTAGCGTCAAGAGACTGTAATTCATTGTACAAGCGGGATGCTTGAACAATCTAGCAAATCTCCTTCGTTCGCGAACACACTGGGGAAAATGAGGCGAGAGAAAGAGGGATGTTGGATCCGAAACCCCTTGAACCTCTGTGCACGTACATCCGTTCGAATTCGCGAGTGTTGCTACTCGCATCCGGTCGAGACAAACATGTCCAGATATATATATATGCTCCGGCCCCAAGGCCATCAGTTCTGGCGAGCATGTACCATGTCGAGCAACATTGTGGATATCGTATGCGCCCGTAGCATGACATAGGAGTCCTTCGGCGTCAATCTGGGGCGTCAGTACCGATTTCGATTGCCCAAGGCGAGGAACGTTCTCAACAATCGGCACCCTGATTACGAGCCACTGCCCGTGTCAATGTTGTATACCGTACTCATTGTGGTGATTCCACACCAGAACAGGCGGGGCATAAAGCAGAGAATAACAGGTGTAGCAGATCTGTCAACACGTTGTCGAGAAATCAACATCGCTCTGATTCCGAGTGTCAAGAAGGATCTATCATTGGAAGAGGACCATTGATATACTGGTGCGGCGGTGCTCTGAGGGCATACTGATCGTTCATGTCTCTGAGCAATTCGCGACTGGGGGAGAGCACGAGGGGGTACTTATACATCTCGTGCCCGTACTGATTCACCTGAAGACGCTGGCCTGTTTGCCGGAATTGCTCGGACGGTGAACAGAAGAAACACTGTCTTAGTGTCTCAGACCCCTGTTTGTCAGTGATCTCGACGGACCTGCAATGTGAAGAGTGTTTCGGAGTCAAACCGCCGTGGCTCAACGTCGGCTTATCATTCACGCCGCAACTGCTGTCTGGATCAGTAACCGTTTGATGGAGTGTAGCGACGCAGACTGTGTGAAGTTACGGAGATGCTCGGTCGGCCAGACACAAGTGCAGCATGTTACTGACTGGCTTCACCCAGACCTTCTACCTTCGTGGTCAAGAACCCTGGTAACTTCTGACCACGCACCGTTGTTAAGGAACAGGGGCCTTTAATCTCCCTCCCACCGCTGTAACCTAACAATATTCACATGTGTCTGTGGATGGGGTTCTAAAGCGTATATTCAATCCTGCAAACAGCTGGGTGGTAACAGTGGCACAAGAGGTTAATGGCAGGCAACGACATTGACGATGTTGAGTATCTTTGAACATCCAGGGAATGAATCGTCTTTTGTGGTTGCCGAAGTTTCCACGCACAGGTTCACCATCTGAGAATCTGAGACAAGCGGAGTAAAGAGTCTGGCGTAGTTTGCCGTACTGCACTGGGTCTCAGCACAGTGGAGTGAGTTCCGTTTGCCTTCATTGCAATGTTGAATCGGATCCGGCAATACTGGTCCCAAGGTCCCAAGCTGATCTGGAGAGATCTCTGGTATATAAATCGTGCTCCCCCCTCCGTCTCTCGTGGTTTGGCCAAACGAACACCAGTTTCCTCATCAAAGGTCAATGTGGCAGTCTTCCTGACTCTTTCTTTCTTGTCCTCCAATGTAGTGACGACAAGAGATCGGTAAGATTGCTTGAGCATTCTGTATTGAGTCGATATCAACTCACGCTATTAGGAATATGAACTTACTTCGAATGCCACCGCCAGTTTTGACAGGCCCGTTGCTGTGGAAGAACAGGCGCGGCTTCTGGTATGTTCTGATCATTCCGCTCATACAGTCGAGTCGAGTCTCTTTTAGTACGCAGTCTCTCCCGATTGCGGGACAGGAAGAGAGGGCTGTCGCCCAGGTAGCAGGAAGCTAACTACCATCCGAGCGGCGGATTCCTCTCAACTGCGCCAATACTTTCGCAAGTGAGCTGCTCGCCATGAGGTTGCATCCTGTCGTTGCCGAGCCCTCTCGACCGCATAGACGGCGGCAATAAGCGCTGGCCCGATCTATCGACTCTGTGTCTTTGCCTCCGGCAGACTTTCCAAATGGCTTTCCCGATGGTGATGGCAGTGTTGACAGTGACCTGGACGGCTCAGAGGCCGACCCGAAGTTGTGTTGGTTCCAGTCAGAAGCAGGTGGCACACGGGACTATCCTTATTTGCCCGTGGATGAGTCTCGGTTAGCAGCAAGGGGCCACGAAGTCGAGAACAACAATGTGACGGAAACGAGGCTGTTATGGCGATTACTGCCCCAACCTCACCAACAACCTTGGACAGGCGTTCGACCATTCCTGCTGCGTCTTCGAAGCTCAAGATGGAGAAGATTTCTATCCTGGATCGAGAAGTAGTGACGACTCATGATGCTTGAGGTACCCTCGAGCACGCCCTCCACTGAGACAACACTCTATATATATATCACAAGGGAACCCTACATTCCCCAAGGATGACAAGACCATGGTGAGAGATTCCTGGCAGTTCCTGGTGATTTTATCCCTAGAGCTTGCCCTCCGGAAGCGTCTGGGAGCAACCCCGAGGACAGCATGCCTAGTCTCACTTGTCCTGCGAGGCCTGATGAGCCTCAAAGATTTACCTTTGTTGGCTAGATTGGAACTGGCAGGGTGTCAACAGTAAATCAGAACGCGATGGAGGGATATGTCGGATCGGCAACGGGAGCGAAGGGGCTCATGCAACGAATCGGGGAATATGTGCCGGTCAACGAAGGTCGACACAAATCTGACGGGAATACTCACGAGAACATGATCTGTCAGAAGGATGCCAACATGAACATTCGCGTGTTGGCGGTTTTCCCGAGCTCAGAGCCGGGGCCGTATGTCATGCTCTCCGAGCTAGTACATACGATCCTCCTCCAGACGTGGGAGGACAGACCCGGATCGCGTCTCACGCCTGTTTGCATCGAAGCAATGCGAGCAGTAACGCCGCAGGACGTGCCCGAGAAGAAGGCATTTCCCAGATGCTTCAACCAATCAGGATGAAGAAAAGGGTCCTGAAATGTTCCAATCCCGACTGTGGGCGCGACGACCTGAGGCCCAAAGAGGTCTACAACGTCGTTAAAGGCTTGCTGTTTATGGAGATCATGTGCCCTGCCTGCAACAAGTGGATGATCCAGCACAACGGCGAGCAAAGACCGGCCGAGCAAGAAGAGAAGCGGAAGGCTCGAAAGATTCATTCGAAGTCAAGCCCGGATGTCTGCCAATGGCCAGGTCCTGGAGGGCGCCGAGGAAATACTTAACACCCGCGCGGAGAGAACGCATTGCAGTCGTTACTGTATCGTTCGTGGATACTGTCCTTGGCCATGTCCATCTATCGTTGGTGAAGTTCTCGTTCCGTGCTATTTTGCTACGTACGGGCACCGGTACGCAACTCCAGTTATGCCGCTTGCCGCTTTTAGGGCACCTCTTGGCGTCTATGGAGTCCATAGCCTCGCTTACATACAGGTGTATACCTGTACGCGACGTCATTTCCTTACTTCTCCCTCATCCTCCTACAGCACCCACAACTGGCGAACATTTACCAATTCCAGGCTGGGTCCAATCCAGTCCTCAATTTCACCGTAAGTACTTACCTGAATACACACTTGAGGATACTAACATTTTCCAGTCCACCAACCCCCGCCCCGCCCGCCGTCCCCCCCCCCCCCCCCCCCCCCACCGCCCACACCGCTCCGCCGAGGCCAGGCAGGCCAGGAAAGCTGCCAAGAAAGCGGTAACTATACCCTATTTCCGTATGATATTATGTGGGACTGATAGCTGCTAGGCCTGGAAGGCCAAAAAGGCCGAAAAGGGTAAGAGTATACACTGACTCCAGAATGACAACTGCTGAGTAGATATAGCCAAGGAGAAGCAGGCTGCCAAAGAGGGTAAGAGTATACCTTGAACTCGAAACTCACAACTTGCTGATTTTGATGTGTAGCAGCAAAGGCTGAAGAGAGTGACAATATTCATTCTTTTCACACGAACACCTTTCTGAGCGTATATCAGAGAAGAAGAAGGCTGAGGCCGCGGCCGCCGCCGCCAACAACAGCGCGTAAGTAGAGATTCGTTACATGGATCAGTATACGTACTAATGACTGTTTCGAAGCGGCGGGCAAACAACGCCCGTAAGAGGGATTGAGTCCCGAAAAGCAAGTACTAAACGTTTGTACTCGAGAAGACCGCCGTTGCCGACGCCGCCACCACCGCCACCAAGAAGAAGAAGAAGAAGAAGAAGAAGAAGAACAAGGGCGGCCTTCGGGCCAAGATTGAAAAAAACAAGGTAATGCTCATATGCTTACAAGTGCTGCGATCTACATTGACAAACATTCAGGCCCGGCGAGAAGAGCGGCGCCGCCTCCGAAAGGGTAAGGGATGTTATGGCTCCAAAAACCTCAATTGCTGACCTAGCTTAGAGGAAGCTGTTAAGAAGGCCGGCGAGGGTGAGTATATCCATTGGCTCAAAGATTGTATTGCTGATTGAGTGTCGTAGCCGACCCTGCCGCCGCCGCCGAGGAAGGTCAGTACACGAATCATCTCCAATGAAGCCTGCTGAATCGTTTTGCAGAAGAAGCTGGTGGTGCCGCCGCTGCTGGTTAGTACATGGGCTAACTCTGATGATATTCGCTGAACGGTCTTGCAGACGAGCCCGCCGCCGCCGAGGGTCAGTACATGAATTATCTCCAATGAAGCTTGCTGAACAGTATTGCAGAAGAACCCGTGGCCCCCGGGCCTCAAGAAGGTCAGTGTATGTGTATGTCTGATGAACTTAGCTGAACGGTCTTGCAGCCGAAGCTGAAGAGACAGCCGTCGAGGACGGTACGGTCACGAGATATTGTGTGATATGATGACCAATACCACGCAGGCGAGCACCTCGACCTGCCCATGCTGGGACCCTACCGGGTCGAAGAGCCCTTGCGGCCTTGCCACCTGAGTGAGTTTTGCCCCAAAATCCAACATCGTCAACTCTTTGCAGTCAGCGTCGACTAACAACATCATACTACAAAGGACCGGCTACCATGAGTCATTCCAAATAGAACGTGGGTTGTGTCAGACCACATCGCAGCACAAAAGTAGTTGAGAACAATGAACACCTGGAAAGTGAGATGGAGCTGGGGACATCTGTTGACCGGCCGACTCATGAAAGACGGAAAACGAAGAATCAATATCTGAGAACAGCAGCCGAAGGCTTACCAGAATGGCGTCGTTGAACATCGAGCTGATGAATGAAAGACAAAAGCTTCCATCAGAGAAGAGCATCTCAGCGATACTATCCATACCATGTCTTCTTTCTTTCGGAATGCAAAGTTTACTGAAGGTGTCGACGCCGCTACTAGACTAATCCTTCCCACACCACCTCAAATTCATCGTGCCACGATCTCTTTCCTGACATGTGGTTATTGTGCACGTCTCCCACCTCTTGAGATCGAGGTGTGCCTACATGTTCTGCATATGAGGCCGCTTCCTCTGGTTCAATCGGCTGTTGGTGGAGGCGCACATACTCATGTGACGCGGCATCAGTTGCCAGCTCATATGCATCTTCCACTCCCACGACGTGTGCAACGTCGTATCCTCTCTAAAAGGTGCCGCGCCCAAAGCCAAATTTGGTCTTCGTTAGACGACACATCCACGCTTGAAGCAGCATGTCTCTGGCCCGTGAGCAAATTCCAAGGAGCATCAAAATTGGCGACGAGTCGGCCGACAACGCCCTGCGTTAGGAGAGTTAGATAAGCCGTCAGTAGGGTAGGTCATCATCCCCCGGGATTCGGTAGTCGAGCGCTTCCTTCTTGTCGATTTCCTCATCGGCCCAACCAGCTGTTTGCAGAATTCTTCGAATCAGTGGATTCTTCTTCTGCCCGTAATCAACTCCATCGATGCTTGACGTGGCAAGGTGAACTTTCAGTCGGCCGTACTCCGCTCTGAGTGCTTCGTGCTGTGGCAATCTGAGGGTATCACGGAGAGCGCGGTGACACTGCACAACCAGTCTGCCTTCGGGATCCTCCTGGTTGATAATGTAAACGCTCTGATCTGGCAATTCATTGCGATTATGAAGCTTCATGCTGATCCTGCCTTTGATCCCACCATCTCCCCAACATTTGTAGTGCTCTTCAGGAGATGGCTCATGTATGAGGGCCTCCTTCGCCTTGGCAGCCTGCTCGGCATTGGGTACTTCGATTATAATGTCGATGTTGGGTTTTGCCGCAAGCCCAGGTACGGCGGTGCTGCCGACATGTTCGATGGAGGTGTACTCCACTCCTGAAATGGAAAGATAATGCTCCAGCTTCTGCGATATTTCCTGGAACTTTGAGGGCCATGAGGGATCGTACTCTACCACTTTGACCACAGGTAAAGGTGCTGCGTTGGAAATCCTCGGTGATCCTTCGCCGGTTCCGCCGGGGACATAACAGCCGACATGACCATCGTTGTCGTGGAAATGCATTCTGCGAACTGATACGTGGCCGAAGAAGAAATTTTCGTGACACGCTGGACTAGTTGCTTTTAAATTGCAAGAGGTTGCCAGATTCAAATAGATACATGATCACGGTGGGCGATTTTCAGGGAGAGATTCGCTTTGCTCCACCAGCAACGAATATCCCCAGGTTGGTGGTCGTTCGCTTCAATAATGAACTCCAAAGCTTCCTAATCAACGTCCGAAAAAGGACGAGTTCAGTGAAGTAGAGCAGATAGAGCCGCACTTTCGAGTGAGGTCAGCCTGTATGACTTTAGCATTATCTCACCCCTCCAGGCCTTCAGCTGGTTGTCGCGACGAGGAAACATTTGAGGATATGATACACCAAGATTCCATCCTTGATACTCCGTCTACAAGCAGCTCGATGCAGCAAATGTAGAAATCGCGACGAAGTAAAGCATGGAGAACAATATCGAAGAAAGGGATCCGTGTTATCGCAGCCTTGTCGGAATTATCATTATCCACTCCGAACAGCTGCCCAACCACGCGAGCGGCTTCAAATGAAATCAGTGACCGCCGCAAGATTGATATCAGTAACCACCTACCACATGCCTACCTCGTGTCATGTCGCGTCTCTGGACCTGACATGGAGTACCTCGATTATCCCTTATGACATCGCCCTTCTTCTTCTTCGGCACTTGAGCGCTTGTTTTAGCATTCTCAGCCTGTTACATTTCCAAGATTCTCGCAGCCTCATATTTTTCATCCATTCCAAGCCCACGTCAAAAAGCAACTCTATTCTCATACCTGATTTCACTTGTTCTTTCTATCATGAGTCACAGTCACAGCTCTGAAGAATCATGGTCAGACACCGAGTCCGAGGCCAGCGACGAGCTCGAAGCTCCACTGCGGAGCTACGCCTACCAGATCGAAATGTTTGAACACAGCATGCAGGGTAACATCATTGCCGTCGTAAGACCTTTACAATTCCCATTGTTACCAAGCTGACATATTTGTAGATGGGCACAGGGACGGGGAAGACTCAAGTGTAAGTAGCACGAGGTGGTAGTTGTGCACGCCTCCCTGCCCACCGTTTCACGCGCTGTGGTGACTTACGCACATCAATACAGGGCCAAATTGCGTATCGAAGCAGAGCTTGAGCGGTCAGTCGGTAAAGTTTGTGCTATCAGACCAGCGGTGACATACAACCATGAAGACTGATCTGTTTGCAGCTTGTTTGGTTCACTGCCCCGAGTGTTGTTTTGGCATACCAGCAACACTTATTTCTTTCCAAACAGCTGCCTGCATTCAAATTTCGCTTGATTACTGGTATGGACAATGCAGAGCACTGGAAGACAGAAGACATATGGAACAAAGTACTGTTCAAGATAGATGTCGTCGTCTCAACGCCTCAAATACTTCTCGATGCTCTCGACTTCGGCTTCCTTTCTCTTCACGCGTTATCGCTGCTTGTCATTGATGAAGCACACCATTGCATAGGCGATTCTCCTTTGAAACGAGTCATGCAACGTCATTATCATGGCTCGGAAGATAGCCTTCCGCATATTCTGGGACTTTCTGCCAGTCCCATCACCAAGCGAAGCGTGTCTGAAATGAGCATACTTGAGACGAATCTCAAGGCTAAGTGCAAGATGCCAACGCAACAAGTAGAAGAATACTCGGCTCTCATCAAAATGCCAGAGCTTGAAACGATTATGTTCGCCGAGAATCAACCTCGAGCGACGGAGTTGATGATCCTCCTACAGAGTGCCATTTCAACAGTATCATTGGATAGTGACCCTTACTATCGAGAGATACGTAGCAAGAAGGACCCACGCTCCCTCGAGAAGATGAAGAAAATGATTCAACGCAATGCTACTCCTGCCATTACTGAGCTTCGAGCGTTTGCGAGATCGTGTGCGGATGTTCAGCTGAGTCTTGGATGTTGGGCCTGCGATGTCTACATAACAAGCTGTGTACGAAAAGTCCTCAACTCGGCATCTCTAGAGAAGAGTCTGAATACCAGCCAAGATTCGTTGAACGGCACAACTCAGCTGATTGGCTCAGTGTTACAGCCTTTTGGCGACATCAGTGACTTGAGACATTCAGGTATACTGATGGAAGATTCACTCTCACCAAAAGTTGAAGCACTGTTCGGGTATCTAGCAAAAGAATATCGCAAAACACTTCGAGGCCTGGTATTCGTTGAAAAGCGTGACACGGCGTGGGCGGTGGCCGAACTTATCAGTCATCATCCAAGCATGCAAATGTACCAGGCGTTCTCTTTTGTTGGTGTCTCTAACCCGAGCTACAAAGGACCATTCGATTTTGCAGAACTTCCCGTACAAAGCAAGAATCTGGAAAGATTTCGCCGCGGGGAGCTCAATCTCTGCATTGCGACTTCTGTGCTTGAGGAAGGTAGGTTTCCGCATTCTCCTCGGAAGGCCATCGATCACTGTCTCTGCTTCTCTTCGTCTGACTTCTGTGACCTAGGCATCGACATCCCTGCAATGAACTTGGTGATCTCTTTTGATGAGCGCAAGAACCTTCGCAGCTTTGTTCAGAGCAGAGGACGTGCGCGGGCAGCAGAATCGAAATATGTTATCTTTCGTCCCCTTCAGGAGACAAATACGAAGATCAAAGTGTGGAACGATCTCGAACGAGCTATGAACCAGCAATGCGAAGATTCTGCCGAAGCTTTGGCCGAGCTCCAAGCGGCTGAAATGGTTGAGGAGTTTAGCAGCGAGATATTCCGTGTTTCTTCAACGGGGTCAGTGCTCTCGTCTCCCCCAATGCTTGTTCCAACGTTCTAATGCTCTCAGTGCTACATTGACATTTGACAATGCTCCGCAGAGATTGCAGCACTTTTGCGCAAAATTGCCGAAGAAGGAGGGTCTGTCGGTGCCAGAGTTAGCGTATTGCATCGATGGCGAGGTTGGTGGTCCAATACGGGCCAAGGTCTATCTCCCTAGCTCCCTTGCACCGGACCTACAGCTTTTCCACTCTGAATCGACTTGGTGTACTCAGAAGATGGCGAAGAGAGATGCTGCTTACCAGGCGTATCTTGCTTTGTATCGAGCTGGACTCGTGACGAAGCATTTACTACCGCTGGAGACACCGAAACACGAAGCCTCAAAGGACCATACAGCCACGACCGATGCAGTACCAGACGCCCTTTGCGTCGTGGAGGCACAGTGGGATCCATGGCCACAGATCACTGAACATTGGTCATCATCGACCCAGATGTTCGCGCATCGACTCCATCTCGAGGACTCCGGCGACACGTACCCACGAATGCTCATCCTGTTGCCTACTAAACTTGCTTCAATGTCTTTTCCTCTCTACATTACTGCAAACGGAACAGTCCAGGTTTCCATTGGTGAAGGGGAGGTCATGTCTGGAATTCCATTTACCCTTGCACAGGACATCAGCTTTTACCTGCTAACGAGCGTCCTACAACGACGACTCGAGGGCATCACGAAAGGACAGCTTCCACTTTTGCTCGTTCCAGATATTGGTATTGACTCTCTTGAACGCTGGTACAGGGAGACCTCGCGCAGCATACCTCTGCTTGACTTACTCGCCGAAGGCGGACAGGTTGGGGAGAGGTATCTCATCCGAGTCCGCGGCCATCTATCACCCCTTATTCTTGCACCTGAGGGGGTACCTTCGAGCGTGGAGTTGTTCGATGACTCTGAGTCGATGACCATCACGGCAACAAAGATTACGAAGAGGCTGGAATATTTATTACCACTCACGCACACGAACTTGAGAAAGCCTCTTCAACCTAAGAGGTTATTGGTACAGGATTGTGAGGTGTTGAGGTTGCACCCAGCATATGGCGACATGCTGCTACTTACCCCTTCCATCACCCACATGTTGGAGACTGCTTTACGCTCTTCCGAGGCATGCAGGGGTCCTTTGTCTTGTCTTCAAGTTACAAACCTCGATCTGGTCACGGAAGCATTGACCCTACCTGTTGTCTCTGCGAGGAACTACCAGCGCCTAGAGTTTCTCGGTGATGATTTATTGAAATTTCACGCGAGCCTGCAATTATATGTCGATGCTCCTATGCACCCAGAGAGCTTGTTGACTGCTGACCGCGGACGCCTTGTCAGCAACAGCCGCCTCCAGCGCACCACTCGTGAACTGGGCTTGGATCAATACATCACACGGGGACGATTCTCCGCCGCGCGCTGGAAAGCCGGAGTCCAACTGCCGAACAACCAACGGAGCATTTCGTCTAAGAAGAGGCTATCGCGAAAGACCCTAGCGGATGTCATCGAGGCTCTCATCGGCGCTGCTCATTGTGACGGCATAGCAACGGGCACATCTGAGACCAAAGTTATTAGTGCTTTGCAGCTGTTCCTGAGCGAGGTTCAATGGCGCTCCGTGTCAGAGAACCTGGCGCGCTTGGAGGCCAAAGATGACTCGTCGCTGTTCGGGTCCGATGCTCTGGATCATGTTCAATCACTGATGGGATATGAATTCGCACATCGCTCCTTGCTCGGCGAAGCCTTGACGCACTCGTCTCTCAGACCGGGCGTCCTGTCCTATGAACGCCTTGAGTTCCTGGGCGATGCTATCATGGACCACATCGTCAAGATCAAGCTCTTCAACAGCCCACTCCGGTTGGACCCGGAAGCCATGACACTCCGTCGACATGCGCTGGTAAGCAATGCGACCCTGGCATTCTTTGCTCTGCAGGCATCGCACGAGCGTCAGACGGTTGGGATCCACACCGACGCACGAACGCGCGAGACCACCACGCGGGAAGTCTTTGAACCTCGCCACCTGCCGGATTATCTTCGACGGATCAGTCAGGACATGGACCAACGAGAGGCCACCTTGAAAGCGTACGACGAAGTCCGGGAGAGCATCCTCATCAGTTTCAAGGACGGGACAAAGTTTCCCTGGCGCGAGCTGACTCATTTGCGAGCACCCAAGTCGTATTCTGACGTTGTCGAGTCCGTCCTCGGCGCCGTGTTCGTCGACTCCAAGGGCGATCTCGCCTGTTGTGAATCGGTGCTTGGTGAATTCGGGTTCCTGACACTGCTAGACCGATTCGCGCTTGAGCCAGGCCTCGACCTTATCCATCCGGAAGAGCAGCTCGCCAAGGTCATCCAGGGCTGCAAGCTGATTACGAGCGAGACCCGTTCCGGCTGGCGGTGCAAGGTCATGGTCGGTGACGAGCGGATTGCCCGTGCACGCAAGGCGAGTTGTGCGGAAGAAGCTCGATGCCGCGCAGCCCAGAGGGCGGTTGATGTGCTTCTGATGAAAGAGACCGTGAAGGGTCTAGAAGTAACGACCGTGATCGAGGAGAAACCTGGTAGTGTTGTTTCGACGGAGAAAGAAAACGAGCGTGAGAATGAGAACAACGAGACGGATGGCGACGACGCATACGAAGAAGATGAGGGTGGAGAAGAGACAGATAACGACACAGAGGGCGAGATCCCTGACGATGTCGACGACCTTTACATGACTGACGATTACGAAGATTGACGAAAAACTTACGAGCAATGAATATTACGAGCTTGGGACGAATCATGAGGACAATGCCAGGATAGGGAACCAGATCGGACAGGATAGCCACTAATTCGAATCTTTCATCTTTTTGACGCTGCCTTTTTTTGGTTCGCCGAATCTGTGTTTTGTGACCTACTGACTGCCTAATTGTTGAGATCCCGCATGGTGCTCGACAGATCTCATCTCGAAGACTAACCCTGCCTGAAAACAAAGCTTGACCGGTCCTTTATGCAGTAGCACGTAGCCTGTCCCTGTAGTCCACCCTTTTCTTGCCCGGTGACTTTACACCCAACCCATAACCATGCCTTTTCCGGACGCCGTGCTCATAATGACAACATCATAACATATCTTGGTTCCCTGGACATTTGGGGTCCCATGGAGAGACGACGATAGTTTCTCTTTATGAAGAGCTAGCTAGCTAGCCTCCCTCTCTCCCCCCGGCCCAACAAGTAGAAGGTGGACGGGTAAATCAAAAGTCCATGCCGACAAGATAACCTTCAAAGATACGCATGAACTTTGCCACGAAGGCTTCGAGGTGGAAGATCACCTTGCTCCCCAGGCGTATACGGTGCTCGTAGAAAGCGGCCCACCTCACGACCTCGGGCTTCAGGCTGTCGTCGACTTCGGGCAGGCCCACGAGTTTCCAGCAGAGGGTCTTGATGACCATGGTGGCGGGGATGCAGTGGGTGAGGAGATCGTACAGCTTCGCGCGCACGGCGAGGATCATGGCCGGGGTGCGCTCCCTGACAATGTCCCGGGCGACGTGCTCGATGAGGACCTCCCAGTCCGGCGGGGGGATCGGGGTCTTGTCGCTCGGCTCCGGGTGCTGGGCGTAGACGGCCTCGAACATCAGGAGGGCCCTGCGCAGGTTGCGGCCGGACTCGCGGGCGATGCGCTCGTTCAGGGCCGGGACGGCCTTCCAGCTCTCCCGCTTGGCGGCTTTGGCGAGGGCGTCGACGATCTCGGCTTCCGTCGGGGCCGGGACGCGCACGAGCAGCGTGCGCGACCGGATGGGCGCGATGATGCCGGCGGTGCTGTTCGCCACGAGGATCAGCCGCACGTTGGCGCTGTACTTTTCCATCGTGCGGCGCAGCGCCGCCTGCGCGTCGCGGCTGAGCCCGTCGGCCTCGTTGATGACCACCACCTTGAACCGCTGCCTGGCCCCGAGGTCGACCTGCTGCGTCTGCGCCACTTCCTTGAGCAGCTCCTGGATCACCACCCGGTCGTACGTCCCGACGTCGCTCGGCGTGATCTCCAGGTGGTACACCGACGACACGATGTTGAACTCGAGCTTGCGGTTCGACGACGTCGTGAACATGCGCGCGTCGATCTTGATCTTCTCCACCCCGCTGCCGTACAGCGCCCGGAGCGTCGCGAGGATGCGCGTCTTCTTGCCTGCGCCCGACGGACCGTAGAAGAGGAGATGAGGGAAGTCGGCGGACGAGGCCTGAGAGAGGGGCCAATCAAAAACGGGTCAGTATCAACGTGGTCTGCGGAATAGACACGTAGCTCAAGGTTGGCATAGTGTTGAATGCATGCTGGATTTCCAGCTGGTGGTCAAGGGCTCTTACCAGTGATGATAGTCGCTCTGAGAGGTCTTTGTGATATGTGAGTGCTTCCAGCGAGCGAGGTCGCAGCTTATCCACGAGAAGAGCCATGATTTGAGATCGTTGGACGGGAATGGCAATGCTTGCTGATTGTTGGAAAGTTTTGTAGACTGCGGATGTTGAGAGTGCCCAGTCCGTCTGAACAATACCAGATCCCGAGAAAAAGACGCGTCGCGTGGCTGCGGGCGCGTAAAGTACTTTTTTCTTAGCGGGATTGACGTCCTGCAACAAACTGGTCATTCTCTTGCAGTACAAACAAAGGCTCTTGCACAAAAGACCACTTTTGCGGAATACTAGATCATAGAGTCGTATATCACATTCCCTTCATTATCAGATATGTACATTATTCTAGTATATTCCGCCTTTTCTAAACCTTGAAATACCAGCGTACTCCTCGCCTGCTTGGAGTGGTTCTGCATCACCACTAGTAAACGAACAATGTCCGACCCCTTTGTCTGCGGCCAGTGTCTCTGGTATCACTCCCCATTTCACAGGCTTCATGGATGCATCGCTGTCCCAGTCCGGTGGATGGCATGCTGCTGAGATGGCGGCACTACAGCTACCCACCAAAGGGATCGTAGGGTCATATTTGAAGAAGAAGCCAAGACAGGATGTAACTGTAATGATCAGGACGCCGGCAGCGATGCTGACAATCATTGCCAGTGGAGAGAAGCCGCAAGTCGAAACAGCCACAGGGTCCACTAAGTCTCCATTCGGGGCATACGCCTTGACCACGACCAGGAAGATGGCTTGGGAAATGAGCCAGTGTAGCAGACCCGAGAATACCATCAGGGGAATGGCGACTTTGTATGGTAGCTGCAAGAAATGCGTACTCCGCTGTGAACCCTTGGGCTTAGATACGCGTAGGTGCTTCCGCTCGTTGGCAAAATCACTCCATTCCGACGCCAAAAACATGCTGGTCAGAAGGCCGTTGAGATTGAGATACAAGAATGAAAAGATTGTTTGAGGGAAATTGGCTAACAAGATCGAGTTGACGATCTTTTTGGACGGGCTTCCCCTGCCGTCCATGCCCAAGCCGGTAATGATGGCGGCTGGATTCACTTTGCCGAAGCCAATATCCGATATTGTGAAGCCATTCGATGTAACGGCTCTGATGGCCAAAGATAGTAGGACGCCGACGACGATAAGACTGAATCCGATGAAGCCCATTGTCAAGCACCAACGGAGCCAGCTGGCCGCTTCAAACCACCTTGCGGCTCGCGGACGTGCGGTTTTCGGTTGAGTGGTCCTCGTCTTGCGGAGATTCCAGTCTTGTTTCATGCGCTCCAGTTTGATGACTTCCTGCCTCGTAAGCAGACACCTGCCTTCTGTCGTGCGGTCTGGTTCATTTAAAAAGGATTCCACGGCATCGCCCATGGTAATCAGCGGAGTGTCTCGCAGACGGTATGCGACGAAAAGCATGCCTGCCATTTTGATGGCATTCGCCACAAGAACAACTGCGACGATGGGTATGTTTCCATTGTAGCTGCACTTCTCGCTGACTCGCTCGCTGTAGCAGTATTGCACCTCATTTCCCCAAGGGTGCCACTGATCTCCAAGGTCGATTATCTTCGAGTAGTATTTCTGACACGGTAGGTTGTCGCCGTTATGCTCAGGAATTTGGATTTTATTGGCGATGTCAGGGTCCGACTCACAGATCCTAGAATTTTGGGGTCAATGCAACTGCGGCCTGAGAAGGTTATGGCATCTCTTACCAATAGTACGTATCGACAGTTGAGAATATATAGGTTTGGAAGGTCAGCAGATTATAGTTGACAGTGTCATTATTTGCAACAAAGACCAAATTCCGTCGGTCGGTAGTGAAATCCGTTGCATAAGCTCTTATGCACTCTGCGGTGGTCAAGCGCTCGTAACGCTCGGGTACTTTGACATCGGCCTGAATCTGGTCTATACTCACTCCATCAAGCACACCGTATTGCTTGATCGGGTCTGGTGAACTCCAGGACGAACCGTCGATAAAATCTGGTTTGACGACAAGTATGTCGTAGTCGTTGCTGGCGAGAGACTTGTAGAGCGCAGAATTGTATCTTATCTCAGGTCAGCAAAGAACACGCAGGGTTGACCATAGGATTAAAGTGACCTACAGCAGATGCAATGGCACTGATGATAGACCCAAGACCCACCAAAGAGCTGATTTATGAACGGGTACCTTGAATAGATTGCGAATGCTAGGTACGCCAATGTCGAGCCACTTTCCTTTGGAATGCGCGGTGTCAATGTCCTTTCTCGTTGGCGCGCACAAGCATTGCATGCAATAATTCGACCCTCCAAGTAGGAGTGTACTAAGTGCATTGATTGCGAAGTGAACCCACATATCCATGGTCTCGACTTTACTGCAGTTTCCGCTGAAGAGCTCGACGAGGCCCGAGCCTCCTTTGTGAGTAGCCAGCCATATCAGGATGACAAAGTTGATCACCAACGATATGCCCGCGAAAAGGGCGGCGAGAAGAGCTCCCGTCCGCCAGCCATGAAGTCGAGAATGCCCGGAAAACAGTGGCCACTTCCACCGGCCATCGTACGTTGAATGAATGCGAATTGGGTCGGTCGAAGGGTCGAGTAGTGGTGCTACGTCTCGGATGGTGTTTGAATATCCAGATTTGAAGCTTGGAGCTTTGCTGTCTGCCGGCGAGAGCTCGAAGATCCCTTGCTCAAAACTTAAACTTGAGTCGGTGTTGGCCCGTTGATACGTTCCTCGAGGCTGGATTAGGTCCATTGGAGCGTAGATGACTGAAACAGACAGCTCGAGCTCAATGAACCTCGGCGAGACTTGTCCGAAATTCGGGATTAGGACATCGCATGTTCTGCATTGGAAAAGGCTTGAGACGTAGCGCGTTCAATTCTCTACACGCTGTGATGTCGGAATATCCAGCAAAAAGGAACTGTGAAGACTGAGCTTTCACGGATGCCTGGGTAGTCGAAGATAATCTTTAGCAAGCTCTGCGATGGTCCTCGTTCGGTTGGCTTGTCTGGCGCGACATTGTCCACGAAGCCATTGTGCGCTTTCAAAGCTTTGCAGCCTGGAGCGTCCGAGTTTCAGTAGCTTCAAAAGCGAACTCTGGCTCCACTGACACAACAGGAGTTTCACGGGCCTGCAGAGGGCCTGAGGAGTAAGACTTCTCCGGTGGACTCGCCATCATCGACTTTAGGCCAAAGTATAACGGGCTTTTCCCAGCCATGCCTATCAATCCCTCACGTAACGGCAGACGAGACGATCCAATTTCATTAGGGGCATCGAGCAGCCAACCGGCCGTCACAAGGCTATGCACTAACTAATCAGTGAACCACTCGAGGTGCCTGAAGATACAGGGTGCTTACGCACGAGTCCGTGACGCATGTGGCATTGATTAACCTCCGTCTCGATGCAGGTACAGTACGAGAGTACGAGCAAATACGGGGCGAAGTGATTCACGAATCCCTACGATTTACTCCGTATCGAGAGCGCTACAGACTACAGGTATAAGTCTGCCCCAGGGTAGTGGGCAGAGGTTCCCTTGCATCACAACATCATCTAAATCACAACGATGGGAGGCCTGATTCTCAAGGGATGACTACTTTCGCGCTTCATCAGACCTCACGCCACCGTCAAGACCGACGTCTACTGTAGTAAGCTACACGGTCTGGTAATGTACTTCATTGCCACTTTCTATCTGTAACGATGAAGAATGATTGGCACGAAAGAAAAAGCAGTATTCTAAAGCTCACATTCGAAGGCTCTCTCAGCCACCTGGTAGTACCGTGGTCCATCGCCGTACGGCACTTCCCGCCTATGAGCTCCCTACAACAATCCCTTAGTCTGGGCTAGAGTAAGGCTGCCCAGGTGCCGACAGCCTGCGCGCCGCCACATCTCTCTTGACATCACAAGCCATTGCCGCCACGATCCCTATTGTCGACAAATGTTCTGAAACATTTTGCATTTCCACTGTCCAGGATACGACTGTGCTTGGCAAGGAATCGCCAAAGCACTGTAAGGCATCCTGATGTCTCGGATGGGCTATCGCTACGTGTACTAGCTGCGTTTCGAACAATGTTTGACAATATAAGGGAGATAGTCGCTGTGTCGTGCAGTACGCGCCATTGAAGAGCTTGCAGCAGAAGGGGGATAGATCCATGCGCGGGAAAATCTTCTAGACTCGAGATATAAATTGCAGTGAACCAAGCTACATGATGTGCGCTGCCAATCCCTCCTTCTTGTTGTATGTTGAGCTATAAGAGGTAATTTAGGAGACACACCCATGTACTCGGGCTCTTCCAGAGTCTCGACTACACCGTATGCTCCCTTCGATATTGTTGCTTCATTTTCTTAGGTATTGTCCATCGTCTGCGACTGGCAGACAGGTTGAGCTCCTTCACAAGCCTCTCTGTTGCTAGCTGCATTCCTTGTGCCTCTGTCAAGTTGATGGCAGCCCTTGCTGCTGCCTTGCTCGCTTCCATCTCCTTTATTTCCTGCAAAACTCGGGGAGAGTTCCGTATTGCTCGTCGAGCAGGGATCATGTAATTTTGCCGGAGGTCCATCATGCCGCGACACCACATCTGGTAATTACCAAGAAGGGACATGGCTTCGTCATAGAGCTCGTTGATGCGATCCTCAACGTCATGGCCGACATTACAGGGATACACATATTTCAGGAAGGGTTCATAGACAAGGTCGTGAAAGAGGTGTGCCCAACCTTCGACAAGGTTTCGTTCTGTCTGACATGGCAGTGCGGTGTACCTGGGATCAGTCAGTTGGAGCTGATCCATTGACAATTCCCACGAGGTCACTCACTGAACAATCAGCTGAACCTTCTGTCGATAGTTCGTCCATAGGTCTTGTTCTGATGGGTTTACCGTGAATGGCGCCAACCCGCGCACGTAAGCGATATTGTTGACCTGTTCTTCAACGTTGAGGTTGACCTGGTGAAGCTGGTCCAATAACGCTTCGCCCTGAGAAAGTATTTCTTGTTTGTCTAGGTCGCGCGGAAGCTCTAAATGTTGATCAGTCTGGGACGGGAACAGACGACCAAGACTCTCCACCAGTCTTGTAAGGTTGCTGAACCCATTTCGGCAGCTGTCTGGTAAATTTGCCCTTCGAACATTATCGAGGAAGGTCAACGTGGTGTGTCCATCATGGGAATCATTGGCATGCGATCTTCGATGAAACGGAGTTGTACAGGCTGTAGATTCGGACTTCCCGTACAATTGAGTGTTGTCGCCATCAGTATCGTTTGAACAGGGTGACGAGAAGTGTGAACCGGCAATCAGTGGTTCCTCGCTAATCTCGAATCTGATTTCGGGATACCTCTCATAGAGCGACGTGAGTTCAGACTCGGAAATAGCCACACAGTCATCCATATTTCGAGATGAAAGCTCTGCTGTCTGCGTATGTTTTGAGCATCCTACTGAAACACCAGTAGTGGCAAACCCAGGCACGAGAACATGGAAACAAGGAAGGAGCGAAAGCATTGTGCAAAGCCAGAAAGAAATTCACTGCGTAGCTGATCCACGTGAAGGCAAGCACCACGATATTCACATTTAATACTTGCACGAGTCGAGGTAAGAGCCGATGGGAAAGGAGGGTGGTCAAGAAACGGGGAAATCAGCCTTGGTCAAGACAGTCTCATGTATTTACCAAGTACAATCCAGTACAAGTCATATGAAATGACCAGCAGTTTGGGATGGAATTTGGCTTTGCAGACTGCCATTAGGTCAAAGGTATAACACCAATGAGTCTAATCAGCAGAAAGCACTCGCTCTTCGCGCACTGACTGATTGGCACCTCACTGAAACAGATGTGACAACTCAAAGTTGGGCGATCAACAAAAAAGGTTTGCGTAGCATTTTTGGGATGGATATCAACACTCGCAAGTGCATGTACAAAGTCAGATGCCACGGAATGACCAAGCCTGCTCCCGCATTCCATCGAGTGCGGAGCTATAAGCAGAACTAGAATTGAATGCTCCTGGCATCGAATTCAAAGTTCTGGCTGAGTCGGCGGTGTCCTTTGCTTCTGCTCGTGTTGATAATCGCTCCCCAGAATCTCCTCTCGGAGTGTCGGACTTCGGTGTCTCCTCATGAAGCGAAGTCTCACCTTCCAAAGGTCCACCTGATCTTTCGTCTGTAGCCGGCGGATCGTGACAATCATCGGCAGGTGGCTGATAACGCCAGTTGGGAGGGGGTTTGAGATCGTCATCATCTCCGGGCAACTGAGTATCGACGATGTTGTTACCGATATGCTGAAGCGACCGGCGAATGATGGATTGAACTCCTTGATAAAACATCCAAGTAGCAGAGAGGATACCCATGACAATCACAATCCAGCTGATGTTCATCGCACGATCCCGACCTGTAGGTGCGCGTCGAGCAGCCCTAGTTGAGACAAAGCCGTTGTGGCGCAAGCTCCACCATTGGAAAGGGTTGAGTATGATCGTCCTAAGAAAACTCATTACACCCATCGAGACAAAACCCTTGATGAAATGCAATAGCCATCCAGACACAGTCTCGTCAAAGTCATTGACGACGACTTCCTGCCAGAGTTCCTCTTCTCCTAGGATCGTTTCATACGGGTCGGCATAAAAGTTCAGAATGGGATCAGCCACGAAACCGAGAAGGAACATGACAACCAGCATCACCGCAACGGTCAATACACCAGAGACAATCTTGCTCTCCAAGTATTTTTGAATGGTCAGTCTCTTGAAATTGAATCGATACCCGCATTGATGGCATTTCCACAGGGAATCCGAACGACGAACCTCGACCCTTGATCGACGTAGACAGAGCTCGTGAATATAACGCATGCCACCTTTACAGTGGCAAGGTTTGATGAGCCGGCCATACTCGTCATCGTTCTTGTACTCAACGATGGGACGCTGTAAGCGGGCAGGGACGCCGGGAGGATAGAGAGATACAACCGGATAGACGTCTTCGAGGCACAATCTGCAGGTTCGAGGAGGGTAGGTCCAGGTTGGGGAGGGTCTCGTGCTCTCCTGGGCTCCGTCAAATTCTTGTTCTCTTGTAGATTCCATCTTGTCTGGTGCGAAATAGATTGTCAGGTTAGCAGTATTCCGATCCACAAAATCTTCCGTCCCGAGGTGTGGTCATGGTCAAAGAAAAGCGGCTCAAAGGTTATAAACAATGGGACAAAGGACGCCGAACTAAATGCTGTTGGGTTTATGCATGACAATCTGCCTGCACAGGGATGGGCGCCGAGGAAGGACTTGGAAGCTCGGCGTCGACCATTGAGGAGAAAATGCCAGATATGACTTCGAGTTGCTGGTGGGTGATTCAAGTGTGAAAGAAAGGTGCCTGTGCTAGGCCAATGACCAATGAGGCAGCTTTCCCGAACAATTACTAGCACCTTGCGGACTGCATGGTGATTGCGTAGAGAGTTGTGCCTACAGAACAGCACAACGCGATCTTTGAATCCATACATCCCCAAGTATTCTGCGCTCACCTTCTTCTACCCTCTTGTCCCGTGAAGGTCGCATAGTACTCTGCCCCCGAGACGTTTGGATCTTTTCCCTATACCATAAGAATTCGCCAGCATGGCGGACAGATACTCCTTCTCACTCACGACCTTCTCGCCCAGGTATGTTGCTAGTCCACTGAGGCTACCTTCACGGTCTAACATTCTCCAGTGGCAAGCTCGTACAGATAGGTACAATCGGTCCAACTCTCTCGTCTTAACTTGAAGCTCACGTATTTCCTCCAGAATATGCCCTCAATGCGGTCAACCAAGGTGTTACCTCGTTAGGGATAAAAGGTATAAAATATCCCTTCCTCCCCAGCTCAATCACGGGCGAGAATTACTGACAGCATGACCAGCAACAAATGGCATAGTCCTCGCAACCGAGAAAAAGTCATCATCTCCTCTCATCGACGCCCCCTCATTATCCAAGATCTCTCTCATCACCCCGAACATCGGCATGGTCTACAGCGGCATGGGACCAGACTACAGAGTATTAGTCGACAAAGCTCGAAAAGTATCCCACACCAACTACAAACGCATCTACAATGAGTACCCACCCACGCGGATATTGGTCCAGGATGTTGCCCGAGTGATGCAAGAAGCCACGCAGTCCGGCGGTGTGAGACCGTACGGTGTGAGCTTGCTGGTAGCAGGCTGGGATGACGGTATTGAGCCCGAGACGGCAGAAGCCAAGGAAGGCGAGTCAGAAGCCGAGGCGAAGCTCGCCAGCAGAAAGACAGGCGGTATCCTCAAAGGCGGGCCAAGTCTGTACCAAGTCGACCCCAGCGGAAGTTATTTCCCATGGAAGGCTACTGCCATCGGCAAGAGCGCGACCAGTGCAAAGACATTTTTGGAGAAGAGATACAACGACTCTTTGGAGCTCGAGGTGGGCATCCAGGAAACCCCGTGCAACGAATGTATGAAGCTGACAAAATTCAATAGGATGCCATCCACATTGCGCTTCTAACTCTCAAGGAAACCATCGAAGGAGAAATGAACGGCGACACGGTCGAGATTGGTATCGTCGGTGAACCGGCTAACCATCTGCTTGGATTCGAAGGTGTCGAAGGAGCCGTTGGACCTCGATTCCGCAAACTCACAAAGGATGAGATCGAGGACTACTTGACGAATCTGTGATGTGTTGTGTGTGTGAGAGAGACAGAGAGAGTCTTGAGTTTTGTTCAACTCTGTAAACTACGAAAGGGGGTTATTGAGGAGAATTCCCGAACTTCCGTATCCCTGGGCTTCGGGGTGCATGGCTACGGCGCATATTTGAGAAATGGACGAAAGGAACAGGAACCATGGCCTTATTGGCGTGGATCACTACAGTATGTCCAAAGAAACAATGGAATCGCATCAAATTAGATTGACTCCGAATTTCTCACAGACTAGTGTACCTGTGTGTACGTACTATAGCCCCGTCTCTCTCCTTGGCCCGGTTTGACATGTTTCCAACGGAGAGCGGAAGGTCACGCCTGCCTCCGGGGAAATTCCAAGATCCTTTTCTTCCCCGTCCTATTTGAGTCTCCCCCCTGGGTGACATTCCGTTACTGTGCCTTAGTGTACCCCGTCCTCGATGAGTCTTCATAGGAAGGCTCGTTCGTGCAGGATAGTAACGAGTACATAGTAGTCAGAATCATCCTCTCAGGCAGTACTACTAGTATCACAATCTTCCTCTCAAGAGAGTTCAATTTATTTATCGTATCAAGACCACCCTCTCTCAGCCCCCCCCCTCCTCTCTCCTTCCCCTCCGAAAGGTCGGTAGGTAGGTAGGTAGGTTGGTATAGGCCAGGGTGGAGATGGGAGTAATAATAAATCTAATGAGGTAGGTTTGAGAGATCCCAGGTTCCACCATACGGAAACACACAATCCAACGCCACCTTCTTCGTGGATGCAAACTGTACGTACTCGCGTACAGAACAATACCAGTTCGGAGATTTCCCAACCTCGGCCAGACCAGGTTACGTACAATCAGGTATCCGTACTCCGTGGACCATGCAAACATCGTGAGTATCGTAGCTCCCAAGAAAACCCACCCATTCCATCTCTGATATCGCTTCAAGTGCTGAGAGCGAGGAACAAAAATGAACCCGGAAAACAAAAAGTTGGCCCGTGATGAAAGACCAAGAAGAGTAACAAGAGTATTCATTCCATCGTAAGCCAAGCAAGAAATCGCTAGCACCCAAAAATAGTTCTTCAAGCATAATGCTGCGAAGTACGAGGTGTCATTTCCGTACCGCATACAAAAGACATTTCTCCCACCAGTCCCGTAGCATGAGGACCGTGGCACGGCCGTCATCCCGTTTCTCCGTCCCGTCTGGATTGCCCATGACGATTGCAAACAACCAAAACACTGCGACAATCCAGCCGGCGACGGCGTTGCCCAAGCTTATGAGAGGCGAAACGACGTGGATCAGTACCAGACACACTGGACTGAATTCGAAGGTGTGTGCATGATCTAAAGATTTGGCGTAGATCATCTGTAGATGGTTGCGGAATATGGGGCCGATCATGCGCACCAGCGTGATGGACGGTGAACATTCGCGCTGGCACAGACGCAGAGGGAGGAGCATGATTATGAGAAACACAGCGATGATCGAGTATATGGCGCTGATCATACAGTGAAAGGGGTCAAGGAATGAGAGCCACATCTATCATATCACGGTTAGCGTTGTGTCCTTGAGCTCGAGCAAAGAGGTACAAGGTTGCAAAACGTACCAGGATCCAAAGAGCGTGGTCGTTCTCGACCTCTTCGTCCTCGGCTTCGGGCGGTATGTAGCGGAGGATCGTGGAGTTGTCTTCCATCGTCTCGGACTGAATGTGGCTCCCTCGATGAACATTCGGCCCATTGTGCGATGCCTGGTATGATTGCCGGGCGGACTCTTTTCCTGGACTATACCTCCTACCCTGTTCTAACTGCGGGCTGTACTGATATGATAATTTCTTGTGGACGTACGGATCACCTTCGGAGACCGTGGAGGAGCCAGATTCGCCGCTTGAGACTGAGCCCCCGACTCTTTTCGGTTCGATCCGATAGGGACCGCTTTGGTATGGCGGATTTTGACTGAGGTGTGCCTGTTGTGGGGAGGATATGGCAGGGGAATGGCCGTAGGGGTGGTTGCAGGTGGTGCTGTTCAGACTGGGAGGCAGGATTTGGCTTCGATTTTCGTAGTATGCGGCAGCATGGCTCATAGGCGGTGGACGGGCCGCTGGCGAGGCCATTATACTCTAGTCTTTTTGCACAATCAACCCCGAGGAGTCGTGGTCAAACGGCTGTGAGGTGGTTTCGTTCTCATACCCAGCGCAGGAGGGGTTCGCGGTCTGAGATGGCAGTGGCAGCAGCGGCAACGAGGACGACGACGGCCCGAGAAGCTGTGGTAGGACGAGGTCGAGGTCGAAGTGACATGGGGAACGAACGATGATATACCAACATGATTATGAGGGACGAAAAGACCAGAGCAAGAAGTATCACTTCACCAGAACCACGACATAGTCTTGTCTTCTTGTCAAGCGCCTTCTTGGTATCTTGGCTGATTCTGGGCGTTCGCTTGGCCTTTGTAACCAGGCCATGCGCGAGTGTTACAGGGACGGGGAATCCATTCCTTACCGGTGACTGAGGCATCCTTCACATGCGGAACCCCGGGAGTGGTGGTGAGCATGGTGTGTTTGCTCCTCACACGGAACTCTGGTCATCGAGATGGTTGGGTGTTTGTCGCAAACCCTCAAAGTGAATGGAAAAAGGGCGCGCGAATGCCAAGAGTGCCGCAGATCTGGGCATGGAGATGCGGCCCTTGGGCGGCGGGCAACAAGGCCTTGGAAGGGACCTTGGCCACGGCGTATTAGGTGGTACGTGTCTCCCTACAACCTCGCACAGGCAGGAATTCATACCGCCGACTTTGCATTCTTGTCAAGCCAGGTATGTGTGTGCCTTACCTTTAGATAGTCAACTAGGTACAGGTAGTTTCTCTACGACGAGTGAGAGCACGGATTACGAGTTTACAACACAGCATAACCCGTACCCCTTGACTAGCCGAGGCTACCATTCTGGAAGTTAGCTTGTTAGAGATAGGGTCATGGGAACTTGTGACTGATGTTTATAATCCGGACCTTTCATGGTAATTGATTCCTTTTCCTCCCACACTCTCTATACCATCCAGAACAGGAGCCTCCTGTCAGGGCAGCATAATATTGTGGCCTTGCTGTGCCCAAGAACAGCACAAGCCTGAGGTGGGCCATCAAGCCTGTCACAATTGAGTCCGGGCAAATCAAAAGCATACCCGGAGATGCCTACCAGCCTTGTCGATGGGGAGTGTCTTCTTCCTCAAAGATTGGCGGTGGATGGCCAAGGTCAATCTTTGAAATTGCCAAGCGGCATGACTTGAAAAGCTGCCCGTACCGCCGCTTGGACATTGGTGATCTTTGCTTTGGGATTCTCATACAAGATGGTATGGAGTATGACTTCACAAGATAGGATCATTCCACCTGATGCCGGCGACAAATGTACAACGCTGACTATGCAGGCTCGTGTTTCTTCGGATAACGCAGAGGAGGCTTGAATCATTTCCGGAAGAGCCGGTATAAGAGTGAAAGCCCGGTACCAAGACCACATAATTACATCCTGCACATCCTGTTGGCGCCGAGAATGCTGAGATTCGCAGGGAGGGATTGGCAATATCAGAGCTTCCACATTCAGGTGCAAAAAGATTATTCTCCAACAAAGATTGACCTGTTCCATCAGTAAGCAATTTTCAATCATGTCGACTTCCCTGATTTCCTGGTTTCCTCGTCAATGATCAACACTTAAGTACTCCGTAGGTCTGTTGTCTTCCTTGAGCGCTTGGCCGTAGAGTGTCGCAATGGCATATGAAATCGATCAGGTTAATGTTCCGGTGGTACAGTCATCGCATGCACATCGTCCGTAGCATACGAGAGGGATCGCTTGCCAGACATTCGCACGCAAACAAAATGTAGACCTGCAAAGTAACTAATAGTCTTACTCGAGACACGCTTACCTGAACATGCTTGTTCTCAAAACAGGAACGGCGGAAGCTCGGAAACAACGCATTTGAGACAGTGAGCACTTTCGAGACAGGAACTTCACGTATGAAGGTCAAATGTGGGATGTTTCACCAGGAGGTGCTGGTGACGGTGCCACGTGCAAGTTTACCGGATGGATGGGGTGAATCTGGTCTTGGGCTTGCAAACCAGGCTATACGCCAGGACGAGCTGTCCATATCAATAGGCAAATCGAGATCCTCGGAGCATGATTCATGCCAGTGGCAGTACAACTAAGGAGGCATCGTTTTAGAAACGCTGTCGTACCACATGGCCGGAATGGACCATGATGTTGTACTGCCCAAAGTGTTGAGTTGAGTTTGGGTAAGTACCGATATGCGGTCGCGCGCTTTGTGCATGTGTAACCCGCGCTTCACAAAATCCGGATAACGCTAAATCGCATGCAGCTGTCCGCAGCTCGCCTCTGCTTCATCACACAGTGCATGACAAGCTCCATCAAGGATGAGTACAAAGATTGAGGATGACCATCACTACACAGGCTGTCTGTAAAGTGATTCTCCACGATAGATTCACGACTAGCCTCTTTCAATCAACGGCACCTCGTGTCAGTGACACCATGGGAAAGTCACGTCCCAAAGACAATTAATGGAGGCGCTGTGTTTCTGACGTTGGTGTTCTGTGCTACCACGTCAGGATGTGATCATATCAGCATGGCGGCTTGTTGCTTATGTAGTGCACTCCTCACGAGTGGTACAGCGGTTTGACGTTTGTGTCAATTGTCCTCGTGAAGCGTGACTCGACTGGTCCTGTTTGCTGTGGAAGATACATTCCAATGGAAGCCATTGCCAGTGTTAAGTGTTTTCAGCATCGGCAGAAGGTCTATAGAATCTTCAATGCACTCGCAAACGCCGTTCTTTGCTGCAAAAATAATGTCCACCAATCTAGAGTGGCTGAGAGGCGTGACCATTGTCGTGAGGGGGCGCTAAAGGTCGATCTGTTCGAGGTCAAGTGCACCAGCGGTCAGGAAGACCGAGGAGGGCAGATTGGTGGATTGACAGTGGTGTCAGGAGAGTCAGTACCGCGTTGTGAGATCTGCCTTCAGCACAAGACACAAAAGACGAACCACAAGGCAAGATTAGTGGCATGGTGACCTTTGTCAACAGCTGTCACAACAGCTGCAGGGAGGGAATGAGGGCTCGGACATGTGGATCCTCAACCGACACGAGCCTTGGACGTTTGATACGGAAAGTCAGCATGATCATTGATGGGCCGCCAGCAGCCACATTATTGTCCGAACACGCGAAAGGCCAAAAATGGGTCAGGGCACTCGTACACCCAATACAGGATCCGCACCACATCGTCTGGATTTATCTGGCGCCGCCACCATCCCCAAAGCATCCCTCTGTAACTGTACCGAAATAGCCACGGAAAGAAAACCCAGCCTACTGTAAGATCGTGACCGCTGGTGGTTCTGAGGCACCTTTCAGCACTTTTGGGTTTGTGTCGCTGCTGAACTGATTTTGAGCAAGATAAGACTTGCAGGTAAGGGATGGCCCCTCTGTATGTTGTTCATTCACCCTTCTGTAGAGCTGGGAGGGCTAGGCTCCAACCGAGGCTGAGGGTGTCCTGATCGGACACATTCCAAAGGTCAAAGTGGATGGTTGATTAGTGTCTCATCTTCTTTCTCCTGGGTCGTTTTCTGCGGTAGTAGTGGCGATCCAAACAAGACAAGATTGGCAAGTAGCCGGTGCAAACATCAGACTCGTGGAGGGAGACTTCTGCTAGGCTTCCCAGGCGAAAACTAGTGCTGCGAGAGGCGTGGAGAAAACAGTAGGTCAGGAGGTCTTAGGCTCGTAGCCTGGGAGTGTGATTGACATGGAGGAGACCGGCAGCGAAGCGAGGAGAAGAAGCTCCGAGCAGAAAAATGGGGCAGGGACATCGACGCCGCACGGAGAATGATGAGGTGCCACCGTGCTAGAGCCTAGAGGTGGTGACAAGCATGCCAAACGCCAGCAGCACTCCGAAAGGCACGGCCCACTTGATTTATTCATCTGTTCGTCATGCGTGGCGCTTCCAGTGGGAGAATAGACCTGGTAATCGACATGGAAACGCAGCGCCAGGGGCCCTGGTCCCTGGGTCTCCCGTGGCTCTAGGACTCTCCGGGTTTAGCCTCAGGAAAAAGGCGCCAACCCAGTCAGCCTCTTCAGGTTTTCACGAGTCACGCCTCTGCAGCTTCGGCCCTGTCTCTCCGCGAGGAGGTCGGTGGCGACGACAAACGAGTAGTCGAACAAGTTGATCCCGGCAAGCATACGGCGAGTGTTTGCCTGTGCCTATGAGGCCTGCTGTGAGAGCGTTCGTGAGATGAGATTGTCCTGGTTCCATGACAGCTGCTACCAAGTCTTCGGGTGACGGCAAAGAGAGCCAAAACATGGAGTACGGGCACTCCTACTACTAAGTTAGCACCGCTCGTAACAGGATGGTGTCTCGTTTCTTTGCCGTCTGCATCTCCTCGAGGCGGCTGTCAAATACCAGTGGTCGTGTCGTATCCCCTTCAGGAATGCCCAATAATGCAGCACAGGCCCGGCCGCAGTGCCTGGAATGGAGCCCGCGACCAGCCCAGGGGAGCTTAGGAAACCTTGACTCTTCGTTCTGCACGCCGGGGCGTTGGCAGATGTCAATCAGAGGGAACCACCCGGCCTAGTGAGCCCACACCCCAGTTTTCTTCGTTCCTCCAGGCTTCCCAGGCCCCACTGCACGCCAGACTGCCCATCACCAGGATGCCATTCTAGCCTCTCGTTGGGCTGACGGGCGTCCTGATGGGGACCCTGCGGCTGCTGGGCGTTTGCCGCCTTTCTCTTTCCAGGGCCTCTCGAGACGAGCAGCTCCGTGCTCGGTGCAGGGGGGTTCAGCCCCCACCGTCTCCTAAAATGTCAAGTCCACTGGGAACCACGGCAGTCCCGTCATCTGTGATTCCAACAAGCATGGCTCAGATCTTAGGGTTATTGACGCTAGTGGTTGTGCTGCTTGTTCCCATCTTGAGCCCATTTCCCTCAATCATCCTCATTCTCCCTCTTCCGTCACCCGGCCGTCCTTTGCGAGAGTCGAAATCCCACGCTTTTCGTTCTGCGGCTCTGTCGCCAATCTGTGTCGCTCGCGTTGCGGTCGTTGTGTTTGAGACTCCTTGTACCCCTTCTGTCTCTACGTTAATCTTTTGCTCTCCGTTACCCACATAGCCATCGCCCCGACCTATCAGCCGGATCACGATCCTCCACACCGTTTGGCATGACTTGGGCCTGCTAGCTTTGGCTAAACACTACAATTTCAGTCTGCGATCTACTCGGCCATTTTCTTGTTGACTTTTCAAAAGAGGAGGTACATAGCTGGCAGCAGAAATCAGTCGCGCCATCTTTCTGAGGTGGTTCAGCTGCTGTCCACCACCATATAAGTCCGCAAAAAGTGACTTGAACTGTTGAATTTCGTTTCCTGTGATCACCATGGCCTTGGTACCTCACCCTTCCCCGCCGGGCGTACTAGGCCTTCAACCTCCTCACCTGGGGCAGTATAATGGAGCCGCACCGGTCGATGCTCACATGCAAAGACAACGGCTGCTGTCTCAGTTGAACGAGTCAACCTGGCAAAGAATCGGTGAGAAACTCATGCTTTGCAGTATCTTGATCCTTGACTGACCCCCTCCCAGGCTCACTGAACGAACTCCTCGGCGATCATGAAGGAGCACTGTTTGCCTACGAGCAAGCTTTGCGTCACAATCAGTGGTCACCACAGACGCTCAATGCTATTTCATGCATTCTTCGCACCAAAGAAAAGTATCCTGAAGCCATGGAGTATTTGAAGAATATCCTCAAAGTCGAGCCTGCAAATGGCGAAGCATGGGGCAATCTCGGTAGGTTGTTCGGCTGACTTGATGATGAATCCAACCACTGATCACGTATAGGTCACTGCTACTTGATGATGGACAACCTGCAAGAAGCGTATACCGCCTATCAACAAGCACTATACTACCTGCCTGATCCCAAGGTGTGTTGCTGCGACTTGTTCACTGAAATGCGGAAGCTAATCATCTTCAGGAACCAAAATTGTGGTACGGCATTGGTATTCTCTATGATCGGTACGGCTCTCTTGAACACGCGGAGGAAGCCTTCTCCCAGGTCATGAGAATGCAACCAGACTTTGAAAAGGCAAATGAAATCTATTTCAGACTTGGTATCATCTACAAGCAACAACAAAAATTCCAGCAGAGTCTTGAGGTGAGTTCCTGTCCTGCCTCTTACCATCATCCCGACTGACCAAGGTGCAGTGTTTCAAATACATTGTCAACGATCCGCCACGACCATTGAACGAGGAAGATATATGGTTCCAGATTGGCCACGTCTATGAGCAACAAAAAGATGTTTGTCTTCCCCTTTCATTCTGATTGATTGACAGAATCTGACCATCACTACAGTTCGAAGCTGCGAAGGCCGCTTACCGACGAGTGCTTGAAAGAGATCCGAAACATGCCAAAGTGTTGCAACAGCTAGGATGGTTGCATCACCAACAGAACCAGAATTACGCCAGCCAAGAACAGGCAATCGAGTATCTCGAACAATCTGTCAGCTCAGGTTCGTACTACACATCCGTTTTGGATGCTTCTCACTGACAATGAAATGGCATAGACAACCAAGACGCCCAGAGTTGGTATCTATTGGGACGGTGCTACATGGCCCAACAGAAATTCCCCAAAGCATACGAGGCCTACCAACAAGCCGTCTATCGAGATGGCCGCAACCCTACCTTCTGGTGCTCCATCGGTGTCCTGTACTACCAGATCAACCAGTATCGTGATGCCCTCGATGCATACTCCCGTGCAATTCGCCTGAACCCTTACATCTCAGAAGTTTGGTACGACTTGGGCACGCTGGTGAGTCTAAACCGTCATCTTCAACCGAAACATCTTCTGACAATTCACTTAGTACGAGTCGTGCAACAACCAAACTTCTGATGCTCTCGATGCTTATTCCCGCGCTGCCGAGCTTGACCCAACCAACACTCACATCAAAGCGCGCCTTGCTCTGCTAAGGAGCGGACAGCCTACTGGACCCAACCAGCAAAACGCCCCGGTACCCCAGGATGTACACCCACAAGCATATCAAAATGGTGTCGGCGTTCCTCCCGGACCTCAATGGGGTGGACCCTCGTCTTCGAGCCAGCAATCACAGCCACCACCAGTTGATCCTGGCAGAGTTCACGACTGGACTAGAGGCCTCGCAGGTATTCAACAGCCCCCGTCGCAGGCCAACGGATTCGACAACCGTGACTCAATGAGGGCTCCACCTCCCCGAGCTCCTAGCCCACGAAATGAACCTCCTCGCCCTTACGATTCCGCCCGTCACACTCCCTCAAGGAAAGCTCAGTCCCCTTCGCCAAAGTTGCAACCCGGGATGTATCCGCCTGGCCCTCAAACCTTGCCACAGATCTCTATGCAAGATCGAGGCCCTGGTTTCGGTCCTGGCGTTCGTCCCTCGCCTACCATGAACGGTGCTCCTCTTCCCCCCGCCAACGGCGCTACATCCAACAACACGCTTCCTCCGTACGGACGACCATTCAGTCCCCCAAGCGAGCTAAGGCCGATCAGGGACGAACGTCCGCCCTCGCCGGGTTCTGCTTTCCGACCACAGCCATTCCAATCCGGACCCTTCCCCAGCATTGCCAACGGTGTCCCATCGGCTGCGCCGCCACTCCCATCTGCGGAACCACCCAGGGAGGAGCGACCGTCCTCTGCCATGAAGCGGACACGAGATTGGGAACCTGAAGGTCCTTCGAAGAAGATTGCCAGCGACGAGACCCGTGCCCGCCTAGATGATCCTAGCCGGCGGAACAGCCCCCCTGGGAGACTGCCGTCGCCGAAAGGTCATTTCCGACGCAGCTCCTCTGAAGTGCGTCGTGAGAACGAGCGCCGTGCCAATGAAAACTACCACCCTTCGGAAGCTGCTCACCATCCCTACAGTCTTGCGCCTCAGCCGCAGACGGAGCCACAATCGCAACCCCCGCCCCAGCAGATACCATCCATGCAGACCTTTCTAGATGGCCCCAAAGAGGATCGTCCGGAGCATGTTGAACAAGCCGCTCGAAAAGTCGAAGTTGACGAAGACTACGACAACAACAGCGAAGATGACAAGAGAGTAGCCACTGTAGCTACGAACAGTCCTCAAGTCGCAGCACCCCCGCCGTCAACCGCCTCCAAGCAGGAAGCTGCGGCATAGCATTGACTATTCATTACTGTTTTCGTATGGCAATCGTTCTGTAGCAAACCAGTGTTCAGGGAAGATACTCGAACCAGAAAACAAAATGCCTCGCAGTTTTATATCGGTGCATGTTGCTTTTCAATATACACACTTTTGAACATTCTTAGCCACTATGAAATCATGATTGCATTGTTTTTTCAACTGTGTCGGTCTATGTCATGTCGACGACGTTGAGAGTGATATCCTCGAGACCATACAGGTATGTTTGTTGTGTTGGTGGTTATCGTAGGTCCGTCCCACAGCCGTTACTCCCCTCTCTTGATCTCCTTTGGTTGTGCACCGTCTATATCAGAACGAAGATCCTATTCCCCATTGTGACTAGTCCCCCTTTAGCTAAGGACGACGGTGCCAGTCTCTCTCTTGAATTCGTTTGGTCGTCCGTCCCCTGATCATTGACGGGGGAGCAAGCTGCTCCACATGAAAATAGGGTATGTTTATCTGCTTCTCGGCCTCCTTTCGGGCCTTCCTGGTCCCAGCAGAGCGGGATGGGCGGCGTAGGGGGCCGGCGGACGACTGGAAAATGTTAGTACCATCAAGTGTGTGTATTCAGGTAAGTACGTACAGTGAAGTTGAGGACTGGATTGCTTCCAGCCTGGAATTGGTAGATATTCGCCATCGTTACAAATCGAGGCAACGGAATCAGTAGCTTATCCGTGCCTTGCAACATAGAAGGTAATCCAACACCGACAGTCCTGAGCCATTTCTAGGCTTCTCATGCCCACGATACAGGAAGTTCAACAGCCAAGAGTTGAAGCCTCTTGGAAGCCTGGTTCGACCCTTTGAACTTCGTCCGCAGGCCACCCCACTCGGTGTTCTCCTCCTCCCGTGTTGCGGTAGTGTAGGCGAGTGTCAGATGTCTCCCTGGTTTGTTCTCCCCCATCCAATCTGAGGGAGGATTCTTGTATGTATACTAGCTCGGAGAGCATCACATACGACTTCGGTGTTGGGCACTAGTTAGACGTGCTGCTTCTGGAGTCGCTCCCAGAAGCTCCACGAGGACAAGGTCTGGCGATATTTTTACCAGAAACTGCCACCACGCCCTCACCATGATAACGTCCTCATCTCGCGTAAAGCCACCCTTGAAGTATAGCGCTGCATCAACCAATTGCTTAAGGCTGCTGACAATATGCTTAATGCGCAACTCAAAATCTCATGAGTCGACGCTGCTTCTCGAGGTAAGAGAGAGAGGAGAGAGCTGCTGGGATCGGGCAGCCCCTGAGGAATGTTCGGCGGTATGTCGAATCAGTTGGAATTAGTTCGTAACGGGTACTGAACTTTCTCGCCCTTTACTTCCCCTTGTTCACCACCTTTTCCCCCACTTCTCCTTCTTCCAAGTCTTCCTCGTCTTTATCTTCCTCGCCTTCATCTTCATCTAGGAAGATGAAGGCGGAAAATTCGGACTCCGGTCCGAGTTTGTTCGCAAGGATAATGTTCTTTTTCTCGGCCTTTCGACCTTTTACTGTCAACTGAGACTTTCCTAACTAGGGATCGTCCCTGCCACCTTCTGTCGACGGGACTTTCTCCAACTAAGACCAGTCCATGTCGTCGTTGTCGTCGTCGCTGAGTCTCGACCATTTATCTGGTCGAGAGGGACCGGCAACGACAGGAGGAGATTGCACCCTCGGCGGTGTTGCACGTCGAGGCTCCAGCGAAGGTTGTGATGTAGGTGTAAAGAAGGTGTTGAGCGAATATTGATCCGCTGCACGCTTTTTGGGCAATGCCCTTGTCGGTCTTCCTGCAGACATTTTTGCACCGTGTGAGTCAAGAGATTGTAAGAACTGCGCAAGCAGAATGCTTCTCAGTCTAGCAAATCTCTTTCGTTTTCGCTCACACTGCAAAAGAAAGGTACGAAAAGGAGAGTTTGTCCATTCTGCTTCACAGTCCTACTCGGTTTGTTCGAACACGGAGTAGAAAGGGACGCGGGAGAAATGGGGATGTTGAATCCCACGCAACCAAATTCCTTGAACCCCTTTGCAGATCCTTGTCTCGTGACTCGCGAGTATTGCGACTAGCAATCCCTCGAGACGAACAGGACATAGGAGCCCTTCAGCGTCGAACTGGAGCGTCAGTATCTATCTCAGCAGTCAAGGTGAGAAAGGTCCTTACCACCCGGCACCGCTGAACGTGGGCCTACTGCCCGTGTCAATATTGGACACGGTGCTCTTTGTCGTAATTCCACAAAGGTAGAGCATAAAGCAGAGAAGGAGAATACCAAATATGCCGACATGTTGTCGAAAATCGACATCATCCTCACTCCCAAAAGAGTACCTGAAAGCGTTTGTGTATAAAAACACGCCACGCCCTAGATATGTAGTGTCAACAACAATGCAGATAGGTAACGGCAAGGACAGGGACGTGGATTTGTACTGGTTCCTGTATGGGTATAAGTCTCCCAGGTCGAATCTTTGGTGTTCCTTTCTTGATGTCGACGAAAGCGTGACTTCTGCTGGACGCTTTGCTTCGAGAGTCAAGACTGATTGACCAGTGGAAGAGGAACGTCGACATGTGTATATACATATACTGGTGGTCGAAAGATACACTGGATGTCCATGCCCCTGAGCAAGTTGCTGCTGAGAGAGGACCAAGGGCGATACTTATACATCACGTCCTGGTACTGATTCACCTGAAAGACGCTGGCCCGTTTGCTGGAAGCCGTCGGATGATGAGTAGGAGAGACATCACCACAGCGTCTCAGACCCTGTTTGTCAATGATTCGACGTACCTACGACGTGAATAGTGGTTCGGAGTCATGCCGCCGTGGCTCAACGTCGGTCATATCATTCACATCCCACCCGACCCCCGTATCGGCAACTGTTTGGTGGGCCGCACACTTTGTGAAGCGCAAGGCAGACGGGGTTGCAGGAGCTCGTGGTGTAGATCTGGTAACCTTCATGTACGTCGTCATTGAGTGTGTTGAATTCTTGTGTCGGACTTATCTCGCAGTGGCGGTCACTGATCAGTGACATCTATCACAGGATTATATTGTAATATACGAACAACGAAGGAGTGACAAGATATCCATTGCATCAACCGCGTCTTAAAATTCGCATTTCAAATCCTGAACAGCGGTACCCGTTATCAACCAGAAACGTATGTTCTCAGTCAACCCAGAGCCTTCAAAATGTCGGTTGAGTTCCCCAGAAATCCTGAATCCAAAGTCAGTCCGATCATCCACCAAGAATGAGACCCTCTTACCATAACCTTGTGCATTATATCTGGTCATCTCTTGTGCAAAGGGAGGACTGGTACTCTGGCTGATATCATCGACATAAATCACATCATACCCTGAAAACAGCCTGTCAGCCAATTCTTATCTTTCCACCATTGTTACCACGGCTCACCCTTGAAATATGCATCCACAAGCGTGGACCAGACGCACTGATCTGCATTGACGCCGCCGAAAAAGAGGGTTGACATCTCATTCTCCTGCAACCACAGGCCCAAGGGAGTTTGAGGGCCCCAGAGCCCTGATAAACGATTTTTGTTGAACCACAAATCTGTGCCAGCAGCGATACCCTTGTCCTTCATCGTGCCCAAAACACCGTATGGCTCAGCATTCCATGCCCCACGCATCAATTTCCGGCCCACGTGGATTGTCGTCCCGTTTTCTTGAATGGTTCCCATGTCGCTTCCGAACGTCTCATTCGCCATGTCTGAGCCATTGTTGCTAAAACCAGCCTTGAATGCAGGGGGGATCGTCAGCAGGTCGTACTCTGTGAGTCCCCAGTTGACCCAAAGAACTTTCATGCCGTGTTTGCGGAAGCCTTTGATCATATTGGCAGTGGGTTCGACTGCTCCACGGCCCTTGGTTGCCTTAGGAGACAAGTCTGGATGAAGGAAGAAGTTCTGCATATCGATAATGACCAATGCGGAGCGGTTCGGCTCAATCTTGATAGATGATTCGACCATGGGAAGCACTTTTGGAGAAGTCACTGCTGCCCTGTCACTGCGCGTCAAGTCGAATGTACCGTTAGGAAGCTTGACCCAGTAGTTGTAGTAGTTGCCGAGGGTTGTGGTGGCAGACTCGAAACCATCACCCACCATGCCATACTCCTGTCGCTCAAGTAAGTCAGCGGGGATCGCACCGGTGAGGGCAGTGAGCAGTAAAGCAAGCAGACATAGGCGAGTGCCTAAGATCGATACAAGGACTGTCATGGTGAAATTCGTAGCAAGGCTGAGGTGTATCAGGGGTTGCTCGGCTATTCCTGCAAAGAAGGGTAGAAGAGGTCTGTGGTGATGAATGTTCCCAAGAATTTCCAGACATCTTTTATACAATTTCGAAACCCTCAAAGACTCTTCTGGCGGGTATATGCCGACATCAACGGAGATGTGCATCTCCTGAGTGCACGTCTGTCAACATTATACCCGACCAGGTACAAACTCGACCGAAACAGGCAGGTGAAGGTCTTGGAGATAAGAGATAGAGCCCAAGTATCAAGACAACGAGTCTTGTCCTTCTCCGCACTGCGCTTACTGGTGACTAGTTGTTCTGTTATTGAGCAGATTGAGCCTGGCCCGCTGTTGCTTCTACCTTCTCACCTGGAAAATAGGCCGGAAGTCGGCAGCAACTGCCGATGAAGGCCGTTGTCGTTCAAGTTAGGAAGGTAAGTTCTCTGGTCCAAAGAGCGTCCTTGTGCTCCGGCCCGTCACTTCGAAGGATAGGAATCATTGCGTCGGGCCTTCGATGGGTGGCATCAACATGGCAGATTCGAGGGTGACGGGAGTGGCGCGGGCTTTAACCTCACGACACTTAAATAGATGAACGCGTATCCAGATAAACTTAGTCACATGGATTCCATCCGTCAGATGGGCCATTCTTAACGAGACTGTGAAGAGCCATACGTTTTGTACTCTCAGCCCAGGAAATGATTTTTCCCGGAACAGGCGGCTGAGGTGGAAAGTTGGAAACACGGCAATTGTGGGATCCGGGGTAGACGGGCCAACCTCTTAGCGCATCAAGCCCAAACTTCCTATCCACGATAGACGTTGGAACACCATTACGACTCGTCGCATCCAATTCTCTGCTTACAATGTTTGGGAGGCGAACAGCATGGTCACTGAATCAAATTTGAAGCGCCGGAGTGTTACTCGTGCATGTGACCACCGCCGGAGCCTGAAAGCTGAAGTGGGCGCACGCTCTCTTTGCGACACTCGGAGGGAGAAAGCTGACATTCTGCTCGCATAGTGTGGCGCAGTGTGATGTACCTGTGGACATTGCCATGGCTATGACTACGTCGGTTTCTGAAGCGAAGGCGGTTGCCGAAAGGATAGCAATGGCACAAGCTGTGTTGGTCCACATTCACTCTTAGTGGAGAGGAGAAGATGCTGAGGACGCAAGATAGTGCGTGCTCCGGTATAGAACACCTCAGATCACCCTGGAGGGTATTTAGATTTCAACAACCTCAGCTTCCTGAGATCCCGCCTGAGCAGGGTGCGACGGAGAAGTGGAAAAGCCTGCCGAAAGATGGCGTTCAGTGGTGTGTCCTAAGGCCAATGGCCTCTTGCGCTGGACACTAACTCTGGCTAACACATTCTCAAGGAGGTCCATCTTCCCCAGCTGCTTCCATGCATATACGAAAGGGTACTTTAACCCATAGTTGGCCAGGGCAGCAGAACTTGAAGTATTCATCATCACTTTCTCTGTCACATTGTCCAGTCCGTTTTGTTGCCCCAGAAAACCGACTCCCGCGCGGTCAGTGACCACTGTCCCTTTGCTGTTCTTCAGCTCTATACACAGTCGCAAGCGGCATAGACCCATAGGTCAGCATCATCCGTGATGGTTCAATCTTGTGAGTCTTGTTGAGCTCTTCTTCAAGCTCTCCCTGATCCTGCCCGGTCGAGCAAGACGAAGATGTTTGTTTGTCCAGACATTCTGCCACCCATTTATATAGCATAGCAACTATAGTTGATGTAGAGTAGCTGGTCAAGGTACAAAATACGCTTAATCTCCAAGGCACGCAACTTTTCACGGTGGATGTGAGGTACACAGGCAGCATGCTTACTAGGTTGGCTTGCAAGGCTGATGACCCTGCTTCAGGGTTGTGAGGCTACGTTAGTCCTGATATGGCTTAGCGTATCCCAAGTGCGCGTTGAAGCCCATCGACGTCATCTACGACGAAATGCATTCTTGACTCGCAGTGGCATCAGAATCAAATCGCTACCAAACGCTCCCCACCAAACTTCACTCTCCCTCAAGACCTTACGCGTACCGTGCGAGTAGTGATATTTGACACCTACCTCCTCCGTACTCGTAAACTCTACCGAGTCTTGCCACAAAGACCTCGTCATCGACGAATGCCAAAGTTTCCCATCAATCTACGAAGCTACAACGATCTCCATCCAAAGCTCTCCAACCTCAGTACTGCAGGCCTTCTCGACGCCCGAGCCATTTCAACCAGACGTCCCTCTCTTCTACCCAGGGAATCCCGAATCCACCACTTACCACCACTCCTACAAGTCCAGCGATCAACCCATACCACTCGGAGAGCGTACCAGACCAGCATGTCCGACGACGCGAGCTACACGGCGTTCCTCGAACGGGCCAACGCGCCCCTCCAGTCGCACCCGCCGACACACGAACAGGCGTCGTCGACGTCGGAGCGACGCACGCAGTTCGACCCCTCGACGTCGACGTCGACGACCGCCGCGCTGCCCGCGTCTCTCAGATCCCTCCCGGACGTGACGTACACCTCGGACACCGACTCTCCATTTGAGCCCGTGGCGTTCAACTACGCCGATTCGGCGCTCCCCAGCGCTCAACAGTTCGAAAAGTGCCTGCGCCACAAGACCCCCCGGGACGCCGCGCCCGCCGTCGAGGAGCTGGAGACGTCCGCGTTCGACCCGCGGGGCGAGTACGAGGACATCATCGCGCGCGTGGAGCAGGCCGGCATCGAGGGCGCCGGGGTAAAAGTGTTCCGTGTCGAAGTCAGCGCGACGAGAGTGGAATATTACATCGTCACAGTGGGCGAGAACATGTTGGTCGGTGTTGTCACGAAGGCCGTGGAGAGTTGAGATATCTCCCCTCCCCCCCCCGCGAAGTCTTGACTTATCTTCTACTCCGTACTACTTCTGACATACAACAAAAATCTGCAAGAAACATTTGTACCGAGTCTCCGTATGCCTCAAGGTTTAAACATAATCAAGTCAGTAGCAGTACCTAATGTGATACGTAATACGACACAGTCTCCTAGGATTTACAGTAATGGCAAGGCTCAAAACAAAAGAAAGGGTCTCCATCTGGTACGCTCAGTGTTTCTGATTCCAATAGGAATCTCGGCATGGAAATTCCGCCATCGAGTTGGCCTTTAAATTCCCAGGCGTGGGAATCGTCTTTGCAACGTTCATGTCAAGTCACAGACGGTACCAGGCAATTCATACGTCTGAGGTATCATGGACGAGAAACGCGTTTTGGCTTTTGAATTATATCTTCCATTGATAGTGCGCGCTTCTGGAGACGGCGAATGCTTATATCGAGTGCAGAAATGCCTCGCCCAAGACAGAACCCGAGGCCATTTCTGCTGATATCCTGCCATGAGCATTACCACGCCATGCTCCTGAATTTCCATCCCTCCCTTGTTTGGTGCGCTATGGATGTGAGTATGAACCAGCAGACGATCCACCCCTTTCTCAAAATGGGATTCGCCGAATGTACCGGGAACAGAATTCATGAGTTCCCTCCTTGGTCGTAATTTTTTGGACACAGATTTCGAAGGTCCCACGCCAGCAGTGAGGAACTCCATATACCACAAAAACACCTTGTCCCAAGAAACCTGGTGCTGACAAATTTGTAACGCCGCTGTGAATTCGCCATGCCGCTAATTCTTCACGAGGACATAAAAAACATCTGTACATGCCAGTCGATGCTGACAGCGAGGTTGAGCGCAAGAGACAATTATAAAGCATTAATATTAGCAATCGTTCATGAGAGTGTTCTTGGGCCATGCGTAGTCGGTGTCCGCCCTAGAGAAACTGTTAATTTGGGCATGATGACGGAAAGTCGCTGTGAACTTACCAGAGGGTGATATTCGGATTGTGGTACACATCATAGTGGTTGTTGATGTACTCGGTGGTGGGATAACCCTCGGGATCGCATGACATCTCGCCACTGTCGTCCTGGTAGATCCGTATGTAGTCGATCCTCATTTTCGCTGGCATCAACGATGCCAACCCAGTGAGGTTGAGAGCTGAGAAACCGGGTGACATACCAAAGTTGACAATAATGGACAAGGGCTCCTGGGGAATGGGGCGCTGGGCAATGTTGCCGTTGGGAGCCAAAGCCTCACCTTTGAGCCGCCAGACGGGGTCTGATCCCACGTACCAGATAATTTCTCCTTGGGCCCCAGGTGTGTATTCATAGGCGTACACTTGGTACGCATTCCCATCGTACCATTGGTTGTTGAGGTTCGAAATACCCGAGAAAGCTTGTTGCAAAGGTGCTCCTTTATACGTGTTCATTGCCGTGACAGAGAAGTCATAAACTTCAACGAAATCGTAGTTGGGTTGATACCAAATGTCGAACGGGGCGACTTGATATGACTGCGACACCATGCCGATTTGGTTGCCCTCCTCATCCAGAGTCCCGACAGTGGCTTCGAGTACGTCAATTTCGGGAGCAGAGCGAGAATTTCCTGGACTGGGGTGGTCTTCTCCTTTACATGTGCAGGCTGGTAAGCGCATGCCAGGGAGGTAGTTTATACCATCTGGAGAGCTTTGGTTAGGTGTGATGCCGGCATCGCAAACGTCGTCGTAAGAGTAGGGCCATAAGCCGTCTGTGGTGGCTGCATATCCAGGTCGTCCCAGGTTACCCATCGACCAGAAACCTGGCCAGAAGCCAACGGTATCACCTCGACCTGGCAGAGAGATGCTGGCTTCTAACCTTCCACCTTTGAAGCACAATTGATTCCATGACTGAAGCATTCCGGATCGATAGTTCAGCCCGTGATTTTGAAAAGCGTCGAACCGCAATTCCAGTACACCGTCATTGGTTGTGGCAGCATCAGGGTCGTACCATTCCAAATCCCGGGTAACACCGTACCAAATATCCACGGCGGTCCAGTACGGATCATCGCCCTCATAGAATGTCCTTCCGGGTTTGGAAAATTCGTCAGAAAACACCAAATTCCACGTATTTCCGTGGAAGTCTTTCTTGGTCTTTACAGATTCAGGAGTGTCAGGGTCAATGAGACCCGTGCGCATATTCGTTAGCAAAGGAAGCTTGCCAGTGCCCACGCACCCGATACCCTCTTGACAAGGATCATAAGTCTTTGTGGCTTCTTGAACGAAGGTCCTATGAGACTGTTAGCAGGGAACGATTTGGAGGACACAAACACATACAGAACTGGGTATCCTATGAATAAGACAAGAATCCCGATGACGATGAAAGCCAATCCACCAACGTTGACCAGACCTCGTTTTGTGAAAATATCACAATCTCGTGGCTCTCCCTCAGGATCAGGATTGTGTAAATAGTCGTCCTTCTCAACATCCTCCGGAAACAACAGCAGACCTGCCGACGGCAGAATATTATACTTCTCTGACACAGTTTGAGTGTTCACATCATTATCCTCGCTTCCGGCTCTTGACCCTGGTCTGGATTGACTAGAATCTCTAAACGGGTTCTCAAAGCCTCGGCTGTCTCGACTTCGGTCCGACTCCCAACTAGATCTTCGGGACGAGAAACTAGAAGGTGACCTGAGAGGAGACTGGGAGCCATCGTTTTGAAATCTTCCACGGCCAGGAGGTAATAATCTTTCAGAAGAATCTCGAAGTGTGTCGCCGGTGTAAATATTGTTTAGACGTGGCGAGGCTCCAGGTCTAGAAGTTGTAGGTACAAGCGTCCGGGAAGAGCTGTTTGAATCTGCAGCGACTAAATCTTCTTGTCCTGAGTTCAAGCGGATGTGAGGAGGGACGCGAGGCGGCGGAGAATTGCTGCTATTGCTCTGGGACGACATTGTGACGAGGCGACCGACTCGTCGTCAAGGAGATCGATCGCCGAAGGGGACGATGGGTGGATGGAACGTGATTGATTTTTGCCCGAGGACGTTAAGAGGTTGAGAAGAGAGAATCTCGTTGATGTTCGAGAAGAGCTGACGCTTCGGTCGAGGCGGAGGCCGGTCGAATTCAGATCCAGGCGACTCGTAGGCGTCGGCTCTGAGGGCGCAGCGGTTTATAGTGACCAATGTGTGAGATAGGCTGAGCGTGAGACGGAGGGCGGAAAGGTGCAAGGAGTTGGACAGGCTTGTGAGAGGTTGCGAAGAGTGAGGCTGAGCTGTAAGTCTACTCCTATCTGGCCGGCAGGGAAGTATGAGCCTTAATCCTTAATACCAGCGGGAAAAGGTGCGAAACAGTCGCAGGGCGGTAAAGAGGACGGTGATGTAGAATAGACCAGTTGATATTGTTGTTAAAGGTTTAAACGAATGTAAGTGCTCTGCCCGTGAGGTGAGCCACGAATAGAGAGTCTGGGGGAGAGAAGAAGATAGGGTGGACAGCGGGAAAGTGTCCGTGTTTGTTCTCAGAGTAGCCGCAGCAGCAGCACAGCGTTGTGATTTTCGGGGTGCAGCAAAGGAGAGATGCAGTGCCAGCCAGAAACCAGGCGGGTCTCTAGGCGGTCGAGGGACGGAGTAGGGGGACGCAGGAACGAGATGCCTCAGTGCTTAGTGGCCTTCTCAGTAGCCCAGGAGACTCTGGTTGTGGCTTGGTTTGGGGCTCTTGGTGGTCCCCAATTTTGAAAATCAGCAAGTGGGTTTCGCCGTCAAAGGGCAAGATACGAATACAGTGGTATCGATCATCACCACTGCCGCCGTTCCACTCAGTGCGGCAAACGGAGTCCAGCAATAATCCCTCGAAAATCAACAGTCGCTGCATCACGAGTTGTTGAAGTTTATGTTTAACGTAAATCCCAAGGTGCTAGAAAACAACGATGATTCCTCCAACGCTCATTTTTAGCTGCTGACTATTCCCGAACTTAGAAATCTGCAAACTACCAGCACGTACTCCGTATTCATCCCTGTCCCTGTCCGCCCCTATGGAAGCACGGCTATCTTTGACTTTTCGCATGAATACTCCGGCGAAGCTCACCCTCGTTCTTTGGCTCTGGTCGGCGGTCGGGATATCACGATATGCTGTCCCCTTGGAATCTGCCAGCATATGTCGGTGATATGATACGCAGCGAGGCGGCTCACAGAAAGGCCACATCCCTTGGGTCGTCCTCACGTCTACGCGAGTTCAGACCTGGAGGCGTCGAGCATGATTTCCTGCTTGTTCAGGATAAGACTTTTGTCGCAGCAACGAATCCACTGCGGGCCACAAATGATTAGCCAGTTGAGGAGCCTGGGTCTGGTTACGAAAGCAGACAGGGACCGGGTTTCCAAGCCTATTGTTTGGCAACAAACAGACACCGACACAGCGAAGTTCTGCCAAAGCTAGAGGAACGCGCGTGCAGGCCTTCATCGGCGTGGCTGCGTCAGGGGCCATCCTCCACCAATGGAGGCAAATGACAGCGGGTGGCGCTGCTAGTGTTGCACCTTGACTTGCTGACCCTCCAGTGAAGCCCTCGTTTGAGGTTAAGGACGATCATGCCGACGGGCCATCTGACAATCCGTTCTGTGCCTCCACTGGCGCTGGACCTTAATCCATTGGTCAACGCGTCAGGGGAACCATGCCCAGATCTCGTGTGTGCTGGAACTGATGCTTGGAAGCTATCATTGAAATTACGCCAGGAAAGTCAGCTTGGGGATCTTTCATGAAGAGTTTATTGGCATCTTTGATATCCCCACAAGCAGTCTGAGCCGTTCTAATCCCTGACATGCATTTGCTTCCACGTTTAGGGAGTACGCTCAGGCAGATTCCACGAAGGATGCAAAGCTGACCAGTAGGACATCGGATCATTGAGTTCAAGCCTCGTCCAGGATTGCGCCGACATGCTTCCTCGACACGCGGCAATCATATCCAGGCCACGAATTGGCGGCTATTGTTTCGCTCTCGTTTCGGCAATAGTGTTTACTCTCAGCGAAGAAATGAGCATCATCTACAGAGACTACCAAAAGCCACCACTGTGCCTGGTGAAGAGCGTATAGAGGGAATGATGTCTTTGGTCCCAGCATCAAGTCATATTATTCAGGTGGTATGTCGCCATGCTGATACCCGGTATGGCTTGTTTGGACTCGAAAATTTTGTCACCAAGTCTGCACCTAGTGTCTGTCGGCAGTAACAGGACAGGCGCAGAAAGAGGATATGGTGGGAACACAACCCGTGCAGAACTCTGGTAAAACTCAAAGTCGAAGTCCTATTTCTCAACTACTCTCCGTATGTATAATTGTGTCCTCCGGTCAAGACGTGTTCAGACACAGAGGCTGTCATGGACACAGAAACGAACTGTAACTCGACATGAGGCTCTGTTTGCGCTCTCTGGCTGTTGTCCGACTGTTCCGCAAGCGGACCAAGAAGCTCTTTTGAAGAAAATTGGCTCTTTGCAGGGGCGTGGTCCTTTATCGATATTTGGGGCCTTATCAACCTAAATGCTAAAGAAAGCAAACTTCTTCAGACCCAAACTCCTAACAACCATGTCCGAAACTTGGCCGGTTTCATGCTTGCTATACTCCGCTCCCACCAAACTCGCTATGGTGAGCTCTGGCGCGCTCTGGGATGTGGCTTGTATCCTGTACGAATTACTGCCCAAGCTCATAAAATGGTAGATGCCCCCAGCCTTCTTGCATGGGTAGAGTTTGCCAGACCACTTCACGTCACTGGTTCGCCTAAGTAGGAGCGCAAGGAAGTTCCAACAACGAAAGAAAGGATGGCATGGTCACGATAAGAATACCACCAGCAAACGTCGGGAACTGACCTCATGATCGCAGATTGTCTGATACCGCGAGAATGGTAGCAGCATGGCGGTCATAGGGTTCCAACAAACGAGAACAACAATAACTGTGATGTTGGTTTGTAGTGTAACGTGTCTAACCAGCGAGACGAAGTACGGCGAAGCAGAACACGACAAAGCACAATTCAGTAAGAGGTACTTCACTATGACCAGATATTCCATTTCCATTTCCATTTCCTTCATTTTGAGACCTTTAAGGTCCAAGTGAGAGATCAGTGAACGAGGTTCGCGTCATATTCTGTTCAATAATGACATCTCAGGTAGGTTGATTTGGTCGCGATGTGTCTTCTTGCAGGAAAAGAACAATATCAAGCCGTTAGTATTGTCCCTGGTGTCTCTCATTCTCCGGTGCAGCCTTACCTCTTCTACGCCAGGTTGATGGTAAGAATGAAACATCCAAGACCATATCTACCTCATCCTGGTGGACAAGTCGTGCGGCGAGGCACAAGTTGCTTGGGAAATGAGGCAGGCCGGTCCGCCACAAATGGAGGATATCTGAGGTTGATTGATACGTTGTGTCTCTCTTGTGCAGGTTTGCGCGTTTCCTTCTGATTCTCCTCTTCTCATTACTCGTCGCGTGTTCTGTTCTCATCTACTGTTCGCGACGCCGAGAAGAGCATCCTCACAAGTGAATGACTTGTGACTGTCCCAAATCTGCCTCAACTCTCTTCTTCTCGTCGTCTTCCCCTACGCAGTCTTTCGCCCAAATCTTCTTCCACCTTTCTTTCTCTGCTGCAACAACAAGAACATCCTTCTCATCGCCGTGTCTACCTCGTCGTCGTCGTCCCTCTTGTCCCATCATCACGGCATCCGGACTTTCGTCGTCCTCGCAACGATGGCATCGATCGTAGCCTTCGCTACGCCGCCGACGGCGAGCCCAAGCATCTTCCCTACCGCAGGAATCGGCGGCGAGTATTACACTAGTCCCATCTTCGAGGTTCCTGTCTACACCAGCTACGCTCGAAATGCCATCACCTGGCAGATGCTCGATGCCTGGAACCTCGTCGGACTTCAGTATGCGGTTGCTGAAGGCATCGCCTGCGGTCTCATCTGGGCTACTTTCATCTACCTGCTCGCGTTGACTCCAGCACGCAAGCGATTCACGCGTTTCCACATCGTCCTCTTCACCGGTCTCTGCTTCGAAACAAGCCATCTCACCATGGACGCCATCTCACTCGTCACACCCGGACTCTCTGCCAACTCGGCATACGTTGTCCTTACACGAGACATCGCCTCCAGCGTCTGGACGACCTCCTACAAGGCGTTCTACATCTCGACTCAAGTGTTGAACTGGGCTGCGTTCATCTGTGCCACAGTCTGTCTCTGGATCCAAGCTCAGAGTCTCCTGGCCACGATCAAGACGCGCTTCTCAATCGTCTACATCATCATCCTCGTCTACCTCGTCTTTGCCGCGCTCGCCACACTGGTCGCTTCGATGGTCTATTGGATCCACCAGATCAAAGTCATACCGGACAACATTGATTGGGACACGGCAGTGTACACCAAGAGATTGAGATACATCTACCTGGTAAGCTCATCCTGTTCTGCAACGGAGCATGCCCTTTTTGGACTTGTTTGATAAAGTCAACTCGATAAAGTATTCCATAGTTATTATCTAACCCGTCTTAACACAGTTGATCTACGCCATCAGCATCGGCAGCTTTTCTCTGGTCAACCTTTTATCGGTTCTTGAAATCATCTGCCGCCGGCCCCTTTCCGTCATCAAGTCGAAGAGCGTCTACCATTCGGCATTGAACCTCTTGGGTCTCTTGGGAATTCAATCTTGCCTTGTGCCACGTAAGTTCGGATCCAAGTCTGCCTGCCTCTGCTCTCCAGTGCTTGCCCCGTTTGCCCGTTCTTCGACTGACGGCGCATTCTGTGAATATCAGTCATCTTCTGCGTCATGCAAATCGTCTACACCGGCAACGAATGGGTCCTGCCCGCTCTCCTGTTACCTTCGGTCTACCTCATCCTCCCCCTCGGCACGCTCTTCGTGACCATCAACACCGACCCTGGCGCCAACGACGCCAGAAGGGAGGACGTCGAAACCCTCGCTTCGCCACGGAAGGTGGCCGTGACGAGTCCTCTCAAGAAGAGGCCGGTGCACAGTCGCCCCTCGCCCTCCCCAACGGCGCTCGACGACAGCACTGTCGTCGAGGCACCGTCCGCCGTCACCGACTGGGCCGCAGAGGAGGAGGGCGAGGGGGCCGACAAGAAGGGAAAGACCCTCGAGGTCTAAAACCCCCAAAGATAGACAAGAGCGCGCGCTACCGGTGGGGTAGCTGAGGCCTGAAGAAATGTCAGTTGATTGACCACCACACTCTTAGACCTCCTCCCGTCGCATCCGAGTGACTGGATTCCTCCTACCGTGCGCGTTCGAGCCAGTGTACTCCGTAACGGACAACGTAGAGTAGTCTCGTAAACTGTACCATATCGAGCCTGTACAACGTCCCGATGCTCTCCACTCACCCTCTGTTGCTAGAGTGGTTGGAATGGACGGTCGGCATGAGGACATGAATGACGCTATGGAGTGTGGTAATCTTTTCAGGTTCGGCATTCTCGCCCTACACATCGGACTATTTGACTCTTCTATATATAAAGCCAGAGGATAACTCGCTCTGCCTACAACATGGGAACCCGGTCAGCTGATAATGATGTCCGCTACAGGGCCAAGAGAGAAGGGACTGTTGCTTTGTCAACGGCGCCATGGGCTCTATCAACCTGGACGGCTGCAAGGCGAATACCAGCGTCCTTTGGGAACTAGCCAGATACACGATACCCCCTCAAGCCCAATGACAATCTTGACGTACACCAGACATGTTGGTAACGTGACAAAGCATTTGGTATCAATGGCATCCTCATGTTCAACACAGCTATTCAGGTGACTGTATCCACCCTCTGTCGTTTGACAAGTCTCACCCACCGTCGCCTCCTCCACTCCCCGGTTCGTCCTGTATTGTCATATACCGTGGCTTCCTCCCAGTCCTTGGTCAGTTTCTTCGATTTCTTGTCCTTGTCACTTTTCTTCTTCTTCCCCTCCTCCTCACGGTTGAGTGATGGGACGTTGTAATCTCCGTAGGCCAGCCACAAGTCATCCTCGCGGCTCGCACCACTGCCTGGTGCTGGTGGTAAATCCCATACCCACCCTCCAAAATCTGCATTAACACTTTCTCGGCGAACCGTTGAAATGGCATTCGCGCCGTTGTTGTCATGTTGCAGCACGTCATATTCCACGCCTACAACGAGTCGGTCATTCACCCACTCCCCAGCTTCGAGATCGAGTTCCCATTTCTTAGACGCCCACTCCCAGCCATCGGGCGGGGCGACATCTTCAAAGAAGCGAGTTCCCCGTGGACGGTCGCCTGCTATACGTGAAGGCGAGAGGGGATCGTAAGGGGACGGGGTGAAGAGGTGAGGTTGCCATTCTTCGGCCTTGTCCGATGCTGCCGACTGGAGAGGACGGTGCTGAAGTTCAAAAATCTCCACTTCGCGTGTCTCCGGGGTCGTAGAAAGGGTGATCTCAGAGAATGCGGTGAGTGTAGAATGAATCGCTGCCGGCGTGGCGGGGAGACGTACGCCGTGAATGTAGCGCGTGTGCCTGAGTGCTGGATCATTGAGAGCTTGCTGGGTTTGCACTTCGGCCTGTTTCTGTAGCTGTAGGAGGTACGACTGTGCGGTTGGGTGAGATGATATGGTTATTGTCCACCCTAGAACTAGAGCAATGAAGCGCCAGGGTAGAAGGTGAGCAGTAATGAGAGAAGCAGTGGTTAAAATCGTCAGGTAGAGGAATACTTGTGAGGAGAAAACCTCGTTGCTGAAGTTAGTGGCTGGTGCAATGGATTGCACAAGAGCGTCGTGAAGATTGGAAAAGTCGGCCATGGAATTTTGGAGGTCACGCATATTGCGAAAGAAATCTTTTGAGGTTTCACTCGCAGGCTTGATTGTCCGAGCAGGAGCCAGGGCCGGGCCAGTGTAAGCCTGTTGGTATGAGTATGGAGTTGTGCCTGACGTCGACTGTTGAGGAGGGGGTGGATGGCGTGAGGTGAAGGCCGGAATCATGATGAAGAGAAGGGCGACGGCGACAGGAAGAACCACTAGAAGATATGGATCCAGACAGACGAAAGTGTACGCCGCTAGGAAGGAGAGAGTATGAGTAGGTGTTCGCCAGGTGAAGAGGCGGATAACTCGATTCTGGAAAACGAAGACTATACCAATGCGAGCGTTGAAGCGGCGGAAGTTGTTGGTCATGAGAGGGAGGCTGAAGGCCGGCCGCGCGACATATTTGGGTGATCGATAATCAACCTGTGTCGCGGTTTCGAGTTCATCATCGTCGACATCTGCTGCTGGGATGACCTGTTGGAGGACCCTGAGAGTTGTGTAAGTGAGCCGTCGGTTTGAGCTAGGCTGCCAAAGATCTTACTTGGAGAAGAGTCTGTCTTGAAGGGAGGGCTTGCTTGATGCAGTTGGCCCTTGTTCTTGTAGCTGAGAAGCGAGGAATCCCTGGCCTTTGGTCTTCAGGTGCGACGGTGAGAGAGAGTGTCTGAGTTTGTCTCGCCGTCTTTCTCCTTCTGCTTCCGCCTCGGCATCGTTATTTGGAGCCGAAACCAATGCAAGTGGTTCGTCGCGGTTGACAAATGCTTCTGCCGTATATTCATCCATCGCGGTCAAATCATACCGGAGTCATTGATTATGGGCATCGGTAAAGAGTATTGAGAAGGTGTTGAGCACTTAAGGTACCTATGTATCCTCAGGGAACTAAGGTTGTAGTTGTCATGAGGCATGCCTAGTGAGCCTACCCAAGACTGCCTAGGTACGAGGAGCCGTCCTATGTCATACATGTGCCAGCCACATCACGTGCGTAGATGTGCCACTTGGCTTGGCGGTGTGGCTGATTTTCGTCAGCCACTCCCGTTAACCGGGATCGAGTTAGGGGGCCGAAACGAGAACAGAAGCCGTTGCCATGCTTCTCTGATATGGCTATGAAAAGTCAAAACCAGTGAGTGGGATGGGTTTGACCTCAGAATTCAAAACCAACCTCGCTTCTGTTCAATTCTGGAGAAAAGCGCAGATCTGGTCTGTTCACCAACTACCCAGATGGCGACCTAAATCTCCGACGCACGCTTCGAGCGAGATTAAACAGCAACGGTAACAATGATTTGTGGACACTTGTAAGTTGTCGCAAGCGAGGAAACAAACATGGCCGTACACGATAGGTCAGGTTCTGTAGTTAAAGTAGGAGCAGAAGGTGGTTGTTGGTGGCTGTCAATTTGTTAACCCCTACTCCCTACTCGTTCTGAGGTACTGTATGTACTTTGTACGGTACATGTCAACCAAACAACAACGAACCCAAGCAATCATAGAGTTCTCAGTGCTCGAAGTCAATCGCAAGCCCAATGCAGGCGTGGCAGATGTTAGAGGTGTAGACTTGCAGGGACGCTACCAGAATCGGCGCCTGTAGTGCGCCCAAAGCCACTAGAGCACTTGACTACCCCTGTCCCGCGCAGGCGCTTCCACCAACGAGCAGTGCCACGGAGGAGGCCAGATGCCGCCTACAGAGCCTTCTAGGTACCGATACAGGCACCCTAGTTACCTACTCGGCCACTAGGGCAGTAAGCAGCGCTGCAGTGGACTAGCACGCAAAGCCGTAGATTCTTGTTGTTGTCACCGCAGCAGACTCACCTTTGTCTCCAGGGTGAAACTCCCTGAACTCTACAGCAATTCGCATACCCCATAACTACCCTGTAGATACTCGTACAACTGCTCAACATCATTCCGCCATTTCTTCCCTTAGCTGGTCGGATCCTCGGATCTTCGTGGTCCCCTGACGGCATACCACCTCCCGCGTCTGTATCCCCTGCCAGTCCTACAGCCATTCGACGGGTCGAATCATCCCTCCGTACTCCCGTATCTGCACCCCGGTCACCTACATTGCCTTGGTCGCGACGACGCCCGTCTGACCCAAACACCGCTCAATCCTCCATACCTGGAGATGGATTGTTGATCGAGCACCTCTGAGGATGTTCGATGTCGAGACACTCAGGCTGTATGTGACAGAGAAGGGTTCCCTCATTCCACTGCCTGCGGGCTCCGATCGACCCTTGTAACGATGCCTTACCGACAATATTCAACCTCGACCGCAAGCCAGTCGAAATATTCCAATCCTGTCAGAACCGATGACTCGGACAATGGTGGTACGAAATGCATGCAAAGCAAAAATGCAGCGGATCGATCCTGGCTGACCACGTTCAATCCTGCAGCAGAAAATCTCCCATCGAGGAAGCCCCCTTCTGCCTTCCCAACTTCGTCCGGCTCGATAGCTACACGACGAGAAGGTGGTGACAATGCCAGCACCGCATCAACATTTAGTTCTCGGCGGAGACAGTCGTCAATACCGAGCGCCAAAGCTCCTATGGGCCCGCGTCCACTGGAACATGGGACGGGGAAAAGGTTGGTGGTGGCCCGTACGCTCCTCCTCAAAACATCACCCTCGACTAACTCCTGCCTCGATACAAACAGGTCCATAAGCAACTCCATGACGCCGCATGTCAATTCCTCGCGAGGCCCATCCGCCGCCGCTTCCCAAGACCTTTATACCCGCGAATTATCCATCAACGACATTTCTCGCTTCAGCTTTGCATCCATACAGGCGAAGCCGTCGGCGCAGGAGGAGGGGGATGGACCTCTAGGCTTTGGCAACTTCCTCGAGCCGACTTTCAACTTTGATGACTTCCAGGATACCATAGTGGGCGCCGAACCCAGCCTGAATAATTTTCCCCTTCCCCGACGAGGCATTTCGATCAAAAAGCCTGCTTCGTCCGAGACGCTCTCAGAAGGCAAGAAGCCTGTGCCACAACCCGCCATTCCCGTGCCTTCACGCAAAGGCTCGGGGATAACTCCGATCGGAAGGAAGAATTCGACGGCGTCTACAGCGTCGAGAAATTCCGGAGGGTCAACGTTGGTGACAAGTAGCACACAATCAATCCTGCGAGGGAGAAGACAAAGCCATTTCCCGCCCAATTCGTTCAATAACGCAGGTACCACCACGAAAGCGCCTAGGAAATCTGTTGGTCCAGGCACGTTTATCCCCCCGGGGTCAACGGATAAGCCGGGCATGAAACGACAGCCCAGTGTGGGCGGACGAAAGTCCAGCGCAGAAAGTATCAAAAGCCTACCTGTTAGAGGTATAAATCGCGCAGAAGAAAGCGGTTCCGAAGACACGAGAACAACTGGCACAATCAAAGGACGAGCTTCTTTAGTTCCAAAAAGACAAGCATCGAAGGACCTCCTCACGCCGTCAAGAACCCCCGATTTTTCGAGGTCGACCCCCAGCGCCCATCATACTCCGACTAGAAGAAGTGGAACTCCGGGAAGAACAACAACCCCCGGAGGAGGAAATGGTGATCGAAACCGTCGAATATCAGTAATGCCTCATCATGCAACGGGCTTGGGCGCCAGGACGGTGAGCCCAACAGATGCTCGACGAAGGCAGAGGATGTCTATCGTTCCTCCAGCACCACCTCTTCCCCAGAGCCGTATCTCGCAGGCGCCGCCCACACCACAGCCGGATCCAATGCCCCAACTACCATCTTCAGATCTGCAATCTCCCGGGATCCCAAGTCGAAAGAGTCTGACACCGTCATCTTCGAGAACGACGCCTGATCCCAACCGCAAATCGTACAGTTCTGGGCAGTCGTTATCCTCAAACACAAGCTACAACTCCGTGAAGAATACTGTCAACAATATTGCCAGATTATCCCAAGTGATGAACTCTTCTAGACTACCGACACCAAAACCTCGCCTCGACACCTCCACCAGCAGTACTTTTGAGCTGGAAGTACCGCCGGTCCCTGCAATACCGAAAGCCTATGAATCTCCCGGAAGTGAACAAGATCAGCCATTCTTCTCAGCCCGATCCTCGAGCCTGCCACCGTTCGATGCCCCGATCCCTACGAGCCCGGTCATCTCAAGTGTTGACGATGCCATGAAAGCGCTGGAAACGCCCCGAAATCCGAGCCCAGTCCCGAGTATGCCAATCCAACCTCTGCAACCCGAAACAGAGCCGAAGCCAAAGCCTCAAAATAAGGGAGGGAAGAAGAACGCTCAGAATCTCCGATTACCACCTCTCAATCTGCTCCCTTTGAGTACACCAACTTCTGCGAAGATAAAGTCGCTCAACGGAAAATCTGATCTTGGTGACAAGCCCGGAACGCCTTCCGGAAATCGTGCCATAATGAAAACCCCAAGCACTCCAATGACTGCCTCCAAGGCTAGCTTCTTTTCCAGGGGGCACAAATCTACTGACGAGAGCTTAACCCTACGAAGTAGTACTTCACATCACGCACTTCGATCAGACGAGTTGGGGCCCCCTAGTGATATCAGCCCCAGTTTACCCGCGTTCACATTCGAAGATAAGTCTAGCACTCGGAACATTTCGCCTTTCATTTCCTCGTCGGTGCCGAAGCCTGATGAATTCTCAAACTTCATGCGACCCAACTTCATCACTGAGCAGCTGCATAGAAATCCAAGCCAAGCCAAGCCAAACGGACCTCGAGCCCCGAGCTTCTCTGTTACCCCCAAAGCCGAAGTGACACCCAGTCCTAACGAGAAGCAGTCTGAGAGTGACTCTGTATTCTCCACTTCAGCATTAAGGAGAAAGTTGAGCCGGAAGAGAAGTGAAGGGAAGGTGGCAGAGCGCACTGCACAAGAAGAGGAGATGGCCAAGTATGACAACATGCCTCCTCCCAAGCTTCCAGCCTCCGCCAGTTGGACGAATGCAAGCGCCAACAGCTCCAGTCCTCAGAAACCTTCCTACATCAGATCAAGGCGTCAGACTTCTACTTCAAGCATCAAGCTCATCCCGGAACGCCAGGACAGCGTCGATAGTTCACTATCAACGACCCGGCCTTCGATGGAGACTGGCAGAACGCTCATGATTCATTCCAATCGATCCGGCTCCTTAACCGCAAGTGCTCCTAATCTGCTAGGCCCGAAGATTATGCCACCAAAACAAGAATCAGCACTTGATCGAGATGACATGGCTGCTGAGGATGAAATGAAGAAGCTTGCTCACAAGAGAAAGGACTTCGAATCTGCTGCACGCCAGCTTGACGCTCTACGTGCCAGGGCTAAACCTGTTCGCCGCATGTCCCATGAAACTGCCTCGCGTATCTTCAACCTCAACATCTTTGAGCGCGGAGAAATCGTCGACTATGCTGATGTATATTTTACCGGCACATTGAGCGCACGAAAAATCGTGGGCGATTTGAAATCTGCAGCCTCTAATTTCGGCTACGACGATGAGCGAGGTGACTACAACATCGTTGAAGGCGATCATCTCGCCTACCGATATGAGGTTGTTGACGTCCTCGGAAAAGGCAGTTTTGGTCAGGTCGTCCGTTGCGTGGACCACAAGACCGGTATCCTTGTTGCTGTCAAGATTATACGAAACAAGAAAAGATTTCATCAGCAAGCGCTCGTGGAGGTCAACATTCTCCAGAAACTGAAAGAATGGGTAGGTGAAGATCGTGTCGGCATTGTAGACCTCGCTAATGTGTATGATCAGGACCCTCATAAAAAGTACAGCGTGGTCAATTTTGACCAAAGCTTTTACTTCCGGGGCCACCTTTGCATATCCACCGATCTCCTCGGTATGAACCTTTACGAATTCATCAAAGCGCACGATTTCCGGGGGTTCTCCCTGAAACTTATTCGACGATTCACGAAACAACTTCTGCAGACTCTGATTCTTCTGCAACAACATAAAGTCATCCACTGCGATCTTAAGCCGGAGAACATCTTATTGGCGCATCCCGTCCACTCTGAAATCAAGGTCATTGATTTTGGCTCCAGTTGTTTCGAGAATGAGAAAGTGTACACCTATATCCAGTCCCGATTTTACCGATCTCCCGAAGTCATTCTCGGAATGTCCTATGGCATGCCAATAGACATGTGGAGTGTTGGATGTATTCTGGCGGAGCTCTATACCGGCTACCCCATTTTCCCTGGCGAAAACGAACAGGAACAGCTTGCTTGTATAATGGAAGTCTTTGGACCGCCCGAAAAGCACCTGATCGAGAAGAGCAGCCGCAAGAAACTTTTCTTTGATTCCATGGGTAAGCCACGATTGACGGTATCCTCGAAGGGGCGGAGAAGGAGACCCAGCTCGAAAGACCTAAGACAAGTCCTCAAATGTGACGATGAGGCGTTCCTTGATTTCATTGCGAAATGTCTGAGATGGGACCCCACGCGCAGAATGAACCCAGTGGAAGCCAACAAGCACGAGTTCATCACTGGCGTCAAGATGCCCAGTAGCAGCAGGAGAAATCTTTCGGCTGTGAATACCCCCATCAAAAGAGTAAATTCTGTCAATACAGCCAGCGGAGCCCGGCCACTGCCACAGCCACCATCTAGCACCTTGAAAGCCCCGGGGGGGACTCGACAAGAAACATCTCCCAATAAGCCTGGACCAAGGCGCCAATCGACCATGCCTCCAGCCTCCCAGGGGCCATCTCAGGCGAAAAGAGCTTCCCACGCCGCCATGACTTCTTCGACCTCGAATCCCAGTTTCACGCGACTGACAGTCGGGCAAAGGACCATGAGTGGAAGATCTGACCTCGCCACTGCCGCGGCAGCCGCGAGCTTGGTCAAGTAGGACCGCGACCGAGCCTCCGGCCAAGAGCTGTCAACCTCGCAGTCCGACTGGAAAGGAGGACGAATCTCTTACTATCATTAATGAACATATAAAGACCAGCATAGCAGATATGGGAGTTTACAGTGAGCCAAACATACATTGAACTATTCTCGCCACAAGGGAGTACTGTTCATGGCTTTTTGTTATTGTGAAAGAAGAAACGGAATTGAAACGCATTCGAGGCATTTGTCGAGTTTTACATTATATACCCAACGAGTGCTCGTTGAATTTGCTTCTTTGGGAGGACTAGTTCTATTACAAGGAAGACAAAAGGGAATTGGACTCTTTTTTCTGTTTTGTCCACCACGTCTATACCTGAACCTGCCATTATAATAGTGGTTTTTGAATGAAAAGGCACGAAACGAAAGAACATACGCTTCAAGTTGTCCTAATCCATGTTCTCTGGAGTACTGCGTCTTGTGTAGGCTGTCGAATCCCGCAGGCACCGCTTTTGCACAAGTGAGGTATGTAAACCCACAAAGCCGTACGGTATAAGTTGCAACTAGCCAGTTGTAGTACCATCTCCGCTGGGGGTGGAGGGGGGCGATGCGCTGATGCAGGACGGAGCACTCTAAAAAAACTTGGAAAATGATCTGGCTCGACTTTTTGGCTTCAAACAGGGAGAAACAGCTACGAAGCAATTCTTCCTGTATCTGGCCAGGCATGCTACAGAACGGGACTTGAAGGGAGGTGCACTGTATTGGTGGCCGCGATGCCACACAAGTGCCACGTAACTGACAGTTTTTGCCGACGTTGATTTTGAGATGGAGAAGCTCGATGCGAACATACGGATGGTTTCACTGTGGAGCGATATCAGAGGTGGATAGAAATGTACGGGGATGGTCAGAAACACCCCTTGACAGACCGTGATCTTCCTGGATAGACTCTTGACTGAGCGGTAGATATGAAATTAACCTGGCTTCCATTACAACAAACAAAGGAGAGAGGATGTCAGATCGCTGAGTGAAAAAAAGGACAACCTGGAATTCGCACTGCAGACACTGCTACCTCAAGGATGTCGCCACTCTTTCCGATATGCCACACAAAAGAGGAAAAAGCAGAGCATCAGAACCCTTCCTCGCTGGTGTCTCACCGCCAAAATCCACTAAACTGCCGGGAGAATGTCGTCGTCCTTTGCTTGCACCTCTTGCGTCCAGCCGACACCGGTGGGCAGGCGGTCGATGTCGGTGAAAGCGTGTACAAAGCCCCGGGGCGTTGTGAGAGATGAGTTCATGCAGCTTCAACTCCGTAATAGCATAGTTCTCGTCCCTTGTTTCTTTCTTCCCGCACCAATGACAGCCTGCGTCAATTACGGAAACCTTTTAACAGCATTCGGCAAAGCATTCGCAGCAGTCGGCGCAGCATTCACATCCTTCTTCACAGACGAAACAGCAGCAAAGGGCGGCAAGACTATAGAATAGACCAAATTGTCAGCTTTTGGCGGTTCTCGCGTAGAAGTCAGGTTTTGGAGGGTGTTGTATCTCCTTACCATGCACCAAGACATCCTCGGTCCTGTTTCTCGCGCACGATGACCTGCTGAGGCGGCGGTTGTTGGTACATTCCTGGAGGAGGAGGTCCGTATCCCTGCTGGGGGTATTGTCCGTAGCTGGATTGCCCATGATGTTAGCCATCTGCGTGTACTGAATCTGGCGCCGACTGGCGTTTGTCGCAGGCAAACACAAGGCGGCCCAGGCCTCTTTACCAGTGATGCTGCGCCATGCGATGCGAAGGGGAGGAAAGGCAACAAGGCAGGACTTACGCTTGTTGGGGCTGCTGAGGAGGATAGTAACCGCCCTGGGGAGGACCTTGCTGGTAGTAGCCTTGGTTCGACATGACGATAGTACTCTTGCGAAAAGTAGGCGACCTGTCCTGTGGAGGAGTAGATGAAGAGGTGATGGGGAGGCTGTGAGGATGTTTCGAGAGGGTTGATGATGATAGCAAGGGAAAGTCGCAGTCAAACACCGAGTTCAATGGCCGGGGTTACAACTTATTTGAGGGCGGGAAGGAGCAGGGCAGGAGCCCCGAAGCTTAGCACTGCTTGGCCCGGGCGGGCTCCGGAAGCAGCTCGTGGGCGACCTGACTCTCAGTGATTCCCCTAAACAGATGTGTTCGCTTCAGCAACACAAGGTTTCCTACCCTGCCCAACTATTGCGGACTAGACTCCAATGATCACCGCCACTCGAGAGTCGAGTTACAGCTGCGTTTGAGATTTCCTCTATGCGTTTCCCTGCCCTGTCACCGCCCCCTACGCACCGAGAGACCAACAAAACTACTCTATCTGATCGAACAAACCTCACTCTAAACCGCCTGACTACGGAACAGTGTACTGTGGAGGATGGCCAGAGAGATCCTGTTTGCCGTCGCGAGAAGTCGTAAGCTCTTCCCACCAGCCACTGGGCGCAGCACTAGCCCGGCAACAAACGTTAAGCGAGCAGAGATCCCAGGCGTAGTGACTCGTGAGCTGGCTCAATGGCCACGCTCTCTCCGTGGACCATCAGACCTTGACCACCCACCGAGCCTGGTGCCAGCCACAAGACCACCAGCAGTGCTTCTTGACCAGCCAATCATTCTCCCGGACTGAGGCAGGACTTTGCGATATTGCGTACTCTGCCGCGTCGAACGTCGCTAGGATGTCGTGTCATTGGCCGCCACAATGCTCAGCCACTGGACGAGTACGAAGAACGGCCTATACGAATAGCATCCATCCAAACTCTGCTCGTAAGTGACTTTTCAGACCAGGGCAAAAGACTGGTAGATATCGGGATGTCGGATCTCGCGAACGATTCAAGAACACAGTTTCGACAAGTGGCAGTGTAAATTGCAGCGAAACACGAAACTAGACTTTTGTACACATCCCGAAACCCATTGCTCGCATAACCCAAGCAAGCAAGCAAGCAAGCAAGCAAGCAAGCCACAAATGACAACAGAACACTAGTCGGATCCCAAAACATCAAGAGCCAAAATAGCCTGGCATCTATGCCGGCACATAAAGACATTCATAGTTCAGCCGATACTCGAAAGCGGAAATGACTGTTGACATATCCGATTATGCCCATAACCGTCTCTCAAGAACAAGTCGTATACATCTGAAGTGACGACAGACAATATGTCCTCCCCGCCCGCCTGCCCGCCCGCAAGGCCACGTCCATCAATCAACGTGACGGCCCCCCCAAAAAAACAATAACCTGAAGGTATGTATGTATGTATGAGAACAAGGTAAAGTATCGACCTGAGCGCCGGCAGGCCTGAGAACCAAGAAAAGTCATACGCAACCGAGATAGCAATATCAACAGGAAGAATGTTCTCGATAGTAGGCAACGGCGATAGTGACAAACGGTGCAGATATGACCTCCTCTCATTCCTTCCTCCTCTTCGTGATCTAGCATGTCAGTGTCGTCAAGGTCGTCGCAGCATCGTCCAACAACATCCACAACCACCACGCCTCAGCTTGCTGGTGTCTTCACTCAACAAAGTTCAATACTGCAAGGGCGTCTGGCTCTCTGGGACGCCGAAGTAACCATTACTCGGCATCGCATACGCCGGCGGCGCAGGTGGCAGCACGTTGTCAAAGTAGAGAGGTTCGGTCATAAGGTCGAAGGGAGCAGGGGTCATGGCCATGGCCATGTTAGGAGTCTGCATGTTGTTTGCGGCGGAAGCTGCAGTAGCTGCTGCAGCATAGTCATCAACAACAACAGTCCCACCGGTGGCGTTGGCCATTTCGTTGACAGTCGCCGTTTCGAAGATAGTGTCGGGGACAATGTTCTGCACGACAACGCGCCCGTTCAAGTTCATCTCGAGCTCTTCGTACATCCAGTTCTTGAGGAATTCCATGGACGGGTAGTTGCCCCCGCCCATTCCCCCGCGGTTCTCGGACTTCTTGCTTCTGCCACCGCGTCGGGTCTTGCAGGGGTTGAAGTGGGCGCGGCGCAAGTGCGCGGCGGCGTTGTAGTTGGCGCCGTATGTCTTGCCGTTGCGGCATGCCTTGCAGTTCGAGAGGAACGTGCCGCTGGCGGAGGCGTCCTTGCAGATCCAGACACGGCGCAGCGAGGCGTGGTGTCGGTCGATGTGTCTGCGCAGTTCGTGGTCGCCGTGAAAGCCCTGGGGCTGGTCGCTGCAGAACTGGCAAAAGGTCGTCTTGCGCAGCGGGGGTTGGCGGGTGGCGCGCGCAATGGCCGCCTTGTGCTTGACCGTGCCGTCTTCGCCCTTGACGGCGACGATCTTGGGCACGGGCATGTCGTCGAAGCTGGACCTCGACGCGTTGACGGTGCGCTGCATCTTCGGCGCGATCGGTCTGGACACGCAAATCGAGACCTCGTTTAGAGAACATGAGCCAGGGGCATTTCCCCCCTGACCGTGAACTGCAGCCTGTTTCTGAGTTTGCGAGCGGTCACGGCCATGATGAGACTGACGAGAAGAAACTGAAAGAGATGAAGCATTGCTCCCGCTTGAGAGAGAATTCTTCATCTCGTAACTTGAAGAAGACGACGAAGAACAGGAAGACAATGATGATGACGGAAAGCTGTCATCATCCACAAAAGACAAACAAGCAGGGTTGTTGTAACCGTGGCCGGTTCCAACAACAGAAGAAAAGGAAAATAACTGAGAATCAAGAACATCATGCGCTTGAGACATGTCAAGCATGTCGACCGTCTGGGGCAGTTGCGACATGGACATTGAGTCCATGCGAAACATGCCAAACGGTTCGCAAAGAACATCATTTGTGTTTGCCCGAGTCATAGGCTCGGACAAGATCGTAGACGCGGCCGTGAGACCTGCGTCACTAGTACTAGTCACCGGGGTGTAACCCGCCGGCGACTCTATTGCGGAAAAATACGGTGATGTGAGTGTAGAGAGGTAGTTTGACGACTCACCACGCTCCATGTTCATGGGCGGTGTCATGGAGAGTTCGCCATGGCTGGCGAGGAAGTCGGTAGGTGACAAGTCTTGTACCTCTTGGATGTAGTTGAGGTTGGTTCCTTGGTACCGATTAGGATAGGATCCAGCGTTAGATGTCCGTCGTTGTCCGCTCGAGTGTCGTGGGACAACCACTGGTGCTGTTGTGGCCGTGGTCTGAACAATTGGCGAGACCGGTCCAGACTGACTCCGGGTTGATGAATGTCGCTCGAGACAGGGGGCGGTCGGCGCAGACGACGCCAGGGAAGCCTTTCTCCTGTCAAACCAAAACAAGGGGAATACATATAGCATGAGTACATACAGGACCGCCAGCGCGTTTAGAAGCGGGCTCCTTACCAACGACCCCCATGGTGGACGCATTTCGTTTTTGGGGAACCGAAGAACCAAGTGGAGGCATCGTCCCCGAATTCGCCATCGCCGCCTGGATGGCACTCCAATGCCGGGACCAGCCCTTCTCGCGTTGTCCGGGAGAAAGGTGTTGGTGCTCGGCATCGAAGACTTGTCGGCAAGACTTTAGCATCTCGATGGCGGCATTGACGTTGGAATCCATGATGGGGTTGACAGAAATGGACTCCTAGACCAAGTGATGTTGTGCTCAACTGTGAGTGAGAACAGTGATGAGGCTCCTATGAACCAATCTGAAGCCGTCGTTAGTCGATAAGGTCCAATGTTAGTAGGGTCTCCCAATAAAAGTGGTACTGACAGTGAGCTTTGTGAATTGGTTGAACAGGTGCGACAAGAATCGTTGGAAGAAGGTTAACAAAGTGAGATCAACAATGGTCAAAGTGAAGCAGTGCAATATAGAAGAGGGAGTGGAAAAGTCTGTCCGGAAGGGGGGATGGGACGGATCTCGAGGGTGATATAGAATGGCCCCATGTGCCATCTACTGGTTCTAATCCAGGAAAAAGCAATCGGGCGATGGGGTGCTCGCTAGGGTTTGTGAGACGGCGCCCGTAAAAGACTTGCATACCGATGTACAGTACCGTACAGGAGAGAAAAGGCGCCGGCATGGCGGACGAGCGACGAAGGAGGAACAAGGGTCAGCCGCAACTTACAAGGGTGGTTAGTACAAGGCCAAAGGTAAGGGAGCAACGACCACTCAACAGATTGGACGAACCGTCAGAGGCTTTGCTGGTCGCGAAATCATTCGTTCTTCTTGTCGTCTCCATGGCAGGGGTAGGATGTCAAGGTGGTAGAAAGTTCCCGGCGGCTGCTCTGTAGGCCTGTTACAAACTTGCAACTTGCGCCCTTGTACTGTAAGGGTGTCCATGGTCCTGTCTCGCCAGGCGCGCTTGGCCTACCTAGAGCGAACAGGTGGGAACCACTTTCCGTCTTCCCAGAGCCTATCCCACGCAAGGATTATCAGGCATTCGACTGGGCCGGCTCGAGGCCTGCGACGGCTGTTACCAGTCGCGGAACTTTGCTTTGCTGCTGGATCGCCCATCACGACCAATGGCCACTGCCGATTGAGAGGACGGTGTTGCCGATCATGTCTGATTTGAAGGTTGGTCTCTGAAAGGTGATCACCATTGGAATGGATTACGGAAAAAGGCAATGCTTCGCTCATTGGCCCTGAGCTGCAGCCGTGTCGTCTCGTTGGCCGCCTCACTTTTGTGTCTAGGGAATTTTTGCAATGGCTGTGTGTTCGTTGGCCTTGGGCTCGTCTTCTGATGACAGTTGCTGCCCGACCGGCGTCATGCAAATGTGGAGTTCTTATCGACCTAATTCGCCAATTACCACGGAACACTGCAGGCTCTGCATGAACACAGGTGTCGCGACATCACATGAAAGGGTGTGATAGATTGAATCTCCAGACTCATGGAGTTGTGTGTTGACGCCTGAGTCGCCCGTTGGATTATGCTAGTTTCCCAGATTCCAGGCGGAGGTTACAGTACAGAGACTTATCGCACACACACACACAATGACATGCAGCCAGTTCGGAGTAATCTGTGCATACTGTGAGGAAAGGACTCTGCATCCTCGCTCTCTTCCTCGACGCATCGAAGCGAAGAACAGATGTTCTTGTGCAACACCGAAAGACCTGGTCACGTCCAAATCTCGTAAGAGGCGACCTAGGTACAAAGTAGGTCAATGAAGGCCAGTCTTGCTGTCATCCCACTATGGCCGTTTTCTGCTTAAGTTAAGGCTGTCAACTCTCTTACGACAGTCCTTTACTGCCCAACATGCCGTACCGGTGTTATAGCGTGGAAGCCAAAAGACGGGTTCTCATTCCGGTCCACTGCGGTGAAGGCTTTGTCATGCGCAGTCAAAGTGGCTCAATGTCAGGTAGCAAGGACACATCTTGTAGAGAATGCCGTCGGGTGCACTAGCAGGAGCGAGGGTATCAGTTCTTTCACCAGGTGCCTCATGACTGCATGATGCTGAGCTTCAATATGGTGATACTAGCATTTCACATGGGGTGAGCTCAGCGTGACGGATGCATACCAGCAAAGTTTCGAGGGCCCTTCACTCACTGACTGGGGGTGTTTTAGGAGTGTTGTCGTGGCCAGTCTCGTGTACGCGTAGAAGAGCCTAGTGTGCCCAGTGAGCCCGAAGTTCGTTGTGCTCTTCGCACAACCGCTTGGAGCGATTTAGTCTCACAAGTCACCCGTATTCCCGTCAGAGGCATGTGAAGGCTCGAGAACGGTGACAATGTACGAGTATCAACTCCTACCGTGCATGATCTGTGACTCATGATCAAGAGCATAGATGACAGTGATGTAAGAGAAACTCGGATGAGGTTGTTGTTGACCGCTTCCAGGGAAGGCCCCGAGTCCTTCCCCGTGTGTCAAGGATATTGACAATGCTCTGGTCCAGGGACTTCGCAGCAGCATATGTAGTTTGACGCCACATGAGCGGTGTAGAGTTGCACCGGCTGAGCTTTTCCGTCCATGATGTAGCCATCCAAATAAGGGTACGTGTGCAAGTGATAGTACTCGTAACAAGACGGAGAAACGGCCGTCCCTGATCAACATGCGTCGTTCCCGGGGATGAAGGATCAGAAGGATGATCACCATCTTAGAATCTGATCCTTGAAAGATGAAATCATGACGTGTGATGTTGACGGCGTGGACAAATGAAGACATGATCAGATACGATTCACTGGAGGCTCCGCCCTCCGACGTACTCGAGGGACGGAAGGCGCGGAGTATCATTTTTCCGGAGGACCGAAGCAGATGCGACACTGCGCGGCCTTATTGGTCAACCCTGAACCGATGTAAACAAAGCATCCTTGGGCGTAAATAATACTCATTCGCGGCGACAACGACCTCCAAAAACACGGATCTGTATTTGAAAGAAACAGTCGGATAAGATGTCTGTGGGTGAGATATTCTCTGACGCACAGCGGTCCCTCGTTGGACACAAGACTCTTGCAAAGCGCCTGCGCAGACTCGAAAGCACCCCGAATTTCGAAGCGCATATCAAACAATGCATCTTCCGTCTTCTAGACGTCAGCAAATCCGAAGTGGCAGGCAACAGAGTCATCAAGTTCCTCACTGTATATCTCGAAGCGGCTGAAGGAACAAACCAAAGCACATCGTCTATACTTCTTGCACTACTCCCGTTCCTATGCGCAAAGGACAAGACCGTCCGTTACAGAGCGACACAGCTAGTGTCGCAAATCCTTGGAGTTTTGAGTACCATCGACGACGATCTATATAAAGTGATCAGGCATGAACTGATCAAACGCCTACGAGATAAAGTGCCTGCGATCAGGCTGGAAGCAGTTCTGGCACTCGGAAGATTGGTCGAGAACGAGATGGATGACGAGGATGAAGAGGGGGATTCCGAAGAAGATGTGGCCCCAGGCTTGCTTGAAAAACTCCTAGATGTGTTGCAGAACGACACGAACGCCGACGTCAGAAGGGCACTTCTACTCAATCTGCCTGTCACACCAAAGACACTTCCATACCTCCTCGAGAGGGCAAGAGATCGTGATGGACCGACTCGTCGAGCATTGTACTCACGGCTCCTGCCGAACCTAGGTGACTTTCGACATCTATCTTTGTCAATGAGGGAAAAACTTCTCCGGTGGGGCTTGAGGGATCGCGACGAGAAAGTTCGTAAAGCCGCTGCTCATTTATTCCGAGCACGATGGATTGAAGACTGCGCCGCCTCTCGCAGCGAGCAAAGCGATGAAGAAAAGAAGGAACAGAAAGGATTTTATGCACCCAGCATCCCAGCGCTTCTGGAACTCCTTGAGAGAATAGATGCCTTGAACACTGGCAACGAGACCGGAGTCGCTCGAGAGGCAATGAAGGAGTTCTGGGCAGGGCGGCCTGACTACTTGGACGCAGTCTCTTTTGACGACGAGTTTTGGGACACTCTGACACCCGAATCTGCGTTTATGGCACGCACTTTCAATGATTTCTGTCAAAAGTCCCAAGATCAGAAGCACCAAGCCATGATCGAAGAGAAGATGCCAGAGGTGACCAGGCTAGGGTTCCACCTTCAGAAGCACATCAACGAGCTACTCATCAAAGTTCAGAACGCCAACGAAACCGACAGTGATGAGAAGCTGGCTGAGCAAGCTGAACAAGAATTCATAGTCGAACAGCTTCTCTACATCGCTCAGACGCTCGATTACACCGACGAAGTTGGTCGAAGGAAAATGTTTTCGCTTCTACGCCACGCACTATCCATGGCAGACCTTCCTGAGGAATGCACCCGCCTCGCAGTCGAAGCGCTTCGTCTCGTCTGCAACCCTGATGCTGCAGGTGAGCGAGAATTCACATCTGTTGTCCTCGAAGCCATTGCCGAAGTTCACGATAACATCGTGTCCGACGAGCCAGAAGGTGTAGACGCAGACGATGACGATGCGAGCTTCGTCTCCGCCCGCAGCGAAGTAAGCGACCACGATCCCAATTCGACACCCAAGAACAACAGCTCGAGCAAGAACAAGAAACAAAACCTTTCCGAAGAGGAGCAAGAAGCTCAAGCCATCAAAGAGATCGTGATTAACATGAAATGTCTACATATTGCGCAGTGCATGCTCCAGAACGTGGCCGGGAACCTTCAATCCAACATCCACTTGCGCACCATGTTTGACAACCTGGTCATACCGGCGGTCCGGTCTCACGAAGTCCTGATCCGAGAGCGAGGCGTGCAATGTCTAGGACTTTGCTGCCTTCTCGAACCCAAGCTCGCAGATGAGAACATGCGCCTGTTCACGCATCTTCTCAAGAAGGGCCACGAGACGCTGCAAGTCATGGCGCTCCAGATCCTGTGCGATATCCTGATGGCCAGAGGTCCGCCCAATGCGTCTCAACCACCAAACACTCTCGATGGCGCGGCATCGCCCAATGCGAGCTCCGGAGACGTGGACCAGCCGAGCTCCAATCCGAACAACGCGGCTGGCGGTGCCAATGGCAATAGCAACACTAACACCAACATGACGAGCCTCCTCTCGCCGTTCATCAAGGCTCTGTCACAGAATTTTGTCGAGGAAGTCCGCGCCACGGCCACGAGCAGCTTGTGCAAACTCATGCTGTGCGGCTTCTACAAGGAAAACGAGGAGCTGTTTGACCAGATCGTCGAGCGGGCAATGCAGCTCGGCGCGAAGGGATGGGAGTTGCTCGAAAAGGTCAAGAATGCCGTCGTCGTGGACAGGGAAAAGGAGAAGCTTTTGGAGAAGGAGCGTGAGGAGCAGCAGCAACCTGCCATGGCCAATGTCACCTTGTTCGGCGCGAGGCTGAGCACCGAGGGTGGAAATGGCACAGGGAGCGCGCGCAGTTCAGACGGCCTCGTTGCCGACGATAAGATGAGTGGCGAGGGCGCCACGAATGGTGTCGATGTTTATGCTTAAGGAGGAGTTTTGACTGTGCTTATTGCTCCGTATGGTTTTGTGCCTCTTTCGGGTTCTTCCGAGACACGATCAGAAACGTGAATAGCGTGTTGGGAAATAATACATTGTTCGGTCGTGTCGAACTCCTCAAGGCTACTTTTGCATTTTCTCCGGCACCATAATGTCGATGCGAGTCTGGGTTATTTTACAAGATGCCCTGCTTCTGCAGATCCAGATAGATCCTCTCGGGCATGACGTTGCCCTCGCCGTCCTCCATCTGGACGACGCTGTCCTCTTTGCTCTCCTTGTCCCGCTTCTCACGCTTGATTTTCTCCCAGAGATTCAGCGCGTCTTGGATACCCGTGATCTCACGGAACAAACTTAGGCCACCGGTCCCTTGGCCAGTGATGCCGAGACACTTCAAGCCGTAGATGTGCCGTGCCTCGCTGAAATGTTTGTCGAACGCCCTACGGCCCATGTACACGAAGTTGCCACAGATCTCGCAGGTGAACTCGACGCCCAAACCGTGCAGCTTGTACAGCCAATATGGTATAGGTTTGCCGTCCCAGGCCAGCGGCAGTTTGAGCGGGTTGTAGATCCTTTCGCCACCGTCTGATTCAGAACCAGAGTCGTCACCCCCACCGCGATGGCGCTCGGATGCCGCCACTGCAGCGTCGTCCTCGGCGAACAACGCGTCGAGTTCCGCTTGCCGCTCGCGCTCAGTCATGCCTTGTTTGCGCTCGACATTGACTCTGGTGTTGCTGCGTTCGTTAGACAGCATGTCTGCTAGGGCGCGTATACGGTGTTCGTGAGATGCAATCACTCGTTCCTTTAGCTGAGTGCCGGAGAGAGAGATTGCCGAGGGATTCGTGGCGCCGTTCGTCTGTGTGTGAGACTTCTTAGCTTCAGCATTGCGAATATGCTTTTTGCCCGTCAGATGTGCTTTGTACACGTTCTGATTGCTGAATTCTTTTTCGCAGTCTGAACACCATATTCCCGAGCCTGTGCCTTCTGTTTGTGGACCGGCTGCGCCGGCGCCTGGTGCCGTTTCTTTGGTCCAGCCAGGGACGGTACCTGCTTCCCATGCGGTTTCGAAATCTCTGTCAAGACGCAAAAAAGTCTTCTGGAGGTCGTCCAGGGGTCGCGTCCGCCGCACAAAACCCTCAAGGTAACTAGCTAGATCCGCCACGTATTTCAGGTATTCATCAGTTACTTTGTTCTGTCTCTTGATGGGCATTCGGGGAGCTTCAAAGGCGTCGAAATTATCTAGGTATTGGAGGTAGCTAAGGCGCTTCACCCCAGGTAGGTTGAGATAGTCTTCGTGTAGCGATGTGAGGTCGAGAAAGCGACCGTTCGACTCTTCTCCAGTGAACATGTTATCAATCTCGGAAGTAATGGGCTCGCCCTCCTCAGGTCGTCTCCTTTTGTATGCGCGCTCAAGGTTCTCGACGGGCTCATTGGGATAGCGACGATGGAAATCCTTGACTTCCTCTAGTTGCTTATAGAATTGATCGAAGGGATCTCCGGCCGTGAGGCTCTGGACTTCTCTGAGCCGCGACCCGTCAGCATCCTTGTAGAGGTCTAGCAGCCGCTTTGACTGGTCTTGCACTCGTGTGAGGAAATTGTTGATTTGATGATCTCTGTTCAGTCGATCTTTGATCTGTGGTTTGCGTCAGCGTTGTGTCTAGAATATACTCAAATGCACATACGTTTCTTGGGTCTTCTGCGACACGTTCGGTAATAGCTTGCTCCAAGCGCTCAAGGTCCTCGTGGAGGAACCTCTGATCCTCTAACAACATGGTTCCTGGAGACGCGCCGGGTACCTGGGGTCTGAAAATTTACCGTTGCAAAGCCATCAATTGCTTTCCGGTCGCAATCTCAAAAAGTCATTTTCGCCTGTCGCCGACGCAGGCTCAGCAAGATGCGGAGAAAGTGGCGCTGCTTTTACATGTCCTGCACGTGAGTGCCCCTTTCCCTCGGGCATTCCAAGTGGTCTTCGCGCGTTGTATCTTTCGTCCTGGTTCTAATGCTTAACATTCGCTCAGTATAGGTAAGTGCGTGCTCGATTCAATTGTAAAACTCAAGGTCAAGTTCCGGCATGACTGTTGAGTATCCGAGTATCACACCTTTAACCCCGACCTGGTTGAATTTGCTTTCGAAGACCCGTGGCTTGACACTCATCCAACCAGACACTACTATGAGCTCTTGACGTTCACATCACGACCGTAGTTCTTTGTGAGAAGGTTGGTCAGACTATCCATGGCAGTCCAGTTCTTTCAGAACCGACATTTGCATTCCTAACCCTACAAGTTTGAAACCAATACTAAGTAGCTGATGCGACTCGATGGCCACCCTAACTCCTTCTGCTCAAGTACGCCTCCAGTCCTTCTTGGACAACAAAAAAGGTCGAATGATATTCCAGCGGTCGACCTGGGTGTGCAAGCTTGATATCGAATTCCCTCAAAATCTGGATCAGAACCTTGTTCATCTCAAAAAGTGCAAGATTACGCCCAATGCACAAATGGCTGCCACCTCCAAACTGGTTTGAGTTAGCCACTATCTTCAGAAAAAATTGCCGGGCTTTAGAGCTTGGTGCACTTACGTTGTACAAATGACCACCCATCAATTTCGCATCCCTTTCAAACCAGCGTTCGGGACGATACTCTTCGACATCTTCGCCAAAGATGGACTTATCACGGTGCAGCACCCATCCATTTACCGCCACCTCGGTGCCCTTGGGATAGTACCTGCCGTCGATCATAATACCCTCGGGAGGCACGTTGCGGTAGATGCCCAAGCCAACAGCTGGTCTTATCCGGAAAGTCTCCTTCAAACAGGCCTGGAAGTAGTCGAGTTTCTGGGCTTCGGCGTAGGTGACTATCTCAGACAGCTGGCCGGACTTCTGTGCTTCGTCGACTTCTCTCTGCAATTTGGCATATACCTCGGGCTTGTTCAAGACATGGTAAAAGAACGACTGCATTGTTGAGGCGGTGGAGTCGGATCCTGCGAACCTATCGAGACGTCAGTATACTCACGCCACAGTCGAATCTCCATCATCAACTCACACAGCGCCGTGGGCGATACTGAAGACATCTTGGACGCTGAACTTGTCCGGGCTGCCGTCATGTGCCCTAAGTAATTCTGCCAACAGGTCGATGCCACTCGAATCGTAGGTCCCGTCCTTCTGTTTGCGCTTTTCGAGCTCAGCAACGGCAATCTTCGTCATGGTAGTAGGCTGTGGCTTCCAGAATGGAAGATATGGCCGAAGAGGGTTGTTTCGGAACAAGATATCGGTCTCGGGGATTTGGCCGACAATACCATCGTACCATTGGACATCATCGATGTTCTTGATAGATCCTTCGATGTCGACTTCTGCATCCAAGAAGCCGAAAGATTTGGAGAAAGCAACCTCTCCCAGGACCTGGTCTTGTCAGCAGCGTACACTGAAGGAATGATCGGTTTCATACGTCGAAAGCGAAATAGTGGAGCAGGTTCCCTAGATTGCAGACCCTCCTGGAATCGTCCGCATATTTACCCAAATGCTCCATGAGGAGCATGATCATACTCTCAATCGGACCCGATCGTTTCTGCATCTGTGCCAAACTGTAAGGGGTGACAGCGTATCGCTTCATCTGAGCATGCTTCCATTCTCGAACTTCGGTGAAAATATCTGGAGCGTGCTAAAGATTGGTCAGAAATGATCGAGTCACAAGCGAGCAGTTGACTCTCTCTCACCTTGGGAGGAAAGACACTGTAGAACATAGTCTTGTGGAAACCCTTGCCCACCGCAAAGATATCTTTGGCTGCATTACAGGTGCCGAACGATATTTCGTTGGGTGATGTTCGAACAATCGGTCCTATGAGAGTCAGATACGGTCAGGTTTTGGGGTCAGAAGGCTATGGCAGGACTTACCATATTTCTTGTGCAGAGCTATGTGGTCAAGCTCGGTATGTCCCTTCCAAGTACTCCATACTATGGATGATGAGTCAGAACAAGTACATCGACCGTCTTTCGGAATTGCTACCTTTCCACAACCTCGTGCATGATGCCAGGAATGGCCCCGGCACATCTCGCAGTGGAGACGCATATTTCTTGTATAGGGCTCGAACGACAATGGCCACAAATGTGACGAGAAAGAAATGTGCTTTGGCAAACAGTAATGCCTGCGCCACGAGAGAGCTATCGGACGACGACTTTATGTTGTCCATGTTGGCGAGATTAGGACAAACTTCAAAAGAAATCTCGATATCACTTCGGTGAAGACAGAGAGGTCAGGATAAGAGACCAGGGGGAGACGTTCGCGACGCGTGGTGTTTAGTGCTATATATCATCTACCGGACATTTGTTCGATCGACTGCCGATGCCCTCTATCGGCCAGATCCATGCCATGTGTCTGTTTTCCTCTCCAGAGGCTTTGAGCCACAGTCACCTGTTGCAACACCAAAGCGAATGCAGAGCGCATCCAAACCGCAGTGGGCAACTATGTGAGCCCCACGCTGCCTCCTCATCGGAAAACACCCATTTCCTCCTCGGCAGTGGCACTCAGGCCCAGCCAGAACACAGGGGAAACACAACTGGGCTGCCCAGGTTGTGTGGGGTACTCCATTTCTTCGCCAACAATAGCTTGGAGTTCCTCCATAGCCCCCCAGAAGGAGTTCGAATTATAATGGGCTTTTGGGACGACACGATTGGCACACCCTTTGACCCCACGAAATTTCGCTCTGGGTGGCTAGGCAAGCCTATCTCAATGCCATTTTGCGGGCTAGTGTTCCTAGGCATTCCCCCGGAGAAACTCCCATCAACAACCGTCGCATTGATCCTACCCCGCGTGGTGTGAAGCCACAGATACGAGGCTGAGGCTGGTGTTTGTCTCCAAAAGGAAGATCATGCGCTCTTCAGTACAAAACGGATATAATGGCAAGCGCCCTGCTGCAGCTGGTCACCATGAAACAGCTTCTCAGCTGACTTGGCGAGTATGCCAGCATACTCGAATTTTACATGCTTCTTCAAGAGTATCGAGGCTGCTGTTGGCTCGCAACTCACCCCCCTGCGTGCTCCACCAAAAACCATTCAGCTGCAATTCAATTGATGACTTCAATGGCTGAATTTTTCCTCAGCACTCACATTCGCGCTGATGCAGCAGCAATTTGAGCATTGGGAGTCCCAAGCGTCGCCATGCTGTTACAAGGAGTTCTCATACGGCGTTTTTTTATTATTGAAGTGCGTTTGTCTCCACAACTCTCCGGGGTGATGAGCACAAATACCTCGTACTTGTGCTGTGCATGGCATGCGAGGTGGGTGTAACGTACAAGGACAACGAGAATGCTGGCGTTGAAGGTGCATGGATATCGTAAACACCACTGCATCATTAACTTTTGTTGGTAAGGAGATCAAGTGAGCCTTGCGGTCGGCAGCCTGGTGAGCCTGGTGAGCCAGGAGCCCCAACGCTGAATCATGAACCCTGCCAGTGTCGTATTCTCCCCGATTCGAGATAAACACGAAGCACTATAACTTAGACGTCGATATCAACGGCACAAACCCCGGGGACACTTATATTTACTACGTTCAGCTTGCGAACGATACTAGCTCAACTAACTGCCCAGGTATCAAGTGAATTACAATGTCAACACAGGGTGCAAAGGTACATAAAAGCATCCTCCTTGTCTATTCCTTCGATCCCTTCGCCTTCGATCACTTCAAGTAAGTAAGCTGGACTACACCTTGAACCGCCATGGGCTTGACCAAAGTGACCAACTCCCGGGGCCTGACCATCCACGTCGACAATCCCGTCGAGACTAGGGTGGGGAATTGTGGTCCTCGTCAGGCGTAACTCGACTGCGCTGGCAGGACGTACCGTTTCTCGTCTACGAGACACGGCGCGCCCTGTATAGTACTCCTTCCTCCCGCGACCGGCCGTCGCCTCTACGAAGGCGGTACCGCAAAGGGAAAGGCCCTTGGCAACAACACTAACAACGCCAACGCCCATCAGGGCAGAGACAGCAGCAGCATAACCCTCTCTTGACCCAAAACGTCGGGCGAAAAAGAAAAGACCAGCATTGGAGGAGCAGCAGACGACAAGATGAGGCGCAAAACGAAAGCCGAGAAAGGTGAAGATGCGGCAGAAGAGCGCGAATACGATCGAGGTGATGATCAAGCTGCAGATCCACGCTCAGACTTGAACGAGTCGACTGGCTTAGAGACCACAGTAGCTCCCGAGGTTTATAGTGGCAGTCAGCCACCGCCTGAGTATGTACCGTGAACGAGTGTCAGGTGTCACGATAACCTTTGAAACAAACATAAGACGTCTTTGGAATATCTGATACTGCTGATGCGCTGTATGTCTGTTGTGACAGAACTGTTACTTCGCAGGCAATGCAGGAGCCTGATTATCGACATTTTGCATAGGAACCGTCACCTCATCCGAAGTCTATTGTACACTTTTTTGTTCGACCATGGAGAACACCCAGTCGAAGCCTCAAGGGACGCCGACCTCGACATGTACTCTTTCACACCCTGCCCTTGCTCTTTCTGCCACCTCTGCCGCCGCCCGCAGCGGGCTTCTTCTTCTTCGGCGCCTCTTCTTCAACTGTCGTGTCAACCTCGTCATCATCATCCTTCTTCCGTTTGTTTTTGCCCTTTGCTACAGAAGCTGTGGGCTTCTTCTTCGGCACTTTGACGTACTTGTCCTTCTTCAGATCCAGCTCATCTTCTTCATCGTCTGGGCCGTCCACGTCTGGGCCAAGAGCCTCATCCACGTCGGAATCGTCAACGGCCTCTTCGAGATCTGGCTTCTCTTTCTTGCCCGCCCCGCCTTTGGCCATACCCAGGACATTGCTAGCTTTGACAAATGGCATCGGATGACTCTGCAGATTGTACAATCTCGTGAAAGTGGCTTTGGTTTGTGTGTCGAGCTTGACACGTTCCATATCCATTGGTCCCACGCCCAGCTCGAGCATGGCATCGAAGTCCTCCTTGGTCAAATAGTATGAATCCATAAAGTCAATGACATCTGGGACATTATCTTTGCCTTGCTGCAATTTCCCAACAGTGTGACTCCACAGAGCCGGAAGGTATTGTTGACGAACTTCGTGGCGATCAGCTGAAGACCGAAGTCGCATATGACCTTGGATTTCTTTGACGAGGCGAGATAGTTTGCCTGTAATGTAGCTGTTAGTACACATCAATACGTTCAGAAAAACAACTGACCTTGTTTGCTGTTTTGTCCAAGCCACCCTGCGAACCCAACCTGTTGGTTAAAATTACCGTACATGAAGCTGGCAGGCCGGACAAAACTGAAAATGGCGTGAGTAGGCATCAAGCTCCATTGTTGTTGTGTGCCATGGATCATCCTATCGACTAGATCTCCGTCACTGATGCTAGATGCCGCATTGTCAACGAGCTCCAAGAGCTTCAAATCCCTCTCTTTGCCAGAGTAGCCACTTGCGAGGCTCGGCTGTGTCTTCAGATAGTTCTCTTGGAGCATGAGATAACTAAATTCGTGGTCGTTGAAGTACAGTTCGGTCTTGTCGTTCAAAGTGGCGGTTGAACTCGCAGCGAACATTTGTGGACGAAGAATTTTGTTGACAATGTCCCAAGGTTTCAGTATGACATGCTTCTCCCAAGCCTTCGACATCGCCTTTGTATCGGAAAAATCGAGATCTTTGTTGTCAAGCTTGATGGTGGAGATCATGTTGATGATTTGTCGAATGTCACCACCACAGCCCTCGATCAAAGCATTCATAACTGGCGGCGGCAACTTCATGCCTTCTCGATACAAGATAGTTGCAATCCTTCCACGTATCATATCGGTCGTCGGGCGTCGAAATGCATACTCTGCCGTGACCTGAAAGAAAGGCTTCATTTTGGGCTGGTTTCGGTCGTTACAAATGAGGATCATTGGGATGGACGTCTTCTTAGCAACAGCAGCAAGGGCACCGACACCACCTCGGTCGCCTGCGGACATTCCATCCACCTCATCCATGATCAAGACGAGTTTTCTCTTCGTCGGGTCGACTTTCTTGCCATCACCAGCAAAATACCCAAGCAAAGATGTCGTATCCAGCACGCCTTTCAGAGCCGTCTCTAACAGCTTCTTGTTCCGGGTATCACTGGCATTGCTTTCGACTACATCATACCCTTCGAGTTTGGCAACAAGGTGGGCAGCGGTAGTCTTGCCAACTCCAGGTGGGCCGTGAAGGAGTGCAGCACGGAATACCCCCTTGCCATCAGCTCCTGCTTTCTTGAACCCGCTTTTTGCATTGCTGTGCCAGTTCCGCAGCCATCTCTGCAAGCCTTCAACTTGTGACTTGTTACCACAGACACCGGTGAGTGAATCAGGAGCATATTTATCGACCCAGAGCCGATCATCAGATTTGACCTTTGGTTTTCCCGATGGGGGTGGAGCACCTGTCCGTGCAGCAACTGCCTTCGCTGCCTTCTCTGCCTCTTTCTGCTTCTGCTTTTCTCGCGCCTCCATTTCTTCTGCTTCTTTGCGGATCTTGGCTTCTTCTTTGGCCTGCTTCTCGGCGTATGCCTCGGCAGCTTTGCCATCACCGCCATTTGCAGGGAGTTGCTTGATCAAAGCGAATAGACCTTGCTCATCAATGGTCTTTATGCCCAAATTTCGGATGGTTTCGAGCTTTTTCGGTCCAGCATCGCTACCGATGACCACATAGCTCGTCTTCTTTGATGGTGCTCCCGTGACTTTACCCCCGTATTGTTTCACGAGGCTCTGACCCTCCTCTCGCCCGAGGGAACGCAAAACGCCCGTGAACACGAAGGTCAATCCAGCCAGACAATTTGGCTCCCCAACCGGGATCTCTGCACTTCCGGCTTCTGGTGGTGCAGCGCCGGCGTTGCCTCCTCCAGGCTGGTAGGTCCACTTCTTGTTTTCATCTCTCGGTGGAGGTGTTGGAGCTCGTACTGTAGGGATGTTATCAAGTATTGACTTGATCTCCTTGCTCTCTTCCCGCTCCTCATTCTTAGCCGCAGGTCGAGGTTTCCTTGCAGCACTCGTGGTTGTTGTCTTCGTCTTCTTCTTGGGTGTTGCGTCATCGTCATCCAAGAAATCGTCTTCCTCCTCATCTTCCACTGACGCTCTAGACTTTCGTTTCCTCGAAGGAGCGACGGCAGAGGTCCTCTTCGCTCGCCCATCACTAGCTCCATGGTGTGCGGAAATCGGGGCAGTCTCGACGTCGTCATCGTCATCATCATCATTTTTCTGTAGATTTTTGTTATGCCCATTGGCTGGTTTTGACTGTTTCTTGAGTGGTTTGACATCGTCCTCATCAGAGCCTTCGTCATAATCGTCGTCGACCTTTCTACTCTTAAGATCATTGAAGATGTCGTCTCCACCATCTTCGTCATCATGCAGCTTCACTACAGCATCATCATCGTCTGGTTCTGCGTAGTTCTTCGCGGCAGTTTTCCTCGTAGATCTTCTACCTGTGGAAGGAGTTCCGCCATTGACTTGCTTAGTGGGGGTCTTGCCTGCGCCGTTTGCAGTGGCTTTAACCGGAGTTGATTTCGTGCTTTTCGTTTTCGATGATGCGAAGTAGGCAGAACTTGTAGTTTCTTCCTCAATCGGCTCTTTTACGACCTTTTTGGCTTTTGGCGTGGCAGGCTTCTTGGGTTTGATGTCTACGGGCTCCTCATCTTCGTCATCGGAGACAACTTTCCGACCACGACCACGCTGAGTGCCTTTGCTAGCCTACACACTGTCAGCCCTAACAAGCACTATGGTGAGTAGGAGTCTGATCGGCATACCTTTTCTTTCTTTGGATCTGGAGCCGCGGTGGGAGGAGGCTTTGTTTCGACTCCGCGGCCGCCGAAGAAGCTCCTGATATCCGAAGGCATCGTGCTGTATCGAAATCCTAGGAAGAGAGTATTAAAGAGAGACTCCAGGCATTAGGACCGTCCTCGGGGCAGATTGTCAGACACTGTGATTTAGAAAAGTGCGATGTCGATATTCACTTTCTACGCAGGGATTTGGAGGCACGTTGCGGCTTAATTAATTGCATGACGCGACTGCACCTTCGTTGTACGCGACAGGCTAAACCCCTTTTAGGCGGGACAACGCCGCTTTCGCCTTACAAGTTACAACTCTCAGATCCTGTAGTCAAGGAGCATCATCTCAGCTTTAAGGCGTCCCAAGGAACCATGCCTCAGTCCGCCACTCCAATCCCTCTTTCCGCCGGGTGACTATGTTTATCAGCGTATACATAGGCCACGGAAGAACCATTCATCTGATATGGTTGGCAGATTGGAAGCGTTTCTCCTCCCGCCTCGAAACTCAACTGCTGGTTAGTAAAGGGAGGCATGCTCTCCAGCACAACTAGGTAAGGTGTTCGGGCTTGAATATCAAAAGGAATCAACTTCGGCCGGATGGCCCGGTTCATCAACATTTTTCGCACTCGATCGGTACAGTCTCACGAGTCCCAAATTCCAGAGTCGGTGGGCGGAAAAGGGCCTTAGGCGTCCAGAGTCACAATGTCCCGCACCAACAGTCGACCTGCGTAACGAGCTTACATGCTCATACCCACGAAAAATCGGGGCTAGCGCTTAAATGGCTCAAGACAATACGACCTCTACCCCAGCATGTATACGCAACCTGAATGCTTGCTGATGCTCTTCGAGGGAGGGGTTGTTTGGTCTTTAGGTAAGGCGGGAGACATGACGCTAAAAGGGCCCTCTGCAACCTACATAAGGACATCCCTGACACATTCGACTTTCAACTTCATTGTTCATTTTTCCACTCTCCTTCTACAATGTTGTACGAATATGTGCCAAAAGCACTCCAGGTCCTAGGAGCCCTTACTGCTGTGTCAGCCGTGTCGAGGCTTCTGTCCCTTTTTCGGCTGTACTTCTCACCTGGGACATCCTCTCTGAGCCGCTGGAAGCATGGAGAAGAGCCATACGCCTTGGTTACAGGGGGCACCGATGGGGTGAGTCTTGCCGGCAGCCTTTGAAACGACTGAATTTGAATACTAACCATCCAACGTTAGATTGGGCTGGGATTCGTCGAAGCAATTGCGGCCCAAGGTTTCAATGTGATCATACTGTCCAGGAACAAAAGAAAACTGGAATCTCGTCGATCAGCTTTACAAAAACAATTTCCCAAACTGAAGTTCGAAATCCTTGTCTTTGATGCATTAAAAGATCCGTACGAAAGCATCGAAAAGCTGGTTGCCGGCATATCCCACTTGAACATCACCGTCCTGGTCAATAACGTTGGGGGGATTCCTTTTATCCCTGGATATCGACTGCTTACCGACACAGGCAGCCCACAAATCGACGCAGTCATCGACATAAACACCCGCTTTCTATCGCACTTCACACGCTTCATGATCCCGGTCATGGCGAAGAACGACCCCGCCCTCATCGCAAATGTCGGTTCAGCCGCTCAGGTCGGTATCCCCTGGGCTGCGGTGTATTCCGGCACCAAAGGATTCGTGCTCAGTTTCTCAGAGGGTCTCTCCCGCGAGTTTAAGTGCAATAGCATCCCCATCGATGTATTGAACATCACACTCGCGGATGTGAGCACCCAACAAACGCCCACGCCGGTGCACATTCTCAACCCTTCTGCACAAGATTTTAGCAGGACAGCAGTCAGTCGGCTCGGAGCCGCCGTCGCTTCTGGACGTAATACAGTCACCCCGTATATACTGCATGCACTTCTACTCTGGGTTTTCGGCGTGCAGCCTGAATCTGTAAAGGTCATGATAACGAATAACATGATTCGTGGGGCACGAGAACTTCTTGAGAAAGCCCATGGTGGGCTCAAGAGGGACTAAGCCATCACGCTGTTCCACGAAGGATACATAGCATCAAGCCATGGATACTCGCAAGTCTGTAGGAAAGGCTTGGCCTTCACCGTGCCATATCAGAAAGATACAATGTCCATGTACCAAATGTAGCCGTCGGAGTCGGATGACTATCAGTCGATGGAGCGCAATGTCTGGAACGATTGTCCCGTTACGGTGACGATTGATATTTATAGTTATCTATTAATCGCAATGGCCCATACAATCATTTCCATCGTGAGATCCTTAAGTGAATCTCCAGGGCCGTACTTTATGGCTGAAATCTGTAGTATACCCTGTTTTGCCACCTTTAGCGCAATCCTTCTCCTACTTTCGAATCTCGACCAGGTTGAGTACATGAGGATGCCTCGCTATCGATACAACATGTGAGATATGCTGCATGACGCTGAGCAAGGCAGTCCATGGAGTGAGAAGGATAGGGGTTATGACTGGCCCCTTTGGATGGACGGTGAGTTAAAGCGGCATGGTCGATGCTGTATGAATACTACATCCAGGATGCCAAGACTTTCCTTTGCTGCGAATCTTCCGAGGGCTAGAGCTCCTCAAGACCAGATTCAGAATCGTGAATCGTGAAAAGTCTTGGGGCACTACCGCAGAAACGTAGTGTCTACACTTGTGCAGTGGGTGTCAGTGTCAGTACCGGTGCTCACTCTCTGCGAAGCCCCGAAGATGGCAAGCCCAGCAGTCAGGCCTTCAGGTATGACTGACCCGACCATTAACCATTATCAAGCTGACAATAGCATCAGCGGCCTGCTTGCGATTTCTACGGTCACAAACAATGGCCTCGACCTCTAGAATACTTTCCTCCTCCAGATCGCAATTCAGCCCACCGCTATCTGTGGCTGCACGCACGGCGCAGGACCTCTCACGATGCAGCCGAACATTCTCTACGATACCCGCCAGACAAGATTGGCTCACCCCCAAGAGACCTGAGAAGAGGAAGTCAATGGTAGGCAGGCCCCGCATGCCAACCGGCGGATCAATGCGCGGAACTACTGTCGTATGGGGGGATTATGGCCTGCGTATGAGAGACCACGATCGAAGAGTTTCGGCAAAACAACTGCGCACTGGCGAGCAGACCATACACCAGAGATTACGAGGTGAACGGTATAAGCTGTACAAACGAGTCAGCGCGAACATTGGTGTCTACACAAAAGGCAACGACGTGCGTATGGGTAAGGGAAAGGGCAAATTCGACTATTGGGCAGCTCGAATTCCTGTCAGCAGGATCGTGTTCGAGCTCAAGGGGAATCTTCACGAACAGGTCGTACGAGACGCTTTTCGATTGGCGGGAAACAAACTGCCAGGGTTATACGAATTTGTCAAGAAGGGCGATCCACCTGTGGTTGGAATCACGAAGTTGGGCAAGGGAGTAACGCTCGAGTCTCTGAAAGAAGCCAAGAGACCAGTCGAACCAAAGGACAAGGTGCCAGAACAAGCTATTACTCCTCCTATGTCGGAGGGACCTCCTCAGTCAATTTCTACCGACTTCGACAAGCCGCCGACGACTGTTCATGTCTCGCCATAATATGTGCTTATAATGAAAGAAGCAACACTTGAATACATATTCATGCTCCGACGCCAGAACCGGGCCCGTACCCTTGCTGTGGTCTCGAATCTGGCTGTTTTCCGCTCTGATCTGGTGTACCACCGAAACCGCCTTCTTGACCTGCGGAGCCAATCGAAGAGGTTGTCTTGCCTCCTACCCCAGACTCCGAGATATTCTGGCCATACCTAATATTGTCGGCGGTCTTTTGTGCACGCTCTTCCGATATCGAGGCTTCTTCAGAGGTATTTGGACCAGCTGCGCATAATGTCAGCCACAGAACATCACATCAGAGGGCAGTGTCTCACGTACAGCCAAGCTGGCCTCTCTGCTTCGGGGTCGGAAGCGTCTGTGTCTTAATGGACTCGTATCTATCCCACTGGGGTCAGCGTGCACTGAGAATCGAGGGACGGAGGGAGAAAATGTACTGCGGAGTTTCGCCTCCTGGCACTGTATCCATAGTTTTATCTCCGGTATCTGAGCTGCTCATTTTGTAATTTTTGAAGGTGTCGTACCAGTCACAAGTGAGAACGTTGTCTATGGTCTGAGTGATGCTGTGAAATAAGTCCATCTAAACGCAAATAGCTTTTCTCAGGCCATGCTTGGGTGGCATCGTCAAGTCTGTTTCTGTTGAGCTGCAACCGACGCCGCGATATTCGATGGTTTACGTCACAAACTTCAGGTCACGTGCATACAATGACGATGAGGGTCGCAAGCTCTAGGGTTTGTTGCGCATGTCCTTTCAAACTGAATTATTACCCTCACCAGAATGGGGAGTTTCTTGTTGACACCATCCTTGGATCCTTGGTAAAACGTGATCAGACATGATCGCGCAGTCCTGTGTCTGAGCGGAGGGCGCGCCAGGCACACGCGTCGGCTCGTTATCAAAGTATGTCGAGTAAAGTCATCGAGAGCTGAACAGGACCACAGTGAGGTGTGATGAGGGTAGATTGGCGCCTCAAATTACATCTAATACCGCTGAAGGGAAGCAAAAAAGGTCTCTGGACCCATGACGTCCAAGAAAATTTTCTGGTCCTGAGAAAAAGCAAGGTGGTCGTCAAGGCGATTTGGTCACCCTCGACGTTGGCAGGGTCGTTCAGGACAGATCCTCCGAAGAGTTCGATCAACTGTCCAGCCCTCGCATGGTGGAGATTAAGCCGACAACCGGTGTCGACATCGGCAGACAGCCATCAGAGCATCGTCAATCCCTCCCTACCTAGTATTGAAAAATGCAACCAGGAGTCATCCCTCGAGCGGCACCGTACACCACACTATGTGTCATCAATAGCAGTGGCAAACCTGGTCCTGCCTCCCATTTCCCGTTAACCGGCGATTCAGACAAGTAAGTTTGCACCTGAACAGTTTGCATGACAATGAAAAAGTGGAAGAAGTTCACTTGTTCTGCATCAGTCGTTAGTCTCGCACAGAGGCAGCAAGAGATTATCTGATAAGATTACAATCTTGATCCGTACAGAAGCGGAGCATCAGGACACACTCGGCCAATAGTCGCCATGCCTGAAGCAAAATTCTGGGAGACAAGCGTGCCCGCAGAGGTGTCGACTGCCAAAAGAAGGAGCCTGGGACCGATGTCAGCCGATTATCAGATAACAACAACCAAAGACATCGGTCTGGCGGCGGCTGCATGAGGTCCAACGAGGTGCCATGCCGGTCCGCATGATCATTCGGGGGTGGGTTGAGGACCAACAAACAAATCCACTCTGCTCGCGCAGTCTTGGCTCTGAATGCCAGAAACAGTAAGCAATTCGCGCTGGGTTGAACGGAAAACAGTCACCAGGCAGAGCCCACTGTTTTCTCTCGGTAGAGTCCCACGAACTGCCCCATCTCCTAAGCGAAACTCGGCAGCTTATGGCTTTAGGGTGCCCAGATAGGGCCAAGAGAGCCAAACAAAGGCTTGGATCTGCTTCTGACAACTAACCGCGAGAGTGGTGTGAGGTCGGGCTGTTAGATGGTCTCTTCATCAAGCGAAGATTTTCAACCACTCAGACCAGGTTGTTTTTCCAAGGTCCCCGAATGACTTTGGTCTCATTGTGCCCATAAAGCGATATCGGATCGAACTATGAAGCCCCAACAAAGTGGCCTTCACGCAGCTTGGCTGTCCTAAGCCTCGAAGTGAAAGGAGCTGTAGGAGCTATGGAAAGAGCAACGCGTTAAGAGAGTGAGTCAATTATGAAGTTTTGTATCTATCAATAAGCAGGCGTCATCTATGGCTATGCTAGCGACGACCGTCGCTTCCCGCGGCCATCTCTCGCTCTAGGCTCCTCCCACACCGGCCAAGACGAAATATCCGGAGACCAGAGGCATAGTTCACATGCGTCCACAACCTCTTTGATCTCTAAGTCGAAGCAAGAGGACCCTGGACCCCATGGGTGAAATTATCTGCTTGGACCTGCTTGATGATAGCCGCGGCATCCTGCTTGGACGCAGTGAGCTTACGGCCTGCATAGCTTCTGAAGCCTGGAACCTTTGACAAGAAGTTCAGGAAGGCCTTCTGGCCCGGCAGATATCCAGTACGCTCCTCGTAGAGCATGAAGCAGATGCAGACAATGATGAACAGCCAGTAGATGTTGTATGAGATGACCGATCCATAGGTGGCGGTGTTTTGCCAGCCCAGGATGGCATTGAAGATGTCCCAGCCGTGATCGATCTCTGGACTGCAGCAGTTGACATGCCACACCGTCTGTTTGATATTGTACGAGCCAGGGCCATTGCCAGACTCGGCGACATCACCGCCAACCTGTTGAGCGAATTTGTAGAATTGCAAGCTCCAAATAGACTTTGAGAACATGCCTGCCGCAATCAGATACAAGACGCAGGTAGAGGCGATCAGGAAATATTGAATGGTCATGTAGTTGCCGCCACGATAGATGAGGAATCCAACAAGTAATCCTGCCAGTATACCGGTGATGACTGGAATGGGAAAAGCAGTGGCAGGGAGACCGAGGGATACACCGCCAACAAAGACCACTGCCTCAAGACCCTCACGAAGAGTGGTGATGAAGGGCAGGATGAACATGGCGTATCGTCGAGACCATTCACCAAGTCTTGAAGCAGCGTCCTTGTGGTGTTTCTTGGCGACTAGGGCTTGAGCAATCTTGACCCTCCATTTCTCTTTGGTCTTGTTGATTCGCAGAATAGCGAGTCCCATGACGGTGATGATGAGGCTGGCAATGAGGTAGAAGATGCCCTCCCAGAGATCTTCGGATTCAGCCCAAAGGTTATGTCCCAGGCCATAGAAGACGCCAATGAAGGCGCCTCCGATGATGAGCGCTATCAAGATGCCGCCCAGCGAACCCGCCCATACTTGTCGTTTCAGTCGCTTATATATAACCGGATCCTGGTGAGGTTGACCCAAGCACTGCTTCAAGAAGGATAGAAGCACCGACACAATGATGACGGCCTCGAGACATTCTCGAAAGATGATGAAGAAGATTTGGACACCAAAGACGTTCGTCATGGTGATAACGATGGATTAGATGAGATGAGATGAGATAAGATACTGCACTCCCTCATACGGGGGAAAAGGGAGGACAGAGACACCCCGGCGAAAAGGGCTTTATTATTATGTGTACCACCAAGCAAATCAAGATCGGAGGACGAGAGAAGCTTGGGAACGGTATAGCATGGAGTTTTCGGGGGGACTAATAAGGTAAGTCAATTGTCAAGCGGGCTCCGGTGCGTCAACTCCACAGGGAAAGTAGCCGCACTAGCCGTTGGTAGTGGGAGAAGGGATTTCTTTCCTCTGCGGGAGAACGAGAGAGTGCGGGAATAATGAATGCTGGCCGAAGTTCGGGGGGCCGTAACGAGGGAGCAGGAGGAGTGAAGAGGTCTGTGTTCCCAACACAGAGTCCACGAAGAGTCAAGACAAGAACCCAGTCGGGTCTGCATTCGTTCTCATGGTGTTGGGCGCCACTGGGACTAGTTCGTCCTCAAACTGGTGATTGATCATCTGATAACGTGAAACGATAAGATAATCGCGGCCTGGAATACGAGCGGGAGCAGGGTTGTTGAGCTTTTTTCAGGGATCCCAGGAGAAGCTTTGGTGGTGCAGCGGGTGCAGCAGTCGCTGGCATTGGCGGACACAAGCGTGAAGCGAGCATCTGATAACTTTGATGCCACGTCTGACACATCTGGACCTCCGCTAACCCGCCCGAGATAATCGCTCCATCAACTTGCAGCGACATCCAGCTGGGGATTGGCAGACGAAGGAGCCTCTCCCCGTACGGGCCCTGCAGCCCAGGTGGACACAGACCTGAGACGACAGAATTTTACAGCACAAGGTTCCTGTACAAGACAACCAAGGCGACGCCCCGTGCCCGCCAAGAACACACCGTCTTCTGCCAAGCAGCGACTATGGAAGATGCCCGGAGCCCATTGCAATGGGCGGCGGCGTGAGGTCGACATGCTTGCCGGCATCGGGCTGTCCACAGACTGGACGGTACCCGTCTGGCATGTCGGTTTGATCTTGTCTTATCTCACATCTAGAAAAACTGATGTCTTTTTCTCTCAGAGGACGGCTCATGCTCGCCCTCCTCGACATCGACCTCTGAAGCCTTGGCAAGCTTCCGCTAAGCTTCCCTTATATCGAGGGTGTTTCCGCCAGCTGCTGCTGTAGCACCCGATACTTCACATTGCCAGCCATGGCGAAACTTGCTCAGATGCTCCTCTTGACCTTGGGCCTGTTACTGCTCTCGGGATGGGCCACTGCCAAAACCGTCACTTACGACTTCAACGTAAGTTGGGTCAATGCCAACCCGGACGGAATGCTCGAGAAGAAGGTGGTTGGCATCAACGGGCAATGGCCGCTGCCCATCATTGAGGTTGACAAGGGCGACCGCCTTGTGGTCAACATGTACAACGGCCTGGGCGACAAGAACACCAGCATCCATTGGCACGGCATGTTCCAGACCAATACCAGCGACATGGATGGCCCTTCAATGGTCACTCAGTGCCCAATTCCTCCGGGATACAGCTTCACCTACAACTTCACCGTGAACCAGAACGGCACCTACTGGTATCACTGCCACACTGACTTCTGCTACCCAGACGGCTACCGACAGGCACTTATTGTGCATGACAAGGATGCCTTCTTCAACGATCAGTACGACGAAGAGCTCACCATCACCCTCGGCGACTGGTACCATGGATTCGTCGAAGACATTCGCTTCTTGTCTCTCTACAACCCTACCGGTGCCGAGCCTGTGCCCAATTCCTTCTTGCTCAATGACACCCAAAACTCTAGCATTGCGGTCAAACCAGACACGACTTATCTGATAAGATTAGTCAACATCGGGGCGTTTGTGTCACAATACTTTTATATCGAGGAACACACCTTCAGAGTCGTAGAAATCGACGGCGTATATACAGACCCCACCGAGGCTGATCTACTCTACCTCTCCCCTGCCCAAAGATACTCGTTCCTCCTCACCACCAAGAACACCACCGACAAGAACTTCCCCATCGTCACCGTCGCTGACTCGAATTTGCTCGATGTCATCCGTCCGGATCTTCAGCTCAACAATACCAACTGGCTGGAATATGACGCCGCCGCTCCACACCCAGAGGCCGTGATGCAGGTCGAAACCTCAGCGGATCTCTACCCGTTGGACGATATGACCTTGATTCCTCATGACAAGATGGATCTTCTCCCTGAGCCGGACCACGAGATCTTCCTTGACGTGATCATGGCCAATCTCCGCAACGGCTTCGGCTACGCGTTCCTCAACAACATCACCTACACCAAGCCCAAAGTACCCACCCTCTACACCGTCATGAGCGCCGGCGACTTGGCCACCAACGAGCTCGTCTATGGCGAGTACACGCACACGATGGTCCTCAAGCACAACGACGTGGTGCAGATCGTTCTGAACAACCAAGACGGTGGCGCCCACCCGTTTCATCTTCACGGGCACCATTTCCAGGCCATCGAGCGTTTCCCCACTTACGGCGAGCACTTCTTCGACTTTGCCGACGGCGATCCGGTCCCATACGACCCGTCGAACCACACGGCGTTCCGAAGCATACCTGCTCGTCGAGATACCTTCGTCCTCCCGCCCAATGGGTACTATGTCATCCGCTTCGTCGCTGACAACCCGGGCGTCTGGATGTTCCACTGCCACATTGATTGGCACTTGGAACAGGGTCTGGCCATGACCTTTGTCGAAGCCCCCGACGTGATTCAGCAGACGCACAAGATCCCTCAGCAACATTACGACGTCTGCCAGGCCGCTGGGATTCCGATCACGGGTAACGCCGCCGCGCACACCGAGGACTTTCTCGACCTGGATGGCCAACCCGAGCAAGTCGGTCCTATCGCCAGTGGCTTCACTGCGAGAGGTATCGTCGCGTTGGTGTTTTCCTGCATCAGCGCCTTCTTGGGCATGGCCTTCATCACGATATATGGCCTGTCGGAACCAAAGGTCCTGCATAAGGATATCTCGACTGATGACGACGTCACACACGAGAGCGTCCCTGCTGGCGATGCCGAGCCCAAGGTTGCCGCCGCTGCTGCTACCGGTACTGCGACTGGTAACGGGGCTGCGCCACGGTGAGCGACATGATGGGGATTTTCTCGATCTCAGATTTAAAAAAAAATTAGTAAATCGTGCCATGTCGATCATGCCTATGATGTCTAAATAGATGATTAGTTCGCATTGCTTGCAGCAAAGGCTCAGTCCAGTGCCAAAGTAATTCTATACATTTTATTCCGAAATCTGAAGCTGAATCTATCAATCTGGCTTTGTCAGGCTTCGAACTTAACCGCCGCTGGTTTCATTATGTCTAGTGCGTCTCTCGACTCGAAGTTAACACTTCTTCGCCGATATATCCGGCCAGCCCCAACCAGTCCGTAAGGAATTCTTGAGCCATCCCGACACCGCGAGCCGTCTATTGTCTCATCCTGTCGTCTATGAAGTCTGGGGTGCGGTATACAAGGGTAACTTTGGTCCTGCGGGAACGGAATCCTACAACGAAGAACAGGTAATTGATCGCCCACCACATCGTGAAACAGACGTCGACGGGCTATTCCTGGGTCATCACAGTCAAGGTAGTTCTCTTCTACCCACCTACGTTACCTTTTCTCGCCCGCAGTCAGGGGCACTGCTGGTGAGGCTACGTATAAGACGAGGCTGAACTTCTAAAAGCAGCGAGGTGGGATTCCCAGAGCGCGTTATGCGATTTTCCATACTCCCATTGTTCCTAGAAAGAGCGTGGAAGAGCCCAAGGTGCCCCCGAGGTTTAATTTTTGTCCCTCTTTCCCACTGAGTACTGGAGGCCAAGGACCGAATCGCGAGCAATTGTCTCTTCCTGCACGCACAGCTGCTCTGACGTCGTCCGGTCCCAAGCCATGGCCGAAAAGGCTCCTCCTTCTCTCGCGGCGGTAGCGGTTTCGTCCCTTCTTCTCGGCCTGCTGGCGGGCTATTTCATCGGACAGGGCAGCAGTATCGGCGTTTTTGGCGGTTCGAGCACTTCAGGTGGAGTCAAGAAAAGTTGGCCAAACAGCTACGATGTGAAGGTTCATGCGGATTCGAGCGATGAGCAAGCGGACGACGAGGACGAGGATGAAGAAGAAGACGAGGATGGCGGAGACGGAAATGAGCTCAGGGATTTCAGAGATTCCAAGGAAGAAGTCAAGCTGGTATTGGCGGTCAGGACGGATCTGGGCATGGGCAAAGGTCGGTCTCAGTCTCACTCGCACCAGGCTTGGTGTGTTCCCGTAAATGTGCGCTCTTACTGACGAGGTCCCACAGGTAAGATTGCCGCACAGTGTTCCCATGCCACTCTGGCATGCTACAAGTACCTGGTCAATCACCCGTCGTCCGCACCTCTCCTCAAGCGCTGGGAATGGGGAGGACAACCTAAGATCGCGGTGCAGGCCAAATCTGAGGAAGAGCTGGAAACGTTGCAGGCCCAGGCGATGAGTCTTGGTCTCTGCGCAAGAATCATCCACGACGCAGGCAGGACACAGATTGCTGCTGGTAGCGCTACGGTCCTGGGAGTCTTAGGTCCCAAGAGTGTTGTTGACCAAGTGACTGGACAGCTGAAGTTGTTGTGAGCGGAGAGCGATGCATGAAGAGAGACTGACTACTGTCATCCACGGATATGACCTCTCTCTCTCCCCTGAGATGTTATCTAAACCAGTGTCGTCATGACCATTTCTGGTATCTTGTTACGAGATGTCACAGGCGGCATGCACAATGAGGCACGGTTCACTGTGCAGTGGAAGGCAGCAACCAGAGTACAAGGCATGGAAGGCCCAGTGCTGATCATAAAGCATGCGAGTGCAGCGATTCAACGGCCTGAGAGCTTGAATTCATCAGCGACACCCCATCGGAAGGGGGCCTGGCCATTGACCGTCGTCGGCATGAACCCGAAATCGAGCAGACCAGTATACGATAATCCAGATTGGAGACGCAACGTAGGGACCAAGTGCCCCGTGGGCCCTGTTACGAAGCCATCGACGACTCTTACTGAAGTTCGTGAAGAACTGCCGAGCAAGGATAGGGTGTCCAGGACCTCCGACCTCCACTTAGGGCCGTCACGAATGTTATTCATTCTCTGCAACATCGAGCAGCTGCAATGTCAGGGGTCGTGTCAGCTTCAATGTGCTTGTTCCGGAGCATAGCAGATATTTAGTGCGGCTGATTGCAGATTGTAGCCGTCGCGAACCAGTCATGATACCAAAGGCAATCAATACAAAAGTACGTCCTTGTTTGAGTTTTCAAATCCTTCAGAGCCTACTCAACCCGCCACGACTTGCGACTGTGATTCCTCCAATCGCAACAACTATATTCTGCGAGTCAACAACCTAGTACTCGTACCCGTAGATGGTGATGTGGGATGGGATGGGACATGGCCGGATCGAGCACCTCCAGATCAACGACTCCGCACTCCGCCCTCGTATCTCCACCATTGCCAGAACTTCACCAAGTGGGAGGCTTCGTCCAAGTGGGTCGAACACGCCCATCCATCCGCTGCTGCTGTCAATCAGAGATTCGATTAATGATTCATGCCACGATCCAGTGGTCGGATCATGACCGGTGGAGTATTCTGGCGTTTCCGAAACGTGACCTGTATACTTCGGGCACATGGGTGAAGTTACTTGTTGATGTGCTGGTAGACCGGGCAAGACATATAGTAGGGCCACCGTCAGCAAAGAAGTCTGCCACACCCTCAGCCTGACCTGTTCCATTCTCGCAGGACGAGGAGCTACCAACGATGGCACCAGCGACTCACTCGGAAAAGGCTGCGTTGTTCTCCCAGCTGCGGACACTCGCCGTCAGCTACCCACTGCAGCTCGTTGCTGCCTTTATCGTTCTTCGCCTGTTCTGGAACAAGTTTCAACGGCACCTGGTATCGATTCCAGGGCCGCCGGTGGCCGCCTACACCAAGTTCTGGAGACTGTACGACGTCTGGAAGGGAAAGGCGCACCTGACCGCAGTAGAGCTGCATCGAAAGTACGGCACTCTGGTCCGCATCGCGCCGAACCATGTCTCCATCGCCGACCCGGCCTACATCCCCGTCATCTACAACATCAAGGAGAACTTTACAAAGTCGGCATTCTACCCCATCCAATGCGTGTCGTGGAAGAAGAAGCCCGAGATGAACCTGTTCTCGACGCGAGACCCGCACTACCACAGAGTGGAGAAACGCAAGGTCGGCGCCGCGTACAGTCTGCCCAACCTTCTCGAGTCGGAAGAGGCGATCGACTCGTGCATCGCGCTGTTCATGCAGAAGCTCGACGAGTTCGCGAAGATCCGAAAACCCGTCGACCTGGGTGCCTGGCTGCAGTACTTTGCGTTTGACGTCGTCGGCGAGGTCACGTTCGCGAGCAAACTGGGCTTCTTGGACCAAGGACGGGACGTGGACGGCATGATGAAGGCGATCGAAGGCATGCTCACCTACGCTGCTCTGTGCGGGCAGGTGCCCGAGTACCACAAGTACCTTTTGGGCAACCCGTTGTTTTCCATGTTGATGCCGGCCATGGAAACGTGGAATCAGGTGCTCGTTTTCACGCTCAAGGCGATCAACGGACGGGCGTCGATCAAGCGGGACGGAGAACTCATCAACGCCGACGTCGAGGGCCGAGATATGCTCTCTAGATGGGCGTACGTCAAGTCCTCGGATCCGCTGAAGATGAGTACCCGGGACATCATTGTCCACTTGTCGACAAACGTCTTCGCAGGTACGTTTTTCTCCGGAGGTGCGGTAGTGTCACTGATTTTGACTGTTATTTTTTTCCCTTTCACTTTACACAGGGAGCGACACCACGGCAATCGCGCTTCGAGCAGTGATTTACTACCTGTGCCGCAACCCAAAATGTATGGCCAGGGTGGTCGAAGAGATCGACGCGGCCGACAAGGCAGGCAAACTGAGCACGCCCATCAAGTACAAGGAGTCCACGAATGACCTGCCGTATTACAACGCCGTGTTGAAGGAATCCATGCGCATCCACCCGTCGGTCGGGTTGCTGATGGAACGCCACGTCCCTGCCGAGGGCATCGAGATCGACGGTCACTTCATCCCCGGCGGCACCATCGTCGGCATCAACCCGTGGGTGACGAATCGAGATCCCGCCGTGTTCCCTGACCCGGACGAATTCAAACCCGAGCGGTGGCTGGAAGCCTCCGAGGCACAGCTGAAGCAGATGGACAACATTCTCGAATTGAACTTTGGCGGAGGGAGCAGGAAGTGCATTGGTCGGAATATCTGTGAGTTTTTTGGTTTTTGGTTTTTGGTTTTTCTTTCCCGAGTTTCCAAAATATTTTTATCCCTGGCTCTTTCTTGTGCCGTCAAGGATAAACAAGCCAGTTGGAACTTGTCGAGGTCTCTGATATGTTGTGGTTTTTTCCTTTGACTTGAAGGCGAGCATAATACTAACCACCGTGTGCGATTTGCTATAGCAATGATCGAAATGCAAAAAGTCGTCCCACAATTACTCCGAGAGTTTAGGGTGGAATTGACTCATCCAGAGAAGGAATGGCATATTTGTAACCATTGGTTCGTACAGCAGGAAGGCGTGATTTGTACCCTGATGAGACGGACAACGGGTTGAATTTCGGTTTGATTTGATTTCGATGGATTCGGGGTTTTGGAAGTGTCACGACTACTATCCTAGGTACCTGAGGTAGGTAGGTAGGTACATACCTATCTATGCATTAGCTGAAATTGAAATTGTGAAAGATGTGAAAGATGTTGGAAGTGTTAATGAATCAGTCAGTATACGTCCGTATCTGTATTCTCATTAGATGTACGCGATACAAATACTAGTTAGACACCCAGTGTCGATCAATGGCGTATATCATCGGTCAGTGAGGTCATCCATCACAAGTAACTCTCCCTCTTACCCGACTCGTTACTTTTGTAGATCGCATCAATCATCTTATGCCTGACGAGGGCATCTTCGAAGGTAACGACACTCCCTGGCCCGTGGCCGGCGAAGGCATCCCACGCCACACCTACATTGTACGACGGTCCGTCCGGCACGGGGACCCCAGGGACGTCCTGGAGCGCCCCTGGGTCGGTGGCGGCGGCGGCCTCGACGAATTTCAACGAAGGGTGCCAGATCTGCGGATGGCCCCCGGCGGCCTCGAGGACGAGAGAGCCCTTTGTCCCGTTGATCTCCCAGTAGAAGTTCTTGCCCGTCGCGCTCGTGCTGGCCTGGTAGACGACGTTTGCGACGGCGTTAGCAGAGTGGTGGCCTGCCAAGACGCCCGTGACGGCAAGGTAGTCGTGGGCGGTCTTGGGGAGGGAGTCGACGACGACCTTGCCGTCGCCGTCGACGAGGGACACGGTCGGACGGTGGTTGGCGAGCGTGGCGCTCAGGGACGCGAACTCGCCCAGCACGAAACACAGCGCGTCGAGGGCGTGGCTCGCCGGGATGGTCACGAGGTTCGCGCCGTTTTCGATCGGGAGAGAATACGCAAAAGCCGCCGACATCTGGGCGCCGAATCTCATGCCCGAGCCCAGCATCGTCGTCCCCAGGATGTCGCCCAGCGCGCCCGACGCGACCATCTCGCGCGCCTTGACGATCGACGGGTCCTGTCGGGCCTGCAGGCCGACGAGCGTGCGGACGCCAGACCCTCCTCGTAAGCGTGCGAGCGCCGTGAGTTCTTCCGCCTGCCCCAGGGACGCCGCGAGCGGCCACTCGACGAAGACCGACTTGTTGGCCTCGAGAGCCGCCTTGGCCAGCCCGTAGTGGTCCGGCACTTTGACCGAGATGGCGACTAGATCCACGTCCTTGTCGGCGGCGAGCGAGTCGATGTCCCCGTACGTCGACACCGAGGGCGGGAGGTCGTACTTCTCGACTGCTTTCTTGGCCGATGCTTCGCTGCTGTTCTGGAGCGCCGTGATGGTGTATCTGTCCGTTTTGCCAAGGTAGCCCAGGTGAGCGCGAGAGGCCCACGAGCTGGTGCGCGTAGAATAGTAGATATGTTAGACGCCGGTGATAATGAGATGTACCGATCGAATGCCAGCGAGGCAACAATGCGGGTGTATCCAGGATGGGGGTGATGAGGCAGTGAGTGAGTGAGTGAGTGAATACGGATGACAAGTGGTTGTGGCTTGTGAGGTGTTGCGAGAAAAGGGGGCCCGAGCCTTGCGAGAAAAGTACTTACCCGTTGGCAGAGAGGCCGACGAGGCCTATTTTGATAGGCGCCATTTTGAGCACTGGATAGTTTGATCCCTAGGTTTGCGCGGTGGCGGATGTAGATGTTCGAATAATGGTTGCGCGATGACTTGGAATCGTCGAGGGGGGTGGAAACTGGTGAGGGAAGGATTGGTGGGTTATCGTAGGAATATATACACCCGTTGTTCCTGAGTACATATATCTACGTAGGTAAATATCCATATGTAGGGAAATGCTCCTCCTTTGCAACAATATATAGGGCTCCACCACGACGACCACCTGTAGAGCTACTCGTCATGAGCGCCTTTTGAACCATGATAGGAGACGATGTTCCTAAACTCCGTCGATGACATCGGGTAAAGTCCGTCAAAGTCGTTCGGTAAGAGTGCAAGAGGGAACTATTTAGGCACAGCTTAGGCACTGTCGTCTCGAACAATCAGCAGCCGGACTAAACCGGCCGAGTGAGCGACACGTGTTGATCGGGGGTTCCTGTAAACATGCTGTAAGAAAGTGGGCAAGGGGCATCGCCGTATTTGTCATCAATCGCTGGATATTTTACTTGTGTTATGCATACTGTAGACGGCTCATTGACTGGTTGTTTGACGTGATCCAAAGAAGATATATCTTCCTTAACCGACGACGTTTCGGCTTGTTTCATCCATATTTAGCCGCCAGTTCTTCACTCCGTTGTTGAAATCGTGATTGATACTTGTTGAGAAGGTCAAGGGAGATCTTGGATCCTCCACACACAATGAGAACGACCTTGGACTCCGGCCGGAAATCTTTGAGGCAGTGCTTTAGTCTGCCGTCGTATGCCAATGCGACACTGACGCCACAGGCGGGTTCGACCAGATATCTCTCGTCGTCGAGGAATCGCCAACATGCTGAGCAGGCTTCGGCGTCTTCAAGGACGACAGGCGTGACGGTTGGGCGCTGGGCTTCTTTGAAGGCATTCTCTGCTACTTGGATGGCTCCCAACGATGTCGCGATGGATGTGATGCCAGGAAGAGTGATTAGCGTGCCCTTTTCGACGGATTGTGCGAGCGAGTCTGCACCTAAAGTTTCTACGGGGAGAACTTGGACCTGGTCGCCCCAACCAGCACGATCAAGACCCATCATGATTCCCGAGAACAGACCGCCGCCTCCTACAGAGCAGACAATGGCATCTGGTCGTTCGTCGTGGGGCATCTGTGTCTTTATCTCGTCGACCATGGTCGAAGCACCCTCCCATACAGCCGGCTTGTCGAATGGGTGGATGTAGATGCCGCGCTCGCCATGCTTCTCTGCAGCCGGGATGACGGTCTCTCTGAGATAGCTGTCGGCGTGAAACCACGTGGCACCGTGTACAGTGACTTCGTTTGCGCCAGCGGCACGGAGCTTGTTGATTGTCCACTCGTCTGTACTTTCTGGTACGACGACTGATGCTTTGAACCCCAATGAGACTGCGGCGATGACACAGGCTAGACCAGCGTTGCCGCCGGACGACGTGTAGAAGTGGACTTCTCGTGTGTCGGAGGGGTCTTGCTCTCGTATGCTGCTGATCATCGAGTTACCTATGCCCCTTGATTTGAAAGACCCTGACGGCTGGAGATTCTCGAGTTTGAGAAAGATGCGACTGTCACGTCGTTTAGCATGGGCTAGCCATTATGTGGAATGGGCGAGATACCACCCAGCGATCTTGGAGAGAATGCTCGACTCGAGCAGCGGCGTTTCGATCCAGGGCTGTTTGTGGAAGGCCATGGTTTTGGACGTGTTTCTATGAGAGATCTTGCGCGGTGACGGTCTCGAGAGTGTAAGGTTGAGTTCTTCTGGTGAACAAGAACTCGTATGGTTCTATGGTCGATATATCATGTCGAGGGGCCCAGTATGGCGCAGGGGTCGAATTGAGAAGTGATGTTGGTAAGCTGCCTTTGATTTCAGGCCCTTATTATTAGTCAGGACGTATTGCGTATTCAGAGGCAGCAGCGCAGCAGAGGGCGTTCTTCACGCACGGTGGCAGCGAGGTTTGTGGGTCTTTTACCAGGTATTCATAGGCTTCTGGATCTTGTGGATGCTTGAGAATCCATGGCCATCCACACATACAGCATTCACACTCTACTACATCCTGGAGCGAGGGATGGGCAGCCTTCAGTTCGAGCGGGTTGAGTCACGCTGGGAAGAAGGATCAGGCTCATCACGTTTTTACCCATGGGCATGGTGGTGCATCGACATATGGGAGGTGTATACCTACTCGAGCAATAGACTGGGAGACTGTGTTCAAGGACGAGGGACCTACCATTGACTCAGGTTCTTGTTGTTGTTGATGATGATGTATGTACATATTGCTCTGCTCGTACTCGTTCTCCAGCGCCCGCGGAAGCCTGTCCTGTACTGTACTGTGCTCGACCCCTCCATGGCCGGCCTAGAACCGGCGCCCAGCGATTATGTCACTGCAAAATTTTCACCGGCTTCGGAGAGAGTTCGCGTGTCTGCGTGTCTGCGTCTCCCCCGCATCACCGCCGTCTCCCGGCGAGTTATGACTGCGCAGTCTTTTCAATCTTCCCTCCCAACCTCTTAGCGAGCCCCATATTACGCCTCTGAGCCGCGGCCATTCACCAATGCCCAGTGCCCGGTAACCCAGCTTTGCCAGGGCCCGTTTGCTTTTTTCCCCTTGCTGTGATCTCTTCCTTCGCCGTCAAATCATCATCGCTGCTTTTTGACTCATAAAAAAATCCCGTATTAAGTTACTTGCTCGACCTCACACCGCCCGTGATCTTCTGCTCTTCCTCCTTTCTCCATCATAAACACAATCTCGACTTGACTCGAGTCGATTCTACAGACCTTTTTCTTCTGCGTCACTCCAAATCTTCATCCCTCTCCTACACCCAAACCCGCTCCTCACTACATCATGTGCCCCTCGGCAGACGACACGCCCACCAACGGTGTCAACGGACACTCCAACGGTGTGAATGGCCATGCGAACGTCAACGGTAACCGCGATGGCTACACCGGAATCCAGACGAGAGCAAATCCCGTTCCTGCGAATTCCCGAAATCCATACCTTCCCGTTGGCGATTTCCTCAGCAACGTCAGCAAGTTCCAGATCATCGAAAGCACGCTAAGAGAAGGAGAACAATTTGCCAATGCTTATTTCGACACGGCCAAGAAGATCGAGATTGCAAAGGCACTGGATGAGTTCGGCGCCGACGTAGGTGACATTTGTTGAGCTACGAAGCTCAGCATCATGGGTAGACCACCGTTTCTGACACTGCCGATAGTACATCGAACTCACCTCCCCAGCCGCGTCGGAGCAGTCTCGCAAGGATTGCGAGGCCATCTGCAAGCTCGGCTTGAAGAGATCCAAGATCTTGACACACATCCGATGCCACATGGATGACGCTAGAATAGCGGTGGAAACTGGTGTGGACGGCGTGGATGTGGTCATCGGCACATCCTCATTCTTGAGAGAACATTCCCACGGAAAGGACATGTGAGTATCACTCCATCCTACGAGAAAAAGAAACTTTGCCTAACGTTTTGTAGGACTTATATCAAGAACACAGCGATTGAGGTCATCGAATTCGTCAAGAGCAAGGGTATCGAAATCCGATTCTCCAGTGAAGATTCTTTCCGATCTGATCTGGTTGACCTTCTTTCGCTCTACCAGGCTGTTGATAAGGTCGGAGTAAACGTGAGTCTTTCCTTTATCCACACATTCATAGATTATCCGAACACTCGTGTCTTTTTCTGTCTGCTTTTGACTCCTTCCTGACGTCATGCAGAGAGTTGGTATCGCCGACACTGTTGGATGCGCTTCACCACGTCAAGTTTACGATCTTGTTCGTACTCTCCGGGGTGTTGTCAGCTGTGACATCGAATGCCATTTCCACAACGACACCGGATGTGCCATCGCAAACGCGTACTGCGCTTTGGAGGCGGGTGCTACTCATATCGATACCTCAGTGCTCGGTATTGGTGAGCGAAATGGTATCACCACTCTTGGTGGTCTGATGGCTCGAATGATCACGGCCGACCGTGACTATGTCAAGGGCAAGTACAACTTGGAGAAGATCAAGGATATCGAGGAACTGGTTGCGGAAGCCGTTGCGGTCAACATTCCTTTCAACAACCCCATCACGGGATTCTGTGCTTTCACCCACAAGGCCGGCATTCACGCCAAGGCTATCCTGGCCAACCCAAGCACTTACGAGATCATTGATCCCTCCGACTTTGGTATTGGAAGATACATCCACTTTGCCTCCCGATTGACTGGTTGGAATGCCATCAAGTCTCGAGCACAGCAACTCAACATCGAAATGACCGATGCGCAATACAAGGAAGTCACGGCTGCCATCAAGAGACTGGCCGACATTCGACCGATTGCGATTGATGATGCTGACTCTATCATCCACGCCTACCATCGCGCCCTGATGCAAGGAAAGAAGAATCCCGGAAATGAGGTCGAGCTACCTAACATGACCGAAAAGGAGAAGAAGCTTTTGGCGGAGAAGCAACAACAAGAGGAATCGATACCCGAGAAGAGACAGCTAGATGAGACTGTCGCAGAGGAGGTCTCCAATGGCCATGCTACCAAGAAGGCCAGAACGAACGGTGTCACTGCATAGAGGGTGGCACCTCGTCCTTTATGATATTTCACGTCTCTGGAGAAACAAAATCTGGGGTTATTTTCGGCGTCATTGAGGCATTGTTTCATCTCAGCAGTTTTGTATATATGAGGAGCTCGACAAACGAGCTAAAACCAGAGAGTTAGAGGCCAGAGAGGGGGAAAAAACCAAAAGGTGGCATTTTCTACTTGACAAGTGAGTGATGCAGTGGTACAATACAAGATCAACCTTGGTTATAGAACAGACGTGCAAACGTTATCGTGCGCTTATTTGTGTGGCATGGTGGTAGTATCGTATTTCGTATCTGGGCAGAACGACACGAAATACGGAGTACGAGTAGAGCTGGCACTGCGTATCACATGAAAGAAGAGAGACGCCCGTAGACGAGGGCTTTGCCGACCTGCGTCACATTCGGACGGCTCTTCATCCGGACGGTATATATTCGATACTCGTCTTCCCTTTCGTTATCGTACTCCAAACGAAGTCGCTCTGCCTTTCATGTCTATTCGATAGCCCTTACACCTTCTTTGCCGCTGCCCCATCATGGGTTCATCGCCTCTCCCCGTCAGCTTGCAAAGCAAATTCCAAAGGCCTCAAGCCATATCGCGGCTGAGGGACTACCAAGGCAATTTCAACACCCTGCGAAATGTCATCTTCGCGCTCTTCGTGCTCCGAGTCCTACGCAAGTCGTTCTACTTTCTCCGCGGACACGGGCTGATCGGCTCGGTGGTCGTCCTGTACCACGCCCTGCACAAGAATGCGTACAAGTTCTTGCTAAGTCTGCCTGGCGTACGGTCCCAGGTGACCAAGCAACTGGCCGCGGCGCGGAAGGACATCGAGGACAAACTGGTCCCGTCGGGCCCGGGGACGAATCATTACCTGCACCTGCCAAAGGAGCCGTGGACGAAGGAACAGTTACGCACGGAACTCGAGGCGCTGGCGGCCATGAAGCGCACGCGCTGGGAAGAAGGGAAGGTCTCGGGGGCGGTGTACCACGGCGAAGCGGCGCTGTTGGACATCCAGAGTGAAGCGATGCGGCTGTTCAGCGTGGCAAACCCGATTCACGCAGACGTGTTCCCTGCGGTGAGAAAGATGGAGGCCGAGGTGGTGGCCATGGTGCTTGCGCTGTTCAACGCGCCCGAGTCCGGGGCCGGGGCGACCACCTCGGGCGGCACCGAGTCGATCCTGATGGCGTGCCTGTCGGCGCGGCGGAAGGGGTACGTGGAGAGAGGAATCACGGAGCCCGAGATGATCATCCCCAGCACGGCGCACGCCGCCTTCCACAAGGCGGCGAGCTACTTCAAGATCAAGTTGCACCAGGTCGCGTGTCCGGCGCCAGAGTACATGGTCGACGTCGCCCGGGTGCGGAGGCTGATCAACCCCAACACCGTCCTTCTCGTCGGGTCGGCACCGAACTACCCGCACGGCATCGTCGACAATATCCCGGCCCTGTCGAAACTTGCCGTCTCGTACAAGATCCCTCTCCACGTCGACTGCTGCCTCGGGTCGTTCGTGATGCCCTGCTTGGCCAAGGCCGGCTTCCCTTCTCCCTGGGCCGACGAGGGCGGTTTCGATTTCCGCCAACCCGGCGTGACGTCCATAAGCGTCGACACCCACAAGTACGGGTTCGCCCCGAAAGGCAACAGCTGCGTTCTGTACAGGAACCGCCAGCTCAGAGAGTACCAGTACTTCATCTCTCCCGAGTGGCCCGGCGGCGTTTACGGGTCGCCCAGCATGGCTGGATCGCGGCCCGGTGCGCTCATCGCAGGCTGCTGGGCGAGCATGATGGCCGTCGGCGAGAAGGGATACGTCGACGCCACGCACAAGATTGTCAGCACGAAACTGACCATCGAGAACGCCGTCAAGGAACACCCTGTTCTGAAACAGACGTTGAGGATCCTGGGTCATCCCATGGTGAGCGTGGTCGCGTTCGAGTCCGTCGACCCCGCCGTCTCCATCTACGACGTCGCCGACGCCATGTCGCACAAAGAGTGGCATCTGAATTCCCTCCAGAGTCCACCGGGTGTACACGTCGCCGTGACTTTGCCGATGACGAGACCCGGCGCCGTTGACGGTCTGATCGATGATCTCGTCGCCGCTGTCAAGGAAGAGAAGGAGAAGGCCGTGGAAAGGTTAAAGGCGGGCGGGGCGATCGAGAAAGGAAAAGGTTCGAGTGCTCAACTGTACGGTGTCGCTGGTAGTATACCGGATAAGAGCATCGTCGAGCAAGTTGTCGTTGCGTATTTGGATACCCTCTACAAGGTGTGAGGTTCAGCAAAAGGCATGTGGGTGGGACACCCGAATACGAGTGTGAGTGCGAGTGCGGGTGTGAAGCCTGATGGTTGTCTAGCGATCATAGTCGTCCTCTTACGTTATCAGGTCTATAGCGAAGATGAAGATTTTTGAGCTTCAGTGTTACTTTCATGCCTGTCATACCCGCTAACGTCTACTTACGAGGTTATTGACTGGGAACTGTGCGTTGCGAATGTGCAACCGTGCAGGGAGGATAGTTGATACAGTGAGCTTTCAAGTCCGGAGTGCTGTGAGTCTATAACTTGATACCACAGGGGACTATTACCACATGTCAACTTGTACAACGATTGGATACATGCAATTGAATGTAGATGTGCTGTTCCTCTACTTCGCCTAGTTGATATAGGTGTTATCCACAACCATTGAGGCCTCCTTCCATACGAACAACCGCCCAGGGGTGCCGATGCATATTGGAGTTGCTGCGTATCCTGGAAGTACCTGCTCTTCCACCGTTTCTGATTGCAGCACCCCGACTCAGTGAAGAGTACCGCCTAGCCTCCAAGTATGTGACGAACTTGACAGTGAGGTATATTTTTGCTCAATCTTCCAGTTCTCTCTGTAGAACTACTAATGTTGAGGCCTTCTGCTAGAGACGAAACTCATTAAATGTTGTTCTCCATTAGTCCTCCCAAACCTGTAAAGTTGACGATGTGTTCACCACGGGAGCTGGAGCTCCGTCGCGAAAACTTCGAGACAGATCGTAATGCAAATTCAGGGAGCCTCAGAAGTCCATATCCGCTGCCTGTTCTGAATTGGTTGAGATGAATTCTTCCAACGATGCTTCGACAGAAAACGAGTGCCGCCACAGATCCGAACTAGCTCTTTCGCTCAGTTCCGGAATGGTAGTTCGGGGATAGCAAAGTCAACAGGCTCTTCGTAAAGACCACAGTCTATAAGCAAGAATTGTTAGATTGATCTTTCGACATCTCGTGAGAGACAATACACCGGTAATGACGGGATCAAAATCAGGTCGGTCAATTTTCAGGATAACGTTCAGCTCTTATCTCCCGGACAACGGAGCGGTGCCACGAACGACCTGGCCGAAGACGGTATGCTTGCCGTCAATATACGGCGTAGGAATAGTCGTTATGGCAAATTGTGAACCGTTGCTATCTGTGACATGTAAAAGATGTTCTCGAGGGTATTTTGTACCGCTCTTTACGCCGAGCAGAATTTGCCCCTCGACACCAGAAAATCCCGGCAATGATCAAGGTCGGAGAGAAGTCAGTTTCATCAAGAACAAAATGTCTTCGTCTTGAGATTGTCCCTCAATTGATTCATCAAGAAGGACACGGTGATGCATTGCTAAGGGAGGTGGATCGTTAGTGATGCGTATGTGTACTCTTTTGAAAACTCGAAATCTGCCCAGTTCCATTCGAAGAATGCCCGGTTGCTCTAGAAAAGATTTGGGGCTTGATGCGCAATCCTCGTCCTCATCCTCGTACTCATCGCTAGGCTCAGCGATTTCCTGATCAAAATCTTGTTCTTCAATCCCGGCGAATTCTGAAGCGGTGGTAGCTGCCGCCGATGGAGGTGGAGGACCAGCGGTCTGCATCTCTGGGTCAGTGACTTCGGCCGTCGGCAGGTCTTTGTTGAAATTGGTCGCTTGAAACTCGCAGCACTCGCAGCTGTCGCTGCAATCAGTGAGGTCAGCTGAACGTTGGGTGCAATCACTCTTACCAGTGCCGATCACCAGTCCTGCCGGTGTTCAAGTTCCGGGGACTACCAGCATTCAGACATGGGTTCCCTCTACCAGAAAATGCCTCTGCCACCATCAGAGCCATCTGCACCTTTGATCCCGGGAAGATTGTGCGTCTCCACTGGGCAGGCACAATTTCGCTGCCTCCGGATTGCATATTGAACAAAGCATAGGCTCCGAGACTGACGAAACTTTGGCCAGGGAGCCCTTTGAAGTGATGGCGCAGAAAACTATCCACCATCTGTGCTGGAGTCAGAAGGGAAGAGTTCGAGACAAGGGTGATCATACGTCGAAGTGCTGAAAATACTCGTATGGCAGAAGCTTCGATCGACCCAAAGCGTCCTCAAACATGATGCTATCCTGCACGCGGAGGCAAGGACTACGACTGAGGTGGTCTTGGATGGTTCGAAGCATGCCGTACATTGCGAAATTAGATACCCTTCCTTGTCAGTGACGAACGTGCTGAGAGAGAGCGGGGTGTCGGTCCATACGCTATTCTTCGCAACATGTCCCGCACTTCCTGAGGCATACTTGCAACTCTGTTCAGGGGTTAGCTCGTGTTCTCAAGATCTATCTTGTAGCCTCACGTTGCTAGTGCCCTGGTAAGGCTCTGCGTGAGGCTGGTCACCACACGAGTCATCGATGCGTTGCTTTCGTTGGCCTCATCGAGCTTCGACACTATTTGTTGCGTGTTTCCATCGAAGTCATTCTGTAACTGTTTCTGGAAGTCGCCCACTTGCTGTAACATGTCTTTCTGGCGCGCGATGGAGCTACTAAAACGAGTCTGCTCGACCGACATAGACTCGAGCTTGGAGAATAGCTTGGGAAGACCATCGTTCGTCTGTACCGCAACTCTGCCCAAGGTTTCACTCATCAAATGTTAGTCAGAACTGTGAATGCACTTCAGAGATCTTACGCATTTTGAACAGAGATGAGTAAGGTCAGGCTGAGGACTTTCGCTGATACTGTCGCTCTGAGCTGCTGCACCTCTTCGCCCATCTGCAAAGCCCATTGCGACTTCCGAAGAGACCCTCCGACGGCCGAGTGTTTTGCAAAAGGTCCCAATCTCTGCTCGAATTTCTGAAGCCGCTGGAGAAATGCCGTTAGAGGAATCTGGCAAGTCAGTGCTAAGCAACGGATCGCGTCAAGATGGCCAATATTATCGTCAGTAGGCCGAAGAGCCTGGATGATATCGAGCATCCTCCTGAGTCCTTGGAGTTCGAGGTCGAGTTGTTGGTATTCGAATGAGGCGCCGTCAACATCACGCAGGGCTTTCCCAACCTTGACGATCAGCCCTATAAGCAATGCAATTAGTATCACTGAAGGAGGACGATAAGAGGCATGTGATACTCCTTGTGAGAGTTATGAGTTTGCCTGACTGGGCGGGCGACATCTCACCTATCACACTGACAAAGTCACCTGCGGAGAAACCGAACGGAACTACCATTGTCTGTGAGGTCACCGAGGTTGTTAACGGCTAACCAGCCAAGGTGCTGTGGCTGTCGAGGCCTTTTGGCTTCAAGCCAGATACAAGAGCTCAAGAGAGGGAAAGCAGGTGTGATGGAAGAAGGATCCCTCGCGTATTATCACCTTGAGGCTGAGTGAAGGCGCGTAGAGCCAGAAAAATGAGCAAAGTCCTCGTCAGGCTGAGTAGTGGCTGAGGCTCCTCGCCCTTGTGTAAGCGAGGAGTTCGCTACGCATCATTGGTAGGTTGATTTCTTGTGCAACCTGCAACACGCCGGATCGAGACCATCAGACATCATTGGTGGTTGATCTGGCCACTGTCTGTGATGAAGTTGTGCCCAAGTCGTGAGCAGTGGTGGCTCAGGTGAGGGCACTATTGTGCGACTACGTGACTACTACGCCGTAACCCAGACTCTGGCAACATGCTCATGGGGCTGGCACTCGTAGACCGCTCTTCATGTCCCAAGGCTCTTCGCAGCAGGCTTGTTCGACGAACACCCCCATCAAGCTGATCATTGAGGCCATGGGTGAGATGCTGCTGTTGCAACTCGACCCTGTCTGTCGAACATCCAGCACGCAGTGGCCGATGGCTGGAGTCAAACCGAACGTCAACTAAGCCAAGGCTGGGACGAGAACATCTGGGTCATTACCTCCGCGACATTCGTGATCGCACTTATCGCCACCTTACTGTGGCAATGTAGGCCTGATCGGATCTTGTCCAGTGTGGGCTATCCTTCCTCGAGGAATGATTGGGGTGCGTCCTCTTCGAACCTCTTGAAGGACAGCGGGACAGTGAGTGACCATAGGTACGAGGACGTTGTGGAAGATCAAGGTGCTCGTCGATACGAAAGCCGCGTAGATATTGCAACCTCGAACTCTATGAGGGTCGATATGTTGCACCGTAGATGCCCTCATAGGGGGGAACACGTAATGGTACTAACAAGTGGCCAGAAAGGGCGGAAGGGAGACTGATAGCAATATGAATTGGCAAGGATTGTAGTGTTCTTTGGTTCGTCCTCTTTGTCAAGTCTACAGATCCCCTTATGATGGACCATATCATATGTTGTATCAGTCACAAACATTGTCAACGGCAAGACTGCCGAGATTCTACACCCCGGGGGAAACCTTCACAACGACACGGAGGGAACGGACTGACTCGGCCATGATCGGGGAATTGACCGACATGCTTTACGCTCCCGTCTACAATGCTCCATCTGAACCTCGACGGCAATAAAAGCAGAAAACCGCACTCACTACGATACACTACTTTAATTTTTTGTCCATGTAGCTTTGTGAAACCACTTCTACACTACTTCCACGAGAACGGGTACAGTCGGAGAGCTCATTCTTACCAAAACAGCAGCACATATCACCAAGCTACCTCGACGCTTCAATACAACTAGACCTTTCCCGGTATTTGTTCCCGACATATTCACACTCACATCCATCCATCATGGCTCCAGCTGCCAAATCCAAAGATCTTAGCCAAAACAGAGCGATCAAGATCGTCTCGGCAGCCGCGGCAGGAGGCTACGCCGTACCAGCGATGTGCTGCTACAACGTCGAGGCCATCATTGCCTCCGTACGGGCCGCCGAAGCCAAGCAGTCGCCCGTCATCATTCAACTGTTTCCCTGGGCCGTCACGTACGCCGACGGTCTGCTCGTTCACGCCGCCGCCGAGGCAGCCGACAAGGCCTCAGTCCCTGTCGCAGTGCACATGGATCACGCACAGACGCCCGAGATCGTGCGACGGGCCGCCGACCTAGGCGGCTTCGACGGCATCATGGTCGACATGTCACACTACGAGATGGAGGAGAACTTCGCCCTGACGCGCGAACTCGTGGAGTACTGCAACGAGCGGGGCATCATCACCGAAGCCGAACCCGGCCGCATCGACGGAGGCGAGGACGGCGTCGACGTCTCGGAGCTCCAGGGCCTGCTCACGACGCCCGAACAGGCCGAGGACTTTGTGAGTCTGGGCATCAACTGGCTTGCTCCGGCGTTTGGGAATGTCCACGGCAAATACGGGCCCCAGGGCCCGCAGCTCGAGTACGACCGGCTGGAGAGCATCCAGAAACAGGTCGGGGACAGGGTGCATCTCGTGCTCCACGGCGCCGGTCGCGAGTGGTTCAAGGAAGACCTGTTGAAGAAGGTCATAAAGTGCGGTGTCGCAAAGTGTAATCTCAACGACGCAATGAACGACCACTTCGTCGACGTTCTAAAGGCAAAGGCCGGCACGGCGCCCTTGACCGCGTTGATCGAGGAAGGCACCAACGCCATGCAAAAGGCAATTGAGCAGTATATGGATTGGATGGGCTCGACGGGCAAGGCATAGACGAAACAATACGAAATCCCAAAAATTGATCATCAAGTATTTATTTTACGACAACGAAAGGAAAAACGAAAAGACCTGCAGTCCGATGTATCCTCGTCCGCTTCCGAGAGTGAAAATGCATCAATGTACCCAGTAGTCAGTCTAGGCAGGATTGGTCGGGAGGCGATTCAAAGTAAACGCAAAACGTCCATATTGTTAAGAAGTAGTAACATGCTCGCTCGATCAAGGTCTAAACCTCCTGTATGTAATTCGCAGGAACACTTCGCGTCTCGCCGTTCTTTTCAACATCCGCCCACCCATCGCCGCTGCCCATGCTGATCAAAATGAATTTTTCACCTTCAGCCATGTCGAACTCGGCATCACTTTGTGCGGTGTAAGGATACAACGCCTCTACGTATTTGACCTTCTTGGCTCCACGTTTGGGTGCTACCGCTGGCCCTTGCTTCTTCTTGCCAGCTGCCATGTTGGAAGACGCCAGTGATGCACTAGAGTTCGAATACAGTGACGGGGGTCGTTCTTGTGCCGGCGTACTTGCAGGTGTGGGTAACTCTTCAAGATAAGCGGTCGGCACTAGACCTTCTTTGCCCATACCGGCGTGGACCTTTGTCCAGCCACCATCTGAGATCAATCAGTATCGCAAAGCAAACTCAAATGCCTCACAGATAATTATAAAACTTACCATCGGGTTCTACAATCTTGAATTCCGCACCTTCGGGCAGCGAGATCTCGCCGTCATCCCGTGCTTCGTACGCATATAACATTTTACCCCTTTTCTGGCCACTCCCGTTCATGGCGGAATCCGCAGGTGCGCTTACATAAGTCGTGGGCGGAGGAGCAACTATTCTGTTCCGTCGAGGTCCAGAGGTTGAGCCAGAGGCCGAGGTTATTGTGGTCAAGGGAGAGCTGACATCTTCACCCGTCGATCTTGGAATGGTCCCAGAAACAGAGCGTGTAGCGCTAGCCGCGTAGCCGGACGAGAGACTGCTCATTGTATCCTGCCTTGTTAAAGGCGCTCCAGAGTTTTGACCATTGGTAGCAGGAGCCTCGACAGCCACAGATGCAGCGGCTTGTCGCTCTACCTTCAATTTCTTCTTCTCTTCCTTCGTTTGCTCACCAGGGCAATCGGCTGGTACTTTCATCTGGCATTTGCTGTGACAGGTAAAGCCACAGTCCGTGCAAATGAAGCCTTTGGCGCTGAGACCCCATATGCGATCTCCGCAAAGATCACAGTTTGTAGGGATTTTGAACGTTTCAGATTTGAAGGCATGGCTCTTGCCATACATACTGAGATCACCCACCACGGAGGTTATGGTCGACGTTTCCACCTCGGCAGTCAATCGTTTTCGATCAATTGCATGCAACTCTTCTTGCACGGCGAACTGTGAGACCACACACAGGACTTCATCGCGCTTGTCTTTACCTTCTCGGATGTTCTGTCGAGCCTTTTTGACGTTCTCGAGGTCGCGATGTTTCTGTGCAGATTCGGTCTTAAGTTGATTGACAAGTGGCTTGCTCTTTTGCAAGATGTTGCGCAAGAAGATCTTGGACGTTTCGTCCGTCATCATGTTGTCTGGATCTAGCCAGACCGGAGATGGCTCAAACACCATGTCAGAGGGCTCCTGCCATTGAACAGCATTGTGTCGCACAAACATGTTGCTGTCTAAACTGGGGTTGTTTCTCGGTATTTCGGATGCCAGATGCGACAGATGGTCGATGCTTCGCTTGAGGGTATTCGTCTCAAGATCTGTCGCCACCAGCCACAGTGAGTTCAGCTTCGATACCCTTGTTTCGTTCAAATCCTGTAGAGAATCAAGAAGTTCCGGTACATATTCGTGATAGTAACATTCCTTCAGTTTATTCGTCACATTGATACCTATCAAGTAAGTGTTCTTGACGTTGTTCATCTCCATCACTTGCTGGTTGTATGCATTCTGAGCCTTAGCTTTGTCGAGCCCAGATTCTGCTTTTCTTCTTCGATTTTCCACCTCTTGACATACGCTGTCGTATTTTGTTTTCAGCCTTTTCAATTCGCCATAAGATGAATCTCGTTCTTTGACCAACTTATTGTTATATTCCGCATGGCTTTTCCTCAGCTCTTCGAGTTTTCTGGCGTTATATTCCAGCGGTGTCGCAACCTGACTTATCAGGTCTTGCGCAAACTTGCCATGCTCGTTGGCCCTGGCTTCCAACGTCGATAACTGCGTCGTCCATGTTGTGAGAGACGCCGCTTCCAAGGAACCTGGCGTCAGGGCAGGGTTGTCTCCAACACTCAGATTGCTGGACCTTTTTGATTTCTTGTCGTAGTACTTTTTCGCCAACGCAGTCAACTTTTGACTGTAGTCTTTCTCGATCGCAGAGCGCTCTTGGTAGAACTCTTGAATTTCAGTGAGCCAGTTGATGCCGAGACTGACCTGAGGTGCCGCTATCAGTGACTGTGAGGTCGTGAGGTCGAAGGCTTAACTTACCCAGTTGTCGACAGCCTTGTAACCGTCCTGTGGTGTGTCAGTCACAGTCAGCTTCAGTTGAGAGTGTCAACATACTTTGAGTTCGGCGCCAAAGCTGACAGTTGCAACCTGGGCCATGATGTAGACAGGTCAGCCAGACGAGAAGCACACTACTCCATGTCTTGAACGGAACTCCATAGACCAGACAAATGGCCTGTTTGTCCTGTGTCGCAGCAGCAATCTTGGCCGGGATGTGGTGCAGCGTCTCTCGTTGTGGTGACGGCCGAAGATCTGGCGGGGATGAGCACCTCAGTGCGTGCGTTTCCGCCCGTTCTCGGGGAGCCTTGCGAGGCCTGGCTCATTTGGCTCTGGGCGCCCTGGAATTGTGGCTCAGGCATCGCAATAGGCGCATCTCATAGGCCGGCGGGGCTGAACAGGGACTCGTGGCACTTATACGCACACCCCGCATCGCAATGTGCGCCTGCGCCACTAACAAAGAATTGTGGCACGCAGGCTATTTTTCTATCAATTCACCACCGGCGGACGGGAGCCTTATTCACAACTGCCTCAATCATTCATTACTGCCTCACCTCCTATTGTGGCAGGAAATTTTGCAATAAACACAATAGTCAAAAAGCCTCATTGTCTTCTCAGTACATTTTTCTTCAATTGAGGTCAATCGTCCTTCAAAATCCCAACTCTCCCTCGACCTCCAAGCCATCCTTCATCCTTCCATCACCAGACTCAAACCTTTGTTTGCCTGCGACACACATCGGACACTACGTCGATCACGACTTGATATCCAATCTTCCACGATGTCTGGGCAACCGTCGGCTGGCGGCTCTCTTGCAGACCGCATCTCTAAACCTGAACTCTCAGCGCAAGCTGATTCCTTCCAACCCAAGTCTGGGACCTCATGGGCGGACGAGGTTGCATCTCCCGCGACTGAACAGCCTCCTTCTACCGCAAATATGGGTGAAACAGTGGCCTCCGAATCGGCTGTAGCAGGATCGCAAGTCGACGGTGCCACGGAACCTTTTGGTGGATCACAATTACAAGAGCCTGCATACGAGGTTAATGTCAAGTTGGCAGACCTTCAGGCTGACCCAAACAATCCTCTCTATTCCGCGACTTCGTTCGAGCAACTTGGCTTGTAAGTACGTCTCTCAGCAAGGCATTGTTGGATAATAACAAGATCAGGTCGGAGGAGATCCTCAAAGGAGTCACGAGCATGAACTTCCGGAAACCCTCAAAGGTCCAAGAGCGCACGTTGCCCCTGCTCCTCATCAACCCACCGCAAAACCTCATCGGTCAATCCCAGTCTGGCACTGGAAAAACTGCAGCATTTGTCCTCAACATCCTGCACCGAATCGACCTCAGCTCGGAACAGATGCAGAAGACTCCTCAAGCACTCATTTTGGCTCCCAGCAGAGAATTGGCCCGTCAAATTCAGGGTGTGGTTAAGGTCATGGGATCATTTATTCCAGGACTTATTGTCGAAGCAGCTGTCCCTCAAGATGCTGCTGCGCGATCTCGAAAGATTGAAGCTTCGGTCATTGTCGGAACTCCCGGCACAACAATGGACATGATCCGCAAGCGATCCATGGATGTTAGACAATTGAAAGTCCTCGTTTTGGACGAAGCTGACAACATGCTTGACCAACAAGGTCTTGGTGACCAATGTATCCGTGTCAAATCGTGAGTATTCTAAGGAGCGAGCCCAATTTCCAACAATCCACTAACAATCATTTAGCATGCTACCCAAGAACATTCAGATCATTCTCTTCTCCGCGACTTTCCCTGACCAAGTCATCAAGTATGCACAGAACTTTGCTCCTGGCGCCAATGAGATGACTTTGCAACACCAAGACTTGACGGTCGAGGGCATCAAGCAAATCTATCTCGACTGCGATGGTGATCAAGCCAAGTACGATGTATTAGTGAAGTTCTACGGCTTGTTGACCATTGGATCTTCAATCATCTTCGTCAAAGTGAGTACGGACGCTCGGCCTGTTTCATCCTTGCTAACAGTACGGTAGACTCGAGAAACGGCACTCGCCATCGAACAACGCATGACTGCCGAAGGCCACAAGGTTGTATCATTGACCGGTGGCTACGAAGGTGCACAACGAGACGTCATCATCGACTCTTTCCGCACGGGACATGCCAAAGTCCTGATCACCACCAATGTTCTTGCACGTGGAATTGATGTTCAGTCGGTGTCTATGGTCATCAACTACGATGTTCCGGACAAATTCATCGGACGTGGTAAATTCGCCGCGGACCCTCAGACGTACCTCCACCGCATTGGACGAACTGGACGATTTGGACGTGTTGGTGTCGCGGTGACTTTCATCAGCAATCGCGAGGACTGGGAGAAATTGATGGAGATTCAGAAATATTTCAATACTGAGATGACGAAAGTTGCCACGGATGACTGGGATGAACTTGAAGAGACGGTATCCAAGATCATCAAGAGTTCTCGAGCCGGAAGTAACTGGAAGGATGGCGCTAAGGCATGAGTCGATTTCAGGATTCAGCGAAACTGAAACGATGTGGATTTGGCAATATCTCCCACCAGCAGACCATGTATCAAGAAATTTGGTCGTGGGACAATGCAGCTCAAGCGATGTGAGGGCAGGTCTGACACGGAACCCGGAAACTCGGCACAGCTGCAAATGAAGTGTGAAGAGACGTGCTTGACCATCAGATGTAAAGGCTAGATAGCATATCGACGAATTGATACCCACAACAGCACGGATTGGACTTTGCAACAACGAAAGAATGAATATGTCAAAAGAACAGGATCAATCCACCGTTGTCGCGTTTCTATGGATCAGGGGTACCCGTTGCTCGTTTCTACCAGTCACACGATTTGCCGAGCAGATCAGCGATTTTCTCCAGCCCTGTCTGGTCCTCGCCATCGAATCCGCTGACTTCGGCACAGTCGATATCAATAACACCGACAACCTAGAGAAGATCAATTAATTCATCAGTATGCTTGTCTCAAAAGGACCGGGGTAAGGAAGCAGAGTTGCGACAAGAGGTTTGTTGAATTGAATGCACATACCTTGCCACCACTCTTTATTGGAACCACAATCTCACTTCGACTATCACCGTCGCACGCGATGTGCCCGGGAAACTCCTCGACGTCTTTGACCAAGACGGTCCTCCCCTCGTTTTCGGCGGCAGCACCACACACGCCTTTACCGATCCGTATCGTCTGACATGCAACTTTGCCCATAAAGGGCCCGAGAATGAGTTGGTTTTCAGGGTCTGCCGGATCGAGAACGTAGAACCCGCTCCAGTTCACCGACGCCGACGGTGCCGGCAGGGAATGGTATAGGTGCCACAATAACGACGCCGTGTTGGCGGTGTTGGCGACCCAGTTCCGTTGACCTTCGAGTAGAGCCTCCAGCGAGCCGAGAAGTTGGTCGTATGCTTCTCTTTTGCTTAACGAGGCGGAAAAATTCGATGCATCTGCGTGAGGCTGAACATTTTGTTTTGGTTTTAGTGAGTTACTCGAAGATGAAAAGGTAGATAGATGATGAGACTTTGAAAGTCTCTTAGACAAGCAATATCATACACTCACCATTATAATGATTATAACTTTTGTTTGGTTCCGCTCCAAGAGATTTCAACCCATCGATGCCGGCCTCTCTATTCTGCGTACGAGTTGCTACGTCAGACAAACGGACCCGTACAAACAAACACCTGGCTTATGTCAGTCTGTATGGGCGATATGTGAAGAACTCTCAACAGAGCCTCGTCAGCCCAAAAAATTGTGCGGACCGGCCAATGGCGCAATCGTATTGCACCGTAAAGGCCAAAAAAAGCCTCGGTATCAAGCGATGCCGAGTCGGGACGGAGCATCTATCACCGTTCGAAGCCCCGTTGCGAAACCGGCCCGGTTGGTCGATCGAATCACAGACACAGTCCGACCGGCCGTTCTTGATTCGGCGGCGACGACGACGCTGTGCTGCATATGCATTCTCTCGGTGATAACAAGGGTCTTAGCGCCTATCGAATCAAACGAGATTCAAATGATTTGACTGAACGGATTTTAGGCGAATCGGACGACGTACTCGTATTCAAGACAACGTCTTATAAGGGAGGCGGGGGTTCCTCAACGAGAGCTCTTGAGTGTTCTTAACGTTATGCACCCGTGATATTCTTATCTCTCGCATAGTTTCCCCGCCTTGACTTTCCCTGGAGCTTTATTGAAGAGTTGAACGATTTCCCGCAAATATCCTCAACAACACTCTTCTTCCAAACCGCACGACTCGGGCTCACCATGTCCTGTCCAGCTTGTTTCAGTGGCTCAGTCCACGACCACGCCGAGCCCAAAGGCACAATCGAAACCATCCACGGCATCCGCACGTACGTCGCAGGTGGTAGCGATCCGTCCAAGAGCAAATCGACAATCATCTACCTTCCCGACATCTTCTCGTTGAAACTGGTCAACAACAAGATCCTCGCCGACGAGTACGCAGCGGGGACGGGATGTAAAGTGTACCTTCCAGATGTTGTTGTAAGTGATTTGTTTTTTTGCGCTGATAAGTCGGGGTTTTGATATACACCTTACATACCTACCTGACCTATTCAACATCAACCAAAGCAACGAAGCAAAACACACAGCACGTTGATTCAGCTACGGTGTCTACCTTCCCTACATGTATCAATCAACCTGGCTTTACTTTACTTTACTTGACTTTTGCTTTGCTTCAAAGTTACTTCCCTTGGATTCCCCATAGATCAAAAGGGCCAAAGTTACGATTTCAAAGGCTGACAGCATCCTCGCCTCCTTTTCCTACGATTTTTAGTACGGAGGCGGCATGTCCATAGAGCTCTTGCACAAGATGGACGTCCTCCGGACACCAAATGCAAAATGGACCGTCGGCGGCGTCCTCGCCAAGGCCTCCGCTCTCGTCACGCTCATCGTTCAAGCCGTGCCCTTCATGATGCACGCCCACCCCGAGAAGGTCTACCCGCAGGTCCTGGCGTACGCGCGCGCCGTCAAAGCCGACCTGCCCGAAGGCGGCAAGCTCGGCGTCGCCGGGTTCTGCTGGGGCGCGTGGCCGAGCACAAAGCTCTGCGCCGAAGCAGCCCAGGAGGGAACAAGCACAACCGCCGCCGCCGCCGACGACGACGTCAGCAAAGTCAGGCTCATCGACGCCCAGTTCAACGGTCACCCAAGCTACATTATCAAGACGCCCCAGATGGTCGTCGACGCCATCTCGAAATTCAAGGTCCCCTACACCGTCGCCGTGGCCGTTGAAGACATGCAGTTCAACAAGGCCGAGGCCGAAAAGGTCGAGGCCTTGGTGCGGTCCCAGGTGGGCGAGTCCGGCAGCGGCGGCTGCACGTACGAGTTCAGAATGTACGACGGCTGCGTCCACGGCTTCTGCGTCCGTGCCCCCGTCGGCAAGAACGACGACGTCAACGAAAAGGGCTTCGCCGAGAGTAAAAAGCACGCCATCGATTGGTACAATAAGTACTTGAATTGAAGAAACAGACAACCCTACCACACAGACAGACAGACAGACAGACAAACGGACCGACCCACCGACAGAGAGAGAAGGGGAGCGCATATCTCACGGCATCTACTCTTCGTGAAAGCCATATCTTTAGCAAGCAAGGTAGTGAGTGGTGCGACGGCCGAGGAAAGGAGAAAAGGGGACGGCTACGGGGACGAACAACAACCAAAACGAAATGTAACCAACCCAACGATCACAAACACACACACATACCCCCCCTTCTCCCCACCCCCGGAATGGTGTCGATGAAGCAGATGACAAATGAAAAGGAAATCGGAGTGCAAGCGTGACGCAAGTCATACAGAGATAACTATATGACAAGTGCCATGCTGGTGTTGTTCAGCTCACTCAGCAACCAGACCGGGGAAAGTTTTATTTGTTCTGGTATACCCCTTTCTGAACTTATCACGTTTTGATGTTGGGTTAGCCAAAGAACCCAAGCGCAGGCAAAGGCACACGCAGAGGCAGAGACAGAGGCGGTGTCGATGAATTCTTCGTTTCACATCGCCACCATCGTAATACAACAGCATGCAAATCACGAATTGCAAGAGTCGAAACTCGAGGCCAGTCCTTTTATTTAAAAACAAAAGGTGCAAAATATCAATTACAATATCCCCTTCAAGTTACAATTTTATTCCTCGTCTCCACAAACAACTAAAAGGAGCCTCGCTGCCTTACCTTGTGCTTCAATGCGCCCAGATTGCTATGCACTTTGCTACCCCTCGAGGGAGTGGCATTGTACAAGACAATTGTAGAACCTACTGCACAGCAAAGAGGAGAGTTCCTACCCAGAAAAACAAAAACAAGAACAATTAAGACCCGTGACCCAAAACCACCTTTGCCCTGTTGTTCGATACCCTCCGAATGCACTAGCTCAGGGCTGATGTACCACCAGACCAAATGTTCTGTCTGCAATCAACTCTGACGCGCCAATGCTTTATGCTGGCGGCGGTGGGGGAGGAACATAGTCGTTGCTTGGTGGCGGAGGTTGCGCATCCGGTGGCGGCGGCGGAGCAGCTCCATCGGGAGGCGGAGGAGGTGCTTGACCATATTGCTGAAGGAAAGAGCTGATCCCAGGAGGAGCAGATGGTGGAGGAGGGGGAACGCCATAGGTTGCTTGTTGGTCGTAACCTGGATAGCCACCGCCATAGCCATAACCTTGCCCTGGAGGCGGAGGAGGTGCTTGCTGTTGCCAGGGTGCGGCTTGGTGACCTGGAGCAGATCCATAGTCGGCTTGACGGCCTTGCTGCCAAGGTGGAAGCGAGGAACCGGTATCGCGGTCATGTCGATCCCGTTGCCAGGGAGCAGGGCCACCAGTCGGTTGCCTGGCCCATGGACGAGAATCGCCGCCACCGCTAGCACCGCGGCCACCGCCTCCGTACGAATCTCCTTGATCATAGCTTCCAGGGGCAGCCTCAATACGACCAACTGGGCCATCCGAGGGGTTTCCGGAGAGTTCTTGCATGAGGTTCTGTAAGGTGTTAATGTATGTCATTTGATGAAAGGGCAGTTCAACACATACCTCCATTTCCCGGTCGACAGCATCCGAAGGACCAAGGCGACGTTGCTGAAATCCACCCGGAACATTGTTCCGCATGTCACTGCCTCGTTGTCTGTCTGGACAATCCCTTGCCATGTGACCAGCATTACCACAAACTCGGCAGATGATGTTCGCAGTGAAGTTGCGCTGCTCTGGACAGTCATATTTACGATGACCGATTTGTCCACCTGCGAATGTTAGCTTCAGTGTCATTTGATGATGATGACGAGGGAGGAACTCACAATTCTGGCAAGCTTGATTCTCGTCGTCGCGCAGTGTTCCGTTGAGCGCGGCAAGTTCCCTAAGTTGATTACGCTTCAACTCGTTCTGTCCTTCGGGAATGGACGCCGCGGTTTCAATGACGTTGTGAATCAACTTCTTGGCCTTGTTGACCTTTTCCTCAGTGTCTGCCATAATGAGACAATGCAAGTCTTCTTCCTGGTTGCTGGTGTGAGCTGCGTCAGATCGGCCTTTTCCTTCTTTGACGGAGCCTTTGCCTCGAATGGCAATCTTGGCCCCTGATTCATTTTCCATCTTCTTCAACGTGTTACCACGAGGTCCAATAAGTAGACCGACTTTGGAGCTAAGTGTTAGTATCTGGTAGTCAAAAAGAAAACGCGATTTGGGGAGAGTTCTCGTTAGTGCAGGGTACACCACGCCTATCCACACAGCCTCATAGACAGGCGATAGCACGCACAAGAGTAAAACAAATGGGTTAGGAGCAGAGTTAGAGGGTTAGTTAGCATACTAAAGTTAATCTCGGGATAGTCATTCACTGGCACATAGACCTTTTCTTGGGTCTTGGTCGGTCGTCGGTAATCAGACGGTGGGTGATAGTTAGGAATGGTCTTCATGGCCTTCTCAATGAGCTTGTGTCTTTCATCCTCTAGACGCTTTCGGTAGCGGAACTCTCGAGTGTTGACTCGGCGACCGAAGTTGTCGTATTGAGGCGGTGGAGATGGAGACCTGTGAAATTTGTGAGCTGCTGTCGTTCATTTGTGGGTGGAAGAACATACCTATCTGCCTCCGCAGGGACAACGTCATTGATACGAAGCTTTTGACTGATCTCTTCGATACGCAAGTGAAGAGTATATGCATCAAGCTGCTCTGCTGTCATGTTTGCTTGGATCATGGTGGGAAGTCCCATGAGGCCTGCGGCTTTGTTCTCGCCAGCCTCACCCCATCGGTTTCGCTTCCTACGTCTCTTCACGCCATCGGCAGCAGGCTCAGCTGCATTTGTTAGCATCTGACATTGATCGAGAGGAGGAGCAACATACCTCTGGTAGGACTACGCCCACGCTTGCCCGAATCTCCGTACACGGGAGAGTTGGCAGAGCTTCCATTCTGCGAGTCACCGTTGCTTTCGCCTCCAAACCGACGACGTGTTCCGAGAGGAATGTTGTTCGAACCTGTAATGCCTTGATTGCGCCACGCCATCTTGACTGTTACGCCGATGAAGTTGGTTGATGTGGTCTTGATGAAATACTGAGCTGAAATTTATTTGTCCAACGCAGGCAGCAAAGGGGCAAAACACTGTGGCAACTTTGCCGAGATTGTGAACATCGATCGCTGCTTTAACAGAAGAGATGTGTCACTCGTGTCCCTCGACGGTCTTCACGACTATACAAGTATTATTGCTAATTACATACTCAGGTCTGGTGGCAGACCAGTGGTGTGAGAGACCATGAATGTGATGAGTTGGATATTGTGGGATATGATCAAGTTGAATGCACTTCAGATCAGCAACAAGTAGATTCGTTACACTAAAATGAAGTTTGCATTTGGTAGCACGCGTAATGACCTTGTAGATATCATGGTAAAGATCCTTTGCTGAAGGCGGCTAGATTACTCAAAGTTCTGTCTTGACCCAGCGCACAAGTTTTGGTGGTACTAAAGAATCCCACTCGTAGGCCTGCCAAGGTGGTGTATCAACCTGAATGAGACATACCAGGACAAAAAGGCTGAGAAGGCTGCATGCTGATATCACGTATAGGCATTTCAATCGCAACACTTGCCTCCTCCGGCGATCGTCCCTGTCCTCTTCCACTGCTATGTCCTGCTGTGTGAAAAAATAAAGGAGCATCAAGGTGATGGAAATCGCGATCCACACCAGCAAATTTCGACTCATCTTGGAAAGGTCGGGTTCCAGGGCGGCGGAAAAGCGAAATACCTGCTTACAGCCGAAGGACAGGACAATCGAAAGGCTGCAAAGGCGGACCAGAACGGCAAATGGAGAATAGTGCAACAGCCACCGAGACATCAACGATGACGCGAACACATGGGCGAGGTATGCAGCTGCCGCAGCCTGGTATGCCCATCAGCAATCTGTCTATAGTTTTCGCTCTGAATAAATGCACAGTGGGGGCCTCTTGACTTACCCAGAGGAAACTCAAGGCAACCTGAGCGATGGCTATCCGCTCGAAGATAGAATCTTCCAAGAGGCCTTTCTCGTTGGGGCCGCTAAAACCAGCAGCTGGATGGTTCGAATGCCATACGAGGCGGTAGATGCTGATGCAGATATGGCAAGCCCACCATGACGCAGATATTGTCGACAACGCACGGCAAAGAAGCAGAGGTATATGCCACTGTGGCTGGACTCCAAGCACCACAGCTACACGTGGATACCTTGCACTTCTAGCAACACTGCCTTTTCTGCCATCATCTCCATACTGCTGAGGGCCCGTCGCCGAAGAAGACGTACACACTCGGCTCAAGGATTCACGATAAGCTGGCGAGGGGTCGGTGGTCGCCAGTGGGCCGTTGTTTGCAGCTATGGCGGCTGCATTCCCCTGAAGTGAATGATCGCACGGTCAGCGGAGACCCTGGGGTAATATCGATACTCGGTAGTGATTTTGGACCAGACTATGGCAATACGCGAGGAAGAAGCGAACATGATCACGAAATCGAGAGTTAGAAAGTTCGCTGTCGTTGTATGAACCCCAGATTGCTTGGGAGTCCTTGGCATGACGAAAGGATCACTAACTAGGACCAGCTAGCCCCCATTTGGACCAGCCAGAGGCTTCCCTATAGCCACCGGGCCCCCGGGGAGGCTCTGCCGATGTCTTGATGTATTCGTACAGGCTACAGCGACAAGCGTCTGATCGAGGTGAACAAAGGGCGAATGGCAGAGATTGGCAGACTGTCAGAACTCCAATGATAACATATCCATTAGGAAGCTATCTTACGGAGCTGGTAGTGTCAGCGAGAGAACAGCCCGACCTTTAATTGTCCAGTAATCAGTGCTGCCAGCATCCCATATCCTCCCTCATGAACCCGTCCTCTTCTCTAGGACTGTGGCCTCATCACATCATCCCGAAAGCACGTTTCTATTTGTGGGTATCATAAAGCATGCAACCAGTCCCATCCTGCAAATGCTATCGTAAGTTGGCCGCTGCAACGGCCTGAAAGCGTGGGACGTTAAGAAGTAATCGTTTCAAGGAAAATGTTTCTCAATCAGGCGACAACTTCTATCTGTCCTCGACGACCGAGCAGGATAGCGCAGAATGTCGGTTGAAGCGTTTAGAAACCGTGAACCTGTGTGGCAATCAGTAAACCTGCAAACAAGCGCAATCAAGTGTCTTGTGTGCTTACCTTGATGGTTTTAGCGTCGAGCTCGAGGCCATCTTTGGCGACCAAAAACTCTTGAACATCTTTACGTTGATCACCCTGAAGCTGGATCACCTCACCCATCTCACTGTCGGTAACGATGGTGCCATTGCAAGCTAATTGTAATTAGTTGGTGTAAGAACTGAAGGCACATGTATACACACCGAATTTCTTCTTGATGACCTTGAGAATCTTCTTTTGATCGAACTTCTTAGGAAGGCCTTGAACGGTTGTCAAAGTCTTGCGACCATTTCGCTCTGTGATTTCTGCGTCAGCACGATGGTACGTATTGAGGGTGACATCGTTCCTTACGCTGAATACGGATGTGTATGTAATTCTGGGATTGCTTCGCTTCCCCAGTGTCGTCGTCGGCCTCCGCGAAGGGGTCTGTCAACAAAAGATGTTAGTCATAGTCAACAGATAAGGCGAAATGAACGTGATGGCCGAGGACCTTGAAGACAGCAACGGTGACTAGCCTTCGCAGCCCTGTGGACAGTGAAAAGGAGGCCTCAATGTGCATTTCCAGGTCGTTGTCGCTCGTTGTTGTTGTCGGGTGTGGTGGCGAACAAGGGCCGCGAGAGGGGTCGCTTACCAAAGGTTTTGAGGTTTTGGATAGTTGACATAAACTCGTTTGTCCGAAGAAAACTCGTTGATTCGAAATGAAGAATTGCCGTTGACTGGGGCTTATTGAACGTCTTTGAAACTGAGTGCGAGAGGGTTGAGTGGAGAGTAGAAATGAATTTGTTGTTAAAGGAAGAGAAGAAACAAGGCGCAGGGAGAGAAGTTGAACAGGAGGGGAAGGTTCCAGCGCAGTTTCAAACGCCAAGACTGGTGAGCCCAGGCCCGGTACGGTCGTAGTGTCTGTCACTGGCAGTCGCTTTGGCACTTTTGACGGTGCCACCCCAGGCGCTTCCCAACGCTTGCACAAGCCATCACACCTCCCCAGCTGGCCGTCCCTTACAGCCTATGTACCTACCTGCAGGTACCTCCTTGCAGGTACCTCCTCACTTGGCTACCTGGGTATTATGGACCGCCACTCTATTCGCATATCACCCATGCTACTGACCACGTCGATCCGCCATCTGAATCACACCACATCGCACAACGGAGGAATTCACAGTCTTGATCTCTTAAGCCACGGACGACAGACGATAGGATTCGATCACATCTTGCATGGTGGCGCTAGTGGCGCCAAATAATTATTGAGCAGGCATACTGCAGGTACTTAAAACATCACAACAGATGGCTGGCGTTCAAACCCCGTCCCAGCTCCTTGCCACATCTCAATCCGGCCGATCATGTCGAAGCCACCGGCAACTGTGCTTGCGAAGCCCTCGGCACATTTGCTGGAGGTGGAAGGAAGAGAGGCATGTATGTCTAGCATCTTCTATCAGCAGCTCTCCGGTAACAGTCACGTCGATCGAACACATCTTACCACTACGACAGCAAGGACTATCATACGTCAGTGTATCTGCCATAGAGTCCTGGAATGGTCACACATACCTGCCATGCCGAACGATAGATATCCAGGAGTAGCATTGTTGGATCTTTGAGCTGGAGTTTCACCGAGCCAGTTCAGGAGGGACGATAGCAGCGCAAACCTCGTCCACTCAGCCATAGCTCCAATACATGAGAATTGCGCGGCATGACTTACCACCCAAGCATTCTGTTAAAGAAGGGGTAGTTAGTACTTCTGTAGGTAGCTACACCTGAGAACAGACGGTCGTGCTGCTTACTTGTTCCGGGTGAACATCTGAGGCACATGTTAGTCATCTCGTTCTCGGCAATTATGTATTGCACTTACAGCTGCCATGGGCATGGTGCTCGACAACGTAGAACTAAAATCGGCGGGTTTCTCTTCTGTTGGCTCGACATAAGGTATGACTTGTTCCCTCGGGTTAGCTGAATGACCCTGAAGCCATGGCGTCTCGACATACCGAGATCAGTTCGGCGCATATCCTTTTTAGACGCCATGATTGCTGATTGCTTCTGTCAGTGGCAGGTCGGATCTGCCGATAATGCTGAAAGACGTCGACTACGAGACGGGGAGATCAAGTGCGAAGCTGGCAGATGTAGCCCGGCTGGGCAGAAACAAGAGCAACCAATGTTCCAGAATATTGCGGCTGAACTCCGGCCTTGGCTGCATCGAATCTACGGCGGAGCACAATACCCACAATGCAATTCCATACGTCTATCCTGCTTTCTTTCGCCTCATTCACAACACCAACATTCATCAACTTTAGGTGAGGCCCTATTCGAGATGTCAGGGGACCCTACTCTGTAGCCCACCCCAATATGCTCTGGTCTCTCTCGGGCGTCTCCCGTGCTGCTCTCTTTTTGCGGCTATGATGGAACTTCCCTCACTGCATCCGAACACCTGGTGGGAGGCCGTTTTGGTATGAGTTCTCTGAGATATAGGTCTCTTCTATATGAGCCTGTCGCCCTTCGCTTCTATTTTTCCTGTTTTGCAATTGATTGCGAAAGGGTCGGACGGGTTTTCTCCGACGGGGCAGTATACCGAAGTTCGGATTTGGATCAGACGGGGCAAAGTTACGATAGTATACAATTGACTGATTGCGTCAAACCAAGCCATGGAATTCGGATCATACCCCCCTCCCCTTTTTGGCCTTTGCGACCACAATCTCTCGTCCTTGTTCCCGGCATGACAATAGTGACGAGGTGGGATCATACCGGAGAGGAGATTAGAGAGACATTGTAACCTTGGGCTTCCCAGGGGCGTGGCCGAGGAGGATGGTGATCCGGTGGTGATGCAGAGTTCCGGAAAGGCTCCTTTTGAGATGGCATCGTCCATAAAAGGGAGTCATTTCCTCGTCTCTCGCAACGATGAAACTGGGGGTCGGATGGGTACCCAAATGATGAGGATTTTGCCGGAACCACCCCATATTCGTTATCCCCCCAGGGGGGTTCTCTGGGGAAGACAAGCTTCAACAAACAGGCTGGATGAACTTAAAATATATTCTAGGTTTGTCTGTTCTCTGCCGTTTGTCTGTGTCCGATCTAGACCTCGTCAGCCGTCGCCCATGCTTCGGTCAGCTAGTCAGGGCCTCGAACCCACCGAGTGGGCCAGTACCAGAGAAAGAAATTTTTCAAGATTCAAGGTCCTGCGCCAAATATGTCACATCATGTCTAGAAAGAGAGGGGCCCTCTCGAGCTAAGGGGCGCTGCCCACAACATCGGAAAATCCGGGGGCAACCCAAAAGCACTATAGACCGGGGCAATGGGACGTGAGCGAGCGCGCAGGTCAGGAGATGGTTCTTCTGAACGCAGTCTTATTCTTAGGTACATGGCATTTTTCTAGCCCATCCTCTCCCTTCTCCCAATAAATGTACCATTCCTTTATCAGCTTCGCGCCTCCAAGATCCCACTAGATGAGTCTATTGCTGCATAGGGGAAGAGCTGATGTGATGCCTGTAAACCCAGCTCCTGGCACGCTTGCCATAGATGTACCTGTGAAAAATTGTGAGCTGGGTCAAATTCGAAATGGATTACTGAGATTGGAATCATGGCACTTACATCGGAATTGTCAGAAGAGTGACTCCAATCGTGATGCCACCAATGACAAAGAATACGTTTCGCACACCCTGGGTCGCAACCCAGCCATTGAGGTAGAAGGTCAGGCCGAAGGCGAAGAAGTTCTTGATGAAGTTCATCACAGCAAAAGCCTCTCCGGCCTGCTCACGATGGCAGTCCACGACGTAAGTGACCACGGAGGTGGTTCCCAGTTGGACACCCAGGTTGATCAGGCCGAGGCACACAATGACAGGAATAGGCCATGGAGATTGTGCGTATGCGGCTTGACCCCAGCCAAAGAATCCAGTGGCCGTGAAGAGCACGTATGTCACCATGATGGGAAGGCGGAACTCGGGTTCTTGAAAGCGCGTCAGTAACACGCCATGGGCGTTATTTTCACTGGTGTGGACTTACCGAAAGTGCCCTTGTTGTGCCTGGACATCAGTTTCGCAACACCATCGATGGCTGGGCCGGCGACCAAGGTTCCGAGAAGCGACGCCACAAACGAGGACACATTCGTGGCTCCAACAGACACGACCGGGAAGTTATAAGGTGGGGCGGAGAAAATCTGAGACAGTGTGATCGAAATGCCGACCAACCACGAGATGCAGGTCGTGAACAGCAGAGTTGCCCACAGGACGACCGGAGAGCCGAGTAACTGGAACGGATGGCTGAGAGTTTTCCAGAATGAGACATGGTTGACGTAGCCTGAGTACAAACGCATCTCCTTGGCGAATGAGTTCTTAGTCTCAGGCTCAGAAGGTGAGGCGGCAGCGACTGTCACGTTTTCGTCTTTCTCAACCTGTTGAACGACCGCTTTGGTTTCGGTGACGGCAACCTGAATAGCGCTGTGTTAAAGATTGGACTAGAATTGATGCAGAGATTGGCTTACGTTGTGGGCACTTGTGTCGATGTTCAAAGAGCTTGACCGTTTGAAAGCGGTCTCCGGCATGAAAAAGAACGTCAGGATTAGTTGGAGGACAAATGCGCCACCCATGGCGTATAAGCAAATCTTATAGGAGCCATATTGAATAATAGGTCCGGCTAGAGTTTACTGTTAGCTCTGAAAGTCTGAGAAAGTGGATGTTGTGCAAGTGTGCTGACCGATAGGAGGACCAAGATTGATGCCACCAAGAACACCCAAGTTGAACAAAGCGGTGTAGAAGCCACGCTCGTGAACGAACCTGTTTCTCTTCGTCAGTGCTCCGTCATTTGGCAACTTCTTGACTCTTGACGCACCAGATATCAGCGATCGACGCAGGGATGAGGGCCTCCATGGGAGCCATGCAGAAACCCTGGACGACACGGGCGGCAACGAGCGCAGGGAACGACTTTGCAGCGGCTGCCCAGAAACAGGTGACTGCGAGGCCGACGGAAGTGGCCAGATAGATGGGACGCTTGCCATATTTCACTGCGAGTGCGTTGCAGATGATACTGCCTACTGCAATGGCGCAGATAAGGCCTCCTTGGAATCCGGAAATGAGTTTGCTGAGAGGAACATTAATTTCTTCCGCGATGGGGACGAATCCTGCACCGAGGAGAGGGCCAACGGCTAGAAGCGCACTCGTTAGTTGAGGCCCCAAGACGTTGAAACCATGTATGTTTACCTCCAACACAACCGCAGCCGTACGCGAAAGTCGCAGCAAACATGAACTTCTTGAACTTCGGCCAGTTGTAGGGGTCGTTGATTGAGTCTGAAGGCTGAGGGACCAGGACGATCTTCCCACTAGGATCATGCTTTAGCATCGTCGGGTCGACACCAACAATCTCGGTGTCGAGGCGTCCGAGGTCGGACAACGGGGCCGTGCCTGGCACATGCTCGAGCTTGTGATCGTCAATAATACCTAGAGGCATTGTGGCGATGAAAATTTTCTTGTTTCTTCAAATTGGACAAGGAGTATGAGGGAGTTCTGAACAATGCGAGTCGATGGAAGACGAGCTTGAAAAAAAAATCAGGGCCGGGTCCCTTCTAATGTATCTGAAAGGTCTGTTCGCAACTTGGCAATCAAGTCTGCATCGACAGTCTGGTCCACCGCCACGGCTCCACGATGTCAGGAAAAATCCCACCTTTTGGCGAACCCCGTGGGGCCCAGCTAGCGGAAACGTGACCCATATAGCAGAGCCATCTCTTTAATTGGTTTTGCGCCAAGGGCCCATGGCCATTCATGGTGAGTCAGTGCGAGCAACGGCGAGAAGTCAAACGCGACTATCGTATCGGTCCGGGGAAATTCGATGTGGGTGGGATATTGGTAGTCGATCGGTTACCCCCTGTTCAAGATTGACGGGGCTTTTCCCGACGGGCATCGACAGATCCCATGTCAGAATCTTGGGGTTACTGGCATGGGGGTGATTCCGCGTACACGTGGATGAGTGCTCTGTTCCTGGAGCTCGGGCCAAACTACCTTTGGTATTCGGTGCTCGTGTCCCCAAGAAGATGTACATGAGGAGCCACTTTTCACCCACACTCTGGACGTCAAAACTTTGCCCTCCAGAAGAGACCGTGCGACCAGTCGCAATCGACATGAAAGGCGGGCAGGCTCCTTCGATCAATGTTCCATCAGGCTGGAAGCTGGAGGTGCGTCTGTTAGGGTATTGTGCCTTGCAAGAATCCGTAAATCAGCGATTTTCGCGAACCATGTACACCGCCATTTGGCATGTATCTTACAAGTCTCATATCACAGCCATGATAGCCTTGAATCACATAGTAAATAGCTGTAAATAGTTGGATTATTTATGTAAGTATTATGTCGAATTGCACTCACTGTATTATAATAGGGGTAGATAGGGAAGCACCTGGTACACAGGGGGCTGTCGTCAACCAGGAGGCATGGGCCGAGAGTAGAGATTCATTCGCAGAACACCCCTTCATTCATTCCTCGCAACGCTTACTTTGTCTCGCCAACTTCATAGAACGTCTCTCAGAGCATGCTGCTGATCGGGGGCGAGGTAGGGTGTAGGGACCCTCTGGACACCTTGCCTACGCACCTAGGACCTCGCTGTGTTGTGTAATGTGATGCGCGCTAAACTTGAAACCCGCAGAGAGTGCTGAAAACTTGACTGAATTTGACTGTCTCACTGAGCCGCTCTTACGTGACTTCACCTTCGCTTATGACGACGACGACGGGACGGGCGCGTGCACCACGAAATCTCACATGATTGATGGGCAGTTTGACCCGGGTTCATCGCTCATAATCACCAACCAGTTCAATTATGATCGAAACTGTGCCGTTCGTTTGAGTATGAGCTGTGCGGGGAGGATATTGGGTGGATCTTCTCTTGCCCAGAGTCGAAGAAGTATTATGCACCGTCACTGGGGAACTGACAGGTCGACGCACCAGTGCTAGATGCTTCCATTTTAGCTATTCTAATTTCTGAGTATTGATGGGCCAGAAAATACAAAAACAAGAGACTTTATGAAAGAAACGTTACCAAGGCAGCAATCACAGCGTGATAATGACAATGTATTCATGTAACTTAGTAATCACTCTGTCACTTCGAATATCTAGATATGTTGGGTCGTTGAAGACTGATTTACTTTCTTGATTCCGCGCATAAATATACATTAAGATCTTGGTGAACTGCACGGCGGTATATTGCATACTGTACTAGAGGTGTTTATCTACCTCTGTAGTGATAGTATATCCGGGCTATCCTTGCGCGCACCACCAGCCTTAGGACCAGGGGTAGCCTCGGCCTTTTCAAGCTGCCGGTCAAACTTCATCGTTGTCCTTTGGCCACAGGTACTGGCTTGTATTTCAAGAGTCCGGGTGTCAGGACTTCACGTCCAGGGTCTTGTCGTCAGTTCCGCAGGTATAACCCTGCCACTAGTTCAACTTTGTTTTGGCGAAATCCCGTGGACGAACTCCACGGTTGAAAAGCTCGTCAATCTCTTCAAATGAACGTCCCTATCCCCAGAGTGTGAGTTATCTCTGGCCGTCACATAATCAAAGCACATGAAAAGGAGGGGTATGATGCTTACCTTCGTCTCAGGGTAGGCGAAATAGACAAAGATGTCTCCGACGACTAAACATCCGAAAAACAAAAATGCCACGTTACCGCCCATATTTGCTTCATCGGGATTGATCATGTATGGAAGGGCGAAAGACCAAACAGAGCTGAAAAGTCCATTAGTTGCCGTCGCCAGGCCCTGTGTTTGCGATCTAACACTCGAAGCTGGAACCTCAGAGATGAGAGTGTATCCTACGCCGCCAATGGACGCTTGATACATGAAGCCCCAAACCGCCATGAAGCCGACTTGAGTGTAGACAATGGTCGATCCATGGTCGATGAATTGAGTCAATATACCAATGACGAGGAGACAAACCGTGCATGCGATCAGGCCTAGTTAGTGCGCGGTGTTAGCAGTTTTTCTCGGCGAATCTCACGTACATACGTATTGGCACATACCGATGAGAATAGTGAGTCTTCGGCCGATTTTCTCGACAAAAACCCAGCCGCACATGCAGCCGACAGCCATGAGTCCAGTCACACCTACATTGAGATCGAAGCTGGTTTTAGGCTTCATGCCACCCAGCTGCATAAAGTAGCCCATATAACCAACCACCCAAGAGACACCGGAATTGGCCTGCAGAAAGAAGACTGAGCAGGCGATGAGGGTTCGGAGGCGGTTTGTCCCCTTGAAGCAGTCCAACCACGTGCCCGCATTAGCCGCCAGCCCTGCCTCGTGGGCGAGGAGGGCTTGAATCTCTGCTACCTTACTGTCGACCACATCCGAGTTATAAAGCCTTGCGATACTGGTTTTCGCATCTTCTAGCTTGTGTCGAGCCAGTAGACGCATAGGCGACTCCGGACAGAATGGCAAGAGAGCGGCGCCGACGCCCGCAAAGCCCCACTGCACAGCGAACATGATGCGGTAAGACATTGAGTCGTCCCTGCTCTGTGTCTGACGCATGACTCCGTAGCTCAAAAGCTGGCCGATGACAATGCTCCAATTCACAGCAGCGATCATGGCGCCGCGCAGGGATGGAGGTGCGACTTCAGAACAGTAGACTGGAGCGGTGGTAAGAAACACTCCTAGGGGTATTCCTGTCAAGAGTTTGCCTCCAAAGAGCATGGCGAGATGTCCCGGAGAGTACCATTGCAGGAAGACTCCAGCTGTGGTGAATACATAACCGACTGCCATGGCCCACCTCTGCCCGACATGCTTCATGCTCAGGCCGCTGCAGATACCACCAAGCATGAGGCCTATCATTGACGCGGCGGTGAAGGCAAGCTGCCAATTTGCTGAGACAACATACTGGCCGTGCCAAAGTCGTCCATAGTCCTCGCGAAACTTGGGTATGGAAAGGACTATCGCAGAGGCGAGACCGTCGTAGCCCCACATGATACATGTGAACAACATGTAGCAACACCAGCCAAATGCTTTGGGGTTTTGTCGAAGGCTGGTCCACCATGAAATCTTTTCGTCAACCTTGACGTGGTTGATTGGCTTGTCATCTTGGGTTGCACCACTCTTTTCGAGGTCGTTGGCAAGAGTCTCGGTAGTGAATACAGAGGGTTTCTCTTCTGCCAAACCAACAGGGAAGGACATTGTATCTACTACGGCAGGGACATAAAGTTGAAGCCGTGATCAATTGTTTAATGGGCCGAACAACGCAGGGCTTGGTGGAGGATTCGGCAGGCAAAGTGTCTGTTTGCAGTAGGGATTGAGAAGCATTTTTCTGTCGGCTGTTTCGAGGAATTTATACACAATGAGAGGTGCGGCTGTCGCGCGCAAATTGCAGAGCTAGCCACAACTGCCGGCCCATGTTCCAATACACCTGACATGAGAGCAGAAGCCGGGGAGCTACAATCCGGAGAATGCATGGCAACAAGCTCGGCTGATGCAGACCGGGGACAGAATGCGGGATGCATGAAAGTGCACTAACGAGCAGGAAACCGCACAATAACTAGTGAATGCGTCAAATATGTGACTCCGACGTCGGTCTGGAATGATCAATGTTGTAGTTGACAACGAGCAAAATTCAACGGTGACGATGGCAGTGGCATGAGATCTCGAGAGAGTTTTTTAGTCCGGAGAAGATGCAAGTCGAAGCGAGGCCGGGGCCCCTCCTGGGGGAACGTGACCCTCGGCTTAGGCTAGACATTCCTGTCCTACGGCGTAGTGATTGATCCATGTATAAATGAGTTTAAGCCATGTAAAGATCGAGTTTAAGCCATGGAACATCTTCGGGTCGCTATGACTCCACTACGGCATCGCATCGAGGATGAACTACAATAGCCGACGACGGCCTGACTGGCAACTCTGTTGACGTGTTACTGGAAGTACAAGAGCACTCTACAAGGCGACAGACGTGGCACAGCGTGATAAGAGAATATCCTCGCTTCCAGACAGACTCAATTTCTTCACCGGCAGAAATTGTCATCGCAATGGGTTCGTACAGCGGTTCCCAGCAAGGCTTCGAGTCTATCATTTCGGGCTTGACGGTAGAAGAGAAAGCAACTCTTCTCTCTGGCGCCGATTTCTGGACTACCTCGCCGGTCACTCGGGTCGGTATTCCAGCGCTGAAGGTGTCTGATGGACCTAATGGAGCGAGGGGAGGCCACTTTCAAGGCAAGACCACGAGCGCATGCTTTCCGGCTTCCGTGTCTCTGGCCGCCTCTTTTGACCGAGAGTTCGCATACAAGATCGGCAGAGCTCTAGGCCAGGAAACGAAGACGAAAGGTGCTCATGTTCTACTCGGGCCTACAGTCTGTCACCATCGGGATCCGAGAGGTGGCCGAAACTTCGAGTCCTTCTCCGAAGACCCCTTGCTCGCCGGCGAATTAGCGAGTGAATGGATCGCCGGACTGCAGAGCGAAGGGGTCGGTGCTACCGTCAAGCACTACGCCGTAAACGAACAAGAAACTCGACGTTTTACCATTGATGCCAGAGTCGACCAGCGTGCCCTGCGAGAGATCTACTTGAAGCCATTCGAGATCGCGGTGAAAAGGGCAGATCCTTGGGCAATTATGACGAGCTACAATCTTGTCAACGGCAAGCACGCCGACGAACACAAGGAATTGATCACAGACATCCTCCGTGGTCAGTGGGGCTTCAAAGGCCTAGTCATGAGTGACTGGGGTGGTACAAATAGTGTTGCTCCTTCGCTGAACGCTGGCCACGATCTGGAAATGCCAGGTCCTCCACTCAAAAGGACCGTTGACAACATCCAAAGGGCTCTTCAAACCGGGGAATTGACCGAGGACACATTGAACCAACGCGTGGGAAATGTCCTCAAGCTTCTGCAGCGGGCTGGCAAGTTTGAGAACCCAGAAATCGCTGAAGAACAGGCGGTCGACCTCCCAGAACACCGAAGTCTCATTAGACAGGCTGCTGCTGAATCCATGGTCCTGCTCAAGAACACCAACAATATTCTGCCATTGAAATCGACAAATACCAAGTCGATCGCGCTCCTTGGGCTCGCCAGAGAATACCTTGGTCATGGGGGAGGCTCTGCCTCGGTGAACAGCCACCACAAGGTGACAGCATATGAAGCCTTGCAGGCAGCCGTGGGCTCTTCAGTGCAGTTAAACTACGCCGAAGGCGCTCGAATTGTGCGCAACCTATCACCCTTGTCGGAGAATGTCTATAATGAGGAGGGAGTCCCCGGATTCACCATGAAGACATTCTCGAAACTCAATGGCGACAACCCAACCGTCTCGACCGTGCCTTCTAGTGTGTATCGTACACTTGAACCATCATCTATTGATCAGATGACACTCCTGGGCACATTCAAACCCAAAACCTCTGGGCTGCATTACATCTCGCTCTCTACGCTCGGCGGCACCAGGGTCTATATCAACGACGAGCTCGTCTTCGACTACTCCAACTCCCAGACTACGGACATCATGGCTTTCCTGATTGGCTCCCCCGGCGAAGACAAGAAAAGATATCTCTTCACGGCTGGTGAGAGTTATAGAATTCGCATTGAGGCAAAGGCCACAAAGGACACTATCTCTGGTTTTTCACTTTTCACCAAAGAAGCGATTGGATTCAGCCTGGGTTTCGCCCTGGAATCAGAACACGACGCCGATCTCTTGACTGCGGCAATTGAAGCCGCAAAGTCTTCGGACGTCGCCGTCGTGTTTGTCGGTCACACTCCGATCTGGGAGTCCGAAGGAGCAGATCGTTCTGGCATGGATCTGCCCAAAGACGGGTCTCTGGACGCGCTTGTCGTGGCTGCGGCCAAAGTGAATCCCAACACCGTTGTGGTGAATTCAACTGGATCTGCAATCTCCATGCCATGGATTGAAGATGTTGCCGCGGTGGTGCAGGCATGGTTCCCAGGCCAAGAAGCAGGGCACTCGATTGCCGATGTGCTCTTGGGCAAGGTCACCCCCAGTGGAAAATTGCCAGTGACCTTCCCCAGAGCCATCACCGATGTTCCATCATATGAGAACTTCCCCGGGGATATCAAAAATGAAGTCGTGCATTACAAGGAGAGCATCTACACCGGGTATCGACACTTTGACCGGCGACCAGAGGGAGTCCTCTTTCCGTTTGGGTTTGGGCTGTCTTATACTACCTTCGACGTTGTGGTGACTTCCGTGTCTCGAACGAAGCTGAGAAACCACGAGACACTGACCGTGAGCGCTGACGTTACAAACACAGGGACCACAGAAGGCGCCGAGGTGGTTCAAGTTTATGTCGGTGCTGGTGAGGGCACCTCGGCGATCGACAGGCCAGCCAAGGAATTGGCCGGGTTTGCAAAGGTCCACCTCAGGCCTGGTGAAGCCCGAAAGGTGGCCATTACTTTCGGAAGAGATAGTGTGGCATACTGGAACGAGTCCAGAGATAAGTGGTCTGTCGACAAAGGTGCGTACACGATATATGTTGGGACATCAAGCGTTGATATCGCTGGAAAGTTGGAGGTGGAGGTGCCAGAGGCCTTCGACTTTGATCCTTGAGCGTGTGGCCTAGTATCTGGATTTCCATAGATGTAGATTTGTTTCCTCGGCTTGAATGTAGTTAGGGTTTAAATTCTGTTGACATCTAAAGCTACATGCTCTGTCATCTTCAACTAGTACTTCCTCGTATTTGTCGCCCACTGCACCAGCGAGGGCCTCGGCCAGGATATCTGAACCATGACGCCCGTACCTCTAGATCTCCTCCGTGCAGCATGATTAAGCTATTAAGCGCGGTCGCCTACCAACTCCTGCACGGGGTGTCTTCTCTGGCTCTCCAAGTTGCGCCACACCACGATCTGCGTGTCATGGAACGAGTACTTGTCCAGCTGCGCCAACAGCTCCACAAATCTTTCGATGTAGATCCTGGCTCGAGGGGAGATGGTGGTGTGGTCTTCGAAGGCGCAATTCAAGAGTGGCGCAGCAACCTGGCGAATCTTGAACAGCAAGCTTCTGCCATTCGGCTCCAAGTTCTGTTGTCTTATGTTATACAGGACATGCAATAGTCTCTCACAGCTGTACTGACGTTCACTCCACAGGTTGTGCTGAATCCGGTAGAACTCGCTGTCATCTGTGGTCGAAGTAGAGGTCAGGCCATGTAAGCGTTCAAATATCCGACTCCTTGCCCACAGTGATGTGACGTGAATGTTGGCCCGTAGGCTTTCCAGTTGTCTATGTCTCAAGTTGTTCGACGGATCGTGTCCATTTGGAGATTCCGCGCCGTGGACGTAGCCGGTCCGCCAACCAGACAATTGTGGTGGAACATCATCAAGCAAATGAATTGTCCTCTGATACATCTTACGAAGTGTATCGATCACGCCTCTACTTCGGCTAGGTGACCCGAGCTCCTCGAGGGGCAAGTCCACAAATCCCAGGAAAACCTTGACCGCACAATTAAATCCGGCCACCAAAGACACGTGGTCTGGAGGCTGGGGAACGATGTGGTCGCTGAAGAGGTATTCGTCGTCCACCTCGAGAGGCATCAAGGCTGCCAAATCATCAGAATTAAACAGCATATGATCAGGGAGCGGCGCCCAATTCGAGTTTTCTACCCCTTCATCAGGCCTGTCCAGTCGCTGGTGTCTGTCAATCCGTTAGCCGATGTGTTCCATGGTTGTGGAGGCAAGGTCCATCGTCTCTCGTGGTCTCAACTTATCGACATACACTTTTCCAATAACGTACAGCCAAAACAATTTCTTCCTCAGCTGCGCCTCGATCAGGTTGACTGCACTGTAAGACCTTGGCTCATCTGCGCCTAGGAAGCTGAGGAAAAGGGAAACCTCTCCCCAGTAAAGCGTGGCGCGGCCTGACAGACCGACATGGTAGAATGACATGGCGAGAAGATATGCAATAGCACATTTCTCCACTGAAGCCGACTCGAAGTAGTCTGGCAGCCTGTAGCTGTTGATAAACTTCTCTGAATGAAGGGCAAAGTCGTAAGGAGAGCTAAAGGTCGAGAACCATTGCTCGTTCTTGTAGTCGAGGAATCGGCGCGGGAGTTGACAGACGACGAGGGTACAAATGCCGAGCAACAGAGAACGAAAAACTGTGTCGGAATCGGCGCGGTTATTGACCACGTCTGTCTGAAAGGATGGAAGATGGACGACAGGAATCAAAGGAAACAAGAGGTGGACATAATCTTGGACGATTATGCTTAACGCCTCTTGGGGCCCTAATTCCTCGAAACCGAGGACGAAGTCGTGTCGACCTGGTCTGTCGCCATGGCTGACGCTGGGACTGATGGAATGATATTGGGGAATCGACGTCGATATAGACCATTCCTCCGGGGCCGAATCCAGAATCTCATTTGCAGGATCAAGCTTGGAGTCGTCTAGGATCTGCTTGGCTTTCCGACGCGGTCGTCGATATTGAGCTCTATCGGAAGTGCATTCTATGCGAAGACTCCTGCATTGATTGCAAGACTCATCGGCGCTCTATGTGGTCCTGACGTTAGAGTGGTTGCGTTAGGAATAAGGCTGTTGGCGTTGCTACAAAATGCGCAGGATGCTCTCACCGTTCTCAGGCATTTTATTTTCCTGATGAAGCACGCATCACATGCTCGAAGAAGTACAGTGTCCGCGGCACTCATCCCTTGCGATCAGAGGTCAGGATACATCCCGCGTATGGCATATGGTGACACAGAAAGAAAGGGTGCATTGTCGCGAAGGACATGCCAACAACCGGACGGCTCTTACTATTAAGTTAGCCGCTCGCACTGTCCGTGATCGCAACGGATTGTGCTCTTCCTCGGCTGGCGGGCATCAACTAACGTTATGTAGTTAGCGACATTATCATGCTTGCCTATCGCAGCCTAGTCAAATTTTATGGTCAGAGAGCCACCCCTGAGCGAGGGTCAAGGAGCTCCCACCAAACTTGCCTTGACTGGCTAATCGCAGTGTGGACGAGTTTCGCGTACTACGTTTGTACATAACTATAACTGTTGTTCCTGGCTGCCAAGGTGACGCGTCACAAATGGAGAAGACCCTAACTTATAAGAGCACCGCAGAGGCGCTCGCGTCGCTCCGACAGGCCTCGAACTAACTGGGCGATCTTTGGGGAGGGGAAGAGACTTGACATGGGATATTTTGCCGACTGTAAAGAGAAGCCCTGCCATTTCACGTATGTAGATAGGTCTACCGAGATTTCTGTCGTGAGCGGCTCGTCATTTCTCAATCGCCCGGTCGTTCTACGTGGCGTGAGTTCCTGCAGCATTACTTCGTCTTAGAAGCACCATGTTGCACCATATTCGGGCCCAATAGCACGTGGCGCCGCATATCTGTTTCCTGCTTTGACTGTAGCCGCTGTGGTCGCAGGCCTTTATATAGAGGAACCACCCGTCGAACCCAGCGGGGCTGCTTCTCCACCCTCAACAGCAGCGAAATCATCTATAATCGCATGTCGAGAGGACACGATATTGAAGCTAAGTAACATAGACTAGCAAATATTTACGATCATAACGGAACCATTATCAATACCACATTTCTTATACACTAATTCTATCGATAGTACCTCTCTAGAACGCAACAGAAATGTCAGTATAAACTACCAGAGCGCTTGAGTTCTAGTGCCAGTTCCTGTTCCACTCTCGTCCAATAGCTGTTCCCGCCCACAATATCCCAAGAGCCTCCCAGTTCTAATCATGAAGTCAAAAGCACTCCTAGCATTAACAGCCACAGTGCTCGAGCCACTGTAGTAGCAGAGTTCTCCAAGTCGCTTTCTCCAGAACACCCATCGTGGTAGACTAAATCCTGGTTGTTGAACGTTCTGGGCCACGGTGAGGTCTCCAGGGACCGTGACGATTGTGTTCGATTCTTTATCTACTCATCGATCGACAGAGAGCTTGAGGAGCTTGACGCTGCTGATTTTGAACAACTCGACGGTTTGCAGAAAGTATGTCAAAAAGAGTAAGCTCTCGATTCGCTGTGGTCGGCTTCGAGACTTCTTAAAAGTCTTGCGTAGAAGCCACAAGACACATAGAGATATTTTGAAAAAATTCTCTCGGAAATCGGTAACTCGGATGAAGACATAACAAAACGTGAATATACGTTACTATAAATTCGCTGATTGAGGACCACAGCGTGAGGCTCCCTGTATTGATCTCGCGATCAGAATCATCCCGGAAGCTTTGATAGACTTCGTCATGCTCGACAAAGTCGGTCATCTTGGAGCGGCCAAAGAACTCTTAGGTAGAAGCAGATGATCAGTTGAAGTGGCACGAGGGAAGAAGCAGATGCAAGCCACAGTGACCATGGCCGCTCGCTCGGCTCGCGCGAGCTGGGGTGCGCAGCGCAAGGGCGGCATCATCCGATTTCCTTATCCGGGCTGAATCACGAGGAGTTCGATCAAACCTTGGCATCAGCGGAATCTCCTGCGCAAGCTTCGCTCGGCCCTGGAGAACTTTCAAAAGCCAGCGATTGAAGAGGTCAGTCAACCCATGACCTGTGCAAGATAACTAGAGATATCTACGCGACCCCAATGTCGCGCCCAACCATGGTCCTCCCAAGGAGGTCTGCGACAACCTCCACTGTTTCTAGTTTTGCAAGCAGAAAACCTCGCACTCCATTCCTCTGCGAACACCAAATCTTTGCCCTGGCAGCTCGCCAATTTACGACCAGTCACAGGAGGGAAGCTCTCGGACAACGCAGAGATTTGGACTATGCCTCCGTACTACCGAAGCAAAAATCCCAGAAGACGATGATGGCCAGGACCTCGTTCGAAAAGTCAAAAGCCCTCCCTGATGATTTGGGCAGAATGCCCAACTGCCCCGTCATATCCACGGCATCAAACCTCCCCAGTTGGTTCCCTCCCACATTCCGAAAACGACTGCAAATTCAATGGTTCCAGATCAAGCAAAATGTGCAGGGAACCTTCACGTACGGCTCACACCCTTCCTCCATTCACCTCCCTGTCCGCTACTGACATCTCTGTCCAGCTTGATCTATCTACAGTGGTGGGATGCGCCCCGAGACCCTCTTACGAACAAGAAATTGTCAAAGCCTCTTGAGCTCTCCGAAAGACCCCAGATTGCCCTGGATCTGCACAAACAATTCAATACAGCGCTCGCGGCCGGCGATATACGCGCTCTCGAGAAGGTCGCATGCAACGGGCTCCTTAGCCAAGCTCGATCTCGCGTTGAAAGGAGAAAGAGAACGCGCACAGACGAACTATGGAAGCTGCTCAGTTATTCTGGCATCACCTACCCGCGCTTCCTACAGAAGTGGCCCATATCCGTGCTACTCCCTAATGCCTCTGCGAGAGTCGTCTCTGACCGTTTGGCCCCTCTCCCAATGCCGAACTCCTCTTTCCGGCAATGTACCGTGCGAATTCGATCGACGCAATATTACAAACTGGCGAATATGGCCCAGGGCGATGTCAAAAACCTGACTGAATATGTCGTGATACAGAAACTTACGCTCAACGGTAAAGAAGGGCCGTGGAAGATGTGGGGAACAGTTGATCCAAATACCATTGAAGAGTTAGAGAAGATGATCGAAGGTGGAAAGACACAAGACACCATAGGCGGCAGATTCAGAGAGCAACTCTCCGGCTTTACTGGTTTCAACGTTTGAAAAATCTCTCTCCGGCGAGACTATCCCTGCGCCAGTCGAATGGACATTGGGACGATCGAATATCAGCAACACCTCTGTCGTACATCTTGGTCGACAATCTTGGAAGGTTGTGTTGGGATTACTCAGTCACCAACCGTGTGCGAGCAGTAAGGCTCTGAGTTTTGCGACCTTCCCAATCCGGCATCTTGGTCGATGTCAAAAACCTCTGACAGTCAACTCGCGACGAACAGAGGGTTGCCCTGAAGAAATGTATCAATAATATGGCATTTATACGAATACGACCTTCTTCCTTGAACCTAGCTGGACCGTGTCGCAAACTACCCGCTTGAGGTATATGCTGTATGGGGCTCCGGAGACCATGGCAGTCCTACAATAGTTAGTGCTTTTAAGGTCCTCACTTTTGTTCCACGCTTGGGTCGCCTATTAAGTGTCCAATCTGAAAAGTGGCTCGGAGCGTTCATGTTGGCAGGAACAAGGGTCCCTCCCCGTGGGACTGACTATCTGTAGTGAGGTTCCGGACGATTGATCCGATACTTGTTGATTCATTGCAGGGTCAGCATTGCTACACTCTACACTTTGGACACGGAGAGTGAGTAAGTGAGTGAGTGACTGGCTCTACCTCCCTCATTACCTTACTGCTTCCTTGCTTGCTTGCATGCATGCATGTCAAGTTGAGTACCTGAAGTTCTATACATGTGCATATATTCCATCCATGTCCCAAAGTCAGTAGCGCACCGTCACACAATGTTTCCAATAGGGACCCCCCCCCCCTTTTTTTCTTTTTTGGTTCCCTGTGGCAAGTGAGTGTACCAGTGCGGTGTATGTTACGGAGTACTCAGGTAGCATAGGTCCTTGTGTAAATCAAGTAAGTAGTAAAGGAGTATTAAGAACCGACGACAATCGAAATATATCATACCTACCTCCATTGCAAATGGTGGCCCTCTTTCAAGCACAACCTACCTATTACCTACCTACCTACCTACCTACCTACAGGTACCCAAAGGTACCTAAAGGTATTGTTGTCACTTCCCAACTGTACATACATAGGCAAGGAACCCAGTAAACACCTAACAGAGGTGCCAACTACCACCCTGACCGTACGCATACGTCGACAATTTTTTAAATTTTCTTTTTATTCTTTTTTTTTTAAAAAAAAAACTGATACCGAGCTCGAAAAACGTACGGTGCCTATACTATAAGGTAAGGTCCCTAATAGGTTGGTAGGTACCGGGTTCCGAGGGGTGTAAGATGTAAAGGTGAAGGCACCCAAGTAGAACGAATGCTTCACTGCACGTGGCCATCACACCGTTGGTACAAGGTGACCGTATAGGTACCTACGAGGGCTTAAGGTTCGTGGTTGTGTAAGGGATTCGAGTTGGTTCTCTCCTGCGCTGCTCCAATTCCTGCTCGGGTGCCATCTGTGACCCTGTTCCTGTGCCTGGATGTTCTTGTTCTTGTTCCCATTCCTATCCTGTACCGTGTTCCTCCTCCTTCTTTTTCCGTCGGTGCGCCTTTCTGTGGGTTAGGTATTTCCATCCTATCTTCTGTTCCTATTCCACGTCCCTCCTTCTCCATCAGAAATATGACGACCTTTTTTGGGCGTTCGAATTCGTACGTTGACCGTGATTCATGTGAACCATTTTACAACTGAAGTGATGTATTTGTAAAAGCAGAAGAAGAAGAAGAAGAAGAAGAAGAAGAAGAAGAAGAAGAAGAAGAAGAAGAAGAAGAAGAAGAAGAAGAAGAAGAAACGGTCGTGGCATGTCTGGTCTCTGTTCGCAAAAGAAAAGAAGAGAAAATGAGAATCGTAATCTCGTTTCATCCATTAACTCATTCATCCCATTTCGAATGATCCGTTTCCAAATTCCCAGATCAGAAGCTGAGAAATTTCATCGTCCCATTTTCATGGCTTTTGTGACCACATTGGACTACTCACCACCAAAGACACGGGCACACGACGCTTATCCAAACTTATAATCCCTATGTTTTGCAGTCAAAAGTGCCCTGTATGAGCGTGGGTCGAACGGTGCAGGGTCGGAATGCTCCGCAGTTTCCGACCTGACGCGCCCACCACGCTTTACCTGTGATGTACTGTCTCATTCCGAGGTACAGCCGAGAAAGCTCCGTCTTAGCTGATCGAGGACACATGTCTGGGTGAGACGCCGAGAATGGGTTAAAAAGGAAGGGCTGAAACACAGACGGTGCACATGCAGGTGGGTGCTGGTCGTCGAGTCGCAGTCGCTGGTTGAGAAAAAGTGCAGAACAGTCCCCCCCGATACCCTCTAGAGGCATATCAGAGATTCATAGGACAGGACAGTACTGCATAGTCCAGTGCAAGCGTCCTGAAAGTGGCACTGCGGGATGTCGGTAAACACATCAAATGTCTCCCAATATTGGTGCTGTAGTAGTAGTTGTTGTAGCAGTAGTATTGTTATACAAGTGAAGATCGCATCCTTCTCCTGCCTCGCCCCCCACCGGTGTCTGCGCGCTGGTTCAAGACTTGTCGTAATCGAGGATCGTCCCGGTCTCGATCTTTATGATGTGCTCGAACGTGCCTTTGCAAGTTATCCGGTCGGGGGTATCGATGCAGTTGATCTGGACAAAAGGGGCAAGGGTAGCCGGGTGAATCGTGGACCAAACCGTGTCTATTAGCCACGCGAAGATTAGTTCCCCGGTACAATACACTGGAGCATCAAAAAAGGGGTGCCTTCTTCTTTCTTACCGAATCATCTCGTTCTTCCTCTTGAAACCCTTACCCCCGGGACCATGTGGGCAACCCGCAACGTGACAGAAATGCGTCCTGGTTTCCGAATGCACATTCATGTGACTGTTGAGTAGGTATTGCGTGTGGAACGGGGAAGCAGTGCAACCTGGGTACAGACATTGATACGAACCGTCTGCCGTCAGTTGACTCATTGCCGGGAGATCATTCGATAGCTTTCTCTCCCCATCCTCCTCCTCTTCTTCAGATGTAGGCTGCGCATCGGATGCAGTCCTGGCAGACGAATCTATCGGGTGGGTATCCGACACCGAAGAACGTTTGCCATTTTGGATCGGAGCCAAATTCTGTACGCTCATCACCGCTGCCGGTGATTGGACCATAACTATCGAGGAAGTTGGAGTAGACGCTGCTCCAGAGCTGGGAGGTGTAGGCTCCGAGGAGCCGGATATTGAGCTGTCTCGTGTTGTTGACCGCCATGATGAAAATTGCACAGGTATAGCTGGAGGGGACATGGCTGAAGCATGCATGGGCGGGTGAAACGGAGGAGACGGACCAAGAGATAGCATAAGACCGGGGGATGGGCGACCCATAAGGGGTGACACACCAGTGAACCCTGGCGAATTCGCTTCATAACCGCCCAGGTGCGTTCTCAGCGGAGGAAGTGTTTGCGTGTGTTGTGGCGACGACGCGGGAGAAAATCGGGGGGGAGACTTTTGGATGGCAGGCAAGATCACATCGGGATCTGGAAACCGAGGGGTCATGGCGTATTTTCCCAAAGCCGGTGATGTGATGAGGGAATCATGACGATCACGATAGGGATTTCCATGGTCCAGCGGCAACAGTTCCTTTGCCAACGGAGGAGCCGGTCTGTACTGTATCGTGATCTCGCCTCTCTCGGGCTGCTTCTCATGTTTTCTTGGTGTCAAGCCCTGCTGCGTTTGGGGCAGTCCATCGCAGCCGTAGGTATCCCGAGACACAGGGGGGTGAAGGGCCTGTCCACCATCGTGCACACCTCTGGGGGAGTCGATCATAGGGAAGTCTCCATCATTGTCGTTGAGCAGGCATTCCTCTGCGATATTAGCCCGCGCCGACGCATTATTCTGGGCGGCAATGTGTTGAATCATCATTCGGGTTTCTCCCGTTTCGGCCTGATTGCCCTCCTCCTCTTCCTCCTCCTCGGAGCCAGAGGCAAGTGCATGTTTCTCGGCGAATCTTGCGAGCTCGACCTGGTTTGGATCTAGTGAACGTATCAGTGTACCATCGCTCAAGGATGGGTCAGTCCGACTTTTTCGGCTTGTCCTCTGACGCCCAGAAGGACCGTCCTCACAAGCTTCGTCTTCGTCCGAGGAATCCGAAGACGGGTAGTTGGGCACAAGTGGTGGAGGAGTGACGACCGGCTTGTAGTTGATGTTTACAGGCTTCAGCCCAGGGCTCCTAGCAGGCGCGAGAAAGTCTCTCTCTAAATCGTAGACTTGCTCGGGATCCTGGTAGTTGGACATGGATAGACGGAAATATCACATGGTAGAAGAATTGACAGCGAGGGTCAGATCAGCCCAGTCAACACTATGGACGGCCGATTTTCCCACGATTGGGTAAACCACAAATTCGACGGTCTACGACTTCTTTCGGAAAGTCGGGTTACCGTAGGATTCGATCTGTGTAGTTGCCATATCAGCGTGTGAACAAGAAAAGGTACTTTGAACGAGAGTCGCGCGCTGATTAAATCGAAAGGCGGCTGCAAATGGTCGGCCACTGAACAAATTGCATCAACACACGTCATGCTGCAAGATGCATGGCTCATGGGACACAATCCATTCAAGAGTGAGGGCGTCAAACAAGGCAGGGCATCAGCCCACCGAGGTCTTCGGTGGTCCATACCCTTTCAGCCCGCCGCCCAAGTGTCCCGCATGCCCGACGTCCGCACAGAAGATTGTTGCTAAAATAGATCGAAACGACCAAGAAGAGGATGAAAAGCGCGTTTCCATGTTTGTAGGGGGGATGTTGGCATGGGGGAAGTACTGAAGGGCCTTCATACCGAGGGAGGTTTGTCGCAACGTCAGGGTCAATGACGAGGCAGCACACGGTGAAAAGAGGCTGCGCAACAGTGTCATCGATGCCAGCCGACCTGTTAATCTAACGGATGGCCGGATCAAGCAACAAAGGTCGAGTGGAAGGGTTGTACAGAGGTCGATGTTGGAGGGTTCGTGAGCTTCAAGTCAGTCTGCGAGGCTGCACACACACACTTTCTCGAGACTGGGGATGTGGATCGAAGAGCCCCTCGAGCCTCAAGGACGCATCAGCGCGGGCAGAGGAGGACGGCGTCGAAATCGTGGGGGCTTAGCTGCACTGCCCCAGCGGTGTCGCTGGGTTGGCTGGATTGTCCAAGAGTCGGCGAAAGCAGGACAAGGAGTGCAGGGATCTTGGAATCAAGAGATGGACTTTCGACGAGGGTCAGCAGGTCTTTAGAATAAGACTGCCAGACCTTGTTGACCGTGGATCAATGATGTGAGTGGACTTTTCGAGCCCTGGCTTTCGATGTCTGGACTGCATGACAGGCTTACTCGGTTGACGGGGTTCCATGTTCACGAAAGGACTAATGAGAAGGGTTCAACCTCCCGGTTAATCTGAACCACAGAAGCACGCAGGCCTCCTGCCCATGGCCGGGCCGAGGAGCGAGGGGGGACGACAGTCGAAGGAGAGTACGAAGTATCCATTAGAAAGTCCTATGCGTCTAGTGAAGTCAAATTGATCATGTTTTGGGCCGGGACACAGGCTCGGGGAATGTGTGTCGAGTACGGTGTGTGAGGAGTGGACGAGAAAATAGTAACAGCGACGAGCGACAGTACATCACCCGCTAGTTTGACGCCTCCGTCCTATCCATAAAAGGCAGCCGGCTGGCCGGCGACGGGGACAACAGAGTCACAACGCTTGTTTGGCGTTTGGACTCGAGCGTACAGTCGTTGGCGGGTGACGTGGCAGGGCGAGGAAATACGTACGGGAGTCGAAATTTGCGCTCAGGCAGGTGCGTAATGCATCAAGTTCTACTTATAGCTCAACCGTTCCCGTGCTTTCCATGGGGGCCTCACTTACCAGCTCATAGAATGGACACGCGAACGGTGCACGGTTGTAGAGTCTGCGTAGACGGACAAGACACCAACGAAGCGTTTCTCGCCCGGCCACAACGACATGCAGCACAGTACAAGTCTCGCCACGCCATGATCAACAACACCGGTGTCTGGCCAGACTCGCCATAGGCCACGGGGTAGAGGACGCTGAGCCTCATTGTTCCAGGGTCTATCCCGGCAAACGCTGCTGCAGACAAGGCACACTCGCCCAATAAAGATATAGCACTAAAGGCCACCGAAGCAGTGATCCCTCTCGCCTAAGAGTGTGAACTAGACGCTCCAAGGCAGGGGTCGAGAGCCGCATCATCATCACCACCACCATCACCGTACCTCTGTAGGATTGAGCCCCCGGTCGTGCATGTCTTTCACCACCAAGCTCGGTTCCGATGCAGTAGACTTTCTCTTCGTAACTTTGGACAATAAGATGCGATCTTCCAAAACGCGTTGGTTCAGTTGTCTAACTAGTGCCCTGCGGAATCTTCCATCGAAGCCCTTCTCTGGCGTGTGCTTAGCTTTGACTTCCCGAACATCCAGAGGGCAGGGTTACAATATTTTGTCCTGGCTCACACCTTATTCCAGAGAGGGGCTTCTGTCTTGCTTCGATAGGCATAGCGAACCGCCATATTGGGCTCACCGCAGGATTGTTGAGCACAAGCTTCGGCCACGACGCCTTGTCATCCCTTCATAGGTCGTCTTGACATGTACGCGCCCGAGAAGCTCTGGGCAACCCTGACCTGTCAGCTCTCGAGCGACTTCTGCAGAGATGGCCGACCTATTTGTATTGTGCATCGTGCCAGTGGGCACCTTCTCGGACCACCGACTTGCAGCCCAACCGCACTAATGCCAAGTTTGGTATGCTTCTCGAGGCTCCAACCGTTTCGTCCAAAGCATCCAAAGTACCCGGTGAAAGAAAAACACTATGTTTTCAGTCCAATTGCGAAGAGGCTCAAACCTCGTGGCATTAAATTATCTATCCCAGCCCGGTACAGTAATGTTGCTTTCCGAGGTGAGCCGCATCAAACCAGGAGTATCCCGACGTAATTGGTAGGCCTCTGTCATGGCCATCTTTAGCCTCGGTGTATTTCAGGACAGCTGGGGCCGGTAGCGCATGGGGTGATGGAGGGAAAGCCTTAAGGGGATCTAGGTTCGTCTACAGGCAATCTCTTCTAATTCGAAAGCGGTGGAAACTCTGATCGGGGGTAATAGCACCTCGAGTCCAATATCCCGTGCATGCAAAGCTACTATCCCAACAGGGGCCGCTCCGATTCATCTTCCTCACTCATCCGGTCTTCTTGATCAGGATACAGAAGAAAGTGTTGGATGATGAAGATCACGTCGAACATGATGCTGATGTTGGAAAGACCCAACTTCAGAGGATTGCCTGTGATGCCGCTCCAGTCGCCTTGAAAACTGCTATCAATGACGAGTTGAATCAAGGATAGCACCCCGCCGGTTATGTCGAACAAGATTTGTAGGATGCTCCAGCCCACCGTCGATTTGCGCTCGAAGTTCACAATCACCTGCGGAATGTACTTGACAAAAGTGCAGATGAGCTTCACATAGCCCAAGGTGTAGAGCTAACAACATGGTAAGAACTGCTGATCTGCTGACGGGGACGAGACACAACCACCTACCACATCGATCCACGCCCAATCCTGAGGATCTTGTTGTTGGAAACCAGAGTGATGTATCACGAGTCCAACAACGGCCAATATAGCAAGAACGCTTCCCCAAACAATGCCCAAGACTGGTTTCGCAGCCCGTTGGCGTGAAGATACCTTGAAACCCCACAGCCAGGGATAAAATTGGGAATATGTGAGGACGACCAAGACGACGGCATGCGCGCCAAAAACCATGTCGTTAAATTGTACTGTTGGCTCTGGAGATGCCGGATGCCTTGCCGCGTATTGATTCCGGATTGTAGCGGAGTACAGAAATCCGCAGGAAGAGATGCTGTAGCAGAGAAACCCAAGGACATTGAGTAATGGAAAGTCGATGGCCAGACCTAGTGTGGACTTGCGCTTCCAGTTCAGCCAGGGTTGCGGATAGAAAGAAGCGCTCCATGACAGAGTACTGCAGTACCGTGAGCATCAAAAATGGTTGGCCAGTACAATATTGACCTACTAGATCCAGCCTAGGAGACTGTTGAGGTCATCAGCATTTGTACCGCCGGAGAGATCTTGTGTGAAGCTATTTGCCAAAGAACTCAACATACCTGGAAAGAGCCTTACCAAAGGTAACCCAGCCGCCATCGCTACTCCTGGTCATGTTTGGTTTGAGAGGCCCAGAATCCTTTCATCGATCATCAGCTGCCACTAGCACGACACTCACATGGCCTGATTCCTGACAGCGGCGTGTCGGTGACGTGGCCCGACTCGAAGAGGAATATTGAGAAGCGTGCAAGAAACGCTTCGCGATGAAGTTCCAGGTTCGCAGATGGTGTGATGCCTACCGTACGCTATGTACGAGATAAAGGCAGGCCGTACTCGTACAGCGTACGCTGAAGATGACTGGGCTAGATGGATACAGGTAAGTGTTTTCTCAGCGTGGGCGCGCGTTGCTGTTCCAACGCCGGCCACGATGTGTCTTGGCGTCACGGGGATGTGGCAGCGAACCAGAATGCTTGAACCGGCCCAACCTGGCTTTGACTTGCATGCGCTGAACAACTCACAGACCATTCTTGCTGCACATCACTCTTATCGCTTGAATTTTGCCAAACTGTCAAAGGAACGAGAACCAGAACCTTGCTGCTTCATTTGCGTGGTTTCTAGTCAGTTGAAGCATACTCCGTACCCACGTCTATCCTATTCTCTTACCCCGCGCGAGCCGTCAAAGTAAACAAAAAAGTTACTTGCCTAGCCGTCCGAAGCGCAGAACAACAATCCTATTGTCCTTGTACTTGCAAGGTCGACTTATACAAGATAATTTTCATAAAGACGAAGATTGCGACTGTTCGACTTGGACCCTGCTCTTGGATGGTCCGTTCCTTTTGATCAGCGGAGGTCAACCTCCAGCCAGGACCTTTTCTACACACGAGCCATGTCGCCTTCACCGCAGCTAGCTCCGCCAGGAAGCAGCTCTTATGATTCGAGCACAATGCACGTTGGTGACGGCACGTGGGATGCAGGAAGAGATGATTTTCTACTGCCCAATCTTGTTGGGCTCAATTTTGCGACAATGAGATACAACGGTAAGCCCAGTGATCGCATGTCGAGACCAAGCACTGACCATAACTAGGCATGGGCAATAGGTTCTTTACCATGAACGGATACCACTCCTTGGTTGAAGCTCATGGCATCATTGCAGCAATTACGTTCCTCGGAATCGTTCCACTGGCCGTCTTCCTCGTCCGATTCTATGGCCGACAACCGCGTCTGGCTTTGCGCCTGCACATTTGGCTTCAAATCCTTACGCTGCTGCTGAGTACAGTGGTGTTCATCTTGGGCTTCATGGCAGTCGGGCCTAACAGAAGCTTAACAAATCCGCATCATGGCATAGGTGTGGCCATCTACGTCCTGATCTGGGTCCAGGCCATTGGCGGATGCTTGCTGCACAGAAAAGAGAAGCGACGGACAAGACTCCATATTCCTGTTAGGGCCATGCTTCACCATTGGTTTGGCCGGGCAATTGCTCTTCTCGGCATCGTGCAAATTGTGCTTGGCCTGACATTGTATGGATCACCACTGTATCTTTTCGTTCTCTACACACTGTACGTGTTTGCGTTGCTTGTCTTGTATTTTATTCTGGAGTGGCTAGCGGAGCGAAGAAGAGCGCAGTATGATAGTGGCGGCAGCTATTACAGCGATGAAGTTTCCTCTAGGCCCCCTCGACACCAACACTCGGGCTTAGGAAAGCTCGCATTAGCTGGGGCGGCGGGGGCTGGACTTGCCGCACTGTTCAGGAGACGATCTTCCCGCCACCGGCAACATCCGAGCGACACTGGTACAGAAGAAAGTACAACGTCCTACTACACTGACGAGAAAGAGTCTGATCCTCGTCGCCATGAAAAAGGCATCGGACACCGCCTTCTTCAAGTCGCCGCAATTGGAGGAGCTGTGGCTGCGGCCAAAAGAATATTTGGTCGCAACGATCGCGATGACGACGATTCAGCTGCTGGCCCCTACAGACCCCCAAGACCAGCTCTTGGAGGCAACCAGTCCGTCACTACGGACTCAATGTCGCGAGTTGAGGAAGGTCGGCCGCTAGGACGCCCTGTTACTCCTGTTGGAGCAAGCCCTGGATATGTCCGACCAACTCACCCCCTTGCCCAGCCTCCACTGACCCCGGGCTCAGGAAGACGTCATTCTGACTCTTCCTTGTCGTATGCTGACTCTTATGCCTCGGCATCACCGTCACGACGCGATCGGAGGACGCACACCTTCCGAGATGCGCTGGCTGCTGGAGGGGCGGTGTTCGCAGTGCGGCAACTGTTTAAGCGCAAACCGCGAAATGATGCTCGAAGGGTGGAGCAGGAAAGAATCTCTCGAATGAACGGAGCCCACGGCTACACGGGCGATGGGGTCACACCCCCGCGAAGGGTTCGACATCATCAGATGGGCAGTCAGTCTGCGTCGGACCTTACTAGCGCCCTCGGCAGTCGACCAGACGCAAGCGGAGCATTGCCCGTGGCCGGTGCAGGTGCTGCGGTTGCAAGTGCTCTTGCCGATCGGGACAGGATCAGACCGGTAGGCACAGATCCGATAATTCATACTCCAGGGCCCCCGAGTGCTGTGCCTGTTGACGTACCACCTATTCCGCCTCCGCACCTGGATTCGTCCGGCAGTGAACTCTACACGACAGCATCTGGCCGGCAAAGACACAGGCATCATATAGGGGATGAAGCAGCAGCGGGCGTGGCAGGCGCTGCTGTGGGAGCCGCCACGGCAGAGGTATCCCGCAGAAGACATAGCGGCAGGCACACAGACTCGATGGAATCTCCTCCAGTCAGCCTAAATGTCAAGATGCATAGCGACGGACGCCACGTAACATTGAGACGTTTGACGGAAGAAGAAGCAATTGCCCAGCGTGAAGCTCGAAGAAAACAACGTGCAGCTTCTGCAGCAAGGAGACGCCGAAACTCCAGCTTCAGTAGTAGCGACGGCGATGGGCTGGGAGCTGGATCGAGCGGCGATCGACGCTGGAGACGTACAGAAGCCATGGAGGCGGAACAGGCTGCGCAGAACGAAGCTTCCGCCGCCGCCGCCGCTACATCAATGTATCCCGAGCATGTCGCGCCTCCAGCTTCTGGCACAGCACCTATGTATCCGACCCCGCCGCCACCAGGTACGCAAGGAGTCGATCCTCACACAGGCCAGCCCTATCATGTACCTGCACCTCCTCCAATACCAGGGTCTATGAGTAATTTAGGACCAGGAGGAAGTGCCATCACGTCAGAGACCAGCGGTGCTACCGAATATGCCAATAATCGTCGCCGGAGGCGAGCAGAGAGAGCTCAGGCTCGTTTGGCGAGAGAAGGCAAGACCGGAAACACAGTCAATTTTACCTGACATCGATTACGAAAGGCTACGAAGTTTGGGGTAGTGCTACAGAGAGTTGCCCTGGGGTTTGGAAGCAAGGTTGTATTGTAATTGCATATAGGCGGTGTTGAGCACGAGCATGCACATGGGATTTAGGGGGCGATTTGGCATAATTCATTACGACGAGATGAGATGAGAATGGGTGATGCACAGGTGCTGGGTATATTCCAGTCTGATCTAGGACATGTCCTTGATGAAGCCAGCAAATCGACTTGAGCAATAGAAGGGCTACGGCAATTTGTACAGTATGTATCTCGCGAGCCATTGGACTATCGCGTACCTTCTAGCGATTAATAGGATACTTCTTGACCTCTCATGTCGTCAACACGGGGAGAAATACAGTATCCACGCAAACGACTTGGGCCACAGGCTGTCCAGACGTTCGAAGGCGTCATGGCGGTAGTAGCAAGACGCAATTCTAATTTCTAGGCTTCGTGTCCGTCCCTGAGAACCGGTGCCGCGAGACTCGGTGTGGCGCTGGCGTGGAAGGCTGGTTGACGATGAGGAATGCTCCCAGAAGTCGTCGTGCGCTGTAGTTTCATATCCGTGCTTGGTAATCGTTTCTGAGGCTGTATCAAGACCGATTGGTGAGTCTAAACGAGCTTTGACCGTTTGCAGGCCCCCCGGGGCCGGTCAAGCGAACCCACGAGCCGTTCCCTTGGGCAGTACAAGGCTGGCAATCGGTGGGAACGGGCACTGATGGCGCCGGAGCCACCCACCGGAACCGCGAAGCCTGGTGAGCCTTGTAGGCAAGTCGTAGGCTGGTCAGGCCTTCTCCATCAGCAGGGTAAACAGCCAAGGTCAGACCTGAGCAAGTTCCATCTCGTGGCCAACACCTCGTCGTCGGTGCCTCCCTCTCCTCTCCTGCTGCCCACCGATCCCAGCCTCCCACCACGCAATCAGCTTCCTCCTCTCCCCCCCTCCTTCATATCTACTCTGGACTTCTTGACGCCTTCTCCTTCTTCATTTCGCCTCGTTGCTTTAGCAGTCTGTCCTTGTCCTTCTCTTCCTGTACAATTTTGCCATTAGCAGAGAGAGTCTTCTCCGTCGGCGCTTAGCCACTCCGAACGAGCTGCTTAACTAAACAAAACAACACCCGACTGCTGGCCTTTCTCCGCCGTTCGTTTTGGTTCCAAGCTGCGCCTCGCAGGCATTACGGCTTTCTACACTTGATGGCATAGTCACTTTCATGTATCGGCTGGTCATCGATCTATAACGATACCAATATCCCCATTTCATCTTCCGTCATGATGGAACCCGCGACACCAGAATCGCAAGACATCGACATGCAGCTTGCATCAGACTCCAATAATACATACCCAGAACCACCGCCTCGTCTTGCTGCCCGCTTTTGCCGTAAGACGAGCGCCCGCCGGAAATCCTCTGCCAATTCCTCCCGCCGAAGCTCTCTTTCCTCGATTCACTCCCACACCTCGAACCGATCCAGTCATGGTGGACCCGCGAGCACGCACGTTGCACAGCACCTTCGGCGTGCTTCGATCATTGAGAGCCGCAAGGCACGTTTGGCAGATCGAGCCGCTCACGCAGAACAAGTCAGGTTGCGGGCCGCTGCCGCCAAAGCTGCACGAGGGGTTTCGTACAGCGAGGAGAGAGCCTTAGCGGCACAAGCAGCACGGGAGAAACTCCTTGCTGAAATCACGGCACGATGCGAAGAGGAGGTCCGGCGTGCTAAGAAAATCGCCGAAGAGACAAAGGAGAGGAAGGCCGCAGAGCTAGCAAGGCTCAAGGAAGACATGGCCGAGAAATTTGCAGAGGCTGCCCGACGGAAATCCATGTACCAGCAGGGCATGAGGAGGTCAAGGACGACGTCCCTGGCTGCTGTCGAGGAAAAGAAGGTGTCGCCCATTCCTTTGGCTCAATCAAGTCGGGCATATGCTGCAAAGGTAATCCAGCGAGCCTGGCGCTCCTACCGCGGTCGTAAGGTCATTGCCGACTTCTCTGCCATGGAATTGGACTTGATTCGCGCTCGATCACTTTCCTTCGAGGACTTGACAAGGCTCCTTTCGACGGACAGGACAACTACTGTCACCTCACGGCTTCTGAAGCACTTAGATGTGCTGGAAGACGGTCAAGAGGCTATCGGGCCTGTCCGTATCTTCCTGAGTGCGTATCTGATCTTGTCGCACCCCATGCAAGCGTTCAGCCATGGTGGGAACCAGCCACAAGAGCAAGAATTGATGGCCAAGGCCAGTACTTTGGTTGAAGCCTTCGAATCGCACATGAAGATAAGGCCGTCAAAGTCGCGACGAGACACAACAGCCTCGACGAGAGAAGCTTTGTGTTTCGCCTTTAACGATTTCTCTGCCACCTTCGACGCTTGGAAGAACCAAGACCTTGGTGTTCTCGTTGACGTTATGGTCAACTCTTTCGTTAACCTAGATCTCATCCTGCAGGCAACCAAGGACGACCACGAGGGCCATGTTGCCGAAGACTATCTGGATGCAGTTCGTCAAGAGCAAGTGAAACTGCTGGCAAGGCTCAAGAGACTTGCTGGGCCAGAAGAAGCCCTGTCCAAAGTCAGGTTGGCCGTGAGAAAGGCTCGAAAGCAGCGAGCTGCCGAACAGCGGCAGAAATCTGTACAACAGATCCCACGAGCATCAACACCTACAAACAGTGGCCCCTCGTCTGTTAATGGAGCCCCCATCACACCTCCAGCAACGCCACAGCCATACCATCGCCATAATGCGTCGAAGAGCTCCACCTTTGCCAATAACCTGGGTCAGATTATGACGGTCTTGCCTTCTAACCGCGAAATTGCTCACGAAATCCTGATCAACGGCAGCTTTGAGGTGCAACAACGCCCTTGGACTGACGCTCGGAAGGACCTGATGAGCTCCCTTCGCTCCAACATGCGGAGTAGCATGCAAGACGGGAACAGCGACGCCGCGGCAACATGGACTCATGCCATGGCCATACTCATTCGGGAGAAAGTGATGAATCTTGTCAGTCAACGACACCCTCTTTATGATCGGTTTGATGGATTCCTAGACCCAGCCTTGATCAATCAGCAATGCAGGAACGGGATGTTTTCCTACAACGCATTTTTCGACACCATATCTGGCTTAATTGCACAAATCTGTTCGCCAGGACGTGACGAAATCGTCCGGGCTTTCACGAACGACACGACTAGCGATACGATTGACCGTCTTTTCGACTTGATCAACATTATCGATTTGATGACCTTGGATCATATCAATTTCCAATTTAGACTAGCCTCCCAGTCTGTTATGGAGCATGGGCACGAGCACGAAGTTGCCTCTTTCGAGAAAGAGCTTCGAGATGGTATCCATGGTCTAGAGCGCACTAAGCAATGGTGGTCCAGTTCAAAGGGCGTCGTCGGTGTGAATGCAAGTGGCGGGGTTGTGTATGCAAGGGGCTTGACTGACCTAGTCTTGCGCAACACTCACCTTTGCTTCCAAGAAGTCCCGGAGACTTTGCAGCTGGATTATATCCGTCTCCTCAAGTGGAGAGCGCGCGCGTTCCAGGTTGTAGCGACCTCTTCAATCTTGCTCACAACCAAGATTCGCCTGAGGCGCAACAGGGAGTCACTGTGGGCCAAAGATGCCGAAAGGTTGATGTCCCTAAACCTTTTGAACGTCGACACCAACCGCGTTGTGTCTCTGGTTGAGTCATCACACATGATGCCAGACAGTATCAAGGAGGGTCTATCCAACTTCGTCGGTCGTGTCTTACCACCGGCAGTTGATGCCGCAAAGAATGCCGATTCGGCGGAACGTGATCGACAGGATGCTATCCACAGCCAATCGACGTATCGACCCTCAGAGAACGAGCAAAGCCTCGGTGGAGATGTGTTTACAGAACAGATTGCCAGCTTCCTCCTCAAGTCACTTCGTGAACATGTCTTTGCCAGACTTTCTGCTAGTGGAACGCAGGAAAGAGTCCGAACTACAACGGGCGCGGCAGAAGTCCTGGCCAGGGCCGGCATGCCTGAATTTCTTGAAGAGGTCAACCGCCTGGTCGATGGTCTTGATCGCATCCGAGCGGTTGATCTCAAAGCGCACGGGAGATGGTATGATCAGACTGCTGGAGAGTTGTCTGCATGATACATGACGGTGGGGAGGCAGTCATCTTTTTCAGTTTCTTTCTCTGGTACGGAGTCAACAAGGAAGCATGTCGGTGTTTGGAAGAGCATGTTACAGATGGAAGAATTCGACGTTTGACATGAACTTGTTCTATATTTGGGCGGTCACTTGAGGGTATTGTTTTGCATGTGTATATCAGTTTACGGCTTACGCGATCGGGCACATGAGTTTGCGTGTTTGCTGCAGCAACTCTACGATTTTCCAAGATTGTTTGATTCCCTCTTCCTTCGCTGGTCACCGAGACCAAGTAAGGGTACCTATCCAGCATGAGAGCAGGGAGGGAGGGATTCAAACTGACGATGACGATATGAGCATACATTTGATTTGCGATTGAACGAGTCTTGAAATTGTATTCCGGACTTTGGATCCGTTGACACAGTTACGTCTCGAAGTCGAGTAGCACCGTAGGCACAGTAGATACAGTAGTTACGAGATAAGTTCAATGTCGCTGATAAGGAGAAGCTCTATCTCGGTCACGTGAAACGATAGTGCCGGGTGGTTGGCGCAGCTGCTCTTTCTTCTTTATCTCGTCATTGGCAGCTGGCAATATCGAGTTGCAGGGAGCAGCTGCAGCTTCTCTTCTTCTAGACCAGCAGATTCCTGCAACCCACGATCTTTTTGGCGCCGGCTCAACTCGTCCAGCAGATCCTCCCCAAGCTCCCCATCTGCCCAGCCTGCATCATCGCTGTCTAGCCGATTCGACGCTTTCCTTTTTCCTGCTTGTGCATAGCTGTCCGAGACTCAGCGCCGCAATCCCTTCCGCCTTTCCAACCCTCAACCACCCTCCACCAGGCCGCCGTCATGGCTCAGTCAGATCACCGTATGGCGAGTGTGAAGCCGAGGTTGACATACAACACAATCAGTGGTGTCAATGGACCTCTGGTCATTCTTGACAATGTACGTCTTTGCACCACGACGAGCTTATTGACCGTGCTGTCAACTGACGAGCACCAACCTAGGTCAAATTCCCCAGATACAACGAGATTGTCAGTCTGACACTGCCTGATGGCTCTTCGAGGTCTGGCCAAGTTCTGGAAGCAAGAGGTGTGTAGAGACAAATGTGCAGGCACCGTTACGGACACAAAGATTGACATTTGGGGAATAGGAAACAGAGCCGTGGTGCAGGTGTTTGAAGGAACACCTGGTATCGACGTGAAGAAGGTACACCACTATCGTACAGACACATTCATGCCCTGTACTTACACATCTGCAGACAAAAGTCGAGTTCACAGGCCACAGCTTGAAGATCGGTGTCTCAGAAGACATGCTTGGTCGAATCTTTGATGGTTCTGGAAGAGCTATAGACAAGGGTCCTAAAGTGCTGGCTGAGGATTATCTCGATATCAACGGCAGTCCTATCAATCCATATACACGGGTATGTTCGGTCACATAGCTGCAGGTGCTGTTGATTACGTTACTTCTGAGTGTACTGACCCGCTTGAAGGTTTACCCAGAAGAGATGATCTCGACTGGTATCTCGGCCATTGATACGATGAACTCGGTCGCTCGAGGACAAAAGATTCCCATCTTCTCTGCAGCCGGTCTGCCTCACAATGAAATCGCAGCTCAGATTTGTCGGCAAGCTGGCCTGGTGCACCAACCCAACAAGGGCGTCCACGATGGCCACGAAGAGAATTTCTCTATTGTCTTCGCCGCTATGGGTGTCAACATGGAAACTGCACGATTCTTCACTCGAGACTTTGAGGAGAACGGTTCAATGGAGCGAGTCACCCTGTTCTTGAACTTGGCCAACGATCCTACCATTGAACGTATCATCACACCTCGACTTGCTCTTACAACAGCAGAATACTATGCCTATCAGCTCGAGAAGCACGTGTTGGTTATTCTCACGGATCTTTCGGCGTACTGCGACGCTCTTCGAGAAGTATCCGCTGCACGAGAAGAAGTTCCTGGTCGACGTGGTTACCCAGGTTACATGTACACTGATCTGTCCACCATCTACGAGCGAGCCGGTCGTGTCGAAGGTCGAAATGGATCTATCACGCAAATCCCCATTCTGACCATGCCTAACGACGATATCACCCATCCTATTCCCGACTTGACTGGGTATATCACGGAAGGACAGATCTTCGTCGATCGACAGCTGTATAACAAGGGTATCTACCCTCCGATCAATGTCTTGCCGTCGTTGTCTCGACTGATGAAGTCCGCCATTGGTGAGGGATTGACCAGAAAAGACCACGGCGATGTGTCGAACCAACTGTACGCCAAATATGCCATTGGTCGAGATGCTGCTGCCATGAAGGCTGTCGTCGGTGAAGAAGCCCTGAGTGCCGAAGATAAACTTTCTCTAGAGTTTCTGGAAAAGTTTGAAAGACAGTTTATTGCGCAAAGCCCTTACGACAAGCGCTCAATCTTTGACAGTCTGGAGATTGGCTGGAATCTGCTGCGTATCTTCCCCAAGGAACTGCTCAATCGTGTCAACCCAAAGATTCTGGACGAATTCTACTCAAGAAAGAGCCACGGCAAAGAGAGAAGAGGCAACAAGGACACCAGGGATAATGAGGATGGGGGAAAACAAGTTAATGGCGAGACAAACCTATTGGATGATTAGAGTAATTACTTTTGCGGTAGAGAGTCTGTCATGTTAACGGAGAGGTTGGGAAGCGGTCACCACTGCCCACTAGGGAGCGTGCATGACCTATTTGTCCATGCTTGTGTGTTCGTGTTCGAATTCGATACAAACGTGTCTACCTAGGTACTTATACGTAATCAGTAGGACCTCGAATTGTAGGCACTTTGAATTTCATGGCTTGCCAACATGAAGTTATGTCCCTCCTCATGCAACTCTCTTTTGATTTGGAGTCAAACGTAACAAGGTCAATGGTGAAGATATATACTCCGTATATATATACATGAATAGGTATAGAAAAAAGCCTTGTGGCCTCTTTTCGAGTCTGGGCTGGCTTTGGTTCTCCTTTCCGGGTGTCAATTCACAAGCACTTGTACAGAGTAGTACCTTTTTTTTTACAATCCGATTTGACACCGCACCAACTACCTAGTTACAGTGGGTGTGTTCTATCGTACCACTCCGTACGTCAACGCCCACTACCGTTGCAAGCCGTGTTTCGCTTATCCTAGCTAGATGTATGCGGTGTGATTGTGCCCTGGGATTATGTATGCCGATATCACGCCGACGTTTGTACATAATCGTACGGTAACCCCGTGTCCGTTATCGATCGAGTTAAAAATGTCAATTCGGTTTGTTTTTTGGAAGGGGGGGGGGAGGAAAAACAAAAAGAAAAAGTGTCGAACAAGGCGCCTCGCTATGCCGGTCGATATGCTGTGCTGTTGCTGAGAAGAATAAAAAGAAGAACTGCCCCCGATTAGATGCCCACCGTGTGTATACGTATACACGTCTCTCCCTTGGGACGGGTGACGACCCACCGGAACAGAAAGAGGGGGGGAGAGAGAGAGAGAGAGAATGTCGGATGGTCGACTCGACTCGACTCGACTCTCCTCGCACTCACGCACCGAGGTCGGCGGTGTAAAGTTCATCGTCGATGTTGTCGCTGTTGCTGCTATTTATTGCCGCGCTGCTGATGTTGGTTGTCGTTGGCGTCCCCGCTTTAACGTTGATCACCATCTCGTTGCACCACCACCGCCGCCGCCGCCGCCGCCGCCGCCTCACTTGTCTCGGGCTCTCTTCCTTCCTGGACGGTCGACAGAGCTGCCCGGTTCAATCCCTGTCGACTTGTTCGGGCCATGAGACCGTGTCGAGCGCCAGCATCACCCACACTACCACCAACACCAACACCGCCTCCTGTCGCCATCGGTAGACTGTCGTTGTCAACCTCATCGTACCCTCCCACAGTACTACCACCACCACCGCCACCACCTCCCATTCCAAAACCGGCAGCTATACCTGACCCTGTGGCAACTCCCCTGCCTGACGCCGGGCTAGTACCGTAGTTGATCATGTTGCTACCACCACCACCACCACCACCACCGTCGTCACGAACAAAGAGGGCAGAACTGAGCATCTGATCCGAGGTCATGGGTCGACTATTGTTAGATCGCATGCTCCGATTCTGTACAGTGCCACCACCGCCGCCGACGCCGCCGATCAGTGGCCTTCGTTCATCGTTGGCGTTCATGGCGGCAATGGCTCGTTCGCGCTGTATCGCCCTTCCCTTGATGTCGACGTACATGACCAAGGCGACGCCGAGGACGAGTCCGGCGGTCGCGAGGCCGAGGTTGATGGGTTCCGGGTCGTCGTCGAAGGCGTCGTGCACGAGGGCCTGGAGACCGGACTGGGTGAAGGTGAACAGACCTGACAGACATATGATGGCGCCGTAGACGGTTCCAAAGGTCGCGTAACCAAAGACTTTGGCTGCGTAGTCTCTGTAAATGCCAACAACGAAGAAGACGCACGCACGAGTTAGCAGATAATTCTGGGTACAACAAAGTACTGGCGTTATGACCCCCTTGAGAACCAAACCATCTTCTTCCAATCTTGCGGTTCAAAGATGAGACAGGATCGGGGGGGGGGGGGGGGGGTTCAGGAACAGGACCGGGTGAAGAAGAGAGAGATGGGGCAAAAAAGGCGTTTGGGTAATAGATAGATGACGGGCATCACTTACGACATTGCAGAGTAATAAAGTGGTCGGAACAGACAGAACAGCGTGACGTTGGCGTACGCCGCCCACACCGTCGGCACGGCACCGAGGGCGCCAATGACGGTGCTCAACAGAACCAACAGATTGAGCACGGCGACCGTACTCGTCTGGTCCAGGAGCACGCCGATAAAGGGCACGGTGGCCAAGCCGCCGATGGGCAACGCGAGATCAAAAAACTCAATCACCTTGATGGCGAGCTCCTCCGAGTTCAGCATGTAGACGTACTGCGAGTAGATGGTGGCGATGAAGAAGTTGAACCTGGCCATCTGCAGCACGGTGAAGAGCGTGATGAGGACGAACCACGGCGTGCGGAGCTGTTTGGACGCGGGCACGCCGTGCAGGACCCCCCACACGCCGCTGTTGGCGCGGATCTGGTCTTCCTTCTGCTCGTGCCTGTCCTGCTGCGTCGGCGTGCCCAGGAGAGAGGTGATGGACGTGATGGACTGCCTCCGCCGCATGGCGCGTTCGGACCGCACGCGCATCACGTCCATGGCCGTGTCGAGTTCGTCGTCCGAGTCGTGCACGTCTCGAGTGGCGTCGTGGGCCTTTTCGAGGGTCGTCGCCAGCTCGCCGCGTGTCTCGTAGCTGTGCGTCGGCATCACGGTGAGCTGCGTGACGAGGATGAAGACCGGCACGGCCAGGTACGCGCAGAAGATCTGGCGGGGCCCAAAAGCGCCGCGGGTCCGCTGGTAGATGAGGCGGAAAATCAAAAACACCGACGCAGACGCGTCAAACGCGCCCGTGACGAGGGCGAGAATGAGACCCTGGAAGCGTGGGAACGCGTTGGCCAGGTGGAACGACGGCACGAACGTGAACGTCCCGCCGAGGGATAGCAGAAAACTCCCCGCCGGGTACGGGTCGAAGGGCATCTCTTTCGCAAACGCCATGAGGATCGTGCCCAACAGCAAAACGACCGAGCTCGCTATGCCGCAGACCTTTGGACCGTATCGATCCAGAATGCTGCCGACCAGCAGAGCCGATATGTTTGCAGTGACGGATGCAATGATGAACGTCAAATTGAGTCTGGACGACAAGGGGAAGAAAACAAAATGTTAGCACTGCCATCTCACTTACTCCGTGAGGGATCGAGAGCAAAGGGGGCCGAAGAAAAAAAAGAAAGAACAGAAGGAAAGAGAAAAGAACTCACTTCTGATCCTGCATGTAACACAGCCGCACGTCGTTTCTGAGTTCTTCATCGGTACAGTATTCTCGGTAGACGTCTTCCTCGACCAAGATTGTCTTGAGGGCGTCAAAGCCAAAGACGATCCCCGAAGCGAGCACACACGATGTGACGCCGACTAGAATTTGAGCGAAACGTTTGGCAGGCGAGACTTCGTACGCATGTTGATTTTCGAGCTTGTCGTGTCCTCCTCCTGAACCTCCTCCTCCACCGCCGCCGTCGTCATTGTTTCCAGTCAGCGCTGCAGGAGGAATAGGATCGTAACTGATCTGCAAGCTCGGTTGTCGCGAGAGTCTCAAGCTTCCGATGTCGTCGGCGAATTCTTGGTCGACCCCTTCAAAGGCTGAGACATGTTGTGCCAAGGACATTTAGGAGCTGGTCACAAATGTCTGTGATATTGACCACTGGATCTGCCGTAGCTGACAGCAGCACCGGGCCACGGCGTCCCGTCCAATCGACCACTCGTACTCGTCGTGTTTGGCTGGTGATTACCTATTATTTCGTTCACCGATATAACTTGAGAAGACGTTTCTTACTCGTAGAGTTCCTCGTGGTTTGTGGCTCACAACAAGGTTTGAAGTTTTTGGTTGGTGCTCAACTTTAGGGCCGGATAGAGACTCCGGGGTAAACAAGTGGAGTACAGGTCTTCTCTGTTTCGCAGTATTTGTACTGGCTGTAGATAGAACGACAAGAAGGGGAGCTGTTCATCAAAACTTTTGACAAGGAGAATGCCAACTTACCTAAAGTATGTGTGTATGTATGCAGGGCCGAGAGGTCCATAGTCAGGTACTGCAGATCGATCCATCACGTGGAATTTCGAGATTTCTAGAATCGTCGCATTTACTCGGTATTCGTAACATGGAACGGAACAAGGTTGACCCGGGTCACTACATTACCAGCCATGGGTATCCCTACCTACACCTCCATCATTATTCTTCCAACTCAACTCATCTGATGAGCTAGATCGCAGCAAGGTTTAGGAAAATGTGTCAGCCACATGTAACCACCATCTTCTTCACCAACTCATCCATCTTATTCTTGACGTGCTGGGTCGCCGCATCACTTTCACCCCTCAGCAAGCAACTCGCCTCCATAGCCTGTCCCAACCAGTACGTGGCGCCACCGTTGTCTCCCAACTGCTCACTGAGCTGCGCCATGTCCTCCATTGCATAGGCCGCCCGACTGTCCGGAAAACTCGGGCCTTGGATCATCTTGTAATTCTGAATCACCTTGTCACAAATGTCCTTGGCCACCGCATATTCCTTCATGTCAATGTATACGTGCACAAGCTCCGTCATGGCAATGCACAGTTCCGTCATGCTGATGCTCGTGGGCTTCTTCGCCTGGATCGCAAGCCCGACCTGCGACACCAAAGCTTGCTCCGTCGTTCTGACCAGCTCCTCGCTCTGCTGCTTCGCCTCTACAAGGCGCTGGTCACGGCGCAGCAGACTGATCAGCGACCTCTGAACAGTGAAGGTTCCAGTATGGTCGCCTCCGAGATGTTGGCGTAGCAGATTCAGCGTGACCAACATTGCAGTTTCGGACGTGAAGCCAAATTCATCCTCCTGCGCTATCTCGCGGAACAAGATGGCCAGGGGGTGAAGCGGGGTCAACTTGATCGAAGCCATGTTTGACAGATGCCGGAGCAATGTGCTGCGAGCCAATGGGCATATGCGAGTGTTGACCGGGGAGAGGACTGCAAAAACACTATTCAAGAACAAGATTGGTGAATTGCTGAGCACGTCTCCAACAAGTCCACATGCCTCGTTGAACAGCGGCCATGCCAGTGTCGGCGTTTTCATCTTCAGAAAATAAATGGCCGACTTGACATTCGACCAGAACAAGTTCGACGCGGCAGTCACATTGTAGATATCCGTCGCTTCAGACCGTATGGACTCCAGGTGAGCCAGGTAATATGTTTGGGTTTGGTTAAGGATGAGTTCGACATTTATCGGGCCCTTTGCTGGAAAGATAGGTGGATCCGGGCTCGGTACTTGATCCTCTTGGGTAGCTTGGCCACCGGTGATGTACGGCACGACCTCATTGTCGCTCAACCCGGATGCTGAGGGGGTTAGGATGGTTGCACTGGTATCTCCTGACTCTGGAGTGAGCAAGACAAAGCCACTTGAGGAGCTCCCGGATCGTGGAGTCCTACGTGTCATGTTGACCCCGAGCGACCTCGGCACACGAACCATTTCGTCTCGATCCGTGCTGCCTCTGTTTGAGTCCGTCGAGTCTTCAGACGATGCCTCGGATCCTTTTCCTTTCTTGACCTTGGAGACCTCAAGCGTCGTTGACCCCCTGCGTTTCCGAGCCGTGGTTCTGCAATGCCTCAACACACGGTTAACCTTGACAGGTTTGTTCCTGAAATTGATGGTGTCGATTGGTCGGTTTTCAACATGTGCTTGGGCGATGCGACCGGCAAGTTCCTCCTTCTCCTCGGCACGGTAGTTCTTCCAGATATCCCACCGTTTCAGGCGGGTGTTGTACATCCGCTTTCTATAAAGATCGATCAGCTCGGGGGCACACTCTCTCTTACATATCTTATACCTTATGCTTGACGCAAAGATACTGTAAGCGGGGGTTCACTCACGTGGCTTTGAAGTTATAGTTCGTCTCCATAATTCTCTGCACTTCACGTAGCGGCAACTCCTCGTACAGGCTGGAGATCACATCGCGGTGGACGTTCCAATCTTCAGCCGTCCGAGGAACAAACGCTCCGGCCTTTTGCACATGTGCAGTCCCCACAATGGCATCGACATCGGTTGACAACAATGGTGGACGCTCTTGGTGGTAGGGGTGGTGTGAGTATCGAGCTGAGTGCGACCCATATGCTACCCTATCCGTGTAGGCTGGCATCAAGGCCGAAGTCATCGCCAGTGCCTTTTTGTTCAGAGTTTCCCAGAAGATCTGAGTTCGAGGAGGATCAAGACACCCTCTCGGCCCGGAACAACAGTGATTGGATCCGGCGCAAGGCGGAATGACTTTAGTACACCTGAGCTATGTTTGAGAACAGTGCCGGCGAGGAGTGAACCAGATCAGCCAAAATGTGTTGGGAGCCGGTAGAACGGTCGCTGAAAGGCCAAAGTAGTGTCTCCAGCTGCACGATCCCACACGCACACACAGGACTTCAAAGTGGGCCGGAAGTGGCTTCAGAGAGTTCAAGTGTTTCCGATTCGAGTAGTCGAGCGCTCACTAAAGGTGTGGAAGGGAGAGAGATCAATCGTGGAAGAGAAGGTGATCTCCCATCAGTGCACAATGTCCTTATGTTTTCTCCTTCGGAAGGGCGACGGCGGTGCCGACCGCAGCTTCATCATATTCAGACACGGGATTCTCCATGCGGTCACCGATGGGCTAGTATGCTTAATGATAGGGCAGTGTATGCCGCGGCGACAGACTCTCGGAGTCATGACACACGTGTGTGGTCGCCTCGAGCTTTTGACAAAGCGGGCTGTGCTGGCAACAAAACAACTGAGGACGAACCGAGTGTGAGCGAGTGGCTTAGTTATTTTGTAGGTAGTTTTGGTCAAAATCACCTTGCATGCGGAGGAACACGCCACCGACAATGTCCGGGCACCAGTCGTTTCTGACGGGCATTGATTCACCACTGCAGTCAGAAAGTGCTTTTCGAACGAGACGGGAGTCCTAGACTCTGAGAATGCTATTGGATGGTTGTGTGTGAGGGACTGCAAGGGACGAACGAAAAGGACTCGAAAAAGGCCAATGCCTTTGCCTGGTGTCCAACAACCTTGTCAGCATTAGTTCCTTTGCACTTATTTCTTCCAGCCACAACGCATCCCGGCGAGGGCTGAGGTAGTTACTCATTTCATGGCTTTTTCGCGTCAGTCCATGGGGAACGGGATGTCCCATACTTAGGTACCTCAGGTACTAGGTTACAACGTGATATAAATACACTGCTACTATACACATTATTGTACACATACAAGGGCAAGCGTCAAGAAATGATGGACATCCAGCAGAATCCTCCTCATAGATAAATTTGGGTCTCATCGAGCTGGCAAATAACTGATAATGCTGCTTGCACTATTGGCATCCCCAGACAGCATCCTAGAGTGGTGTCGTACAATCCGATTCTTGCCATCATAACTCACCATAATATCAGCCCGGTCATCATTGGAAGGCAACGGCTGGTGCGCGCTCCTAGTCGACGCCAGTGACTCAGAACGCAGTTGTGCACCTGAAAAAGGGCCACCAACACCACCACCACCACTACCACTACCAGCTCGTCCCCGCGCTCTGCTCACAATATCCTCCAATAGTGCCCGACATGCTGGGAGACTGGTCACGATGTAGATGAGGGTGTTCCAGAATCCCTGCAATGGGAGCACCAGCCCCGAGGCGAATTCGAGCCCAAACTGGGGGTCGTTTGGTTTCGCGAGGGTGTAGACTCGATTGATCGTCGAAGGCACCCTGGTGACACAAAGGTTAGTCTTGCTGGCTCCCAAGGGGGCAACTGGCGATCTTCTATTGTACTCACCAGACAACGATCAAGGCAATGAAAAACAGCATTGCCGTCTTGCAGTAACTCAAGGCGGCTTTGTTAGCATCCACCCCCTTGACGCTTGGTCTGTCCACGACCACACCCGTTCGCCGTTCAGGGAAGCTCTCCTCCACCAAGGGATATCTCGCATGAGTGGGACTTTTGAGTGTAGTCGGGCTTCGGAGGGCATCGTCGAAGTCGCCGTTCCCTGGGGAAGCTATGGCCTTCTTGTGGTCCGGAAAATGTGGTACTTGGCCGTGAATCGGGACTTCATACCTCGTCTGGGACAGGTTGTTCATCGAGTATTCTCGCTGCATAGGGACATCTTTTCGGACTGCTACATCCCTGCTGTCGCTTTGGTTCATAGAGATCAGCTTCTTTCGCCACCGAAAGACAACCATGCCGACTTTGATGTAGATGAAGACGGTGACGAGGATGACGAGCCACACAGGACCATAAAAGGTGGCGATGCGAAGGGCATTCCATTTCTCCGATACCCAACACCACAGCTTGAGCCTTGGTCAGCTTGTTGTATTTTGATGAATGTTAAAACACTCACCACAGCGTCGCCATAAATTTTGCCCTTGTTCTCGGTATCGATGAACAAGAATACCAACGCCGGCACAAACGGGACCCCGTAACAAGCAACAAGGTATCTCCATTCCAATGCCCGTAACTTGGTCGCATCATATCGACGGAAGAAGGAAAGGTAGACGTTGCAAGCCATGGCAAAGGTCCATAACGCATCCGCTGGCATAAACCTGGCCACATCAAGTCAGGAGGTCGTTCCGGATTGCAATCGGCGCTGAGACTCACCATTGGATCAAGAATGCTTGGAACTGGCACAAGGCGGTGTCAACGCCCAACTTGATCCCTGACCTCGAGATGAGCGTGGCAACATTGGAGAACAAATTGCCCCAGCACGCGAAGAAGACAAGTCTGTTGATGGCCTTTCGAAACCTGTCGTCCAACAAGAATGTAAAGATAATGAACATGGCACCGAGCACAGAGAAAACAGACGCCACCTTCTCGGCCGTGTCAAAGGCTCGCAGCTCTGACGAAGAGAACACCATGATGGTAGTTATCTGAAAGGCAGCACGGCGCAGCACAGGTATTCGCCGTAGAGACGCGACATACCAAGGCAAGGCACGAGAAGAGCAGAGCTCACTGATACGATCCAGAGTATCCGTAAATCGGTAGGGCTTTGCGGGGGGGGGGAAGATGATGGTTTTTTTTTCATTCAGGTAGCCTTCAATCGTTCACTGTGCAGTCCCTTGGGACGGCCCATCTGGGGTTGGAAGGGATTTACCCATGACAGGGGCTGCAGCGCAGTTCCCTCTCCAGGACATTCCAGTCACCACCCTGGACAGTTGTTACTGCTAGTGCTCGGACTGGCGGGAAGTCGACGAACTTCATCCCAAGCTGGGAGGCGTTGCTCGAAGGCTGGCGGGCAGGTGGAACATGGGGAAGGACGACATTGAAACTTGACTAGAAGAAGAACGGGGAACGCCATTCGAGACTACTGTATGATTGCAGAAGTGGGCCATGTCCACAGCGTGACATTGTGTCCTCTCGGTGACGAGTCTATGACTAGCCAGGCAGATTGCCTCGTCCCAGGGTGTTCGGCCGCGGCTCGAGTCTGATACTGGTCATTGATCACATGTACCAGCACTAAGCATATGGAGTAGGATATCGTGAAAGTAGAACGTCCGAGGTTTAGCAGTGATTGTTCCAACCAGAACGAATCGGTGCCCGCAAATTTAAGTGCGAAAGACGAGGACTGTTGGTCGCATGTGCAGCGTCAGTCACACAATATTCCAGCGTCGATCTCTGGCCCCTTTGAAGCGCCTGGGAAAATGAATGTCAGCCTTCTTTGTGCATCCTATCTAGCGTAGCCAGGAAACGGGGACTGCTGGTGGCAAGACGGTGTCATCCGCGACATTCTGAAGGAGAGGTATGCGCTCAGATTGTACAGTAGCATTTGCTCGTGTCAATGCGGAACGAATCTGACTGCAGCACTGGACAAATGGCCAAGTCAAACTGCAACGGCCGCAGATCCCTCTTCTCCTGGCTTGAATATCATGATGACAATCTTTCATGACTGGGACAGTGGACAGACAGAAAAATTCTCTCTTCTTCTCGCGGCATGGCGGAATGGCGGCCGCTAAGTTACGACGGCCAATGGGACAGTGCACTTGTGAAGAAACCGTTCCTGAGGCTATGAATTTGTACAATAGCCTAGAGGCTAGAAAGGAGGACTGCAAGGTTTGGGTGCCTGGCTAGTTAGGGCTCGATCCTCCGGGGAAGAGGGGAAATGATCAGCAAGTACAATACAAGCTACTGCAGAGATATTTATCGGGCAGCCAAAAGCAAACAAACCATGGTGCCATGCGAAAGAACTTTCTGCGAAGTAGCTTGAGACTGAGCGATGTCTAATACACTGAGAAAAAGAGGTCGAGCTTTGGCCCCCGATTCTGTGTCTCGCAAGGAAGGAGAGGCACACTTTGTCGGTTACTGTATCTCGTGCATGAAGTCAAGGCATTCTCGAAGTTCGATTCGAGCCGCGGTTGCAGTAGCAAGAAACTTCTAGGCCGGTCTTCTGACGGGAAGCTCCTCCGAGAGGCTAACTATAGTGGTGTGATCCAAGCCACCAAGCTTTTGGGGAGGGTGATTTGAAATTCTAGCGTGTCCGATCCTCAGCTTGTAACTCTCTGAAGCCGAAAGGACGTAGTCCAAGGTCGAGCTTAGTCCTCAGGTGGATATCCCGATATGGTGTGTGCATAACTCGGATGGAAGTGTTCACTTTGAGGCCCTACTCAGACTGAACAACTCGGACGTGATTGATCGTTCATAAACGTGAGAGTCCCGACATTCCGTAGAATTCTGACCCGGATGAGGAGACCGACGGCGATACTCAGAGAATTGTCATTGTCCAGATCTTCAACAGGGAAGGCGGCGACGTTACTCGGGCGAGCCGGCTTTCACGTACCTCTTTCTGGGCGACACAGAGTTTTCATCACGGTGGCTTCATAAGTGCATTCACGCTTGGGAGGGTGAGGAAGTACGAATACCTAGTGTCTGGCGCGCCTTAGCGAGCTGACGGCCACTAGGCAGGGACGCAGCTCGCCATACTTCGTATCGGGGTATGGTGAAACTCGAGGCATGGTGCGCCTCTAGGCGAGTTGACCTGAGTTCGAGCATTTTTTCCCCTGGTGTATGAACTTTGTCTGCAGGCCCGGGACAAAGTACAGTACGTACTGTAGAAGTAACAACACCTCCCTTTGGTGTCATCGGTAAGGGAATTTGGACCGAGGCAGTGCCTTTCGAACCTCATAAAATGGATTTGCAGAGTCAATGCGCCTCAGAAGGGATCATTGAAGCCTTGAAACGACATATTCTTCGTCTTGGGATGCCCAATGAGTCGATGACGACGCAGTTCCGGCGACTCTCAAATGAAACGTCTTGATAGACCCTCCAGGTGGATGATCTAGCTGGGGAAATGGCCCGTGATGATGAATCCTCTGTAGAAGGTGTCGGCCGAATGCCCAGAAATGGTACGAGCATACAGAAAGACTCGTGCATGAAATGGAGAACTGTACAAGTGAGAACGGGATGATGCCTGCAGGACACCCTGGCAGGATGTCTTGGGTTTTTCAATTCATGTCATGGATGTGCCAGGGTCGATCCCGCTGGGTCTTCCCGACATGGTGGGTAGTAGAGCAAAGTACTCCGCAGACTTGAAGTTGCCAGACCGTCGCATGAAGGGAGAAGCTTTCCGTTCATGTACTGTATGTATGCTTCTATCCATACTAGTTCGTGCATCGACCAAGGATTTCTCTCGTCTGCTCCTCTGGCCGTTTCAGCATTGCACCCACATTCTTCTTCAGGACCTGTGGATTCCCTATTACTCGTTCTGTGCACGAGGTAAGACCTGATCGGCAAGGATGGACAGGAACTGGAATCCTCATCTTGTCCTGTTTCAGTCGAGATCGTCGTTTGTTGATAAGTCTCCTTGTAGGTTGTAGTGTCCATACAACGGTACGGAGTAAGGCTCACAGCACAGGCCCCAGTTCTCCTCGGTCCTCTACCTTGCGACACCCAGCCTCACCAGTCTAGGTCGTCGGCAAGGTGAATCAGAGCCACTGACCTGTCCGAGCCGGCGAATATACCCGTACGAGGTGCACCGTACGTGGATGAAGATGTGGTCCGGTGTGTCTCCGTTTGTCAATCTCCGGCGATGGTTATACGAGAACAGACAAGAGTAGAAGAGGGTGAGCATGGCCGTGCCAAGTAAAGAAACGGACAGAGATATATGCCCAATTGCGATCAAATTGATATCCTGTAAACACCATCGCTCGTATTGTACATGCGCAAGCTGAGCACCACCTGCAGGGGCTCGCCGGTATGCACATAGTACCTAAGATCCAATCTGCTCATAATGACCGTTATCATCAATCGTAACCAGCCTCCATACCGGTGCCTCTCGATAACCTTGACAATCATGTCATCGAGCACGACGTTCACGCCATGTGTGCTGTGCTCCAAAAATTGGCGTTGATACACGGCCCTTTTTTTGTGTCAAAGTTCGTTCCCACATTGACCTCTTTTTCATTCGTAGGTGTGGTTCGGCCCTCATCCCCTCGTCACTGGATCTTTAGGATGATACTTTGGCATCTTTTCGTATGCATTGGGACTCGGTCTTCTTTTGTCTTTACCCTTGCCCTGACCATGTCCGTGTCCGTGTCCGTGTCCGTGTCCGTGTCCGTGTCCGTGTCCGTGTCCGTGTCCGTGCCCATGGTCAGCACACTCATCACCGTCACGATGATTATGTCCGTTGGTCTTGTCGTATTTCCGTCCGCGTCTGTTCCCGCTCATCCTGGCACCTCCGTCGTCACTATCGCTGCCACCGCTTGAACTATTACTGTCGCTGCTGTCGTCCTCGCTCGAGCTTTCTCCAAACTCTCGTGGCCGATGATATATACAGCAAACCTTACTGCTCTTCCTTCCGAGCCCTTCATTGTCCACGACGTCTTCAGCCCAGGTGATTCTTCTCCTCGTGCCCGGTCTCGCACTCGAGTCGTGTGCCCCGCGTAATCTCAGCACCAGTGGTTCCGGCGAGACCGATCTTGACGACGCGCTGTCTGGGGGAGTGATGGTTTGCGTGGCGCTCCCTACGGTCGCGTGACGTGCGGTGGTGGTCGTGCCCGGACTCATGGTCGCTCGAGGTGGGAGATGGGAATGTCTTGTTGAGGAGGCGGCGGTGGTGGTGGTGGTTGCGGGCCGTGGCGAGATATTGCGATTTGACATGGCGGACTGGTATTGCGGATGTAGATGCAGATGTAGATGTGATTATGCAGTTTCTTTCTGTTGAATCCTTCCGATCGACAATGGCCGCTTGTCCAGCAATGAGTTCGACCACTGGGAGCGCAGCGGGAGAAGAGGCAAGAATGAGTGAATGAGGGAAGCCTTGGTGCTCTCGGGTGTGTAGTTGTGTAGTTGACGTGGCGGCCTCGAGTTCAACTGCAGCTTCGGAATGATTCGTGATGTCTGAGATCGACGCGGGCCTTGATTAATGTTGTGATAGTCTATCGTGATCACCGCGCAGGAAAAGGAAAGGGAAAGGGAAATTCGCGCAATATACGGATGAGGGGAGGACGACAAGTAAATAACTTATTAGTGAAAGCGGTGCGGGATGATGGCTGCGTGCAGTTTGTCAGATGGTGCATGCGACGCCACCGGGAACACATCAGACAGTCAATCAAGTGACCTTGAGGAGCGGGTCAGGGGCCTCAGGAGCGGCAGGGGAGCTTCCTCCCCCCAGAGTTCTCCCGCTTGAAGCCTAAACCTCATCGAACCACGCCAAATGTCCCGAGGCACTGGGCACTAGTTAGACTACCTACTTAGAGCCAGGCCTCCTTGAAGCCCGTAAGCAGCGTCTCCCTGGGCTTTATGGGCACCGATACACGCAGCGAGACTGCCCAGCCTCCCTTTGTGAGCCTCTGCACTGCATTCCTTTCCTTGCGTCATCCCCTCCATGCCCTCTACACACCCTCTACACACCCTCAAAACAAGGCGTGATGTCAAACAGTCACCCATCTGGCTTCATGCATATTCGACGGCGCGGCTCGAGGCCCGTTCATTGGTGCTTATCGCCCATTCGCCTACCTCCTCACCACCCTCGCTCTTCTCAGCTGCACCCAGCCTTGTCCACATGAACGTCTGTGCGAGAGGAAGAGGCATCTCTGTGGCCGGGTCGAGAGACCCTCGATGTGACGAAACTTGGAATGGGTTCAGGAATGCTTCCAAACTCCACTGTCATCTTGTCATATAGTTGTTACATCTACGGAGATGCAATTCCAATACCAATTAACTCATATAACAGAGAGCAGAGTAGTAGTAGTAGTGCCCTCCTGGTCTGCACTGTGCTTGATTCATCTAAGACTCTACCAGTCGACTTCTCGCTAGAACTTGTCATGCATGGAGCCGAGCTGAACACTCATGTCAGCTCCCACACCTCCGCTTGCTGCACGAGCACAAAAACATAAGTGCATCGCTCCGAGTCTGTCAAGTGACCATCTAAGAGGTATCCTGCCAAAAGGCCATGCTTTTTGGTATCTCAATATCGCGCAAGGAAAATCTCGTACACATCTGTCAAGTGCATCCCATTGTCGCCTTATCATATCGCGACGCTGCTGGCCCGTCGCCAAGGGCAATCAGCACTTGTAAAACATCCATCCACTTTCGTAGTCTTCTTGGATCTCACTCTCCATGGCGTAGTGTTCAACCGAAGGCTGAACCGTCTGGCTGTCCTCGGCGGCACCTACCGCAAACTCCGTCCGCAGTTCTTCTTCTAGTCAGAGCTCGTCATCCTGATCCAGGTCTGCCGGCTTGATAAGACCGCCGACCTTCATGGCTCGCTCACGCTCCGCCGATGCAAGATCCTTCTTCTCCTGCTCACGTTCCTCCGCGTACAACTCAGCATTGTCGCCGGCAAACTCCTTGAGTGAGATCAAAAAGTCGCGCATGTGCGTCTTGAACTTGTTGGCATCCTCGTTAAGAGTGAACAGTCCATTCACGAAATGCTGGATTTGCACGTCTTGGAGGTTGGAAAACGCATTGTGAAGTAGATTGGCCGTGAATTCGGTGACAAACTGCTTGTTGGATGTCCCGGGCGCTGCCTGGCCATTTTGATACAGTGGTTGCGAGATCTTGTTGGCTTCGACCAGCTGGAACATACGAGCCAGCAGCATGCATTGTGACTTGAAGCCGGCTTTGTGATCCGAGTCTGTGAGAACATAGAAAACGTCTTGTAGAATAGAAATGTAGAACTGCTGGAAGAAAACCCCCGACGTTTGTGGATCGGTCTCTGCCATGTTGTTGATCAATTCGAGACACATCGTCAACCCAGTGTTTTCGACCTCTCGGTTGTCGTGCTTGCTGGCCCACATACAGGAGTCGATGATCAGCTTGAATTGACGTCCATCGAGCTTGAGCAGAGCTGGGAAGCAGAACAAGTTGATAGCTTGCAAAAGCTTGAAGAACTCTACTCGGAACTCAGGATACTCATGGAAATCTTTGTTGATCATCTCGAGTGTACATTCAAAGATTGCGTCCATGATAGGAGAAATCTTGTCTTCCATCAGGTTCTGGAGCACGTTAGTACAAGTCAAAACTCCAACAGGGACATCTCTGACCAGATGTCGAGATCTTCGCGGGGTCCAACGTACATGTAGCTTATGGACGATGGTAGTGGTCACACTGAGCACTTCGGCATCTCGAGCGTCCGGAACGTTGCGCTGGTAGTCGAGCAGAATGGCGTCAAGAAGAGGGGGGACCATTGTGTCATTTACCATCTGGAGATCATCTGCCTTTTGAACATATATATCAACAAGCTTCAGAATCTCCTTTTTGATGGTGCGCAAACCGCGGACTTTGGGAGTCTTGGTCGCCACGTTGCCTGTGTCGTGTTAGTATTAAGTATGTCTGGTATGGAGACCAATTGCACTTACCACCGGAAGCGACGGCGTCTGATATCAAGGAGCTCGATGCCCGGTACATGTTCAACATGTCGTGGTAGATACGTCCAATTTGAGAGTAGAAATAAGTTCCTATCGACGAACATGCAGCCACATTAGTCTTCATGATGTTGCCAATCACCTTGATCGTTTCAGCATCTTGCAAGATCGATGAATCGCGGTTTGCTTGAGCAATGATGCTGTCCCAAGCTTGGTTCGGTAGCGACATTAGGTTGTCGATCAGTCGATCCTGGACACTCTTCTGGCCCTGCGCCGATATCATGTAACCGCAAGCCTCGTAGAACGTGTGTATTTGTTGAGGCGTGAGGTCACATGTGATCTTCTGCATGTTGCGCACAATCTCGTCGATGAACGGTTCCGTCTCGCCAGGTTGCAGCGCCACAAAATGTCGTTTGCATTTGTTTGCGATCTTGATGAAAGTGTCGCAAGCCATGTCCTGGACACCTTCGTGAGTTTCGTGCATGAACTCGAACAGCTTGTTGACGACGGTCTTCAAAAACTTCCAGTGGGCTTTCAAGAAACGAGGATACTGGCCGACGATGTACATGATGTTACTGGCCACGACCGCCTTGTTGTCTTTGCCACGCTTCATCTCCGTAAGACCAAGCAGATCCTTAATCACGGTGACCAAGAACCGCTTCTCGGTTTCTTCGTTCATGGCGCCAGATATTGAGCCGATGGCCCAACATAGTGTGTTGCAGTTATTCCAGGACCACTCGGATCCGTCCACTTGGCGGGCAAGCTTCTCGGACATGATGTTCTCCGTATCCACGACGTCTAGATGCGTCAAGTAGACTAGACATTCGCGTGTCGTCTTGTAGAGTTGAATAGTGTCACTTTCTTTCACGAACTCACGGACAATCTCTCCCTCGTCATTTTCTACAATGAGAACTTCTTCGGGGCGCACCATCTTCTCTACCATGACTTGTCTCAAGCTTGACAGAACCTGCGAATACTTGTGTTTCCGTAATGGGTAGTTTGCGAGAGTGCTGGGATGAGGTGCACCCCCGTTGGCCAGGCCACCAACACCCATATTTACAAGAGGGTTGAGCTCAGTTATGGGCAGTTGTTGCATCTCCTCGTACAGTTCTTGAACCAACTTGTTCCAGTATTCCAAGCAGATCTTGAAGATCTCTCGGTCATCAATCAAACTGATTTTGATCAAATAGAAATGACCCGTCAGTAGATAATCAGGGTTCGGCAGGCGTTCGATGGTCTGCAAGTGAGCCGAGAAGTAGTTGCAGAGAAAAATGGCCAAGTTGAGGATGTATTCTTGTTCGGAAGCTTTTGCTTTTGCGTATGCTTCACGGAAATCAGTATCCAGCGAAATGGTCTTGGAAACTACAGTTAGGGTTTCGGTGAACATTTGGATGAGCTTGTCGTCATACTCATACTGCTGGCCGAGCTGTAGACCGCCGATCTCGGTCAAACATTTGAGAGTGATGTTGCGAAATTGATCAACTTCCAGAAAGCGGGTGACAAGGGTATCGATCAGCTTCGTCTCGAAGATGAACCCCAAGGGGATCCAGTTCAGGAAACGTAGCAGAGTCTCCAGCGTGGCCTTGACCAGCGTGATCGAATTGGCCGTGGTAAGGACTTCATTGCACAGCTGGAAGATGGATGAAAACTCTGCACACATGGTGGTCTTGAGATTCTTCGCCTTGGTAGAAGTCATTTGGTCCTGTGAGAAATCGAAGACCTCCTCGGAAAGTAGTCGCAGAATGGTCATGTTGTTTTCGCAAACCGACAAGCCACTATGGCAGGCGGAGATGATTTCGTTGATGAATGTCGGCCAGTGATGGGGCCATTCTTGCTTGAGAATAGTGACCAGGGTCAAGTCAAGCTTGTTGAGGAAGAGTTTGTTGGCCTTGAGGGACTCTTCAGTTTCTGAGGCCTGCAGGATCTGGTTGACGACGAAATTTCGAATTCCTAGGCACTGGTCTCGGGGCAAAACTTTCCATCGCGTGTTGACAACATCATCCAAGACTTGCAGACCAAGATATTTAGTCGGCATGTACGAAGACTCTTGTAGGATCTTGTCCACCATCAACCAGGCATCGGGGTTGGATTTGAACTCGTTCAGTTTTTGTTGGGCCTGCTTCTGTATCTCACCCTTGCCCTCTTGGAAAGCCTTGACAGTGGCGTCAAGCTCGGCGACTGAGACCGACATGGCTACGAGTCGTTGGAGGAAAGCGCTCAGCGAGCGATGGAAGACGCGGAAGTTGTGCCAGTGAGCGGGCGGCAACGGATAATGGCTGCGAGGCTTGATCGATATGCTCGGGATGATAGCGCAGGCGAAGCAGAAAAGGGTGCAAAGGACGATTCGCTTGGGGATGATAGACTGTGGTGAACAACGGATGATGACCAAGGAGAATGAAAGGAAAAGGCTGGAGATAAAATGTGTTGCAGCGGGCAGAGGTGAATGTGTGCGGGCAAAGTAACGCTCAGTCGATGTTTAACGCGTGGATGAGGCAACCGCGGTGCTCAGGCGCAACAGATACAAGTCCTGAGCCTCCTCGTCATTACTAATAGTGCAACCCCGGCCATCTACCAATCAATCATCGCTGGCACAGCGTTAATCTCGATTTGCACGGAGCATCACCTGCGCTGGACTGGTTCTTTGCCTAACAACAGCCGACTTCTCCAAAAGACGAACGAGCACATGGAGACAAAGGACAGGTAGTTGAGAAAATGGCAATGTATCTGGTATCACTATGTATATAAAGCCAACCTTGTTTAATAGGGAGCATACTGTAGCCTCAAAGAACGGTCAATTTTACTTTCAATTTGGGTGATATTCATTGGGTTCCAACTCCGGTGGTGTGATCGTTCTCTCTCACCTCGCGTTCTTCGCTGTCTTTGCGATACTGTTGGTACGCGGCTGCCATCTCCTCCTTCGACTGAAGACCGTTCTTTTCCATGATCAGATCTCTCAGCCACTTGTTCTCGACCTCCATCTGGCGCAACTTGGCCTCCAGCTGCGAATTCTTGTCCTGCACTTCCTTGACTGTCTTCTCCAACGCTTGTTCTCGTTGCTTCTTCTTAATGCGGAATCGAGCACTGGCAGCCGTGTTTCTCCGCCTCTTGTCTTCCTCGGCGGCAATGCGAGACTTCTCCTCGGGGGTCATGGCCCCGAGGTCAACCGAGTCCTTCTTACGGGGAGCCTGGCTTGCTGCTGATGGTCCGGCGTTGGGAGATCCACGACTCTCGACGCCACCAAAACCTTGGGCAGGGGCAGGTTGGATTGGGGTGTTGTAGGTGGTATAGTAGTGAGAAGACTCGGCCGCGGATGTTTCAATCTGGGGCGGTGGATAGTTGTGACCAGTTTCGGACCCGGACAAAAGGTCTTCATATTTCACACGTGCGCTGTTGTTCTTGTTCTCGTTCATGTCAAAATTGAAAGAACCATCTTCTGGCAGCGGTGGAATGTCAAAATGAGTAAAGTCGGTATTGGTAAACATGGCCAAGTCCTGGTTCAATTCGAATTCTTCAGGCGAAAAGTTCTCCTGGTCGTAGGGCGTCAGAGTATTCAAGTTGTTGAGATACTCAGAGAAATTTGGCCCTGTTCGGCCACGATAACTCGACATTATCCTTTGACCTCCACCAATTCGCCTTTCCGCTCCAGCTCTTCCCAGATCGGCGCGATGAGGGATTTCGGGGTGCTGCGAGTTGTGTTTTTAAAGGTAGGAGAAGTCGAAAGACTCAGAGTCGTCTCTGACAAATCAGGCGGTTGGCCGTTCCACGCTCCGGTGATCTGAATACGGCCACCACCGCGGGCGCAGGCACAAAGATTAAACAAGCGAATGTATCTTCGACCCTTGGACGTGACGGTCGGTAGGGCTGCGGATTGTGTAGGAAGCAAGGAGGGAGGAAGGTGGAAAAGGTATTTTGGAAGGCGAGGGCGTGAATGAACCGGGTGTGCGAGAGCCCCGCCAGGAAGTTTCGTGGGAGGGCAGAGGGGAGGGCGAGAAGGGCGCAGTCTGGCAAAGACAGAGAGAGTGGGATGCCCGGCGGAATGGTGGGTGGGCTCACTAGGCTCGAGTCGCCTGGGTGTTCGTACGAGCACCAGAATTGTATTACACATGGGCGGCAGGCTAGGTCGAGGAAGGCATTTACGGCGCCTAGTGGTCCCGATTCGGATAAGGTACCCGCGCCCGTCGGTACGAGCACCTATGACTACGGCCGATGACTGATGGCTTCATGTCCCCTTGCGCCCGTGCTCTCTACGCTTCTCGATTGCGTGATCGAGGAGAATTCTGCGAACACCGACCTCGGTATTTAGTGAGATTGCCTCTTGATGATTGTTCCTGGAATGAGTTGCTGTTTCCGTGCTGGTTTTCACAGCCGATAGACTCTTGTGCGTTGCCAAAATTTGATCGAAGACTGCGAGACCGCGACCTATTTTCCTTGCCAATTCGATGAGACGAAGCATGGTCTCGACACTCATATTGTCCCAGTGGCCCTCCGATATATGCGCATCCCGAGCCATTCCATACCCAAGATGATGGATGCATGGATGCCAAGAGCATGAATGCGCCTGTGCTCCAGTTGTCAGCTGTTCTGTGGCAAAACAGCCCACTGGACTCAGCGCTCATCACCGAGCTTCGACCTTCGCCAGAACGACTTTCTTACTAATACGAGTACCTGGTACGCAGTGTACACGGAGACAAGCTGTACTCACTCCTATGTTCTCGTACTCGTAGCTGATCACAAATCGCATACACTTCTCCGAGAACGAGCTTGTCCTGCCTACAATAAGGTTTACACCAGACGCATCTCTCCGCAGAGTCTTCAAAATGTAGCGTGCCCGATAAGCAAGCGAATGCTGGTGATCGCCTAGTCTGCATAGACCCTGCAGCCTCTCACCACTGAGCTTGCATCCTGTTCCTAGCTTTGTGTTGTGATCCTTGCAGCAGTGGGGGTTAGACTGTTGCGTGCTCAGCTGCTCTTGTACATGTGAACGCACAGGATTTACCTCACCTAGCCAAACATCTCAACGATTCTTGTGCGAAATTCAATTTGCGAAGAGTCGCCGCATCTTAGCACGTGATTATCATGCCCTCTCACGTGACTTTGTCGGCATGACTCGTTAGCTCGTGATGCTGACCTGCAAATGACTCATGGTTTATTTTGATTTCCGCTTCTGGACTTTCTCTGTCACGCATGCTTCGCTTCTCGCGCCGTACAAACGGACGGACCTCTCAATATACCTGAACTATGACGCCAGTTCTTGCGAAAACACTGAGTAGACTATCACGAGACTCTCTACTGGATCTCGTGATAAGATGGCTCGACGAAGACCGACCTTCCACACCTTATCTCTGCAGCAATCGCAGAGTATTCGAGGCCGACGAGGAGGATTATCTGTATGCGCCGGCGGCAACCATCACGGAATTACGCCAGATATACAAGGGATTGCAGAAAGATTTGTCACTGGCTTCCAAACGGGATGTCATAGACCGAGTGATTGACGGCGATTGGCGTAGAGGGTTGACGTTGCGGCAACATGCAATGGTTGACTTTGCTCACCTGGAGCAAAATGACACCGCGCTGAGATGGTCCGCTCTACGTCTAGTACCGCTAGTATCGTCAGAGGAAAGCTCATCAGAAGACTCGGACCTTCAACCTCCTCGTAAAAGGCGGAAACACACCTACGACGACGCCGGCGCACGGTATCCTGAGATCTCGGCGCAGACATTTCTTTCGACGCTGAAGGAAGAAATCTCGCCAGTGGTGAAAGCACATTACCACCTCCACAAGATGGCCTCGCCACAGAACCTCCATATCATAAGGCTTTACTTCCTTCCCAGTTCGACCTTTAGTGGCGGTCAGTCGAAGATTCCCCGACGGCCAAAGCATGCCACCGATACCGCGCGAGTCATGTATATCGCGCTTCCGAACAGTTGTCCTTATGTCTACGTCTCTCTGTCTGGCGCGTCTGGTTCAAATTCGCGAAGCAAAGGGACGGCAAATTCCAAGACAAAATCCATAGCAAAAATGGATATGGCAGCCATGAAGAAAGTCGTGCTGGAAGCAATACCAAAAGCACTATCGCGACCACACCATCGTTGGGCATTGGAGAGCACGAAACTCACTGCTCGTTCACTGCGGGCCATGGTTGAATTGAAAGGCAATCGCAAGCCGGGTTCAGGAGGAGGAGTATACAGCTCATTTGCAGAAGGAGAGGGAGTGCCCAGCGTGGAGATTCTTAGCACGCCCATCGAGGGGGACGAAGGGGATGAATGCAGTACAAGACACTCTATGGTTCAAAAGAGATTTGGTGGCATGGATGGGGAGCACCATGCTGCACTTGATCGAGTCCATGTAACGATCCAAGGTTGGGGAGAGGTAGAGACGATCAAAACCGCCACGAGTCCTCCCGGTCAAGGGACTTCCGACGTTACGTTGACATTTACCGGCACCGATGTTTTCATGGGCTTAAAGCACCTTGCAGAGTTGGGTGCGGAATGTTTGGACTTGGACAAAATGCCTGCGTGGATGACGGGAGAGCTTGGTCTTAGCAGCATGACCGTATAACCTGTTGGTGGCGCAGATGACCCAGCGCTTGGTCATGGAACTTGGCGACGACGACAACGACGACGATGATGATGACGTTGGTGTTTTGCTGTAAGGCGTTGGTGGCAGCCGGGGTTTTCGACACCCCTTTGTGGATGAGGCATACTCGTACAGCCATGCTTGGATATACCTGAACAATCAAACATCCTCTCTTCAACAAATCCGATGCTCATTCAAATGCTCTCATTGAACTACTACGTTGCCCAAGTCGTTGCGCGAACTTAAGGAATCGCCCATTATGACCATCAGGGATATTTTGGTTACGGAATGCCTACCTTTCGCAAGAAATGGCGAGATTCATCCGTCAACATCAGCGAAGCCGTACATTCCCACCGTTCCCGAGACCAACACGTTGATAACACGACCAGCCATGGCCCATATGGGGGAATGGAGTGCACTGACCAATACTCTCTGGCCATCTGGTCATTGCTGCTCAACCTTTGCTTATGGATACATTCAACATCGATACCACCGAACTCGGACACTCATGTTGGACTCAAGACAAGCTACACAATTGCACGGCCCTGGAATCTTCGTTTGAGACACAGGACCCGGCTGCAGTCTGTCTGATGGCTTCACTAAGCGTCAATTGACCTGCTTCGTTCCACGAACAACAGAAGGACGTGGCACTCTGACAATTCTGAGCAACGGCGGCACGCCAGCTATGAGGTCGGTCCCGATTTTGTGGTTAACTCGGAAATTGTCTATATTGTCACAGCGCAGGATCTCCTCAGTTGAGCTAGGAACTGTATGACGTTGCCGTCGTGGTTCGCTTGCCAACCAGACCAGTCGGGTGAGAAAGTACCACGACACGCCACCTTGTGCCACCAAGACTCGGGTACGTGCTGATAGAAACACCAAAACAAGCAGGTCTCGGGATCTCAACATCGACAGCGATGTCCTTTTTCCAACTGGCTGGTGTGTCTTCGCCCCAGCATCCCACTAGGGTTGACTGCTGGATCCTCGGCCTTCACCGTGTGCACACAACCTTGCATGCAACACGGTATCGAAGTTTCCAGGTTCGCAGACTAACATATAGTAGGACAGCAGGATTTGGTCTGTTGTCTCTAGCAACGCTATCAATGTGTTTTCGTGTCGTTGTACAATGTCTGCCGCTACGAGAGAGCTCTTTCCAAAACAACACAACGTGGCCATGCACATCCACGCCCTTCCACCCGCATTCTTCACGCAACCTAGAGGTGTTATTGCGGCCGGTGTCACCAGTCTGTGATCTCCTCAGTGTACACTGGACCGCCGAAGAGTCTCCGTGTTCTCTCATACCTCGAAGTGGCGTCCTTCTCCAGGTATTGATGTATCAACGGCATATACCTTCCCCAAAATACAGTATACCCTAGCAGTGCAAATATGGATTGTAATTACCCAGATTCTCGTTGTCTTTATGCTCATTGGCCAGAAAAGGGGGGGCTGGTCACAATGCCTGCTTGCAAGTCGTGGACACACAACGGTTGCATCTGCAGTACTACAGGACTATGTTATCCAGTGAGAAGCCGCAGCATCGAAAGGGCATTGCGAAAGACGCTTGTTACTGTACCTCAATCCAAGAGTTAGAGCCCCTTACGTTGGCCTATTCTTCACCGCATATGCAGCTGACGATCCCAGCCTCGAATTGTTCCTGGCTACTGTTACCCAGACACCAAGCGATTCAGGAACCACAGGCTGTCCCTGCTTGCAGTCGTGCGCAGATGAACAGCTATAAGAACGAGCATGTCTCGCTTCCCAGGAGTGTAGCTCTTCATCTCTCGACAGGAATCAATCCGTCTTCCGCTCGTTTCAAGAAAGCGTTGGGCTTCACGATCACACCTCCTCGACGATGTTTGGCAAACTCCTATACTCGGCATTGCTTGCCAGTTGGACTTTGAGGTATGTCCGCCCACCCTGTTCTCCGCTGCTGTGTTGATAATCACTAGTGTCTTCACCCTTGCCAATCCAGTGCTCCCTCGTCAAGAATCCTCAGTCTGGAGTGATTGGACAGCATCCGCAGGCAGCTCTACAACCGATGTCGGCGGCGTAACTGGAGGATGTACCGGACATACCGTGACCAGTATCAGTGTGATTACGACCACTCTATCAGGAGGTGGGGATGACTCATCCACGGCACCGTCAATCATCACCAGAACAATCACACTACCTCCGTCAAGCTGCACTCCCGTTAGCCCTGGATCTACAGGATCTTCTTGTGTTGCTGGCACTGTAACGACTACAGTTGTTGGAAGCGGCCCAGGTGGAAGCACAATAACGAGGACAGTAACAGCTCCTGGGAGTGGATTCACAACCACCATTATTTCCAGTGTAAGTGGTGGCATTTCGACGGTAACAGAAACTCGGACTGTCAATGCACCCCCTTCAACGTAAGTACTGTCTTTTCCAGCGAATTCCGTCATTCGAACTCGAACATTGTGGTCGTTCCCCCCATAATCAGAGATATTTCCTGACCACTTGCAGAACAACTGTGGTTTCAACTGTGCAAGCTCCTGGCGGTACCACCACTGTTGTGTCCACAGTCACCCAACCAGTCCCAGGCCCTACGGTCACCGTCACCTCGACACAAACTGGTCCCGGCCAGACCGTCACCTCCACGGTGTTGCAGCCAGGAACCCCAACCACTGTCAGATTGCCTCCAGAGACTATAACTGTTCCAGGCCCTACTGTGACGCAACAGTCACCTGGCTCGACAGTAACCAGTGTTGTTACAGTTGCAGGCCCAGGCACCACTTCAACCGTCACACTACCAGCTGGGACTACTACAGTGGTTCAAACCACAACGGTGGTAAACACCGTGCAAGGCCCTGGAGCTACCGTCACTCTACCAGGAGCCACTGAAACCGTTGTACGTACAACAACTGCTATTGGACCGGTGCAGACTGTGACTTCGGTGGTGACAATTCCTGGAAATACAAACACGGTCACTGTCCCAGTTACTGTCCCTGTCACGGTTCCTGCTGGAACTATTACTTCGACACGTACCATCACAGTCCCAGGAGGAACTAGCGTGATCACCTCAACCGTGACGGCGCCGGGAGGAACGAGCACTGTAACTGTCCCTGTGACTGTTCCCGCTGGTACTATTACTTCGACACGTACGGTTACAGTCCCAGGAGGGACCAGTGTTGTCACCTCCATCGTGACGGCACCAGGAGGAACGAGCACTATTACTGTCCCTGTGACTGTTCCCGCAGGTACTATTACTTCGACACGGATCGTTACAGTTCCTGGAGGAACCAGTGTCATCACTTCAATCGTGACGGCACCAGGAGGAACAAATACTGTCACCGTTCCTGTCACCATTCCTGCAGGCACTATTACTGCGACGCTTACTGTCACGGCGCCGGTAGGAGGAGGAGGCACGACCGTGGTTACTTCGACTGTGACAGCACCGGGAGGAACAAATACTGTTACTGTACCGGCAGGAACAGTCACACGTACCGTCGCAACCGGTGGAGGTACCAACGTGATCACCTCGGTCGTCACCGAGACCGCCCCATGCGGATCAACAGTCTGGGGTGATTGGACATCTGCTCCTGCTACAGCCACGGCAGGCGTACGGCGACGAAGCGGATGGAGACGCTGAGAGCGCATTGACCAATCGGGGGATGATCTATCACATCGTCCTTGATGGAGCATGCCATGAATAATAGGCCGTCGACTCATCGAAAATAGTATATTGACGACAATGGAAAAAGGATAACGAAACAAAAAAAGTCGAGCTGGCAAGACCAACTATGAACCTTCCTTCATATGCCTTGCTTTGAACAGAAAAGGGATATGCTTATGATACAAATGAGCAATACATGAAAGTAATGAAGAATGAGAAACCTATTATCTTTCCTTCTTTCCATCTTTCAATCTTTGTCTTGTTGTGTAGTCTTTTTACACGGGACGGACGTCGACCCCCTCTTGAGTAAGGTTGAACTGTTTCCCACCCTTCTGGCAGGACTCCTGAATGAACCAGCCTCGCACGTGACAAGCCTGAAACGCCCTCTTGTGGACGAACGGCGTGTTACCATGTACCAGAATAACGAAGCGAAAGATACGACAAAGTCACAGGTCAGAAGAGTTTACTGGGTATCTATCGCACTCAATCACTCCTCCCACCTCAACATCGATTATGGCCTCCTGGAAGGGATGGTGAGATTGAGAGCGAGGACGAAGAATGAAGAGCGAAAGGGGAGAAACAAAAACGAAATGAAGCCACAATGGACGAACGCATTGAAATCCTCCGTGGGGCCGTACATTCTCCTCGTGTTGGAATTTGCGATGACAGACCAGCGACACATATACATACCCACTTGGAGTCGACATCGCCGGCACCGGCACGATCACTCTGATCGCGAAATCATGATCCATGGGGGCAGTCGTCACTCCGTCTTCAATACCACCTTCTCCTCCCGCAACTCGCCTTCAAGGCCATTTCGATCGACATTGGCATCTCCGGCCCTGACCTTTTCCTCGTCGGGCACAGCCGAATGCTTCTCACCGTCGAAGATGGCGTCGATCTCTTCGAGGGTCTTGCCTTTTGTTTCGACCCAGAAATACCACTATCCGTCACCAAGGTCAGCACATTCTGCGTTTGCTTCAAAACGGGGGGGGAAGTCCTCCCTTCACAGAAGGTGCCTGGGGTGGTGTGACTTACAATCAGAAAGAAAGTAATAATGTCCCAACCGCCGTTAATCATGTACATTCTCCATCCGATGTTGTTGATGCCGATCGGCATGACGAACACGAGGACCAGCCTGCACAGTGGATGGCCGGTCAGAGGACAATAGGTCACACCAAGGATATTGGACAGGGGACGGGGGACTCACGCAAGACTGTTCAGAGTCAACTGTGAAAACGCGACGCCGTTGGCCCGAATCGAATAGTTCATGACCTCCGGCGGGTACAGGTACAGCAGTGGCGTCCAGGCGATCGAGTAGAAGCCCTGAAAGAGAAACATCACGGCCACGTCGCCGTAGATCAGACCCTTTGACGCCCCGTCGGGGTCGTCTCCGTATATTTTTGACAAGCCTCCGATAATGAACAGGCATGCGATCAGGAGACCTTGGGAGAGCAGCGCGGTGGGTTTTCGGCCCCATTTAGCGGCCAAGTGCGTCCCAAGAATGGCGCAGAAAAGACACCACACGTTCAGGACTACATTCTGTGGGATGCAATGTTAAGAGGAGATGAAGTTATCACTTTACGGAAAGGGCGCATACCGCTTTCAGTTGCTGTATCGAGCTAGTGATTCCCGCGGTGTCCTGCAAAACTAGTCAGCCAGTCCCATCACCGCCCCGTATTTTGGTGACTAACCAACTCATCTCCCAGATAGTACGATGCAATGATGTTCCCGGCGATGCAAGAGAAGGGCCCGGCAGACGAGCCGATGAGAAGGCGTTTTCTTGCCGAAGGGGTCTTGACAATTTCTTTGGGACTCATAGTTCGACCTTCCTTCTTCTCCCATTCGAGCGTATCGACGATTTCCTTGTACACGATCAGCGAGACTGGGTCGTTCAGATCGCCGTTAGCGTTTGTTTGAGCGACAACTATTCGCGCGGAGTCGTAATATCCTTCATGAACGAGCCATCGTGGAGATTCAGGGCTGGGAAAACATTCTGGTTCAGCATATCGTACCACACAGACACACGAAAGCAAGTAACGAGCGAGAGTTCCAGAGCAGAGCAAGACTTACATAAATGGTATCACAACTATGCAAAGCAGTGAGAAAATGCCCTGGAAGAGAGAAGGAGCGCGCCATGCCCAGGTTGATTGCCATTCCCCTGTTCCGAGAGTGATACCAGCGGCAATGAGGGCGCCGACACTATGGCGGTTCACGGTTAGTCACAACGACACGAGACAGGCCCCAGGCAGGCAGTCTTGGTACTGGCGACTCAACTCACTAGTAAAAGTCATTCAGGAGACCAACGCCCCAGGCTCGCCAGCGACTGGGAAATGTTTCTGCGAGATAGACTCCAGATGCGATGCCAGATACAGCCGAACCAAACCCGAGGATGATTCGTGCGATCACAAACATTGCAATATTCTGCGCGGCAGTTTGGAGCACGACACCAACAAGAGTGAGCACAGAGCCCCAAAATATAGTCAGGCGACGGCCGATCCTGTCCGTGACGACGCCACTTATCAGGGGACCAAGGAAGCCTCCGATAAAGACTGATGCTGTGTTGAGACCCGTGGTTGCAGGATTCAGATTGAAATAATCGGTATAGGAAGGTAGAATATTGAGTCCGTTGAGCATCGATCCATCATAGCCGCCGGTCTGCCATTGACACATTAGCAGGAGTCATCGCATTGGAGAGACACGACAAGGGATCGGGGCGTAGAAACCGTAGATTGGACCATGGCACAGAGCATAAGGAGAACCGCGAGTGTCGTGGTGGACTCTGGCACCCACGCCGGCATCCATGTGTGCGTAGGCGAAGCTTTCAGCATCTTGACGGGATATATTGCTCGAGGATTGAACAGTCATCTATTGTCTAGCAAAAGGTGAAGTAATGATCAAGCGTTTCGTTGAGGGCTGACAGAAGCTTGAGCGAGAGCTTATACATTCTCCACAAAGGCGAGACTCTCCGATAAGCCATTGCCGACACTGGAAAGCACGAGGAGATGCGCGTGGTTTATTCTGCGTGGAAGGATTTCAGAAACAGCGAATGGAACAGGCATGATTCATCCCCGCAGATAAGATCAACGAGTCCTGGGCCATAAAGACACCAAGAGACTGGTACGGTACTGGTGGAAGGTCGCAACGTAGTATTTTGACGAGGTGAGGTATGTAGATCTCCATCGATAAGCCCTTTCGCCGAGGTAGGGATTCTCTCCTGGATTGGGACTAGATTCATCAGAGACGTCTTACCCAGATAGGCTGGAGGGAAGGATTGTGGGAGAGGCACTCAGAACATAACATAGTACGATGGAGCATATACAAGAGCGAGTCTGGAACATTGAAAAAGGCCACCAGCCACCCGCTGAGATGTTTGTCATGTTGTATCTAGTAGTTGTAACTTGCGTGGGAACCAGGTGCGTCCTTGTTTCCTTTACAATAAACTGCACGCCACGAAGCTTGTCATCGATTGGCACCATCTTGGCAAACGAGTGCTGACATAATATGGTTTTCCCAGGGATCAGCAGGCAATGCCCTTGTTGTTTTGTCTCTGCTGGGTCGGGGTGCGCCTAGGGGCGCAGCGCAGGCTCAATATTACATATCCAATTTATTTCCTCCAGTATCGCAGATCTTTCGTACGCCGACCACAGTTATCGCCTGAGACGCAGACCCGCTGTTTGGGACCACGTACTCCCCATCTCGAGGCTTGCTTGCTTGCTGGACCTTCCCCAGGCGAGTGAGATGCTACTCCCGTCCAGACGAGCCTTGCGCTAGTCTTGGTCCTAGGCAGTCAAGCGCAGTTTAATTGTTGCCGGTATAGGAGCCTGATACGTCATTTGCTTGTGTAGTTTTTGAAACTGCTCGGATGAAGACGGAGAGCAGCCGAGCAGAGAGATATGTCTGGAATTGTTTGTGCAGTTCGAACCTTCGGAAGATCCCAGCCTCATTCACAAAAACGTAGAGTCCCGTGGTATTGGCGTGGTTTGTGATCCTCACAGACCTGTCGAATTGTCGTTCAGGAGTCCGGTGGTCATTCGCCAACGGGTTCCGGTCTTCCGCTGAAGAGCAGCTTATACTTGACAACTTCGAGGACTATAAGATCTTCATATGTGGAACTAGCTGTGAACGCGCCGTCGACTTTTGTTTCTGGATCGACTTTCTGAATAATTGCTAGAGGCTTCGCCAACTTCTTAATCTCACCAGTCAACCGTTGATGCTTGCCAACGTAAAAATAGACTTTCTTCATCCATTTTCCTTCCGAAGGCTCTTTTGGGTTGTACAGTGGAAACTCGAGCCGGCCTATGTCTGTGGTCTGTTCCTCAGCGATTGTCTCATCTGCGTGAGGGAATGGTCCATGAATTGTGCCTTGCATCTCGAGTATCGCAAGTCCAGTAGGCGTTTGAAGAAGTGTCGGAAGGGGATCTGGAGATGGCCTGATCACCTCTGACAATGGCCTTATTCGTAGCTGCACGGAAGGCATTGTGGATGTGGTGATAAAGAGGCTTCAGAGCAAGACTCGCTTGTAACAACCAAGAAACACGTCGCGTCGCGTCGCAAATTGCACAGTGCGTACAAATGATCGATCGTATAGGGAGAAAGTGCGAGTGGATAGGATGCCGAAGTTTTGCCGACGTGGATAGAATATGTGAAACACTTGTGAACAACCTCCTCTTCCTCTTCTCATTCTCTCAATATCCCACCATTCCAAGCAAAATCATTCACACTCAAGATGCGGTCTCTGAACACGGGCGCAGACCCCAAGGTAATGTTTACAATCATGGTGAAGTACATTGTCGGTGAGAGCCTTTTTGCGGACGTGATTTTTCTGGTGAAGTTCTGTGCTGCCCAACAACTATTGTTGATGACTGGGAGTGCATTCGCACAGTGCGGCTACAGACTGCACTCAAGGCTTGCTCAAACCCTCAGCTTCCATTACCAGCCGTTCCGAGGATGTCCCGGAAGCTGTGAATGTCCAGCGTATCCGATCTCGGCCCCGATTAACCCTTTATCAAACACAAGGACCAGACCCCTTTCACGTCCTAGCCGGATGTGTTGACTGACGAGCCACGTCAACCAGCACAGTCCTAGCAAAACGTGATTCATCGATGCCTGGAGAAGTGAAGAGGACTCGTTTGGCCTATTCATCGCTGCGACAATAGGCTCACCCGCCAACACACCATTGATGTGTTGACCTGGGCAGCAAGATATGGAAACAGGAAAACCATTTTCTATCCACGCCATAACTTCAGACAATACCGATCTGGATTTCTTTGATGAAACATATCTCGGGGGCGGTGCGATTCCATATTGCCAACCTCAAGAACCACCATCCTCCACAATTGGGCAGTACCTAACATCAACGAAGGTGTTGCACTGCACCGGTCTACACGTTCTTCGTGAACTTCCTCTTGGTTAGTCTGCATACCACAAGATATCGTCCAGGCCGTCCTCTCTTTCACGAGGTTGAAGGTACAAGTGTGAGACCCGGAGACAGACGCAATCTGAAGAGAGCATTCCCCCCTCCCGGCTACGGTAGACGTTCTTTTCCCTTTTCCCTTTTTTCCGCTGTTTTCCCATCTGCTTACCAAAGTCTAAATACCTCGACTAAAACTTGACATCTGCTACACCGGAACACAGAGTTGGTGGCACCTACGCTCACCATGTCAGATCTACCCATCATGGAGCCCGACTGTAGTCGAATGGCCACCGACAGACCACAACAGAGTGTTGATACCCAAATCCACATGGATCATAGAGATCACGGAAGTCATGCAGATACCAATATGCAACTTGTGCTGGCACCATCGCATACAGCTTCGAGGACCTGGAAGAGCAATCACATCCTTGAGAAAGAAGAGTATGAGCGCGTACGCCAACGTGTCCGCCATGTTGCACCTGAGCAGTTCAAGCAACACGCAAGACCATATGGCAACCCATCCAAGATCTTCCCTCAAAATGGCAGCGAGTGGACGCAGCACAAAGCTGAAGTCGCTGGTCTGGCCGCGGAAGAACATGAAAAGAATGCGAGGGCTCTCAGAGACCAACTCGAGGCTTGGAAATACGTCCCGAAAGATCAGCGGAAAATAGTTTCGAAATTCGGCGAGCAAGGCAAGATCTTCAAAGACGGCATGAGTCCTGTACTTGCAATACCTACAATCTGGTCTGCTGAATACGTGGGTACCGTCGCCGACTGGCCATTACCGGCGGAAATGAAATGGAACGGTGACAATCGGGAAAGCAAGCTAGCAAGAACAAAGGTCGGACGGTTCCTACCACCACCACGTGCTCCATCTCAATCTACTGTCGCATGGCACGATCAGCCTTTCATGACTCCACTACCTCTTGACCAGACCGGTCCGGTGTACACCAGCGGCCCAGCACCTTCCGAAGTCTACAGCAACAACCTTGAGATGGACGGAGATGGGGCTTTTGAGGAGAAAGGCCAAGTCTATCTCTATCTCGCCGACTTAGAGGATGACCTGGATGACCCGGCACAGAAGCGTCCCCCTAGAATTATACGAAGTTTGGAGGCTCTGATGAAAAAGGGCGGTGTCGGGGAGGAAGACCCTGGCGTTATGAACGAAGACGATGGTGTTGCGAAGGAAGATGATGGTGTTGCGAAGGAAGGTGACGGTGTTGGGAAGGAAGGTGATGGCCTCGCGAAGGAAGATGATGGTGTTGACGGTATCGTCAAGGACGCTGACAGTGATCAACACGCATTCAGTGACATCTTCAGCCAATGTGGAGGAGTGACTCCGAGGATGGAGTCGGTTGAGGTCGGCTTGCTTTTCAGAGGAGACTATTATTCTGGAGCATTGGGTTATGAGGACTTTCCTCCTTTGAGCGTCGGTCGCTCCGAAGACAAACCCAGAATGCAAAACCCAGAGAAGTAGGGTGATGTGACCTTTTCAGAGTGCGGGAAGGCACACCTCCACGGCTCCTCAGAGATCGAGAAGACTCATCGAAAGGGCCTGAAGTCTACGAGGCCAGGGATAATACGGTAAACCGAACCGAGGTGTCAGGTATGTGCTCAACCATGCGGCTGGTCGGTTGACTATGGAGACTGATTGGTGTATACACAGAATTTTCGATGTCTTGCTTGGACGGGATTCAATACTCAAGTGCTTACATCCACGCCCCGACGCGAGCCGAATAAAATACAACCAGACTCTGGAAGTATGGCTCTGGATTATGGGGTTTTGTGTTCTGTCAGGATAAAAGATCAAGTTGGATTCTTAATCAGGGGGGAGGAGACGAGAGAGAAATGAGGACTCCAGAAATCAAAGAGCCAGCGAGCCCATCAAGAGCTGATAGAGCTCTGAACCCTTCAATGAAACAATCATGCTACTTGCAATAATCACTGTACAGGACTGGGCTGCATAACAAGTAGGCCTCAACTGATGCTTTGGCCTGGTGGTCAGCCGATGTTCGATGCTAATGCCCTGTTCGGCCTAGTGACTTCTCCTCCGCAACACCCTTCCATCTCACACTCCACGTCTCCCTTCTCCGCATTTCACCCACTTGCCAGGACGAGGCCGACGTAACTCGGACCAAAGATTTGCTCGCTGCTCTATATCAGCTCAGCGTTTGTACCTCGGTACAAAGTCCTTCATCCTCTGGCCATGATGATGCTCTTATCAGACACGATGGCCCTGATGCGCCCTCCGTCCTTCCCTACCCTATCGAGACAACCCGTCAAGCAAGCATGGCACCCGGGCGTGAGTCGTCCCTCTGTTGACGACTTTTGCAAACCACTGACAAGCATAATTTTAGTAGCCACGTTTGCGGCGGCTGTGGCCGGTAGCCTCGCCACGGCAGCGTATCTCGACGCCAAATACCTGATCAGACACGACCTCCGAGGCGGGACTCTGGCAGGGACCAAGGATGCCATCGCATACATCACTGAAAGGACCAAGCAGAACAAGTTGCTGGTATACCACCTGATCGAGGACCATGCGCTAGGCAAGAACGCACACACCGTCTTCCTCATCTTCGAGGACCGACAATGGACATACAAGCAGTTCTACGACGACCTGCAGCGCGTGGGCAACTGGCTGCTGAAAGAGCTAGACATTCAACCTCAGGAGATTGTGGGCCTGGACGGCGGCAACAGTCCTGAATACCTACTCCTTTGGTTTGCATTGGAGTCTATCCGGGCCTGCCCAGCCTTTATCAACTGCAACCTCACGGCTGCGCCTCTCAGCCACTCGGTCAAGCTTTGCGATGCTCGGTATCTCCTTGCCGACCGGGCGGTCGAGCCACTCGTGCAGCCATGCGAAGCGGAGCTCTCTTTGGCAAACATCAAAACAATATACTACGACGCGAACTTCATTTCCTCACTCCCTGACAAGACACCCCTTCCCAGGTCTCGTCAGCAAGGCGCGAAACCCGACGACACGGCCGGCCTGATCTACACGTCGGGCACGACGGGTCTGCCCAAGGGCGTAGTGATGCGACGAGGGCGCGAACTCAACACGGCACGCAGCATCGCCCAGTACCTCCGACTCACGCCCAAGAACCGAATGTACACCTGCCTGCCCCTGTATCATGGTGCGGCGCACGGGCTATGCACGACGCCGAGCATCTTCGCGGGGTCCTGCATCGTCTTGTCGCGGAAGTTCAGCCACAAGACGTTCTGGCCTGAAGTGCGGTCCTCGCGCGCAGACATAGTCCAGTACGTCGGCGAACTATGCCGGTATCTGGTGAACGCGCCACCGTCACCGCTCGACCGGCAGCACGGCGTGAAAAAGGCATGGGGCAACGGCATGCGCCCCGACGTGTGGGAGGTGTTCCGCGAGCGCTTTGGTATCGAGACCATCAACGAGCTCTACGCGGCGACCGACGGCCTGGGCGCGTGTTTCAACGAGAACCGCGGCGAGTTTGGGCGCAACGCGCTCGCGATCCGTGGGGCGCTGTGGCAGTACTGGAACAGGGCCAACGAGAAACGAGTCCTCGTGGACGTCGACTCAGGCGAGATGGTGCGCGATGCTCGCGGGTTCGCGGTCGAGGCCGGCGTCGACGAGCCAGGCGAGGTGCTGCACCGGATCGACGCGGCAGCCACGGCGGCATTCACGACGTACTACAAGAACGACGGGGCGTGGACCAAACGGCAGCTGCGTGATGTCTTCGAAAAAGGCGACTGGTGGTTCCGCAGCGGCGACATGATGCGCCAGGACCCCGACGGCCGCGTGTACTTTGTCGACCGCCTCGGCGACACGTTCCGCTGGAAGAGCGAGAATGTGTCGACCAACGAGGTCTCGGACGTGCTGGGCCGCTTCACCCAGATCGCCGAGGCCAACGTCTACGGCGTCATGGTCCCTCGCACCGACGGCCGCGCCGGCTGCGCCGCCATCGTCCCCGTCCAGGGCGTCACCGCCGACACGCTCGACCTGGCCGCCCTGGCCGCGTACGCCGTCAAGGCGCTCCCGCGCTACGCCGTGCCCATCTTCCTCCGCGTCGTCCCGCAGCTCGAGTACACGGGGACCATGAAGCTGCAAAAGGGCAGGCTGCGCGCCGAGGGCGTCGACGTTGACAAGATCCGCAAGTCTAGTCCCGACGATCGACTGTTCTGGCTCCCGCCCGCCGCCGACAGGTACGTCGAGTACGGACACGAGGAGTGGGAGCATCTCAAGGCTGGAAACGTGAGGTTGTGACGGTACTTGTTGGTCCTACCGAACCGGGACCTGCTGTAAATGGTCAGGTGAGGAGGCCAGGCCCATGTCACGTCAATTCCCACAAGGTGCTGGTCGGTTAGATACCTAGTTGCATACACACTCCGGATACATACGTACATACATACAGATTCAAGTCAAGACAAAGTCGCCGGCCCCTTTGGCTGCCAACCTACCTGTAGCTGACTACACAAGGTATTAAATAGGCAGTGTAGAACCGGTGCAAAGAAATCTGTAGACAGACAGACAGACAGACAGACAGACAAACAGACAAGACGACCACAGATCAAGGCCCTGAAAGACAAGACAACCGCAACAACCCAAAGACGCTGAGAAATTTCCAGATGGAGCCGACATGACATCTTGTTCAGGATAGTTAGTATCTATTTCTTTGTGTTCTCGTCCTCGCCACCACGAGAACCTGGAATGTACCATGACAGAGAAACCCTAGAGTTGTACCTAGCCGAACTAACTAGTGAGTACTCCGTACCTCCTGGAAACCTTACAAGGGTACGTATTAAGCAAGGATAGGAGGAACAATAATACATTGTCGATACTTTTCCTGTCATGTTCAATAAAGCCCATATGTCATATCACGTAGGTGGAATCTTATCTAGTCGAGTTCGTCCGTCAGCCGTGTCGATTGATACACAATCATCCCAACCACTGGACTGTCAAAAGTCCATCTAAAGACATCCACCAGGCCGCACCCATACCCGACAACACTTGACCGACCATCAACTCCAGCGACGTTGTCTTGTCAAGAACATGCAATACAAAGTTGACCACAAACCTCCCATATACAGCGTTTGCAATTCACAAAGCCGAATGTCACGACCAGAAGATCAGTCGATCTAAAATGTCCACCGAGAAGTCCGGAGGGAACAAGCCCAGTTCGACTGCGCCGTACCGTTGCTAGCCATCATGAGCCCGGAAAGCCAGGTTCACAGGGAACAAAATCATTCAAGAGCTCGCTTCAAGTCGTTCCATTTCTGCTTGAGCGCTTCGTGTTCGCCATTAAGCTGAAAAGTCTTCGTTAGTACAACTCATCACCAGATAGATAAATCATATCACAAACTCACCTCAGCATACTTCATCTTCATCTCCACGAGCTCCTTTTCCATTTCAGCCATCTGTTCTTCCATGTGACGATTCTGATTTTGTACTTCGATGTTGCGTTGCATGACTTGTTCAGTGCCGGCTCTCATCCTCTCTTCGACATTGGCGGCTTCTGTTTGAGCCACCTTTTTCAGCTCCTCAACCTGTCCAGTCAAGCTTTCGTTTCTGTCCAAAAGGTCGTTGTTCTCGACCTTGAGTCTGACAAGCTCATTCGCAAGCTCAACATGTTCAGCGTCCGACTTTTCGGCACGCTTTTCCAGAGACCGGATTTGAGCAGCTTTGGTGGCGCAATCAGTTCGGAGATTTTCGAGCTCTGTCTCACGGGCTCGTTCGGCTTTGGTTGTGGTTTCATACTCCTCGCGATATCGGGCTAGCATCTCAGGCGTGAGCTTGACAGCACAAGCATCTTGAACAAGCAGATCTGCTCGATACACTTCAGTATCCGAGCCACCTGAACTGCCGAAAAACCCAGACTCCAGTATCGACTTTGATGATGGCGTCGCGTCGGTGTATACGTCAAACAACTTTTCTTTGAGAAAGTTAGTCAACGCTTGCATGTCGTTCATGGCCAAAAGCGTCTGGACATTGCGTTGTATGACCGCCATACCAAACTTCAATATTGCCCCCTCAAGACCTTCACACAGAATCAGGTCGAAAACACGCATGACAAGTTGTAAGGGGAACCGGTAGGCAAACAACGTCAAAAACCATTGTGTTGCGTAGAGTTTCGGATTGACGCCCCGCCTGTTGAGATGACAGTACAGGGCTGGTTCCAGGTCTTCTAATAATCTTTCGAACTGGTAAAGATGCAGGTGTAGACCTGGCATATCCTGAATGAACAGATCTCGCAGTTGATATTTGTTCATCAGCCGGACCAAAAGACAAAACGCCTCCTCTTCGGGCATAGTAAAAAGTAAAGGCATAACAATGAAGTTCATGCCTTGAGGATAGCCCACCGCATCATCGAAGAGTGCATACGCTCGACAGACGTGGAAGAGTCCGTCTTGTAGACCTGCTGCTGCCACATATTTGGAATATGAGGTTCTCGATCCCATGTCTCGCTTTATCATCTTCTCAAGCTTGGCCAGCGCAGCCGAATCTTCTTTGGCCTTTTTGGCCTTCTCGGCTGCCAATTGAGTCTGGAGCCTCGCAGCCACCATGGGGTCTCCCTGCTCTTGGGAGGGTGAAGGAGAGGCAAGGCCGACAGTAGCACTAGTAGCCGGTGTCGAATGATCCGATCGGATTGAGGATCGTGATGACGCGACGGATTCTTTCTCCTTCGCACTGCCGTTGACGTGGTGACCGTTGGGCAATGGTGACTTTGGGGGCGGCTCCTTCACTTCTGCGCTTGTCCCACGATTCCGCAAATCCCAATAGACAGCTTCCAGCTCTTCGTTTTTACTGCCAGCGAGAACTTGCCATATGACTGGCCGGATCGTTTGGGGAATGCCGCCGCTGATGGCCTGCGTGAACTCATCCGGACTCGTTTTGGCCACAGCCTGAGGCCCTTCATTCACAACATTCTGCCAGAAATCCCAATCAATCGGTGTTGCTGTGTCTGCCGCGGATGCTGCCACCCCGGCGACAGTGCCTTGAGCAAGGTTGGGATTAACCGGTACTGATTCTGTCATTGGTGACGATGGTGACATGACTGGTGTCGTAATCAAAGCCTCCTCCTGACCGACACTGCCTGGTGTAGCAATACCGACCCCCAGGCTCGCTGATCGTCCTATCAGTCCGGCTATTGCGCCACCCTCTGCGCTGTCCGTGCCTTCCAGGCTTGTGATACCCGCCTCTTCTCGAAGCCGCAGCATCTTGAACTGCTCGCGTAGAGAGGCTCTCGACGGCTGTTTTTGGCCATTCGATCCATCTTGGGTCTCGTCTAGTGCTTTCAAAATCAGTTCTGGATTGCTTCCTAGCGTAGACGTTGACGCGGCAGTATTCCGGCGAGCATCGAGTTGTGCTTTTGATGATAGCGGAGGTGAACGAGTCTCCTTTTGTGTGGATGTGGCCCGGCTTAGCCACCCAAAAGGCGTTGTCACTTTACGGCCAAAGGAGGACGTTTGAGGCGGAGGTGGAGGAGGTGGCGGCTGCGGTGAAGGTGCTCGTGCATCGGAAGCTTTTCTGTTTGGCGGTGCACCCCATGAGACGGAGGGTAGAGAAGCTGAGAATCCCTGAAATCTCGACGGACGGGGAGGAGGTTTGGGGGGTTCTATTTTCTCTGGTTCCTTTGTCTGGTCGGGCGACTCCTCCGGAGCTTTGAGGGAAGGTACTGGTTGAACCTCAGAGGGTGGTACTGCGGAACTTGAACTGTCGGCTGGCGGGGTTTCAGACTCATTCGCTGGTTCCTCCGCTTCTGAGCTCTGCGAACTATCTTGATTGTGTGATTCGGCTTCAGATGGTGAGGATGCGGGCAATTGAGGCTCGGGAGCCGGCGGCGTGTCGGCAGGGCTGCTGGGAACGGAGGCAGAATGATCGTCGCGAGAGGTGTCTGGTTGAGGCTCCTCCTTCACATCAGTTGCATCTTCAAATTTCTACATCGTGTCAGAGAAACGGATGGTAAATAGGGACGGTTATCCTTGGTGTACCTCTTCCGCCTCAGAGTTTCCCCCATTTTGCTGTGCCGGCTCTGGTGGCTCCATTTTGGTCAAAGTCAACAGGGGCACGTCCTGATCATACCATTATAACCAAGGATCTCTGTGGACACCCGCAATGAAAGTAGCGATTGGTATCGAATCGTAGAACAACGGGGCTGTTGAGATATAGCGGCCTGTCCACGGACACGCACCGGGCCAGCGGAGTGAGGAAGGAAAGACGAAGGTTGGTGTTGAGACGTGAGGCCTGATGCGTAAGAGGAAGCTGTGAAGCTCGTGGAGATGGCCTGAGTAGGCGAGAGCCCTGAGGGTGACTTGGAGCAGCGGTGAGTTGTTGAAGGATCCAAGAAGAGGGTGTTGTTTGGGGGTTACGTATGGTGAATCAATCGATTCAACACGTATACGAGACGCTCAACAAGGCCTCGCACTTTTTCTTTAGCGGCCTCAGCCTCCTTTTGGTTTAGGGGCCGTTAAGCACTGACTGTCTCAGCGCAGAAGAAACTCCATTAATACGCCAATCATGCCCAAATCCTGGGGCCACATAGCCAGTGTTGAAGGAGAAGATGCCGTACAAATCCTTGTCCATCTCCTATCGACTGCATCCAAGCCTTCATCTACCACGATAAGGACATTGTGTCTTTTTTCCTCCCGTCTTCGTTGCGGTGGGAAAACGCCAGGGCTGTGCACCTCGAGAACCCTGTATCACTCTGTGCAGGCTTGTCCATCCCTGACTTGACCGAATTGTCTGCCCGTCCGTGAACGACAAAGCCGATTTCGCCTGTCAAAGGTTTTGACTGGTGTCAAAGAGCATACTATAGGCCCCAAAGAGCCGCCTTCGAGTTGAGCGGCCATATACTTCCTCCATAGCCCCTACGTAAATTCATCTCCCGTTCTCGGTACTCGTGCATCCAGATCAAACGTGCCACGAACACCACTGTCAGTTTCGCCCCTGCAATGAGACAGACAATGACGCAGTACATGATATGAGGTCTTCACCATCGACATGCAATAGTCACGAGAGAAGACCTACAGTAGTTACATATCTGCCCAGTTCAATTCCCCATCCCGGCTAGTGAGGCTCATCGTCTCATTTCGCTACGCCGGTGTCTCCTGGATCTGACAGGGCCACTAACTTCGGCGCGCTTCCGATCGAAAAGAGCGCTCGAGAGTGTATCTCGAGCTCCTTGATAGCCTTTCCCTTCTATTTGTACGCTTGCTCCCTATTTCAGAGTAATTTACGGAGCACCACAATTGTAGTCAAGCAATCCAATCTGGAGATTGTCACGCGGTCTTTAGCAGAGCCTGTTCCATGTCTAACCACCGACCTCGTCTCAGAGGGTCACGCAATTTGAGCTCATTCAACCAAGCCAACACCTTCTGTTTGTCGTCTTCTTCCATACTCTTGTTCAACTTGGCTTCCAGTAATGCACATTCAATCAGAGCTTTGCGTGCCCATTGACAGTCTTCAGCGTCTTCCAGCACCTCCTCTATATATTCTCTCTCTGATGCGATATACTTCAAGCGCTGCTCGGTGGTCAGATTTGGTGCCATACTTTTTGCGGCTTGGTCAGGGTCAAAGGCACACATCAGATTCTGGTGATAGAACCATAACGATTGGTCAAAGGGGTCGAACAAGGCTGTGTGAATCAGTTCGAGCTCTATGTCGATCAGCAAATGTCAAATCCACGTTGTGGCCCGAGGCTCCTACCATCATCTAGCATCTTCTGTCTCTCTTTGTCGCTCGCATTTTCTTCGGCCAAAATCTTCACAATGACCTTTGTTCGATTGTGCCAGGCAGAGAAATTGGAGAGATTGGTGCCTATCATTTTTTTCGTATATTCCAGTTCTGCTCGTGACATGCTCTGACCTTGCAGAGCCGGGCTTTCAAGGTTGCTCACCACCATGCGTCGATAGCCCCAGCCGTGGAAGTTTCTGCTGTCGCGACTCAGCATTTTCGCAACCAGGCCTAGTTCTTCTTCCCAAAGTTTGCGGGCCTGAGGAGCTGGGAGCAGTGCCGTCGACTGCTGGAGAAGCCATAGCCGATGATTCCATATCCAATAACACTTGGGAAATTTCAGTAGCAGAGGGAATAGGAATTGCAAGTCCAGCTGTATGATGTCTAGCACGTTACTTATCCTTGTCTCCTCGGTGATCTTTCCAGCCCCGACGTCCTTCTCCAGATCTCGGAATTCATTGACGTATATACGCCGGCGGTGATTCCAGATCGTGTAGTATTCCGGGTTCTTTTTGAGTACTTCGGCCGTTTTTTGTAATAAGGCTGGCGTAAACTCTTTCGCTTTGACCTTTGTCACTGTTAGCATGGAAATTTATCACTGCTGAGGAATGGTTGAAGACCTTCTCATTGACTTCTTCTACAAGTTGCTTATATTGGCCAATTTCTTTCAGTTCCTTCTGCCTTGATTCGTCTGTCCGTTCATCACGAGCAGCTGATCGGGGAATTCCATGCTGTCCTCCCAATTAGTCGAGTCTACCCAGCAAATGTCTCGTTAGACCTACACTCGACATCTTTCACGGCAGTTGCAGACCGAGGTGATGTTCATGAAGATTCCATAGACAGACGTAGGCAGCTGCTGTTTGCTTTGTGGCGTAGTGATGGCGATGGACGCTGATGGCAAGAACGGAGGGTCGTTAGAAAGGCAACTATTTAGTCAGTCTTTCTGGTGCCGCGAAATCTCCGCAATAAAAGTCCAGGCGCCTTCAATCAACCCTCTTGTCACTATCGCCAACTGACCACATCCATAGGCCTCCATCTCGATTACAGCTCAATGCAAGTGATGGCTTGCCTACTAATGTAAATACAGGTATTAGACAATGCTACGAGGATCGTACTAGCAGCAGAGCCATACCCTCATCCTGTGGTGCCTCTGGGGTGCCTCGGCCTCCCCATGGTCTAGAACTGGATGAGAGCGACACTGTTAATCACTGTTCTCGACCACAATCTCGATGGACATCCGCCCTTCGAACAGAGCGTGGAAGTTCTCCTAGGCCTACTTCCCTGAGCCATTGGCAATGGGTGATCAACAACATGATGTAGAATCACATTCACGCGTCGGCATAGATGCTTCGGAGTTGGATGAATTCCTCGACAGAGGCCGATCTTTGCTCAGGCACTTGCCGCAGCACCCGTCCACCTCCATCTTGCCATCAGAAGATTACCCATCTCGACAACTTCCACGATTGCGACGTCGTCCTTAGCAGGGTCGGTCGTCAAGTGCTGGAACTCCGATTCGAGCCCAGTCTCGCTTCACTTCACCTAACAGGTTTATACCTCAGAGACCTTTGCATATCGACAAACGCTCGTCCTACCAGATAAGCAAGCCTACTGCTCTCCTTGAAGGTCGAGAAAGAGACGAGAGACGGAGGGACGAGCTGATAGACCCTTTCCGGTCGGTTAGCGAGGCAAGATCCCGGTCGTTGGCTAGGCAGAGACAGAGACATAACGCCTACAACCTCCGGCCTCCACATCATACCCCATTATTCGTTCATCACTCGGATGGCTCATCATCACTTCCTGACGGTCAAGGAGGACTTGAATCCTTGCGCCGTGTCAGCGGTGGCTTCTGGACCGTGGGAGGTCAATTGACGGCACAGCTCGGACAACTAGAGGGCGTTACCTCTGCCACAGGAGGTTTGATAGCCAGTGGAACGACTGCTCCGTTACACACAGCTTCATTTCTCGACCAGGACACAGATGCCGATCAGACGGTTGGGCATGAACGCCGTCTCGCTCTCGCTCTTGATATCGACCAGGCCAGTCGCATCTTGCTCCAGGCTTCGCCATTGGGGAAAATCATACAGGACCTTACACAGAAGCCTCGCAAATTTGACTGGAGAGACAGTAGTTGGACTCGAGATACAACAGGTGCCTGTAAGCCCAGCTTTAACGATCACATATGCATTCCTAACTTTGTGTCCAGCTCTAGCCTTGGAAATCCCAGAACTTCAGCCACCTACGAGCGAAAAGACAATGCCATCAGTCCCCTTCCGAGTACTTGACGCTCCTCAGCTGAAGGATGACTACTACTGCTCTGTTCTTGCTTACAGCCATACTTGTCATACTCTAGCCGTGGCTCTAGCGCAGAAAGTGTACTTGTGGACGGAACAGTATGGCGTCCGCCATCCTCCTTTGCGCCCAGCTCGAACATCCAATTTCGTAACCTCTCTGGCCTTCTCGTCTGAATGTGGTGGCAGGGCAATCTTAGCCGTTGCTCGGAACAGTGGCACTGTCACTCTTTGGAGCTTACTGGAGACAAGACCCAGGTTTGAAGCACCTCACTCATGCGCAGCAACATGTCTGGCCTGGAAACCAACTGTAACACCTCGCCCCTCGGTAAATTCACATGGATCCCTACTTTGTGAGGATCTTCTGGTCGGCGATGACTGTGGCAACATTTACTATTACTCTTTGGAATGGCCTGAGCACGCTCCGGGGTCGATGTCACTCCTCGCGAAAGTTGATGCTCATACCCAGAACATCTGCGGTTTGGCGTGGTCCCCTGACGGCGAGCTATTTGTGACTGGTAGCAACGACAACCAGGCATTCCTGTACGACCCAAAGATCATTATAGAGGCTCAAAACGAAAGCATTTCCTCAAGTACAGCCGTTGAAACCCCTGCCCGCTCAGCAACGCCTCTCCATCGACCTGTTCCAACAACATTAGGCCTAATGACTCCACCAGAAAGCCCAGAGAGGAGCAGTCAGAGAAACCAGAACACGACAGCAGGTGTGATTGCTGAGCCCGATGAGCCTACAGAAGCCCAGGGACAGGATACTCCACCTACGAGCCCTCCATGGCGTGGAAGGCCTCCGAGGCGACTGCAAGCTCAGGATAATCGATTGACGACGAGCCCGGATGGCTCTACGATGAACAGCCCCCCTCCTATCCGAAACAGCTTGGCAGATCCAAGCATCCCTGGATTGGGGAACGTGCATGTGTACTCGTTCTACCACTCGGCGGCTGTCAAGGCTATGGCCTTTGCACCGTGGCAGCCAAGTCTTCTCGCTACCGGTGGAGGTAGCAACGACCGCCAGATTCATTTTTTCCATACAGGTTCAGGAGCTACTCTGGCGTTGATCAACGTCTTTTCTCAAGTCACGAGCCTGGTATAGAGTACCACTCGACGAGAGATTGCGGCAACCTTTGGGTATTCCCAACCTGAACATGAGATCAGAATTGCTGTCTTCAGCTGGCCCAGCTGTGATTGTGTTGTGAGCATCCCGTGGGAGCGGAAACAGAACGGCGAGGTGGGGCGTGCGTTGTGGGCCATTCCATATCCCGGGGGACCAAATGATGCTATACCTAGTCGGAGACAGAACAATTCTTCTGACGGCTTTTCAGAATGGGAGGCTATACAACAAAGAGAAGCGCAGCGCAGGAGCATTACAACCGCAGTGGCTCCACGACGTCGTGGTAGTCCTGCGCCTGGTCTGGATCGGACCGCTCCTGCTCATCCGTCAATCTCGACATCCTAGAGTCGACCTCGAGACACTGACAGAAGAGATCTTCGCGGGGAGGGGGAGCCTTGGGCAAGTCGAACGGAGGAAGAAGGTAGTCTGATCATCGCTTGTTGCGACCGTACGGTCAAATTCTTCGAGATCTGGGCAGGAAAGAGCAAGGGCAAAGGTCGAGGTCTCGGCAACCAACAAGGGGTTCTTGGCGGAAGTCGTGTGCTTGAAGGATGGTGTGAGCACGTTGGAGTCGATGAGATTGGCTCTGGTGAGGTGATTCGGTAGACGAAGATTTGCTTTTAGGAGGCTCTTGAGCTGTGTCACTCACTACTTGGGAGGGCAGGAGGCTATGGAAATATCGCACCATTACTAGCTGAAGTATTCATAACATATTGCATATGGACAATAGTGGCACTACCGTGGGCGTAGTATCATTTGGAAAATCTGCTATGCCAATGCTCACAACCTTTTGACAATGCCAATACCATTGCCCATGTCTGTAACCGAAATCAAAAACAACGCCACATGCTTTTCTATGTCCAAGCCGGTTGGTGACGTGAACAAAGCTGATCGAGTGCTATGCATGCACAACATCCATTACTTAGCTCGAAACTATCCTGGCCGTGAGCTCGTGCAGATTGAAATTTGGTCAATCTGCTCATCTGCTCGCCGTCCGTGACAATGTCCACGGGTCAATTGTGAACAGTCCTCGACGACAAAGGCTCTCGGTCGACATTTCATCATGCCCGTTTACCACTCTTCTTCTGCTTTTTCTCAATCTTCTTATCCGTTCCTGTTCCCTTTGCCCTTGACTTGGACTGAGTCTGAGGCTGGGATTGAGACCTGGACGCTGCGGCAGGGGTAGGGGCAGGGACGTCTTCAGGTTCACTGTCCCCTTCGACGTGCACGTCGTCCTCATCGCTTTCGAGGTCGATGGACCCGTCGTTGATGAAGCTGTCCATGTCGGAATCCTCTTCGTCCTCGTCGTCGTCCTCGCTTCGCCCCGAAGAAATGTCCGAGTCTGAAGAAACGTCAGAGTCGGAGGCACCTTCCACATTGGGGTTGTCGCGAGTGTCGTCCGGATCTGAATCTGATTCTGCCACACTGGACTCTTCGGCCTCGGCGTCAACGAGACCGGTGCGATGGCCGTTTGTTAAGGTATTCTGTTCCTCGTCTTCATCCTCGTCGTCATCTTCGTCTTCATCTTCATCTTCATCTTCCTCGGCAACGCCATTTTCGAGGCGCATCATGTCCTCATCTTCATCTTCACTCTCGGCTTCGCTGGCAATCAACTCTTCAAGCGCTTTGCGTCCTTTGCCTTTGCCTTTTCCTCTGGGTCTCTTCGCTGGCCGTCCAATGTCTTCGTCTAGATCGTCGTCGTCGTCGTCCTCATCCTCGTCGTCACTGTCCCAGTTATCACCCTGCACGCCTTCAATGTAGATCATGCCAGGCTCGTCGTGGCCTTCCCTCCGCGCGCCCTGCGCGGCGAGGACTTCCTTACGATACCGCAGCTGCGCATCAAGCATGTCCAGTTTCCCCTTGAGCAGCAGTAGACTGTCCAGTGTGCGCGTCCGCTGGCCGAGAACCTGGTACAGTGTGCGCACTTTGGCCGTGGCGTCGGGCTGGGCGGCGATCGCGCCTCCGTGAGTGATGCACACCCACTGGACCCAGGCAATTAGGTTGCCGTAGCGGCCTGGTCGGCTTGCGAGGCGTTCGGCGAGTCTCGAGAGTAGCGCCCCCGCTAGCTGCGAGTCCAGACGCTGAATGGTGCTGCGGACGATAGTCATATCACGGGTATGCAGACACGCTTCGAGGAGGTTGTTATCGTTTGTGCGTAGTGCTTGCGTGAGGACAGTGCCGAGCGACATGCCGCTGGGCAAGGCGGCTCCGGGCCGGCTTTTGAGTGTCGTCGTCGCCTGGTCGGGCGGCAGAGCAGAGGAGATGGCGATCTCAGAGTGGTGACGAGATGCCAAAAGTTCACCAAATGTTGGTTCAGCATCGCCTTCTGCATCCGCCATGTCTTCATCCGAAGCTGCCTGTGTAGCAACCGCGGTGGCGTCCGCTCCGGCCATCTCTTCATCCGAGTCGGGGACTTCAGGGTCTTCATCGTCAGCAACAGCGTTTGGTTGTCTGGCTTCCTCCTCGTCCCCGTCGTCTTCCTCCTCCTCCTCCTCCTCCTCCTCATCATCATCATCACTCTTATGGGCGGAGGCCTCGCTTTCATCACTTGCAAGGTCAATGGTGACTGGTTGTGTTCCGCCATTGACGACAACCGTCTTTGACTCGTCGACATGAGATTTGCCCATGTCTTTGACACCGTTCAATGTGGCAGTGTTCAGCGTAGATGCTGAGCGAACTTTGACGATGTCTCTCTGCCCATCGAACAAAAGTTTGCCATTCCCTTCATCCTGCCATCTAACCTTTTGGAACGAGAAGTCGGCGCCGCTGTCTGCGGATGCAACCACAATATCATGGCCTTGGACAGAGGTAGCGAAGATTGGGATGTGCTTGCTCTTCGAGTCCGGGCTTACAAGGCGAATGGAAGCGCCGGCTTTTCTGGTCAAATTCTTCCTGCTGGACTTGAGGTCACCATTGGCTTGTTCTGGCACGGCAAAAGGACGCCAGAACAACTCGATACTACCGTCCTTCGTTAGCACGGCGAGCAGTTGTTCTCGTTGTATAGGCGCAACGTCCTCAGATGGTTCGTGCAAGTCTGCGGAGACGACCCCACTTCCAGCAACCAGTGTCCGAACTAGTTTCTTGGTTTGGATGTTGTAGACATTGATGTATCTGTCGGAGTCTGAAGCGAGAAAGAATTCTTCCTTTGCCGTGCCCTTGATGCCTGATCGGAATAATGAATTGACAGCGTTCTTAAAGGAATCGTAGCGTGCCACTGTGGCTTGTCCATTTGTGTCAAAATCGTACGCTAGAGGGGTGGACGACGCACAGATAATCTGAAAAGGGTTGGCGGAAGGAGCTGCGAGGATATTTATGGGCTCTGGAACATGAATAGTTCTGCTTCAATTAGTCCGGTGTTTGAGGTGCAAATGGACATTTACTAACCTCAGAGGTCGACCCTTCGTCAAGTCCCACTGTATCAGGTTTGCATCTTCTCCTACGCTCCAGGCTTCTTGGTAGGAGGTGGATGGAGAGAATTTAAAGGCTGCAATTGGTCTTTCATGTCCTCCGCTTAACGTGCCAACGACTTTGCCTTCTGCGGGCGAAAACATACATATCTCTGAGGTGCTCGTTCCATAAGCAACGACCGCACCTTCAGCATTCTCTTGGCCCCTTTTGCGCTTCTTTTGTTGCTTTTGATCCCGGCCATAGTAACCCCATTCGAGGCAGGTGATCCTCGAACCAGGCTTGGTCTCGTGCTGGCAACGCAGTCGACCTGTGGTGGTGTCATGGATGCGCAGCTGTTGAGAGTCGAAGCTCTGTATGACAGATGCGAACAGGCGCAACTGTAGTTGCGAGGGTGCAAACGAAGACTTCAACACCGAAGACTTTTGCGACGTTGCAGATACTGACGACACCGCTGTGCCTGCGGAGGAAGGTTTGGTTGCCGTACGGGAAGAGGATTTCCGACTCATCTTGATGGGCTTGCTCGTAAATTTGAGCGTGGAAAGAGGGAGCAAGGAGCGTTGCTTGTCGGTACACTACTCGACCTTTACCTTCTCGAGTATTGTGGGTGTAGCGTGCTCTCTCGCTGATTTGATGATGTCCATATAAATTTCCTCTGTAAAAAAAAGTTCGGAGTTTGGAGAATGAAATGAAATGACAAAGTGCCATTAGCCGTTAAACCATAATGGTGCTAGCGTCTAATTGTTTCGCCTCCCTACAAAAAAGAGTCAGGTCGGCAGTAGTACATAACTAACCAGCCTAATTCAGATTACCTAGGCAGGTTTCTCTTCTCTTTCTGCTCACTCTTCTCGTGTCCATCATCGTCTTTCACCACACGGACTAAGAAATCTCGCTCTTGATGAACTGTCTGTTTGGCAGCATCTTTCAACAGGTCACGCATGACCGAGCCTTTGAGTCTGGAACTTGGACGAGGTTGAATGATTGTTCATACTCCCGATGTGCCAATCGTCTTTCAACAAGTGAGCTGCCGGTGCGACTGCGCCATTATCGGTTGCAGAGTTCTTTTGCGAAGCATGTTTATTTATTTCGAAATGGACTACCCAGAAAATGACTGCGGTCTGCTGCTACCAATTTATGTTTGTTAACATTTCTGGACACAGGCAGCCGGAAATGTCAACCGGCATGCTCTCGAACAATCTTCGCTCCATTAACAAATGGCTGGATATGTGCATGATCGAAAGCCTCGTCGACAGGGAGTTCTAGTTCTCACTTCGAGAGAACACAAGGCGCAGCTTCGATGCAGGATTTTAAGGAGATTTGCGGCCTCTCACTGATCCACGGCTCGACCGGTCAAGCCGGCAGCTTGCGGAGATTGCTCAACCGGGAACAGAAAACGCCTAAGATTTCAGGCATGATTAGCGCTGCTTGCGCCCTGTGTGACCATTTCAGTGGTGCAAAGCAGTTGAACAATGGGACAATTACAGGCACCCAAAATCCCAGTCAAAGGACCGAGTCTGATGGCATGCCTCCGGAACCTTGAATCTACATTACTCGGTACGGAATCAGGCTCCGACTTCTATACCGCATCCCGCTGCTTTTCCGGCGCAAGATTTGGTGGAGGCAGCCTAGCGACCACGTGACCCTCGTTGCATTGAATCACCGTGATGGAACGGAACAAACATCTTCCGTCAAACTACTGGACAGCGATAACCGTATGACACAAAGCGGTGAGCAGGCTGCAGGGCCAGGGAGTCCGGCGCCAGGCAGATGACAAGGTAAGTGCAAGGCATGAAAAAGAAAGGAAAACGAACAATGCGCAGTTGGCACTTCAACAAAGTGACCCTCAGGAGTATACAGGGTACGAGGACAGGGAGTACTTGGGATCAGCGAACCAACGCTGGACTCCGTTGAGATGCAGAGAAGCGAAGGCACAGGAGAGTCGGAGTGGAGAACGATCGAGGCGGAAGCTTCAGCAGGCATTTGAGGGAGGGAAGGAAGGTGCTTAGGTGGGCGCACAAAGAAAATCAAGCTCGGGCAGGAGCGACTGAAAAATCGAGGCGCTTGGCCCCGCTAGACCATTTATTGACTAGGGCACCGTGTTTCATTGGTGGCGTGCTGATAGCCAGATCCATCTGACACCGTCGAAGGCTGGTTTGATTGGACCTAAGGCGGGCGAGCGACTCTCACTAAACCCTTGCAGGGATTGCACGGTGCTGAAGCCACATCAGTGACTTTGTTCCGAGGCTACTTAAGGATTTCGCGCCCCTCGTCCATAAATTCGCTGCTCCTAAAAGTGTGATGCACCGCACCCCTTCACCTCCTTTCTCCCCAAAACAACCGCCAACACGAAGCGACGCGTTTTCCCGCCAAGCCTCGCTCTGATTCGCTTTGCCACACACACGCGTCGTCGCCGCTTTCTCTACTTCCATTGGCAACTCAACACCTTATTATTGCATCAAGGTATAAACAACATCCGGCAACATTCGTGGTACCTTTTCATCAACTATCTCAATTGCACGAGCCCCGGGCATCGCACACCCTGCGTTCCCCTCGCCGTCACCGTCGCTGTGCTATTCCGGCCAGCTTCGTACCACGCCTCAGGTCCCCAGTGCCCCAGATATCACTGGTGCCTGCGTCCACTCAATTGCGCGCTCGTTGTGCCAATTGGTGTCTGCCGGACTGTCACGTGACTATTCTGGTGCACGTGACCGGTAGAGATTATCGTTATCTCCGAGCAGCCGCTGCCGGCCATATTCCATTCACTTCCTCTACGGAGTGAGGATATTGGTCGCATTCAACGACTTCAGATTGAAGCCTCGTTGTTGCCACTTGATTGTGTCAGCAACTATTGTTTCGATCTCTCGTCAACTATAAATTAATTCCGCCTTCTTCTATTTACCATTCACCTACACCTCAAGCACCCTTTGTCGCCGCCGCTTCTTTCATCACCTTTGCCACCATCTGGCTTGTAAATTACCCTCACCATTAATCTATAATCTTTCATCCTGTTCGTTACTCCTTCCGGCTGGTCCGATCTTTTGCCATAGAGAACACGCTTGGCATCATGGATGTCGAAATGCAGATGGAGGCCAATGGGTAAGTCATCTCACCGCCCTGCATTTCTGCTTCACTGGTCACTCATACTAACTTTCAGCAGTCTGCCTGCACAATTTGGTTCGACCTCAGAACAGACCGCCCAAGAACACGTAGTCAGCAATTTGACTGCCTCAATGTCAAACTCTGACGCGCCAATCAGTTTGCCTTCAAAACCGGTGGTCATTGAATCCACGTCCCAGTCAGAGTCAATAGCGGATTCGGTGCCGCAGTCGCTACCACCAGAGGCAGTGTCAGAGGTCGTGTCTCAGGCAGTTGCAGAACCACCGCCTGCCACAAATGGTACTGGTGAAGTGGTAGAGACCTCTATTTCGACCATTCCTGATTCCCAACCTCAACCATCACCTGAAAATATTCTGTCCGTTCAACCAACAGCATCAGAGAGCATGACCGACTCTGTGGTGCCTTCTTCCATACCGACTGAAATCCAGTCCTCAGCGTCCTCGGAACAAATTCAATCAACTATGGACACGGAGATTCCTGAGCCGGCCTCAGCTCCAACCCAGCCTCCCGAATCAGATTTGCGCACAGCACCTCACTCTGACGCTTTGAGCCCAGAGGCTGTTGCTGTCATTGAGGCTCGGAAACATCAGTTGGACAATTCCGCTGACACTGCGCCATCCCCGCCAAAAGAAGACGTGATGGATACCACCACAGTGCCTGAGTCTGCGACCATCGCCGAACAGCAAACTGTTGCACAACAGCCGCCTGTCACCAACATTGGTTTGCCCTCACCTCCGGCTCAGTCACCGCCCGATGCACCAGAGTCAGTGTCAGCTACCTTGGCCGTAGAAAAATCTTCCGAGCCTGTCGCTGATGCGCAGCCTGTCCCAGCACCGCCCGTTGTTCTGGAACCCCAACCCGAACCTGAAACAAAGCTCGAACCACAGACAGAACCTGAAAAGCCCATCGCGACAGAAGCAGAAATACAACTAGTCCCTGTGGCGGAACAGCCAAGAGATCCCGCACCGACTCCTGCACTGCCTACGGAACTGCTTGAATCTTCAGCACCTGTACCGCCGGTTCCGGAGGCTGCACCAGCACCAGCCACGATTGACGAAGATCACGACATGATTGATGTACTCCCTGCGAAACAATCCCGTGCACGAGAAGATGATGGTCCTGATTCAGAACGTTCGGCGAAGAGAGTCAAAACGGATGAATCAGGATCCCAGTCTCAGGAAGCGCAATTCAAAGTCCCTCAAGTACCTGCCGTAACATCGTCCCCCGTGCCAAATGGCGCGCCGACCACAACAGTTGGTCCGACCGACGGAGATGATACAATGACCGCTGCACGATTGGCGCATGTGAAGAAGGTCATCTCGAACCTGAAGAAAAGCAACTCCTCGGCCGCCTTTCGCTTACCAGTGGACCCTGTTGCGCTCAACATCCCTACATACTTTGATATTGTCAAACAACCTATGGACCTGGGAACAATCGACTCACGCCTGAAGAATAACAAATATTCATCTGTTTCTGCTCTGGTGAATGACTTCAACCAGATCATCGTCAACTGCGTAGCTTTCAATGGAACTGAGCATGGAATCACGCAGCAAGCGCGGAAGATGGAATCATCCTTCAAAAGTCAGATGAAGAATCTTCCCTCCGCTAGCCTGGAAGAACCGTCGAAGGATGCAAAGAAAGCAGCCAAAAAGCACGAACCTACCAGACAACAAGCACCTCGACGACCGTCAGTCAGCACAACTACCACCCCTGTCGCAAAAGCTGCGTCCCCCAAGCCTGCTCCCGCAACCACGCCGGCATTTGCTCCAGGACCAGATGGAATGCCACTCATTCGACGTGATTCGAGCCTTGCCGATGGCAGACCAAAGCGGGCCATTGTACCCACAAAGCGCAACCAGGAATTCGGAGGCAGGCCTAAGAAGAAGAAGTATGAGTTGCAACTGAAGTTCTGCGACGAAGTCTTGAAAGAACTATCAAGCCCCAAGAACTGGACAGCGAACCAGTATTTCACTCATCCAGTTGATCCGGTGGCGTTAAACATTCCGACCTACTTTCAAATCATCAAGAAACCCATGGATCTCAGTCTTGTTAGGTCTAAGCTGGCCGGCAACGCCTACGAAAGAGCTAAGGACTTTGAAGAGGATGTTCGCCTCATCTTCAAGAATTGTTACAAGTTCAATCCCGAGGGGGACTTGGTCAATTCCGCTGGTCATCAGTTGGAAGAATTGTTCAACAAGAAATGGGCTACCAAAGACGAATGGATTGCCGCTCGCGAACCTCCTTCTGCACCGGAGTCTGAGGCAGACGAAGAGGAAGAGGAGGTGGAGGAGAGCGAAGACGACGACGACAGCGAAGACGATCGAGCGGAGAAGATCAAACAGCTGCAGAAACAAATCGAAGAAATGTCAAAGCAGATGGGCGAACTGACGCAGAAGAAGGTCAAAAAATCCAAATCTCCACCAGTCAAAAAGAGCAAGTCCAAAGCCAGCAAGAAGGAGAAGCCAGCGGCTCACAAAGAAAGCAAGGACAAGAAAGAAAAGAAGAAGTCTGGCCCCAAGGCTAAAGCCAACGCGGATCGTTATGTGACTTTTGCGGAGAAGCAGTACATTTCTAATGGAATTGGTATGCTTCCGGAGAAGCAAATGTCGGAGGCTCTGAAAATCATCCAGAACAGCGTTCCATCACTTGCCAATACGGATCAGAACGAGATTGAGCTCGATATCGAGGAGGTGCCGAACCATGCCCTGTTGAAGCTGCTCAACTTCGTCAAGCGCTATGCCGGACCTCCTCCAGATGAGCCCAAGGCAGAGCCTACCGACAATTACGCACCTGCTGCGACCAAGAGCAAGAGGAGCAAGCCTATGAATAAGCATGAGCAGGAAGCGCAGATCGAGGAACTCAAGGGCAAGCTAGGTGCTTACGCTGGACCAGTCTCACCAAACGCCATGCCGTCGATAGAAGGCGACAGCAGTGACGATGATGGTGATTCAGAAGAGAGCGAAGAGGAGTGATTTGAGAGCAGACGAGGACTATGGAGAATTGCGGTGTTGTGCAAGGGCTGAAACCGCATTGTGCCTCTACTCCGACAGTTACTACTCCTGGTCACGATGCTGCTTGCTCTTGCACGATCGCAGTTACTGGCGTTTTCCGATTGCCACGGCAGGGAGAATTAGGTTGAGATGCGTGGTTTACCAAGATTGGATGTGCTACCGCGGCCTATGACAGACTCGGAAGAAGAAAATGATATCCTTGAGATCTGAGCAATGGTGCCTTGGGATGTGGAGATTACCATACGTATGGACTGGTATTGCACTCAAAGTGCAGCCTCCTCAATCAGCCTTTGGAGCTGCAAAAGTGTGTAGATGTAATATGCAATGAAAATGGCAATGCGGGATGACGTTGAAAAGAAGTGATTGTGCACGATTTTGCTGTCGTACGAAGTGTTGTCGATGGCTTTGATTCCAGGATGATTATCACAGTGTGTATATGTGTGAATGGGTTGTAGTCCAAATACCCTGCGGAGTACGAAGTATTGCTCCCTTTGCCATGTGTCTTGTAAATGTAAATGATGAATTAATGCTTGACCGTATCTTTGGCACTTTGACCCATTTTTGTTTTGTACTCCTGGTTCCTGAACTCCATCCTTATTGTCCATTTTGTACAAAGCACGCGTATCGAATTCCGGGAGGGACATGAAATAAGAGGAGAGTCCCTAGGGAGAATCAGAATGCCGGATTGGTGTTGTCAACTTTTCCTGATCAAAGGTCATTCGAGTCTGGGAATGGGGAAGTTAGGTCGACGATGATCCCACCACTGTCTGAGGCTGCGCTTGATGCGAACCCTGCATTTGCGCGGTTGTGGAGTTACGTGACCGAGGAGATTCTCGAGGACGATGGGTCCAGAAGGATCGTGAACCAGGAGAGGACGAAAGAATGGCGACGAGCATTCGCTGAAAAGAGCGGAAAGCGTGATGCTGCGCGGGGGCGGGCACGGAGAAGAAGAGTAGTGGCGGTGGTAGGGGGAGGATCGGTGCGGCGGGTGACGGATGATGATCAGGAGGTACAAAGTGATTCCAGACAGGAGGTTGAAATTGAGACTGATGTCGAGGTCGACGGAACCGACGAGGATGAGGAAGATGAAGCGCTGTCTGGATCGCGAGACGGGAGTTTGATGCAGAACAAGGAGAAGGAGAAGAAGAAGACGAAGACGAAGACGAAGACGAAGAAGAACGACTTTAGCCTTGAAGAGATGCTGCATGAGACGAGGGTCGAGAAGATGAGGATGCAAGTGTTGATGGATGTGTTGGTAAGTGTTTACTTCACCGTTTGTCAATCTGTGTGTCCGTTTGTCTGTCCACCGTTTTGTGTGATTGAGCCTGTCACCACAAACACCTTGGGGACTGACTCCCTTTACCTTTACGGAACACGGACCTTGGGTTTCGACCTGCAGTCATATCTCTAACACTGGATGGATCGAGTAGAGAGACGTGGCGTATTCGGATGCTTCTCCTCTCGGTCCTGGGGATTCTGCAGAGGAAGAAGAGAACACGACGCGAAGTTGCGGAACGACACAACCACATCCACATCCACATCCACACACGGGAACCACGAATGCAACGTCGAGTGGAAATACAAACGCAAAGGCGGTCAAGGACAATTTACTGGTCATGACAGCCTACATGGACACGGAGCGGCGCGGGTCATCGGGACATCCCAGCAGGCCACAACACGGACGGTACGCACATCACGACCCGTCTCTACCTCAGCTATCACGAGCCGAGCGAGAGCTGTTGAGTGAAGACACGGCAGTCTTTAGAGAAAACATACCCGCCATAGCGAAGCAGGTCGGGAGACGACTGGTCGAGGTTGAGCGCGGGCTCGGGGAGATGAGCAGATTATTGTCGGCCACGACGAACACGGCGAACACGACGAACACAACACCAGCACCGACATCAACCGCCCTCGTCGACAGTCTACGACACTGTCAACACTACCGGAACCTTCTGCGCTCCTCGCTCTCTCCTCGCCTCGGGGACCTCTCCACGGCCCTCGTCCGTCTCCTGTCGCTGCAGCGCGAGCAGTTGTCCGGCGCCATCCGCACCCTCGAAGCGGCCAAGCACGGAACCGTATCGCGCCACGCGCACGCCCGGACTGCGTTCTTCGCCACGGTCGCGCGCGCCATGGCCCTCAAGACCCGCCTTGTCCTCCTCGAAGAGCGAAGCAGGGTGGAGAACAGCGACGCCGTGAAGGCGAAGAGGGCGCACGCGAGAGAGATGATGAGTCAATTGGACCGCGAGGACCGCGACGTCACGGCGCGAATTGAGGACTTGAAGCGGATAGTGAGCGAGTATGATGCCGTCGATTCCCAACAAACCGCCGCCGGCGATCGCGTGGAAGGCAAAGGCGGCGGCGGTGGTGTCATGACGAGACTTGGAAAACGGTACGGAGAGATTGAAGAGGAGATGGACATTCTCAGGAGTGACATCGAGAAATTACAACTGGGACAGAAGACGAGATGGAACGGAAGAAAACCGGAAAGGGACACATAAGACGGTTGATACAGTGAACCGTCACGTATCTGCCTGGACGTTCGTACATTTCCATCAACCATTAATGACGGGGTGCTCGCTCGTAAATGATACCTTATTTTCTTCATTCATTTCTTGTATCCTTGAAAGTCTTAAAAAAATCCTTGGTACGTTCTATGTAGTGTCAAGTCTTCTTTGTCATATCATTTTCATTTCGTCATCTCATGGTCATCCATCTAAATCCAATCCAATTGTCTTTGCTCTCATGACGCATCCATGTCAGACACACTTCACGCTTCGAGTGGTCGCGCAGCACGAGGCCATACACGCTTATACAAGCTCACGCCAATTGCATCGAGAGGATTGATTTTGCCATCGAACGTCGCCTTGAAGTATCCGTGCGTGCCGAGCGGTTCCTTGATGAATCCCTGTCGGCCACGCTTTGTCCACAACGGCAGTGCGGCGAACCACAAGACATCCTCGCGGTTGAAGAACATGTACCGCACGGTCACGAGTTTCTTGTGAATCTTGAACGGATGGCCTGTCAGGATGAGTCTCTTGGCCACGACGCGCGAAGACGAAGGAGCGAGCGTCGTTGCCGAGCCGATCAGACGTAATTGTCCAGGTTCTCGAGACACACCACCAGGTGCCCCTGGAGCACTCGAATCCACAAGGGCCGGTGCCACATCATCTGCTGCTGCTGCTGCTTCACGACGGAACACTAGGACGGGTACAGACCCCCATGTCAGAGGCCCAGTAAATGTGGCGATCGCTGTTCGTCCCGGATGGAGGAAACGGTCAAACTTGTGCACGTCGTTTGGTGTCTGTCCCGCAGCCGAGAAGATAGGGTTGATGATCAACCTGCGGTGGCCGATCTGGACGACAACTTCGTCCTTGGATTTCAGAGGGCCGTCGAAGTCGGAATTGAGGGTAAAGTTGAGGTTGACTACCGCATGTTTGTGTTCGTGGCGGAGAAGAGCAAACATTGACGCCGGCGCAGGTGCCGATGCTAGTGAGACAGGCACATGGCGAAGTTCAATCTCGACTTTCGTTCCCGCAAGTACCCCGCCAGCCAGCGACTCATTGAGAGCCGATTTGTAGGACCTCTTGTAGTCGGGGACTTGAAGGAGTCTTTTGTATTCGAATGGTTCATAGGCCGCATCCTCAGCGTGGTTCCATTCACTTGTCCGCAAGCTCTTGAGACCACGATATTTCGCCAGCCGTTCTCGAGCCAACACATCTGGGTGCAGTTCGATCTCATCAGGAAATTCAAGGTCGTCTTCCGCTTCTGTCTTCCTGCTAGCTCTGAACTCTTCCAGCTGACGCGCTTCCTCCTCTTCATCTGCGTCCACATGCATTTCAGACTCTGGGTACTCGGACTGTCCTCCTTCTGTCATGGCATCGCCATTCGTGATAGCTATGCCATCTTCAGGACCTAATGATTCTGCGGCATCCATGGCGACATCGCCGTCGTTGTCATCCTCCGCCATATCAGAGTCAGAGTCGGAGACATCGTCTAGATACCACGCGGCCTGGTAACTTGAGGTGCCTTTGGGAAGTTTTTTCGGTGGAGCGGGAATGTGAGAGTTATCGTCCGAGAAGTAGTGGTGGTCATCAAGCAGAACCCCCTTGTGCTCTGTTGTAGCAGCAGTGCTGGCAACATCATGCATCTCTGCTTGTTCCGGTGCCAGTTCCGCCAGTTCGTCTTGATCCGCAGTTGGTCTCCATTCGTTAACAGGCACATCTGCATCCATTTCGTTCGCTTTCCGCTTTTGTCCTTGCCTGGGTACTTCTCTTATAACGTTGATCTGGAAATCTCCCCAACCAGGAACATGGACCAGCCTGTCCGGATTCAGACCCTTGCCACGAATTGTGCCACATAGAGTGACTGCGGCGGAATCGGCTCCGTCGTCAATATTGCCCCAATTCACATTTTCGATCAACATCCAACTCCTATCGTCTCTCCATCGGATGCCTCTCGTAGACGCAGTGCACATGCTTCTGACCAAGTTGGAACAATCTGACTTACTGTCGAGGCTTGACAACTTGTCCGATGCAGGGAAATACCGTCCAATGGATATCTTCAGGTCCGTCAAATGTCGAGACCTCTTTGCTGCAGGAACCTTGGCTTCAATATCCTTCACTACCGCAGTGACGTTTGTGATGCCCTGACCCTCTAGCGCTCTGAGGAACGAATCTTCCACTTCGCCGAAGGTTTGTTCCGCATCCAGGACGAAGACGACCCAATCTGCCAATTTACAAACATCGAGGGCGTTGAGGAGGTCGAACGTGGCGGGCAAGTAGAGTAGGTTCCGACGAAATCTGTCAACCTTAACAGGAACCGTGCCACTGGAAACGTCAGGGCCGGAAATGTCGACGCTTTCGTTCAGGGCCTTGATGGCGGCATAGGAATTGATCGTATTTGATAAAGGTACAATGGCAATATGTTTGGCAGCGCCATCTGTCCCCTGGAAAATATGTTCTTCGCCCTCCCTCTTTTCCTTGTGATTCATGCGCATTTGTTTGGCTTGATTGCGTCTGGTGAGTTTCGACATAACTTGTTGATGAGGGGTCTTTCTCTGGCCTTTGTGGGCTCGATGACTTTCCACTTTGCCTGAGAATCGGTCAGTCGGTGGTCAATATTGGTGAATGGCTCTCCTACCTTTCGCCGCGTCCTTCAAGGCACTCTTTGAGGCGTGGCGGGATTTGTACGGCTTGTGCTCTTGTTTCGTGGTACTTCTATGATGGTGCACAGAAGTCATAGTCGGCGCCATTGTGGACTTGCTTCCAGAACCTCCAGCTTTGAACCTGAAGGGCAGAGACATGTCATGGACAACACAGTCGGAGGGGTCGTCCACTCCGCAGTTGGAAAAATTATTTTGTTACGCAGTGGAGTTGATCAAAGCCTTGGCGACTAGAGACAAGCCTCGTTGCCTCAGCCTTGTAGCCTCGCCGACATAACGTATCATTTCGAGCTCACACGCGGGAGAGAATGCCTCAACAACTTAATATACCCCTATGTCTAAGTATTTGCGAGATCTGGAAGAATCTGATATCAAAATAAAGTCTTGTATTTGCCCGTCAAACTCGAACCACTGTCCATTCCGGAAACTCCAGACCCCCCCCTTTTGACTTCATATTACAACTCGGACAATTGAGGTGGTTAACCGGTTCGGGAAATTTTGGACGCCATACAAAGTTGAGAAGCCGGTTGCCCTCCTCTATGGCATTGTTTGTCCCTGGTATGGTAGAGGTCAGATGTTGGATACCTGGGGCATGAAACAAGGTAAAATCTTTTCTCAAATACTGCGTTGGCTTCTTCAGATGCGCCTTCTTCTTGGACCGTGGCACGAATGACACAATACCCAACATATTTCCGTTCAGTATTTGGGTACGATACCTTTCAGATCGTTAAACTCGGTCCATCAGCACCTACAAGCATTTCACCGAGCACGCTCTCCTTTCCACCGCCAGCATCGTCATACGATACTCTCGCTTTACCGCCTTCGTACAAAAAGATGGTCACCGTACATCCGTGTCTATAGTCAATCTTGCCGTCACGTAGAATGTGCAAGGAGGTTTGCAGTAGTCGCGGCGCTGGTGATCGTAGTTCACACATAGCATGTACTAGCACAGGACCAAATTCGCCATCGTCTGCTTCGTCCGTCCCTCCCTTTAAGGGGAAGACACGACTCCAAGGGAGGGGAAGAATAGGAAGAGGACGAAGGCAACAGCTGTCACCGCCGAAAACCCATCAACAAGCAAGCCTAGAGATCCTGTGAGGGTGTTGTCAGTGACATCGTGCCATATCAGCGTTCCACTAATCAGGTTGGCGAGATAGCATCGGCCTCTGGAGGCAAGTGACCAGGTGAATGCTGGAAAAGTGCGACGGGATAAGCCCATATCCCAAAAGTCGCGAAGCATGAAAGCGGGTAGTGCATCCCTCCAAACCGAAAGACCATAGGAAACGCTAGTGAACAGTGACACTTGAGCTCAAGCTGGTAGTCCAAAGTCACCGAGACAAAAGACGAGATCGCCAGGAGACCAGGATTATTGGTGAGCCTCACTAATTAGCCCGGCGCTGAAGATCTTTTGACTGCGCCGCGGGGACGCCCCGTCATGTCCGAACAAGCTAGCCCAGGGAGCCCAGGGAGCCGACTACCGCAGGAAACAGCCTAGCTCTACATTGGTAAGTATCGTACTGATTGGTGGGCAACTTGTAAGACACCCTTAGCCCAACACTTGCAAGGAGTACGAGTCTCTTATCACTTTCTAGACTCCCTCCAAAAAGACCAATCCCTCATTGTTAGTGAGAATTGTATCTGGTCCATCTGTCCCATTCCCTCGTGGCAATGCTTCGGTAGGTCTGTACACACTGCCTGCTGAGATAGCACCGAGCACTCAAACCTCGCCCGCCATGGCGCGAACCCGTGATGGTCTCCTGTCAGAGAAGCGCTACGACGACGACGCCGCGACCCTGGTCCCTTCAGATGAGGGCTCCGAAGATGAGAGCGATGGAAGTGCAGGGGGTGCCGACACTGTCCAAGATGGCGATCGAGATATCCTAGACGAGACAGAAGAGCATGAGAATCTCCTGCGCAAGCCAGGTAAACTCGACGCTGTTCGGGAACTCGCTGGCATACGTGGCAGTAAACAAAACGGGGCCAGAAAGACTGGGCGTCGCAAAGATAGACTGAAATCATATGGGAGACGCGCCAAAGGGGAGTCGGATACAATGTTCGAGATGGAAGGTGGTTTCAAAGACACAAGTTCGCAATCATCCACAGATTCCGAGATCGAGGGGACCAAATGGGATAGACGAGCGCCTGCGAAGTCGCATCGGGGACGCCTTACACTGTTGTTGCTCGCCATCATCGCCCTGTTCGTTTCTCTCGTCTTCGGGGCGTACAAGGCTTCACACAAACATACTCTTGCTCCAACAGTCCATCGGCTGACCCGATTGTCCAATGGAACGCACACTTTTCGCCCAACGACAATACTCATATCACTGGATGGCTTCCGAGCCGACTTCCTCAATCGTGGCCTCACCCCTGCTCTCAATGCCTTCGTCGCAAGCGGTGTATCGCCAAAGTACATGCTTCCATCCTTTCCCTCAGTCACCTTCCCCAACCACTTTACGCTTGTGACAGGGCTGTATCCCGAGAGTCATGGCATTGTCAGCAACCAGTTCTGGGATCCTGACTTTCAAGAAGAATTCTACTACACAAATGTCGGTGTTTCAATGCAGCCTAAGTGGTGGACCGCGGAGCCAATATGGGTGACGGCAGAACACCACGGTGTACGATCAGCAATCCACATGTGGCCTGGCTCCGAGGCTCATATTCCGGATGTCGAGCCTACTTATCTTGACAAGTACAATGGATCGGAGGATCTCACTCGTAAAGTCGACAGGATGCTACACTGGCTCGATTTGCCAGGTGACGATGATGGCGGCGACGACGTAACTGAGAAACGACCACAATTGATCGCAGCGTACGTACCCAACGTCGACGCAGACGGGCACAAGTACGGACCCAACAGCACCGAGATCAGAGCAACAATAGCCGACGTTGACAGCATGTTTGTCAGTCTTGTGGAGGGTCTCTATGCGCGAAACCTGTCTGAGATTGTCAACCTGGTTGTTGTATCAGATCATGGCATGGCCACGACCTCGAATGATCGTCTTGTGCAGCTTGACGATTTGATGGATATGTCCTTGGTGGATCACATCGATGGATGGCCTCTACGTGGCCTGCGACTGAAGAACCCAGATCGCGATGTTCCGATTTTGTATGAGCAACTCTCTAAGGAAGCCGCAAAGGCGGGGTCGTTCGACGTGTACACCCTGGAGACGATGCCTGAACGTTACCACTTTTCCAACAACGACAGGATAGCACCTCTCTGGATAGTTCCGAAGACAGGATGGGCCATCGTGGAAAAGTCCGGTTTCGATGTCGCCGAGGCACAAAAGACGGGTCAAGAATATCAGCCGAAAGGTCTGCATGGGTATGATCACGAGCATCCTCTCATGCGAGCTATTTTTGTGGCCAGAGGTCCCGCATTCCCGCACAAGCCAAACAGTCGGCTGGCACCGTTCCAGAATACCGAGGTGTACAACATCGTGTGCGACTCTTTAGGCATTGAGCCTCATCCCAACAACGGAACTTTACGATTACCGTTAAAGCCGGAGGGCCTACATAGCGATGCCGATGCCCCAGTCGTTGATATACCCGCAGATCCAATCGACCAAGGCGAGAACGTCGCTGATCCAGAACCCGAAAAGCCTCAAGATAGTCCTCCTCAAGAACATGAAGAGGATCCGGTCGATGCCACAGATCCGGTCGGTGGAACGGATCCCGAGCAATCTGATGATCCTTCCGATGATGGCGGTGGCGCCGACGATGCAAAGAGCAAATGGTGGAAGTTTCTCCACGAAGGACTTCAGAAAGCCAAAGACTGGGCCAAGCAATTTGTCGAGTCAATCAGGGGCAACAAGAAAGGCGAAGGTGATCCTCCTGTGTGAATTTCCACTGTCCGCCTTGACTAAAATGGCAATCGCCGCTCGAGCCATTCCCTTTTTCCCCCCACAACGAAATCTAACAAAGTCCATCTTTTCGTATGTCGACGCTATCTGTTTCAGGCATGTCCTCGTCATTACTGGAACGAGCAACAAGCCACATAACGAGACTTCGATGAGCTTCCGGTCGCACCGAGTCCTTGCTTAGATCCCTTCGACAACGAGGACCGAGTGATGGACAACAGCGGAGATCATGCTTACGGCCTCGAGGCACATGCGTTACCCAGCCTGCTCCTGCTCAGGCTGGTGAGCGGCGTTTCCACCTTTCACAGTCCACTTGCGTCTCTTGGACGACCGACAATGTGACAAGGTCATCGAATCAGGGTTCAAGGATTCGGAGTATGAACATTGGGAGCGAGCAATAGCGATGTAGGGCTGGGTTGGTGTTGAGAACAATAGGATGCTGGTCTAGTTCATCGGCAGATTTGCCCGGTTCCGTCGGATTCGCTGAGTGGAGGAGAGCACCGTCGAGTCCGACGAACGAGACCAAAGACCTAGGTGCCTGATGGATGTTCATTGGATTACTACGAGATCGCGATGGATTGCTGGGTTGTGGGCATAGGCTTGCGGAAGAAATGATGGTCTCCTTAAACCCATGGCACGACGAGCCCGAGTACTTGAGTCGTCTCGAGGATGATTGATATTATAAGGGATGTCTTATTCTTACGATTATACATATCCATATAGAAAATACCAATATCTTTTGAAGGAGACGGCGGCGAAGGAAAAAGGTATCAATAGCCCTCCCTATCCATGCATCCTCTATTTCACGAAGAGCCAACGAAATCTTCACAATGGTGCCTGGTCCTTTCATGGTTGTCGTGGTTCAACTCGTACCAAAATGATCATTCTCCTTCCGCACGAGCCTCTTCCACTGTTTATTCTTCGCCAAAGCCTCCCTCTCCAAGCGCTGCTTCTTTTTACGTTCGTACACGGCCCGAACAGTTCTCTTTGTAACGTCCTTTCCTTCTTCGAAATTCGCCCTGGCCAGACGCACGACATTGTCAATTTGCTCTGGCGTGTAGATAAAGTTCCATGTACTCATGTAGTCGCTCGTGTCCGGGTTCACGCCCTCCACCTTGTCGTTTGGCAGCAAGGGAAAATACACAACAGCAATGCCGGCTTCCGGATGCGCGAGGTGGAAGGTGCTGTCATCCGGACTGTCCCACGCCAGACGCTTCGACGGCGGTGGTTCCTCGTCGGAGGTCCGCTCTGACTTGGTCCCGACCCAGACATTACAGGCGCCGAGTTCGGTGGCGGTCGCATCAGCGTCTCTACCGGTCGTAGGGCTCTCAGGAACGTCGGCGCCGCTCTGTTTCTTGTTTGGGGCTTGTTTTTGTTTCTCTGGAATTTCAGCCTTCTCCTGGCGATCTTCTTCTCTGGCTGCTGCAAGTTTGATGGCTGCCTCTTGTGACGATGTCGCCTGCGCCTCAGCAAGTGCTTCTGCATTCTCCTTAGGTTTGCTGGAAGGTTTTGGCCAGCCTGCGCCTACCGGCCATCCTTTGATGCCTCGCTGTTTGGCGTACCCATCGACAACAGAAAGCCAGTTTTCTTTTTGAATGTCAGCCGAAGCATCGAAGGCGACGAGGATGTCGACGTCTCGTCCTGGTCGCAGGAGAGGGTAAATTGGAAGATTGTTGCTCATTCCCGCATCCATGAGTTGAAGATGGTCACTCTTGAAGACGGACTCGGGACAAGTGGATGGTAATTTGTCCTTCATGCCGTAGACGAAGTTAGGCACAGTGGCTGGTTCGATGGGGTGTATCTTGATCAAGTCGTCGTTCTTTTCCTCTATCAGGCCGTCTAGACCTCCGAATCCGACTATGCCTGCCAAAGCGGGTTTGACCTCTTTGTAGTAATGCGAAAGAGTCGCACAAAATGCGGAACCCCAGATACCGAGCAGAAGACTTTGTCGAATTTCAGGCAACGCAACGCCTGTGTCAAGGACCAGGTTTCTCCCTTCATTGAAAGGTCGGCCCAAACTCCAAGTGGGAATACCAGCTCCAAACTCTTCGCACCAGATTTCCCAGGGATGCATTTCTATCCATTGAAACCAAGCTTCTTTTCGCGCCTTTTCTTTTATTTTCTGTTTCAAAGCTAGGTTGTCTTTGGCCTGATCTCTTTCTTCCTCGTCCACCGGTATTTCGTGTCTGACTGCAGTATAGATAGGCATTGGGTATCGCCCATGTTCAATATATGCACGCTGGTTGGATAGTTTCAAGTCGTAGTCGTGCACGTCAAGGTCACCACGAGGGATCATAAGTCGAGCTGCAAGAAGCAAACTGTAAATATCGACCAGGCCAAAGGATGCGCCGGGGTCACCCTTGAGCTTTTCAACGAAGCCGCTGAGGATGAATTTGTTTGTTGGTGCGCTCGTGACAAGCTTCAGAGCTGGCGGAGGAAAAGCGATATGTGTGCCTAGCCGGGACTTCAAGTGCTTTAAGATGGCCCGATGGTCCTGCTTCCCAAGAGACGAATAGAAAAGTGTCTGTAGCCAGCAACTCCCGCTGACGCCAGCAGTGTATGTCACACAGTCAAACAAGCCAGCCTCTTGGGCGGACAGGTAGCTGCTCGTTCCCGCAACCATCGCACGCAAACCACCGCCACTACCACACATGGCAATAGTAGGCACATCATCAGGATGTATGTCTTTTTCATCTATATCCAGGTATTTAGCCAATGCTTTAACGACGTGTTGCCTCCTTTTGCGACGAAACTCAAGCTCATCTTTGCCGAGAGTATCGCCAACGCGTACGGTCGCACTCCACAGTATCTCAGGATTGATCGAGGGATCTTGCGCCTCTTGCCATATCTCATCAGCCAATGATCCCGGCTGCATTGACAGTTCTGCTTGTAACTTCTGAAAAGCATCTGGGAGGCCTTTTGCCCAGGCCGGAATGACAAAATCAGTAATCTTATCACCCAGAGCACTCCATTCTAGCCTGGCGATTCCTTCTCGAATACTGTTGAAATTCCGCGAGAAGGCAGACCAGGAAGTCTGGTCATCGTCCTCAAAACCTGGAGTGTAGTGGTCTGGGTCATTAGCCTTCCCAATGGCATCGGCGTCTCCTCGTTTCGCGGCATGCTCGTGTTCATGGTCTTCGTGAGAAAAGTGGCTTTGCATACGCCGTCCGTATGCGACTAGGTTTGCATCTTGAGGGAGAACTGGTCGGGAGGGGCTGTCGAGTTTGGCGACACATGTTCGTCGAGTTGCGCTGTGACATCCAGCACACGTTGCAGCTGCAAGCGCAGTGTAGCGGAAATGGCGGGAACTCAGGATCCTCGCAGCGCTCATAGCGACCAGAGCGCTGGAGTTATCTTGCTCTAACAGACATCAACTTCCATGCTAGAAAGAAGAGCAAGTTGACTCGAAGTCTCTCGCCACCAGTTCACTGCGAGTCACTCAATAGCCTTGTTTTTGTTGAGCGTTCATGACGTCTGCGGAATCGCCCGAGACAGACAGTTCCTGACTAAGACAGAAATGGACTGGCGTGGCTGGTGCGGCCTCGAACGTGTAACACGGCCATAACCAAACCTTACTCCATCCCAGAACACAGACTCGTGCCACCGACAACCTATAATCTTGATTCCCTTGCCGGCTATAGCGTTATCGATATCCTGGGTATAGGCACTTGTTTTTCTCCCTTCAATCACCGTTCATTTCACGAACTTTGTTCCGCGGCCACTGACATAGGCGCCTGAACCGATGCATCCCCCTGCTTCGTCTTGATCTAAGGCTGAGACGCTTTCGCATCTCGCGCGAATGGAGATTTAAGCGAGTTTGTTGCTTCTTCAGACATCATCATGGTTGCGCAAAGGAACGCTGCTTTTGCGGAAGAGAGCGCGGAGGTGGAAGTTCTGCTTGCATCCCTGGGCAAGACGAGAGACCTCACGAAGAAAATTGCAGCAAGTCTGGCTCGACTAGATGCCAGTGGACAGATTGTCAACGAGGCCATTGGACCTGTCTATGGCAACACTAAACAACTTCAGGTTACGAGCCGAAACATTGATAGAGTCAACGAGGCCATTGAGAAACTCCGCCAACCTCTAGATGCCCGTGGTCGCGAGGAAAACATCATCCGACAAGGGCCGAAGAGTGCCGGTCTGCCTCAGTACCTAGCAGCACTCAAGAGAGTGGACAAGGCATTGACGGATCTCAACTCTTCGGGTTTACGGTCGAATCAACAAGCCATTTCGGAGTTCCATAATTTACTCCTGACGGGCGTCAACCAGCTGAATGACTTGTATCGGAAGATGTTGCAAGAAGATGCCAAGACTATCGAGCCTCTTCATTTCATCACAAAGCAGATCTCTTTTCCAACTATCGCTCAAGAAAAGGCACAGACTTTAGGTCAGATATCCATGGCCATCGCCTCGGCGGGAGCACATTCAGCCAAGCTGGGACAACGCGATGACGATGCTGCAGCACGCATGTATGCGGAAATACGAGGAGACTACATAAACAGCAGCCTCCAAAACCTGTCGATGGCATCAATCAGCACCTCAAAGCGCCGCAACGCTGACACAGCCATCTACCGAGAAGGATCAAGTGGTGTTGGAGCGTACGCGAAAGCCCTTGAAAGCATGCTCCTTGCTGAGTCCGAAAATACATCACGCATCTTCCGCAATGATGGCGGCCGCGTCTTTGGCCTGACTTGCTCCAAGCCTCTTTCCACATTTGCCCGTACACTGTCCGACCTAAACAGTTTCATCAAAACTCGCATCCTAACAGACTGCTTTCTCGCCTACGAGATCCTCGATCTCGTCACCCCTCTCAGCTACCGGCTGGATTCAAGAACAGGTCAACTCCGCTCACAATTTGCCGACGCTCTGCGCCCGCTTCGCGAAACGGCACGCTCCTCGTTCAGTGACCTAATCACTCAAACCCGACGCCAGGCAGAGACTATTTCCACCCTTCCCCCCGATGGCAATACCATTCCTCTAGTGTCCGAAACTGCTAAACGATTACAAACCCTAGCAAACTTCGACCGCCCTCTACTCGTTCTGCTGTCATCCATTGGTGACGGCAACTGGAAGGCTCCCTCCACCTCGGCGGGCCTCGCATCCCAATCGAGTCTGAACCTGGAACTCACGCCGTCGGCGGAGAATCCAAACCTCCTAAGCCACTATCTCCTCGACGTCGTCGACACGCTTCTCAACACACTCAACACTCGCTCCCAGACCATCCATCCCAAGAAGTCTATGCAGGGTATCTTCCAACTCAATTCCGCGGCTGTGCTTGCACGCGCCGTTCAATCATCTCCTGACTTAGCACGGTACATTGGCATCAGCCCGCACAACGAACGTCTGGAGAAATTTCGCAAGCGCGCAACGGAACTGTACATGACGTCGTGGCGGGAGGCGAGCATGCACCTTTTCGACACGATCCACACGTCAGGGTCGAGGCCCATATCCGGTCAAGGGCCGGGTCAAGCCATCGACAGCACTAGCATCGTCAAGTCTCTCAACAGCAAGGACAAGGACAAAATCAAGGAGAAGTTCAAGGTCTTCAACACGAGTTTTGACGAGCTTGTCGTCAGGCATAAGGGCCTGCACATGGAGAATGAAGTGCGGAGCTACATTAGTCGCGAGATAACGGCGCTGATTGAGCCTCTTTACGCCAGATTCTGGGACAGATACCATGAGGTCGACAAGGGTAAGGGCAAGGTTGTCAAGTATAGCAAGGGCGAGTTGAGTGGAATGTTGGCTACTTTATAGGTGAATGTTGCTTATCAGAACCGAGAGGAAATTGAATGTCTTGAAGTTGTGCTTCAGAAATATGGAGTGCGTGTGCCCAAACCCTCATCATAGCGTCTGTTTGTAAAGAAGTGAATCTAGTGGCACTTTGGTGAAAAGCAACGGAGCAGTTCGATCTAAAGGTTGTATGGCGTCCTAGATATGAGGGTAGTCTCAAAAACTCGAGATCACGGCGATCTAGAAGGCGTATACTCAATCTATAGCTCCACCATGCGATGGATCAAGATATTGACTGGGTGCCAGGAGTAGAATCAAGTGTGGATGTGGGTATAATCATATATATCTTGTCCCACAACTACACGTTGAGTGCAGTCCAACTAACCGTTCATGCGGTGCCCGCGTTTCCCTCTTTTCCATCTCATGTTGAATTCATACATGGGGGTATATACATGCGTTAGGAACCGCCCGCCCCTATGCAGGTCTCCTTTGTGCTTTCAAAAACATTTTTTTACTTTTTGAGACGCCCAGACAAGACGGCATCTAAGGCTCACCCGGCCAGATCTTGTCCGCAATTCTCCTCACCAGCTTCAATTTGGCGATCATGTCTTCGTGCTTGACCGCATTTCCACTGGAGTGACTTGCAAATCCACACTGTGGGCTCACACCGCAGCGGTTGAGAGCGTCTTTCTCGCTCTCACCGGTGCCCTTGGCGATCCACTTGGCGGCCTCTTTGACACGAGCAACCATCTCGTCTTCGTCCTCCATCTTGGGGAACTTGCTCGTCACCACGCCGAGGATGACGTTCTTGTCCTTGGGCAGATGCTGTAGTGGCTCGAACCCTCCGGCGCGCGGCGTGTCGTATTCGAGATAGTACGTGTGCATGTTGAGTTTCTGGAACAACAAGGTTGCAATTCGGTCGTACCCGCCTTCGCTAAAGTGTCGAGAGTTTACAAAGTTGCCGCGGCACAGATGTACACCTACGTGCATGTCCGATGGGATCTCGGAGACGCATGCATTGTACAAGTCAATGTACTTGACCAAGAGCTCGTCGGTCGAGTAGGTGTTCAAGGGGTCTTTGTTCCAGCCCTCGATCATGGCTTCGGAGCAGAAATCTGATCGTGATGTTAGCATTCCTCTACCCAACTTTCACCCTGGAGATAAAATTGATGTTTCATACAAGCCAAGTTCGGGTCGTCGAATTGGACATTTCTCAAGCCGTGATCATACAGGATCTTGAGTTCATCTTGATATGCCTTGGCCACATCGGCGAAGTATTCGTCGTCGTTCTTGTACACGTCTTTCGGGTATGCTTTGCCCTCCTTGTATCGCAGGTGGTACCAGTTCGGCGCGGCCAGCGTCAACTTGAGATCCTTCCACTTGCTTTCTGGTACCAGGCTCTTGAGGTAGTCGAACTGTGCCGTGTAGGTGCTACCCTTATGCTTGATCTTGCCCGTGCATAGAACGGTTTCGCCTGGCTTGTACCCTGCCTCGGTAAATGCGGCAATGTCAGGGATGTACATGCGGAAAAGTTCTGGATCAGGCTCGTCGATCTCTTTCATGCCCTCTAAGCCCGGCCAGAAAGAGCCCCAGAACATGTGGCGGCGGTATTCGCCATCGGTGATGGCATGGAAACCGAGATCAAGCTGCGTCTTTACGATGTCCTTGACATCTTGATCTTCAACCTTTTCCAGGTCTTCGGCCGTCGCTTTACCAGCTTCCCAAGCATGGCGAGTGTCGAGGAGTTTGTCCGTTCGGAGGAGCGAGCCAAGGTGCTCAGCACGATAGGGAGGGTTACGGTGTAGTGAGGCAGGCATGTTTCCTCGAGCGGGTGCTGTTCAAACCTCGGGAGACTGGGGTGAAGAATGGAACAATCAAGTCTATTGTATCCTGAGAGGTTCGCACTGTGAGTAGGGACCTGTTTATTCGGACAGCAGCGCTTGCCCCTCTATCAAAATTTGCGGCGTCGGCCCATTAGCTCCACTTACTCTCACGCTCCAGAAGAAGACATCATTCGGTCAAGACGTTCATTCCGTCCCGGGAGAACTGGTTGGCAGGACTCATGCATGGCTAGTAGTGATCTCGCGGTTGCGCGCCTCTACCATTAGACCACTACATGGCTATTGCCGAGGTGCCAGCACATCTACGAGAAGTACCGGGAAAGGTACTACCAGTACAAGTACGAGCTGAGTTCTGGCGACAAACAATTACCCCGCATTGAGAAAGTGGGATAATTCCGAACTGCGCCTCTAACCATATTTGGTATAGGCGTCTCCGCGTCACGTGCGTCGTGCCTCCGTGCCGCAGTCCGCACAGTGCAGTGAAGATCAAACTACGAGTACCAGCTCGACAAAGAGAAGCAGGACTATCCAATACAACAACTGGCTGTCGTAGGACAGCGATGGAGGGTGCACCTAGCCTGCGGCAACAAGCAAAAACTATTCCCTCAAGCCACAATGCGACGACTCTACTCAATCTCCCAACCGAACTTCTCAACCACATCGTCTTCTTCCTCGATAACGGGGATCCATTGACTGCTTCCATCTTACGAAAGCCTAAAGCCCCACAGAACACCTTGGGTACTTCTCACCTCAAAGCAAACCACTCCTACTTCGATGACTCTAACTACAGGGACTGTCCTCTCAAAATCCTGACCGTGACATCTCGCTTACTTCGCAAGCTCGTCTTGCCCTTTCTTTTCCAACACGCCAGACCATCTCCTGAGTGTTTTGGCCAATTCCTTGCCTTTTTGGCCTCAAATCACCTTGCCTCCAAAGTCACAAGCATTCATGTCTACTTGACTACGCATTGCAATCACGTTCAACCACCATGGTGGGGTCGCATTCTCAATGCATTACCTTCTGCGACCAAAATCACTGTCACGGCACCACCAGAAGTATTGAATGGCCTTGCCGGAATATATTCTTGGAGCAATGATGCCTGGGCCTTCGATATGCCTTTGCAAGTCCTCCAGCTTCGCCGACCATTGAAGTTCTACCATGATCAAATCGACTATGAGACCTCACCTAATTTCCTGTCCTCAGAGGGCTGGACGGGCATGACTGTCAATGAGGGTTCCAGCCTATTGGCCTACACGACCTATGAGTTCTTCTCACGGCGTACACCTTCTTTACTGACCGCCCTGCGCCATAACGATTCTATGGCTTCAGGCACGTTGTTCGCAAATCTTACACATTTCGATTTCATCGCCATTTTTCCATTCTACAACCATGTGGACGAAGTTCTTCACTGTATACGGAAAATGAAGCGGCTCCAGCGGCTGTTCTTGAAATTATGCCCAGATCCTGATACCACCATATTTCGCGATGAAGTTGAATCGGCCGGTGGCCATATGGATATCAATGACCCCTGGAACGAATGTGAGACCTCGTGGGTACTGTTAGCTCATACGGTACTGTACTTGACATTGGAGGGCGATCTTTGCGAACTCGAAGTGGCAGACGTGCAGATTGAAGCGCTGCGTCACACACTGGAAGACAAGATGAGCACCCAGTTACATGAATGGTGGTGCTACAGTGGGCATGCTTCTGGGCTTTGGCGACGAAGGAACGAACGTCTCGTCATCGGACCGGAAACTCCCAGCACGGTCACTTAAGACTTGAGGTAATGATACCTGCAGCCGCTCATTGAGTTCGAACACCTGTTCTTTCAAACACCTGTTCTTTCAAACACCTGTTCTTTCAAACACCTGTTCTTTCAAACACCTCTAAGCCACCAAAGATAGTCTCATATATCGAAGAGACGCGGGACTATCGGTCATTGTGTGTTCCTTTCACTCCGCTTAGCCGAGGTCAGCCGCCAATCTCAAAGGTCGATACAAATTCCCATCAGGCAAAATTCGGATCGTCCCCTTCGGGGCAGTTTCTGAAAAGCAAAGTTGTTCCCCACCTGGAACTTCAGACATGTTCGGAAGGCTACTAGGCCGATCTGTGTGTCCTCGATACCTGCCACATGCAGATGTTCTGGGTCACGTATGGAGCGTCTGTCTTCGTAAACGCTGTCCCTCGTTTCTGCCTCAAATTTCCCCCGGAGGTATTTGACGACGACCACTTATTCTATATGAAGCCTGCTAGTCGTCTCGATCAAGGAGTGAATGCAACAAAGGTCATAGTTCTAGCTCATATCCGCAACGCTAAGCAACGGTATGTTCGGCAATACTGACTGGTGATCGACCGCAGCGTGATTGTTTGCACACTTGATTAATTTCACACCACATCCCGGCCAACGCTCCAGTCTTGAGCCACACGGCTTGCTTATCGCAGTCGAACAAGAAAAAGGCTTTGGATGCACCATGCCCCCCCGCCAATCGAGCATTTTGCTATCTATCATCCTAGATCACGACGCAATGCCCAAATTATTATGCCGAAAAGTGGTGCTGAAACATCTCAAAGCATCAAAGTCCTTAGCGGAGATGTGAAACGTAGTAGGCTGACAAGAAACAGTGGAAAATAAAACCGTTGTGATCTACCATCTACGTCAACGCCCGGTGCAAAATATAGCATGGTATGATGCTGATCTCCCTCAAGATATGGACAGGCGCAGGTAACATCTACATCACTTTGAACAAGGTCTGGATGCCCCTAGTTCTCCCTGAAAGAACCAAGAGAACATGGCATCCACCATGGGTTTGGCTTGGCTCATGTGAATCTCTCCTCTATGGATAAATGTTCCATTCAGAGAGTCGATAGATGAGACCAGAAGACTGCTACAGTAATTTGTTCTACAAGTATACTTAGGGACCGATGACGAACAAAGGATCGACCAAAAGATTCTCTACTACGACAATTGTGTGTCAAGCTCATTTCTGAGGGCACCCACGCACTAACATCGTCGATGTCATCGGGATAGGCATTACATGCGATTTGACGCAATCTACAGGGATGGGAGAAGACACCGACAATGATATCAGAGGATTATTTGCCCGGCTTTCCGAAACCTTTGGTTCCCATTAAGACTCCCCGGTAATGGCTTTCCTTCTCGTGGAGAGATGGACCGAGAACACGGGCTTTCAAGATCGGTCGCCGGAGCTTGGACAACCTCAAAATTCCTGGTTGATGCAGGTCCATACCGGAAGGTTAAGGTGGCTCTCTGCATCTCGCTCCTTAGCAATACTTTTGAGAATCTAACCGACTATACGAGTACGAAAGGTATGACTCCAGACTCTGCATGACAGGCTATTGGGCGCCCCAAACGGAGTAGATCCCCGGCCGCACCAGGCCATCCTTTGGCCTGATGCAGTAATGGGACGATACGCGACTTCAAATTTCGTCATGTGGCGTTTGCTCGTCAGTCACAAGATGTACGCTTCTGCTTGTCAAGGATGCCGGCTTGTGGGATTGGGAAAGGGAGACTTTGGCGCGTGAGAATTTCGCTACGACTGATCCAAAGAGGCACAAGGCTAACGGCGACGCTCCCACCTTGCTATGCCGTCGCCAACAAATGCTGGGAAAGGGCGCGGCGCGTCCGCTACGGTTTGCTGTCCATGTGGTATTCATTTGGGCACCGTACGTGCACGATATGGACGGGGGCGGATGGCTTGGTAAGATGAGCCGAACGGATGACCAGTGCAGTTGTTTGAATCCTCATAGGGGAGGACTCATGTTAGGTCTACGGCCGGGATGACCACATTGTTGGGGTTCACGTTTCTCCCTTTTTCAGCCACACAGAGAGATTCGTAAGTAGAAAAGGTGATGTCCGCGGCCGGATCTTCAATTCCGTAGTCCCTGGGACAAGTAACTGGTCGCAACGGCCTTTCGCTTAACGGCTGCTGATCGCAGATGTCATTCCGAATGCTAGAAACTCAGTTGAAATCACCGATGCAAAGTACCAGAACAGCGTACTCGCATCGACACGAGCCATGCCGATGGTATCGACAGCGGGAAAAACATCCCCCCTGCCATCCTCTCTTCGCGTGCAAATCATTTCCTCTGTCCGATAGTCCACTACCTAGGTAGTCGCTGCGCCTCGTTAGCTCTCAGCCTCTCACGACTCTCCGATTCACCTTGGAGGATCGGGAGTAGCTCCTTTGCACGCCGTGCATGATTAGGGGGGTGTATGCTTGTTCTCATCGACGATTTTTCCCCAAGTAAGGGGCAACGGTCGGCGTCTGATGCATGCACAGGACAAAAGGGTAGGTCCATTGGCTGTGTAGACTTCTTCCGCTCGTTTCCGAATATAACCTACTGTAGATCTATCATCTCAGTGCCATGATGCACTTTGGGCATCATTCAGTAGCGGAAATTTGATCCGGAGGACAAGATCTGACCACCCTTCTATGATCTGCCGCCTCAGAGCCATAGGGCTGGTGAAGTAGTGAGCCGCGCCGTTGTCGCTTCGCTTAGGCGGCACAGGCGCGTACCAAGCTATAGCAACAGTTGTCACAATTTACGGCTGAGCTTTGCTTCATTTAGTGCCTTTCTAGCCTCGTGTTCGACGAGCTTACCTGTCTTTTTGCGTCGTGCACCGAGCAACAGGCGTGAAGATCACGAAAAGATCTATCTCACTCCCTGAGAGATCGGTACGGGTGGTTGAAGCTGGGGCGACGACACGAAGGTGGCGGCCACTCCGGAGTGGAGGAAGCTCTTGTGCGACCAATCAATTTCCATGGAAAATAAACTCCTGCGCTATGGCGGCACTGTTCACGACATGGTGGGGGGGAGCGCTATGCCCGCCTGCTTCTGCGTGCTCCAGCTACCGTGCTGAAGACACAGGAATTATGGCCTGGGCGTAGTTGGCTGATTCTCCTTCGGGCACAACCCAGAGAGGCCTTCCAAAAGCGGCTCTGGTCTTGCTGAAGATCGAATGTTGGGTGAGTATCTGCCAATCTGCTGCGTCCTTCCCAACATAGATCTCCTCCGATCTACTTGCGCAGAACATCTTCAGAAACAAACGACCTTCGCTCCGTTCCCAATGGGATTTGCACTACATACAGTTATTAACACCAGTCGAGTATTCCTACGAATCAACGCTGCTCAAGCGCTAAGTCACCACCCGTGCAAGGCACCGACAGTCATTGCACCATCCGACCCACCTAGGCTGATATTCTAAGCAAACAAATCAAGAACACACCGATGGAAGAGACACGCTTAAGTTGATAGATAGATTGATTGATTTGATGACAGTGGTGGAGGGTTCCAGACGATAATGATTTACTTCCAGCAGGTTTCATAGCTGCCAACAACAGCAATAACATTATGCCGCCACCGCCCAAGGCAAGGCCCATCAAACCGGCCAAGGAAGCCCAACCTCCGAAGCTGACCCCCAGTAGCAAAAAGAAACAGGCCAGTGGGAGGATTTCGGCGGCGTGTGAGGCTTGCAAGAAACGCAAGACCAAATGCACCGGAGGACCGCCGCCATGTCACCTGTGCGAGAACTTGGGGACGGAATGTGTGATTGATCTCTCTCTTGACATGCGACGCCGAGCGGCTTTACAGCGCACCATTGACGAATCAAAGTCGTATCAGGATACGCTGAACAGGCTGATGGATGCGATTCGGGAAGGCCCTTCGCCCCGTTTGGATAACCTCCACGAGATCATCCGGAATAGCGTCAACAACCAAGAAACCACAAACACGATCCAGCGGTATCTACGAGAAAGTGATGACCAGGGCTCTGACCATACTCTGGCCTCGCAGAGCGATGCTGTCGGTTCTTTTATGGATGAGAGCATTGAGGTGGGTCCTGAGGCGATGAACATCAACGGAGAATTGACAACGCCCTCTCCATCTCTAGCGATCAATCATGAGAAGATCATGAATGGCGTTTTGAAGGTGGAACCTCCGCAGTCGATGGTACCCACGCTAGATCGAGTGAAAACGAGGCCCGGGACGCCAAACATTGGGTCATTGCTGATGGCACTGAAGACATGCAGTATATCCGAAGGCGAAGAAATGCTGCGTCGGTTGATAGCCTCGTCGCCGGTGGAGACGAACGCGTCGTCGCCATGGTCGACTACGTCGGTCAAAAACATGCTGGAGCAAATCCCGTCAAAAACCATCTCGACCGGATTGGCAGAGAGGTCCTCCTGGCATCCTGCGTTACAACTGCGGTCGCCCACGATGATGGCGTGGCCTGAAGGAAAAACAGAGGTAAGTTTCAACGTTACCAGCATTCTGGGGTTCGTGGCGCCGTTTTTACCTGGTGAGGGCTGTTGTTTTTTAGGCCTCAAACGGCCGCCAGTCTCGAGCGCGCCCTGAGCTCAGACTTGGTTTTTTTTGGGGGGGGCTTGGCGCATTCCCATTTCAACAGCAAGACAGGAGTAGTCACTAAATCTCTCCCAGATTGTTCATGTCGAGCAAAACCACAAGCGTCGCTTTTCCGAAGCGGCGCCTCAGTCCAAGAGACCAGACCCCAACGTCATGCGTTCGCAGCAACCTTCGATGATGCGACGGCCGTCTTTTCCTCAACCAGCACAGCTCAACACCGACATTCCCATGGTCCCGGTGGCCCACCCCTCACCTCACACGCCATACCTCGAAGTGGTGTCGTCGCCGTTGATCCACGACCCAGCGCCGAATCGATGGGACTTGAGCGTAGCGCAAGATAAGCAATCGACGAGACTTCGCATCCCTCGGCACCTCGTGTTGCCCTTGATCATCCACGACGACTCGTACATGAGTCGAACGTACACCCACTACCTGCAAGGGGCGCGGCAGATGTTGGACGGCGGGGTGCCCATGATGGACGTCTTGGGGTCCGACGACGAAATTTCGGTGGACCTGTTCTTCCGTAGCCGAACCAAAACGGACAAATTCGACTGCGCGTCTTGGGCTTGCGAAGTGACTCGAAGTTACGAGACAGAGGTGTATACTCGGTTAGGTTCGGCTTACATGTTGACTCTTTTGATGAGGGTGAGTTCTTGGACCTGTGTTTTGGATGGGGGAAACACCACCCCCCCCCCCCCCTTTATCGATACCGATGATGCTGACCCGTGAATCATTCACACAGTGGCTATTAGTATCGACGGCGGAGAATTACCAAAAGGTTCCCGACATGGTGAGGCCTACACCGTCTCAATGCATGATTCCGCATATCGGTGCCATTGAGACCATACCACTGTAAGTTTTGTTTTGTTTTGTTTTTGACGGGCGATTCATTTTCATTTTCATTTTCATTTTTTTTTTGTTTCAGACCTGACTCGATTTGTTTTTTTGTTTCCGACATCTAGTGGCCCTGTTCGAGACGCGGCCATTCATCGATTGCGAGACTGGCTCACTCCCTTGATCAAGTGCAATTGGAGTGTCAATTGGCACCATGGGATGGAGGCCGCGGTGCAACAAAGTCTGGTGACCGGAGCAAAAGTCTTGACGCCCAGGTTCATAGAGCACGTGACTGATTACGACAATTGGAGCGTCGGCAGTGTGTTTTTGGAAACGTTTCCCGAAGTGGTTGGGAAAATCAAGATACACGATTGATGACGGGGATGGAGTCACGGGGAGTATAGAGAGGGTATACGGAGTGGCGACGTTGTGTGTCACATGCGCGCCGCCTGCGACAGGTACTTGATGATGATGAATCACGAGCGAGAGGTACGGGAGGAATGGAGGGGCTGGATTCTCAGATGTTTTACCCGGGTGTACCTCTCTAACTTAATGATGACCAAACGAGGAGAAGGTTACGGAGTAAGGTAGTGTCTCCGTGGTGATGTGGAAATGAGGGACACTCAAGAGGGTGAGAAAATGCTGGCCATACCATCCTGAGGTCACGGTCCAGGTATGTTTAGGTAGTAGGTACCTAGGCAAAGCGCCCCATGGCGAGGCCGACCTCGGAAGAAGTATCTGATGACTCACACGCGGTCAGAGATACCTTACTGTTGATTTTTAGGTACCCTTTGGACGAGAACAGTGTCTGCAGGTGGGTACGGCTAGGCTGCTGTGGGAAACGATGGAAGCCAAGGGTGACAGGTCCTTTCTTGTCTCGGCGCTGTAGAGGGCGTACAGATGTAAGTAAGTAGTACGGATACCTACCTACGGGTTAGGTGTTGTAGGTTGTAGGTAGGTATGTCGGTACGTGGTGTGGGTCACATGATGATGGCCACCCTGCAAAGGCAACAGCTTTGACAGAAGTCCAGACTCCAGACTCCAGACTCCAGACTACGGAAACAAGGAACACGGAATACGAAAGGACAAAAGGGTTCCAAGGGTACTTGGTAGGTACTACCAAGTTGACGGTGGTAGGCAGGCAGACAGACGGTCGGACCGGTAGGCAGCAGGCAGCAGGCAGACACCAATGTCGTCCAATACCAGTTCAGGGATCTGAATGAACAAAATGAGATGGGTATATACATACAAACTAGATAGAGCCTCACGGTCGTATCCACGAATAATACCTCTCACGAGTACCTTGTAGGTAGGTTGTAAGATTGACTTTTTCATACGCTCCGTGCCCGGAACTTTACAGTAGTTAGTTGGTGTCTGCCTCGGGTACCAGGTGACTGGGGTATGTACCTATGGAGCACTCGTACAGTGTATCCTCACAAGGTTTTACACTTTACCAACCTTGTACCTTTTTGAGATAGTCCGCAGAGGGAGAGAAAAGAAAAAGGAAATCGTCAACTAAGTTTAGTAAGCTAGCGATGGGCCATGCAGGTACAATACGAGTACGGAGTACATGTTGGATGATAAATGGTCAAAAGTTCCGACGAAACGCATCGTCACGGCCCTTTGGCCGCCTAAATTAGTTGACTGTTAAGTAAAGGTACAGGGAGGCACTTGTTAACTAGTTAACTAGTTAGTACCCAACTAGTTAGAACACACCCTGCAGTACCGTACCTTGGGTACCTTTTCGCAGTGCATTATATGCATGTTCGGTGTTCCAGGCAACAACAATTTTGCCTTGAGAGGGCTTGTTCCTTTTTCTTTTTTTTTTTAATTTTTTTTTCTCGCAACGTGGCAAAAAGAAAGAGGGGGGCAAGGTAGATCTAACCTGATTCTCCAATATTTTACGAAGTACGCTCTACATCCGGATACCCAAGCAAGTACGTTAGTTCCAACTATCCAGCCCCAGGCTCACCAGGCATCCACCATCATCTAACAATATAACAATTTAACAAACTTTCAGGTAAATCATGTCATCTCTCGAGGTACACCATCTAGGTAGGTACCTGGTCTCGTACCAGCAGCCAGCCTTCGCCGTGACATTTCTTGGGTTACCTTGGACCAGGTAGTTAGTTAGGGGGTCACTTCGACTCGGTCACTCGTCGTGTCGTATAAGTAAGTACAGGTTAGGTACAGTAGGTACTCGTAGCTGCACGTACGTCGCGTACGTCATGTAAAGTCAGCTAGTAGTGGTCTATCCGGGTACTGTAGGAGGTACTTTGGAAATTTTTAAACGTAGACAAACGTATCTATCGGAGACTCCGGGTCACCCGTCGCCACGACGCCCCTCAACCCCTCCCCAATGCACTTTGTTCTTTCGTATTCGTACGCGTCACTGACTTGTGCTCGTCCGTCTCCGCCACACTTCACACGCCACAGCGCCGCCACACACTCCACAGCCTCACCACCTACTCGTACAGGTACCTAGCCAGCGCATTGTCGTTGTCATCGTGTGCGTTACTTTGTACAAGAAGTACGGATACCTGTACAGACACACGACACAGGAGTACTCGCCGTAACGAGTGGGTATGTGGCGCCACCACTCTCTGCACACCAAACTTGGCCTAGTTTTCTCGGGGACCTCACTCACTCACTCACACACACACGCACACACACACACACACACACACACACACACACACACACACACACACACACACACACACACACACACACACACACACACGCGAATCCTGTACTGTGTACGGGAGTACCTACCGGGTCAGTGGTGGTGCCGTAATATCCCCCGTCCGTTAACACGATAGAAGTCCTGAGCACTGCTGCCTGTTCCCTTTCTACCTCTAACCTCTACCTCTTTTTCTCGCTCGTGCACCTCTCTACCCTTGTTTTCTTTCCACCTCTACCATCTACATACCATGTCCCTACTACATTTTTACCTCGCCTCGCCTCCTCTACCCCCCCCCCCCACCCCCCCCCCCCCCCCCAACCCCTTGTCCTTCTTCTTCTCTGACTGTACTGTATATTTGTGTATCCTAAGCCTCGGTTGGAACTTTTTGCTCGAACACTCCAAATCTCCCTCCTATAGTACGTGGTGGATGGGACATGTAAACTTGGTAGGAACAATCTTTTCTTGAATGCTTTCGTTACTTTCATTCTTCATTCTTCACACTTTATACTAGATACTTCGTAGTTCATACCTCATTCCTCGTCGCTCATGGTTCATCAGGGATAGAAATATAAAATGATGTCCGCGGCCCCCCCCCGGGGGGGGGAGGGGGGAACCTTGTGCCTGCTTCTCGACATTTCAAGCCAGGATTGTGTCTTGGTAGCCGACACTACCATGCACGTCAACTGGTCAACCACTGAAAACAGTAAAAAACAGACTCATTCATCGTCAGAGCAAAGATTGCAATCCCGAACAAGAAACCACAACAAAACCCACTCCCATACATGATACATAGGTAAGTAGTAGTTGTACTTCAAACACCAAACAAAACTCCAAAAATGTATTCCCTATACTCCTTATCCGTAGCCGCATATGAAAACCTTTGAAACCTTCAACAAATGAAAAACCCAAGAGTAGTGATAGTGGACTATAAAATCCTAAAGTGGTGACAATCTGTAAAACAATGCCCTCCCAAGCAAGGCCGTAAAACTCCTCAACCACTTACAAACCATCCATTCATGACCGTTCGTGTCGTAAAAGTGAAATCATTACATAAGGCCGAGTCATCGTTGCACAAGGGATTCGGGTAGGGTCCAACTATCCGGTTTCCCACCCAGTAGCTCGTACGAGTACGGAGCATTTCGTAAGATACCCTGTTCCAGCCAGGGCAGTCAGTACTCTACTCGTCTCATCCGCCTCCTTGTGGAATGCCACCAGCACCAGTGACAGCACCAGTACCGCCGCCACCACCACCGGGCCCTCCAGGCAACTGTTGTGGACCCGGAGGCGGTTGAACAAGGCTATAAATCGCTTGAGGCGGCATGGATCGGAGAAAGTTTCGATATCGTGCGAGGTCTGCTGCCTGGAGCCGGATCATTTCTTCCTTCTCCTGTAACCGGGTCTGGAGATGTTCAATGAGTTGATACTCGCTCATGCCTGTTTGACGGAGTTGGTTCTGTACGTTCTGACTGACATGTGTTGGTAGCGTTGCCGGTGTCATTGTGCGCCGCCGTTTGGCCGCGTGTACTGGCATTTGTGGTTGTGGCGAGGTCAACATCATCGGCTGCTGTTCTTCGACGACCGCCGTCGGCGGATGAGAACTAGGTCCTTCCTGCCGCCGCAATTCGTCCATGTGTCGTCTTCTCTTGTGTTCCTCTAGATTTTCTCTTCTGGTGAACCCAGTCCCGGTGCTCCGGTTGCAGTTGGGGAAAGGACAGAACAGCGGCTCCTTTGTCGACAGATTCATCTTGTGTACCTCTCGCTGGTGCCTCAATAGACCTCCCGAGTACGTGAATCCCGGATTCAGCTCACATCCTGCTGCAAGACACTTGTACGGTCTCTCATGTCGATCCATATGCTTGTTCCACTCACATACTCTTTTGAACGTGATGTCGCTTCCACGGCAATTAGAGTGGTCGCAGAACAATAGTCCGTCGTTGTTTCGAGGAGGTGTGCGCGCTCGGCGTACTGTCGTTGTAATTGTCGTGGTCGTTGTTGCTGTTGCCGCGGCCAAGGACGGGCTGGAGTCGGCCACGTTCAGCTCGGCCATTTTGGTGCCTGATGGCTTCTTGGATATTGATGTTATAATCGACGATAATAAATCGGCGTCACTTGGCGGAGATGGCGGAAAAGCATGGTTCAAGCTCATGTTCATAATCATGGCAGATGGCGGCTTCCTCGGTCTCTTCCTCCTTCTCTTTCTCGATCCGATCTGTAAGCGTAGGGCCTGGCAGCAACGGAGCAGGGCCGATCAAAGTATTCCCAAGGCGGAAAGAAGGTATGCAATTGTACATTCGCTGGGGAGTTGTCGCATAAATAGCGAGCCAAGAACAGAAATGACGGGGTGGAAGCATATAGTTGTGGAGGCAGACGCGGAAAGGGCTGCCTGTCAACGGTTCTCGATGCAAGGCTCTACTTCAAGGCTGTGCCTGACCTGCGAAGCATCGACTCATCAAGGTTGGACATGTGTACATCGGAAAGATGCCTTAGCGAGAGGACCCAAGAAGGAAAGCCATCTTTGAATCATCTCAGGCCAAGACTCTTGAGATCATGCGCCACCTTTGTCGAGACAAATCAAGAATGACAAGGGAACGAAAGGCTCCTAGAGAGTTCAAGACACGTCCGCCGCTCAGGCGCTAGCAACGTATATAGTTTGTGGCTCTTCTGGAGCCCAAGGATTCCAAGGCTAGTGAGGCTGCCTGAGGGCCAACGAGAGGCGAACGAGCAAGGGACTGGTGCCTGATGACCCAGGTTGGAAAGGGATAGAGTTGTGTTTTCCACGTTTTTTTCGACCGTGCGTGTTGGACAGTGTATGGTACGACTGCAAAAGTAGTGGTGGTGGCAATGCCTCTCGAGATGGGATGGAGCATGTGACCACCGCCTCTCGTAAAATCAAGGTCATCGGCTGCCAGTTTCTTCGAATGGGAGGCAAATCGAGTGTCGTATGACTCAATTGGGCCATTCCTCGAACAGGAGTGGCTCGGAGTCATCGACATCGACTAATTCGGAGATGCTGGCCCTTGTCCTGAAACCTCTGGCCGTGTCGCTGAGGCGAATGACTGAAAATGAGATAGACCACAACGCACAGCACGAGGTACTCCGCCAGGGTACAAGTATCCGAGCACAACAAGAAACCCAGGGCTTGTGCACTAAGAATAATACTCGTAGTATTATTATCGACATCGACCCTCTCACAGGCGCAGACAAATGCGAGGGATTCCGGAGAGCCACTCCGTCCCCATTCACTTACCTGGGACTGTGCAACATCATCCGCCATCCGGGAGTCTGACATGGGACCAGGGCATTTGATCCTCTGCGAGCCGAGATCTTGTCTTGTAATGCACGCCCGGTTTGAGGAACAGACGGCACCCGAACGGATGGTATGATGAAATTGCGGGCATCTCAATTTGGTGGCTCAGACGTTTAGAGAGCTGGTGCTCGTATCCTGTAGTCTTACAGGATCCGGAGGGGCCGAGTCCCTAACAACTGATGCTCCAAGATTTTCATCTCGTTTCATCTCGACCCGCACATATCCAATCATAGTACCGGCGTAGATAGTACCTTGATACTTCGGCTAAGGTTTGTAGGTGAAGGATATTCCTTTCCTGGCCCGTAAGAGAGGATCTTCGCGCAGAACGGATCGCCGCGGCGCTCGCAACTTCGGGGCGCAGTTGGCCAGATCCCAGGCACTCCCTGTGAGCCTGAGGGGCCATTGGCCCTGCTTCGTACGGGGATTCAGCCAGGCGGGCGAGAAGCCTCAGGCGAAACCCGCACAACTGCGGACAAGTGAGTGGTTACGTGTTGAATTCTCTTGACCTCTTTACGAGTAGGCAAAGCAGAGGGCGAGATACGGAGGTCTTTTTACAGCTAGACATTTGAAATGGATTGACGTTACTTTACACAAAAATCCCCCCTGCTCACTCGACACATACCTTTCCCTGTACCAAATTTTAGCTTGCATATGGGCGCGGCGCCACCTTTCCAGCCTGATGAGGCGATCCATTTCTACTGTCCAGGGGTACTTCATACGATGAGATTGTGCTTTTACGGTATATTTTGATGATACAATCATGGATTCAGCTGCAAAGGATCGCAGCTCCTTGTTTGCGGACGCGGTGGCGCTGTCAAGCCTTAATGATTTGAAGGTGGCGCAGCGGCCTCACTAACTTTGGCATCGTCTGCGAGAGCATCAACTACCTATTGTAGATAGGTACAGTAGGTACCTAATCCAGTCTTGGTATGTGTTCGAGTACGAGTACCCCGGATCCAAGGCTCTGAGGACCGCCACCTCCGTCAATGTGCGAGTACAGTGGAGCTGTCCGTCCTAAGTTAGCCACGGCCTTTCCATCAATCTACCCAAGCGTCAGCGTACACGCACGCACACACATGCGTCCGCTTCTTCAGTGAGTGTACACGAAAAAAGGATTGCGCAAATCCGTCTCGTCGCTGTACGCCAGCTTCTCACGCGCCAATGTTTTTTCTTCCTCGCTCATACCCGCTAGGATCTGCTGGTTCTTCTTGTTCAGCCGATCGTTGCAGTACCGCAGCGCAAAACACACAAGAACTTGTGCTGACAAACATGCCACGATTGCAATCTTTCCACTCTTGTATCCCGGTGCCTCGCTCTGTTGAAAGGTCTGTGTGCCCAAGATGTTGCCGGTGCAGAAGCCGACCAGTGTCAGCGCGTTGCTCGTCACTTTCTTGCTGTGCCCTGCGATGTTGCTGGCATTCCACGCGAGGAGGAGCATGAACGCAGCACCAAAGGTCCCGCTGAGGTAAGAAGCAAACAGCAAGGCGCCCTTGCTTTTGGGAATCCCGTCCGGATCAAGTCCATACATCAGACCTGCCGCAACGATTGTCGGAATGAGACAAATGAGCATGACTAGCGACCGGTCGTTCCATCGATCCGACAGATATCCGGAAAGCAGAACAATGAATATCCCCACCGCACCGGATGGCATGTTCAGGATCAGTGCCTGCTGGCTAGTGTATCCAAACGTGGTAAGTAAAATCGAGGAGAAGTTGGACAAGCCGCCTGTTGGTGGAATGTCAGTGCTAAGTCCGACAAGAAGAAGAGCAGTTGGGTTCCGAATCCAACCCGGCCAAATTCATGGTGCGTGTTGTGAAGCCCAGTTCCCCTGGTATACCGAGCGAGTTCAGAAATGGGACCTACCATTGGGAATTGATGTCAGAAGCACAGATAGGAAAACAAGCCACACGCGGACATCCTTCAGTGACTCAAAGACCTGTGCCTTTTTGAGGGTTGCGTTCTGAGTACCCGACTGGTTCTCCTTGACCCGCAACAACGCAGCAATCTTTTCGGCATCGGTGAAACGAACAGCCTTGACCGGAGAGTCAGGCAGAAACATAAAGACCAAAAAGCCGAATAGGATTGTCATCAAGCCAATGATCAAGAAGAAGATTCGCCAGCTGGCGAATCCAGTCTTGGAAAAGCTGGCACCATAGGCGACGGCGCTTCCAAATATTTGGGTGATCGAGTTGCAAACGTAAAAGTAGCTGACTCGTCGGCCTTGCTCGCCCTTCTTATACCACATGGCGATGATCATGACCAAGATCGGTGCCACAGGAGCCTCAAAGATGCCGAGAAGAACTCTGGTGATCATCAGGCCAGCGTAAGAAGTGCACGCCGCCATCGAGGCCAGCACGACACCCCAGAGCATTACGTTCACGCCGAGATACTTGCCCAGCCGACTGATGCGCTGTGCCAAATACTGGGTCGGGAACTCAGCCGCAAGAAACCCAACGTACTGCAATGCAACGGTCAACGTCCCAGTCTAAAGTCAACAAGCAATCACAAGGCAGTACTTACAAACATCATCGCAACGTTCGAATAGTCCTGGCCGTGTAGATGAGTGTCTGCACGGAGGCCCATCACAGCAGTGTACGAGATCGTTGTCTTATCCCTGTCGCCGTGGTGAGAAATACTGTCCACGAGTTACAACGGGCCGTATCCACTCACAAGTACTGCAGAAAATACACCGCAATCATACATGGGACAATCTGGAAATCGATCTTTCGCAGAAGTCTCTTCGTTGCTTTCGGGTCTGCGAGTATAGCAATAGCCTCTTGACGCACTTCATCCGCATTTGGATGGTCTTTCAGGTACATGAATGCTTCATCGGCATCCTTGGACGAAATATCAAGCTGATTCAGGGCCTGGTCAAGAGACACATTTGTGGCAACACTGCCGTTTCTGTCGACACCTTGAAGAGTCTTTTCCGGGTCGACACCCTTTGGCAGTGCTTGCTCCGTGTTGATATCCATGGCTCGACTCCGTGCGAATTACGTTGGGGCAGTCTGCGCGACAATGCAAGGTGAAGTGGATTGTCGAAAGGGGTGCAGCAGAAGGATCAACGACATTTAAAGTCTTTCGACGGCGACACCGCCATCAGAAGCGACGGTCATATCAGCCGTCCAACCTACTGCGACTTGCCCGTACTAGAGGGGGTGTTGATATCGCGACAATCACGTCCCAATCGAGAAGGTCGAATTTACATGCGGCGACTTCTAAAGGAGAAGGCCGCTTCACGTAGCCCCGGTCCTCGTACACCCATGCTGTTCAGAGTCCGCGTGTTGGGAATTTGACGTGGATGATACTGAGGGGAGATTGTGAACGATCGACTATAGTTGGTGGGCAATAACTAGCGGCATTGATAGTCACTGCAGTACCCCTGCTTGTTGAAATCGTCATGGAAAGCCGGATTGATAGCCGGATTGTCGACCTGCCCGTTTGGGACGGCTAAAGAAGATAAGTGTATATTGCTCCAGTATACAAGGTAAAACATTTTACCCGAACTACTATGCCACGTTAGTACATTCTATCGCCATAGGAGACACCGTTTGGCGTGGAGAAAGTGTTCTGATACGAGAGAATAGGCAATAGGATGGTACGAGTATTCTCCTCGGCAAAGTCAACTCGCGTGCCGGAGGGCTAGATAAGATGGCTCTTGGGGGTCCGTACCATTTGATTTGGTTAACTGCCCTGGTACGAACCCGGTCTACTTGCATAGAGGAGATAGCAGCTTGTCAAACCAGGCCGGCGTCCGGCATTATAGTATTAAGATAATAATAGGCGGTGCAGTTGTTCTGCCCTCCGAAATACTGAACTTCGATACACTAGCGATGGTTGTGAACCCCACTTTTCAAATATGAATAACATCCTGCACTCGTGGATAAACATGCACCAATCGCTGGTAGAACTCTGGATGATCCGTCATTGCCACCTGCGGATCCCAGGCCATCGCGACGAAAATGGTGTCGACGCCTGATCCAATCGGGGTCATAAAGGTCTGACAGATCTGTAGTCCGATGAGGAAGGCAAAGGCCATAATGACAGGCGTGAATGTCCGGCCATCGTTGTAAGCAGGTTTGGTGAACTCGAGATAGAGATAAGCCAAGAGGGCACACAGGTATGCCACGAAGATGGAGCCCATAGTCAGGACTGGCCCGACAAGACAGTCGTTGACCAAAGCGTCAATTCCACGGTCCTTCATCATCTTCCACGTGTCTTTGGCCGCTGGGATGTAAGCCTTGCCATATAGGGCGATATGAGAGAAGGCGTATCGGTTGATAAACTCGACCAACCAGTTGAGGATGCTAATCATGCAGCCGAGAATACAATACATGATGGTGCCGATGATGTTCCCTTCGGCCGCCTCATGCTGCTGGGCGATACTGCAAGCTTGCCGAAGCATGTTGATGATTGCCACGATCAGACTGCCAAACGATATTGATCCAAAGGAATAGGTGGAGGCTCGCCTGAAAGCACCCATCGTAGCGCCCTTTGGAATACCACCAGGCTTGCCAGCGCAGAAGTACCAGCTTCCGTAAACACCAGCGACGACAGTGTGAATCAGATTTTTGATGAACTCTGAGATCCAGTATCCTGCGAACGTTACGAAAACAACCAAGCCGATGACTTTCCCACTAGAACAACCACCGTCGGCACAAGATGGATTCGGGTTCGCGCCGGGATTGCTAGGCTCGTATGACACATAGATGGCGACCAGCGTGACTGAAAACCACGCAGCAAAGGCAACACTCACAATACCCCCAATGAGGCTGACCATGAAAACGTGGACGCGTTTCATCCGTGCGATGTCCATACCCTGTTGAAGCATGCACACGGCGAAAGGAATGCGCGGGATCCAGCTGATGAAACAGATGATGGCGAAGACGGCGAAAATCGCAAATATAATGCCGGCTCCCCAAAGACGTCGGTACAAGTAGTACGCGGCGGTCCCAACGGCCACGACACAATTGAGGATGCCCGTAAGCCAGACGAATTGCTTCGTGAAGGCACGCGCGGCAAGGAAATATGCCCAGCTGACGACGAAGCCTACGGCAAGAACGAATGCGAAAAGAATGATGGTGTTCGAGTTGAGGGAGAAGTCATTGGCAGAGCCGTAGATGCCTCCACCATTGAACTGATGGTATTTCGAGTAGCGATAGAGGGTAAGCCCAGAGACTGCCACGAAGCCGCAAAAGGTCGCAATCAGCTATAACTCGTCAGCCTGAGAGGCTCTCTTCGATGCCGTGTCCGCGCCTTGACCTACCAGCAGGGCTGCCCAGATATCATTGTATTTGGGCTTCTGAATTTTGAAAGTGTCCTGGAACGTCTGCTTTTCATCTTGAGGGGCGTTGAACTGAACTCCGCTCGTCGGGGGCTGACTGTACTTTTGCTCTGGCTGTTGATACGGCTGTTGAGGAGGTTGGTACTGCTGCTGGTTGTTCTGAGGATGGGCATCGGGGGGAGGGTATGATTGGTAGCCTTGGGGAGGCCCTGGAGGCGGAGCGTATTGTTGATATGCGTATTGCTGTTGATTGTTGTAGTAATCGGCAGCTTGCCCTTGATGCGCCATGTTGGTGGGAGACAATACGTCCAGCCGTCGCCAGACGAGGAGATGTTGACAGTACAGATGCGCGATGAATGTCCAGCGTCAACACACTCGTCGGCGCACGGGCGAGATGATGGAACGATGAGAAGCTCAACTCGAGCGCGGGTGAAAATTGGAATCGTGGACGCCATCGACGGTTGGACAGGACAACGATTGACTGGCATGGACGTCATGCCGCGACAGCCAAGTCGTTTCAATTTTACTCGTACCAGTCGGTGACATTGCAATCTGTTCAGCTGGCAATGATGCTCTGACCAGATTTTAGCGCGCCAGATCAAAACATCATTGGGCCCAGAACCCGGTCAATGAGCCCTATCAAAACAAGCTTAAATGCCACTTCCCGGCTATTGGATGCTGAGAGACTCGAGTGTTGGGGTTATTGATTGCCCCCTTCGTCTTCTCCGGATGCGCGTCCCGCTGCTGTCTGACGGCCATGTTGCCCTGCGACGCCCTGCTTAAGCGCGACGTGTTCCCCTGTCAGACGCTCGTTCAGTGTGAGTTGGCCGGCTTTCCAACGTCATGCCCATTGAAGCCTTTGATCGTCCTGCGAATGCAGTTAATTCCTTCACACATGCCCAAAATATAACATGCGGCTTTGAAAATCCTCAGATCCCAAGTGTGTAAGAGTACAGCGTGGTGTAACTATCCTCGACTCGGTGCTGATACCTCTCCCGTAGCGAGGAGAGATTTGATTTCCCCTAGATGCCTCTGTGAACTAGGTGCGCTCGGCCATGACCTCCTAGGCCACTGTTGCCATGATGGACCTGAGAAGAATACGTAAGGAATTCACGAGTGTCAAGAGTCGACTTGACAAGTCCCGCCCATTCGCCAGATTCCAACCGTTGGTCTTTGTGGCTTTGGCGATTCTCTGCCTCCCGTTGTCGACGGCCCTGCTGTTCATCAATTACCTGTATATACTCCTATTCGGCCGGGGACGATCCAGAAAGTCAAAAGCGACGCCTGCAAGGACAATCCTGCTGAGTGGCATCAACACGGCCCAAGGACTGAAACTCGCCAGGGCGTTCCACCAAAATGGACACAAAGTGGTCGGCGTCGATTACGAACCAATGTGCTTTCCCATCCACGTCCGTTTCTCCAGCGCCTTGACGCGCTTCTACCGCCTCCGCCCGGTGCCAGAACAGCGACGAGCTCCCGCGTACATCCGAACACTGAACTACATCATCGAGCAAGAAACCGTCGACGTCTGGATCGACTGCACCACCGGGGTTGACCCCACTGTAGAAGGCCACGCCCGAACCGTGATCGAGCAGACGACAAGCTGCCGGTGCTTCGCTCTTCGCATGGACGACATAGCTCATTTCGCGTCGCGAGACTCCTGCTTGGCGTGGCTCAGAAGTATGGATCTGCCCGTTCCCGAAATCCACAGCATCAAATCCCGAGACGAAGTGCACCATGTGCTGAACAAGTCGCGCGGCTCACGACGGTACATGCTCTACAGTCCCGGACACGGGCCAGCAGGAGTCGAAGTCAGCTCTATGAGGACGCTTCTCCCTCGTCGAACGCTGAGCCAGACTTACCACGCGCTATCCCTTGTGCCCATCCAAAAGACCAGCTCGGAGCTTTGGAGACTCGAGCAGATCACGGAGGGACTGCCCAGATACTCGGCGTTTGCGGTCGTCGTTCGAGGACGTGTCACCGCCTTCTCTGCAAGTAGACAGAGAGGCCAGGCTTATCTCGAACCAATCGACGCCACAGCCGCCTTTGGACACGGGTTGCTTCGCATCGTGCAGACTTTCGCAAAGCACCAGGGCGACGATTTCACGACACACATTGGATTCGACTGTTGCGTCGACGAGCAACTCACGGACGGCGGGATAGTGCAGAAGATTCTGATCCTCGGCACCTCAGTCCAGTCTTTGGCCAGTGTGTTATCGTTCCAAGGACCGTTCGCCACGGATTCATTATGCCGCGCCTACTTATCCTGTCTCTCCGACGATGTGGATGACAAGAATACGCGCATTGAGACATTGCAAAACAGCTCCACTGCCCCAGGGATACAGGCTGTCTCGGCCCCCGAAGTTGTGACGCCAAACCCCTCGTCGGCTCCGGTCTACTGCTTTGGCCAAGACCTGTTGAAGCTCGGATACGAACCACTGTTGAGTTGGATGAGTTTGAAATCCGCGTGTACATTTGCGCATGTTGTGCAGAGCTGGCTCTCTTTCCTGAAACACTTGGTGTTCTGCCAGGACGATATCTATGACATTTACGACCCGTTGCCCTTTTGGTGGTCATACCAGGTCTACGTCCCGCTGCGGCTTCTGACTGCCACCTTTAGAGGTGAGATTGAACGCGACCTGTGCGGTACGAGGCGTGTTTGTGACTATGTGAATGAGGGTGAAAATGGACTTGCAAAAGAGGCCCCAACGATGTGACAGTTCCCTTCAGCCCATAAAGCGGGCTTGAATGATACTTTCTATGTGAAGATAGTCAAAGATTTGGGTTCAATCGTTCTTCTTCTTCTCTCTGGTGTTTTTAACTTGGCTCATGAACTTTTGTTTATCATTCCCGGTGGTATGCCCGTTCCAATTCGCCCTCTTTGTGTACTGAACGAATCCACGTTTGACATCTATAGGTAGTTCTGATGATATGTTGGCCGCTTTCTCCTTCTAGTATCTTGAGCGTGTTCGTGCTCGTGCTCGTTTGTGAAGACTCATTCTGCTCCTGGTCATGGTCCTGGTCGTGGACCTGCTCAGTCCCTCCCATTCGTATCCCTGTGGTTGTCCCTGTGGCCCTGTGACGTCCGTGGCGCTCTGAAAGGATAGTTCTTCTCTGTGCATTGCGTTCTTCTCGTCCACATCATCCCGCGCTCTCTGATGCACTCTTGTTCCCAACCCCTTTATGGACTCTGCTTCCGGAATCTTCTGTCCTCGCGGAGACAACAGGCTCGGCGCCACCTTGGCACCTGAAAAGCCTTCAACGTGAGGTCCCTGTGTACCTGTTCCTGTATTCAATGGTGCCGTTGAAAAAAAATCCGAATTCGATTCCCTATCCTGGCTGCAACCCGGGTGTTTCAACCTCGAAAAAGAAAAAAAATCCTGCAACCTCTTCTTCACCGATCTTGAAATGGTTGTTCGTTGTTCTTGTCCACTTGATGTCTCTCCATCTCCCATTTCTCCATCTCCATCATCCTCCGACGGTCCCGTACAACATCAATCAGGTCAGTTCGCCTTACCAGAGATACTCAGAGATGCCTGCCTCCGCGGACGTCTTGTCGGATCTGTTGGTTGCTAACTCTGCGACGTGCTCTTCAGTCTCCCTTGTCCTCGTTTCCATCTACCTTGTCAACTAACTCCCTCCTAATGCGCCTTCGTTCACAAGGCAGCATCTTCATCATCACCATCACCACCACCAACACAAAAACAAACCGAGAAGCCAAGGCACAAAAGAACAAAAGGGACTTCTCTTTTTTTTTTTAAGAATTCTCTATATACATCTCACACATTGCCCCTCCGGGCACTTTCCCGTGCCACCCGAGGGCCAGGGCCGACCAACCAACCTCTAGACTCGAACAAGAAGAAAAGAAAAGAAAAGAAAAAAAAAACCGGCAACCCACAACAGCAACAACGACCACCGGCGTCACCACCGCCAACAACAACAAACAGCACCACCCGGGCCCACACCCACAACAACCTCCCTCCCCCCTCCCCCCAGCAAGGCAACGACACCCTCGCAACGCTCATGCGTCACGACCCGCTTCGTCCAACTGACGCCGGGCAGCGGCCAGTTCCGACCGAAGTCGTTCTGCCTCCGCCTCGGCGGCGCCAGTGGCCTGACGAGCCGCGACCAGTTGCATTGCGAGGGTGCGTCGCTGCTCCCTCTCCCTCTCCCGCCCTTGACGGGCCAACTCCAGAGCCTCCTGGGCCCAGTTGGTGGCTTCCAACTGCATCCGGAAGGCCGCGGTGAGCTCCTCCCTAGCAAGGAGGAGGCCAGCGCGAGCCCTCACGGCTGCAGGGTCACCACGTTCTGGGTCCAGGAGGCCCTCGTCGACGACGTCAAGGGCGTCGACTTCCTCTTCCACCCGGCCCAGCAACTCAAACCCGGCCCGAAGCCGGCCCACCGCCGCCGTCGCCGGGAGGTCTTCCCAGACGAAGGCGGCGGCACCCTCGTCTTCCTCGTCTTCCTCCCCCTCCGACATATAGTCGTCGGGGGCACGCCACTCGTCTTCGTCGTTGTCATCGTCATCATCATCTTCATCATCATCTTCATCATCATCTTCATCATCATCTTCATCATCATCGTCATCGTCGTCATCTTCTTCCTCCTCCACGACCGGGAGGTCGGCGGCCGCCCCCGCCACCCCCTGGTTCTCTTCCAAGGGCCAGACGTAGCCCCGGGCGGCAAGCTGTTGCCGATATTCTTCAACGAGACGATCTAGTCTCGCCTCGTTGTCGTCGTCGTCGTCGTCGTTGGCGTCGGCGTCGGCGTCGGCGGCGTCCACAGGACCAAGGACAACACCACCGGCAGCAGGAGGAACAGGGCCAGCGTCGGCGGCAGCGGCACCAGGAACAGCTGCAGCAGCAGCAGCAGCAGGAGCATTTTCTTCAGCTGCCTCATTGGCAGCGGCAGGCGGCAGGGCCCCAAACGACCAGGTTTCCTCCATCCATTCAGGAGGGGCGACGGCGGCAGAATTGTTGACACCCTCATTGGTGTCGAGAGCGTCCTCCTCGTCTCTGGTGAGACGAGCCACACTTTCCAGTGTCAGTGTGAGGGGGATGTTGGTGGTGGAATTGTTGTCGGCGTGGTTGCCGACGTCCTCCTCATGGTCCTCTTCGAGGCCACGGGGGACCCCCGTATCGGGGTTGACAAAAGGGTCCTCGACCCTGCTTGCAGGGTGAGAGGAGAGAGTCGAGGAGGTGGAGGTGGAGGAGGCGGCGGCGGCAGAGGAAGACATTATGGCGAGATTTTTGAGAATTGCCTTGAGTTGAGAGGAAGGACTTCAGGAGGACTTCAGAGGAGTTCAAGTGGACTTTGAAGGACTTTGAAAAACAAAGTTCAAGAGGACTTCGAAAAAAAGTGTTCGAGAGGACTTCAGAAGAAAGAGTTCGAGAGTACTTCGAAAGAGTTCGAGAGGACTTTGGAAGAAAAGGTTCAAGAGGACTTCCAAAAACACCTGGCTTTTGGTGTTGATGTCGGCTCGAGGGACTTCTGGTACGTGTTCAAGGGACTTCTGACTGTCGATCGAAAAGAGTTCTTTTCTTTGCTTTCAATCTGTTCAAAAGGTCTCTTAGACACTGCCACGACGAATGCTTGCTCTCGGGATGATATGTGTTGAGAAGAGAAAATTTTGAAGCGCGAGGGAGCGAAGTCGCGAAAGACATAGCAGCGTTGTTACCACTGCACTGTCCCCAGGGCGGTCAGCTATGAGTTGAAACGCTTTCACTGCCTGTCGCGTCATCCTCCCAATAGGCGACGCGTTTCTCAATGAAAATTTCATTTTGGCGTGAATTCAGCACATATCAGTATTCACCGCCTTGAGGAGGACGGAAGAGTGCAGCCAGAGGCAGAGCAGACGAAGAGAAACATTGTGGGTGGAAGACACAATAGGAATCCTGCAGCAACAGGGATAACGCTTTACCGATCCCATGAATATGATTTCTCAACGCTCATAACGCTCTGTCGCGCATGTTGCGACGTCAAAAAGGTGATTTTGACCAACAAATCAACTCCATAAAGGGGGATGTGTCGAGATCTGCGCTCGCTCACATGTTCAGCAGACTCATTTGTCTGGGGAGAGGACTGGCGACGTGATCACCGTCCTCACTTGGACCAATGCCGCTGTCGGTACCACCGGCAGCGCTGGGATCCATGTCAATATCCCATTTCTCCTCGACCTGGTCATTCTCCTCATCATCTCCCTCCTCCCAGCCTTTCTGGACGGCTCCTCTGACATTCCACCTCAACGCTCTCTGCACGCTTTCCACCCACTCGTTGGTGCCTGTCATGACAGTCGGGAAGGGATATTGGGACGCTTCAAGAGTGACATAATCTCCCCGCTTGAGCTCCACGCGGCCCTTTCCGTCGAACGAGCAGTACGCTGAAGACCGAGATTTGTTTGGGACGGCGATGCGCAGCAGAAGAGTGTCGGAGAGGACCATCGGTCGGAAAGAGAGGGTGTGTGGACATATAGGGGTCAACAGGATGGCAGGGATGGACGGATGTATCAAGGAACCTCCTGCAGATAGGGAATAAGCTGTGGACCCAGTCGGCGTGGAGAAGATACATCCGTCGGCCTGAACAATCGTCAAGAGCTCGTCGTCCCCATAGAGCTCTAGGTTTGAGACATATGCAGAAGGACCCCTGTCAATAACCAGCTCGTTCAACACCTCGAATTGCTCTCCTTCTTCAACTGCACCTTTCTCGGCTCCGGGTGACCGATCGGCTCTCCATACTGTGCAGGTGAAGCGCATCCTGAGATTCACCCGCATACCAGAATCACCCATCACGCGGTCGAGATGCTCCCTGTACTTGTCGAATTCGAAATTCGTCAAGAACCCCAAACTGCCCAGGGAGAAAGACAGGACGGGCGGCACAACCCTCTGAAACAACCACGACGTGAAAAGAACTGTCCCGTCACCACCCAGCGTCAGAACCAGGTCGAACATTTCCGGAGAGGACCAACACAGATCAGGCGTCCAATAATTCAGCATCTGCTCGAACCTGGGTTCCTTCTTGAGCAAACCTGGAGCATCAAACCGCTTGGAGTGTTGGAGTTTGGCATCAACGTAAACATTGACACCCACGTCGCTGCCGTATCGAGGAGTCGAAAGCAGCCATTCGGCCAGGTCTCGCGTAAGATACACCAAGCTGTTATCGCGCGCTTTGGTCACTATCATAACGTTGCGCACCGCGCGCTTCAGCGGTTTCCGCTGGAGTTGTTTTGATACCTCTCGCACTCCGATGGCGGTCTGCATCAGCCTCGAATGTGAGTAGTCGTCTTCCGCAATCTCATCTAGCACTTTCTGGACGTCCACTATCCCATCAAATCGTTGGTGGAAGAAACACGGCGACCGCAGGAAACTCGTCGAAGTTGGTGAACAGCCCGAGAATGCGCTCGGTTGCATGGCAGACAATGTAGCCGTGGTACAGGGAGACAATCCCGCTGCTGCAAGACTCTGTTCTTCAGCGTCTCTTCCGTTATTTATATTTGTAAAAGGGCTCCCCCCCAGCGGCGCAGTCGTGGGGCCTGTGGCTGGTCCTCGTGAGGCCAGCGCCTTCATGATTGTTTGCCTGGGTATGTCTATTGACTTGGTGTTCTTGCGATGGGTTATAAGAGGCTTTGGGAGGGAGAGAGGTTTCGGTACAGGCGCGGAGGGATGATGAGCGAGGTACGATGGCCTGACAAAATGGCTCGGCCGATTGTTTGCAAGGTTGAGGACGGTGTTCAGCACTGTCTCGTCGTCAGCCGCAGTATCACGTCCGGTGATGCTGTGGACAGCATGGGTCTCGTCATCCGCATGGAGTGAGCCTAGGTGGTGTGCATATAGGTGAAGAATCGAGTCACCCACGGAGACCTTTGGGTCGGGAGAGGCCATGCCATGGTGCAGGGCCTGGTCGGGGTTATCAAGTGCAGGTGTTGGCGGAGAGAAATTGCTGATACTAGTGGCCTCGGAAGTAGTGGGAGAAGAGAGGGTGGAGCAGGGAGCGGCGTCAACGACGGTAGCGTTTGTCATGTTGAGTACGGAGTAGGTGAGAAGTGATGGGCGTGAGAAGCTCTGGCCTGCAGGGGCCGACGGGGGACGGAGATGGGGGAAGCCCGAGTTGACGGATAATGCGCCGCACAGGTCAACAAAAAGTGGAGGGGTCTAGTTGGGGAGCCTGGGTAAGTTGTAGCACGCCCGGAACAAGCGCACCAATGCCTGGGTGCCGACAACCTCCAAAACGCTTCTCCGGGGCGCCGTAGGCACTCGGCTGACCTGCAACCCTCAGTGCTCACCCTCCCAGGAGAGACTACCTCGGAGTTAAGACAGAGATCCAGAGATCCAGAGATGGCGGCCGCTGCTGAGCCGAGTAATGTGATGCAGGTGAGATTCGTCTGCCTTCTGTGAACTTCTTTGGCGCTGTGGCTCGGACCGGCTCGAGCACTAAGCTGGGTATGTATACAGGGTGTTTGCTGATGAAGTGAAGCAGAGACCAGCTCTTGACGTGCCGATGAACGAAAGAAATAGAAAACCAGGAAAGCTCCAGACAGACTGGTTGTGGTTTGATTGTGTTCTTGTTTGCTTCTTTTGGGCAAACGGCCAGGCCAGTGTTGGTCGATGGGCCAGCATATAAATATGGTTGCTGCTCAGGTCAGGAGGCAGCCTTTCCCTCTGTGCTACTCCGCCTCTCCCTTGCGCTGCAGGCATGGGATAATGCTCTTGAGAGTCCTGTCACAGCCAGGAGCATGTCGGCAATACACTGAGACAGGCACGTGGGGGCTCGTAGTGGGTAGCGATCAGCCAAAGACCGCTACCAACGGCGTCCAGATCTTTGTTGCTGGCACCGGGGATTCGTGTGCTTATCGCCCTATCGACCCCTGGAACTGCCTAGAATGCTGGCAGCCTCGCCTCCCCCCACCCAGCTTTCTCACCACTGTTTGGCAGTTTCCAGCCGCCCACTCCGTGACCGTCTCACTTTTCACACGCATCAAGACTCCTGTCGCCAGTTCTCATCCTTAATCACCCGGCCTTGCATGGCTTTCCTCACCACATCTAGCACGCAGATAGGCGAGTCTCCATTTGTGTCACGTCCGTTCATAGCAACATCTCCGTCCTGTTTGTTGATGTCGACTGCATTGGTGCTGTGATCGGATCCAAGCACTGCTACCCTGGCAACTTGTTCCGCTGTCTTGAAATCCTCCAGGGTGAACCTGCCATCACTCTCCATAAGCAATGTCTTGCCGTCGCTGCCGAACGCGAAGACATGCAGACTCGTACACTTTTTCCGCTGCAGAATGCCAGGGCTGACGGCGAGTCCTCCATCTGGGTCGACACCAACGAGCACGGCTCCGGCCACCCCTTTCATCTGTACAGCTGCGTCGAGACAGCCGAGGACAGCAGCGTTGATTGCTGAAGCGAGGACATCGAGATAACTCTCACCTTGGCCACCACCTTTGATACCTCCAGGCAAGCTTTCGTCGATCTCAACACTCACCACTTGAAGAGTGATTTGGAGCATAGTTCTGGGAGTCTCCTTGGCGAGGATGATGGTACCAAGAGTCCGCTTGACAAGCTCCTCGACATGTCGCTCCTTGATCATGCTCACACCATTGTGTGGCCGAAGATTCACCTCAATGAAAGTGGATTCAGGAATCTCGTCACTTCGAAATGGTACTTCCACCGGGTAGTTGACGCCGGCCACGATTTTGTAACCATTATTGGGAGCGCTGTATGTTGCGGAGCCATCAGCATTGCTGAGGCCATGCAGACTGGCATTTGGAATCCCAGCCATGATCGTCGAGACCATGATTGAGGTGCCGATGAAAATGACTATGTGAAATGCTTCCTTTCCATGTGAAGATGGATAAATTTAAGATGTCCAAATATCTTGGCGTCACGTGATAAGGCTGACGACCGACAGTACCCGCACATGGTATTCACGGAAGGTTCAGGTAAACAATCAGAAGTCTTGCGTGAGTCAGATATAGGAGTATCCGTGTATTGCCGCTAGGTGCATGGTCATCATTCACTCTAGGTGAGACGTTCAAACAGATCTATTCAGGAAGAGCACGCATCACACCTTCAAACGCCACCAACGCCATCGCATTGGCAGGAAATGCCCGCAGGAAACAAGGTACAAACCCTCTCCAGTATCCCCTCCACCCGGACTCTCGGTACACGGTTACGGCAGCATCCCTCCAGCGCCTGAACTTGGGTGTGCCATCGTTTAAGTTTCCTCCCAAAGGATCTGTCATGATTCGCTGCTTAACGACATCGGACGGATAGGATGTGAGCCAAAAAACCTGTGCAGACAAACCACCCGCCCAGAAATTGATAGAAGGTGTTGACAACGACGTATGTTTCTTGAACACGTTGGAGAATATTTCGTATGAGCTCCACCAACAGAAGAAGAAGGACCGAAACAGTAGGGTTGCGAACAACCCATGATACAAGCCACGGATCCCATGAGTCTTCAGAATCTTAGAAGTGCAATCAATGGGACCTTTGTACAACCTGTCCTTCTTCTGGGCGGCATATTGTATCTGCAGCCTAGCCTTGACATGTTCGACCGGCGCGGCGATGAAGGAGACGGTAGAGCCAGCCATGATACCTGCAATCCCGTGTCCAAAAGCTGGCAATTTCTCATTTGCTAGCTCCACAGCAGATTTGCCAGGCCGGAAGGACGGGTTTGAGAAGACTTTCTCATGGAGCATCCTTCGGTAAAGAGTCAAGCTGCCCAACATCACAGAGTCCATGGCCATCCATCCCAGCAGTGGAGGTGTTGCGCCCTTGTATAGTCCTTGCGGTCCTTCCTTTTTGATTGTCTGCACCAAGCAATCCCATGGGCCACTAAAATGTGTCTTTTCCGAGGTCTGCAGACGTACTTTGATAGTGTCGAAAGGATGGCCGACAGACAGTTTGGCTATACCACTGAAGATTCCAGCGACAAAGCCTTTGTAAGTGCTCAAGACTGATCTGTTCCTAGTCTCCGAAACGGCGACATGACGCGAAGAATTCGTCCGATCAACGGGAATGGTGTTGTCAGAGTCATCGGCAGGGCTGGACTCATCAGTACAATGCAAGTCAATGTCGGGTCTCGCGCCTTTGTCGAAGCTCACCTATTCAGCTTGACGGACATATTTGATCCATTCGGGAACACGGTCAACTACCGAGCCAGCGATCCGATGATCTTGTCTTAGCCATTCGTATGGCCGGATGCGCAAGAAGAACGAAACGACGGCAACGAGAAAGGGCGATTTCTTATTGTACTTCTCGAATCCGATCCCGCGGGGACAGTTTTAGAGCAGAAAGTTTAGATAATCTGCGCCTTGCACGATCGGGCACCATCTAGGCTCCCCGACAAGCAAGGTTCCCGGGCGCTGAGTGGTGACGTTGATGATTTGCTGAACAGCATCGGGCTCTGGGGCTCTTCCTGTACTTATCGGCACCAACAAGCCTATTGTACTCGCACGGTCGCACCGATGCTAAGCAAGAAAAAAAGGTTACTTCTCAACACCGCTAAACTCGGTCCAGGCCCAAGTCCTCGAGAGACTACCCAGACAATAGCACCCAATCGCGCCATGTAGCTTACATCTCCCACCCTGGGCATGCTTGCTCAGCTACAACACAGAAGATTGGCATCCATCTCACTACAACATAAACTCGAAGCAATCTCGAATTGAGAGCTCTGCGACGATAGTGCCGCGCAAGACACGAGATGAACGGCGCAAATGGCACATGCCCGGCCGTCCACGACCAGCCAAAGAAAGTCTGGACGACCCTCATCACCAACACCAAATACCTTTCTGGGCTTCTCACGCTTGACTACTCGTTGAAGAAGTCTGGTTCGAACTACCCACTCATTGCTCTCTATACTGATACCTTTCCGGCCGAGGGACTCGAAGCCCTAAATCGACGCAACATCCCCGCGAAACATATTCCCTATCTTCTCCCTTCGGTCCCAAAAGAATATGCAAACGATCCACGGTTCTACGACTGTTGGAGTAAGCTGACCCCGTTCAGTCTCGTCGAGTATGAACGGGTGGTACAGTTGGATAGTGATATGATGGTTCTCAAGAACATGGACGAGCTGATGGACTTGGAACTGGATCCTCCAGAGATGGGCGGAGAAGGAAATAGAGTATATGCTGCCAGCCATGCTTGCGCATGCAATCCTCTGAAAAAGCCACACTACCCTGAACACTGGGTTCCCGCCAACTGTGGTTTCACTTCTCAGCACAGTACCCCAGAGGATGCGCAGGTCAATGGACCACCTCCAACTGCCGGTATAGGATGCCCCAATGGAGGACTGGTCGTTTGCAATCCGAGCCAGAGTGTTTATGACAAGATCCTTGAGGCTATGAAGAACGGTGACCTCACCAGCTCATACGATTTTGCAGACCAGAGTTTGCTGGGTGACCGTTTCTACGGCAGGTGGGTGGGTCTACCCTACACCTACAATGCGTTGAAAACACTACGGTGGCAGGGCGTTCATGACGCCATATGGCGGGATGATCAGGTGAAAAACATACACTATATCTTAAGTCCCAAGCCCTGGGATGAGACGCCTGAGGAGACAAAGGACGAGACACATCGTTGGTGGCAGAAGACCAATGATGAGAGATTGCGTACTGAAAGGGCGAGTGATATTGAGGACGGATTCTGACGACTTTAATCAGGGCATAGAGCCCGCACTGAGAACCCGGCAAAAGCACTTGATGCACCTCTGGTATATAGACTTGAAGAATGTCAAAATAGAGGCGTTTTCTGGAACATTCACACCGTCGGAAGGCTTTCTTTGTCTCGAGACAAAGCGCCTATGTCCGCATATTCCCGTCTGCTATATCAGGATCTCCCCCCAATACTTGTGTCCTCAGAAACTGCGGTCGTGTGGCATGTTCATGTCAAAGTGAGGCTTACTGCAACCACGAGACGACCCGAATACCACCTCCAAGGTCAGAGAGATTGGCGCGACATGCTTCCGCAGTGACGGTTTCTTGAACCGGGGATCTCGTGGGGTGTGTGCATCAAGGCTGCCTGTCACAATATTTGAGCAACGGCATGTTTGCCCGGAGAATCTGGTCTCATCGGTACATCCAAGTCCAGCTCTTCGAATCCCAATGCCCGGGAATACTACCCACGTAACACAACATCATTGGAGAGCACGAGAGAAGATGGAATGCCGGAGGTTGGATCGGGCGTCGACGATGCGGTCGAGACTCTCCTGCCTTTGCCTCTGATCTTCTCAGCTCACAATCGCCAAGTGCCCAAGGTAGCGACTCTTTCGAAGAACCGGAGGGGTGTCTGCATCTTTCTGGAGAACCTGAGTTCACATCCATCGCACTGCAGTAGCCTCAGCTGACATTAGTTTCGTGGTCACACGCGGACACGCGGACGCTGCATCGCGAAGTCAGAGTGCGAGATGTAGGAGTGGCCGCTCGATCCGTGAGAGCCTATTGCAGCCAACTGGCCAGTTGGTAAGAAGGCAGTTGGCTCTCAATGCAGAAGCCGATGCCTGAAGGTGTTCGAGAGTCGTCGTAGTCAGTGGTGGAACGGCGTTAGCTGGAACCATTTGCAGCAATGGAAACGCATCGAGTGTTTTTGAGTCCCTTCCAACGTAGCCGAAGCGTGGCTGCTCGCCAGTATCCGTTTTTTGGGCACGTCTCTTCCGACAGCATCCCACTCCAAAGATGCTCGTTCTGCCGACGGCGTCGTCTTCCAAGCGGCACGAGATCACAATTTCAACCGATCAGTTCCGGCACTCACCTATCAAACGATGGCATCGTCAGCAATTTCTACCACTCCCAATCCAATGGCTCGGTGCAACGTGGAATACTCGAATTCTTGCGAATGATGACCGCTGAAGCTACCGAGGCCGGCGGTCCACGCCTGCAAGACCACTACAAGACCGTCACTTGCAACTGGACTTCCTCTGCTGCACGGTGTCCCAATTCGACGCCCCAAGATCAGCACTGCCACCCAATGTCAGTTACAGTGGCAGTGGGGCGGAATGGGCAAAGCATGAAGCTTGCGATGAGCAGAGGCAACAGAAGTGCTAGCCACACGATACCCCCAGACAAAACTCCGACAGGCAAACCCGCCAGGCGACCTGAGGCGCCATTTAGAGTGTGAAACAGCCTGTGACAGGGCGACATGATATGGACGATCCCGGCTCCAGCCAGTCACCTCTGGCCTCCAGCCGACGACCTCTCACACCGAGCCTCTTCCCCTGCTTTCCCGGGCGTTCAGGTCCGCCCTCCCGCGACACAGGGTGCCTGCATTGGTCCACACACCACCGACGATGGTTACTCTTTCACGCCAACTTATGCAGCTTGAGCGACGGTTTTGCAAGCCTGGGAGTCCAGCCGTCGATTCGAGCCATGCGTCCTCCTCGCATATGTCGACTTCTGCCATGTCAATCTGAGGCGAGATGGGTAAGAATCTGCATCATGCATCTGAATGGATTCCCTCCCTTCTGTTGATCTAGCAAGCCCTCCCATTTCGCTCTGGCAGGGCATGGCAAAATAACCCAACTTCTCGCCATCACCGGGGCATTCCCTCCATCACATTTCCATCACTCCACGAGCGTTTACACAACAGATCACACGGATTTTCTTTTTCGCCTTTTCTCTTTGTCTTTTTGCTGAGCACCTGTCAATCCTATGCATGTTCCCTTCGCTGGCGTGAGACAAAAATCTGCCTCCATGAAGTGTTATAACGTGCTGTAGCGAAACGGGCCGGGTCTCGAATGTACCTCGACGTCACTTTTGAGAAGCATTGAGACCCTTTTGCGTGACTGTTTGTGTCTTGTGTCCTGCTGCTTCAGAGTGTACTCGTACACGCACTACGACATTCACCGCTTTGTCCGTCCCCTGTTTTCTCAAAGCCAACTACTGGCAGTCACATATGTGAGCCAACATCACCTTGCACATCGCCACGCTTGGTCCACTTTCAGACACAGCATCAAGACTATTTACGAAGTGAATACTTCTGTTTTCCGCTACGCAGCACATACACAAGCATTAAAGCATTGATCCATCATTCCATCAGAGACAGGAGAATATCTCGGCGTCATCTTAGGGTCATCCACTTCCATCTCAGATCATGTGTGTGCGTACCAAAACCACGTACGGCTGCGGTTGTGAGTTCAAAACCACCAATGAATGCAACGACCCGCACTGTTCACACCTGGAGAGATGGAAGTTTCCCCGGGAAGGCGATTGCAAGATTTGTAAGGAAGGAGGCCAAGCCGTCACTCGGGGGCGAGAAGGTAAAGGCCGGTATGCCCAGCAGTTGAATCGAAGGCATCATCAAGAAGGGCGAGAACCATCATGTGACCCGGTACCAGAAGACATCGGTGGTGGTGTCAGTCCATGGGCGGCACCGTTAAAACGAGAAAAGGAATGGCACAGTCCTTCCAGAAAGATGGCCGACGACGCATGGTTGCAAGAGCATGCCGAGAGGAACAGCGACCTACAGACTCTCCGGGAGTCCATGTCGGCGCATTCTGATTCCGACCGGGCGTCCACCGCCATCTTGTCACCGCCGAGTCGCGGTCGGCGGGTGTACGAGGTCGAGGAGGAAGACGACTACTGTACCGTCGACCGTGACGCAGACTACAACCACCGCCACCGTCGGCAACCAGCCCCAAGATCCTTGCAGATAGAGATCAGAAGCGTACACAACGATCAACCCCGACGAACAAGTAGTCGTCACGCCTCGCGCCATCGACGCAGGCACGATAGTCAGGAGAGCTTCCAAAGCGTCCACAGCGGACAGTCTTCGAGTCGCAGATACAAGCCGGCGCCGACGTCGTACACGACGCACGACATTTACGAGACTCATGACTCCGGTTATGGTTCTTATGGGTCGAGAACTTCACACCATGGCTACGAGATCGCAAAGACCGAACCATACACCTACTCTCCTGCACCTCGCGTCGTGACCATCAAGGCACCTTCATCGTCGTATCAGACCGGCTATGGCATTCCTCCACATCATGGTTCTCATCCTTCTCACCCTCAAGGAATCAACGTGGTCACGAGAAGTCCCATGTACACTTACTCGAGTCAAAGGTACTAGGACATATGTTACGGCCGATCAACGACTAACAAGCCTTGGTTTCGATTTGGCGTCTTCTACTTTCTCTCCTCCCTTTTTGATCTGTCCAAGATGGCGGTGCACTGGTGGCTTAACAGCACGATATCCGGATGACATGTGCTCGATTGTTCAGGGCACAGCGGCAGGGCACTTCAACCTTTGTTTGGTGGATTTGGCCAAGGGATATGGGGTTTTTTTCCGTCATCTTGTTCCAGTCAAGATACTTCGTCTCAGGCTATGACTGGTTATGGTCATGGTTATTGCAACGGCATTTACGACTCTGAGCGAGGCAACAGTTTTGAACAGTTACCCATAGGTTGGAGTTTTTTTCGATGAGTACCTGGGATCTGGTTTTTATGATGACCATCAAGTCAGGAGCCTGTATGAGAGGAACGGGTGAAGGAATAAGGAGAACTTTGTTGACTACAGGTTTGGTCAGGTCGGTATGTACTGATGTGGCAGTGGGCAGGCAGACTGGGGCACTGCTTCACTCTGTACGTCTTCTGAGTGTGTGTTATCAGTCAGGTACGACTTGATTCGTACGGAGTTGAATAGGAAAGGTATAGGATAGGAGGGATTATCATTTGATGCGTCTTTCGTCTATCGTCTATCGATGAGTGAGTTCAATGTTAATTCTTTTGCTTTTGCTGTTGCTGTTGCTGTTGCTCGTTTACAACAGGCCATTTCTCCAAAGCAATAATAATAATACATATTCGTCCAGATCGTGTCTCCCTATGAACTCTAGTCACCTACCTAGGTATTGCAAGGTTTGTTGCCGACGCTTTCTGACTCCTCAGATAGGTTAGTTACATAGTTTAGGTACAATATCTATTGTAGTTAGCTAGTTGTGGTGTGTCTACGTTTGTTGCTTTTTGTGGCCGAACCCTCGCCGAGCCTTGACGCGCCCCGTGATGACTTGCCAGCAGGTGCCCGTCTGATACGACATGGACCTAAAAATATAACATAGCTCACCTGCCTAACTACTGTCCTGTACTTAAAATAAGTCTGGCACGTAAAGTTAGGTGCTACAGTAACTAACTGGGAGTATTTTGCGTCAAGGCTTGCTCCCGTCTGGAGCATCCGATCCCGCCTGGTGAGCCCTGAACAGGGAACCTTAGAGTGCCTTTTTTGGCTTTTTCTCGCCCTGCGTCGTCTTGAGCCTCACGTACCTACTGGGCCTACTACAATCCAATAAACTACCTTCCAATGAGGTGATCTACAACGTACCGTACCTAAGGTTGGATGGGTGGAAGGGTTCGGGGGGCTCCGCAAAGTGCATCATGCCCCTAACTAACTTGTTACAAGTTGTTGTTGGTGAGCCTTTTCCTCTCCTTCTTTGCAATATTTCTTCTGCCGCATGTCGTGAAAAAGGTAATGTCAAATAGAACGAAACGTCTACCCGAACAACACATGTCATGGTTTGCCTTGCACTGCCTTGCCTTGCCTTGCATTCTTCCTTCCGTTCTTTTCCAATTTCTGATCGGTGAGCCTGATCGGTGAGCGGGGTAACACTTATTAGGTGGTTGACCAACTACCCGGCTCGGTAGTAATACAGTAGTAACTGGGCGACTTCCTTGATAGTTTCTCGCGCCCTATACGAATACGCTACACTAACTAACTAGTTAACTACCTGTCCAAGGCAAGGCACATTTCGTGAGGAAACTCCATGATCGATTCAGGCCGGTTGCATAACCTAAACGTACTCACTCGCATACTCCGGATGTATGAGTTGCGCCTTCCGACCGACCGACCCGAGACCCAGCTTTGGGCGGATTTGATATTCGACTCATCATGCATTCATTCAATTCTCTTCGACGATTCTCGCCCGCCCCTCTCGCCCTCCTCTCCTCTTCTCTCTTTTACGCCTTGCTACTTTTACGTTGCACTGCACTGCGTTCCTCGTCTCCTCTCGCGAGTCCCTTTACGCCTCGCCTTGCCTTGCCTTGCCTTGCTTTGCTTTGCTTTTCGTCTCTCTAGCTTATTTCCTTTTTTTCCTTCTACGCCTTGCTACGCTGTAATGTCAGGTACTACTTATCAACTCTATTCCAACACACCCCCACCCGACATGCGCAGGCTACTGCAGACTGCAAGACAAGGCAAAGTCAGTCAGGGCAGACCAGGGCAATGAATGTACAGTATGCAGAGAGAACGAAAAAAAAACATGGGTACTCTGCACCCAAGGCAGACAGTTTGGCAAGGTCTTTACTACGTCAAAATCTCCCCTGCTCTGACACCGGCAACTTCCACGCATGTTGTGTATGCACACACACCTACACAACTCAAGTAACACAAAGTATAAAAAAAGTGATGTATGCGGAGGTGCTGTAGGGCAGGTAACCTAGGCCCCCGGAGATTCCTGGAGACAGGTAAATGGGAGATAGACCTCTTTTGTCGCTGATCACCAATATAATCAATCTCACACCGTCATGGTACTCCAGTGACAATACTCCAGCCTCACTGATATTTGACTTATGACTTGGAACTAACACGCAGAAACGGACAATATCGTCAGAACTTGTTTGCATCGTACCTTGGAAAGAAAAAAAAAGGGGAGCCTGTGGATAAGATTCTCGACTTGCACCACCATCGTCAAAACTCGACTTATGAAGCTTTCTTCAAACGCCCTCATAATCTAGATTCATTCTTCGTGATTGATCATCATCACCATTATCATGATTAGTGCCGCGATCCCCCTTCACACACCTTGGAGCATTATGAACGTAAATCCGTCAATGGCAGAAGAAATCCTTTGCCGAGCCCACCCAGCCTAGCCATTGCAGAGACAGGAGCATCAGAGATGTCATGAACGGACAAGACGGGATTGTGCTGAAGCACCGGACTTTGTCAACACAGTCAATGTGTCTTGCCTGTCTTCACGTCTTTTCTGCTCAACAAAACTCCTTCTCAAGCACGAGTTCAGCGTCGCTGCCCTTCGCAGTGCTCGCGACACTGTCATCGTCCTTCCAAGTCTTCTCTCCTTTCTCGTTGAAGACCTTGTAATCAACCTTCTTCGCAGCCTTCTCCATCTTGACTCTCTTGGCCAGTTCTTTCTGCTTTGCCTGCCAGCCTACTTTCTTACCGTCAAGGACGTCGGCCTCGGGGACCCATTCGGCGCTCTTGCCCATCTTGCTCATCTCGCCAATCTTCTCGAGGCCACGTGCAACCCCAGAGACTGCGACACCGACTCCTTGGACGGCGTATCCGGCAGCTCGGAAGGGTGCCTTGGCCACGCGGACCGTCTTGCGTTCTTTGATCTTGACCATTGGCATGCGAGGGAGGACTTTGCGATCGCCGACTTGGAGCTTCTGCACCCAATCCCACGTGTATTGACTGCTAGGGCCGCGATATTGGAAGTAGAAGTGGGCCTGGACCAAAAAATTGCACATTAGAGGAGCAGAGGAAAAATGGACCAGTGAAAGGGGCAACAACGTACACTGCCAGTCTTGTCAGCCACGCTCCATTGGAGTCTGTCGCCAACCACTTCAGGACGAGACGTGACCAGTGCCACAAATTGAATCTTTGCGTCCTTGCCGTGGTACTTGCTGTCACTAATGGGGCAGTATTTGTAATCCGGGAAAGACTTCGTGTCGATCTTGGTCATTTCAGAGTCTGGGATGAGGTGCAGGGTCTCGTGGACGGTCAGGGCCGTAACTAGGAGCATCACAGAGTCAGTCAACAGTCTAACTCCAAAGGCGATCTTGACCTCTAAACAATGGGACAAGAAACGTACAAAGCCAGCGGAAAATTTTCTCCGCAATGTCTTTGACAGGAATGTTGCTGATACACAGGTTGAGGTGGTTGCTGTTCCAGGATTTCAGCTTTGCTTCGGACGCGAGGCCGTCGAAGTACAAGTTGATGCTGGCAAAGTTGCAACCGTACTTGATGGCGTGCTTGTGGAATTCCTTGGCTGTCTCGATCTTGACCTCTGTGTCTTCATCAACACGGTTGTCTCCGACCACGAGAACACGGTCGTTGAACTTGTCCAATTTGAGCTGCTTCTGGATCTTCTCAAGTGAGTACGGAGTGCTTTTCGCAAGAGCGTCTTTGTCATCAGGAGGGCCGAAGGCAAGGATGCAATTTGGGATCAGGTCGCGGATATAGCGGGCATGAGGCATGCCTGCGACCGGATCGTTGATGTAGATGATGGGAGCCTTTGGAAGCGCAGGGCGCCGGATTGGCTTGTTGCCAGACTTCTTTGCCATCTTGAACTGTGATCGACAACAATATATGCTCACAGGCTCGAATTGCTGATAGTGTTTTCACAGGCAGGTCTGGATAAGATGTAGAGAATCTAGGAGGATCGAGGATGCAAAGAGGTCACGGCGCGAACGAATCAGTGATGGAAGAGACTGACGCGTTGATTCACCCAATACAGGTTTGCACAGAGGAACCTACCACTGCCAGGTGAAGAAAGAGTGAGAGATGTGAAGAGGCAGGAAGGAAATGGTCTGACAAAGAGTTCGTGGTTGGGCGAAGGAGGGGTAATACAGTGAAGTCTGTAAGTACCAAGGTACCAAGGGGGGGTACTCATGCTTGTGCTCTTGCTCATAGACAAGCAAGGCTGAAAAGCATACAAGGTGCCTTTTCTGTTACTCTGTACCTAATGTACCTGCGAAGTCTTTCATAGGCAGACTTTGCTTATCGTTCCATATCAACCGGTCACTAAACAGCACTTACCCAGGATCGACGTGGTGTTGAAGGTCTGTTAGGGCGACCTGAAGAATCCGACTCCCTCAAATCGCATCCATGCTCGTATCTTGAGCTCTGTCACGCGATTCGGATGTCCAATAGCTTGTTGATCCCTCAGGAGCTGCCCGGAATCGTTCTCAAGAGACTCTGCCTTGCCAGGCTGAGCCGGTCCAATACACGGCGCTAGCCCCAATTTGACTTTGTACGACGAGGATGAGAGGGCTCCTCCACGCTGCGAACCATGAAACCATGCCACGAACCGGATGCATCAATTCTCCACTCATTTGTACTCTGTGCTGCCTGATGATTTGTTTTTCATCCCATCCAACACAGCTGCGGCTTCGTGGTCATGCATTTCAGGGCTGCAACTTCGCGACCGCGCCCTGCTTTGCGTCCCTTGGGCAGATGAGTTGATTTGCCTCGTCGTCTTAGTTTGCATAACATGAGAACCAATGTTGTGCTAATCAAATGGTATCGGCCGCAGTGCTCCAAAGGTGCCCATTCGTTTTCGCATTTCTTCTCCTGCTGCTACCGTGCTCGGCACCTTGATGCCACAGCAGTCGCCCCAATAATCAGGTTCATGGCCCTTTTCCTTGACATGTTTCATTCTTTCTTCTTGTAGGCGAAGAGTTTCCGGGTCCAGATGTCCCATATCTTCTGTCCCTGGGATCAAGCCACCGAAGAGGAAATGTTGCATGATGGGCAGCTTACCCAGGACTTCTTTAATAAACATCTTCCTCATGCCATCCTCGACCTTCTGCCAGCTTTTGGCGCCAGAGATATCGTCCAGCATTGGGCTGTGCCACCGGAGGCCCTTGACCGTCTTGACGCTGTCCACCCATCGGACTTGGTTGAGATAGATATACTTGTCACCTTCCTCATCCAGTACGACATTATTGTGTATAGACCTCGGGGTAATGTATGGATGTCTAATCAGCTGGCTCGCTCCAAAGAGGAACGGTAAGAATTGATAGTCGTCCAAGCCCCAGACACCGTGGCTCCCAGCTGGCTCTAGGTAGTATGTGCTCTGGATTTTCCGCATCAGGTCGAGGTACTGCGTGAATGTGTGTATAACGATTGCTGGAAAATCCTCGGGCTTGACAAGGCCCAATTGATATAAGCACAGCAGCCACATCATAAAATTCAATTCGTGTCCAGATCCGTAGTCCAGCCGCTCCTCTGACCCAAAGGAGTTGATAAAATATACCGAAATCTCTTGAATGGCAGCGTGATGTTGCAAACCCAGCTTTTCCTTGTGCAGGTTTTCCACATCTCTTACTATGGCCTTGTGTAAGTCTCGAAAAACAGGGTTGCCGAATCTAGAGCCGGTATCAAGAGGAGGATATCGCTCGACGAGAGTCCTGACGGCATCGAGGACTGCATCCAGTCGCTGGACTTCTGCTGAGAGTTTTGTAACATCTAATGTCGAATTGGACCGGCCTTCGACACAGTCTGCTAGAGTGAATATCCATGACTGGATGAGAGTGTAGGTGGCAGAAGAGAGGAATTTCTCGTGATCCGAAGGGCTTAAGATGCGTTTAACAGGAGTCTTGAATTGCACAGAATCGAGCTGAGGAGGAAGAGGCAGTTTCGGTGTCTCTGGGGCGACTTCCGACGGACCTGCTGTTCTGGAGGGTGTTCTTTGAGATCGAGGGATCAACTTTGGAATTGCACGCGCCTGGTTACCCTTCAGCAAAGATGCCAATTTGTCGGCACGTCCATCTTGTGAGGGGTAGTTGGAAGACATCGTGCCGCTTTCCTATTCACCAGTGAGCATATCTCATGCCACTGGGACATGTAAGGGGGGCTTGAGAAGTGTTTGCAGGAAAGTTCGTGACTTGTATGAGTGTCCGCTGACTTTCTGCTCTTCATTTGGTAAGCATCGACCTTAGTCGCCGCCGAAGGGATTGCGCTTCCGGGGGGCACCTAAAGCCCCGCCAGACGCCAACAGGCCCTGACATCTCACGCCACAAGGGCACCGCAGATCGCAGTGATGACTGTCAACTGTAGCCTGTAGGCTTTGACTCCGTAGCTGCCCCAGAATGACGGGCATACAATACTGTAGACTGTAGTGCGTGGATCTCCCTTGTGAAGTTGTGAGTCGTCACCCGAGGTAGCGGGGCCGCCATGACTAAGGTGCTCATATTGACCTCCCGGCATCTTTCTATGTATCCGTACTCTACACCGTATCCGTCCCTTAGTTATCACGCCATTCCGAGTCGCTATGAAGCAATCCGAAGCTGCACAAGACGATCGGTTTGAATCTTGCCCATGACTCCTGCTCGTAGCTGACGCCTCGGCCCTTCGTAGACTGGTCTAGGCGTTTTACGTGAGCGCTCTCCAATCACGAGGTGCTGTTCTCGAGTCAATGTACAGTACGGGTAAGGGCTCCCATGGCATAGCACAATTCTCACCCAGCGATCGCGGACCGCCTTGATCAAATCCCTTATCACCATCTCGCTTGGCATATGCAAGATTTATACCCATGTCTTCTCACGACCGCCAGCGAGATGGGTCACCAGGAGCTTTGTCCTCCTTGTCATCTGTGAACACAGAGCCAAACCAAAGCCAGTCTCCCCAGTCCGCGAACCCTACCATTAGTCGACCTCCAAGCGTTGCATTCTCTGAAGGTACCAAGAAGGGTCCCCCATCGCCTCCCATGTCCCGCTATCCTCGAGCTTCGGGCGATTCTGATGAAGTGACCCCAATTCGTACGGCAGACGGCCAGTCGGATCGACGCTATAACACAGAGCCAAGAGAGTCGTTGCCAGCAGGGGCGTCAGAAGACAATGCACAGCAAGACCAAAATGGAGAAGAGGAGAAAAAACCGAGCTGGCTGAAGAGAATAGCAGAGAAATACGGTGCCATCTCGCTAGAAAACAAAGGGTCGGTAGCGAGAGACCACCTGGCGCTCGAGAGGACATTCCTTGCGTGGCTGCGGACCAGCTTAGCATTTGCCAGCATTGGCATCGCAATCACACAGCTCTTTCGTCTTAACACAACGATCGCACGGTCTCAAGAAACGACATCTGCCATGCGGATGACGAGCGACCAGGTTCCCTTTTCACCCATGATCGGACAAGCAGTGCCAGCGGAACTGATTCCATATCTTCAGCAACTTGCCGCGGCTGCTGCAGCACCTGCACCATCGCTGGGTCCAACATTACTTGACCAGGTCCTTCTTCTGCCACCGCCCGACGCAAATGGGCTACAGATTGTTAGAAGAGATGACTTTAGCGCGGGTGCGATAAACGAAGAGCAGGCTGCCAAACTTCGGCATGTAGGCAAGCCTCTAGGCGCTACGTTCTTGGGCATCTCGATTGTCATTTTATTCATAGGCTTCCATCGATACTTTGAGTCTCAGCACTGGATTATTCGAGGGAAATTCCCCGCAAGTCGCGGGAGTATATTCATCGTCGGCACTATCACTGGAGCGCTTATTGTTGCAAGTCTGGCTGTTGTACTTGCAATATCACCCAAAAGTTACGAAAAAAAGTGATGGTAGTGCATCATTTTGAACGCATTTTCTGGATGAATCGCAGGGTTCGATTGTTGGTGCAACTTATCCCAGCGAGACTTCTATCCCGCTCTACCCTATGTCGCACTCGATAACAAAAGACGAGTCACGAACAGCTCTGGGAGTCCGTCTCGGCTGTGTTCGAGAGGAGATGATTGGGCCTCTAATCGAGCAAGGCACATTGCACGGATGCATGCAGACGGGGGACATGTCGCGGGCGGAATATTTGGCGGATACCGTGGTATTGGACGAGTTGGAATCGACCACGCGAAGGCTGAGCCCAACTTTGGCGGGAAGACAATGCTTTGAATGCGTGCAGACGCTGCAGAGCATTTGTGGTACAGACGATTCTAATATGGAATAACCGCTGTCTGGAGTAATAGGGGAGCATGATAAACCTGTAGCATGGTAATGGATGAGCGTACGAAGCCCGATTCAGGCAAAAGCAAGAGAGAGAGGTGATATTGTTACCACCGGCTGTGCAGAAAAGCCTTGCATCATGTATTTGGAAGGATTGTTTATGTGCCAACACTGGTGTGACATGAGAAGAAAGGAGTGCCACCACTCGGTGCCAGTCAATTGAAGTTCTTCTTTGTCCACAACATGGCATCCTTGAATGACGGTGTCCCCTTCGACGACAAGAGGCTCGTGGATTGCATGATTCATGTCTTTGCCAAAAGGCCTGCGTCTGTTAGCACCGATTCAGGTATCCAGATACATAGGTCCAAGTCAGACCGTTTGAAACGTAGGAAGGTAGATAGGTGGGCGATCAATCGGTCCCTACCTAGGTACCTGAGGTAACTTTCCTTATGCCCCTGTGAGCTACTATGTTAGGGTCTCACCTGTCTTATCACATACTATACCATCTTCAACAAGGCACTCGTGTATTCGACATCAGTCCAAAATAACAGTCTCATATGGAGATTGTACCGTCCCACTCAGACGAGTCCTGCGCTCCTCCTTCGTGGCCAGACCGTTCTCTGCATCCCATAGACGGCCAACCTGCGATCTTGGTCCCATGGTTTGATTGATCTCGGTTGCCAGATCAATACAACGTAGTGTCCCGATACTCCGTGCAAGTTACCTGGAGAACGAACAGAAGGAGATGAAAGAGTCGAAGTGCACTGAAGTAAACCGAAGTGGACTGACACGTCATCACTTGCGACTCTCCGGGAGACTATCAGTGTCAAGACGGAGGAGGCTGAAATTGGTACTCTCCGTACTCGTACGGTGCAGAGTATCCAGTTCGGTCGTGTGAATCTCCTAGGTACCCTGGGTGTGTTTAACTGGCAGATAGCTCAACCGTACACACCCTAGAAGCGCTGCTCGTAAAAGGATTTGACTGCTTCGTCAGCTCCCAAGCCCGAATCTAAGCCCACAACCGCAACAAGACTTTGCGAGAGATATGCTGGGGCAAATTGGCCTTCTGCGGTCTTGGTTGCATAATGGCTAATCTTTCGGTGATTGGACTGGATTGGACTGGACTGGCGATGGTTCGCGTTCGAGCTGGGTCGAGGGTTGTCGCTACCTCCTCTAGCTATCGGACCTGAGGCGGAGGCGACCTGTGGTCGAGCCTACAAAACTAGCAATATGCCGGGGTTCCGTAAGTGGTGCGCAAGCAATCACACCAAGATCGTTACCTCGAATTCACCATCGACAGCCGTGGGGAATTCCAGAAGCTCTGTCCAAACACGTGGAAGATTGAGGCTGCTGTCTCTGCGATAGTCTGATAGACATGGTTACGTTAGCCTTGCAAGGCGTGAACATGACCCATACGGTACTTGCAGACAAGAGTAGGCTCGTTCTGTACTTTCACCCGTTAGGGTGCAAATTAAACGTCCGCTGCTGCTGTTGTTGTTGAGTGGAGCCACATCGAGATTGAGCACAGGAAAGCAACCACCCGGCCACCGCAGTCTGTACACGGCACTCGTACCTTGCTCTTGCTAGTAGTAAAAGAGCCGGGAGCTGGACTTTTAGTTTTTTTCTTTTCTTTTTATCAGTAGGACGTCGTCCGAGGTACTCCCTACAAGTACGTGCACACAGGGACTCCTGGCTGGTAGGTGCGTCTTTGAAACAGAGCTTTTTTTTGTTTCTTGATGAAAAAATAAGCTTTCAGGCGAACGCGAGGCTATAGCTCGGGAAATTAACGCCTCTGCAAGTCATTCATCATCCCCGAGTCTCAAAGTGAGAGGCTGGAGGCCCTGGTCGTCCATGTTTTTCCTTGCTAATTCTCCATTTCTCACACATCCCTGGGGTCTAAGTACATGATGATTCACGGCCAAGACCTGCTGACCACTCGAGGGCGGTGCTTGCGGTTGGTTTGTGTCAAAGTGGTCGCATGTCCAAATTGCAGGAGGCTGAAAGGGTGAAACCAAAGATGGGAGAACCCTCTCCTTAGCGGCCCCCTCAAATAACGCCAGAAAACCACAACAAGCCTTATAGCACTGGCGCCAATCGAGTGTTTGGCTGGTGATAATCGATAACACGCTACTCCGACTAGCCTGTAGGGGATTGAAAAATAAACTTCAGGGCACTTTCAGGGAGTGATGTCGGCGAAAGGCGTCTAAATCCTGGGCCATGGATCCATACAGAGCTTTTTAATTTGACTAACAACAAGCCGGCGCCCTACAAGAGCTCTCCGCACGACGTGGATGCTGGGCGGGAAGGATTCGTAAGCTTAATGAGCCCATGGCTGGGGGCATTCAATATGTATAGGCACAGCCTCGTCATGGACCTGGCTTGTAGCCATGACGAATGTCGAGTGATAATGGCTTTACGCGGCAGATGTTTGTGTTCTTGTCCAACAATGACGCAGTCAACACTTGGCCAATTACGCAGTACTCATACGCAGGGCATCGTTGCCATGCCCAGGGATCGGTTCGAATGTGGCGGGATCGAGAGTGCTCAGACGCGATGAGGGAAAAAAACCTGCTGCATGAGGGACGTGTGCAGGAGCCACGATCAATGCACGACAGGTATGAGTGTTTGGGTGACAGCATCGACGCCACTGATATGAGAAACTTTGGCCCAATTGTGTAGAACTACTCCCTACTGCACGTAGGCGCAGAAGCTGAAGGTCGTTTGCTGTGCTCGTCAGGTCACACCGAGATTTCTTCGCCTGCATCATGCAATGGATCCACGGCTGAAGAGGGTGAAATGCTACACTGCCCTGCGTATAGAACTGCTCCTGTGCACCCAGCTGTGACACCTATCCGGCCAATAATGATTGGAACTCACCTACATACTCGTGCAATGTGGCAGTGGTCATGATCCAGGGCGACTCAGGGGCCTCTGGGCACTCCGTTGTTCTGTACGGAATCAATGGCTGCCAACCCTGATCTTCATTGGACTTTGCTCAGAGAATCTCGTTCTTTTGCTGATCTTCATCAACAGACAGGGATGGACGCAGAGTCTCCGAGATCTTGCAGGCCGTGATACGGTGCGCTGGATCAGATTCAGAATGTAGTCGTAATGGGATTTTGCAGCTCAATTGGAGCCTTTCCCATGGTTGGCTGGGAGCCACGCGGAGTGCTCTGGGCGTGCCGCGTAGTTCAGCTGGACAGAATCACTGACTCAGTCCAGTGTACTCCGTAATGCTGCTCTCAATCTTGTCCCCCTTTGTGGACGCGAGATTTGGGTTGGGACAAGCGAATGCCCGAAGCTGCTACCAATCGTCTATCTGCCCACTGTCCACTGTCCACTGCTCACTGTTCGCGTGCTCCAGATAAAGTGCAATCACTATTATTCCGCATGTTTGGTTTAGATGCCTCGTCAGACTCTCACACACTCTCGCCTCTTTTGATGATTGCGAGAGGAACGACGAGTCGACGACGACGATAGACTGGCAAGGCGGCTGTAGACGGTCTAGTGCGAAGCGCGATTCATCGTGCGTGCGAGGCGGAAGCCAATGACGTGCCACTAAAGGCCGGGAAAACAATGATTAGGGCGCTTTAGCTGGCGATCGAGGGTGGAGCGCAATCTCTTTGATGGGACGCGGGCCCCTGTTAGCGCCAGGGCTTCCCTGCCCTGGCCACTGCTGGCGTCTCCTGGGCCCCTATAGCAGCCGTCGCACTAGGCCTGTTCCTGAGCTTCATACTGACACTACCAACATCGCTGTCCCCAGCCCAGTGGCCGCAGCCAAATGCCCAGACTATCGCCCGGCATCCTATCTTTCCTCTCCCTCCCTTCTTGTCTGTATCTTGGATTGAACCTATTCTGTTCTGAGTCCCGTCCAATTCTTCACACCCTCTCCCTCCCTCGCCCTCGTTGGCAGACGTTCCTTACCAGAGAGACCTTTCTCTCGTGCCATTCATTAAACAACCATCACGCCAACTCTCTCTCACTCGACGCGCCCCTCGAACTCACGGACTCGTAGCCCTGCGGCCCAGCATTCCTGCGTTGATCATATGAGTCTTCGGCTTTGTATGTTTGCCCCCCCTGGTTGCAAACGGGACCAGAGTCCTGTTCTTTGTTGTTGGCCTTGGGGTTCAATGAACGCGAGACAAAGAAAGCAGGCTGACAGTATCCAGGCACGTCTGCCATCGCATTCAATATTCCCGATTGAATTCAACACTTGATCCCATCCCACCGCAGTCTTCGACAGACTGGTATACTCTTCCACTATGAAAGTCACCTCAGTTGCCTTGACGGCAGCCTCTGCCACGGTCGCCCTCGCGCAGCCTCACAACCACGGACACCGACACTTCCACAAACACGAAGCACGCGATGTTTCCACTGTAACCAGCTGGGCTCCTGGTCCCACCGAATACGCATATGTGCTCAATGGACAGCCGATCTCTGCTGAGGAAGTTTGCAATGGTATCGAAGACAATGAGCTCAAGTTTGTAGACGGCCAGGATCCGGGTGTCTGCTCTTCGTCCTCCGCTTCGAGCACCTGGCTCGACTGGACAAGCTCAACCACCGCTTCCAGCTCAAGCTCCACGACCTCTATCCCCACCACCACTGCTACCACCACCACCACCACTACCACTACCTTCGCGGCAAGCAGCACCCCGGCAGAATTCTGGGCAGCACCGTCTTCAAGCTGGAGTGCTCCTAGTTCGTCGAGCGCTGCCGGCTGGGGATCAGCACCTGCTTCTACGGGCGGCTGGGGCTCACAAAGCTCCTCCACTCCTTCCTCTGGAGGTTCTGGTGTTGACTCAGACTTCCCAGATGGAACAATCTCTTGCTCCGACTTCCCGTCTCAATATGGCCCAGTTCCACTTTCCTACCTGGGCATGGGTGGCTGGAGTGGTCTGCAGGATCTACAGATCGCCAATGGGCTCGTCAACACAATCGTGACTGGTATCTCCGGACAAAGCTGTACAGAAGGTATGATGTGCTCCTATGCATGCCCACCGGGATACCAAAAGTCTCAGTGGCCAAACAACCTGCAAGGAGCGTCGGGCCAGTCGGTCGGTGGTATTCAATGCAAGGGTGGAAAGCTCTACCTGACCAACTCGGCACTCTCCAGCAAGCTTTGCATTCCCGGTGTCGGTGGTGTCCAGGCCCAAAACAATGCCAACGGTGTGGTTGCCATCTGCCGAACAGACTACCCTGGCACCGAGTCTGAAACCGTTCCGGTGGAATTACAACCAGGCGAGACTGAGGCTTTGGCCGTGCCTGATGCTGGATCATACTACACTTGGCAAGGAAAGTCGACTTCGGCACAATACTACCTCAACCCTATTGGATACCCAGCTTCACAGGCATGCCAGTGGGGATCTCCAGGCACTCCAATCGGTAACTACGCGCCGATTAACTTTGGTGTCGGGGCCAAAGACGGCACCACCTGGTTGTCAATCTTCCAAAACTCTCCAACCACATCGGCTCAATATCAAGGAACGGTCGAGTTGAAAGGTAACCTTTCAGGATCTTGCAAGTACTCGAATGGACAATACTGCGGAGTCACGGGATGCAATTCACAGGGTTGCACTGTAAGTTTTTGTGCGATTCAGGCTTTCATGAATAGGTACTAACAATCTGAACAGGTCTCGATTATCTCAGGCACAGCAACTTATGTCATTTCCAACTAGGCTTTTGAAGCATTCCGTAACCATTTGTACATGACACGATAACTGTTTGCTTTCAACTTGCATATTACGCCGGCGTTGACGTCAGGTTTCTCATATGTACTTTTTCCTTGCCCTGATCGTTGCATGATCGGATCTTTGTTGTTTTCCGTCCTCTACAGCTGTCAGCTTGATTTCATCGAAGATCAGGACGAATGGCTGGGTCGGGAAATCTCTTGTTAATCTATGAATGGGAAATTGATTGGCCTTGTACCGCTTTCGCATTGACGCCTCTCTTGACACTTGTGAGATGCTGAGCTAGCTACGCTGGGTTGAAAAAAGAAAGTGGCTTGGATTTGCAAGTTCAGGATATAAAGGGGGATCTTGGATATGCGAACTACCATATCGACTCGTACTCAGTACTACTAAGTATCCAATTGATGGGGAGAGGTCTTTTTCATTCATATTGTTTCATGCTGTAGCGTCATTGTCATTGTCATTGTTAATCGCAGAGGTTTCGTGCTTGATTGATCCGATTTTTGTTCTATCTCGGTAAGCATAAAGTTCCCCGGTATGTTGGCGGGTGTATGACGGTGTCCGCTCGATGACTCGTGATTCGTCTATCTCGTCTCCGTGCCTCCTTGGTTGAGCGAGTAGAGCTGTCTGTGCCCACCTGTATAGTGTACGAATACCGTTCATCCACACCGTACCTCTATCAGATCACTACACTAGACTCCGTACGGAATAGGTTTATGAAACACTTATGGGTCGTAAGGGCGTACGGGATTCGTCGCGACCGCATCGATCAGGGTATTATCTCATCAGCACTTGACTGCTGTACCTACCGAGGGTCTCCCGAGGGCGAAACAAAGACCTATTCTCTTTCACGCGAGATGGAAGAGATTCCGCGCTCGCAACCTGACTTGTCAGCACCGTCAGAGAAAGGGTGTGGGCGTCTGTATGTAAGGAGTTAAGAATCCAATCCCTTCTCGTCCGTTGCCGGAAAAACTCCTGTTCCGCGACACATTTCTGGTTCCCTGATAGTGATCGAGTGCCACTTCATCTGGTGCGAAGTGAGACGGCAGAATTTAAGCGCACTTGACCGGCGGTTGGGGCGTTGGCGTGGCGTGATGAAGCTTGAGACTCTCGTGCCTTTTCTTATCGAAGGTTGTGGACGTCCTGTAAAATGCCCGTGGCCTGATTCTCGCAGCACACCCCCCCCCCCCCCCCGGAAAGCCACCTCGTATCTTTTATGCTTCTACTAATAGGCCATTTTTTTCTCACACCCTCACATCTCGAACCCTTGCACCCTCGCATCACCCGTCCTGACGTGGTCTAATCAGACTTTCAGCGCCGCAGTGAAAGAAGAAAGTTGTTCTATGCGAATCTAGAATTTTTGACCCCGTCCTCGTACACTTTTTTTCCGTTTACTTGCCGTGCCATGCTTCACTTTAGTCCGCCCCAGACTGCCCTAGGTCTCACCGTGGTTCACTTCGCGGCCATTTGCCAATCTGTGTTTGGAAAGGCCAATCGATTGGTATTGTACCGACCTTCTGTACCCTGCTCAGCCGGGTCTGTTCTGTTGGGCCACTCGCATCTACCGAGATCAATGCCGACAGCAGAAAGTTGAGAACCCGAGGGGGCACAAATCATGCCATGGGCAGTCGTTCATTCCGTATCACTGCATCGACGCCGGATGGGACACTGGGCATCGCCGGACGACGAACTCCCCAGTCGAAGACGAAGATGAAGCCGCACACTAGCCTGAGCAGATGACTTGTGTACCAAGCCGACAGGCAGTGTGGTACGGAGCAGCAACCTGTATACAGACTTGCTGAGATAATCCGGCTTGCCCCAGGTAGGTAACGGAGGGGTGTCAAGAGTAATAGGTAAACTCCTGGACCCTTGGAGGCGGATTGCCGGAAGTGACTCAGGTAGGTACTCTAAGGTCCGCATCTGAGCAGTCTGAGCAGAGTAGGGAAGCTGGCCTGACCTGGAGCCGTATGTAGCTGATCTGGTCCCGCATTTTGGCGAAGAGAACATGGCATCCTGGTCGCTTAACCTTACCGTTCCCTTGGTCCCTAGATCCCTCTCTAGATCCCCCAGGCCGGTACCGACTTGTAGTCGTTCAGGTGCTTCCAGAGGGAGAACGTCCAACACTCGTTCACGATTGAAGGATGAGTTGTTGATCGGTCATTGCCATTCGTGTAGACTCCCGTCGAACGGCTTCCCAGAGGACACGATTACGATTACGATTGTAGCAGGAACAATACCTGTGGGTCTAGAAACCTTATGGCGGTTTCGATCGCGGACGAGGACAGGACTACGAGTACGATGCTATCTGATGACTAAGGCAAAGGCTGAGAGAGTCGGGCTCTTCTGTACCTACAGTACCTAACTAGTGTCGCCCGCCGATGATTATCCGGACAGGCGACCTTTTCTACAACCAAACAGCTGTACAATACGAAGGACCAGTACTGTACTGACCCCAGATTGGTACCCAGGCCAACAATGGCAACCACTTGATAAACGAAGAACCCACACCGTCAGAATGAGGCAGATATCGTTACCACTGGAACACCTTGCCAAGTGGTCACAACTCAATGGAGTGCAATTATTCGACGTCGCCGTGGACCCTCACATCATAGAAAACGGCGTTGATAAAGGAGGAGGATTGCTGGCCAAGACGGATCATGAAGAGGCCCAGACCTTACTATCTGTGCCTTTGGATCTTGTGTTGTCCAAAGACACAGTGTCTGAAGCTGCAAAGGCAGACAAGAATCTTCGTGAACTGATCGAAGCAACTGCGTCTTTAGTACAGGTAGGTTCTTCTCTCTCAAGGCCAAAGCTCTTGGTCTTCTTACAAGGTATCATTGGCATAACTCCGCAGAAGGTTGGGGTCTGTTCCGTGTGATGCAGCAGACTGACTTCTGCACGGTACACCCATAGAATCCTCGCACTGCCGTGTTGCTGTTCCTGATTTACCAGATGACGATCAACAGTCCAGACAACGAAGATCACACCATTGGAGTCAACAATCCCTTCTCTGGCTATGTCAAGTTCTTGCCCAAAGAGTACCCGTTGCCTACTTTGTATACACCAGAGGAAAAGGAGCTACTGGCCGGCACTTCTCTCGCCGATGCTCTCGATCAAAAATTGGCAAGCCTAGAAAGGGAGTTTGACGGCCTAAAGGCAGCTACGGAGCATATCCCCTGGTGCCAGCAATTCTGGTGGGACGACATCACTGGCTGCTTGGACGTCGGAGATTGGAAGCTCGCCGATGCCATGTACAGGTCTCGGGCGCTGGGCCTTCCGCGAGGAGCTAGTGTGGCCATGGTGCCTGTTGTTGACATGGCGAACCATGCCTCTGTGGGTCATTACAATGCAAGATTCGAGGTCGACGAGGATGCGGGATCGGTGATACTCGTCGTGCAAGATGGAAAATCTATCAAGGCCGGGGAAGAGGTTACCATCATGTACGGGGCAGGCGGGGCCTGCGAGATGATCTTCTCCTACGGGTTCCTGGAGGAACAAGCGAACAGTGCCCGCGAGATGTTTCTCAGCTTGTCAATTCCAGCCGATGATCCATTCAGGCTGGCAAAGATCCGGTTTGCCCAAGAAACGCCTGGGGTAAGGATCCATGTTGATGAGACGGGTCAGGTATGCTGGGACAGTACTTTCGCCTGGTGGGCATGCGTCAACCAGGAAGATGGGCTCGATTTCAGGGTGGAGCAGACCATCGACGGAGACATGGATCTCAAGGCCACATGGAAGGATGGCGACCTAGCAGCTCATGAACTGAGAGCCGCTCTGCTTCAAGATCAACTCCGAGATGTATTCGTGCTTCGTGCAACTGTAATGGTTCAACAACGTGTCGAGGAGCAAGGGATGCATCTAGCGGCAAGCGAAGATGGTTATGACCAGGCTCTTCCCAACGACCAGGTCAGACCATCCGTGTACCAGACGATCGGAAGACTTCGGAATCTGGAACTTGACCTTTTGACGAGAGCTTTCCAAACACTGGAGCAAGAGGTAAGCTTGGGGTTACCAGGATAAGCCTTGTTGATGTTCCAGCAGTGCCCTGTCAGGGTGTTACTAACACCTGCGTAGAAGCTTCGACTTCTCGAATCGAGCGTCGTGCGTGCTTACCTGGGGCAGGGGGCCGACGGCTCAGGATTATCGACTGGAGAATACCCAGAAGATTTCTCTTGAAGGAGTGCGCACTACAGGCTTTATGCACATCTTACACCGTTAGCCCAACTAGAGTTCACATCGGAGAGAGGAATTTGGTGCCCGAGGTGGTATGAGCCCCCGGAATTGCGAGAAGTGTGTTCTGCTACCCACGGGGCTGAAAGGTCAACAACCCAGGAAGAAGGTGGTCTTTGACTCACCACACGACCCACCTACCGGCTTAAGAACGATTTGTAGTCGTGTGCCAGATGTGTCTTCTCATAACCTAGATGGATCGTTTTAGTGACGTTCCGTTCGTCCATGGTCCACAGGCACGGAGATGTTTAGCCTTGGTGGCCTGCGCCAGCAAGTAGAGTATTTTGTCCCTCTTACAAGGGAAGACATTTCTACTGATGAAAATTTGTGAAAAGACCCGCTGGCTGGTCTTTCGCTTGTTGTACTTGAGATATCTTTCACCATACAGTACACGAGGAGCGGTTCCGCACAGATCGATCACTCAGATTCCCACGATCTGTGTCCACGAGAAGTGGTGTCCAGAGCCCCAGCGCATGATGTAATCTGGGAGTACAGAGAGGATCGTAACCATCACCGCTGAATCAGAAAACACGCCGAAGGGTCTAGACTGCCCGGGGATTGCTCGGGCTAATGGAGAGCCGTAGACCGCCGGAGAGCACTCCTTGTCGGGGCTTGTCACCGCCGAGTTAGGGCAGTCGATTCGAGTTCGCCATCTCGACTAATGCTCTTGGACCATGAAGATGGGCTCTTTAGCTGTGCTCGCCGTTGTCTACCGTCCTCGTTGGTTCTTGTCCGGGGAAATGGGAAGCAGGATCATTGCTCAGATTGAAGGTCGGGTGGGTTGTAACTTGTCCGGGGAAGAAGTGGAGGAGAAGGTCAGCTGCGATGGCCAGCAATAATTCTCGATAGCTACGAATACAGTCCCTACCAGAGCGGTCCTTTCTGAAGGGATCAGCAGAGAGCCCAGTGACAGCCGCAAGCTTTTCTTTTCCGCAGGCACAGCAAAGGCAATGCCAATAATACGACGACGTTGGTAGTGTGGGCGCCCAAAGCGATTTAGCGGCTTATGGGTTGTTCTGTCATTCTCCGCTTCCGCCGGCAGCCGCAGGATGCGAAATGGCGATGCGGCTTACGATACGACTAAGTTGAGCTGGGAACAGGCTCTGAGACTCTGGGACCCGGACCCTTTCTCCTCCATGCCCCGAAGCGTACTCCAGGCCCCCGACTGCTGCCCCGTCCCAATCCCCAGAGGGCCGCGTCCATCTCCTCCGGAGTCTATACTTGAAGTTCTTCTCGTCTCTCAACCCATTCCAACGCACGCCCATCCTTGCCTTTTCCTCGACACCTCCCTGACAACACCCCAGGTCTTGGGCTCCCCCTCGTTGGTCAAACCGTTGGCCATACCGCTTTCGAGGAGAATCCAGACGAAAAACTTTCGTGGCGTCGAACCATCCCTCCAATTACCGGGTGTCTGACCCTGGTCCGTTCCCGCCCTAATTCAGAACGTCGTTCCACCATCTCGTCTCGCATGCGGTCATAACACTCTTGCCTCGCCCCTTCTGTGCACTTGGTTCTTTACAACTGATCTGATCTGACGAGACCACTCTTTGACCCAACTTGTCGGGACTTGACCTCGAACAAGACCTTCATTGACTGTGTCCTATACTGCCACAGCCCACGTTGGACGTCCATTTATGCGTCTGCTATTGAAGCACTGTCAGCATTAAAGGTCCTTTTACCATCTTGCCATCATGCCTGGCATTCTGCCGATGAAGATGATTCGGGTGGGCAGCGCAGCACAAAGTCGTATTGCACAGGCATGCGACAGGTGTAGGAGCAAGAAGATTAGGTGCGACGGGGTCAGACCCTGCTGTACGCAATGCGCAAACGTCGGCTTTGAATGCAAGACCAGCGACAAGCTTAGTCGAAGAGCCTTTCCACGAGGTTACACTGAGTCCCTGGAAGACCGTGTCCGGGGACTAGAAGCTGAAGTGCGGGAGCTGAAGACTTTACTGGACGAGAAGGATGAAAAGATCGACATGTTGTCGCGCATACACAGTTTCTCTCCTCCAGCGCGAAAGTGTTCGGACTCTCTGTCGCCATGTCAGGTGGTGGAGGTAAAGGCTGAAATTGAGTCGGCCAGAGAAGAGGTCTTGCACGTCGAAATTCCTGCGCCGGTAGATTCCAATGCCACGTCGACCGGGTCAACCACCACAGCTTCTTTTATTGAGGCCTTTGACCACAAGGTACAAGAAGATGGCCGACAAACTCATGGAGTATCTTCGTCTGCTCTTCAAAAGTCTGTACAGCCTACCCGACAGGGCCTTGCCTCTGGCCCCAAGATCCCGCCGAGAATCCTCTCTGATCAGTATATCAGTACGTTGAACTCTTCTCATCCACGACCTAGCACTGACATGACCAGATCTTTTCTTCCAAGAGTGGCAACCTCTGCTTCCCGTACTCCATCGTCCGACCTTCCTTCGTGTGTACGAGCAGTACGTTTCCAATCCCGATTCAGGCACCTGGCAGAGCAACAAACAATCACTGGCCCAACTGTATTTGATCTTTGAGATTTCGGCCCTGTCCAACATCACCACATCCAAGAAGAACGCACCTTCTTTCGAAGGTCACTGGCGCAAAGCTTTGTATTCGACTTCTTCCGCGGCATCGGTGTCTACTTTGCAATGCCATGTCCTCGCTCAGATCTGCTACTTGTTGCGAGCGGACTCGACCCATCTTCTCAGACATAGAGGCATTGCGGTTACGATGTGCCACGAGTTAGGTCTCCACCAGGGCCACAAATATCACAGTCTGTCGCCACTTGAATCCGAGACGAGAAAGAAGGTGTTTTGGTGTCAATACGTTCTGGACAAGTAAGGACAGACCATCGCAAGGCTTCTTCGTACAGCACTAACTCTTATTATTCAGATTTACCTCTGCAAGCACAGGAACTCCCATGCTCTTGAGAGACGATGACATCTCGGCTGAACTTCCTGCCGAAGTGGACGATGAGAACCTCAGCACTCAAGGTTTCTCGCCTACTCTGCCTGGAGAGGTCACAAAGATCTCAAGTGGACTCGCCCTCTTCCGCGTTACCAAAATCCTGTCGAAAGCCTTGGACAATCTCTATCCTGCCAAAGCTACCTACCAACTCTCACTGAACAAGCTGCACGCTTTGTCGGACGAGCTTGACCAATGGTCCGAGGAGTTGCCAGAGCACCTTCGCTTGCGGTTCATCAACGATAAGCCTGCGACGCACTTGGTCAGTGACAGGTCGCCATTACTTGTGAGTGTTATCTTCTCGCGCATTGACTCGCTGTACTGACAATTGTACCAGTCTATGGCCTACTTCTACACCCGTAGCCTGATCCACAGACCTCTCCTTTGCCACAGTTCCGGAAGTTCCGCGTCGGCCGCCAATATCGTTCTTGCTGCAGCTGGCAAACACATTCTCCAGATCATGGACCTTCTGATCGAACGACGTATGAGCTATACTTTCCCTCTCAACAAGATCGATCTGCTTTTGAACTCTGGTCTTGCGATCCTCTGGCAATCCCTCGACTTGGAAGAAGACAGCAAAATGGTCAAGGACAATCAGAAGTCGTTGAATTGTCTGACCACGATGATCCAAAACGAGAGCCCAATTGTTGCCTTCGAATTTCAAAAGGTGGCGGCCGCTTTTGTGTCGCTCGATGCTCGACCTGTCTTGTCACCGAAGAGCGTGAGTCTTGACACTATCCAGAGACGATCATCCCTCGTGGCTTCTGCCTCTGACTCCAAGTCCAAGTCAACTAGAAAACAACTCCAAGCCATCGCTTCGAAATGGTCCAGCTTCAACAACAAGACTAGAGACGACGAGGCTGGACGTCGGGCTACCGTACCTCTAACCACGCCAGCACCTCAAATGCAACCACATCGTGCTGCCAGCACCACAAGTCTGTCTTCGACACGATCGGCACCTGCCATGGCTGCGGCTGTAGCTGCGTCCGCCCCCAATCAATTGGCTCCCTGCCGAACTGTGGATAACCCCATGATCAATCTGGATTATATGCCAATCGGGGACGACTTTGGTGACTCCCAAACACGGACATCGTCGAGCACCATGCTTCCACCCAAGAAACAGGCCGCGCCCATTGTGCCGGATGCAAGTTGGGATAATTTGTTGAATGGTTTTGACAATGGCTCCGGATTGTATGCCGATATGAACGCCAATGCTCTTTACCAAGTACCCAGCAATGAATGGACTCCGGATGTCTGGAATCTAACAGGCATGGAATTTGCGTCCAAAGCTCCTGTGCCACAAAGCTTGTTAAGCTTCTCTGAGGAATCTCTCACCAGTGGAGATGACTTTTTGTTGAGTGCTCCCCCTAGCAACAATGGATCGGCCGTCACTGGTGAGACCATCGATCTCAGCGAGCATTACGGAGGAATCACCATTCCTGTGGACGACGAATTTGATGTACACGAGATCGAAGCTTGAATACGGAGTTTGTTACCAGACCACATCTTTGTCTTTTGTCGATTGAGGAGATTTAGGACACCAGCCAGAGATACCCAAAAAGTGTTTATCGGGGTTGGAGGAAGTTGATTATCTTGTTTATGGATGAAATTATGACAGTGATACCAGGCTGAAAGATGAACACCCAGGCCAAGTTAGTTAGTTTAGGAGGGTTGATTTACGAGTGCCTGATGGCTGATTTGGAGGTACGAGTGCCCAGGTAATGATGAATGGAATGGAGGTGGAAATTTGCATGTACATTAGGTAGTACCTGACGGATCGTCTGTTGTAGGGCGCAGTGCTTGAATTGTTTGATTGTTTATTACCTACACGGTTCATAGCTATACATAGTATTGTGCTGCTGATGAGTTTGTGATCTTGAGAATGAACGTGAAATACTCTGTACTGTACTTGTTCGAGACGTGCTTGACTGGGTACCTGGTAAGTGGTACAACTCGGGCGAGTCGTAGTGGTTGGTACTCGGCACCTGGGGTACGGAGTAGGGAGTAGTACTGTACCTTTGTCGGCACAGGGACTTGGGTGGGGGGGGATGGGGGGACAGAGCGGAATTGCCAAAACTGGACTAGTGTGGATCTTCATCAAATCCAATGTCGTCACAATTTCGACATCGACCATACGACGAGTATTTGTTATGTTAGCAAATGACACCTGTTTGGCACGGAAATACGTCGTGGTCGTCAGTCTCGAATCACGGAGAGGAAGAAGCCCCCCTCGAAATTACTCGTTGCTCGGAGTCGAAGGAGGACGAATGCCACATAATGACGAGGAATCCATAAAAAGAAAAATATCATCATGTCATGACCGCATGGTGGTGATTGTGATGATGATGGTGATGGTGATGGCTGCTTGCTTGCTTGCTCGCTCGCCTCTCTTTACGGGTACTACTCGCACGCAGCTGGTTCGGACATTTTCACGCTCGATCATTGTAAGTTTGATGAATTGAGGAATAAGCCAGCTATCTCCTAACCTACCTACCTATTGATCCGTATAATCCCCATTGCACTGCACTTCGTTGCATTACACGATCCGGATACTGCAATACCTCTTGCGTGGCGTGACCAGGTCTGGTCCCCATAGTCATCAGGTACACAAGTTCTACCTCTACGAGAGAGTCCTCCTGTTCGTACCCGGTCAATAAACCATTCGACGATGCCACCACCACTACGTCTTTCAGTGTTCTCGTCGTCGTCGTTGTCGTCGTCATCATCATCATCATCGGCGTCGGTGCTGCTTCGACGCACGGCACCACGAAAACACATCATAAACACACGTCGCTCCTTGTCTTCGACGGCATCTCTAGCTGCCAAATCGCCCGACAGCACACCAGGCTGGGAAGGTCGCCCCCCGGATGACCACGCGGTCCACCGATCAGGTCACGACCCGCAGTCCAAGGAGGCCAAAGAGGGCATGAAAGAGCACGAGCAGATGAAGGAAGGGAGCCAGGCCATATCGCGCAAGGACGAGAGTCAGGGGAACAAAAAGGCCAAGCGGGACCATCCTGAGGCGCCGGAACCGGTGATCGGGATGAATGAGGAGAGGGGGGAGGTGAGTTAAACACTTGTCCACACACACACACACACACACACACACAGGCACAGGCACAGGCACATTCTCCACAACACCAAGTGAGGTATACTTGGCCAATTTGCTGACGCGCACATTACAGAAAGGACCCCAGTAGTAGCAGCAGCCAGAGAAGGAATGCGAGTGAGAGAGAGAGAAAATTAAGGAAAAGCTGAAACCGTCATATTCTAGTCATCGGGTACCAACACCAGTCTGCGGGTGCTGATTGTGGCTCTACGATCACATCAAGGTAGTCAGTCAGTCTTGGGCGCTGCATTTTCCGTTTCCGACATGACTGATCACCAGTCGAAAGTACAGTGTTGTTTTATACGAGCTGCTTCAAGTCGCAATGGACGGTTCATACAGATCATGGTGCGATCAAAGCTGATTTTGTAGTTTATCGTGTAAATATACCTATCTATCTCCATCTACACTTGTCGTTCCTTTTTGACTAATAGCATCAAGAGTCGTCGTACATTTTGAGTGTCCATTATATTGCGTTCTCTTTCTTTTCTTATCCTGCCCGCATCCTTGAGGGTATCTCGATTTTTTTTCAAAACACTCGTATTCGTCTCATCTGATCCCGACACCGTCCCGTGTCTCCATTACCAGACCAGAAAGGCATTTTGTCGACCGGTTCAAAATCGTGCCTCTCATCACCTCCCAACATGAAACGAAAGAATGTCGTTCTTCCCCACACTCACCACTTGATCTTCGGCGACTCTCCTCCCGCCGTCTCCCTCGATGAAGGCAATCGGCGCATCTCCCATGACTTTCCTGGCCACGTCAGCCACGGTGCTCCCCTTCTTCACCAGCACGCAGTCTCTGAACACCGCCGTCGACCCGGCCGTCCCAGAGCCGTACGTATGGATGTTCTTGACCGGGAACACGGGCACGAGGCCCAGCAGGGCCGCCGCCCTCGTGAGAACCTGAACCACGCCGGTGCTCCCGAACCGATAGAGCACCATGTCCTTTAAATTCTCGATCCTCGTCTTGAGTTTGTCGTCCATCTCTTTCAGGCCGCCGCCGTCCGGATCCCCTTGCTCTATCAGATCTTCCCTCGTGTCCAGATACTCGGCTCCGGGCGTGTACCTGATGTAGCCTTGCTTCGCGAGCCGGCGCAAAAACACCTCGCTGATGGCGCTGCACAGCACGATGCTCTCGGCGGGCTGCTGTTTCGCGATCTTGGCGATGTTGCGGTCCGCGTCGGGATGGTCGATCTTGTTGAGCGCCAGGACCGTGGGGAACTTTTCGTCGGTGAAGGCGTTGACGACCTTCGATATCGTCTCGTCCGACCACTCCTCCAACGGCGTCTTGAGGCCGAGTTTGTCCAGGCACCGCGCCACCACCGCGCTCGTGCTGCCGTAGCCCGAGAACTGGTTTTGGAGCGTCTCGACCGCCGTCGCCTTCACGGCCACGTGCCGCCGTCTGATGCTGCCCCATTTTTCCATCAGGTTGCCCTGGATCCAGCGCACAATCTCCCCGCGCAACCACTCGATGTCGACGCTCGGGTCGTAGCCGCGTGTCGCTTTGCCCTCGGCATCGGTCGTGCCCGACACGTCGACGACGTGGATCAACGCGTCCGCGTGCCGGAGGTCGTCGAGGAATTTGTTACCAAGCCCTTTACCCTCGTGCGCACCCGGCACTAGACCGGCGACGTCGAGAAGTTCAATGGGCACCGACCGTTTGCCGTCTATGCAGGAGCCGTAGTTGGGCCGGCATCGCGCAGACAGGTCGTGCCGTTGACATGCGCAGTCGACTTGGAGGTACCCTACGGCTCGTTGGGGGTCGATGGTAGTGAATCTAGGGGATTGAGGAAATTAGACGGCCTGGACACACACACACGGACGGGACAATGCTCGGTTTTGAGGTGGTTGTTCAAGAGGCTTACGGAAAATTGCCTGTGTAGGATTCATATCAGCCTCAAGGTGTCCACATTTTCTTTTCCGTCGTTTCCTTCGACTTTTGTTTTTTCATCTTGCCCGCAAGGAACTTTTGGCAAATGTCGCAGGGCAGGCTAGACTAGGCTACGCTGGGTTGGTTGGGGTTGAACTGACCGACTTTCGAAGATGCATCCGTTAAACTTGGGAGGTGTCAGCTTGCAAAGCCCATTTGATAGCCCGGTAGACGGCGGTGTCGCACCTGTTTAATGTGGTGGATTTGCCTGAACTTGGTTTTCCCACCAGGCCGATCAGAGGATCTCGGGGCATATCTGGCCCACGACACACGAAGTGATGAGTATGGCAACAACTTAGATTCAAGGGAGCGCAGTAATGCCCGGCCGCTTACCGGCCCCCAAGGAATACCTTCAACAGGAAAGAATAGGAACGAGATCGTTAAAGATGGTCTTGCGCTCACAGTAGATAGAAAGTTGAAGAGGCTGCGGAGAAGCGGGATCCGGGAAATTCAAATGACGTGCAATTTATCGCATCAATAGGGCCTCCTGTTCGGCCTTGAAGAAAATCATCTCTGGCAAGGGTTGATGGTACAGAGAATTGACGGATCCGTATTTGCTTTGAGCCTGACGACTTGCGAAGTATCGGGGGTATAGAAACACGGGCATACACCGCTGCATTGATGACGGCCACGAAAGCCCTATAAGTCCCCCGGAAACCAGCTCTACAAACAAGAAGGTGAGTAAGGGAGATTTATTTTCTACACGAATCAACTGCGGCATGTCATCACTCACGGCTACTGTGTTTCATATATGATGGAATGATATCCTGTCTATGTCTCTGTCCCCCCCCCCCCCCCCCTTCCTCCATTGGCAGAGCCAGTCTCTCACGTTCATCACCATTTCAGGGACTCCTTTATCCGAAGTATACTGAAAATGCACGGTTTGACGTTATTGATATACTTGAGCTTTGGCATTTGCTTTAAGAGTATTGCGGCCAATTCGGATCAAGTGTTGCTTGGAACTGGCAAGGACTCGAGCATCTTGAACGTTGGTGGTACTCTGACGCGGACCAATCCTACGGGGCTAAGGGTATGGCAGTTTGACGATATCAAAACCACAGACGCATTCGGCAACATCTCAACGCCCTACAACGGTCTGATATTTGACGGCTTTTACGCCTTCGACCCGTCCGACGCCGGCCTAAAGGGGATCATTTGGCCTGGAGACACGAACTGTGCCGTGTCCAAACCGAACGCCTTGTACGGCACAAGGGACAATTTCAAATTGTTGAACTCTCGCACTCTCGGAGACAAGCACATCCCTTCTGGTTCTGAGAGGAAGCCATCATTTCGACACACACATGACAAAGGCACTTTTACGGTCCACGGCTTGAAGATCAAGCCCCTGGATCTTCCGCTTGGTTTTGTCACCGTTCATCTGCAAGGCACTCGGCCGGACGCGACTTTGGCGTGGGAAGTGGATTTTCCAGCCGGCTACCATGATGTGTTGGATGTTCGACTACAGGAATTCAGCGGGAGGGTTTGGCATGGCCTGGAGAGATTGGAGATCTGGGCTGATTTTCACTACAACGGTCTCGACATGGATTGGGAGTTTTGCGTTGATGATATAGATGTGGAAATGGAGTAGGGTAATTACATCTACGAGTATAGTGTAGGTTGAGAAATTTTATATCATCACCTCCAATGCTTGAATATGTGATGTTGTCTGTATCGTCGTCTACGAGTATCCTGTCCACACTCTTCCGCACCTCAACCTCCAAGCCAGGCACATCCCTCTCTTGATTCGCTCGGTTGTATGACTCCGACTAGTTTCTGAAGACTCTCGGGTCTAAACCATTCCAGGCAAAGCCGTGATATGATGTATTTCTTCTCTTGTGTGGGAATGACGTATTTTGATACCTCCGTCTTCCTTCTCCTCCACCACCACCACCTCTTCGCTTCATGAGGGGGGCTTATGATGAAATGATTATATGATGAAAGAGTCGCGCGTGCGAATCTTCGAGATGGATCATTATCAATCTTGGCCGGCGATGCGACTGGCACGTACGAGGATCCATTCTTTCTGTGCGTTTTGTTGAACACCAAAAGTCCACAGATGACGTATAGTAAGTAGGTCACATAGTTCAAATATCAATGCTCTATTCCACTCTTCAAGTTGTGTTTACTCTTGGGCACCTATATTCAAAGATTCAAATATCCGTCATACAATTACTACACGAGAACGAGAAACAGGACTCAAATCAGCCACGTCCTTGATATACCATTGCATACCATAACAGATTCGCATCGTCACCCAAACAACACCGATCTACTCAACATGTCTGAGGAAACGTTCCACATCACAAGCGAAGATCTCCGCAAGAAGGAATCCAGATTATCAAAGGCTCACAACGGCGTGACACCAAAGGAATCGGACGTCTCTGCCTTGAAGGTACGTTGTTTTTATTATTTCCGTATCCTCTCCGATCTTCCCCCTTTTTGCCCGTTTCGTATCTGACGATGTTGCTTTCACACAGTCACTCCTCGCCGAACGAGAAGACAAACCGGCAGAAATCGACCGCGTAAAGGCCGGCCTTCCCCTTCCTGAACAGCCGGTCGGCGGAGCCAGCTCGGATCTGAAGTCCGCAGACGCTCGAACGGTCAATGTCGGCAGCGGAGGCGTCAATGTCAAACTTGGAACTGCCTCTTCAGATGGACTGAGGGAACCAGCTACTGCAGAAAGCAGTGTGCGAATTGACGGTGAGGAGTGGAAGAAGGAGACTGCTCCTTGAAATTATTTCTCACGCTGGCGGAATATGCATGTAACATGAACGAACACCCGCCCTTGGGCGTTCTTTTTGATGTCATCTCTTTTTGTGGATGAAATGTTCCTCCTATTGGGAGTTTTGGAAAAGAAGAGTTAACCTCATGAACGTTCTGATGGTAGCGGCCGAGTGCGCGCTGTCACATGGCGTGTTCGATCTCTCCCTACCTCTGATGGATATTCTATCCTCCTCAAAGTATCATCTGTACAAGTACGAGTCGAGCATTAGAAATGAGATGTCAAGAAAATGAGTCCCGAAAGAAAGACAAAAACTTTCGTAAAATGCGATCTGCACACGTCAGCTCGTCATTTTTACACAACGGCGCGTTCGTTTGGTCTTATTATCCTGCTCGTCCTGGTCGTAGCGTATTGAAAATCCCACACTTTTCGACTTTTGATGTCTCCATACATATCTCCCAGCTGGTATCATTTTGTAAATCCGCACCCATAGGTATATCATCACATGCATGGTTTCATGCTCATTTTTCATACAGAAAACATGGTCGTCCGCGGCACTCACGACCGCGAGTGAGTCCATGTCTGGTCTCGCGCCCGACGCCGCCCTGTCCCCCCTTCGACTCGTGCAAACAGTATCATCGTTGCCAGCTCAAGCTCCATCCTTAGGTATCAACCCTCGCAGACTGAGATCGTAAACAACATCCTCCACCTTCTTGACACTATACTTGATCCCATCCGTTCGTCGTCTGAGGATATCGTTCTTCAGGTTCAGCAGCTGAAACCCCGCGTGGACATCTTTGATGAATTTTGAAATCTGCAGCGGTCTTGCATAGTCTCCCAGGGTGACTGCGTTCGGCGCCAGGCGCGCGAGTTCTTCGATCGTCGTCGTCAGAGCGAGAAGGTAGTCTTCGATCGTGATGTGGAATTTATCTTCGTCTTTGAGGTTTACGGGTACTGTACAAACACGCATCCATCACAACGTTAGCCGACACCGTTGTGCTGCGCCCAGGTAACTTCAAGTGCAATACGGGGTGTACGTTACCTCCAAGTCTCTCCCCTACTTGCTCAATCGTGGCCAGCTGTCCCAGTTGCAGCCAGTCTGCGATTTGTATACTGCCAATGACGCTCTGTACATCGTTCCGCCATAGGCTGTTCCATTTGTAGAAGGGGTATTTCGACGCGGACTGCGCTAGCTCTTTGACGGTTGAGGCTTGCTGCGCCAGCGCGTCGTAGGCTGGGTTCAGCACCGATCGTTCCAGCTCGGATGTCGGCGTGTTATGGATGCGCGAGAGTATAGACTGCGTGAGCCGCCCTTGCTTGGTGAGCGTGTCGACATACGCTTTGAGTTCATCACGTATCGAGGATTCTTCGTCGATTTTGGTCTGGAGAGATGTGAAAATGGCGGGGTCGACGTGTGCCGTAGGCGCTGTTGAAGAGGCCGCGGCGGTGGTCATTGCGGTGTCGCTTGACATTGTGGGAGGGGTTATGAGGCAGAGGACACGAGAGGAGAGTGCGTAAAGACTCCGAACCACGTCAAGATGTGGTATAAAGGCTTCGGAATTTTGAGATCTGTGGATATGTTGTTTGTTGTCCAGCCTAGCTCGGCATCTGGTTTCTACACATCAAACTCCAAGAGAGGTTCTACGAAATTTTGAAATAGTCGGATTTACATCATGGGGCTTATGGTTGGAATTTTCTTGGGCTCTAGGTATGAGTACAGTCTCATTCTGCATTAAGAGATGAGCTTGTTCTACGAGCACCTGTCCTTGTGCTCTGATTTCTAGTCTCGGCTCTCGACCTTGACCCCGGCGCGGCAGTAACTAGTGGTCCAACTTGTAGGCCAAAGCATTCTACACTCCAAAGTCCGCAGCATTTCCGTAGCAAACTACACCAGCATATGTTCCAACCATCCAAATACCAAAACTCTTCTCCAAGGTCTTGCACAAGGCAAAAGACAATGATGAAAAGGTGGTTGTTCGCATCACAAGGCGGCAGTGTAAGGCCTCGGACACGGTGCCAGGGACTCATGCGCAAGCACAGAGGAGTCCCACAGCCAAATCCAGAAATAAGAATAATCAGTGATTCATCCCGTAGGATGATTTCAGAGATTAAACTGAAAAGAACAGATACTACACTTGATCTAAGCCAAAAGGCAAAGCTGCAGAACTGTTAGCGAAAACCAAACAAGCAGAGGTTTCGGTACGTACAGAGCTAAAGAAAAGAAAAAAGGGAAAGAAGCCGGAGCTTCAGGGTCGAGGGGGAGCGAGGATTATATAGAATTCTCGCAGACCGCCTCAGGAGAAGATTTCACTGCGAAAAAGGATGATTGGGCCAGCCTCTGGGTGAAAAGCATTCACGCTGGGGCTGCAGAGTTTTCTGCCGGTACTCTGAAGGGGAGTGAAGGATCAGTAGAGCCAATAGATGCAGGAGGACCAAGCGGTGGCGGATGCCAGGAGTTAATTCGGTGATCAAGGCAGCAGAGAGACGAGTGAAGGAGCAAGTGAGAAGAAAGTGAGTGGGCAGCTGGAGGACGGGACCCTGGTTTGTGCTCCATTGTCCAGCCAAATTTTCAAGGCGTTCTGCAAATTAGACTCCGCAACTGACGCCTAACAGCATTTCATGAGTCAAGGGGGCCACAAGATTGCATGTACGGGGAAAGGAGTACTGTATGGAATACGTATACGAGACACATAAACAGCCTACAGGCAGCACATGAAAGGCGAAGCTTTGGAGACACAGGCTTTCAAATGAACAGAAAGCCAGCAGGCAACAGAGGAACAGAACGGCCAGAGTAACTTTCATCCCCGAGCAACAGAACTCTCTCCAACTGATTAGTCTTTAACTTGGAGCGCAGTACGAGGACTTTTGTACGAGTCCTCAGGAGGCTTCAGCCTTGTGGCAGGAATGTCAGCCTCGTGGCCCAGGGCCTGCCTCACCAGTTCTCCATGTTGTGGCTGGCTGCGGTCAGTAGGCTTCTAGGTAGTCCCCTGAGATGGAGGACACCTTCTTCAACGGCATACAGCATCGAATTATCTCATTAGCCCATCCACAAAGCTGAGCCTACTAACAATTGATAAGGTGAGGTTCAAACTACATACTGTGCAACGGAAAAACGTCTGGCCGATTGACCCTTTGCGGCATTTTCATTCAGTGATAACATTCAAGCTACGGGAATACCATAATTAAGGTAGTAGCAAAGTGTCTGGACTCATCTACGTGGAAAAGGCCAGAGTCCATCGGACGAAGCTCTGTTTCAGTACTCCCCCCCTAACCAAGACTCGCTCTGTGCACAGAGATCTCTGGGTCAGGAATTGACCGGAGTTGATTTTCTGCTTCCCGTGGGGCGAGTAAGGCTCTCACCATCGGAGTATCCAGCGGGCAGTCTTCGATGGCTCTTGAGTAGGTGCACGGACGATGCAGCAAAAGGCAGCGTTCGCAGGAGTCTCGCTGGTTTGGATCGTTGAATTGCTTGATCACACATACAGTAGTGATGTTGTCGGGATAGCGGTCGATGGCATTCTGATGTCCCGTTAGTAGAGTTCCAGATACCAAGAAGTAAAGGTACTTACTCCAGTTGTTGGGTCGATTTCTCGGCTTGACAGGGTTGCGAGGTAGCAGGAGTCACAAGCTCTGGGAGGTTGGCGTATTCGGCCAGACTCGCGGTCACTCTGGCCTGGAGTACCGAACGCATTGATTCCCAATTGCGCATACTCATTCTGCATCTGGATCATGGTCTTCAAAGGCGATGCTGCGTCAGTGCGTGCAGGTGATGGGACATCTGTGACGGTAATCGTCTGCGTGAGCCATTCAAGCTTTTGCTCCTTGACTCTTGCAACTCCGTAGTCGTACATCCATTGTGCCCGATGTTCTGGGTTCAGCTGGATCCGGGTCAGGTAGCGTTCCATTGCTATGCCCCGTGCATACGTATCAAAGGCTCCTGGTGAGGACGAAGATGCCAGTCGTGGTTGGAAGTCTTCTGTTGAGACAAGACCTAAACTCTGCCATTGGTCGTTGAGCTGGAACTCGATCCGTAAGGCCCAGGATCGCGCACGATCCCAGTCGTGCCATGGTCCCAGTCCTGGCAGCCTTGCCCAAGCATTAGGATGTGGCGTACCGTCCATCATCATCTCCACCACCGGCCACACTCGAGTTCCCAAAGGCAAGTTGACATGGCCTGGAATGCCAGGTTCGAACGACACACGAGTTGGAAGAGTTCCAGCAGCAGGGAATCCCACAACAATAGTGATCCTCTTGTCGTCATCGGTGCTTCCTTGGATCTGCACAGGCATTCGCTGATAAACGACCAAGTTCTTGTCTGGGAATTGTAGCTTTGTCCAAACGAGTTCTGAACCCTCGGCCCCCTCTGTCAATAGACTGTTCCCAATTGGCGGCGGATGGCTAGAGACTGAGGGAGATGAAGTGTCAATTTTGACATCGCCATACTTGCGCGTCGTTCCGATTTTCAGAAAACCTGCGGGGACCCAACCTTTTCGTTGAGGGACAGCGTATGGCATGGTGACATGAACCCAACCACCTGGGGCTTTTTGTGTGATTTTACCCTTTGTATCCTTGGGAAGATCGACCCCTCTATCAGTAAAGGCCTCCATTGCGACGTACGGATAGCCAACAGGCCAATTTGGGTCATTTGCCGACATGATGGAGGTGCTGTCTGGCAGCAGACTTGTTCAGCGTCCTAGTATGATCGTTCAAGAAACGGACAGGGACAGAAAGGAAAGCAGCAAAACCTAGATATCCAGGAAGGAAAAAATAGAGAGGGCAAGAGGCACTTGGTTCTCACTGCTCGGCGGCGTCACGGTTCGAAACGTGGTTAATATCAGTGAATTGAGTGATTGAGCAGCAAATTGTTGCATGAAGCCTCGAAGAAATTTTCAGATCTTGAACCGGCTCACCCACTGAAGCATTCAATGCTCATGAACAATCACAAGACGCCTATGAAACGTTTAGCTGATGACGGAGATCGCGTTGAGACGTTCCTCTTCTGTCGTCCGCTCGAAAACAGAAAAGCTCGAACTGAGCGCCCGAGTCGTACCCGAAGAAGCATGCTCATCTTCTGGTTGCGGCCGAGACTGACGCCTCTCTAGATCCGAGGTGTTGCTCGTGATTTAGACGTTCCTTTGTGACACAGCCATGATGGCAAGGCAGACGGTCGACGATGTCTTGAGCTCGTATCCACTATCCTCTACAAGATCCTGATGAATGCTGTTGATACCAAGGGGCTTATACACGGAATTGCTGCTGGCAATGCAGTCCCAGCAGGTTGACAAGACTTGGTAGCCACGGCCTTCATTTGAATTCAAATCGAAGCACATCTAGGTCTTACCTTGTAATTCCGAAGAGATCTAGTTTGCAAGTTCGTGACGGTGGCCTCGATTGAAAGCGACAGCTCGAGACCATAGCGATGCGAAGCATTCCCCTGCGATCCTGTAGAAGTGCTGACCTATTCTCGCGCATTTCTGAATCCAGGCAATATAGTGTCGTCGCCCGGCAAGAGCCCTGGGACACAGGCGTCGTTGTAACAATCGATACCTAAGACAAGCTGTTATGCAACGCTCAGTTCTAGGCGATGTCTGGGGGCTAAATGGGATGTATTGACGAGTCTGACCTCCAGGACTAGGAGGTCGCTGTTCTATCTATTTATATGTTAAAGGAGTGAAAGTTCTCTCTTCTTGGTGGAGAGATTTTTCTCCCGGGCATCGGCGGCGACCGGTGAGGTCCTCGTCGGGGGCCGGCGTCCTTGTGTCGGGGAGGTCCTGTTCCTCCATCCTGAGAACTATGATATAGCGAAAATGTGACTAAAGTGAGTGAATTCATGGTGTTGCAAGGTTTGCAAAAGGAGCGTTCTAGGCGGCGAAGTCCCGCGGAGGCGTTCGGCGCAAGTATGGAGGTTGTAATGACCCCGTCACAACTCAGCCTTGTTCAACACAAGCTGTATCTGCGCAATTGACGAAGCGGAAAAATTATTCGCCTTACCAACGCATCAATACGGTGGTTGCCGGAAAATCATATACCCGTCTTCCGAAATCGAACACTGTGTACGGAGTACAAAGGTTAACGCAGACAAGTTACCTCGAAGCCAGACAAAAGACAATGTGCGACCCTTATTCAAGAGCCCAATGGAGTCGGACTCAACATGAAACAGCTATCTGAAGGATTCAACGCGATGGTGACCCGACCAAGTCACACCTTCTAGAGGTCTCAGGCGATGAGTCAATGAACGGCAGTCCAGAAGTGTCCATTATTCACGAATCAAGTCATTCATGTGCTTGCCATCGTCCCTACGAGTATTGAATGCAGCAGACGGTAACCCCTGATGAACCGAAGCCGTGTACCCTGCAGCATTCAATACCTCAATTCAATGAGGTCGACTGTAGCGACTCCGATTGGCGGCACCTCAGACATTGATGCAGAACAGTGTGAACGTATTGTTCGCCGTTCATTTGCATCTGAATCATGACACGCAAGACGCTCCTGTTCCGACCTACTTATACCTGCCTTACTCCCCGACCTTCTGGCCCTTTGTCCTCGCCTCATACTCGTGGCATCTGATTGCCTAAACCGACAACTTTCAAGTATGTCAGACCAAGACTATATATATATGTCTTCTGTTTGGCAGCGAATCTAGCTTCGTGGTGGTGGGAGATCTGATGGAGAGAGTTCTACTGGGAAATCACTCAGGCGAGTCCTACGTTCGCTCCAGAATTTCCCAGAACACTGACCTTTCTCCAGCATGGCGATACATCGCTGGACTGGGATAGTACTCATCCCCGGGCACTACGAATCGTATCCGGCGTCGATGAGGTCGTCTTAATTCCAGACCTAGAACTTTCTAGGCTTGGAATTATACTTGGATACGCAGATGGGCCTGAGACTCTCTCGCTCCTGCCGCCCAAGATGGACGACGGGAGGCCCGAAGAGCCACCACCGACGTGCAGCCCTCGCCGACGAGCGCCTGTTTTTCGAGGCCCCAGGGCCAACGGTATTGCTCGTGCATTGTCAAGGGTGTCCTTCCTATGCTATACTAATCAGTGCGTTCAGATGTTGTTGTTTCGTCTCCTGTTGTGATTTTCGAGGACCCTGGCACCAGTGAGGTCAAACACGGTATACCATTTAACTAGGGTGCATTTCTATGTCGATACTGATCAAGCATGCAGTTGAAGAAGTGGTGTCCGATGTCCCTCCCGCGCCTGCTCCTGCTCCTGCTCCTGCTGATGCTGATGCTGTTGCTGCTGCTGCTGCTGCCGCCGCCGCCACTACTCCTCGTCCTCCGCCACCACCACCACCAAAAGCTCCGAAGAAGGAGCCAAATGCAGTCAAGACGGCCGCCAGAACACCACTGCCACCAAAACGGAATGTGCAGGTGGGAGCTCCGGCTCCAAAGAAGAGGAAGATGGAAGTCAAGGAGACAAAGGTAGAGGAGCCGCCCTCTTTAAAAACCGCACCAGGTGACAATGTATTGTCGTCGGAGGGACGCTCCTGGAAGGAGTATAGGGAGGCCATGAAAGCAAAATACCCTATACACAAGAAATGTTAGGCAATAATGACATACATTGGAGCTCCCATCACAATTGCGATAGTGTGCTGTACGTGGTTCAATGACCTTCTCCCTCCCAAAGTTGAGACGCATGCCGATCTTCCTGACGGTCACTCTGAAGCTATCAACCACCTGTGTAAAGAGGAGGTCGACCTCAGAATCGTGACGCGCGACACCACACCGGACAAGAGAGATGTCATTGCCAGAGACTACCCGAACATTCAAAGTCTTTGGTAACGACGAGATGACCTGGTTTCAAGCGGCGCCCCTGGATGAATCCGCCATACAAAAGACGCATGTGGCGGCCCAATTTCCCAAATTCATCGTCCGATTTGGTAGGCCCCATTAGCATGGGTGCACCGCGCCATGCACCCGGCTGACCCAGGACGAAGGGAATATCTATGCAGTGGTTCGCCTGCAGGCCATTCCCCTCCGGGTACCATTTGAACTGGTAGCTTGTTGCGCTGCCACCGGCATCCTCTTCGACCTGTTTCCGAAACGCGTCCGACGGCCAAGCAAAGAAGCTCCTGGTCACCCACCATGTCCCGAGTGACTCCAGGAAGCGACCGACAACAGGCAAATTGTACAAGGATCTGAACGGGCCCATCCAGCGCGCAAACGGTCGCCCGTCGTGTTCAGTCCATCCAATCATGATCGGCACGTTCTTGAGCCGGCCGATGAGCCGAGAATGCAGTTCTGATTCCCCTGGCAACGGGTGGTGGCCGAGTGCAGGCCCAAAAGGCATGATTTGGGGCCTGACGGGGTTCATGAGGATTGCCCTTTGCAGATCCAAGAGCTCGCTCGTGGACATCTCACGTGGATCAGCGGTCAACAGGCCGGCTGCCTGGTGCGCGAGCAAGTCAATGGTCGGAATCCGATCGCGGATCTCCTTCAGCGGAGGACTCATCAGGATGGCTTGATGGATGAGTCCTTCAGTGTCGTCCGAGGCGAGCAAGCATACGATAGAGTCCGCCCCGGCAGATTGCCCCACGGCAGTGACCCTGCCTGGATCTCCGCCGAAGCTCGCGATGTTGGCTTGGATCCATTGCAAGGCCGCTCGCTGATCGAGGAGGCCCAGGTTGGCTGGTGCGATGCCTGGGATCATGAGGTACCCGAATACACCGAGGCGGTAGGATACATTGACACAGACAATCCCGTGGTCCCGGGCGAGGTCGACGGGCGCGTAACAGTCGAGATCCCCGCTGCCACTGATAAAAGCGCCTCCGTGCAGCCAGACCATCACGGGAGCATGACCGGCATTTGCCGGAGCGACAACGCTGAGGTTCAGGCAATCTTCGCCTATGCGCCTGTTCGCAGAGATTGGTCCTAGAACGGACTCGAGACGCGACGGGAGCTGAGGGCTTGTCGTCGCAGGTTCTCTGCAGTCCCTCGGCTCTGTCCAGGCCGGCAACGGCGTGGCCTGCTGAAAGCGAGATGCTTGTGCATATGGAATCCCGCGAGCAAGGATAATGTTGTCGTCCTTCAAGACAACACATGGCCCAGAGGGAGTTTTGATGGTTGTTGTATCTGACAAAACCATGCTGGACCTAATTTTGTCTTGACGAGCAGCACTCACAACTGCGGAATCCAGTGACTGATATTACGATCAGGAAGCTAGTGGGTATTTGAAGATCCTGCGGAATGGCTACAGTCTTAGAATGGAATCATGGAGTCGGCGTTTTGGCGGCCACAAATTTCCATGAAGCATACCTTATCGCTTTACGTTGCCTGGTATCGCTCTTCGACATCCGAGGTTGCGCGGGACGCGGTTCTGTGTTACTGTATTGGAGGGAAGATACAAACAAACTACTTTTGCGGGTTGTTTATGGCCCAGGTGTTTAATTATGCTACAATCTCCGCCGGCATAGGCAGCGGATCTGGACTTAGATCAAATGCCGCTCTCTCTTCCTTGACTCTAGCATTGAATCCCGAGACTTGGAAAACCTGGCTGTCATCTCGCAGATTTTCGAGATCGTGGCACTCCAGACAAGCATATCTACTCAAGAGCACGGCCTCGTGTGTGCGCTCAACGACTTCAGCCTGGGAATCTTGAAGAGCTTCAAGACGAGACTTCACTCCCCTCCGCCACTGATTGAGCTGGTGCACCAGGGCCGCGGCGTCATACATCCCATGGTTGGCCGCTTCCCCACGATCTGCGCAACATATGTCAGTGGGTTGTCTCGAGCAACACAACAGTCGAGAACGAAAGAGACTCACACATGGTCATGGTATGCGCAGCATCTCCGAGAAGGGTTACTCTGCCATCGTATAATGGCCATTCTTGTGTGGGCCAGTCTTCTAGCGCGATCTCGAGAGCATGTGTGTCGTCTGGAATCTCGAGGATGGCCTGCCTGAGTGGCGGGAACATGCCACTGGCTGCACAAGCAGCCTCCTTTGCCTTGGCTAATTGTTCTGCTGGTGTTTTTGGTGTAGGTCCATGCTTGCTAGTCAGCCAACTCATGTTGAACTGGCCTTCGTAGTATGGATGCTCGGTGGCGGCGCTGCCGTTGCTCTCTGGCGTCGAGAGCATGGAGAAGAAGACGAAATACCCCGAGCGGGGATGGCAACCCTGCCATAACACTGGATGAATATCCCTAAAGGGCTGCATCTTGGTGGGGGAGAATCGCAAAGTGAAGCCCATGAACGCAACAGGTAGCGGGTTCAGTCGTGATTCCTCCTCTCCCAGGAGCAGACGCTTTATCCTGCTGTTCTTGCCGTCAACACCTAGCAACATGGAGCCTTCGACACGAGTGCCGTCGTTGAAGTGGACCACTACTCCATCCTCCTCAAGCTCGAGAGACTTGAACGTTTTGCCCCAATGCACTGGGATATCCGTGCACAACAGCTGCCGCAACTTCTGGCGGTTGAGGCGATAGTGATGACCCGAGGGCATAGCATATTTATCTTTGCCAGTCTCGAGATCAAGAAACCGGTAGCGGTCATGTGCTGGGTTGGTCCATGGTCAGGTCACCCTTTCCACCGAGAGAAGGAGAGTCGACTCACCTCGCTCCCCTGCAGCAGGATCGACCTGGATAGAAGGGATTCTGTCGTACAGCTCCCGAGGCAGACATGCCTGCAACGACGGCAAGCTCCAATGAACTGTTATCCCCCACCCAGCTGGTCTCGCATCGAGTGATGTGTCTCTGTCGTATATCTCGAATGGAAAACCGGCCTTCTTCAGCCCCTGTGCGAGAGTGAGTCCGACGAGACCCGCGCCAATCACAATAATGGGTTTGGAGGAGGTGGTAGCCATCGTGTCAACTGATAAGCGGACAGCCTAAGGTCGCAGTGGAAAGGAAAGAGCGACTTACATGTGTTCGTAAGTATTTATCGGCTTGCTTACTGGGGGGTTTAGTATCCAAGCAATGGAGGGTTTCGACTCGGTCGAGCTGGCGAGCCTGTGGAGATGGATGGGTTCGTGTAGTAATCCAAGTCGGCGACTTGGGAGCGAAGCGCTTCACGTTAAGTAGCCGACTGACTGAACAGGCTACGCCCCACTCCATATCAACGCTTGTGCGCTTCCGCCGCACCAGTCGCCGGTCCGACACAGAACTTGTGCGAAGGCAACTCGATTGACGGATAAGTACACATGGTCGAACCGATGTCAGGGAGCGGCATTGATGATAAGTATGCAGGTACGGCGAACCTCCCCATCAATATTTTAACCTTATCAGCACCAGCAAGTTAAAAAACAATGTATACCAAAACCATCAACAATGTCGAGATAGCCTACGATGAGTCCGGGTACGCCGCCGGGCCACCCATCGTCCTCCTCACAGGATGGGCTCACGACATGGGACTCTACGACGAGATGCTGCCGCTACTCGTTCCCCAACACCGCGTGATTCGAATGTGCTGGCGAGGGCACGGGCCAAACCGCATGGGCATTCCAGACTTTGGCGTCGAGGAACAAGTCCTGGACGTGATTGGACTCCTCTCCGCCTTGGACGTTGACCAGTTCTACTTGGTCTCTCACTCTCACGGGGGCTGGCCGGCTCTCGAGCTCGCCGACAGACTGGGCAAATCCAAAGTCTTGTGCCTCGTTATGATCGACCAAATCATGACACCACCTCCGCCGGCATTTGCACAAGGTCTTCAGGCTATGCAGAGCAAAGCCACCTGGCTCAGAGCTCGGCAAGAACTCTTCGACCACTGGCTTGCCGGCAGCAGCAACAAAGCCGTGCACGACCACTTCTACTACAACATGGGCAGGTTCGGGTATCAGATGTGGTCGCTATCGTGTCGAGTCATCGCCGAGGCGTACAAGACGCACGGGAGCCCGCTGGACAGGATGAGCAGGATCACCGACTCGCCACCGATCCGTCATGTCTTCTCCCATCCACGCCAGAGTCCCGAGTACCGGAAACTACATGAGGACTTTGCATCAGAACATGCCTTCTTCTCGTATGCCGATCTGGAGGGCGAGACACACTTTCCTGACCTAGAGATTCCACAGAAGGTTGTTGATCAGATTGAGGACTTGATTCGGAGCACGAGCGACCGTGCGATCCAATGACCAAGTGGCGAGGTGAATGGTGCTAGTTACCTGGTAGTTAGTTGAGCGAAGGTCATCTCGAATTAGCACACTTCTTTCTCAAAATATACCAGTGTGTTTGCGAGGCATTACGGAAGATTCATCGATAAACGTCTCTCGTCCAATGTGTCATACACATATGTATCGATCAGGCTCAATTGCTGATCGCGGTGATGAGATACTGTCCCTTTGTGATTTGACTCCCAAGTGCCATTTCTCTGCTCGTTTTCTTAGATCATCGCCTACGTGCATACCCAGAATGGTCGTTTCCAACGTGCTGCTATAATTATGCCAGTGGTATAGAATGTGCCGATCGCTCGCCATCCCAACAAGAAAACCCTCGAGGCAACCGCCAGTTCGAAGTCCAGGACCTTTCCCTCCGAGCACGGCGGCGGCAACAGCACTTACTGACTGACATACTGACTCGGCCCGTGTCGCCTTTGTCGTTGTCGTCACCATCATCGTTGTCAACGTCACTTCCATTGCTGGCCCTTCAGGTCTCAAAGCTTGATTGATCATCTCAGCTAACCTTACCGTAGGAGCGGATAAAGCACCTTATCTACCGTGGCCCTTGGATACTTGGTCCCGTACCTGGACTCCAGGACTCCCGGTAGCATCAAGACCCCGGCATTTCCAGAGTCGGCGTACGATACAATAGGGATAGGGGGTGAAACCCAGTTTTAAATCCCCCCAGGTCTCCACATCAGCCTTATCGACAAAAGGCAGCGGGTTCCAAAACCCCAAACACCTACTCCCCGTATCCGTGACAATCTTGTATGATCTAGACACGCCGCGCTCCGGACGGATAAGAGTATGAGCCTGGCTTTGGTCACCAAGATAATGATCATCCCCCGACGGGCCACGTCTCCTCTGACCTGCCTCACACTTTGCTTGGAATCAGGGAGGGAGCATCTAGTTGGAAAGCCAAGGAAGTGTTGTTATCAACTTATCAGTAGAATTAAGCTTTCGACCGTGCTCTTTGGCTTTTCGTAACTTGGCTCACGCGGCCTAGATTTTGCGAGTTAATGGCAAAGCCGAAACCTCTCAAGTCGCCGATATGCTGTGGCTGAGAGGTCTCTTCCCTCGACACCTACCAACTTGTACACTCTTCCTTCGATCTGGATATATAACATCCATACCCTTCGCCCCACATGGTGGTGTGGTGTGGTGTGGTGTACACAGCGTAGCTGAATACGGTACAACGCCTGTTTTGCCCGTTGGAAACACGAGACACACCCTTGGGAGTTGACGGATGCCGTTGGAGTATTTGATCACGAGCACAAACATGTCCACTCCACTTGAAACTGCGACAACCATCGCCGAGACCGATCCACGAAAGATGGCCAGCTACGACGTTGAATCCACCACAGCACAAGAGTCCAAGCTCGAGCTGGAGGGACAACAAGGACGTGCAAGCCTCGAGATTCCAGAACAAGGTACCATCATCGAGAACTATGTCGCTCCTCAGTCGTTGAAGAGCATCCTCAAGAGGCTGGCCACGGCCGGAGTTGAGCTGCGTGGGCTCGAGCCAGTCCCGCTCCAGGAAAGGACGCACACAAAGTACTACAACGTCTTTACGCTGTTTGGTGGTAGTTTCATCTCGCTGCTGCCGTAAGTCATGAAAACACTCACCATGTATAACTCGCCGAACGCTGACCCTCCGTGTGTCGCACAGGATTTCCATTGGCTCTACGCCGACATTGGTCTTCGGCCTGTCGTTCAGTCATGCTGCGGCCATGATTGTGACGATGCAATTTGTTTTCATCCTCCCGACGCTGTATATCCTGACTCTCGGCCCGCTACTCGGCATGAGGCAGTCGGTCCAGTTTCGATATGTCTTTGGGTTCGTTTGATCTCGATCGTCTAATCGTGGATCCACAATACACTAACAAGAAGACCAGGAAATATCCAAACATGCTGTTCTGTGTAATTGTGGTTGTCGAGATCGGTATCTTCGGTATCCTAGCTGCGGTCGGGGGCGCCGAATGCTTGTCCGCAATCAGACAGGGCACTCTTCCGATCGAAGGGTCCATCAGCATCATAATGGTTACCGCAATCCTGATCAGCTTCTTTGGATACAGATGCCTTCACTTAGTCTGTCAATACATCTGGATCCCAAACACCATTTGTATCTTGGCCTTGGTTGGTTGCGCTGCGAAAGGCCTGCAAAATCAGGCCGTTTCGGTATCAAACGGTATCGCAGGGCCATACTTGTCAACCCTGGCACTCTGTGCAGGCAATATGGCCACTTGGGGTACGATCGTCGGCGACTACTCATGCTATATGCCTCCCACGGCTCCGAGGGTGCGACTGGCTCTGTACTGTTTTCTAGGTCTTTACGTACCATTCACCCTGATGATGCTGTTAGGCGCTGCCATTGGTGGTGCCATACCTGCGAACGAGACATGGCTTGCGGCATATGGAACGGGCAGTTTCGGCGGTGTTTGTGGCGAAATCCTAATCTCGCGAGTTGGAAATTTTGGCCGCTTCCTCCTGGTCCTTCTGGGTTTCTCCATCGTCACCACTTCGGCACGAGACATGTACAGCATTTCGATCTTCGTGGTTGGGATCGTTCCTTGGTTGCACAGAGTTCCACGTATTTTTCTACTGTTCCTGGTCGCTGGAGCGATGATCGGGATCGGAATTGCAGCTTCTCGCTCCTTCCTGCCCAGTCTCAGCGCTTTGGTCAGCATTGCAGGCTACATCACCGGTCCAACAATCAGTATATTTTTGGTCGAGTGGTTCGTGTTTCGCAAAGGCAATCCCGCGACCATGGACCCTGCAATCTGGAACAACCGCAAAGCACTACCGTGGGGATATTCGGCACTGGTTGCGTGTACCGTGCCATGGGTGCTCATCGTTCTCTCCATGTCAACGACATGGTATGTGGGACCCATAGCCAAGAACTCTGGAGATCTGGCATATGAACTCGGCGCGGCGTCGTCCATTCTTCTGTATCTTCCCTTGCGGGCGGCCGAGGTCAAATACAGAGGCAGGCTGTGATACATAAAGACTATGCAGAGTACTGGGCGACGACCCTCAACTAATATAAGTGTCTCGCGTTCAATTCGTCGAATCATTTCACACAAGCCATTGATCGAACTCTGTAACATCTTCGAGCAAGCTGTTCCAGGGTAGCATAAAAGGAACCGGAGACAACGTCCCGTCCATGCTTGTGTCGAACCTCAGGTGATCGCGTGCGTTGGAATGCGTATCGTGCAAATTTGTCGTTGGGTCTGTGCTCCCAGTAGAGCTGACAATGTGCTGAAGACCAACAGGCAACGAAGCAAACCCTAGCACGTCATCCTCCGTCCCTGAGCGACTGGCAAGCATAGATGGTCGATGGTGCTCGTTATGCGGGCCGTTTTCGGACGACGATAGTGCTGGCGAGTCGGTGTTCTTCAGAAGGACATCTAGCAGATAGCGTGTCCACACAACGAAGGGCCACCTGTCCTGGAGCTGATCTAAAACGAGCATTGCCAGTCGTGCTCGACTTTCTGCTACCAGACGAATACTGCCTGACTGCTTTCGTAGATAGATGATGTGGACGAGTATTGAACAGAAGATGGCCGGAAAAGCAACATATGGCAATCGAACCACCAAGGCCGAAGAACTTGACAACAGGTCCTCCAACAGCCGGCAGATGGAACCTGCAGACTTGAAGTATGATTGCATTGCGGTAGAAGATGGCGCATTTATGTCCGGCAACAGCATCCGTTCGACCACGATTGAGTAGTCGAGATGAATTAGGCTAAGCACGGCAGGATAGAACCCTCTACTTGTCGTAAGGGAGCCATCCGCATCAGTGTTGTTGCTGGAAAGTGTGGCAGAAAAGCCCTTCAGCGCGTGCAGTGCTTCACTTTTCATCTCCGAGCTTGCAGCTGCAGAGTACTTTCCGATTAGGCATTTGTCGACGAGAATTGCAAGCCGGCAGTAATTGACCAGGAAGAGATTTGATTGTCCAGCATCTGGGTGCGTGGACTCCGAAGCTGGCATGTCACTTGACTCAAGAGCCTGAACATCGGTGTACTGTGAATGGATATGTGGCGGGCGACCAAAGACAGCAGCATGGTGAATGTCATTGATAAACAGCGCCCACCAGATTCTTTTCCAGAGCTTCTGTCGACCATCACCAAGGATCTGGTAAGATTTCCTAGCAGATTGCGTAAGTAGGTGCTAGCCCATACGACGAAGAGATACTTACGCTCTGTGCATGCCAAGCGCTTGCGCCAGGTTGGAGCTCACTCCCAACCAGTACCAGGTATCCTTCTGCTCCATTGGGCCTTGCCACCAGTTCATCAACAAGATGCATGCTTGAATGATAGCGATACCATCGGTCTCATAGTTACTGTCATGCAGAGCCTTGGCACGGTGGTAGAAGGTTGAGCAGGCAAGATAGCGACAATCGTATCCCAGGCTTTTGATTAGGTCTTCGGAACAGTGGATAGTGGAGACGCAGAACAAGGCATTCAGGACCAATGGTGAAATGTGATCTCGTTCGTATGCAGATGAAAATTCGGTCTTGTCAAATATTGGAAAGAAGGGATACACATAATCGAAAAAGACATCGATAAGCTCTTGACTTAGCGCGACTTCGGGCCAGTCCAAGGCGCCAATGCGTCGCAGATGCTCTTCATCTGCTGTGCGAAGAGCATCAAGCTTGGATCGAGTTGTCGAAGAGAGGCGATCCACAAGACTCTGCTGTAAATGATCGCCCCATAGTCTGCTACGTCCAAAGTTCTTGAAAGGATCGCCAACTTCATGAATGAGGTATTTCATGTTGCCGGAGTCTCCCATGTAGACAACGCGATCGCCATTTCCAGAACTACGATCGAAGACGAGATCTGGGAGAGACGGACTAGCATAGCGATGACCGTCCGCCACCTGCGCTGGTGATCGCGTATCGCTCGACACATCTGGTGAAAATGACACGGCAACGTCCCTAGACGAAACCCGGCCAGATACATCTCGTTGCTGCTGCGTCCTACCGGATCTTCTTTGATATCTAGATTGATGGCGGTCAACTCCCTGTCTCCAAAGGGGGAGAGAAAGCGGACAGGACGAGACTTACTTGCCGCGCCTTGACTCGATTAATTCGCATTCAAGATTGAGTAGTTGACAATTAGCACATGGCTGCCCTGCCAGCGGTCGCTGACATCTCACGCGCCTTGCATTGCAGCTCTTGCACGCAACTTTGGTTCGAGAACCTTGTTGGACCATACTGGTGCCACGACCTGTGCTCATGACTGCTTGTTCTTATACACAAGGTGCGTGGTGCGGTCGATAGCGAGGAAGATGGCTCCGGATGATAAGGAGCGAATGCGTCAAGGCGCCACGGGTCCACCACGTGATTCACTCTCGACGCTGTCAGTGATTTGGCCAAGTTCCATAGCAGCGTCTACATCGGCACGGAGGGAGAAGTTTCTGGACTTGTGTGAGCTCAATTTTGTGAGTATAATAACGTACGGGTGTGACTTGAACGACCCAAGGGCAGCAAGACATAGAACTGGACAGTGAAGCGAATCATTCGGAGAATTATATTGCCGTTTCCCGACATCCAGTACACCAACGTCAGCCTGCATCAAGTTGCAACTTCAATAGCCACCCAGCCTGACTGACCACCATCTATCTACCTGATGGACATTCTGAACCCAATCTTTACGACCAGAAATCCCCGTATTCGGACTGTAGAGACGACACACCAGAACAAAGCATACGAGTCTCACTTCCATGGCACCAGCACAGGGGAATCCCACAGTCCGGAAGAAGTACAACCCATCAGACCCGAATGTATGCCATTCATGTCGAGACTTCCAAGAGCTTGACTTCTCAAATGCGCCCAAGTCGCCGACACTACTACCCGCCTTTCGCAAGACTGCTGCAAAAGGGTGTCTGCGATGTAACGTGCTCGTTGCCGGGATCGACAAGTTCGACTACTTCTGGAAGGGTACGGAAGAGGACCAGACTTCATGGCCAGAGGAGGAGATTAGGATCAGCGTGTGGCCGCAGCAGGACGACCCTATGCAAATCATCCTCACACGCCGCGTCAAGGACGAGGAACGCTACGAGACTCTGGAGCTAGAGTTCTATTCTCATGCAGGTGAGTCCAATACTCTGATAAACACCTGTCAACCATCTCATGACTTTACCTACCTAGCAGACGAACCAAATCCGTTTCCCGAATTTCGCGCTGCCGGAGACGTGCCGGAATATTCAGACTCGGATGCATCCTTTGCGACGATCCGGGGCTGGATAGAGCTGTGCGAGTCTCAGCACGAAATGTGTAACATGCGGCAGACGTCGGACGAAATGCCAACGCGGCTGATCTACGTTGGGACAGAGGGCGACGCACCGAGACTGTGTCTGACGTCTGACATGGCACCAACAAAATACGCAGCATTGAGCCATTCATGGGGATCCAGAGAGTTGAGAAAGAAGCCCATCCCCAAGACAAACCGTGCCAACATAGGCAGTAGAATGGATGGTATCTCGTGGCAAGAACTCACAAAGACATTCCAGGACGCCATAATCATCACCAGACGCCTTGGACTCGGTCATATCTGGATAGATTCCATGTGCATCGTCCAAGACGATGAAGATGACTGGACGCTTGAAGCGAGCAGAATGGCCCTCAACTACCAAAACGCACATCTTGTAATAGCTGCAACGAGGTCCCAAACTGGCGACCAGGGCTGTTTCTCCAGACGGTCACCAAGCCATAGAATCAGCTTATCGGACGTCAAGGGTTATATCCACACCGTGTACGTGAAGAAGGAAATCTCCCATCGTGACTTTGCCGAGAGTCCGGCCACGTTCAACACCATGCCCTTGTTTGCCAGAGCGTGGGTGTTTCAGGAGCGCCTCTTAGCGAGACGTGTTGTCCACTACACGAAGAATGAGATCATGTGGGAGTGCAACCAGAGTCTATTCTGTGAATGTCAAGGCATCGAAAGTGGCAGAGACTGGTCTCATGGCAAAAACACCGGTAACTTCAAGCTGGACCATGGTAAGCTACTCGCCGCCGGAAGTAGCACGTTGAGACGATATCAGCACTGGTCCAAGATAGTTGCCGAGTATTCCGTGAGGTCTCTCGCCTACGACAGCGATCGCTTGCCGGCCTTGTCCGGTATCGCAGGCCAGATGCATTCACGGGAGATGGGTCGTTACCTAGCAGGGATTTGGGAAAACTCGCTTCCACAGGCGTTATTGTGGAAGACAATGGTGGGCATCGTAGAGAAGAACTGGGAGAAAAGAAGGCCTACCGAGTATAGAGCACCTTCTTGGTCGTGGGTATCGGTAGAGGCCGAATGTCGAACGTGGATTCCAGATTCCGAGGATGAAGCCACCTTCCACTGCCGGATACTGGACGTGCAATGTACGCTGGCCAGCCATGACCCGCATGGACATATCTCAGACGGTTTCCTCGTGCTTTCTGCGCCAGTGTTTTGGGCCAGATTCAAGTACGAACAATGGCGCGATAATCGAGAAGAGCCCAAATATATGCTTCATTTCAACGGCCAATCTGAAATGCTCGCGGAGGATGTGCCACTCGAGAATAAACAAGATTCAATCCCGGACGAGTCATCAGTATTGGTTGCTGTCATTGTGAGTAGGTTGGTGCCTAGTGAGGCTGATAGACACAAACCTCTCTGGAAAGGCATAGTACCAAACCGGCGGTGGGAAGGAATCGCATTGAAGGATTCCCCGCGACGCAAGCACGCGTACGAGAGAATCGGCAGTGTAGGTGGACGCTCAAAACACCTCCCAGACCAGCAAATAATGGATATTACGATTGTGTGATGTTAAGGAGGAATCCAAGCGTAGATTCTTCCTTATTGAGCGTTCTTCCAGGATGTTGGATGCCTGCCGTTGAGACCCATTAGAAATCGCTGTTCTGGTGGGATAAACTCAAGAGATGCGAGTAAGTAGTCGTCAGATTTCAGAAGAAGAGCAAGGATGAAATTCGTAAATCAATGATAAGGATTCTGCAGAATAGTGTCAGTATGAGCTGCGGGAATACTTGGGGAACAGGAACCAACCTTTTGGCTTACAGCCCCATTTCCATCCTCAGAATTCCAAGCACTAATCTGAAACGTGTGTTAAGTAAGGGGCAATTTCCAAGTACTATAATGAAGCTCGCTTGAAACCTCGCTAGCCGTTACAGAGGCATTTTCCGGTCGACATAATAATCACCCTGAAACTCGGCGGTGGAGGCGAGCCTATCGGCAAAGCTTTCACTTCAAGGTAGTCCATCATGAATTCATGGCTGTCAGGTCAGAGCCGAGTCGAGCGCTTAGAAACGATTAGGTGTCCCGTTTTCCAGAAGTCCAAAGCGGGAGAGGTATATTCAGACACCTCTCTTGGTGCTTGATCCACATGCGGCAATCATGTCAAGAGATCGGCAACGTTCATGGGCATCTCGTCGATTTGAGTCGAGTAGTAGAGCTCAATGTCTCGCAAGATACGCACATCTTCGCTAGTGACGAAATTGATGGCGACTCCCTTTCGACCAAAACGACCGCTTCGGCCAATTCTGTGGATGTAGTTCTCTCGGTTGCTTGGAAGGTCGTAGTTGATGACAAGACTAACTTGTTGAACGTCGATTCCACGAGCCCAGACATCGGTGCTGATCAAAACTCGACTGTTGCCCTGTCTGAAGTCGGACATGATGCTGTCTCGCTCCTTTTGTGGCATTTCTCCGTGCATGCTACTGACGGTAAAATTGGCCTCTCGCATCTTGTCGGTCAGCCAGTCGACCTTACGTCGAGTATTGCAGAAAATCACAGCCTGCGTGATTGTCAAAGTATCGTAAAGATCGCACAGGGTATCAAACTTCCATTCTTCCTTTTCAACTGCGATGAAATACTGTTTGAGCCCTTCCAATGTGAGTTCGTCACGCTTCACGAGGATTCTGACAGGGTCCGTCATGAACTTTGTGGTCATGTCAAGAACATCGTATGGGAGCGTTGCGGACACAACTACGACTTGTGTTGCAGGTGGTAGGTATCGATAGACATCGTAGATCTGCTCTCTGAACCCCCGGTTAAGAAGTTCATCGGCTTCGTCGAGAACGAGCATTTTGATGTGTCTTGTACGGAGATGTCTTCGTCGAATCATGTCCGCAACTCTGCCCGGCGTACCGGATACGACATGTTGACCATAGTCGAGTTTTCTGATATCTTCACCAACGTTGGTTCCACCAATACATGCGTGGCACTGGACATTCATGTAATCTCCCAAAGCCATGATGACGCTTTGGATCTGGGTGGCGAGTTCTCGAGTGGGGGACAACACCAAGGCTTGAGATTGTTAGCGACGTTCCCATTCTCGATGCCCAGTTACGTACCTTGAGTCTCGCGAACTGATGTTTCCAGAACTTGTAGAATACTGATTGAGAATGTCGCGGTCTTGCCGGTGCCTGATTGCGCCTGCGCAATAGTATCTCTTCCCTTGCAGATCTGGACGATCGCTCGTGATTGCACGGCAGAAGGCGACTCGTATCCGTAGGCGTAGATTCCGCGGAGGAGATTTTCCTTGAGGTGCATGTCCTCGAAGGTTGGAGCGACGGTTACTTCTTTGGAGGTCGAGAACTCCATGCGGTCTGTGTTTGAGCGTGAGCGCGAATCGGAAGCAGGAAGAGCGCTTGACACTTACCATCCGCATTCCTATCGATACCCTCAGCCATGTTGAGTTGCAGTTTCGAATATCGTGGGGCTTGTGTGTGAAGTTTTGATGAAAATCGATCTTGTCGTTCGGGTTTGGCGTCACAAAAATGTATGGCCAAAAATTGACCGGCGCTCCGCCGCTTTTGGCGTCGGTTTTTCCGGGGCACAGGATATACTCGCCACACCTTCTCTATCAGGACGCAGTGTCACTTAAAGCTTCCATGCACTGCATCGATAGGAAGCAATATGGATTATCATTCAACGGCCGTCCCTCTTCCCAACGACTTCTTCTGGCCTAACGTTCCTCAGGGAATCTTACACCAGACCAAGTCCAGGAAATGTATTTTACGTTGTAACAACCATTCCACCCTTCAACCACATCAGGTGCGTCTCCAGCACAGGCGTCGCCCTACAGGTCTAGCCATAGTGACTACAATCGGTGAATTGGGAGAGGCAGTTTGAGCGGTAGGACAAATCCCCCTGAATGTTGAGCCTGAGCATGGAGTCAATGGAGTCTAGGAGAAGGGCTTCGCTCATCACCGACGGACTGCGATAGTGTATTCGGGTCTTTCAGCACCGTCCTGGAGCTGCCCTTCCATCTCATCAGACTCCATGCAGAACAGTCGCTCAGCCATATTTTCCATTCTTCTCCTGCCAAAAGGCCACAGGCAAGACCCACCCCAAGAAGCGCGAACCAAGGGGGAAGTACGCTTTGCAAAGAATGATTGATCGAAGTGTGAATTGAAGCAAGGGATGAACTCGCCACTCACGCTGCAGACACTCTACCCTCATTTCAATGCGTCCACACCTTGCACCTACTTTCACGTCAAACATCTTGATACTCTACCTTTCGACTCACAAGTCCACAGTGGTGGATTGGCTGGTTCCCAGTTTCTGCTCTGTGTGGCCGTACTCGTACTCGTACTTCTGTCTGACGGGGCTTCGCGACTAGAAGGGATAAGAGTACGAGTAGGCAATTCCCATCTTTGACTCAAGCTCGACTTCTTACGTCAGACACACCCTTATCTCCCCAGGTCACATTGCTTTATTCGTACTCGTAGATGCACTCCGACGCTGGTACATCTCGATTCGACGACTAGTCCCATCTGACTAACCCGAAGCTGATCTCAACGAAACCGCCTTAGGGAAGAGAGAGAAAGACGTCTGGACGCCACAGGCCGTCGGTCGACTTCGTAGCGTGGGGGTTGAACCACACTTGTACAAGTAGAGCTCCCCTCTAACCGTTTAGTGCTGGGAGACTGTCTAGCAACGCTTGTGCCCTTTCGATTTAGTCACCCCTTGGTACGATGAAGAGATCAGGCTTGCCTAGTGACCTTACAAGCTTGTAATACAGGGTTTAACGTGTACCGACTTCCACCTTGTAGATGCACAATGAGAAGAGAGAGCACAGGGGTGAGTTGAACAAGCGAGAGTAACCAAGTACCGAAAACAGACCTCGCAACAGTAAAGCCCCCATATTGTAGCCACATTGGCGCAGACTCAGGTAATTTGGTAATTATGTGCAAATAAGCTAAAGTTGACTGGGATCGTGCGAGCACCTGTACATGTAGAGCGTATGCTCGGGTTGTACTCCTTACTCCGTCTCTACCTAAGTACCTGGTAGTCGAGAAGTTTTGCTTAAACAAAACAAAAAGAGCGATATGGGCTCAGCGTGGACGATAACGATGTATTCGGTATCCGTAGGTATTTGCGTGCACCTACATTGTACGTGACAGGGCGGGAATACGACGCGGTATGTAAACAAGTTGGCTTATTCGGCCTTCCGACTCCGGGCTACAATATTTTCCTCTGCATGTGCAATCTGAGCAAAGATCGGATGTGTGATGACCGTACAGTACTCCGTACCGTGCACAGTACAGTACAGAACTCACACATAATAATGGTTGCATTGCAGGGCCGCCGAGTTCCACATGCACTGTACAGTGCGGAGTCCTCTCCGTATTTTCTGCAGCAATAATGTCGGAGGTCTCAAAGCCCGAATGCAAGCATGTCCAACGCGCCGTCAGAGCCGAAGGGCAGCAAAATCCGCAGTCCAGCACCCACAACCCACAGTGCAACAGGCGAATGGCGCATAAAACCGCACTGACAGCGTGTCTCGTCTGCCCATATCCGGAATTTTTAATCGAGCTGGGTGACGCATGGAGGTGACGAAGAAGAAGCGAGAGGCGTGCAAATTCTTCGTGTTCAATCAGCAGCAACGGGCACGCCGAACGACATGCAGTGTGGCTGGCTGCATACTGTACGGAGTAGCATTCTTTTGGAGGAAAGGGGTTCTGCTTGAGAGAAGGGGGCTTGACTGCGTTGCGACCGACGCATAAACGACCCTTGGGGGCGCGTACTCCATACTCCGCAATCTGGAGAGGGTGTGGGTGGCACAATCTCGCTCCCAGACTGCGATGGGTCTGAGATCTTCAGATGATAGATGTACTACAGAAAAAAAGGCCTCCCAGACCAGAAAAGGAGAAGTTCTGAACTTCCGAACAGAGACCAAACAAGCAAGGTCAATTTTTCACGGCGGATGAAGGTACGGAAGGTTCGGACTTCATCTCTACAGCAGACTGCATGCAGCGTACCTAATTTAGATGGAGCGCCCAGCAAGCGCCTACAGTATGCGCTAAATAGTACTGTGCGGCTGAAGGAATGTCGGGGTTCTCTGGCGCACTGCACCTGCAAGTTGCAGTGGCCACTGTAACACTGGTGACTCCTGAGTCGCAACGCCTCATCTACCCCATCATCTCGCTAAGAGGCATGGCCTAGTCAGCCGCTAAAATGTTGTGATTTTGGTTTGTCTTGGGTCTTGTTGCATGCCTGTGGCCCTCGGGGATCCCATGCGCACATGATATAGCCTCAGGTTAGTAGGACTGAAGAGTCAAGACACTAGGAGACTAGGAAGTACACGAAAAATCAAGCTGCTCGAGAGTCCACTGTTGTCTCCGTACCCAGAGTTACTCTCTGGGTGTCGCGGTTTTAGGTGCCCAGCGCCCCAGATTTCGACCCCGCATATCACATTGCGGCGCCGGCGACCAAAAAGTGGATGACAAGCAAAGAAAAAAAAATTAAGTTTTCTTCGGCGCCAGGGATGGTGAGTTATAATGGGGATTCATTCCTCAATTAATGCAGGACCGGTTCAGTCGAGGAAATAATGCAAGGGCAAAGACAGGACTTTGCAAGACCTGCCGGTCGTGACTAATGGATACGAGCGGATACGAGCATCCAGGCTCACCAGGCAGCTCTTACAGGGTTTCTACTGCCAACATTGACTAAAAGCTAACCATGGTCGACCCGTTAGACGGCCAGCAGCACCCCAGGCTGAGTTCGCGGTCGGCGGGCGCCTGACCTTGTCTGCCTCATACTGTTGCTGGGGAGTCCGTGTTCTGGAGATGTGTCGACAAGTACGGAGTAAACTGTACCTGTTCGTGCAAAGTGTCAGTTGACAAAAAGGTATGGTTGACAGCCATCAGCACTCGAAGAGGCGCACCCCTTGCAAGGGTCTGTTGAGCAAAAGGTTGGCCGGCGCCGATCGCGACAAAAGATGTGCATGCAGCCGCCTCTCTCCGGAGTACATGCTTTTTCAAACCATGTTTGGACATTCTGGTCATCTGAGAGGCACAAGATGATCAAACTCGAGGCTGGTACCCCGCCACCACTGTCGGTGGTGGTTGAATGACGATTCAAAGCAGCCTGGTGAGTAGTTGACAACTACGGCTACATCTTCCAAGTGAGTGAAGTGACTGCTAGACCTCACGGTGCAGATCCCCCCACGCAAGAGGAGACGAGCGACTGTCTTCCGGGACAGGTCTCCGGTGTGATAACACCTTCACTCATTCCGATGACCGAAGCTATGTTTGTTCGTGCAATTGTCGTGGAGGCATGGAACTTGCTAACCTTGTAACGGACACGCCCCTCATGCAATGAGAAGCAACTCTTCCCAGTTTAGTGATGAAGGGATTCTTCCTTGCGTCGTAGCGCACCGTAGACCAGAATGCAGGAATGATTGAGCCCGTCTGCACGGTTCACGGGACGGCAGGGAACGGTACGTATGCTGATTGAGCGATGGACCTTAGAGTTTCACAGTCACGCAAGATAGCCTTTCTACCAGTGCACTGATACCGCCCAGCTGATACCTAGGTATTGATGTCAGAATACGGCTAGAGCTTACTCCCTGACTAGGTACTAGGTTGTATCTGCTGTGCGTAGACTGTAAGCGGCGGGATATGCAAGGGGCGGTTGACATCTTTGAATGCATATATGACAACTTTGTAGTTGGCACGACGGTCTAAGCAGGTATGCAGCGATAGTGTTTATCGAGGGGATATTAGGGCTGCACTCGAAGTGGAAAGACGAGATGCATGAGAGGGGCGGGAATGGTCTTGGATCAGAGCACAAACAACAGTAGGACTTAGGTTGTAGGACTTAGGTTGCATAGGCAGAAGCGACTAGCAGGCCTGCAGCAAGGACCACATCGGACATGTTGTTTTTGGTTCAAAGCAGGCCCTCTTGGACACTGCAACGTTGTCATTCTGGGGTCCCGAGCCTCTTGAGCCCTTGGGACATGTGATAAGATACCTATGTAGATGGTCTGTCTGAGGTTCCCCTGAAAAGATAAGAAAATCAAAAGTCAAGTCGTACGGTCGGTTGAAGATGAACAAAAGAAAGATAAAAACGGGTGAAGAAGTAGAGAGTACTGTGCTCCGATGGTCGGACAAGCTCTTGCATCCTGGTTGATGCAATCAAGCCCCATTCTCAAGGACCATTCTCCGTCCTGTCCTTTCCATCCTTGAACCCCAAACACAATCAAGTCCATAGCAGCGTCAACACCAACCTATTCTTGATCTGGTGTGATACACAATCTCAAGGCAACGCCCAGCAAACTCTTCAATCCCAGATCACATGCATAACGGTCCAGCCATCTAACGCTTCATGCAAAACAACAGCGAGTCCCAATACGATGCATGTCTCCCTGCTCAAATGCTTCATCGACCCACTCCAAGTGTTCGTCTTGGTGGTAAAAAAGAAAAAAAAAGAGTAACGCCAAAGAATGCTTTTTCAGTTCCCAGTACCCTGATCCATGCGTCCTAAGAAAGAGTAGGTATAGAGGTTCTCCAGCGGCCATCATCGTGTCGTGTTCCCGTACAATCGTGGAAAAGTCAAAAGTCGTAGTGCATAACAAGGTATCGTGTATTAATTGCTCTGCATAGAGACTCGTCGTCTAAGGGTTCTTGTCTGATCAAATGATCCCACATAGTCCTTCAAATCGTTCTGTGCTTGCTCAGAGATCTTGGGAGAATGGGGGCGGGACGTCGTGGAAGAGGAGGCCAGTGAATTTGAAGAGTTTGTTCGGTGTACGGAGAAGTCGTAGGCTGGAGGAAGGAAAATGCCGTTGGTTGAAATAGTCATGGAAGGCCTGTGTCGTGTGGTGGAGGTGGTGGTGGTGTTACTGGAGGTAGAACTGGCCGAGTTTGCCAGGGTAAACTGGTCAAGCTGGGTGAGGCGACAGGCAGAGGAACAGAAGGCAGTTCCGTTCGTCTGTCTGTCGCAGGACAAGCAGAAGTCTCCGAGGAGGAAGTCCATGGTTGTGGAAGTGTGGTTTGAAGTGCAACCGTAGAGGTAGCGGGAGATGTGAGGAGGATCGGGCTGTTGAAGGTAGATGGCTGGTATATATATGCAGAGAGTCGAGCTCCAGTCCACGGATACTATTGCCTTGAGATGGCAGTGAGGGTGTGGACGGGAAGCCAATCGAGAGGTCACGCAGGCAGGAGTATATCTCGCCAAAGGCTGACGGCTGATATGTTCGATGGAGGTGTGGGTGGGACCTCTCGAGGCTGAAGTTGAATTGCAGAAAAAGAGAGGTGTCGATGAAGAGAAAGCGAGATCTGGACAAGATGAGAGACTGTTGTTATGCAGGAAGGGGAGATGGCTGTTTAGATAAAGGAAGTTGTTTGACTCGTCCACGCCGTACGAGTACTGGAGGACAAGATGTGCCATGGGGAGGATTGACGACTTCGCCGCAGGCAGGCCCAGTGATAGGCCTGCTAGGCCCAAAAGATGGCTGCAGTGGCCGCTTAGGCTATGCCTGTTCCAGCGCAGACCCCGCTCCTGTGCTGAGAGGTGTTTGTGCTCCCCATGCCCTCGTTTTTTTGGACCAGCCTAGGGACAGCCTAGAGACGCCTGCGCTCTCCACCCTCCCACACAATCAACCATCCATCATCCAACACACCCTCACCCTGGCTGCCTCTCATCATCTGATTAGCCTGTCGTTGTCTGACTGCTCCTCCCTCTCAAGTCTTTGTGCTCGCCACACCCCGGTCGTCCTCTATGCAGCTAAGCAAAAATCTTTCCTATCGCCAAAGCCAGGGCCTGACCAAAGCCCCAATCCTCCCTTACCTGGCCGCCCACGCAATCAAGGCACCGCCCAATCATGCCTCTTTTCAGGCCGCCGCTTAGCTGGCCACTGGAAGCTCAAACCGTGGATTTCAGGGTCGTGGAGAACGCTCATGCCAGAGTGTGCCCTGCAAAAGACTGACTGCCACGAAGCCTTCTGGAGCCACAATCTGATGCCCTCGTCCTTGCCAGCCAAGCCGTCTCGTCTGAGGCAGAAACGCTCCGCGGCATTCCTCATGCTGTACGAGCCACGAGGACGAGTAGGAAACCATCAGGCACGCCTTGCACCCTGAAACACTTGATTGGTTTTGTCCTAGATCTGAAGCAAGTCCGAGCGGCAGAGTGGTTTCTCATCGCTGACCATGGGCTCTGACGGGCCATTTTCCGATGAGAATCAATCTGGTCATCAGCGCGTAGGCGAGTACTGTCGAACACGGAGAAGGCTCTCCAGCACTAGTACTACGTGCGAGCACGGGCTATCAGAAACCATTTCCCTGGCCATGTGCCCTACTGTTTGCCATCAGTGTGGAAAAAGTGTGGCAGAGTCTAGACACCATCCAACAAGACGCCTTTCGTTCTTTTGTCCGGGGCCACAGCTGTCAAGCTATCGGGGCTTAAGTATGATTCGACGACTAATAGCCGCTATCTCCCACACCATCAAAATTTGTACCCCAGCGTGTGCAGCACCTCATGCACATGGTCCCAAGCTTTCGCTGATCTGAGTTTGAAGTGCGTGGGATGTCAAGCGCCTGTGAATGGCTCAGTCACACCACAAGTGGCCTGCAGCAAGGTTGGCCACCTCCGATGCACTGACAAAATTTTCTCCCGGTGGTGAGGCACTTTACACCTGTCAATATTCTCAGCGACATCGGAGAGAGTGCGATGAAGCTCATCATTTTCGTGGTCACAACACTCCGGAAACATAATCAAGAGACACGGCAATTCTCGACGGGTCGTAAACTTCTTTCTGGAATGTGACAAACTCTTTCCTCAGGCAAGGAATGGTCTTCTCAGTGAACGACGTCAGTGTGCGACTTTTTCCCTGTCGCACTTCTCCATGGCCTGCGCACTACGAGTATCCAGTCAAGATGTCGATTGCTGCCGTGTTCTGCCCAAGCTAGTCGAGATCATTATCTTGACTTCGCACTGATCGCCCTTAGGGTGAGACCAGAGGGCATTAGGGAAGAGCCGTCCGGACTCCTCACGTTATTGTGCAGTAGTGTCCAAGTTCCCTGGCGCTATTTTGCAGCGGGGTATCAGTACGATGTCTTCCACTCAGCTGCTCCTTTGACGTGTTTGTGCAACAAAGAAGCGTTCAACACACAGGTTCTCGGATGACCCGGGCGGCAACCTGGCTTTTGTTTTCTTCTTCCAGCAACCCATATCGCCATTCATTTAACCTGCGGCCATTTGACTTTGTCTGCTGATGCTGGGAGGCACGCGGGAGCCATGAAATCGAAAATCACGCTTCGGCTCGTGGACGGACTCAGCCGTTTGTCGCGGATCTGAGCTCCACCACTAACAAGTTAATCATCCCGCCGCTCGATTCATGATGGTCTAGCAACTGGAGCAACCCTGACTTTTGTTGCCATTGTATAGGCCCTGTCGACAAATGCTCTGCCGCTCGCTCATACAAGTACCAATAATTTCGCCAACGTCGATCAAGCGTCAAAGCTTGGGCACCTGGACAATCCAAGCTACAAATCAAACGCACCACTAGCCTTAGCTCTACGAGCAATAACACCTTGAGCCAGGGCGACCATTTCGCATTTGCTTTAAGCATGACCTTGACCTCCCAACCCGCACGCTCATGTTACGAGCGAAACCCCGATCTATTTGTGCAGTACGCTAGTCTCTAGCCTACCACGTTAGCATCTGACCAGCAATTCTACCCCGCCCATTCTGTCTATCGAGCTAATCTTTCGCCATCCCCAGAGTGATGCTATGCCGAACAAGAACTTATAGCGCAATTCACTTCGCCAATAGAAGAGCACCACTGCATCATGCATACATACAACAACTCCGGACGCTCATATAGCCAGTATCAATATTCCCTGGACGGAGCTCGACAAATACAAGTGTTTCCATAGCTCTACTCGTGGCTACACGTCTATCAAGCTATTTCCGCTGCCAGTCGTCGATCGCCGTACAAATGAATGCCTGTGCACTGGAAGCCACAGGAGTGCTCTGTTGCAGAAGGTGGTTAGCTTCGACGACAGGGTCCAAGTCCTGCATACCAATTGACATATCTGCTGTCGCACTAAAGGCATAGTCTCAAACTACATTGAAGTGTCTTGGAAGTCTAAGCTGACACTTTGATCAACCGTGCCAAGAGGGCCAAACACGAACTGCGACAAACCCCACGCTATTGACTAGTCGACCGAGGTATCTAAATCGCCCAACGACGACACCAGATGCGCGATGTTATCAGTGCGAATGTCCTAAGCGGAGCGCGCTGAAATTGGAGGGAACCGCGCATACTCCAATTTCCTAATAAGTCTGGCTTGTTTTTTGAAGCCTTGAGCTGCACTTATCCTCCTGACCACAACGAATGTCTGTGCACTAAGCTATATTTCGCAACAAGCGAGCTTTCATTCCAGCCGTCAACTGCATACCCATCAGCGTTCCGACATCCTCACTTATGACATGTTTCAAACCATCAGGAGGGGGGGTGTGAAGCCTCCCGAGGCAGTTCTAGAAGACAAAGCAAAATATTAATGGATGAGTCCTTGACAATGTCGCCGACACATGACCATATTGCTATCCATACCTCTCAGCTTTAGGCTCGTAAACCGCGCTAGTCCCGCTTTCCAGACTTCGCACTGAGCCACAAGGTACGTCAAATCATTTCGCGTGAGGGTGGTCATCAAGAGCGTCAAGCTGTTGAAGTGATGCGCAAGCCCAGATGAGTCAGACGCCATAAACCCCATCACCACGACGCCAGGAGCTATCTATACGGAGTATGACGGAGTATCCTCGCCGGCACGACGGAAGCTAATCGCGCCGAGGCTGGGTCTTGCCGTTTGCTCACCATACTGCTCTGTTACGGCGGCTTACCACAATTGTCATCAGCTACCACAATATCTCGAATCATCCCGTGCGGTACGCCATAAGGCCAAGGTCACGATCCGGGCCTTTCCTGTCGCTATAGCTAGTGCTGACTACATATTTCCCTAGCGAGTTCTCGGCGCTCGTCCGAATACCCAGATACAGACGTCAGCCTGCTACTAAGAGAGGAAACACTCCGGAGCATTCCCCTGAAATGACGGCGATTTAGGGGAATAACCAACCTTATGTGGACGTACCCCTTGCAGACAAAGTGATCGTTCATCAGAAGGGTGTCATTCGGTTCGTTTGGACGTTTAGTCATCATGACCCCGGAGCCGACCTGAGAAGCAAATCAAGGTCGAGACCGATGTTGGCCGAATCAGCTTATCCCCGGGACTCGCGGTCATCAGCACTTACAGAACGCACAGTTCTTTATTGTGACTAGTGGGAACCACTTTCCCTTGGTGCCTGCAGCAAGATGACGCAGCTTCGAACGGTCATGTTACTGTCTATAGCAAAATGTCATCACAAGCGTGTTCGACTTTTGGCTGCCCATGACCACGGACCCCCAATTTTCTGCAAATCTTCCGAGTAATCATTTCTCGCAGGTCTCATCATCCCGTAGTGCTGACCCCTGAATAGCCCAAGCACCATCTTGTACGGTACGCAAGAACACACCGCATGGTGACGAATTCTCCCTACTTGGTCCCCAGTATCCAAAAACCCCTGCATGGCTCATATCCTGGTCGAGCAGCGTCTAATCCAAGTCACGCTCAGTTCCATCAAAGCGGAATGTGAGGCCGTCCAAAACCTCGCTTTGCGTTGTTATCTTGCATCTCACGACCTCATACTTGTCGGTTTCATAGAACCTCAATGCATCCTCCTCAGGACGAGATTGGACGAGGAACGCACTTCCACTCACGATCTCACCGGGCGCGTCGACCAGCGCCTTGTATCTCCCTGCCCATGTGCGGACGCGACCACCAGAGACTCGAGCCGGAATGTAAGTTGGTGTATCTTGGAGCCCAAGATGTTGAGAAAGCACGGCGGGTTCGGCAAGCGTGCCGTAGAAGAAGTACCAGACTGGGTACTGGCCGGGTAGAGGGGTTGGCTTGAACGCCGCATCGTCAGGGCGGTTCTGAGGAAGCGTGGGCTCATTTCCGAGCATTGGCGCTTGAGTGTTCCGACACAGCTCCTTCTTGGCCTTGGAAAGTCGCACAATTGTTGGCTTGAAGCCACCACAGTGGTGCTTCGCTGCCCACGACAAGAGCCTAGTCTTCGCGGCACCGTCGATCTCGCAGAACTGTGCTTGTCCAGACTCCCCTACGCCACTGACCAGCGCAGGGATCTTGTTGAGTGAAGCGGCTTCCTGAAGAGTTTCAGGCGTATGTAAGGGCCCGGCGAGCTGGACGATGTATGATCCCTTGTCGTCGTCATATTGCCGACAGACGTCGCGGGTTTGAGGCCGTGCGAGATAGTATTCGAATGCTTCGCGGTCGTAGCCCTCGGCCAGCTTCTCCGCTTTGACCGTCTCCCACAGCTCATCCGAGATTCTGGCCCTGGTGAAGTCGTTCCGGTATGCCTCTAGTGCTGCGAAGGCCTCCGAAAAGGTGAATCCGAACAGCGTTTGCCATCTCTCCACATCAACGTCGGGGATGTCCTCTTCTGCTGCAACATTGACGGCCATACTTTCGAGTTCTGCAATGATATCCATGGCTTCGTATCTTGTTCGTTATGGTTGGTCGTAGTCCGTTGGTCGTAGTGGTCGTAGTGGTCGCAGCTGCGGGTCTGCTCCCGCGTGATCTGATGTGGAAGAAGGCAGAGGGAAGAAGGCAAATGAAATAGACCTTAGATGCTGAACTGAAAACTTACTCTGTTGACGAGGACCTTGAACCTTCTGCCGGGGCCTGCTGCCTGAACGTGTTCGGTAGGCGGAGGTAACCCGCGGTACGTGATGCCTCGAAAAAAGCTAATGGAGTGACTGGAAAGCCAACATTGGTTGGAATCCAATACAATATACACACTAGACCTCTCGCCCGAAAGCCTTACCTTTGTCTACTTCATCGCATGCCACGGAGGCAGTCAATCGTCGTGTCGAGAGCTATTCTCTTCACGGCGCTATAACCACAGACTTTCTACTGGTCTAAACCTTCGAATATATTGACCCACTCCTATACTCTCTCTCCCTTCGGGGCCTCTCATAGCTAGGTAGTTTCGCGACCGGGAAGCATTATGGTATTCCATACAGTACGCAGTAGAATGCATGTGATAGGATAGGATGACTTCCCACAGGTAAAAAAGGAGAAAGCCAGGGAGACCAGTCTATGGTTTCCTTCAGGAACCCGGGATATGGCCAGGGGGGATGTTGTCAGTGACTGTAGCAGAAGATTATAGGAAGACTTCTGATTTCTCGTCGCGACTGCCTGCACAAGGTGTTATTGTTTCCATTCAATCAGTTTCCACGATGTCGTCACATTCTCCTTCCTGTTCTCCCTCAAGTACGGTCTGAGTCAGTCGGCGTGCTGGCGTGCGCTCTGATGCCATCGACGACCGACTCTCCTCGTTCCTTTCGGCGTTCTCGACGACTAGGGATGTTGAGTGAACCTTTTTCTTCTGTCCTCCCGAACCCTCCCTGGACAAGCCGGGCAGCTGCCCGCAATTACCTTCCTTTCCGTTTTGGAGCCGAATTCGAGCTGATCCTGAGGACGACATCAATGAAATACCCCGATGTCGACGCTCCTACGCGCTACACGTGATTTCAATCTTCAATTTCTTAATCATAGTGCAAAGATACTCTCGGCGGCTGGACTTGAATGCAATGTATACTATCAGGGGTCCGACGAAGGGTCCAAATTATAATGCTTGGGATGCTACTCTGGGTGCCACTATATCGAAAAAGCATATTTCAGACGGCTTTTACCCAGTAGAAATTGTGTCGCCCATTCTCCTGGCTGATGAAGGTTGGGTGCCTACCATCAACAAGTTTTGGGATGCTCTTCAAGCTCATTTCGAATTTCAACAAGATGCATCGTGCGGCTCCCATGTACATATAGCTTGGCACTGGATCATACTCGGATGCCCGACTCAGGGCCATGGCCAAAGCAGCTGTGTTTTGGGAGCCGGCGACCGCCCGGTGTGCACCCATCTCTCGACAAGACAAAATTTAGGGGTTCTGCAAGAGCAACATCGCCAACACCAGTGCTGCCAATCAGAGGATCCAGAGGCACTGCATTTTACCATGACTAGTGTCAGCATCATTCATAAGTTGCAGCGAGTCGATCATCGATACCGCTTAAGCGAGAACGCTTGAAGATTCTGTCATTTAATACTTGTATTGCTGGGATGAAAGTCTGTCTTAATGGGGATTAGGGATAACTTGGTAGCAATCATATGGATATTCACACAGACTCAACGTCCGTATCATCCCGCAGTGTCTTTCTCTGTCTTGTCAGCCTCCACAGCCTCATCTTTCCTCCACTTTCTCTTGGGTCGACCATGCCACGCGGCCTTGACTCGGCGATCCCATGGCGGCAGCTTTGCGACTCTAGGAAGTCGTTCCAAGAGACGATGATTCTTACGTAGCCGCGTAGGAGTCGAGGGCGAGGTTGAGCCCGGGACGAATGCCTGAAGCCTCCCATGTCTTTTTGGCTCTTGAGGCAGAACCTGGGTATTTCGAGCACGTGTAGCCCTTCGAGGCTTTTCACCTGCATCTTGCAACGACCTGTCGAGTTCTTCGCGCAGCTTTCTCTCTCTTTCGACACGCCTTTCTAGACTCGCGTAGAAGGGGTTGAGGAGAGCTCCTGGTGGAAGATCTGTGTGTCTCGGTTCTTTCAACTCTGTAGTACTGGTAGTATCTGGCTGGCCGAACCAGGAGTCGCTGACGGTTCGCAGACGTGATGCATCACGGCGGATAACGTCCATAGTGTCGAGCAATCGCGCTTCATGTTGGTAGATCCGTTCCTGATACTCAAGATCGTTCTCATGACGATCTTCTCGGTCGATGAATTGCGGCGATCTGTCAACCTGCCCTTCGATCCGCTCCGCTTGTGGGACATCATCGTCTCGATCATACCTTTGTCCGTTGATGATTTCATCCAGATTGCCCAGCTCACCTACGGGAACATGGTCGAGCGGTGAAAAGCTGCCCAGCACACCAGCCCGGTCCGGTGGCGCAGAGTTACGAGGCCGTTTCGGAATGTCTCCAGCAATCTTGAAATCGCGAAGGAGAGTACCCTGGAATTTGTCTTTGAGTCTTGGGATCCGACGGATATAGCGGTACGTCTCAGGTGCGGCAGTCGACAGTTCCAGCATTAGTGCGTCGTCGCCTAAGCGGGTTCGGACACCACTCTTCTTGAGAACCGTGGCAAGACAGACAGCGGTAAGATAGGTCGGCATGGGTAGATCCATATTAACCTTCTCTGCATCCTTCCGCCGCACAAGCTTCTTGGCTCCGGCCTGTAACTCAGAATCATTCGGGATCAGAGCCTTCCCACGAACAAGCAGGCGCCACGCTGGAGCAGACGTGTACATCTTCTCCTCAAAGATTCGAAATGCTTCCACCCAATGCCGCCAATCTCGAGATCGGGTTAACGTTTGAATATAAGCGTTCCAATTGCTATTGGACAAAGAAAACCCGGCCTTTTGGAGTAGTTCCACGATCACGACTGCATGATTGTGCCGATGCTGAAAGTCCAGAGCTCCGAGATAAATATTAATGGCATCTTTCAGGATGAACCTTTGTGCTGGGAGGATGTTCGAAGAAAGGGAGCTGAGCAGGATTTTGCTTTCGTCATCAGATGTTGTTCGTGAAGCAAAGTCGGGAATCATGGAACTAAATTCTGAACCAGGCTCGGACTTCAAGAATTCGACGCCGACCGATGGCTGTTGGGCCTTGGAAGCCTTTCGTTCACTGGCAGCCTGAATAGCACCTTGAAGGAGCTTCACCCAGATTTTTTCCACACCCTCCCAATCGTACCCTTGTGCGGCTACGCGGAGACGCGACACAAGCAGTTCCTTCGAGTCTAGAAAATTGACGTCCACGTCGAGGAACGATAGCCCTGCGAGAGATTCGAACCTTCGAAGTAGCTTGTCTGCCTGTTCCACGCGACCCTTGGCAAGTAGGATACCGACGAGATGTTCGAAGTAGATAGATGGCAAGGCATCTACGGCTCTGCGCCGTCTGAGACCGGGTTGAGGCAATTTGCTGGCACGATCGGCGGTAGTGATCGTCTCCAGGATTTCTGCCAGAAAGTCGACGGACAATTGAGGAGACTGCTTTGCTTCGGGGCTGCGACGACTCTCTAGATGAAGCATGGCAAGATGTGGGCTCCCACCCAGATTTGGAAACCTTTGCAGCATTTCTTGATATACGATGGTTGCCATATCTCGGTTTCCCTCCAATGCGAATCCATGCAAGATAATGGAGTAGTGGAACGGGTTGGCCGTCAGCGCCTGGCTAAGATTCAGCCGTCTCAGAATTTGAGCGGCATCTTTGGTCTTGCCGAGGGCAACAAGTGCCGTCATCAAGGCAGCATAGGTCATGTCGTCAGGCTTGATGCCTAGAGCCTGCATACGATGCTGCACTCGTAGGCAAGCGGTGGAGTCGCGCCGAAAGGCATAGTGGCGTAAGATATAGTTCCACATTTTCACAGGGTTACCCATGTAACCTGCCTTGGATGTTGCCTCAGCAAGCCTTTCTGCTGTGTCTGCTTGGTTGTTCAGACAATATGAGTGTATCAAAGCCGACATCATTTCGTAGTTCCCCCTAGGATCAAGTTGCTGGACTCGTTCAATCATGCTCAGGACTTGCTCAGTGTCGCCACTTCTCGAAACGGTACTCATCAAGGTTCCGAACGTATACTTGTCCGGACAGACGCCCTGGGCCTGCATGTCCCCGAAACGGTCGAATGCTGTTTTAGGATGGCGAGATCGGATGTGAGAATAGAGAATCATATTCCAACAGTATGTGTTTGGCTCTATGCCCCAGAGTTTTAGCCTCTCAAATTCTCGTTCAGCCTTTTCGACGTCACCCAGCCGGGCATATACATAGATAAGAGGCGTATAGAACTCAATCTCTTTAGGGCGCGAATGTGCTTGACAGAGCTGGCCAAAGATTGTTTGGACACCCACAACATCGCCCTGTCGAGCCAGAGCGGTTAACACCTTTTGGTAGGACTTCTTATCTGCCGCTCCATGAACATGTGTAAACTCTCGCAAGCAATATTCATACTCTCGCAGAGAAGAAGCGTCGTCAGCATGCATCGACAACAGAGCGCCGTAAGCAGAAGGGGGAGGTTTGTAGTCGGGAAAGTTCAATCGAAGATTCCGATATACTAGAGTCCCGAGGCCACTTTTATTTGGACGCTTCGAATATTTTAGAAGGGTGTTGAGAATTTCAAGGTGCATCCGCGGATGTAATTGCCCCAAAAGGTGATAGTTGTTCAATGTTCCGAGGAGCCCTGAAGGTGTAATCAAGCTCATGAGGCGACCATTTCGCAGGAGCACATGCAGCAACTTTCGAGCAATGCTCCGCAACTTGCCTGAAAACCGCATCAGCACAGGCGAACGCTCTAAGATGGATGAAGCCAGCTTGTTTATAGCATCAGGGAGATCTCTGTAATCGCTTGCCTGAGAGACTAGTGAGTCCATGTGATGGTCGTGTCTTCGGGTTATATAAGAGGTGGTCCAGATTTCGACAGCATTTCTCCATAGCATGTTTGTGACGAAATGCAGAAGCAAGAACGGACTGCATTCGTGGTTCAAATCCCGGCTGGTCGCTTCGGCATTTATTCTTTGGACCAGACGGAAGTCATCGACCTTCAAGCTGACTTTCACGGCAGTTGTGTAGTCCCGAGCAGTTCTCTCTGACAATGGAATGCTATTGAAGGCTTCATGTACTCCTTTTATCAGTCGAGGCTCAGGATCTCGGAGAGGGAGTGTCTGAGCAAGGAAATGGAACACAGCACTTGCGTATGCCCCTGGATGAGAGAGACGTTGAAAAAGCGCAAAGACGATATCGCCTGAACTAAACTCCTGGAGCGCTTGATCTAAGATCGGTTTGCCAGCCAAGAGCCTGCCCAGCTCTTCTTCAACTTCAGTGTCGGTCTTATTGAACGGAATGTGTGGCTTCCTTGATGATCGATCTGTCAAGTATAGAATGCTGTCTTCTGGGCGGACCTCCCCATGAACGAAGCCATGCATCGAAGGAGCTGGCTGTGCATTGTTTGTATAACCTCTGTTGAGATTCGCGGCGGCGACTGATCGGACAGGGAAAGCATTATGCTTGGTAGGCCGAGAATTGAGGGAAGAAGGCTTTCCAGGGCGCTGTGCGAGACGGTGCGGAGCTTGATCCTTTTGTTGATATCTCGATCGAAGGTCGCGGAGGTACAAAGGCCACCAGGCCGACCCTACGAGGTCATTGCCTCTATTTCTCCAAAAAGCCTGACCAAGAGGTCGGCTTGATCTGATCGGAGGGTCAACGGTTCGCAAGAAAAGTTGGGAGGCTGGCTCAATGCATTGCGAAGTACGCTCTAGCATGGAACGGTTGGAAGCTCGAATTTATCAGTCGGAAGGATAAGATAGAGGTGGTAGGGGTGGTAGAGCTATTTGCCAATGTCATGCGACTTTTTTTTGGAGACTGCAAGACGGAGGATACGATCTGATGGTGTTCGTTCTATGGAGGGTAGTCAATGCATAGTCTCGTTAATAGAGATCCTGCGAGGCCAAGAAAATGAAAATAGAACGCTCAGTAACCGAGTAAGAGGAGAGGAAGGGCTGTGTTCAATTGAGAGCAGAACTGATTGTTTGAGAGACTGAGATGGAGATGGGCGATCCGCGATGTCTCTTGCTCAAAGCGGCGCAGGCACAAAAAGCTCGGCCTCTAGATCGCCGACGCACACACTTGTTAAACGTGGGAGACTACAACAAGCCCCTCCATTACCTGCGCACAACCTCTCTGAGCCATCATGGACATCACCAGTTCGATAGTCTCAGAAAGAGACCGTGCCCTTCTGGGAGGTGATTACAATACCTACCATGCTCAAGCCACGCGGAAAATCCATAATTTGCGCAGGAGACTGGGAGCTGCGAACCGTGGCCGAAAATATACACCAAAATCTCCAGTCACCGTCGAAAACGTCGCAAAGAACGCAGAGTAAGGAGTCGAAGGTGTCACTAGAAGACGGATCATTGACTTGCTTTTAGATGGGTTCAACTCCTTCTTGCCAGTTCTGAGCGGGCTTGGGCGAGCGCCATGACGATGAAAGCGTCACAGTCTGCGGAGAACACGCAGAAGCCGATGCCAGGTTCAACGAAACGCCAGATCGTGTCAAGGCTGAGAAGAGCTATAATTTACGCCGATAACCTTGTTGCTGTCCTCCAAGATCGAAGCACGACTGGCGCATCAGAAATGGATCACTTAGAGGCTCGGGCCTATCTGTCTATGTTGCGAGGTACTCTCGGGTTCGAAAGAGCGCGATGGCAGGCTTGCGTTGAAGCTTACTCACTTGCATACATGGTATACTCTACTCTGGCTCAAGGTTCCAAAACAGACATATTCAAAGATCTATTGTCCGGTATTGTTGAGCCCAGTATGAGATATGCCGCGTATCAAATGAAGATGCCACGCACCAAAGCCGTCAATGAGATAGCCATCGAGAACTTTCCCCAAACTGAAAGTATCCTGCGCAAGGAAATTGAAAACATCAATCCTCAAGCATTTGTCTCTGCTACCGACGCCGCTCCAAGCAGTGCTGGCCCGAAAGAAGTGCCTACCTCCATCTCCTGGCGCGGCCGCAACGTCAAGCTCGAAGATGCCAATATCTCGCAAGCGTTAGGTTTATCCCAGGAAAAGGAAGGCAGTCTGTCTTCGGCTTATAAATCCTTTTGTGCTGGAAGCCTAAGCGTCAAAGACCTTGCAACGGCCTACGAAGAAGTTATCACAGCTCGACAGGATGCTGCTGATGCAACAAAGACCGCGATTGATGAGCTCGCTGCTGAAGGAGTCGAACCCGGCGACTCACGTATGCAATCGCTCCAGATCACACGCACAGCCGTGAATTATGCTGTTATTGAGTGGCGTATTGGTCGTAATCGTGTCCTCTGCGGCGTTGACGATGGTTTGACTTTCGATCCTGAGATCTCAAAACGCTCTGCGAAGAAGCCTCGCAAAGGTGGCAGCACTCGTGAAAGCAAGGAAGAAAGCTCCGGGCGCAAGCTCTCCCGCCTTCGAGAGCGTGTGGCTCTCTATGACTTGATCCTCCAAAGTCTTGACGCTGTCAAAGAACTCCCTGGTATCATAGCAGATACGGCTTTCATTGCGGAACTCGATGCGAAGAGAGCGTATTTCCGAGCCTTGAAATGTCTAGCCATTGGTCGCTCGCAAGCGATCAATTCTCAGATTGTCAACGCACTCGCCCTGTATGCGAAGTCTCTCGAGCTTGCGCAGTCAGCCTCATCTGGCCTGACGGAGGACGCTTCCACCGATATGCCGCCTAGACTTAATGTCTCCTCTTCCGACCTTGGGCGCTCGATCTCTGCTCTGACAAGACTCGTCACTCAATACCGTGCGCTTGCCGACCTGAAAGCCCTTACGCAGTCATCACAACCTACGACAGATCAAACTGTTGCGCAAGCGATCAAGCCTGCCCCACTGATTGAACGCCTTGGTCGAAATGACTATGTCGAGAATGTTGACCTAACTAATCTGGTCAACTACCCTCCCCGTCTCCGACCTGTCCCTGTAAAGCCGCTCTTCTTCGACATTGCTTGGAATTACATTGTATACCCCAGCCAGAAAGCGGCCCTTGAGGGCGAGGTGGCAGCCACCAATGGAAGGCCAGTTGAAAAGGACACTGCTGCCGTGTCGGAGCAGAACCAAGAACAGAAGCCCGCAAAACGAGGATGGTTCGGATTTGGACGATAGCTTTCTCTTGACGACAGTCTCTGAACATGTGCACAAGATATGTGCCTCTCTGAAGATGTCACATGTACGGCCTTCGAGGAAATCGCTAGACAGGATCGCCCAGGTCTAGGATGAAGACCGTGAATTGCTACATGAATAATGCTCAACAAAATGGCTTCGGTGCCAAGCAAGTCTCAGCGATGACACTGCTCGCAGGGTTGTCTCCATCCACATTTACAACTTCCATTTGCCTCCATAGTGCTTTGAGGCCCACGAACCTGCCATATCCTTAGTAAGCAGAACCTTCTCACGTGACATACCTCCATCTTCCACGCATGAGATCTTCTCTCTCGCTCTTGTCATTCCTTCAACTTCTCCTTATCATCATTCGAGGCATAACTCACCCTTGCTCGAAATTGGCACTACCTCGTCCTGCCAGAGACTGGTGCTTCCGACCATCTGGTCCTAGCGCGATTCTCGTCACAAGTTTCCCCGATTCTGCAGAGGCGGGATTCACAAAACCCAATCTTGAGCTGGAGATTCACCCCACCAAACGCTTTTTTGGTGACAGGTTGGCGCCGTTCCAATCATTGTGGCTCAAATCGTACACGCCTCTCCGGCGACGGAATGACACCACCTGCAAAAGTGACTGGTCTAGACTTTGTCGTGACCTCACCCCAATTTACTGTACGCCTTCAACCAGATGGTCAAGGATCTTCCCGTGCCGTTTGGAGTCTGAATCTTCCGTCTCTCAAAGCGAGTGAACAGCCACGGTAACGACTCACTTCTGCTGTGCAGTTGCCCATAATGTGTCTGGCCACAAGACAGCGCCTTGGTTTCGTATGCACCAAGACTTGACCCCAGTACTGCTGAAGGTTGGCGGCTGATTCTGGGCAAACCTTGTTGAGCGGCCCTTTCGAGCACCTCTTCCTCTCTGATCAATTTTGCGTAAAACTCTCCTTCCCCAAACTTCTCCTTGATGCCGGGTGTGCAATTTCCACCATGAGAGTCGCTGGCCTCTCCTATCGCCGAATTGTTGCTTCTATCTTTCTTTCAATCGTGTTCTTCTGGTATTTCTTGCCCGTGAGAGATCGTGAACCGCAGGAGGTCACCTCGGCGCTATTGCAGCAAGAATACCCTTTGCTGTACAGGCATGTGCACAGTTTCAAGGGAACTGGAGGCAGTGAGTCGCCCTGCAGTTGAGGCGCTCAGCAACTGTGCGACTACAATTAGCCCTTCCACTCTATCCTTTAACCCTCTGTACTGGCCGAATCGAGCACCTGCTAACTATTGACAGCATGGTATATTCCGCCGCACTGGTTGCCTGCTCCAAACATTCAACCAGAGAATATCGTGGATGCAGCTCTGTTAGCCTCCGAAGCTGCCAATGCCAGCAAGCATCGCAAGGTACACAACTCTGGGATCCCCTTGATTCTTCATCAGACCTGGAAGACTCGTCGTGCGAACAAATGGACCGATCTCTTGCGAAACAGCGTTGAAAGCTGGTTGAAACACGTGGTTCGTGACGACATGGCCTATTTCTTCTGGGAGGACGACGGCATCATGCAATTTCTCAATGAATTTGAACCCGATTTTGCTGAAAGCTTTGTCGACTTGCCAGCTAATGTGGAGCGAACGGACGTCTTTCGAATTCTGGTAGTGAAATGGTTTGGCGGCATTGTATGGCACTACAAAACCTGTCATGCTGTGCTATGCGCCCGACTAACACCTTATAGTACGCCGACGTGGACACTCGCCCATTGCGAGAACCCAAGGGCTGGATCACTCGTGAAGATATCGCGCCTTGGACTGATCCTGTGACGAACAAGACCTTTAGTTCCACCAATCCAGTCAGTCTAGTCTTCGGTCTTGAAGCAGATTGTCCTCCCCTGTCGGATGACTATTGGCGCATGGGCTACACCTATCCCGTACAACTTACACAATGGGCGCTTGCATCTGCGACGGCACATCCGGTACTTCTTCATTTCATGGATATCCTAGTTCACCGGCTCGGCGAGATCGCTGCACAGAATAACGGCTCAATTACAACACCCTCGGCTATCAAGGAGCTTCGTCGCATCGGTCCACTGGCACTCACTGGTCCTGAAGCGGTGACAACTGCCACAAAATCTTGGTTGAAAGCCGAGGCAGGACTGCGCTGGAATGCTTTGACGGGACGGCATGACGGCGGGCGCAGCAAGCTAGTCGAAGACGTCCTAATCCTCCCCATTACAGGATTCAGTCCCGGACGTGGTCGGTATGGTAATATGGGCTCAAAACCCGTGACCGATCCTGCCGCCAGAGTCTGGCACCAAGCACAAGGAAGCTGGCGCTCATTCGATGCGACGGCCGAATTTGGTAAAGTCTGCCGCACCCTGTTTGGGTTGTGCAAAGATTGGTCAAAAGGACAGGATTGAGGTTTCATCACGTCAACGGCAGCAGGTCTGTGGGCATTATGTCCCGCTAGGCTACTTTAGATGTTATTCGAGTCGTAACATCAGCGTCCACCTACTGGTTAAGCGATTGAAGACTCGTAAACGGCAGGCCAAGGTCATGAAGCATGGGTCTCTACTAGCAGTAGAGCTTGCAATGGGATGGTGCTTTCCCACCAGCGCGCAGGGAGACCCAACAGTCAGCTGTCCGAGCAGACGCATTGACAAAGATTGAATTCCGAGGCACAACATTACGTCTGGTGCGGCGGCTTCGAAGCTCATTGAAACCCAAGAGTAGGCCTTATGCAGGACTTGACGGGATATGTCTCTCACATATCAAATGGTGGTGTCTCTACGCTGCCAATCTGTGTTGTATATGATCAAACGAGACATGTATCATACTCGTGCTGGTCGCCTGCGTAAGGGACTGGCGCAACCTACAACACCATGGGACCAAAGCCTGGGAGGGCCAAGTTGATCCAGAAGTACACGATGTACCAGGTTTGAAACTGTTGCACATTAACGAGGTCGATGTTGCAGTAGCCTCGTCGTGCGCTGTAGTAAGGTGGGAACGAGAAGAAGGATGATCTTATTGTCAGGCATTATTCTTGAGTTGATACTCTGTAGCCAAAGCCTACCTGCAAAGACTCCACGCAATCGCGTCCTCACCCCTCTGTTCTGTCCTTAGGTCATCACATCTACCATCCAATTGAAGGGACGGTGGGTACGAAGCCAGCTGCCCTTCTCATCACAAGGCTCACAGGGCCGAAAGATACCGAGCTCTCAGTGGTATTCAAAGATACCTATCTAGGAACTAGGGGTGATGTAAAGGTGCTTAGACTTGGAGACTCCGTAGGCCGCTATCTTGACAAGTAGACAGGTCAGTCAACAAATCGTACTTGATCCGAACCGTTTCGGCCGAAGCAAGCATCACACCGAACGTGCCCTGCCTCATACCGAATGTGTTGGATGCTGAAACCTTCCTGGACCTCGCGCTGTGACGTGGCATCGGCGGACAGGGAGACCAGATCAACACTTGAGTCGGTGGTAACCACTGAGATGTTGTCTCCGTCTGTAGGCTCGAGTGGCAAGGTGCTTTGCGTTGTCAAGGAAGAAGCAATACCTCGTGTGTTGTTCGTGTGTTGTCATGAAGGGAGCAATAACAAAGGTCCAAACACGTTCCACGCGCTTTAGTTCGGCCTCGCCTTGGCAGTTCTGTCACCTCAACTCCCTGGCTAATGCGCGCTTCGCTGTTCACCACGTCAGCAACGAATATGTCCAGTGGTTGACTCTCCAACAGAATGCACGCTCGACTAGATGGCTGCGTTATAAAGTAAGCACGGTCCGTGACAGTATCCTAGGCCCCCAGTATGCCTCCAAAGCCTTCTGTTCGAGGAGAATACATCGAGACTGTACGTCGTTCTCCCGGGCATCCTCGTCCTGCCGAACGCAGCCTCGAGTCTGTTTCTGATGGCTCTACCAGGAGACAGGCAACAAGATTTCACGGAAGGCTAGCGTTCTCGGCCCTCGCCATATCATCCTTGCCGGGAAATGCGTGATACAGCAAGATGTCGTGATCAGAGGCGACCTCGTCCGGCCGCCGCAGCCTAAACCTCCCACACAACAAGGTGATCAGAAATCGACGACGCAGGATCAGACGTCGATACATCTCGGACGCTACGTGTTCATCAGCCCCGGATGTACCCTCCATCCTCCCTCTCGTCTCACAACGGTTGCAAATCCCAACGGTGGTGAGCCACAGCAGATCATGACCTATTTCATGCTCAGGATATCCGACTACGTATACATTGGCCCCAATACGCATGTTCGCGCAGCGGAGATCAAGAGCAATGTTTACATCGGGGCAGACTGCACAATTGGAAATATGGTCATCATCAAGGACAACGTCAAGATCTTGGATGGCACGGTGCTGCCAGCGAACACCGTTTGGGCTGGCGGCACAATCATTGCAGGCCGCCCAGGAAGAGTCGTAAGTGAGATTGGTGAGGGTTGGGCTGCCAGTGTTGCGAGTGGCTCAACGGTAGATGAGGGTGTAGGTGTTAGGAGCAGAGAGAGGTGGGCAGCAGTTGGAAACAAGCGGTGAAAGGCACACGAAGGCCAGCCGTGATACAGTGCGATATCAGTCGCGAACGTACAGGTTTGTTGATCATCAGCGATAGAGTGACAAAGGAAATACCAACATCCCATTCTATCCTCGAAACCCCGTCGATTTCGACTCCGAGCAGCAGCGTTGACAATTGCTTAACCCCCATACCATCAGACAATCCAACCCCATCACCCAAGGAAATATCAAACAAAACACTCAAGCTCACATATGTTTCAGATCAATAACTTCGTCTGATAACAACTCCGCACTTCTGCTTTTACTCCTTCGGCCCAGCGTCCTGTACTGGTTTTTCAATTTGCAGCTCTCAAAGTACGGCAAGTCGACCTTGCGACTCCCTGTTTTTCTCTGGCCAATGTTCTGGGCTTGCTTCGCGATGTTGAAATTGAGAATTGTTCTGCAAAGCTTGTCGGTTATGTGGTGATTTTCTTCACGATGCGTACGAGTCAAGCTGTCCGTTCCCGAGGTGGTCGAATCAGGACGACACGCGTCTGCACCAGCGCTTTTTCTGGTAGATCGAATGTTCGAGTTCGTCCCTGAATGGTGCTTGTTCTGGATACCGGCTGCGGCTCCTTCACTTGGCTGATTTTGCACGTCTCCAGGTATAGGGTGTGGTCTGAGGGGAACGGGATGCAACGAGTATGTCCCTTTCGCGACTGGGCGGATGGCGAAGTCCACAGATTCGCTATTGCAGGTCTTGTCAGAGGTAGTAGATGCTTGTACTCGACGTGGTCGGAGGGGTACCGGCACGAGGCTGGCACGCTGGAAGTTAATTTTCTGAGCGAGGTGGACAGGAGGGGGGCTTGGGAGGCCAGACATGTACTCCTCGAGCCGTCCATCTGCCTGCGCCTTGGCATCGCTCTCTGCATTTGCTTTTGCCTCTGCGTCTGCTTTTGCTTTTGCTTTTGCTTCTGCTCCAGTCGGCCGGGTCAGAGCTTGGATGCCGATACCCTGTTTTGGTTGAACCAAAGTCATACTCTCCGGCGACGGCCGAGGCCAGCCTCTGCACACCGTGACTGCATCAGGCCCTAGCCTTGAGGATGTGCACAATCTCGTCACGACAGAACCGAAAATCCACTTGTCGTTGTGAGCAATTTCAGCACGGCCAGCGTCAATTCCCTTTCCAATCTCAAGATCCACGCCTTCAGTTCGCGTTTGTCGACAGATTTCCCACGATTGTGCGACGCCAACAACCAGTACTACTCCCGCAACAGCTCCTAAAACAACTACAGTGACCCAATACATCCTCCTTCTACCACTGGCGACTCTTCTCAGAAGATCGGAAATGTTTCTGATGCTCCTCAACTCGAAAGAAAGAGATGTGAATGGCCATCCATCGGGAGTGGTATTGCGAGCAACTCGATTGTTAATAAGAGTCTTCAATGACAGAACGTTCATTTTCGGTTTGCGTCTTTGGCAAAGGCTCTACGAGACTCTCGACACATTGTATCGCTACCATTTCTTTGTGTCCATGGATCGGATCAAAATGCACAATCTGCGACGGTCTTACCTCTTCCAGCACAACCCCCTTCGAGTTCCAGACTTCTTTGTTGTTCGAGCATCCGATCCTCTCAGAGAGCCCCTGGTGTCACAAGACCGTGTTGTTTGCCTTCCCTCCGACAGCGGTGCCAGGCAGGCATCTGCCAAAAGCCTGGCCATGGAGGGCATACTTACCACGAGTCATGCCCTGAGTTATGCACCTGCCAGCTCCCACGTTATCTTTGGAGAGGATAAAAGATGGTCCCGTCATACTGTACCTAAAGACTCTAGAGATTCTCGACCATGCTCTATGCCACATACTCAAATCATTTGTGGCACAGAGAAGGGTCATGAGTCAAGATGTTGTTACATTTGTCATTCCTTCAAAGATACAGAGTCCAGACAACTCTCGGCCCTGGATCAAAGCGATTCCTCTGGGTTCTCACAGTTTGAAACAGTTTCAGTCTACGTTAAGATAACAGCTAGACATGCCTCTTATTGTCGACTGTGGCCAAGCAGTCTGACATCAGAACATGGGAGACGTATCTTAATCTTAACGTCGCAAACTGTCAACAAGGAGTACACCGAGAATTACTCGCTCCATCGCGCTAGCCACTAACAAGGGTTCTGGCTAGTGAGCCAAGATTGTCTGATCTCGACGTTGTGAACTGTCTCAGGAAAGACCTCGCAGATGTGTCCTAGAAGACATCACAAGGCAGCCCGCGCACGCCCGTTCATTTTCCCAGCGGCTTCTACTGTGGATCTGGCAGTCTCAATAGGTACGTGGATAGTAGACAGGCCAGCATGAGATGACGTGCTCCAACTTCTGACGAGTCACCAGGTAGATGAAGGGATCAGCAATCTCTCCCTAGTTCTACGGTTAGCAACTCACAGGACATCTGTAAGGAAACTAACTCACACATCACTTTCACCAAGAAGATCGAAGGCAACCCGAGGCTCTGAAGCCTACACGACATTATTACCAGCTTCCGCCCACACTCACGGCCAAAGAGGTTATTTTCGTGGGGCGCCGCCGCTGTTTTCGCTTCCTTTCGTTTTTCTGCTTTTCTTTTCTGTTTTATTTGTTTGTTCTGTCGTCTTTTCTCATCCGTACACGCTGATGAAATTGCTGGAAGAGAGTCCAGAGTCGCAGACCGTTCAGATTTCTGTTCTTACGATGCAGAAGATTCTGTAGCGGAATATTTAGGAGGACGTCAAAGGAACCCCTGAGAGAGGCACGCATAGTGTCTCGGCTCTGGGTTGCAGACGGTCCTCCATTTCCATTATACCTTTCTTATATCCTACGGTTCTGGACCCTCTCAGCCTGTACGCGCTGACCAAATTTCCTGCGAGGAAGAGGGTCCAGAGTCGCAGGTGTTCGTCCCCTGTGCCGGGTTGGAAGGGGTTTGCGGGGGATGAACCCTATGGAGGACTCGTATGATTTGCGAGAAGAGCAGTCAATATCTTGCGTGCTCCTCCTATGTCTTTATTAATGATGCTGGGGCCCTCAAGGCCTTTTCGTTTCTTCGGTGAAAGAAGTCAGGAAAGAGAAATAGTCGAGGGCACCTACGGAATTATTTTACGGCCGCCGACGACACCTCGTCACTCTACGCATTGACCAATTGTGGGTGCTGATAGGTGCCTGGGTCGTTTTATGGCTGTTCGAACGGTTTTTTTTGGTGGAGAGAGAATGGAGCGCAAAACATCCGGAGCTCTATTGGGAGTCGTCGCTTGTCAACTGTTGGGCGAAATTCAGGGCCCGCAGCCTGTACGTGCCTACTAAACTGCAGCGGCTGATCTATATGGCTCAAGGACAATATGGAGGTCTAATTTACGCCGTCGGCCTCCTCGGGATGTCAAGAGTCGAAGTCTTCGGAAAGCACGGAAGGATTGAGCCGATCACACCAATGCCGAAGATCGTCAGGCATCCTCATGTTCCAGGTCTGAGGGTGGAGTAGGACCAAGGTGAGGATCATCCTGAAAGGGTTTGGAAGAGCAACTAGGCCTGTGGCTAGTTCGGTGCTTTCATCTTGGTCGACGGGCCGCGGAATTTCGCCAGAAGGGACTCTGGTCGGAATTCGATTTGATGGATGGACGTAGGGTGTGGGTGTGGGTGCGTGGCGAACAGTGACACATTGAGAGTGAGGACAAAAAGGTGAGGAGCGACAGAATGCGAAGGCTGCATACAACAGAAACCTCTGAGAGATGTTCATCTCTGTGGTGGATAGCTAGGTCGGGCAAAATCAGATAATAGCCACTGAACCTTCCTTAGGTTTGGTGAAGGGTCTTGAGAGTGTGAGAGTGACATGGCAACCGCAAACATCCATTCGGGACAAATTGGCCCAAAGAAAAGAAAAGGATTGGACAGAATCAGGAAGAATCAAATCAAGACGCGTGTGTGTGTGTGGTTTGGGGCTCGCAGCTCTTTTTTTCTTTTCCATTTACGAGTTGCTCCTCGTGTTACCTCTAGTAGTAGTAGGTATCAAACAGATGTAGCTTGGTGATGCTGACATGGAGTGCAACTTTGAGCGCCTAGGTGTCTGAATTGCCTTCCCAACCGACCTACACGGCGTCCAAGAGTGGTTCCACCAGTGTGTGGTTCGCTGCCCAGGTACCCTACCGTTTTGGAGTGTCTGCACAGCTGTCAGGGGCTTCTGAGGTGCCGGTGTCGTCAGAGTTGAGTGGTCGTGCCTACGTAGGTAGGTACAGGCGGTTTTTGGGAAGCAAGCAAGCACATCTACGTAGGTGCCCGATAAGTATGCGTCGTCGGCGTATATAGTTAGTGTGCATACCGATTATTTACTGTCTTGCGAAAGAGGGACGGACGGACTAGTTGGTTAGCATACCGAAGACTGACCGACCGACTAACTTCAGTTACCTTGAGGGTAAACCACCACTGAACTGGTTGGGTGTCTTCCCGTACGTTCCAGGGCACCTAAGGTGTCGGTGTTGTGCGTCTTGGGCATTTATTTTCTCTTCGGTGATACTCCTCGGAGGTACGGGTGGGGAGGAATGAGTCGGTAAACCGAATCCAGAATGATGAAGACGGGGACGGGTGGACGGTGGACGTTGTGAACATGTGGATGTCGGATGCTGAACGAACAGGATATGAAAATATGTACTCAAATATTTCCACCACGGGCTGGACTTGAGAGTAAATCTACGGAGGACACGCCCCCCTCCTTCCCTCACCCCTGCTGAGATCTGTGCTTTTTGTATAATCGTCACTCATCGATCATGACGAACGCGTAACTGACTCATACCAAAAAAAGAAAAATAAAGGGCATAATCCCTCCCCCCCCGAAAAAAAATAAAACCATTTCAGAAAACCAGATACCCACAAATGGCATGGCGACTTGTGATGTAGCGTACATGGTGTCACCCCCCTCGGGCCATATCTACCTGGGTAAGAAAAGACCGTCCGAATCCAGAAGTAGGAAGTTCCGACGATGATAATACGCTTGTTGAAAAACCACGACGTCTCTCCAAAAGACACCGATCCGCGTCGCAGGCCATTTCTCCACGTCGTCTCTGGCCCCGTCCCGCCCCGTGTCGAGATTGGAGGGAGGGCGCAACTCAAGTCGACAAAGATGAACTTGACGAACTTGACCAACTCCACCGGCTCTCGATCTCGGTGTACGCTCGGTGCACATATGGACGCCCAAGCTCGATGTTATCGAGCATGGACCTATGGTTCCTCTGTCGTCTCCAAGAAGAAGAGTGTCGTGACGGACAATGACGACCGCAAACGCCAACAGCGACACGACGATGACCATCACCAGCAGCAGCACCTTCGATGACAGCCCCTGCGTGGTCACGGACACGTTGTGCACGTGCAGTACGCCGCGCTTGACGGAAGGCCGAAGGAGACCTATGAACAGAAGTTCTCCCGGTGTCAGCATTAGAGACAAGGCTCCTGTACGGCGGCAGGCGTTCTTCATGAGAATCGTCGCGCGAGTAAGGTGGTGGGAGGGGGATATGTGCCCTTGGTGGCTCGGCGATCTCGAGGTCGAAATTGATGTCGAAGTCGATGTTGACATCCAATGCCGTCGTCATGGTGTTCGGTCTGATGACTGAAGTCCTAGCACTGCTATAACCATTACTATTGTACGTTGCTCGAGGCGTAGATTCAGTTCGTTCATGCTCATGCCCGTGATCACGATCACTATCACGCTGGGGTGCGACAGTCGAGTATGCTGGTGGCGGCTCTGTGACGGCGGTGGTGCTGGCGGCGACGGCGGCTGCAGAAGCTCCTGTTGACCAGACTCGTCCTCCGGCCTCCAACTCAGCTTCGAGGATGCCTTGGTACCAGTCGCCTAACGGGTCGGTCCGGGCGTGGGCGTGAATTTGTTGCCGGTGTCTTTCATGGTAGCATTTGCGAATGTGGAAGCCTACGATGACAACGCCCGTGACCATGCCAACTGTGGCCAAGAGGATGAGTGTGACGGTGGTGGACGTCGATTCCATTTTGATGCGAGAGTGGCAAGAAAACCAGGAAGACGAGGATGGGGATTATCGTGGTCAGGAGCAGACTGTAGCGCGCGACTGTAGCGCGATGCAACTGAATTGTGAATGGGTATGGCGGTGGTCTCAGAGATGGAATTTAACGGCTTCTTCTTGTGTGTATGTGTATCTGATGGGAGAGCATCAAACACATCGACGCCCTTTGTAGACATGGGAAGGGAAAAGGTCCTCATGAGTAACTTTGGCTCTCTCATCTAAATCACCTAGAAAGATTGGTAGAGTTGTAGAGTAACAATGGCGGAGGAGCATGCTTCCTTGCGGAACAGGCACCGGAGCCATCGTGAGGACCTACTTGAATTTGAGTTGATATTGTCTTGATGTAGTTGAAAGGTACAAAAGGCGCAAATACAAATTTGCCCAAGTAAGTTTCGAGGCATCACAAAACCCTTGGATGGATACCGTGTACCATACAGTTCTCCTCTTGAAAGTTTGAGGTGGATGAGATGTTTGCTTGCATCACTACCTTGAAGACGACGCGGTTGCCTTGTTGTGACCTCTGGTGGTTCGTGGCCAGCGGTAGTTTCATGCAAGCCGCAGCACCACCTGCGCTTGCGTGCGTGCGTGCGTGCGTGCGTGTGTATTTGTGAAGAGAGTGTACCTACCGTCTTTTCATCCCTCTCCTATGCTAGGGAGTTTTCTCCAGCCCGTGACCGGATCGGAGGAGTCCGTTTCTTGGATAAAACTCCCGTTCAGATCGAGCTCGAGGACCGAGTCACATTTCCCGAGTCTCGAGTCTGTGATGGGAACTCGCTGAATACAAGCGAAGCAACTGCCAGGGCTCATGTACTTACCTCGTTGCGTGGGGGGTCATGTGGGCACCAGCAGCAATCAACAAAGAATGTCCGTTGCAGAAATCTCGCACTGAAGGTAATCTTCCTCAAGAATGCGCAAGGACATTCATCTCGGTTTAGCAAACATTGATTGTATCCTTACAATACCCGTTTTCACCCGAGTCACAGCTGCATCGCCCTTTGTATCGGTTAAATGGTGCTACGAGATTGGGTGCAATCTCGATCTCTCTGAGCCTGGTACAGAGTATGGTTGGTCCGATGTCCATATTTCGCTTATTCTTAACCAGGAGGTACGGTACAAGTTGAGTCTGCCATTGCACTAGACAAGCTATGGGCCGGGAACGAAAAGGATCAAGTCCTGTTCTTGTGTTGGCGGACTTCGATGGGTAAAACGAGGCAACTCGGCAGGAGGTGGGAAGAAGCTGTAGCGAAACAAGGTGTGGCACAGTCCGTGCTTCTCCCAGCCACATGCGTTGGTCAGCTTGGGCCACCAATATCGCACCGCCACGATCATCGCTCGCTCCGTGCACCAAAACGATTAAAGATGATAACGGGTCGAATTTATTGGTGGCGGGATGCCCGAAGTCGAGACCCTGGGGAAGCTGAAGCCTGATTCCTTGCACTGCTTCTCAACCAGTCGATAATTGAAGCGAGAAGGTGATCAATAATGACCATCAGAGTCGCCATTTGTCCAGAGCTGGCTGGAGAGGTCTGGGTAGATAGCATTCTCGGACAAGATCGTCCCTCAGACGCAGACAGACCCTGTATTGCCTGCCAGGAGTCATGTGTGGAGGAATTATTGGTCACTGGATCTGGCCTTTTGATTATTGTCCTATCAAAAAGATCTTCCTTCTCCCACCTTGCATGAACACAAGGCACGGGATCGAACTTGTCGCATCTGAGCGATAGGTTCGCATGGACTGCGGGAAGGGGAGGGTGTCAGCGGCATGTGCTTCACCTTGACCACCAAGATCGTCCCGCGACTGGTGGCTACAGGTTTGTGGTCGTGCTCGTGGTACGTGTAGACTCGGGTTGGTTAGTCGCGGGGTATGAGGAAGAGAGAGCACGTCGAAGGGCGAAGATAGCATCGTGGCTGTGTCAGCGGTTCTGTTGCAGTTGAGGTGGCAGACCAGGGATTGTGAGACTGGTCAGGAGGTTTGGACATGTGCTATCTCAGAAGCTGAGACAGGAACAGCACCGGCGATGACTGGCTCTGCGCGAAGTCCTGGTAAAGGCAAGGAGGACACATTTCCGTTAGGCGCGCGTCGAGGAAAGGAAGCAGCCGAGGAGAGAGGGGTTTCACCATTCGACGAACCGAGCACGCGAGGTCTAGAGGCCCCTGAAGCGCGTCGCAGGCGAGGAGACAGTAAGGAGTAACGGCCCAGCCAACCAGTGTGTGTCAAAGCGTGTCGGGCGTCTGTCTCGCCTTTTGCGGCTCGCATTTTTGCCTCTACGGAGTCGACCAAGAACCACTCCCAAAGCATCCAATCCACCGTCGCTGGAGACGGAGGACGAATGGCCATTCCAGAGGAGTCGATGCCGAGCAAAATAGCAACAGGAACAGCGACAATCTGCCTGATCGTCGGGTGTCGCTCTGTGAGGAACAGCATTATTGTCCGTAGGGCCATCCGTGGATTGGGCATCATCTCCTGGACGGACTAAGTACGTACAGTAGTAACTCGGCTGGAGGTCGTGACGGCGGCCTGGTGCAGATATTCACTGGCCTGGGAGACAGACAGCAGCTGGCACTCACTCAGCCATCCATCGAGCCGTCAATCCGTCCATCCATCCATCCATCAATCCCATGCGCTGCGTGGATAGTTCAGAGACTTAGAGTTACTCCCTGCGCTCCCTTGCCCCCGTAGCTGGACATGCGAAGTCTCAAATGAGACGCCCTCACGCGGTCGCCCTCATGCCGACCGGTCATTTTCTTTGTTCTAAGCTTCGTGGTCATCTGCAAGGGTCAGCAAGGGAGAGGTTGTAGCTTGCGTGCATGGCAGCCGCCCAGCCCAATCCGCTCGCCTCTACCGCAGCCGCCTACACCGCCCGAAACACGGTGCGGTATACAATAGGCCTCTCTCAGCCAACTACCCTCCCTCTCTGCGACCGTTTCCATTCATATCTAGTTCTCATTCACCGCAAGCGCCCATTCAGTAAATAGCCTGCCATCCGCCCTAGCTGTGCGCTTCCAGCATCGACATTCTTCCATATAACACCCGTCACTTCTTCATCACATCTCGTCTCTTTTTTCCTCTGCCATCACTCTGTCCAATCCCACCATCTCCGAGACGAACCAACTCCGTAAGGCACGACACGCTATCTCGGCCTGCATTCAGCCACCAGACACCCCTGTCTTGCCCGCGCAGCCAAAAATCGACACACTACCGCAAGCCATCGTCCGGGGCTGGTCTCCCCACCTAGTCAAGCCTTTTTCAGCGCCTCACTAATTCCTTTCGGGCCCTGTCCATCAAGTCGCAGGACAAGAGGAGGGACAAACACCAGCGACAGCCTTCAACGGTCAGGGGTTGGTCCAGCCGTCTGAGAAAAAAACCCTAGTTGCTGCTCCATCCTGCGCTCTGTTCCTGGAGTTTATCGGTAGCCTAGTGCCTCTATCCACTAGCCGCAAGTCCCAGACACCTCCATATCCCCACCACCGTGCAGTTGCTACATCACTCTTGTGCACTGTTCAGGAGTCCTGGCGAGTCTGGCTCGACACAAGCGTGCTCACCTCAAACACAGGAGCAACATCCTGGGCCGTGCCCGTCAACCCTGTCTTGTTCTTAGATCGACTTCCGACCCTTCAACTTCTTAATTGAAGGGGACCCAGATCGAGCTCAGACCTCTTCTCTTCTGTCAGTCTTGCTGGTCAAGCCGTGCTTCACTTGGTCTGCGCTCACCTAATACCAACCACCTCAGCGTGTCAAATACCTGTCGCAGTGGCCTGTCACCTTCACTTCAAGAGTCCTTCACTTTGATAGCCCGGACTCTCCAGATAAGGGTGATCCGAACCACGAGACCATATACTCCTGACCTGCCTCGAACTTGCCAGCAGGTTTCCTCAGATCTATTGTATTTGAGTGAGACTGTATCTGGACCAACAGATCCATCATCCCTTCACATACTCCGCCATGGACTCTCGCAGCTCTGTAGCCCAGAACAGGGCCGCCCTGGAGGAATTCGTCCGACAGCCAGTCCGCTCCTACATGATCCAACATCTGGCAAAGCAAGCCTCACAAGTCATTAGATGCGACTCAGAGCCTTCGCCGGCAGACACCCTACCCACGCCACCATCCACCCCTCCGTCCCATGCATCTTCAGAAGTTGCACAGCCACCTCTCCCGACCTTGGAACAATTCATCAGCTCGCTAGTCCAGAAGTCGTCCGTACAGGTGTCGACGCTCATGACCTCCCTTGTGTTTCTGGCTCGTCTGCGGTCACGACTACCACCCGTGGCCAAGGGCATGAGATGCACTGTGCACCGCATCTTCCTCGCGTCTTTGATCCTCGCCGCCAAGAACCTGAATGACTCCAGCCCCAAGAACAAGCACTGGGCAAGATATACTTCGGTCAAGGGATTTGAAGGATTCGGCTTTGGGCTTGCGGAGGTTAACCTGATGGAGCGACAGATGCTGTATCTCCTTGACTTCGATTGCAGAGTGACTGAGCAAGATCTCTTTGACCATTTCGAACCTTTCCTTGCCCCCATCCGCTTTCAGATGGAACTACAGGCAGAAGAAGCGGAACTCATCAGCAGCCACCGACAATGGCACTCTCACCAGGCCTCGTACGACTCCAATATCTCCTTGCCACCTCCGCCGCGCAAGGAGCACATTCTCCCGAGTGTGGCCACACCGCCACCGAGAGCAGCTGGTGTGTACGATTCGCCTGCTGCCTATACCACCGACGACGATTCTTCCAGCAGGTATTCTCGACATCGAGCAAACAACAGTTCAGTCTCGCTACCTGCTCCTAGCCACAGACGGTGGCCTTCACCTTTCCGCCATCATGGTCAAGGTCATGGTCGTTCTGTATCGCCTCCTTCAATCAGAGACCTTCCACCGCTTGTACCCTCAAGCCGACCTGGTACCATGCACAGCCATTCCAGCTCGCGCTCCTCATCCATGGCGCCATCATTACGATCACGGTCATCATCAATCGCACCTACCACTCGGGGCACTCCATACACTTCATCCCACCTTGACGACAGCGTTGTCGTGGTTGACCTGACAGAAAGCCCCGATGCTTCTTATCACAGCGCGTACGCTTCTGCCTTGGCAGGCTCAAGACCCAGCCTCAAAGGTCATCAGATCAGTTTCTCAACCGACAGTCAACAACCTTCGAAAAAGGTCAAGGCTGATTCTGGCATGGGAGGTGTTATTGGCAGGATGTTCAACTCGGCCAATTATCGGCTCGGCAGAACCCCTGTCCAAGTGGCTTGAACGCGACGATACGTACCGACTACGGAGCACAGATGATCGAATAAACACCCAGGAGCTTGACGAGTATCCGAGCTGACGACACTGACCACCCTCACTACCACGAGAGGCCTTTTCCTTACAAATTATCTATCACACATTCATTGCCGACCAGACTCTTTTCTTTTCCGCAAGTAATTGTACACCTATGCATGGCGCCGGCGTTACATGTTTGTTGCTGATTGGGGAGCACCCATTCACACAAACACCAAGGTCTGTGGGCAACCCTTTTACCCTTGGAAAGGAAGCGTTTTTTTCTTCCGACAGACTTTCTTTTTTCACCATGTACAAGTAAAGATATTCAAGAATGAAGGCGCGCTTTTGCCAAATTCTCAAGGAAATGCCCGACCTATCTCGGAGTTTCAGTGGGTTTTTTCTTTTGGACTGGTTTCAAAGAAGAGATAACGAGACGACAAGATGCGAAAATATGGGGTTATTTGGGAACATGCTTATGCTTTGATCAATCCGTCCTTGGGGATGTTGATGTCACTCTTGGATTAGCCGAAGGAGAGGAGAAGAGTGAGGCGGGTTGGAGCTTGAACGATGCTACGATCATGAAAGAATTGATCCATTACCCACCCACTCACTGGTGGATGACATAGCATTATGAGTCCAGATACGTGATTCCAGATTGGTTAGTTGTTGACGATGGAATCAAGAGCTCGACGAGGCAAACTTTGTCGCTCTGAAATGAAATTCTTAAAAAACAGAACAAAAAGCAAACGACCCTTGCGCAGAGTGTTTGTTGTACTTCTGCTCCGTACCTGTACTTTGTTATTGGTCTTGACTTGAGGGGTTTGAACGTGCCCAACCCTCCTTTTGAGGTGTGCAAATCCCGTATCTCGTCCCATATATCTCCCCCCATGTACTCCCATTTTCATCTCTCATCTCACACCTCAAACCAGATAAAGGGAGGTAGCTACCTGGATAGTTGGCTGGACAGGTAGGCAGGCAGGTAGGTAGGGTAGATTGGCGCTTCAGAACATGGTTCCTATTCCTGTTCCCGTTCAAGAATCATGTGCATGTTTGCGTTTTGTGTTCACGTTCAAGGTCAAGTTGTCCTCAACAGAGTGAGAGGATCGTGTACTTTTTTATCTTGTACTTTGTACCTGGCATGGTGGATCTAAGTTTCGTTCGAATGCTCCGTAGCAGTGGTTGGTACTACTGTACCTGATGACCCAATGGGCCGAGGGTGTGACTTGAGATGTTGTCTTTTTCTAGGGTACCAGGAGAATGGATTTGGTGGTTTCGGTTCTTGGACAGAACACAAAAAGAAGACCAAGGGAGGGGTATATTCAAGGAGACATTGGTCGGGAAAAAGATCGATTGGCGCCGGTGACCCAGCTACCTACATAGGTAGCTGGCTGGCTGGGCGACTGACTGAGGCGACTGAGTGAGTGACTGAGCTGGCTGATCTGTCCGGCGAGCTCTCAGGAGCGTAATTTTCTCTCGCCCTCTCGCCCCCTGTGCCCTCTTGCTGTCGCTCCAGTGCGCTGGACATGGTTGGGAGGTTTTTGGACCTTTTGGCTGACCTGGTTGACTGGGTGACTGGTTGACTGAGTGGGCAAAACCAAGTGAATAGATGCGTCTCGCGGGGTGGGTGTCTGGTCTTATGTGGTATTGCACCGCCCAGAGACAGCCGGAGATGGCTCAGGATGGGATCCGTCTCGTCGTTGCTGTACATGTCAAACACGACTCGCTCTCATTCTTGCTCTCACGCTCTCTCACAGCGGTTTGTGAACCAAGTCTGGGTTAAATTGGAAGACCCGTAGTGCGACTTTACTTCTCCTCTCTCTCTTTCTCCCTCTCCGGTTCAATCGCTCTTCCTCCCATCAGCCACTGCCACCACCAGACCATCCACCTCTTCTTCATGCTCACTCAAATTTATCCTCTTGCCTACGCCGAGCCCGAGTATGCTCGTCAGAACCCGTCCAACTACCCATCCCAACACGGCCCCCCAGAGTACGGTACACGGCCATTTCTGCCATTCCCGATCCCAGTCCAAGGCCATCGGCACGGCACCGACCCATCCACCGACCAGGGCACCCACCGTCCCCGCCCAGACTCCGGCCTCGTCAAAAGGTAGCCAAGCTGCCGCAACTTCGCGCCACGCAGTACTCGAGACGCCGTGCGTGTAGAAGATGGGTAGGAACCCGAGAACCGACACGTGTAGAGCAAGGACGGCAGTATGCGGGAGGAGAGATATCGGGTACAGAGGTGCGCCGAGGACGAGGGCCATGACCGTCAGAGGGAGAGGGGGGAGTGTGAGCGTTAATATCATGGACAATAGAGCTGACTAGAAAGAGATGCACGCGGAATGAGTCAGTAACCCGTGATTCATACCGGGACATATATACATCAACACAGTCACTCTGTGTTTGGGTATCGTGTGTGCGGGCCGAGTGGGAAAGGAGGACGAGGACGAGGAGTTGTTTGTGTACTGTACTTTTACTTACCATGATTCTCGACGCCAGATTTCCATTTGCACCACCACCATCTCCTCCAAATGCACTGCTCGACTTACTCGTGCTCTTACCACCGTGACCACCTTTCCTCCTCATGCTCCCTCCCGGCGCCGAAGAGGAGGAACCCTTTGATGTCCTCGCTGTCGTGCTTGTTGCAGCAGCTCCAGAAGCTGCAGTTCCCTCTATTATCTTCCCATCCAGCGTGCCACTGACCCACGATCCTGCACCGGGCAAACACACGGCGCAATACACGGCCTGCGCAAGTCCGACGACCACCAAGTCCGTGATCATGGTCGGGAGAGGGTCCGCCACGAACGCAGACGCGCGGACGTAGTAGTACGCCGGCACGACGAGCGTGTGCGCGACGCCACATCGTTTCGCCAGCGTCGATGATGGCAGCACGGGGATCGGGAGTGTGGTCGGTTTGAGGAGGCGCGCCGCATTCGTCGTCGTCACCGTTGCCTTGGACGAAGGCGTCCTCAGAGGGTCATGGACCTGCGTGAGAGAAGAGGAAGAGGAAGACATGCCGGGCTTTTTGTGAGTTGGGAGCAACACCATCACCACCACCACGACTACCGGACACACCCAGGCCTGTTCAAAGGGTTCTCTTCCACGCGCGTCCTGTGACGTGATGACGAGAAAGGAAAAGAAGAAAGAACTGATAAAGGTTAAAAGTATGTATGTCTCGAGGGATCTGTGCTATGCTATGCCATGACACCATACAAACGAACAAAGTGCAATCGGGTATGAATGAATACTCGCGTAGAGAATTTCAGTTAACCAGCAAGTTGTAGATGCGGAGTGCCGGTCACCTCAGGAGCAGCCAAACTTTGAAACTTTTGGAGGTCAAGAAAATGACGGTACGCCGGATCGGAGAAATGTTGCCCGAGGCTCCGTGGTCCTCCTGGTTCCTTTATGAGTGAGGTACCGTATTCCCCTGGACAAACTCGCCTCTGAGGCCGCTGGCCAACGTCTTGATCGTAGGTATTCCGTACAGAGGGACTCAGATTGTACTTCAGGGTATTTGTCCCTCATGGAGCTTTTCACCATTCCGAGTTTGAGATATGTGAACTTGTCAGGACTCAGTTGCAAGTCTCGGTGCACATCCAACTCAGTACTTGTTGACTCGTCTCTACATGTGTAATATGAGCAAGCACAACGGAGCTCCAGCCAACAAAATACACGTACAGTGGCTTGATAGATTCATCATTGACTACTTGAACAGCACCGAACAAAACGACTGCCAGCTACTTCTGGACTTTGGCCACAAACCTATACAAATCCCCTACTATACAAGATATCCAACTATAAAACGCTCACTCAGACTGGCAGACAAAACATACTTCTCTGCGGCCCCCAGGGTTGCAAGCAACGCCTTGCCTGTCTTTCTCTCCCTTACGATATATCATAGTCCTACTAGGATTGAATCTCCCTCGCTCATTAAAAATTCCAGCGCTCAATCCATCCGCAACAGTCTGCCCAGGCCATCGAATGTGTGCAATAGTCAAAAAAGGATGCAATATCAGAACATGCTAAAATTGTAATGTGCAAGAAGTGTTGCTCGTGCTCGTGCTCGTGCTCATGGTCATATTACCGGCAGTCGTACATCATCTCGAGAAATCTCAAAAGTCTTTCTAGAATTCTCTAAGGGCGTTTCGTAAACTTCCTCGAACCCTTCTTCTTCTTCTTGATCGTTCTCCGATTCCTGATCAGTTCCGCTGAAGCGCGAAATCTCCGGGGGAGGGTAGTTTAGTTGGAATCCTGGAGATCGGTGTAGTGCTCGTGGCGTCGCAGGTGGGTGGTGAGATGACTCGGGACTAGGCGTCGGGTACGGCGCTTCTCTAATAGAGGCGTATACTGGAGCCTTGAGGCTTTCAACCTCTTTCTGAAGCTCCATTACTTGCTCTTCTAACCTCAGTCGCGCGGCTTTTTCATCCTTGACCATCTCCAAGAGGGCTGCAAACTTGTCCAAGGGTATATGGATCGAAGTCGGCGAGTCTGGTGGGGGTGGTGTCTTGGACTTGGAATTATATGGCGTGATGGTTGCAGTTGTAGCCTTGCTGCTTCGCTGAGGGCGGAACAGATCTTCTCTTTCTGGTGACAAGGGAGGTGAATCGCCTGGCGACGAGAGAAAGCTCATATTGTTCACAGTGTTTGGAGAAGAAGAAGCTGGATAGCTACTGTCTTGCGATGAAGACGAAGCTAAAGTTGTGTCCGCGCGATCAGCGGGGAAGACATTGTCAATTTGTCCTTCGGCGAAGTGCCGCGAGTCTCTCACGGGATTGGAGAGCTTCGTCCCTTGCAGTTTAGCGATGGCATACTCAAAGTCAATGAGCTTGATCTCCAATGTATTTATTCTTTGCGACAGGCTAGTGTTGTCGACGGTGGAAAGATCCAACCCAAAATCGAACGCTTGCATCGGATTGGCCGCACTCGAGGAGCCTCGTTCAGATTCTTCTGTCGAACTCACAGGGCCGGTGACATGCACAGGGTCGACAGCAATCGACTGCCCGCTGTACACGGGAACAGGATTCTCAATCGCACTGTTTCGCCAATATGCAATTTCACTGGCGCGGTCGCGGGTAGGTGAACGCTCCATACCACTTGACCGCAAGGCCTCATTGAGCTGGTCAGCACTCCTAGATCGACGCTTCAACTGACCATCAGAGACACAATCCTCTTTGGCACGTTTGGTCTCAGTCGATAGAGCAGCCAATGAATCCAGGTCCTTTTCACTGAACACCAAACTAGGTAACGTGTTTCGACGCCGGCGCCGAGGTGGTGACGGAAGATTTTCCGCGAAATTCGAATGAATCGAGTGTGAAGTCAGTGCCTGAGGTGGTATTGCGTGTCCGCGAGGTTGTGGAGGCTCTGGTTGTGTGGGTTGATGCTGTTCATTGACGGGTAGGAGTTGGCCTGGGTCACTGTAATGGTAATTGTTGGCTTGGGCAGGAGCAGACTGATGTTTCCTTCCTTTAAACATACGCATGAGAGCTGCACGCAACCCTCGTGGCTTCTTTTGGCTCATGGACGACTTGGAAGGCACTGAAGACATGGAACTTGGGATGAGCGACGGACCGGCGGAATTCCGCAAGGTCATATTGACCGGTACCTCGCTCACATGGCGATTATGGTACTCTCGCGGCGGAGGGCTTTGGTGTGGCCAGGTAGTGTCGTTGGGCCGGTAAGCAGAAGCAAAGCCAGGGGAGGGAACTGAAGCAGAAGAAGTGAACATGTCCCTTGATTCGCTGAAGGGTATTGGGTCCGAGATTTTCAAATCTCCCCGCCGTATGGCCGCTCCTGTGCTCGTCGAAGCCAGCGAAGCTCGGGGGCGATGATTCGGTGACGGCATGTTGGGTAGAGCCAGCAAACGGTTTCACATCCTCCAGGACCGCATCACCTTGGTACCAATTCTGCGCTATGATGCAGCGTCATATTGCGCCTCTGTCTGTGAAATCAAATGCTCTTGCGAGAATCAGAGCATTTGCGACGCACTCAAGAGCTTCTGGAATGTCGGTATGGACCATCTGCTGGGGGCGGAACCCACAGTCGGCGGCAGTGAGCCTGTCAGATCGGCTGTCAGTAGGAACCGTCCTTGTTGCTGACGTTCTGCGGAAGATTCTGGCGGCCACAGTAGAAAATCTAGATTAGGATTATCAGGACAACACACAGCTGTCCAACAGAGACTGGCGGAACAACACGTAAAGCGACTAGGTTCTTGTTTGAAGATGCCAACTCGACGACCAATAACGAGAGGATGAAGGAGTGTAAGAGAAGCGGGCGGAGGCTCGTCAAGCCGACGACGATGGGGACCCAGGCTGACTGAGGTCGACAGAAGGATGGTCGAAAGATTCACAAACCAGACGCGACGCTGCGAGCGGACTCTTCACGTTAAAAGACGAGCGGCGAGAGGGTAGGAACGTGGTCGGTCAGGTAGGCGTCGTGGCCATCATCTCCTCGAGGGCAGAGCGGTGCGGTATCATCAACAACCGATCCCTGTCACGACATCAGAAGATCTCAGAGCTTCATCGCTTCGACCCGCAGGTGCAGCTCCAGAAGGGGACGTGACAGGCCGACAGCAGTGAGAGTAACAAAACCCGGCCGGCCAAGTCCCACTATCAAGAGCATGGATGTTTCAGCGACATGGACGGGAGAATCAGCCTGAGATGGGCAGGATTCAGAACTCAGGAGGAGTGTGAAGCAGGAAGCGAGCCAGGAGGAGCAACGAAGATGGCATGGTGGGCGTCGAGGCTGCACGCGGCGGGCGAATCGCAGCGAGAGACGAGACAAGCAGCCAGCGTCGAGCCCCAGTTGGGTTTAGCAGGCGCCTTAGGGCATCTAGGGTTCGAAATAGGCTGCGCCGCGACTCTTGCACCCTTGTTAGGGATCTTCCATGCCCTGAGAACAACGAAGCCACCTGCTCCGTACAGGCCACAGTAGGTAGACAATCATCCCCGGTTAACGCGACCCTCGTAACCGACCATCGCAGGATTTCGGTCAGGCCCTCAGCACGCCTGCTCTAACTAGCCTCGAACTCCCAAGTCATCAGACTCATCGCCAAAGATACTGTCAAGACTAGTTAGTGGACTCGTACTCGCAATAGTCGTACCCTACCTACCTAAGGTTGTGGCTGTCGCTTCGCCTGGGGAGCCAACCATCGTCCTCTTCCTGCGCTCTCCTGCCAGCGGCCTCCATCTTCCTCCACCCCGGATGCTGGCTGGTGCCATCCGATCTTGTTTCACGCTCTCGTGTCACTGGTGGCCATGCTTCCTGTACAATAGGTGCGGGTTAACTAGAAGCACCGTATCGTCTCACCAACACCACCCTCCGCAGCGGCTGTTCCTACTATTGCAGACTAGGCCGTCATCGACACGCGAGACGGTGAGACGGGTCCGCCCTGCCCTTTCTACCACGACTCGAGAGAATCATACGGTACTTCGGTACAGTAGAATGCAGGAGAAACAGTGGAGGGCGGGTTAGAAAGCAACCTCTTCCGCCCACGGCTGGAGAAATTCTGTTGCTCGCCATTGGAGTGTCTGGGCTGCCCCTGCGCCATGCAGCGCTGCGAGTCATGCCCTAGTGCTGGTGCTTCCATCCACCTCGCGTCGCTGTTTCGGAGCAACACAGATAATCTTGGAATTCAGTTGTGGACAAAGATATGCTGAGCACACTGAAATCACCCGGTGGAACAATGACGGATATGCCGTGTCAATCTTGTCAGTTTTTCTCCGCAACCTGGCCGTTGAAGCTGACAGACCAGGCATATCGAGGATGCGTTCGCAAAGTCCCCATCAGGCCGGTCGAGCTGGACCACCAGTTAGAGGACTAGTGGGCTGGCCCTGTGAATCGGTCCATTGTCTCCTCGCCATGCTCTTGTTTAGGGCCTCTCATGGTCGACCAGTAGCAAGTCTCCCTACGCCTTTTGCTCAAGTATGCTCAAGTTTCTTCGTGCCGTGTTTAGGGTTTGCCATTTCTCAGGACGCCATTTTCTATTCGTGATTGGCCCAATGCCACTGCCAACTTCAGTTCGTAAGACATGAACACCCTGTGTGGGTGCTCAAATGATCATCGGCGACTGCTACTGTATCATGTTCCCGAATGCTTCCACCATCGGGGACTTTGCGCTTTTCAGCTGTCATTCCCGGGTATGCCGAATCTCTCAGTCTCGAACTCGCCCCGAAAGCAGGAAGGAAGTTTCGACGCTCAGCATTCTCCATTTTCGCTGGTTTCGGCCCCAGCAGGATTGCTCGCTACGAAGGTCGGGCTGGAATTGCAATCAGAGGGCGCCTGATCTGAGAGTGTAACTACGAGACTGGTCACATCAGTTCATTGCAGGACTTGCGAAGTTGTTGTAACTCATTGGCCGAAACCGACAATCTTAGGAAGACGAATCGCAATTGTTTCCATCAATGTTACCCCGTTCTGTAGGACTCATCGCAAGGTCACTTACCGGCTGATACAGGTTCAGCCTTGCTTTGGGCAGCAATCGTCCAATGGCGATGACACGATCGCTTCATTCGCTCCGAAGCGTCCACGTCAGATTGCGCCATGTACTTCCGAAAACATTCTTAGCCCTAGGATCTGTGTCGCCCTGTAGGTGTGATTCTCCAGCCTATAGCGGGCCCTTGATGTCGAATTTGCGACGCTCTATAGCTATTTGCTGATTTTGAGGGTGTATCCAAGTATCGAATCAAGGTTGATTATCTGGCATGCAGTTGTCTCGTTTATGCTCAACTGGACCCTAGGTCGTCCAGGCTAGGATACCTCAAGTCGGCATGGTCTTCGAGGAATTTCATCCATCGCTTGAGGAATGAGCTGCCCCTAGAAACTGTTTCTGAGTCGCCGATTACACACAAATGGCGTTTCGGTCGAGTCATCGCAACTGACATTATAGTCAGAACTGGAGGCACCAGGTATGCAATTGAACTGCAGATGCATATGTGCAGATCGTTCAACGAGAAAGGGACTGTGCAGGTGCAATAAGAGCCAATACCGAGGAAATTACTTACCGTTTAATCTCCTCTTTTCTCCAAGAAAGCCAACTTCCTTCTCAGCATTGCTTCTGACCAGGGAAACAATGACGGCCTCTTTTTCTCGTCCTTGGAATCCATCCACGCTGCCAAGCTCGATATTCGGGTACTTCTCTTTCAACATGGAGCTAAGTACGGCCAGTTGGGCGTTGTACGGTGTAACCACTGCAATATCTTCGTCTTTCACACCTGCCTCAACCAACCTCTGTACATGCATCGCAACGATTGCAGCTTCCATCTCGTTACATTTGCTGTCTCCCAGCAGGACTGAGATCTTAACTTGGCCGCCTTGGTCCTCCTCTGTCTTTTCGGGAAAATCTCCTCCCTGGGTATCAATAAAGACAAGAGGTTCCACGGTGTCTTCTGTCTCTTCCACCTCATATGGCAAGCTCTTCAACAGCCGGCTCTTGACGGCTTCTGCTGCCACAAGCTTCGAGTCATATAGCTCGTCACTAGGGAAACGCATGATTGTCTCATGCATTCGATACTGAGTGTTGAGCAGCCGTTTGATGCCGGGACCATGCATAGACAATAGGCGGTCGAACATAGTGCGCTCCAAAGACCACCCTTTGGCTGCCTTGACTTCATCGTCTCTGATTGATAGTTTGCGAAGTTCTTCTTCGAGACTTTTCATCTTTTCTTTCTTTTGGTCCTTGTTTTCTTTGTTGTCCGCGCTTTTGACAGTCGGTGGTAGTTGCAGATGGTCGCCTGCAAGGATGAGTTTCTTGACCTCTCCAGATCCAAGGACGAGTGGTATCCAGCATTGTGGCTCCAGTGCCTGGCTGGCTTCATCGATAATGACAACATCGAAATTTTGATTACGTACTTGGTAGCCTCCTGCGCCGTGCAGCGTTGAGAGGACAACTTTACTGCTCCGCACAAGCCCATCGATACACTTTCCCTCGCGTTCACGGTACTCTTTTCTCAAGTCTTTGAGGTCCGCATATATTGCACGACGTTCCCGACCACTCTTTGCCTTCCTTATTGACGATTGCTTGTCATCCATCTCCTTCCGTACGTCGTTGACAATGCCACCCGCCTCGCTTGTACGGGTCAAGACTTCAAGGGAATGATTCAGGACACTGGGTAAGAGACGGGCTGGATGTCCCAATCGCACTATGGGTGTGCTCGGGGACGTGATAGCCAGACGTTCGACAATGTTGTCAACACTGATATTGCTCGGACCGCATACTAGGACACGCTGGCCTTGTTTCAAGAGTTGCAGTATCAGTTCAATCAATGTATACGTCTTCCCAGTACCAGGTGGCCCGTGAATGAGAGCTACATCGGGAGACGATAGGGCAAACCTAATGGCGTCTTTCTGAGAAGGGTTGAGGTTTGCGTCGAAGAACTCCAAGCCCTTGGTCTTATCCATATCAACAGACCCGGGTGACGATAACCCTAGTAGGACTCGTTGAAGGCTACTGTATGCGGGCATCTTAAGTAATTTGGAAAGAGTCTGATTCATTCTGCGGAGATATTGTCAGAACTCAATTCAACAATGTCAATAGACGAACATACCTTCTGTACGTCACATCGTTGGCAAGTTTGACCCTAGCAGGAATTTGTTAGTTTGGCAATGTCGACTTCGTCCACCGCAGACCATTAATCCGACTTACAACCACAATTTTCCATCGGGAATATTCTCAACACTGTCGCTATTTGAGCCTTCTTTGCCCATTGCGACCCACACGGCTCTCTCACCTACGCGAGTGACGACGCCCTCCACGCCCTTGCTTTTCAAATCACTGACCTCTTTCTTTTTTGCGGAGCCTTTGGGCATTTCCCCCAGCGAGACTATATCACCGGTCCGGATACCATGTTCAGGAAGCTCACCCTTGGAATCCTTACTGACCACCGCCGAATCCAAACCGAGCTCAACCACCGAACGGCCACCAAGCCCCGTTTTCAGTGACTGGATAGACAGGTTGAGGATCGCAAGGCCAGCTCGGGCGAGTGTGCTTGGAGGCGTGGAGGAGAGTAACAGGTTTGTCTCGGCGACTTCAGACTCTTGCTCGAGGGCAACCAGTGCCAGGAGTGAGTTAAAGAATGCGGCCGGGGAGAGCATTTTTGACGCCATGATGCCAATTAGATCTGGATTGAGGGGAACTCGTGAATGCTGGAATTCGCTCTCTCACTGGACAGGCGCAGCTAGTTGCTCCTGAAATTGTCGCCCACCTTTCCCGGTCGCCAGCTGGTGGCTAGCGATCGCTGATGGTTGAAGATCATATGGGATAACTTTTCTTTGTCGCGCTGGAAACGATCGCGGTGAGTCAACGAATGGCACAGCCTCCGTTATGCGCTCTCAGACAAATCGTTAATCGCATAGATGCTGTGCTTAAATGTTACTTGGGAAAGTGCGTGTATCAAATCCTGAAGGATGAGGTACACCCATGATGCAACGCACAGACAAATGACATTCTTTACTCTGTCCCTAGTTACATAATCCAAGCATCAGCTGCGGAACAATAATTCCCCGGCGCCGGAGAGAGCGCTCTGGCCCTTTGCGCTCCAATGACGTAAAAACTAATGTGTTGTTGGCATTTGGTCAACTTATGTGGCCTCAGTACCAAAGGAATCCCCGATTGTACTGGACAAGAGACATGGCTTTTTCGATGGACGAAAAAGGGCTGCAGTACTCCATCTACAAGGAGTGTCTACCGGAAAGAGCTGAAGACTGAGGAAAACGGAGACAGACGGCATCTGCGTTGTGACAGCCTGCATGGACAGTTCTCAAAGACCTGGTGGTTTTTGGTGACGGCAGCGCCACCAACCTGATCACCCTCACCAACGGCTGTCCTTAAGCGATGGTGGTCTGCCCTTCAAGGATAGAGCGGGTGATGTTGCCAATTCGCCCAATAACTCGTTGTGTACTCCAGCATTTCGGGATCGGGATAGACGAGGGTGCCGACGACCGTGCTGTCCCGGACATGTTGTGGCAAACCATCACAGACAATCCAGAATACTGACTAGGACTTTATTCGGAGCGCACTTTATTCGGCGCAGTGTCGATGTACATTTGTCTTTGTACGGAATCTCAATCCGATACGGACCGGTAAAAGCAGCGAGACGGTTGGCCATGGCGCTTTCAAACGAAAATTGCCATCGCCGGACTTTCTGTCCGAAATCATTGTTGTTGGATTGTCGCAACCAATAACGACATCGCCATGAATCTGTTTGCGACACTTATCGAAGGAGCACGACCTTCACTTGATTGAGGCCTGTTCCCCAGAGTTGGCAAGCATGTCTGCGGTTAGTCCTTCGGCGAAGTAACTAGTCACATGAGTGGAACCTTTCACCACGTTTGGAAGCAAGGACGAGCTTCTCTGTGCTTTGTCGTGTTTGGGAAGACCAGTCTCAGAACATTGAAAAGGTGTGTATCAATTGGCAAGCACGAAAAGCGTGGCCGGTGATTGAGCTGAGAACTTGTACGCTTGGGTTCTCTCTTTGCTCAATTTGGTTGAAGCGACACTTCGCTAGACGAGACTCATCGCCAGATCTGGATGCCTTCGGCACTATTCGGGGTGCAAAAGCACACAGCACTTTCCATTCAAGACTACCCGAGGCGCTTTGGCTGGAAAAACATATTCTTTGAGACTTGTGGAGTCTTAAGCTCCACGTGCACTTTGCCCTTCAACACTTTCCAAACTCGTTACTTTTGACGCCCAGAGCCTGAGCAGGTGGTATCACCTCTCAATGCTGGACAGGACACTGGGAGGCGCCTCTTGTGACAGTGGCCTGAGACTTCGGTAACGGTGTCGTTATCCCTTAAGCCGTGGAGTCATCGTGGGGGCCTCTAACATCACCGCTTGACATCCTCTACATCTCTGAAATGAGTCCGCAGGTCATTGGAATATTATGGTGCTCAACCAGCCCAAGGTCTCACGGAAACTTGAATGCAGCTTGCCTACAGTTTCCTGTCGATGTATCCAAACGAAGCCCTGGTCCTAGACAAGCCGAAGAGTCTTCCTAAACCCGCTCAGCCATTTACTCGGTAGCAGTCTAGGGTTTTGGAGAGTGATCGGAGTACGAACGGCGCGGGAGATCGGCAGTTTCTCGAACTCCTGACATGCTTCGACTCGGTCTGGATGGGATGAGCAGAGCAAAACTGAATTCATACCAGTTCGCAAACCTATACGCGACGGTCTGTGCAACTGTGGGTTTCTTGTCGTAATTGGTGTCAGAGTTCCACGCCACGCGGATGACAGCCGTTTTCGGTCCGTGCGACAGCATGGTATGTGCACACGCCGATAGTACTACAGAAGAGGTATCGCTTACAACGACTCTATGGGCGGCTAGCTCTCATATACTATCTGGGAGCCTCGTGGAGCACTTGTCGCGAAAAGGGGTACGGGGCCATCAGTATTCCGACATAGGACACCACCAGTGGCCATCTCGTGCTGTCTGACGATACGTCGAACTTGGGCCTCCTCGCATCAAGCAACCACAGCCGCCCCTCACACTCGCGGTCAGACAGCTGCATCCCTCCTTTCGAACCAGCCTTGCCTTGTTCACCCGAACGATGATGGGTCCTGCACACCTTCACTTCTGCTTGTCTGTTCTAGGCTCGAGTTGCCGTTGATCGAGGCTATCAAAGCTTCTTTGTGGTCAAGGCCCTTGCCTCAAGATGATTCTATCGGCGTTGAAGCCCTACCCGATGTACCTATTTTACGAACGAATGTTCTAATGGATTCCAGAGCACCACGTGGGATATTCTGTCGGCTATTGGTCTCGACCTTCGTCAATGAGGATTCCGTGACATCCACTACTCAATAGCACCTGCTCGCTTAGCTTTCTGAGGTTTCAGTTTATTGAATACTCCTTGACCAAGGACCCGAGAAGTCGCTTGGAAAGGCATCGGCCCTCCCGGGAAACGATCCAGGCCCTCGAGGATGGCCAATAATGCGCATGATAGTTTGTGAACATCGGAATTCCTCCTCAACGATCGCAAGAGCAGATTCATCTCCTCGTGAGGTGCAAAGGTAGAGTTATGAAAGTGTATAAAGATGGCTTGGAATCCATGCCCTCTCCGGGATACTCACCACTTAACTCCTTCCTATACCTCTGACTTTGAGTGCCACATCTTGCATGATCATTTGTCTTATCAAAGCCTAGTTGCCATTACTGCATCTTCTCCCACCCAGCTAACATCATGACCATCTCATACAAGACCGGCAAAGTCGCCATCGTTGGCGTGGGCTACGTTGGAGAGTCCCTCCTTCGCGAGTTCAGCTCTGTCCATCCGACCATAGGCTTCGACATCTCCGAGTCTCGCATGAAGTACCTGCGCTCACAGTATGGTGAGGACAAGAACATCACCCTCACCTCGGACGAGTCGATGCTTGAGAAGGCTGAACACTTCCTCATCTCGGTGCCGACGCTCATGAAGCCCGATCACTCGGTCGACATGTCTTTCATCAAGTCGGCATTGTCGACCGTCTTTCGTCATGCAAAGACTGGAAGCACGATTGTCATTGAAAGCACCGTCTCCGTTGGCACCACTCGCCAACTCTTCTCCTCTGTCCAACATCTCTTCAACTGCGGCATGTCTCCAGAGCGTGTCGATCCGGGACGCACGTTCCCAGCACCCCACGACATTCCCAAGGTGATCTCGGGGCTCACACCAAAGGCACTCGACATCATCACGACACTCTACTCTTCTGTCTATAACCATGTGGTGCCCGTGTCAACGCCCGAGGTTGCAGAGATGACAAAATTGTTTGAGAACTGCTACCGCATGATCAACATTGCCTACGTCAACGAAGTCAGCGACGCATGCCGGACGTTGGGTCTCAACCCCAACGAGGTCATTGACGCTGCTGCCACCAAACCATATGGCTTCCAGGTCTTCCGTCCCGGTATAGGCGTCGGTGGTCACTGCATCCCCGTCAATCCTTCCTATCTGCTCCAGTCATGCCCCGACTTACCGATCCTGGAACACTCGACCAAACTCATGAGGAATCGGCCGGCCAAACTGGCTCGAGAACTGTACGAGCATTGCTTGTCGACAAAGTTTGCTTTGACAGATCTTCGCCCAAGGGTCCTTGTAATCGGCGTCGGCTTCAAACCAGGACAGTCTGTGCTCTCGCACTCACCTGGTCTTGATTTCGCCACTGAACTCAACAATCTGGGCTGCGATCGTCTTGCTTTCTACGACCCTCTTGTGTCTGGCGAGGCCGTTCCATGGATGGAGAAGCTCGAGGATGACGCATTCACCCCGACGGATCTCGTGTCCGAGTTTGATGTCATTGCCATCTGCACAAGGCAACATGGTGTCGACTTTCAACTATTGGACAATCTGCCAGAGAACATGGTCTGGTCTTATGACTAGAATCGATGGACTCTGGACCGTTACCGTCGCATGATTGAATGACTCGAGTGTGTGGAAATCCTGGAAAGGCGTTTTTGGTTGATTGGATACTTGATGGGATTATGATACCAGTTCTTTTGTTTTGGGGAGCCAAAGGAAAATCTCTTCCTAGATGAAGAGTAATTGTGGACCTATGAAGTAGGGGAAGGTAGTAGATCTTCTTGAACTCATATGAACAAAAGCATTGAAGATAATGATTTTCTCCTTGTTCCTATGGTTTCTTACGAGCTACTCCTACGTCTCTCCTGTGTGCCGTGTCCTCGACTAGCTATCATTGACACCTGACTTGATTGTGTGTGTGTGTTTTTGTGATGTGTGAACACTGAAGATGCGGCCTCGCAGGGGTACATACGTGGGTAGTTTTCTCCGCCATTGCATCTTTTGTAGGAGGATCGAACCAGGAATGAGGTATCATCCCCCCCTTCGCTTCAACTCACCATCTTTTTGTCTGTTATTTTTTGCTCGCTTTCGAGTTCCAACGCTCGATCTGATCGACACAAAGTCCCGAACCATAGATTGGTTCTCCGTACATACAGGATGGCCCCTTTGCACAGTACTCGTACGTAATGTCATACGGACATTCAACGCGTCACAGAATGAAACAGATTCTGTTCCCCAGGTGCCGTATGGACCGTTCGTAGAGTCTTTCCCTGACAAATCATCCATAATCTTCCATTGTTGGTTCTTAGCTGCTTTCCAATCTATCTTTAGGGTGTGTACACTACTGGCCTACTACGGGATCACCAGTGACTTGGACGTTGACCACGTACCCAGATTAACTTTGAGATGCAGAGCCCAGACCTTCTCTATTATTGCGAACATTCTTTTTCGCTCCTGCGGGATCTGCGATCGTGTGAATCTGTGACGTGTCGGGTGGTCAGGCGAAATAACTTTCACCTGTACAAAGCACCCGACGCTCGGACACGCACACACAAACACACAGTTACACGCTACCCACCTCCAAAGGTATGTACACCCACCCGGTCACCGTCAAAGGCCGGATGGTATAACCTCGATGACACTCTGCGTTGAGGTGTTTTTTTTTTCCAACATGTTTTTTATTCCCTCAAACCCGCCGAATCTACTCCTTCAGTAGTTGTACAAGTCCTGTACCGGTGGTCGTGGTCGTGGTCCGTGCAGATCCCTGTTTGCTTGAATTGTTTGACTCGCTCGGGTTGTAACTCACTGGTACGAGTATGCGTGTTGTTCATGCAGCGAGGTCAGAGAGGAGGCAGATGTCAGACAAAGGGTACATAGTGGGTTATCGTCAGGACCTTCACTGAGAATGGCCCTGTGATGAAGAGAGTTGATGCAACGTGACCAAGCACATCGAACGGTCCTCTGTAACGAACGACTCGTCGCTTGAAGAGTGAAGAAGTCATCCGAATCGGGAGGGGAGGGTAATCTTGTAAGCTTCCCCCCCATCCTGTTCTTCGGGAGTGCACTTCCACCTATGCTAGGTGGTCACGCTTCATTATCGCGTACCGTTGCTCACCAAGGCGCTAGATATATCAGGTGCCCCCCGTCTGGGCGAGAATCTAGACTCTCTCACTCTCGGGTCGTCGTACGGGTATGTTCGTGCGGCCATGTCAGAGAGGCCGTGTCAGACAAAGTGCACGCGTACGTTGGATTACCTTGCACAAGGCTATCGATCACCTTTCCTCGGGGACGAATGGCGAACGCGCATCGAGTCGGCAGCAGTAGCCGCCTCCCCCCCCCCCCCCCCCCCCCCTTGGCAAGGTTCGCAGGGCTCAAGTAGGAATCTGTACAGTACTACTCCGTGCTCTGACCCCGTACTTCTCCTTGGTGAGCTAGATGCTTTGGAACGGTGGACTAGGTGCGTTTGGCAGACAATAATAGTAAGATCAATACAAATCAACGAGGTACGAGGTTGCTACAGACTATTGAGATTCGAATGAAATGCAGGAAGTGCGATTATACACGAAATTTCGATCATCGGACCCCGTGGCGTTCAGCCATGGAAACGCCACACACTCCTAGTCCTGTTCAGGCACTCGCCTCGGGGTGCGCCAGGGCCCCCTTCACCTCTTACCTGATTCGAGAGTCGTTCAATCTCGGCGGCTTACACACAGTCGGCGAGCAGATACCTTACCTAGCACGACATTATCGGCGCACTCCGTCGGAGCAAACAGAAACAGAACAAAAAGCATTGAGATATATCCATACGTATTGGGGGGGGAGGGGGGGGGTTTGTCCAATTGTTGCCCGTGGATGGTTGGTTGTCCGCCGTGACTTTTCCCACATCAAAAAATATGGGTACGTGATGTAAGTGGGTGTCACGCCACAGCCGCGAGGATTGATACGTGATGGGTGCGGAATAGCTCCACCACCACGAAAAAGAGTTAAAAGTATGCAAGGAGTTAATCCGACATCTGTAAATGTACAGTAGTACAGTAGTACTCTAGTAATTTAATGAAAACGGCTCCGTGTCCGAGAGACTCGCTGCACAAAGACAACACCACCAGTCAATAGTCCATCAATCTGTTCATGTCCGACGTGTTTTGAGAAAAGTGGCATAAATGGCAGACGGAGCATTGGGCAGTACCTCGTGGATATGTAGTGGGCATTGTGCACCGGGCACAGCGGAGTTTTCTTGGTGTTGTGGTGGTGGTGGTGGTGGTGGTGTAGGGCCAACGGGCAACTTGCGGAATTTCAATCCCCCTATTTCCACGAGGCTATTGTACTGTACAGTATGAAGACTGACAAGGACGCTATACCTGAAACGGACGGAGAGTGGACTCGAGCCACGGGAGTACCGTTCCAGTGATCTCCCCCAGAACATGGTCAACGCCTTTTATCGGTACGTTCCTCGTACTCGTGTTTGGGAGAAGAAAAAAACGTGGTTTCGGGGGGGTCTAAAAGAGAGTCAAGACCGTTTGGGCCGACGAGGCTTGGCTACAACTGCCGTTTGAGGCACGATATCAGACCAAAACTACAAGAAGCACAGGGTCCAGTCACGAAAGAGGCTCAAATACGAGGAGGCTGAAAACTAAGAGCCGCGCAACCCCGTAAAAAGTAATCAGCGGCCCACCGAGGAGGTCTGTCCCTGCGCTAATGAAACTAGTGGCTTGAAGTCTTGCCTAATATGATGCCTCTGTCAGTCGTTGTTGTTGCCCTGTGCGCTCCCACCTGAGGCTCATTGGCCCCGGATTGCCAGTGTGGGAACGGGGTGCCAAGAGGATGAAGGACAAGTATTGTATGTACAAGTACAAGGACATTCTATGGAGTGCCCTGAAGTGGATTTGTGCACAATTAATACTCGAACTGCCGATGCTGGAGGTGGCTGTTGGGGGGGAACGGTAGACTTGCCAAGACTGAGGACAGAGAACTACAGTACCTACCTAGTACAATTACATACTTTAGGGGCACGGGGAACAGTACTACCCGATTGTAGAATACATATCTAACACCTTGCCAAGTCGAGTTGGGACAGGACTGCCCAGGGCCTAGGGCAACGAGACCACTGTGCTGTCTGTACCCGGACGTAGACTCTGCCTAGGGACATGTACAATGCTGTCCACTGGGCAGTTGGTAGGTCTCCAGCCGTACAAAGTACGGTACAGTAGCTATTGATCGGTAATCCAGTACTGTACACGGCCCAGTCGCCCCCGCAGCCTTGTCCTCGTACAGTACAGTACCTAGTTAGCCTGCAGCCCTTGCCCCTACTATTTATTGTACGGATCTGTACACCTGTCTAATAAGTTAGATCACGATCGTCGATGCCCCTGCGTATTGTACAAGTAACTCGTACACTAACAGGTCCAGTGTCCACTTGGCAACATGGGGTCTCGGTTTCGGCTTTTTCTTGTCTCCATTAATCAGTGTTTGCTTGTCCTGTGTATATTGTGCTGTACGTATATCCGGCTCCTGGAGTACAGAGTACTTCACTGCTACTTACTACGTTACCATCCCGTTCTCGGTAGGGAATTCTCCCCCTCATGCCGCTCGATTGATCGAGCTAGCAGTTATTAGATTTCACACCACGAGTACACGCAGTCTACGAGGGGGAGGACACGGCGAACACCCACCAAATCCGCACAAGAACTTACCTTGCCTGTTTACAGAAATGTACTCCGTCCGGAATATGCCGAGCGCAGCAGGGTACCCACGACACGTCAGGCTAGTCACGAGTGCTCGCCTCAATCCTGGAGTCCAGATTGAACGCACCGACATCAAAAAACCACTCTGTGCACCAGCGACTATGCACTCGCCTATTAAGCGAGAGTGAACTATTGCGCCGCTTGCACGACAACGTCCAAGATTCTCCTCCCACAGAGACAATAGACCGTCCACATCGGTTCAGTTACACCGAGACATTTTCCATCACAATGCGCTCAGCGCTAGTCTGTCCACCGGTACTCGGCGGACACGTCTGAACTACGGTGCCGTACGCCCAAACCACATTTTGTCGCAGACATCTCGGATCCTCCATCTCGAACGAGATGGAACACACCCCATCGTGAACAGAGAGAAGTCTGGCCTGGCTAGATGTTGTTGTCGGCGGGCCACTTCTTCAAGAGACCCGTCACCCACGGGATTTCTTTTGCTCACGGCACACGCAGGTAATGAATGGTGCATTGGTGTGCCCCCTGCAGTCTGACAGTGGTGCTGACGCTTGAACCATATGACATTGTACACTCTTCATTACCTACCAGGACCGTGTGTGCGGATAAGATGTCCCGATTCACGCAGGCCAGGACCGTTCGGAGAGGAACAGAAGGGACGGACATTTGGACCTGTGACTGACTGACTGACTGACTGACTGACTGACTCTACCCCAAAGGGCAAGTTTTTTGAAGAAGTTCACAACAGGTCTCGATGAGAAGAAGCCCGTGTGACAACCGTCCGTCCTTTGGCCACGATTGGATTTGCTGCTTTGTCCCTCCCTTTCCCTCTGTGTCGTGCCCGGAGGAGCAGGCCCCCCTCGATCCCTCCCGGTTCTCCTGGCTCCCCGGGCTCTCCCGGTCCTCCTGGTTCTCCTGGTTCTCCTGACCCTGCTAGTCCTCACTCTTCCCTCCTCTCTGTGTGCAATGCATACCTTGCCCTATTGCTCAGCTCTTCCTTCGGCGGACGCCTTCATACCCATGTCCACATACTCATCTTCATCTCCATCTTCATCTTCATAATCGTCTATACCCATACTCCTATCAATACGCTAAAACGCTCACACCAACGCCGACGCTCAACGGCCAATACTTGTTGTTAAAGAAGAAGATGAAACCCATTCATACGGTCCATTCAATGCACCAACATGCAATGCAGGCTTGTACCCATCCACCCACTCCTTCAGCTCCTCCGAAATATCCGAGTGAGTCTTTCTTACATCCCAAAAACTAGCAGGCACTTGCGCCGGCATTCCCTTGGCGCCTATGTTGGCCAGTCCAACGGCCCAATCCAATTCCACAATGGCCGCACGTAGCACAATGTCATGCCTTCTCGCGACCGCCCAACGTCTCCCGCACATGTTGATGGAATGCATGAGCCCGTCGAACATGGGCTCTCGACTCTCGCCCATGGCTCGGTAGGCGATGAGTTTAAACCTGACGGCGCAAAACAACACACTGACCAGCAGAGGCGAACTGAACTCGGCGTCGGCGTCGGAAATACTCCGCAGCGCGACGACAATGTCCTCGCACGCCTGGAGACACCTCTGAAGCGGCACCCCGGCCCCATCGCTGACGGGCTGTCCCTGTACGGGAAACTCGACCAGACGCGAGTACGCTAGAACCACACTGGAGTGAGCCAGTATCACCGTCAGCACGAGATTCGGGTCGAAGTCGATCAGTCCGTCCGCGAGGAGTGTGTAGTGCGTACTGTTCTGACTCCGCACATAGGACATCAGGTTGTTGTAAAATTCGTCACACGTGGCATACGCATCGGCCATGCGTCCGTCATACATGCCCTTCTCGTGCTCGTGGATGAAGGCGTGCAAGGGTTGGAGTCCGATGGCGCACAGGTGCGTGTGCGTCTTGAAGCTGTCTCGAAGGTCGGGTGTAGAAACGGACGCCACGCTGGCCAAGTGGTCGACCAGTGCGGCGGACACGTCGCGCCATGAGACCCCCAGCGTCGCAACCGAGTCCATGGCGACCGTCGCCCACGTCAACGGTATCGCCAGCTCGTCACCCGTGTTCGAGCCCACTGCGGGGGGTCCGATCTGGGCCGGCGCCTGCAGAGCCATCTGGTTGAGGAGTTTGCGAAACAGACCGATGTTCTCGCACATGCGTCTGCAGACGGACAGGAGGGAGAATGTGCTGGGGATGTTGTCGCTTCCGTAATCGAGAATGGCGATGATCAGGAGAGCTTGGAGGGAGGTGAGTGACGGTTTCGAGAATGCTTCATTGATCACTTCTGAGCGTAGGTGTTGAGAGAGTCGGTATCTCCCGTGATAACCTAGACAGATTGCTTGGCTGGAATAATTGACCTGGAGGGCTATCACGGCCTTCAAGACCACGTCGGGAATATACGTCAGCGGATGAGGTAGGTCTTCCAGCGCTGCTTGGATGTAGTTCCGACTCAGGATCGGAACCCACGGTTGGCTCTCTTTGAACCAGAGGTCAACTAGAGTGTGCATGTACTCGTGTGGGAAGGTTGAGAGGTCAGCCACCGCGGCGTCAGAGTCGCTGTGTTTGTACAGCTGATGTCGGACCGAGCTAGGTATCGAGACGGCTGGGGACGCAAAGGGTGGTTGTGGTGCAGCTGTTGCTCCGGCTGACGTGGGTGTCATGTGCGTCAAATCAGGAGTCGGTGTCGCCAGTGAAACTTGTATCGATGTCGGTGTCAACGTTGGTGTCGATGCTGGCATGGCTGCGGCTGCGAACTCGAGTGACGGTGGCCGCTGTTGCTGTTGCTGTTGCTCTTGTTGCTTGATGCTAGCGAGTTGTTTCTCAAGTGATTCTAGGACCAATCAGCACAATGGTCCTCCCAATTGCGGCAAGGTCGGCAGGTGTGGCCTACCGATTCGAGTCTCTAACTCAGAAACATAGCCAGCCCGAAGGCCTCGTTTCTTTGGCCTTGTCGCATATTGGCACTCTGCTTTGGCCTTGACACAGAACCCACATCGTGGTAAGACGCGATCACATTTCGTCTTGCGTTGTCTAGTGACACCATGTTAGAACATGTTTCTCCCTCAAGAAGACGCAAAAGGGCTGAAGTAAAACTCGAGCTCGTTTCTCACCTGCATAAGAGGCACACGGTTGCACTTCTCCGCTCGGTTTCAGAGTTTTCGGGAGAAGAACTTCTCATTGTCAAAGAATCCCAAAGGAGGGGTTTCGATGTAGTATGTAAATCAAGCCGTGTAGTTCCAGATCGATTTCAATATCATGCATCCCCTTACTGGCAAACTGTGAGTCCATGACAGATGTGGAGTAACACTTCGTGTATCAATGGACTGGTGCCGGAAGGAATTCCAAAATCGTCACCATTGTCGCAGTCAATGAGATAAGACTATGCGCGTATCCTGATCGCTTTGAGACAATGAGATCACCAGTTGCTGGGACTAAGGACATATAGTGGGAAGGGAGATAGTAATTCGTGGCTGTAGTGATCTCAGGTAAGGGTGACGACGGTGGTTGGTGGTCAGCGGGAAAACTCAGATGCCACGGCGAGACTTGGCCCGACAATCCACAAAGGGAAATCTCCCCGCAGAGAAAAACATACGCGGGATCCTCGAGCTCCATCATGATGTGTACGTGCAGGGTTACGCAGCGCTTGCATGAGACAGTAGGTCCTCACCTTACTTCCGCATGCACCTCGCAGGCCAGATGATGGCGAGGGGTAATGGCGGGTAATGACTGGGCCCGCATCCTTCTTATGCGAATTGTTGTTGATAATACGACACGGCGTTCACCATTGGTTGTGACAGCATAAGGCGACGTGTGATGCGATTGATGGCTGGAACCATGTATCACCAGCACCAGCACCAGCACCATCATCGCCAGAGAACGCCATTTCGACAGCACATAATTCTCAAGTCAATCATCCAGCCTCCAGATTGAAAATCCCAAACAACTCCAGACATCAACACAATGGCATCGTCAAGAGTAGGAACACCGATGATCCCGTCACCACATGCTTGCAACATGTTAATCATACATGGACTCAGAACCCCGCGGTCTTCCTGTACGGGCCAGGCAAAGCTCGCATTGAAGACACGCCCGAACCCAGAATCACCGAGCCGACAGACGCGATCGTGAGGATCAAGTATGTAGGTGTATGCGGAAGTGATGTGAGTATCTACCTCCTACGGAGAACCCGCAACCTGCAAGAACGTTTCCGCACGCACGCCTCTCCCCCCCTCAAAACACGATCCCTTCAACGTCCAGCGGTTGACATATATGTGTGTGTTTGTGTATTTATGTTATATAGGTCCATTTCTGGAACCACGGCGGCATCAACGGCAAATACGTGTCCGAGACGCTTCCACTCATCATGGGCCACGAAGCGTCCGGCACCGTCCACGCAGTCGGGGCGGCCGTCACGCACATCAAGCCCGGTGACAACGTGGCCATCGAACCCGGCCGACCGTGCCGGTCGTGCACCCGGTGCAAAGAAGGCCTCTACAACCTGTGCCCGTCGATGAAGTTCGCCGCCTGCCCTCCCGACACGCCGGGCTGCCTGGCCAAATACTACAAGATCCCCGCCGACTTTTGCTACAAGCTGGCCCCCGGCGTGAGTCTCCAGGAGGGGGTCCTCGCCGAACCGCTCGCCGTCGCCGCCCACGCCGTGCGCATGGTCAACGTCAAGCCCGGCCAGAGCGTCGTGGTGTTTGGGTCCGGAACCATCGGCTTGGTCTGCGGCGCGGTGGCCCGCACGTTTGGAGCCAAAAAAGTCATCGCTGTCGACATCCTCGATCACAAACTCGACTTTGCGCGGCGCCTCAGCAACGCGGCCACCTTCAAGCCGGACGTGGGCGCGTCCGCCGAAGAGAACGCCGCCAGGATCGTCGAGGAAAACAATCTCGGACTGGGCGCCGACGCCGTCATCGAAGCCTCCGGCGCAGAGAGCTCCGTCAACACCGCGATCCACGTCCTGCGCCCAGGAGGCGCGTTCGTGCAGACGGGGCTCGGGAAACCCGTCATCAGCTTCCCCATTGTGGCCATGAGCGAAAAGGAGTTGCATATGCACGGCGCTTTCAGGTACAACACGGGAGATTTCCGGGTCGCGTTGGACGTGCTCGAAAGTGGTGCCTTCCCGCTCAAGAGTCTCATCACGAAAGTTTTCGATTTCGAACAAACGACCGACGCGTGGGAAGAAACCAAACATGGTCGGGGTATCAAGAATATGATTCGAGGCTATGGACTCAACGATCACTCCCGAGCTGCACACTTGTAATAACCCCAGGTTGGTCATCGCATGTGAGCTGATTCATGATCAAGTACGTAACTGGAGTCCGTATAGTAAAGACTGGTACAGAGGAGGAAAAAGGGTCCCCTCCCCGTGATAACTGTTACAAATTGCCCAACATGTTCCATTCAAGTACAATTTGGCACTCAGAGTTGCTTCCTCTTCCGACATTCCCGCAGACTAATGTTGGCTCCATTCAATCGTGTTCAAATCAATGCCTTCCTGGACAAGTTCCCAGAGAGGACTCAATTCTCTCAGAAAAGTGACTCGTTCACGAACGGCTTTGAGAACATAATCAATCTCGCTCGTGGTAGTGAATCGTCCGATACCAAACCGAATACTGCTGTGCGCACTTTCGTCACTGTTGCCCAGTGCTCGGAGAACGTAACTCGGCTCGAGTGATGCAGAAGTACAAGCACTGCCAGACGACAATGCGATGTCCTTCAATGCCATCAACAGCGATTCTCCTTCGACATAAGCAAAGGAAACATTGACACAGCCAGGGTAGCGTCGAGTTGGATCGCCGTTGAGTGACGTGTGTTCCAGGGACAGCAAGCCGTCGGTAAGGCGCTTCGACAAGAATGAGATTCGCTTCGAGTCATACTATATTGGCAAATTAGTTAACCAGTCATCAAATGGAACAAAGATTGTGAGTTGGGCCCGTGAAGGACAGAAAGAAATGATCAGAACCCCTGCTTGCAATAATCAAAGTGCGGTCAAACACTCAGAAAAAGTTGCATGTTTGAAGCATTGTTGTAATCACAAGAAAGGTGGCACGCAAAATACAAGAGAAGGGCAGCAGCTTACCTCCATCTCTTCTTTGGCAATTCGGCAAGCTTCACCAAAGCCAACCACGAGGTGTGGTGCAAGAGTTCCGCTTCGAAGACCGCGTTCTTGACCACCACCGCTGATGATGGGGTCAAGTCTGACACGAGGACGTCTTCTGACATAGCAGGCTCCAATACCCTTGGGGCCGTAGATTTTATGACTGGAAATGGACATCAGGTCGACATTCCATTTGTTGACATCGATTGGAATTTTGCCGACCGCCTGAGCTCCATCGGTATGGAAGTATACTTTCTTCTTCCTGCATAGCTTTCCGATTTCTTCAACGGGTTGAATGACGCCGATTTCATTGTTGACAGTCATGATGCTGACCAAAGCCGTCTCGGGTCTGATGGCATCTTCCAATTGCTGCATATTGATCAACCCGCTCGAGTCGACGGGTAAATATGTTACCTCAAATCCTTCGTCCTGCAAGTGTCTGCAGCTATCAAGCACACATTTATGTTCGGTCTGACTGGTAATTATGTGCTTCTTCTTGCCCGATCTGCCAAAGAATCGCGCCACACCTTTGATGCTCATGTTGTTGCTTTCGGTTGCACCACTGGTGAAGATGATTTCTTTCGGATCAGCGCCAATCAATTTTGCAATATGCTCTCTAGCTTGCTCCGCAGCCTTCTCACTTTCCCAGCCATAAGCATGTGTTCGTGAATGGGGGTTTCCATACAGGCCGGTCAGGAATGGAAGCATGGCGTCGAGAACTCGTGGGTCCACGGGCGTTGTAGCTTGGGCGTCAAGGTAGATCGGCCGTGAACCTTGGTCCATTACTGTAGCCTGCTTGAGGATGCCCGCAGCAGGACTCATCGCGGTGTCCCCTGAAATTTCCGTGCCCGGCATCTTGGTTTGAGAGGGAAGATTGCCACTCTGTTGGATGAATTTCTTCTGGTCGGCTTTGATAGCGGACTCGACATCCGCGACCTGAGCTTGAGATGGCTTGGACTGAGAAACATAGTTGCGCGAGTAGAGTCTCGGGGCGGCGATGATGGGTCTCGGGTGCGCTGCGAGTATGCTTGTTGATGGTCGTCGAGAGCAGACTCTGCAAGCCTGTCTGGCGAGGGCCGGTCCAGACATTGTGAGGCTGAGGGGTCAGGCCGGCTGACGATAACTTGATTAAAGGAATAAGAGGAACCGTTGCCGTGTACAAGGTGAGACGGATGATGGAAAGTGGATGGCGAAAATGAACAGCAAGAAGCAGCAAAAGGCGGGTTTTCATCTGATAAGACAAGGGAGAATGCTCGGTCTACGAGGTGACAAGGACTAATAAAGCCCGCCAGCCTTTTAAGACCGAGTCCGAGATGCGGCGCTGACATAATCAACATCTCCTGCGGCGTATCCTGCTAATGTCGTGAGAGACAAGGCCAGCAACCACTAACCACCAACAGCACGCCTGACAGCAGACTTCAGATGCTTCTCTAGATAGGTGCTGAACCTCAGTGAATTCACGCCCTCGCCTCGTAGCATCATTCCCGTCGCGGTGAGCCAAGTGCCTGGGCCATATAATCTCAGCCATCTCAGCCCGGCCGAGCAGAAGCGTAGTGCGTCATCGGCTCTTGGGCAGGTCTTTGCTGAATCACTGCACCACTGTGCCTACTGCTATTCCCGGCCTGCGCAAGCCTTCTCCAAACCCCTGCAACCCCTCCATCTCTCTCATCCAACACTACCACCACCGTCGCAGATCCAATACAAACCACACAACCTCGTCCTAGCCCGATCAACTTGATTAATCCTCAGTCGTTTGCGTTTGATCCATCAGCGCCGGTCTCTCCGACCCTTCCGTCCACGCTTCCCACCGAGAATAGAACAACGAAGATCAATAAGACGGCGCACAATTGAAGGAACAGGCATCAACCAGAGACAATGAGTGTGAAAGGGTTTACCAAGAGTATAACCCGCGCACCACAACAGTTTAAGCAGCGCTTTAATATTGGCGACAACACTAAAGATGCCGTCTACATCGACGCTGAACGGCGCTTCGCGGAGCTCGAGAAGGAAACCAAGAAACTGCACGATGAGTCCAAGAAGTATTTTGAGGCCATTAACGGTAGGTACAAACAAAACAGCGTTGGTTGATCGAAAGACTAATGACCTACAGGCATGTTGAATCACCAAATCGAATTTTCTCAAGCTATTCAAGAGATCTACAAGCCAATATCTGGTCGCATGTCAGACCCCAATTCCCTGATACCGGAAGGCAATCCAGAAGGGATACGGGCATGTGAAGAATATGAAGCTATTGTGCGAGAACTGCAAGCTACGCTCAAACCAGAGCTGGAGATGATCGAGCAACGGGTTATTGCCCCGGCCGACCAGTTACTGGAAGTGATCAAGGTCATCCGGAAAGTCGCGGTAAAGCGTCAGCACAAGCAACTGGACTACGACCGTCATCGAGCAACTCTGAAAAAGCTGCAAGACAAGAAGGATAAAACGCTCAAGGACGAAAAGGCTCTTTTCAAGGCGGAAAATGACGTTGAACAAGCTACTCAAGATTACGAATACTTCAACAACCTTCTCAAGGACGAATTACCCAAACTTTTCGCCCTCGAAGCCGAGTTTATCCGCCCCCTCTTTCAGTCTTTCTACTATATGCAACTGAATGTCTTCTACACTCTGCATGAGAAAATGCAGGCGATCAACATTGGCTACTTCAACCTGAACCTGGACATCGAAGAAGCTTTCGAGATGAAGCGAGGAGATGTGCAAGAACAAGCCGAGGCCCTCTCAATAGTCCACTTCAAAGCCACCGGTGGGCTCAAGACTCAGCGCGGCGTTTCCAGATACAGTTCCTCAGCAAAGGCCAAGGAGGCCGAAGCTGGCAAGTCGTCATATTCTTCGTACCGAAAGACAGCAAACCCGGAGGATGGGGTAGCAAATCCACCTCCGCCATATTCCCCCGCTGGATCAGCGGGCAGCATGCCCAGTAGCCCAGCACTAGGAGCGGCGGCGGCGGCCAAGGGCAAACCACCTCCACCAAAGCCCAAGCCAAGTCGATTGAGTGGTGTCCCGGCGGCAGAAACAGTGACCGCCTTATATGACTATGAAGCACAAGCCGAAGGAGATCTGAGTTTCATGACCGGGGACGTCATTGAGATCATCTCGAGAACTCAAAATGAAAATGAATGGTGGACTGGTCGTGTGAATGGGAAACAAGGCCAGTTTCCCGGTAAGTGGCTTCGTCTTTTGGACAATTTTCTGACCTGGAGACTGACTATGAATTCAAAGGAAACTACGTGCAGCTGAATCATTAGCCCACTGTCATCTCTCAATCATCACCTGTCCGAGGAGGCCATCGTTGCTTGAGGCCAGTCGTTGGGCTCGCCTGTGCTAGAATCTGAAGTCTGTACTTGTGGTGGGCAGTCTGGAAGTCAACTACACGGCGGTCGGGCGTTGAAAAAGAGGCTCAGGTGTTGCTTGTCGCTCAGACGTCAAACTCTCTAGGTTATTATAGGGATCACAGGTCACAGGCTATGTTGATTTGGAATGAGATCGCTTTATGCCTTTTTCGGAGCTGCTCTTCTTCTCCTCGTGTTTTCCGTGTCTGTTGGGATGTATCCTACGATGCTTCGTGCCGCGTTTTCCTTTGACGTCTACATTCTCTATCTACTCTACAACAGGCAACTCTAAATCGACGAGCCATGGCGCATTGACAGCCCTGTATCGTAGATTCATTATACTCGCATTCACAAAGACGGTTTCCTTGCCGTGCTCGAGGTCCGTCGCGTCCACGTACGCAGCCATCCTGTCCATCTGGGTCGCGTAAGAGCCGGGCTTGACGAGGCTCTCGCCTGTGATGACGGAGGCATCAGACCCAGACCCAGACCCAGACTCGTCGTACACCGTCGTCGGGTTATGTACAGGGTCGAATTGACCGTTGCTCTCTCGGAGGTTGTCACCTTGGGTACTCGCGCCGCCTTGTTCCATTCCGCCGTACCCTGCTCCGGGAGTGGTGTTGGTGCCTGTGTCGTCCCGGCCGCCTACCACTTCGTCGTTCCACCTCTTCCTCACGGCGCCCCACGCTTCATGGATGTGTCCGAAGCAATGGAGTCTGGGTCTACACCTCCCCACGGCCCTCCGGAGGTGAACGCAGCCTACACTCTCGTCTGTGCGCGCGACCCTGTCCAGGATCCCCATTGGCGGACCGTGTGTGAGCACGATGTCGACGTTTCCGTCTCCTTTTCCACCCTCGCGCTCACTTGTGTCGTCGTCGTCGCGCCCGAGCTCACCACCGACGAAGTCCGGAACGGGATTCTCAGGGACGGCGGCGGCGGCGGCGGCGGTCGGGCTCGCGTGATCGGGACCAAGATCGAGATTGAACCGATCACAAGTCCTGGGATATCCAAAGGCCCAGTCGAAGAACTCCGGCTGCCACGCGCTCGCGTACACGTTCAGCCTCGCTCCGTTCTGGAGCCTGAACGACTCGCGGCCCTCGACGAGGTACCTGACGCCGGCGTGGCGGGCGTCGGCGCCAGAATACAGCTCTTGGATCCTGTCCAGCGTGGCGTCGTCGTACCGCGCGTACCGCGCGTGCAGAGAGTGGTGGCGCGCGTAGTACTCTCGGTCGAGCGTCAGGTCGTGGTTCCCCGGGATGACGATCTTGAGGGGCGCGTCGACCGACAGGATCAGCTCGAGTGCCCGCTCGTGTTCGTCCAGCGAGCCCGTCATGGTCAGGTCGCCCGTGTGGATCAGGACGTCGGCCGAAGGTAGCGGCGCGTGGAACGGCGTTCGAAATGTTGTCTTGCTGCTGCTGCTGCTGCTGCTGCTGCTGCTATTGCCGTCGTCGGCTCCATTGTCTACCGGCAACGCGGCGTGTGTGTCCGAGAGAAGTAGGATGCGCGTCTTTACTGTTCGACACTTGGGATTGGTCATGGCGATACCATATATGTTCTTTGCTGTTTTCTGACTGATTGAACCTTCGGATGATGATTTGCCTTGACCTTTCCTACCAATTTTACATCGATATGTTGCTCTTGTTCGTCTGCACGGCGACAGTTCTCATCCGGAATGTCCTTACCAGCAGCGTGCAGCTCAACTGTGTAGTCTTCCTAGAGCATGACATTCACCTCGTTTACGACGAATTCAATCGAGTAATAGCCCCAAAACAATTCAGTTGAATGTTCTTGTCCAACAGCTCGTAGATTCCAGGCAGATATATACTCCTAGATACCTACTCCTCCGTGGGAAGAAAGTCAAATGGACCAGATCACTCCACCATGTGTGTCAGCCTCGCGGAAGATCGTATCCACCCACTGCCGGAATGTACTCTGTACACTTCTTCCCAATGAGCAACTCCAGGAGTCTTCCAGCAATTTTACTGATCTATAGACACAATTCAACTCCTTTCGCTAATGATACACAATCGAATAGTTATAGTATTGAATTGGGTTCTCCTTTTCAACCGGCATGCTCCACAATCTCACTCACCAGTCCTCCATTCTTCACAACGGTTCGGATCTGTTCCGGGACAGGAACCTCCTTGCTATCCTCATCTGAGTCATCTTTCGGGGGGATGACAACATTCAAAGCACTGCATTTGCTGGTGAAGATCTCAGTGGCTAGACTCTCGCTCGACAGGTAAATTTGAGCACCATCCACTTGATCCAGAAGCAAAGTCGGCACCACTCCATCAACCTGAACCGCAAACTTCGTTGCCTTGATGACGTCAAGACTCGATACCAGGGAGTCAACCAATATGGAAAGGCCATTGCAGTTATCAATGGAAATCGCGTTGGCTTTGCCGTTGACTTTCAACACACATTTGTTGCATTTTGAGATCAAGATGCTGTGATTCAGTTCTGCCGGAATCTCGATAACTTCGGACTGAGTGTTTTCAAAATTTTCCACAATCCACTTGGTCCCGTCAAGCTCCTTTCGGCTAGGCTTCTTAGCCCTCATGCTATCAGGTTTTTTGTTAGGTAGTGGTGACTTGCCACGACCAGCAGATGATCCTGAATCAGACCGTTGAGGTACAGACGAACTGCCTCTAAGAGATGGATTCTTGTGAGTCATTTGGGACTTGTCCACTTTCTTGAGACCGGCTGTGATGGCAGACCCTCTATTCAACTGTTCAAAGACGGCCGTCATATCTCCACCTTGGGCGGCACCACCAGATGGTGGCATGGGAGGAGGAGGAGGAGGACCGTCATCGTCGAACTTAGGCAACGGTGGTGGCGGTGGAGGAGGAGGCGGCGGACCTCCAGCAGCAGCGGGCGCCTTTGAGGCTGATGCACCGGCCTGTATCTGCTTGAGAACGGCAACAGCGTCGATTCCGTCCTTGTTGTTCCACGTCAAACCTGTCGGGAAATACTCCTTGACGTAAGCGGCAAGTGATCGGAAAATCTTGTAATAAGCCTGGATATACTCGACGTGCGACTTGTCCCTGCGCAGGTCATCAGTCTTGAGCTACCCATAGGGCCAATCAACATACTTGTCCTTATACTCCTTAAGTATTTTGTTACCATAATATTGGGCGCCTCCAAGTGTATCCGTTACGAAGTCGCCAGGTCTCTTTTCCACAATCCATCCCAGTGCAACAATGCCCTCCGATACGGCGCTGAGGTGGGTGAACAGAGGTGATGGACGGTTGGCCTCTCGAATCTCGTCTACACTCGAGGTGTGTCGGTGCAATTCCGTCATCAGCTCAGGAGGCTGGTTGTCGGGCTTTTTGGCCTTGGAAGCCACCAGCAGGTATGTCCGTTCAGCGGCGAATGCTTCTTTGACAGCTTTTGCCTGCGCCTGTTAGAGCAGGGCTCCCCTTGCAGTTTCATGAACAAACCTGTTGCTCGACCAGTCCCCCAATATTCTCCGCTGCTTTTACAAAGCCATCGATATCCTGTTCAATAATTTCATCGAAGGCTTCGACAGACCTGGGTAACGGTTCGGGAGGGGGGGCAGCAGGTTCAGGGGAGGCGGCGGCGGCGGTCGAGGTTGCCCCTGAGGCAGCAGAGAGTCCATTCGAAGAACTAAGAGGCCCATCTACTGAAGTTGCAATGTCCTCAAGTCTCGAAGTGGCAGCTTCCAGCCTGTTCAGGCACCAGTTGTTAGTCGAGAAGTGCTCCCCTGGCGCATATAGAGCCGTGCGACTCCTGACGGACTGGAAGGCCGAAGAACTCACCTTTTGATTAAGGTGGTGAGATTATGCATATTACCAGGAGCAGCCATTGTCAAATGCGGCGTTGGCTGAGGTAGATGATGGTAGAACGAAGAATACCTAGAAGTCTCACATCTGACATGTTGAATGGTGCCAAAACGGGCATCAACACCGGGGTAACTAGTACGAGTCGCAAGCGGCTACGTAGCCTCAAGCTTACATAAGTCGCTTCAGCCTCGGAGACTCGACATATCGAGATATTGCCCGTGGCCTTTTCTCGTTTGCTTTTCCATACTCCGTACATCTCGCAGAATAAGCTGGAATGAAGAACAGGTCACTCTGTGCATAAAGCTCCCCTCTTCTCGATACCATTTCACATGATAGTGAGTGCATTGCTTTCCCAGTCCTCCAAGGCGGGTATCATAGGGGTACCTGGAAGTACGGTATCACAATGCTCCAACGCTCGATTGTGAGTCCATATGCCTGGGCCGAGTCATAGCTCCCTCCGACACGAGTACTCCATACCCCCCTCCGATTTCCTATGCACAAGACTATCGACCTCTGGGGAGTCTCGGCCTATCTCAAGGAGCCATTGGAACTAGCTATCCCCTCTAAAGCCTACGAGTTCGGACAAACAGCATGGTATAGGCACAGCGGCGAAAGCTGTCGTGTATTCAGTTTCCAAACACCTGAGTCTTACGGAGTTCCGATCTACAAACGTGCTCTAATAGATGATTGAGAAACCAGACCCAGCCAGGGTGTTGGCACGACCAATGTCTGTGTCAACGTGGGGTTTGCATCCAGCAACAGGTAATCACGATACGGTATCAAGTTGCTGGTTTTGAGGTCTACCGCCCTCTTCGGTATCGACGTCAACCTGAGCTGGTGGTACTTGAAACAGACCCAACTACAATCTAGCACGACATATCGACAGCCTGATGTCGACTTGGTGCTAGCCTGGGAGGCTTCACTTGTCTGAGCCCACCTTACTTCACTGCGAAATACGGGCGGCCAATGGATGCTCCAGGCATCCAGGCTCGAATGATTGATGGTTATAGTTTTGGAGAGTTGAATTCCCTTCAACATTCCTCGTGGCTACCCGTGTCACCTGATCCACCGCGGACAGATGGCGTAAGGGGATTTCACCAGACATGAGGCAGTTTACTTGGGCTAGCCGTGAATCCTAGAGGCGACACCCTGACACTAAGGACCCCAGCATTGGGCGAGGTGTTCCCAGCGAACATGGCTTCTCCGCGTGAATGACCTAGCTGACGGAGTAACCTGACGGCTTCTCGAGAAAAATCTCTATGTTGGCAGGAGTTTCCCTCGACCTCAACGTCAATCACCCAGCGTGTGATTGGCCTTGAGGTTAGAGTTTTGCTGCTTGAAAAAAATGATATGTTTTTTTGGACTACCATGCGGATTGAACCAAGGTATGATAGTGAGAAGTGGTCAATGTTCTTTCTCACACAGAGGTGGATGAGAAGTGTCTATCCGGTCATCGTCCAGTGAGAATGAGACGTCGGCAACAGCTGGTCGGGGCATTTGATCTTCACTGAGCACTTCTTAGCCCTGGGCAAGGTAATGATAACTGGGACCCCTTCTTCAGCACTTCAGTCGGCTTCACCACTGCTAATCAAGAGTCCATTCATCAAAGGCGACCAATGTTCATGATACCTCCATTTTCTCGGTATCTGGAAGGAATATCGGTTCTGAGTTATAGGATGATTGATACTCCATAACCTGCTGCATAGCCGTTCTATCTTTACTTAGATATCGGAGCTGATATGCGTCTCACCATCTACTCGCATCCAGAGTATTCGAGCACGAGCAAAGTGCACTTCTTGGGACATCTCACGCATCTCTTACTTCATAGAATCGCCTGTTGCTGATCGAGCCGAGAATCAAAATATCAATCAAAAAGTGATCGAACAACGCACGTTATCGGTTTCCAATATGTACCTAGGTATCAATCAGAACATCCTGGCCCGTTTCCTTTTTGAAGTACTCGTACGCTCGTCTCAATAAAGTACGCCGAACCATCGCCTCGCTTGCATTTCGCAAAATTACAGTTCTGGTAGCATCGTAGTCGCTCGTAAAACAGAAGAAATATTCAAGAGGATGCTATCTTTGCCCCAAGATACCCTCCTGACCCAGGACTCCGTTCCGTAATCCAGCCAGCCTTGCCTTCCCCAGCCCACCTCTTCTCGCCCGTCCAGAAACGAACGAGGCTCTCGGCGCCAACCTCGTCGTTTTCACGATACAGATTCGCAATGTCCACATTCAGCGGACTGTCCAGACCCGGGGAGGTGAGCAGTTGCTGGATCGCGCCCATTGTAGTCGCGAGTGTGTACGTCGGTGACCAGTGTTCGCCGGATAGAAGGGTTAGACAGATCTCACCGGTCTGGAAGTGTACGTTTGGATGGCATATCGGCGTGACGAACTGGACTTTGGGCGGGGCGAGAGGGTAGTTTGGTGGGATTGAGATGCTCAGCAGCCATAGCCCGTTGGCATATGGCGAGGTGTGGTCCTTGGGCCCCTTGAGGACGGCTTCCCACTGGAAGAGGTCGGAGTCGGTCGCGGGACCCAGGTGAAGGACTGCTTCGCAGGGTTCGGTCTGTAGAGATGAGAGCTCGTGCGTGAGGCGCTTGAGGGCGTTGTTTGAGTTGGACTTGCGAGAGGAGGTCATGGTTGATGCGAGACGTCGGCGTCAAGGGGGGTTGGAGGCCAGTGAGGCTGGTGAGGAATAAACTATACTGTAGATTATAGAGTGCTGAGGGGGGAAGGGGTGTAGGGTACTGGCATGAGCTGTGGATTTGTTGTCATATAGTGGTTCGGCGCAGGTGCTCATATTGCAAGGCTCAAATTCAGCCGAGGTGATAGGCGCGTCATCACCAAAAGATCGGGGGAGGCTCCAGGGTCGATCACTAGGCTCGTCTGGGCTCAGCACGGTCCAGACTCAATGCTGCAAGGATCCCAAAGTTTCCCACGAGCCAGGAGACGCGTCGACATACAGTACATGAGCCATTTTCAGAATTGTGTCACTCCTTCGACACTATCCGGTGCCTTCCCACGAGGAATCGCAGTATGCGTACCTCCAAGATCTCTCAGGAGACCACGAGGATATTCAATGCCCTGTCACCCAATGTACGCGCCGGACGATCGACAAGAAGTGCAAGCCGTATCGCCTCGTTTGCGCTAGGATACAATGGGGATGTCCAGGTGAAAGAAGAGGCGGAAGAAGAAGGGTCGCATTTGGGGACACCAGATATTGAAGATGGTCTAAGCACTCCAGCACGCTCAAGTCGGAAGAGGAAGTACGGGTCAATTGTAGAATCTACCGTCAAGACCGAACATGAGATGGCGTGGACATCGTCTCGAGATGTCAAGAAAGAGACAGAAGAAGACGAATTAGATACATCACCAGAAGGCCGCGCAAAAGCAAAACCCAAGATACCTGCTCGGAAGAAGACTTCTGCTTCTGGAGAAATACAGATTGAGCCACCGTCAAATTGGGCTGAAATCTACGATACTATCAAGGCCATGCGGAAACGAAACCCTACAGCGCCTGTCGACACCATGGGTTGCGAAGACTTGTTCTGGCCCTCCGCTCCGCCACGGGAGAAGCGATATCACACCTTGACTGCATTGATGTTATCATCGCAAACCAAGGATACAGTTACGGCAGCTGCCATGCATAGATTACATACCGAGCTCGTCCCCCAACGGCCAGACGACACTGGCGAGATTCAGGAATCCGCTTTGACAGTGGATAATGTGCTTGCCTGTGATCCGAAGTATCTAGACGAGCTGATTGGCAAAGTCGGCTTCCACAACAACAAAACCAAATTTATTAAGAAGGTCGCTCAAATCCTGAAAGACGAATATGACTGTGATATCCCTGATACTGTCGAGAAGTTGGTGAAGTTGCCAGGGGTCGGTCCAAAGATGGCGTATCTGTGCATGTCTGCAGCTTGGGGCGTCGATGAAGGGATAGGTGTTGATGTCCACGTACACCGCATCACGAATCTTTGGGGCTGGCACAAAACAAAGACACCAGAGGAGACACGGGCATGGCTTGAAGGATGGCTTCCTAAGGACAGGTGGCACGAGATCAACAAGATGCTCGTGGGCCTTGGACAAACCGTATGCCTGCCTGTGGGCCGAAGATGCGGCGAATGTGACCTTGCCGGCAAGGGCCTGTGCAAGGCCGAGATTCGCGGCTGGAAGGCAACAGAGAGGAGAGTGAAGAAAGAGAAAGTAGAGTTGAAGATTGAGGGAGGGAATGAGGTCTTCAAGAAAGAGGAAGAAGTTGACCAATTGATCAAAGTTGAAGAAGAATTGGTAGGTTCCTGATCAATTTCCTCAACATATATATACCATTTTGAGGCGCTTTCTCGGCTCATCCTTGATTTTGCCCAGAGCCTCAATCATGACAGACATGGTTGTGTCAAAATACCCCTGGTTCATGTATTTTGTCCTGCTCCGATAGCCGAAACCCCAATTCTCCGTCGACACTGGCCCAGCTACCAGCTTTGAAGTCATTCCCTTCGACCGTTAGGCATGGTATGCAGGTGGTGGGTCGTTATTCATCGCAATATGTGCTCTCTCAGGTGGCTTTATTGGCCTATATTGAGACCTCTGTCTGTGCTCCGTTGGAGGTGTATCTGGGCAAAGTGGCTCTAGAGCTCTTTGGTTCTCTTCGTCATCGATCATTGCTGGTATCTGCCCGTACGTCCTGCGCCTGTGCTCGATCTCTCTTGGTCGAAGGCACATACCACAGCTGAATGCGAACAGGAACAGCGCCGCGAAGATAGAAATGACAATAATAGACCCCTTGCTGATATGATGGCCAGAACTGCTAGTTAACAAATTTGCAGCGCGGGTTGTGATTTGAGTCGCCATAGTGAGTTTATGATAGTCATGGTCGTAGGAATCGCAAGCAAGGGAAGTATATTCTTCCTGAGCATTCGGTATTGTTATGTCAATGCGGTGTTTCGGGCACAAGGCTGACTTGATCCTTCCGCAACTGGGTGGAGTCAGTCTTCACCAGGCTGATTGGCAGCGCCTCCATCTCTTCTCATTTCTCACAGTCATTGCCGCCACGCCTCATCCCCTTTTTATGTTTGGGCAGAAAGCCTAAGAGAAAACATGCCACTTGGTCCTCCAAGGAGGAATGGCCCCAAATGTGAAGCTCCTTCCCTTGACCATGATCACTCGAACTAACAGCTGGGCGTCTTCCAGGCTGTCTGCCTCAGACTTGTGTGGGGATCCTGCATACCTGGACGGTAGCAGGCACTTGAGATAACCAATTTGTAGAAAAGTGTCGGTTGACGGTGGAGGTCCCAATTTCTCCCATCTCAAATCGTACCCGTCACGAAAGGAATCAAAGCACTTCCAATGGGATTGTTGTGAAGGTTCTGAGAGGTAATAAAGGCCATCGTGGTTCAGCTGAGGAGGCTCGGCATACCTGCCATGCCTTCACAGCGCGAGCACCAACAAGGGAGCACCTAAATGCCTGCGATTTCTACTCCTATATTGTCACCTAAATTGACTTCTACTTTGATCAGCTTCTCAGATAGTAGATTTCTTTTCGTAATGCCCGACAACACATGGTTGAACCCTTACAAGTTGTGTTCTCTGAAATGTCTAAGCTCTGGCCCTTCACAGGGAATAGTGTATGAACTTGACGACAGCTCTGTGATCAAAGTACCATTTCAGTATCCTGTGGGCGGTGGCTCTACCATCGACGAACAGCACGATCATCTGGAGCTATCACTGAAAAGCTTTAGGTGTTTCAAGCAAGAGTGTCGAATCTATGAAGTACTTTCGAAGTATTCTCACCCAAACATTGTGGCAAGACTCCAGTCCAGCAAGTCTGACTGCATCATCCTCGAACGAGTCGAGTCACTAAAGGAATCTTGGAAGAAGTCAACAAAGTGCTTTCATCAAATATGGATTTTTGAGCTCGTCAATGTCTTGTCTTTTTTGGAAGAAGAACTTGGATACCTTCACGGAGACATAACAATATCCAACATTGGTATCGGCCATGACAATAGGCTCAAAGTATTTGACTTTGGCTCAGCTGTTCACAAAACCGACGAGGATTTTGAATCTCAAGTTCTTGAGGATCAATTTAATGTCGCAAACTGTATCTACTTTCTAGCGACTGGGAAGGATGTTTTTGCGAAGGCCAGAAGTGCTGCCGACATCAATCGTATCCGACGAGATCTCCAAAAGGGCAAATATCCCTATTCCGCCTCAGCAAAAATGTATCAAGAAGTAATTGAAGCTTGCTGGTCTCAAAAACGCTTCAGCTCCTTTAAGCATCTGAAGAAGGCCCTTGAGATCTTACAAGAACAGACAGCCAGCGACTTAGTGCTATCAATGCATGAAGTGAATGCAGTGAATACATGTCCATCACCTGATTTGTTCCTGGAAGGGTTGATGAAAGAAGAAAGCTGGATGGATGAGGAAGAGTACTGCGTTGCATGGAGCAAAATGGGCTTCGAAATCCCGCTCGTGTGATCTGAGATACTAGCTGGTCTTCCATTCAAAGAGGGATAACCGATCGATAGGATCATACAATCACAACAACAACAAAGGCGCCCGACAAAAGATTTCTCCTGCATTACATGAGTCAATGATTGACTCTATTCCTTTGCCCTGAGATTCCAACCAATCTACCTAAAGACGCCCGCCATCTTAAGCGAATTTGCGGTCTCGGCCTAGTCTCTGCCCGCCGCGACACAATCTGGACAGAATCCTTTGACCTTATTCTCCGTAATGGAGTGGTTGAACTTGGGATTTTTACAGTCTGGACCACCGGGAAAGGCTTTGCACTGGTACAACTTCTCCGAACCGTCGACCCTATGATTGCACTTTGTGTATTTTGTGCCTGGTGCAGCTTTGAAGCACATGGTCCTAACAAAAGTGAATCCGTATTGCCAATGAACTCTTCGTGATTTACACCTACACTGTAGGCAACCTCGAATCAATCTCAAGTATGAAAATTGGAATTTGCCGGGGTGGAAAGCTCAATATCGCGTCGGGATGAAGCAGCTCTAACGCGGGAAAGAATGCTTACGTGACTCATGCCAGGAAAGCCTTCTTCCTTGGGAACTTTCAAGCCAAAGCTGAGAAGAAACGTGGTGAAGCCTCATACGCCAGCTCATGCTTCCGTGCATACACAAAAGGGTACCGTAAGCTTTTGCAGCAGTTAGCAGATCAGGCATGATGCATCTGTAGTGGCAAAGCTATTCTGATGACAAGCATTGTCATCGAATGTTCATTGACCCTCAGAAAGATCTTGCAGAAAGCCTTCTAATTGGTCTCAAGGCACTTGAGACAAAAAGGTCCTTGTGCACCTGTCTCGTAGCTGTTGCACAGTGTCATAGCTGATCGGACCGACTCAATTCCTGCCATTCCGTCCCGTCACCGTCTTACAAACCACGGTCTACGACAGATCAGGCAGCATCTACAAACTCAACCCGAATATCAGAGGACCAGAACAACTCTGACGTGATCAACACTAGTTAGCGGGATTGCTGAACAGGTAGGCCATGTTTTGGGCCCCAGTTTTCCACTGACCATAGCATACCGAGTTTGCCTTGTCGAGAAGGGGACAACGCCAACGGCAAAGAGTTCGCAAAGCCGGTTCCACAGTGGAGTACATTGGTACGTTTGTGGATTGCAGAATTCCTGGCGGATAATCCGACACCAACGTCAACCTCGGCCGTCGAGATGGAACCAGGCACCATGAACATACAAAGCATCAATTTCTGTAGCACGAGTTTCGCCTCCGAATGCGAGCTGATGTAATAACAGCTAAAATTACTAATTCCAGACGCACCATTTGGACCGAAATTCGTCCGTCTCAACCGGGGTTCCGCAGTGCAGTGTTGTGAAAAGATCAAAAGGGCTGTTCTGGATCGTCAGGTCACTGTCTCCAATAGGCGGGCAGTCAAAGGATCGAGGCCATAACAGCTATTCTGTACACTACTACGATACCATGTCAAACACTTCTATTCTCTTCTTCCCTGGCTCATATTGTCTGACGAGCCTCTACCAACCACTCCTCGATGCGGTCACTGAAGCGGGGTATGAGATCAAGGCCATTCATCCACCGACAGTAGGGCCGAGAAGTCGACAAGGTTATGCACATAAAGCACCTTCCATGTACGACGACGCTTCGGTCCTTGCACGGGAGGTTGAACAGTTGGCTGATGAGGGCAAGGATGTGATAATCGTCGGCCACTCTTATGGTGGAGTCCCAATGACCCAAGCGTCAAAAGGCCTGGGCAAAGAGGAGAGGAAGGCACAGGGCAAGCCTGGAGGCATCGTACGGCTTGGCTATATGACCGCCATCGTCCCAGAACATGGGCAGTCAGCTCGTGGAGCCATAAGCGTAGTCCCAGCCGAGGGACATCCTCGCATAGAGGTCGATGTAAGCCTTTCTCACCTTTCCGCTTTCTCCTTCCCCCGTACGCGCGCCTTTCGTGCTGTCTTCCACTTTTTTCTATTGTTATTTAGTTCGAGACTCTCACTCATGTCCTCATGCTCTCAGGAACATGGCTGGATGCTGATGGCCGATCCTGCGGGGACTGCGAGCCTCATCCTTCAGCATCTGCCGCCTGACGAGGGGACAGCTATAGTCAGTGATTTTGCAAAGCACTCCGCCCAAAGCTTCCTAGACCCGGTGACATACACAGGGTACAAGGACATTCCTGTCTCGTACTTGCTCTGCGAGGAAGATCTGGTCGGACCTCCCGATCTGCAGAGATCGTGGATTGAAATGATCGAACGAGAAAGTGGCCGAAAAGTTCATGTCACAGCTGTGCAAACAGGCCACATGGTCAACGTGACGGCCGAAAAGGAGGCCGTTGACTGGGTCCTTCAATTGGCAAAGATGGCTGATGCGTAGAAGCCGAGTCAGGATCGTCCAATACCGCTCTTGATCCGTAGAAGAACGAAACACCTTTCGTTAGCATGTCCCGATTGCTTTCGACTCCTGTATGTGGTCTCCATGGACTTAAATTCTCAGATCATCGTTGACCGGTCAAGGAGATATGAAGGCGCTGTTGCGTTGCCTATCTTTTTTTCTATCTTAGTAATGGCTTAGAAAGATACATCAACAGAGGGCGTGATGTCAGAGAATAAAGAGAGCCTTGTGGACAGGAGAAGCAGATATAACTTTGGCCCCGAGCACTCCAAATCTATGTCCAATCATTTCTCAATGTGGCTGGTAGCCTCCACCGTCTGCGCAAACCACCCTTGAAGGCGCTCCGCATCACGCACGCGGAAACCAATCTTGAAAGGCTTCGGCTCTATGGACAACCCTGTAGGGTTGGCATTGCACTCGAGAGGGCCCGTCAAGACCGGCCGCTGCGTGGGATCCTTGGCCGGCAAGACTTCCAGTGCAATAAACATGCGTATAAATGTAATGTACATCTCCCTGTACGCCAAGTGCGAGCCAGTACACATGCGTGAGCCTGCCCCAAAGGCAAAGTGTTGGGTCCCTGAGCCTTCCGCGACGTCTAGAAAACGTTCAGGTCTGAACTCTTCGGGGCACTGGAAGTGGTCCGCGTCGTAGTCGGCCGCCCACGCATTCTTTGAGGGTATGGTCAGTCAACCACTCAATTACGTTAAGAAACAGGTCCAAAAAAAAAGCGAGGAGGGGGGGAAGTCATCCTGCTGGGGGTAGTGGGGTGTTCTTACCATAAGGAACGTTGTGCCAGCAGGGATTGTTGCCCCTTGGTATACGACATCCTTGATGCTAACCCGTGGAAGAGACATAGGGATGACCGTCCAGAAGCGAAGGACTTCTTTGCAAAATGCCATCACGTAGGTACACTTCTCTTCCACGAGACACTTTCCCCAGGCGTCTCCGTCCGGATAGACGCTGTTGATGTCGTCGAGAAGCTTTTTCTGCAGTGAGGCTCCCTGGGATCCCGAGAGTATGGCAGTGCCGAGCAGCATGCAGGCCGGAGTGGTATCTAGGCCTCCAGCGATCATCGTTACACAGATCGATTTGATCTCCGCTATATTCAATTTAGAGTCAGCGAATGGTTTCGTAATACAACTTTGCTTTCGTCGGTTAAAGCAGACGAAATGACCAAGAATCAGGACTCGTACCATGATTTAGCTTGCATTCAGGATCCTGCAGGATGTTCCCAGTGATACATGAGACCTTAGAGCCATTGGCTATCTTTTCCTTCAATTTTTGCAAGAGGTATTCCAGGTAGACATCTCGCCGGTGTCTAAGGTCAGATGCTTGGTTCGACCGTGTAGAGAAGACTCTCAACAGCGGAACAAAATCTTGCCAATTATTGCTGGTGCTTCTGAGGGTACTGATGCCACGTTCAACACTGATAATCTCTCGCAAGAGATCGTTGTCAACCGAGCCGCCAATGCGAAATCCATAGCCGAGAGTCAAGCTCAAGTTGAGTGCCAGCCGTTGAAAGAGGGGATACGGGTCGAGGTCGACTTGATCCTTGCTTCCTTCGATATGGTCCACAAGTTCTTTGATGCTGGCATATGATTCCAGGTCGACAAATGGCATGTAAGACACAACGGACGGTCTGTTCAGTGCAGTGGCGGCCGCTTTGCGTCGTCTCTTGCAAGATTCATCCCACGGGGACGTGCCAATGGTGAATCCTTGCGACGAAGATAGCACATTGTGAAAGGTGTGCAATGTCGGCCGAGATATGAGGCTTGACTGGTTACTGACCCAGAGTTGCCGGACGGAATCGAAGCTGTTTGCAACAACGAACCTCTAGGAAGAAGGATGACCTATTAGCTGTCTTTTCAGATCTTGAGCGAAGAATCATTCCTGCTCTCACCTTGTTTCCCAACCTGATCTGGAACACCGGGCCATACTTCTTGGACAATTCCGCCAGTCGTCGGGGTTGTTCGCTCCCTAATTGGGCCAAATTTCCAAGTACAGGAAGTCCAGGTACGGAGGGCAGATGTTTAATGTGTGGGACGTCCGTGGTGTCGAATATCAATATCAATACTACCCCTAGCAGAAATACCAGCCCGGCAACTGTCACAACCCACACGAAGGACAGGTTCAGAAGCTCACCGACCCTCGCCAATGGGTGGAGTTTTCCCACTGCAACAGGCAGCAGGTCTGTTATGCTACGCCCCATTTTCGATAAAGCTGAGAGTATACGGGCACAGATCCAGCTCATCTCGCTGCCTTCTGCTTCTGTCGGACAGCAATATACCATCTTTTGAATACTCCCAACCTCGGCTCTTTCACAAGGACATTAGATAATTCAACCACAGATTGCTATTCGCTTCTGTCCCTGCCCTGCCGGGACATCCGCCGGCATCTTTGAACGAGGAAGTCAAGTGGCGGGCCGCACGAGGCTTTACCTCCGCGACTGCTGTCGTCACAAGACATACCACGATGGCTTTCAGCGGAATACTCAAATCAGTGGAATACTCAAGTCCTTGCGAAGGTCAGATTTGTTAGGATTACAAACATCTTACAGAGAAGCGTCGTGTTCAATATCGCCGCTGCACGATTATGGTATTTGCATCTGAATCACCCTTCAAGGTTATGTTCCGGCCCATGATAGCCCGATTTTGTCTAAGCTGCGTTGCATTTCTACATCCATGACCTTTTAATTGATGGCAAGATCGTTCCTGAGCATTCGCCAAAACCTACTATGTTCGAATCGTCGTCACCGCACCATCCTCGAATGACCACACTGTCTCCATCCTCCAAGAAAGTTCGGCGGATCGTCGCAGATAGATCGTAGCTATTCTTGCCTCCGTTGGAGGCTTCGAGTAAAGAGCCCAAAGTCCCCGGTTCTGGACCACTGATGGTCCCTGAACCTACCAGGTCACCAACCTCCAAAGGACAGCCGCCCACTGTATGATGAGCGAGCATTTGTGCGAAGGAAAACACGAGATTCCGACCATTCGTGCGTGACAAAATTGCAGACTCGCCGTTGGGGGCTGTGTTCATATTCATTACTTTTACGATTCAGTCCAATGGGAGTTTCAACGTACCTCTCAGCTCGACCTCCAGATTAACATCATAAACATTCTGTTCGCGGGTCTCCTGCAAATATGGATGTAACTTTGTTTCGTTTGGTATCCCCTCAACGTGAAATGGCTCAAGAGCATCTTTCAATATGACCCAGGGACTGATAGTCGACGCAAATGTTTTGGCATTAAAAGGTCCCAGAGGCACCGCTTCCCATTGCTGTATATCTCGGGCTGACCAATCGTTCAAGATAACAAAGCCAAAGATGTGTTTCTCTGCCTCATTGACATCGATTGGTTCGCCTAGGTCATTTCCTTTACATAGTAACGCCCCCAGCTCGAGCTCAATGTCCAATTTTCGGCATGGGCCAAAGCTGGGCAGCGTGTCCGGCGGTTGCAAGAATTGACCCAGCGGTCGGTGTACATCAGTGCCTGAAACGACCACTGACGACGCTCGTGAGTTGTAAGCCACCGGAAGGTGAAGATAGTTCGGTTGTAAGGCTTTAGCAGGATCTCGGAATATACAGCCACAGTTGTATGCATGATTTTTTCCGACAAAGAAGTCGGTGTAGCCTCCAATCTTCATGGGGAGATGCATCTCGACCTGGTCTTGCTGGAAAAGACATGCATTTTGAGCCTCGACATTGTCTTTCAGCAGGGCAGGAAACGAAGTTTTCTCTGCGAAAATATCCTGCAAATATCGGCGGACTCTCCTGTGAACTTCCTGGCCCAGTGCAGCGAAGTCATTGAGTGCAGGACTTGAAAAGGTTGCAATTTGGCTGGGAGTGAAGTCTTCAAGTCCAACGAAGCCCTGATGATTCGCAAACTCATGTAGATCCAGGACGAGGCTCCCAATTGCAACTGCTGCATGCCTTTCATCACCAGATCGTGGAGTCGTAACAATACCAAATGGTATGTTGGCCAGCGAGAAATGTGTCCCTTTGGGGATATCCAACCAACTGCTTGCTCCCATCCTGATGATTTTCGTAGCAGACTTACCCTGACGGAACCACATCCTTCTTTTCCACTGTTCATGTTTTATCGCTGGACATTCAATGGTTCGACCTAGCCTGAAGCTCTGGCAATCGCGAACCATTCGTGCGGGTTTTCCGGCGGATGTCGTCCTCCATCCCTATATACCGCGGAAATGCTTCCGAAGTGTCTACAAGCCGCCCCCCAATGTCCACCATATGCTCCCTAATGACAATGTGGATGACAAACACGCAAGTGTTGTACAGTTCCGCCAGGTGATGTGTAGTCCTTCTACAAGACTGAGTAAAGAAGTCAAAGTGCAGCGCGGTTTACGCCGCGGAAGCATCTCAGCGATCGCGGTTCTAGAGAAGTTGACCAGGAAAGATGCCATACACGAACTTTGAGATTCCAGAGAAATATACGTATCAGACTGGGTTCTTGGCCAATCTGGAGTAGGTGCATTACCATATTGACACACCGACGCTAACTCTGCGTTTAGAACGGAAGCGATCGTGGGAGCATTGCCTATCGGCCAGAACTCACCTCAGAAATGTCCCTACGGCCTGTATGCTGAGAAGATCTCAGGCACTGCCTTCACGGCCCCCCGATGGGAAAACCAGCAGACATGGGTATATCGCATCATACCCTCGGCGTCTCATGCGACATTCGCTCCTGTGTCTACTGATAACAGTCTGGAGACAAAGTTCAACTACATTCCTGATCAACTTCGATGGGATCCTTTTGACGTCAATGCCGATGTGGACTGGATCCGTGGCCTCAACGTCGTTGCTGGGGCCGGGGATCCTGCCTTGAAAAACGGCGTCGCATATTATATCTATGGTGCCACCCGGTCGATGGCTGATAAAACCGCTTTCTATGATGCTGATGGCGACATGCTGATCGTGCCGCAACAAGGTGCGCTTGATATTCAGACCGAGATGGGCCGTCTTCTTGTCAGACCGAACGAAATCTGTGTCTTACCCCGTGGGATAAGATACCGCGTGGATCTTGTGAACGAGCAGCCTATCAGGGGATATGTCCTGGAGATCTATAATGGCCACTTTCAGCTTCCTGAGCTTGGACCCATAGGATCAAATTGTTTGGCCAACGCACGGGATTTTCAAATACCTGTCGCCGCGTACAGCCACGATACCAAGTCGGAGTGGTTGGTTTACAACAAATTCCGGGGCCAACTCTTCCGGGGGAGGCAGAATCATACGCCATTTGACGTAGTTGCTTGGGAAGGAAGATATTATCCTTACAAATACGATCTGGGTCGATTCAACACCATCGGCACGATCTCATACGATCACCCAGACCCGTCTTTGAACACTGTGCTCACCGCCACCTCCAACGCACATCCCGGCACAGCTATCGCAGACTTTGTCATTTTTCCGCCACGTTGGCTCGTTGCCGAAGATACGTTTCGGCCTCCATCGTACCATCGGAACTGTATGAGCGAGTTCATGGGCCTGATACAAGGTTCTTACATCGCCAAAGAGGGCGGTAAAGGAGGCTTCCAAGCAGCTGGGGCCAGCTTACATAATTGCATGAGTAGCCACGGCCCGGATAGGGCAGCCTTCGACAAGGCCTCTAACGAGAAGCTTGTGCCTGTCAAAGTCGGCGTAGGAAGTATGGCTTTCATGTTCGAGAGTTGTTATATGGTCGGGATCACCGACTGGGGTTTGACCAAGTGTGCGAAACGACAGCCAAACTATTCCGAGGAGAGCTGGGGAGAATTGCAGGATCAATTCTGTCCGCCGCCTGAGCACAGCCTATGAAATCTGATGAATTAATTCCTTGTTAGAAGAGAAGTCAAAGCTAGGAAGATAGTCTGCTCTGTAGCCTATGGCGAGGGGGAAGAAAGATATTGGACTTCGGACGAACACTCTCTGAGAACTATTTGTTGCTTGTTATCAATACGGGTCATCCCCAGCTATCTCGTTAGAACGTGCATCGTCCAAGCGTCCAGGCCTGCGGCCTTAAGCCCGCGTCCCGTTTTTTCCTCGGCTCTTTCAAAGCCATGAGGGCACCAGTTCGCTCCATCTTTTACACCTCTTACTGCCCTACCATACCGGTTATTGCTTTGCACGCCGCTCAGCCCGATGGCAATGACTTTCTTTTACCTTTGATGGCTACCCACAGACTGTGATCTATACCAAATCTCATATCAAGCATCGGTCCTAGGCTGCATCCGCCGAAGAATGCTGCAAAGCGTCAAGCCCAAGCGCGCAAGGGCGCTTCAGGCCTGTGAGGTATGTCGAACCAGGAAAAACCGCTGCAGCGAGGACCAGCCGTGCACATATTGCGTGGGTAAGAACTCCGTGGCGTCTGACTTCATTGCATAGCCAGCTCACGCAGATAATCAGATCATGGCTTAGAATGCACGTATTCTCGTCTGAACCGTGACCGGCGACCACGAGTACGGCAAGTGACTGTTCTTCGACCGCGCATGGAATCTGCCTGACCATCTACACAGAACAATAATGCAGATCGAGTCACAGAGGATTGATCCTGACTCTCCGCGGCTCCATCGATCTCCCATCATAGAATCCGAGCAGAACAACGTTAAATCTTGGTCAAATGCTCTGAGCCATGCAGAGCCCGTCGAACGAACTTCTACTCACCAGCCGCGTCTTCTACAGATTGACGAATCCCGGAATCAGCCTGATTTGTCTTCTATGAATATTGGCAGTGCTACTGGGGTCTCTACCACGCCACAAAGGGCAGCCCCGGACGTTATGGATACGAATTTGCACACGAGCAACCTCGAATTCTACGGATCATCATCGTCCGTGGCTTTCCTTCGTCACATGGAAATGCTATCCAACAGCCAGAATACAGACTCTGTAGGCGGACAGCCCAGGTGTTCATTAGCTTCACTCCTGCACAACACAGAATTTTGCCCGGATACACCGCACAACCGACAGGAAGCACAAGAGGCAAGTACAAACTCTGACCGATTCCACTTCCGTGTTGCGAGACGATTTTTGGATTCCTACTTCTCCAATATTCACCGTATCCAACCTATTTTCGAAGAGGAAGCCTTTCTGAGTCGTTGCGAAGACCTCTGGTTCAACACCCCCGAGAAGCAATCATTGTCTTTCGTTGCTCTTTACTATGCGACGTTGAGTCTGGGCAGCCTTGTCATGACTTTTGAAACACCAGAGGTTGCTGGAGCCGATCGGTTTACTTGGAGTCGAAGGCTGTTCAGCAGAGCGCTCGCCATCGTAACACGACTCGGCACAGCGACGGACATAGAGATGGTCCAGTGCTTCTACATGATGGTAAGGAATCACTGTATACGTGTCGAAGCTTCGGACTAACGCCAATCTCACCAAGAGCAAGATATATCAGCACGAACTCAACCCTCATGGTATGCTGGGCTTCACTTTGTTCTGCAACTTCACTGATGTGGTTCGTTAGTGGCATATCTATACTCAGGTCAAGCGGCAAGAACTTCGTTAGCGATCGGAATCAATCGACGACCAATCATCCCGGACGTAACTGATCCGAGGGCTACGATGACGGCATCCAAAACATGGTGGTATGTTAACTCGAGACTCGGAATCTCGAATGATCGCTCGCTGATATTGGCCAGGGCTGTATATTGTCTCGACATGTATGGAAAAAGAAAATCACTTCCAGGACTAGCTGAGCACTGACTTCATAAAGACAGACAAGTTTTGCACTGGGCCGACCCGACAGCCTCGGACCTGACGAATATCATACACAAGATCTTCCCGCCAGATCGGTGGAAGAAACACGTTCGAGCACCAGCGCCCTAGACATTGTTACCTGCATGGTTGATCTCTCAAGGATCATGCGAAAAGTAGCACTCGCTCTGTACACGGTCCCCTGCGAGATGGAAGAGAAGCTCCAGCGAGCAGAGACACTGGATGCTAGCTTATGTAGTTGGCATGAGCAAATCCCGGCCTACCTTCGCGTCGACCACAGCCTTTTTCCACCCCAATCTCTGAAGCCAAGCGGTCTCGCCAGCTGTAGCAAGAAACAGTCCATCGTGCTCCAGCTTCGTAAGTATCAAGACCTCTCATGCACGGCACATGTGCCTTCTGATGCGTATAGGCTACCTGAACTTGCGCATGATCGTCCACGCCGCATTCATGACTCAAGCAGACAACGGCGCGTCGGGCGACGCCATGCCGGTGCGAGAATATCAGCTCAAGTGTCTGGAGGCTGCAGAAAGTACAATCGACCTAATATACAACACATTCCTGAACGACAGTTTCTTTCAGACATGGTACGCATCAATTCTCCGCAACCCGGATGCAGCTCAAGAGTTGAGGTCTTTCCATGTACGAGCCTGTCACTGATTGGTCTTGTTGTCAGGTGGTACAACGCTACGTATACGTTGTTTGCTGTCAGTATTCTGCTCGCGGCTGTCTTCCAGCAACTTGCGACCAGTCAGCATGCACTCGACAACCTCTTCGTTCATATTGACCGTGCCATACTGATCCTACAAGCTATGGACGAGTGCCTGGTTGCTAGAACCGCGACAGCAATCATCAAGCGCTCCCTTGCTCGTGCGAAAAAGGCTCCGCAGCCGGCATTAAACGCGGTACGGGGTTCATCAACACGCGGTGCGGATCCTAGTAACGGCGAACTGCCTCCGCCGTCATCTTTTGGGCAAACCCAAGGGACTGGAAGCGTCGAATCACTGTTGCAGCCTTATCCGACAGCGGGAGCTTTCGAAGAGGATACCATGGACGATATCGATTGGCTCGATAGCTTTCAATTCGACGACAGCCAACAGACTTTATTCTGGACACGATGGGCACAAGAGCTTGATGTTTTGGGAACATGAAAGAAGAGATCATTGACAAACAGCCTCTGTGTCTTTAGTTGGTGGTCTACAGGTCTCCCACTGAAACCTTTCCTATCGTCGTCCAGCACGTCTTTCCCCTCTCGGCACTCCCTACTTGGAAGGCTGACCTGTAGCCAAGGATACCACGATCGAGGATGGGTGTTCTGCTCCGGAGTATATGACGTGCTTCCCACGGTTGCGATTCTCGCCTGCGCGATACAACTGCGGAAACTCTGGCAATGTCACCTCATGACCCTTAATTTCTAGCCGCATGGACTCCCCTGGCTGGAAAATAATTCCAGAGGGCCATAACGGAATGTCAAGGCACACGATTTGACCTGGAGGGATCTTTTCCTCCTTGTCGTGCGCATGGTAGGCAACTGCGGGAGCAAGCATAGCATTTTGCTCTGCAGAGATGCTTGGATCGGTGCTCAGCTGGCGATGTGAGGCTCGAAGTCTGCCATTGGGCCCGAGGTACTTGAAGATATTAAGATCCGGGACGTCGTCAGGGGTGGTTCCTGTGGGGAGACTTTCGAGGGGAATGTTGATGTGCTTCAAGGGCTGTCCGTCGGCATCCAATTTGCGAACGATTACGTAGACATCAAGGTCGTCCGTCTCGGCGCAAGAAACGTATAATCTAGCTTGGGAAAACCCGATCAGTTCGGTATATTCTCTGAATGTGAAAGTGAAGTGTGCGCCATCGTCGTCCCAGGAGTCAGAGGTGTAGCTTGATGTTGAAGGCTCGGCGGGTGGACCGCTCTCGTCCAGAGCTGCAAATTTGCTATTCAAGTAGAAAGTTCTGTGCTTGACATAGGAAGGTGGATAGACAGCCTCAGGGCGATCCACGACCGAAGGGATGTTGAAACCGAGCAAGCTGTGCCGGACCCTGGGTGTTGACTCCCAGCCATTGTCTTTCCCGTAGAGGTAGCGGTCGAAGAACTTTTGGAGATCGTCGTTTGCCGATTTTTGATAAAGGTCATACCACTCTTGCGTATGGTGAATTCGAAGCCTGTTGCAAGTTCAGGGGTATTCGTGGGCAGCAGCCACTGGGACTTGGACGAAGAACTAACCATTTATCTTTTGTCGATGAGAACAAGAAACCCTTGATTGAGCCCAAAGTGTGTATACCACTCGAGAAGCTGGCCAGGGCGTATACAGGGACTTTGATTTGAGTAAGTTTGGCGCGTTTATCCGCCCAGTATTCATTGAAGAGCGGATACTTGCGAATCATCGCTCCGAGATCTTCACGACTCTTCTTGCCTGTTATTATTTCGAGGAAGCCTTGTTAGTTGGGTAGTTAGGGGGAAAGGCTTTCGGACATGTCTTACCGCAGTAGCCCTCGCCCCGATAGTCTACGAATGAAGGGTTTGGAATGCCTCCTCTGCCGATCATCTCGTTGTAGTTGTCAGCTAAACCCTCCCAAGGAGCAATAGCTTTCAGATGAGGCGGTCTTTCGGCCGCAATGAACCTGTGCGGTGTGAGAGTGAGTCCATGAACCCGGCAGGTAGAGCTATCGCCGCAGGTGGATATCTACCACTGAGAGATTCCGAGCCACGAATTGCCAGCAAAGGCAACGGCGCCATTGCACCAAGAGTGTGAAGCAATGAATTCGACAGTATCGTATCCATCTCGACCTTCCTGGATCGTCGTGCATGATTAGAATTGACGCTGACCATCTGCAGGTTATCAGGTTTATACTCACTTGCGTTCCTTGGGCAACCTGATCTCCTTCCGAATCAAAGGTGCCGCGAGGGTCGACATTGACGATCGCGTAGCCTCGTGGACACCATTCGGCAGGATCTGGAGCCTCAAACTTCTCAAGGTCACTCGTCCAGTCTTTTGGAATCCCAGCCCGCCAGGGGACACGATCAAGACTCTGAAAGCCTGTGGGGAGCTTAGCGCGATTTCCAAGAGATCATGAACGGCCGAAAGACATACCGTTACCTTGTTTCCCGTACGGACTCCACGCCACAATAGCTGCGACTGGCGTGCTGTCCGAAGAGGGGGGTCGAAAGACGTCCATATAGATCTTACACCCATCTCGCAGAATAACGGCCACATCCCTTTCGAAGATCAGGTCACTGTCCAGAGGGCGACGACCTGGCTCTTTCCGCCATCCCTTCGGAAGCACTTCCTTGGAGGGACCGAAATCCTTCCAGCGCGTGCTAAAGTCTCGGTTCGCTGGTCTGAAAGCGACCTCGATGCCACCGACGCAGAACTTGGTCGCCATGACTAGAGGTCCTGAAACTAGACTTTGTCGAATATCAATCAGCCTTACTTAGCCTTGCTTAGCCTTGTCTAGCCTTAATTGATGTGGCATCGCGCTGCTCCTGGTATGTAGACCTTTTAAAAGCCGACTACTCTCCGAAGGACAAGAAAAGCGCTTACTAATTATGAGCCAGCAGCTTAGACTGACAATCAATATGTTCAAGAGATGGGCTCCTCTACTCCGCCTCCGCCTCATCTCCACCCACTTTGTGTAGGCGGAATTCCCGGCGGCATCAACATAGCCGGCGGATGCTCGTAAAAAGATCAACAACCTCGGACGGCGTCGTTCCTGCTCCGAGTACCTTACCGTAATCGTTCAGGACGGGTGCAAGCGAACATTTGGCTTGTCATGGGCTGCGATGATTCCCTCGACTATGTCCATCATGGCACTTGGGCGCTGGGGTGGCTGAAGAACCTCACTTGGCAGTCTGGAATCTCCTGATCTATCTGACGGCATTTCCGGTAGAGCTCATGAGGTCCATATGAACAAGGGGGAAAGTGTGAGAATCTGGGGTAATCCATGGGGGAAGTGCCACTTGGATATCCAGCTTACGCCTATATAGATACATACCACCCCCCGTCTTCTAGAGACCGGTCAATCTACCTTTTCATCGTGCAGGCTTTGACAGAAAGGCAGATGGTTTTGGAATTTTCAAGAGTGTAGGATACGCAGTCACGACAGGTTTCTATCAGAAAAGCCAGTTGCGCCAGGAATATCAGCCACCTTGTCGACATGGCCTCGGGAGTTGAAGAGCCCGAGAGGCCACCGCGGGTTGCTGGACATGAAGTCGAAGAGAAACCATGTACTTCTGAGCAACAGATCGAGATCCTACATTCCTCACAGAAAAATCTCAACTACGATGAGGCTGACCAAGAGCCTGTCCTCCACGCCCGAACTTGGATCGCGCTCGGTGCGATGGTCATGTTGAACATGGTTCAACTTATTGCGCTGAATGGCCCACCAGTATTTGTCAGTGAATGAGTCGCTCTCTATCGAGAAAGGGAAAGATTCCATGCTAACCAAGACTCTTATGTAGCTTGGAACAATCGCAGCTGAATTTGGTCAGCAAGATCTCCAGTCATGGGTTCCCAATTCCCTTTCGCTGGTCCAAGCGGTCCTTGGACCTGTGATATCTTCTGGATCAGATATGTTCCAAGCTCGCAAGACGCTGCTCGTTGGGTCATGTCTCATAGCGGTTGTTGGTGCTGCTATCGTCCCTCGGTCTCAATCACTGTACCAGGTCATTGCTGGTCAATCTTTGATTGGAGTAGGGTTCGCGTCGGTCCCCCTGGCTTACTGTGTACCGAGCGAGATCGTCCCCCGCAAATGGCGGCCAAGTAAGTAGCTCTGTCGACGCGGATGGGAACTTAAGCTGATCTTGTCAAAAGTGGTACAGGCTTCTATGCAAATTGGCGGCTTTGCAGGGGCAATGATCGCCCCAGTCATCCTCGGCGAGTTTCTGCAAGCCGACAGCGTAGGAGGATGGCGGAATTTCTACGTATACATACAAGAACATTATCCTATTCTCTGATCCACCATACTAACGTCCTTCGCAGTGGGTACAAATGAGTCTCTGGGCATTAACTACCATTGGCATTTTCGCCGGCTATCGGCCTCCTAAGAGACATACAAGGCTTGACCATCTTTCTGCATGGCAAAAACTCGGCATGATGGACTGGATCGGCTCCTTCTTGGTCACCGCTGGTCTCACACTGTTCCTGACGGGCCTGAGTCTAGGAGGCGGTTTGTACGCCTGGACGAACGCAAGAGTGCTGTCAACGCTCATCATAGGGGGTGCCCTCCTAGTCGCATTTGGTTTGTTTGAGTGGCTCGGTACGAAAACCGGCATCTTCACGCACGAACTTTTCACTGGACCAAATGGTGCTGGCAGGACGGCATGGATATCTGTACTTCTCATCTTCATTGAAGGATTTGTCGCCGCCTCATTCGTCATTTTCTATCCAGTCATGTAAGCGGTCTCGTCCCTTTTTCCGGCCCTTCCCTTATTGACCACAACTTTAATAGGACCGAGTTGCTCTTCACAACCGAGCCCATGAAGGTTGTAGCCCGTCAGGAAGGCTTTTACGTCGGCTGCTTCATCGGAAGCGCCGTATTTGGCTATCTCAGTAGCAAGCTGCGCAGCGTACGGGAGGGAACTGCTGTTGGATACCTACTCTTGACCGGAGGGTTGGTCGGCTTCGCTACGATCCAACCCGGTGATTCGGTCAATGCGATAGCTTTCGCCGTCCTCTCGGGGTTGGGATTGGGGGTGATCCTTGCTCTGGTTATCAGCGCCATACAGCTTTGCACTCCGCACCATCTCATTGCGACTTCTACAGCCGTTCTCACGACGACTCGTGCTCTCGCTCTGACAGTGGGTGTCTCGGTGTACTCTGCAGTCTTCACCGATGCTATCGACAAGAAGACCCCTGCCATGATAGCCTCAGCCGCCGCGAAAAACGGGGTTCCTGTGACCTCAATCCCAGAGTTCGTCGAGGCGTTCCTTGGCAAAGACAGCAACGCGCTGGGCAAAATATCTGGGGTTACACCATCGGTCCTCGCTGCTTGCGCTGTTGCTGTGAAGCATGCGTCGGCCGATTCTCTCCGTCTTGTCTTCATCATTGCGGCCCCAGTGTCAGCACTGGCAGTATTGCTGTGCTACTTCATGGCTGACCTACGAACATTGATGGATTATCGCGTCGATGCTCCCTTGGAAGAATTGCATGCGAAACAACATGACGGTGAAGATGATGGCCATAAGGCGGTATGAGAGCTCACTTGTTCTTGGGTGAGCAGGAGCCTATTGATCGAGACTCCTGATCAGAGAGAATGCACACCACACTGAACAGTTGAAGCATCAGTTTTTTTTTGGTAAAAACAGAGGCATTATCGAGAGGAGCGATGGGGGTCAAACTTTGTGCGAGAAAGTACCCATTGCTGTCAGGAACGCACGATATAAAGGGACGCTCCCTTTATCTATTCTTTCCTCAGACGTGTCCTCCTTGATGCTAGACCAGCTAGTTAGTTGCCGAATCCTTTCAAGCTCAAAGTTGACATTGAGTAATTGACATGAGTAGACACAGCCCGAGTGTTCACTCGCCGCGAGCCTTCACTCAGCCCGACCTCCCACCCATCTGAGCATCTATCCCACCCTCCGTCCAGCACGCGGGTTACTCAACTATCTCGTGAAAAGGTGCTGATGCTGTCGTATGCATGCACACCAATCGTCGACACATATCTGTAATCGGACATGATTAGGCCTCCTCGGGATGCCTCTCTCGGCATCTAGAATCTCGTTAACCAGCACCCAGGCAAAGGCCCCGACAATATGGGCTAATTAGCTGGGAATATGTCTCGCCGTCATGGGCTAGTAAATCCTATGGGCTATGTAGAACCGGGAGGATAAGGGTAATTGTGCGGCGCCGCCTCGGTGTAGCTGTTGGTGCAATCGGATCTCCACCCTGGCATGGAGGGCTTGCTGGAGAAATTTGGAAAGGGAATGGAATGAAATGATCCTGCTGGAGAGTATGATTGACCAGCCCATCAAGATCTGTGTAGACAGCTCTCTTTCCACCAGGAGGGTCTGCTTTGATAGGGATGATCTGCTGAAAAATGGGTAAGACAAGGCTGTTTACCCTGAGGTTCCTACGAGGAACTTCCACACCTCTCTGCTCGGCCATGTCCTGGCAAGAATGGTGCCGCAGCATTGCATCAGGAGCTTGAACCCACCCCAGTGTTGATATGAGTGACTATCAGGTGGAGGGCTCTACTGCCGTCCGAATCCGGGGTGGGATGCGAACAAGGTTTTAGTCATCTTCACGGGGCGTCATCCCGAAGCTCCGAGACAAGCTGCGGCCTCAGCGTCTACAGTACATGATCTGTACTGCGTACTACACAGGCTGTAACTTGGTCTCGTAGTCTGTTTACACCTAATACACCGAGACATTCTGTCTTAATCAGCACACAGTACATCTCTTCCATCTTGTCCTTTCGGAGCGTCCTGTCTCTCTAGTTGTCAATCTCGGCGCCGAATTACGTCCTCTACTTCTGTTATCGCTCCACGTACCGAGCAAGTACGAGTACCGCAGGCGCCGCACCATCATTCTGCGATACACCACAACACCTTGAATGATCGAAGCCCACTAATCACCTTACCTATCACGCTCTCCCCGCTCACTATGTCGACAAAACGTATTGAAAAATGGGAAATCGATCGCTACTGGGAGATCTTCTCGTCCCTGGTCACACCGCCAGCAACTCCATCTTCGCACCTGACCAATGCTGCTGCGGCGGCGGTCCTCCGCAACTCGCATCTTCGTGATGACCAACTTGAACGTGTGTGGGATCTGGCGGACGTCGACGGTGACGGAGAACTTGACTTCGAAGAATTCTGCGTCGCCATGCGCCTCATCTTCGACCTGGTCAATGGCGAGTACCAGGACGTCCCCAAGAGCTTGCCAGACTGGCTCGTACCGGAGAGCAAAGCCCATCTTGTCGCCGCAAACAGGGCACTCTCGGGTGCACCTAGCGCCCAATTTGAACGAATCGAAGATGACGAAGACGACGCTGGTCTCAAAGACGGCTTCGACTGGTACATGACCCCAGGCGACAAGAGGAAGTACGAAGAGATATATAGTGCCAACAAGAATCGTCGAGGAGAGATCAGCTTCGAGTCTCTACACAGCCTTTACAGCAGCCTTGATGTGCCGGACACGGATGTGCGAAGCGCGTGGAACTTGGTCAACACGAGTGGACGGGATACCATCAGTAAGGATGCGTGTCTTGCGTTCTTGCATATCCTCAATTTCAGGCACGAGGGGTACAGGATACCTAGGACGGTGCCACCGAGTTTGAGAGCGAGTTTTGAAGGGAACAAAATTGACTATCAGATTGATAGTATGCGGAACAGACCGAATAAGTATGACGAAGACACATCGACGGGGAGAAAAGCCAAGTTTGGAGATGCGTATCTCAGCCGGATCGGTGGACGGGGAGGGTCGGCTTATCAACCTAAAGGTACGGATTTCTCGGATGTGGTCGAGGACGAGGACCTGGAAAAGGTCAGATTACTGCGGGAACTGCGAGAGCTGGAGAGCCAACATGATGCAGCCATCGCAGCATCGGCTAGACGGCGGAAACAACGAGAGGAGAACGGCTCAAGGCAGCCTGGTAAGACGAACTGGACGCTGGTCAAAAGGGAGGCCCAGCAGCTGCTTGAATATAAGCAGCGGCAGTACGTGGACCTCAACTCGGACAAAGCAAATCAGTCTGGAAACGATCTCAAAAGACTGAGAGACGACCTGGCCCTGGTTGCGGAGCAGATAGCTGGACTGGAGTCACACCTGAGGAAGCGGGAATCCGAGTTGGATAGCATTCGACGTGAGATCGAGAACGAGAAAAGCAGTAGATAGCCGGTATGGAGAAGCAAGACAGTGGTAGTGGAATGACGAGATTTGGGTCATAAGTTATAAGTTCGACTTCTGATTGAAGTCCCGCGGACAAGTGTTGTAGTACAACTGTACAGTTTCGATGGCAATGCCCAGACAACCATTTCCCTTCCCTAGCCAGCCTTCTACCGCTCAGTGCGTACTTTTCTCAGTCCATCTGTGGAGTCACCTCTCTTGAAGTTGGCTGGACACTTATTAACGCGTTTGTTCGCCAGCAACAAAGAGATCCAGACTCACCATCAGCAGCCTCCCAAGCTCTTCCTGCGCCAAAGCCGGTTCCAAACCACACCGGCCATGCTCTTCGCTTGAACAGCAATACTGAGAATATAACACCGAAAGAGAAACCAAGTCCGGACTTGATCACTGTATCTGAAATTGCACGATCCCACTATTCATCTTGTTAGCATTGCTCTTGTTGTTGACGTCGTATGCCCTGGGCCAGTTGGCGCATTGAGTATCAACACAAATGGTTGAAAGCTGTCTTCGATATATTGCCAGGCCAACCTCTTCCTGGAGCTCGTAGGATTCGTACCTTCTCATTCAAAAGTGCCTCGCTGACGGGTTTCGATCGTGGTGTAGGTAGGGGAGGAGAGGAAACGTTCTCGTCCGGCATTGTGTAAACTGGCGAATTCCAGGATCAGCTCCTCCATCAAGGTGTTAAAGCATCGTAGGCCTACCTGGGGACCGCTTGGTCTATCCGCACGAGTTCTGAAGTTGAAATGGTAGCTGTCGCAAACTGTTGTCAAGCTCAAGAAGCTCAGTCCATCGCCGGCGGGAATACCTCGCGGAAAAGATTCTGGCCAATCGGAGCCGACCTTGGCAGACTTTGGGATATCGAGCCCAAAAAGTTTCAGTCTTCTGGCATGAGACGCTCGTCTGCCATTTCTCGACCGAGAGGCGATGCCGGCCTTCACAATGGGATTGAGACTTGAGATGACACTGTGACCATGTCCAAAACCAACTTCGAGTCCGCAATCGCTGCGCTGGAGAGAACGGCAGGACCTCCAGAATCACTCCTAGCTGCCGCTGCCAGTACTCTAGGCATTGATCTCGAAGCCTCTATTGCTTCTTCCTCAGAAAAATTACTACCCCGAGCCGCTTCAGATAGTACAGAACGTACAGGGTTCAAAGAACAATGGGTCCTGCGCTGGCTTCTGAAGAAGCTAGCGTCCCCAGGCACAGTATCTAGGTATGAGAGACAACATTCCCAAGTTTAAGAATGTTGGATTAACATCCCTGTGCAGTTTCTCAACCTGTCCACAATTCTGGTCACTCTTGATCAATTTGACGAATAGCATTCCGACTTCGGTCTGCTTGGAGATCTTAGTGGAAAGAAACTTTTATCGAACACTCAGCGAACTCATTCGCCATGCCCTCTCATCCGACAATGTCTCACCAATTCATGATACGAGTTCGGACGCAGGGGACGGTTCTTCGTCTCGACCGAGTAAGAAGCGCCGTTTAAGCCCTACCACAGACATTACTCTCAATATCAAGAGTAAGAATAAGAATTCACTATGGATTCTTCTTCAAGCTGTGTGCCGCTGTGTCGAGCTACTTGTCTCGCCCTCCGCCCAGCATGGCAATAAGCCCTTGCAACTCTCTTCCTTAATGCAAATAAGCGTTGATGAACAGGCGGCCCTTCTGGGGTCGACTCTCGAAGTGGCCCTCGCCATTATCAAGACTTCCCCAGAGATGTCCGAAGCAACATTGCTATCACATATGATCAATGTTGCATTGTCCGCATGGAGTTGCGATTCCATGTCGTATGGAGCACATCGGGATAACCTCGATCACGCATTTTCTTCACATTGTCTTGCTCCCTGCTTGCACCTCCTCGATGTCGAAGCTCGCTTCGGTCACTCGCCTTTGACATCTTCGAAGCAAGCTCTCGAACGTCTAGTGGCAGTTCATGTTGTGTTCTCAGCCCGTTCAACGTTCAATGCAAAAGACGCCAGAAATTGGAGGAACGCTCAGGATGTGCTGGTATATGAGCAATTCGAGGCCATGCTCAAAAGCTTCAAGAGGCGATTCTTTGCCGAAGAAGGCGCCCAACGGACCAACGATATCTTTAACCTGAGCTCTCTCATTTTGGACATAGCCGTCCGTGCAATTCCCTCGACTGATTTTCGGCGATGGCAAGCAGAACAGCCTTGGGTTGAGGCGCTTTTCATATGCCTCGCTCACCTTACATGGCCGCATATGCCGCGTATCAGCTCAACTGGTGTGGTGCCGAATCCGATGTCGGGCAGTGCCGATCATGAAAGATCCCTAGCGGCCTTGGAAGAACTGGTAGATGTGGCTCGCATACACAGACTTCGTATATCATTGCCGGTATTGAGGTATTTCATTGCGGCAATTCTGGCCTTTGGCCATGACACCACTCCTTGGGCGGTACTTCTGGACACCGTTCGACTCGATGTAAATGTTTTGATTCCGGGGACAGGTCTCTCCAAGTCGGAAGAGATCCTGAATTCCCTTCTAGGCAAGGTCGTGGGAAGCGAGGTTAGTACGGGCATATATCAATCATTACGCGATGATCTCATCATCCCGCTCCTTCGTGGCTTTGCTCGGTCGAGGGATCTTGATGGATATCTTGTCATCTGGCAACAAGGCTTAACAGATGCGATGCGAGCACGCTATACCTCGAAATCACAGCCAGATCACATTCCTGCGGTGCTAGTATGGGATGATGAAGATTTATTCGACGAGTTTGGCAAACTCAGCTTGGTACATGCGCCGAAAAGCATGCCCAATCATCTCCTCAAAGAACTTAACGAATCTTTCGAGGAGATAACGCAAAACATTGGTTTGACAGCAGACACACTAGCAAAAGTCGCCATATTCTCTGCTATGCTGGAAAACTCACAAGACCTCACTATGGAATGGAACCCGGAAAGCGACCAACTTTCCATTCTGTACAAGCATTTAATGTCAGCTTTGTCTCGAAAGTCAGATTACCTGGCTCAACGATGGCGTTTGTGGAAACTTGTGCAGCTTTTGCTTTCCACATCAGGAAAAGGAACCCTTGCTGAAATGGGGAAACAACTACTAGACCCTGCAACTCAGTTCGTGTCGCTCGGCGAGATCGCAACATATCAACTAAGGGATTTGACACGTAAAAGAGCCTCCAAATATCTCGAAGCTCTGGAGTGCTTTTCGACCACTCTTGAACTGTCTGCGAGGTCTCCCACATATTCTCACCATTTTGAGACTGAGATGCATCACTTCAGGTCCCTGGTTGATGCGAGTGCTCAATCCCAATCTGGGGATGGCTCGGACACATGGTCGGGGCGAGCATTCGACTGCGACAGTTCGAGAAAGTTGGTGTATGCCTGCGCTGGTAAGTTACTGCAAAAATCAGCCATAATTCGCGACTATCCCCTTGTATTCGGAAAGCTCAGTGAACTTTGCCTTGATATCCTGGCAAAGACAAAGAACCCTGAAGAACATGACGCTATTCAAGCAAACCTGAGAACGCTTATCGGCATCTTACTGCGAACTGATGAAATGCACACTGCAACCCAACTGCATCAATCCATCCTGCAACGCGCGGTCGACGAGCCGAATCCGAACAGTGGCAGTTTTGAAATCCGTAAGATGCTTCTTGAAGATGTCTCCGAAGCATTGATGAGGAGATCACAGCTGAAGAAACTAGGCTCTGTACTAAGGCAGCGGCTTCTTGCAATCTCTGGACCAATAGACATTGAGGCAGTTTCACAAGACCTTGCGTTGATGCTTCAGATTGATGATTCAATTTCGGAATCGCTCTTTGATTCGAGGGACTGGCGTGCTTGGATCAATCTTTCGCAAGAAACATGCAGAGTTGGAACTGCAGAGCCCTCGATGCCCTTGTTGGCTGCAATGCAAATGCTTGATCGCATCCTAAAGCTGATATGGACGCGTGCGATCTCAACTTTTCAAACACCAGCGTTGTCTGAGATGATCGATTGGACCAGAGATACCGTCAAATTGTCTGAAAACGAGAAGCACGCCACCACTCACCTGCTCGGCCTGCAGGCTCTTGTGGGTCAGATCTGCTCGTCCAAGAGCCTCCTCGGCGATATCATAGCCGAGAGCAAGGTACGAAAACTTCGAGAGCAATTCTTCAGTGTCCTGGAACGTAGTCTTCAGCAGTCCCCCGCAAACAATGTCATTCTGAAAAATACCATCATGATCCAGCTTTTGATCCGTGCTGTCAGTGTTATGCGGGACGCTACATCGGACGAAAGTACACGACAGGTAGTGTCTCTGCTTCGAGACAGATCTGTTGTACGCTCGTCATCTCAGAAACACCCACAATCTGAGGGTTTGGAGATCTACGCCGAGTGGGAGTACATGAAGTTGTCACCTGAACAGCATCCCATATGTACAGCAGAGGAAATACTGGCACAGGTTCAAGATCTGGCGTCCTTTGCATCAAAGATCAGCCGTGATCACTGTGAAAGTGAGCAATTGGCTCTTCTCTGCACCAGAGCACACGTCATCGCAAGTCGAATCAAACCTACCGGAATGGGAGACGCCCTCCAATTGCTGCGCAAATCCTCGAGCCAGCTCACACTCGACACGCCCAGGTGTATTCTCACATCAGCCATAATCTCGCATGCTAACATCGATCTGATGTCATGCACGCCCAGGCTAGCCGACGAGTTGACGTATATTGTGACTCTCAATGCCTCCAAATGTCATGATATGACTGGACTCTTTCTCGCTTTGGAGAACTGTAAAATCGTTCTCCATGGATATCCATTGTTGATCAACCAATCTGCACTGGACAAGTTGCTGGCTTCAATATGCATGCTGGGAGCGTACTCCCTTGTTCCATTTCCTGGCACAGCTGACAGTGCACGTGATAACCAGCCTGGGCCGGTCGATCTCTTTGACCAATGCTGTGCCATCATTGGGATTGTTTTGAGCAGATACAGGCGACGAATATCTGATCGTTACCACCTGCTGCTGCCGGTTTTGCAGATGCTTTTACGTTGTCTTTTTTGGCCTGGAACGGAGACGGTTCGGAATCGACAGCACCACGGCCCAGCCCAAAACTTGAACGCGTTCAAGGAGACTTTACCTGTGTGGTTGCACGGATCTGCAGACTCTCTACCACCATCTTCCGCCGAGAAACTATCTCGCCTTTTCTCCACCATCTGCAACCCCTCAGTATCTGCGGCAAGGTCTGCAAAGAAAGGAGGCCACAACGAATTGAACGACGAGACCATGAGGGCCAAACACCTTGCAGGTCAGCACATGCAGTATGTAGTCGTCGGATACACCCGCTGCGCTCTGGATGGACAAATCATGCCCACGGTCAAGGAACGATTGATGCCAGGCATGTACGCTGTTCTTGATTCAATGGACAGAGAGCTTTTAAGAGCCATGAATGCTGGCATGGACCCCAGTAGTCGTGCGATATTCAAGAATCTCTACGACGACTGGACTAGATTCGGCAAATGGGACAAGACTTAGATACGGAAGCACGGCATGGAAAGTTCCAAAGCCTCGATAATGATCAGAACAACCAGCATCAGTAGGAATTCTAGCGGGTCAATTCGTCGAGTCACGAAAGTTCACTACTTATGGCGTGTCTGCAGTCTTTCACACCGACACCGGATGCTTGTCGATGCCATCCGGGCCAGTGAGCGGGGCACAAGTGTTGCTTTGCTTTGCTTCTTCTCTCTTCTCTCCTTTTATTTCCTTTCATTAACCTGTCGTTTTATTCCTTCAATCTCTTCCGGCCCGTCTCTGAATCTTTGAGTCGTGCTGCATTAGCCATGTTGTCATGCAAGTCTCGTTGGCAACAACGAGTAGCTCGCTATCGTGCAGGCGCGATCTTCGCTTAAGATGCACCGACCTGTCTCTTGGTGGCAGTTATTACATCCGAAGCACTGACCGCCACGAGCAGCGTCAATCAATTATGGCCTCGTGTTCTTTCTGCCAACATTTTTCACGTCTTCCAAGCTAGATCATACGAGGGGTCATAAGCCCCTTGTAAGAGCGGTCCAGGCTAACAAGGACCCGGACAAAATTACTGTGCAGGACGACATTTACAGCACACTAGCTACTGTCTTGCACTGTCACGAAACTACATCAACTTCCCACGACAACTTTTCGTGGCTGTGCCCAGATCACGCAGGCGGTAGCAATTCTTCAACGGCATTGGCCGCCTCACAAATGCAGCCATTTTCATGAGGTGAGCGATTAGATTTACTGTGGATTTTGCTTCCTCACGATTCGCATTCCAGGTTCGATCCTCGCTAAGACTGTCGCTGTATCATCAAAGTGGCTCAATGTTTCAGAACGGCAGAAATACTTTCTCTCTGATTCGACGCATCCATCAAAGCGATGCCAGTTGGGACGAACGTTTCTGGATTTTCCGAGAGATTTAACAGTGCCCGAACACGACTGCGGCACGACTGCGGTCAAACAGTATGCAACCAAAGTCACACGCTAACAAGGAATTACTCGTCAGCGGTCAGATTCTGCTTTGAGACCTGAGGCTCTGCAGAGAAACCGGGCGCCCACATTTCTGAGGCATTCCAGCAAGCTCGTGCTTCGACTCTTCGTAATGGGCTGGTAGGGGTTTTTGACATTGATCAGGCTGTCTCACAAACACCCAGGGAAACCTCGGACAACTAACATGTTTTTTAAGCCGCACTATTCCACATCTGGTTTGGCGCAGTTGGAATGTCAAACATTGTCATCTCTCGAAAGTTGCCTTGCCCTCTGTTGCAGACCACCTCAGCCTAACGGAAGCAACACTGCGCTCCGGCCAAATGCATGGACGGTCATCTATGACTATGCGTGGCCAGCTTTGCCCAATTCGATCAAGACATCTGCTAGGACGCGTCCTCCCTGAACGTTAACCCACCTTTAAGTCGGCGCGGGGGTACACGGCTCCATGGGAAGGGTAAGTGCGGCTCTGTTCGTTTCTCCACCATGGCATTGAACCGCGGTGCTCATCGCTCGCTACTCTCCCCAAGCTATAAGACCACATCAGTCCTTCGGTTATCTTTTGCTTCTGCTCAAGGCGAGGTGCAGACAACATGCCCTCGTTGAGTCGACACGGCCTTACCCGTCTGCTTCGGCCTCACGTCCTTCATTTCATGCAAAGCTGTCACTCTCCCCTTCACCCCTGCATCTCCCGGTCGAGGGCTTTGACTCTCTGGCCAGTGAACCCGACATCCCCCGATTTTCTCGATCGGGCATGTCAAGTTTGTCCCAGTTCCCTTTCGATATTCTCTATCAAGTGGCCGGCCAACTCGACGTTGTCTCTTATGACAGTCTTTCCAAAGCTTCTCGTTCGCTGCATGATTGCCTTCGGGACGAACATACGGCGAGGATTTCAGTCCATGTGAGATATTTGGGAATTTGTCACGTTTGATGACGCGCGGAATACCTGCTGACGCGGTCAGGCGAGCGTTCTCTTTTCCCCATGGTCCCAATTGGCCCTATCAGCAAACAAGGGCAGCTTTAGGACGACAATTGACCGGGTCAGCTTGTGTAACAATGCATTTCAGACTGCATCGCCATACTCTGCCAGTGTTTTAGGCCATGCTACGAGCTTCTCGTACCACGGCGGGATTGTCTGTTACACTACAAGTTCCCACCTTCGCATTCTTGATTTCAATCACCGTCCAACTTCGGAGAAGGTCTTCGCTCATGCATTCTTCCGAAATTTCCTCGCTTCATCAAAACAAGGCGCCGTCAAAGTTGAGCTTGAGACTTTCAGAACCCTTCAGCTTAAAGGGTGCGCAGATAACGTTGCCATCTTGACTTGCCATTTGGGGATCTACGGTCTACATCTTTTTGCCGTCAATATATCCGAGGACTTCTATGAGTCATCTCCGGGTACTACCAACATACGTCGCTCCCGTATCGTGCTTTCGACACCACTGATCTCGAATAAGAAGCTCTTCGTCAGGCACAACTCAAGATATATCATCTGGGGAACGCATTCGGCGGCCGGGAATGAAGGGCATCACGAATGGCTGCTATACCGACATGACCTGGCGACGCCGAACGTTGTGAGCAAGGAGCCGCTGCAGTTGAGTGGCTTTTCCGGCGGCGAGGTCGGCTCGACGGCCTGCTTTACGATTTTCGAGGATCATTTTTACGCTGTTACGAACCAGGCAAGCTTCGAAACCGAAGAGGTTGACTGGACAAGCTACTACCATGTCGTGAAGTTTCGTCTGGACAGCGAAAACCCTGACGTCGTACCTCGAATGGTATGGCGACGGCAACATCTCGAAGGACCAATCAACGACGCGTGGACGGATCTAGGGTTCCAAATCGACCATCGTACGGGCGAGCTGTTGATCGTCGAGTGTCGCAAGGAATGGGTTGACGGCGGTAGCCGTTGTGTCCGGACGTATTACTCTCAACCCATGAAGAGGGCGGTTCTCCTGGATGCCGAGGCCATACCCCGCGCACCTCCCGATGATCCCCTCCGGCGGACTCTGGACGAGAAGAACAACAGTCACTACGAGGACTCGCACGTCAGAATTGAGAGGTACATGCACTCGGAGTACGCAAAATATGGAGCCGGTGAAGACGCCAGGGACCGGAAGAAGGAGTACATTCGCGCCAAGACCAAATGGAACGGATACGATTTCAACCGGCAGTGCTTCGTGGACCTCGTGAGTGACGATGTCACAGATGAAGGGAGCTGGCGACCGCGGGAGAGACTTCGGCTCCGGATCGTGAGTAGGAAGGAGATCAGCCCTCTCGTATTGGACCAAGAAGCCTATGTCCATGGGACCGAAAACGAGGACCTGACGACGGGACAACGACAGAATGGAGACTTGAAATACCGAGTGCGCCCACGGGTCAAGGGCAAGGACGGAGTTGCACTCACGGACGGGGAGGAAAAGTTCACATCGAGCGAGATTGTCCTGTGGCCTTCGGACGCCATGGAAGTCCCGAGGGGTCTGGACGATGTGTTGTGCCCCGGCGGCAAGGCTGGCGACGTCACGGCCGTGCTCGGGTACGAGGGGATCGTGTACCTCGCTGGGCCGGCCGACTGGACCAAAGGAGGTGAGAGGGCTCTCGTGTTTGTGTGTTTCGATCCGACATTTGGCTTTGACGGTATGAAGAGGGTAGACGGGTCGGTGGCCGTGCCGAGAGCGAGGGGTGGAGATGATGTGGCAGGAGGGAGAGAACAAGAAGCCCGGGGGTCAAAAGAACGTGATAAGAAGAAGAGAAGAACGAGCGAGTCGGTTGTCTCTTCAGCCGCGATTCTCGACGGCGACACAGGCGGCGATGTGAAGGAGAGGATGACGGCCCACGGGCTCGTCCAGAGGACTAACAAGCGGATCAAGAGTGAGGAGGGTGGCACCGTGCATGAGACTGAGGCCGAGGTTGCCACCGCGCACAAGACGACCGTGACTGAGGCCGATGCCGACGCTGGTCTCCGGCGGTCTGATCTGTCGCCGTACCAGTCGGCACCTCGGGTGACGACCACAACTACGACTGCGGCTGCGACTTGTCCCACCCCTCTCGGCGGTCTGGGAGCCGGGCCATCGTCGACGACTTCGGCGCCGTCTGCTCGCACCCCAGACGCGTCCAGAGACGACAAGGCGAGTGTCAATAGTGTCAAGACGACAAAGCCCAAAGTCAGCAGCACCGCTGGCAGATCGACATGGCGTGAGAAAGCAGCGCATGTATCGATCGGCAAGGGATTCTGGTTACGCTAGGTACTCGGTACGTAACTAGTAGCACTCAGTCTTTGTGTCTTCTTCCACTGGTGCATGCAGACGTAACAAGTAGGGCCGGGGAACGTCGATATGAATTGGATATAAGTAGCAATTACGTATGATACACGGTCAGGATGGTTGGCGGCGGTGTCATCAATTCGATCGATTCATCCATAATACCCGAACTAACTTCACTTCTTTCTCCAATTCCAACCCTCTTTGAGTGCCAGAAGGGGGTCGAAGCGCGCGCCTCTCAGACCACTCTCCTTGCGGAAGAACTTATACAAGACCGCCGGGTTCCTGCGTCTCGGGGCATCAGAGAGATGGTCGGGCCTCTCGGCCGCGCCTGCTTGTACGCGCTGGAGCAGTTCACGAACTGGCTCGGGGAGCCGGCGCGGGGGAAGTGGCTGAGAAGGCAAGTCCGGCGGCGTGGAGAATGCCACGGCCCTTTCTTCATCAACTGTCTCCCCGGGGTCGAAGTCTTGCTGCACTCGCTTCTCATGCTGCTGCTGCTTCTTTTTCTTCTGTTTTTCGTCCATCGACGGCGGATCTGAGGCTGAGGTCGAGCTTGCTGGGTCCAGGCCCAAAAGTTCAGGAGAGTCGAGCGTGGGTTTCAGATCGTCCCTCTCCCATGGTGCGAGAATAGGCGGTGTCGTGGTCGTTTCCCCGGCGGCGGCGTTCTCGAGAACAACGCTAGCAGACTCTGCGAGGTCCACGTCACTTGTCCTGACGGCGATTCGGAGGACGTTGGTACACATGCCCCTGTCTGGGATGATGTGCATGTTCTCCACGTACGTGTACCAGATCCATTTTGTCAGCGACGCGGCTGCGTCGTCGAACCTTCTGCTCTCGACCCTCGAGGCCTTTCTGCTCGCGACGCGGAGGGCATGGAGCAATGTGTGCCGCGGGAAGGGGAAGTTGAGATCGTACAGCTTGTAGCACAGTTGCAGGAGGGCTTCATAGTCGCCTTGGTCACAAATGGCGTGCATGTAGATTGTCCATACCCACGTCTCGATGCGCATGCCGTCTTGTTGAAGGTTTTCCAACTCGATTGTCGCGAGTTCCAGCTGCCCTTCGCGAACCATGGCGACGATGTTGAGTTGGGCATATAGCGGGGGGATCGTGACCCATTGTTGTGCGAGGCGCTGCAAGATGGTGGTCCGGAGATGCGTGTCGGGGTGTACTGTCAATGCCTAAACCCAGTGGAGTGGGGTGTAAGCAGAGTGATGCTGGAAAAGTTTCACATGAAGAAAGCTGAACTTGACTTACCATCAGTGCGGCGTAGTACACCGAGGGACTCATCACGATGCCTTCCCGTTCCATCTCGTCCAAGATGGTCTGCACATTGTCTGCCGATCCATATTCTGGAGCGCAATTCGCTAGTATGAGGGCCTCATAATGGTCCGGTCTAGGTTTAATCTTGCGGTCCTCAATAAGGATGTTGAGAATTTCCCGGGTCAGGTTTGGTTGTGGCCTTGTCTTTGCAATCCATCTCAATTCGTCTTCGAGAATCTGCGTGCTCGCGAGTTTCCGATCAAGAGATCTGATCGGACCATATTTATGGTGCCCGGTGATTCTGCCAATTCTTTGAACTTCTCGGAGGAAAGGACGAAATTGCATCGGTCGTGCGTCGAGACGCCTATACATGGGCTCTTCATCTTCGTCCGCGTCGACATCTACGATGGGATTCCATGTACTCGAGGAGCCGTCCTTGGAGGTCGCGCGGCTATGGTCTTCTAGTGCTGATGGATTTAGTTTCTCGCCCGAGAAGGAAGACTGTCTTCTCTCGGTGACAGTACTCTCTGGCGAAGTCGAAGACTTTGAGCCTTCGTCGAGACAAGTCTCATCGGGCCTGGTCACCTTGAGCGCTTCTTCCTGAGCACCATCGTTTTTTGAGACATGCTGCTCAATGCCGTGTTCCGAAGGCTGGGGTAGACCATATTCTCGTCTGCATAAAGCTAAGGGCCTTTTTTCTTTGAACGGTCGGATTCGATAGAAGCGAATGGTAGTGTGAGGTCGGATTGCGATGGCAGGACAATTGTGTCTCAGTGCATGGCTGATGAGGGTTTTATGCATCAGCTGTGCATATTTGGTAGGACGTATCGACGGAGACGAAGTGTTCAAGGTTCCAGAGTCATCGTTCCTACGGATTAGAATGTTCCTGCGCTTCGTCGCGTTTCTTCAACGAAGATCCCAATGATCGCCAGTATTGCCGCTTTAAAAGCACTAACACATAGCGGTCGGGTAACCTGCCTGGTCAGTACGTGGAGACTCAAAGGTGAGACCCAGTTACGGAGTGTAGTCTTCCACAATGAAGGCTTTCGGATGCTTTCTCTTGAAGAGGCTCTAGCATGCCTTTCCAGAAAATGGTAACTACTCTAGATACAGAGAATGATAAAGGAACATCACTTCGTTATCGTTTATGCTGCGCGGTAAATACTAGTCATAACTGTGTATTTCCGGCCGCCACCAGATAGATCGTGGCCCAGCTGTTCCCACAGCTGCACCAGCTCAATCTCGCGAAATGAGGCAAGTCGCGAAGACTGCGGAATCTCCTGTCTCGGCTGGCCATCACTCAGCTTAATCCAGATGCCGATGAGCGCGAAAAAGGCCGGATGCGATTTTGACACGTACGAGCGTGAAGAACGAATACGAGTACGCCCACGACGCTGGAAGCCTCGGCCAATCAAGGGCCATGCCGGAACCCGGGCCGATCCTGGGACTTGGTGCTTCTGCTGCGTCTGTTTTCCGTGAATAAAGAAAAGATCAGGGACGACAAATCGGAGAATGAACGATGACGACCTTGATGACGACCTTGATGACGACGTTGAGGACGGCTGTATGAGTAAACCAACACTGTAACAGCGAAATTATCGTGATGATATGCACGACCCTGGCCAGCCTCGAGAGGAAGACGAGGCATCGTGGCGGAATGTATCTCGAACATCACCCATCTACTCGCTGGTCGCTGAACTCAAGGGACAATGCTCACCAGCCGTAGAACGCCCAGTACAGTATATGTATGGAGGTTGGGTGAAAGATCCCTAGCGCTTACCACAGGGAGGCAGTGGGTTCATTTCAAGAGGTGTCTTCCGGGCCACAGGGAAGAGATGCGAAAGGACAATGTTACAGCACTGCGTATCTCCATGCGAATACGCGGTGAGATCGACGGTATCGACTTGGATGCTTACAATTCCAGGTGATTTCATTCTGTTGATGAGCTGCTACTGTTCATCCTACAGAAGAGGTATAAATGACATGGCATACCGTCGACGGCGGCGACTCCTTTATATCCAGACCCAGAAGCTAGCCGCCCTGACAACCAACAACGGAAGACACCTTTTCCATTAGCACTCACACATCCCACGACAATGCGTTCCTCGGTGCTCCTGGCTGCCCTGGCCACCGCAGCACCTATCCTCGCCAACCCCGTGGTCAAGAGAGATGCCACCACAAATGGCGGCACCGGCAGCACCTTCAGAGACGACCCCCAAGGCTACATGTCAGGATTCAGGGACCCGCGCATAACAACCTCTGCAGGCAACAAGGCCATCTGCATCGAAGGCATGATCGACGTCGCAGCCTCGGCGTCCAACTACAAGATCAACCTCGAGGAACCCACGCGCAAAAGCGACGTGGTTGAACTCGTCGTCGAAGCGTTCCAAACCAACTCGACAGCCAAACAGCAGTACGTCGGTGCGGCGACTCCCATCAGCGGCACCTACGGGATCTACTCGCAGCTCTGCTTCCCGCGGTCCACCGACAGCATCAACTCTACGACGGTCCAATTCCTCAACCACGGGGCCGGCTTCGACCGCAGCTACTGGAACGTGGCGCCGGGGTACTCGTACGTCGACTTCGCCGCGGCCCAAGGCTACACGACGTTCCTGTTCGACCGTCTCGGCACCGGCCTCTCGGACCACCCTGACCCGCTCCAGGTCGTGCAGTACGGCATCCAGGTCGAGATCGCGCACCAGCTGATCCGGAAGCTTCGCGCGGGCGCCATCTCCAAGCACGCGTTCACCAGCGTCGTCGCCGTGGGCCACTCGTTCGGCAGCATCCAGCTCACGGGCATCACGTCCACGTACCCGCACGACGTCGACGCCTTGGTCCTGACCGGCTTCACCGCCGACCCGTCCGGCATGCCCTTCGCCTTCGCCGGTTGGAGCCTGACCCCGGCCTCCATCTCGGATCCCGTGCTGTTCGGCAACCTGTCCGGCGGCTACACGACCTCGGCGTCCATCGAGGCCGACCAGTTCTTCTTCTTCCGCGCGCCGAGCTTCGACCAGGCCGTCCTCAACCTCGCCCGCCGCGCCCGCCAGACGCTGGCGGTGGGAGAGCTCCTCGGCATCCCCGCCCTCGGTGTCTCCTCCAGCTTCACCGGGCCCGTCGACTTCGTCATCGGAGCCAACGACCTGCCCAACTGTTTCGGCAACTGTGTGCTCCCGTACGACAAGGTCGCCGCCGCCAAGGAGAAGCTGTATCCCGCCGCGAGCAACGGCTCGGACTCTTACCTCGCGCCCGACACCGGCCACGGCTTGAATTTCCACTATACCGCCGAAAAGGCCTATGAGCATATTCACGATTTCATCAGGAAGAATGGATTCTAGGTCTAGTGGTGTGGCCATGGTCCAATATTGTGGTCTGTGAGGAAGTTGGAACTACCATAACAATGAGCCGGTCACTTGACTACCTACCTACCTTGGTAGATGGGCACATAGGTAATAGAAACTACATTTGCAAGGGCCAAGGAAACGATATTATATCCCGATGCATCAGGAAAAGAAGTTGCTTTAAAGTAGGATGGACGTCGTCGTTGTATATTGAAATTCGTGACACAGATCGTAAACCTTGAAACTGAAAAGTATAAGAAACTTAGGTACGCAACGTGTTTTTCTCTTTCGTGTTTGATGCGAAATATGCCACGTTTCATAACAACGACACCACCACCACCATCACCACAACCCCCCAACACACAGCACGCACAATCTTTACTTAGAAGTGCCTGTGCGGACATAACTTCCTTCAAACCAGAGTGAGATCCATCAGGGGGTCTTCCCAGGTACTTGGATCATTCCACTCCAAGTCCATACAGTCAGGTATGTAGGTTGTCCCGACCAAGCGGGCTTTGTCCTCGCCGTCGTCACCACCGCCGCCGCGCGGGCCTACGTCGTCAGCGACAGGTCTCACGACGAACGGCAGAGAAGCGCCGGGGAAAAGCACGACCATGTCTCCCGGCTCGACGTTGCCCGCCGACACACCCAGCGCGCCGTTGTGCGTAATCAGCAGCATCTCCTCGCGATGACGCGCGAAAAAGCTGTTCGACAGCGACGCGATCATCCTTTCGGCCATGGGCCTCGCGCGCCGATCGTGGTCGACGAGGTCGCGGTACACCTCCGCGGGCGAGGCCGCGGCCCACCTCCTCGCGACGCTCTGGTCGGGGTACGCCCGCATGACCTGTGCGCGCCGGTCCTGGTCGAACATGAGCTGCAGCCAGTGCCACAGCTGGTGCGCGGCGTGCAAGAGCTGCAGGTACTCGAGGTACGCCGACATGTCCGGGGCACCGGCGTCCACGTCGGGCTCGGGCAGGGGTAGGACCAGACGGGCCAGCATCACAATGCGCACCGAGCAGCGCGGGTCCGGGTACGAGATGGCCATCTCCGTGGCCAGCAGAGGGTAAGAGTCCGGGTGGGCGTGGGAATAGTCGTCGGCCGCGGCGTCAAAGGCCAGCGGTATGTCGAGGTTCTGCACGAGGCTCATCCACCTGTATATCGTCTCGAGGATGCGGATGGCCAGCGAATGTGCGGCCCGAGGGTCCGACAAGGCTTCGTCGACGTCCGGCATCCTCGCTCCGACGGCACGCACCGTACTGAACGGTAGTCCTTTCAGCTTGAGCCGGCCTGGCGTCCGGGGCGCCAACGTCCAGTTGCCGGGGAAGGTAGGGAAGCCTCCTCCTCCTGCTCCTCGGCCTTGGTCGACGCTGCCGGGAGGCCAGGATTCCTGGCTATAGTCCGGCACCCAGGAGGGCAGGTTGTCCATTCGCGTCTTGCTCGCCACAGACTCCAAGAGCTTGAGCGACCGCGACTGCTGGACGAGGATGAATGTCACCTCCTCGTAGAGCTCAGGTACCGGTTTGGCCACGTCTGGATTCGGAAGGCGAAAGCCGATGTCGACCAGGAGACGGTGGAACGCGTAGATCTTGTCTTGGGCCTCGGTGGCCTTGCGGTCTCTGACGAATGAAAACACCAACGGGCCCATTAAGCCGATGCCGTCCTGTGCGAACCGCTCCGTCATCTTGCTGGGATCGCTCATTATCTGGAACAGGCCATAGAAACTCGTGGTCTTGACAAAGGGTGTGTACAACGCCGCTGGAACCTGTTTGTCTTGATGTTTCCGCCAGTCAAGGCGGTCGACAAACGCGGCCCACGACACTGCGGTCTCGCCGTAGATCATGAGGACATCCCGCCCATAACAGAGCTCTTGGAGCGTCCAGGCGCGGCTGAACCATGGGTTGCTGAGCACGGTTTGTAGCGATGCTGCCGTCACGCCGCCTTCTTCCGGCCGCGAGAGTTGGCGGAAAAGCTGGGCGACGAGACCATTGTCTTGGCCGAGCCAGACCAGCGTCCTCTGCGCCCGGGAATAGATGTCTCCCATGAGCTTGAGCTGGTGATTCTTCTCTGTTCCGGCGCCCTGGTCGATACAGATGGCATCGATCCACAGGCTCCGAGGGGTGTCGTCGAGACGCAGTCTTTGAAGAGCAGCGAGACAATTGGCCGTGACAAGCAAGGGAGACCCGTCACAGTCGATCTTCTGATCACCTGTCTTTGCACCCCAGACATAGGACAAAGCTTCATACATAGCACGTTCTTCCTTGTCTTCGGGCAATGCTGTCTCCAGTAGGCTGATCTGGATGGGCGCTGTGCGGTCCTTGTTCGGGTGCAACAGTAACACCCGGGTGCAGCGTCCAGGTGAAAGAGGCTTGTGCTTGTAGAGAGCCATTTCCAGAGCTATGGGGAGGGTTACTAGCACTCAGGATACTGTCGAGTAAAGGTAAGGGCACAGGGGATTACTCCGCGCAATAGGGCATTTGGAGAGAGCAACAGGGCGAGTAAGCTCAGAAGAGCGAGCAATCAAGCAAATAAGGGACGCTTTATACCTCCTTCCCTCCCTCCGTAAGAGCACAGAGCTTACAGCGGCAGCCAGTGATTGTTCTGCCTGAAAGCCGCCCGCATGAGTTGGTACTTTGTGCTGCACGGCGACAGGGATGATATTCAACTTACCATTGTCGTCGGGTTGATGTCCCTAGCAGGGTTCATCCATGCGAAGTATCCCGCTTCTCGGTTGACTCTAGCCGATCCCTCTGCGTCAGGTCCAGTCTAGACTTATGAACCGGGGTCTGCACTGGCTGCAAAGGACACCGGTCGACACCTCATATGGGGTGTGAAGACATCCTCGAAGTTGACATGCAAATCGTATGTGCTTGGCGACGTCGTCTTATGGCGTGACAAAGGCTGGTGCGACAGTATTCCCTGAAGATGTGAATTTTTGGGGCCGGTCCATGGCCACTTGTAATCCAATTGTATCCAAGTGTTGGTCGGTTAGCCGCAGGGGATCCGATGTTCGTCAGTTCGCTACTGCGCCTGGACCGCCTGTGAAGGCTGTGATAAGTATCGGTCAGCGAAGACATAATTCACACTCGCATGGTTGTGAACGCAAGTCTCAAAGGTTGGTTCTTTCGAACACATCCCTCAAGGATCAGTCCATGCTTGTTGGACCCCGGCCAGACAGAATCAGAATGTACTCGTCCACGTGTCCTGATTTTGTTTCAATCACATCCAAGACGCGGCTCAGGGCCACAATACTCCCCACTCCCACCACGCCTGGCCCATGGCCCGTAAGCGAGATCTCATGTTTGAACGGGACTTGTCTCGCGTTGAGAAGGCCAATGCTATTCACGGGAGAAAGGTGAAGGACGCGAATGTTTTCTTTCTTTCTGCATGGCTCTATGCAAAATGTATCAAGATGCACCCACAAAGAACATGAACCTGCCAAAAACATATTTGCCTCTTGTCCCCAGCTAGAAATACAAGGAGAAGACCTCCTCCCAAAAAGAGAAATATATAAATTATAACAGAACGGTCTCGATCAAGGAGAGAAAATCGTTCCACAGATCTACCCTTGAGCATCTTTCGTTAAAATTGTGGACCTCCCAGTCTCGAAGCTCAGCCTCGGGCTGCAGTCGACGACACTGCTTTCCGAGGTACAATCAGTGGCGCTCGGGGTATAAGTAAAGCCATCCACAACTGTGATTTCGCCAGCAAGCTCCTGCTCATATCGGGGCGGCGGGGCAGAATATGAAGGGGGAATCTCAGGCAATCGACTCGGTCCCACTCCAGCTTCGAGCTCGGCAGGTGTAAATGCTCGTTGATAAACCCGGGACTGAGTGGCCCGTCCCTCTTCAGCTCGAATGATATCTCGCACAAAGTCCGATGTAGTCTGTAAATCTTGGATCTCTTTCTGCATGGCCTCTTCAAGTATGCCCTCTTGTTCGAGGATCATGCGCCTTTTCTCTTCGTAATTATCTGACGAAGTAGGTCGATGTCGCTTCCACCAGGATAGCAGTTTGTGTTTGCAAGCGGCTTTGCGGTATAGTTTCTTGGTTCGTCGTTCTTCCCTGCGGGCGGCGCGTTCGGCTCGCCGTCGTGGATCTCGGTACCCCAATGTTTTGGTCCTGATCAGTTTGAAGAGAAGTCCTGAGACTATGACCAACACTAAAAGTGCAAGAACTGACAGGCCTAGCTTGTATTCAAAGCTGTGTTGCTCGCTAGAATACAGGAGACCGGGTTGCGCAGTAGAAGCGCCGGAGGGACGTCTACCTGGTCCGCTGTGGGGTCCGAATGCCCAAGGCGGTGGGCCTCGCCAACCCGGGGGAGGACCGTGAGGTGGTCGACCATTAAACGGTGGGTTCGGATGGTCCTTGTCGCCTGGGTTGAACCACGGAGGATGATGCGGCGGACCGTGACCTCCAGGCCAGGCAAACGGCGGGCCGTCATGACTCTCGGGATGACTCTCGGCTTCCTCGGGTGATGGGAGTGTCTGAGACTTATGCTCAGGCGCCGAAACTTCAGTGGATGGCTGTGGAGGACTAGAGGGCTCCCAGTAATGCCATTCGCCCACTGCCGCTGTTGCGGCTGTCGGCGTTGGTAATGAACGTGTGGTGGCCGCGGACGACGTAACTTCAGGTCGCTCTTCCTCGATTTCATCGTGCGGAGCCTCTTGATCTCCAGTATGTGTGGAGCACGCAGTCTGGCTCTCACCCTCCGTACAGCCATCTCTATGATGCTTTCGATGGGAAAAGTGGGCGGCTACGAATTGTTTGATCGCTGGTAGCTTCTTGAGAGCAGTTTGCCACAGACATTTTATGCTCGAGCATGTCTTAAAGTCTTGTTTCAAGATGGACAATATTTTGCCTTCGGCCTTGCGCATTTGAGCGTGAAGATCGGCCATTTCCTCGCTGAGACCTTCGAGTTTATCGGACTCGAGTTGTAGAAGCTCATCAAGTGACATGTTCTCGTCACTCATGACTGGGATCACGGAAAGTGCTTGGTCGTCAGGGAGAAGCCAGTCATCACAAAGGGTTTCGGATGAGAGGTGATCGACAGGTTTGTCTTGGAGTCGAAGGACGGTAGGCCCGCCCTTCTGTCTGAAGGAGGTCGTAAAACCGGAGGTGTCTTGAACGCGATTGTGTCCGACTACATCGTCAAAGCGAACAGACACTATCGACGCTTGTCCCTTAAGGCATGTCGACTGCCAGGTGGCATGGACTTCTTTCTCACCCAGGCCATTTGAAGCCTTGGACATGAAGGAGATCTGTCCATGACCGACATTGTTCCCCTTGGTCAGGACAAGAGGTAAACCATTGAGTCGAGGAGGAGCACTGCTACACTCCTCCTCGGCTGAATCAATCTCCAGTGTTAGTTCCTATAGATGAAATCAATCGATGGCCAACCAGGAGCACAGCAGTTTCATACCAGGCCATTATCGGTGCCAATGAAGCAGCCCTGGCAGGGTGCGCGAAAGTGTATTGAGATATGATCGGGACCTGGCCCAGTCAGCAAAAATGATCCAGCACCACGTCAGTGGTCTTGGAATATAGTACCTGTTGAACCCGCAACGGTCTCGATGGTTTTAGGAGCGGAATCGCTGGTGGAAGAGAAAGGAAGAAGAGAGGCGGCGACGAAGGAGGTAAAGAATGATACGGCCTTGAGAGAAGAAGCCTTCATCTTGAGGAGCGCAAACAGGGACGCGCCGAAACTCTACGGATACAGAGATACGAGAACAGAGAGAGAACCGATCAGCAGACCGACATATTCCCAATGGAGCGGAAATGAGTGTTTCTGCCTCAAACCTCCATCCCCCTCGGCGAGACAAAGATGCCTGAGGAATTTGGGATAATAGAAATCTGGGGATAGGGAATGGAAAGAGAATAAAGGATGGGACGGAGGGCGGCGTTTTGGCTGGCGCCTGAGAGACTGGGAATCCGAAAGACAGAGAAGATGGAGAGGTGGGAAATACGGACTAAAGAGTCCCCGGCCATTCGTAGTTCGTATCCGTGGCGCCCTCAGCCTCCCTCAACCACAATAACAGCTGTGAGGTTCTTTTGGGTTTGGCCTGCCGGGGGGCCTCATTTCGCCCCAATCCTTGCTACGAGGAACAAAGAGGACAAGACGCGACGCACAACCCGATGCCCGTTGGCCGCGTCACCGGGCACTTGCAACTTGGAAGATTCAAGACACACCAAGAGTGATTGACACTCGTATCGGCGGATACGGGCCCGTCAGCCCCGACACGGCGGCCCGTTTGATCACGTGATAGAGGATTATCGAGATTACATAATACACGGACACTGGGGCTTGGCATCAACCTGCCGGGGCCTTGACTCGCTCAGGAAAAGTCACAACCAGGTCTCGTCCGCATAGAGGGCGTGGTGTATCTGTTGTATCTTGACCCCTGCATCTTCATCCCTCAAGGCGACATTCTAGCCGCAGAAAACTCGGTGGCCCTGGAAGCCTGACTCAAGGCCACATTGTTTCAATTTTCAACATGGTAAGTGGCCAAAACACCAGCATCATCACACCTCGCTCATGTCGCATATAGCTTCCGCTGGGCCTCCTCACCGCGGCGCAAGGCCATCCGATGCTCGTCGAGCTCAAGAATGGCGAGACGCTTAACGGCCATTTGGTGAATTGCGACACGTGGATGAATCTGACGCTGAAGGAAGTCGTCCAGACGAGCCCTGAGGGTGACAAGTTTTGGCGGCTACCAGAAGTTTACATCAGAGGCAACAATGTGAGTATTTTTGTTTGACATGATTTCTGGATATCTACAGAATCCAGTCGACTAAGTTCGGATCCAGATCAAATATCTAAGGGTACCCGAGGAAATCATCGATCTTGCGAGAGAGCAGCAACAACAAAATCAGCAAGGTGGTCACGGCCAACGTGGTCGCGGTGGCCAGCAACGAGGAGACTCAGGCGCCAGAGGAGATCGAGGGCGTGGCCGTGGCAGAGGTGGAGGTGGCCGCGGCAGGGGACGGGGTCAGAGTTGAGCATGGAACCGATTGTACGAGTGTCAAAAGTCAATTGTCATTACCACCCGAGCCACATTCAACTTTTGGTGCCTTCGCTCCAGCTCGGTCATCATTGCTGAGCACGGCGGGAGACTACGCGCCATTTTTGTCATTCTCGACCATCGTCGCGTACTCTCATAACCCGCGAGGACACCCATGCTTGAGCTCTGGTCGAACCAGCACCGCTTCCACCAGCGTCAATATCATTATCTAGCGAGTCGACAAAGACAAACTCTCTCGATCCCCGCGGTGACGCATGCCTGCCACTATCGGGGGCCCAGGACTCCACTGCCATGCTAGTCCAGAAGAATAAGTTTCGTACACACGGACATTGTCCGAGGATATTATGAAGAAAGTAACAAAGGACGCTCGTGCCCGATCATCCAGACTGCGTTCATCTTTTGGAAAGTTGAGTTGTGAGACATTTCAAGACCTAGTCGCGGAGTTAGCAGAGCCTTACGCGTAGTTGACATAGGAACTGTGTACTGACCTCTTCGGAAACTATGCCTTGGTTGTACAAGTACTTGCCCAACCCTTTGACGACTTCGACTTGCTCTTCGGGAGTCAGACCAACAATGGCGGATTCGATGACACTCCCGACGCTTGTCTTGTAGACGGCGATGAAACTCTGGTAATACATGTATGCAAAGAAGCCCATGATAAACTGACAATCCATCCGGTCAGTCATGCCCCCATGACCAGGGATGCTGTCTCCGAAGTCCTTGATCTTGAAGGTTCTCTTGAGACCAGACGCGAAGAATCCGCCGAACGGCGCGATAAGGGATGCAAACGTTGCAAAAACCAGAATATGGAATTGCATGTCGGCAATCCAGATAGTGTAGTTCAGACCAGTCCATGGGGCCAGGTCATATGGCCGGGGTGTGAAGACTGGGTTTGGGGTGCATTCAAGACCTGTATAGATATTTGAGCCCAGGTCGTTGACCGGGCAGATGAAGTATTTGTAGCGCATCAGGATGTTGGTGAGGCCGAAGCCGAAAATAATTGTGCAGATCCAGGCTCCGACAAACCCTTCGACAGTCTTTTTAGGAGAGATTTTGATGAGTTGAGTACGCCCGAACGTTATGCCGCAGATGTAGGCGAAGATATCATTAGTGATGACGAGGGAAGCTGGCAAAAAGAACCAGATCATTCCCTCAAAGACATTGTTCATCATGAAATGCGCCTGTACGTTGATCAAGTACAATGCCATATGAGTCCAGGCGAACTGGGTGAATTGAAAGCGGTAGTGACCCTTTTTCAAGGAGGCCACGAAGAATACAAAGCCTGCAAAGGTCAGTCTCCGTGCCACGGTCACAACACATGCAGCACTTACCAAAGATATACATCATGAAACTGATGAAACGGTGATGCGTAGCGAAAGGAAGCAGGACCTTGTCCACCAGCAAAACATGCTTGAAGTAGTAGATGACACTTTCGCCGTACAGAAAATACATCGTCACAGCGAGGAAGTACCAGTTTAGCGATCTGGTCAAAGGCAGATCCCTCTGTTTAGTGGGCACTTGTGCAATCGCAATGACCTCTTTGAAAGAAACGATCTGAACCATTGTGATGATCATCAAGACGTACACATGTCCAGCGAACATTGCACCGAAGAAGCCTCCTATCATGGCCAAAGTCCATATTGTACGTGTAATGAAGGTGGCCTTCTTCTTTTCATACTCGGATGGCTCTACCCGGGACTTCTCTCCTTTGACTATTGTACCATTGCTGTTGGTACCAGCAGCTTCTCTTGCAGGACTCGGCGGATCTGAGGCGGATTCGCTTGAGCTGGAGGGCGTTCGACGGCGGTCGCCATTTGCATTGCCGTTTCTCCGATGTTGGAATTGGACTGACTTTGGTTTGGGCATGCTTGTGGATGTGAAGCACAAGCGCAGACAAGATGTCGTGCCTGGCCAGGAAATCCGGTACAACGATGGAAATGTCCTTGATGAGAGGATGCAGAAGAGGGGAAGGCCTGGCACGTGCGATTTGCTTGCCAGGCGAGATGCGAGATGCGAGATTTGGCTTGAAGACTACCGCGTCGGTGATGAAGCTGTTGAAATGTGCAGGATAGAAAACTCCCCCGCGATGGACAGATGAACTTATTGCCTCATTGGCGTCGAGGTTTTACAGTATTGTCAATGGAAAGAAGACTCGCAACCCGACGATTCCAAGCCTATCAGCAGAAGTGGAAAAGATGGAGTTGAACAAGGCCGACGCTGCGCATTACATGGCGCGGGATCGCTAGGTTGGCATGGGGCTTTTTTTGACTCCAATCTCCAATCTGCGTCATACAAAGCTTGGAAATCTGCGGCTCGTAGTTGCTCCGTAGGCTCCCCAGGGCACGCTGGGCCAGTCGATGCTCGGCGTTGACCAGGCTAATACTTGAAGAGGCAGCTCTTCGTAAAGTTACCTTGGGCGGGCGCAGGCATTGAGGAAATTAGGTATCGCAGGCGGCGCTCTAGGTGCCCAATTACCATGGCTGACTGCCTAGATCTTGCCCTCCCTAGGGACCTGAGTTTGCGGCATACGAGTACGACGCTCACTAACTTGGGCCAGGCTCCGGACTGCTTAAAGTTCCTTGCTCCGACAGTTGTGCATGCTTGACGCAGACGTGCATATCCTGCACCCTCCAGACAAATCTTCACCATCGCAAGGGGCACAACAGCGTAAAGCGCGTCGCACCGCTTCTCATGCTTTTGGTCACCGTTGTTGACCTCTCGTGATCCCATGCTAGGGCTCTACAACGCGTTCAGCCTTTTTCCAATGGTCAATGTTGACCATCTCCATGGAGGTCGACTATGAATGGCATGGACGACAACGAAGACGAGACGGATCTTTACGATGACGACTTCGAAAGCCTGTCGGAGTCTGCGCTGCAAGAATTAGAACAGCAAGCGATCCGTTCCACGCAAGCTCAGCAAAAGGCTCAAAACACCACAACAAAGCAGGCTCATGTCCCGTCAAAACTCGCCTCGCTTCCACAAGGTCGCTTGCAGGCCCAAGCACGATTTAACCCACGGCCTCCTCATCTCAACTCTTCGCTGCGCAGAGACTCCACCGGATTCCAATATGAAGACGATTCCTTTGAACTGGTAGGGGAAGAAGGGGTGCCCACGCCTGCTGAAGAATACGATGTGTATCATGTGAATCAAGTGAGGCCGAGCGAGGCATCCCAGAGAGAACAATGGCGTCAACAGAGGTATGGCCACGCCTACACCGGCGATACGCATCGTCCTGTGAGCAGGGCTTTGCAGGGCAACGATGGACAAAGCCCGTACACTGATACTGCGGTCCGGCTCGATCGGAACCATGCATCGCCGGACAGGATGCTCTTGGACAATTCGCAGCATAACCAAGTATCCTTGATACCTGAAGATGCAGGAGATGGATTCCGTTCTCGCATTGACGACCTGATCAGGGAAAGGGATGTCCTTGTAAAAGACCTTCAACGTACACAGGACACCGTCACTATGCAAAAGGGAGAAATATCAATTATCCGTGCCAATTTCGACAAGGAGAAGAAGATCCTTGACCGTCAAATTGATGCCCTCAAGAAGGCAATGGAGGATGAGTCTGCCAAACACAATGCAGCCATAAGCGCAATGATGGAGAAGAACAACAACTTAACAACGCGCTACCAGTTTCTACAGCAAGAGCACAACCAAGAAGTGCAGGAAGCGAGATCTCTGAAGCAACGGATGAAGGAGAAGCCTCCCGCCGAGAAAGACGCTGGTGGTGCGGCGACCCCAAGACGTGGCATGGCAAGCTCTCTTAGAGACGGATTTGATGACGACGATGTGATGATGCTATCTCCTTCCAAATCAGCTCGACGTTCGAAGCCTACAACTCCAACAGCAGCGAACAAGAGAAAGCGGAAAGCAGACGTGCCGAGCCCTGTCAAGCCTTTGGTACTCAGACCAACTGCTGCTGACCCTCCGCATATGCCACCACCGGTAGCACCAGAGCCGGCATTATCTGAAGAACGTCTCATCCCGATCATCCGAAAGGACAAGCAAACATCTCGACATTTACAATTCCTTCAATCTATTCTCGATTATCGAGTAAAGGGAACGAAGGAACCGCTTTTTGAAGTCATGGTCAACTTTTCTTTGCCTTCGAGTACTAAGACTTTCGCTACCATTCTCCTAGAGGGTACAGCTCACCTCGAGGGTGCTCGTATTCCCAGCGACATGTTGCAACTCTTCATTGACCTGTGGTCAAAGTCGATCAAGGCTGAATATTACAAACCCATCCCACTGCTCATTGAGGTTGTCAGCCATATCATCGACGTTGATCTAGAAGCAATAGACTCCGGAATAGTCAACTCCCTGGTGCCTCTCCTACAATCGACCGTGACTATTAACGCCGAGAAACGTGTCAAGCACTCTCCCGTGAACCACTCGACGTTTGGGAAGTTTCGACAGACCCCTCAGTCCGTGCTGAATCACGACGTAGATGGAACAGCTTGCCTAGAAGTCATGTTAACCATGGCATACATAATCTCGGATGAGACAGACTTGCTTTCTCTCTTCTGGCGTTTAATTCAGCCAGAATTTGTTCTGATGATGCTTAATGCCTGGCAACCAGTTTCAGACATCACTCTTATGCTTCGATTATTGGAGACGAGCATCTTCTCCGACACATTTGGCAGTATTTGCGTCGATGATCAACAGAAACAGATTGAACAGCACATCATGAATCGGATCTGCTATCTACTGTGGGAAACGCCGAAAGTTGACGAAGGCCTGCCAGCAAATACTACCGCCTCAATCTGTCAGTTGCGCCTCCGCATTATGGATCTCCTCCTTCAGGTGACCACCATACCTTCGACATATTCACAGGATGACCAGACACATCACGGAAGTTTACTTGTTGCAGACCATCCCAGCGCCATCGCAAGGATAGTACGGAGCTTATATGATGAAGTGTCAGCGATGTATGACCTCACGCCTTCGCATGCTCTCCATGCTGCGATTGTCAATAAGGGTGTCCAGCTTCTGTTCCACGTCCTAGAAGTACACGGCTCTCAGATCAACCTGCAGGAGAAGCTGTCCGTTATCAACGGCGGCGTGCACAAGCACCGCGTGGTCCTCACGAGATTGGCATTTTCGGAAGGCTTTTACGTTGACAGGCTGATCACCGATGATACCGTGGCGATGGCTACGAGCATGCTAGAAGAAAGCGTCACGCCAGATGAAGCCGATGATCTCATCGAGGCTTTTCCCGGTTTTCGTGGTAGAGGACGCGTTGAGGAAGGGGAGTGACTGAGCTTGGGAGTGTTGGAATATCCCTCTCCTGCATCTAGTTTACTAGAAGCCTTCTGCGCTTGCTTTGTGATGGGCGGAGCGAGGCAAGCAATCAACTTCCTGACTGTTCCCGTTTGGATAGAATCCAGGAATAGTTTGATCGTAGCTTGGGCGTGTAGCTTGGGCGGGATGATTGAGCCATCGATACCGACACTCCCTTATCTGATTGTTCTATATTGCCCGGTTTGCTTCTGATGGGAAGTTGCCAACAGAATCCCGATGTTTACACCTTCCGTTTGCAGGACCATTGCATGTCCCTCAATATAAGGCGACTTACATCCCCTCAACTTGAATGCTCCTGGCGAGCTCGCCTCGTCACTAGCACAGCCTACAGCCACTACTATGCCGTACTATCCATTACCTCAGTATTGACATGTCAATCGGCTTTGTCCTTGGCTGCAGGCTGTGCAATGCCTCAAGGCTTCCACTGCACTCTTGCAAATGTCACCATCGACGCCGCTATCAGCTCATCCTATTCGCAAATCACGACGGGAATGTGCCGATTTTGGATCGTGGCTTACTCCTGCGGTCACATTCGTAGTCAACTCCACAAGTGCAATGATTGGCAGGGCTGTGAGGACTTTCGGGGCAACAAGGTCAACACAACCTGGGACATACGATGCGCATGGTGCGAGGAACGCTATCCATGGACGTTTCATGATGGCCGGGGCGCCCCTTACAAGATGGCATCAAAAGACTTCGAGGATCGCCCTATGTTTGGTGAACCAGGGGGTGTTCATGCAGAACAGAAGCTGGGTTCCGACAAATGGGAGTACATTGTGAATTGGATAATCCGTATTGAGCCAGAGTGACGGTCACACGCCAAAGCCACACGGTGATGCTGCTGTTCACCTCACCGCCAAAGTGCCCTCACTGTCTGTGTATCAACTATATATTAAGTCATTTTGGGCACCGGAATCATCTCTCTTTCCCACTCTATCAAAGCAACAGCGACCTACAGCACAAAGGCACCAAACGAGCTCTACATTGGTCGATATCATTCTCAAGAACCTCCAACTCCCTCTCTAGATGACGAACGACGAACCCCTGCTCTCACGAAACTCGACCCAATTCGACGGTCCCTTGAAAACCATCAGCGATGTGCGAAACCGTCATTCAAAGATACAGCTGTGGACACAGACGCACGGTCGTCCAGTATTGCACCGGTCCTCGATGTAGAGGAATACGTACGACCAGAATCAATGGCGGAGGACTATGCGCCGATTGTCTCAGACGATTGGGCGGGAGGTCTTATGGGACTCAGGTCGAAGGGCTACCCTTGACGACAGGGAGGCGGCTCAGGGCTCACTCTATTCTGCGTCTCGTTAGAAGCATGTACATATCGTATGCCAGATGAATTTCAGTTAGGAATTCACTGTCGATACAACAAGGCTGGTGTCGAATATCAAGTTCATACACAGCACACTGAGATGTTAGTCAAATTGGCAAAATGTTCACCTCGACTGGTTCAGAGTGGTCGTCACAGAAGACGCAGAATTGAAGTGCCGTTGTTTCTCTGAGACGTCATGAAGCTTCTCGTCGACCCCTCGACGCTACGTCGCGCGTCTGCTCGCCCCGTCTTTCTAAGATGTGTCGCAGGAGCATCGATAGGCTTAGGGTGGGCTCACGTCAGTTTCGCCGATTTTTCCACGTTGAAGACTGTCAGCTAGGTCTGGTAACGGAGCGCCAACGGAATAGAAATCTAAAAGAGCAGAGGGCGCCGGGCCCACTTTTGTCCACAAACCCTGTTGTGGACAAAAGTGGACCGTGGGGGACAACAAGGCTAGAAGGTTTAGCTGAAGAACAATTTCGGAGGTGTAGATCAATTGGGAACTATGCAGGAGGCTTCCATGGTCTGGTTGAGCGCAGACTCGCTGCAGGGGTTACGTTTCGTGTGTGGCGGGGTGTGCTGTTGCTTCTGCGGTTGCATTTGCGTAGTCCGAGTACGAGGTATCTGCAGGAGAGAGGTAAGTCCCCAATATGGGAAAACACGAAATAATCTATCCGGTCGACATAGGTCGACCGGGTAGATTTTATTAGGACTAGCGTTTTTTCCTGTTTGGGATGGACGAGATCGATCCAAATGCCTTGCCTTGTCGCTCCTTGGACTGGTCGTTCTGGGCTCGACGTGGCCGGAGATGTCGAAATATCCGTCGTGCCATGGACGTACATTGTGATGGAGATGTGGTGTGCACCGAGCACCCAGTTCATCACTCTTTGTGTCGCCGTTTGCGGTGATGGTGACGGGGCCACGGCGACGGTGACGACGAGTTTCTGGGGACGGAGGGTAGGTCGGTTGGCTCGACGCGGGAAAAACAAACACATAAAAGGAGAGTGGTGTCAACGACCGAGAGAGAGCATCTCGTAAATCGTACTCCGTGTCGGTCTGGCATTCTGGAACGTGAAAGGATATCTACATTGTCGAAGACTCAACACTCGTCCCTCGAGGTGAGATAGACACACGGCAGAAGAGCAACAGATCCAGCGTGCGCAGCGTGCGCAGTATACACCCCCCCCACACACACACGCCGTCTCATACGACCACATAATCAATCAACCTGTATCTATCTGTCGTCGGGAGCCGTCGCATCCGTACGGAGGAGTGTCAAGCCACGCGGGGCCAAGCCCCCCCCCCTTCCTTTCTCTGCAAACCGTATAGCCTCGCGAGAAAGAAGGGACTCGATTTGAATCCGTCATCACCGATCACCGATCGCCGACGGGGGCACCTTTGAAGATCATCCCGGTCGTCCCTTTTCCGTGGAAAAAGGAAAAGAGAAATTATATAAAAGAACAACATGCAATGGTCCCAAAACATTCTGTACGACTGTGCCTTCTCGTCGTCCAAGGCGCTCTACACCAATCGCTGGTGGAACTGGGGCTGGCTGGAGCACCACGACGTGTGCACGAACCGGTTTTGTCCGTGGAGGTATCGGTTTCCTCGCTACCATGTCCACGACACGGACGTCCAAGGCGCGAGGTTCGGGTATATTGTCTTGCGCAATGACGGAGGGGAGGATAGGCTGTGGAGGGAGGCCAGAGGGCGAGCGTAGCGAAGCGAGGCGATGCCAGAGAGGATCCAAAAGCTTAGCTGGGCAGGGTGGTCATAGACATCTTAGGTAGGCAATACGTTGGGGGGTACTAACTAAGGCGAGTACAACAATGTCATCAGTAACATCCATAGTTATTAATGTGTTGTCTCGTTTATTTACTCCGTTGCCGTGCTCATGTTTCCCAGGCTGGCCGAGCTGAGAAGGCGGATTAGCGCAGGGGTGAAGCAAGGGGTAGACAGGCGCAGGGAATGAGACAAAGCCACTACTCGCTCATATCCTGCACACATCCTGCACACGGACCAGAGACAGACCAAGAACTGCTGTAAGTCCATTCCATTGTTTTGGCCGCCATCGCTTCATAAACATTACATTTTTGTCAAGAACGTGCCATGCACGAACGAGTTCTCCATACTAGAAGTATAATATATCCATATCTGTCCCCGTAGCCAAAGGAAGGGGATGGGTCATAATGCGTTTGTCCTGGTCATGACGAAGTTGCCATGATCAGGAACTACTTTGTCGTGAAGTGCTATGCGGGTGTGTAGAATTTGAATCCCTTCATTGCGTTGGCGCTCGTATGATGAACGGCAAATCCGAGTGGTCGTTAGGTCTGGTCAATCGGATAACGCTGCCATTCGAAGAGCGGGTACGCGTGCGTCTAGGACTCAAGCCCGATCTGTCTGAGCTTCTTGACCGGAATGAGCCAACAGAATTGGCGCTCCGCAGACTCGGCGTTTGTCTCGACCGCGCAGATACCATTCGCGACCTTGAGGTGAGGCGTCGTCTGGACCGAGCGGATGTGACTCTGGTTGGTGCAGTGCGTAGCGATCGACTGTCCGTATCATCGTCATCTTCAGTGTCTTCGTCCGAATACTTCCGGTCGGCAGAGGACAATGATGGAGCGGAATCCTCAGATACACGCCTAGGTGGGTGTGGGAGGCGTCGAACAGAACCGTGCGTTGAGAATGTCGATGCTGCAGAGGGAGCTGTGGAATCTGACAAGCGCCGACGTGGGTCGTGCTCTATTTGAGAGGGGCGGATTAGACCCGCACCTTCTGGCTCTGATGCGGTTACAGACGATGAGTATACGGACTCAATATCAAGCGTGTCCAAGTCCACAGGTGCCATGTTCCTTAATAATTCAGCAAACATGCGCATTAAGCTTTGAAATTCGTCATCCGAAAGTGGTCGAGACGAAAATCTTGCTCGTTCGTAGGTGGCTAGAAAGGCAACAGTCAAACTGGTGTCGGGTACGACGCCGAGTTCGATCAAATGCCGCAAGTATTGACGCATACCCATCGTCTCAAGACGTGTAAGTTCGTCAATAACCCTCGGATCTGGCAGTGGGATTCCGTCGGGGCCCGTCTCGCCCAGAGGATCAACAGGCGCCAGACTCACAGCTTTCGCTTCGACAAGGTCAATCAACTCGTCAATAACGGTCGCATACTCCAGTCCAGGGTGTTCAGTTGCGGCCGGTGAGCACCATCCCGGATGCTCAATCTTGCCCCATGTCGGCTCATGAGTCTCATTCGTACTCGTAAGCCCGAGCGAACCTGTCCTCGTCATAGGGACGAGCGCAGAGCTCTCATGTTCAAGCCGTGTACTCCGTGGTCGAGCATGGTATGCTATGACGGCGCTGCGTTTGAGACAATCTTCAATCAGCTTATGAACACGGCGACCAGGGAGATCCTCCTTTTCAATAGGCATAAATGTCTTGGGGATATCCTTGAGAGCCAAGCGGTTCGTGTATATGCGAGCTGCGTAGATAAGTGATGCGATCAGCGCAGTGACGACATAGTCGCCAGCCAGCAAAAAGATGTCGAGCAGGCGCTCGCGCTTGTAGGACTCATAGAGGGCGTCGGCCGGGGTAACGCATATGACGACGGTTACCAGGAGGAAGACGACGGTGAACGAGGTACTGTAGAAGATGCGGAATACGACCTGGCGTGCAGGATGCATGTCGAGGGATGCGCTTGGAGCATTGTGACAATGTCGACGCTGATGAATAGGGTACTATGAGGCTACCGGGACATTATGTGACGAGTAGAGAATTCAAAGGCGTATGTTGAAGGATGAGACAGTTGTTGAGTATCTGGATCAGACAGCATGTGGTTGCGATCGGCCTTGACAACCAACGACCGACCCAATTGGGCGGTGCTTGACGCCGCCTTAACCCGTTGTCTGGATCTCACTTCCCACCCAGGTGCTGGATGAGCTTAACTCGACCCACGAAGATACCTACACACATGGGTGAATGTACTTGTCGGCATCGGGTGTACTAACTAGTAGGCTCGCATTGTTGGACAAGGGCCACAGAGCCATGCCACAGCCGATCTAATAGAGCCCCGACTCCGCCTTTGTCTGCAATACGCTCCCGAACCCTACTCAGGTTTTGTATCTGAGGGTTCGACGGACGAAATGAAGACCTATACGCTTCGTTGTCCATCCCGCGATCCTCTCTCCCGCTCTCTCTACAGACTGGCAGGATCGGACCACCCGCCCCTGGTCTCCTCTTGTGAGTTTCAACCATCATCAAGCCTCTTGCCTGTCTCTCTGTATGGTCGATATATGTAAAGAGCCAAACTTGTCCACCCCTGCTACTATGCAAAGCTGGTGCTTCCTCTCCCTGGACGTCTCTCCCTGACTGTTCCCGAATCTCGACCCGAAGCAAGCATCTCAGAGAAGAACTGAATCGGTCTTTTTATCCCTGAAGCCGAATGATAACCCTACCACGGTAGAGCTCTTCCGTATATCGTGAGGAAATATTCAACCTTACCTTCTCCTTACGTACCTGCTGTGCCCAGCTACGTGTGGTTGTTGACCGATATTCGTGGGTCACTCACTCATACTCTTATTCTAGACACACCGCATTTTGGAGTCCTGTTTGACACAAAGTTCCATGGTTTCTCGTCAAAGTGGACCGCGAACACGGGGCTGCTTACAAATTCATCGTTTTGGCCCGCTAAACCAGCTCCGTCCAATGCTGTTTGGTAGTTTTAAAGTACAAAGCAGCCTACCTCAAGGCACTTCGAGACTCTCCTAGCCGACAGCCCGAGATTTCTCTCACACACACACCATACCAACCGACGAGATCGCTACTGGAGTATCCTAGCACAAAACAAATACGGACAGCCACAGGGCAACAACGAACCTCAAGGTCAATCGACTCGACATGTCCAAATTAACTCTCTACGACACCGCCATCGTGCCCATCATCGGCACACTCAAGAACCTGTCGTCGATTCTCAAAAAGGGCGAAGCACACCTGGACGCCAAGGGCCTCCCACACTCGACGCTCCTCGAGGCCCGCATCGCGCCGGACATGAACCCGCTGCCTTTCCAGGTGCAAACGGCAAGCAACACGGCCAAGTTCCTCGCCGTGCGCGTGGCCGGCGTGCCCAACGAACCCTGGGCGGACGACGAGAAGACCTTTGCGGAGCTGCACGCCCGGCTGGCCAGGACCATCGCCTTCCTCGAGGCCGTGAAGCGCGAGTCGTTCGACGACAAGGAAGGCGTCGAGGTGACGTTGCGCGACTGGAAGTACACGGGCCTGAGTTACGTGACGGGGTTCGCGTTGCCGAATTTCTATTTCCATGCCGTCACCGTCTACAATCTGCTGCGGATGAACGGGGTGGAGATTGGGAAGAAGGACTGGGTCAACTAGTCGGTTGAACCCTCCACCCGTATCTGAAATGAAGTGAGGTAGAAGAAAAAACCGGGCATGATGAATGAAACCAAAACCCGTTGGACGTCGGGCGATCAAGTATGTTATTATCTTCAAGTGAAAGCCATGGCTTGTCCCGTGTCCCCAAGCATAATCGTCCATGGCTCGTTGACAGCGGTATCACTCACTGCTGCTGCTGGGGGGCGTGGTCATCAAATGCTTGAGGGAATCCACCTATGTATGGCTCGAGCGAATATATACACCTTCGTCCGACCGCCGTTAGGTTGATGGTCAAATGAACAAGGGTTATGGAAAGCGCACCAAGCCGCGAAACCCAACAGATATGTTTGATTTGCTGATGTAGTGGCCGCGGTGTTTGAGCTTCTTGTTGTGTCCAGAAACTTCTTAACGACCTCAACCATTTCAACGACTACAGTTTCCACGGTGACCCCCCCTATGAAATGCTTACGCTCGTTGACTGAGTGGAGCTCGTCGATACATTATAGGAAACTCGTCTCTATCTTATCAGCCTGTACACCATCATATAGCCAGTCCACTCAGATTAGCAGCATCCGGTCTACTTGAACCTAGGTCCTTCTTGGTAACAGGACCCTCGTCTAGTGTATTAAGGCTATCTTCACCGTCCGCCTCCGCACCAGCATGTGTAGTAGAAGTGCCGCTTATCGCAGGCATGTCGTAGATGGAGCATATCTGCCTCGCGACGGCTTCACCACTCCACCAGGCGCCGGTCGTGGTCCCCAGCGCAATGAACGGCGCCGTGTGTTCGCCGGCCATCCACAGCCCTCGCTCGTTCAGCCCGCCGGCGGCACGCATGACTTCGATGTCCTCGTCGCCCCTCTCCAGGCCGATCTGCATGTTGCAGTAGCTTCCGTTCCCCGCGAACCGGTCGGCCTGCCAGGTCGTCATGAGGAACGCGGCAGGCGCGCAGGCCGGGTCTGTCGACGAGTACGTGGGCAGACGCGAGTAGTACGGCCGCGCGAACGAATCCAGGACCTGGTCGTACCGCGGCGTGTGGGGGTCGAGGCCCCTCACCGCGTCGACCATGTGCGTGCCGTTGGCGCCGTAGACGTAGAAGAGCAGCGTGGGGTGCTCGTGTCCAGACGGCATGTGCGCAAGGGACATGACGGATTGGTTCCACGCCTCGTCGGGCCGGTGGTCGACGTACTTGGGATCGTGGAAGTGCGCGAACAAGGGGAAGTTGTCGGTGCTCGTCTTCTTCCCTGTGTCTGCACCTGCGTCTGCGCCTGGGTCTCGGATCCAGAACGCAGACGGAAACGTCACGTACAACTTTTCCAGCCGGCCGTAGTTGATGTGTCGTATCGCCTCGGACAGACGAGGCGGCAGGCGTGGCGTGAATGCCGTCTCGTGGTTTCGTTTCAGCCAACCCAGCGGACACGTCACCACGACCTCGTCGAAGCTGGCCTTTTCTTCTTCCCCGTTCGACGTCGTCACCGTGACAGTGACTTTCGACGAGGACTCGGCCGTGTCTGTGGCCGTGTAATCTACGTTCGTGGCTTCGGTGCTCAAGTGCAAATCGACGTTTGGGTGCTTGGTGACCTTTGCCATCTCGGCGAGGATGCCGCGGTACGTGCTGGCGACAAAGACATTCTCTCCCTCGATGCACTCTTCCAGGAAGAAGAACTTCAGGGACTGTGTCTTGACCGAGTCGCCGACGAAGGGACCCCACATCTGCGCTTCGGCGAGGAGGTCGGCCTTGCGCTTTGCGTCGACCTTGGGATCACACGTGTCAATCTGTTCCGAGAAGTAGTCGAACAAACTCGTCTGGGGGTCGATGGTCGCGCTGTTCTCGTCGCTGTATTTGAAGGCGGTGACGACCATTTCCCACACCTTCTCCGACAGGGACAGGGCCTCCTCGTCGGTTCTGCGATGGCCGTCCGAGTCGTACAAAGCGCCGCCGGCCTCGTCGGGCGCCGTGACCACGCTGTGTGTGGCGTCGGCCAGGGCCATGATCGGGTTTCCCTTGGTACCGTGGATCCAGTTAGGACCCATGTCCACCGTGTGTCCGCCACATGAGAGCTGATGGACGCGGCCGCCGACACGGGAGCGCGCTTCGTAAAGAGTGACTTTGCACCCGCCTCGGGCAAGAACATCAGAAGCTCGTAGCCCGGCGACACCAGCTCCAATGATGGCGATGCGTGGGACTTTGGACATTCGTGGCGATCTTATCGCGTGGCGGACTGCTGCGTGCATGGTAGATGTCTCGGTCGAGCCATTGACCGGGGCGATGTGCGCATTGGCCAAGTCGGCAGATATGCGAGACATGCAAGTGATGGTTATGGGATGTCGAGGAGGCTGCGGCCTGAAACAACACGGTTGAATGTTGTGCGGAAGGGAATCGGCTCGGAGTTATTTTAAAACGAATTGAACGCCCTAAGTTGGTACAATGGGTATCGAACTAATTATACCCGGACAAGTCCTGATACGAGTACCGGCAATAGTGACTATGCCTTGCAAAGCGATCGCCAACGAAGACGAAGACAGGGATACTCGGTAAGCAACCTAGTGAGTCTACGTGTCTGTTGTCTGTGGTCCGTCAAAAGCCACCAACTCAAGAACAAAGACAGATAGGAAGAGCTCACAGGTGGCATGATGGAATGTACCTAGCAACTGGAATAGTGTCCATCGAGTCAATTCAAATGCTGCCGTGGTTTGATATCTTCTCGCATAAAATACAGTATCGACGTCGCATTCACCCCTCTGTAAGTTTCTCTTGCACTGACTGAGAACAGTGGGAAACCTCCAGTAATCTAGATTCCAGCAACAACCGGGTCCTCATCTTTTCGAGTCGAAGCTTGAGACTGTTTCATCATCATCGTATTCAAACAAATCTCCTTAGTGCATGTGCGTATGCTATGCTAATGCACCTCATCTACCGTCACAGATCCAATCGTATGTTCATGAGAGGGGGTACGGAAATGGAGTCCGTTATTGAAGCCCAGAACCACATCTAGCCAACGGTCCAGCTTGGGATCGTGCAACCTCACAATAATAGTGGGAGGAGTAACATACCCACCGGCCTCGCGCTAGATCAGCCGTAGCTATCTCCAGGCGCCTTGGCTCAATGACAGCAGGCTCTTGACACAGTCAAGATCATCACCTTTCGCTTTCTCTTTGGTTGGAGACTGGTGGTCGTTGACCTCCGCCTCGCGTCGCTTGTGAGAAGAGGCTGCATCAGGGAACGTAATTTCTTCGTTCTCTTGCAGAATTGGTCGCTGGCGTCCACTTGGCTCCGTTCGTCGAAGAGAATGTTCAGACAATTGAGTTCCTGGGGCCCAGTTCTCCTTGTCCGAGTCATCCGAGGGTGAGTGTACATGGCCATCGACTCGAGGTTTCTTGAGAGTTGGGTCTGCGTCGCCAGAAAGACTTTGCAGACGACCCAAGGAGGATTGAGCCCGGGACAATTTCGGTTTGCCATCCTTTCGAGCCATCCCCATCCGCGCGTTAGTCTTGGAATGAGATGGACTGAGTGCTTGAGATCGTGACTTCAGACTGTTTGTTCGGATGAGGTTGATGGCGCTAATAGCAGACCCAGCATTTTCAGCTTCAGCTTGCGCCGACAAGGCGTCTTTGGCAGTACTGTCGCAATAGAAAGCCCAGGTTCTTGCATCACGCGATCGTCCGAAGCCCGGTTCTCTGACTTTCGACTGTGCGCCTTGAGTGGCATCCTGAAAGATCTCTATCGTGCTCATTGCACTCTTGCTGCGCATAAGTCCAGTCTTGGGCTTGTTCTGAGCCACCGGTGCCGCCATACGTGGCTTCTCTGGAGACGGAGTGGGTTCATTGTCCGTTCGTACTTTCACTGCTCCATCGACAGTCATGGCTAAGCGCACCATGCTGGACGACCTCGACAGGGGCTCTTTAGCTCGTGGTGGAATCTTCTGCTCTTGTGTGTTGTCTCCTGGCGTCGAGGTGCCTGTTCCGGACATTTCATCATGACCTCTCTTTCGTGCACTACCTGGCTCGATGCTAGGCTTGTCAACCCCGTCTTGATCTTTCGAGACTTTGGGTTCGACTGTGGTATTGGGCGCCGCCCCGGCTGAGGCAGTGCCGGGCTCTTCAAAGCTCGACGGGGGTGTAGAACGTCCTGCTGTCTCTTGGCTACCAAGCTGTACCTCATCCTGGCTGCTGTCGCTCCGAGCTGAACACGTGGGGTTCAGAAGATCATGGATACTTGACGCTCGGGAGGCAGGTCGTGGTATGACGTCTAGAGACGCAAAGGAAAGGCTTGACCGACCGTGAGACGGCGGCGATGGGTCTCTCGCCACAGGAGGGATGACCGGAAGAGGAGCGGGACTGGCAGTGCGGGTGTGAAGATGGGCCACGAGCTCGTGAGGTTGCAATGGCTTCGATCTCCGACGATCATTCTGGCGACGGTTTTGAAACCAGATCTACCTATGTCAGTCCTCTATCCTCCTCCCCTCAACGTGTTTGTACAGGAGGGCAAGCACACCTGGACCTCTTTCTCGCTCATATTGACCTGGCTCACGATTTCTGCCCGTTCGGCCTTGTCCGGTTTGGAGTTTTTCTGGTAGGCAGCTTCGAGGATGGCATGATCTTGGGGACTGGACTGAATCAGTCATGATGGAGAAGAACACCGTGAAGCATACCTTGTTCTCTTCCTCCTGGCCTTGGTCCCAGATTGGGACGCGGACGAGGGTGCCGAAGCCGACATCATGGACTGTTGGTCTGGGTCGTACGCGTCCTGCGGCTGGAAGACAGGACGGTGAGGAGTGCTGTTCGCCCCGTTCGAACGCTCGCCCATCGTCACAATGTTTGGAAGAGTTGTCGCGACGAAGAGCGTGCAAGAGGCGTTCGAGTGTAGAGATTAATAAATGGGCGACATGTCATTGCGGCTCGGGCTCGCTGAGTGGGTTGACTAACTGTATGCAGTGATGCTTCGTCCACACGCGCTGCGCGAAACTTTACGTTAGGCGCGTTCTGGCGCATTTGGCTTGGCTCTGGAAATCACCAGCATAATACACGGCTCTCTTGTCTCGTATTCGCGCCTCTTCTCGTGCCATTGATCAAACAGTGCACTGCTCGACGGCAGAGTTGCACAGCCGTTTACACTGGAATTCCTTTTGTCGGTCGCAGGGCCAGCGAGATGCTCCTCGCTCTAGCCCATTTTGCCCCTCGAACACGATCAACATGCTGCTGATAGAAGGACAAAATGACCGTGATCATCTCCCACACGCTGATGAGATTGTCACCCCGCTGGACCATTCCAGAGGGCACATATCGGCATCAGACGGCATTCCCTTCTTGAGTCTTGCCTGCACGAGGTCGAGTCACAGTCGAGGTCTCGCGAGGCCAACGCGACACCACGTGATCTGGACCTCGGCAGTAGGGCTCCCTTATGCCCTCCACACTCTACGAGGACTCCGTGTACGAAGAACGAGCCCAACAACAGATGCGTTTAGGTAAGCTTGAAGGTCTGAGAGCGGGTCTACTTCTATCCCGATGTCGACACAGCACCTACTGTACAGTTTACCTCCTGGATTGGGCAGTACGGACACCCAGCTGCACATCCAAGGCCGATGGACTGAAGATTGGTCTCTGCACAAAAGTCCTTCTCGCCCACGGCTAAAGCTCCAACCAGATCGGATAGGCATTCAATTTATGCAAGCACTTACTGTAGGAGCGGAACCGGGATACTACTCCCGAGATCTTCAGAGACTGTGTCGAGCGTTATTAATCGAGGGCGTCAGAAGGGCGATCCTATTATCAATCAACTTCGTCAGGAAACCATTTCCTAATGCTCCCTCGTTCGCATCACTAGCACATGATAACTCGAAAATGGGTTGCCTAACTAGAGCGAACACCAAATCTCGGGTTTAGCGGGCTATTCCTTTGCGAGTGGCTTCGCCTTGGGTCAAAGATCTATGCCGTATGGCTTGGCACTAGTCCCGGGGGATCCTTGTCGTCCCTTAGCTCATGAGTGCTTTCTCTTTGAGGCAAATACTTCATCAGGTGAGTGTCATCCCTGGGATCCTGTATACAAGGACGTGGTGGCGTCATACTCCTACTGTACGTACCCACCAGCGCGTCACAAGCCAGCTCACGCTCTGAGGCATTCTGCCTCAACGATCGCCTAGCGATGGTAAGATCATGGCCCGTCACTCATTCTTCTCCTTTTTGCCTCAGCTACGGACAGAGTGCTCGTGGTTAATGTTCTCGAACTCGACTCGGGGTAAACAAGCCGTATTCTGAGACACTTCGAGAAGGTAATATGTGACACACATCGACAACGATGCTCTGATAACTCGCTAGCAGCAATAGGCCTATCACTTTTCACCACTTCACTTCCTCGTGGACACAAATGGGAGTCAGGCTGTCAGGCCAGGAAATGATTGAAAAGTTAGTCCTTCCTCGAAGTAGAGACTCGGGCTCGAACACGACTGGAAGGAAGCTTTGGGGTCCTCTTTTTTTTCTTACATTTGTTCTTAGACTTGTATGTGGTGGAGTTGATACACGAAGAGCGAAATGCGGATGCTGCTAGGGAGACTTAGCCTATCTCAGATGAGTTTGTGATGCCTGAGAAGAACTCATGCTACGTCCACGGCATCCTCTTATGTCGAGCCAGCATCATCGCATCTGTGAAAGATCGACGACAATGCTTCGTCACGCTTTCTTCAGCAGCAAGAGAAGAATGCCCGACGGAGCAACGGCTTTGGCAGCTAGGTTTGGGGGTAAGCATTCCCTGCGTGTGCGTCTTCGGTCTCGCCGGCCTCCCCGCTCTCTCGTACTCCATACAACTGCTTTCTGGTGTGGACTTCCCAGCATACCTCGTCAGCAGGCAGAAACCTTAGTATGCTCGCTAAAGCAAAAGTACGAATCAGCACTCTTCGATGGCTGTATTTTCTCCCACATTGGCGGATTGCGCGTATTGTCGCCACCCCTGTACCCGAGGTGTTTGGTGCCCATAGGGCTGATCGAAAGTCCCTATAATTTGGATCGGAGCTAACACGAACTCTGACATCGTGCAGCCATGGACGCATCCTGGAAACACAAGGTGCGGCTTATCGCCCCCCTAGTCGCCGAGCGTCTTGCGTTCGGGTTCGCTGGCCTGCAGAGAGAATCATGGGTCCATGATCTTGGATGAATCACGATCCTTTTCTCAGCGGCCCACGCGGTCATTGTTCCAACCCATTATCGTCCTGGGGACCACTCCCGACACTGCTGCACGACTCCTCCTTTATGCTATGGAGCATGCTTGCTCTACATCTACACCGGTTTAGTATCCTTCCAACCAGCTTGTCAGGGACGAGTCTGCTATGCAGTTCCATCCCGATGACTCCGTTGAGATATCAAAAGGACATTCTGAGACGCTATTCTGCCTAGAAACAATACCACCAGAGCTGCCGGTGGCCAGTGGTGATGGCGGCGTTTGGTCCTTTCCGCACTCTCATCCATACAGCTCCGCCTTCTGCCCGCGGCTCTGGTATTAATTGGTGATAAGGGCACTCTCCCACCCTCCAATCCACCGTCAAAAACAGTGGCATCGATCCCCTATCACTACAGAGGTGACCTGGCTTGCCTCGTCGTCCGACGGCGTACGACCACGTCCCAGGCAGCTCACCGGGAGCTCTATGGCATTTGTTCGCTTGGGACATATCGTCGACAGGGTGTTGAATTTATTTTGAGTCACGCAGCAGTTTTATCTCGCTCATGATGCAGCCTGCGTCGAGCAATATATATCAATATGTACGACGCAGGTCGTCGTTCCTCGGAACAACGAGCAGCCATGATCAAAGTCGCAGTCGTCGGCACCAACGGGCTAGCACAGTACATTGTAAACTGTCTAGCAACTCAAACTTCACATCAGTTCGTGATCTTATCTAGAAGGGTGGGTTCTGATCCAACAAGCGTGGAGAGTGATTCTGAGATCTGGCAGCCTAGCCCGGGGCTCACTGCGAAGGGATGGCAAGTATTGCAGGTGCGTAGCTTCTCCTACCACTCCACCCAGACTCACCTGGTACTTCCCATTTGCAACGATTGTCTGGTCATGTGCCTGGACAGTCCCCTGCTTTGAATCAGTTGCCATTGTGCTAACTCCAGCCTCCAGGTTGACTATTCCAACTCCGCCGACCTCAGGTTCAAGTTAGCTGGTGTCGATACTGTCATCTCAACCATTTCGGGAAACGCTCAGCTCTCTTTGATCGATGCTGCGGCTGCGGCACATGTTCGACGGTTTGTGCCGTCAGAATTCGGAGGGCCACCTTCGTTGCGTCCTCAGAATGATCTGCTGGACCAGGGTCGCCGGGCAGCCATTCTGCGACTTCACCAACACGAGGCTTCAGGGATGAAGTTTGCAATATTTACCTGTGGTATACTGTACGAAAGATTTGGGCCTGGGGGGCTGGCGGCGTCTCAGATTGGTTTGAGCAGCCAGATTGCTCAAGAAGGACAATTCTTGATGGACTTTCGACGCAGAAGGGCCCAAATCCCACACAACAGTGCCTCCGGTCAGCCTGCAATGGTGTGCATGACATCGGCACATGATGTAGCCAGGTTCGTTGTGGCTGCATTGGACCTTCCTTCATGGCCACGGGAATTCAGGTTAAGAGGAGAGAGGATGAGTGTTCGAGGCATTGTTGCCGTCGCCGAGGCCGTCCAAGGTGCGTCTTGTTCCGTCTGTCGTTGCTCATGGCTTACTGGTGTTTTGGCTAGGCCGGCCTTTCGAAGTTTCTGCTATTACCAGGTCCTCGTTGCAGGATTCGCTGACATATGCCCGAGCAGTGGGCGACCGGGCTCGTGAAAGTCGCTTACACCACCTCCTTGTCACTGCCGAGAATCGCTATGACTTTGCCAACACAAACCTCAATCAGCTGGTCTCTGTACACCCCGAGAGGTTTCGTGACTACCTGATCCGAGTGTGGTCTTCGGCGACATGAGTCTGTACTGCCCAGAAACAATGTTTGGCCATTGGCATGGCAGCAGGCGTGACATGGCTCGCTACGCTCGGCAGTCCCACATTAGGATGCGATCTGCGCGATGAGAAGAAACCTGAAGGGAACCCGCAGACTCTCTTCTACTACTCGTAGGGGTTATTCCGGTGTCAAAGCTTCGGGCCTACTATCGCCGCCTCAACCCATCACCACCACGGGGCCTCAAGAGGAGACGTTGTGAGAGACGGAGAATTCGCCCCGACCCTGGCTCTGCTACGAATAGCATCGACTGCATCGACATCGACAAGGATTTGTCAGCTTTTATACACCCATTTGACCGAGGCCCAACACGAGCCTTTCATTCAACCACCATCCACTCAATTCTTTCCCGAGCGGAGCTTTCTATACTGGCTGCGCTTGACCTCTACTTTTGTTTTCCTTTCTGGATCTGTCTCCCTACAACCCGGCAGCTTAAGCCGCGACGTATTGTTCTCGAGATTGAAGATGTATCCGGAGTAGATGACATCACCTCAACGTCACCTTGACCTCAAGCATTTGTTGTTTCTTTCGAATTGGATTTGGAGACGGCGATATTTTTGCGCTTTTCCGCCGTGGCCTGAATTAATAAACCACATGTACTCAACTACCTGACTCGGCACTTGGTACATTGCTCCATTCTGACCTACAGAGTTTGTCCCCACGTAATATTCGATTACCCGATTTCCGTGCCTTTCTACTAGGTACCCTTTCCTATCTTGGCTTTCGTGGTGCTTTCTACAAGTAGCTTTTCTTTCCCTCGATGCTAGATTTTGAAGCTCGCTTCTCTAACATACCTTTTTTTGCATCCTTCCGCGTATCACGTCCCTAAACCGATCTCCTTTCGAAGACGCAAAAATAAACACAGTCCACCAACATGAAAGCCGTCGTGTATCGTGGGAAAAAGGCCGTCGTCGAGGACCGACCAGTCCCGAAGCTTCGTGACGACTACCTTCTCATCAAAGTCAACGCTGTGGCGCTGAACCCGACCGACTGGAAACATGTCGAGAACCAGATGCCTGCCGAGGGCGGCATCATCGGCTGCGATTTCTCCGGCACGGTCGAGGAGGTCGGCTCCGCCGTGACCAAGCCGTGGTCCAAGGGCGACAAGATCATGGGCGTCGCGCACGGCGGCAACTACGTGCAGCCCGAGGACGGCGCCTTTGCCGAATACATCGTGGCCAAGGGCGACGTGCAGATGAAGAAGCCGGATCGCTTGACCTTTGAGCAGGCCGCCACCGTGCCTCTGGGTTCCGTCACCGTCGGCCAAGGTCTGTATCAAAAGGCGCTGGAGCTCAACCTGCCCACCGACCCGGTCAAGACCAAGGAGTACGTCCTGATCTACGGAGGCAGCACCGCGACAGGATCGCTGGGTATTCAATACGCCAAATTGTAAGTCTGCCTTTTTTTCGTCTTCTTTCGATTTGTTGTTCGGGTTTCCCTGTCGCTGCCACTGCGAACTTGTGACAGCCAGTATAAAGTTACAAGGTACAGTAGGTAACGTACCTACCTACTTGCCCATAACTGCCATGTTTTTTTTTTGGCAATCGAGTCTCTCTCAAGCGGGGATACGGAGTTCTTGATAAAACTGTGTGTACTGACGGTTGCGTTTTTTTTTCGTTCGTGTGAACAAAAGGTCCGGCTACGACGTAATAACAACCTGCTCGCCACGCAACTTCGACTACGTCAAGTCCCTCGGCGCGGTCGAGGCGTTCGACTACAACGACCCGGACGCGCCCAAGAAGATCCGCGAGTTCACCGGCAACAAGCTGCGATACGCCTGGGACACGGTGGCCGAGGGCAAGTCTCCTCAGTTCTGCGCCGACGCCCTCAGCGACTCGCTGTCCCAGGTCGGGTCGTGCGCGTACGGGGCCACGCTGCCCGTCAAGTTCCCGCGCGACGACGTCAAGGCCACCAGCACGCTCATGTACTCCATCTTCGGAGAGGCCTTTGACTTCGCCGGCACCAAGATCCCCGCGCTGCCGGAAGACTTTGAGTTCGCCAAAAAATTCACCTCCATCACCGAGAAGCTGCTGGCCGAGGGGAAGCTGAAGACCCACGCCGAAGAGGTGCGCGGCGGCGGATTGGACGCCGTGCCGCAGGGCCTGGAGGACCTCAAGGCTGGGAAGGTCAGTGGGAAAAAGTTGGTTTATAAGATCTAAGTCAGCAAGTATATTTAACTGGGGGTGGAGGAGCTCGAGGCAAATCCTCGTCCCTTTAGTACATATATATCGGTGGTTCAAAGCATGGCCCCCGTTTCAATTTGCTCCCGATCTCCACAGGTCCTGAGCACTATATGATATACATAGAAGGTGTGGTATATAGAAATATGCACGTGTGTGTGCATGTCTGTGACTGTGTCTGTTTCTTCATGTACAGGTACATAACGGATATGATTTGCACACTCCAAATCTCCCTTCGCAATCGACCACAGCATTGTGAAAAGCAGGACTTCCCGTTCGCTCAGTCGTACTTAAGTCACATGGCGCCTGGCCAGTAGCAAAGTTTGGTGACAATTTGCGAATCCCAGGTGTTGATTGTTTTTGCCCCTCTTTTCTTTTATTTGTTTTTTCTTTCTCTTTTGTTTCTCTTATTCTCCCTCTTCTACGATTTCGGTTTTGTCTTCGTTTCTTTCTCGGATACTTGCTGATCATCCTCTGTTGTTTATGGGGTCAATCTGGTATCTCCTGCTCTTATCCACCGGTCGTTATTCGATCATAGACCAACCCCCGATTCGTAGTGGGTGATGTGACTTCTTTCGAGGTCGAGGACCACGGTAGAGGACCAAAGGTCGGTAAGTAACCGCATCACTCAGTGTGTACGTATGGGGAACCAGTGAACCAGTGAACCAAGAACACATCCACCAAACGGGCATGAACAAGTAAATGATAATGGTAATAGGACAATCAATGAAGAAGCAGATCAGAAATCATAATCATCATCCATATATGGTGAACGAACGAACGAACAACTGACATAGTAATGCACAAATAACTACCACACTTGAAACTCGCTGGTTGTCATGCAGACACCGTGTCATTGTTCTCTACTTACTACCGGGTACACGCGGTGAGCTCAAGAGATCCGACCAACGTCAAGATAGGCACAAGAAGCGACAAGTCTTACAACGACATCACCCAAAAAATCAACAGCCATACCTTTGTATTTGATTTTGCCTCGAGCGTTGCTTGGATGGAGAGATGGAAGCAAGGTGCTATACGGGGGAACGTAGGAACCTTTGACACACATGTTAGCATTTCAGCCGACAAGAAGGCGATGCCGGATAAAGTAAGAAACAGAAAGGGGAGAAATCAGACAGCAGTTGGTACAATTTAGTTTTCCACAAGTTTGAGTTCAGAACAGGTCTGTGTGAAATTGTGCTTCATCATATTATAAGAGTCAAGGGTAGATGAGAAGGCAAAAAAACATACCTTGCATTGTGCCTTCCAGCATTGTTGATGCGGCCGCATGTAGTAAGAAATCCATCACTCGATGGGCAGTGTAACCGGTGTGCGTTGGCAAGCTCGAGGAACAGGGCTTCGGCATAGGACGAGATGAGGGGAGGTGCAACGCTCAGCAATTAATCGCAAAGGAGACAACCCCATAAGTAGCACTAAGAGTATCAGCCATTCTTTGGCCGTTTGAAAAACCCGTCGAGGCTCTTCTGTTTGGCATCGTAAGGTGAGGAACCGATGCCCCCACGTGCTCTTCTAAGATCCGAAAGGTGGTCTTTGCCATTGACTGTGTGCACCGTTACACGACATCCGACGAAAGGTAAAGTGTCGCCTGTTCTTGTGGTCAACGGTCTCCGAGAGGCTGAATCCTCAGACCGGCCACTGTGATTCTGATGATGTATGGTCATCTCCAAAAACCCTGTGTTACTCCACGAAGGCAGATACTCCAGCGGACGACCGTGACTGAGGACTTCGACGTTAGGACCCAACACCACAGTCCCGGCATGGAACTTGGTGAGCAAGGTCTTCCACAATATGGACAGGAAGAGGCCATGAGACACTACTGCCACGCATTCAGGCAGCGAGTCCTGCTCGGCGACCAACGAGGACACAGACAGAGGTATGACGTGGTTGTTGATGAACGTGTCCGCTCTTCTTGCCATGGCCTCCGTGGTCTCTTGTGGCCGATACGAAGGATCCGCGGGATTGATAGCTTCCTGTGCACGCCTGGATGCCCACGGCACCAACTCGAGAGACCCAAAGTCTTGCTCACGAAGTAAGGCAAGTCTGATAACGTCTGGGACGCCCGCCTCAGGCCACTGCATGGCTTGATGTTTCTGTATCTGTTCAGCCGTCATATACGCCCGTTGAAGGTCCGAGGCGAATATCCGGGTGAAGCGTAAATTGCGGTGAGCAGCGAGGTACTGGCCTAAACGCTCGGTCTGAATCCTTCCATGGTTGGTGAGCCTGGAATCAGACACCCCGGCAAGGAGACCAGCAACATTATGCTCTGTTTCTCCATGTCTGATGAGGAAAATGTGCATGGGATCGGGTGTCAGAAACAAGTGATGGGAAAAGAAGAGAAGAAGGTGTGATGGATCCAACACAAAGCTTGAAATATTTTTCTGAGGTGCCCACCAAAGGAGATTCGGGCAAGCTTTGAAGGGGCCTGATTCCTGAATCACGTGCCCACGTTTGCCCGGACTCGACAGGTGAGTGAAGGGGGTAGCGCTCGTAGCATCGTCCGATTGTCAATAGATCTATGGTAATGTCCAGGCACAGGCGGCCCTCAACTTTATGTCCAACACAAAATGATCCCCTGGCTAGAATGAGCGATGCAATAGTACCTAGTCTAGTCGTAAATGCTTCTATAGAAATGCCCGTCTATCATGCTCTTCGAGAGTCGAATCTAACTCCGTTCTCATCCAGTCCATGTTGTATTTGCCGCTGTATACCAGAAATGCCGCGTAAGTAGTGTCGTTAGAGAAGAAAATTCGTAAATTGGCCGACGAGCTAGGATACTCAGCTCGCGTACCTCCTCAATCAAAGGTCCATAGGTCCATCAGAGGATCCTCTCCCTTTTCGTTCTCAGCCTCATCGTCGCTGGCATCTGAGAAAATCTTCTTTGGTATCTTGTACTCCACCACAGGCGGCTTCTTGTCCTGTTTCTTAAATTCGCTCTCCATCATACTCGCGTAGCCATGATCCAGAAAGTCCTCCAAATTGTACTGTTGCTTCGTGAACTGTTCAGATATGATTCTGGCTATGCTCGCGACGGTAGGGTGGTAGTGGGACTGGCAGGTCTCAAGTTCCCACAAGGAACTGTCAATTGCGCCAGTCAGTTGAGGGTCCGGCTCGGTGGGATCATAAGGATCATTGCCCAGGTTGTACTTGAACTTTGTGTATGGCGGATACGGGTTCCGGTGGATCATAAAGGTGGTGGTAGGGTGTGTCTTGAGAAGGTTGTATATGAAGGGTATGATTGCGACAATGGCAGATGGTGGTGCGAATAAACATAGCCGTGAAAGACGCTTGATGAAGCTCGCGACCGTGGCCGCAGGCAAGTGGTTTGTTGGTGACAAGAAGACGTCAAGGTGTCGCAATACGCGCGACCGATATTTGCTGTGCAAGAGATCCTTGTCTAGTAAGGCATAGAGTCGGGGATAGAACGATGGGTAGTCGAGATTGCGGGTTGTGATCAAGTGGAAGAGGCCTGTGAGTGCTGGGACTGCGAGTGCCAGATCCCCCATGTCAAGGCTATCGACGAAGAAGTCCATGAGAATCTCTGGCCTGCGGAGACTGGAAATGGTCGAGGCATCTTGAAGTTGTTTGAGCAGATGTTTCCTCTGCGCGAGGGTCATGGGAGAGGAGACGAGGGACGTGTAACTGTCCATGGCCGGCATGTTGATTGTGCGGTGTGAGAGCAGGATGCTCTCTCGAGGAGGGGTCGGCGGGAGGAGGGGCGGTATTAGTACCTAAGGGAGGTTGACAATGCCAGCAGACATGTGCGTTGTGATCTGGTCCATGGTGTTTTCGGATACAGTGAGTACGCAATACTGCATGTCAAATCCATTCGCTAGAACTTTTTTTCAAAGGCCCCTCGAAGATCCCGAGAAGCCGACGTACGCCAAGTCAGAACAGCGCTAGACACAATCAAGACTAGCGCGCCAAGCTCCTGCGACTGAATCTGAGCTCCCCTTCCGTGAAGAACGTCAAAGCAAAGCTCACTGTCGATTCCGTCCACGACAACACAGCAACCATGGCGTCTAGACTGGCGAGGAGTGCGGCCGGTACGATTTGGACTACTTATGAAGCTCGGAGAACGAATGTATTGCTAACTTGACCCCTCTAGGAGCCACCAAACTCCGACCAACGTTATCCCTCCGAACTCTCCCATCACTCAGCACTCCATTGACCTCCGTCCGCTACGCTTCAGGTGTCCCGTCAGAAGACCCCAAGAAGAAGGCAGCATCGATCGTCGACGCTCTCCCCGGCAACTCTTTGGCCAGCAAGACCGCCATTCTCTCCGCCGGCGCGGGCGTGTCGATCTGGGCCATCAGCAGCGAATTGTACGTCGTGAACGAAGAATCCGTCGTCGCCTTCTGCCTTCTGTCCGTCTTCTACGGTATCTTCAAGTACGGAGGTCCGGGATATACCGAGTGGGCAAACACCCAAGTCGCCAAGATCAAGGACTTGCTCAACGAGGCGCGAACGAACCACGCTGCAAGCGTCAAGGAGAGAATCGAAGATGTCAAGCCCTTGAGCAACGTCGTCGACATCACCAAGCAGCTCTTTGAAGTCTCAAAGGTACGTCAAAATATCCTTTTGACACCGTGGTGGGAGGGAGCAGGGCCGAATACTGACATTCTTACCAGGAAACTGCCCACCTTGAAGCTAAAGCTTTCGAACTCGAGCAACGAACCGCCCTGGCCACGGAAGCCAAGAACGTGCTCGATTCCTGGGTCCGATACGAGGGACAGGTCAAGCAACGTCAACAGAAGGAATTGGCCGACAGTGTCATCGCAAAGGTTACCAAGGAGCTTGAGAACCCCAAGGTTCTGCAACAAATTTTGACCCAGAGCGTGGCCGATGTGGAGAGAATCGTCGCCAGCAAGTCGCAATAGATCTGACAACTTTTTAAAACTGGCTGGTGGTGGCGGGAGAGGAAGGGAAGAGGACTAAAACTAGATGGAAGAAGAATGTTCAACTCACGACCGGACCTCGGTCGGCGTGATTCATCTTTTGTTGTGATATAAAATAGCTCCAAGGTTCCCAAAAAATGAGTACCGTTTAACAGTGACTTGTTCTTCCTCGCCGTATCGGATGAACGTTGAAGACTCTTGATCATTATTCTACACTACAAAACTCCTGGGACAAGGGGTATTTCAGTGCGTCACGGGGTACTCGTTGTGTGGATAAATTGCACAAGAACCGCATTCATTAAACCGACCGACCGGTCTTTCTATCATTCAACACGTTGGATGTGGTGCTGTGCTCCGCTCCGTGGTACGGGGTACTGGTATCCGGATATGCCCTCAATATGCTCAGACGACAAGGTACTTCTCTGTGATCTCCCTCGCCAGCAGCGCGTTCCCGCTCAGCGCATACATAGTCTGCACCGCGTACGCTGCCTCCATACTAAAACCAGAAGCCTCCTTCGTGTCTTCTAGACCATTTTCGTGGTGCCGTCTCGCTTCATCGACATCTTCGTCTTGACCAACCGGAGACATCTCCCGCGTCTGTTCCTGCCCGGTACGCGTCGGGCTCGTGGTGACGGTGTCAACTTGCTCCTGCTGGCTTTTGTCCATGCGGAGAAGCTCGGGGTCGATCAAATCGCCTGTGGCCGTCGAGGCCGTTGCCGCGTCATTTGATCTTGAAGGAGGAACGAAGACTGGATTCTCCGGGAACAACTTCTCGTAACCGCGTACGGCCAAATCCGACAAGCCCAGCATCTGCCAGCAGCGTGCTCTGTTGAGCTCAATTTCCCTCTCAACGACCTTCTGCAACTTTTCGTCCTGGGTTGAGGCCCACTCTCTCCTCGCGTCCACATACTCTTCGAAGAACGCCCATCCCTGCAGGGCGTACATGTGCCGGTCCAGATTCTGCCGCTTCAACAGCTCATGCAGATAACACAGCGCCACGCTCAGTAGGACGATGGGGTTCTTTGGGTCCAGACTCAGCGCGCGGAAGAAGTAACTCAACGCACTGGGGAAGCTGTTGCCGGCGTACAGAATGTGGCCGTACAAGGACAACAAGACCACGTCCATCTCCTGCAGCGAGCGGACCTGCTCATTCGTTCCGGAACCCATACCTGGGCCACCGCCGTCGACATCGTCCCGACGGATCTCTTTCTCCAGGTTGCGCATGTTGCTAGGTACTGGGCCGAAGCCTTCAGGATTGTAGTCTGGCGGCAGATTGGCGTCCATGATCATGATTTGTCTGAACCAGAATTTCTGGCTTGGTCCAGACCGAAACGCGGCAGCGTGAACTTGTCCCTCCTTGCCGTCTTTGTGCGTTGGGTGTGGGTAGAGAAGATTCAGTGCGGCAAAGAGGCGGTATGCGTCAGTACAGAACTGGTATTTACGGACAAACCAACGAAGGACAACATTGAATAAAGTGTTCTCGTCACGCAAGGAGAGGGTACAAATCAGCCAAGCCGTGTGGATGAGGACCATGGATCGCGGATCGTTGTACCAGATCACACAGTCCATGGCTGCGCGGATGATGGCATAGCTACGGTGGCGTTGGGTTTCGATGGCATCAGGAGTAGACTCGGATGGAGTGAGCTCGTTGGCTAGGATGACCGCGTATTCGAGGAATACATCGAGCCATTCATCGAAGGATATGTCGCGGTATGTGGTAGGATGAAGAGACTCGACCGAGGGCAAGGGGATATCTGGATCGGGGTCTTGCGTCTCGCTCTGTAGACGATTGGCTTGGCGCATATCTTTGTCGAAGGGAGTCCGTTTCTTTGCATTGCGTTCACCAGGGAAGAAAGTGCGATTAGTTCGGAAGTCGATGATGAGGCTGTCGGCACAGTCGATCCATACGTGTCGGGCAATTCTATCACCCGCACGCATGGCTTCTGTGTTGTCGAGAAGTGTTTGATAAAGGTTGTTAATCGTCTCGGTACGGTGAGCTTCGCGTTCTTCGACAGTCACGCGCTTAGGGTTGGCGAGAGCCGCTTGACGGACTCGGCGAGTCGCGGGCTTTTTCCGAGGCTTCTTGGACGTCTCGGTCGTAGATGCTTGTTCGCCTTCCGTGGCCCCGTCTGCAGGAGCTTCGTTGTTGTTGTTGGCTTTGGGGTCATTGTTGGCAGTTCGAAGCGATGCGCCAGACGCAGTGTCCCGTGCGATGCGCGCAATGAGCTCTTTGGCGGTCTTCCTCCGCCGGGAGTTGGGTGGCCGCTGCAGGCGTTCCTCGAGTTCGTTAATTGGGATGCCAGAATCCACACGGCCGGGCATCTTGTAAGCGTGCCTGAGTGCATTCTCTGCATCTTCACGAGCTAATCGTTGTTCTCTTCGTTCGTATTTTCGCCTCTCGGTTTTCTTGACAGAATTGTCTGCAATCATAACAGCCTCCCGAGCACATTCCATTGCCTGTCCTTTATCTCCCATGTCGGCATAGAGTTTCGACAACTGGGTTCTGGCTTCGATTCCGTTTTCGTCCAGACTTCGGGCCTCTTCGTAACAATCGATGGCTTGTTCTTTGTTCCCGCATAAGTAGGAGTTGGCAGCGATAAGTAACCAGAACTCGGGAAGGTCTTCACAGGCCCTAGCATCCTTCAAAGCCTCGAGGTATCTCAATGCCTGATTGTGTTCTTTCACGTCATGTAAAGCCTGCGCAACCTCAAAGAAGAGGTCATGGTACTGCCATAGAGCCGCATCCTCATCTCTTGCGTCGGCCTCAAGCCATTCAAAATGAGCGAGTGCTTCTTCGAGCTGATGTGGTCCTTGCCTGAGACGAAGCATGCCTAGTCGAGCACGCAATTCGAGAGGAAGCCCGGGGCCGTACGAATCTGCCGAATACCTGCCTGAGACGAAATGCGGTACTTCGGTTCTTCTCGGGTCATCTTCCGAATCCCACTCCCTATCGTCCTCTGTGTATTCATCCCAGTATGATTCGTCTTGACGACCAAGTAACCATCGCGATAGGCGCTTCAAAACAGAGATCGAGTTTGAAAGTGCCTCGTCAGGAGGTTCCTCCTGTGCCAGAAGCTGTACATAGACAAGGACATCGGCCCAGGTGAACTCTTCCTCGCCTTCAAAACCGACACGTTTGTAATGATCCAGGGCTTCCTCATAGAGCGCTATTGCTTTTGGGAGGTCGCGAGTTTCGACGCAGATATCAGCGATCAGTCTCATAGCGTCAGAGTCTCGAGGGTTATGCTCAAGAATGGTCTCCAGATCGGAGACTGCCTTCCTATAATTCCCTAACTGCTTGTTGACAGAAGCACGTTGTAGTCGAGCATCCCAATCTTTACCATTCTTTGAAACCATTCGAGCATAACAATAACTTGCTTGCTGAAGGGCTCGCTGCTGATCTCCAGTCGATCGCTCCAAGCATGCCGTTGCCACTCTTCGCCATACGTCCGGATCGGTCGGTATGCTGTGGGCACCACTAAAGAGCGCAGCGATGCCTTTCTCATCTTCACCTTTATGGAAATAGATCTCGGAGAGCAGAGCGTGGGCGGCGTATATTTCCGGGTTGATTGCAATGGCTTTCAGACAGAGCTCAAGTGCCTCGTCGATGTTTAATTCGATCCAAGCATTATGGGCGTCCTGGTACAGTTGAGCGAACTCGGGTCCAGGGTCGATGGCAGGTCTATGGCCTAGCTGCATGCCTTTGCTCCAACCACCACGCTTCCCGGTGCGTCGCCGTCTTTTCCTTCGAGGATTGGGATCCGAGGATTGACGACCACGACCGCGTTTGCGTGGAGTAGTAGTATGCTGGTCAACCTCTGTGGCGTTGCTATCGTCCTGAGATTCGTAAACCTCGTCGATTGATGTTTCCCCTTCTTCTTCCGGCACGTCCTGGACCGCCGAGCTTGCCTGTAATAGTCCTAAGCTCTCTTTGGGAAAGGGAATGTTCCCAGGTTGCGGATGGAGAGGCGGTGAGGGTTCTGGCGGCGGCAACGAGTCCCGTAGACGAGGGGCCTGAAGGCTAGCTAATAGATGAGCGGTATCGGTTGTATGTTTCATGGCGTATGGTTGGGCTTGTTCCGGGAAGGAGTATCGAGGCTGTGGCGGAGGTAGTTGTTCTGGGATCCATTGGTACGACACATGTCTGGCTGGGCTTGTTGGTGTATTTACTTGTGCGAATCCTGCGCCACGGTCAAGTTGCCCTGAGTAGTGAGTAGGATGGCTGGAACTTGATGGATCAAATCTCAGCGGTTGTGCAAACTGATGTTGAAATGATGATCCAACACGCTGATCATGATGGCCAGGATGCGATAAAGCGGTAGTCCATTGTGGATGCGTACCAGATTCAGCTTGAATTTGTAACCGGGTAGACTGCTGATTGACCTGACCAACGCTCGTCTGGGTGTATGGTTGGTTGGGTGCGTGATGTAGGCTGGCCGACGCATTGCTTTCATCATTTTCATGAGGCACATTCCGCGGGATCGATACACTCTTTTGCTCTGGACGATGCTGTAGCGCAGGCTGAGTGTTATATGGTTGATAGTATAGTGGCGGATTTGAAGGAAGCCCATCCGTGGAAGGATGAGGAGTGCGGCCTATCCAAGTATGAGATGGCACGGGAGACGCGGTACCATTCCCAGCCGGTGAACGTGCATCTCTGCCGGGGTTTGACATTTCAAATTGTGGTCAGTGATGGCCAGTGTCCTCCATGGCCATGCGTGTGGGCAAAATTGGTGTGAAGCGCAGAGTTCATGAAAGAAGTGTCGAAGAAGTTGATGTCAGACTCGACGGATCTGGTTGAACTGGGTCTTCGCATCGGATGGCTTAATGGACCGTTGCATAGGGCTCGTTGACATTATCTGACAGATGCTGGAAAGTTGCCACATGTGCACGGCAGATCTATTCAGCACATCACAGTGACTTGTGGTGTTGTTCACAAGTACGAATACAAGAATACAAGAATACAAGAATACCAGACGTGAAAAATGACGTTCAGCCACAGTGCGCCACACGTGAGGCGCAGGCCAATAATCTCGGTAAGGGAAAAGGGCCAGGCCGGTGCAGACAGATTATTTTTATACCCGCTGGGATCCAGTAAATGCGAATAAAAGACGAAGCATGGATAGTGCCAGCATCTCTCGGCCCTGCAGATTGTAACTCCTTCGACCAACTATGGTTTCAGCCGACGGTCGCGGTGTTGTGCGGCCTAGTGAGCCCAAGCAGGTTTCTGGGAGTTCCAGGGTTCCCGCGGACCCCCCTGTGCTCGTACGCAGGTCAGGTAGTTAATGGTCAATATTGTACTCTGTATAGGCCTCCGTTTGTTCGCGCCCAGTTGCTATCGTGGTTGTGAAGTACAGTGTACTTTGTTAGCTAGCTGGGTACGGAGTAGTGAAGTGTATTGTGCAGCGTGTCGATCCACATTCGCCTTATTCAAGCCCTTCGCGCCTCTTTGGGCCGTGTCTTATTTCAGCTGCGGCCTGTGATTTTTCCTTCTCATCCTCCTCATCAATCTCGCCCACACATCCTCCTCCGTTCTTACCCTGGCGACCTACTCGTTGCCATCTTTGTTAATCGTATCCGGCCTCCATGTGTGTCTGAGACACCTTGTGAATTGTCCGCCTCTTCCACAGCCCTGACCGTCGTTCTCCTCGAATCTGTTCACTTGCGCACTCGACATTCATTGCAAGCCTCAGCCTCAGGACTGGTTCCCGTGGGCTTCTTTGCGCCTCACATTGATCTCAGAGAGTTACCTCGATCTTCATGAATTGCTAGATCACGTTGTGTGACCATCCCCACAACTCGAGCCACTCGTCACGTTTCCTGCTGTCTTCAGCTGCTGTGTCAAAAAAGCTTGCGTACTAGAGGATCCGCGCCAGCTGAGTCCAAAGCATCACGATGGCCAGCAATATCATTGGAAACAGAAACAGCACCCCTGAAGCATCCAAGACGTCCCTGCGGCCTCCATCCTCGAGAACTATCGGCTCGAGCAACACCCATAACCAGCCCGTCAGATCCTCCGCAGACATGTCATTCACGTCCCCGCTGTCAGCGCGTTCAATCCGCCCTGCTTCTGAGGTGCTCTACAATCAACAATCACAGCAAGGTGGTTTGGATGACTCGAGCAGGCTCGGTGAACAATGGATCCAGGACATTGAACAGTATGAAACAATGCTCGAAGAGATGGCAGCGGCTACTTTAGATCAAGACTTCAAGGACGAACTCAGTGCAATTGAACAATGGTTTCGAGTCTTGAGTGAGGCTGAACGTACAGCTGCAACTTATGCTTTGATCCAACAGACGACTCAAATGCAGCAGCGCTTCTTTGCTCAGGTCCTTAACCAGATGTCCAAGAGCCATCCCATCTCCGGCGTCTTATCTCCTACAAATTTCGGCGAGAAGGACCCCATGTCCAGCCGGCTCAGCGATGCCATGTCCAAGTTGAACGTCGATGATAGACGAACATCCATGGGCCGTCCGCCGGTCTCGCCTGCTGGCAACAAGCGCAATTCGGGTCTGGACCAGTCTACCATTCATGCCATGTTCCCCGACGCTGTCGCTGCGATCCAACAACAAAAGGCCGAATATGCCCAACAGACGGGCAATCCGCCTCCATCCAACCGGAACAGCACTGTTATCGGAGATCGGAGCTCACTGGTCGCGCCCACCATATCTGCTCCCCGAGAGAACAAGACTGAAGCACTAAGCTGGCGTCAAGGAGGTGACTCTCAACAACCACCCATCTCTCGACCAAAGTCTTCTTCCGGGTATCAATCTCAGCCACCTATGGGACAGTTCAGCCAGCCTCCTGCTTCTGCCACGCTGCGTTCTCCACGGCCATTGGGAACACCGGCTGGCAACATCCAAAGCACTACCCTGACCGCTCCTGAACCCAATGAAATGCCAATGTTGTCACCCTACAATGTGGGCAATCAAAGCTGGGCTTCGATGACTAACACCCCCATGGTTCCCAACTTCAATCAAAGTAACACCCATAATGACATGGTTGCCAATGCTACTGCCATGAAGCTTGCCGCTCTATCCACCGTCACGAACCGCATTGCCCTTGATGACGCCAAGAAATTCCGGCGAGCTCGATCGAACGAACCGTCACCACAAAGTCATCCACCCTTGACTCCTGGTCTTCAATCTAGTGGCATTCCAGGAATCAACACAATCATGGTTAATGACCAAGGCCAGATCCTGAATGCTCAACAGATTGCTGCCCTTCAAGCACAGCAAATTGCAGCGAATCAGGGTCGTCGTTCACGACCCAACTCTCCCGGTCTGCCCTTGCAGACTCCTCTGGGACAGGCGAGCTTTGCTTCGCCTCAGCATAACGGCTTCTTAGCCGCCTACGATGGTAATCCAATCATGATGGGTGCCGGCATGCCTGGTCTTATTCCTACGATGGGGCCGTTTGGCGGGGCCGAAGGCTATTTGTCGGATCATTCTGAGATAGCCCGCGGCCGCTCTCCTCGTGGACGTCGTGGAAGCTCGAAGCCTCCCGAGGATCCTACCGATCCCGGCTTGCTTCAAGACATCCCATCTTGGCTCAGATCTTTGCGCCTTCACAAATACACGGACAACTTGAAGGATCTCAAGTGGCAGGAGCTGATCGAACTCGATGATAAGGGCCTGGAGGCTCGTGGTGTCAATGCCCTCGGCGCGCGAAATAAAATGCTTAAGGTAATTTCTGTCGCGCATGTCGTCGGGCCCCTTTTCTAACTCGTGCACAGGTCTTCGAACAAGTCAAGGAGGCACAATCGGAGGGCAAGCTCTAGAAAGGCATATGCTTGACGTCAGACCCCTTTTTGGACAACCACCGATACCCCAGATGCAAGCGTTTCGGAAATCAGTTGACGATCTGAAGGGAGGACGGAGCTGGGACTTCGTTTTTGATGATGATAGAATATCCCGACCGTTCTTCGACCTCCTTCTGGCATTATGGCGCTCAAACCCTCACTACGCAGACCCCATTTTCACAAAATTAGCAATCAACATGTAACTTCCTGGAACACGAAAATCTCCGCTAATTGTCAAGTCCGCCGGGCGACACTTGTTCTTTTTCACGACCTGGACGTTTTAGATAGCGTGACGAGATAACCCACATACGATTTTTATATGTGAATTGAAAGAAAACTTGACTTGATGCTTCAATTCCTGTAGAATTGAAAAGTCCTTTCGTGCATGACAGATGATAATAATACACTGGTGGGTATCGGTCGTTGTTGAACGTGGAGTGCCAGCCTCGCCGACCCTACCGAAGCTTGTGAGACTGGCATCTCAGCCTTGTCCCTACTGCCCCTGGGTAGACACTCTCTCTCCCACTGGTTCGAGCTGCCAAGGTTCGGAGTGGCTCCTCTTTTGCAACCTCATCAGGCTGCGCATTCTCTACCTCGTAACTCGTCCCTCTCTGATCTATTCACGCCTTCTTCAGGTTCAGGTTTCATCGCCTCATCTGCGATCACAGCTTCAGCCAAATCCGAACCCCGTAGCGAGTTTGTTTATTTTTGTTCTTCTTTTGGCCTCAAAAGTTTCCCGCCCATCCCACCATGGCGCCATCGTCGCACGAGCTGTCGTCTCTTCTCGACCCTCTCGTCCCGGAATCCCTCACACATAACACAAGGGTACGTTACAGGGCACTCTCGCAGAGCGACTTTCTCGCCTAAGTTATTCAAGTGCTTGTGACTGACGCGAAATGTTTGTGTTAGACACTGTCCAATATTCGATCGATCTCGGGCCTCTTGCTCGGCATCGCGGCTGGCATACTGGGTCTCGAATCGCTTCAGGGCTTCGGGTTCTACCTCGCGGCGAACATGATCCTTTCGGCGCTCTTTTACTTTTTGCTTGCGGGCGCCACCCCTCAGAAATACTTCGCGGGCAACTCGGGCACGAGGGGACTGAACGAGAATGGAAAAGGAAGGAATCACGGAACTGGTGCGTGGAGCGAGATATGGCTTGGAGGAGGGCTGTTTACGGACGCCCTCAGTGGGTTTGTGCTCGGGTGGGCAGGCGTTGGAGGTGTCATACGATAAGAATACAAAGATGTTGATTGAGGAGAGGCACTGGCCATGATGCTTGACGCAGGTGGAGGGTGGTTTCGCTGTCATGGTCTGGGTAGCAATGCACGCGAATTCCCCTGGCAACTTCCCCGGACGATTCTAACGGAAAAACGTCGTGTTGGAATGGGTATGGCCTTGCATCCTGACGTGAACTGGCCTGGCCTGCAACGTAAGGGCTATCGATGGTGAGCGAGCGGTCGACGCAGATACCCTAGCTTCATCAGTATGATTTCAGTCTGGACGCCATCAAACTCATCAAATGGCGTCGAGAATAGGACTGCAGAGCAAGTTCGGCGCTCCATGCAGGCTGATAATGTTTCCTGGAAGCAATGAAACTCGACTTTGCACAAGATCAGATTCGAAGATTTCGCTACCTCTTGGTCAACGATACACTGGTCCTTTGAGAGAGAGATCAGTTCCGATCCTGGTAGGGAGTCCGGAACCGACAAGAATAGCTCTCAGCATGGGCTCCTGCGCTGTTCCAAAATTGAAGCCGACTTCGAGGGCATTGGGTTAACATTGACATTGCTCGTCGATGGATGCCAGATCCCCCCTTTTCTGTGTGCCCTCTTTCATCACTTCTCATCACCTTTGCCGTCCGTTATAAGTATGAAATGGAGATCATGGTCATGGCCCTGGTCATTGTTCATATCGACCCTCAACATGATATTGGACCCGGGCAACATCATCCGATGGTCCCTTGATATCTTTGTCGCAAAGGGATCGGCAAGGTCGTATGAGTGGAGAGCCGAAGAGGATCATGCCATTGTGAGGTTGTCGCGCAATTGGCCTGATGAGCCCATTAGAACATGGCCACCTGGGCAAAGTTGACGACGGTGAAACATACGGATGAAGGCGCGCATCTCCCTGGATGCGTACCACGTTTGGGCCATGGCAAGAGCGATGGCAAGAGCCAGACCAACAACAGCGAGGATTTCGTCAGCCGGCATGGTTGGGTGCATGGCAACGATTGCAATAGAGGGCTCGTGCAAAGTATCCGGAGCAAGGGTATAGTGACTGGTCGAGATGTGAGATGCGTAAGCTATACAACAAAACTTCTGCACGTTCTGTGAGAATCAAAGTCGGTTTGTGAACTAATGGTCCTCCTCGGGTTGACAGCGACGCTTGTCTCATATTATATGGACATATGTATGTGATGTACGTAGCTCGGATCAAAGTACTCTGGGTTTTTCCGTCTTCCAATCACCCAGGCTATGTAATACAGAACACATGGGCGCGCCTTTGAACCAAGTGGTGGCGGCCACCGTACCGCAACCTTTTCCCCTCGAACTAACATGATTGGCCTCATTAAGCGGTATCCATCGAGAGGAATCGGCCGGCGACTCGCGTGGTGAGCAGGTACAGTAGCTCGGCGAGCCCCCCCGGCAGACTTTAGCATCGGCCGCAGGGATCACAATGTACGCGGCTGAGCTCAGTGTCTGACGAATTGATCGTCATGGAAAATTGACTCCAGCCTACTGAACTGAACGAATGTCGAGCCGTGCGGGAAATCCCTCCCTCACACCGCCCCAGCCCACCCCTCGCCTGGCGTGCGAGTGAACTGGCCTCTCGTCACTTCCAGATCATCCCTGCCGCTGGAACGTGGGAACCTTACAAGTGCCAGTTCTAGCAAAGTGGTAGCAAGATCGCAGAAAGTCCATTGTCGATCTTCTATTGTAACAAGGCACTATACCTAAAATCTTCGAGAAGGACACTGGCTGCCAGGTTTGAATTGTAGGGGTGAGGGACGTGGGCTCAATTCTCCTCTGACAATGAAGCCGTGTCCCCTTGTTCTCGGATGGCCTCACCCCTGTACCCAGCTGCACGGCACCTGTTTTCCACCTTTAACTTCCAGGTGTAACTATAGATTGAAGTTCACCAGACTAGTAGGTATTGCTCGGCTTCCTGACCCCTGCTCATCCTACATCGGCCAGCCGTTCACTCCCAGTCACTCCGACATCTCCAACCCCATGCATCCGCCTTGTCGGCCGGATCCAGGAAGGTGGAGCTCGCGAGCCAACGTTTACAATAGTTAGCTTAATCTCTTTCTCCGGGCCCACCCCCTCTCCCACCCAGAACGCTTAACCATGTAGTAAGCGCGTTCATCAACGAAGGCTGTAAAAGGCATTCAGGGCCTTGGGGCTCGACAATGGCCGAGAAACACCGGGCGCAGGGATCGTGCCTGTAGACAGTCGTCATATGTCACATGTCATATATCGTGGCAGCCATTGAATTAGGTACCTATTAAAGTAGCAGTCATTCCGTGCGACTATCGAACTACTGTTTCACAGGCGAACAAAAAAACACCATGGCTTTCCTTCTTGGCTCGGGTAGTTAGTATGATAGCTACATGTGGTATCCTACAGCATATGCATACTTACGGGGGTAACGATACATATATATATTTATATGTGTACCCATATACAACACTTTGTCCTGCTTCAAAATGACCACGGTTACTCTATATATGCCAACTAATCACCACATACTAGATATTACCTACCACGGCCCCATGTATCCCTCATTATCGAACTTTACGTAGAATTTTGTTCAAAGCTGTGTGTTTGCTTGTGTGTGCCTACATCTGTATCTTGGTTCGTGTGTTTATACGTGTGTGCCGACGTCTGTGTGTTTGTTCGTGTGTCCAACCGTATGCTTTATGACTAATTGGACTCTGTTCAATCTTTTGCGGGTGGAAACGCTCAGGACAATGATAAAGATTGCAATCAAGAACGCATATACTGTTTTAGAATTTTTGAAAACCTAAAACTCCGAATTTTGTTCCTCGCAGCCACTGAGAAGCACGGTCGAATGACCCCAAAAGCCTAAGCTGTGGTCATCAACAAGTCATATATACCCCCGGCAGCTCCATTCTTTGCATGATTGCTCGCTGATAAAAAGAAAATCCCAGACAGGCTCAAGGAAGCGACGTATTCGAAGAGTTCGTTCATCAAGGTCATAAAAATACACTAGTACATGAAGAAGAGAGTTGCTGTTGACCCCGGAGCCGATAGCTATCCATACCTCCCTTGGTCAACATCGTCAGGGGGCAATAAAGGGGTAATCGCAAGGTCATCGCATCTCAAATGCGGGAAAGGTCATACGATCGCGCATGTTGATCTTCAGTTCAAACACGCCTTCCTCGGATCCCGCGTAGCTACAACAAGGTGAGTAAATGTGTGTTGAAAAATAAATGGGCACTCCAAACTTACAGATATCGACCGTCAGGGCTGAACCCGATCCCAGCGGTACCCGGTCCCATTTCGCGCATTGCATCCTCGGCAGAGTTTGTCAATGGAAGGGACGGCCCTCCGGTGCCAGCGAGTCTCGATGCTCCTGCCAAAACCCTCGCGAAGCTTGATCCAGGTGTCCAGTTGCCGTTTCCATCGAGAGACCTGTTGCTGGACATACCAGACATGTACATCATTCGAGCAAGACGGACTTCTGCATCTGGGACGCGGCCTGCCAGTTCTGAGACGCGCTCCATCCGGGCTTCACGGAGTTGAGCAATTGACGGTTGACCACGTCGCGTTGTGGTCCGGCTGCCGTCATGCTGATTTACCCCAGTGCGACGACTTGTTCCAGAGCTGGAAGCTGCTCTATGGACCCTTACATCAGCCTCGTCACTAGCCGATTCGGTATTGCTTGAGCGAGCAACTTCGCGCCGAATGGCGTTTTCGAGAGCTTGGATGTCGTTGGTGGCAAGGGCCACACGCGACTCGGCACGACGGACCTGTCGTTGCAAATTCTCAATGTGCGCAAGTCTTTGCTGTCTTGATTCGGTGTAGTCTGTCAAGACGCGGGAAAGGCTGTTGTCCGTATCAGCAGGAGACACGGTGGAGGTAGGCAATGTGGTCGTCCTCGCGGAACTTGGCTCGCTGTCATCTGTCGCCTCGCCATGTGCTCTGTCCGATAATAGTCGAGCTCGCTCGGTTGAGAGTCTGCGAGCGTAACTTTCCCCGACATCGAGCTCTCTTTGCAACTCCTGAGACCGCTGTTGTAGAAACTGCTCTTCGTTGGTAAGTTGTCTCTGCAATAATCGCTCTAGAGAAGCCACCAGATGGGCATTAGATTCCCTGGATGCTTCACGAAATTGCTCCAACTGAGTCGAGTTCTCTTGGAGCAATCGTTGTTGTGTGTCGAGCTGCCTGCGAAGTAAAGTTGACAACTGTCGCTCATCTGCTAGTTGTCGCTCGAGCTGCATTCCAAGTCGTCTCTCTGCCTCTAGAGCTGCTTCAATACGGAACAAACTTGCTCGGTTGTTGTCCGTTTCTCGAGCAGTCTGCAACGCAGATTGTATTACATGCCAAGGGTCTCCTGGCGGAATATTACCTGACGGCACGGGTGGTGTAGGGTTCGAGTCGGATGAGTCGTGATCGTCGCCAATACGGCCAGGAGAAGCAGAGAGCCTACTTGTTTGATTCTCATTTGGGTCCAAAAGTCGCCCTGCATCGCCGCCAGGTTGCGAAAATACCACCGACGTTCTCCTCCGCGGTTGATAAGACCGGGAAGTCGTTGGAGCAGATGTAGGATTCAACAAATGCACGTCGTAGCCTCGTCTGATGTCGCCCGAGCTCCTTGGTCGGGGTGAAGAGACATATTGGAGATTTGTAGCTGCGTCAAGACTGTCGAGCGAGGCATCGAGACGTCTTACATTGTGCAAGGTGGTTTCCAGTGCCTCAATGACAGATCTTTCTTGAGCACCAAGATCAAGACCTTGATGATACGTTAACAGGTCATGTCGACTATATCGGTCGTTGGAATCTGAGACATCTCCAAGACCCAGTTCTGCCTCTGCCTGTTGAGGAGACAATCCCCTGATAGCCCTCATGCGAGCAAGATGCTGTTGTTTGAGACGTTCCTTGACGCCGAGGTTCCGATAAGCCACCGGGGTGCCGTTTTCCATATCCACTATCTCTGTCTCGTGCCTGTCCAGGTGCACAACTTGTCTTCGCATAAAGCATTGCCTGACATCTGCTAGCCCGATTCTTCCGTGGTCTTCGGCCCAAGCAAGGATGTCCCATGGTGCAGGTGAAAATGCCATTGCCCTTACACAACCCCATAGAGTAGACCGAGATGAGCGAAAGGTGCATATTATCGATTTTTCAGGCACGCCATCACCGCGGAGAAGCGTTTCGACGTCAAAGACCGATATTGAGCCACCCTGGGAGGAGGAAGCGCATAAATGGCCAGAAGGTGAGAACGCGACAGCGAAGCTGAAGTCGGCGTCAACAATATCTCCGGTGGGAACGACCACCTCAGAGATCGATTTCCATTGATATGTAGGATATTGAACAGAGACTTGGGCGTCCTTAGCATCCTCCTCGGGATAACGTCGATAGAAGTAGACCCGGTCGGAGTCACCGACGGCGGCGATGATGTCTGAATCCGGTGACATTGTAGCGTAATTCATGGGTACGTTATGGGGCAAAGTAGCCAAAAGCTTCCGTTGCGCGAGGGAGTATAGCTTTACCGTTTTGTCATTGTTGCTGATCAACACCACGGTTTCATCCGGAACCTTCCCCTTGTGGACCATGGCGTGTATACTCATCGAGTTGACAATCTCGCCTCCCATGAAATACACCAACAAATCATGACCGAAGCACTTCGGATGGCCGTGTTCGTCTTTTTCAACCTTGATAAAGGCGCAATCGCCGTTCATCTCCCCTCCCACGCATACCCATCCCAGATCTGCAGCTAGACATCTTGCCTCGAACGGGATCGTCGCCAGCAGGGAGTTCTGCTGTGTCTTGAGATCGAGGACGAAAACGTCGTAGTTTGTGGCATAGTAGATAAAATCAGCATCGGAGGCACTGATAAAATGGCGCAGCTGATGATGGTGTACGGGTATCTTCGTGGGATAGTATTTTGTAAGTGTTGCTAAGCCTTGTGTAGGAGTGAGGCATAGTTCGCGGTCGGATACGGTCATTTCGTGGGAAAAGGGACTAGGAGTTGAGAGGCATGCCTCGAATGTTGTTGATGCGGCTCAGGGGAATTCGTAGGAAGAGGTATGGAGGGCTCATAGGTCGGTTGGGCTGAGGATGAGTGAATGGGTGAGTTGATAAAAGGAATGTCGGCTGCGATAGAGTACGGCGGCGTCAGACCATGACAGGAGTCAAGATCTTGTGCTAGCAATAACCGAGCTTGTTCAGAGGCAGGAAGGAGTACGATTGCGCGCAGTCGAGGGATGGACTGGGGAGAGTGTTGAGCTATCGCAATCACAGTATGTATGTATCCGCAGGTGCGGTACGGGTGGGAAACCTCGTCGTAGTAATGTGATGCAATGTATTCGACGGCCACCTTGTTTGTGGCTAGTGAGGCTAGTTGCTTGTCTGTGGAGATGGGATAGCTGCACTCGTAGGTACTTGTGGCAGAGGGTTCGGGCTCCGTGCTCTGTGCTGGGACTGGGTACGAGGCTTGATGTACGGGGAGGTGACAGGCTCATCGTCACTGGCACCGGCGGAATCGCAGAGAAGCGCCAAGACCGAAGGCGAGCCCGAGCGAGAGAAAGATTTTGTCTCCTACATTTTATCTCGAGCTGCTTCCGACATCCTGAGCTCATCATCGCCATCAACTCTACCATTCCATCTGTCTTTTGTCTAATATCCTCTTCCTCTCTCTGTGAACTCCATCCCCTGCTGTACATCAGTTCTCTTGCGTCGTCTTGTTTCACATACTAGAGCAATCATGATTGCCTCAAGGTTGTCCCGAGCTGTAAGTCGATGCAGAGCCATCCATCTGTCATGCTCTACTAACAAGTCTGTTCAGCTCCCGCGCTCATCTCCCATCTCCCGCATCTCTCAGATTCGAGCACCTCGCTCATCAATAATTTCTCGATATGCCTCCAGTGATGCCTCTGAGGGCACCGAAAAAGTCAAGGGCCAGGTCATCGGTATCGATCTGGGTACGACAAATTCGGCCGTCGCCGTTATGGAAGGCAAGCAGCCTCGAATTATAGAAAACGCCGAAGGTACACGGACAACACCATCAGTGGTCGCCTTCTCCGAAAATGGCGAGCGTCTGGTTGGTATCGCTGCTAAGCGACAGGCTGTTGTCAACCCCGAAAACACTCTGTTCGCCACGAAGCGGTTGATCGGAAGAAAATTCTCGGATCCCGAATGCCAGCGTGACATCAAGGAGGTTCCATACAAGATTGTACAGCACACCAACGGCGACGCCTGGCTTGAGGCTCGCGGCCAAAAGTACTCTCCTTCGCAAATTGGTGGCATGGTCCTGCAAAAGATGAAGGAGACTGCTGAAGCCTACCTCGGCAAGCCTGTCAAGAACGGTGTCGTCACTGTCCCTGCCTACTTCAACGACATGCAGCGTCAAGCTACCAAGGATGCTGGTCAAATCGCTGGTCTTAACGTTCTCCGTGTCGTCAACGAGCCTACTGCCGCTGCGCTTGCCTACGGTCTCGAAAAGGAGGAGGACAAAATCATCGCAGTCTACGATCTCGGTGGTGGCACTTTCGATATTTCCATCCTTGAAATCCAAAAGGGCGTCTTCGAAGTCAAGTCTACCAACGGTGATACTCACTTGGGTGGTGAAGATTTCGATATCTCACTGGTGCGACACATTGTTCAGGACTTCAAGAAGACCTCTGGCCTCGACCTCTCCAACGACCGCATGGCCATCCAGCGTATCCGTGAGGCGGCTGAGAAGGCCAAGATCGAACTCTCATCTTCTCTCCAAACTGAGATCAACCTGCCATTCATTACTGCCGACGCCTCTGGTCCTAAGCACATCAACCTCAAGATGACCCGCGCTCAGCTTGAGAAGTTGGTTGACCCTCTGATCTCCAAGACCATCGAGCCTGTCCGCAAGGCTCTCAAGGATGCCAACCTCCAGGCCAAGGAAATCCAAGAAGTGATTCTTGTCGGTGGTATGACTCGTATGCCCAAGGTCGCCGAGTCTGTGAAGAGCATTTTCGGTCGTGACCCTGCCAAGTCTGTCAACCCTGACGAGGCTGTTGCCATCGGTGCCGCCATCCAGGGTGCTGTGCTGGCCGGTGAGGTCATGGACGTTCTGCTGCTCGATGTCACTCCCCTTTCCCTCGGTATCGAGACGCTCGGCGGTGTCTTCACCCGCTTGATCAACCGAAACACCACTATCCCCACCAAGAAGTCCCAGATTTTCTCCACTGCCGCTGATTTCCAGACCGCCGTCGAGATCAAGGTGTACCAGGGTGAGCGTGAACTAGTCCGTGACAACAAGCTCCTGGGCAACTTCCAGCTGGTCGGCATTCCTCCTGCTCACCGAGGTGTTCCTCAGATCGAAGTGACCTTCGATATCGATGCTGATTCTATTGTGCACGTTCACGCCAAGGACAAGTCCACCAACAAGGATCAATCCATCACCATTGCCTCTGGCTCCGGTCTCTCGGACGCCGAAATTCAGAACATGGTCGATGATGCTGAGAAGTATGGCGCCCAAGATAAGGAGCGCAAGGCTGCCATTGAGGCTGCCAACCGTGCCGACAGTGTGCTGAATGACACTGAGAAGGCGCTCAAGGAGTTTGAAGACAAGCTTGACAAGGCCGAGGCGGACACCATCCGCGAGAAGATCGCCTCCCTCCGTGAATATGTCGCCCAGAACCAAGCCGGCGAAGGCAACGCCACGGCCGAGGAAATGAAGGCCAAGATTGACGAACTCCAAGCTTCCGCCCTTACCTTGTTCGACAAGATGCACAAGGCTCGCGAGGAGCAACAACAGCAGCAATCTAGCAGCGACTCCCAACAGGGTGGCGAGCAAAAGCCTTGAGCAAAAGGAAGATGAACGGTGAACAAAAGCGACCTGTATTCTAATGATATCCCTGTACTCGACTTTTTTATTTGTTTCAAACTGTGGCCAACCACTCAGCTTTTCTTGTGATCATGTATGCAAACATTCTCAAAGTTGTCTTATCGCACAGGGGAACATGGGCTGTGTATTTGCCAATTGGCTGGCGGTGGAGTGAAAGGGGGGAAACAGGCTCAACTGGATCACGCGATGAACCACTTTCATACTAGGGACAAGGCGAGTTGATGGGCTGCATTTCATGAAACAACTACATTGCTCTTCTGCGACACAAATCGAAACAAGATGTGTGTAGGAGGAGGAACAGCAAAAGAGGATGATTATGTAATTGGCAGGTGAGAGAGTGTGTGGACATACCGCGAGTCCTGGTTCGCTTTGAACCCTTTTTGGGGTTGAGCGGGACCATCATGGCGTGTCGCGTGTCTGAGTAGAAAAAAGAAAAGAAAAAGTAATCTCCTCTCAAAAGATTTGACTCTGTATACCGTGTGGTATATCAACCAGCAATAGTTCCCATGTGGCAAGTGCGCAGGTGACTTGTGCGTATAATAGTACGGGAGTACGGAGTATGCGCGAGAGATTACGGAGTAGCTTAGGCTATTCCTCTTCGGATCAGGCACTGTAGCGGGCTAGTTAGGGAGCTATTGTTACCGCATCTCGGGACCTATTTTACATGAAGCCCGCCCGAGACGGCCTCGGAAAACGGCGGCAAGGAAATACGGGGAGCAGGGGGGTGACGGTGCATAAAAGCTGGATTGGGAGCGCCGCTTTCCATGCTCCCGCGCATTCCGTAGTCGGGAGACTGTTGAGGTATTATTATTGTTATTAAATTTGTAACAGACGTAAGACACGTACTCCGTAAGGGTATTGGGATGCAAGTGGAGCGACGCCGCAAAGTAGTACTGTAGGTTAGCGTAGACACGTCCCCAAGCATAAGCAAAAATTCTAATCACGGGTTGCGACGGGAGTATGGATGGATGGCGGGCAAAAGCATGCGAACGCACATACACCCGCTCCCTCTCTCTCTTCTCGGATACGGATAAACACAGAGTATGTACGGAGGTCGGATCGGGATAGCGAGTACGGACGAAGTACAGTAAGGGATCCATCCAGCACCACTCACTAGCCACGACCTCGGTGATGACGATCGGACGTGTCTCACAATGATATTTTTTCCTTCTATTGTTATTTACCATATCTACTGGAGAGAGCGAAATAGAGCAAGTAATAGATAGATCATGGATGATAAGTGGAGATCGGCGTACGGAGTAGGGAGTTACAGTACTCTGGTACTCTGTGCAGTCAATGAAAACGGTAGGGTAAGCTAGTTGCGCTTCACTAGGCAGAGAGGGCCAAGTAGGGCAGAGTAATAAGGGGGGGAGAGAGAGAGAGAGTAAACGGATAACGTGAACGGATACGAGGTAAACTTCGCTAGCCATTACCTACCAAGCTAGGTCAAAAATCATACAATACCTTTCGTCAGTCACAGGGGGGGCACAGAAAAAAGGCTAAGGGGGATCGACCTCCCTAAATGGTGATAGGGCACGGGTACGTACTTGTACCAAAGGAGCCGAGCAAGAACAGGCGAATATGCGCAGGGGGGTGACCGCAGTGCACACAGTCTGCATGCACAGTGCAGCTAATGACAAAACCCCCCAACACCGCCACAACCCTAAGGTTATCTAGCGATAGAATACGCTCCGTGTATTCCTAGAGTACCTTGAGCTACTCCGTCCTCCGTATGAACAAGAGTTAAGATTCAAGGAAGGTAAGAAGAGCGAGCCAGCGAGTGACGAGTGGGTAACTCAGATAAGGTCGAGTCCGGAGCAGAGGGCAACTCTTCGTAATGTCGTGGATCTAGACCTCAGAGACCTACACTTAGACTTTGGCAGGAAATTGTGTACAGTAGAGAGGGTACAGTACGAATCTCAGGTATCTCAGGTATCTCAGGTATCTACATAGTTAGGTGGCTTTTGTTTTGCCTTGGGTTGTTACCTCAAGTACAGGCATAAGAGAGGAGGATTACACAGGCTATACCGTTAAGGGAGTACAGCGTCCGTACAACCACAGTAGGCAAGCACGTATTTCAATTTGACACCGTTTGTGCAACGTTCATAGTGTCCAGTACATGCTTGTGTCTTGGTGCACAACACGATAGCTGGAAGAGGGATGGCATGGCCGGGTGTGTCCTGTGCAGCCATGTGGACATGTTTGACGTTTAGGACATACCCATCGACGACGAGCAGATGTCATCAGTGAGATACTGTACGGGGGTATGCGACGTCTTGCCGAGGAGTATATTGTATGATTGACGACACTTTGTTTATCTTTTCCTTGAGAGAAACAATTAAACTCACGAGGCACGTGTACGTACAGTCGATTAGGAGTGAGTTTGTCACTTACTTAACTGCACAGTAGCATTACGGAGCCCAAGACAAGTTAGGCCGCAATATTGCCTCATCGGAGGGAAATAGACTTTACTTTTCTCAGCCAGACCAAGCTAAGGAAACCAGGCTCCTCCAGACATGGACAAGCACAGACTAGTGGGCTAGAGGAATAGTGAGTCGACCGAGTGGTTACACCGACAAGGTTTGTGTCTCTTTTCTTTTTTTTTCCTTTTTGTGAATCGTCGGTTGCTGATTGGCGTTGTTGTTCTTCCATACGAGTAGACGACTCGGAAACACGTCGATTTGACATGACACCGTGAGGCGGTGGGAACCACGGAAATCATGATATACTTGACGAAGCTGTCAACCAATACTCCGTCGCTAGCTTATCTACCTACGACAACCTACAGTACCAGACCTACGGGTACAGTCCCTAGCACATACAGTACTGTACAGTACGACTGCCAATCCTTACTCAGCTTTGGTCCGGAGTTACTTGTACATACTTTCGGGCAGAGGAATGAAAAGGAAACAGAGTGACTAGCGGCTCGTGTGTCAATGACGATGCAGGTCGCAAAGCTAAGGCGGACGCCTATCGGGGATTCTACAGAGCCTACTGTAGGGTACTAAAGTTGGGTTGGGCTTAAGGGAAAAAGGGGGGGGTGGACTATACGAGTGGGAACCATCTGATCCGTGATCAGTGACGATGACTGACGAATCTAGTGGTGGGATGCGAGCTGAGCACAGTAATCCATCGATCCTAAAGCATCAGCACTGGCATCAGCGCACTCTGTCCTGATGGATACGACCCCAAGCCCACTCACTCAATGCTGATAGTTGCTTCATGTGTAGAGAAAAGCTGTACGACAACCACGTCAGGATAGGCTAGGTTGGTCCAGGTATCCAAGCGACGCCTGTTGAGCCCTGGCTAACCAACCCTGGCCCCCTGCCCAAGGTCAGCAAGGTTTAACACGAGACGTGTCCCGTAGACTGAAACAAACTTGCTGTACAGTCCTTGCAAGCGATAGGGAATATCGGTACGAGTAGGTGTACGTGATCCGAGATTACACGCACTGGGTCAGTGGGATACCTGGGTAGCCCCCAACAGGCTACCTCAGGGAGGGATGCATAGGCGTGGCAAGGCCTAGGAGAGCCACTATCGCGGGGCTTTGCCGGAAGGTCTCCAGGCCCTAAGATAGACTGCTAGGCACCTAATTTAGTCCGCAACATTGGGGATAAAAACGGGCATTATTGACACTGTCCTCGTCCTCGTGGGTGCACAACACGAGACACAATATAAGGTACCCTCTAACTAGCTAGTAACGAAGTGACCAAGGGCGTGCATCAGGGAAAACATGTGTACGGTTATGGAATCCAAGGACCAACGATTTCCATCTGAATCCATGAAACTCATACCACACTCGGGGGGGTGACGTTGTATATGACTACCTGCCTAGCCGTCTACCTACCTGACGCTATATCCACTGAGGCTTACTCCGTGTTGTGTCGCAGACTGAAGCAAGGGTAGTACTCGCCTTTTCGACGGGTATGATGGAGGAGGAGTAAGACTGTGCTGCAGGTAGTATACTCCGTAGACGAATGCTACCTGACTGCAGGGGGGTCCGCATTGAGCTACAGTATTCCTTCAATGAATACTGTCCACACTGTCCACACTGTCCGTGCCCAGAGGACGAGCAATAAACCCTGGTCGGCGGCCAACGTAATAAGGAGTATGGAGGACTCGCTAAGGTTCTCGGTATCCTTCACCAGTCGATCAATCTCGTCAAATTGTCTATGGCTTGCGTATTCATCATTGGCCCAGGCCACGTCGAGTGCCACAATTCAGCAAGCGAGAACCCGCCTTTGTCACCTTTTCATTCGAAACCTTTATCCTTTTTTTATTCCTCACCATAGCCCTCTACGTCCCGGCTAACACTATCTGGGCCCCATTCTGTTATTCTCCTCCTCCTTCTCCTCCTCCTCCTCCTCGTCCTCGTCTCTACGCTATCCTTCCCATCCCTCCATCCTCACTCGCTGCCCGTCACCTGGCCCTGCCCGTTTAGACTTTGACTTTGCCTCCTGCGTACCTCTAGCTGGTGGCTGTTCATCACCATCTTTTATTCCTCCCTCTTCTTTCCCAAACTCTCTTCTCTCTGCTATTTTCTGCTCCTCCCGGGCACCTGGCATTGAGTCTGTCACTCTTCGATTCCAGCCCTCGTTCTCGTCCTCACTTTGTCATCTTTCCTGTCTGGATGCTCACCACGCCACCTGTCTTCCCATCTGATGTATACGCCCTGAGACCGCATTCGTCATGTTCTCACGACAGACTTCCGATCACCTGCGCAAGGTGTCGGATCTAGCGCCAGAGGTATGTCTAGAATTTCTTGCCCTGCTCCGTACTCCAGGCCCCCCTTCTCGCTGCCCATCTCGCCCCCAATGCCAGAGGAGAACAGATCTCGCATTGAGCGACGCTGCACCGTGTACACCCCTGCATTCCCAGTGTCCAACTCGAGGCGACAAGAAACACAAACACGTACGACAAGCTCTGCGAAAGGGAACCCAGCTGTCACCGCTCTGTGAACCACTCATGCCCTCTCTACAGAAGAGAGAGTCCCCAGTGAATAATACTGTGAAAATTACCGAGGCGCCGACAGGGAACACTTGGGCCTAGTGAGCCTAGATGGTGATTTCTCGCTTGTCCGGCCTGCGTTAGGACGGGTTGGTTAAGCGCAGAGGCCTCCACATTCTCGGCTCCTCTGGACAGTCCGATGGCCAGCTTGGCGCCTGGAAGATCCCTTCTATGCCCTGCACTGGCCCACCACTTCCACTCCCCGGGGCGCTCACAACACATCTTCACAACACATCTCCAGTACAGCAGAGCGCAGCAGAGCATGGCCGCCACCAAAACACCAACCTACTTACTGCTGCTGCTTCGTCTAGAAGGGACACAGTGCATGGCTTGCTCAGACGAACAACACACTCCCGACACCACACACACACCTTCAGTAATTCTCTCTGCTCCAATTCGCCGCCGTCCCTCGCCCCCATCCGGACACACTGCGACACGCTGAGATTTGCTCCAATCCTTACCTGATCCGGCCACTCCCGCTTCCGTCTATCTCTACACTACTCACCACTACTGTACGCCTGCCACGCCTGAACATACCTATCAATTCTCGTTATCAGCCTTTTATCCCACCGAGATTTCCTTTCCATCACCTCATCACATCTGGATATCCGGCGCCTATACTCCGTACTCCGTACCGCACTTTGCCACCCACTGGTCGTGTGGTCTTATTTTTTTTTGGCTTTGTCACGCTCCCTGATTACTATGGACTCCGTGTCTCTCCTCTCCCAACCTCGCTTAGCCCGCCAGCCTTCATTTGCCTCTTGGGTTTCATCATGTTTCGTCACTAATCATTCGAGTCTAGCGGCCCCGCGCCACTTGGGAAACCTCTTACAACCCCTTGAGGTCTTTCCAGCCAGCACATCGGTCGCCGACCACGACGCGCGCCGATGTCATGGATCCCGAATCTTCCGACAGCGATGTTTCGGTCGGCGGAGGAGATGAATACAGATATGCTAGTCCTTTGACGGCGCCCATTCCGCTTCCAGCACCTCCTTCGAAGCATGCGTTGGAATCAGCCGACGCCGTTCAGGCACGACTGGACGAATTGAGTCGGGTCGAAACCAACAACGAGAAGAAGTACAGTCTGCTCAAGGCCAAACGCCAGCGCAAGGATGACAAGATTCGGCGCAAGCGAGAAGCTCAGGACAAGAAATGGCTCGCCATCACCGAGGCTCGCAAACGTCGAGACGCCAGGATCGCCGCGCGACGTAAGCGCGAAGATGCGGCCTTCACCCAATTCTTTGAACATGATCTGGACGAGGAGGAAACTGTGCGTTTACGGTCATGTCTTTCACGCACGCAACTCTGGTACTGACAATAAACTAGAACCTCCGTAGACGATTGAAGCGGCTCAAGCGAGGCCTCCCCCTCGATGAATCACCCAAAGCGAGCACAAGAAGCGTTTCAGGACCATCAATGTCCCCTCCGGCCTCCTTGTCCACCATCCCACCACCGGCCAAGAGACATCAGGTTGGTCCCCCTGGCCAGCCCGATTCGGTCAACTCGGCACAATCACGACCGTCGCCTCAATCCAACATGCCAGGCTCGAGTACCAAGTCCAGCTTGCCTGGTCCGCCATACTCGTTTTACCGCGATCCGAATTCGGCGTTCTCCAGGCCGTATCAACATGGATCTTATTCTTCCTCACCAAATGGGCAGTCACCCACCACGGGGACAAACAGACTTCCTGATCCAGCACCAGCCCCGCCTAGCCATGATCGACCTCTGGGGATTTTGGGTCGGGCCACTTCTCCTCGTCCAAGACCATCCGGAAATGCCCAGTCTCCCTTGACCCCTGGGTCCAGTACGAATACCCAGCCGCCCCGGCAGACATCGTCGAGCTATGACACCCGCCCACCGCCTACCAATACGGGTTCCGGCTTCGCCTCGATCAACGCCCCTCCGTCTGGATTTGCCTCGATCAATGCACGACCGACTAGCACACCGCCCGCTGCGCACACTCCAATGACTCGACCGCAAACCGAAGGCGACGTAAATAGAACCCCAATCGGTTCTCACCCGAACGGTGGTCTGGATAAGGATCGGTTTCAACAGTACGGACATACTCCAACAGGTGTTCCGTCCCCGGGCACTTCAAATAGTGGAAGTAAGCGTACGCCCTCGACGACTCACCCATACCAAATGTCCGAAGCTTTTGCCAATAGACATCACCACTGTGAGAGGGTCGACAGTCTAAATCGAGGAATCTGGACCTCTTACGGGCCTGGAGGCACGGCTGAAAATCCGACCAGCGCAGCTGTGGAGATGTATCTTCGTTGCAACCACGACAACTGCTCTCGGATCGATTGGCGCACTGTCCATGGCCTGCAATGCCACATTGTGAAGAACCATTCGCAACCCAAGGGGACCATCGGAAGCCTGGATAAAGCTCTGGAGCGTTATGGTATACCCGTCAAGGAAGTTGAGGACTATGAGCGTGAACACGGAAACGGCTCGGCGGGCACCATGGCAGACCCCAAGAACCACAAGATCAAGGTCAAGACGAAAGAGGCCACGGGTCTGGAGACGAGACCATATGTCCGCAAAGACACTCCTGGGGTATACGATCCAGATGCGAGACCGGCAGGTTACAGGCCCAGCCCCGCAGAGAGTCCTGCACTGAGCGACGACATCAAGCAAAGCCCGACTGTCAGCATGAATGGATTCTCAAGAGAAGCAACCACGGAGGAGTCGCGGAGGCCTCCATCACAAACCACAACTGCGAGCCCGATGAATACCTATTCTTCGAGTAGTAATTGGTATCGGAATCCTTTCCCCGGTGGATTACCACCACTTCACGCAGACCTCGAGCCAAAGAGGTTGCAAGGTGACTTTGGAGCAAGCGAGGCGGCCGTCAAAAGCTCACAGCCACCTCCACTTGGCCATCATCATCAGCAGGCTGGATCTAATTTGGCGAATGGTATTCAGAACAAGTCTCCGCCTCTGAACACTCTACCTCCACCACCAAAGTCAAGCAACACAATCTCTGTCGCTGATACATCCAAAGCTGCCTCCAACATTGACGCTTCTCCGGTACCCTCGGCCTCGAGTTTAGCTCCAACCATCCCGACTACAACTGAAGCTCCTCAAGCCGCCGAAGTTCCTGCAGACGCCAACAAGGACCTGCCGGCACATAAAGAAATCGCTCCTTCAGATGCCCTTCCTGCAAAACCTAACGGACCAGCACCCGGCGCCGCAACCGCCGATCCCGATGTGCAAATGACCGATGTGGACCAGCAGCTTCAGAAGGAGAATGGAAACGAGAAGCCAACGGAAATTTCCAATGGCACCGTTGTGGGAGATGACAAACAGGCAACACCTGCGGCCGAGGTTTCTTCCGTGCCCAAGGTTGCGCCTTCTGGACCCGACGGCGAACCCGTTCCCAAGTCTGAACCTGGGGTGTCCTCTCAAGCACCAGAGGAGGCAGATTTAGAGGACCAGTCAGAGACGATTGTTGTGGATGGTGAGACGGGCAAGGAGGCAGGTGCAGCAAAGCGTAACGCGCCTAGTACCAATGGACCTTTCCAATCGCCTGTTATGACGACTCGGAGTGTTCAAGCTGCGGGTTCGAACGTCACCACGCCAACAAGACGCGGGAGTAGACGCAGCAGTGTTGTACGAAAGAGCGTCGACCGGGATGGCGACAATAATCTTAATAGTAATGAGGGAAGAGCTGACAAGGAGAATGAAGACAAGGATGAGAAAGATGTGAGAGAAGAAAAGGTTGAAAGAGAGACCAGACGAAGTATTACGGGTCGATTACTGAGACGAGGGAGGTGATGTGTGTAGGTGGTTATGATTTGGGTTGGTGTTTTCGTTATTAGTGATTTCAGGTCAAGGGGCGATCGACACGCATCGGATTGCGCAAAAACAGTTGTAACGAGTATTGTTCGGTCATGAGAGCGAGGAGGAAGAGGAAGAAGAGGAGGATGGAAAACTCGAGTTCAAAGAAGGTACCTAATTAACACGGTGATGGGTGCGGAGGATTCAAAAAGCCTTGTTTGTTTGTGTGAGATTATCATGTCAGTTTCAGCTGCTACGAGGTTATTCTCCTTTTTGTGTATGGTTTCCTACCTTCGGAGTGTATGCCGAGGGTTTTGCTTTGTGTCTTGTTTCCTTCATGAGAGTCGAGAGGTGACACTTGCTTGTTTGGTTGTATGGTTTTTATGGCCATCGTTACGAGTATTAGTTAGTGTGAGTGGGTGTTGTCATGTGAAAAAAGGGGAGAGCACTTTTTGTTTTTCTTGTTCTTGATCCTGTTTGTGGTGTCGTACGTCTCTGTCTTGAGCTCATTCTGGTTTTGCATTCATCACCTTTTTTTTTCTTTCTAATTTTTGTCATGTTGTTGTTATCGTCGTTGATGTTGATGGTGTGTTCGATGATAAGTTGCTCTTTGCTGCGGGATCCAGGTGCAGATGCATGAGACAGACGCAGATGCGAACAAATTCGAACACTGCGCGATGAGTGGTTACATACACAGGTTAATAGGTACTGTGTAGGTACTCAGGTGCTGGGTACTCAGTGTTCTAATTCTAATCTCTAAAATATTGTCTGTTGTGTCGACCGACAGCCAAAGATTACATGCCTGTACTTTCGTGTACACCTCGTGTGTATATTCGGGAGTTTGTAATACACAATACACACATATCATGATTTATTTATTGTACTTAGGGTGACAGAGCGCGCCCTGACATAGGTTCACTCTTGCACACTTTTTCACCGTTTTTTTACACTTCACACCTCCACGCTGACCACAGTTCTACGTACGTACACATATATGTACCACCTTGGCTCTACTGAACATGTTCTGTAAGACTCAGTGATCGATACAGACACAAATCAAAACAGACAGAGTACGGTGCGCGGGAGCAAATTGAACCTTCCGTTGGAGTCTTCGGATCCTCGAATCAATCTTTGGTGGATGCTATCAATGTCCCACCGCAGTACTTATTCTGGACCGAGCTACGAAGACGACTTCCGTGCCTTATAATATTACTTGGTACTGAAAGGACTGCACTTCATATCAGATTTATAACCGGCGGAGGACAGACGCTTCATGTCAGTTCTTTTACTACTGGAGGACCTCATTTCACATCGGTTAATTTTGTTTTTCTTTCATTATATCAATCACATTGATATAGTCAACAACGGCCAGAAGCCAGAAGCCAGAGTACACGACAAGACAAGAACAAGAAAGAAAGACTTTGTTCCCGACTTCTCTGAGACACTTTTCTGACTTCTTCCAGACTGTGTTCCCAAACTTTCTCCCAGATTTCAGATTTCAGACATCAGCACCTCTGTTTTTGGCTTCTTTCCAGATCACTGCACCCTTTTTTTTTGGTGGGGTTTGACAGATTTCAGACCTTTTTATTGTCTGTCTGGTGGTGACTCTCACTGCCTGGTGGCACTGATGGTCCAATTTGTGATATCGGTGGTCGACGCAGTCCCAATCACAAACGGCGTGCCATTGTCGTCCAACACGGCCTGTTGGTTCCCGTGCGCGTCGAACACGACAATCTTGACGCCCTGTGCCGTGCCCGGGGTCTGCACGAGGATGGCGTTGGCGAGGACTTGGCTCCCGAAAGGCGTGTTCCGGAAGAGGCTGCCAAAGGTCTCCTTGTGGCCGTTGACGGGGACGTTGGCGTTGGCGTTTTTGCCCGAGATGCGGTCTTCGACGTGGATGGAAACCGAAGGGGACATTTTTTGGGGTCGAGAAATTGTTTGGTCTGTAAGTCGTGTAACTTGTTACGACGAGTGGTGGTGTCTGGAGGTTGTAAGTTGTAGGTCGTGGTGAAATGGTGTGTACTCTGTAGCCTCTGGATGGGGTGCACTGTGTATGATGTTAGTTCTGTGTGCAGTAGGAAGTTGGTGGTTTGGCCGTCAGTGTACACACACACAGAGAGAGAGAGAGAGACAGAGAGAGATTGAGGAAAGGGGAGAGTACCTTTCTTGAAATCTGGTGAGGAAAGAAGAGGAGAATACTCTGACTGACTCGAGACTCATGGACAGGATCAGGACTTTACTTTATACCTTTCTGATTTCAGATCACGCACACTGTGCACAGTAAGGAGGCCAGGTCAGGCTGACCGGTGCCCTCTGAAGAGCCAAGCGAGCAAGGAAGCAAGCAAACCAACGCAAAGCATGTAAGCAACAACCAAGCCTGTCGGGGAGGGTCAGAAGCTGAAAAACGCAAAAACAGCATAAATCACAGCTTTGTCACAAATGTGAGGATGATCCCGTTGAAGGACCACGGTTGGATCTCACTGACTGGATCCAATGTACGCATGCATGCATGGCGAAGCATGGCAAGGCACGGCACGGCATTTTCATTTGTAACAATGAGAATAAACCTTCAGCTGCTGCCCACAAATAACTTGCAAGGTCCCCCCAAAGAAAAGCTGGTCTCACCGCATGAATCAGCCCATGGATAGATACAATTGCGTGCTTCTGACCATCGACCAGCAGCATATGAGACAGAAAATCCGTCTTCGTATCTGATGTGGTCACGAGCTGGGGAAGACGTGCCAGGATTAAAAGAGCCAGCTCACAGCTAAGCAAGCAACAGCAGCAGCAGCAGCAGCGTAAGCAGATTGGATACCCGTATCTTCTTCTTCTTGGCTGGACGCCAAAACAAGGATTTGAGGATTGGTTGTCACCTTTGTAGAAAATAGCAGAACCAGCAGAAAATATATCTCTCATTCTCATTGGTCTGAAAAGTGTCGTGACACGACGACTGTCAGTCTCCCTCGTGCAAAAGGTCCAGGATAGATATCTTGATTTCCATCCTTGAGCTTGACGTGTGAGAACTTGAGAAGTGGACGGCTGTCCGGGTACGACAAACGACGCGTGTCAGAGATTCCAAAGTCGAATGGATAGCCAATGTCGAACGGCTTTGGATTTGCTCTTTTTTGCAACTCACGTATGTAGACCCTTGTGAATGGACGGAGGCTCGCTTGCTTCTCATCCTGTGCATGACAGACTTTTTGCTTTTCATCCAATTGGTTCTCGTTTCGTACTTACAGGGTACCAAGTGGCTCGTCATCACCTGAGTCTCATGCCGTGGGACTCCTGCAGCATGACCAATCGAAACATCATTCAGCTCAGCTTGACACCCTTTGGCAAACCGTCCTCCGATTGGGCTCGTGCGGCATGAGTGATGAGCAAGTACCTAGGAAGTGTTATTGATGTATGAGCAGCAATACGAGACAGCTGAAGAGCCATCATAGCGTCCCTGAGAGGTATGATCGTGACCTCAAAGAACGGCCTCAGGCTGCCGCTGAACTTGAAGGGAGATGTAGACGGACCAAAGCATCTAGGACGGTGGAGATATCATGACGTCACAAAACAGTCCCCCGTCAGAACAAAATTTTGCTGTATCATTTAAAGTCACACGTTTAATCATCACATTCGAACAGGTCGCTTAGCTCAGTTGGTTAGAGGTACAATTTCCAGTCTTCGAGATGTTCAGCACATTAAACTAATTCCTAAACAGCGTGGTGCTAATAGCGTTGAAAACTGTTTACGCCAAGGTCGCGAGTTCGACCCTCGTAGTGACCATTTTTTTTTCTCCCTACTTTTTTGTTTCCCATTATCGTTCGGATTTTTCAACACCGTGAGGAGTAAATAAGTAAATTCCCCTTTTTGTGAGATGGATTAAAGAGCGGCCCTTCCGTCACCCTCTAGGATCGAACTATAAATGGAAATTAGGTTTTTCGTTCTCGAGTAATAGAGGTAGGGCCGTGCGGAAAGATGTTGTGCTCATGCCAGGGGTCGGGGGGCGTAGCTGAAATCAGAATTTGTGGGGAAACAGAGTCCAAAAGCAGGACTGCGTAATGCTAAATTCATTGGCAAATTTCGTATTCGGCTCACTGGTGTGGGCTGTATGATTCAGAGCCATTGTATCTCGTGTCAGCAGTGAGATGTGACGCCTGGCTGGCTGGCGGGGGCGGACCGGCTAGACTACACCCGCGACAGAAGATCTCTTCCGTGGCATGTGAGCAACGATGGAGTTGTTCTTCTGATCAAGACTGTGAGGCTTTGAAGGTAGTGGGGGAGTTCAACCCGGAGGTAAGAGTGATGGATGAGTGGGAAGGATAGCGACCCCTGTGGTAGTCTGAGTTGGGGAGCGGTTGAGATACGGATACTCTCCAAGATATCAATACACACCAGCTGAATACTTCATGCCAACGATACGGGTACAATGTTCAGTAGCACTCCGTAAGAACCCGGATCTACAGGATACAAACACACCGAATCAACTTTGCTACCATAGAATACACAATTGATTGACTCTCTGTTCCAAATTTCCAGAGCATAGTCGATCTTCGTACATTGCTGTCGATGTTCACTCATGCCTTTTGACAAGACTTGGCCCATCACACGCTTGCTTTTTATAGCGAAACGCCCTCACTTTCACACCCTAGGCCTTGCAAAATCAAGCAGTAGCTTCTTGTGCTTCTGCCCCTTCAAGAACCAGCATACCCTTTTCCGATTTCAATTCTTCCAAACTCTTTACCTTGATCTGCATGACCCTAAGTACAGTGTACTTGTGCTTGCTGTGCACGACCTTTCGATGCCTATTTCTTCGCTTCTTCTTCTCCTTATCCATCATCGGGTTGGTTTCCAATCCCATCACACGTACACGGCACTCGAAAAGTCGTTCGTCGATATATTGCGGCTCGCCTGTTCGCTTGGCATCGTAGGATTCGGTATTCTTAGCGCCAGCTTTGAGCGTGTAGTCGCGCGATCCCAATATGGATGCGCGGTTGAAGCGCAGGATGTCACCTGGGGACACACCGTGCATGTGGAATGGGAGGCGGAGCACGTCGCCTTCCGTGAGCATATAGGGAAACTTGTGAATGTGCGAGATGACGTAGTGTGGCTTCTGGTCCGCTAGACGAGGGAGGAGGGATTGTAGAGACGACGAGAGAACTAGGGGCCGACTGAGAGAGTTCGTCGTCGACGAAGGTGCGGATATGGATGTTGCAGAGTGCGACGTCGGAGAGGATGCAGATGTAGCTGTTTGGAGATAGCTGGAGGGAGGGATTTCAGCTTGAGTATTGTGGAAATCGTGAGCTGGACTGGCGGATTGTTGGGTCGCTGCTTGGTGAAGGCCACGGGAGCGGAAGGGGAGAAGAAATGTTGCGGGTTGGGTTTGTTTCGGAGAGATGTCGAGTGCGCTCTGGAGGAGGCTACGGGATGAGACGTGGTGTGAGCGAGATTGCTGAGGTTGGCGAAGTATTCTGAGCGGTTATGTTAGTCGTTCCCGACAGACATTTGACAGTAGAAAGGTAGCGCGAATTCTTTACCTGACTGGAGTGCCCGACGGCGCCCTTGAGGGCATGGAGTCGAATATGCATTTAATCACGCGCCCGCAGATACGACACATCTTGGAAATGTGGTGGAGGCGTCCGAGAAGCCCTGATCCGTCGTTGTGGTCAGAACGACAACGTTGTCCTACGGTTTCGGTACTGCGACGCTCAACTGAACCTGAAGTCGGAATGTTCAATCGAGCTGTAAATGTCAAGACTTTGCTGAGCTAGCACGTGATTAAGTACTACTGTCGAGTATTTTGTCTCCAGGTGCAATTGGCAATACTTCAACACATTACGCCTCCTTGTGCAGTTCCCTACCTGTTCTTTCTCTACTGAAACAATAACGTCCCAAATCACCGACTTCATGGCCATTGACGGGTTGCTTGGAGGCTCTTTAAATAATTGCACAGTGCCAGAAATTAAAATCTTTAGCTCATTCTTTCATAACGTGATTCAAAAGTCTCCCCAACACTCCCCTGACGCTGCGGCCATTACCGGTCTTTAATGCCGTCAATACCACTGCAACGCTCGTAGCAAACACGGCCTGCTCTCGCCTCTGGTATTTCTTGTCGTACACTCTAGGCAGGACTGTAGCAAGGGCCCTCGGTGCGACAAAGAAAGCGATCTCTTGTCGCCGGCTCGGCTTTTCCAAGAGTATGGACCATCCGCACGCAAGGCACCCTGCCAGAATGCAGAGGCCCGAATCCCACATCTGTGGAGATATGGTACGGTACGAAAACACCTTTGGCCCCAGGCGTGTCCTGGCCAGACAGACGGCGTAGTAAAACAGTGCGACGAACGCAGCCAGGAACGAAGACGACCTAGCCGCGGCCTTCACGGCCTTCAACGCCGCGCTGAGCGTAGGATGGTGGAACCGCGCGAGAAGCTGCAGCGGCACGTAGACTCCCATTGCGAACTTCCAACTTCGCCAGAACCGCGACACGGCGTGTCTTTCGCAGCTCGCACCGGTTCCGCAGTGGTACAGCTCGCAGGGAACGGGGACGGTTCGGGCAGGGTCTCCCCAGATCTCTGGTAGGCCCAGCTCGCGGCAGAGGCTTTGGAGGAGAAGCGGCGGCGCTCTGCCCGTGTCTTGGTGGCCGTATACGAATTCGCCTCTTCGCGCGAGCCGGAGAGCCTGGATGATGCGCGGGTCGATGGCGGCGGCCCGCGAGATCCACCGGTTGTATTCCCGCGGCAGGCGCTCCGGGGAGTAGAACCACGACCACATTATCACAGCGGCCGACGTCGCGAATACGGCTGGGTCCATCAATTTGCGTACCGTAGAGGCAAGTCTCGGATGTCGGTGCTCCGGGTGCCATGGTCTTGACCGAGTTCGCGTCCACGCCGTGATGACTGCGATGTCTAGTGCCCGGCTGAATGCGAAGAGCGTGAAGTCGATCGTCTTACCGGAGTAATGTGGGTGATATGAAGGTGGTGGGAGACGGTGCTGATTGGGTGACTCGAGGATGTTGACGTCGCTCGCGTCGGTACGCGATTTTGCTCGCTTTCGAACCCAGCTTTCATCTCGGTTGAGGAGGTCAAAGGCCACCCAGGCCGATACTAGTGAACATAGAAACTGGATCTGGGTCGCGAACTTGGTGCTGGATGCTCGACTGTGGCCTGAGGACCACCTGGTGGAGAGAAGCCACTGGAGACATATGTGAACAAAGCGTGGAAGAGCTGTTGCGCCTCCGACGATAACGGCCACGGCCGACGGGAAGCGGTTGAACTCTGTGGATGTTTTGAGGATCCTACACAGATTGGCTAGCTGCTCGTGCGCAGAGACGTTTCCCTGTTTGAGATTCCTGAGGAGAACAAGTAGCCTGGGTCCAGTGACTGTGATGTACCCTAAAGCGTAGGCCCGAAGAAGAGGCTTTACGACGCTTAGGTTGAGAGCCTCGGTCGGGCGGGCCCTGACGATCGTCATGATATCTGTGGCATTCACTGTGTCTCCTAAGGGAGGACAATATTTGAGTATCCGAAGGAGAACACTGCAAGAGCAAATGCGCGTTAGCTAGTCATGGTTGACGGATAGAATTGGCTGCGAAGAAGATGTCCGTTGAATTACTGTAGTCGTCGTTGATAACGCGCTTCTCCCGGGACTTGGCGTTGAGGTACGAGGTTCCTTGGGGCTCAGCGGTGGCGCATCTACCGAGCCCCTTTCCATCGTCGTCTGGACTTCTGGATCTCGCCTGATCATGTCGTTCAACGACCTCATCATCCAACTGATTTGTATACGGCCTCAGTGACAGACGCTCGACAGGATTCCGCGGTTGAAGCCAGAATCCGCACACTCCGCAATTGATCGCCAGCCTCACGCTCTTCAAGTGGAGCTTCTCAACCTTAACGCCCAAATCATTTCACTTCAGATAGAAGTACAACTTTCTGAGCTTTGCATGTTCAGATGGCTCCAGATGGCAGGCCGACCTACATCAGGGTCAACAAGAAACACCTTCTGCCCGAGACACTTGATGCATATAATTTGCCCTGGGAATGGTTCGACGAGGATAGGGAATATTTGGTCATCAAGAAGTATATCGACGATGATCTTCTAGAAGAGCTTTTCCAACACACACGCGACTTGAAGGCGCCGAAACCTCTCATTGACCGAGGGACCCTCAGACCTTCAAGGCCTTACCGCGGTGATGGTTACTCGAGGCCCAGGGATGACGACAATAATCTCCTCAATCTTGAAGTCAACTTGGAGGATGAAGAGACGTTTCGAATGCCGACCATGACTTTCCGAAACACTGGCGAGCTGTTGGAGGATTACAATGACCTTCGACGACGATACAAGTTTGGGTCGTTGACAAGAGCGAGCGTTATGAGTGCCCGACAACACTGGGATCGAGAGGACTGCCCCGGGGTTGCGTTTGATTATTTTGATGCGGTCTCCAATGCTCTAGACAGTCAGTTTCGTTGGATGTACGCCTTCGTTCGTTGTCCTTGTCAGACATGGACACTAACTCCTCGCAGACACGGACAGACCAGAGTGCTGAGCTTGGACTCGTTTCAAGTATGTATCGCTTGGATATGGATGCTGATGAGCCTGCTGTCTTACGAACTCTAGCTATTTCTATCTCGTCTACCAGAACTTGATGAAGACGAAATTGCTTTGGCCACGAAACTGCTTCGCCAGATTAAGCAGAAATTTGAGCCAAACAACACTCCCAGCAGACGGTTGGCTCCAGTGGTGCGACGAGCGGATGGCGAGAAAGGTAGAGACGAGACCAAGTGGGTCACTTTTCTGAACATGCCATACCTGTCGACACAGGAGAGCGAGATCAGGAGACCTCTGGATCAACAGTACTCATTCACGCAGTCACTGGTTCAATATCAGTATCCTCTCGAGGCGGCCATCGAGCCAGACCGCCAACAGCTAAACTATTCGATCCGCAAAGCCTATCCCGCTCGACGGGTGCATGTACCAATGTTTTGGGCGCTTCTCACAAGCTCGGGTGAGTGCCAATTTTACTTGAGCACACTCCCTTATATGGTCCGTCTCAATTGGTCCCGCTCAACCTCAGACGGAAGCTCACAAGGTGCATGGTCTGCTAAGGAACTCTGATCACTGTGTGTTTGGAGCAATTCAGTGACATATGTAAACCCTCATTGCGACCAACGAGACTAAACATGTCGGACAACGGCATCCAACAGCGGCGGGTGCGGATCAAGGATCCTCAGGGCAGAATGTTTCACTTCCCGTTGGAACTGTGTGATTCGTATTTTGTGAGTTGACCCAGAATACTCTGGAATATCCGATTGTGGAACTCTCGAGAAAAGAAGACTCACCTCAGAGTTATTTGCCTTTCTGACAATGACCGTCCAGGCTCTGATGCGTGCCGTGGTGATTGCGTGCCAGAAGGATGCTGATGGGACGGTTGAGAGCTTCCGGATAATGGATGAAAAAGGAGACGAAATCACTGCCGAAGATTGGTTGGCATACTGTGCTCGACAACGTGGAACATTCATCGATGTATGGGTCCGTGTGTTGTCGACTGCCCCGCAATTGCCGGATCTTGATTCTGGGCTTTCCGTTGTGTTGAGGAAACGATCTCGGTCGATGAGTGGTGACGAATCGCTCCATGAGTCGGCAACGGAGCAGACAGACAAACTACCCGACACGCCATCCAACACTGCCGATCGACGTTACTTGAGCACTGGAAGCTCCAATGCCTTGATTCTCTACGACAAGAAGCGGCCAGTTGCGGGAGATGAAGAGCGAAACAAGTCTCTTGCATTGGCCATGTCCAAGGCCAAATCTCAACACCAGGCAGGGGTCAAACTGCCTCCTAATCGCGTTCCACGATTCCTGCTCCAACCTCAAGTCCCTACTATCATGAATTTCACCTTTCCAGACCTCAAGCTCGAAGACATCTTCTACCGCCACCAGCCTGTTGTTAAAAGGCAGTCTGAAAATTCCGAAAGGGAGGCCGCCAATGTCGAAGTAGATAGCCGAAGCGACTCCCAAACGTCAAAGGACAGCGGCAATGCACAAAAGATTTCAGAAGACGGCTCAGACAGGAGGTCAAATGCGAGGTCAGACGAAAGATCGGACGAAAGATCAGACGGGGCATCAGATGGAAGCTCAGACAGTTTCATTGTTCCAAGAGTGCCTCCATTCTTCCTCTGGCCAATTGATACTGTCTCAGGGAGACGAAGTGCCGCTCAAAAGAGGACATCCAGCCACATCGATGTTGCAGACGATGCTGTAGATCACGCAAGGTCCGGAGTCAGAGAAGGGAGAGAAGCAGCCGAGAGGAACCCATTGACCAAGGAGCAAGAGAAAGACCTCAAGACCATCTTGAAGGACGTTGACATTGCCTTCCAGAAAGCCAAGTTTGACGATCTCGAATATTCTCGCAGTCGAAAGTTCCTGGCCAAGTTATACAAAGAAGATCCAGGCGAACCGGTTGACCTCAAGGCTATAGAAGACGAATACTCGAAGATGAGCGAGCTACATGAGCCCATTCCCCTGAGTGAGGTCCCATCAGAAGGCTGCTCCTGGCAAAGAGCGCTGGTAGAAATTATGAACCGATGGGAGTACATCGCAATATCCTTTTACCCCGAAGAAACGGATGACAAGGTCCATCAAAAGTTGACGCTTAGCCGAGCCCGCTTCTTCAAGGTGAGTAGTGTTCAACGCCGCGTGCACCTCGCTGGACGCTTTATGGACTGACGTTGTCTGCTCTAGGATATTTGTGCCCTCTGCGAACCTCAGTTTTATTGGAGCAAGATAACCGCCGACGGACTGGCACAATACAACGAGGAAGGACAGACACCCGTGTTCATCAACAATTCCTCTCAGGTCGTTGACGCTCGCATTCCAAGATCCACCGTGCAGTCCGAAAAGAAATGCTACGAGTGCAAGCTCGACGGCGACGATCTTGCAGAATTTGCGACTCCCGATGCTGCTCGTGCACATTTGCGTGAGAAGCATTTCGAGCCTGGAACAGCGCCTGATGCCGAATTGGATCGATACATCGTGCCGGCGAATCGAGTTATTGATTTCATCGCCTGTGCTGATAGCCACCGGTTGATGCTGAAAATGCTCGATCACCTGGGGGCCATGGCCCAACTCATCGCCGATATCCGCGAAGGAGTCACATCCACAGGGCTGTTTGACAGCTCTACTTACCGACTCCCCTTGTCGCTGGTGCAGGCGTTTCGACAATTCCTCGCAGGCACGATCTACGCAGCTCACGTCGCATTTACAGCAAGAATCAACTATCAGGACACACCAAAGAATGGCAGAAGAGTGAGGAGGTTGATAGAACCGGAGCAGATGGACAACATCGTCATCTACGGCGCCGACGTGGAGACATCGTTGAGCAAGGCAAAAAATGATCTCATGCTCATGAGCCATGCGGGTGATTACTCTTCGAGCGCGTCGTATGAGGCGGTGGGACCTGCGTATGTGTTACTCACGCTGCTTCGCGACCTCTACGAGAGAACAAACGCAAAGGATGGCCTGAACCTTTTGGGGATGTACAAGGACCATATCGGCCGACTGGTATGTCATTCATTCTCCTTGGGGTGACTATCTCCATTCAGAACTGACACTCATCTCGTCTAGGATTTCCAGGTCAAGCATCATCCTCGTCGACGACTGCGGAAAGACATTGTCCACTTTCGAGAAGAGATCCGAACCGTCCAACAAATCATTAACGAGCAATCCGACATGATTACCCAGTTCTGCCGGACGTTGCGCCCGGCGAGCTTCAAGGTGACATCCCCCCAACGAGTCGAACAGCATAAGCTCGAAGAGCAGGCGTTGGAGCACGTCCAATCGCTTGGGAGGAGCAACCGGCAAGTCTACGACCGACACACCCGCAAACTCAAGAGACTGGAGCAGGAGGTCCTCGAGGGTGTGGAGATTGAACAAGACGACCACGGCAAAGCGATCTTGGTATTCACCATTGTAACGGTCGTCTTCCTCCCTCTCTCGTTCGCCACGAGTTTTCTCGGGATGAACACAAGTGACATCCGTTCGACGAACTCTACCCAGTGGTTGTTTGGTCCATCGCCCTGCCGCTGACAGTTTTGACCATGGCCACCGCCGTGTCCATCGGCTATTACGGCGAGCGCATTCGAGAGGTCCTAGCCCGAGTCTTGCCCGCCGCTTGGGCCGCTCCGGATCAGGGGCGGGCGTTGCGCGGAACCCGCTCATCGTCCGCGCACAGGTCTAGAGGGAGGCAGAAAGACGACTCCGACTCCGACTCCGACTCGAGATCCGTGTACGAGGAAATGACTACAAGTCAACATCGACGCCGAGGGCTAGTGAGTCGGCTTTCGAAACATGTGTTAGGTGAGATTCAGAGGGGAGATCCATCGTCTGCCTAGGGAAGGGAGCTACAAATATCTGTTCGTTCCGTGTGCGCTTGGCCCCCGCCGCCCCTGACCCAATGGTCCCTTGGCCGGGCCTGCAGCCTGATACTTGCTGCGTACTGATGATGCTGAATCGTCGTTCGGGGACCCGCATCTTGGAGGGTCATATCGTGGTAAGGGTCGATGAACATAGACCTAAATAAACCCTACAATAGTCGAATAGGCAAGTCGGACCGACTAGTCAGAAAGAGTTCAAGGCAAATATCGTTGTCTGGACCAGTCGAGAGCATTCGTAGAGCAGCTTCGGGCATTGTCAAACGACTATTGGCAGCGTTTCCTGCCGGGCTTGGAATGAGACACTGAAATTCTGTCTGCACTCGTGGTAAGAAAAGGTTGACAATAATGCTCGCCGTTCGACCGACTGTGCAGCATGACACTGTTCAGCGACTGCCAAAGATGGCGATGTAGTATCTCAATCACGAAGGTGTTGTTCACTCCATGCCGCACAAGAATCGAGGATCGTGGCATCGAGGGAAGGGAGCCTCAAAAGTGGCGGCACCGATCGCCAGATCCAGCGCGAAATTGCCCTACAATACTCCGTACAAGCTGCGCCGTACTGTGGCTTGGACACTTTGTTCTGGCAGTTCTGGCAGGATTGATGTCTCCCGGCCCTTAGCCCCAGATGACTCCTGCAAGTGATGAAATGCGGCTGTCTGGGACCCTGAAAATCATATGTCAAGCAAGATCTTGTGAAGTGGTTTATGGAGCACGGAGTGGGCGTACTGACTCCATCGACTCCATTATGGATCTTCCATCTGAAACTGAGATTAATGAATAAGGGTGTGTGTGCTCCGTACAAGATCGACAAGCGAACCAGTCTGAATTCCGATACAGCGACGCGCTGTACAGATCTTCAGAGTGATCTTGATTGAAGGCCTATCGACAGCCGAGTGTTACATGTGTCGGAGATGAATGAGTTGTCTTTGGGCCAATGAACTTCCTGGAGGACATGTTACTCTAAATGCCGCCTCGACACGTTTTCAACAGTTGTACCTGTATCACGTCGTTGGGCCCCTGTATGTTTCTAGAAAGTTGCACCTCAGGCGACATTTAATCGTACACAAGGAATGTGATGATGGATCGATGGTGGTGCGGATCAGGGTTTGGGGGATTCAGTGCTTGCACCATACGACATTCATACGAGATACAGTACATACGAGTACCTACGATACGAGCACTTACGATACGAGCACTTACGGCGTATTATCCCCCGTACTCCATATTCAGCGACGATCCAGGTCCACAGACTGCGCCCCAATGACATCAACAACGGGGCCAAGAATTTACAGTACAGGAATGTGATACGAACCGTGACATTACTAGAGTTAGTTAGCAGGTGTCTAGTTTGTAGTTACTGCCACTGTCGCTATCCGCACTCCATACATCTATTCGTTACCGTCATACTATGTGCTGTAGTTAGCAACTTAGCTAGCAACTTAGTTTATACGCAGTACATTAGGCGGGCAGGTATCCGTACCTCGAGCAACAAAACCTCAACTTCAGCTTCATCCCTCCCACATCCTCTCCCCTTCACCTCTTTCGTTCGGGCTGCTTCATTCTGTTGCTCTACATTCGTTATGTACACGTCCGTTTTGGCCCTCCTGGCCCTCTTCCAGTCTGCCCTTTCATCTCCCCTCAACCCTCGATTCGAATACGCCGTCAAAGAGTCCATCAATGTACCCCCCAAATGGTCGGTAGCTGGAAATCCTCACCCATTTCACCTCTTGAAGCTCAACATTGGACTACAACCCAGCAACTTTGACCTTCTCGAGCAACATTTGTTCGAAGGTAAGCTTCCCCTGCCCGAACTACCAAGCAGCTTTGGTCGAAGCTGACCTGACAATTAGTCTCGGATCCCTCTCACCATCGCTACGGCCAACATCTATCTCAGCAACAAGTCCACGACTTAGTTTCACCGACTGACGAGACCTTGGAGTCAATTCAGGACTGGCTATCCGAGAACGACATTGACTCGTCTCATATCCAATTCAACGCGGCCCGAGACTGGATCACACTTACTCTCCCTGTCGCCCAGATCGAACGGCTCCTCGACACCAAATACTCAGTTTACAGACACGAAGATGGAACAAAGCTCGTCCGCACCACAAGCTGGTCTCTCCCACGCTCGTTGCATGACCACATCACCACCATTCAGCCCACGACTGCTTTTCTCCGGGCAAACCCCAAAGGTGAAACTGTCCTGACGATCCCGACCGAGATAGATTTGGCTGAACTCACTGCTGCCGCCAACTCGACTTCCCTGAACCAAGTCTGCAACTTTGCCGGCATGACGACCAAATGTTTGAGAACGTTGTACAACACCGTCAACTACACCCCTCAGTCCGTCAAGAACAACTCGATCGGCTTCACCAACTACCTCGGTCAAGTCTCTAACCGATCCGACGCCAAACTGTACCTCCAAAACTTCCGCCCCGAGGCCATCAACTCCTCTTATGCACTGAAGCAGGTGTCGATCGACGGCGGCCCAGTCGACAACGCTACCGCGGGGGCTGGGGTCGAAGGTAACTTGGATCTCGAAACCATTCTTGGCCTTGTGTACCCGACCCCCGTCACGGCCTACTCAACGGGCGGCATGCCCCCCTTTGACCCTGACGCATTCACCGCCGAAAACACCAACGAGCCCTACCTGACGTGGGTGCTGTGGATGCGCGACCAAGACCCGGCCAGCCTTCCCAGCGTCGTCTCGACCTCCTACGGCGACGACGAACAAACCGTGCCCCAGACCTATGCCAAGCAGGTCTGCAACCAATTCGCAGCTCTCGGAGCCCAAGGCATCTCTTTGTTGTTCAGTTCCGGCGACTACGGTGTTGGCGGCAACGACAGCTGCGTGAGCAACGACGGCAAAAACACTACCACTTTCCTGCCCGCGTTCCCCGCTTCGTGTCCCTACGTGACCACGGTCGGCGGCACGAGAGGGTACCCCGAACAAGTGGCATTTGACCCGGCCAACGGGTACGCCTCCGGGAGTGGCTTTAGCAACTACTTTGCCCGTCCGAGCTGGCAGGATACCGCGGTCGAACGGTACCTCGACACCCTCGGCGACAAGTTTAACGGTCTGTACAACTCGTCCGGTCGCGCGTACCCAGACATTTCCGCCCAGAGTTACCGGTACATTGTGTTTTTCAACGCCAGTGTGCGCACGGTCGACGGGACAAGCTGCGCGGCGCCCACCATGGCGAGCATCTTCTCGCTCGTCAACGACGCGCTCGTCGCAAAGGGGAAGTCGCCCATGGGATGGCTGAACCCGTGGCTATACCAGGAAGGATTCGCGGCGTTTACAGACGTGGTCAACGGGACCAGCGTTGGCTGCGATGGTCCTGGTTTCGGTGCTGCGACGGGTTGGGATGTCGCGAGTGGATTCGGCACTCCGGATTTCGAAAAGATCCTGGACGTTTTGGGGATTGGGAGTGGTGAGTCTGGCGTCTCTTCAAAGAGACGAGATGTCTTCTCGTGAGCTTTGAGAGGGGACTTGTCGGCGTCGTCCGAGAATTCCAACACATGAACACAAAACCACACAACACACACATACAACGGGATACAGTCTTCGTGTCAGTGTGGTAATTACCACTCCTCTTTTACTTCATTTTTGATACGGAATGGGGTCGAGGGGTATCATCTTATGACATTGCATCAGCATCGGCATCGGCATCGGCACTGGTATCGCATTGGGTTGCATAGAATTGCAATAGCATTGCAATCATTACGATTAGAATATTTAATCCGCACGAGAGAATCACGACGTTGTACTCGTGCTACGACAGTAATATCCCACAGCCCAGTATCGCATCGCATCGCATAGCATCGCATAGCATAACAAAGCGAAGTATACCTAACATAGCGAGCGCGGCACGATAACATCCGTCAAAGTCACCGGGCAGGTAGGACACGTATAATTAATGATCGACCTGAGTCCGGAGAGCACAAATACACCGACCCATTGTGGTGCCCCGTGGGAGATACTACTGTGAAGTGCTAGTTCAAGGTAGTGCCCCTTCGTTCTCGGATTGCCTTTTCCACTATTCCTTCCGCGTTTAAAATACCGTCTAGAGTGTGAGGAGCATGAAGGCCGGTGAGTACCTACCCAAGGTACCTGCATTACCCAACTGTGGAAAGAAACCCCCAAGGGGCCGCCGTGTAGCGTTGTATCCTGTTCTTGCGTTGTATTGTACTGTATTGTATTGTATTACGCTGCGCTGCCTCGACTTGACTTGCCTTGCCTTGCCTTGCTTTGCCATCTCTAGCATGATGAGGTCACTATATTCGTACTGCCCTGCCTTCCCTTGCCTGGCCTTGCCTTGCCATCTCTAGCGATAACAGGACTGGGGCCGAGTCAAATCGATTCAAGACTCGGTAGCACATTTGTTGAACTTGGCGTTCGACGTGGCTATACTTTTCCGGAGCAGGACCCAGGTTGTGCTGTCTCATTCTTCTTCAAGATCATCATTCTGTCCATCTTGTGTGGGAATTGGTGCGTGGCCGAGGTGGACACTCCAAACTCGTATAGAGAGCTTCGGAGGGCCGTTGGTGTAAACGTCAAACTCTCGTCGTGCGGTGAACGCTTCAGGTCATCAGCGACCGCAATCGATGAAAGAGGTATGATCACGGCATCCTCACCATGCCCAACATCTTGATGTATACGGGCTCGTGTAGTAGGAGAGCCGAGAAAAGATCGATCCGGACGGAGCGAGGATTGCCGAAGGGTTCATTCGTCGGGAGTGGCGTGAAAGTTGTAGTGTTTCCTAGGACCACAATGCAGGACCTCAGACATAGATCTGGTGTTCATCTCTCTGCCATCTTGTTGCAGGAACGATCACTGGATGACAGCGTCGATGTACAGCGCCTTTACAGTCATCCACAGGCCATACCTCCATCCACTTGTCAATCTCGTCTATTTTCTCTTCGTTGTCCCTCTTCGTACGAACTGGTCAAGCAGCTGCCATACCCATAGGGATCGTAGTCAAAACACCATTCTTGTCGTAACGGGCCTTGAAAAATGTATAGTTTAACGTGATCGTCTCAATTCCTTTCATGTTCGGATCCTTTGCGAATTCCGGATCGATGAAGAAAAACACGGGCATATCGACCGTCTCTCCTGCGTTCAGCCTCTGCTCCTCGAAACAGAAACATTGGATCTTGCTGAAATACGGTGCCACCTGCGCCGGAGTGACAGAGTATGTCGCTACGCCAATAATGTCTGCGTCGCTTTTGTTCGTGGCCGTGTAAAAGGCCAATGCGGTTTCGCCGGGCAGGACGCGGACTTCACGTTGCTGAGGTGTGAACTTCCAAGGGAGAATATCGGACACGGAGCCTTGAAAGGTGATGCGGAGGCGGCGGTGGTCTTCGACTGGCTTGAGTCGGACTGCTGGGTCACCCGAACCGTCGTGGGCTTTGACCGGTTGACCTGACCAGCCTGTCTGTTGGCAAATCTGGGGGAGAAACGAGTAAGCCAAGGGGAAGTAGCTAGATGATCCGAGTGGAAGTAGTCTACCATTTTATATAGAGGGACCGACGCATATGAGAGGGCGAGCAACAATATGCCCGCACTGAGGCCGTAGTACCTGGTGCTGTATGAGTATGGAAAGGTCTTTGGGCTTCTTTCAAAACGTACATGGTCGTTTGGTTCTTCTTCCGAGCCTCAGCCCGAGCAGCTTCCCACGGTGAGGCATACTGGGCTCGCCTGGTGGTGGTGTTGGAAATATTTCGAGCTGCGGTTCTCGATGCTCGAAGAGGCTGTCGAAGGTCTCGGAAGAAGCTTGATCCCACTCGTGGGAATCTCGAAGCTAGGTAAAAAGTGTTCATTTCGATGATAACCCTCCTCTAGGAATTTGTCGAGCTTGGTAGAGGGGGAGTGAAGCTCTCTGCATCGCGAGCGCGAAGAAACCCGGCAGCATCTCAAGCCTCAGGTGATTCGCGGAACGCATGATTCTGGCCGTCTCGCCGCATTGTGCTTGGCACCGGATTACGGAGGACGGATAAACAAAAGTCCACGCTACCACCGGAATCGTCGATAGCAAAATAAATCTAAGCAGAACCCAGGGCCTCCTGGCCAGAAAGCAGGTGTACAACCACTGCCCAAATTCTCTCGATGTACTCTGGCTATTTCGCAATCTGATGGTCTGATCGATATAAACCTGAGGTGGGCACAACCACCTGTTCGTGGCGTCATCGTCACCACCAAGTAAGTGCAGGTGGCTATACCATCCGCCCCAGATACTACCTACAGCCTTTAAAACTGCAAGCCTAATCATCAGCCTCACCAAAAACCGAGTGACGCTCTGTTTCTTCGTCTGCCAACGACACGCAAGGGCTGGTCTGCATTCCATTGTCGAAAGAGGTGTTGAGCAGATATCCCGTCCGATTCCATATCTTGGTGTTGCCCTCTATCTTGAAGAAGTTGTAACTGGCTTTATCCCACCTCCAGCCTTGCTCCTTCATGCTCTTCTTCCAGTCCAGGAACTCTTTGATCATATCATTTAGGATGGTCGTCGCCTTCTCCCCCTGCTCTATTGCTTCTCGATCTACTATCGCGTCTGAGCATGGCCTTCGAAACACACCACTGGGACTCCGCGCCCACCATTTGTTGTTTGGAGGCTTGTCTCTCACCACGGCTCCGTGCCCACCGTGGTAGTTTTTACGTTTCTCTTTCATCAGGCCACCATTCGTCATCGTCCTTTTGAACTCTGGCGGGGAAGTATATTCAATTTGTGGCAAGGCAAGAGGGACGAGTTTTAGTGAAGGGTAGCAATGCAAAGGTGGAAATTGGGCCAGAACTGGCTCTCCCATGTTTTTGACCTGACTTTGATCCTAGATGTTGAGCCGCACAATGCATGCTGGTTCAGATCCATCATTTGAACGCCCATGTAGGATCTAACCACTTTGGCAGTTTCGCAGGGAATACCTCTTACTCCGGTTGCTTGTCGCCTATATCTGCCACTGATATTGTTTTCAATCACGGCGAAGGGTGCCTGCGCCCCTTGTTCGGCAGATGTACGTGGCTGGTCGCAGCACCTATCAATGGGCCGCACTTTTTGGTCATGTAGCCAATCACGAAGAAGTCGTTCGTGATACATCACAAATGCTGTAGACCTGAAATCATGAGCAGGGAAAGGACGCATCAGCAAATTGCACCAACGGTTGCAACGATGGCAGCTTTCGACGGCCTCGACGGCTATGCCAAAGTGGCTTCCCTAATGTCGCGCTACAATGAGTATGGCATATTCCGAAGCTTCAAAGCACTGAATATGCGGAATCTTCTTTACTTTCAGGCTGAGCTCACTCAGCTCGAGCAGGAATTGAAGGAGATAGTGCGGACAGACCAGCTTTCTGATTCGGAGGCTCGACGTTTGCAGGCAAATCACTGGCAATTGCTAAAGGACTCCCACGAGGACACGATCAGCATTTCAAAAAGGCTAAGGAAATAAGGAACCTTCTGAAGGAATACAGTACGTGCCTCCCGTAAAGGTCAAATGGCTGATAGCTGTCCATACTCAGCGACCATGCTGACAATATAGATGAGGCCTTGCTTCAGTGCCAAAGGCTCTCAGCTTTCAAAAAGCCCACCAAATACAAGATCGACTTCTTCCGTGATTGGCAGCTCCTGATGAAACTGAGAGGAGGACAGTCGATTATCAGCGATGACCAAAACGCATGGAATGAAGCTAATGAGGACGACCTTGTCACAACCGACAACCCGAACAAGGTGGACGCAACCAGCACTTGGATCTCAGAAACTCTGGTTCCTAATTACCATTGGTGTATTGGCAAGTACCACAAGACACCAGTCGATTGGGACCCAGTCGCGGGAATCGCGAACTACTCCGACAAAGCAATCACAAGACTCGTTGACACCTTCGCAACTGTGGTGTCATGCGTGTTCTCCGTCCTCTCCATTGTGGCTCTGAACTCAGTGCGGAGCGTCTCCATCCGCATTGGGTTGACGGCTGTCTTCACTGCGGTGTTTTGCCTTTGTCTCGCTGTATTGGCCGAGGCCAAGAGGATCGAAATCTTCGCTGCAACGTCGGCGTAAGTACTCCCAAATCAGATAAACTCTGAGGCCTTTCTCCATGTGAGCCGTTCTCGCTTACCCCGTCTTCCCAGATTTGCTGCAGTCCAAGTTGTCTTCATCGGCACGACCGGCGACTGTTCCTGTCCCAGCGATTGACAATCGAGAGGGTGCCTGCAGGGTGAATTACGATAAGAGGTTCCGTTGACCAAAGTGGTCGAATGGCATGCGATGACTCTGAAGGTGGGCAAGGGAGTTCATACGAGGAGAAGATGGAAGGGGAATTGAGAACTGTTCACCACTCGGAACGGAATCGGCTTCCGTTTGATATGTCATCACCAACTATGTTGAACATGTCATGCAGGCGAATACAATTCTGGAAGGCCGTTCGCAAATGCAGGGATTGGGGCCAGCCTAACCTAGCCCATCGAGATGTTTCCATTCCACAACTTCAATGCCATCGCTGGGTTGCCAGTCCAAACAAAAAAAAGCAAGAATACTCCTGATGCGCCTCTCATGGGATTTTGCTCCTCCGCAGAGCTACCTCTGATCCAACATTGAACACCCAAACCTGTGAGCCATGTTTCATAATATTCGTCATTCGGATCCAGCCCAAATTTGCCAACAGGGGGTATCTCGACATCATAAAGCCACTGAGCTTCTGACTCAATGGTTGGCGCTACCATGCTCCCGCTTCTTGTAGTCCTCGGCTACAGGATGTGTCATCCTTCCCTGTTCCCATTGATAGAGGACAAGAAAGCTCTCGAGCCCGTTTGTGACCATAGAAACACAATCCTATGCTTTACCCTCGAATACAATCGTTCTTCGCCGCCATATTATACCGGCGTGGAACTCATCTGGCACGTGTTCCATCTCATGGTGTGTCGAGTCTTGTCTCAAAGGCCCTGGATGTGTTTGGTCTCTTGGGAAAGACTGTCTCCTCCAAGGGGGCTCTTCGTCAACCGCCAGAGGTGACGATGCTGGGCTCTTCTCGGCTCGGCTAGGAGTCTCTTCAGGTTGAGTTTCTGGCTTTTCTTGCTGTGCCGCGTTTGCGTTGTTCGAACCTGACTCATCCTTGAATTCGTTTGTGCTACCAGCGGCTTTGTCATTGTCGGCCTTTGCTGCAAGCTGACCACTAGTCATGAGTGGCGATGTCTCCGGGTCCATCCCTCCAAGTGGCGCAAAGTGGTACAGATCGCAAACGTTAGACCCTTTTTTGGCCAAGTCCAAGCCCACGTCCAAGTCTTTAGATGTTGTTGGTAACAGGCTAGTCTCAGCCTGAAGGGACCGGAATTTGCGTCGTCTCAGCCCGACGATGAGCGCAATGCACCAAATGAAACAAATGCACAATACGTACGGCCACAGATCCCCAGAGAGTCGATGTGGTGTTAAATACTGGAGAGCAGCGGGATCGTACAGTGGCATCGTGTGTTTCTTGGCTCCTTTTCGTTTGTTCTTTGGTGGTTCAGCAACGACAATCCATCAAACCAACGTGGTTTCACAATATGGAAAGGAGTATTGAAGTTATGTACCTCGTGAATGCATTGAAGGAGAAAAGAAGAGGGAGAAGAGGAAGGAGAGTCCACGGGTAGTCCTACCATGGAAACCATTCGCTTATACCTTTTCCTTGTAGCCCTATAGGTAGGTGGTACAGGTTCTGTCGGGAAATGCGACCGGGTTGACCCAATATTGACCATTTGACTCTCGCGCGACCATAATGATTGGGAAAATTCAAACCCACTGCTGACGCCGAGTTACCCAATGACAGCGGGATCGCAGCTGAACGGAAATGCGGACTGATCTGGAACCTTGAGCTTCATTGTCGCAGGAGGCGCTCCGAATGGAGTCGATGTTCGCTTGATGAGGATCTTGGCCCATGAAGCGAACACGGTCAACAATCGTCAATCGTCAATCGACCATCGGGGCTGGCTGACCCGGACCAGGAAATCTGGGCGAAAAGGGTTCTGTTCCCCATCACGCTGGTCGTTCCTTTTTGGCTGCAGGACGAATAACAGTCCAAGCTTGCAACGAGGTGGAGTCTGTCATTCGCTTCTTAGTCGGCGATAGCCGTGCCCTTGGGAGCCCCGAACAGTGTCAAGATCTTGACCCGGAAGGCTGAAAGCGGATCAAAAGGCAGATCGCGGCCAGACCTGGAGCTTCGGGCTCAGCTCGACAGGTGCTGAAGCCCTCGGTTGCGGGAAATTTCTAAAAAGGGGGGGAGAGTCGATGGAGCCCACGAGAATGAAAAAACTTACAAGGTACAGTAGGAAAATAAAAATCATGGCAAAACAATGGCATTTTGCCTTGATCCGACCACCGAAAAGGCGGGATCATCCCAAGGACGGATATTCATTGTGTTGAGATTCAGCTCGCTTGTCACCGCCACACGCCAGTAGCGTGAACCACTGGCCACTTTCTGACCCTTTTTCGGCGAACAGACCTGTAACTCGTACAGGAAACCTCGTGTTCCACTACGATGCTTCACGGTTGGTTCACGTAAAGATGGCGTTCCCGCAATCTGCACGTTTGCTGCTGAAACGGATACCCCGTACCGACATTGTAGTCGTAGTTTGTCACGAGGGATCATCGATTGACGTGATCCAGGCAAGCTAAGAAGGAAATCGTTTGAAATTTTAGCGAGATAGATTGGTTTCGGGGCAGAAGAAAGCACGAGGTTCATCACCATGCACATGAACAGTGCGATTTGAAAGATTTTGATGGCACAGGCCCGGCTGGTGGTACACCGTGTGTGTGGTGTGATGCTACATACTTTACTGTATCACTACTCCAGACTTATAACCAACCTCGATACCTGCAAAGTATCCGTCCCTCCGGAGCACTGTCAGTCCCTTGCGAGGAATACGAGGACACCCGCAGTGGTGGCTGATTTAGAAACGAGTGTCGCTTTTCCCATGCGCCCAACAACACGGAAAGAACATCCGGACAGGACTGTTGTCGAAAGGTGTTTATGCGGGTTTCTGTAAAGAACAAGGAGGAAGCTGAGTAAGGCTCTTTAAGGCTCTTAACGCTCTCCTCTCCTCTCCTCCCCTCCGGCTCTGCGATACAGGACGAGTGAGTAGTCCTGTGCTCAACTTTATTAGTACTCCATCCTGCATACAAGAACAAAGCCATCCTCACTCCGGGGGCAATGGTAGCCGGCACTTGTACCTGGGTAAGCTGAAATAGTATTGTACTAGTTAACTTAGTTGCCGACCGCCCACATGGGTCTATTTAATTACTTGTACAAAGCTAATCCATATACTGTAGTACGGAGCACGAAAGCTACACATCATTAACTAGGGAGGAGAAACCAAGCCCACGTCAAGCACACGCTCCCGGCTTCCCACATGCTTCGAAGCTTCAAAGGGGAAGAAAAAGAAAGGTCTAGACCACCTCCGATCACAAAAGCCTAACTAACTAACATAGTGAATCTGGCGTCCCGCCGTCCCTCAGCCCGCGACCTTCATCGCCTTCTCATCCGGGGTAAGAGCCTCAGACCTACTAGCACCACCACTGCCACCGGTAGGCCTCTCAAACTCTCCACTACTCCTCCGCGACACGTTCTCAACCAACTTCTTCAGCACGTCCGGTGCGTCCTCCTTGCCCATGACCACCTCGATCATGATGAGGCCCTTGCCCGCCTGGACCTTGGGGTCCGCGAGGACCTGGTTCATCTCGCCCCACGTCTCTGCCCGTCTCGTCATCACGGGATAGGTGGGATCGTCCTTCGGCGCGCCAAAGTAACTCAGGGACTCGAGGTACCGCCACGGCTGGCAGTCGTTGTAGTCTGCTTTCATGCCGTGGATCCACCTCTCGATCGTGTACCCGTCGTTGTTGATGAGGAAGATGATAACGTCGAGCCGATTGCGGATCATGTCCGACATGACCTGGGCCGTCATTTGGAAGCTGCCGTCCCCTTCGAAGAGGATCGTCCGCCCTCCTCCTCCGGCTCTTGGCTGTTGCCGGAGACCCTCGCCGACCATGTCCCGTTGGGCCTGGGCCGCTCCCGCGCACGCGCCAAGCATGTACCCTATCGACAGCCAGATTGACGAGTTGATGAGCGTCGTGTGCGGCGGCAGCACAAAGTCTCGTCCGCCGATACTCGGCGTGCCTGTCTCGGTGAGGATGACGTCGCCCGGGCGGAAGAAGTTGGACATGCGCCGCCAGTACGTGTCGTGCGCTATCACCTCATTGTCCGTCGTCGGGTCCAGGTCCGCCAGGATCTGCTTGGGGTCGCCCAGGTCCATCGTCGGCGTGTACTTGGGCAGCAAGCTCTTGTTGAGCTTGGACAACACCCGTCGCAAGAGATGCTTGATGTGAATGTTGTGGTACTTTGTGCCGCAGATGTCGACGCTGTCGCGTTCGAACGTGATGCATGTCTTGGGGTCAGGGATGGTGCTGAAGCCGAACGTGTTGACGTCGCTGTTCAACGGGCCCAGGCGCAGTACGAGGTCACAGCCGCGCGCCCACGGCACGTAGACCTGTGGTCCTGCGATGCCCGCGTACATTCCGTAGAAGTTGGGGTATGACTCGTTGACGATGCTCTTGCCGAACGGGGTCGTCGAGGTAGGAAATCCAGTCTCGCGGACCAATTCGTCGGCTTCGGCGCTGATGCCGTACCGCGACGTGAAGCCGTCCACGAGGATGAATGGCTGCTGTGATGCGTAGATTTTGCTCAGGATCAAGTCGGCTTCGGTGTCTTCGAAACCTTCGTCCGTCTCGATCGAGAAGTCGAGTGGCTTTTCGAGGTTGGCGGATGACACTCTAGCCTTGACCATGTTGGTGGGCAGCTCGATGTAGACTGGTCGACTCTCCATCACGCACGTCCGCAGACACCTGTCGATCTCTGAAGGTGCCGTAGTGGCGTCTACCAGGTTGGCTTGCGCCACCGTCACCTTCGCCGCCATGTCCGCGAACAGTCTGAAGTTCCCGTCTCCGAGAGTGTGGTGCATGCAGAGTCCTTGGCCCTGTATATGTGTTGCCGGTGTGCCGACGATGTGGACGACGGGGGCCATCTCGGCGTACGCCCCGGCGATGGCGTTGATGGTGGAGAGTTCGCCCACGCCACCTGTCGTGACGAGCGCAGACACTCCCCGGATCCTGGCGTAGCCATCGGCCGCGTAGCCTGCGTTGAGCTCATTGGCGTTGCCCACCCACGCGAGGCCGGCGGGTGCGATGTAGTCCAAGGCCGTGAGGTTGAAGTCTCCGGGCACGCCGAAGACGGATTTGACTCCGATCTGACGGAGTCTGGCGAAGAGGTACGCGGCAAGGTCGACTTTGGAAGACATCTTTGTGTCCGAATGAACCGACGACCGCGTCCGTCACGGAGAGGCGAAGTGGGATGTATGGACAGAAGGAAGAAAAGCGAGAAAGTAAGTAGCCCTCACCGGCTCACGTTATATGATATATGTGTGTGTATATATATATACACCTGACTCTCCGGAACAGACGGCCACTACATCGGCAGATGCGATTCTGACTTTTTTAAGAGTACGTCGGCACCCCAGCGGGGAAGGGTAGAGATTACTGTGGTACTTGTCGTAGTCAAATCAATGGGAAGACGGGCGGAACATGAGCGAAATATGTACGGGTGAAGATACAGAAAAGAACACCCGGCCACTTACGGTCGATTGCGAAAACATGATGCCCCAAAGATCACGCCGCGACCCGCGAGATGATGACGGTCCTAGAGACTAGCAGGATTCGATGGATGTAACTGATACGAACGAGTCAGACAAAGAAGAGCCGTTTGGACGGACGTCGATGGGTGCACGCGCGCGTCACCGTCGCAGACAAACGTCGGTTGGCGTCGGCTAGACGCGGGATGTCGAACGCAAACAATTCCGCACAGGGTGTGTGTGGACGGTAGTTAACGGATAGACAAAAGGTTGGACGGGAATTGACCACCACACCATGTCAGCGAGACGACGACCAATTCGAGAGAGACATGCCGTCCGATCGATAGGCCCCCGGTGGACATTAGTGTGATTCCATCTACCTGCCAACATTGTGTCGCTCTCTACATAAAGTAGTACCCGCTCAGAATGGTTCTCGATATCCAAAGCTCCGTCGACCGTGCATGGTGTTACAGCCGAAGGGCATCGCTGAACCTCATTGACCACACAGGAGGCGGGACATTACCCTTCTCTCAGCGTGCATCACATTCATTTTCTCACGCGCTTTACTCCTCTCTAGCTCTAGCGTCCTCCACCGCCTTCCCCCAGTCGGTGAACTTCATGTAGGTGAACATTATCAGACTCGCACAACCAAGGCCACAGCAAGGGCCGATCCACATGCCACTGAGTCCCATGTCGGGTGGCCCAAAGGCAAGGAAGAAGGCCAGCGGGAGGGCAAAGAGGTAGTATACACCCAGGTTCACCCACCCTCCGATCTTCTGTCTTCCCATCCCTCGAAGAAGGGCGTTCGAGATGGCCACGAGAGCGTCAAAGAGTTGTGCGGCCGCCATGATGGGGATGACTTGGGCAATGATGGTCCGCACTGATCCGTCGTCGGTGAAAATGGCGGCAATAATGTGCCGACACGAGGTCAGCAAGGTGACGTCGAATAAGCCAATGCATACAAAGATCAAATAATGTGTCCGCCATGTTTGCCGAGCGGCGTTTAGAGCACCGTATCCGATCAGGTTGCCGAATCGAGTCGAGGCCGCAATCGATATCGGGAATGGAAGGTGGTAGATGGTCACGGCGACCGTCATCAACACCGACTGAGCAGCTAGGTTCGCCTGGCCGAGATAGCCGGCTGCAATCGAAAGGACGTCAAAGGCAAGCCATTCGGAGAAGGTCATGAGCACTCCTGGAAACGCCAGTTTGACCATCGGACCCCAATTCTGACAAGCACGGCGGAGCTGCAAGCCCGGCCAACATTGCAGGTTCGATCTTGCAAAGCAGGAGACGTAGATGGCGAGAACGATGGGCTGGAGATTGTTGGAAATTACAACAGCCCATGCTGCTCCTGCGAACCCGAGGTTCAGACGGAAGACCAGAAGCCAATTCCAGAGAATGTTGAGGGGTGCGCAAATCACGACAACCACTAGAGATGCAGTAAAGTCCCCTTGCGCTTGACACAGTCGCTTGCCAGCCTCGAAAATGGCCCACCCCGGGGCACCGAGCAGGTAGATTCTCATGAAGGTGCCCGCGAGCATTGCCTCAGCTTTCTCGGGCACCAGAGCCGACAGGATCCATGGAGAACAAATCCACACTGCACCAATGGGGATAGTGACAACGCATACCAGGAGCGCCATCCGCTGAACGTGGAGGCCCACGAGTTGCTTCTTGTTGTTTCCAAAAGCCTGCGAGGTGAGAGTGTCCAGGCTGGTCGCTAAGCCTTCGTAGACACATAGTCCAGTAACGTTGGCGGTCATGGTGGCGAGAGAAGCAGCGCCCAGTTCTTTGGTCCCCAACCGACCCGCGACGAAGACCGTGACCAAAGAAAAGGAGTACTGTAGGACATAGGTGAGAATCAAAGGTCCCGAGTAGCGAGCAAGGATGGCGGTTTCTGCTTTCCACGTTGTCTCAATCTCCGGATTCTTGACAAGAGGCACTTCTTCTTCTGCGGCGGTGCCGTAGACCCGTTGATCGACTTGAGCAATCGACTTCCGGAAATCATCGATGCCATGCTCGTTGAGGAGAGCACTGGTCTCGGACGGGCGTCGACCAGCCATTTGTGTGACACCAATGGGAGATGATTTGACAGTGTCCGTATCGGCGGTTGACAGGATCCGTATCGTGCTGCCGGTCCGTAACTTCACCAAACCTTACAAAGCTTCCCTTCTCAAGCCACACACGATGTGCGAATCAAAGATCATAACTTGGAGAGCTTGACTCGTACGTCGACAGGATGAGGCTCAACTGAATGACTGGGTTGAAGGAGGATGATGACCAGTGATAAGAGAGGCTGGTTGTCACTATCAAGGCGTAGTTGGCGGTGAGCAGGATTTTCTGGAGCCCAGCAGGTCCTCAGGAGGGGCCTGAGGCAGCGCTACAGGGAATCCCTGGGTGTCCTCTAAGCTGATCCAATCGCGCCATCGGTGGAGGAGTGGCTAGTTAGTATTATAGTATAGTCCCAGGAAGTTCGCCTGTGCGCTTCTCCGCGAGTCTAGTTTGTTAGAGATGCCCGTCTTCTTGATCAGTGCAAGCCATCGTGCATAAGTGAGCTGGAGGAGATGGGTGGACTGTTGAAGCGAGAGCGGTGGTCTGCCCAGTGCTCGCATCCTCGCCCGTGTCGGCCGTGGGAGGATGATAATTGATGCTGACCATGACCCTGGACAAGAGTCCTCGTGTTACTCCGTGCTCTGTCCCGGCATCCCTGTCCTCGACGCGATGGCGTGAAACTTGGGCGACGAGCCGCGTCGTTTAGCGGAGCGGGGAGGCTGGAAAGCGCAACACCAAAACAACTGTGTACCAATTCCATCGTCTCACCTTGACGGACACAGCACAACATATACACTTAAGCTTTGCTGCACCCAACGCGTCTTCCTTGTCAGTGAAGCACCTTGTACTCCGTACCTTGCGAGCCATGGCTACATCATCCGTCTCACCCCTCAAGATCCCAGCCCGCGGTGCCTTTCTCTCCCCTCCAGATCCCACTGCCGCCGCACTGCCCGAATCACCAGAGAAAGGCAATGCTTTTCCCTCTGCCTTTGACCAGAAGCCACGAAGCCTCCGCAGATTGCAGTCGCACAATCAACTCTCTTCTGCAAACATGGGCACACAGTATTCAAACCTGAAACCGCGATCTGCAGTGCCGACCAGACCCTCACGCGAACAGCTGAGCCAGCCAAACACCACCATTGCCACCAACTCATCTTCAAATCCCTCCTCGCGAACCCGTGCGAACAGCGACGCCCTCCTCCCCTATGTACCCCAGAAGCCTCGAAAGGCAGGCGTAACGTCGCCTCCGTCCTCAAATCACATCGCAAATCATGCCCGCAAATCCAGCTTGGAAATGACTTTGAGGGATGGCCCTCCTCCGGGGACGACAGCCACTACGGCGTTGTCTCTCCTCCGACATTCAATCTTGACTAGTGGTGTCACAGCGACAAAAGAGGGCATGTCGGACTATCGGGTATACTTGTGGTTGACGCTTCTGAATGTTGCGCCGTTGCCGACCGACACATACCTTGGCCTCATCCACCGAAGTCGTAGTCCGGCGTATGAAAAGATATCGAACGATGTGTTCCGCACACTTGCGACCGACACATTGTTCAAGCGGCGAGTAACGGACGCGAGTCTCACAAGACTACTGAATGCGACGGCGTGGCGGATACATGACGAGCAGAACTCCGATCCGCCGAGTGACTTTGCGCAACGATATCCCCAGGCCACATACCTTCAAGGAATCAACGTCTTGTCCGCACCACTGTTGTATGCTTCGAGATCGGAAGCACAAGCCTACGCTCTCCTGAGTTGCCTACTCACCGAACATATCCCGACTTACCTATCGCCGACCATGTCCGGGGTGCATAGGGGCTTGGAGCTCATCGACCGCATTCTGGCATACATCAACCCAAGTCTATCGGCGTTTCTCTTGAGCAAGTCATTGCCGGCCAAAATATACGCCTTCCCTTCGGTTCTGACACTATGCGCGTGCACCCCACCACTTCCCGAAGTGCTGAAGTTGTGGGATTTCCTGTTCGCTTTCGGCGTACACCTGAATGTCATCTGCGTCGTGGCTCAACTATTATTACTAAAGGACAAGTTGATGAACGAGCCAAGCCCGGCGAAAATGCTCAGGAGTTTCCCAAACCTCAATGCCGACGAGGTTATCAAGATGACGGTATTGATCGTGAGAGAACTACCGGAGGATCTCTACCGAGACATCGTGACCCACGGAAGAGAGGTTTCATGATGAAACGGTGCACGATAATGGTGACGAGAGATGGAATGTACGATTACAACTGCACTTTGAGCGAAACTTACGAGGTTGACGCTTCATGCCCCCACGGGGCGGACCATTTTACGATATGACTCGCACACCACGAATACATGTACGGATATAGCGGACAAAAAAAAGGAGGATGGTCGTCCTGGATCTAGCTTGCGTTTGGAACAAAATAGACGGGTTCTGGATCAGATATGGACAGAAAAGACGAAAATTTATGAAAAAGCACGAAATAACATCCTTCAGTCTCTTGAATCGTGGTGAGATTCGTGACGGCTTTCCTCTGTCTCTGTTGTTGAGACTTATCTATTACTTGGACCTTACCAAGGGCCCCAAGGCACACGCCGCGTACCGGGTCTGTACTCCGAAGTGCTCGAACAGCGTTTGGTCAAACGGTCAGAATGTCACGGACGTGCTATATAACACGGCATCTACCGCTCACACTCGTTCGTATGTACTTGGGGATGATCATCTCGTTGTTGTCTCGACCGTTCAAATTGAACTTGGTGTCGAGGCAAGGGGACAAGGACAACTTTTTATAGACATGGGAGATGGATGACCTCAGTTGGCACGGGTAAGCAATGGCACCTAACGGTAGGCGGGTTTCAAGGGCGGAAGGGATCAAGAGTTGCAAGATTTCATCTCGTTTCGTTTCACTTGGATTTTGTCCCCTCTCATCATCTCGTCTCATTTCATCTCATGGACGCCTTTTTTTTTTCTTTTTATGTTGCGTCCTACTCTTCGTCACTTCCAGGGCGGGTGACTATGCACAACTAGGTACCTACTCCCGTATATATCTATCTACACAGCTTTCAAAGATGGTAGTGAGTGGGTTATTTCTTCAATTTATAGGTGGCTTTTTATAGGAATTACAGCTTGTGGTCCAAATCGCCGTTCACATCGCCGTTGATCACACCGATCATGCCCGTGTCTCTCCGTCTGCGACGCCTGCTCCAGACCTCGGTGGCCCACTCCGTCAACTGGAACATCCAGCCTCCGCCGACGATGACGCCGCTGATGACGTTGACCAGCCTCACCAGCAGGCCGAGAAGACTGGTCCGGCTCTCGCTGACGATCAACAGGATCGGCTCCATGTCGTACTTGAAGAAAAGACCCGGGACGGTGTTGCTGGGGACTTCGCGGCTCTGGCTCGTGGCGGCGTACTGGTTCGTGAAGACGCTCTTTTTGTCGCGGCCCTTGTCCGGGTTGACTTTGTGCTTGACGGGACCATTCCCGTTCTTTTTCCTTCTTTTGTTGTTGTTGTCGTTGTCGTTGGGTTGCAGGTCCGGGCTCATATCCAGCGTCACGGGCTGCGGGATGGCGGCGGGATCGAGAATGCCGTTCTTGGTGCTCACACGACGCTTGGTGAAGATGGTCGGCACGACGCTCAGGTAGTACTGGTAGCGCATGAAGTGCACGTCGGCCGTGTCGCCGGTCTTGTCCAGCGGGTTGAGGATGCCAGGGTAGTGCGGGCCGAAGCTGAGCTCGTTGATGTGGTGCGAGAAGTTGAACGTCGCGTGGTCGAGGTGCTCCCGCATCCCGAACTCCATGTACCCGTGCCCGCGCGCCGTGATGTGGAAGTCCCCCTGGACCTTGTTGCCCTCGAGGCTGCCGTAGATCCTGCACGCGTCCGTGGGCGCGCCCCGTGGCACGCGGGGAGACCGCGCGAACTTGCGCCCGGGGTTCTCTCTCATGTGGCCCAGGACGTGCGAGACGTGCGAGTCCTCCTCCTCAGCCCTCTTGCGCTCGTTGTCCGCCTTGGAGTCTTGCAGGCGGTGCTGTCGACGCTGCCGCCGCCGCTTGTTGCGCCGGTCCGAGTCTGTCCACACTCCGAAATTCGTCTCTTCCTTCGTCAGGAGATCGCCTGCCATGATGCGGTCCATGGCCGCGTCCTGCACGTTGACGTGGAGGTCGGCGCAGGGCATCGCCACCACCACATCGAGGTTCAGCTGGAGCTCGTGCCCGACGCCGCGCTCAACGGAAAAGTGGTGCGTTTCGGTGCCTGTCCACCATGTTCGTAGCTCCGAGAAGGTGAGGCATGTGCAGAGGATGATGATGGCCAGCGTCCACTGCCCGCCGTGCGCCGTCGAAGCCGTATAGGTTGGTTTCGTTTTTGCTGCGAGAGGCCCGCGCCGTCAGTACGACGAAATATAAACATCCACTCATAGATACATGGGACAACGTACGGAATGCATCAAAGGTGCGCAGACCAGACAGCCCCTTGTCGCTGAATGCGTCTTCATCGAGCCCGTGGTTTTCGAACGAGTCCATTGCAGGCTATTGTTGGAGCTGTCACAGCTCTACTCGTGAGTGGTTTACGACATGTATAGCCAGAAAGAGACACCGGTATCGGTAGACCCCGTGGTCTCTCTGAATCAGCGTGCGAGAATCCGGAGTGGCGCTGCTAAGTTGGGTCGAAGGGATGTCCCGAGAGTACGAGAGCATGAAGTTGTTGCTTTGGCCAGATCTGTAACATGCAGGGTCCAGCCTCGCACCTTGCATGCGCGTGGGCGCTTTTAGCCCAAGGCTGAACACTATTAACTTACTTACTGACGGGGCACATGTCAGAGAAATGAACTCCGTACAAAAGCTCGTACCTAGGTACTTAAGGGACCGAGTAGTCTACAGACATGATCCAACGCATGTGTTCATAATCATATCATTCATTGAAGCAATCTCTAAGCCTTGACCAAAGACTGTGTCAGTGTCGTGCACTTCTGTCTGTCTAGCCTTGTAAAAAGAGAAAACCACAAATACAAGTACAATGCCCTGGGTATCTTATGTTAGGCTGGGGTCCTTTTTTCGAGTTGTTCCTCGGTGAATGGGAAGCAATAATGCTGATTCCCTTGCATGCAAATTCATACCGCCGTAGTTGTTGAGCGTTACACAATATCCTGGACTTGTCTGCCAGTCTCTGTGGGCCGAAGCTCCCACTGTCTGATCATTCCTCGATAGGCGCCAAAGAAAAGTCGGCCCGTCTTTCAGCACCACAGACGGACCATCGCTTTCTCTCCTTGTTGCTCCTTAAGTTGGTCCCTCTTTGTTCCGTCGAGCTCTTTCTTAAGGTCTCGGCGTCTTCGCCTTTCATTTTGGCCACTTCCTCCTCCAAGAGCGCGGCCTCCTCGGCATCTGGACTGTCTTCAATGGTCTCAAGGGAGCTGATGGATGGAGACCGAGAGCGTAGAGACGTAGGTGTGCTTGGTACACTTGAGGCTGAGCTCACCGAATAGTTGGGGTATGGTTCATTTGAGAACTTTTGTTGAACAAAAGACGGCGAGGGTGATGTTCTTCCCGAGATGGGGCTGGTGGCTCTCGCATATAGAGAAGGTGCACTCGCACTCTGGTGCAGGGGAATATTGGTCCGCCGCCGGGCCCTAGGAAATGTATTGGACAACGACGACATGGGAGAGGATTGGGAGAATTCGACGTCTCCAGACAACTCGAGTTCGGCATGTTCGGGAATGTTCGGCTCGATGTTCAATCCGCTCCATGATGGATCTCGGGGGTAGCTGTCCTCTGCTGTTGTTCTCAACGGACTCCTTCTCCTTCCAGAATGTAACGGCGAGGACGGCCGTCTGACTTGGCCATAGGGAGTGACATAACGGCCAGAAGCGTCTACTCCTGGCGATGAATGGGCCCTCTGCATAGGAGGGGCGAGGGGAAGGCTGCCAACAGAAAGGGGTCTCATTCTTCTTGGTGGTGAAGTCCCTCGAACTCGGCTAGGTGTGAGGTTCTGGGTGAAGTAGTCGCTGCGCCTGGGAGTTTTGTCGACAGAAGGCGTAGAAATGATGGGAGGCGAAGAGAAGATTGCACTGTCCTCTTCGTTCGAAGGAGACGGAGGTAACGCGATGTTCTCAGCAGAGATCTCCGAGAGGGACATAGTATCGTAGGGCAAGGCAGGCTCGCCGGAGGCCGCGGAGGGCGGAGAGGGCCTCGAGGGCAGGTCTGTTATTTGCGGCATTGCTGAAGGGTATGGATGTTTGGATATTGAGGTTGTTCAGGGTCAGCCAGATCTCAAGGCGGCTGTTGGCATAGTGTCGCAAAGGGATTGCCTTCGAAGTTGGTGGTGAAACGTCGATTGTGGCCAGAAGGAGGATCAGGTCGCATTCCTGGGGGCGCAGGAGGTTGGAGGTACAGCGGTTAGGGGGCTGTCTCGGGTCGAAACCAGCAACTCTCGAGGCGGAAGTGCCTCTGGAGTTACTGGCGGGTGGTCTGTGGTAATTGTAGTCGAGGCGTTGAGTCGGCCTGAGAGAAGAGCAGGAGAGGAAGAGGAGGCTCGATCAAACTGAGGGTTGCAGGTTCTTGGTGAGTCTCGATGTTTCCCGCCGATGCAGCGCCGTGTTAGCACCCGCTTAGCGCCTGCTAGTGGTGCTAAGTACCTACTAAATGCCCTTAGGCACCCAGAAACACCCAATAGCAGTGACCGTCGGCGCTGGCGCTTAGTCGGAGTTAAGGCTCGAGGCTCTGGGTTTAAGCAGCTTACGGAAAACACACTGGGGCCCGACAAGGCCAGTGAGGCTTTTGTATTAAATTCTCTTTCTTCTCTGTTGATCAAATGATCGTTCCCTCGGATCAAGACCGCTGCCGCTCTTCATCTGTACATGCGTACATATATCAGGTATACATGCTATGCTACTTGTGCAATGTGAGATGTTCGTTGTTTCCAATCCACCACCGCGCACAGACACTGCTTCCTGGCCTGTTCGCGTCGTTTTCTTTGGCCATCTCTCATCTTCGGCCCCGGCAAGGTTCGTGCACTCAATAACGCGGCCGGCGAGATCCATTCCAGTGAGGTTTTTGTCCTCTTGCAGGCACCATTGCCGACCCTGCTGACCCGAGGTGCTGGTTCCTCCATTCACTACCACGTTGTTCCGGGAGTTTCCTCGTTCCCAAGAGAATGGAGCCCTCCCCGTGTACCATGTGGTGGCTTTAAGACCCTTCCAGCCCAAAAGCTCGGAGACTGCTAGTGAGTGTGGTCGGCAATAAGTCGTAGTTCTCTGTACTTTTAGTCGACGCAACTATTGAATCTTTCCTTCTCTTGAGTAATCGGCTATCCTGACCCGTGATTTCAGATACCTTTGAAACTTCTCGATCCTCGCACTGAGGCGGCAGTGTTGGGTTTTCCGCCTCTCGGCTGATTTCCTGCCTCTGAAGCCGCCAATACCGCCAATTGCAACGCTGATGTTTAATACTTTGCGGCGCATGGAGAACTGGCCGATTCTCAATTTGCCTAAAATGAGGGAAGACGACCTTGTCAGACATCTGTTTTCCCCCCAACATGGCCGAGTTTTCGCAGGGAAGGATCATGTCAGACAATAAACTTCAACGGCCAAAGTACTTCGCTCTCACTGCGGAGTTGCTTTAGGTAGGTTTACGACACTCGACCGTTGAGCAACCTAACGATGTTTATCCTGTACACAGGTATATACCTACAAGGGGGCCAAGGTAGGTACATCTGTCGAACCAAGCTCCGGTTTCTCAAAGTAGGCCAATCGTGGGCAAATCCATCTTCCTCCTCGTTTATCGTTACCTTGATGCTAGATACCGGCAGCCAAGATGAAGTTCACAGACGGAATGTGGATGAACCGCAATGCGGTGACTCCCAACTGGATGGGCAATGTCGAGAGGGTTAATGTCGGTGACAAGAAGGTCGAACTCCTTCTCACAAAACCACAACGACATCGAGGAGACACTTTAAACGTTGGCACAATTTCAGCCGCCGTCCGTTCTCCTATTGAAGGTGTCATAGCAGTCAGCTTCTCACACTGGACGGGTGAGGCAGACTCGGGCCCTAACTTCCCACTGTTTGAGTCAAACCCTCATCCCACCATCACTCATACCCAAGGCAAAAGCCTCAGCTTTTCCTGCGGACCCCTTAGCCTGGCCATCAACACCGCTCCAAATTCTCTCTCGTTCAGCTATTTCACCAACTCCAAACGCCTGACGGGCCACTCTTTCCGCTCAATAGCCTTTGTGACCTCCGCCGACACGCCCAGATACAAGGTAGAAGAGGGCCTGTACGCCGAGCAAGAGAACTACCTGCTTCTCGAACTAGATCTCTCCGTTGGCGAGAAGATCTACGGCTTGGGCGAACGCTTCGGGCCCTTCGTCAAAAATGGCCAAGTCGTCGACATATGGAACGAAGACGGCGGCACCTCTTCCGAGCTCGGGTACAAGAACATCCCTTTCTACATCTCGAGCCGTGGATACGGTGTATTCATCAACAACCCAGGCAAAGTCATGCTAGAGATCCAATCTGAGCGCACTACACGGATCAACGTGGTCGTCCGGGCCGAAAGCCTTGAATACATGGTCGTCGCAGGCCCTAGTCCCAAGGAGATCCTGAACCGCTACACAGCACTAACCGGTCGTCCTGGCCTCCCTCCCTCATGGTCTTACGGTCTTTGGCTCACGACGTCTTTCACGACGTCCTACGACGAAAAGACAGTGACATCATTCGTCGAAGGTTTCAAAGAACGCCAAATCCCCCTGAGCGTGTTCCATTTTGACTCGTTCTGGATGAAATCCTTCCAGTGGTGCGACTTTGATTTCAACGACGAAAGTTTCCCCGACGCAAAGGGATACCTTGCCCGGCTCAAAACCCGTGGCCTCAAGATCTCGGTGTGGATCAACCCCTACGTTGCCCAGGCCTCGCCCTTGTTTCTCGAGGGCAAACGCAACGGCTACTTCATCATGCGCTCCGACACACCCCGTCCGACGGTATGGCAATGGGACAATTGGCAGGCGGGCATGGCGTGCGTGGACTTTACCAACCCCGCAGCGTGCAAATGGTACGGCGGCCACCTGAGACGACTCATGGATCTGGGCGTGGACAGCTTCAAGACGGATTTCGGCGAGCGCATCCCCTTCCTCTCGCGCCAGGTCAAGTACCACGACGGCAGCGACACGGTGCGCATGCACAACTTCTACGCCTACCTGTATAACAAACTCGTCTATGAAACCATGGCTTCCGCGGGTCAAGATGCCTGTCTGTTCGCACGCGCCGCCACCGCAGGCACCCAGCAATTCCCCGTCCATTGGGGCGGTGACTGCGAGAGCACATTCGAAGCCATGGCCGAGACTCTTCGCGGCGGCTTGTCGCTGGGCTTGTCCGGTTTCGCGTTCTGGGCGCACGACATCGGCGGTTTCGAAGGTCTACCTGACCCGGCACTGTACAAGCGCTGGGTCCAGTTTGGCCTCTTGGGATCTCATTCACGTCTACACGGTAGTTCGAGCTATCGCGTTCCTTGGATCTACGACAGGGATAATTTTCCAGGCGAGGACGAAGCGTGCAGTAAGGTCCTCAAGGAGTCTGTGCTGCGCAAAATGGCTTTGATGCCGTATATTCTCCGTCTGGCGCTCGAGGGGCATCAAAGGGGAACGCCGATCATGAGGGCCATGTTCCTCGAGTTTCCCGACGACTTGAACGTATGGACGCTGGATACACAGTACATGCTTGGATCGGAGATGTTGGTAGCGCCTGTGTTTTCTCAGGATGGCGACGTCAGCTTCTACGTGCCCAACGACGAGCGAAACAAGAGTCCGTCTCCTGCCGCTGCTGCTGCCGCTACCGCTAAATGGAGGAGTTTCTTCGACTCTACGAAAACATACGAGTCGGGTAGGTGGTATACGGAGAAACATGGGTTTGATACGCTTCCCATCCTGTTGCGGCCCGAGGCTGTGGTGCCGTACAATCCGGAAATGAAAGCCCCCGAGGGAGATATCACGAATGGATTGCAGGTATGGATCAATGGTCCTCTGAGTGACTCTCGGACAGTAGAAATGGTCGAAACGAGCGCCGTGGATAAGGTTGCTCTGTCGTTCACAATTGACAACAATTTGCAGGTCAACGGGGCTAAAGGTGATGTGAAGGTGGTGGATGTGACCAAGGGCTAAAAGTCACACACAAGGACCTGATACGCCTCCGGTAAGAATTTACAAGATTACTTGCACCGTTGGGCTGCAGCAAGCGGCAAAATATCTTCACTTAGCAATCTAGCTAGCCGGCGTACTTATCGCTCAAGGCAAAATTACGCAGGTTTCTTTGCCGTTGTCATCAGGGCAACCCAATCCCACTTGATTTCACCATCTCCATATTTTTCACTCATGTACTTCTCAATGGCGACCCGGGCGCGCTTCTCGAAATCCTTCTTCTCCTCATCGCTCCAGTCCTTTCTGACGAGTAGCATGGTGAACCCTTGGAAGAGGGACATTAGCTCGCTCACGCCAGCCAGCGAGGTCTGGTGGGGGATAGGTGTGACCTTGACGTCGACGAAACCGTTTCGAGGCAAGAAATCGGCAATCCACGCTCTGTCGTCCCAGTTCCCATCGCTTGAAATGGACTTGAGGAGTTCCGCGTCGCTGGGGACGGGGGGAAGCATCGGGTCGGTCGCGAGGGCGTCGCGGATGTCTGAGGTCCAGCCGACGCTTTGCCACGAATTCATGGCCAGCGTCCCGCCGGGTTTCAGCAGGCGAGAGCACTCGTCCAGGCCCTGCTTCGCGTCCGAGAACACAAAGGGGCCGAAGCTCATGGTGATGTGCGTGTAGTGCTCGCTGGGCAGCTTGGTGTCGACGGCGTTGGCGTGGACCGTCTTCGCGTTCTTCCACCCTTCGGCCTCGATGCGTCGGTCCACCGCCTTGAGCATTGCTTCGGCGTAGTCGGCGCATGTGAGCTCGAGGTTGTCCTTGGCCTGCTCGCCCAGGCGGTCCATCAAGTGCTTCGACACGATACCGGGGCCGCAGGCCGAGTCGAGCACGACCAGCTTCTCGTCGTCGGAGACATGTCCGAACACGGTCTCGACAAGGATCTTGCCGAAGTGTCCCGTCATCTTCTCCGCCGAAGAGTACCTCTTGACGAACTGCTCATCGTTGAACAAAGCCGCCACTTCTTCCGCAGTACGCTGCGGGCGCTGTGTGTCGGTGGCCATGATCGCCGATGGCCGTGTTGTCGAGAGGTGAGCAGCCGAGGGATGCGAACCGCGGCACGATTGCTGGAGACGTGATAGAGCTGTCGTGGTGAGGATTCTTCTCATCGAGACAAGTAGCGAAATTATTGAACGTTCAAACATTGAGCGTTGCCCCATGGGACCTCTTATGCATTCGACCTTGGGCCATGTCCTCACCTCCGGAGACATAGAGCTTACCCGTGCTGGTCCTCACCTTCGGAGACATTTGATATGTCTCCGACCTCAGGGGGCCTGAGGTCCATACGGCTTTTCGCGCCGAGGGAAGACGTCTGCGAAACATAGCGTACATGACTTTCCCGGTGAGTAACTCGGTGATTTTGGCCAGGAAACGGCGCACTTGAGGCTTCTCCATGCCGGCCAGGTAGGATGTTTGGGCTGATGTCTGCAGCCTCGTCAGAGAACATGATGCCTTTATCGCATCGTTCCATCAATCCTGTCCGTCCCCAGAAAAGAATGCCTGCAAGTACATTCAATCAGCCCTAACGAGATCCCACCTAGACAAGACTACAGTATATCTCTGGCTATTGTGGAGGTGTGGCTTAATGGTGCCGATTTCATTACTTGTAGCGTCGCCATAGCAAGTAGCAATTCAGTGCATGATTGGAGATGGAGCTCCACAAATTCCCAAACTGGGATACACCATTATCGCATGGTTGACGCAGCCAAACTGTGTCAATACACCTTCGAGCTCGCTCTTTCTCCCAGTTAGACCGGCGTCAATATCGCTTCCAAGGCACGCTGTGAAAGCTGTCGAGATATCCGCCTCGAGCATCTTCAACCAGTCGCCTAAAATGCTGGCTGCCTGTCAGAACTGGCGAATGGGGGTAGTCTCAGCTGACGCCCCATTCTCCCAACACGTCTTTCCTGCCCGGTCCTCCGGCTGCTCTACTCTCCATCTTCTTCACTCTTGCTACTAGAGCTCCGACAATTAACGGGCCAATAATAGTACATATCATTATCGCCCAAGTAACCACCAGGAACATTGGGCCATCGGGCTCGTTACCGAAGATACCGTTGCTTTCCGCCAGCGCAGAGATGAGAAACCCAATTTCACCACGAGCAACCATGGCGCATCCTACGATGCAGCCGGGGTATAGCGAAATGGGTTTTGAGGTTGAAGTGACCGTAGGTCTCGTGCGAGGACGGCCCTGATTGCTCTGTTGTCGGGTCGATTGCTTTTTCTCTGCTATGACAGAAGATTTTGGGACGGGTACGGCGTCTGAGGAGGGACGCTGAGCGTCTGAGACAACACTCGAACCAGCTGCTACTGCTGCCCCAGTTCCTATATTGTTCCCACCTGGAGGCTTCTTCTCTGTATTAGAGCGTCGCATCGATTTTAAGACACTGGACGCCAGACCGGGAAGGCGCATGAGCCAAAATCCACAGGTAAACTTGGAGACGAACATGAATATCGAGTAAACAAACCCACGCCAGATGACCCCGCCGGTGAACATGCGGCTAATAGGCACTGAGAAGCCAATAGATGCGAAGAATAGCGGCTTTAGAATCCGTTGCAGTGGTTGGAGGAAGAAGTGTTCAAAAATCTCGAGTCCAGATGTGCTAGATGGAGCGCACGAAACAGATGGTGAACGGCCGCCGTGGTTGGTGGAATCATCTCCACTGGGTGCATGAGAAGTTGGATGCTCAAGGGTCGTGTCCCACCAGCTAATTGATGCACCGGCGAGGTAAGCTGCGAATAGGTTTGAGGTACCAGCGTATGATGTTGCGGCGATCAGGCCGACTAGGATCGCAGTGTGGATAAGCAAAGCCGTTGCTTGCCAGGTTAGTACGCGGTTGATATAACTGGTAGGGGTAGTTGTCCTTTTACGGTTCAACCAAATGGTGAACGGTCGGATAATGAAATAGGCTGCTAGTGGGACGGCGCCCACGAAACCAATTGAGACGCAAACGGGGCGTACGACAGTAATCGCGCTGAAGGACGCAGATGATGCTCCCAGATTGGAGATGACTTGAACCATCACAAGACCAACAACATCGTCTAGCATTGCCGCACTTGTCAGCACGATGCCCATCTTGGTGGTAATTAGGCCACTCGCTTTCATCACAGTGAATGTTGTTCCTAAACTCGTAGAACATAGCGCCGCGCCCGCGGCAAAAGCCTGTAGCGGTGTTGCCCCAACGAGGGGGAGCAAGATATAGGAAGCCGAGATTGGAAGCGCAATACCGGTGATGGCGACACCAATCGATAAGAGAATGTTCTCCTTCAAAGCCTTGAAAGAGGTCATCAAACCTCCTTCGTATACGATGAGGAGCAGCCCCAGATAGCCTAGGTTAACAGCGACATGCTCGAATTCGCGGCCGACCCAATTCGCTCCGGGAGTTCCCCATCCGATACCGAGAAATAACTGCGCGAGGAGGCCACAGTAAAGAATCTTATCAAAGATATAATCAGTGAGGTTAAGTAACAGTATAAACGAGACCAGAATTAGGATAGTGACGATATCTGGCTCGTGGTATGGCAATGCTGCTCCGCCGGCGGCTGCCATGTTGACGGCTGGTGGGCGCGATCAGGACGCTCAAAGATTTCTGACTGATGTGCATGAGCGCTGGAAACCAATGAAGGTCGTAGAGTGGCAGGGTTTTCTAAGACGACACGAAGTTATCTAGATCACGAGCAGCCCGAGAGACTCTGCTTCTCGGCAGACCCTTTCACAGGCCGGCCTAAGCCGGGTTCAACAAGTTATGTGCTGAAACGGTGGCGGAGCGTCGAGGGCTGCGTTCTTGAATGACAGCGACTTGAGCGTCACCAGGAACTTTGGTCGCAGACTATGGGTTGTCTACGACGTTGTAAAGATCGCTGGAGGTGTTTTACCTGCCGCCAACCTGAAGTTAGTGGTGGCCTTCGGCTGACCTGCCATAAACGTGTATTGAGCTAGAGAACCACCATGTTTGGCAGGTTATGCGACGCGCTGCGACAGAAGGTTGTTGACTCGACATTCTCGACACATCGAACCTACCGGTCAATCGTTGCTTGATCAATAACTCGAGCTGATGACGGCACAACATGCCTGATGCCTATTCCAGTGCTGTCTCAGTCCCCCTCAAAAGTAGGAAGGCCGCCCAAGGGTCCTAGAATCCCATCTCAACAAGAAGCTCCAGCGATATCTCAATCTGTAAGGACTGCCCAAGGCCATGTTGGGAAAATTCCACTTGGCCCTGATGGCAAGGGACAACAACGAGACGGCAATCCTATACCGGATCCTGTTGTGTCTAGAAGTGAGAATTCAATGAGTGGAGCTTCATTGAGCCATAGCCGCTCAAAATCAGCGGCGGAAACCCTGTCCACCTTTAGAGGTATTTCTCAAACTGCAGGAAATATTCCTTCAATGTCTAGACCGAGATCTATCCAACAAGCCAGAAACGCGGCAGGCAAGGACCAGGTACTCCAGGCAAAGCCCACAAGAAGTCATACCACCGCGACATCGGTGTCACGCAATAACATCGGGGTCAAGAACCTACCATCAGCCCCGACATCGAACTCATCAAGTGACATTGGCTCGACGACGAGTACAAGAATCCCGCCAACCTCTATTCCCACATCACATACTCGAACGCGATCATATGCCTCAAGCCGACCGAGGGTAGACGACAGTGGTCGTGCGGGTGCCCCAACCCGTCAGACAGCATCTGTAAAGTCCGAAGCAAAGCCCGCGGCGTCTGCACCAGTACATGCTTCTTCTCACTCAAAAGCAGCTCCAGACATGGGGTCTGCAATTCGAAGGCCGGCCTTCAACACCTACAACCAACACTTCAGTCCCAAGAAGATTGTTACCCGCGAGACGAAAACAACAGCAACAGTAAAGCCCGAACAGGGATCGCACCACCCTCCGCATCTGCCTCCACCGTCCTCTGCTCATGGTGCAAGCATCTCGGCAACCCCGACTGATAACGTGGGAAGCAATCTTCGTATCCATGATGAGCTCATTCAATTAGGTCTGATTTATAACAAAGCTGCATCAAACATGCGTGCATACAGAAGCAGCGTCCACCACAGTATTTCGTCAGCACGTCGGGATGTGGATACCCAACTTGCCTCCTTGAGTGTTCTCGAACGAGCTCAACAGCACAGGTTCAACGCCTTTACGCTTGGAGAGTGGCTTCGCGAGAGCAAGGATATCATGCAGGTGGGCGAGGGAAATGCCGCTTTGTCACCAGATTCATCCCATGCCAAAGACCAAAATGAAGGCGGAGGCTGGGAGGTCGATCAGAGCAGCGACAAGAGCGATAGCCGATTGCTTATTTTAGCCCAGTTCACGCATCGAATGGCCGAAATTGTGCGCGAGCATGGAGAACTCGACGCCCTGATGACAGAGTTCGACCAGTGGTGTCAATCGGCCTTGACTAATTTCCAAGAAGGCACTGATTTTGCCAATGCCAATGCTAATGCAGACATGAACCGTGTTGGAGCCTATGACCTAATCCCTTTGAATCCCCGGTGGGCATCTTCCGCATCTTCGATCGAGGCCACGGTAAAAGCGTGCAGAGACAGCATATGTAATCTGCCGACGACGGGGGCTGCCAAGGATGACCAATCTTGCATTGTTGCATTAATCAAAACGCTATCGCAACTTTCGGACCGCGTTCTTGAAGAAATCGCGATGTGCAAAGTTGTGGAGGGTCTGATTTCGCAGTATCAGCAGGATCGGGTCGACAAGGCCCTTGCAGACGCTCTCGCAGAAGCCGCCCAGATCGAGCTGTCGCGTAATGGGTGTGTCAGCAGCCACCAGCACCACCTGCCTAGAAAGGGCGTATGGGAGAATGTGCGAGAGTAGTGTCAAGCACAACATTTAGTTAGAGCCCTTTAAATTTTAAGCTGCTCCAACTGCCTCGTATGGTACTTGTACGTCTAGCCGCCTTCATCCAAAGTTTTCTTTCATACCCGTGAAGGCCCCAAAAAAACCTACCTACACTCATCAGTAATAAGTGATGTATACAGTACAATTCTCGCCACCATCCCACGTATTAATGAGGCCATGAGATGCTTACTGTAGGTACATGCCGAAGAAGAAATGTAGGAAATTGTCTGTTGACGTCTCTGAGCACGTCTATTTGTAGGTGAGTCGTAGAAGCGTCACAGGCTTGTCCGGCTTGTGATTTTGAAGGGCTTCGCACGCCTCGATAATGGCAGCAAAAAAGCACTAGTTGCATGTTGTCGTTCCTCGGAGCCCAGTGCTGGATGTGGCGTACTGAGATCGAAAGACATTCTCCAACGATGGTTGATGACGATGATGAGGCAAAGGAATAGGCGTATCAGCAGATGACAATGTTCGCCGCTAGACAGAGTTTCATAGAGCCGAACTGAGTTGCCGCAATCTCTTAGTGAATATGGAAAGGTCTAGCGACTCTCTCAACGTTCAATCGCGATCGCCCCAGCTTCGACACGGGTTACCACGGGTTACACGGATCTCGATTCCACGATTGCACTTGTATTCGGTGTCTCCGAGCAAGGTATCCAAGGCCCACTCCGACTCGTTTTCGTTGAAGAATAACCAGAGAAATGCATTGAGCAAGAAAGTTGGAATCGTAACAATCGGAAGCTAAGAAAGCTGGCTACAAAATTAGATGATCTTCTGTCAGTCGAGTTCAGCTCATAAAGTTCAACAGCCTATAAATACGACAACTTGGTCATATCCTCTTACTTTTGAAGCAGCAGAACATGTTCAAAGCCGGCGAAAAGGAGGAAGAAGTCATCATTGAGTAGCAGGGGTGCCATTGATCTCGATTGGACATTTTGTGACAAGGATTGTAGCTGATGTGGCCGCTGCGATCGCCTACAGTTTGCCTTGATTGGTCTCTCACCGTCACTATTCAGGTGACGGAGTTTCGGCCACTCCTAGTTCAGGGTGGGAGGCGCCTCGAGCTCTTGAAGCATGTACGGTACGCGTACGGTGCATTGTGGCCCAGGTCACAGGGCGTCATTGGCGGCTGTGATCAGTAATACTAGAGAGTACAATACTGGGTCGAAGTTCTAGGTAGTATTGTCAATTCAGCGCATTCAAGTCTTCGAAACTGATCTCACCAACCTCCCAGCACCATGGTACATAAGCACTATGATCGGGCTAGAATATTAGTCACAAGGATTGAATCACGGACGGCAATGTTTTTGGTTTAGATAATCGTCGACACAAGAAGGCAGTCGACACCCCTGGTGGATATACGAACCGATATGGCTTAGTGAACATGAGTCACCAGAAAGCTATGCACTATGACGGAATTCGTGTGGAGGCCCCTTACCACCGGCCATGTCCCGGATACACTAGACTTAAGTAAGTCCTACAGTATATCTTAAGCTTACCCGCAGGCGTTCTCTGCCGCTTCGGTTTTTGCCTACTTAGAGAAAGGGACGCGCCCATGCCATTGGACATGTCATATAACAGGCACCGCTTACGAAATACTTCTGTGGCGTGACAAGACCCAGGGAGGGAGTGCCGCCCTGAAGATCTCGCTTCTGTTGTAGGACATCCGATGAACGAGAACAGATGGTGCTTGGCGATGGTAGCGAGAAAACTCCCTTCAATATTCATCCGTTACATCGAAGAACTCTGCTGTGGAAGATACTTCCACCGTGCTTGGGAGTATTTACGTGTTGTACTGTTGATCCACGTGGGGCGTAGCCGAGGTAGCCGAGGTTTAGCGAGCAGAACGGAGGGGGATCGACAGCTTTCCAGAGCTAATTTTGCTTCAGAGAGGGTATCCCTGAGACTCGGAGTGGGAGGGGAAATCGGGCAGGGTAATTGCCACCGGGAAAATATACCAGGGCATAACCTGTTTAAACGACTGACTTCGAGGGGTCCTAGGTTCCGGCTGATTTCTCAGCTTTCTATGGAGCAGGAGCAATGGGAACCAAGAGAGTACGAGTACAAGCGCTCACTGAGGTAAGCTCAAGCGAAACGAGACTCGCGGGCCGAAGCAGCCAAAGAAAGACGTAGGATCCGCGCGAGTGCAGAGTGACTGAGGATCGGGCGAATGAGAGGGGAGACGTGGTACTTGGGTACTGCAGTGGAGCCGGTTCTTACGGCCGTCAGGTCACCCACGATGGGGCGGGCTTTCTGCAACTACGAGGGGAGAGGGCGCTCCTTGTATTGTACCAGTGTTGCACCCTATTCGGGAAGTGATCGAGGGTGGATGGCGAGAGCATTCGAGCAACAGGTAGCAGGCATCATCAACCAACACCAAGTGCTAGTGCCCGCAGTCCTTGTTCGTGTCTACGTTACTGTCCAGGAGACAAGTGGAAGAAAACCTTGCAGTCAATCACGTCAAAAATCTTCTAAAATCCGGTCACAGCCGAAAACACCAGAGATCGTCCTTCACTGTTGCTGATGTCTTGATTACATAATGACGCGATCCCCTATACACGGCACTACGAACGTGGTTATTGTGGGGCCGAAGCTCCACCAGCCGCCAAAAGCTCCCTACTTGTAGTTGGCAGCGCTGCAATATCCCCCAAAGGATCGTTGCGCTCGATCGAGGGCATCGCCAGGTCGACATCTCGGTACGGTGCAGGTATCAGATGCTTTGCCGCACAGTGGCATCGCCCCCGTCAACGAGACTACGAGCAGCTTTGGCACCGCTATGCAGGCTGTGAAACCATCAGGACAAGCTCTAGCGAATAAAACCGTTGAACTGGGTAAGGAGAGCTGAGGGAATGCTTGCTTTGCGCCCTCTCTGATCTGCGATCTGGTCTACCCAGAGCCGACATTTACCATCTTAAAACGACACATCAGGCGTCCACGTCGATCCCAACCTTTCAGTAGGACTCGGGCTAGTACGGATAGTTCATCTGCTCTTCTCGCGATGAGCCTAATTTCTATCAAGACTTGATGCAAACTACATACTCGTAGGTCTCTGTAGTGGTGGGTACGTGCGGTTGTCCTTCCTTGCGGTATGATACAGCAGCTGTGTCAGGTCCGCGTGCTTGATTCTAATGCTGACCACGCAAAGGAGAGACCATAGCTCGCCTTCGGTTCATGGGTGAAACACTCGTCCGCGTCCACCAACGAGTCACAGTCTGCCATAGGGGACGGTAGCATCGAAGCAGGGTGCATAACATACATAGTCCGTATACAACAATCCTATAGACGGATGCATCGAGATGACGGGGGCTTCGAGGATCAAACACGAGCACCACCGATCGTCATCCACCAACTGCTGGCCCACTACGACGGGAGTCTAACCACATGCATCAAATGCGCGTCCTTCCGCTGACATGGTCCATGCAACCCTCCCATGGCCGGCCCTGATTCGTTTCTCTCGCTATTCTCGAAAACCCGGCTTCTCACCTTCTACCACTCCCCCATCTTCCTCCCGGAGCATCGACTGCTCGTACAATACTAGCTTTGCCCTCAGTCCACTCCCTATTTGTAATGGTTGCTGTCGTGGGAGTCCTGGACTCCTTGTACCTCTGATCACCCTCGAACCCACCCCTACGCGCCATGCCAACCTAGGCATGCTCTTGCACTGGCCTCGATCGCACTTTGCAACCATGCACTCTACCTTGTCGTCCGCATGTACTCTGTCCCCGCGATAAGTGACCGTCTAGAACTCGGTCTGGCGCATCGACGATTCCCGTCTTGTTGCTGCCTCAGCCACCCGTCGTGAGCCTGCCACACACCCGTCCGCTGACAGTTGTTGTGACCTCGATGTGGCCACCCAGGACGCTCCCGCAACCCGAGAAAAGGATTCGAAGTTGGTGGGCGAGTGATCGGAGGAGGTGATGGCCCCAGGACCACGCAGCCCAGATTTCCTCGATCATGTGTACCCAAACACCACAGGGCCTCATGGCATGCCGCCACTCTCCCGCGTAACGAGTGCGCCAGAACCACGGTACCCTCAAGTGCCGTTCACGGCCTCCAGCGAGCAAATTCCGCTCAAGCGCAGCTCGCCTATGGATCGAGCCTACGAAAGTCCCCGGGTAAACACCTCTTGGCCGTCGCCGACCTCTTCCTGGCCACGCAGACATTCGAGTCCACGCGGCCCTCTGGGGGAGCCCCCAGACAAAAAGCCGCGGTTGGAATATGTGGCCGGGCGGGAAGAAGAAGAGGCGGAAAGCTCTCGGCGAAGATTAGACTACACGGTATGTTGGTCCGCCACGGCTACACAGTCAGGAGCTGCGTCGAGATGAGTGACTGACATGGGCTTGCGCTGGCAGGCAAGTTCTTATATTTATCCGCCCGAGCAGCTTCCGCCACCGGCACCGCCGCCGCCATCATCTCGAACAGGGTCACGGTCTTCCTTCGGAAGTTGCGGAAACTGTTCAGACTCGGAGTTTTTATTGGCGGATTTGGTTACAGGTTTTCTCGATCTTCAGTCTCAGGTCTGCCAGGTGCTCAATTTGCCGCCCGAGCAGCGGAATGCAGGACAGGTAGGCTGGGGTAATGGTTATACCTGTCGGCTGGACGCTGACCCGATCATCTTCAGCAGGCAAAGCTCGAGTCGACTAAGCTAGGCCTGAAACAGTCACTTGCATGGGCCATTGCCGAGTTACGGCACACGATTCGTCTCGTCCAGGATCATGCAAGTAGTCGCCCCGGCTTGCCCTCTTTGTCCGACCTGGTGCCACTGCCTTTGGGACACGATATACGACGGCACTCCGTCCATAGCCAGTTAAGCACCGCTCCTGCATCTATAAAGGATTCCGGCCGCATACCTCTCCGTCTAGAGCCTCCTCCAGGTGACGAGGACTATCGCAGACCTATCGATCTCGCCGACCAGATGTCTCGACAATCTAAACAGTCTGGTTTTTCTATTATACAGGGCGACGAGTCAAGGCGTCCTCAGTCTCACGACCAGATCATGCCTCCGGTGACGGGTCAGTCTCCACACCCGTCCTCAACGTCCTCGCTGTTTACGGCTCAGTCTCCTATCCAGTCTCAGCCATCGACTAGAACACTCCCCTCCCCTCCAGGTGGACCGTACCCCAGGACCGCCAGTGCTGGTTCGGCTCAGTACTCGCCGATCACCTCTCAGTCCGCCCACAGCAGCCATCTGCAGGACCTCCAGCATCAGATATCAACCAAAACCCTGGCGCTGCAGACTCTCCAGCGTGAACATGACCAACTACTCGCGGCTTTTTCCCGATCTCAGATTCGATGTACAGCCCTCGACAAGAAATCTCAGGTGTCAGACCATGAAATCGTCACCCTGACCGAAGACAAAATCCGGCTCCAGCAGCAGGTGGATATCCTCGAGGCTCAGGTGTTCGACCTAACCAAGGCACGCGACGAAGTCACTCAGCAATCCACGGCTGACGGGGCGCAGTGGAGGCAGATCATGGCCATGTCATCCCAATTGCAAATTAAGGGTGCCGAGGAGGCCAGACGCTTCAAAACCGAGCGAGATGCGTGGGATGAGGAACGGGCTGCGTTACACACACGCATCGAAGAGCTCGAATCTGGCAACAACAGACGTCCCGAGAAGGATTCTGACCCTGGTTCCACCACGCCAGTGGCGAGCGACTCTATCCTGGCTTCCGACTCAGTGGAGGAGCTTCGTCAGGAAGTCATCAAAGCGAGGAGGCGGTGTGTGGAACTGGAACTCCAGCTGCAGGAGTTGGCAGGCGAGGCCGCACAAATTGACAACGCCATCCATGCCATGGAAAATGTACGAAGGAGTCTGTCAGGCAAGAAACGGACCTCGGACGAAACTTAAGCGAGGCCGAATGATACACCAAGTTAGGACTAAGGTTATGAGAAATTGTAGGAGTACTGGACGATTTACTGTTATTGTCCCATTGTCGATTGCCACCGCATGCTGGCATGTTGATCGTCGACGACCGAGGTTTTTGAGCTGTTTTCATGACATACTTTGCATAGTACGGCGTTTCAACCCAACAAGACAATGACGGCTCGTGCAGGAGACGCTTCGGTTATGTCACGCTTGAGCACTGGCTAACTCTCGGTCGACGAGTACGGAGGCGAGCGAGACTTGTGACGGGTGTATGTGCGAGGCTAGGGAAGGCGAATGATGTCAAATTTTCTGCATGGAACACATTGTACGGCCTTGTGAGTGATACCGCGCACGCCTCGGACCCTTCTGCGATAGACCCTTCTGTTGAACCGGATGTCATATGCCTGTTAGGGCTACCTCTGGTATGAGGTAAGCCGACAGCACCCCGTCTAGATACCGCTGAATAGCGTTAGTGAGTTGAGTGGCTCCTCTTGTACTGTCTTAGGATGGTCGAAGTCTTGCAGCCCGAGCTCAGCCTCGTCGGTGGGTCGTCGACCCTCGGTCTACCGTGTCTCGAATGCACGCATGTCTAGCGTAATGGTGCGATTGGACCCGGGAGAGGATACCAGTCCTACTTGGGACCAGATTGAGGCTTTTGAAATCACCGGTACAAGCCAATTGTGCTGAAGTAATACATGGCCGCACCCACCCTCCCTTGCATAACGAGTACAGTACATTGGGTAGCCGTAGATGGTCGGGTCGAGGTAGCACTGGCAGCGAGGTCATTAGCAGCAGGCCATTGATGAGTTAGTTCAAGCCGCATCAGCATGTGCTAGACGTATCGTGCATGGCGGAGAGAGATCCCTAACTAGCTATGGAGGCAGATAGAGGATGGAGGGGCGAGTCCGGGCAATTGCTTGGTCGTGGTGACAGCGTCTTCCGCAGCCGCACCACATCATCATCATCACCACCACCACCACCACCACCGTCACCTCATCATGGCATAATTCACAGCAAAGACCCTGCATTATACTATACACTCGTCGCAAACGCCGTCTCTCCTCAGCTAATTCTGACCAACCGAGGTACTCAGCTATCTGTGTTGCCGAGCAGATACCTTACGGGGTACATGGCTCGCCACTGTGCGAGTTGCCACCCCATGTGTCTAGTCTACATCTTCGAACGCAGCCTCACTAGCCTTTCCTCCTCATCCTCAAAGCGGTGCTAAGTTTGACTTACCTCTACCTATTCTCCACCGCTACGGCCGCGTCACCTGAATCGAACGAACCTCTCTTCATCGATGCTGCTGAGCTGGCCGATGCGGATCCTGCCGCCGGGCTCTGCTGAACGCACCACGCCGCTCATCTCACCTCGCCTGCCATGGTAGACACCGTTGATGCGAGGCTACTGCAATGCAGGCTCGGAGTCACAGGGGGTAATCGGACTGTGAAGTCGGTGTACGGGGACAAGTCGTGGGTTGAGGATCTGGATATTGTCAACGAGCTGGGCGCACACACCGGGTGCGTCAACGCCTTGAGGTATACACATCCCAATTGTGTCTTGCGCACGTAACCTTCACCCAGCTGACTCCTGTCCTAGTTGGTCTAGAAGTGGAAGCTTGCTAGCCTCGGGCTCCGACGACACCTATCTGAACATCTGGGATTACAACCCGGCATCCGACTACAAGCCTTTCACCCTGAACACGAGTGTGCATACGGGCCATCATGCCAACATCTTCTCCGTCAAGTTTATGCCACATTCTGGCGACCGGACGGTAGTGTCGTGCGCCGGAGACTCGGAGGTTCGGGTGTTTGACTTGGAATATGCAGGGGCAGCACGAAGCGGCTCGACCGCTTCGAGCTTTTCCACAAGCACAAGAAGCCGCAGATTCAACAATTTCTTTCGGAATGCACGATGGTTGAATGAGGCCAACACCAATGCTCGCGTGTACCGAAGCCATGCCGACCGGGTCAAGAGGATCATCACTGAGTCTAGTCCTCATCTCTTCATGACGTGCTCCGAGGATGGCGAGGTGCGCCAGTGGGATCTACGGCAACCTTCTTCGGCATATCCTTCCCCTCGGGGAGGAAGAGCGTATGGAGACGTTCCACCTCCTCTCATCTCGTACAAGAAGTATGGGCTGGATTTGAATACCATCTCCTGTGCAGCAAGCCAACCACAGTATATTGCCCTCGGGGGAGCCCATCTCCATTGCTTCTTGCATGATCGCCGTATGCTTGGCCGTGATCTCGAGGCCGAACAAGGTCGTCCTGCTTCTCGTAACCCCATTGCGGGCACTTACGAAGATGAATCGATGGCGGAAGCGACACGGTGTGTGAAGCGATTTGCCCCCAATAACAAACGGAAGATGGGTCTCAATGATCATGGCCATATCACGGCCTGCAAGATCAGTGACGCCAATCCGAACGAGATGGTGGCTTCCTGGTCGGGGGACTATGTCTACAGTTTCGACATTGTCAAGTCCCCAGATGCCAGAGAAGCCGGGGATAAAGCTGACAAGGCTTTCCAGGCCGCTCGGCTGCGGAATAGATCTGAAGGGAATAGAAAGAGAACCAGGGCCAATGTTTCTTCGACCAGTTTGGCGGAAGCAGCCAGCCCCAGCCGCCGTCTCCGGAGAGTTCCAGACGACAGCCTAGAAGAAGGCCGCACCGCGCTTTTAGCCAGGTACACTGATGGAAACTCCGAATTGATACCAATACCACACGAAGAGTCAGCACGAAATGTCGAACCAGCTTCTTCCAACGAGCTACTACTTACGGAAGCGCAACGGGTGGCAGAGCAAGTGGCGAGATCTGTGGTCCAGCTTCGCAAGACCTTGTTCGACTTCTCTGCTATACTCAGCCAGCAGACGGCTGCCTCTGTGGAAAATTCTTCTGATCTGACTCCTCACACTGCGTCGTTTACTACAGCGCTGGGTCAATGTGCTGCCCTGCTACCCCAGATGGATGAGATCATTCGAACATGGTCTTATCCCGTAAATCCCAGTGAAGACGACGTGACCTTCCAAAACACCCTTCGGTACAATCGGCTAGCAACATGGCGGTTTGTGCAGGGGACAGGCTGCCTTGCACGGACCCTGGGCGGTACATTACAAAGTCTGAGTCTGGGACCTGACGTTCGCCTCTCGCAATTCCATGTCATTAGGCCTCCTGCTCACGAAGGTAAGAACATCAGTAAAGACTCCCAGTTCTGCTATGATTTCCTCAAAGCGATTCTACTGTGGATTGATGGAGGCCAAGAGGCGGTGCTGGATGCGTTCAAGAGGCCAGGCCATGTCAGCAGTGACAGCCGTCGATTCCCACTCGACGATGATGATACGGTAAATGATTATATCCCAAAGCTTGAGAGTTTCCTTTTGGAACTCGCCGAGGACGACGTTCCGGTGGTAGATATCGACACCAATCGATTTGAACGCGACGACACCCGTTTGATCTTCCCGAGTCAAGTATCTGCTGTGCAGACTTTTATCGGAGCTCTGACAAATGTCAAGCTTCAACTGAATCAAGGAATGTCCGCTCCTAGTGAAGGTACTGACGGCACCACCCGGATCATGGACAAAGGGGCCGCTGCGAGGTTTTGGGGGGTCAAGGTGGGCCGATCACTACTCATGCGTGCTGGCGAAGGTATCAACTTTGATTTTGTTAATCGGGTATTTGGAGGTCTACGATTTCATATCGTGCCGGACTCGGGCCACGAAAGATCACAAGAGGATGTTGACCCTGATGAAGCTGATCGTATCGTGGAATCACTCGATGTGATTACTGGCCTTGATGTCGCGGCTCATCAGCTGGCATCTGGCTCATCTGCAGGATCTCCAGAAACGGTACGTGATACGACTGAAGAGTCGGAGCGGTCTGATGTCGAGATGAGGACATTTCCTACAGTTCACGTCGAAGATGCGGATGAGGATGAGGAGGGAGATGAAGACGAAGACGAAGACGACAATCCCGACGATCAATCTGATTCGGATGAACGCGATTCGGACGATGACGACGATGAAGGCGAATATGCTGTGAACCCTGTCATGTACCACCGTCGAGTCGGTGGAGGATTTCGCCAGCGTGCTACGGTCAACCTCCATGTCCCTTACTCATCTCATTCCAGAATCTACAAGGGCCATTGCAACACGCGAACTGTCAAAGATGTCAACTTCTATGGGCTCAATGACGAGTATGTTGTCAGTGGATCCGACGATGGACATTTTTTCATCTGGGATCGTAAGACGTGCAAAATCATGAACATCCTGAAAGGCGACGGCGAAGTGGTCAATGTAGTCCAAGGCCACCCGTATGAGCCTATGCTCGCCGTTAGTGGCATCGACAGTACGGTGAAAATATTCGGGCTCGGCGGCGACAGCCGAGAACGGTACAACGCGGCTCAAGGGATCGACGTTGCAAACCCGGGTGGCGGTGAGCACAGTTCGTTGCGATTCGGTGGCAGGCGAAGAAGACGTAGGCGAATGGGCTACGGCGGTGATGACGAGGATAGTGGCGATGACGATGACGACGAGGAGAATGGAACGTCGGCCAACGGAGGGTTGGCAAGCCGACGGGCGATGCAGCATGAGTACACCATCACCAGCCAGAACGATGCGGCGCGAAGGCAGGGTGCCGGCGAGACGTTTGTCACGGTAGGTTACCATCGAGTGCTCGCGGTCAGATTCTTTGGTTCAGAAATTGCTGACTTTTGTTGGCTGCCACGCAGGAGTCCATGCTCACTAGATTTGCTTTGGCTTTGCAACGAGGTCAGCTCGACACGATTCAAGGACAAGGGTTCGGTGGCCAAGGTGGAACTATCGTGGTGGATGACAACTGCGAGGTGAGTCGTATCGTATCCCGTGTTGTGAAAGTACGGAGCCCCGGAGCCGTCTCTCGGTGTCTGTCTGGTGGTGATTCGACGGTTTTGCTTGTGCTGTGTGGTTTTTTGATTGCATAAGAGCCCTCAGGTTGGCTGACTCATGCTGCTGGGTAGGTTATGTGAGCCACTGTCCGCACACACTACTCGTCAGGAGGGGGGTGGACACTGGACCTTTGTTTTGACTAGCTAGTCGCGAGCTGAGGGATAATGTACATTACCTGGTGCAGAAGGGAATTGGATCTTATTTTCTGTGCACTGGCGGTGGTGATGGTGGTGGTGGTGGTGGTGGTGGTGGCAATAATTACCATCACTCTGGAAGATGGGTTCACCTAACCATCGTACATGATGATGAGACAGACACAACGCTTTGTCCGTGTTTTGGAGTTGATGACTAGGTATTAATTGTACCAATGATGCCTTCGACGCCTTTATCTTCAGTTAAAATGGTCCCGAGGGCGTACAGGGAGGTGGAGGTTTGGGTTTGCCCGTTCCCTTGTCCTCAGGCGTACTGTGATCCATCTATTATTCAGTGTGAGGATTTGAGCGATTTGGTGATTGACGACTCGATCAGTCAGAATGGGAATTGAAAGACTACAGAGATACTGATTAGTACTCTGTCTGGCTTGTCCGAGTCACTCTCTGTTATCATTGTGACTTTTAAATATGATTGTGATAGACAGAGGTATGTACTGGTACTCGTCAGTCGTAACCCTTGAAGAGCGTTTCAAGGAGAAAAGAAAAACCTCTTTCGGTCCCATCCCAAACCGTCAAGATATACTCAAGGACTTTCCAGCCTCGACATTGTGTTCCGGCCGAGGAGACCTGCGCTCAGGACCATAAAAGGTCCTTCCCACGCGTTCTGCCGTGGTCCCTCGAAGTGTCGAAAACGAGATATATCCCGACTCGGTGATGCCGCTCCACTGGAATCCCCTAACACCACCACTTCCTTCTCCACCGCCTGTCGCGTGTAGAGCATTCTCAGCAACCCGAGAAGATTCCAAACTGCTCCTTGACTCTGCGCTGCCAACGACCCCCTTCAATGGACTCGTACCATGACCCGGGCTTTGTCCCATTTCCTCGTCACCAAGCCTCCTTCTCCTAAGCATGGTCTCACGCTCTGCTCCTGCAACGTCATCATCGTTACCACCAAACTCCACAGTCCCGTCCATGAGTCCATCCGGACCAGAGCTGCGATGAGTTGTTGTTGTTGTTGTTGTTGCTGCTGCTGGGGCAGCCTCTTTAGATCTCTCGTTTCGTCCGTCCATCTCCTTTCTCAGCTTCTTACCGACTCTAGGTACGCAATTGGTCTCGGACGACAACAATCCACGAAAAGTCAAACGATAACCCAGCAACGCAGTCATGAGGCCAATCCCGGCCCCAAATACGCAGTCAAACGCGAAATGGTGATAAGCAAGGAAGAGTGTTGCTGAAATGTATGTTGCAAGGATGACAGGAACAAGCACAAATATCATCCGCTAGAATCCCATGCTCGCCTCGACCTTCGGATCTCCCATCCTGAGATGCGTGTAGAGGTAGATAGACAGAAAACCTAGGCCGGCAAATGACGCCACAGAGTGCCCCGATGGGAATGTCTGCAAAGCATAGTCGACCTTGCCTTGGTCCTCACCCGTGCAAATGGCCGACGTGTATAGGTTCCCGCCTGGGCCCAGGCCATGGTGTGGTGAAGTCGGCTTGCAGACGTCGATGAAGTGTGGCCGAGGGCCACCGATAAACTTCTTCAATACGACCTGGAACAACGTGCCTGCAGCGAGAGCGTACAAAAGGCCCATAATAGCAGCAAATGCGTCAGCAAAGGACCGAACCCATATCTGAGCGAGGACGACGACACCGATAGGGATCAGAGAGGCGATAAGGCCAGCGGCCAGGGATGAGAATATCGGTTCTTGGTAAGGGTAAGAAAGTTGATGATTGTAGACGCGGCCATAGTCGACATCGTAGACTCGGATCAACACAGGCGGTCGGTAGGGGACCGAGTAGATCTGAGGAAGCTGTCAGTGCCATCTTCCCATGATAACCAAAACTTGATCTTCTACAGCTAACGCTAAGCCAGAGACCAGCATCAACAGAGCGGTATCAACCCACGAATCGGCGAGGAAGCACTTCAAGTTTCGTAGAGACTTGGACCGACTCAAGGTCCTGCGGATGACAGGCAAGACTGATGTCGCTGTCAAAGGCATATCCGATGAGATGACTAACAAGGTATATCGTATACTGAAGCGAATTGAATACGAAGCGGATGTCAAAGTGCGTTGATGTCTAGTTGGCCATTTCATTGGTTTGGGTCTCTCGTAGATCTTGTTCAGTCACGGTTTCCTGGAGAGACACTCCGTTGATGGCTTTCAGGAAGGCGCCTTTGTCCGAGGGACTTCGATGATGTTGAGAAGGATGAGAAGATGGTCGTAGATCGTCAGTTGCTCGGCCCATGAGTCGTACGCCGGGTAGGTATAAACCTCGTCCCTCTCATGATGTCGCCCTCGCCCTCGCCTCCTCGGCAACACATCTCTCACACCTACAGTCACCACCCAACACGCCCTGCAGCCTCGCACGTCTCTCTCTGTAGTCCTTCTCCTGGACATCAGTGTAATGATTCCAGATCTCCTCTCCAGCCTTGAGACCCGTCCACTCCGTCTCCGTTGGGGTCGGGTCCTCCTTGTCATTCCTCCACACCCTTTCCTGCACCACGGTCAAATTCCTCACGCCCGAGCTCTTCCACGTCACATTCGGGTTACAACTGTGATTCGCCAAACACCACAGCGGATGCACGGCGGCCACCTCGGGTTTGCCTGTCCAGGTACTCTGCTGGGCATCGGCGACCCCTCTGAACTTTGCGAACAGAGTCTGGACGATCCACCAGTCGTACTTTTCCAGCCAGTGCTTGCTGTAGGGCCGACAATCGTCGCGCGAATGCATGAGAACCTCGAACCACTGAAGTGGCAACTCGACATGATGCCTCACACTGTACGGGAGCGTCCTGGGTGTTGTTTCACCTATTCTCTCCGACTTTGCATCGTCCACGCCAGGTACTGGACTGAAATCACCCCAGAGGTACTTGATCTCGAATAGATCCAGCGGGTGCTTGGCTTGTGTTTCGGCCGTCTGCATCGTCCGAGACAACAGCAAGAAGTACAAGTCCCATTCTGGCGTTGTTGAGCTTTCCGCCCTTCCAAGGGTGTGTATATCTTCGTTCCCGCTCGATCCTGGACAGAAGGGTGTCTCTGCAGGGGGATAGCCTTCATCCGTCTCCTCGTCGTCGACATTAGGACTGTGGTAATTCCGCATGGCTAGGTCATGACACTCGTCCGAACAGAATGGAATATTGCATCCGTCGCAATATCGCCTCCGATCATGTGGTATGGTTTCCATATCTGCAGCGCACGCGTCACACAGAGCTTCACCATGAGGTCGTATCGCCGTGATTGTTGACCTTTCTTCGAGGATCGTCGAACCCGGCGCGAGATCTTTCTTAGCATAGAGACCCAGCTGTGATGATCCTTCCACTGGCGGTGGTGTTGTCGTTGAATCGCCATTTGTGACCCTCGTCGTGCGATTTTCAGTCTCATTTGTCCCGCTCGTCAACAAATTGGGCAAAACTGAGATTTCCACCTCCAGGCCTGGCGCGATCTCTTTCAGTCTGGTGTTGATCTCTCCTAGACTGTTCTTGTTCATTCGATCCGGCTCCCGCTCGTTCCAAGGATATACGACCCTCTGACTCGATCCGAACATGGCTCTCTTGTCGCCGTTTCGTCGTATATCGCTGACCGCTTTTCGAAACCTGTCGACCTCGCCATGACAAACCGACCAGAAGTTACAAAAGTCACTGACCATTGAGTCTGTCGAATCTGCAGCACTTAAAGCCCCGTTCAGATCGCCATCCACGTGCGCTTGTGTATTCGTTGCTTGTGCCGTCTCACCAATAGTCCCTCTAACGGCGACCAGCTCATCAATCCAAATTCTCGATTGATGCTGACAACCCAACAACAACGCGGCTCGAGATAACAAGATCAGACTACGATATTTGTGTTTCAAAACCATGGTCTTTTGATCGTGGGTTAATACCATGTCGTCGTCGTCTTCGTCGTCGTCTTCGGCTTCGTCTTCATTTTCGTCATCATCATCTTCGTCGTCTTCGTGTTCATTCTCACGCTCGTTATCACCGGTGGTATCGTCCACGGCGCTGATACTGGACCTGTTGCAGTTGGTCGTGTCTGTCGTGTCGATAAGTGGAGGCCACCTCTCCCCAGACATCGTGACGGGCTCCAGATCCGAAACATGGCCACCTTCCAACACGACCTCGCAGAGCGTATACGAAACATACGCATCCGCCAATGCGAGCTCGCTGTACCCCAGCGCCTCGTAGACCTCTGCCCTCTGCAAGATAATCTCGGGACACAGTCCGCCACGCTCGCCCCGCGCCATGTCCTTCGTGATGCGCTGACGAGCGAGCACCAAGTTTTCATACTGTTGGTCGCGCGTTGGCAGAAGTTTGATTTCGTTCAGCGAGGGCACTGGTGGTACTGGTGCCGGTAAAAGACAATCAGGGAATGATCCACCATGTACCTCCTCTGCCTTTTCCATCCCACTTGTCTGATCCATCCTTTGCAGGTTCGTCGACCTCTTTACTTTTTTCTCTTTCCTCTCGCCTTTGCAGTCTTTTCCGTTTTTCTAGTTTCCTAATATTTTTTTTTTGGTCCGGCTTTTTTTCTATTACTCTACCTCGAAGAAACCGATCCAATTCTTCATCCGGACAGCCAAAATAGAGTGATGGATCTTCGCAGAGAGAAAGACACACAACACGCACACACACACACCCACACCCACACCCACACCTACACACAAAATAAGGGAGCGTGGGAGGAAAATAAAAAGAGAAGACTAAAGTCTCAAGTGAGTGAGTGAGGGAGTGAGTGAGTGTGTAGAGCTCAGACACAAGAGTTCCGGGACTTCAGGCAGGTTTGGCTGGGCTGCACTGCACTGCACTGCATTCCTCACATGTCACACACATCCACACAATGCGGTACAGATTGCCACCGGCCAGTTTGACAATGTGGCAGTTTGATCGACGCGACACGTGCGGTACAGCGGCCCTTTGAATAAAAAGTCTCCCAAACCTCCGTCCCCAAAAAAGTCTCATGATGATAACAATAATGATGATGATGATGTAAAAGAGAAGAGCCGGGTAAACGTCGGGTACATACATGTCCATCTATCTACTCCGCTGAGGGACATAGCTCAAGGTGCAAGCAAATAAATACAATCCCCCTTGACAAGAGTGGCGCTTCAATCTCTTGCCCCTTGTCCTTCGAATACCTAGGTATTGCACTCTAAGTAGATGAGTAACCACTTGTCATGGTTGCCTTGCAAGAGGCGTGATGGAGGAATATTGATATACCAGTGAGTGAGCTGTTGCTAGGTACTTAGGTATAAATACCCCACCAAAAGGGCGCTGGTTTGCTATCTATGAATAGGTAGGTACGTTGCTAGTTCAGGCTCATTGCTAAGCCGGAACCAACCCCAGTCCATGTTCCGACTTGACCTTACTCGTAGAGGAGTTGTTGATGACGCTTGTGCTTGTGCTTGTGCTTGTGCTTGTGCTTGTGCCGGGGTGATTAAACGTGCCTATCCTCGGTGTCGTTGGAGGACTGCTCGCGGCGCTGTTGTTCGCATCGTGTTGCTCTTGTTGCTCTTCCTCCCCCCTTTCTCTGGCCGCTTTCCTCTCTCTAGCTGCTTCTCGCTCCCTTCGCCTTCGTCGACGCTCTTCTCGTTCGTCGTGTTCTACTGGAGCAGTACTAGCTGCGGCGGTGGTGGCCATGGCGAGCGCACTATGTGAAGTCAAAGGACTCAGACCGGCGCTGTCCCGTCTCTCTGTTCCTCCTGCGCCTGCACCTGTTCCCGTGGTGGTGCTGCCTGAGCGGTGTTGTTGCTGCTGTTGTTTGCGCCGGGCGCTGGCCGTGCTGCTAACGCTGCTTCCCCTTCGGACACGTTCCGAGAGTAATGGGCCGCCACCGGCGCCGACGGTGGACTCTGAAAAGTCGAGATGCGGAGTTGAGGATCTGGACGATTGGCGAGACCGGGTTCCTCGCGACGCCGCCCCCGAGTATGAATCCGAGTCGAGAGCATTTCCTGGGCGACGACGTCCTGGTCCTGTTCCTGTACCACCTCCTATCGAGGCTGTGACGGAACCATGTCGAGCCGTGGGATGGCCTGCGTGAGGATGCTTTTCGAGGTCATGATGGTTTCGGGCATGATGTCTATGTGGTGCCGACGCCAAACGCCACGCGCCCGTCCACCATTTCCAGCCCCCTTCGTCCTTTGCCCGCACGCGGCGCTGCAGGTTGAGTTTCTTGCGCAAGTGCACCCGGCGCTCGTTCTCCTTTTCCCAGTACTCGGTGCGGTATGATTCCCAGTTCTCGCGGAACTCGGGGCTGAAGCTCTTGGGGAGGAGGAGTAGCATGATCCCGTCTCCGCCGGGCGCGAGGTCTTCTTCCGCCGTCGTCCCGTCCTCGTGCTCGACGAGGTGCCAGTCCCCGCTTCCGCCGGATTCGCCGCGCCACAGGCCGTAAGGCATGAGGAAGGACATATGGCCTAGCATTTCGCGCCAGAATCGGTCGCGGATGATGACCACGCGGAGGTTGAAGCCTCGCAGGCCTCGGTTGGTGGTGCCGAGCCATTTGCGCGGCCAGCGGATGCCGCGGTCCCATTGCCCTGTGGCGTAGACGAGGAGCACCGTGACGACGCCGGTGATGAGCGCCAGCTTTTGCGTGGTTTCGACCATCCAGTAGACCGAACCGCCGAGGCCGGTACCATCTTCGCGGGGGCGCAGGAAGAGCGCGTAGGTGAAGCCGATGTTCCAGAGGGCGAGCAGCAGTAGAAAGAATGTGTTGAGACGTCGTCGCGATACCAGGTGCAGGTATTGTGCGCGGAGCGACGTCTCGAGGATCAGTAGGTTGAGGTAGATTTGCGGAGGGGACGAAGGGAGTGTTGCGAGAGTCGGGTCGGCGGTTGAGTCGAGGTGTGGGAGAGGGTGCGTCGGAGGTGGTTTGACGTCGGCGGTGGGCGCACCCTTGACCAGCTGGTTGAGGGTTTTCTCGCTGGACATGGTCAAAGAGAGTGAGCGAGGCCCCGGAGGAACCAGAGAGGGGGAGGGTGTTGGTGGTTGGGTCAGGGTAGAGACATGGAGGGAGGTAGCTTGGTGGTGGCGGCGGTGGTGTCAATGCATGCGCTGAATGAGACGAGTGCTTTGGTAGACGCAATTGCGGTCTTCATGAAATGTTTCTTGCGTCTCACAAACGTCGTATATGCGACCTGGGATGTAGAGGATGATGATGTTGTTGTTGTTGTTGTTGTTGGTTGTCGCTGTGGGTGGGTGGGTGAGTGAGCGACGAGGCCGGACTGCGCAGGCAACACGTAACTGAGCAGGGTACAGGGCACCGAGTATCGAGAACTGTAGAACGAGTGCTGAATATCGCGCTTCGTGTGAACTACTCGCACCGCTCAATCTCTTTCATGCATGCACGATGGACTTATGCAAATTCCACGGCCGCTGCAGCTCGTAAAGTCCGAATAGTCTATATTCGTCTCGGGACCCAAGTCAATGGCATCGCTGCGGCTCGGTAGAATGAGGGACGGACTTGAATCTTTCCGAATTCAAGCCACCATCGTCTCTTTTTCTCTCTATGCGCGAACTCGCCTCGTCTCGCTCTCTCTCGCGTTTCAGTCTATTACGATACCATTCACTGCTCACTACTCTCGCTAGCTTACTTCCGCTGCGGATATCCTCTCCTTAATTGTGTTGCCTGGCTTGCCTCCCCTGACCTCATCAGCGTATTAATTGCCCTTTGTCCCGCCCACCCCAGTCTCTTCTTGTATGAGACCATCTCTGCCTTCAACCCTCCTCGAGGCGACTCCAAGAACCACAGCTCTTTTCCGACCTCCTCCTTTTCGCCAGCAATCGACAATCACCCTGAGCGAGTCCGAGAACCTCCCTCCCACCTCTCGCCGTCCGCCCTCCATGTCGGCGGACGCTGCCGAGTCCGACAGCGAGCTGCAGGCCCGTAGCCAGCAGAGTCCTCTGGCCAGACAGCGAGCCAACGCAGAGAACCCTCGCCGGAGTCGATTTGAGAACCTGTTTCCTCTTGGGTATAAAGAAGGCTTCAGTCAGTGGTGGAGCAATCTTCCCGCGGCCCAGGCGGAACACAAGGTGCTGTCCTTCATACCCTACCTACAAACGCCGCCTACACACACCCAGACGGGGTCTGAACCTCCCTCGCAAAACCCTTCGACCTTGTCTGTAGTCGACACATCCCCCTCTGCGAAAGCAGCGCCCATCACAACAAACTCCATCACAGACCCCTATGGCCCGCGGACCTGGCATTCGCGCATGGTCACTTTGTCTGGCAAGAACAGAGCTCTGAATGAGTTCTCCGTGGAACGGACGGGAGAAGAGGCTGACCAAAACTTGGTTATCTTGCACGGCTATGGAGCAGGGCTGGGGTTCTTCTACAAGAACTTTGAAGCTCTATCCAGGGCCAAGGGGTGGCAATTATACGCCCTAGATATGCTGGGCATGGGCCGCTCGTCTAGGCCGCCATTCAAGATCAAGGCCAAGGCGCGCGAGGAACAGATAAGAGAGGCAGAGAATTGGTTTATCGATTCGCTGGAAGAGTGGCGCGTCAAACGAAACATCGACAAAATGACTCTGGTTGGCCATTCGATGGGTGGCTACATGGCCGTATGTTATGCGCTGAAGTATCCGGGACGACTGAACAAACTTATCCTTGCGTCGCCTGTTGGTATCCCGGAGGATCCCTATGCCACCCATGCCGCAATGCCCGAGCCGCCCGAGTCGACCTTTCAGAGTGAATTTACCCAAGACCAGCAGACCGAAAGCACGGCACACAAAGACAATAATAACTTCCTGAATGCTCGTCAAAAAGCAGAGCAGGCCCAACAGAATCCCAACCCCAATCGTCTTCCGGCAGATCAGACAGGAGCATCTACTCCACCCAAACGGCCATATCCCCGGTGGCTGACCTATTTATGGGACGCAAATATCTCGCCCTTCAGTTTCGTTCGGTGGACTGGTCCTTTCGGACCACGATTGGTTTCAGGCTGGACGAGTAGACGCTTCTCTCATCTTCCCTATGAAGAGGCACTTGCGCTGCACGACTACAGCTATAGCTTGTTTAGGCTTCGGGGCAGCGGAGAGTACGCTTTGGCTTACATTCTGGCTCCTGGTGCTTTTGCCAGAAGTCCATTGATTCGACGGATTCATGGCGTCGGTCGGCAGCCGCTTCCAAGTAGTGAGCCTTCAGCAGAACCAGCCTTCGAGAAGGGTCTACCAGTTGTGCTGATGTATGGCGAAAACGACTGGATGGATGTCAAGGGCGGATATGCAGCAAAGAAAAAGATCGACGCCGAACGTGAGCGAGCCCTGAAAGGGAAGTCAAAAGCCGAAGTAGCTGAAGACCAGGGCGCTGCCAAGGTGGTCATCATCAAGAAAGCTGGTCATCATGTCTACCTGGATAGCCCAGAGGAATTCAATGATGTCATGCTCGCTGAGATGGAGGATGTGAGGAAACGCAGCCAAGGACTGAAATAGAGTGGAACGACTGGTCTCCAGGCTGTGGACAGAAACAATGACCGAAGCATCGGCCTGTGTGGAGGTGCACCGATCATGAGTGCATTCTCGAACCACCGAACAACCTTATCAACTAGGGTTAATCAAGATGAGGCCACTTGCCCCTTTGAGAATGGAGAGTTTCTCAAACTGAAACTCCAAGTCCTCTATACTGCTCTTTGCAAGTTGGATATCAATCGAAGCTAGGACAGACAGCCTCCAAATGCTATGTGGTCGCATATGAGGAGGCATCCTAGGATCGAACGACTCCGCAGAAGGAAAGCACAAGAAAGTATTCTGCGTATCCGGCTGCATTTATATTTGCGCGGTTACCGAGTCTGCCCTTCGGTGGCTCATCGAAAGCATATGTCATGAGCAGCAGTTAGGAATGAGAAGGGCACCATAGAATTCACGAGCAATATCCGCATTGAGGCTGAAAGAACTCTTAAGAAGCACTGGGTATATTCTCAGATATAGCAAGGGGCCGACCTGGGCGCACAGTCCCATCACATGGTATCACGTGACCTGGAGTGACTGACCGGCCAGCAGCAAAGAATTTGGCTGCTCTGTACATTGAGCAAGTCAGAAAGATCGTTCTGGGTAGCAGGTTTGCTCCTCGACCTTGTATCGAGCTATCGAGCTCAATAAGACCTATAGACGGATCTTCAGTTCAGTCGCAAATGACTCTTTCACCCACGAAATCTCGCCCTAGGACGGGCTCGAGCCACTGACATTTCTATTTCTGCTTTCATGTACACTGATTTTCTTTCAACCATAGGCGAGATTCGGCCGATTCTAGTTAGGGGGTAGTACTTCCGACGGTGTCGTGTTGGAGCCAGAGGACCGGACCACCATGACATTATCCAAGCTTCATGAGATCCAGCAACCATGGCCACGATCGAATACTCATGACCTTCCCAGCCCCAGCCTCAAATATTGGTATATCACCTAGGACTGCTGTACTTTCTTCGCTGCTTCCTGTGCGGTTCTTCGTCGCGAGTAAAGAAAGACAAATACACTGAAGAGAAAATATGTTGGCTGCAGTACGCAGGTGAGGACGTATCCTTTGAAGAATCGTGGGGCCTGTACTGTAGGCCAAGCGAGGAGGGGAACCCAAGCATTGAAGGCTGTACCAGTGGCCAACATTGCACTGATTATGAATGCTCTTTCTTCCGCATCTGCGGCGCAGACGAGATTTGCATGAGAATAGATGACGGGTGAAAGGGAGACCAACATGTACCCGATGGACACGGCGAACCTGAAGCAAAGTTAGCCTACTTTCCTGGAAGCGCCAGGCAATGACCTACCATTTCCAAGCAAAAGAGGAGTGATCATATATGACGAAGCCAAGGGAGCCCATGAATGTCATGAATGTGACAAACCCAAAAAGGGGGATTTTCGCCTTCTCGCCCCATTTGTCAACGATCCATGAGAAGGAGAAGATGAACACAACTCCCAAGCTAGGGCTGATGGCCTAAACACTGTCAGTGAGTCTAATCTCCGACGTTTTCTTACTTTGCATCACTTACCGTGTAGTTGTTCACTTGAACCGTGCTGTATTGTGGTTGCGCACGAAGCCACAGGATGTGATTCGACCACCAACCCATTCCGAGGATCCAGATGATGTTCCATGGGATCAGCACCCAGAAATGCCACCTGCCAACAAAGCGCTTCACGGAAGAAAAGGCAAATGGAAGTCCTTGGGGAGGCTTGCGACCAACCAAACGCATTCTCTCAATCGCAATATCGTGTTCTTCTTGCGTGAGGAACCATCGCTTTTTGCCTCTGAGCGCTCCAGGAAAGAATATAGCGCCGAAGAGGGCAATCGGAAACGTGCAGATTGAAGCGATTAGGAACATCCATCTCCAACCAGGATGTCCAAGTGCGCCGTTCAGACTTTGGAAGATCCTTGCGGCAATCAAACCTGTGGATATTGTTCCGACCCCTGAAGACACGTAGAAGATGCCAGCTCGTCGAACGAGCTCGTCAGGGCGATACCAGCTGCCAAGACAGTAGTGAATCGTGCAAAAGAAAGGCCCTTCACAAAGGCCGACAAGGAATCTGTAAGCTGCCAACTGGCTGAAGCGAGTCGCCCAGAAAGAGAGCATGGTGAAAAGACCCCATGAGAAAGTCGACACTGGAAGGACTATGTGGGCGGGGATCTTGGTGACAAGGAGGGTTGATGGGATCATGGACCTGGAAGCATAGTAAGATGTCCGTCTCCCTCGATCGCATGGCTTCTGACTTACACTGCATAGCCGACGGTGAAAATGGACGTCAGCTGCACATATTGGTTGCCGAAAAACTTCAAGTCTATCAGGTATCAGCGGCTTGTCATGGCTGGCTCATTCCGGCGTCTGACCTTCTCTCATCCCGCTGACATAGGCATTACCCAGGATACCTCTATCGATATACATGATCTGCTTTACATCAGAAATTTCATCTTGACGCTTCGTTGTTTTCACTTACCCAGAAGCCCATGCATGCAAAAGACAATATAAAAAAGTCCAATTTCAGTATCAGCTTGCGCTCTGCAGGGCCGTCATTCTTGTCGAACCAAGCGAAAAAGCTCCTTTCTTTCGAAGGATTTGGGTTCGCTCCATATGGATTGTTCACCGGGGTATGCTCCTTCGACTCGGGACTGGAGTCTCGAATAGCGGTCACCGAGATGGCTTCCTGCTCTTTCGACATCTTTGCTACTGGAGGTTGCCGCCTTGAGAAAAGGTATGTACCACTAGGAATGAACAATGACCCTGGTCAACTCCGTCTTTATACCAACCACGGCTATACCATTTTCTTTTCTAAGCACCCATAGTATTTCTGTCGCCATCACACCATCAGATTGCGTCAAGCAACCGTTGGAGGGAGAAATCCTAGACCCTGAACTAAGGTTACCCAAACGATTGTCCTCTCACTCTATCTCCGACGATCGGATGGATACACTAAGCACGCCATGCGAGCAAGTCCGCCACTGTTTTGGACTATCTGGTAGTGGAGCAGGGCTAAGGACATTATAGCACTCTCGGCAAGCTAGTCTTGACACCCACAAGGCACCGTATCAGGAGGGGTACAGTATGCTACTCGAACTCTCGACCCGCTACGGTATCAATATCTCAAGCTCTCCTGATCTGTGAATGCATTGAAGAGAACCCGAGGTGGAAAGAACGCTAGCTGAACGATTTCACCTTTTTAAGCCATTCCTGGACGCTGGCATTTACCAGACAACCGGCTTCTGAAGCCTTCTTTTTATTCATCAAGGAACCATTAGACCGACCTTCTGGAAAGAAACCCGCAGAAACCATGGCAAGTACCATCGAGGCTACTTTTGCTGCCCCCAGTCCATCCGACACAGCTTCATTGAGGAGCTCATTCGACGTTCTAGAGACACCCTTGACCGAGATAGAGGTTGAAGATACTCCCTCGGTGACATTTCCCGAGAGACCCGTCAAGGTTATCATTGTTGGTGCTGGAATTGGGGGCATTTCTGCGGCTGTCCTGTTGTCTCACAAGGTCAACAATCTGACCTACACTGTCTACGACCGGAATGCCAAAGTGGGAGGGACTTGGGCCGAAAACACATATCCCGGAGTTCGATGTATGTTGCTTAAATGTTTCCTGGATCTGGTTATCATCGTCTTGCATCACTGACCAATACTAGGTGATGTGCCATCCCACGTGTATCAACTGACATTCGCGCCAAACACTGACTGGACCGAGTACTACTCTCCAGGTTCAGAGATTCAGCAATACTACCAAAGGGTAGCTGAAGAATATGGTGTCAAACCTAATCTCAGACTGTCGCATGAAGTTCTCTCTGCTAGATGGCTGACTCAGGAGCATGAGTGGGCGATTGAAGTGAAAGATTTGGCTTCCGGTAATATCTTCACCGACAGAGCCAACTTCTTTGTTTCTGCTCCTGGACGAGTCAACCAGCCGTACTATCCGGATCTCAAAGGGCTGGAGGAGTTCAAAGGAACCGTAATTCATACAGCCCGATGGAATGCCAACGTCGATCTCCGCAACAAGCATGTAGCTGTGATTGGAAACGGCGCCAGTGGGCAGCAGATTTTACCCAACATCTTGCCTGAAGTGGCACACATCGACCATTACGTCCGGTCAAAGACGTACGTCAGTCCAACGTTCCGTCAAGGCCTGATTGAGGCTTCCCAGGAACTCCCAGGCGGGCATATCTATTCGGAGGAAGAGAAGAAGTCGTTTCGCGATCACCCCGAGAAGTATCTGGCGTATCGAAAAGACCTAGACAAGACACACTATGGAGGTGTCAACAACCGCTTTGCCACGATCGGAAGTGAAGCGAACCAAAAACTCCGCGAAAGTCTGTTGTCTGGAATGCTGCAACGCTTGAAGGGAGACAAGGAGTGGCTCGCTCGCCTGACTCCGGACTACGCACCAGGTTGCAAGAGACTCACACCAGCCCCCGGATACCTTGAGGCGCTCATCGGACCAAAGGTCGAATTTGTTGACACCAGCATAGCCCGTGTGACGGCTACGGGCCTGGAAACTGAAGATGGAAACGTGAGGAACGTCGACGTGATCATCCTCGCAACAGGATTCCGAGATGGCTTCTATCCGCGATTTCCCACAATCGATGAAAAAGGCCAGGACCTGTCCCAGGCCTGGCGACCAGGTGGAGAGATTGGGTTTCCCGAGACGTACCTGGGCATTATGGCCCCACGGATGCCGAACTACTTCTTTGTGCTGCAGGCGCAGGGTAACGCGTTCGGTGGGACTGTGCCGTACCAGTGCGAAATCTCTGCGACGTACATTGCACGCGTGATCCGCAAAGTCCAGCGCCACGGGTACAAAGCCATCCGCCCCTCGCCAAGAGCGGCGCAGGAATTCAGCGTCGTTGTTGATCGGTATTTCGAAAATTCGGTCATTAACGACGGATGCCGCACTTACTTCAAACTGGGCGGGAACACGGGCAAGGCGAGGAACGTGATTGGATTTCCCGGCACGACCAGACAGAGATTGGAAGTTCTGTCTGAGCCCAGATGGGAGGATTTTGTCTTTGCAGACCCACGAGATGGGGACGAGTTTGGTCCAGACGTAGACGCAGCCGCAGGGACCACCACCGCCGCCACCATGACATTGGACGACTTGGAAAAGAATAACCGGTTCTTGAGATTCTGGGGCGATGGCAGGACAGCTCTTGACAGGGCGAACAACTTGGATGCTATGACTGACTATCTGACGGAAGTTGGCAAGGTGGACTTGAGACGTTTACACGAGGAAGTGGTGTGATGAATGCTTAATGTCGGTACCTGTCCATTAGGAAGGAATGTCTACGAGTACAAGCTTGATTTCACATGATGATGTACATAGTGTAGAAGGCGGGAAAATTTACATCCAACCATTACCATTGTTGTAACTTTACCAGTCTCCTATTTCGTCCCATGTCCTTTGGAGTTCCTGGATGGACAGGTGTGGGTCTCTGTGGGAAACCGGCTGGAATCGAGATGGGGGCTGAGGGCCTCGGGCTCCTGACTCAGGAATCAAGGCTGCCGGTTTTCCAAGGTGTCTAATACGAGTAATGTCTTTCAGTTTGTCTCAAGGAGGCAAGTGGAAGAGTCGAAGCCGGGCTGGCTGTTGAATGAGGCTCGAGACTGTCCAATCGAATCAACCCCCCAGGAGAACAAAGACGAGGCGAGGGCCACATGTTGGAACTTAGATTAAGTGTATCCTGGCCTCCTTCTCCACCATATCTGGAAAATTCCCATGTCTGGTCAAGGCAAAAGCACCAATAAAGACGGCATACTGTATCTATGCGAAATGTTTGGTCGACATGACGACTTGGGGCGTTGGAATTGCGTGACCAGGTAGCCTCGAGCCCATATCTCTGTGTTGCCGGTTTTGGTACTTTTTTAGTGGGTCGCGCCCCACCTGTCAGGAAGACTACTCAAACGTCCAACAACCACTAGCTAGTAGGTACCGGATACCACTGTCTAGTATCATTGTTATTTCTTGAATCTCGTATCTTGTACGTGCCGTGTCTCTTGTCTCCTGTTGCTGCGGCCATAACCACACATTGTCTTCGTAGTCTACGCTATCGCCATCGCTGTCTCCATCGCTGCTGTCATTGGCGCCAAGCGGTGTATGGCGCGCATTGTGCAATACGAAATAGCTATGTCGACATCCATTACAGAAGAACTTTGGATGGGGTCAGTGTTATGATATGGGATCCAAGAAGCGATATCGGATGCTCTTGCAGGTTTCACACGTGGTTGTAACGCGGTTCCAGGCACCTGGGAACGACAAAGTACGTTTGTGGGTTCCGTCGTTCGTCAGGACGATGCTTTCTTGGTTTCTCGGTTTTTCACACAGTAAAAAGATTTGCCCATTGCATAATTCCACGTGGCTGTCGAAAGATAGCGTTGCCACTGTCGGTATCTGGGTAGACCTGGGACTTTCTGCCATCTACCTCCGCTGTAATTTGGCCTTCCTGGACTTGATCTGACTTCGCCCCCCCTGACCCTACACGAACGATGGCGACTACGAATTCTATACTGCCCGAACGGCATGCGCCCGGTGTAGTCACAAACGGCCAAGCGAAGAAGAAACGAATTCTTCTAAACGCCTTTGATATGAATGGCATCGGACACATAAGGTACAGAAAGACGCACCATGATATAACGTTCTTCGTTTTCGCTCGATGGTGTTCTGAGGACTGACTTGTGACAGTCCAGGCCAATGGCGCAATCCAATCGACAAGTCTAAATACAAGAATAGATTGGAATACTGGCTTGATCTTGCGAAGCTATTGGACCGCGGGAAATTCAACGCCCTCTTTCTCGCGGACAACTTTGGATCCCATGACATTTACGCGGGGAGCCATGATCCTGCTATCCGCGCAGGCACTCAGTGGCCCATGTATGATCCGTTTGTGGTGAGTTTTGTCTACGTTGACACGAACCGACAAAAGAGCCAATAACTGCGTTCGGAATCGGTATACCCGAGACTATACTAACGACATGGTTTGTGTTTGTCTTACAGATCATTTCCGCCATGGCGTCCGTGACGAAAAACGTAGCGTTTGGGGTCACGTCCTGCACGACCTTTGAACCGCCCTTTTTGTTGGCGAAGAGATTTTCGACCTTGGATCATGTTACCAGGGGACGGATTGCGTGGGTAAGACAACATTCTGCCCCTCTCTCGGAAAGCTGCAAGCATGCAGTATGGAAATCTACCACCGCTAACCTGGCCGTGTCTTCGCTAGAATATTGTCACATCTTGGTCCGACAATGCAGCGAGAGCAGTGGGCCTCGAAGAGTTGCCGGAACATGATTTGAGATATGAAATGGCCGAGGAATATCTTAATTTGATGTATAAGTGCGTTCGCCATTCCCCTTTCATATACTTGACACAGTCCGAAGTTCAAAAGCATAAAGGTACATCATGTGCTAACCGCCAAATCACAATTGTCAGACTCTGGGAGGGCTCTTGGGCCGACGACGCCGTCATTCAAGATGCTGAACACGCAACGTACACCGATCCTTCCAAGGTCCGGAAGATCTCGCACAAAGGTCGCTTCTTCAAGTGCGTGAGCGCACACTTGGTGGACCCGTCACCTCAACGAACGCCGGTGCTATTTCAGGCTGGGATGTCACCGTACGTTTTGTCAAACTCATGCCTCTGTCATCCCCTCCCCTCATCAAACGGCCACTGCCATAGCTTGTGAGGCTCACGCGATCGCGATGCTGATTCTTCTTTGCCAGGGCCGGTGCGGCATTCGGTGCCAAACACGCGGAATGCATCTTTATCGGCGGTAGATCTCCCGCATTCGTACGTACCAAGATCGACGAGACGCGCAAATTGGCGGCGTCTCAAGGCCGAGATCCCCGTTCTCTGAAATTCTTCGTACAATTTACACCGATCCTCGGCGCCACGGACGAAGAAGCAAAAGCAAAACTAGCCGAGTACCGCAAATACGCCATTCCCGAGGGTGGTCTGGCGTTGTTTTGCGGGATCTCCAAGATCGACGTGAGCAAGTTTCCCCTGGACGAAGAGTTCCCCAAGGACAAAGACCACGCGTTGTACGTCGGTCTGAGCCCGCGTGCTGTGGAAGCACTCACCCACAAGCCCGATGGATTCGAGACATGGACACCGAGAGACCTTGGAAATTTCCAGGCAATCGGCGGCAGTGGGACCTTCCTCGCGGGCAGCGCCCAGACTGTCGCGGATGAGATGGAGAGATGGATTAACGAGGGGGACGTGGATGGGTTCAATATCGGACATGTCGTTGTGCCAGGGGCGTGGGAGGACGTGGTCGATTTCTTGGTCCCAGAGCTAGAGAAGAGGGGATATGATCAAGACTATCCGGCTGAAGGGGCCACCGCGAGAGAGAATTTGTACGGGGCTCCCGGGGCATGGAAACTGAGAGAGGACCATCCGGGTAGGAAATTTGCTTTTGATGAGTACGGGAAAAGTTGGCAGTGATTGAGACTCATCTTTTTCTAGAACGCCGTTTTTGGAACGATGGAAGGGCCATGTGTGGCCAGGTATATATGCGTACCAAAATAGACTCTCCTTCCTCCAACGTGGGACTACACCAAAGGCCCAATGTTAGTCCGGAATAGGTTGTTGTGAGCAAGGAGCTCTTCATCTGTGATGGAATAGAAAGGGGCGCGCTAACCATATGAGGATGTGTCCATCTTACCTCCCGGGGCCCTTAAGCCTGAACCCTCACCCTCACTTGTCTTTTGTACTCTGCACGAGAGTATTCATCCACTCACTGCGCACGACGGCAAGTGAGTGATTTTAATGCTGGAGGGAACGCGCTAGGCTCAGAACACCGATTTTGGCGCCTCTCACTCTTTGCGGGACTCTCGAGCGCTCTCGGTAGTATTGGGCCATCCATCAGTCGCAGGATGCTCGAAAAGACTGCTAAACTGGTCTCTACATCAACTGAATTGATCGGAGCTTCCGGGTGTCATTATTTGTTCAGAGAGTTGGTTCAGGAGAGGCCACACCTGGGTCGTGTTTGGGTGGCGACGTAAGAGCCTCCACAAGACTCACATCCAACCCAAGCTGACCAACACTAACTTACAGGTCGGGACAAGATCGATTTGTCTTGAAAGACATTCCCAAAGAGATATTCTCCAACTTCTGCGAGAATATATGGCCCAAACTCCGCAACTCTTCGTACGCCCGGTTACCATTTGACACAATCCAGGACCAGCGTGTCTTTGCTTACAAGTATTTGGACGACGACTTCCTCAACCTAGTCAAGAAGCAAATCCCATTGAAGGCTAGGAAGGAGATACTCAAAACCAGTCTGCAGGGGATTGCCGAACTGCACGACCGGGATGTTGTTCACCTGGGTATCTTAAAAGGCCTTGTGTCCCTTGAGCTTGCGACACGGTGTTAATCATTTTTCAGATCTCAAACCGGACAACATCATGGTTGATTGCCACCAAGACGGTCAAGAAATAACCGTTAAGCAGGTTCAGGTCACCGACCTGGAAAATGCGGCTCATCTTCCCAAAGGCAGATGCATCAAAGGGATGCTGGCCGGAAATGACAACTGGCGCAGCCCAGAGGGACATTTCAAGGCTGAACTGAACAAACCGTCTGATATATTCACTTTTGGAGCCGTGGTGAGTGGTTTATTCAAGCTGAATAACTAGAACACCCTATAACGTGCAAACCCAGTGCATCTACGCCATGCTCGGACGCGCCATCTTTGGACCTGACGATGATTTCCGAAAGCACCAAGCACAGGGTGCACTTCCTCACCTTGTTCGCTTGCAGTGTCAGGTTTCATACTTCGGAAACCTAGAAGGACTAAATGGGCTCATGAAGCACGTTGGCGACGAGGAAGTCAATTGCCAGGTGTTGGGGATGCTTTGGGAGGAGCGGAGCGCCGACTACATCCCTTACAAGCCATTTTCGGAATGGCCGGAGGTCACGAACACGACGTTCAAGGGTCTCGTTCAGGGAATGATGAGCTTGGACCCTACCAAGCGGATCACAGCACGTCAAGCCTTAGAGCATCCCTGGTTGAATGATACCGAGATGGCGTAGTCGGAGTTCTCAACGGTGGGAACTCGCACTCAGCTTTCTGTTTGGTATCTCTCATCTCTGTTGATCGGGTCTGACGACCACTCACATAGGCGGTGATATTTCTGGAAATCGCCACTGAGCAGATTCGGCACCAATTCGCCCTGCTATTCGGAAACCACCAGTATGCTTCGACCAAGAGTCGGGTCCTCAGGGAGCAGCCGAGCTGACTCCACCCTTTGATTTGACGATGCTGATTGGGGTGTGCCGGTATTCAATCTTCATGACCTCGACAGCACCAGCTTTACTTCTTGTCCAAATCCAGTACCGAGTGCCTAGCTGAGGGTGTCAGAATGGTTTCAGATCGAGTCCTAGTATGACAGCAAGGGTGTTCCATTGCAATCCAGATAATATGTTCGACAAATTCTGGCCTAGGTCTGGGGACTTTCCTTTCATTCTCTGATTCCTTTTGTTGAGGAGGCCGCGGCTTTCCCCAGGATGTTTGGGATGATGCTATAACACACTTCGAAGGTAAAAACAGAGACATAGTTGCCAAACAGCAAACGATTTTTTGTTCGTGTCCACATACCTACACTCTACATTTTTATCTATCCTGCTGCTAAAGTAGGGAGGAAAGTAAAGTTCGGGCCTAGATCTAATGCACGTGTACTGGAATTGCACCGCCGACTTTTTCAGTGTGGATCAGTTGAACACGACAGTCTTGTGTCCGTTGAGGAAGACTCTCTGCTCCGACACCCATTTCACGGCGGCGGCCAGAACCTGGGATTCGACATTGCTTCCCTCGTCGACGAGTTCCTTGGGTGTCATGCTGTGGTCGACGCGGGCGACGCGCTGCTCGATGATGGGGCCCTCGTCGAGGTCGGCGGTGACGAAGTGGGCGGTGGCGCCGATGATCTTGACGCCGCGGTCGTAGGCCTGGTGGTAGGGCTTGGCGCCCTTGAACGACGGCAGGAAGCTGTGGTGGATGTTGATGATCTTGCCGGACATGACCTCGCAGAGCTTCGGGGAGAGGACCTGCATGTACCGCGCCAGCACGACGAGGTCGATCTTGTGCGCGGCGATGAGCTCGAGGATGCGCGATTCCTGCTCGGCCTTGGTGTCCTTGGACACGGGGAGGTGGTGGAACGCGATGTCGTAGGACTTGGCGAGCGGCTCAAAGTCCGGGTGGTTGGACACGATCAAGGGCACCTCGATGGGCAGTTGCCCGGTCTTTTGCCGGAACAGGAGGTCGTTGAGGCAGTGGCCGATCTTGGACACCATGATGAGCACGTTTGGCTTCTGCGACACGGGCCGGAGCGAGTAGTCCATCTGCATCGAGGCGGCGAGCGCGTCGAATTCCGGAACGAGGAACCCCGTCGTGTCGGCGGGGCCAAAGTGCACCCTCATGAAGAATTTCTCGGAGTCGCGGTCGCTGAATTGCTGGAGGTCTAGAATGTTCAGGCTGTTCTGGGCGAAGATGCCGGTCACGGCGTGGACGATGCCCGGTTTGTCCGGGCAGGAGAGCGTGAGGATGTGGTCGTTGGCCATTTTGGTGACGACCGGCGATGATGCCTTTGACTTGAATTGCAGGGACGACGAGGAGAAGAAGCACACCCGCTTAGCGAAGCGAGGTGGGATTGTGGTTGCGGCTGTGGTTGTGGTTGTTTGTGCTAATGGCCGCAGGATTGGTCGCGTTGTAGCTGAACAAGCGAAACTTGCTGATCGGAGCAGCAGGACCATGTCAAGAGACCCGGGACTCTGGACCCTGTACTCGAGATCCTACTAGAGTCAGCGGTATTGGCTGTGTCGTAGATGTAGGTGTGGCTGGACGCAGATAGACCGTAGTCATTATTCACAAGGCTGAAAATTTTAAGCCGGTACCCCATGGGTGTCGCCGTTTTGGGTTAGCGTTGTCTTGGGATAGCACCTAAGTACGATGGGCGAAGCTGTGCAGGTAGGTTGACATGTTACTGATCTCGGGAGACTACGAAGCGAGCTCATGCCTTGATACAATTAACCCCCATTTCCATGAATCCGAGAGAGAACTTGAGCGATGAAGAGCAGAAAGAAAATGGGCGAGGTGTAGGAAAATGAGCCTGTTCGGGTAACTGCTGTACCGTATTCTTTCTACGGCGGATCTTTGCTCCTCTCGGGCTTCGTTTCAAGCTTGACACGTCCAAACTTCGTGATTCGGATGAAATAAGTAATAAGATCATCACCAAATTGCTCGAATTCGGCCAGAGAAACTGTCTGTTTGAACCGTGTCCCAATCTCAAGGTTCCATCAATGAACGGTCGAAACAGCTCCGTGTCTTGGTAAGAAGCAGCGTCTATGATTGGCAACGCTTCACTTTCTAGCGAGTCCAAGTCTTGCCGTAGTCTAGGCATCCGTCTCCACCAAATTCCTCAGGAGAACAAAGAAATATCAGGGGACTCAGCAAGCGTCGACGATCTGTAACTCTCACCACTACAGCTTTTGATCCAGGTAAATCTTCAAGAGGAAACCACCGCTCCGACTGATCCATGTGAGTGGATGAGTTGCCTGCGATTGTGTAACCATCTCAGGCTGCCAGCCGGTGCCTACACCGTCTCTCGCCATCTCTTCTCTGTGTGCCCTGGTACATAAGTATGTCTACTGACCTCAGGACTCTGCTTGAACTCAACGAACCCATCGCACGTGAATCCAATATCGCGACGCTCAGATTATCATTGTTTCGAAACCGTTCATTTTGCAAGCTCGTGCATTTGGCATACAGTCAAGTTATCATCCACCAGTCGACCTGCTCTCCACCGAGACTTCTAACAATTGTCCGACAGCTGTTTCAGCAACCCAAGTCATCATGGAGCTTCCCAAACCTCCAGTCCCCGTCCCTGAATTCGTTGACTATGTCAACAGGTACCCAAAATCCCAAGCTGGCGTCGCTGAAGCCGTCAAGCCGTTCAAAGCTTTCGAAAGCAAGCTCAGAGAGGTCTATGCACAACACCCTGATAATCCTGCGGCGACCGCCAATTATCTAGTCCCCGTATTCGACAGTGCACCTCTCACCATAAGAGCAAGAGACACCGGTCAAGAGCCGTCCACCGAGCAAGAGAAGTATCTGCTGCCCCTAACTGACGAGCTTCGGAGAAAGCACGAATCCCCGGCTACTGTGCAATCCCTCAAAGAGTTCAAGACAAACTTCAATGTGTTCTCCGAGTCGTCTTTGGTTGACCTGGATTGGAGCAATGTGGTCGTTGCCGGAAGTGCTGTAGTCACGTCCTTGCTCCCAGTGGATGCACCTCACAATGAGTCCAAGGTATGCCAGACCAGTCTTAGAGAGCCAGAGTCTGACATCTGACCCAGAGAGCCCTTCGATCATACTATCATGAAGACCTCGCACCCGCATCTGACGTTGACATCTTCCTCTATGGGCTGAATGAGGAGCAGGCCATCGACAAGATCAAACAGATCGAAGCCAAAATCCGTGATAGTATCCTCGCCGAGACCACCACAATCCGCACCAAGAATGCCATCACCATTGTCTCAGAGTACCCGACTCGCCATGTCCAGATTGTGCTTCGATTGTACAAGAGCATCTCTGAAATCCTGACGGGATTTGATGTTGACTGCTCGTGCGTTGCGTATGACGGTGAACAGGTCTGGGCCTCTCCCAGAGCGCTGGCAGCCTTTATGACACAGATCAACACAATCGATTTGACTAGGAGATCCCCCTCGTATGAGAATCGGCTGTCAAAGTATTCTCACCGTGGCTTCGAAGTTTTCTGGCCTGCGATCGACCGTCCTCGCATTGGTCCAACAATATTTGAACGTTCCTTTACAAGAGTTCAAGGTCTCGCACGACTGCTCGTCCTAGAGAAGCTGCCTCATCCGAATGATCGAGATACCTACCTTGCCCAACGTCGAGAGGAAAGAGGCCGGCCACCATTACCACGGCAAAAAAGATATCGGCATGAATTGCCAGGAAACATCAAAGACGCTCAGCCAGATGACGTTGCCGAATGGGTTGAAGGAGACGAAGTGTCCAACTACCACACCGTAGGGATCCCGTATGGGCCAAGATACAACGCCAAAAAGATTGAGAAGCTACTTTTCACAAAGGATCTGCTCCTGAACGCTGAATGGAACAGACCTAAGGACCGAGAGACGAAACTACATCGCCATCCAGCTTTCTTCGGGTCTGTCAATGACGTGATCCACGACTGTTGTGGGTTCTGCCCTCAGCCCACAACAGATGCTGACCTAGCAGCTTATGAGGAGGAGACCAAAGTCTATATCTCTGGAAACCTCACTTTTCTCAAAGACGACCCTGGGAGACAGGCTATCGGCAGCTTTAATCCCATCACTGATGACGATTGGACCGAAATGGCTTACGTGGGGAACACCACCAGACTCTGTCAAGCCATCGTAGACCACGATCTAGAGGCTGTGAGAGACTGGTTTTCCTCTCCGGACGTGGTAGATGTCAATCGACGTGATCATACCGGCCGAACCCCTTTGCACCTAGCTACATTATGCTCAACTCCTGAAATTGTCCAGTGCCTTATCGAGCATGGTGCTCGTCTTGTTTCCAGGTTGTACAACGGCATGACGGCTTTGCACATCGCAGCTCATCGTGGCAACGTCCAAATGGTGAAACATATTCTAAAGAAGAGCGCGACAAATGAAGAAGAAGAATCGCAAAAAGAAGAGGCGAGAAAGGAGCAGCGAAGAGCCACAGCTTCTGGAGCCCTAGACAAAGAAGCCTCAAAGCCGGAAAACGAAAGCGCTGATTCGTTCGAGTCTGATGAAGACGTGGACGAAATGGAGGATGAAGATGAAGACGAAGACGAAGACGAAGCCTTCACTGAAGAATCTTTCGTGAAGATCCGCGGCGGAGAGGAGGTTCCAGACGCTATGGCAGCAGATGACAAAGATGAGCCAGACGTCTTTGACATTGATGTCCTTGCTTGGGATAGTCCTCTGTCTCCTCTTCACCTCGCTATCCTGGCGGGTCACACAGATGTCATCGATTTGCTGATCGACGAATATGGTGCTGACGCTCTCTTGCCAGTGAAAATACTGGACAGCTATGATAGAAAGTCAGCCCGTGCGGCAATTCTTACAATTGTACTGGCCCTTGAGCTTCCCCTGCAGAAAGCAAACGAGACGATCAAGACTCTCATCTCTCATGGCGCAAGTCCAGTCCAGGCAGACAACAATCACATCACAGCCATCCATTTCGCGGTTGACCATGCCAAGGCATCGATCCTGGAGACGCTCCAAAACGCCGACGACACTGCATTTTCGAACGCTTGCAATTTCCTGGCTGTCTCAGGTTGGTACTCCAGTCCGTCAATCAAGGCCCCTATTACCACCGCCATTTGTACGCGCAAGGTGGAAGTAGTTCAGACCTTACTGAATGCTGGAGTACGACCACACATTGACTTGGAGTCATTTGCCCAAGCTTTCAAGCGAGGCATCAAAGGACATGTTACAGACGACCCCGAGCAAATCAAAACAATCTATCAACAACACGTGGAACAACCAATCGTTCTTGCTCTCAACATGGAAATGATAGATCTCGTCAGTCAACTGGTGGACATGGGAGAAGATGTCAACACCCTACCGACCTCTGCCCACCAGTATCTTGCCAATGCACACTGGAGAGGAGAGCCCAAGTCACTACTGGACCTTGTCCGGGACAGGGCCAAGTCTCTTGAAAGCTCTTTGCACCCGGGCCCCGAAGCAACATTAGAGGAGCCAAAGTCATTGGGGAGTGACGAAAGGTATTTGTCTTCTGGTCAAGGAACCTATCAATACTGGACGGCATATCATGATCTTCGTGAGGCGAAACTTGTTGAGAAATATCAACGAGAGGAATACCAACACCAACTCGTGTCATCCTCCATACCAGCAGAGAATGGAACACAGGAGAAGCATGCTGCCATCCGAGACACTCTGTTGAAGTTGTCGAAACTTGAACAAAAACTTATCTCCAAAGGTGCTAAACCGTTCCACGAGCTGCACAACGTTGAAGTCTCTGATGTTAACTTGAGGCGAAATCTTTACGCGTATAATCCCGAACCAAGATTCAAAAATGTGCCATATGAAACAAAGATCTCATTCAGAGTGGCCGACCTTACCCCGGAGAAGCACGCCAAATACCTCATGCTCTTTGAGGCGGCTTGGAGTGGCGATTCGGATACCGTTCGATCACTGTGCTTGGAAGGCTCCCGACCACTCTCCGTAGCAGTCTCGGATCTTCGCTCGTTCAGCCCCTTCTCCATTGCGGTCCTTCGCGGACATCTTGAGCTCGCCACCTTGATTGTCGAAATAGCCACGGCTCAGTACCAGCCTGACAAGAAGTCGGACCAGTATCACTATACTGTCCAAGCTATAGACGACGACGAGGACAGTGACTATAGCGAGAGGGAGAGTTCCGAGGACAGCCGTGAGGTCAAGGTTCTGGCGCAGTTGGTCAATGACACCTTCACTATTGACGATGTGGTTGCTCTCGCGGAGAACGTCAAGTCGAAGATTTCCCCTGAGACTCTGGTGAAGTGGAATTGCAACGTTGATCGCGCTCTTGCTGAAGATGCGGACGAAGCCAAGGTCAGCGAGGCCTTCGGCACCTATCGCCGGCCGACTGTCTGGATGCGTGGAAACCGCTCAGCTCAGTCCTGGTCGTGGTTTCACGAAGCCTTCGATTCGATCCAGAACACACGTCGACACAGTCTTGTTCGATATGCAATATTCACCAACGACTTGGTATTGCTGAAGTTTCTGATCAAGACCGGCACGGCAATAGCTATCCGCAAGGAAGACGAAGAAAATCTCAAGATCATGAATATCGACCAAGGTGACTTTGAACTTGCTGTCAGACTCGGCAGACTCGAGATGATAAGTGAGATGATCCGAACGACTGGTTACGGTTTACCTCTGCAGAAGATGTTTCAAACCTCTGGTGTCAAAGTCGACGAGAAGCCACAATACTATCAAGGGTTGACGGTACATGGTAAGAAGCGTCAGGACTGGGCAGACGCAAGTCGAAAGGGCGGCCACTACAGAAAGACCGAATCATCTGATCTTGGCATTCCATTGCTTGTCGCGGCTTTTGAAGGGAACCTTGAGGCAACAGAGTACTTCCTGTCCGACGCACCCCTCCACCGCTACCTCGAGTTTGCAGATTCATTTCGCGGTGACAAGCATATTCGGGCTTTGGCTCAAGCCAAAGGCGGTCTTCAGGGGTCATTAACGGCATGGCTTGGAACACGCAGCGGGCTTGCTCTGCATCTTGCTATCCTTTCGGTGCCCAACAAGGACGGTTCTCAGCCGACACTGGATTATCTACTCAAAAAGATGCCAGAGTCCCTCGAGCTGCGGTCGGCAAATGGAAGTACCCCCCTTCACGTTGCATTCCAGCCCAATCGATACTATGCCGCGAAGAAATTGATCGCCGCCGGTGCAAATCAAGCCACAAGGGACGAAAACGGGAGGAACATCCTTCACAGCCTCTTGGACACTTTTGACTTTGACAAGCCCGCCTTGCTCCAATCCGTCCTTGGTATGCTTGACCGGGGTCTTGTCGGATCGTTGCTTCTTGAACGATGCACCGGAACCGATCCCGGAGGACTTACACCCATTTCTTTGTACCTCAAGCGCATCAACACTCCGACGGGATGGGAGGAAAGTGTGAAGCTGATCCTCTCATACTCACAGGGCAAAGACTTGGAGAAGATGGATGGTGCCGGTGATTACCCTCTCCACAGCCTCGTACGTCGTGGGTCCCTCGAGCTCGTGAAGTTCCTGGTCGAGTACAGCCCTAGTCTTCTCCACTGGGAGAATGCAACGGGAATGACGCCTCTCGACGTTGCGATGGCAAAGTACCTTGGATCACTGATTGAACATCCACCTAACATCGTGAACTCGACCAGCTGGAGTGTGGCAAGCGTGCCGGCGATGGACTTCGCAGCGAAGCGAGGAAGAGACCAGAATGATGATGAAGAAGGCGTAGACAACTACTCCGACCGAAGCACGGATTGGCAAGTGTACCGTCTCGTTGAGTCGCTCGTGGCCAAACACCCCGCAAAGAGAAAGCTCGTCGGCCTTCACGACGCGAATGAAGTTGCTAAGCGGCTTGCGGCCCAGCAGCAGAAGAAGAACGCCGAGATGCGACGCCGCGAGAAACTAGGGATGAATGCTGGAAGCGGCCGCGGGTACTCTTATCGGTATCAGTATCAGAACCAAGAAAGCACGACAGGACCGGAAGACGAAGTCAGCCTGAACCTTGTCAAAGCCCGGCGGTTTATCCCTTGGGATGAAATGGCGTGGAGGATAAATGAGGCCGGTGAGAAGGGCATTGAGTACGAGTACACGAGGAAGATGGGAGAGTAGTTGGTGGACTGACTGACTGACGGCAATGCGCTATTTCGTGAGTGTATATTGAGGGACAGATCACGGTATTCCCGATGGTGTGTCATGTCATGGTGGTATCGGTTTCTTGTGGGATCCATGGCCAAAAGAAAAGAGTCGACAGTCGACTCTTTTTAAATATTCTGGCATCAGAAAACCCGGAGAGACGAGATTCAAGTAGTAGATCGATTTGATGCCTGTCAGAACTTTAGCTGAACCGGTGTTTGAACTCACTGAGATCTGATGATCAGGCTTTTGATCTGTAATAGTGTTAGTGAAGTCTCTTTGAAAGGGGCCGAGAAGAATTAATTAATTCTCATACCTTGCGAATAATCTTTTCGAACGGTCGGGGATTCGAACCCCTTTATCTTCCTTTACTCGCCCGCGGCCCTCGGTGTGTTCCTTGCTCGCCGCAGTGAATGGACGTCCGCCACATAGCCATGTGGTTTTAACCTGAGCCATCACTGCGGGGTCTTGGTGATTGTGAGGAAAATTCACGGGTCGAATTGTTAGCCGTTTGAATATTCGGTGGTGAGTGAAGTGCTCTTTGGTGGTGGGTCCTGGACTCCTGATGTGTGAAGCAAGGCAAGGCTGGCATATAGCCTCGTCAACACTAAGGTGAAGCGAGGAACAGTTGTGAGTTTGTGTGATGACCGAGTCACCGAGTATGCAGCATATCAGTTACCAGGTACCTGGTTGTACCTACCCAACCACTATTCCCGAGACGAACGATCGAGTACATGATGTACATCTATCTCCTGAAGATCTACGCCGTTATGGACTAACTACCAAGGGGTTCATCGCTTTACCTTCACAGGGGACTTTATACTTTATCAGATTGTTCGTCACAAGTGTGACCTAACCCGTTGCTCTCTCGCCTTCTTCACAATAACCTTCTCGTCATCGCCGCTCGCCCTCCATTCACAAGGTGAAGGCTCCTCCTGCTTTGCGGCGCAGTCTCGCCGTACCTACAGCTCAGCGAAGAGTGCAGGGAAATTTCCCGCCGCTTTTGGAGGCTTTCTTCCACGACGCCAAGGACCCTCCTCTTTGGGCAGTTCCTGCATCAAGCCTCACCCTCCTGGGTCTACCTTCAAGCATTCTATGAAAGAAGTTTGCGGCCTAACCCAATATTACATCCACTTTGCGACGTTGGCCGACCCTTTCTTACCTAGTTCGCTTGCGGATCTCTAGGATTTGTCATGAGGACGTCAGAAATCCAAGTATGTGTCGATTCGCAGGGTAACTTTGTCCAAACGTCGGCTGCGGTAAGGCTGTCGGGATATGGAAGCCTAGCTTTGGGTCTACCCGCTGTTGATGTTTTCTACCGCCGCGTATGGAGACAATGTCAACTAAGATATATCGAAGATTCGAGTCCGTTTGCCACGACGCAGTTTGGACTTCAGATGGCGTACGGAGATGAAGAATGAAGCCAATCTTCCGCCAAGCTGAACGCACCGGCACTGGCATTTAAACATCGCTTTTGAAAGCCTTACGTTACGTATCTCTGCTATCTGTAGCGATTTGGCCTCCAAACAGGGCTCATGCGAATTCTGGGAGTCTATGTCATCGGGAGAGGAGCTGGTGAGGCCGTTGAAGGTATGTGACGTTGACCACACAGAACGATGGGTTTGATCCTAACACCCTATAGCTGTTGCAACTCAACCTCAGCTTCAGCGAGTTATGTGTCATAGGGATGCTGGTATCTATCGAGCATACGTCAATCAACGTGTGCAGTGCGACGTATAGGCTGCTTTCCTTGAAGTAAGCTCCTGGTGTCTCCTCAGCACAACCCTGTCCATGTGGAACACTTCGTAGACAAGGCAGCTCAGCCGCAAAGGCGATTTGAACGAAAGTACGAGATGTGACCCGACATCGTGACAACTGGTTAGTTTGGGCAGCAAGCGCCTCGTTTTGGATTCTGGACAAACGGCATGCACGCCATTGTGCTCGTCGCATGCAATTGGTGCCGGAGGAAAGCCACAGTGCTACAGATGGGTTAGGCTGGGCAGCAGTGGCGCAGACAACACACACCTCATACTCGACAACATAAAAGATAACAAGGTCTGTATAAATACAAAACACGTTTTCTATCCTCTTGTTCTTACCATAAGCAATAGCTAAATATTTGATATTCAGAATGTCCTCTAACTTCGACATGGATGGGGGTGGCGATGCAAGAACCGTACTCGCCGTCAGTACCATGTGTACAAACCACCAGCAAGACAGCGCGGCGCCTGAGAATCTTCCTTCAGATCCATTCTGCCAGAAAGAGTCTTCCCGAGGAAGATGGTGCCAGCGGCCAGAGTGGGCATTCAAGGGCTGGTATCTCCTGCTCGCACATATGATTGGCAGCATCGCACTGGCCTTGACCGTGGCCTTGGCTATCAACGGCTATAACGCCATCGACACCTCAACGCCTCGATATTTCAACAGCAAGCTCCATCTAAGAGTTGCCGATGTTACAACTCTCGTTTCGGTAGGCTTGGTTGTCGTCAAGTTCTTCACTACCTCGTGGGCGGCTGTTGCAATATGGAAATGTTCCCAAATATCGAAACACGACAAACATAGCACTGCCTTACGGATCGGTCATTCGCAGCTTCCGCTCATGCAGGCCGATAGACTGTCTCTAAGGGCTAGATACCCCTCCCGGCTACCGCGAGAAATCTGGAGCTGGATTATCCGTTCGATATACCTGTGTATGCATTTCCAACAGTTCATCGCGCCTATTCTCTCAGGAGCGGTGAACTGGAACCCGGTTTCTGTTCCTGGAAGCACTAGAAAATCAGTAAACTCCACGGACCCTACTTCTTCTGCCGTTTATTGGCAACAATATCCAGGCTACTCCGACACAGCTGTTGCCGTGAGGCAACAAGTCCTTGCGAAAGCTCAAGGGCTTGCTAACATGGCGTGGTCCGATAGCTTGACTCTCTCGGGAAACGGAAGCTCTTTGACTGGGAATGGATGTCGCCATGTTGTCAACAATGATGGTCTAACCACTAATTCAACGCTACTAGATTCAATCGTCCCTTGCATCCGAATCCGGAACATCGAGTGGGCAAAGTCAGCTAGTGAGGTTTCAACCTCTGTGGCCAATGATGTTTTTTCCTACGCCTCATCGCAGCTCAGCCTTGTAAATACCAGTCTCGACCTCTTCTCAGTGAACCATGGTCAAGCAATGCTCTTCGACCCCAATTTACTCTGGAACTCCTCCACAACCGGCCTTCCTCACTCTACACTTGTCTCCGGCCCCCAAACTCTAACTGTCATCATTAGTGGCTTCGGCCCAAAGTCAGATTGCACGAACATTCCCATCGGCATATTCGGTAATGCCAACATCCCGCAGTATCTCTACAAGTGGTTTTATAACTGCCATGCCTTCGCCAATGTTTCTATTACAGCCGGTGTCACCAAGAGCGCAGTGAGCGCATATGTCTCATCAAATGTCATCGAGGACCAGACGCCCATAGACCAAGTTACTTTCGAAGCTAATCTATGGGTTCAGGAGGCACTTTGGCTTCTCCCGGACCTGATGACCCAACTCACACTTGCGAACGCCTCACATATCCCGACCTGGGATAACCTTGACGCATACGTCGAGAATGTTATCCGCCAAGCCTATCTCGCAGCTTGGGATTCTCTCCATCAAACCTTCGACGACACGACGGTTACCAACAGTACAATCTCTACTGCTGTTTCTGCGGTGTCAAGGATCCAAGCCAGCGTCTCTAACGCACGAGTATCTGCCTGGTTGGGAGTCTCTCTAATGCTCGGCGGGAGCTTTCTGCTAGATGCACTGTCATTCTCCGTCCACGATCCGGATGGAGAGGTTAGTGAAGACATTAAGGAGGAGAAGAGTGATTGGCAGGAATTTGTGAGGATCATGGTTGGCGGGATCTTTCCTAGTTCGTGCTCATGGTAAGATTGGAAATCTTTTGTACGGGCTAGTTCACCGCATGCAGCTACCTGCATTAGTGATATTCGAAGTTTTGTTTGCGAGCCAGTGCTATGGCTTTTCATCTGTTCTCCAACCCTACTATGACACTATTTCAGGTACTATTCGACCTGTCCTCGTCTTCAACCATGATACTCCACCAGCCGCAAGTTGGACCCATCCCATACCTACTGTCCCATGAGTTCTCTCCACCTTTGGTTGGGTAAGGCCCCGTGATTTCCATCCTTAGGTACACCGTGAGGCACTAAATTTCCCCGTAGTCCACCAACACGTGCTCGATTCTTCTGGGAGACTTGCGTTCTTTTAGCCGTCAAAAGGGGGGGGGGGGGGGGCGTGCCCGATCCGCGACCGTGCCCGACACGGCCGGACCGCCTAAACCAGAGCGGATTTCCCAGCGACGACTTTTCAGGCCAAGCAAGTTGTCGCTCTTCGGGGGGCGGAGCAGCCTCGAACCGGACACTAGCCATCCATCTACGGCGAGGCTACGTTTGCTGGCGCGAGACTCAAAGTGTGTTCCGAACTGGGACACCTCGACAGGCGGTGGGCACGATCTCTCTCGTCCTCCGCCCTAGCTGTGTTATTTGAGTATCTCCAGAAGCCTCACCAGGTAAGACAAGATCTTCCTCGCGTTATGCATAGTCAGGGTGTTGACACGGCGCTCTTGAAAACCTGGCTTTCTTCCACACCACCTGGACGGTAGTGAAAGCAAACTTCCTTTTATTTTTTTTTTTTTGCGATTTGATCTATCTGAAACCCATGGTAAGAGTTTTCGAAGTCTCATAACTCCAAACGGCCTCGAGTCAACCTTCTGAATAGCAAAACAAGGGAGCCATCCCGTCGATTCTCTCTGCGCTACCATGATCATCGACCCATCACAATTCGTTTGCTGATGACCACTGGATTTGGATCTGAGCTCTCTCTCAAGTCGGTAGCTGCCTCCCACCATTCGCTCATCTCGGTATTGAAAAGCAAGATGAAGTTGCGATCGGGGGAATCTTCACCCCCTTGGACTGATGGAATAATGTGTTAGAGATACATCTACTTGGCATTTCACGGCGGGCGAGTGACTTACTGATGCCGATGATTTTTGGTTTTGCATCTTGCTTATCTAGCTTCGTGCACACCATGGAGCCGGAGCGCCCGTACCATGCACTCAACTCAATACACTCTTGATGTTCTTTGGCCATATCCGGGTGCTCAATCTTGGTACCGAAGCTGATAGTTCGCGTGTTTGGTGCAAGGAATTCTGACTCGGGTTGGCATTCATCGTCGAAGTTCTGTTGGAAATGGTCAGGATGGAGAGCTGGAGGAAATATGTAGTCGAACTCACCCATTCTTGAGTAATCATCGCTTTCTCTTCGTGGCTACGTCTGTTGAAGAACGACTTGAACCGCTCCCGGAACTCATTCATATTGACAGCACGGTTATAGCCAACTGACCAGCATCCCCAAGATGGGGCCGCGCGCAACATGGAACGCTCCTCCCGAGTTGAGAAGTGGATGTCCTCTTTCTCGACAAAGGAGTCAGTGCCCTTTTTCTCCGGCCAATCTGTGATACGGAAGATCGCGATGTCCCAATCCTTGTGGATTGCCTAGAGTCGGAGACCGAATCGATGCTTGTGGTCTAGATGGGGTCAGTCGTCGCGCCCATGAGATGTGGGAAATCAGGTCACTAGAACAACTTACTTGTTGGTCTGATGTAGTGTCTCTGAACTGCTTCGAAACCCCCGTTCTGTCCATTCAAGAAGAAATCGACATTGTTTCCTGGCAGATCCCAGTCCGTGAAATGGGCGCATGTCACGATCAGATCTTTGGAGAGACGAAAACCAGACAGGTCCATGGATTGTCTGGCTTCACCCTGCAGATGGGCATTGGCGACTCTGACACGGACGGCTGCGAGACCCATCTCAACAAGAGATTCAAGTTCCTGTGTGTGTCAGTGGGCTAGGACATCAAAAGCTTGAGGGAAGAGATTCTGATTACCTTCGATCCGCCAACCTCCTTTACCCAGGTGTCATATTCATCGCTCACTCCCGATACGGCGCCGTCATCATCGAGATCGTGAAAAGAGGAAAGTGTGCCTAGCTGTGCGTTGTCAAGTGTCACTCCTGAGAATGTCGTGTACCGCGGTGAAGGATTATCGGGTTCCATTTCGCGAGCTGATCCCGAATATGAGCAACCCTCTTTGTACGTGTGGCGAGGACCTGCAACAAATATATTCCGCATACCACAAGCGCTACACTGTATCGGACGGTGAGGATCTGGTGGTGTTGTCTGCTCAATCTTGGGTGGGACTTTTGGTCTTCTGCTTCCGTGAGGTTGGCTGAAAAGTCCATGTTTAAATGGAGAAATGGCGGTGCCTGCTCCTGAGGACGGCTTCTTTGTTCTGTCCATGTCTTGTAGGTCTTGGTCCGACGTGGCCACTTTTCCTTGTTTCAGGGAGAGGATTTCAACCTCGACAAGCCAGGAGAGTGTGGTGGTTTTGTACATTTTCCACACAGCGACAAAGGCGAGGTGAGTCCGTGCTCTGAAACGGTCGCTTGGTAGAGCCCAAGGGGCAGCGAAGTGCATTCCCGCGAAGCTGCAGGAATGTTGTATCCCAGCCACATAGATCATGAGCCGTCGGACCCCGGGCAAAACTTGGCAACTCACTGGGAATATCAAAGAAGGTTGCATGCCAGACGCCAAAACATTGCGTTGTGGAATGCAAGTGAAACATATATGCCCTTGAGAGTATTCGGCTCATTCATGAGCCAAAACCGTGCGTTGTGGAATGCAAGTGAAACATAGCAGCCCTTTGAGAATATCCACCTGAGAGCATCCACCTCATACATGAGTGTAGTTGCTTTTTCACTCTCGACCGGCTCTGCTGGTTGTCATGAATTTCTCTGTTGAAAGCGATAGAGACAAGTGAACTCACCCGCAATGAAAAATTCCCTTTGAGTCCCACAAGGTTCTCCTTGATCATGTTGCCGCGCCGAAGAGGTGTTTGTGTTACCTAGACATTACTCTGCTAGCTAGGAGTAGATGGGAGGGGCATACCGGACTTGAATAGCTTTCATTGACCCTGAAACATTTTTCCACAAGAGAGAGGTTTTCGAATTGCTTTGTAACGCGCCTACACGGAAAGACGCGGGGATAGTCACAAAGACTGGAACAACAACACACTGCTAATGAATCGACACATTGTTATGGCCGTCTCTGGGAAGAAGGAAGAAAGGACACGAGTGGAGCAAACATGAACCATACGAACTTCATCTACGGGGTCGCTTTCTCACCAGACGGCTTTGTCGGCAAATGCTTGTCCTTGACTGTTCAATGGAAACAGTTGCACGCTTTTGGTAGTCATTTTAAGTCTCACAATTGTATTGCGTGTTCAGGGGGCTACCCCTGTCGACAATGCTCCTGGAGACGGCCCAAGTTTTCGCACCGGAGAGACATGTTCCAGGACGTGGAGAAAGTCGAGATGAGGGCACGACGCAACATGCTTGCAAGGCTCCAAGAATATTGAAACTCTGTTTGGGCGCAGGAACAAGAGTCTCTGTCCGGCTTCAAGAAGAAAAATGATCGTCGAAGCAGAGCCGGTAACAGTTCAGAGAGAGTGAGTGTGAAAGGTGAGCGCGCGATGTTTTAAAAGTCGACGTGGACTGAGGATCGAGCTAGGAGATGTCAAAGTGACAGTCGACCCCCTTTTAGTGTTCGTTGGTAGATCTTGGCTTGCTGTACTGATTCTGGGAGGCTCTTGGTACCTGCTTCGTTCCATTTGAGCGGCATGGAGACTTTGATTCGATGTTGTGGTCGTCTCTGTAGGTGTTCTCCTCTCCGCGTATCTCAGTTCTAGGCCAATGGTTGTACACGGGGCGTAGTTCATAGAATACGGACCGACGATCAGGCCGAGACCTGAGTTGCTTCCGAACCTGTGCCCGTCGCTCCTGAAGGCATCCTCTGATGTACCTGGTGGCCGTCGCAGGGCCATGCTTCTTCAAGTCATGTTGCTTCGCCTCCATGCCCATGCCTCATTGAGTTTGCAGTCCAGTTGTGGTCGTCAAAGTCGACTTCATATTGATGCCCAGTTCACATTTGCCCATGTCAATCATTGTCGAAAGGGTCGCGAGAAGATGAGACCCCAAGGGCTGTAGATCAAAACTCGGATCATTCGCAAGGTCGGAAGCCACCCTCCGCAAATGCTGCATGCTCTCTCTGCAATATCACTTTGTCCCGTACGGACCAACCTCTAACCACCAGCTGATAGGCAGTCCGCAAGCACGTTCTGTAGTCCGGTGCGCTCGTCGTCGCCGGCACCCTCCCATCCGTAATTGTCATTAACGCCATCCACGTCCACGCTATCATCAAGGCTTTCAATCTTGTGACCGGTTATATGTCCATTTTCCATACCACTCTTGTTTGACATCTCCTGCTTCCTGGCATGCCATTCCTCGTAGTCGTATCCCGCGCTTGCATTTCCAATTGTCCAATCCACCAAAGGCATCTGATTCCATGGAATCGGCCCCGTAGCTCGCGCAAGTTGCAAATCTGACATCCCGATAGGACGTCTCGAGTATGCAGCAGCTGCCTCGCAAGGTAATAAGTCATCGTCCCTTGTCTTCGACAACTTGCCCATCTTGACTTCTGCCTCTTCCCGCGCAATTGCTCTTTTGTAGCGGGAAGTCAAAATACCACCGCTGGCACTGTTCTCGTCATAACGTGGGCCATTGCTCCGAACCCGGTCAAAGACCTCGCCAATCATACTCTTGATGTAGTTTTCCGCCGATATGGCCACATACTCGGCACACTGAAGACTGCATCCGTTTGCGACACCCTCTTCGTAACACAGTGGGACGATGCGAGCATGTATCGTATTTGCGTCCGGAAATTCCAGCGTCTCCGCAAACAGTGGCTGCATGTACCGTTTCCGTATCTCCATTTCCCAATTTGTCTTGGTGATACCACCCGCCACAGTCCCGCTGGCGGAAATATTCTCAGGAGCTCTGATTCGGCCTGTCATGTAGGACTCTTCGTACTGATTTCGGTTGGCAGCTGCAGACGCCGCCTCCTCCTCCTTGTCATTCGTAGCAGCCTTGAGTCGCCTCCGGTCTCTGGCCGGGAGAGACATGACCTCGCTCTTTAGACGTTGCTCGCCAACATCGCTCGTGATCGCAGGCTTGTTCGCAGCGGCGAGCGCGGACTTGTCGGTAGAAGCGCTGACCCATGCTGCAAGCCCTGGTTCTGGCGGATCGCGAGACGCGTTGCATAGCACGGCGAGAATGAGTGAATTATGTGCATGTTCGGTCTGAGGAGAAGCGTATATGAAGGCGTCGCATAGATCACCAAACTCGCGGGCATTAAGTTCGCCTATTATAAGAGGTCAGCACTGTGGTTCGAACTGAAATAGCAGTCGAAAATCTGTTCGCTCGCATACCTCGTATGAATCTTGTCAGCGCATCGTAATATGTCTCCCAGTTATGTCCTATTAACGACTTGAGTTCGGCGTAGAGGGGTTCAAGATCGACTCGAGGGTAACTTTGAGATGTTTTCGAGGACTTGGATGCAGACCCAGGTGGCGCTTTCGTGTTGGCCGCTGTGGAAGTGACAGTGTCAGATCGTGTGAGCGCTGCTGGATTGAATGTCTCGTCGAATGATGCCATGGCCGAGTTGGGGACTGTGTCAGGGAGGAATTTACGGCGAGCGCTTTCGGTGCGCGACGCAGGACGAGGTTCGGCGCATCCAGAAGGAGGGACGATGCTCAAGATTATGCGCTCATAGTGTTTGGAGGAATCGGCGTTGGGTCTCGCGGTGGTCGTCGAGATGAAGAGGCAGCGATGGCGGTCGAAATGGCGTCGCAGTTGACAGAATGTGGAGTCTCTCGAATATTCCACCTACAACACAGATCACATTTCTTCTTCATGGTTACAACTTTCCCTGGCACGACGAACAACATCCACTGACCAGAGGAAATCTCTGTGATCAGGAAATTCTGGTAGTCAGTCTTATACACACCTTGGTTCACACCAAGAGGACAAAGATGGCAGACTTTATCAACCCGCATCTAGCATTCATCGGCATATGGTTCTGCTCTCATCCGCAAAGAATACTTCACTTCATTCATGAAACCTCATGACCATAAATTCCTTCTAACCTACAGCGTCCACTATGCCGCAGGTCATTTCTAAGCTATCTTGACCTTCCATTTCTTCACTGTTGCATCGGCGCCAGTGCTGTAAACTGTATCACCCAGCCAAACAAGACCATTCACCCCCTCCTTGTGAGCATTGGTCTCCTTTACTCGTTTCCCTGGCTCTTTGAGGCTCCAAGCGAATATATTGGTGTCCAGGCTCCCTGAAACAGCTCCGGTGCCTTCTGGATTCCACGCGATACTTGTTATTTTTCCAGTGTGAGCACTCCAACGGTCTGTCACAAGATCAAGGCTTGCCGTGCCTGTCACTAGACCTGTAACTCCGCTGCTGATCTTATAAACATAGATCTTGCCAGCTGCTGTGCCTGCAGCGACCATGGAACCATCTTGAGAGAACGATATGGCCGTTAAAGGAGTGGCCGAGACTTTTTCCACGACCGCGGTCTGTTTTGGTGCCTTTCCAGGTGTTACAGAGAACAGCCGCAAGCTTGAGTCCTCCGAACCGATGGCGACGGTACTTCCTGAGGATGAGAGGGATGTTGGTGTTGACTTGAGTGGAAGTTCTCCGTCTTCTTCGCCGTCTCGGTACACAATGACGCTTTCAAGTTGAGCAACAACGACCAGAGAGTCCGACGTGCAGGTCAAGGCCTTCGGTTGGGAAGACAGCGGGGTTGCCTTCCCAGTAAAGGTCTTTGCGCCAGCATCGACAGTCCTGAGCGAGTCGTCCCAGCCTACTGAGAAAACCTGAGGGTGCTTGCCAGTGGATGTTGCTGCAAGCCCAGATATAATATTGGTATGCCCATCACCTTCGATAGTTTCCGCGGTCCCGTTCGCAGGCTCCCAGGCACAGAGACGACCTTCGTAACTTCCCGTCCACAAGGTTTCACCTCCAGTGTCGCCTAAAGAGGTGAGTGCTGTGATGTTCTTCTGGTGCCCGGACAGAACCTTTGTCGGTTTATTCGAACTTGTGTTCAGGTAGTTGAGATCTCCGCTGAGCGATAGGGAGATGATCAAGCCATCTGCCCTTCCTGGAGGCCATACCACACCAACCTGCTGATCTGGAATAGCAACGCCGTCGCCGAAGGTCCATGTTTGTGTAACTCTCCCAGCCTCCACATCCCAAGTCTTGACGGTACGGTCGCCTGAGCAGGTGACGAAATTCTTCGAGTCCTTGGACCATGAAACGCCGAAGATGCTGCCCTTGTGGCCGTCTGAGCTATCGACGATCTCTGTTTTGACCTCTCCCGTCTTGCCATCGTACAAATAGATCTTCTTATCACCACCCACGCTGACCAGATGACTTCCGTCTGGTGAGAAAGCGACCCCGTAGATGAAGTTAGTATGATTACCTCTGCCTGGGATGTCGTTGAATTTGAACGGTGCTCCATGATAAAAAACCAAATTCTTGTCGTCGCCACCTGTTGCTGCTCTCAACGGCCGTTGCTGTCGGATGCTGACCGCGTTGACCTGCGCAGAGTGCCCACTGATTTCTCCTACCGTATTGCCCGAATCGGCAGTCACACAATGTCCGTAACGTTGTTTCCCATCGCCAACAGCTATTATACGTTGACTGTCCCCATCCCACGCAAGATCATTGATCCTTCCAGCAATGATGGCATATTCCCCTTTTGTGGCTCCTGAACCATTAGGTGAACAGTCCCATACTCTGACGATTCCCGAAGCATCGCCTGAAGCGCAGTAGAAGCCGGACGGCGCAAATCTGGCAACAGTAGTTGAAGCTGTGTGTTGCGTATACTGAGTAGATATGGCGGGATTATCGATCGACCTCAGGAATATTGACTTATTTGAGGCGTAGGCTATTCGTTCGCCCTTTGAGTCTGCGGACAGCGGGGTGGGTTGCCCTCTGGTCGTCGTAGGCAAGGCGGCGTATATGCCATCTTGGCTGAATTAGTCCGGGTGCTATGAGTACCTGAGGGGGAAATACTGACCAGCTGCAATCGACATTTTGCCGCATCTAGGAAAGTCAAGTCACAGTTTGTGTCTGAGGAAGAGGAAGCAGGCGAAAGGTGGAACGTTGTTCAATGTGCTGACAAGGCTGTCGGGGCGGAGAGCGGGCACTTCCCAAATAAGACCAGAAACGTCAGGCACACAAAAAAGTACCTTCACAGGTTACAGCCGCAAGCACCGCGATTTCTTCTACGAAATCTGCCTTAGACAGCTAGGTAGTCATGAACCTCGTTGACATAGTCGTTTAACTCTGCATCGCTAATTCTACACACAGGGAGGGGCTCCAGAGCACACACGCTTTTGGTCAAATGCGCAGATACTCTGCGCGTCCGGATAGTTACAGGTATGATACATATGTTCGCGTCTGATCTCAATATACCGTGCCTCGGGTCGCAAGATCAGATACTCAACTGCTCCTGGACACAGTCTACGAGGCCCCGCCAGACCTTGCCATGCTGACTGCGCTTCATCGCACTTGTGTCCTCAGCCCCAGCTCCAGCAATGGCTCGCAGGTCACTTCGGCCTCGTTCCATTGTGTAGACCACTATTGGGGCGCTTTGGTTGTTGAATTGGTATATTCCTATCGTACCAGATAGCTGTATTAACCGACTCTTCGCTTTTGTAACTGAGCCTTCAAGATTTCAGGATGTCTGTGAACCGACGGCATTAAGCCTAGGGATATTGCTCGTCGGATGGCCTTTGCGATTTTTCTTTGGTTGACTGGTCGCAAGCCGGTGGAGCTGGAGTGTCGAATGCGGCCCATCTCGGTCATGTATTCGGACATTATTGAAAAGTTCTGTGTCAGTGTGAGTTAACGGGATTGCAGATCCATGGCGGTCCACGAACCTTGTACAGACTCAAGGGATTCACAGACAAGGCGTCGAAAACGTCAGTCGTAGGCCGCGTTCGTTGCTTCCATTTTCGAGCTTCGGCGCCGCTGAGATCGTGAGGAGCGTAGACATCGCCGACTTTCCATGTCCGCGTCATTTGTCTCGACAAGGCTTGGTTCTCCTGCGCTTTCTGTTCATCTTTGCTGCGAACTGCGAGCCGCGCTGCATTTCGGACAGGAACCTCTGAGTCAAGTTAGCAAATCGAGGGATGTGTGCTAGCAATTGGCAAAGGAGTCTTACGGGTGATGGCGGCCCGCAGTGGCTGTGAGCTGGCCACGCGTAGTTGAAGGCCCAAGCTAGAACTCAGCCGCAGAGACATGATGCTCTCTACCTGTTCAACACTCCTGGTTGAAGTATGTGCACTGGGAGTGCATTAAGATTCCAGGTTGGTGTGGCTTTGCATAATCTGGTTCGCAGCAAAACGGCAAGAGATAAATGACTTCAGACGACCCGTTTTAGGAGAAAAAGAGGCGCTGCTCTATTGGTGCTCGCTCACCTCACTCGTGTTTCTCCTTCGCATGAGACAGGACCACACAATCTTCACAACATAGACAAGCTGACAAGCTGAGATTAAAGCATTTGTGTGCATAGTTACAATTGCCACTGGGCACGGATTCGTCGATCCATTTGGGTTTAGTCGGCATTATCATCATTAAGGGCTCTCCCACACGAGGGTCAACCACATCCTAGTCATCTCACATAAATCCGCTTCACATGGCTCAAGTTTGTTTACCCCTGGTTGTCCATACCTTAGAATCTAACCTCCCTCATCTCTCCCTTCTGCTTCTGCACATCAAATTCAATCCACCTCCCAACTCCACTCCCCCTAGAACTTGCTCGACTCATGCCTAATTCGTCCACAATGCGTCCTGGATTCATGACATGGCAACCTTCGTAGGTTATTGCGAAACCAGGCATTTCGGCGTCTGCAAGCACCAGTGCTGTTGGAAGTGGATACAATGACAAAGCACCGGCATGATCCCAGAAAACAGGGCGAATTGAGTGTGCGAATGGCGCGAGATGAGACTGATCAAGCACGGTCTTGATCAGTTTACGCGCAGCATGCGTCGAGTGTGCAGTGTTTGCATGGGACCTCTTCTCCACAGGACCGGGAATGTGAGAGGTCGCTTCGTGTACACGCTTGTCGAGGGTATTGCTCATGCCTGTAGCGACGTCGTCCTCATAACCTTGAGCACGCTCTCCTACCGGAACAGCATCGTCATCCCCGTCTTCTTCACCATGGGGGTTTGCCAATGTGACAGCATTCCTTCTTAATCGACCAGTAATATCATCTCTAAAGAGAACAATTTCGTCCAATGGGCCAAACAAACTCAACCTAGCAGGGTTACTAGACCAGACTGCGTCACCCGCCATATTGCTTTTGTCCTTTCGTTCAGAATTCGCACCGGCGATCACTCTGCGGATCCGACTGGTGAAGACTTCTGGTACCCCCAGACGGGGTAGCGCACATGCACCACCGCCAGAGAAAGAACTTGCCCACGGATCGTTATCGCCGGGTACAAATACGAACGTTGTGTTTCCCAAGAGAAAGGGAAACTCCGCCATGACTGAAGCTAGTGCGTCGAAAGCCTCTTTATATTCCACACTTCCACCCTTGGTTCCGCCCGCCATACTTGCAGTAGAGACAAAATTTCCCATCAGGACCACGCTCAGAGGGAGGTCGTTCGTATCAGTGGCTGATGAGTTGTACGTCGAAAGAATTGCGCGAATGGCCTCAAGAACACGGGGACTGTCCAGCGTGCACTCCGCCAAGATAGCTATCTTCGTACGTGGTAGATGTTGTTCTGTGTCTTCGTCTCGATTTGCATTGTCGCCTGATGATTCCGCTATATGTGAGGTGGAAGGACCAGATGGGTTGTACAGTCGTCTTTGTAGTCGTCGCATCTGAGCCCCTATCCCTTTCTCGCTGCCGACCCCCAAGAAGTCGATCCAGCCGAAGCTAGCCCCGACGCTGGTATGTATGTTGATTTTGTCAGGTTCCGAACTGTTCGAAGAGCCGATGGTAAGGCTGCGTCTTTCAGCAGGTGGTCCCGCCATGGTCTCAGTAACAAAACGTCCTTTAATTTGACCGCCTACGCCGGCGGCCGTGCCGAGATTCGAGCCATGAGAGCCATCCTCTTCATAGGTTCCTTCGACGAGGACGATCATTCCCGGACAGAACCAAGCACCATCTGCTGGAACAGGGCGGGCCATGGACAAATCCAGGGTGACACTGCCGGAAAGATCTGTCAATGCAACATCACCAGCTGCAGAGTACACCAGCATGCCGAGGAGGAGATGGGATGAGCCAGAACGACCCAAAAGGTTTGAGATAGGGGTAATTTTGTATGCTTGCTGAAGCGTGGCAGCGCTGCTTCCAGAGTGAAGGAGACTGGGCGGTCTGGTCGACGTGGTAAATGACGGGGCCTGGAACGACTCGTTGCGCATGAGGCGCTGGTGGACCAAGTGGTATCGGTTTCGGAACATAGCTGTTTTGTGCTGTATCGGTGGGAGCAGAGAAGGTGTGCCTGGAGCAGTCTCTAACGTTTTCTTGGTGGTTGAGTAGACGAGCCTCGGCTGCTCAAATGCAGATATGACTTTGAGGTATGTTCGTACATCAAGTCGTTGGCCTTCTTCTGGTTGCGGATCCGATTCTTCCACGTTCAGTCCTGAAATACCAAGACTGGCTTGACTGTCCTCTCTGCTCACATCAGGCCGGTCTACAAGTGAACCGGACCGAGGCAGGGTCGGCGTCGCTCCAGAACTGTTCGTCCGTGATAGCTTCCCTGTGTCGAGTCGGCCGCCGGACATGCATGGTTCCAAGGTTTTGAGAATGTTAGACAGCTTCTTGTCTGGACCATCTTCGATGATCAAACCTCCGCCATTCCTCTTCCATGTTTTCGCAATCTCGTCAAGGACACGCTCAGCTAGACCCTCTTCCCGCCATCCACTGCCGCAGAACTTGCCAATAAACGTCGACAAAAGGCCCAACCCAGAGGATGTGAGTGTCAGGTTATGTTTCTTCGTGAGGGTTCTGAAGGCGACCGATCGCAGCGTCTGCGGTGGTAATAGTATGGGAAGCACCGTGGGGACATTATGCGTGCTAGCTGTGTTCAACTGTGCCGCGAAAGGTTGTCTAAGTGTCGGCGGTCGACTCTTGACTGGATATGCAGGAGTTCCGAAGCCAGGAGAAGAGGATAAGAGTTGGTCCTTTGAGCCTGTTGTAGTTGGCTTGAGGGCTTGTGCTGGCAATCTAGGTGTCGATACAGGTTCCTCCATTGTCCTCAGACAATAGTTTGGCAGTCAGAGAACCGCCAATTGTTGGATCTGCGGAATCTCACTGCACACAGAGTGTAAAGTGGTTTTTGGTTGACGCGTCAAAGCGCGACGGCGACGCGTCGGAGAAGTTTTGGAGAATTGCGACGTTAGTCCAAGCGAGCGCAGGCCATGACTTTGCATTTCCTCGTTGTCGCATCATCGCGTACGACTCCCATCTTTCCATCAACCATCCACATCCATTGTCTCAATACTACCTGTACTCCTTGCGCTGCAACCGCTTTTACAGCACCGGTGAACATGTCTGCCCGTGAGGCTGAGAAAGAGAACGAGAACGCGGCAGTATCTTCTCCAACTGACGAGGCTTCAACTCTGCCACCTCAGGAGCGACTCGCAGAGCTCACGGCCAAAGCGACCGCCGAATATGCCGTTAAACACTTCTCAGAAGCGGCCGAACTGTATTCGCAGGCAACAGAACTACAGGCTGAACTCAATGGAGAAATGGCTCTAGAGAACGCGGATCTGCTTTATTCATATGGAAAATGTCTTTTCTTCCTTGGACAACAAACCAGCTCGGTTTTGGGTGGCACCGCGGCGTCGGCACAGCTGTCCCAACCTAAGGGTAGAACAGGCTCCAAGAAGAGAAAACCCACCGCGACCAACAGGACGAATGGGGAGAGTTCGAAATTGGCAGCCGTCGCAGAAGAGGACGCGCTCCCTCATGTAAGTGATGTTATTCCAGAACCGGATGTCAAGACGGCTCTATCCACCTCGGACAAACCTTTTTTCCAGATCAGCGGTGATGATGAGAACTGGGATGAATCAGATGAAGAGGAAGCGGATCAGGACCAGGAAGCGGAAGATGAGGAGGATGATGACTTCGCAATTGCCTACGAAATGCTGGACCTCGCCCGGGTTCTGTACCTCAAAAAGCTAGACCAGACTCAAGAACATGTGCTCGAAGAATCGGAAAAGGGCAAATATGTGGCATCGATAGACCTCACACCCGAAGTTAGGAAACTCAAGCACAGCGTCGCCGACATCTATGATCTACAATCAGAAGTCTCTCTCGAGGGCGAGAAATACTCGACGGCGGTGATCGACCTCAAGCATTGTCTCGCATTGCGGGAAGAATTGGAACCACCAGAGTCTAGCATCCTGGCCGAATGCCACTACAAGCTCAGCCTGGCACTTGAGTTCAGCTCACAGACACAACAACGAGATGCAGAGGGAAACCCGACGGGCGAGCTCCAGATCGACTGGGACATTCGAAACGAGGCTATTGCACAGCAGGAGAAAGCCATTGATTCTTGCAAACTTCGGGTATCGAAAGAAACAACAGCTTTGGAAGCATTGGAAGCTGGGCCACAGAAGGACAAGGTCATGGCCCAAGTCGAAGACGTGCAGGATATGATTGGTGAGATGGAAGTGCGACTTGCCGAGCTCCGCAAGCCTCCTGTCAATGTCAAGGAGGAGACGGATGCGAAGGAACAGCTCTCCGGTATTCTAGGCAGTATCATGGGCAGCGGCGCAACAGAGCAGGAAAAGAAAGAAAAGCTTGCCCAAGTATCTGAGACGGCAAACGACCTAAGCGGACTCGTGAAGAGAAAGAAGCCCAAGAGCTCGCTGGAAAATGGGGGAGCGAGTGGTCTAGGATCTGCCGCGTCCACTCCGGTTGCCACAGCCGACATCCCTGATTCAGGACCGATGAAGAAACGCAAGGTCGAGTTTGTTGACGAGGCTCAAGATGGACCAAACGACAAGAAGTCGAAAATGGAGAATGCTGCCGATGCAGAACAGTAATCAGACCGCCTAGGCAATTCATGATGGGGGATGACCGGTCCTGTATGTGTATGTGTGTGTTTTTCGGTTTCTGGAGTTTCTATGGAGCTACATTGGTTACAAGGCTGAGGATAATAATGCCAGTACGGAGTCGGGAATGTCCCAACGGTGGCAACATGCTGAGCTTCTCTCCCGCTGGCTTCACTCTTGGTGGGCAATAGCCATGGCCTCGACTTCATAGAGTATCTCTGGCGCGGCTAGCTTCTCGACACCTAGCAAGGTGCTCGGTGGACGATGATCGCCGATGAATTTGACATATGCTTCGGCTCTGGAGGTGTCCTTGTAGTCGAGATTCACGACGAAATGCGTGGTCTTGATAATGTCTGCAGGCGTCGCGCCAACCGACTCCAGACACTTTCTCAGGTTCTCCAGCGCCACTTCAACCTGCTCGGCGAACGTCGGTGGTATTGCTCCTGACTTGGCGTCCACGCCGATTTGGCCGGCGATAGTAATCAGCGTGCTCGTTGAAGAGATGGGCGTGGTCTGGACATGTGTATATGTTGGACGTGGTGCGTGGACGAAAGGCGGGTTGATCAGCTGGGACTTGGAAGACATTGTCGGATCGCTGATACGTTGTCGAGGACTATATCAAAAGAGCGAGATAAAAAGGGGAAAGAGAAAGAGAGAAGAGGCCTCTTTGTACAAGTACGCCTTTGCCCTCATACCGCGGTGAATCGATTACTTCAGAGCGCCGATGGAGGACGTGGGGTTGGCGTAGTCGTATCAGCCACCGTGGAAGAGAGATGGAGATGGCCGCTTGGTGTTTATCAGGGCCTGTTCAAGAGTCAGCACGAAGCGGTACTCCGTACGGAGTACACCTAAGTTAGTATCTCGTCAAAATCAACATGCCTTGGGATTTGGATCGGAGGAGACACTCTCTTAAGAAGGCATTTCAGAGATCCCACTTACTCTCTGGACACACAATAGACTCAACCAAATAGCTACCTTGTTGCGTCCTTGTTAGGGGCCTGCTGGCCTGAGACAACTCATAGTAGCTGTGCGCGTCTGTGTGGTCGCCTAAGGTACTTATCTTGGTGTTGCGCCTAAAAGGTGTATAATATTTGAGTTGATGGGGGACTCATTAGGGTACCTGAGTTACAGTAGATCAGTGTAGGAGATAGAGCTTCAGTTACCTAAGTGAGGGCTCATTAGGCTATTACAGTAGTTTGGTCCGGCGTCTTACTGACGCTCTAAGGGCCTAGAGCCTAACTCAGGTAGTTAAGTTAGTTGGTGGCCTATGGGGGCAAAGGCTAGCAAGGCTAACTTGGTTACTCTATTATATTAGTTAGTCCGTTGGATGTCTAGGCGACACCTTGGGTATGCTACCCTGTACTTACAGGTACCTACTGTACATGAGGCACTTCTGCCTCCTCGGGCTTGCTTATTGGCAAAGTCTACCCGATGGTGGTGATGAAGGAACATTCCTTGACGTGATGATGATTACTCCAGAGTCGCCACGCCCCCTTGATCTTGGATTTGATGGGTGCCAATTGACAATAGGTACTCGTACTCGACTCTGCCAGAGGCTGAGTGGCTGTAACCCAGGAAATTAGTTAGTCCGTTCCACCAGGAGAGTGCACTCGTCTGAAAAACCACCCTCGATGGTGACCCCAGATTTCACTCGAGGGGAAACTCAAGAACAGCCCACTGAGCCATCCAAGGTCTTTCATCTTCGCCACCCGCCAGAGGAGAAGCCTAAGTTAGTGAGGCTGGGGCAAAATGCGGGCGAAAAATTGTCTTGATCACCATGTGGGGTCTTTCCATGGACTCAAAATTGACCCTCAAAGCCCGACCTCGGTCTCTTTTTCCCGGAAGTTTCTCCTCTTCTTACGAGTATCATGTATTTTCGGCACATACGGAGTACCCGTGGATAAATCCACAGGGCCGTTCGACTTGACGCGCATAGTTTATGGAGTTTGGCTATACCATAGCAAGCAGCTAGGTGCGCGCGCATGGCGGCGTTCAATCCTGACCAGACTTCCCCCGCTCGCGCCTCTGAAGAGAGAGCGTCGTCGGTTTCGGCAAGCGAGGACGAGAATGACAACGATACCGTAAGCGGGACTCCGGCCGATGGCAAAGCGAGCAAGAAACGCAAAAGATCGCTGAAAATATCGTAAGTCCATCAGGCCCTTTTCGTCACGACATCTGATTGACAGCGCGACTCCTTTCACAGTTGTGAGCTCTGTAAAACCAGAAAGGTCAAATGCGACCGTGTCGAGCCGGCATGTGGCTGGTGTGCACGCAACAATCGAGTATGTGTCTACAAAGAAAGGCAAAAGCCCGGTCTGCGTGTTGGCTATGGTCGCGAGCTCGAGGAGAAAATTCACCGCCTCGAAGCTCTGCTCCAGCACATGGGACGGCGGCTTGAAGAACACATTACCGAGCATGGCGATCTGTCTCAAAATCGACCTGGTTCAGTGCGCATGACCTCCCAGCCAATACAATATCCAGCAGGCGCACCAAATGAGCCTCGTCCGTCGAATGCCAGCATAGTATCTCAAGATACTCCCGGTTCTGATCCACGGTGGGCTCCTTCGAACGCCTATGAACGGATGCAATACCCTCGACCACAGGATGCCATGTCCATTCGCTCGGTTGTTGACCCGGGGATGCAGGACAGCGTATCTCAAAGCGATCGTGCCGCTTCGACGTCCTGGTTCCCAACATCCACGCCGGCAGCGTCAGCATCAGAATCCGAGCTTCCCCCGTATGATCTGTTGTATACCTTGGTAGACTTGTACTTCAAACACGTTAATCCTTGGTCGCCCATTCTCGACCGCAAGAACACATTTGACGCATTCTTTGGTTCGCAGTCGATGGATGAATCTGACCGAGTACTCGAACACGCCGTCGTCGCCACAAGTCTACGGTTTTCGAAGGACCCACGCCTTACAGCCGAATCACGATCACAGTTTTATGAAATCTCACGCCAGAAGATCATGCTATATGCTCTGGATCACCCGAACGTGAGAGCTTTGCAAGCATTGATCATCCTTGCTGTTGACGTTCTCGGAACCTCAAACGGCCAACAGGGCTGGAACCTTTTGGCCTTGATAACTCGGAACATTGCGCAGCTCGGCTTGGACGAAGAAAAAAGCGCGTACCTGGAGTCGACGACGTATCCTTCTGCGACACTCCTGCAAGCCTCCAAGCCAAAAAACTGGATCGAGAGCGAGGAACGTCGGCGCTTGTGCTGGATGGCGTTTGTGCTTGATAGGTACGCCACTGTCGCCACTGAAGATGCGTTCACACTTGATGAAAGGGAGATGGATCGATGCCTGCCCTGCCGTTATGACCTCTTTTCGCGTAACGAGCCAGTGGAGACACGATGGTACAGACGAGGAGCAGTAGGAGAGATGCTGGTCAACAGACCCGAGAACTTAGGCAGCTTCTCATACCATTGCGAGGTCTTGGGGATTCTTAGCCGCATTCACCGCTTCCTGCACCAGCCACTTGATATCACGAGGCATTCCGACATTCAACGATGGCGCGAGACATATCGGGCGCTTGATGGCGAGCTGAACAACTGGCTCCAAAATCTGCCCGGTGAATATGGAAAAATCTCTCAACTATGTCATTCGGATCCCGGGAGTCGGATCTCGAACTGGATCATGCTTCATGCAGCATTCGTCACGTCAGTTATTCGCCTCCATTCATCTGCGGCATATCCGACAGTCAAGTCCCCAGTTTTCACGCCATCTTACCATGCCATACAACGATGCCTTGGAGCGGTGGAGAGCTTGAGAGAGATTGCGCAAGACGTCCTCAACACCGGCATGCTCGCCCTTCTAGGGCACCCCTTTGCCTTTGCATTGTGGGTTTCGGCTCGACTCTTGCTTGTTCATGCAGCTACCATGGAATGTGAAGTTGATGCCAAGATCGGGTTCTTCATTTCTACACTCGATCAAATGGGCCAGCATTGGCAGGTGGCACGAGACTATGCAAGAATATTGAATGACGTGCTGCAAGAAGGCAGTAGTGGCGCAGGCAGGACATTCACGGCAATGAGAAGGTAAGATCTGCCAGGACTGGAATTGCACATGTCCACTAACACAAGCAGGACTGCTTATGAGCTCAACCTTTTGATCTTACAACGGCCGCGTTCTGTCTTGGATGCGCCCACGACACATAACGCGTCACAAAACGAGATGGAATATCTCGAAATATTCGACTTCTTCAACTATCCACGACTAAATACGATTACTGGGAATGGTTTCGATCCCTCTGGAATGATATCTCCGATTGGAAACAATGCGGGGGCACAACCCCAGCAACTGTCATATCGAGCTACACCGGCTTTTGTCATCCCAAATCCGGAATCCGACTGGCTCATTTTCAAGCCACCATACGAATGAATCTTTTTGCGCTCCAGTCATCCTTGTCAAAGGCTGTTATCGATTTAAAGGGGTCTGTGTCAATCTGCCCTCCGAATGAGGTACTATCCAAGACCAGGCTCTCGATGTAATGTGATGTAAGAGAAATCGGACTCTGTATGGCTCATCAGGAAATAGATTGTTATCCTCTTGAAGTTGCCAAGTTCCAACCTATACTACTCATCCCGTCGTCTTCCAGCAAGACTTTCGTCTTCTTCCCCAACTTTGAACAATCCAGCGCCCCTACGCCCACTTGCGGTTCTTGGACGTGCCACCGACTGCGATAGTCCAAGCTCGATCATTTTAAGACTTGTTCAATCGGAGTACCATTTGCACTGAAGCCAGCCTTTACGGGCTCCCGTGCGACCATTCTCTTGATCCAGTCATGCATAATCGGGAATTCGGCAAGATCGAAGTCCTCCTTTGGGGTGACCAACGGCATGATGACATACCAAGAGAGAAACGCGAGGTCAGCGTAGGAATACTTGTTGCCCACAAGCCAAGGGCCGTCGCCTCCGCCCTGCTTTTCCTTCTCGGCCTTCAGCACACCTTCCAGAACCCCACTGACACGCTGTATCTCGTTCTGATAGCGCTGCTGAGCGCTAGGGACCTTCTCGGAGTGAAACTTCTTGAACCAAGCATACTGTCCAAAGTAAGGTCCCTGGCCGGAGACCTGGAAGAATAGGTATTGCTTAGCATGGTAGTAGTCCGGCGTGCCTGGTTTGAAGCTGAGCTTGTGCTCAGGATCATACTTCTCGACCAGGTATTCGATGATGGCGCCGGACTCCCAGACAATGATATCGTTGTTGTTGGGGTCTTTGATGCTGGGGAGTCGACCGTTGGGATTGATTGCAGTGTACTCCGGATTCTTAACGTCTGAGAGAGGGATGTCAACAATCTCATAAGGAAGCCCTAATTCTTCCAGCGTGAGGGCGACCTTGGGTGGGTTTGGGCCAGATTTACCCCAGACCGTGATTGGCTTGAGTGCAGATGGCATTGTGAGATGGTGTCGATGTTGACGTTGAGACCGAGGTGATCCTGCCAGGTAAACCGACTCTGAAGAAAGTGTTGATGGATATATTCAAGCGATGCAACAGCAGAGCCATGATATTTATACATCTTTATATACCTGTTGCTTGGATGATGTACGAGTCTGTCCCTAGCATCTACCCACGCGGTGTGACCAGGCATGATATTTCGACAATTGGACCGTCCATGAAGGCTGAGGTAGTTCCTCTTGAGGCCCACATCTGAGAAGGCTGACCATTCACGGCAACGAGGCTCCCGATGCAACTTCGCGGTGTTTCGTCGCATTGGGGATAGCTTCAATTGCTCAATTACTCAGCGAACATCGAGGCCTCCCGGCATGATGATAGCACATACGGAGCACACGACAAAGACATCCATAAAACGTTTATCGCGGAAATCACCTTCGTTTCCAATTGACACTCAATCCAAATCAGGGCAAACATCACGAACACGTCCCACAGGTCCACGTCCTGTTTCCCTGTGAATCCCTAGGTCGAAGATCTCGGCATGGCAGTGCCCAGCAGAGGGTGCCAGACCTGCAAGCTGCGACGAATCAAGGCATGTCTCTTCCTCCGTGGTCACCCATCTAATCGTCACTCCTGACAAACCACGACAGTGCGATGAGGGTAGACCAATTTGTAAGCGATGCACCAAGTCTCGTCGTGTCTGTCTACCGACAGATGCGGTCAAGCAGGCGACATTTTCGATTCACGTCGAGAACCTCTACGCCAGCGGCAAGGCTCAACGCCCTCGGGGCCCTCGGTCAAGTTTGACCATGGTCCGGCCCCAAATCAACATCCAAGCCTGTGCTCTCGCATTCTACATCCGCCACTACATCGAGCCCACGGAAAAGCAGCCCCTCCTTGCCACATGCGTGGCTGAATCGCTCCTGGCGTGGCGCAAGTCCAGTCGACACAGTACATGTCGCATTGTCGACGGCGGCCTCTCTTCTCTGGCATTGGCAGTGTTTGCGAGAACGCAAAAGTCTGAATCAGCGGCCGCCGAAGCCTCATCCGCGTACCACCGCCTTCTGGGCATGACCAGGGGCCGCATCGGGACCATCGGGCCGGACACGCACCAGAGTCACGTCGAAGCTTGTCTACTCGCCGTCTTGATGATGGGTCGCTACGAAGGAGCCATGCACCACCCGGGAATGATAATCTCGCCAACGAGAGACTCTTTCATGGCGCTTCGAAGCTGGCTTCACCACGATGGCGCACTTGCGATTTTACAAATGTGGAACGATTACCTAAGCCACTCGAACAAGGCGAGCTGCATCATCAAGCACACCCGGCGTGGGTTGACGTTGTCTGCTCTGCTCAGAGGGTTCCCATTGGCCGACTGGCTTCTTGACGGGGAGCGGTTTGGTGAAGTGGGCTTGGATCTAGACTACGACCGCATTCTCGTGCCGGTAGTCAACTTACGCTACACTGCGAAACAGCTGCTCGAACAAGGTGCCGACGCCGACGAGCACACCATCGACGAGCTCGATGCTCAGGCGAAGAGTCTGGACGTGATGCTGGAGGATTTCGCAACGAAGATCCCCTTTCCCGAATCCCGACGGCGCTTCTACCTCCTGGAACAAGCGAAAACCTGGTCCTGGCCCAGAAAACACTTCTTCTCCCCGTTCGTGACAATGTACAAGGACCAAGGGTATGCGGCACTCTGGGCACTGTACTTTGCGGCCAGGATCCTCGTGAATAGCACACGTCTCAAGATCCTCCGAGCACATTCGCATACGCCTGAGGCCAATGGGTCGGCCGCGGCGCATAGCGAGAAACGAGCCGAGTGTCTCACCACCATCCAGCTGATGGTGACTGAGCTTGCGTCGGTGACTCCGTTTGTCTTGGACAGGGTCGAGTCGACGGATCCCACGGCCAGGTGTGGCTGGTCGTCGCTCCGCGTGAACATCGATGAACCCGTCAAGCCGCATCTGGCGACGTTGATGGTGTGGCCACTATCCGTGGCCGGGAGTATAGAAGGCGTCGACGTGGATCGGCAGCGGTGGTTCCGGTCGGAGCTTTCGGAGGTCGGGAGGATCGTGGGAGATGGAATCCTCCAGTGTGCAGAGACGGAGCATTGGGCTGTACTGTAGATTGTCTATGACCTGCTCCCTACTACAACTTTTGCTCCCGAGCTGTCGACATCGAACTATCAATATATCCAGCTTCACGTGGCATACTCTATGATTGACCTACATAGGAACCCTTGGGACGCGCTGGACAGAAGATTCTCATGAGAGATAGTCCTCAAAAACCAGCATAAGTCGCACGGAAATATCACGGCATCAAGGCATCACGAACGAGACACGCACACGCACGAGCGCGGGCGACAGCATCAAAATTGTGTCAAGAATTCGCTTGCGTCAAAATGAAGAAACAGTCTGCTCAGTCTGCGAGGAGTATATTCCGATTCAAATCCCAACAAAAGCAACCCTGGAGTCATGACGGGCGCTCGACTCGTACATTGCACATTGTACGTCGTACAGAGGTCCAGCGTTTCATTTATTTGTAACTTGGAGTCCTGAAAGATAGGTAACAAACATGTCCTGGAGCATTTTCGTTCCCCCAAATCCCAATTTTTCGTTTCAACAAAAAACGCCAAACGCTACAAATCACAGAGGGAAACGACAAATCTCAAAAATACCCCAAGGCTTGGTCACATACAATCATCAATTCCACGGATGGAAATGAAATGGACAGATCAATTGGCCCAGCCCTTGCTCATCTCAACGGCCTTCTCCCAGCGGGCGAAGCGCGATGCACTCTCCTCCTTGGAAATGGCGGGCTTGAAGGTCGTGACACCCTCGGTATTGACGGCCTTGAGTTCGTCGATGCTGTCCCACACGCCCACGGCCAGACCGGCGGCGATGGCGGCGCCGAGGGCCGTGGTCTCGCGCATCGCCGGTCTCTTGACGGGGATGCTGATCAGATCGGACTGCGTCTGCATGGTGAGGTCGGAGTTGCACATGCCGCCGTCGACGGCGAGTTCCGTGAGAGTGTGGCCCGAGTCCTTCTCCATGGCCACGAGGATGGCCTTGGTCTGGAAGCACGTGGCCTCGAGGGTGGCGCGGGCAATGTGTCCTCTGTTGGTGAATGCGGTGATGCCGAAGATGGTCCCTCTGGCGTCGTCGATCCAGTAGGGCGCGAACAGCCCGCTGAAGGCCGTGACGAAGGTGACGCCGCCGTTGTCGTCGACCGTCTCGGCCAGCTGGCTGATCTTGCTCGAGTTCTCGATGAACCCAAAGTTGTCGACGAGGAACTTGACGCTGGACCCCGCCACCGCGATGGACCCCTCGAGCGCGTACATGGGCTTGCTGTTGCCGCCGAAGTCGAAGGCCACGGTCGTCAAGAGGCCGTGTGTCGAGATGACGGGCTTCTCGCCCACGTTGTACAGGATGAAGGACCCCGTGCCATACGTGTTCTTGCCCAAGCCGGGCGTGAAACCCTTTTGTCCCACGAGCGCCGCCGATTGGTCTCCCAGGCAGCCCGTGATGGGGACACCTTTAAGCACGGTGGACGCCAGAGAGCCGTATGCGGATGGGTCGGATGAGTGCACGATCTTGGGGAAGTGCACCTTGGTGCGGTCGATGCGGAAGAAGTCGATGAGGGATTCATCGTACTTGAGCGTCTTGATGTTCATGAACATGGTTCTGCTGGCATTGGAGGGGTCGGATACAAAAATGTTTCTCTTGGTGCCTGGAAGATGAAGGGAAGGTTAGCATCAAAAGGGTCTCACAGGGATAAAAAGTTGGTGGAGAAGAAGGACATGAAGTAAAATCAAATTGCTTACCTCCGTTCAGCTTGAAGACGAGCCATGCGTCAATCGTTCCGAATGCCAATGTCCCCCTTTCGTAAGCTTTCTGGACTTTGGGCTCGTTCTCGAGTAGCCACAGAAGCTTGCCCACTGATGGGTATGTCGACAAGGGAAGGCCACAGATGTCGGTGAGTCTGTCGGCGCCCAGGCGTTGCTTGAGCTTGCGCACCAGACCTTGGGTACGGGTGTCTGTCCAGACAATGGCATTGTACAGAGGCTCTCCCGTCTCCTTGTCCCACACGACGGTCGTCTCACGTTGGTTCGTGATACCCACTGCCTTGATGCTGTTGATGTTGTGGCCTTGGTTCTCGAATTGCTTGACAGCGCCGTCAATACATTCCTCGACTCCGGCGACAATTTCCAGAGGGTCATGTTCGTGCCAGCTAGACATCGTTTCAGTCAGTTACACGCTGTTCTTTCTCGTGGTCGCGGAAGCTAGGGCGAATCCGTCCTTACCCTGGCTGAGGATAGATTTGCTTGAACTCAAGCTGGTGAGAAGCTACAGGCTCACCCTGCTTGTTGAAGATCAAGAACCGGGAACTGGTGGTTCCTTGGTCGATGGAACCGACGAAGACCTCGTGAACGCTGCCCATGTTGACTACTGGCCAAGAAAAATCCCTGAACAGGTATGATACAAAAAGGTCTGAGGAAAAATGTCGGAGAGTCTGGAGGATAAACTGAGGGGTCTGGAGGACTTCTCTGGGGAGGGGGGGAAAAGAGACGTGCTTTTATAAAACCGTTGCGGAGATTGAACTCGACATGTGCCCTGTCCACAGTTGAAGCGAGGCACATGGTCGTATGACCCTACACGGCTCCGTGGTTCCCCCTGCTCCCAGTAAACCGGGGTGGAGGCCGAGATTCCAGGTTGGTGGCCCTCGGTGTGGCTATACAGGTAATTTCCCGAGCGTGGACTTTCATCACCCCGAGATTCCACGAGGTATAACCCACACTTCATGCTTCCTCATGCCACCGACGGCCCATGGGACCGGCATGTACAAGCGGAGTGGGCTGGGATACATACGAGATTGCCAGGGGACATAGGCACATGGCGCGGGGAATAAGGCTCGAAGCGGAATGAGCACGAGGGGACAACCCTCGCTTAGGGACGAGGTACGACCGTACGGCTGGGGCGAGGTACTAAAGCACCTCCATACCGGGTATGCGTAGCATCGTCTGTGGAGAGAGAAACCGGGCGGAGGGGACGGAACTCGGGGTTGAAAGACCGAGGAAACTGGAGACGCCAATAATACCTACCTTTGTACCTACTATAGGTACGAGTGTTATACCCAGGATATTCCCCCGCCCAGGGGTCACGCCGGTGACTGTCATTTGAATGTCTAACGATGACTGACGTCGCGTTCCGCCCAATGCCGGGGCCGTAAAGGGCGAGTCTGCGCTCGTCAGACAATTGGTGTTTCCGAATACTGAGCCGCGGTGCTCGAGCCGCCGGAAACTGGAAAATCAAAAGTGCCGGCTGCGGCAACGAAGAATCTGCTTGGCGCATTCCGATGACGGATTCGCTACGACTCTCTCCCATCCCATCCGCCATTTGCCTCTTTGCCTCTTTGCCTCGCAACAACTGTTACACGCGCTTCGCCGAGTAGAATCACCTGTGGCTGTGACCCTTGTGGTGTCTACATCTTTCTGCACGTCAACGGCCCTGATGTCAGCTCCCAACTCAATGCCCGCGTGCTGAACCCGAACCCCAGCTGACACCACTGCCGGTAGAAGCTCAAAGTTACAAGAATCGTAGTCTCCGAGATATCCGTAATTGACGCTTAGGCGCCTCGGTGTCACCGCCCGATGGCGCTCGTACATACCTTGCTCTGGACTCGCATCACCATGCCCTGGCTAGCAGCCGCTGGACTCTGGGACGAGACTCTCTTTTCACGGACCCACCACCCCATTCTTGTTCTAGACGTCTTCCGAGCTGGTAACGGCTGTGTCTCCTGGACATGCCCGTCAGACGTTCTACGTACACCGATCACACAACCGTCCAGAGTAGCGGGATGAACATAGCGCGATATGGCACCAGCGTGGGCGGAAACATGGAGATGGTCCATACTCTCCCATCTATATAACATTGCTTCCCCTATCCCCCATGGGCTTCCCTCATCACTCTCACTCCCACTCCATCCCCCACAAATCCAAGTGGCAAAAATTGTGAAATTCTCCAGCCAAGGGTACGACCTTGCTATATGTCGTCTTCGTTAGCATCATCCTCAGCCACTCTTGAAAAATTTTCAGCCGCCATGCCCAAGACCACGCACGAGGAACACTCTCATCACGACATGCCTCACCCTCCCAGCAGACGAACGTCCGTCATGGGCGTGCCGGCTTTCGCTGAGCACGGCCCACTGGTCGACCACAAAATCCCGCAGGCCGACGCGGTTCAACAAGAGCCAGATCTCGCCTGGAGTCGTATCCGACACTTTATGCGAGAACCCTTTTCCGAGTTCTTTGGCACCTTCATCATCCTCATGTTTGGAGATGGTGTCGTCGCTCAAGTGGTGCTCAGTAAGAACACCAAGGGTGACTATCAGTCCATCTCCTGGGGCTGGGGGTACGTAACACTGATCTGTGCTTCCGTCCGCCGGTTCAGCTTTTCTGACGTTTAATAGTCTCGGGGTCATGCTGGGTGTCTACTGCAGCGGCATATCTGGGGCACACCTCAACCCTGCCGTGACTTTTGCGAACTGCGTTTTCCGGAAATTCCCTTGGAGAAAATTCCCCATCTACATGCTTGCTCAGGTTCTGGGTGCCATGACGGCCGCTGCGGTGGTGTACGGCAATTACAAGTCTGCCATTGACGCTTTCGAGGGCGGCGCGGGGATTCGCACCGTGACGGGCGAGAATGCTACCGCTGGCATCTTCTGCACGTATCCTGCGGATTTCATGACCAGAACCGGCATGTTCTTCTCCGAGTTCATCGCCAGCACCCTGCTCATGTTCCTTATCTACGCGTTGAAGGACGATGGAAACATCGGAGCTGGTCCCTTGACACCGCTGGGTCTCTTCTTCATCATCTTCGGCATTGGCGCTTGTTTCGGGTGGGAGACGGGCTACGCCATCAACCTGGCCCGTGACTTTGGTCCTCGCTTGGTGTCTTACATGATCGGCTACGGCCACGAAGTCTGGTCATTTGGTGGATACTACTTCTGGGTAAGTGATAGTCATCGTCTTCCAAATTGCGTTTCCTGGGCTGACCGTTTTGCACAGATCCCTATGGTCGCTCCTTTCTGCGGCTGCACTTTCGGCGGATGGCTGTACGACACATTCCTGTTCACTGGTGAAAGCCCAATCAACACTCCATGGATGGGTTTGAAACGCTTCACTCAGCTCAAGCGCTCCGTCTGGTCAAACACTTATGAGCCAAAAGATGATGAGCACCAGGTATAGATTTACAGATCTTGTATGAACGTCGACAGTAGCAGAATGGTCTTTTACCCAGTGAATGCGAAGGATGGAGCTCTGTACCGAGTGAGATTCGGATATATATATACATGTTGATGATTGAGGGGAGAGGTTGCCTGCTTTGATGAATTGCACATAGCGAAGCCAGGAGTTCATCCAGCTGGAGTTTCTTGAAGCACATACGATGTCTGAGCATATAACAGAGGCTCGTAGACGAATACATGATGACTTACACCTTCTGAACCACTTTTTCACGTCGTCCTGGCTGCATCATTCCCCGGTGAGAGAGTAACGAGAGTCGTGCGTGATTCTAGTGATACTCGTCACATTCTGATGTCTTTCTCGTCTCAGGATGTTTGTTGTATTAAGAGGCTTTGGAATTCAATTCCTCTAAGTTATTCTCTCGCAGTCTTTCGACCATCACAAAGTTCCCGACTTGGAGTTTTCCAGCTTTGTTTGTGTGCCTGGCCTGCCTCCCTTGGACATCACATCTCACTTTCCATTCTCTTTCTGAGGAGAGCCATCCAGATCTTGACCTTTCATATTTTAAAATGTCCGCACATGAAGATATGCAGTGACATGATGCGACTCCTTTTTTTGAAGCCCAATTTCAGGGCAAGACTACAACCGTAGGACGATGTTGAAAAGGGGATAGAGAGAGCTTATTCGCACATGTGCGCAGCAGAGGGGGAACGAAGTCCAGAAGAGTCTACCTGTCAGATTCGATCAGTTGAACAAAGCGGGAGTTGTGTTACCAGTAGCAAAAAGAAAAGAACCCAGAGATCTCTTCCAGGCTCCTCATTCCGGAAACACAGAGGTGGTGTCACAACCATATTGCAAATCCATGAAATTTGTATGATGGAGTCAGCCAGTCAAGAAAAGAAGTCTTCTTTCGTCCTCTCTGTCCGTGTTCATGATAATGGTGAAAGGCCAAAAAAGTCGTGTCCGATGCAGGCCAACATCAGAGGACCAGAAGCCACCAGTATACACGAGGACTCTGAATCTTTCCGAGATGAACCGGGAGACCTCTTTATATGTATTTTTTCCCTCAAAACGAGAGGACGACTGTACGTGCTATCTGACTTGCTCAGCTCATCTTTGTTCGAATAGAGAACATGTGGAACCTTTCACGAGGAAAGGCCATGCCAACCTCGACCTTTGAGCATCGAACATTGCATGACTGGAGCACGCCGTATCCCCTTTTCTTTCTCTGTCGAGAGAAGATCGTCGACTACGAAGGTGTGACTGGCCACGTCTCGTCTTCTTGTCAGTTCTGTAACGCATATGTGAGCCACGAAAGATTGCCGAGGATGGATACTTACAAATCCCCTAAGACCACGAGGCCGGGTCTTCTCTCATTTCAAGGGATCCATTCTCAGCCGCGGTCGCTAACTAGTCACACTTACATGTTCTCTCCTGTCAGGACTCGGGGACCTGTTTTGCCGAGCATTCGTGAGTTTCTGCAGTATTTGGATGCCCGAAGCACCACTGGTATGTCGCCTGGTAGTGATCGGTTCCATTATGCCGGGAGAAGTATTGATACGACTAGGCGAAACGTCGAGTATTCCTCACTCCACAGGATTTGACCCTTGACATCTCACGAGCAGCAGTTGGCAATTGGGAAGGGTACCATAGGAGCTACAAGCTCTCTCACGTAGAACGGTCCATGAGCACGGTATAACCGGCAGCACGTATCAACCGAGGGATGATGTTCCGATATGTCTGTATCGCCTCTTACCATACAGTGCATAGGCCCCCAAAATCCATTATGGCCCCGTTATGGTTGCGACGTTGTCGACTTAGCGGTATTGAAATTTTCCGACTAGTGGCTGAACATAGCAGAATTGATCTCCGCCTGACAGGTGCCTCCGGACGCCTAATGGAGCATCTCGAACGTACCATCCGCGGCTGAATGCAGCTCGGTGTATTTATCCCGATATCACGTGTCGGGCCAAGGCCGCTCCGCCTCTCGGGCATCACATACCGAGACGCTTCTTCACTTTCTCCGCAGTCCGGGCACCACCACAGACCACTGAGAGTCTGAGACCAGCAATCTGCATGCTCATCACCGCCGCAGCTTTTCCAGCCAGATCCGGGGAACTCGAGCTCGTTACGTCTTGATCCCTGTCTGTCCACTCTCGGTCCTCGACATGGCCCGAAGGGTCTTGATCATGACCAAGGCCTCGCCCTCGCCGTTTCCTCTTCCTGACAGGTGACTTCATACATTGATTGAAATTATATTGCCTTTCCTTCTGTTCTTGACTGTTCAACCTCTTCTCAACTTCTCAAGTACTCTGCACGCGTGTGCCTAGCCATTGATTGAGCGTGCAGTGCATTTCATTTCTTCCGTCTCTGCACCACGCACGCCTCGCCATTCACCCCCATCCTGACCACTAACGGACTTGGTTCCTGACAATGTCTTCTCGATTCTCTGCGCGACGGCTCTTGAGGCCACTCGCGTATGGCACAGGACTGGCCGTCGCGGGTACGACTGTTATGTACATCGCCTACCGCCCTCGCAACGTTCCCGGCGCAGATACTCTGGCTCCCAAACCTCCACGAAGAGACGAGAACGGCGTCATTATCCCTCCCAAATTCCCCTACATCAAGTCAAGAGCCGAGCAGATTGCTGATCTCAAGAAATCCTCGTCTTCACCGTCGTCTGAAGAGTATGATCTGCTTGTGATTGGTGGAGGAGCTACGGGAACCGGCATTGCGCTAGATGCGGCCACAAGAGGTTTGAAGGTGGCCATTGTGGAAAGAGACGACTTTAGCAGTGGAACAAGCTCAAAATCGACGAAACTGGTCCATGGCGGTGTCCGATATCTTGAAAAGGCGGTATGGAATTTGGACTACAATCAGTATCAGCTGGTAAAGGAGGCCCTGAAAGAACGAAAGAGCTTCTTATACACAGCACCGCACCTGAGTTCGTGGCTCCCCATTATGCTGCCTTTGCAGAAGTGGTGGCAACTCCCATATTTTTGGGCCGGAACAAAATTCTACGATTTGCTGGCAGGTTCGGAGGGCATCGAAAGCTCTTATTTTCTCCCTAGAAGCAAGGCGTTGGAAGCATTCCCCATGTTGAAGAAAGAAAACCTCGTCGGTGCTTTGGTTTACTACGATGGCCAACACAACGATTCGAGGATGAATGTTTCACTGGCGATGACTGCTACGCTCTACGGCGCAACCACAGTCAACCACCTCGAAGTGACCGGTCTGGAGAAAGACGCCAGTGGAAAGTTGACCGGTGCAAAAGTGCGAGATCTGATTGCCGACAAGGACGGTCAGTCAGGAAATGAGGATTTCGTCGTCAAAGCGAAGGGCATCATCAACGCAACCGGTCCCTGGGCAGACGCCATCCAAAAAATGGATGAACCAGGCACGAGAGACATTGTGTCACCAAGTTTGGGAGTTCACGTCGTTCTTCCCGGCTATCTCAGCCCTCAAAACATGGGTCTGATCGACCCCTCGACTTCCGATGGACGTGTTATTTTCTTCCTCCCTTGGCAAGGTAACACCATTGCCGGAACGACAGACTCACCATGTGCCATATCACAGAATCCAGTGGCTGGTGAAAAGGACATTCAATGGATCCTGGACGAAATCCGAACCTATCTAACCCCCGACATTGATGTTCAGCGATCCGATATTCTCGCCGCATGGTCAGGTGAGTGATCAGAGACTAGCTCAATGGCTCCGTTGTTTTGGCTTCGAGTGGACTAACAAAAATCTCAGGTATTCGCCCTCTTGTCCGAGACCCAAAATCCAAGAACACCGAATCTCTTGTTCGAAGCCATCTTGTCACTGTTTCTGATTCCGGTCTCCTTACCTGTGCTGGCGGAAAATGGACTACTTACCGCCAAATGGCTGAAGATGCAGTCGACGAAGCCATCAAGGTCTTCAAGTTGCAACCCAAACCTACCACATATGTTCCTGATATCAGTGGCGTCAACGGAATTGACCCAACGGCTAAGATACTCGACGGTACTTGTCAAACCCATCATATTCGCCTGCTCGGAGCTCACGGCTACTCTACCACGCTTTTTATTAACCTGATCCAACACTTCGGTCTTGATATGGACGTCGCGAAGCACCTCGCAACAGACTATGGTGACCGCGCCTGGGATGTGGCCGCATTAGCTACCCCCACCGATAACACCGAGCATTACCCTCGACGCGGCCAACGGCTGTCAAGTCTTTACCCATTCATTGACGGCGAAGTGCGATATGCCGTTCGAAGTGAATATGCTCAGACGGCAATTGATGTCCTTGCTCGACGGACGAGATTGAGCTTTTTGAATGCCCAAGCTGCTCTCCACGCTCTTCCCAAGGTCATCGATATCATGGCTGACGAATTGAAATGGAGCCAGCAGAGAAAGGAGGCTGAGTGGAAAGATACCGTTTCTTTCCTAGCCAGCATGGGCTTACCAAGCGACCTGCTTCAGATCACAAGAGAACAAGTATTGCGAGGGGAAATGACGACAAGTAACCTTGCCCCTGCCAAGGGTGCGTCGAAAGCCGTCGTCCCGGTTAGACCCTCGCTTGAGCCTGCCGACGAATCCCACGCACCTGTGCCGTAAACATATCCGTGGTATGAACGAACGGGGCGACGAGAAGAACTATATTTTCGACGTTACACCTGCATCACGTACTAGTGTGTTGGATTGAAAAAGTTGGACTTATTTATTTATGATACCATGTCCATGTTCGTGGCGCAGGGCGTTGGGGGAGCTTTACTGGTCTGTTTGGCCATCTGTTTTAACAGAGATAGATCACTTTTGAGATATCTGTATCTATATTTCATCCAGCATTGTTGTTCATGGGTCACAAAGAGGCATAAAACATGTGGAGGAAGCTTCCCCCGGTTTAATATCAATATGTATGTCTTTGTACTCGTCCCTGGTTCAAGATTACCAGCTCGGCAGGCCGTTGGTTGGTTCCCGCCCGTCAGCACTGGGCCTTCCCCAATTGTTCCAGCCCTACAGGAACCATGCAATAGAACCACTTTTTGCTCAAACACCGCGATACTTAGCGGCGAATCTTGACCTCTCCAAAGTCCATTTCCGTTTCCGGACCTAGGCAGCTCGCTATTTAGCGTAAATTTTGACTCAGCCATCATGTGCGGTGGCCATGTAATCCTGAGCACCGCCTGGTGAGTCCTGAGGCGTGCCTGAGTAGCATGGGTAAAGCCCTGTATGAGGGAAATTGTTGAACAGGCTGAGTTGTGACGGTGTCATTACAACCTCCATACTCGCGCCGAACGCCTCCGGAGGAACCCCGCCGCCTGGAACGCTCATTATTGCGCACTTTGCAACTATCACTTCACTCATTGAACTATATCATGTTGACAGCAATATATAGGCCATTCTATTGCCAATCATCGGAGCGCTTATTACAATCACTCAAGATACGTCAGGAAAGGCCAACTTGCGGCCTGTGATGCGGCAACAAAGGAAGCCTCAATCGGGCAGAGAATAGTCGCTCCTTTTGCCTATATATATCATAGTCCTCAACCTCCTAGACATCGAGGGTAGACTCATCAATATATCCCATTTAACTCCCATTGTGTGAGCGTTACACAATAGTTATAAGCTCGATTCCCGATTTCGCTTGAGACACCTGTCAGTTAATGGTTTAATAAAGTCTCGTTATTATAAAGCTAGCTAATTAAACACATTAAACACATTAAATTCTCTACGCGTCACGCGCACCTTAGATATTCATTAGTAAAACTATACATTTTATTATACTTTCTCTTTAGTAATCTTAACATGTTAGAGTTAGATCTAGAGTCTTAACTAATCAAAACAATCAATATTAAGTTTTTTAAAACATTAAACTAGAATAACTAGTTCATTATCATTAAACTTTATACTAGACAACAATAAATATAGCAATATATCGACCCTAATATACAGCACCCACTAATCTTACTATATTCAAGGATACCAAACTTAAAAGATATTAAACTAGGAGCCACTCTTCTCTTAGAACTCACTTTAATAAAACAGAATAATCTTCGCTATAATTAGAGACAATAAGAGAGAGAATTTAGACAATATAAAACAAAAAATAAAAGCATTATTACTCTAAGCACTTAGATAATAGTAAGTGTGTTAGTTAATCTTCTTTTATTCCTAAAAGGTTAATCTTCTCTATATATAATATTATGAAGGCTTTAATAAAGATTCGCTCTCATGAATAAGTCTAAAGAACTAAATATATTAACTAAATAAAAGAAAGTGATTAAGACCCTAAAAGATTATTAATATATTAATGACTAGTTAGATAAGTGACTTAAAGCTTATAACAATATAAGCTATTTAGATATATTTATCGTTATAGAATATTCTTCGATCTATAAATTTCTATAAGCGGTGAAACTACTTAATAAAATCTTTATCATAATAAAGAACTTAAAGCTACTTAACAAGGATTTTATTCTTGACTTTTATAACCTTATAGAATTATTTCGGCGTCTATATAGCCTAGATAAAGACTCTAAAAAAGGCTCTATTTTATTATATAACTTCTTTATATTACTTAGAGATTAGAGAGCCAATAGCGACTCTTTAAAGTGCAAGATATATAATCTTTCTTAGTGATACACTTAATATTCTTATATTGTTAAGTTAGCGAGGCCTTAAGGTTAGAAACCTAATCCTAAAAAGTAAGCTATTTATAAGGAAATAAAGAAGAACCCTATTCATGTAAGACGATTTTAGTAGACTATAGAAAGAGCCTCTAAATTCACTTCCTTATCTCTCTTCTTCACTAAAGAACAAAAAAAGAAGATAGTATTCACAGTAATTATGGCTTATTCTATCTTAGTATATTTAGGGTTAACTAATAGAAGCCTATATAACGAGTGAATTCTAGACTTAAGGTTTAATATTTATATATATCGACCTAATATATTAAGCTATATTGCTTAATATTCTTTACGCCCTAATAAGTCGTTAACTTATAGCGTTAATAAATATTTTATTAAGTTAATTAGAATAATCATTATTAATATAATATTTTCTATAAAACTTACTTATATCGTTCTTATAAACGTTCTATATATTTAGGGCTTTATAACTAAAGTGGTCTTATTATTAAGAATAGTAGTTAAGAATATTCACTTTATAACCTAGATATTTTTAGGAATAGAAGAAATATTTATCTAAGATAAAATCCTAGTTAATTATATATTTAACTATTATAATCACTTAATCTTTACACTATATAAATATATAGTATTTATAATCATAACCATGTAACAATATAAGAAACTTAGTTATTTAGTCTCTATCTAGTATAGAATTTTAAGGCACCCAAGCCTAGACAGTATTAAATATCTTTTAGATATCGCCAAGAGAATATAAATTATAAGAAATAACGCTCTTAGCACAGTAAAATACAAGATCTATATACTTATAAAATCTAAATAATAAATCTTAAAAATTCTTTATAATAATGAGGAATAAAGAGACAAATCTTTAGGCTAAATAGTCTTTAATATAGTTTATTTTGTAAAGAGATAAATCGCGGATCAATATATAAGCTATTTATAAGATTTCTATATCTATATAAACTATATATTTATTTATAACACTTATTTCTAGACAGAAGAAATTATCCTAAACTGGTTAGCGATAATCTGAATATAATTTAATAAGATATTAATATTTCTATATCTAGACAATAAAATAGCACTAGATAATAATTTCTATAGCCAACTTTATAGACTAAAAATTATTATTAAGCACTTAGCTCCTTATACTTTAGTCTAGAATAAGGCTACAAAACACTTAGAAGGCATCATTATATAGATAATAAGAACCCTTAAGGTTTAGAGCTATCTATTATATTTTCTATAATCAGAACTAGTCAAGATAGCTGGCTATCTTATTTCCTAAGTCTGTGTCCTGGGGCAAAGGATACCGTTTCGCGACGACGTCCGTAGCCGCTTTTGCGATCCCTTTGCACCGGCCGGCTCCACCTCTCTCTCGCCGCTTTTGACGATTTGACGTACAACCCTTCTCTCTGCCTTACACCCAACGCCCACACACCATTCCTGCCTTACTGTACATCTCTCACCCGACCCTCTCTGACTCTATCTGCGTGTGTCTCACGTCACAATCTCAAAAGCATGCATTGGCGACCTCCAACCCATGTCGAAGATCCTAGGAGTGAGACTCGTGGACCTCTCCCAAATTTCAAATTGTTTGCAGTTCTTCTGCTGTCCCTCCGTCAAAATGCCCCCGCTCATCAAACGGAGTCGGAAGTCAAACTGGCTTCAGGCGACGTCCTGATGCCCCTGCCCATTGCCAACCGCTGTGCTAGCTGCACGAGCCCTGGATGAGATATATATACGACGGCATCGCCAACATGCCGACCTCACTTTCGTCACTTCCTCCCATTTCTCTTCGCCTCGTCCGATCCGTCCCTGCGCATCCTCGAGCCACATGCCTCGCCGAAAGAAGTTGACCACTGTCAACCTGAGTTCTGGGGGTTCATACTCCGGCCATACTACCGATGACGTCTGTACACTAGACGTCCTCGCCCGGAAATATGAGGAGGCCTTGTTGGAAACCCGTCCCACGATGTTGTATGCACCGAATACTATCTACCACGTTGACCGCATTCGGCGCCTCTTCGAGGAGTACGTGCCATGACTGATAGTTGGGGACATCTGTTGACTCTGCAAAGATACTGTGACAAGTTCCAGCTTGATCCACAAGAGACCCTGCGCGAGTGCGCCACGGCTCGGATGGAGAACTTCCTACATTGGTTGCTCCGGACCTACACGATCAAGAAAACCAGTACGCTGACGACCTACTGGCGGCAATTGAGTCAGCTGTACATTATGTGGACACAGCGTCGGATGGACCCGGCTGTCATGAGGCAAATCTTCGTGGTAAGTAGAACAAGCAGTGTTGTATGCCGCCAGACCGCTGAAGCTACAGTTCATTGAAGGGCCATTGACGGAAGAATATGGCCTGGACAATGAGGAGATCGAGAAGCCTCTCATGGAGGCGGACGATTTCGTCGAGCTCATCCGTTACCACTGGGCCTCGGATATCAACTGGTTTCCCAATGAACGGCAACGACTCCAGTTGGCGGCGATTCTGTTGCTGGCAGCGTTCACCGGGTCTCGACCTCAAGCCCTGTTGGACTTGACCTACCGCGACCTGAACCTCTACATTGAGAAGGACGCCGAGACTCGTGTCGACATGCTGCGCTTGGGGGTGAAATTGACCAAGACTAAGTCCCGCCAGAAGCGGAAACGACCGTGAGTACCCCTCGGTTAGGGAGTTCTTGTGGCTAACCCTGCTACAAAGGAAAACGTACACCTTCAATTTGGACGACAACCCAATCTTCTGTGTCATCACCCACATTGTCAGCTTGGCCTTCAATGACTCGGCTTTCGGGCCGCCCGATCTGAAGTCACCCGATATTCTGTTCCGTCTCCGGGCGCGGCAGGACAAGGGATGTCAGCCGATCCCGTGGAGAAAGGAGATGCTTGACGTGCCTATTTTTCGCCGTGCGATCGCCACCAAGGAAGGCGTCCAGACATCGCCAGACAGAGCTCTGACCTACAACGTCTATCAGGCGTGGGTCAAGCGTCTCGGTGAGGCGTTGGGTTACCTACAGACGCTGACGACGTACTGCCTCCGCCGAGCTCTGGGCAACGCCATCAATGGTAGGTAACCTCCAACAGTTCTGTTGAGGAGAACTCATCCTGCTAACACAATCACTCAACTCAGATGATCCCAAATCCAACGCCGCTGTCCGCAACCTTGCCCTAGATCATGTTGGATCTTCCACGATCTTCGAACGGAATTACCTGTCTCGGATGATCCGCTACAGTACGCAAGACGCGTTCTGGAACCGGGAGGCTGATCCGCAGGCGGCCAAATCAGCCGGCCGCATCGGCCGTCTCCGCGATCCGAACCGGCCGAGAAAGCTCACCAACGAACAGAGTCAGCAGGTTCGACGCTTGCCTTCTGTCCACCGGCTTCTGGAGTCGCGAGATCGGGTTCGCGGTGTCATCCTTCGGGAGTTTGGCTTTCTTCGAATGGCGATCGGAGAACCAATCCATGCCGAGTACAAGAAGTTGGAACGTATGGTTAACAGCACGATTCGAGCCGAGGAACGAGCTCTATTGAAGTGCAAGCAGCGTCAGTACGACGAAACGGCTCCTCTCGAGGCGATTCAACGGCAGATCAAAGGATTTCCAGCCGAGAGGCAAGAGACGGCTCCAGAGTCGGACTCGGTACAGATCAAGATCCCCGAACGACGGCAGATTGCGGAAGCGGCCATGAGCGATCCGGCGGTCTTCACCGGTCCCAAGGCACTATCCCGACACATAAAATGTTCTGTCATGATGATCGCGCTGTGTCGACAACGTGAAAGACGATCAACGAGAGAAACGCTTTCAGCTACACTGACAAGATTGGCGGCTAGTGTACGTGATACTCGTGACCTAACGCCATCACCAACCTGCAAGCGTGTATCCCCGTTGACGTGTAAGAAACATCAATGTCTTTTCTGCCTGTGCAGTGATCTACCCCAAGAAGATCGGGAGAAACAGTATGCTGGGAAACACTCCCTTCAGCGACATGCCGAACGCTGTCGTCTCCGACACTTTCAAGAAAAGGACCACATTCCTTGCCCCGACAATATGGCTTGCCGTGGATTGGTTTTCGAAGGAAAGTCGCATTTCAAAAACCATGCCGCTTCGGTACACTTTTTTGTCTTATAAGATCCATTAATCAACAACCGAGCGTTTGGTTATATGTTGCCGGAGGGTACGCTTACTTTAACGTCAGTCCACCCGATCAGGTCTGAAACCCTAGATCGCCTTCACCACAAAGGATTGTATGTTATCCTGCACAAGCCTGCGCATACAAGATCCCTTTCCTGTGTTGTTTCGGTAAGTTGACGCAATGCAGCTTCGGCATCACTGTCCTCTAACAGATTAGACTTGGCCTGTGGCGAAGACATATGACCCTCTTTCGAGTATAGATAATCTTTCAAATCTTCTCCGATACGTTTTAGACTGTGATCACTTCGCTCTTGTACTCGCTCTTGTACTTCGTTCTCAGTGACCTCGCTTCCTATACTTCCCACTTATCAGGAAACCCATACGTGTAGTGACACCTTTGGTGGAGCGAATCGTAACACGATACTACCTTCATGTGCGCATACAAAGGATATTGGTTGTGCACCCGCTCTAGGGTCATGAAATGGGCACGCCAAGCTGCTTGGGATAGGCGGACATGATAATTGCCAGCTCGGCATACCCTTATCAAGGGCCGATTTTCTCATAGCAGGGTTCGAAGGTATTTATATATCGCCCATTCTGGATTCCTTGCGATCTTTGAGTTAGCCCACCGCGAACGTCATTCGTGGAGGCGAAACAATCAATGTTCCAACAGCTGAACTGGTGCCTGGAGATTTGGAGGAATTGAAACTTGGCGATACCGTGCATGCGGACCTTAGGCATGCCATTCGTTAATATTACGGGTTGGAGCCTCAATAGGTGGCAGTGTGATAGAACCCCCCTTCTGTACGGTTCACGTCAATAGGTTCCCTCCATCCGAGCAGGGGATCAAAAAGCATAAAACCATTTACACCGACATGGTTTTGAAGAGGTGAAGACGCCTGGTTGCTCGTGAGAATCGTACGGGTGACGGGGAAGTGTTGAAAAGGTGCCTTGGCCTCATGTGAAGGCACTCCTCTAGTATTTAGTGTGCCGTGTGCTGAAGGAGGAGTACCATGAAATAGAGTCTCCACTGGAAGATCATTAACGTCCACATCAGACTTAGCTGCTACTGCACGCAACATAAGGTTGCATCGGCTCCAGGCTCGACTGGCAGAGAGATTGCGCTCGCTGAGTACGTGGAGCAGCCTTATTGCTCTCTTCAAAGTTCCCAAGGTATCGCGGAAACCTCCAGCTGCACGATACACAGGAAAAGATAGCCAATGAATTAGGATCAAAGTTGACTGCACGAGCCAGGGTAAAACAGACCACCAAGGTCCGCACTGCATAATATCTTCGGCATTGGAGTCGTCAGGGACGAGGTGGATTATAGCCTTCGCCGCTTCAACACAATGTGTGGCAGCTGAAAAGTCGAAATTATCCGAATCTTTGGACTGACAAGTAAGGTTTAGATCCGGCAATCGGTCCAAAAAGGATCGGTAGGTTATCATCTGTGTTCCATAGTAGAAGAACCCTAGACTAAGTCTGAGTTCACGGAAACTTTGTTCCTTATTGTTGCGCCGGAAGTCGAAAACTGACGGAAGATTGCGAACCCAGTCTTCAAGTTGAAATCCAAGATCTTCGAGTCGGGACGACTGGCGGGTACCAATAGCAATGCTCTGAATCTGAGAAAGTAAACTTTGGCTGAGCCTTGCTAACTGCGTGAGATGGAGAAAGTAAAGTGACGGGTTAGCCGTGATATCTTTTGCCCAGGATAATCCAACTTGTGGCATCGACATGGTTGTCGACGATTGGGGTTGCTGGTGCGGTGGAAAAGAGCGATCTCCATCAGTGGAACATGTGGATGTCGATCGGTTCGGGACACGCGTATTTGAAGAGGGTGCTCGAGGCCCTAGTTGGGATTCCTTCGCAAGGAGCTCCACACCTCTGTCGGTATCAAACTCATCCTCTTCGAGGGGAACTGGGAGCGGCGTTGAGCATTGTTGGTCGAGGACATAAGTGACACGTCCGGTAATTATGCAGAGTCGATGCTGGAGAACATAGAGGCTCCACCAAACTCGGTAGCGGATCTCCTTCAAATGGTCTTTTAATTGGGTACTATCGTTGCGCAAGTTCAAGCCAAGAGCCGTTGCGTGGGACATAGCGATGCCTATCAACACCCAAGCTCTTCTCATATTAGTTCTGCGTCAGATTAGGAAATCAGTTTCGTACCTGTTGATTTGGCTGGTGCAGAGAAAATAGAAAGTCATCAACCCAAATACCTGGATGAGCTGCAGGTCCGGGAACTTGAACAATGTCTCGCTATCAATAGCGAGATATCTGGCCCTGGTGAAGTACACAAGATGGTCTTCCACATTTCCGCCAGGGTCGACCCCAACAAGAGTGGCATACCTGGCAGCAATGGCAAAAATCATATTGATAATTGCGAGCCACACGTCAGGAGGTCTTTGAAAGGGTTTCGACAAGAATCGGTGAAATTGTGATGTAAGGGTGGATTTTCCAATAATTGGGAACGTTGAGTGCGCATGTTGGAGATAAGTATAGAACAAAAACTGTGCAGTCTCGGCCAGTGGCAAGTCGTATGGTTCGACAGGTTGTAAGGTAGAAAGTGGAGCGTCATCCAAATGGTAACTTACGCTGTTTATCGTGAAATAGTGATCCACCTCCGCCATACGGGCTGTGTCATTGCCATGAAGTTGTCCGGAGCTTGATAAATGGGAGTCAGTATAGTGCCTTTCAGCGTCGCGACGAGGATGCGTCGAGGTTGGCGGGAAGTCGTCGAGATTGTTACCATCCAGTATGGTCTGCATCCAAGTCACCTCTGAAGTCGGCCCCATGAAACCAGTTACTGTCGCCTCTTTACGCGTGAAGTCTTCTTTTGTACCGTACAGGGTTTCTCCGGTCAGAGTCTGCTCAGCTGAATCTTCAGAATTGGCTGTAGAAGTCCCCCGGTGTTCGTTACTCCCAGTCCGTGGAGTAGCTGCAATGTCGACTTCTTGTGTATCCGAGTCTTTCGCGGATTCCTGACGCATTAAAACCACATAGCTACACGGTTAGGAATCCCATACTTCTCCAAAATATGCCTTTATGAGCTTCGCCTCGGGCTCGGAAACTCTGTTCGCCAAATTTTTAAGCAAAGCCTCGCAATCTGCTAGTCTTTTGCCGACCCTATCATCGACTCTGTGAGGTTCAACAATCTAGCTTGTATGTACTTCTGGACGTACTTCTTTGCTTTGTCCCCCTTTTTTTCTGCGTAAACGCACACAAATCCCAATCCACGACAACGCCTACATACAGGCTTTTCTCCGTTACATCTCGTCTTTTTGAGCCTGCAAGGTTCGCACGCATGCTGTATTCGACGCCGGTCATCGAGTGCTGTATGTGGTCCGTCTGCGCCCTTGGCTGCGTTTGTTCCGGATATCGCAACTGCTGTGATCTCTCTCTGTGCAATATAGCGCCCTGTGGATTGCGAAGGGCCTGAAGCGCTGGGTGTCGGGGAGCGCCCCATGACGCGTGGTAGAGATTTAAAGGTGTAGGGAGGCTACACCATAGTCCGACTTGATGATAGCGGGTTGCGGATGCGCAATCTGGAAGAGGTAGGATGGGCTACGTCTGGTAAGGTCGGCGCAGTCTCAACCGGCTGTGAACTTCACCGGACGATGGACGCCCGCTTGTGACAACCGACTAGCCCCACCATTTCCTCGCCGCTTTTGACGATTAGACGTTCAAACTTTTGTCAGACTAGCATTCTTAACGCCTGAACGTTGCCCTGCCTTTCCACTTCTCGCTCAACCCTCCGTTCTTTGTCTCACGTCGCATTCTCGACTGCGTACATTCGGGCTTTAATGACCTCTAACCCAGTTCGATGTCTCTACCACGCTCGCGGAGTTCTCTCAAATTCCAACTCGTCTGCATGCCTCATGCCTGCGAAGCCCTTTGTCAAATGTCCACGCTGAAACGGGGCCGCAACTCAGCTCGATCTTCTCGATGCTGTGATGCCTCTCGCTCTTCGCCACCCGCTGTGCTGGCGGCACGAGCCTTACACGACATGTGCAACAGCATCGCCTACATGCCGACCCTACTTTCGTCACTTTCTTGATTTCCTGGGATTTCTCTCCATTCATTTCGATCTTCCTCGTGTCCTCGAGCCACATGCCTCGCCGAAAGAAGTTTACCACTGTCGACCTGAGTGCCAGGGTTTCATACTCCAGTCATACTACCGACTTGATGTCTAAAGCCCCCATCATGATGCGGCTTCGGCAAGATGGATGTCAGAATTATGTTACCTTGTCCCCTGATACATATCGTAAGAGGTTTAGCCTATACGAAGACCATACTTCTTCGACCACGGATAAGTTGCCTTCAAAACTTCTTTCTTCGGAATTAGTTGATGGGAACGTGAGTCCGCACGGAGGACCGTTCCGATTTAATACACCAGAAGAATCAAGAATACTGTGGAAGAAGGCGGAGTCAACTTGCTGGTCGACGAGTCATTTCTCCTAGGACCTACGCGACTGATTGCGGCCAGCTCCCCAATCCATATGTATACAACGAGTACTTCCGAGAAGCGACGAACCTCGCACGCCTGTGTTCGATGTCAGACCCGTCGCCTCAAATGTTCCGGAGGTGATCGACGCCTCCGGTGCCATAAAGCCAACGCAAGCTGTGTATATCAGGAGAGGAAAAAGTCTCGAGATCAGGGGTGCGCTATTAGAACCGGTAGGAGTGCAGGCCAGACGCTCTAGTCTCACATGATATCGACAGCCAACTAAAAGAGTGTAGCGAAATGATTCACAATTTGGAAATGGAACGGCAAATCCTCCTCGAGGCTCTCCGAGGGATAACGCGCTCACCTCGCTTCCAACCTGACAAGCATGCAGAAACAATGAGGATCTTAGAGGTGCGTTTCTGTCGCATACAATCTACATATTGTGCTGAATATGCCCTTGGCGCAGGTTTTTGCAGACAACTCTAAGGCAATTACCCTCTCGTACCCTGGTACTGGCGACGGAATTCTTGACTTAGCGAAAAAATCACCATTTGAGGAGGGCCCAGGCAAGACAACTCACCCTCAACCAAAGAACGAACCTCAGTTGGGTTTGAGAAGCACTGAATCCAGGGCCTCGCAGATCTCTGGTAAAGGTCCATCGGTGGCGGTCGAGAATTTACTGAAGACGTCCATTTCCTACGTCGTAAACGGGACCGTTATATCAGAGGATTAAATGACCTGTTGTGTTGGGACTAGTATTATTGTTCAATATGCTAGTAACATGGTGAGGAGCTATCAAGTTTGTATAACTCGGGATATAGTGCAACTCTGGTCTACAGTATATTGTTGAACGCATCTTTTAGCTTCGTCCTCCGCCGGAACATGAAGCCGCAGCTAAGGACCCGTGGAGCTAAATAACTTTATCACCTTTGATTCCTTGCGGGGTTGGACAGTCGAGCTCTCCACCTGCTGGACTCGACCCGTGTCCTTGCCCAGCATATATTTGAATAAGGATCTTCTGGCCTGTTTCGAAGCTCGACGCAACATCTGAGGCAGCGGAAGGATGCGACATTTGTACGTGACTCCTAACCGGCCCACAGGTATACATGGTGGCGATGACAGGAGAAATTGAATCCAGGAGACAAGGAAAAAAGGTAAAAAGGAAAATGAGAAGAGAAGTACTGGTGTTTCTAGTAGGGTATGTACAAGCTTATGGTCACAAATCAAACGACATAACAAGTACGTGGGTTCCAGTTATCATCAGTCAAACCTTGATCTCGCCACATCCTGCTGAATTTGACACCAGGCACGACCTGTCAGATGGTGAACGCATGGGCATCGATGCTAGAAGGCCGTGTCAAGAAGGCGATGATGCCTGGTACCGAGCCCACCGCCTGTCTCATGAACATGCCTTGGTTCGACATGAGTCCCAGTCCAAGTTCCCTCCACGGAGACGCAACGTCAAGTGAATTGAGATGAACAGGGTTCATCAGTAGTCCATGAGGCAACAAACCTGACGGAGGCAAATCAGCACAAGACCACATCAATGGCACAGAATCAGCCACAGGACCCAACCCGGGTTATGGCAACTGATTGGGAAGATCTTAACGCAGGCGGGTATCGGACTTCAACGAGCAGAAGTGTCTCCTAGCCAATAGTATGTGTGCGTGTCGACCTGATTCTCTCTTCTCAAACTTCTGTTGGCAGGTAGGAAGAAAATGTACAACAAAATGAACAGACCGAACCATATCGAAATGGCCGAATCTGCCTAGCTATGGATCACACAGCTGACGCAAGAACCTGGAATCGATCCAAGTAAAGGGCATGGATAAAGACGTCAGTAAACTTCAGAGACGAAGTGAAGATCATCAACTAACTTCCTGCCAACACAAGCATCATGCATTACAGATTTCAGGCGCAAGAAGGCAGAGCCGGGATGTATCGCCATCGGGAGCGAGTCTCATACGTGCTCGGCAGGGGTACTGGATCTCTCACAGTTGGCTTCGGTGCGGCCGATGCGGACATGCCAGTCGTCACTGGAGAGTGGGGGCGAGTACCAGAAGTCTGTCGCATTAACTGTGTCGATCCATGATTTCAAATGCTGGACGCGTGTCCACACAAGGTTTGGGGGCAGCAAGGAAAGCCGACGGGTTTTCAAGAAATCAAGAAGTTTCAGAGATCCTATCGAGCTCAGTACAGCAATCGCCACTAGAGAGTATCAACGTGAAGGTGTTGCCGCACCTAAGTCGGAAAATACAGGGCCTTACTTCATTTCCGCCTGGTGCATGATGCGCCTGACAGGAGGCACTGTTTGACGTACGATTGTGTATCCGTACCAATTGAAAACAATGGTAGTTTAGAGCTCATGAGCAACAATGGAAACGGAGACTGTACGTACGGCAATTATTTGCAGGAAGAGCCGTCCGTCCACAGGGCTCTGTGGACTCTGTAGCTAACTACAGTACGGGTACCCAATAGTGCGTGCAGTCAAGTCACTACGGAGTAGTACTAACTCGACTTGATGAGGGAAAAAGGTCTTGGAGTGCCACCAAAACCGTCTTACGGACCAGCGCCGTCAGCATCTTAAGACCGGCAGCCCCTCCAAGCGCGACCGGGTGCTTTTCGAGCCCTGGTCGACCGCATCTGCACGATGGCGCAAATCGTATCGTTCTCGCCTAAGAGAGGGGGGTGTGACGGAGAGGATGAGGACACTAAGACGATTTGAGCAAGTGTTGAAGCTCAAAAGAACAACCCGCAACATGTGATGGTGTCGCTCAAACGGGGCAGGCAAGATCAGGGCCCTGTTGCTCGATCTGATCTCTCATAGGTCAGTCTCTCTCTCCAGAGCTCGCCAGTGCCGTGAACCCCCTCTACGGAGTCTTCGTACTTCGCCACGGGAAACCTGGAACAGACCTACGCCCGTGGAACCTGGAGATTTGGTCTGCGGTGCTCGGAGGTTGGTGTGATGGCCCTCCTGCGTATACGAACCATAGAGTACGACCGCAAGCGGTTTACCAGTACAATAACTGCAACAGTTACTTTGCTACGACGCCACGCTCTCAGAAGAACAGAGCTAGGAAAAAGAGGATGCCATTTTGGAAACAATGCAATGTGGTGGGAGAGTCTAGCGCAAATGCTCCTGTGGTAAGCGCCACCGCTTCACGGGTATCCGGAACCCATTCGCCAATCCGACCTCGGCAACACGGCCGCGGATTCATGAGCCATGTGAATCTACCATGGCCGCCTCCACCGAAAGCCAGGGCGAAGACGAATCACAGAAACTGTCCTAGTTGCGTCAAACATCTGATTCCGCATCTGAAGCGCCAGGGTCTGTCACCTGGCAGCCAACTGATAGCGCGAGATTTAGGCCTCCCCCGGGACTAGTTATGTACCTTGCACATGCATTACTCGCTACTTTGGTGGTTGGCTTCTCCATATACCGGGTTACAGCGACTATTCGTAACCACAAGCCCAAAAACAACGGGTCACTGTGCATCACCCATGTTACCAATTTGCGCCTGGGAAAGTAGTTTAAGCTAGGTGGATTCCACCCGAAAAAGACATGGCCACTGCTTTTAGCCATTGTCTCTGCAACGCCCAAAGCACTGACATATATCACGAGCTTTCACCCCAAGGACCCTCAACCTGAATTCTCGACCTTGTCCATCATTGGACCATTCGTGTCATCAACCATCCCTCATAGAGGCAACGACGGGATAAGTCCATCAAGTCCAACATCTACTATCCCTCACGGCTTGCGCCGCCCTTGCGGCCGAAGAGTACCTTAGTATATGCAGAGCCGATCGACACATTTTCAGCCGCCTTCTTCCTGTTCCGACCTCCTCTGCCCTCTCGGGATTGACATTAAGTTTGTTGACTTTGTCCGATAGCCTCCACCAAGGCCCAGCGTGCGTACCTAGAGATCTGTCGATAGTGCGCTCTCACTTCTGCACCCAGGCGCCTCACTACTCACAACCTCCGCGACTCCCCGGGTGTACGGCACCGACGCAAGATCTGCGCCAAAGACATATCCCTCTGGTTTCATGCAATTGTGGCTGTGGGACATCCATATCACATCATGCTTGCCCTCGAACACTCAAACGGCCACCAGTGCGACGGCTTTGACCATATGCTGGACCGGACTGTCAAGGTGCCCTTTCCAGGCTTGGTCACGTACTTGTACAAGTCGGCCGACGGCATGAACACCAACTTCCATCCACTTCCCTATTCATATTTGGCGACCCCTGCCATGTTTGCAACGGCACCGCAGACCTTGAAGCACGAAGTGCCACAATTCCACGACAGGCCACCCGCCCTGATTTCGTCTGGCTGGATCGCTTCCGTCCCCAGTGTAGATAAGGGCGCAATGGGCTCGCCTGACTCTGCACCATCACACACTATCTCCAGCCAGGACAACTTTGATCACACAACGGGGCCATATGGTCTGGAGATCATTGCTCATCAAGACTCTTCCTCGCAAGACATGTTGCCCCCAACGATGGAGGCTGACTTCTCCTTGGAAAAACTCCCGGACAGCTATGTAGGTGAGTGTGTGGATCTTTTCTCTGTTGCTCCGCTGCGTCTTCCGACTATTCCACCTCGCCATTCCCATTCGGTGAATGACAAGTCCTGTCATCCACATTGTATTTCTTCTTGTCCAGAAACGCTGTACACCCGTACCGTTTCGGAGTCTGCCCCGCGCGATTCGGAATCAGACAATTCCGAGTTCGACTGTCACGTTCTCTTCCCTTGTCACTGAGAACTGGTCGACTCGAAATTTCATGTCACCCACGACACCAGCTTCAACTGCCCCCAGACACCAAAGAACGTTGCGTCTCCAAACAGCTCGCATTCATTTTTCTCGTTTCACCATCCACCAGCATGCTCGGCTTCCCCCATCGCCGCAGTGCCGTGGCTCCGACCCGCAAGCCAGTTCCATTCCCATTTCTTTGCTCAAGCAGGGGAGATTTCTTGCCACCGCTTGAATCATTATGTTCGACTCATGTTTGCCCGTCATACATTAATCCCGTCTTTTCCTTTATTTCCTGTCCTCCCCTCAACGGTGAATGATCCTCCTTGGAGCAGAGAAGGTAACCAAACAATCCGCCCGGTTTCTAGATCCTTCCTTGGTCTACGCCACACGCTCATTTGGAGAGACCGCCTTCTCCAAAACGACACTCTTTCAACCTAACATGAACACCTTCACCAATTTGTCCCCAACTGGGTCACCGGCTCTACCCCCACAGCCGTACAGCATTTTCCCTACAACTCAATTCTCCGACCCTCCGATACACTCTCACTATTATCCTCAAGAGCCGCAACAAGACTTGCTGAAGAGAAGACCCTCCCCCGCTTCCTCTGTAGGTTCACACAGCAGCTCAAAGTCGGAGCCCACTGAAGAGGGCGTCGAGAGGGGTCGCTGCCCCCACCCCGAGTGCGGCAAGGTCTTCAAGGATCTCAAAGCCCATCTGTTGACTCATCGAACCGAGCGACCAGAGAAGTGCCCCATTCCGACATGTGAGTATCGCCGCAAAGGGTTCGCCCGCAAGTACGACAAGAACCGACATGCCTTGACACATTTCAAAGGCACCATGGTGTGCGCATTCTGTCCAAGTTCCGGCTTCCTTGCCGAGAAAAGATTTTACCGAGCCGTTGCTTTGAAGCGGCACCTGACTTCCGTTCACGGGGTGGAACTAACCGCCCCCAACAGCCGCAAGCGAAGTCCCACCGTCAACTCCCGAATGTTGTCCAGTCATTGTCAAGATGCCAATGGCAAATGCTCGACCTGTTCGGCCACCTTCATCAATGCTCAAAGCTTTTATGAGCATCTGGACGACTGTGTGCTGCGTGTGGTTCAACAAGAAGAGCCCAGCGAAGCCATAAATGCACACCGTCTCGCCAGCATACCGAATTAAAATGATGTCCAGGACCCTCGGGCGTGACATCCCCAAGGCTGAAGAGGCCACGACAGATTTTGGGGTCGATGACGAGGAGAAGGATGATTGGGAAGTGCGGTTAGCCACGATAAAGCGGGATACGTATGCAGAATGGATCCTACGTCCTCATAGACTAATGAATCCAACACGGGGTTTGGGAGCGTTGGGCTATACTGGAGATAGGATGCAAGGCACTGTCTTGCGATGAGCTGGGGGAAACGAATGATGGTGGACATAGGTGGAGGCAAAGGTTGCTGGCGTTATCGACTGTCGAGGCCTTGCGGAGCTCCGACTTTAAATGGCTCGCACAGACTACCCGATTGTGAGTGACGGGGAAAGTGACGGGACACTGCCATGGATCACAGGTCTCGACTACCTAAGACTTTCTATCTCTCAACTGTTTCAACTCCCTATAGAGTATTAGCAGCCGGAGCCTTTTTGCCCGGCCTGGGAGTCTGCCTTAGCCTCTCATGTCCCTATCTTGCGTACGAGTGTGGGACTCAGACTCACAATCTTCTTGGCCAAGCATCTACATACAACATTTGTGAGTGGGAAGAGGATACATAATAACTCCAGATTTCCAGGCACTGAATTCGAAAATCGTCATTCTTGAGACCTTAACACCCCAGCAAGGGTTGGAGGTTGCTGTGGAGACGATAGTTCATGCCCATGCTCAACGGCTGAATTTCTCTGGGATACGTGGGACAAATGGTTAATGCCAGTAGGTCTCCGGCTGCAGGATAAGGATGTACCATGTTGTGACTGCGCCCTTGTCTCGGAGCTGAAAGCCTGTGTGTTCGTCATGCGCTGGTTTAGGCTCCCGGCTAAGTTGAACTTGTTCTGCTGTCTGCGGCTTCAGGGTCGATTCTTTCCTGCCGCCCTGCAGTAAGCTTAGTCCATTTCCACAGATGACCAGGCTTTGCCGCAGTCAAGTAGGGGACATTAGCCTTCTCTGCATCCACATCACTGGATTTGGACATGAAGTTAGATTGTGCAATCTCGGAGGTCTGATATGCACGCGACGGTCTGGTTGAGTATGTAATGTTCCAGGTGGTAATACCGGAAAAATGGGTCACCGATAAGCTACCTCATATATAGGGTGAAGGTGCTTTGAGAGTGGACAGGGATATCGTCCTTGAGGTGTTTTGGTCGTCCTCATACTGCCCTCCACAAGGTTACTTCGGAAGCTGATCGGTTTTTCTACTGCTTACCGTGATCCCAGTGCAGAAAGGATAAGGCTCCCTGTCTCCTATTTATCGCTGTGTTCTCAGGCCATTTGATTCTATTATGACATTGTACTCGGTTGGCATGATATAATGGTCGACCTATTCTCAGGCCGTAGATTCGTGGTCATGAGAATCAGAGTCGAATTCACACAACCATCTCATCCCAAAAGGCAATGCACTGGGTGCGCTGAGCAGAAGACGAAAAGGATTGGTGCAGTCGGGTCCTACGTGCCCTATACTTCAAGAAAGTAACGGTCGACAAGGAGTCTGAAGAAGGCAAAACTACAACCTGGTCTCCAGCCACGGTTCGCGCGACCCTGTACGGTGGGCGGGGGCCGGCGAGAAGAAGATTCTGGACCACAAACTGCGTTCCAAAGTCGTCCACCGGATCGTTCAACGATTCGGCTTCAAAGGAGGAATTGTCGATTTAATAGTCCTATCTAGACTCTTCCCGGGCGTGGGCAGGCTGTTGCCCATCATCCGTATCGATAACGTCCGTATTTAGTACCCGAGCTCGTGCAAGAATGATTTGTCCAAAGTAAAAGTGGACAACCGTGCAATCTAGCCTGGTTCCGTTTTGTACGTTCTGCACTCGGGACGAACTCGACAACAGGTCACTTTCGATGGCTGCTATGACGAGCAGGAATATGACAGGTCGAGAGTTGATCTTTGCAAGTTTTGCCTGAAGAAGATCCCGCTGTAGATCAAGAACATGAAGCCGGCCACTCACTCTTTCAAGACGGTCAACACAAGTTGCCAGTTTCGCTAGCCCTGCCCTGATCCTAGTTCCACCTCCCTGTCAAGGGTAGCTTCCACCTTTCGGTCTGTGTCAGAGTTGTCTGCAAGAAACCAAAGTTCCCCCTTCGGGCTTCAGATAGGAGCAGCCTCTCTACCACGTTACCACTTGGGTGACCAAAGGGAAAAAGCTCTCAGACCACCCTCTCGTGTCTCTAGCCAGTCGTCCACGTGAAACATGCCACAATAGCCATGGCGCCATGACCAGGAACTTTTCCCTTCATCGGTATTGTTGCAACCCAGGTCAGCTCACCATCCTATTTTGGGGGGTGTCTATGCGCATCTCCGACCCTAAGGGCCCTGACAGGGTATCTATGTCAATTGGTGAGCAACCATGTTTCTGTTGACCGACATACTCCATCTTGATGTGCAGTCACATCATTCAGGTGCGGGGTACAGAGTGCAGTAATACGAGACGACACCAGCATGTGAGATAATAGACAACTCATATAAGCCTGTATTCATTTCACCTCTGATTGTCAGTCCCTATTACTCTCTCGCTCGCCAATATATTTCGCCATCAACCTCCTCCACTACCGATATTACAAGTGTCCTTGCCCTCTCCCTCAAATCTATCGAAATATTAATTGGGCACATACGAATCCTCGTAATCCAGCCACCAAAAAACACCAGAATTCATTTGAAAGGTTTTGTACAGGATTCCCTCCATCCGCATCCATCAGGACCCCTTCATGCCTTCGACCTGCAAGACAAAGGTCGCCCTGCTCAAGGGTCTTCGACCTCGCTTCGCCGACCAGCAACAAGTTGCCACCACTCAAAGGATCCTCTCTTCAGCTTGTTCGTCTTCCTGTATCTACTGCGACATCTGGAAGCTTGCCGCTCTGATTGCTTCTCATGTCCCGTTAAGAGCTCGATACAACTTACCTTGCACGTCACTAACCAGCTCTCCAATTACATCCCGGCCTTCAAGTCCAGTATCATTCTCTCCGACATTATCAGCCACGTCACCCAATGCCTCGCTCGCCTCTATGGCCAGGAAGATTGAGGCACAGTTCCAGGCTCAGCGGTCGCATTTGAATTCAATTCTCAGTATCTGCACAGTTGCTGGTGCAGACGAGTGTGAAGGTCTACAGATTGCGCACCATCGATGTTCAGCGACGGTGGAGGATCTCCTTGACCAGGAAGAAGTTGTCGAAGAGGCTCTGCTGGAAGACCTCCAACAGCAGGAATTGATTTACCTAGATTATAATCAAAGCTTCGCGTCGAAATACAGCTCTCCCTTACTCAGAGTCTACGCATACCCTCAACCACGACGGCCTAGCGCTGTCAGCGTGGGCGTGGCGATCTGAAGCAGGCATCTTCACCACATGTTACGATTATGATATGAACTTTAAGTTTTGTTATTAATACGAGATACCACTGGAAATGAAGCAAGCGATTTATTGGGTTTGGTTTCTTTTCATGTATGAAAAAAATGGTGCCGCTGGTTTGCTTCAGAATCCAGGCTGGAGAAGGAACTTGGTATAGTCCTTGGGCAGCAGCCTGCGCGGACAGAAAACGTGAAATTACCTCATGGCTAGCGCTAAGACAGGGCTCGGTTTCCGTATGGTTCACAGCCTCTTAAGAGGGTGTAGTAAAGAGAGTCGATCGCAAAACATCTTCGCTATAGGTGCTAGGGGAGCCATCATCGTCTTTTACTAATTAGCCCGTCCAAATGGCTCAGTATGCACGTCTATTTCTTTCCCAATCTTTATTGCTCGGTCCATATCACCCAAGTTCAAATTCCAGTTGGAATCCAGGAGCATGTTTACTTGGGGGATATCTCTCTGAGTCAGTCTTGCCTGTTTGAGTCCCGGAGCAGCAAGGCAAGTTGCCTCATCCATCGGTAAATAGCCCAGGACTTTGAATTGTGCGACATACTGAGAACATATTCTTCTCACGCTCAAGGTACTCGTTCAGGAACAATGCAACATTGCCGTTGGGTGCAAGCTCCGAGAATATATGGCTTGGTGCCTGGAAAAATCAGTGAACCAAGGACGGGATTCGTGGAAAAACTTTTAAGACATTGGAAGACTCTTTGCTCCCTGGCATTCGCTGCCTCTTCTAATTCTCCCTTACGAGCTCTGTTAACAGCGATGAAGGGCGCCGTGAAGTTATACGCTGTACCATTGCTGCCACGGCCAATGAGACTCATGACAGCTCAGGAAAATAATGAAAAACGTTGCAAGGGTATGGGAAGGGATGTTCAGGGCGTCGATCCTGCACAGGAAGGACCATTGTCGGTGGCTGATGTTGACGCCATAGAAGGCACTGTATAAGTCCATTTTGTAACCCCCCAGAGGCAGAGATTGTGTTTGGACGCAATCACAAGACTTTATTTCAAGTCGACTTCTTGCCTTGCAAATTCTACTCAATGCCCCCACTCTCGACGAGTCCCCTTCGATGCGTTATGTGAAGTATTTCATTTCATCCTTCCTTTTGACATCGTGCTGGCGTCAATACTCGAGGGTAGGAGCTATGGATTCAAGGCCTTTCGACTACTCGATTCGAAGAAAGCAGCTCGCCAGTGTATTCTTGCGAGGGCAGGACATAGGTAGTTTGTCCATTTCGTGATAGCCGGACTTCTCTCATAGCGTTCATTCTCCGCAATCGCCGAATTACTCTAAGCTAGCCAGTCAGGACATACCACGAACTTCATTGTTGTAGTTGAGAGATACAACAGAAATCCGCAGCAGAATCGCCTTCTGTATTTCAAGTGTGGTCAAGGATATCCGCGGGCTTAGACGATGCATGTGACCCGTGACGTTTGAGTACGACGCATCCGTTGCGGTGGATCGAAAAAGGCATATTGGACGGGATGCCTTCCTATTCGTCTAATCTACTTCCGATTCTGCTAAAAGAATTGGCTCGGAATAAGAGTGCCGATCAATGCTAAGCGTCGACTTTGGAAAGGAAGCCACCCACAGGCAGAGCACTAGCGGAAGTCCAGTTATGTGGTGAAACCGGCAGATCGACCCCCACTTCTAGGCTAGAAAGTTCTCTCTCTTTTGCCTACGCATTATTTCGACTCGCTCAGAATGGGAGGCTTGTGTCACAACAACGTCCCCGTTTGACCTCTTCTGAACTGTATATCTAGACCTAACTTGTCTCCAATCAAAAAATTGGGACCATCTCCTGTATCCGATCAGCGCAAAAACCATGGAACAAAAACCAACGTACTCTTCGTCAGCTCCAGCGAAATCGTCAATTATCGAGTATTATACCAGTGAAAGGGCGAAGGCTGATCTCGGAAAGGCTATCGGCAGGGATCTGCCTCCCAAGGTTGACTTTAGTTCGTACAAAGCTTCCAAGGAAGAGAGAACCTCGTTGCAAAAATCAAGTTCACGCGGGCTGTCTGCCAAGGGCGTTACATCCCAGTCAAACGATCCTCAGAATTTCGCCGGTGAAATCAGTGATGAGGAAACTGCAGCGAGGTCAGATACGAAGAAGCTGCTTAGGGATTACGCCTCCTCGTTTAAGACGACACCAGTGGCAAGAGAAGTTGGCGATAGTACTTCATAACAATACCATTCTAATCACCCTTGGCATTCGAGAACATTTACTTATCAGCTTATACGCGGTCAGCACAGATAAGAAACGGGATGTTTGCTGAGATGGAAATGAAGAGGTGCACGACTTGTTGGCCTCTGACAACAACATGAAGCGCAACATTTTTGACGACGTAAACCGAAAGCCCACCATTCCACCCTTGTAGGGTATGGAGGAAGCTTACACAAGGATGCATCCTCCGGCATTAAGCTCGTGCAGCGGGGTAGCCACCGAGGCGAAGTTGCAGCTTCAAAGTGCAACGACTTCAGCTCTAGAAGCCACACAATCTTCACAATCACGACCTACATCAAAAAAGTCAATGATCCCGGCGAGGACTGTATTTCTTCCGGAAAATTGAACCTGGTGGATGTCGCTGGAAGTGAAAATATCCAGCGTAGCGGTACTGAAAATAAGCGAGCAACGGAAGTTGGCTTGATCAACAAGAGTCTCCTTACCACTGGACGCGTCATCAATGCTTTAGTTGATAAGAGATCTCATATCCCTATCGAGAATCTAAGTTGACGCGTCCCCTCCAAGATTCATTAGGTGGAAGAACGAAGACTTGAATCATTGCAACAGTCTCGCCGGCGAAGAGCCCCTATAAAACCATTTCTACATTGAACTACACGTTCAGGGCCAAAATATTCGAAACAGATCACAAGTGAATTTGACTATTTCAAAGAAAACTCTCCTCAAAGAATTCACCGCAGAGATAGAGAAGCTAAAGTGCGACTTGGCAGTTACAAGGCAGAGAAATGGAGGCTATCTAACCCTTGAGCAGTATGAGCTGTTCGAGTTATCGCCAGACTCCGCCTCGGGTGTAGCAGCTGAAGGAAGACTTCGCCGCTTCTACCCCGGCGCGTTCATTGAAGTTTCAAAGGAACGCCTGGACTGTCCGACTTGGCGTTTCGGGCTGCCTTGGTCCGAACATCTTCCGGAATAACTTCGGAATCTGTCAATGACATGATCCCTCACATCAGCAAAGCCTCGACAAGCATTTCAGAGATACGAGATACGGCTCATCCTCGGTTGGTTACTGTGCTCGTCAGAGAAATTCTACGTGTTGTCGGCCAGGATGTGCAGCTACCTCTTTTTAAGAAGAATACAGGGGACGATGTGTTGTGGCACAAGGCTCTCACTCCCTGGCGACGGCCACAGACTTGGCTACTGTTACGGATTTCCATTCAACGGTGCCTTCTCGAGCAAACGCATGACAGGGATAACTCAGGGTACTACAAGCCATTCATGATTTATATCTTAGCACACGTTCTGAGTTTATCTACTCATCCCGATATTCCACCGGACAGGCGCCAAGTCATGAGAATGAAGATTAATCGCCGCTTATTAAAGCTAAATCCGGAGAGGAATGAGCCATGGTTATCGGAAGTGAAGCAGATATTGATATCGAGCTACAAGGAGGACCTCCAACGTTGGCGTCAGCTGGAAACGTTGGACGACCCGCACAAGACATTCGAGGAATTCGTCACCGCCGGAGAATTCGTTGTTGATGACAGAGAGCTGCCACTTGTGTCTTTGCGTCCATAGCTAGATATTATCATTCATCGAGCACCCAACCCCGCCGGTTTTGGCATCCCACCGGTCAAATTCCTCGAGCGCACCTCTGTCGGACATCGATCGCTCCCTGTGAGACCGCCAGGAGATTAACAAGCCATGCTGGCTCTGTGGCTTCGAGACGTGGAACACTGGGTGGACAACCATCTTGACGAGTGGTCGGGCTGAAGCGTCTCGGATGAGAAGGCTGTCGTGGGGTTAGCAGACATCATGCGTGAATATCAAAGTACAGCTTTGGAGATACACAAGGGTGATCCAGTCAACTACTCGCTCATGTGGCTGACATTGATGGAGCTATGGACGGAAATGGACCGTCGGGCTTTACGGGCAGTACCCTTAATGCGCGATTTTTCTTCCGAGTGGACGCACGAAATGCTCCAACCCTCTTCTTTCAAAGTATTCTCAGATGGAAAGATTGCGAAAGATCGAACAATGTTTGACTGAAAGAGGTTGTCGGCTTACTCCAAGTCCACCATCAATGTTTTGCAGCGCCATGAACAGCAGCGCATTTGCAGTGCGCTACTATAATACGTCTGCTGCTCATCAAGACCTTCGACGACAAATCGAAAATTCTGCTCAGCGTGAGAGGGACCAGATATTGGCAGAATTAGCTCAAAAGAAATCCCGACGTGACACCCTTATTCGAGAGTCGAATCAGCTTCAGTGCTCCTACATCGAGGTACGTCGACGGTATGGTGACACAGAAGAGCATAGCCGGTATTGCCAAAAATGCAGACTCAAGAATGAAGCCGGCAGCCTCGAAATCTACGTTCACGAATGGCCACCAAGTCCTTTTCTGTGTTGAACATCGAGGCTGAGTTGATTTTGTGCGAGTAATCTTCCTAGGATCGTCTTGACCCATTGCAAACTCAGGTTGCGTGAAGATTGCTTCCTGTCTTGGTTGCATGTCGTCTACAACCCCTCCGACGCGACCGTTCTGCACGACTGTAGGTTCAAGAGCCGAGGGGTTGTTGTCCATGCTAGCCGCAACTGCGGCCACCGCGGCCCCTGTTGCATCACCGGCCTCAACCGACTGTCCTGGTCCAATGTGCCCGCAGACACGCACCGTCACCGATGGGCCTTCTGCGTGGCGGCCGTTCGCTCTCCTCTCAACTTCTGCCGTGGGACCAGTCCGGTGCTCTTGAGTCATCCAGGAGGCATAGCAGAATGCGACCAAGCTAACAGCGCGATACCGACAATAATTTGGCGACGGCTTTCGCGGGCACCAGCAGCAAGGAGACGCCGGGTCGATTTGAGCAAGCTCGTTGCACCGCCCTGCGTCGATTTCGTCACTCATTCGGGCCGCCGTTGCAGGGCCATCCGCCGTCACCACGCTGGTGGCGCTGGTGGCTCATCCAGTCATGAATAGACGCTTCGCAAACCATCAGCTCGAAGCCGTGGTCCAACATCTTCCCAATTCTCTGTTGGGCACAAGCCCCTGATCGGTGAGGGTCCCTCGCTTCTCGGCGTGGTGAACCTTTCACTCCCACCTTGTTTGGGAAGATTATCTGGGCAGGTGAGGTGGATCGACCGCTACCTACACGTAAATGCGGACATTTAAGACATCCAGACAGTGCCCGGTCAACCCAGCATTAGCCCCTTAGGTACCAAAACCGTGTCTGGTGAGCCCTGCACCGCCCACTCTAAGGCAGAATCGAAAGACGTTTTACTCTTTCTTGTGAGGACTGCTACCATTATATATATCTCATGGCAAGCACGCCCTTTCGAATATCCTCATCACGCAATCAAGAATCGATCCAGCTTCAAATCAAGCCCTCCTTCATCAATCGACGATCATCTGGTATTTGTGCAGTTTCCAGAAAATGGGTACCACGCTAGTTCGCCTTGGAGTGGGCTTCTTCTCCCTCATCAGTCTCGCTATAGCGGCCTTTAATGGCGCAATCGCACACTTTGCGATTGTTCTTCAGGATCGAGCAAGGACCGACCTTGTCAACGTACCTCACGATCGCTTCGACCAGATCTTCGAGCATCTTATGAGCCGTGTTATTTTGCTCAGTATCATTCTCTGCGTCACCTCCGCTGTTTGCGCTTTTTTGGGTGGCATCTTTGCAGTCTATCACCCACTGTCTCTTCTCTGGGGTCTATTAATCGGTCAAATTTTGATATTTATTGCCAATCCTATCCTTGCTGGTAACGTTCATGGATATAAAACATCATTCACCTGGTTCGGCAAGAACGACAAATATCCATACTACGACCTTATTTACTACGGATCGATTGCCCAGATGGGCTGGGCACTCATTCAAGTACCCTGTCTGGCTTTGTGCTGTTGCTGTCGAGCAGGTCCTCGAGAGGGTCCAGCGGAGCAACCCGACGAAGCTTAAACTTCTAACATGGTACTCTGCCACAGAGTTGTCCCGGTTTGATATGGCTTTCGATCTCTTCATTCGGGAATCTTGAGGGGACAAGGTGACGGTTCGATGGGACTGTGGGGCCAGAGAAGGCGACGAATTGGAGATGATCGGGCCCGATGAGAGGTTCAGTCTTGAGAAATAACCAGACTGGAGAGATTTATGGAGGGATTATGGCCATGGATCGATAATGTGTACTGTAGCATCACTTTCTACGTGTATTGGGACACAACATGATAATTCTTTTTAGCGTCTCTGAGAGCTGTCTTCGATGTGGGGCAATTGCGGATCACACCTTTCACACGCAAATACGGTAATCACGGCCAGTTCTGCTCAAATACTGTGATCTAAATCTTTTGAAACCTCCTTTCATACATAGAAAATTGAGAACGTTTTACAGCATTGATCCAACTGGACGCAGGCTCCAGAAAATGACCAGATCGGCGCCATCTGAGACTAGGTGGCCAAAATAGGACTAGTTAGAACAAATGTACGCAGGAGACGAAGTCCATATCTGTCGTGAACGGAGAACTGTCCACGGTAGTGGACACTGGTCCGTGGCTGAGACTGTGCAGAATATTCTTCCTACAACAGCTTGGATTCTTTCTAATCTAGATCAACTGGTCTAATTCTCCTGCCTTGCGACTAGCAGTGCTATCTTCCACCTCCTATTATGCTACGCTCACCCATGTCAACATTGATGTCTCTCACCCGTCACCAGCACTCGATCAGCTTAGAAAAGTACCTAAGGCCAATGTTACAAGCGGGTTTTCGGCATAAACAAGAATGACAAGACGCCAGTGGAATATATGCTACAGAAGCTGCGACAGAATCTAGATGGTGATTACCGCCTGTCGTACGAGATCTCAGCTATTACACCTCCCATAAATCTAGCAGGGATTGCAAGATTTGTGGCTGCGAAAGTGAAAGGCTGCCAGGCTTAATCTCTCACGAGTGTAGAAATTCACCGTAGAGTCAGTCTCCTTGAGAACCGAGTCACCCGAGACAAAATGCTGTGGTAGGTAGGTACGGTATGTTGCCCCAACATCTTTAGTCCGAACCATAAAGGGGAGGCGCGATATCAGTGACTTGACCGGTCAATCTGGTAAGTGTACACCAGGGGCAGCCGAGGGGTTTTGGGATACAGTTAATTGAAGGCATCATGCCGTGGCATCTCGGAGAGGAACACATTTGTCATGTCGCTAGCAAAGCCTGATATAGAAAACAATGGCTGCCGAACGCACACCCCTAGGCATTCTCCCACCCCTGCCAGGGCAGACGACGATTCCAACCACAAGGACGAGCCACCCTCTGCGACTTGTGACCTCCCTGCAGGGCTCTGTCGAATAAGATTCGATTGGCAGTGACGGAAGCCGACCCGAGGCCACTATGGACAAGCAGGTGCTATCATGGCCCCCTACTCATCGACCTGATTCGCCCTGCTTCCTGTCATCCTGTCTCACCTTGTCGTCGACGAGCGCGAGGACAGAGGCTGTGTCCTTGGCAAAATCCCTCGCCGATGGGTAGAGGTACGGTCGCTCACCCTCAATGTGCCCTTTCGTATCTTGTCTTCCTTCTTACTCTTTGAATTTCACTCCTTAGAAGATACCGCCCGATCTGCAATCAATTATCTCAACGATACCTCAAACCCGGCTTCAAGGAGTTCGAGACGCACGAGTTCTTCGCTCTGGCAAGACAATGCCTTTCGTTCCAAGAATTAACTCCCGCCGAATCACTCCGCCTCTCCTGCCGTCGACTTCGAAGCATTTGTCCGAAAATGGACTACATGAACCGTCTCAACTATTAGCGAAGACATTTGAAGAAATCATGGCAGAATGTGACACAGAGTCGCTTCTGCATGCAGACTATTCGGACTATTCGGACTGTTTGGACGACTTGGACAGCTTGGACTGCTCGAACTGCTCGGTGTGCGCAGCAAAAGAGGCTCGTATCGTCGCCGCCGTTCAGGATATGGCAAAGCACAACACCAGAGCGCAGAACTTAAGGGACATGCCTTCTCTCGACTCCAAGAACGTGGGACTTCCCTCCGATGGACTCTGGGACCACGACGCAGCCTACGACCGGAGATACTGTTACAAACATGGGGAGTACGAGTATCTCTTGGGTGCTAAGGACACATGGATGCGCTTATGGAATTTTGTCCCGACTAACGCCAAGACTGAATTTCCGGGTAAGCTTGAGGATGATATTAGAATTAGGTTGGAGGATCTCTACAATAAGACTCGGGCCAATCTCGAAGGTACGCTGTCGGCCTTCGACCCGCATGCGCGAAAGTGTCGAGCAGAGTGCGGGGGCGGCCTTCTTTCTCATGTGTATACTGTCATCGGGAAAAAGGAACACGATGGTGAAATGCTCTATTGGGTTATGTGGAATTCTTGCTGGACCCCTGAAAGCCAGATTAGTGACAAAGATTGGCTTCCGAGATCTCTACAGGCAAACAAAAACCCGCATCGCCGGCGTAGCT